TTACTGTTTAGCAAGCTAGACTACTGATCTAATAAACAATTAATATTGAAAAAAAAAAAAAAAAGAGTAGATACATAAAGGGATTAATCTTTGAAGTTTATTTCGTTGTTTTTCTCAAAACCAATATATGATGCTCAATTAGATAGATCAATACAAAAGATTAAATTTAAGGTACATTTATTTCATTAGCCGCATTTATTCTTGATTTGGAAAAATTTACGAGCTTTTTAGATTTGATATTTTAGATTTTAGATTTGATAGATCTAGAAAATAATTTCAAAATTTTAAATCAGATTGAATACATTAGTAATTGAATTTAAATGGTTACATATATGTTATTCATTTGTTTCACACATATCCTGAGCCGAAAGATCTCTTTTGTAATTCATTAATATTGTTTCTTCACCTTTCTATGATCGACGAATAAGATTTCAATTATTGTATTTTCGAGAATTTAATCATCAGATTAAGCTATCATTTTATAGAAAAATTACTCTTATGTCATTCAATCTACATAGGTTTAAAAGATCTTAGGATCATTCAATAATACTTCATTTCAATTTTTAATCTTGGTTACGAATTATTAAAATCGTTAGACGACTATAATAGGACACTAACAATTTTCCATGGAGTGTTAAAAAATTAAAATCAAGCGGTATCGTGTATACCATTAACCAACTCTTGAGCTTTATTGAGTCAATAAACTTGAACCAATATCATTTTTTTAAGGTTTTGATGAGATTACTTACTCTGTATTACGTCGGTAGTGGACATAAAATTTCTTAGAAAAGCGGAGTTTATTCGTTTTTGAACTCAAAATCAAAATTTAAGTAAATGTACATTAAACTAAAAGTATAAAAGGAACAAATAGTAAGTAATATCAAATATCTCGTAGATTATCAACTTGATTATCTTAGCTCTAATCATCAGACGATAACTCTTTAATTTGAAATCTCAAAGTAGAGATAAAATTCTCAAAATACGAGCCTTGTTTATTAATTTATCTTTGTATTAACACAATGTCCTTTTAAATCAAGTGATGTAACTTTGAACATGGCTTTGAAATGAAAAATTTCTTTCTGTATTATATTTTTATTTTGATAAGAGAAACACGATCATTTACTAATTTGAGTTAAAATAATTAGGAGTCTACGGCATCTATATATAGTGTTACGTGAATAATTAGGTTGATTATCTCTATTTTGGATGGAATCGATGCCTACATTCATTCAAAGATTGATTGATTCGTATCGACTAGTCGAATAATAGTTATTAATTCAATTTAAGATTTATCAAGATTATGTCATTTGTTTCAAAATAATAATTTAAAATCTGACAAAAAAAAAATATAATTTTTGTTACTTTAATAAGTTTTGATTGAATAGGCTTAAAAATATTGAACGAAATAATTTTATTATTGAAGATAAAATCAACATTTTAACCATAAGTGATATATCGTTCATATATATATATTTGTCAACTCCTATCAAGATCTTTTTGTTGTTTGATTTATCATCCATTTGATTTTGATTTAATATATGGTTACATCATAATACTTTATTTATTTTTTGTTTGTGTTTCCGATTCAACTTAATTTACTTAGTGGAAAATTTTATTAATTGTCTTAAGATCATTAACTTTTTTTGGAATTTTAACTTTTACTTTTTTTACAACCAAATTGCAACAACAAATAAAATTTATTAAAACTACAACAACAACTAGACTAGACAACTGGAGAGTAGAAGAAGAGGAAGATATTGAAGATTAATAGATCTTACACATTAATTTCATACTTACAAAAACTTATATTATCATATCAAACTATACCAAAAAAATAGAACTTACATCATATATTTACCCATTCTATCCATTAAATACCATTATTACTACATCTTTATACATAAATCAACATCATATAGCATACCACATCATTCATAACATAGAAAAGTTCGAAAATGATCATAAGACGATCAAGAGGCGTTATATTATTTATATCAATACTACTAATAAATAGTATAATAATATTTTATATAAAATTACAACCAATAAAAAATTTTGTTATGGAAAATGTTAATATACCAAAAATTAATTCATTTTTATCGTTATCAGATAATTTTAAAGATTATACACAATTTGATATAAACTTGATAAATTCAATTAAAAAATTGGATAAAAAAATTAATAATAATAATAAAGAAAAATCAAAAATAGATGAAATATTAAATGAAATAGAAATTAATAAAAATGAAAATAATGACGATTTTAATACTATTTCAATTCCTTCATTAAAAGATTCTTTACCAATTTTTCAACAATATGATCCAAGATTTACATTTGGTTTATTATTAAGATATATAAATGAAAATGAAAATTTTGAATCGACCAGCCCCAACACCAACATTGAAATTCCCACATTCCATTGGTCAGATTATACAGATATGTCAGTGTTAGAACAATATCTTTTCAATCCAGTCAAAAAGCAATGTAAAATGTTTGATGTAACTAAAAAAAATCCAAAAACTAATGAAAGAGATGATTTATTTCCAATAAATAAATATTGTATACAAGATAATGAAATTGAAACTATTTTAAACAATGAAAATAATTATGATCCTTATTTTATTGAAAGAATAAAAGATATTAAAGATAATAATTTAAATAATCAATTAACAACTGGGTTTCATATTTTTGCATTTTCAGGTAGAAATAAAAAAGAATTAAGACCAATTATTGCAAAATCTTATCTTTATGAATTTATGAAAAATCCATTAACTTTAACTTTTTTATTACCAAATGATAAGTCTGTTCAATTTAATGTAAATCAATCCAACCGAAACAATTTAAAAAATATACCTGAAATTTATCAAGATGGTGGAGATATTAATATAAAAGAAGAAATTTTAAAATTATCAAAAAATTTATCTCCAAATTTTGAAAATTTACCTTATGAAAAAAAATTAAATCATAATCAATTTATCGATAAAACTAATGAAATTTTAAATGACTTAGATGCTCAAATAAATCTTAATCAAACTGATATAAATTACTTAAATTCTTTAAAACATTCAATACAAGATTCAAATCCTCCAAAATATTTTCGAGAAGCAAATATAATCAAAAAGGAACATAATTATGGAATTGGAGGTCATTATGATTGGAGATTTATAAATGGTATAATAAATGGTACACCAAAACAAGAAATTAGTATAAATGGTTTATTACAAACTTTTTTAAAATTAACTAACCAGCATAATTTAAATACTTGGATTGCTCATGGTTCTTTATTAAGTTGGTATTGGAATGGATTACAATTTCCATGGGATGGAGATGTTGATGTTCAAATGCCAATTGATGATTTACATAAATTATCACAATTTTTTAATCAAACTATTGTTATAAATTTTGGTAATGAATTAGATAAAGAAATAAAATATGGAAGATATTTTTTAGATTCTTCTTCAATTATTTCTCAAAGAGTTAGAGGTAATGGCAAAAATAATATTGATGCAAGATTTATTGATTTAGATACTGGATTATATATTGATATAACAGGATTAGCAATTAGTGATACTCATGCACCAATAAGATATAATTCATTACTTAAGGGAACAGAATATGATAGAAATTTAAAAGATCAAACTATTTCTCAATATCAAAGAAATGAATTTTTAAAAGTTTATAATTGTAGAAATGTTCATTTTTCAAAATTAACAGATTTATCACCATTAAAATTAAGCTTGGTGGAGGGAGAATATGGTTATATACCAAATAATTTTGAATCAATGTTATTAACGGAGTATGGAGATAAATCATTAAATGAAAAAACTTATAAGAATTATTTATATTTACCAAAATTAAGAAATTGGATTTCCAAGAATGAATTTTTAGATTTTTTGGGTGGTGGAAATAAAGATCAGATAAATAAATTAAAAAATGATAAATCTTTAATTATGAATTTGAAAACTGATGAAATTATTGAATATTTATACAAGAATTTAAAAAATTTTAAAGAATTTTTAAAAACTAGAAATATTACAAATTTACATTATCAAGAATTGAAAAAAATATATAATCATGAAAGTACATCATCTTTATTTTTCAATGATAATCAAAATTTAAAACAAGACATTAGAAAAAATTTAAGAAATGATTATTTCCAATATGAAAGTAAATTAAATAATTATGCATTTGATAAATCTATAGAAATTTTAAAATTAAAAAAATTTAATTATGATCAATTAATAATAGAAAATGAAAAATTTCAAAATTTAATTAATAAACCTTTAACTAATGATGAAGAAGGGAAAGAAGAAAATGTGAATGAACCTGTTGATGAGCCAGTGAAAGGATCAGCTAAAGATATTTTAAAAGAAGAAGCAATTGAAGAAGAATCAACAAAAGAAACAGTAAAAGAAGAACCAATTGAAAATGATTCTGGTGTATTAATTGATTCAAATGGTAAGCCATTTATTCAACAACAAGAACGACCATCAATTTAAATTCAAAAGATTCAATTTAAAATTAGCATTCAATCTTTTTTTTACAAAAGTTTATTTATTTGATATAGAAGGATTAGAATATTTAGAATTTTGATAAATTAGATATATATAGAAGATGAATTCATTCTGTATCATTAATGAACATTGTCTCATAGAGATAATTTGGTGAGATTTTGTAATAAGGCGAAGTACTTTATTTCCTTCTTATTCCTATAAAAAGAAATCATGAGTTGGACGCTTGCAATCTCGAGTTTTAATTTGCAACACCAATCTTAAAAATTGTGAAATACAAAAATTAACCAGTACCTCAAACCTCTTCTTCGTGTACCTTATGCGAAAGTACTGACTGAGCTTTCCGTTGACAAAATTAGACGGTTGGTACTGTTAAACCCTTAGTTTAATGGTTGTCAAATTGAATTATGAAAAAATTTAAATTGAAGATGACAAATTATATGAATTCTTATTTCAAAACTCTTTTCCCCAATAAATCAAGTTCTACATGTGTAGGTCCATTTTACGTTTGTCTATCACCTTCAATCGGATTGTTAAACTAAATTCTAAAAAGGATCTTTTATACTTGGAATTTATGATCGATCACGAATAGTACCTGAACATCAAAAACAATCTGATAATTTAATTTGATATTGAAGCACTATTTGTGATCAAAAAATACTTCAGACCATTCGACAAGGATTTTGTTCTCGTTTTCATTTTCATTTGTAAAAGACTCTAGTGTTTCAGCATTTTAGCTCTATCAATTATATGGGGAAATTAAACATTCGATTATTTTTTTGCTTCATGTTTAATATTAATTTTGATCATCAATACACTACTAAAGTTAAAACCAATAAAATCGATACAAAAAAATAAACCTTCAACTTAATAAGTACCAAACACCAAACCATCATCGTCTAACAATATAAACAAATATCCAATTCAAACAATGTTTAAACAATCAATTCCAAAATTTACATTCAGAAGATTTGCATCTCATTATGCACCATCAAAACATTTAAAAGATGTAGCATATAAACAAGATTTACCAAAGGGTAAAGAATTTATCAAAAATTATGAAGAAAAAGTTCATCATTCAGAAAGTATAACTAATCTTTGGAAAAAATTAACTTATGTAGTTGCAATTCCCGCAATTTTTTTAGTTGCTATTCCTGTTGGAAAAATTGAAATGGATCATGCTAAACATAGAGAACATACAAGACATTTAAGTGATGAAGAATGGCCTCAACAATATGATTATCAAAATATTAGATCAAAACCTTTCTTTTGGGGTGATGGTGATAAAACTTTATTTTGGAATAGTGATATAAACAGACATGTTCAAAATTAAGAGGAGCTCGAAGAAAAATAATTAATAAAAAAAGTAAAGTAAGATTGTTTATGAAGATTAGTTTAGGAGTTTATTTAATGTATTGATTTTTTATTTTTTTTGATTGAGTTCATCACTTCCTTGTATGTTCAATTGAAACATCTAACCATTTCGCCAAAGAGCTAGATCGACTTGAATGTAGTTATTTGCTTTTTTTAAAACGTGGCTGTTTATTGAAGGCAGTTTCTACAAGAATTGTAACTTAAAAATACATCATCTATCAATTTTTCTCATCAAATCCGATCCAATTTATAACTCTTCCTTTATTTATAATGTTGAAAAAATATATAAATTATTAGTAGCAGCAATTGCAACTGAATTTTCTTTTGGATGCCATGATAAATGTAAAATATTTTTTTTAAAATCAATATCATCAAATTCTCTATTACCATTTGAATTTAATCCATTATTTGATGTAAGACTTGATCCTACACCTGACATCATTCTACGTCTTGTTGGATGTTGACCTGATTTTTTAGATTTAAAAGCTGATTTATCTGCTTGTAATATAATTTCTTCTTGTTCTATTTCTTCATCATCTTCTTGTGGTTCTTCATCTTCAACATCTTCATCTTCATCATCATCTTCATCATCATCATCATTTAATTGTGAATTTGGAGAATTTTTATTTAATGAAGGATCTAAATCTTCTGTATCTGAATCATTTCCACGTTTTGTTTTCTTTTTAATTGTTTTTGGTTTAGTATCACCAGTATTTATAACATTAGGGTAAATCATAAAATTATTATTATATGAACCAGTCATTATAGATTTATTATCACCACTAAATTGAACTTCAAATTTATCAAAAATTGCATCATTTTCATAAGTATCACATAATCTTTCTCTTAAATGTTCATGAACGTTTATAGTTTTTAAAGGTTTATTTTCCATTGCTAAATCCCATATTTTAACAGTCATAAAATCTCTACTTGCTATATATCTACCATCATGACTAAATTCAACATCTGACATTGAACTTGTTATTTCTGTAAAAAAATTATGAGATGATGGATCTAAATATTCTTCAAATATTTTTGAATGTGTATCACATAATGAATTTGATCTCATATCTGATAATTTTATCGTTCCTTTTGATGAACTATACATAAATAAATTACATTGTGATGGATGAAATTTTGCACTTGTTATAACTTCAGTTAATTCTTCCATATTTGTTGGTTTTATATCAACTACATTAAATGATTGATCAGATATTCCTAAATTCCATAAATTTATTCTTAAATCATCAGCACTTAAATAAGTTTCTTGATCTGAATTTACTGATATTGAATTTATATGATAAGCATGAGCATTTGAATATATTTTTTTTGGTTGAGCAGAAACTAATTTATCATGTAATTGTAATTGAGGTAATTTTAATGATGATATTCCACCATCTTTTGAATAATGACTCATTCCATTAAGATTATTCTCACTTACTAATTTTATAGTTCTTTCTTGAATTTTCCATAATTTTATAGTTTTATCATTTGTTGATAATAAATATAATGAATCATTACCCAGTTTTAACCATTTAATTTTATTTATAGTTTCTTCAATTTCTAATGACTTTAGATAATCAAATTCTGCATCATGACTTTGAAATTCTGTATAAAATTTGTATTCACAATTTTGTTTTTTATCTTTTGATTGATTTCTTTCAAATAATACTACTCTTCCTCCTTTATCACCAGTTGCTAGAAAATCTCCTGTACTATCAAATTCAACTGTTGATATGATATCTGCTTCAGTGATATTATCTATATCTCCTTTATCACCAAAGCATTGTGAAAATTTCCAAGTTTCATCCAGTGACATATTGAGTATATTGCTATAGTTGATTTAATTGAATTTTCGTTAGTCAAGAATCCAATTGAATGGTGATGATTTGTGCTATGTTTTGAATGATCAATTTAAAATGAAGCGTATGACAGAATAATTGCGTAAATAGGATGTTTCTTTGATCTCGTCAAATTGTGGATTGTAGATTGTGAAACTTGAGTGCAATTTGTTTAGTCTGAGTTGATAATTTAATATTCAATATCGCCTTTGTTTATTAATATTAAACTGTATGCTTTATAAAACGATTGTTCAAATTCAAATCAGATTCAATTTATGTAACGGTATTTTAGATTTGTAGTTGTGTAGGTTGTACTGATTTATGATGGATGGTATTAATGTTGATCTTTTTTTTTTTTGATATTAAACGCTCTTTAATCAAAGTCTCATCAACAATTTAATTACTTAGTTTCAATTTGTAATCTACAACCAGAACTTATATCTACAACGATAAAAATTTACAACAAATACAGGGACTATATCATTGCACTAAAATGATTTCGGTCTTTGAAATTTGAATTTTAAAACATTTTGAATATCGTGATGAAATATTTCCTACTATTGATTCTCTTTACGTCAAAGGTGTACTAAGCTTTCGCCCTACAAGATATGTTAATCCGCAGTAAATTTATTTTGTTCGGTTCCAACAGAGCAAATTTTACACTACCTCCAACCAAGTTTTAACACCCATTATCAAGTATTTATTCACAATTCTTATACCAAAAATTAGTGTCGTATGTTTACGAAACTTCAGCTATTGAGAATCTTTTTAAAATTTAGATTCAATTCCTCTCTAATTTAGTTCTGAATATTTCAAAGAACTATGTGTAAGAAAAATGATTTGAATCTACGATGTAGTGTTGGATTTTTCAACTAAAATTTTAGTATTACATATCACGAGAGCTGCAAGTATATGAAAAAATTCAAAGCCAAGTAGTCAATGGTATCTGCTCATTGGAATTGAATTGAGAACCATTCCAAAGTCTTTTTGATACGAATTTAAATCAGGGTCCAATGATATGAAAATCGATTACCCTTGGTAGCATGAACTCCACATTCTGAAACGTATATACCAATTGTCCTGTTATTTCAGTAGTAGCTATTCTCTTGTATTTTCGAAGAAGTAAATCTCAACAATTCAAGCTTGTATTCTAGCTAAGTAGAGCAATGGTGCTTTAATGATGGTTTTACTTCCGGGTTTTCTTTGAATATATTGAATAATTTTTTTTACATGTTTCAAATTAAATTGTTGCAAAAAGAATCAAAAAAATAAGTACACAATAAATACTGTGTATCATGCCCTCAAAAATGTAACAACTGATTTGCAAATTAAAAAAAGTACCAATTATTTTTATAGAGATTAGAAGGACCGAATAATATGATCTTTGATTTTGATCGAATTACTCGGCTTGTAAAACCAACCATCCCACTCTTTAACAAGTTTTGCTAATCAACAAAATTGAATTTTTACCTCAAGTATGCATTGAATTTTTTAAATTACATATCTAGACCACAGAAAATAAACTTTTGCACTTTGTCAATAAAGTAAACAACAGAGTGACAGGGGTTAAATAGGAGTCGTCTTTAGGATATTCAATAATTTGAAATAGTAAAAAGTGGATGTGTCAAGTATTCATAACTACGTTACAACCTAAAAATTAATTCAGATTGTTTCAAAATTATCATTAAATACAACCCTTCAATTTTCTATCAATCAATTTCGATATATAATTATAATCCATAATGTTATTATTTTTTTACAATAAAATGATTTTGATATATTACTTCCTATACAAGTATAATCATTAATACTTAATTAACATGTATTCAATATACCGTTTTTTGAAAAATATACAACTTTGTTTAAGATTGACCTCAATATTCTTTAGTTTACCTATACTTAAACAACAATGGTTTTTTTAGCAGCATCTTGTGGTGAAACTTTTCTGTCAGAAGTAAATCTTTTTCTTTGTGGTGGAGTTCTGATTCTTCTGTCAGTTCTTGATCTAACTCTAACAATTCTAGCATGAATAGCACATGAAACACAATAGTGTAATTTATTATATAATTTTGGTAATGCATATTCTGAGTAGACTGAAGCTTCTGATAAATCTCTAACAGCAGCAGCTTCAACCATGTTTCTTATAGTGACTCTTTTGATAGCTTTATCTTTTGGTACACATCTGGCACAGTTTAAACATCTAACTGGTTTGACGTGACCTCTACCTTTCTTGTTTCTACCGTTGGAAGCTCTCTTTTTTGGCATGTTAGCTAAAATAAGGCATTTGTTAGTATTCAGACTTATGTAGGGTACAATAATTGGTCAGATAGAATGACAATGATTGGAATGCAGTGGTAGAAAGTTTCTGAGTGGCAAGATATATTCTTCGAATTTGATTCCGACAGTTCTTTATCTTGATGATTTTTGTCTATGAATTTTAGTGTCTTTTGCTTTTCATGCTTCGAATGACGAGGAGTTGATGTTATCTTGAGTACTTAGTACAAACTTTCTTAACTGTAGTGACTTTAATGATTCACATAACCTTTGAAACGTTCTTCGATAACAATATTTCTCATTGTTGTAATTTCCTCTCTAGTCTCATTGTCTTATCTATTAATTTCTTGATCCCACAGTCCTGCTTGTCTTGATATCTATCCCAATTATTATGTGATCTGTTGTATGAACATACTTCTTTATCGTTGTTGATATAAAAGTAAAAGTAAGAAAAGGAATTTGAAAATTAATATTTGAAAAATTTTATTAGTACAGAATTCACTTTCAGCGAGAGAACAGTGCAAGTCGCTCGAAATAGTACAAAAAATTAAAATTTATGACTTACAATGACGCACTAACCTATATAATCTGCGCGTAATGATGGTGCTCGAGATTTCACTTGGGTCGAGTTGGTAGCAAAATCAAATTGAACTTGGTAGCATCTACAATATGGCTATAGCCCTAATATGAGATCTTCAAACATATAACGTCCATTACATGATTATATCAACAGTTGAATATTCTACATAACATTTCTCATTAGTTATAGAAGGTCTCGCATCGAAAATTCAAGATTCGAAAGAACTAGATGCATCACTATTAGATATTTGCTCCTTACTGCAAGTTAAACAAACAAATTATAACAATCTTGGTTGTTTTAAATGGCTAACATGTAATTACTTGTTGAAAGAGCAAAATCGTCTTGTTGAGAGACCTGAATTCTACATTAAAACAGTGTTCAAATTCGCTCTTTCCTCTAACCAAACTCTCCTTCAGAGCATACCAACCTTGAGGTTTTGATAGTAAGTAATAATTACCTTGAACTTTGAATTATTTTTAAACTGCAAAAAGTGTCGCATATTTAATAATACGTCAAAATATCCTGACTTAACTTAAACCAATTAAAATTAGTTAGTATTAATTAAGCTCTTACTCAAGAGAGAAACAACGATAAAAATTATGAGCTGATTAATTTAAGTAGGAACAAATCGATAACAATCATCATAATATAACCATTGGAACATATAAACTTACTTCAAACCATAGCAACTCACATCTGATAAATTGAATTGTTACCCATAAACAAAATTTAATTTAATTATTTATTCGAATTTCACATTTTTTATCCAGTCTCAATTTAATCATACATCACATACATATATACTAAACACGTATGTTTCAAGTATCCACTTACACCAATTGAATCTCGAATCCCATTTTTTGATCTGAAGGTTGAATCACACGAACCATTCTGGAGATTATACATGATCTTCAAACTATAATAGCTTGATTACAATCAATTGATTGAACGCAGAAATACAAATCTGAATTCACAAACTGTTTCTTTAAATCAGCACCAGATAGTTTCATTCAGGCAACCCACAATTTCCTTAGCATTTGTTCAACCTACATAACTTAGAGTTCAATTCAAACTTTAATCCATACTCAATACTAACATCGAATTTTTAGAATGCTTTCACGTTCTCTCAGACTCACCTCAAGACAAACCAGATGCTTATCTACTTCAAAAGTCTTATCCAATAAAACTGCAGATTATGCTTCAGAAGCAACTAGAACAGTAAAAACCGCTAAAGATTTACAAGAAGTTACTGGACCAGCATCATTAATTGGTCCAGGTGCTAAACCAGGTGTCATCCCAACCGATTTAGATCAATCTACAGGTTTACAAAGATTGGAATTATTAGGTAAAAGAGAAGGTATTGATGTTTTCGATATGGAAATGCCAATCACTGAAGGTAAAGGAACAATGGCTGATCCATTTTTAGTTCCAACTTATATTGGATATAGATATGTCGGATGTAAAGGTACTGCTCAACAAGATCATAAACCATATTGGATGAAAGTTGAAGAAGGAAAACCAGCTAGATGTTGGCAATGTGGTACTGTATTGAAAGCTAAATATTTGGGTGAACCAGGAATGGCTCATTAGATTTATAAATTCAGCTTATGATTCAGTAACATGAACTATGACTAAATAGGATTAGTAATTAACAAAAACGTAATTTAAGATGATTTTTTTTTATTTAAATGATTTCAATTTCATTTTGTTTGAATATTCTATTTCGCTCTCTCGTTAGTTGTAGATTGAACTTTGAGCATTGAGGTACTTCCGTCTTTCTGTTACGCATCTTACTAAGTCACATGGCTTCGCCATGCTAATTTTAGAAAGGAATTAAGTAGATTTCAGCCAATTGAGTTAATCATGAAACTAAGTGGTACAATTCCGGGTTAATTTAAAAATTTCAATATCAGCCGCACACTCCTTAAAAAAATTGTATGTAATTGAGCGGTAAATGAAGGCTATTGAAAAATAAATAAATAACTTAGATCTTGTGTTTAAGATCGTTAGGCCACATTATTGATGTATTTTTCAGCCCTATGTTATATAAATGATGATATATCCACTTTTGAATTCAAGGTTATGAGTAGGGCTTAGATATTAATCACATAAGGTTTACTTAGAAACTCACTATGACTATTAAACAGAAGGTTTTGTTTTTAGAAAAACCAAGAATAGAAGAACTTAAAAGATTTGAAACTCTATTTGAGTGCATATATTATCAAGTTACCACTGTCGAACAATGTGTAAAAGATTTTCAATCAAAATTTAAGGACATAGAAGCAATATACTGTGGTTGGATGGGTTTTTCTCAATTGGGTGGATTCCGTGGAAAATTGATTAGTTTTGCTCCCAGGAATTTAAAAATCATAACTACTTGTACAGTTGGTCATGATCATTTTGACACAAAGGAACTAACTGAAAGAGGAATAATTTTGACTAATGTTCCATCAAATTTAGCTTTTGAAGCAGTTGCTGATATGGTTTTGTACAATACTATTGCTAGTTTTAGAAATTTCAAATTATATGAATTGAATTTCAAAGATGAATTTACCACAACGGGAGTTTTGAGATCATCTTTAATTGAAGGTAAATTCAACAAATTAGAAGGCAAAGCTGAGATGAAGCCAGAATTGAAGGGATCTTTTGGTGAGAAATGCTGTGGGAGAGCGAATTTGTCACCAAGAAATCATGATGTTGTTATAGTGGGGTTTGGTAATATTGGAAGATTGATTGGAAAAAGATTAGATCTTATCGGTATGAATGTTCATTATGTTAAAAGAAATAAGTTGACAGATTCCGAGGAGAAAAATTTAGGTTACAATGTAACTTATCATCCTACAATCGAAGACACAAAAGAATTTGCAGATTTGATAGTTATAGCTTGTCCTGGATCTCCTAGTACTAAACATATTATCAATTCGAGAATAATCGACAACATGAAGAAGCCATTCAGAATAATTAACATAGGAAGAGGATCCTGTATAGATGAGAATGCTTTGATTCAAGGATTAAAAAATGGTAAAATACTATTTGCTGGTTTAGATGTCTTCGAAAATGAACAAACAACAGTAAATCCGGAATTAATTGGTAGACAAGATGTTGTTCTAACACCTCATATTGGTTCAGCTACAACTGAAAATTACGCACATACAGCTTTAACATCAATAGAAAATATTGAAACTGTTTTATTAAATTTTGATAGACCAATTACAAATGTAAATTATATATAAATGGCTGCAAAAAAGTAACAATAAAAAAAAAGGAAAGTATAAAATTTTTCAAATATCAAAAATTAATTCAATTCTTCATGTAACTTTTAGATTTTAAGCTAGCTTAAATTCCGATTCAGGACCTTAAATATATGCTTAAATATTAATAAACTGTTTTTGAATCTTCTTGACTCTTCATTATGTTCTGAAAGTACATATTATTTACTTTGTGATAGCAACATATTTTTATAATAATTTGGAACACAAAATAAATGTCGAACAAAAACTCCTTTTATCAAAGTTTCTCGGTTCAGATTAAAGACTTTAATCTTGAACAATTATAGAAACCAACATCAACTACACCAATCAATTTAATCATGTCATATATTGGCGTTTATAAAGCCGTGTATGATTATGATGCACAAGCAGATGAAGAATTGACAATTGCCGCTGATGATCTTTTGTATCTTTTGGAGAAATCAGACATTGATGAATGGTGGAAAGTTAAGAAAAGAGTTATTGCAACAGGTAATGAAATTGTTGATGAACCACAAGGTTTAGTACCTTCAAACTATATTGAAGAAGCACCAATATTGAGAAAAGCAACCGCATTATATGATTATGATAAACAAACTGAAGAAGAATTATCATTTAAAGAAAATGAAATTTTCAACATATATGACTTGAGTGATCCAGATTGGATTTTAGTTGGAAATTTAAATCAAACTGAATTCGGGTTTATTCCTTCAAATTATATTCAATTAGATGAGAACCAAGCAACTTCAGCTCAACAACCAATTCAACAATCTCAACAACAAGCCATACCACCAAAACAAATACCGATGCCATTAAATAATTTTGCACCACCACCTCAACATCCCACTAGATCTTCAGAACACGAAATACCACCTGAGACTCCAGAAAAGGATTACCCCAGACAACTTGAGCAACAAAGCCCTTTAAGAAGAGAATATCACGAGGAGGAAGTAGGAGGAGAAGAGGAAGAAGAAGAGGCACCTCCACCAATGCCATCAAGACCATCCGAACCAGAGACTAACGTTGGCTCAAGCAGAAATTACGAAAGGGAAGCAGACGTACAACCGAATGAAGATGCGGAACATTCGTACGATGGAGAGTTTTTCACTTGGCACATAGACGAAGTAGACGGAAGAAAGAAAAGACCCATCAAAGTTTCAATAGGTCAAGGTCTAGTTATTATAAAACCAAACACTCAAAATCCAAAAAAATTAAGATTAAGATCAGACTCTAAAATTGATAATCAATGGAGAATTAGAGATTTAGTAAGTTTTAATAATGAGAAGAAACATGTATTCTTAGAATTTAAAAATCCACCTGCTTCATTGGAATTACATACAGGAACTAAAGATGTTGCTGAAGCAATTATGGCCATATTGGGTGACTTGAAAGGTGCTGAGCAAGCCAAGGGATTGAAAGAAGTACAACAAGCATCACAAACAAGTACGGGAGGTGCCAATAAAAAAATTGGTAGATTAATTTATGACTTTAAAGCTCAAGGAGACGATGAATTGAATTGTAGAGAGGGAGATGAAGTCTATATCGTTAATGAATCTCGATCTACCGATTGGTGGATGGTTCAAAATGTTGATACAGGAAGGCAAGGAGTTGTACCATCGTCATACATTGAAGTGATTAGTACATCGAATTTAGATGATCTAACTGATGGACCTTTGAGAAGAAAGTCAACAAAATCAAAAGGAAAAGTTGTTAATGGTAGAGACAAACGTCAGTCACGTTCAAGAGGTAGAGATGAAAGAGAAAGAGTTAGAGAAAAAGATAGAGCTTATAGAGAAAAACAAACATATGACGAAAACGATAAATCAATGCCTAATTACCATCGTGTGAGAACATGGATTGATAGTTCAGGTACTTTCAAAGTTGAAGCTGAATTTTTGGGATGTGTAGAAGGTAAGGTACATTTACATAAAACAAATGGAGTTAAAATTGCAGTTGCAGCTGAAAAGTTATCAATTGAGGATTTAGAATATGTTGAAAAAATCACTGGTACATCATTAGAAAATTATAAACAATTAGTTCAAAAGCAAATGGAAAAAAGAGCTAGATCAAAAAGTAAATCTGGAGCAACTGTGTCAGAACCAGAACATAAAAAGCCACAATCTGCAACTGCTGCTATTAACAATATTGAACCATCTCATCATTCTAAATCTCGCCCAACTACTCAAGTTTCAAATAATGGAGCACCAGCATATGATTGGTTTGATTTTTTCTTGTCGTGTGGTGTTGATGTTGGTAATTGTCAACGTTATACATTAAATTTTGAAAGAGAACAAATGGATGAAAATATTTTAGAAGATATTTCACCATCTTTATTGAGAACTTTAGGTTTAAGAGAAGGTGATATCATCAGGGTAATGAAATTTTTAGATAATAAATATGATAGAAAGAAATCAGTTGAACCAGAACAACAACAATCTGGTGGTTTGTTCTTGGATACAAATGGTGCATTAAAGAACAACTCTGCTACTGAATTATCAAAGGTTACTAAAGATGCTTTACCATCACCAATCAAGACACAACAAACACAACTCAATAATACAAATACTCCATCAAAAATAGATGACGATGCTTGGGCAATGAAACCAGCAGCAAGATCAAATGAAAATTTATTAAAATCAACTCCTCAACCACAGACCCCTCAATATACTGGATCTTTATCAGACTTGGTCAATATTAAACCAATGGAGAATAAATCTGAACCTCAAAAGAGTAATCAAACTCCGTCTTTACCTCCATTGCAACCAACCAAAACAGCAAATTCTGCTCCAGCACCACCACAAGGGGCTATTCCTTTACCAGCTCAAAGAACAGGAGGTTTTGTACCTGTACAAAGAACAGGTGCAGGTTTACAACCTGTTCAAACTGGCGGTTTTATGCCTTCACAACCTACAGGTTTCATACCAATTACTGCACAACCAACTGGATTTGTCCCAATTCAAGCAACAGGTATACTTCAACCTCAATTTACTTTTGGAATTATCCCATTACAAACTGGTCAAACTGTTAATCAACAAAGAACTGGTGGCAATTTACCACCTCCAACTACATTTGGACAATCATCACAACAACAGCAACAATCTCAACCATTCCAACCTAGCTTCATACCATTACAAACAGGTCCTATAACAATGCCTCAAACAACCTTTGGTTCTCAAAATACAGGAGGTTTACCACCTCCAACTTCTTTTGGGCAACAACTTCAACCTACAGGTGGTTTTCCACCCACTTCATTCAATCAACCTCCATTGCAGCCAACTCAAAGAACAGGTGGTCAAATTACAGGAGGATTCGTTCCGCAATCAAATTTTGGAAAACAAATTACCGGTGGTTTTATGAACACAAATACTGTTCCATTTGGACAATCACAACAACCTCAAAACAATATATTCCCACAAACTTCTTTTGGTCAACAACAACAAACTGGTGGAATAATGCCTCAAACTTCTTTTGGCCAAGCTCAACAACCTACTGGATTGTTTTCTCAACCATCATTTGGACAACCACTACCACAACAGCAACAACCAAATTTTTTCAATCAAAACACTGGTGGATTACCACCTCAAACATCATTTGGACAACCTAATATGTTTCAACAACAAACATTTAATCAACCTCAACAACCTCAAACGAATCAAATGACCAATATGTTTTCAAATACATCGATCTCATCGCCTCCTCAATTCAACTCACAAATGCCAACAACAAGCTTTGGCAACAATAACTCGAACTTTGAAGGTTTCAATTCACAGCAATTGCAGTCTCAACCAACAGGAATGGGATTTGGGAACTCACCTTTACAAACTCAACAAACAGGTAGAAGAGCTAATTTAGCTGCCGCAACTCCAGATAATCCATTTGGGTTTTGAAAGTAGTATAGAGAGAAAACTCAGATAAATGAAATTTACTTATACAAACGCAAAAAATGTACATTATTACAGGTTTAAATTTTAATCTGTTTCTAATTGTTTTAAAAATTCTACAATCTCTGAAAATTGCACACCACTTAAATTCTCTAGCAAATTATGTTTAAGACTACCAAACAATTCATCTACATCTTCAGTGGATTTATTAACAATCATAAACTTTCGAAGTGTTTCATCTATGATATCCATTAGAAAGTCACAGAATTTAACAACAACAAATTGATCAATTGCATTTATTCTTTTAAATGAACTTTTAAAAGATGAAAGAACAAGCTCGAGTAAATTACCAACATTTTGAAAAACCGAACTTTTGGAATCAAGCTCCCTTTTTATAATGTAGTTATGCAACCTTACACGATATGTATTTTTCAAAAAAGTTAATAAAGTCTTAAAAGTTCTATAATTTGTTGTTGGCAAAACTCCCAAATCTTTATAGTCCTTAATAAAGTTTAAAGTCTCAAGCTCAATTTCCAATCCGACAAATTGAAAAGTTTTTGGTATTGATACATCCTCATCGTCTTGATCAATGAATTGAGATTTTTCTTGGTTTACATAAGCTCCATACTTTTCAAGTTGATCTCCATTTACGACATTCAATACCTTTGCATACAAATCTTTACTTGGAGTTAAAAACAAAAAGTCATCAACCATCCTCGTAAACAAAAATGGCTCCGTTGACTCATTTTGCCATAAAAATTTAAAATTTTCAGCAACCATGGAGCTATATAAAATATCACAAAAAATACTGGATAATGAAAATCCTTGGAAAATGCCTTGCTTTCTCCTATAAAATTTCAATTCTGAAGAAGTTTTATCCACCGTAAAACCCTTTGCACCAAATATTTGTTGAATACATTCCTCAAGCACTTTACTCCTAGTAAACACCATTGTTTTACCTTTGTCAGACCAAGCCCCTTTCTGTAACTCATCAAAGTTTGGTGATAGCATATTGAGCTTATGAATATCATCATCCACTTTGTATTTGATCTTGTTAATTCTTAGTAAAGAATCACATCTGTAATACTGAGTGTAGTAATATTTCTGTTCAAATGAGTCATTTTTGAATAAACCAATTACTTTTTCAATTAATTTTTTTTGGTCCATTCTGTCATAGCATTCTTTCATATCAAATTTAATCATATGTAATTTTGGGATTTTACCAGAATATTGTTCTAATAAATTAGATTTAAACTCTATAATTCGATTAGCTACGTACTTAGTTGATGATGCTGTAGTTGAATAACGTATGTCATTTTGAATTTTTTGGTTTAATTTGTGAATCAATATCAATCTAACTGGTCTCAAGGTGTTAGCTCTATAGACATTGTACTCAATTTTTTGCCTTTCTTGTTCTGCTTCATTTAGCTGAGCCGTCAACACATTTGCGCTTCTTTTGATCGGAACACAAATTAATCTAAAAGAGTTCTTCTTAGGTACAAGCTTGAGTCTACCATAATTGTATTTTTCATCTCCGAGTAAATTTGTCCTGATAAAATTATCTTCTGCATATTTCTCGAGCCACAACGTCAGGATTTTGTACCACGTATGACGTGGAAAGAAAAGAATTTCCCCAGATGTAGTTTCAGTTGTATACCAAAAAGCTTTCACAATTTTTTTTAATAAGGTTCCAAATATCCATGTAATATATTTTTTTAACAATACCGATCTAATTTCAAAATCCTGTTTGGACGAGCCTTTCAATCCTCCTAACCATACAAAATCCTTTAAATGAAGATTTTTCGTGATCTCGTGGACATTTAAAGTTCCATTCGGATCCAAATTCATGTATTCTACTACCTTATGACGTATAATTTTCTTGTTTATCTCACCTCCCCAAGCATCCAAAGGGAGAAGCTTACCAAGTACCAAAAAAATAATCAGAAAAATTTCTTCTGAAGAACTAGCATTGTTGGATATATTTTCATAGTCAATCTCTTTCTGCTTAACAAGAGCGTCCTTATATAACATATTGTAACGACATTTTTCATCATTCCTTAATATCAGTTTCAAGATATTTTTGATCTTGTTAAACCTTTTGGCTTTAATAGGTGAATCGAAAATTTCCTTACACAACTCCAATTCATTCGTCCTAAGGAGCTGATAATTCCAAAAAACCTGGGTCTTATTTAAATTTTGTAGTAATGACCTTTTAGTAATGTAATTTTTATTAATTTCAATAGTTCGATGTACGTAGCTGACATTATCTCCGAAGAATTGAACCTGAGCTTTACCTTTTTGTTTAAATCCCTGATTATTGATCAACAAATCGGCAAAATTATTTGACCCAAGAAGTTCAAATATTCTTTTCCAGTTTTCTGACTCCAATTCCGATACCATGTAGAATGATGATTTAGTGAAATTTGACTTCAATTTATAGTTAAGATAATTGTCTAGTTTCAAGGGAGGTAGTTTTGATATCAATACATTTTGAGATTGGTCTTTTAATAAATTCACAATTAGCAATCTTAAAAATCTTTTGTAATCAGCATCTCTGTATTTTAATTTTGGTGAAAGCCGATGCTTTTGGTACTCTTTTAATGGAACAACCACTATAGCTTCGACAAATTCTTGGAAAGAAGGTAATTCATTTGCAATGTCAATGTCATGATATTTTGTGAGAAAATTCCCTAAATTAATTCCCTTCCTTATATCAAAAGCCATTTTATAGAAGTAATTTGTTTCTGGATATTATCATCGGTAGTTGATTACAAAGTGATGGACATCATTTGATAATGAATTGATATTTTGACGCGTATTCAATTTAGACCAATTTAGGATTTGCAAGCCGCAGACGTTGAGGAAAATTTTGAGACTTCACTTCTTACATTGAACTAGAAGTTGAAAATCATATTTAGAACCAATTTCGAACATATCGAATGCTGATATTTCTACTGAAAGACGTATGACCCAAGCGAAAGATGATATTAAGACACATGATGTTGATTTAAAAATTGGAATCATAGGTGGGGTATTAAAGCAAATCAGAAGACTGAATGATACTGATCCAGATGTTCCAGAGTTAATGAAAGTATGGAGCTGCGATATTAAACCCAAACAAACTAAAGATTTATTAGCGATATTGAGAGAGTTCAATGAGGAAGAGCAGGAACTCAAACATTTAAAACGATTTACAAAAATTAATGATGATACGATCAGAGGTATCATATGCTTACAAAATCGGAATGACCAAAATGAAACAATTCTAAAGCATGTTAGAGACTTAAAACCTGAACGTATCGAAATCATTGAAGTTCCAAAGTATCCGGCTTTTTCTAAAGAAGCTTCCCTCAGATGGTCGTCAATTTGGCCAATGTTATGGAAAGGAAATCCGAACCATCAATTTTTAAATGAAGTCAAGTATGACATGAGTCAAGAGAAAAAAATGCTTTCTGAGTTGTTGAAGCAATTGGTGAACAATGAGTCTAGGCAAGTACTGGCCACAATCATGGCAAGATCAATCAATAATGAGCTTGTAATTCAAGCTTCAGCTACATCAGGATTGCACTCTAGTCCTCTGGAACATAGTATTATGAAAGTTATCGAATCAATAGCAGAGAGTGAGATTTCAAGTAGACGTGCAAAAGTTCAATCAAAAGCACAGAATGGTTATTTGTGTACAGGTATGATAGTATACACAACTCATGAACCTTGTGTCATGTGTAGTATGGCTTTGATTCATTCTAGAATTGAAAGACTAACATACTTAAAGCCCATTAAGAAAAGTGGAGGGATAGAGTCTTCTTATTACCTTGGTGATATGGATGGTTTGAATTGGAAATTTCCGATATGGAGATGGCTAGGAGAGAGTGAGTTGAAGGTTTTAGATGAAATTGACGACAATATTGAAAGTATAGACTACTGATGAATAGATACATTAAGTTATTTGATCTATCGTGAACAGATGTGTTCTTCATCTCTCAAATGTAAGCCTTAAAACGCGCGATTACCGATTTTAAAATAGTGTGCGAATTATGTGTTGATAAAAAAAATAAACATCAAGTCTTTGCACAACTAACATTACACATAAATCAATAACAATACAACAGCTAAGAAACAAATAGTAACCAAATGGTGTTGAACGAGTTATCTCAGTTTCAAATTCAAGGTCTTGCGTCAAGTTTCTCAAAGAGATTAGCTAGTGAAACTAATTCATTGTTAATAGGATCAGTACCGACAGGTAGACAAGCAAAAAGACATGCACAACAAATCAATTATTCTGAGGAAGTATTAGATGATTTTGATTTTGAAAATACTCCTGGCGACCAGTTTTCAACAAGTGGAGCTTTCGCTTCGAATGGAACAAATTATAACGGATTTAATAGTCAAAGAAGTCTAATGGAATCAAAAACGCAAGTTGATGCTCAAAAATACGGACCCGCCAGAAATACACCGAAATTTAAAGAATTGGACGATGAGTCTAATATCAAAAACTTAATAGGAAAGCCTGAAATCCTTATACCTATAAAATTGAACTTGGAAACTTCCAATGGAAATCACAAATTGAATGATATATTTATGTGGAGTTTGAATGATTCGTTGATAACACCTATTCAATTTTCTGAAATTTTATGCAATGACTTGGAATTACCAAACTCAATGATATCAACCATAGCTGATTCTATACAACAACAGATTGATGAATACTCCTATGCATCAACTTTAACAATCCCACATAACAATCCTGTCAATATAATAATTGATTTATCGGTTAATCTAAATAAGCAGTTGTATCAAGACAGAATCGAATGGGACCTAAATCAAAATTTAGTTACACCGGAGCAATTTGCAGAAATAGTTTGCGCAGACTTAGGTTTATCTTTAGAGTTTAATCTTGCAATATCTCATGCTCTACACGAAATAATAATTAGAGTTAAAAAAGAAATCATAGAAGGATCATTTAATAATGAAATACACAATTTACATTTAGTAAAAGGTGTCATATTTGAAAATGGGTTGAGGATATTTACAGAAAATAGTATTAATAACGGAAACGATCATTGGGAACCTTCCGTAGAAGTCTTGAGCTCAAGTGAAATTGAAAAGAGAGAAAATGAAAGAATTAGAAACTTGAGAAGATTGAAAAGAGAGAATATGAGAAGAGATTACGACGATACTAAAAGAAGAAATGTAGGTAGAAGAAGAAAACATGATGAGGATGAATGGAGATTGTAATTAGTAGTATATGTATGGATATAGCCGTAATAATGAATAACTTTGACGATGCAATATGAAGATTGAATTTAGAGTCAAATCTAAAACTTTGTTTCTGTGGCTCGTTGTCAGGTAAAAAAAAATATAAAAGGTTAGATCTGATACGAATGATAAATAAAACTTGGAACCAACAAACGATTCATGTACAGTCGAGCATGGGTACCGTTAATAATCATCACCATATACTTGAATGTCACAATAGCTCATAATGAAACGTCTTTAGCTTCAAATTCAAATTTAACTCCAGCCATTTCACCACTTCAAGAATTCAATTCGGTTTTCTCACCACTATCTGGATCAATCGTGAATACCACTTCGTTAAATGAACTGAGCAGTGAAGAGAACCTACATTTGAAACTACCTCAAAGTAACATTAATCAACTAAGTCAACAATTACTTGCGAATTCGTCACTGCAAAACGAATCTCAATCTGATGAATGTCGTTTTATGTCTTTTGAAGAATGGAAAAAACAAAAGATCATTGATACAAAAAACAACTCTACTACCATATCTACGACCACTACATTCACAAGATCTTCAAATACCAATTCGTATGACAAACGTGAAAGCGAACTAAACGAGTCCAAGTTTAATGAAAACATCGACCCAAGTTTACTACCGAAGACAGCTTTGCTAACAAATATAACACAGATTGAAGGTGAAGGGAAAACTTATAAAGACAAATTCAACTTTGCGTCAGTTGATTGTGCAGCAACCATTGTTAAAACAAATTCTCAAGCAAAAGGTGCATCTGCAATTTTGAAAGAAAACAAAGATTCGTATTTATTAAATGAGTGTTCTGTAGCAGATAAATTCGTTATTATAGAACTTTGTCAAGATATTTTAGTGGGTTCGGTTGTTTTAGGAAATTATGAATTTTTTTCATCAATGTTCAAGGATATACGAGTGAGTGTTAGTGATAGATATCCAGCTCATAGTTGGAGAGAATTGGGAACATTCACGGCTAAAAATATAAGGGATGTTCAATTATTTCAAATCGAGAATCCTTTGATTTGGGCCAGATATTTGAAAATAGATATATTAAGTCATTATGGTAATGAATTTTATTGCCCTATATCTATTGTGAGAGTTCACGGTAAAACAATGATTGACGAATTTAAAGAAGACGAAGAAAAATTGAAACAACTGCAAGAGTCAAAAAGCATTGAGGAGCAGTATCTGCAGAATTTGGAGTCAGAGTTAGACGAAACATTACTTCTTAATGATCACATTAATGAATGTAGAGTCAGATTACCGCATTTAGCGTTAGATGAATTTTTGAAAGACTTGAACTCATCTCAATTATGTTTTCCTTCTGACAATAACACCAATCAATCTCAAGCATCATATACCTCATTATCATCAACAACTCCGTCAACTATCACAACTCAAGAGTCGATATACAAAAACATCATAAAAAGGTTAACTTTACTTGAAGCTAACGCAACTTTATCCTTACTTTATATTGAAGAGCAACTGAAATTATTAAGTGATGCTTTCACAAAATTAGAGAAACGACAATCCATAAATTATAATAACTTGCTTGCTTCAGTGAATTCTACGTTAGTGAATCAATTGTTTAATTTCAAGGATTCGTACAATCAGTTGAATGAACAATATAATAACCTTTTGAAGTCGCAAGAAAAAAATCATAAATTGTACCTCACCGAATCAGCAAAAAAACTTCGTTCACTTGATAACGAAGTTGTGAATCAGAAACGATTGACTATATTCAATACTATAATAATTTTGTTCCTACTCGTGTATGTTATACTTACTAGGGATATAAATCTCGACTTGCAAGAGATCAACAACAAAATTTCGAATAAAACTAGCAAAATCAACAAAACTAGCATGAAATCTGATCAGAAATCCCATTCAAAACATGACGTGCCTCCGATTAGTAATATACTAACGGAAGAAGTTATTGTTCCCTATAATCCAAAATTGCATCCTAAGCATAAAAGATCGATATAAAATTAGAAAAAATTTACAGCTTTTCTTAAGTAAAACTTCTATCAATCTTAATACTTACTTAAATATATATACAAGTTATTAAAAATTAACCCTATAGAATAATAAAAATTATGTTCTAATATGTACAAGATCCTTCAAGAACTAAAAATTTGTTTTGTAAAATTACCAACGCTTTTGTCTTCTACCACTATCCTTTCTATCATTCGATTTGTATTGATTATCCCTTCTATCATTGTTGAATGAATTTCTTTTGTATGATCTATTTCCACCTCCAATACTTCTTCCACCATATCTATCGTCACTTTCATCATCACGAGATCTTAAGTTGAATCTACCTGCTCTTTTATGACTTGTTCGATCTACTTCTTCTCTAAATTCGTCTAATTCTGCATCTGATTTGTGTTCAAAATAATCTCTAACCAAGCTTCTATCTAAATGACGTTTCGATTTACTAATTGACTGAATATTCAATTTTGCGTAATCATCTTTGATTAAAGTTCTGTATAATAAAACGTTATCTTCAATCAAATCATTACCATCTAATCTGTAAACACTCTTAATTTGCAAAATATATCCCATAAACGTGAAAAAAAACTCATTAGTCAGTTGTAAATTTGGATTGATATTTGCCATAATCTCATCCATATTAATATCTTTAGTTGATTCATCATCACCGCTTTTCAATGTTTCCTTAAATTTAACACCTCTTTCTCTTTTCAATTTTTGGACATATGGTAATTCTGTTTCAGTTGTAAACAAAACTGCTTTACCTAATTCACCATTTCTACCTGTTCTACCTACTTTATGAACATAATCAGCAACTTCCGAAGAAGGATATAATTGAAGAACATGAGTTACACCTTTAACATCAATACCTCTTGCTGCAACATCAGTAGTTATTAATAACCCTTTTCTACAATCTTTAAAATTTTTTAATGCTTGTTTACGTTGATATGCTGTTCTACCACCATGTATTTGATATATTCCAAAATCTAAATAATGATCCATTAACGCGGTAGAATTAGCAGCTTCATCTAAATATTCATAAAACCATTCAACTGCAGTTTGGGTTGGTAAAAATAAAATGATTTTTGGACTTTTTTCATTTTTTATAACACTGATAACATATTTAAAGAATGATTGAAATTTATCAATACCATCTTTACATTTATATAATATTTGTGTGACATTTTCATGAACTTCAGGTTCATTTTTGGGGACTGTATTGATGTAGTCGTATTTTCTATTGATATGTTGTTGGGCGAATCTTGTGATTGAATCATCAACGGTTGCGCTGAATAATAAAGATTTCATTGGTAAGGCATCTTCTTCTCTAATCCTTTTTAAAATTCTATCAATACTGTTTAATTGTGGTTCAAACCCAACGTCCAATAATCTATCAGCTTCATCATATACCCTATAAGATACATTTTTAAACCATTGAGAAAATCTTTTATCTTTTAAATCTGCCTCCAATCTACCTGGTGTAGTGATTACAATTTCACTTGGTGATCTAGGATTAAAAGTAGTCTTTTGTCCACCAATAATTAATGATACTCTAGGTTGTAATTTCTTTGGAATTTTACGACAAACTTTCCCATATTCATCTCTTATTTGTAAAGCTAAATCTCTTGTAGGTGCAACAATTACAGAATCAACTCCTTTAAAATTTGGATTTTTACTTATTCTTCTAACTGCACTTTCAACTGTTGGAATTAAAAAAGTTAATGTTTTTCCAGTACCTGTTTTGGCTCTACATACTACTCCTTTTTCAGATTGAATGATTGGTATTAATGCTTGTTGTTGAATTGGAGTTAAATTTTCAAATTCTGCTTTTTCTAAAGCTTCTATAATAGTAGGATGAATAAATTTTTTATTTTTGAAATCTGAAAATTTCACAGGTACAAATGGTTCATCTGATGAACTTTGAGTAGAAGATTTTTCCTTCGGTATTGCTTGTAACTGAGTTGGTTCTTTGTTGATGGGTTGTATGGTTTCTTTATTAGCATTTATAAATGTAGTTGCATCAGAATCTGGTTTTACAGTTGATGTATTCAAGCATATTTTTGAATAATGAAAACTCCTTATTGAAAGTCTACTTGTATTTGACTTCAACAAGTAAGATCGCCTTATTAGACTCCTAATTTGACTTGAAATCATGGTGATATATTGTCTTAATTGTTAATTGTGATGAAAACTTGAAAACCTATGTGAAAAATTATAATAATTGTGAGACATAAAGAAGAGATGCAATAGTTAAAATTGTCTTGTTTTAAGTGTTGTCATAAAATATTAACACTTGACATTTAATTTAAAAGATATTGATTCCTAAATAGGTAAGTTAATTCAAATTATCAATCAAATCATCAACTTATTCAAACAAAGACTCACAAACAGTGAAGGACTTTTTTACAATTAATTTTCATTTACATTCTACAAAATGCAACACAGTAATACCGGTGGAGGTTTTTTTTCAAAAATAAAAGAAAATTATAGTACTAAATTAGCTAATTTATCGTTATCAAATTATTCAGAAAAAGATGGTTCATCAGAAGATGATACTTTAATACATAATGCATTTGTAAAATATTATGAATCAAAAGGTTTACCTTATCCAGAATGGTTAGGAGTTAAAATAATAGATCATCAACAACAACCAAATTATGGAAGTCGATCTTCATCTTATAATAATAATAGTAGTAACAATGGTCAATCTCATGCATATAGAAATCATAGTTCAAATAATATTTCACAATTTCATCCGGTTAGACAAGATAATGTGTTTAATAATAGTTACTCTCAGAGAACTTATAATCAACAACAGCAACAACAACAACAACCAACAGTCGGATCAAGTCTGCAACAACATCCTACTTATCAAAGAAGTTCAAGTAAATTACAAGATATGTATAATAAATCAAGACAACAATCACAAACAAGTAGCAACTATGGAGGAAGATATAGTCGATAAACTTACACACCTCCGATACAGTTTCACTTGAAAATCAATCGCAACATACACCGTGAGATCAACAACTGCAAAGTGTAGAGAGGAACAAAGAAAGTATCAAAAGATTTAAGAGAAAGTTTTATTCATGAATCATGTATTATTCAATTCAAGTATTAAATCAAAATTATTAATCATCTTGATTTAAAATTCTATAATTATATTCCCACATATCCCTATTTTTAATAAACCATTCAGGTAATCTATATTCAGGTGGTAATTTTAATTTAATAGTATTAATATCTTCAAATTTAATAGGATATTTATTTAAATTTTTATAATATTTATAATCTTTTGGTTTTGTAACATTAGTAGTGGTTTCTTCATTAGGACTTATATTATTTGATGAACTTCTTCTTGAACAATAGGAATTTTTCTTTTTTAAAATTGGTGAAGTACTTTCTAAAGATGATAATTTTGGAAAATTTTTTGACAGTGATGATTCTGAACTTATACTTGAATTTCTAAATTTTAAATTTGTTTTTATTATATCTCCTGATGATTTTCTTCTATCCATTCCTCTAACTAAATTTAAATAAGAATCTGGAGTATTTAAACTATTATTTCTACTATTTGGTCCACTATTACTTCGACTATTGCTGTTTTGTATTATTAGTTTCGGTGAACTACCTAAATTTTTTGAATTAGAATCTATTGAATTATTTCTTGAATTTGGATTTGATATATCTTGTGATTGTAATTGTTGTTGTTGTTGTTTATCTTGTTTTCTTTGTTCAACAAATTTTAATAAATTTGCTGGAATTTGTGGTGATGCAGATAATAAATCATCATCTAAATCATCATCTAAATCATCCATATCATCTAAACTATCATAATCATCATCTATTGCTTCATCTATATCATCTTCAAATCCTTCATCTTCATCTATTTCTGTGTCACCACCAGTATTCGAATCTTCTATTACTTGTCCCCGTAGTTTTTCATCAATTTCATTTAAATTTAATTTATTATCTTGATTTGAATCTTTGGAGTCATCAAAATTAGGACTTTTCATTAATTGTTGTAATTGTGAAGGCCCAGATATATTTCTACCTGGATTATTTAAGTTTTTAATTGAATTTCTTCTACTTCCAAAAGGACTTTTTGATTTCCGAGATTCATTAGGAATTAATTCAATTGAAATTAATTCTAAAAAAGTTTCAGCAAAATAATTATTTTTATTACTATTACCATTAAAAATTCTATATTCATTTAATATCAGATTAAAATTCCATTTTTGAATTTTTCTTAATATTCCAACAATTGTTGAAGTTGAATCAATTAATAAAATTGGATGTTTTTTATTATTAAAAATTAATTCAAATGTTTTTATTATTATATTTTTTTCAATTAACATCCATTGATCTCCTCCATTATTTTTATTCTCTTTACTTTTTAAACTTATAGATTTAGTGGTGATTATTGAATCTTTATTAGTTAAAGTTGAAGAAGAAGTTGTTGAACTTTTAGAACTTTGAGATATTGTATCATCATTCTTATTTCTAGAATCATTATCAAATTCATCTAAATCTATTTTAGAATTTAATCCAGTATGTTGATGATTTGAAATTTTTAAATCTCCTAAATTATATAATTCTATCTTGTTTGTTTGTAAGAAATTTTGTAACATTCTTGGAGGTTTTTCAGCATCTAATGATATAATTGATTTTAGTAAGAGTGTTTCAAGGAATTGAAAATTTTCAATTTCTAATTTTGAACATCTGTATATACCAGGTTCAACTATTCCAAAATTTTCAGGTGAAACTAACATCTTTAGGGTGAAGTTGTTTTATTTGATTCTTTGATGTTTGATAATTCAATCTGAAACAAAATAGTTGATTCATGATCGTTTTCATACATTACACAAAATTATAAATAGACTCACATACAAATTGCAAAAACTCATTCAAAAGTTTCTTTATTAAAATCTATAAAGTATAAAAGTGTAAAAAGATCAACCTCTAATGATTGTATCATTTGGAATACCTTCATATTCATTATAACCAGAAGTTAAATTAATATTTTGTAAACATTGAGTAGCAGCACCTTTTAATAAATTATCAATTGTTGAAATAATAACAACTCTATCTTCTTGAGAATTAACTGCAAATCCTCCAATAACAATACCATGTTTACCACTTATATCTTTAACTAATGGAGCTTCTCCACTTATTGTAATTAATTGTTCACCTTGATATCTATCTTGATAAATATTTCTAATTTCTCTTGATGTTAAAGAATTTTTTTTTATAGGAATATTTATTGTATGAGATATTCCTTGAAACCATTGAGCAACATGAGGAGTAAAATTAACTTGTTGATTTAATTGATTTGAAATTTCTTTTTCATGAATATGATCAGTTAATGAATATGGTATTAAATTATTTGATAAATTTTCAACATCATTTTTGGGAGAAGGTTTTGTACCTGCTCCTGAATATCCTGAAACTCCAAATATACTTGGTTTATCATCAATATAATCCAAGATTGGAGCTATTGCAACTTGTGCTGCAGTTGCATAACATCCTGGATTTGAAATTTTTCTAGCTTCAACAATTGTTTGACGATCATTTAATTCTGGTAATCCATATACCCAATCACCAGTAGTATCAAATCTATAATCAGCAGATAAATCTATAATTTTGGATTTTGGATTATTAATTGAATCAATAACATCAACAAATGGTTTACAAACACCATTTGGTAATGCCATTACCCAAATATCAACCTCTCCATTTTCTTCTAATTTTTTAATATCTTCAGGTTGTAAATTCGAATAAATAATATTATCCTTGTTATAACCTTTTAATTTTTGACCTTCTAATTCTCTTGATGATACATGAGATATTTCAAGATATGGATGATTATCTATTAATTTAATTAAATTTTGACCGGTATAACCTCTTGCTCCGATTAATGCAACTTTTTTTTTCTCTTTATTTGTTCCTTGTCTAATTGGTGGATTTGGATTAGTTGTTGAAGTAGCCATAAATCTTTTAGTATGGAAACCTCTTTTTTGTTGATTTGTTGAAAAAACACCAGATTCTTTTTCTGATGATAATGATGAACCAATAATTGAAGAATTATCAAAATCTTTTATTAATTCACTAACTTCAGGAGTTTTTAAACCATACCAAAATAAAATTTGACCATTTTTGGAAAATGAACCATCAGATTTTGAAAAGTACCAAGATAAATTAGAATCATTTTCATCAACTATCCAACATAATTTATTAAAATCTTTTTTTATTGAATTAAAAATATTATCAGTAACATTATTTAACCAACCAGTTTTTGATGATAAAAATTTATCTAATTTTGGAACTTTATTACCTTCATCTAAAACAATTGCTAAAACTTCTAAAGGTTCATCACCATAACTTTTAAAATTAGTTGATTCTAAGAATTTTAAATATGATGCAACTGAAGATTTTCCAGATTTAATTTCTGGATCTCTTAATAAAGCAGCTCTTAATAAATCTGGATTACCAAATTCTTTTAAAGAATTTCTATTAATTAATTTATAACCTCTTCTAATTAATGTACCAGCACCAGAATCAGTGAATAATTCTTTTTGTAAATCATCAACATCAATTATTGCAACTGATGATGATCTTGGTAAATGTTGTAATAAATCATGAATTTCTTTAATTTTTAATTTTGTTCCATATTTGACCCAACTTTCTTTTAATAAATCTTCATATTCTTCATCTAAATTTATAATTGAAACTTTTTCTCCTGTATTACCATTTATTATACCACCTTTTTCATTTAAATAAACAATTTTTAATGGTTCAAATTCTCTTGCTAATTCACCAGCTGCAACATCAGCATTAACATTTAATAATTGACCACTTGAAGTTTCAGCTAAACTTGTTAAAATTGGTAAATAACCTGAACTTATAGCAGCTTCAATTGGTGATTTATTAACACCTGTAATTTTACCAACTAAATCATATTTATCTTTATTCAAATATTCAGCTTGAAAAACACCGGCAGTTATTGGTCTTGAATGAACACCAATTTTTTCTAAAGCAGTAACTAATCTTAAATTTTGTTCTAAAAAACATTTTCTAACAACTTCCATGGTTTTGGGATTTGTTATTCTAATACCATCAATATATTCTGGTTCAACTCCTTCATTTTCTAATAATTCATTAATTTGTGGTCCTGTACCATGTAAAACAATTGGATATAAACCAACATGATATAAAAATGCTAAACATGAAGCTAATTCATTTAATTGTTGAGTTATAATAGCACCACCAACTTTTATAACTGCAAATTGTTGAGAACTTACAGAAGTAAAAAATTTTAAATATTGTTCAACTTCTCTTTTTGAACCAATATTATTTAATAATTGAATAACTGTTGATTTTGTTGAATAATTTGAAATTTGATTTATTATTGGTTTGTAGGATGAAGTTTTTAATTGAGATTTTTTGTTTATCGAAGTAGCTATATTGGTTGATGATGATGATAATGATTTAACAAATGATTTACCAACTACTTTTGAAGTAGTAGTAGTTGCTGATTTGTTCAAACAAGTTACTTGTCTTAACATTGCTATCTTAATGAACTAAAATTCAATAATAAGATTGAAGAATCTAAAGATGAAGTGAATAGGTTATTGTATGGTTAATACTAAAAGTTTTTAATTGTCTTTTTCAATGGGTATATTAAATTTATATATAAAATGAAAAATTTTTTTAGATATTAAGTAATTATCACTGAGTTTATTATAGTTCCACAATATTAAACCAAAGTACTAAATGAGTAATTGAAAAAAATTAACCGCCCTTTAGAAATTACACAAAAAAAAGTACTTTTATCATTTGGTAGTGCAAAGATTTCACAATTGGTAGTTTAAACAAGTTACAATTAGTAGTGAGAATAAAATGCATTTGGTAGTGTGTCTAATATTCTGATTTTTACCAAGTTACACGAACCAAACCAAAACAAAAACAAATAGAATATGAGTAATATAGGAGTAACAGAGATATATTAATACATATCTTTCATTAATTTAATTACTTCATTACGATGTTTCATTATATCAGTTACTTTGTGAAAGGATATTTTAACACTTCCTACCATAACCTACAGAGAGTACCGTAAAGAAATTTTAATGTCAGAAGTTCATAGTCTTAATTCATCCAAAAAGGTTCTTGGTATAGAAAGTTTATTGATACAATCAGAAGAAATCAGAGATGAAATTATTCAATATTTAGATCTGAAAACTTTATTGAGTCTACTTGACGATTTAATTGATTTAGAACAAAAAAATGAAGAACAAGATTCTTCATATTCAATACTTAAAATAAAATTGTTTGAACAATTATATCCAAAATTTAGTTTTTACAATGATCACGTAGAGAAACTCATTCAACTTTATGATAAATTCAATTGTTTACCTTCAAAAATTGAGACTAATGTACTTGGTTTTAAAAACATCATAAATCTTGGATTCAATCCGAAAAATCAAGTTTCGTATCATGTTGAAATTTATAATTGTAGAGATGAATTTAACGAACTCAAAAAATTACCTTATCAACTTTTAAACTTAGAAGGTGTTGTAATTTCAGATGGCTTGATACCTTCGGAGCATGATCAAGAGAACAAGAACTATTTCTTTGCTCGGGATCCATTTTTAAGAAACATGAAACACATTTCGTTCAATCACTCCGGTCGTCCATACGAGGAAGATCAAGATGAGGATAATGAAGATCAAAACAATGAAAATCAGTCTAATAAAGTAATCATTATTAGACCAACTCCATCACTTGAATCTTTATATTATGGAGAATTTTCACCTGAACCTTTAAATTTTAATGAATTTTCTTTTGATGATAACGAAATTGATCTGACATTATTTTTCAGTTTAAAACATGTAATTGATTTGACATTTTCAAGTTTGAAACATGTATCACTAGATCTTAGTTTTTTAGATGATGGTGATTATTGTTATGGTCTTTTGAATCCTTTGGCTTCATTTCGATTACCTGAACAAATTGAATCATTAACTTTAAAGAGCGCTGCGATACAAGATTTAGAAGGAATCGAAAAATTTCAAAAACTAAAGCATCTACATCTTGAATATAATATTTGCTTTTTTAAATGTTTTAAAACTAATTATCCTGATTCTTTAGAATCTATAACTATAAATTCATCTTGCGATGATTCATCCTCTCGTTTTTACGAGGAATATTTTGAAAAATTTTATAGAGAAGTAAGTGAAGGAGAAATTATAGAATTTGAAAAATCAGAATTTGTTAAAGATAGACGTGGAATCATATTTGGGAAAGATTTTAAAGCTCCTAAAAGTTTAAAAAAAATTCAAATAAAGGGATATTATGGATTTAATTGTGGATTTAATTTTACTAATGGTTTATCCCAATTAACTGAATTAAATTTACATGGAATATTTGATCTTGATTTAGTCAAAACACTTAAAAATTTATCCAATACTTTAAAAATTTTAATAATTGAAAAATGTGACATAACAAATGAATCTAGAGATCGAAAATATCCCATTTATTTGAATTTTCCATTAAAATTAAAAAAAATTGAATTTATTGATAATAAATTTGGAAGTGCTTTATATTTTGAAAATATTCTTTATTTAGAAGATTTAATAAGTTTAAAAATTAAAGGTAATAGACTTACTATTCCGTGGGGTTACAAATCTAATCAATGGAAAATTTTAATTGGTGAAAATTATGAAAATTGGAACAAAGATGAATTTTTCAAATATGCTTCAAAACAATTATACGAATTTGAAGTTGATGAGGATCATTACACAAAGTTGTATAAAAATTGTTCTAAATAATTTTCCTTTTCATCTCAAAACAACGATATTTTTTTGAATCAAAACTTTCATAAGTATACATGAGTTTATTTATTACTTGTACTTTACTGATGCTTATCATGACTCTATTAGATAAAATTAATAAATATTTTACTTAAACTCCATATCTTAAGTCTAAACATTCAATTATTAGTTTCTACATTTATTAAATTAAAATAAAAGTCTTTGATTATATATTTATCCCATTAAATAAACACATATTTCTATATCAAAATATTTAAATCTTCTCCAATCCAGTTGAAGATAGGTCTATAAATATTATATAAAAATTTATTAAATTTGAAAATTTCAGTAGATAATTCAATAATTTCTTTTGTAAAAAATTGAAATTGAAGTTTAAATTGGAATTCTGTAGAATTAAAAGATTTGAATTGAAATTGTTCATGTTGTGAAAAACTGTTTATTTTTTCTTTCATTTGATTTGACCATTTCAATAATAATAATTTGGAGATTTTATCATTATTGTATTTGTAATAATTGAAGAAATTTATATATTCCTGTTTTCCGATTGATGATGATGATACAAGTGAATTTAAATCACATTCATTCTCATCAATCTCATATTCGTTGTACAATTTATGTAATTTAAAAATATATGATTGTGAAATATTTGAATTTATTTGAAAATAAGTTTGATACATTATACCAAAACAATTTAAATCAATTAATTTAATTAAATTTTGATTGTATTTGACAAAATTGTCTTTAAAATTAGATATAATTTCATCCTCATCATTTTCATGATTCAAAAAATTTATATTACTAATTTGATCAATGAAAATAGTATTGAAAAACTTAAAAACATTAAAAATATAATCATCTTCTTTACCACATAATATATCACTTAAATTATTTTTAAATGATGATTGCAAAATTCCATTTAAACTAGTCTCATTCTCATTGTTACATAAAATTGGTAAATCATATCTTCCCCTCAAATAAATTTTATAAAATTTAGGAAATAATAATTGAGGATTAAAAGTATATATTGAAAATTTTAAATTTTGAAAATTAGTTGAATTTAAAATAATTTTTAAATTTTCAAATCTTTTAAAATTTGTGAATTCATCATCATTACCATTCTCATTATTATTATTGAATCTACAATTCTTTAAATATTGTATTAAAATTTCATATTTTAATTGTACAATTAAATCAAATTCAATTTCTTCATTTGGTAATAAATTTTTAAAATTTAAAATATGTTGAAATTTATTTAATTGATCATAATGCATAAATAATAATTTAATTTTATTTAAATATTCAAAATCATGATTTGTTGTAGTAGTAGAACTACTAGATGATCCATAATCATAATATGTACCTCTTAATCCAACATTTTCAAATTCTTCATCAATTGATCCATTAAAATTTTTATAATTTTTCCCACTTGAAAAATGAATATAATAATCAAATAAAATTCCATAAATTTCTTTTAATGATATTGAATTTATATCAATTATTGAATCAATTAATTCAAAATAATTAAAATTTGATCCCGCCGTGTCTTCGCTCTTGTTTAATTCATTGTTGAAATAATAGTTATTGATCTCACCTAAGTATCCACTTTTTAATTTTGAAGGATAAGATTTTTTTTGATAATTCAATTCACCTGCGTTGTTAATGCTATTACAAAATTTTTTGAAATAATGTGATCTCCAATATGATCTCCATTTATCAATTGGTACAAAATCAGGAATATGAAATTTCCAATTTTTAAAACAAATTAAACTTGGTTTGTTTTGTATAAATTCTCTAGTAGTAGCAACTCCATTTAAGGAATTTTGATTTTGATAATTTGCAAACAAAACATTGATCTTCTGTGATAGTATTGAATTAAAATTTTTAACATTATCAGAAGAATTAAAAATTTGTAAATTTTTTAAATCATATTTATTTAATAATTTTAATTCCATCTCTAATTTCCCCTTCTGCTCGATAATTTCATTATCATAGTTATCATAACTACCAAAGGAATTGTTGACATTATGATTATCTAAGATAATTAATTGTTGATCAACTATAGATATTGAACTGAATAAGATTTTTTTGATATTTATATAATGATTCCATTTGAAAATTTTAAAAATAAATTTATAATCTTCCCAATACCTGGAAAACTTACTTGAAACCTGCAAGGTGTTTGCATTTGTAGCATTATCAATTAATTGAGTAAATTCATGGATTAAAAATGAACTATATTTATATAACAAGACCCAAATAAAATTATTAAAAAAATTTAATTCATCATTTCCATTTTTATCACGCTTATTTAAATTTGAATTAAAACCAGGTTGCTGAGGTCCATTAATCATACAATCATTAAAGTCAGAAATCATTATAAAACAATATAAAAATATTTTTATTTCAAATAAATCTTTAGTTATGTGGAGATATCTTAGTATATGACATATACTTTTTTTTATTGTTGATTCTGTATTTAAACATGTTAAAACTTGATTAAATGACATTTTATCAAACTTGTGTAAAAAATTCGAGTTTTTTAAAAATGTTATTGCATTTTTAAACAAGTATTGTTGTGACCTTCTTTGAAAATTTGATATATTGTTAAGTGTAGATTGTGAAAGATGATTAAATTTTACATGATAGCTTTGTTCTTGAGAAACTTGATGGTTCTGCAGTTTCGTATATTTGTAATCATTCAAGGATTTACTTTTCTGTTTCAAATTGTTCTCATTACTACCACTCTCTAGAAATCTTCCAGCTCTTGCTCTAACTAAATTTAAATAATTTTCTCTTCTATATTTTGCAAATTTTAAATTTTCATTTAATTTAAAAGTTTGAAATTGTAATTTCTTGTTGTTTTCAATTTTTAAATTTTTTATTGTTTTATTAATTTTTTGATTTTGATTATTTAATTTTAATTGAATATCTTTTAAATGATTTTTACGTAAAATTTCATTTTTTGATCGATCTTTTGGTGGTGATTTTATAATGGGAGTTAAATTTTTTAAAATGTCATTTGGTAATTGAAAATTTGAAAATGTTCCTTGATTTTGGTGATTTCTACTCTCTGAGTGTTCAATTGGAGGTGGAGTTTTTGGCATATTAATTTCAGGTAGAATGGAATCACTGTCTTGATCTACTTTGTCGTTCAATTGTATACTCGAAGATGATTTTTTGAGATTTGATGATGACGATGATGAATTATGCCGACATAATGAAGGAACTGAGATAGATATCGGTGAAACAGTTCTACTTAATTCCATACAATCTTGGGACAGATTCAGTTGATCATATTGTTGTAAATGATGATAATTTTGAGGAAAATGAGTATAATGATTATGATTAAGATTATGATTATTATTTAAATGACTTTGATGATGACTATGTATGTTCGTAGATTGCGAAGATTGAGAGGGTTGAGTTGATGGTTGAGGAGTAGTCGATTTTTGATGATCTTGATCTTGATCTTTTGTATCCATTTTTAATTTGTCCTGCTAAGGTTGTTTCTATCTATTCTTATCTTATCTTATCTTATCTTATCAGTTTGATTTAGTGTTCTGATGCAACCAAATTGAAAGTTTGTGATTCAGATGCAATTTCAAAGTGTTGCAAATGATGAAATTTATCCTCAAAGTAGAATTAATTGATCTGAAGCTAATTGTTTATTGAAAAATAAAAGATAATATACATTGGTATATTTCTAAATTCTAGAAAATATTTAAGTAAGTAGCAAGTTGTGGAAATTTATATCTTTAAAATTTTTGTGGAACATTTAATTTGCTATATCGAGGAAACTTTATTTTACGGGGTTATGGCTTTTTTCAATACAAAAGAAGATCAAAAGAAAATCATGACAGTGTTTTCCCCTTTAAACGGTAGTGTTCAACTTTATTGAGGTTAAAAAGATTTACATATAGAAGGTGTTTGATTGCCTGAAAGTTTCATTGTGTTTATCTGATCATTTGAATGAGATGGTTCTTTCAATCTATAAGTCTGATAGTAGAGTTTTCAACTCGAGTATAGGGGGAAAAACAAGAGAATTTGAGAAGTTTTATCAATTGAAACATAGATAAGTTGTCATAATGTTAGATTCGGTCATCACTTTTACATGTTTCACTTGAGCTTTCCTAGATTAAATCATAGATCAATTTTAATGCTATTACCACCTAAGATCTAAAAACAACCACATAAAAAGTGGCTGGTTTAAAATTCCCAAATAGGAAACTTAATTAGTTACATACTTCAGTACATAATATTTTATAACCGAGCTAAGATTTAATAAAGAGTGACAATTGTAAGAGATATTTACATTCTAATACAGATTGGAATAATACCCGGTTTTTAATTCTATTATATGAAACTCTAAGCTATTTATCTAATGCAATACGAAAAGAAACTGAAAATAAGAGCAATAGTATCCAGTGATTTCACAATTCCCAATTCTTCCTAATTTTTTCTTCTCCAAAATTTTAAAGAAGAACTTAATGAACTAGAATTTTGATTTGATGAAGAAGAATTTGATGATTCATTAATAATCTCTCTCTTGATAGTAGTATTAGTTCCATTGTTATTTATTCTTGAATCACTACCACTTTCAATTGATATAGGACTTGAATTATTTGATCTATTATTTACTTTATCAAATTGATTTATGTCAGCTATAAAATTTTTATTATTTGGAGAATTTGAATTTAATTTTGAATTATGATTATGATGATTATGATGTAAGAAATTATGATTATGATTATAATTCCCCGTTTGATGATTCTTTATTGATCTTGTTGAATTTTGTAAATGATTTATTGATTTGTTATTTGAATTTATTGAACTAGTTGAATCATAAGATGAACTTGAGATTGGAGGTGAATCCGATGCTGGGGCAATATTTCCATTCAACTTCAAATGTCCTAATAAATTCAGTAATGATGAAGAATTAGAAGATGATGCAAAGTGGTGATTTGTTGAAGTTTCAGGAGAATTTAGATCTATTATTGGAGTTGATGAACTAGTAGTTGGCGATGATATATTATTTGATGGAATTTCTTGAGGTTTGTTTATACGTTTCGATGATGATGAAAATCTACCTAAAATTGAAGAAGGTAATGAAAATGAATTTGATTCAATATCTGGTAAACCTTTTTGATGAGCAAATTGTTGTGGGGTTGATCTTTGATTTGGTGTTCTACTTCCTCTCTCTTGATTTGGTGATATTATAGGTGATACATTTAATGAAGAAGTATTTGAAGATGATTTTGTTTTTGTAGTCGTATCAATAATATTTGATTGTAAATTTTTATTTAAACATTGAGTTCTTAAATCTTTATGATCATTTCCATTGATACAATTATTAATTGAAGTTAAACCACATTCACATTTTTTTGAACTATTACCAGATTTAACTGAATTTAAATTCTGTTGTTGATTTTTTTTACAAAGATTTAAAAATTCAAAATATCCATTTTCTTTTAACATTCTAATGACTTCATTTTTAGCTTTTATTAAAATTAAAGGATTATGTAATTTTGTAATAGAACTTTCTTCAACAATTTCTTTGAATAATTTTTGTGATATATTTATTTGTTTGGGGGAATCATTTTTTATATATTCATTCATTAAAAAATCCCATTTTGTATTTAATTGATTTAAATCTTCATCATTAATGTATAGGATTTTACCTTCATCTTCTTCATTTTGTGGTGGTGATTTTCCATTCATTTCGATTCCAATATCATCCTCATAGTCATCATCGTCTTCATCATCATTTACAAATTTTTGTTTAAAATTATCCCATGGTTGATTTATATCTAGATCATCAATAGTTGAAACAAATGCATTTTGAGGATCATCTAAATCATCTAATTTTAAAGATTGTTGTTGACTTTGGTTTTTCTTAAACATCAGATCAAGTGAAGCCATTGATGAAGTTTTACCATGTCTTAATGATAAATTAGTAGCTGCTTTAGTTGAATTATTGTTTGTTATACTCCCATTATCAATTGGTGATGGACTATTATTTAACCTAATTTTAGATATATTATCAATATAAAAATGATTACTTGTGTTATTTATGAATGAATCTGTCTTGGAAGTTGGTGATAAATTTGATGGTATAGTAGATGATGATAAAATTTTTAAATTATAAGTATATTCATACCTATAAATATCAATTAAAAATTCTAAATTTTCTTGACAATGTTGTTTAATTAAAAATTCGTGAAATTGATTACATATATTTATTCTATTATCTTCATCTAATTTATCTATTGATAACAAGAAACAATCATTTACTAAATCATCTAATGATGGTATACTTGATGGTGGTGGAGTTTTACTATTTTTGGTGGAGTTGACTGGACTTGTTTTTGAATTTATTGATGATGAATGGAAAGAATTTGAAGTAGTTGAAGGAGGACCATCAAAAATATTATGATTATGATTATTAGGAGTATTTGTAGTATTTTGATGATGTCGTATTACACTTTCATCTAATGAATCAAAATTTATTAATTTTGTCGGTATTGGATTTGCAGTATATGATGATGAAGGTCTTGAAGGATTTGGTGAAATTAAAGGTGATGTAGTTTGAGATGTGGGGTTTTTAGTATTATATTTAGTAGATATTGTCGTTGAATTATTGGTAGTAGATGAAGTTGATAATTTATCATTTTGAAGACGTTGAGGATCCGTCATACTATAACCCTTAACTTTCAAAAGTAAGGAATGACAGTGTTATCAGTCTTTTCACGGTAAAATCACTTCTGCTTGTTCAAGTAGTTGGTGATATAATGGCCTTAATATCTTTTCTTCTTCCTCCTAAATATACTCCGATTGAAGGTTGTTTTTGGAGTATGAATCTAAAATGATAGATGGTTATTTGATATAATTTGATAATAAGTTTAAAGATCTTTTATAATATTCTTGTATATCATAAAATTTTTATTTATATCTCTGTATGTATAATGGTATATATAAATTTAGGAATAGATAAGTTTTACTTGTTAGGGTTTATTTTTTATTTTTTTTATTTTTTAACTTTTTAAATTTCTTTTTTTTTCGCTTTCATTTCTCAACGGTTTTTTTGAGTTGTGCACTACACTAGCTTAAAGTATGTAGATATAACGTTAGGTGGTTAGATCATAACGTAGGGTCACCGTTTTAAACAAGAATTAAGGTGGAGTTACAGATCGGTATTAATTAATAGGTTTTGTCTTGTCTCCCAGAATCATTAATGTTTGGCTCATAACAAAGTCCTTGTCATGTCATGTTGTATGAAGGTTTTTTTCATCATATGTTTCAAGTATAAACTTATAAATTAATTTGATAATAAAAAAAAGAAGTCAAGTGATTATTATAATTCAAAAATTTAGTTCAAAGTATATTGAATATTATTTATGTATGTAATAGTTGTTAAAAATGTAATAAATGCAAGTAACCACATAAAACAAATAGCAAATTTACATATTATCAATAGGTATTAATAATTTTTTGTGTGATCTATTTTTTTATTTACCAGCTGAGCTTTTTTTGTTTTTGAAAAATGTGCATAGTTTTGGGTAAGATTTGACATTTGAGGCTAAGGTGATTTAGATTATTTGAGAAACTTTTCACATTTGTAAATCCTTTATGAATATTGGTTGAGGATTTACATTGTATGTATATGCTTATTCCTAAATTGTGATATGTATCTTTTAAACTTTATAGAAAAAATAAAATAAAATCCGCTTAACATGATCTTGCATCGAATCATAATTTTACATCGTATGTCAAATTAATTTGAAGCTTTGGGTCAAATAACGGATACAAAATTAAAAAAATAATGAATGTGATTCATGGACTCACTATGATTAATTAATCATGCCACTATATGCATCTGTATTATTGAAAGTTGTCATAAGTTACTAGATTGAAATTATATTTTGATCATCTCAAGATTCTGGCACTACTTGATTCTGTGCCTTAATTTAAACACTTGAAACGTTTACTTATTATTTTTTTGACAAATTTAAGCGAAGTGGGGTGGGACGAAGGAAGAAATTTGAATAAATGATTAAGAAACACAATAGTCACGATTTACCTCATTAGTTCCGAATTATGCATTCGTAATTAAGACCAGACTATCTTGAACTAAAAGACTTAACATACTTACTAAATTATTGTTTTTTTTCTTTTGGTAAGATCTGACACTATATTTGTAAAAAGAAATAAAGATCACCGTTAATATAATATTTAAATCAAACGTTTTTACCAATTATTATTTGATTTTGGATTTCTGTATTTTTTGAAGTATTATTTAGGGTCTGTTCCACGGATGAAATCAATATAATATGTCAAACTTTTATGAATCTGACGATTCGATTAATTGAAGTGTTGGGTAAACAAGAAAAATTCCTATCCTACAATACCTTTGAGAATGTACTGTGAACTATGTTTGAATTTGTATTAAAGATTATAATATAATAGTTTGACATATTTTATACGAAATGAATTTAAACTTAACTTTATTTTAAAAGTAATCGTAAGTATAACCGTCCCAATTCGCCAACAAGATATATGTAAGTGAAGTTTTCGATTGACTTGCAATTCGAGAAGGTTCTCTTTTTGTAAATCTACGTTAACTAAAGTTCCCGCTATGGTATTTTTTTTTAGGGCGGTTAAGTGAAATGTGTTATATTTTAAACATTCATTTAAAATTTTTTTTGAGGCTAATTACAAAGGAAATCTAGAACTATTGATTCTTGAAGTTAAAACTACTCTTGATATGGTTGATTTAGACTATTTTGTATTAAGATCTGTTGGGTGTGAAGTACCTAATTAGTAAGTGAATGTGAAAAAACTATCACTCGAAAACTCGATTTTTCAACCGAAACAAGTTAGGAGATTCAAGAATAAGAGAGGAAGATTATAAAACATAACATGAATTGCATTAATCGTAGTCTAAACAACTTATAGATCTATCTAATACTCTACTATATGGTATTCGAGTATTCAATATTTTCAGTTTACTCTTTCCCATTCTCATTCTCATTATCTTTCTGTTTCTCCTTCTCCTTTTCATCCTCTTCTTCTTTTTCTCTTTCTTTATCAAAATCTTCAAACATTTCATCAACTGATCCACCTAAATATAATTTTAAAGTTTTTCTAGTAGCAGGTAAAACTTTAGATTTAACTAATAAATCAGGTTTATTTTCTTCTTTTGCAATTCTATCATAAGCTTGCATTCTATGACATGAATTCATTATAAAATAATAATTTTTACCTTTTTCTCTAACTTTAAAAACATCAACTGGTGGTAATTCACCTGCTGTTATTTCATTTAATTTTGCAGTTTTACTTTCCATTGGTTTTCCTTTTAGAGTTGATACCATTGCATCTATTTTTTGATGATCTAGTACTGGTGGAATTGGTCTTCTTATTTCATTTAATGGGATATATTCATCTTTTAATCCTTGTGTTTGTATTGACATTTTTCAATTCGATTATATATGTATATTTTCAGGTGTTAGTAGTAATTGATTGGAAAATGAAATTGAATTTGTTATAGGTACTAAAATTGAAAATGTTTAAAATAAAGAATAGTTAACCCTTTTATATAATTCTTAAGTGATCTGAGATTTGTAATGATTATTTGACTTTGATATGATATATATTATTTACAATTTGTCATACATCTATAAATCTAATTCGTTTGCTTATTAACCATTTGTGTAATTATTATGTATGATGTAATTCCAGATTTATTGAAAAATTGGTCATCTTAAAAAATTAATGACATGACAAGCAAAGTCACGACACTCTAAATTTGTATGATGAGATCTCACCGAATCGGGATAAAGATACGACCATCAGATTCAAATTTAATTGTTGAAATCAAGTCAATTCAATTTTGTCACATTCATATGTAAAAAGAAGATTTTAGTATGATACATTGCTGCTAACATTCCCCAACTTTAGAAGATTGCTGATATCGCTTGAAGAGAAATTTAAACTACTTTATATAACAACCCGTTCTTCGGAATTGGTAGCTTGTGTTGTAGATTGGTGAAAAGTTAATCTTCATCATTTAGGCTAAATGAGGAGTCTAAAATTTTGAGATAAAAAGCCACCACCTTTAAAGTAAATGGCAAAATTTTTGAAGAAAGATTTGTTTGCTTCTGATCTCATAACGAGAAATAGAAGGAGATATGGCTAAAATGGGCTAATCTCTTGTTCAAGAAACATAACCAGAAGAATGAAAATAGTATATCCTAATATTTGTAACCTGTGATCTAAGTATTAACAATGTAACAACGTTTAAACTATTTGAAATTACGCAATTTAAAGACTAAATTTCATCCTTAGGCTAAATACTCAATTCTATTGTTTTTATCTTTTTGATCTTTAAGAAAAAAATTAAATTGAAAAAAAAAAAAAAAAATTTTTATCTATTTGATCTTTTAGATAATAATTATTAAAGAATCATTAAAGTTTTTAAAATTCCATATAGCATCTCAAATTCCATTTTAAATTATTGTTCATGTTCAACACGTTTTAAATGAGCGTAGTTTGAAGTTCAAATTCGACCAACTATTTATATACTACCCAATTCCATCTTATCAGCATTGAAAGATAAGAAAAACAGTGGCATCAAACAAACAATCTCAGATCAGGATCATCACAAACCGATAAAAAGATGTATATACCTGGTATATACGCTTCTATAATAACAGGAATACTACTATTCCCGTTCCTTATACCAATAAGAACAAAAAACAAACTACAAAGAAACATAAAAACATCATTAATTATATTATTTATAATATCAATATTATCATCAATTGCACCAGAAACTTCACAAATTGGAGCACCATTTCATAAATACGGTAAATCCAAAATAGCATTTTATGGATGTAATTATCAAATTCAATTAACTCAAATTAAATTTTGTAATGAAGACAACAAGACATTAGAATGGTGTTTTTGTAATAATTTTAATGCTTTTGCAACTATAGCTCATTGTTATAAAATTGGTCATCCAAATGAAATTAATTCTTTATTAACAATGTGTCAAGAATTTAACAAGACATTATCTTTAAATACTTTTAATCATGCTAATGATTATTATGATTCTCATGCAAAATCAATATCTGAATTACAAAATGAAAATCAAAATAATAATGTAACTCATTTTCCAATAAAATTAAATGAAACTGAAACTCATATTTTTGAACAAGCTTATGATCACTTTTTAGGAAATTTTGATTTAAGTGTTGATTATGGTGCTTATTTAGTATTATTTTGGGTTGTTGTTTTCACATTAATTTCAATAAATAATTGGTTTAAACATTTATTTCCTCAATTTTTTAAACACATGACAGATCCTTTGACTAACTGGTTTAGATCAAGGATATCATTACCATCAACAAATAACAAAAATAAAACAAATGAATATAAATTTGCTGGTTTGATTGATATGTTAGTTCCAACAAGAATTGAAAGTATAATATTAACTTCATTTACAATTTTAACAACATATTTAATGATTTCAAATATTTCATATACAGAAGGAGATCCATTGTTTCATACTAAAAGAAATGCATTATTAAGATATTATGCAGTAAGAGCTAGTATATTATCAAGTACAATGATGCCTCTACTCATATTATTTGGTGGTAGAAATAATTTTTTACAATGGATTACAAAATGGGACTATTCAACTTTTATAACTTTACATAGATGGATATCAAGAATTATTATGATTTTAATTATAATTCATGCTTTTAATTATTCTGCTTATATGAAATCTATAAAGAAAACTACAATAGAACCATATTTATATTGGGGAACAGCTGCATTCTTGGCTGGAGTTGTAATAATGATTCAAGGTTTATTAGTATTACGAAGAAAATGGTATGAAATGTTTTTGATTTTACATATTTTATTAGCTGGAATATTTATTTTTGGAGCATGGTTACATGTTGAAGAATTATATTGTGTTTGGTTTTATTATGTTTCTTCAATGATCTGGTTATTTGATAGAATTATTAGAGTACTAAGACTATATCAATTTGGAAATCCTCAAGCAAAAATTTATTTATTATCTGATGATACTTTAAAAATTATTGTACCAAAACCTAAAAGTTGGGAAGTTATCCCTGGAGGACATGCTTTTATACATTTTTTAAAATGGGATTGTTTTTGGCAATCTCATCCTTTTACTTATACTTCAACAAATCAAGAAATTATATTATTTATTAAAGTTAAAAAGGGAGTAACTAAAAATCTTGCCAATTATTTAAAAACTCATCCAGATAAATATACAACGATACGTGTTGCAATTGAAGGTTCTTATGGTGAACAAACTCCAGCTTATAAATATGATAGTTCTGTATTTATTGCTGGTGGAAATGGTATACCAGGAATTTATGCAGAAGCTTTAGATGTCATAAAAAGTCAACAAAATCAATTCAAAGATAATAAAGTAAAACTTATATGGGTAGTTAGAGAATATTCATCATTATTTTGGTTTTATGAAGAATTAATTCATTTACAAAATTTAAATTTAGAAACTACAATATATATCACAAGACCAAATTTACCTATAAATGAAGAAGATTTTAAAAGAAGAATAATATCAGTAAATTCTTTAGGAGATAGTAATGAATTATCACCATTATTAAATCAATCATCAACTCAATCACAAAAATTAAGTTCATCTTCATTAATAGAAATAGATAATAAATTTAATTCAGAATCAATTGATTATAAATCAATAATTAAAAAAGAATTACAACATATATCATTTACCGAATCAAGACCAAATGTAAATAAGATAGTTGAAACTAATATAGAAGAATCAATTGGATCAACATGTTTTATAACTTGTGGTCATCCAATAATGGTTGATGAAATTAGACAATCAGTAGTTGAAAATATTTATAATCCCGAAAAAAAGAGAGTTGATTATTTTGAACAATTACAAGTTTGGGCTTAAATTAACAATAGGAATAGATTTAAATATAGAATAGAATAAACGTAGTAATAATACCCTCAGCTTTTTTCCTATTCTTTTGTTGCGAGGTTCAAGTAAAATTTGTGAACCGCAAGAGTGATGTCAGTATTCAGCACTCTTGGCTCTGTTGATTTTGACCTTTTTTTTCTTAAGTCTCGGAGCACAACTATTTTTGGTGATTCAAAACGAAAATTTACAATGTAACGTCCTAACAGTTGACTATTTACGTAAAATTCGAAGATTTTTGTAACAAATTATGTCATTAGTTTTTTTAAATTTGGAGGAATCAATTATCAAGTCAAAAGATCTTGTAATAGCTGATATGAGATTATGGTATTAAGTTTTACCCATGGGGTAAGTATTTTGATTCATCATAGGCATTGAGATATACATTTTGTGCTAATTTTTTAGGTAATGTTTGCTACTCGTCTATATTCTATCCAGTAATTCTAAGTTTGTTGAGTAATTAAATCTTGTCTCTCGGAAAATCAAACTTCTAGCAATCCTTCACTTCTATGATGTTGGAATTTAAAAACTGATTTAAGATTTTCTTGCCCTTTATTTTAATTCTTGAGAAAACGTTATGTGTAAAAAAGAAATGTTAATATTTTTTAAATTCTCTAACGTGAATATTTTGGTGCAAAATAAATAAAAAATTATGGTGTTTCAGAATAATGCATTATGCATAGAGTATATCAGTCAGATTCTCTCGAAAACACTATTAAGGTTCAAAATCATGAGTCTTCACCATTATTAACCAACACATTAACTTCAAAATTAATCAAAAGAGACATGAGATTTCGATTCGGATATATTACTAAGATTTCTATGCTAACTTTTCTTGTCAAAATTAATTAATCCGAGAAATAGAAATAATAATAGAAATTTAAAAAAATTAAAAAAAATCTGAAACAAATAAAAATATTACAAGGTTGCAATTTAATAAATTATTTCTTCTACGTGTGACATTACTAAATTCATAGTAAATTCATACTAAAAAAGAACTTTAGTCCAAGCGTCAAATGTTTGATCTACTAAAAGGCTTAGCGACATCAATCAAAAGTAAATCAAAATTCAAATGACAGTTATAATTTTTTATTTTGACAGATTCCACTTATAATTTCCTAATATTGACAAGAATGTATATATATATCTCCAATTTCTCATGACTCCAGATTTTTACTCCAATTTTTCTCCAGGTTTTTTATCAAATAAAAGATTCTTTAACAACCTTAAATCTAGCATAGATTCATCATATACTTGCATATCAACAAAATTGTATAAAAGAAATATCAATTAAGCATACATTTCTGAAAACAAATTCTAATATCAAATTATAACTCTACCAAACAAACAATGAGTAATAATTATAACAATTCAGAAACAAGTTCAAAATTAAATGATGATAATATTCAACAAATTTCAACAAATGAAAATTCAGAAAAATCTCAAGATAATAGTTCACAAACAAAAACTGAAGAAAGTTTAATAAATAAAGATGATGAAAGTCTTGAAGAAGCAATAAAGAAAAGATTAGCTAATAAAAATTGGAAAGATTATATATTAATCACATTTTTATGTTTTTTAATTGCATTTGGAGGATTTGTATTTGGTTATGATACTGGTACAATTTCTGGATTTGTTAATATGACTGATTTTATAAATAGATTTGGACAAGTAGGTGATAATGGAGAATATTATTTAAGTGAAATTAGAATTGGAATTATTATATCAGTTTTTAATATTGGTTGTTGTATTGGTGGATTAATTTTCTCGAAAATTGCTGATATTTATGGTAGAAGAATTGGTTTAATGTTTTCAATGGTTATTTATGTTATTGGTATAATTGTTCAAATTTCTGCAAATTCTGCTTGGTATCAAATTATGATTGGTAGAATTATTACTGGATTAAGTGTTGGTACAGTTTCTGTTATTGCACCAATGTTTATATCTGAATCATCACCAAAAGTTTTAAGAGGTACATTAGTTTGTTGTTTTCAATTATGTATAACTTTAGGTATATTTATTGGATATTGTTGTACTTATGGAACAAAACAATTAGAAAATTCATCAGCACAATGGAGAATTCCTTTGGGATTATGTTTTGCATGGGCAATTTTCTTAGTCATTGGAATGATTTTTATGCCTGAATCACCAAGATATTTAGTTGAAAAAAAAAGGATAGATGAAGCAAAAATTTCAATAGCAAAATCAAATAATTTAAAACCAGATGATCCTATAGTTAATTCTGAATTAATTTTAATTCAAGCTGGTATAGATAGAGAAGAGCTTGCAGGAAATGCTTCTTGGAAAGAATTAATCACTGGAAAACCTGGAATTTTTAAAAGATTAATTATTGGAACTGTTTTAGCTTCATTACAACAATTAACTGGTAATAATTATTTTTTTTATTTTGCAACAACTATATTTAAATCAGTGGGGTTGGAAGATTCTTTTCAAACTTCAATGATTTTAGGAGCAGTTAATTTTTTATCAACATTTGTTAATATTTGGGCAATTGAAAGATTTGGTAGAAGACAATGTTTATTAGCTGGATCAAGTGGAATGTTTATTTGTTTTATTATTTATTCAGTTTTAGGTTCAACTAATTTATATGATGATCCAAATAATTTTCAAAATTCAGTTACTCATTTACCAACTGGAAAAGCAATGATATTTATAACTTGTTTATATATTTTCTTTTTTGCATCAACTTGGGCAGGAGGTGTTTATGCAATATTATCAGAAACTTATCCATTAAGAGTTAGATCAAAAGCAATGTCAGTTGCAATTGGTTCAAATTGGATTTGGGGTTTTTTAATTTCATTTTTTTCTTCATTTATTATTAATTCAATTCATTTTTATTATGGATTTGTATTTACTGGTTGTATTGCAATTTCAATTATATTTGTTTATTATTGTATTATGGAAACAAAAGGTTTAAGTTTAGAAGAAATTGATGAAATGTGGGCTGCTAAAGTTGTACCTTGGAAATCTTCAGAATGGGTTCCACCATCTGTTTCAAAAATGGCTCATTGTCAAAATTATGCAAAACCAGATGTTGTACATGATGAAAGAAATGTTTAATCATAACTTACTTGATGACTTGATGATAAAATAAACACAAATAATCTTATAGACAATTTATGTATTATTATACCTTTAATTGATTGTTATGCAAAAATTATTTCTAGTAGAACCAGAATGTAGTTCTTTTTTATTAAACTTTATATTTTTAGATACTTTCCCATTCCAATCAAATAACCAATATGCAACCTTCTTAGCTTCATAAATATAATTTTGTTTAAACCCTAAAGAATTCATAATCTCCAATAATTTATCATTATCAAAATATCTTGAATTTTTAATACAAGGTAATGGTAAAACTAAAAATAATGAACTTAATTTTCCTTTATTTGGTGATTTTAAAAATTTTGTAATTCTAATCAACATTTCACCTCTCTTTTCATGTGATGGTACAAAATTTAAAACCAATGAACATGAAATTAAATTAAATTTTTCATTTTCGGTAGTTGGTAATGGTCGTTCCATAAAATTTTGTTGTAAAATTAAAGGATCTTGTGAATTTAAATCTATCCTAATTATTGATTTGAAAATTTTACTAGTTGATATGTTATTATATGGACTAAGACAACCAATTTCTAATGCATTTAGATCTTCTTTTAGTTTTGTTTCATATTTTGAAGTTTTTAACCATTCAATTAATTTTTTGGATGAATCACCACCTCTTTTGTTTGTTTGACCTTGATTTGATGCTGATTGATAAATTTTTATTCCACCTCTTTGCTCTATTTCTGAATCTATTTTAGCTAAGATTTTAATTAATTCAATTTCATTTAAGGTAACATCTATCTTATAAATTTCATTATTAGCGTGTTTTTTCGCTATTTTGAAATTATTGAATTCTACTTGATATATTTTATTCTGTTTTATATCATCATAATTGTCTAAATCAATTGAAGTGTTCGATTTTTGTAATTTTGTTATTATTGAATGTTTATTTTTTTGTAAAACGTGAAATCTTCGGATTATTTGTCTAGTTTGTTGTGGTTTTAAAGACTTGGGATTTATAATGTTTCTATTCTTGTCATTGGTAATTGACGATAGACTCTTCTTCACTTTCTTCTTGGCCATTGATTTATCATGATGTTGTGGTTGGACCTTTTGAAAATTTGGAAAATGTCCTGTCTACTTTTTGTAACTCAGCACATAAATTTTTGTGTAATATTCTGAGGATGAGCTTCTCTCTATAATTTTGAAACTCGAATAACCAAAGGATTCAATCTGAAACACCAAAGCCAATCTCAACATTTGAAGAAGAGAAACCAATATGAAGAATAAACCTAACACGAAACCAAACAAAGTATCAAAACCTTCCAAAAAATCACAACAGAGAAGGAAAATACCGACCCTAAAACAAAAATTGCAAAAAGAATCAAAAATAGTTAAAATAAATGATTTAGATTGGAAACCAGTTGAAATACCAGATAATTTAGGAGATTATACTGGATTTCTTGGATTAGAAGAAATTGATGGAGTTGATGTTGAAGTTATTGATGGGAAACCTCAATTTGTTATGAAAGAAGAAAATATTGAAAAGAATGATAAAGTAGATGATATTCTGGAGAATAACGAAGATATAGAAATTAATGAGGAGGATGAAGACGAAGATGAAGATGAAGAGATATTGGATGACGAAGAATTTACAGGATTTGATGATGAAGAAGAGGAAACAATTATCTCAGAAAGTCTAGACCCTGTACAAGAAGATAAAGAAGACGAAGATGATGAAGACGAAGAACTAAAACATAATACATTTGCAAATTTAGATCTACCTTTACCGGAAGATGTTCATTTACCAGAATGGGATTTAACAGATGAAACAAAACTTAGTCCCTTTACATTAAATGGATTATTAAATTTAAAATTTAATTCACCAACACCAATTCAAAAAAAAACTATACCAATTGCTATAAAAGGTAAAGATATAATAGGTAAAGCTACAACAGGTTCAGGTAAAACTTTAGCTTATGGTATACCAATACTTGAAAAATATTTAAATTCTTTAAATAAAATTAAAGAAAATATTAGTAAAAAAATTATAAATCATCCAATTGGTATAATATTTACACCAACGAGAGAATTAGCTCATCAAGTAGTGGATCATTTAACAAAATTAGCTGAATTTACACCATTATCATCAAAAGGGATCGTCAGTGTAACTGGTGGATTATCTATACAAAAACAACAAAGATTATTGAAATTTGGACCTGGTATTATAGTAGCAACGCCTGGTAGAATGTTAGAATTAATTTCAAATGATAATGAATTATGTAAAAGATTAAGTTTAACTGATATAATAGTATTAGATGAAGCAGATAGATTATTACAAGAAGGTCATTTTGAAGAATTTACAAAAATATTAGAATTATTTAATAAATTTAGAATTAAATCAAAAGATATTGAATGGAAATGGCAAACTTTAGTTTTCAGTGCAACTTTTTCAAAAGATTTATTTGGAAAATTAAATAAACAACAAATTGGTAAGAATAATAAAAAACCAATAATTGATGGAAATTCATTAGCTGGTAATGATGAAATTATTGAATTATTAAATGAAAAATTAAAATTTAAAGATAAAAAACCTATACTTATAGATGCTAACCCCAAAGAAATTGTAAGTGGACAAATTACTGAAGCATTAGTTGAATGTGGTCCAACAGAAAGAGATTTATATTTATATTATTTTTTATTAATGTATAAAGGTTCAACATTAGTATTTGCAAATTCAATAGATTCAGTTAAAAGATTAATACCATTATTAAATAATTTAAAAATTCCAACATTTGCAATACATTCATCAATGTTACAAAAACAAAGATTAAAATCTTTAGAAAAATTTAAAGAAGCTTCTTTAAAAAATTCTTCTGCTGTATTAGTTGCTTCAGATGTTGCAGCAAGAGGTTTAGATATTCCAAATATTGATCATGTTGCTCATTATCATTTACCAAGATCTGCTGATATTTATATTCATAGATCTGGAAGAACTGCAAGAGCTGGAAAAGAAGGTGTCTCAGTTATGTTTTGTTCACCACAAGAAGCAAGTGGTCCATTAAGAAAATTACGTAAATTAATTGTATCAAATGCTTCTACCAACAATGGAAAATTAAATATTCATAAAGATGTTAAATTATTACCTATTGAAATGGATTTAATAAATCAATTAAAACCAAGAATTGAATTATCTTCAAAATTAGCAGATTCAAATATTTCAAATACTGCAACAAGAAAAGAAGATTCTTGGGTAAAACAAGCAGCTGAAGATTTAGGAGTTGAAGATTTACATGATTTAGAGGAATTTGAAGATGATATAATCAAGAAACAAAGGAAAAGAAAAGAAGGTAAATTATTAACAAAAGATGAACAAAAAAGAATAAAATATGAATTAAATCAATTAATTTCTATACCTATAAGAAAAAATAATAGAAGATCTTATTTAACTAGTGGATATGATAATTTAGCTCATCAAATGATTAGTGGGAATTATCATGAAGATGTTATAGGTCATGAAAAAGTAAATGCTTTAAAAGATTTGAAAAAGAAAGATAATACTATCAAAGCTGTTACTAATGGTATTTCAAAACAAGACAAACTTTTAAAAATTAATGAAAGAAAACAAAGTAAAAAAGATGCTAAAAAGGAAGCTAAACAAAAGAGACAACAATTGAAAAATGGAGGATTGAGTAATGATGATATGGACGAAAGTTGAGTAATAATGAATTTACTTAATTATTAACCATTATTCTATATATATGGTGAATGATCCAATAAAAAAATTGCATCTTTTATCTTGCTTCTAGTTAAATTTAAATAAAATCTTCTTCATCATCAAAATATTCATCTTCATCACTATCATCTTCGTCTAGTAATTGATCAAAATTAACTTTATATCTTAATATTGCACCAACACCACCAAAACCTTGTACAAATTGGGCACCTTCAGAAGATTTATCAGTAACAAATTCTAATTCAGCACCATAATTTTTATAATTTTCAGCTAACCATTCCAAAAAAGATTCTTCTTTTAAAATTTCCATATCAGTACCTGTTTTTTTATCTTCTTGCCATGATTTATCAGGTAATTCAGGATTAACATGTTTTATAATTTCTTCACCTTCAATATCTTTTAAAGTATATCTTATTATATTTAAATTTTCATAAACAATAATTTTTTCACATGATCCTAAATCAAGAGCTTTTAAAGTATCTTCTATACCATAACAAAATTTCCCAGTATCTTGACTAATTTCTTCAAAATATTGATTTAATAATTTTTTTTCTTGAACAAATTTAACATTTGCTAAAGTTTCTGCAGATAATTCTATTGCTTGATTAAAACCATTTTCTCCTCCATATGATATATCTACTATTTTAATAACTTTTGCTTGTAATCTATTATCAAATAAATCACTTTTACTTAATTCATTTTTAAAATCTGCTGAACCTGCTAATATTAAACCTTTTACATTAACTTTATCTGCAGTTATAAAATTTTGTACAGCAACTTCTGCAACTTTACGAACATAATTATGTCTTTTTTCTTCTCTTAATCTTGAAAAACGTACAGCTGATTGACCACCTCTACCATGTTTTTTTGGTAAATCAACAGTAAATTTATGTAAAACTTCTCTTGTATTACCACTTACTGCACCAAATAATGCTCCATTACCATCCATAATAATAAATCCAAATCTATCATCATTTTCTAATAATTCGTTTAATGCTTCAACATGAAATTTATTATCACATAAATATAATGAAGTATTTATTGGTTTAAAAGGTTCAAAATCAATATTTAATTTTTTTTCTTTACCTTCATCAGTTATAACATCACCACAATAAACAACTAAACCATTTCTTGGTACTGAATTATATAACTTTAATTTTTGTTGAGTTGATGTTATAGCAGATAATACTGATAATCTATTAACTCTTGATTTAATATTTGATGCAGTACCATATTCTTCTGTTAACATTTTTTGAATTAATGAAATTTGACCTTTTGGAGGTATAACTAATGAAATCATTGAAGTACCATTACCTCTTGCCATTTCTAATGATTTAATTAATTTTTTAACTTTCCATATTTCAATATTTTTTTCTGCATCATTTTCTTGCTGACTCATGATTTATGATTGTATGTGTATGTATGTATAGATCTATATGTTGGATGGAATTATGTAAAATTAAGATTGAAAATCGTCGGTATTGATATTAACGAAATGAGCTTGTTTTGATGTTAGATTCAATAATGAAAAATTAATGAAATGAATTGAATGTCTAATATACGATGAGTTGAAAATTGGTTGAAATGGTAGACTTTGAAATTTTGGTATAAACTTTTTAGGATGTATGTGTATTGTTCAAAGTCTTTGAATGTTATTCAATGGTATAACTTTTTTTAATGCTAAAAGCTTATTATAATTTTTTTTTTTCAATCAATTTCTGAAACTGCTATATTTTAAAATTATTTAGCAAAAAAAAATTCAAAATTTTTCACTTTTTTAATTTTGTGTGTGTGTGATGTATGTTTATTATTAGTCTACTACAAAAAGTACTGATGTAATACTTTGTCGTGTCTGTTTTTTGATGACATTGTAAGTAGTGTATGATTTCAAATCTTTACACATGTCGGATATTGATGTCCGACTCTTATGTATCATGTCGCGTGATCACTCAAACTTTCAACTCAGACGATAGTAACTAACTGGGTAATTGTGATGTAATAATATATGATGTATGAACCCAAATCTTCGCATGAAAGATATATAGTCAATATATTATACTTGTATTGATGCATTTAAAATAATAATCAATTACTTCAATTTGGCAACACATTTGACTTAACTTGTACATGACTTAGAATTGAAATATCTCAGTAATTAGCCACATGATATGGTATAGTTAGTCAAATGTAACAAGATATGATTACTTGCTCCTTCAATAATTCCTTCATGTTGCTGATGTGAATGCATTGACTTAAAAACTGGGTCAATTCAATTGATAATATATTTTACAACAAAAACTCTAAATACCTTAATAATATTTATATTGTAAAAACATTAATTACACAAAAAGTATTAATCAAGTAGTGTACAAAGTCGACTTTTGAATATTTTGAATATGAAACAAACCTTATTTGCAATAATAATTTTTTCGCAACCATTTTATGTTAAGTTTCATCTAATACATCAAGATGCTTTATAAAATCAAAAAAAAAATGGAAATTATAACATCATTATTTAAAAATATGAATATTTTTATCCAATTACATGGATTAATGAAATCTAGAAAATTTATTTCAGATCAAAACAACTTTGACTATCTTCAGCTTTCATTATGAATATGCAAAATCAATTAAATACAACAACAAGTACATTATTGAGCAAAACAAGCACATTAAAGATCACAGATTATAATTCAGAAATTGATTTAAACGATAATATACCATATCCTGAACCAGTAAAAACAAGATTTACTTTCAAACAACAAGCTTCTAATTTTATAGAAGATTCTAAATTACAATATTTATCAATTTTTCCAAATCAAAATCAAAATAAAAATGAGTATTCGAAGAAACATTCTCAAAAAGATAGTGATAGAATGAAATGGATTTTTGAAAGATCAAAGGATTTAATTAAAAATTGTTCTAAAATTGTTTTTCATGATATCGGAGGAATCATTTATAACATTATTGAAATTTTGGCAATAATTATAATTTTCATTTTCTACTCAATCTATTTATTGTGTTGTTTCTTAAAGCAGTTGTTGTACTACCAAATAACTATTTTTTTGATTCTACTTGTTTTATTTGTTGGTTTTATTGTTGGTTTCCCTATTGGTTTGATGAAAGCAACGGGTTGTTGTTTCAGTTAATTTTTTTTTTTTAGCACATTTGTATTCATTACTCTTTTATTGATTACCAAATATGACTTTGCTTTACATTATTCCAAATTACATCATAAGAGCAAATTCTGTGACAGAATTTTAGGTCAAACAATTTATAATTAGATATTTAATATTTTGCAACAATATAACTCCTTATGGTGTTGTTTTAAAATCACTCTGAGAATTTAAATTTTTATGTAGGCTATCCTATGGATAAAATTTTAACGAGGAGAGATTGCAGAGTATGCAAACATAACTTAAAGGAAGTAACTATTCCTTGAAAGATTGTTAAGAAGTATATATATTTTTACAACTATTAAAATGAAAAAAAAGATTTAGAGACTGATAATAACTACTTACTTATTTTTAGTTGATTTTATTTTTTGCATCCTTCAACATAAAGGGACAAAGCTCCCCAACCTAAAATGATATTAAAGGATATACATGCAGCAATAACACTAATAGCAACAAAAAAAGTCCAATAAAGAGATTCTTTTCCAAGTAATTTATATTTACTCTTCAATTCTTGAACATATTGATAATTATCAAATTCTTCGGGTGGAAATAAGTAGTCCAAATCAAATATAAACCATCTATTTATTAACCATGACCAGAAATTGGGTTGATTTCTATTATTTTTTGATAGTAATGGACGAGATTCAAATAAAGTTGATGAAATTTGGACTGATTGAGCTAGATCTTTTAAATCACCTGATGCTGAAACTGATGAATTTTGGTCTATTTGAACTTGATTCTCTAAATCGTTTGAGACAATTGGAATTGATGAAGTTTTACCTGATTGGACTTGAATTTTATTGGAATTATCATTATTTTCAACTAAAGCAGCATTCAAATATATTTCAAAAAGTTCGGTTCGAATATTATCCATCTTATTAATAGTTTTTAGGAAATAGTGGATTGTATAAGCAAATCCTAAAAGTCCTACTACTAATATAACCGCATTAATTCCTATGAGACCCCCGTAGTATTCACAAGACTTCATTGTTTATTGTTAATCAAAAATTTTTTGTGTGAAAACAATTGTTTATGAACAAATGTTGTCTAAACTTGCAACCAAAAAAAAAGTATCAAATTTATAAATACTTACATGATAATTAATTATTAAGTTTTTCGGTATGCTAATATATAATAAATATTTCATTTATTATTGCCCACAATATCTAAGAAATTTCGGATCAATAAGACTTCAAAATTGCGCTCTGAATTTAAAGAATTTGGAATGTGGAAAAGAAGAACTTGGTGAAGTTAATGCTTTGACTGCAGACTGAAGAATCAATTAATATTTAGAATAAATCACAAAAAGTATAATCAATTCGTAATTAAGCATAAAACTGAATTAACGGTTAGTTCTAGATTATCATACATAATGGAACAATAAAATGAATTAGAAGTTCATACCAAAGTAGAGATTAGAAAGTGAATTATGACAAACTTGTTCCAAATTTGATTCCAAAAACAAGTATAGAATTAAAATGCTCAATTGATACATCCATTTGTACCTTAAATTGAAGATAGGTTGTTGTATAGGAGCAAATTACTACACAAATAAGTGAATTGATATAAAAACCATTAACTCTTCATAAAACGATACAATTTCTATTTAATCTATTTTATATTTATATTCTGTAGTAGCTAATAATAACTGAAATATGGTAGCTATCCACGCTATCCCAAAACATGAAACAAATCCCCTTTTTAATTCGCAACCTTTTTACGTTGAGTTCCATAATTATACATCAAGGTGCTTTATAAAACTGAAAAAAAACTGGAAATTATAACACCATTATTTGAAAATATGAGTATTTTTATCCAATTACAGGAATAATGATTTTATTCTAAATCAAAACAACCTGAAACTCTTCAACTTTTAATAAAAATATGCAAAAACAATTAAATACAACGTCCAGTACATCAATGATCACAGAAATTAATTCACAAAACAATTTAGACAATAATATACCATATCCAAAACCAGTGAAAAAAAGATTTACTTTCAAACAACAAGCTTTTAATTTTATAGAAGATTCAAAATTACAGTATTTTTCAATTTTTCCAAATCAAAATCAAAATACAAATGAATATTCGAAGAAACATTCTCAAAAAAATAGTGATAGAATGAAATGGATATTTGAAAAATTACAAGATTTGATTAAAAATTGTTCTAAAATTGTTTTTAATGATATTGTTGGAATCATTTATAACATTATTGAACTTTTGGCAACAATTATAAGTTTCATTTGTTACTCAATTTATTTATTGTATTGTTTCTTCAAGCAATTGTTGTACTACAAGGTAACTATTTGTTTTCTTCTACTTCTTTTATTTTATGGTTTTATTGCTGGTTTCCCTTTTGCTGTGATGAAAGCTATGGGTTGTTGTTTCAGATAATTAGTTTTTTTTTTAGTACATTTGTATTCATTACTTTTTTATTGATTACCAGATATGACTTTGCTTTACATTATTCCAAATTACATCATAAGAGCAAATTCTGTGACAGAATTCTAGGTCAAACAATTCATAATCAGACATTAATACCTTTTAAAAGCATAGCAGTAGTTATGGTGTAGCTTTGAAACCACTCTGAAAATTTAAATTTCTTATTAGGCTACCCTTTGAATAAATTATTTAATAAGGAGAGATTACAGAGTATGCAAACATTACTTAAAGTAACTATTCCTCGTAAGATTGTTAAGAAGTGTATATATTTTTAAAACAATTAAAATTAAAAAAAGATTTAGAGATTGAAAATAACTAGACTACTTACTTATTTTTAGTTGATTTTATTTTTTGCATCCTTCATCATAAATGGTCCAAGCTCCGCATACAATGATAGTAAAGGAAATTAAAGCAGCTGAAAAACTAATACACAGGAACAAAAGCCAATAAAGAGATTTTTTTCCAAGTACTTTAAATTTATTCTTTAATTCTTGAGCATATTGATGATTATCAAATAGTTCGGTTGGAAATAAGTTGTCCAAATTAAATTTAAACTCTCTATCAATAAACCCTGACCAGAAATCTGGTTGATTTAAATTATTATTGTCTGATAGTAATGGACAAGATTCACCTAAAGTTGATGAAATTTGGTCTGATTGAGCTAAATCCTTTAAATCACCTGATGCAATTGAAATTGATGAATTTTGGTCTATGTGAACTTGTTTCTCTAAATCACTTGATACAATTGGAACTGATGAAGTTTTACCTGATTGAACTTGATTTTTATTGGAATTATCATTATTTTCAATTGAAGCAGCATTTTGATCCCTCCATTCTTTCATAAATAATTTGAAAAGTTCGTCGTGAATATCATACATCTTATCAATAGTTTTCATGTAATAGTGAAATGTATAACCAATTCCTAAAAGTCCTACTACTAATATTACCGCATTAATTCCAAAGAAACCCCCGTAGTATTCACAAGACTCCATTGTTTATTGTTAATCAAAAATTCTTTGTGTGAAAGAAATGTTTATGAAAAGGTGTTTCTAAATTTGCACCCAAAAAAAATTTTAAAATCATACACGTAATATTTTGGTTATGCGAAAAATATCAGTAATAATTTATTTATTATTGCCAACAATATCTAAGAAATCTCAAATCATTGAAACTTTAAATTACTCATAAAATTAAAGAATTTGGATTGTGGAAAAGAAACCTAGTGAAGTTAATGCTTTGAATGTAAATTGAAGAAACTATTGATATTTTACAATATTTATGATTTTTGGCTATAGAGTGGATAAATCACAAAAATTATGATTAATTCGTAATTAAGCATAAAACTGAATCAATTAACGGTTTTTTTAGTTCTAAACTATGCATAATGAGACAATAGAATGAATTACAAGTTCATAATAAAGTAGAGATTAGAAAGTAAGTAACTAACTTGCTTCAAATCTGATTCCAAAACAAGTATAAAATGAACTTAAATGTTCAATTGAAACATCCATTATACTTTAAATTGAAGATAACTATCATCATTAACAAAAGATAATAATAATAATTTATTTTCTAAACTTATTTAAGGTGTAACACAAATAGTGACATAAAATACGATTATAATACTTCACTAATTTCATAGAGTACAGATATTACTAAATTTTTTGAAAAGAAGTAGTTTAATCATTGACTTTTAACCTAATTAGATGTAGACCGCTCAATTGAAACCATAAGTTTCGTAGTTCAGTATATCCGTAGCTTTATATATATGAATAAACATATTTTACGGATTTATGTAAAATTTAGAAACTTTAATACTAAATTTAGAGTGTTGATTAATCCATGTTAACTTTAAACTTTCCTTCTGACTTCTACTATGGATTATATAAAGTTATTGATCAACTGTTATCCTTAATCTGTTGAATAAGAAAACTATCAGTTAATACCAACTAAGATTGAATCGATTAACCAATTTAGTACTTTCTTGATAAGATCTAATATCAAAATCTAACCTGATCGATGCTATTATACATTCGGAGTTGTTCATTATATAATAAATCACTTCTTGACTGAACTGAAGTATTATCCGTATCGTATTGTATTGTAACATAGTCTATTTCCACTAAGTTTGTTTGAGCACTAAGAAAAAAAAAAAAAAATAAAAAAATCAAATTTATTTTACAATCTCTCAATTTTAACAAGTAGAATTCTTATTATCAACTTTAGAGAATCAACGAAGGTTAATAGTGGATATGGTTAATAACAAATCATCATCATCCATCAAAAAAGAAGAGAAAGAACTGTATAATATAAATGATGTTGATTCAAATAAAGAACAAACTAATGATTCAACAAATTTAAATAATAATAATATAAATAACTCCGAAGAAAAAGTTACAACCAATAATAATACAACTAACAAGAACATAAATACAATAAATAACTCATCTACACCTGAAGTAACAAATACAAGTACCACAACCACAGGTACAACACCTACAGCATCCACATCAACTGGTAAAACTTCAAAATCAACTACTAAAACAGATAAACCAAAAGCATTTACTATAAAATATAAAAGACCTAGAGGATCAAGAGCATGTACTGTTTGTAGATCAAGAAAAGTTAGATGTGATGCTGAAATTCATATACCTTGTACTAATTGTATAACTTTTGGATGTGATTGTGTATTACCTGAAGTTAAAAAAAGAGGTAATCAATCTGGTGAAAGTAAAGCAAAAAAACAAAAATTAGCTCAACAACAACAACAAGAACAACTTGAACAACAACAGACTAAAAAAGATGAATCAAGTAATAATATTACAACTGATGGTAAATCTTTAACTCCAGATAATGTAAATAATGAACTTAATACTTCTTCTAAAAACTCCAAAGAAGATTCTTCTTCTACAAATAAATCAAAAACTCAAATATCTTTATCATTATATACAAGTCATACAAAAAATCATGGAAATACTAGTGAACCAATTTTAAATATTTCTCAAGTAAGTGTACCACCATCATTAACTTCATCATATAAAAATAGACCTTCAATGCATAAAAAGGAATTATTAACTTCTAAAATAAAACCTTCATTAACATTTCTTGGTTCATCATCTATTGCTGTATTACCACAAAAAGTTGGTGAAAATCATGTTCAATTAACTGAAGATGTTTTTGAAGTAAATGATAATGGATTAGATTCAGTTGAATTAGAAATTTTAAAATTAAGAGGTGCTTTTTTATTACCAAATAAAGAATTAGCTTCAGATTTAATTGATGCATATTTTGAACATGTTCATCCTTTAATGCCAGTATTAAATAGAACTTTATTTATGAAAAAATTTAATGATCCAAATGATAGTCCAAGTTTAATGGTTTTACATGCTGTTTTATTATGTGGTTGTAGAGTTTCAAAAAATCCTTTATTATTAGATTCAAATGGTTCAAATAATTTAGCAAGTTTAACATTTTTTAGAAGAGCAAAAGCTTTATATGAAACAAATTATGAAAGTGATCCTGTTTCAATTATTCAAACTTTAATTTTAATTGGTTCTTATTGGGATGGTCCTGAAGATGTTACAAAAAATTCTTATTATTGGTCAAGAGCTGCAGTTGGATTAGCTCAAGGATTTGGATTTCAAAGAGATGTAACAAAATCAAAAAGTTTAACTTTATCAGAAAAAAGAGTTTGGAGAAGAATTTGGTGGTGTTTATTTGAAAAAGATAGAAATGTTGCCATTGCATTTGGAAGACCTGTTGTTATAGATTTAAATGATTGTGATGTACCAATGTTAACAACTGATGATTTTGATGAAAATGATTCTGAATTAGGTATAGTTTCTCCTTATCCAATAAATGAAACTCATGCATTATATTTTATTCATTTAATTAAATTAGCTGAAATTACTGGTATAATAATAAAACATCAATATAGTGTTAAATCAGAATCAATGAAAAGAAGAAATGCTTTTTCAATTATTGAACATTGTGATATGTTAATGGGTATATGGTTTACAAATTTACCTCCTCAATTAAGTTTTTCATTAGCTGATTCTTCTTCACAAAATTTTTATGCATGTTTATTAAATGCTCAATATTATAATAGATTATTTTTAATTCATAGATCAAATTTAATTAGAATGGCAAGATCTTCATCAACTAATCCAAATAACTATAAATATCCAAGTTGGGGTATAAGTTTTCAATCAGCAAGAATGATTTCTATAATTTCAAAAATTTTATTAGATAGAGATTTATTAAAATTTGTTCCAACAATGTATGTTTATATTGCTTTTAGTGCTTTAATAATGTTAATTTATCATGTTGATTCAACAAATACTGTTATTGCTTCAACAGCAAGTGATTCAATTTTTATATCAAGAGCTGTTTTAATTAAATTATCTGAATATTGGCCAATTGCTGGATTATTAATTAAATTATTTGATAAATATGCAAATGATAAATTTAAAAGAGCAAATGTTATTGAAAATGGTTCAAGAATTGCTGAAGAAAAAGAAAATTTAGCTAATGAAAAATTAGGTTTAACTACAAATCCTATTCAAATGATTAATCAACAACAACAAAATCATCAACAAAATCATCAAACTTCGTCAAGTTATCATCCATCACAACAACAACAACTGCATCTTCAACTGCATCCACAGCAACATCCACAACAATTCTCATTACAAAATCATCATCCTCATCAACAAGCACTTCATCATCAACAACAACCAGTTGCTCCACAACCTCAACCAGTTACTCTGCAAATGAGATCAAGTTTTTCTCCTGGATCAACTACATCAGGTGTTTCACCAGGTGGTAATGCTTATTATGATTATCAAACATCACAACAACAAGCACGTCAACCAATTTCTTTAAATAATCGTCAACAAACTCCAATACCACAAAATGATATAAAATCAAGAACTCCACAAATTGAACAATTGATTCAACAATATAAAGTTCCAATGAAATTAGCAGCAAATGCAGGTGCTGGTGGTGGTGAAGGTAGTAATAATAGTGATAAACAAACAACTGATACATCACCAACTTCATCAACAAAATCATTTCCTGATATAAGTTTAGTTACAGAAAATATCCCCAATAAACAAAATTTTTTTGAAAATTTTGAACCAACTCAATTATTTCCAAATTTTGGTGTTAGTTTACCTCCAACAAGAATTCAATCTCCTTCAATTGAAGAAATGGGTAGTAATATTTATAATATGGGATCAGGATCAGGAACAAATGATAACAATAATAATATGACGTCTATTAATAATAATTATGACCAACAACAACGACAATCATCTCAACCACCTTCTCAACATATTAAAGTTGAAGATAATAGTAGTGGTTTTAATAATTCAAATGATCAAGAACCTTCATCATCAACTTCATCGAATTCAAATAATGATATAAAGGCAGCTAATAATAATAATAATAATAATCCATCAACTCCTGGTTTTCAAACTAATTTTATTGACAGTTCTTTCATTAATATGAATTTACAATCAGGTATGGAAATGAATGATGAATTTAATTCATTATTTAATTTTATGAATTAGATATTCAATTTATTGTATTATTAAGATTTAGATTAACGTTTTAGAGATTTTACGTAAGTATAAAAAAAATTTATGAAACATTTTATGAAATAATTTTATTAAAAATAGATTATCTATTTATGACCTCTTTTACTTTTTTGTTTACTCTTATTTAATTTTTTTAAATTTTCTAATATCTCTTCTCTTCTTAATTTTTGAGAATATCCAATACAACTTTGAATATAATTTTCATAAATTTCATAATCATTTCTTAAAGAACCAAGTTGATTTAACCAAATAGAATTTAGCTTCACTAACTCTTCTTTTAAATTTTTAAATTGTGTTAATTTTTCATCTAGTTTTGTATCATTATTTAAATTAGCTAAGTATTCAAATGAAGAATTTTCCATTAAATTTATTTCATATTTTGATATTATATCTTTTGTTTGCTTGAGTAATAAATCTTTGTCATCATTTGTTAGTTTCAAATCTTCAAATTTTGGAATGGGTGTTGTCCAAATTAAATCATTTTCAGTTATTGATTTTTTTCTTGAATGAGTTGAGCTTGTTGTTGGTACACCTAATAAAGAAGAAGAAGATGTAGATGGGTTTGATTGTTGTGTTAGATTCGATGAATTATTGTTTGTCGTATTTGATGTCATAGGTTTTAATTCATCTAAATTTATGGGTATACCTAATTTTATTAATAAATTATGTCTTATATCCAGTTTTAACCAATTTGAAGGTTGTAAATATGGAATTTTAGAAATTTGATTATATATTGTTTGAGATCTTTCATTAAGTAAAGTATTTGTATCTTCTTTTTCTTGTTTTTCTTGTTTTTCGTCTTCTTGTTCGTCTTCTTGTTCGTCTTCTTGTTCGTCTTCTTCTTCCAGCTTAGTAGAATGAAATTGATGAGGATTTATAAACAATTTATTCATTAATTTTGTTAAACTTTTTTCAAATTCTAATTTATTTGTAAATGATGAATCTGGAATTGCTATTTCATTTTCATTATTATTTGAAACTGTTGTTGGTGATTCATATTCATCAAATTCATCAAATTCACCAAAATCGTCGTCATCATCTTCGTCGTCGTCGTCGTTGCCGCTTTCATTTTGTTGATCTTTGTTGTTGTTTGTAATTTTTGCTTCTTCAAAATCGTCGAAATCATCAAAATCATCTTCCTCAACATCCTGTTCTTCGTTGGTTTCGTTTATTTCAACTTTATCTTCCTCTGTTATTTCAATTTCCAATTCTTTCTCGTTTTTTGCCTTTAAATCATCAATAAGTTCCGGATCATTGCTTGGACTTTCATTTGATTGATTGTTCTTTTGATCCTTTGGTTCCTCATTTTCTATTTCATTATTGATAATTAAATCGCTCGTTGTTTTATCTTGTATAATCTCATTATTCTCATTATCATCTGCCATATCAACACGAAATTAAACGTTCAATTGATATGATCTTCTGCAAGACTTGTGTATGTAAAAGTTGTTTCGAAACTTTGGAAATTTGAAAATTGTAAACATTTTTTCGTGTTTAACATTTTCAGTTTAACTTTTTGCAACTAAATACTAAACTACACTTACTCATTGGAAGTTTCACCCGTTTCTGATGTCTCCACCATTAGTATTATTCTCAATTGGAAACCCGGGTCCTCAAAATAGACACTCAGCAGGTCATATGATGCTTAAGCTACTAATAGAAAATACATCAAATGTTAAACAATTAATATCAAAACTGACTTATTCAATAACTAACAATTCTGATAAATCAATATATTTTATAAAATCAAATACATATATGAATGAAAGTTCAAAAGCAATGGAGAAATTTTTGGCGGTGGAAAATATACCTCAAGGTTCATTAATACTAATATTATATGATGATTTTGAAACTAATTTACCGAATATAAAATTATCAAATTTAAAAAAAAATGAAAGTCATAATGGTATAAAAAGTTTACAAAAATTTACAAATGATAATACTAGTAGGTATAATTGGCTAAAATTGGGTATATCCATTGGTCCCAAACCTGTTAATGCTAGTAAAGAAATTATGAGTTCTTGGGTATTAAGTCCTTTTACATTAGAACAAAAACAATTATTTATGAATAAATCTCTCGATTTATGTTTATTTTATTTAACTGAAATAATTGAAAAATTTAATGAAAGTGAAGATGGACAATTAGGAGATATTGGGAAATTAGATGTAAGGATACGAAAGATGTATAAACAATTTAATCCTGACGATTGATTAAGATTATCTTACAGTTCAAAACTTTCGCAAACCAAAATCAAATGATTTTTTAGTCAACAAGAACCTAGAGTTAAGAGCTTTTACAAACAGCAAGCTTTTAAAATGTCAAAATGTATTTCCATTTATTTAAAAAATTGTATTACGTCTATCTTTTTTAAACTTTTCCCTTTTTGAAGAATTGAAAAGAGCATCACTATCATAAGTATCACTTTCTAATCCATCATCATCAAAATAATCATCTAAATCACCATCATCATCTTCATCTTCATCTAAAGAAGTTATAAATTGATCTTCAATTTCTTTATTTGTTAAACCAATTGAATTTTTAAATTTATTAAAATCATAATCACTTGGAATATAATCTTCATCTTCATCATCTGAATTAAGCACTAAATTCATTTTAGCTTCTTTCATTTTTGATGTAGTTAATTGTCTACCTTTTTCAATTGATCTTTCAATTGATATTCTATTTTTTATAAATAGGAGTTTGGGATATAATGATCTTTCACCTTTCATTATAATTTCCTCCAATTGTTTTTCACTTGGATCAGATAATATATACCAAAAATCTTTTAATTTATTTCTTGGCCATATAGTTATTGATCCAGTAAAATTTTGTAACCAAACATTTGACCAATCTTGTTGTAATACATGAGGTAATAAATCTAATGATTTTATAATTTGTAACCATTTTCTAATTTCTAATCTAAATAATTGTTCTAAAGCAGTTGCAATAAATCCACCTCTAAATGAAGCAAATTTTTCTTTTGAAGTTTTTCTTTTTGATATTGATACTGGTCTGCCAACGGTTCCTTTTGGTGCAAAAAAGAATAATGATATATGAGGATTAACTTGTGATACTATAGTAAAATTAACATGATAATAAGTATTTAATGCATCAATGGGGATATCAGTTCTTAATGAACCATCTCTCCATTTACTACCTAAGGAAAAGGGAACAGAAGTTCCATTTTCTGGATTTTTCATCATTAATACTACAGGATTTAAAATTCCTGGTACTGCTGAAGAAGCTAATAAAGTTGACCATATAATACAATGAGGTGAAGTAATATCATTACATAAAATAACTGGAGAATGAGGATCAGCAGGAACAGTACTTATATTTAATTTTCTACCAGTTCTTTCAAAAGCTTCTTCAAAAGTTGTTGAACCTCTTGTAAAAAAATTTGATTTTCTTGCCCATGCAACAGAATCAAATCTTGCACCAGTTTTAATTAATCTTGGAATCCATATATACCAAGGATCTTCACATGCTGTAATTTTTCTTGCTAATTCAGGTATTAATAATTTTTTTAATTCATCATTGTTTCGAGTACATAATAAAGCAGCAATTAATCCACCACCTGATGTTCCAGAAATAATATTTGGTAATAAATTAGCATCTAATAAAGCTTTTGCTACTCCAAAATGAGTATAAGCAAAACAAGCACCACCACTTAAACACAATGCAGATTTACCATAATTTTTTGAAACAATTTTAAAAAATTTCCATTTTAATTCAATATTTAAATCATTTGTTGTTAATATTTTCTCAATACATAATAAAACTTCTTCATTATAATTTTGAACTAAATTTTTAGTACCATAATATCTATGAGAATATAATTGACGATTCTCAATACCTGCAAAATTTCGCTTGAGACATCCTTGTAAAAGTATTAATAATTCTTGAATTTTGTTATCTAATCTGGCTTTTTTTAATTTATTTATAGTTAATTTAACTGTCTTGTAATCATAATATGAAAATTTTGGATTTTCAGACCATTTATCTAATCCTAAAAATTTATCCAACGCAATAGCATTTTCAATCCATTCTTCATATGTTTTTGAATTTCTTAATTTATCTCTTAATTTTTTTCTTTCTCCTGTCCATGTAAAAAAATATTCACTTAATGCAACATAAGCTCTTACAATAAAATAAAGAAATCCTAATATTGTAATCCATATAAATACAAATATTAATATTGGCCATCGTAGTAATGTATAACTTGCACTATTTCTAAATTCATTTTGTAAAGTTTTAAAGGTTGATGTTGGTTTTTTATCTTTATTATTCTGGTTTTTTGAATTTGATGATTTATTTTTATCCTTTTTAAAATTATCACTATTTACAGGAAACCAATCACTTTTTGAAGTAATCATATCTGGTTTTGCCGTTGGTGTTATACCTAATTCTGCACCTTCATTTAATAATTTTCTTGTATTATAATTACTATCCGACATATATGATTCATCATCAATTTCTTCAGTATGCAGTGATGAAGTTGAAGAAATATCATCATTATTATTATTAAAATCTATTGGTTCATTTTTAGGAGTTGTTGGTGAAGTATTTATATCTGTATCATAATCTTGCCATATTAAAGCTTTTGCGAAATCACTTATATGATCTTCATTGATATAATCTTTATCTTCTTCAAATAATGGTTTTCTCTTTGACATGTTTATTCTATTTTATTATTCAAAATGGTTTAAGTAAGTGAAAGTATGTACATATAATTGCTTTGAAATAAATAGGTAGGTAAAAATGACTAACGTGAGATTCTTCTTTTATGTTTCAAGTAGGGGTAGGACTGACTTGTCTTTAAAATTGAAATTATATTATGAAGTAGTTGATAAAAATATTTTAAGAAAGTAATGATGTAAGTATTTATAAAATATAAAATTAATTGCTTTTATTATCTGTTGATAATTACATCTAATTGATGCTACCAAAAATGTTAGCTTAAGAGGTAATCTCTAAAAAATACTCTCATAACCTTTTAGAACTCTGCTTTTCTCGAGAATCGAATGAATCACAGTTCAAATTAAAGTTCAGTTACTCCAACTTTTTGTATCATAGTAGTACCTTAAAAGCATTGAAACATGTACAGCTCGTCGTATCATAGTGATGACTATTAAAGATGAAACTCATATGACATTATAGGTTTAGGCTTTTGTGTAATTTTTTATTTGGAGTACAAAAATGAAATTATAAATCCGTTTCTTGCATTTTGTGTAATGTTCTACGAAACATAATAAAAATCTGATTCAGTTAAGGTCCAAGGCATAATCTTGATTTAAAATATAAAAACTGCTTATCTATAGCACCAGTTAAATACGATATTCATGGTAAAGAGAGTATTGAATCTTCATCCAGTTCTTTTCAACAACTTACTACTCTTAACAATTATTTCCGAAGACACAAAGTATCTATAATTAGACGGAACGTATGCTTTTTTTTTTGTTGAGTTTCATAATTTTCTAGTTTGTAACCAACACATTTTCAAATCAATTATATTATCAAAAAATTCGTAGAAATGTCGATAATAGGAAAAATGATCAAAAAAATAAGCTTTTTATTACAATAATCAAATCAGTAGGAAGGTTGAAACTTTAACTCTATTCAACAGCTTATCATATGCTACTGAATTCAATGTCGAGAAAATTTCAATGTCAAAAACTTGTAAATCATGTCTCAAAAATTCATGTAATCAAAATGTTTTAGAAAATGAAATTTACAACCACAATTTATTTGGTCTTTAACCATTCAATAAGTAGAAAACAATATAAGATAAATGACAAATTCACCAATTAAGTCAGACTCAATTCACTCAGATCTCGTTCATCAATCTAAAATAGACACTGTGATACTAGATATAGAAGGAACAATATGTCCAATAACATTTGTAAAAGATAAATTATTTCCATATTTTATAAAAAAATTACCAGAAGTTTTAAATAAATATAATTATCCAATAAATTCATTGGGTAGTAATGATCCAATAATAAATATACTAGAAAATTTACCATCAAATATAACAAACTCCTCAGAATCAATATATGATTATTTAAAAAATTTAGTTGATAATGATATAAAAGATCCTGTTTTAAAATCTTTACAAGGTTTTATATGGGATCAAGGTTATAAATCTGGTGAATTAAAATCTCCAGTTTATAAAGATTCAATTGAATTTATTGAAAAATTTCCATCTACTACAAAAAAAATATATATTTATTCATCAGGTAGTATAAATGCTCAAAAATTATTATTTGGTCATGTAGACGTAAATGGTAAATCTAAAAATTTAAATAAATACTTATCTGGTTATTTTGATATTACAACTGCTGGTTATAAAAATGAATATACTTCATATACTAAAATATTAAAAGAAATTGGAAAATTAAATAATCCTAAAACTGTATTATTTTTAAGTGATAATATAAATGAAGTTAAAGCTGCTATAAAAGCTGAAATGCAAAGTTATATTGTTATAAGACCTGGGAATGCTCCAATACCTAGTGAAGAAAAAAATGGTTATAGAACTATAACTTCATTATATGAAATAGATATATAATGAGTTCAGATTAGATATATAGCATATATATGTAGAAACTTATAGAGTACTAGACTACAATAATTTATTTTATTTTATTTTTACATCATGATTTCTCTACTTTTACATTTGTAGGTTCCTATTTTAAATATTCTTACATACAAATACTTATTTCTTCCTGTTCTGCTCTTAAATATTATCTCTAAATAATATATCTGCTGTAACTTCTTCATTTTTATCACAAGCTAGATAAACTTGTATAACTAAATCTCTTTCAAATCCTAATTCACATAATCTATCAATTGCATTTTGATCTTGTTCACTTAATGCAATTCCAACAGTTCCTTCAGGATCAGAACCTGATGCTCCAGCACCTGCTCCACCAATTAAATCTCCTGATTCCTCTCCTTCAACTTCAAAACCTAAATCATCACCTGTTGCTCCTAATATTGTTCTAATAAATGCTTCTGGATCTTCTTGTATTAAACTTGCAATTTGTGGATTTGATGCTGCTAATTGTTCTAATAATGGTTGAATTAATTCTGGATTTGATTGTAATGCAGCTCTTAATAATTGCATTTGTTGATCATCTCCAATACCTGCCCCAATACCTGCTCCAGCTGCATTTGCCGCACCACCTGTTGTGGCTGAAGCATTGGCTCCTGATCCTCCTCTACCTTCTTGAGCTGCTACTGCTGCTGCTTGTTCAAATAAATTTTCACCAGTATTTGATTCATCCATATCATCATCTTCATCATCTCCAGTAGCATTAGCTCCTTGTTGTGATATATCCCCAGTAGTAGATTCAGCTAATGGACCAGTAGTATTAGCTCCTCCACCAACATTTCTTGTAGTTGATGTAGCAATTGGTGGTTCTGGACGTTGTAAAGATTCAGGAATTCCAGTTATTAAATATTCTACAGCTCTATGAGGATTATTGAATGCTGCTCTTAATGCAGCTTCAACTTGAGGTCTATCATATCCCATTTCCATTATATTAGTTATAGTTGCTTCTCTTTCACTTCCCACTGCAAATGTAGATTCATTTGAAGTGGTTGTTGTTGTAGTTGTAGTAGGTTGTTGTTCTGATGAAGTTGATTCTTGATTTGTTGTGGATGGAGTATTAGCATTTGTTGATGAAGATTCTGTAGATTTTGATGTCTCTTCAGTTGTACTTTTATTTTCAGTAGTAGGTTGTGGAGTTGAATTTGAAGTAGTTGCAGATGATGAAACAGGTGTAGGAGTCTTTTTAGGTTGTGATATCATATATATTATTGCAGCACCTTCTTTAATTTTAAAATCTTCTAATTTTTTATCATCATGTAATACTTTACCTGAATAAACTAATTTAATTTGTGATGGTTCACAATCTTTTTCTTTACTTAGTTTTTCTTTAGCTGATAATACCTTAGGAGATTAGTTAGTATATTGATTAATTAAATTTCAACTGCATTCACTCGATAAAACATACAGTATCTGATAACTCCACCTCAATTGGTACAGTGTTTTTCTTGAAATCCTTGAATATGATCTGCATATCTTTTGATTATTTATCTATGCAGTTATCAAACTATTCCAATTGATATGATTTTAATTGAAGAACGGGTTAATTTTACTTTACTTTCTCGTCTTCATTTTCATTTTGATAGATTTGAGAATCTTTTCAGTTTTTGTGTCGTTGATTTTTTTTTAGTGGCAATTTTTTTTTTGTCAAAGTTCGTTTGGTAGCCGGTATTTTTGATGTGCTTGGTAGCTTTCTTCACTAACAATAAAATACATCTTTACCTACATACATTAAATTAATTGCACTTAATTAACTCTAAAACATTGCTGCAACTTTTAATTTCATATTTCACTTCGTATTATAAACTATTTTTTACAACCAACTCCAACAACACCAAATATCATACACATCATCAACATACTCTACTATCAACTATGGCTAGAAGGAACAGAAACAAAAATTCAACTGGAGTGAAAGGTCCTCATTCAGCTTTGACTGAATTTTTAAAAAGTGAAGGTATTACTGACGCGTTTAGACAAAGACGTGAAAGAGAAGCAAATAGTGGAAATGGAAGTGGTAATACTAGTCAAACTGGAACTCCTGAACCTAATAATAGTGGAACTAATAATAATGGAGATAATGAATCTCAAGATACTTCTATTAATAATTCAAATGTATCATCAAGAAATAATAGTCCTATTTTGTCAAGAAGAACATCACAACGCGGTAATTCAATAACTCCTGATAAAAACAATAAAAAACCTGACGATGAAGACGAAGAAGAAGACGAAGAAATTCAACTAATGAGAAAAGCTGCAAAACGAAAATTAAAAGCTGCATCAAAAAATAGTAGGATACGAAAAAGAAGAACAGGAGGTCAACCAGATGACAGTTCCAGTGATAGTAGTGATGATGATAGTGGTGACGACAATGCCTACACTGATACCGATGATGAAGATTTAGGTGATGCAGATATGAAAAAATTTGGAGATAAAGATATTTGTGTTGATTGTGGTAATGAATTTGAATTATCAGTGTTTTCCAGATTTATAAATGAAAAATCTGGTTATTTATGTGATTCATGTAATAAAATTTTAAAAGAAAGAGAAAGAAAAGCCAAAGCAAATCAATTAAATGCAAGAAAAAAAAGAAAAAGAGTTGCTCAAGCATTATTAAATAAATCAACTGTTAAAATCCCCAAATTACAAGATGTTTGTATTAAAAAAATTACTGAAAATATTGAAGATGTTGATGTATTAGGAGATATTGGTCATTATAATTTAAATAAAATTTCATCAATTTTATCAAAAAATAGATCATTAAATGATAAAACTATATCATTATTTTTATCACCAGATTTAAAACAAATATCATTTTGGGATTGTTCAAATGTTGATTCTGATTCATTAAATAAAATTGCTTCTTTTTGTCCAAATTTAGAATCTTTAACTTTATTTATGTGTGGTCAATTACATAATGATAATTTAGAATATTTTGCTTCAAATATGAAAAATTTAAATAGTTTATCTTTAAATGGTCCATTTTTAATAAGTGATAAAATGTGGCAAGCATTTTTTGATCATATGAAAGGAAGATTAATTAAATTTGAAGTTAGAAATACTCATAGATTTGGAAATGAATCATTACAAAGTTTATTAATAAATTGTGGATCTGATTTAACTTCATTAAAGTTATCAAGGTTAGATGGTTTGACAAGTTTAGAATCTTATAAAGAAATAAGTTCATTTATTGGAAAAAATAAAGTACAACATTTAGAAATTTCTTATCCAACAAATGAAGATATAATAAACGATGATATAATAATTGATATTTTACAAAAAACAGGTGAATCATTAATTTCTTTAAATGTTGATGGTTGTTCGGCATTAACTGATAAATTTTTAATTGAAGGTGTTACCAAATATTGTTCAAATTTAACAAAATTATCAATGAAAAATTTAGATCAAGTTTCAAATGAAGGTTTCACACAGGCATTTAATGAATATTCTAAAATTAATGTTGGAGGATTATTAGAAGTAAATTTAATGAAATGTTCAGATTTAGGTGATTCAGCAATATATTCTTTATTAAATCATTCATGTCATACATTAGTTGAATTAAGTATAAATTCATTATTTAAAATTTCAAATGAATTTTTATCACAAATTTCAACAAATGATCATCATCAATTTAAAAAATTATTGAAAGAAAAAATAGATAATAATGAACTGTCACAGCAGGTAGATGAAAATGGTGATGAATTACATTATTATCATGAAATTCATTTACCTTTATTAACATATTTAGATTGTTCATTTGTTAGATCAGTTGATAATGAAATTTTATCATTAATTGGTAATCATTGTCCAAAGTTACAAATTATTGAAGTATATGGTGATAATAGATGTAATGGTAAAGCAACTTTTAGAGATGATCTAATGGTTATTGGTCGTCAAAGTGATGAATTATAGATTTTTTATTTATCTATTTATACGTGGCAATAGAATTATATATATACTTTTTTAATCATTTGGATATTTTATTGGAGATTGAGCTTTTTCAACTCCTTTATAAGTAGGATAAGAAGGAGTTTGTAAATCTCGTTTAGTTAAATCTATCCAATTATTTTTTTTAGTAAATTTATTAGTTATTTCAGGATTTGATTCAATTAAAATACCAGGATGTCCCGCCTGTTTAGATAAATAGCTGAGATAAGGATCTTCATTTTCAAATTTATTATTATTCTTCTTAGTGTTTGAAATTTTATAATTAAATTTTTCTTGATGTTTTCTAATTAATTTATTATAAAATAAAGAATTTGATAAATTTAAATCTTTTAAAATTAATGTATCATCTGATTTCATACCATTTAAATTTAAAATTTCATTAATATTTGCACATGATATATCATAATACCAATCAATAAATATATCTAATTGTGATTTTGTTAAATTTGATTCATTAATTATTACGTTATATATTAATTTTAAATTTTCTAAATTTTTAAAAGGCGATTGTGCTTCATATTCAAATATAAATTTCCAAAATTCAAATGATTTAATTAATGAATTATGTGTATAATTTTGATTGAAAAAATCCCTTATTTTTATTGGTTGATTTTGATGTTTATAGATTTGTAAAAGTCGTACAACTATTATTGGTATTGAATCATCATTAAGAAAATTTGTAAATGATTGTACAAATTTATCCGGTAGTTGTAAAAGAGATTTATTGGTTTCACTTGTTTCTTCTTTAATTTTATCTTCGTATTCTTTGTCCTCTGCTTCCTCTACTCCTTTCTTGATTTTAGACTCACGAACATTATAATAAGTACTACTTATTTGTTCCAAGAGTTTTTGAAAATCGATTGGTGTCAAAACAAGTCCCCAATTTAAAACAATTTCATTTACAATCTCCAAATATGGAGCTTTATAGTATTGTTTAGATACTCCACTAAACAATTTTATCCAATCAAATAAATATTCATTAGCTTCTTTAAATTTATCATAACTTTGTAAAAATTTAGAAAACATTTTTCTTAATTTATTATCATTTAATGGAATAAATTTTGAATTAGCTATATTATAAATTAATTGTTGTTTTTCATACTTTTCATCTTCTGAAATTTTAGAATTATATATGAATTTAATATATTTAATCCATAAATCAGAATTGTAACAATTTGGTATTATACTTCTTTCAAATAAATTAACCACTAAATTAAATTGTGTATGAAATTCGTCAAATGGTAAATTGTTATAAATTCGTATTTCCCTGTCTAAGTAGTTAATCCATGTATTTAATTCTTTGGAAGTTTCAGTTCTATCTATTGAAAAATCTTGATTGAGTAAAGATTGTTCAAATTCCCAACATGAACTAACTTTTGCTTGAGTTTGTGCAAATACACTAGCAAAATAATCATCTATTATTTGATGCTTTTCAATTAATGATAAATCTTCAATTTTCTTCTTCCCGAATTTAACAACATAATCATTCAAATCTTTTGACGGTATTAATAAATTTATATCGTAATTTTTATTGATTTCTGAAAATTGAGTATAGTATTTAGCATATTGATATAATGGTATTTTAACAATTTTTAAATATAATTCTAATAATTCTTTAGATTTTAAATTATCTTGCTCTTTTGCTAAATTTGTTTCAAATTCTAAAACTTTATCCCAAATTGATTCTGAATTAAAATGATATCCATTTTTATCAATTGCTATATTATATAAATGTCTAAATTTTTCAATATTTTTAATTTCATCAACTACTTTCAAAGCAGATAAATAATTTGACCATAAACTTACAGAATTTGGAAAATTCTCAACTGCCATTCTTAAAATATCAATTGATGCATTTTTCCCATTCATTTTATATTCTACAACTGACCATTTTTTCCAAAATTCTTCTAAATATGGAAATCTTGATAGTAGTGTTTTATAAGCATTATGTATCTTGGTTTTAGTTTCTTGATTTAATGAATTTTTGGTTGGATCATCTTGAGAAATACTTTGATCTATTGTATCATCATATTGTACAAATAATTGATTCCATGAATCTAAATTATTTGGATCTTTCACAATTTTATCATCATCATTTGTTGTTGAAGCTTCTAAAGATATATGATCAGCGTTACTTTGAAATGAGTCAGTCTTATTAGATTCTAAATCATGCGGTAGAAGTAGATCTTGGCTGGACATACGATTCGGGTGCTACTTTTGTTGTGATGATGTTTTTAAATATTTTTGGTGTTTCAAATTTACAAAACAATAATACAAAATTAAATTTATTATTTGAAACTTAGTACTAGATAATTCGAATCACCAAGATACCATTCAAAAACACTCATTAGTACTAGGTATATACAAGATATAGATGTCAAAGTATGAATCACATAGTACACTTTTGTCTAGCGGAGATATAACATTAACTGCTCCTTATGCCATTCCATCATCAAATAATTCCAAATTATTATCATTACTATCTAAGAATTCAAACTCTGTAGACCAAAAGTCGAAGAACGATAATACAGCTAAAGATATAGATGAAAGAAAATCAAACGACGAAAATCATCAATATCAATTGAATCTACAACTACCTACTCCAAAACAATTTGATGCTTCTGATATAATTGAAATAAATAATACAAAGATCTTAACACAACAATCAAATCAAAAAAGTATCACTAGTAATAACGATAATAATAAGGTCTCAAAAGAGTTGGTAACTGAAGTTATTAATGAAAATGATGATCCAAAATATCTTATAGATATAGATTCAATAAATCCAACTAATTTAAAAGATCAAATATCAACAATTATTATAAATAATTTCCCCAATTTGAAAAACAATGTGATTGAAAATATTCTATTAAAACTTTTAAACCCGTCAAATGATGAGTCCAAAAAATTTGAATGGTCAACGATAAATGGTTCTGAATATATTGATCAAAAAGTTGTATTTTTAAGATTTTCAAAATTAGAAAATTTAAAATGGTTTATTGAAAATTATGAAAATGATCTTAATGAAATCATACCTAAAATTGAATTAATATATAATCCAAAAATAAAGGATACATTATCGACAATAAAGGTTGAAGATTTAAATTCACAATCAATAAAAGAAAAATTAAAAAATCAAATAAAATTAATATGTTTTAGTTCAAAAAATTTTGAAACAAATTCTAAAACAAAAGGAGTTGAAGATTTAGATCATATAATGAAATCATATTCAAGTTATACTGTAGATAATAACGATTTAATTGATGTTCCCAAGGAAATGAAAGATAAAATTGTAAAAGATATTAAAATATTTAGATCCAAGATGTTAAATATTGAAAAATTAAATAGACAAAAACAAAATGAAAAAGAAAGGTTTAAAATAAAACAAAAATTAAATGAATTATATCAAAATTTAAAAGAAGTTAATGATAAAAATAAAGAAAATAAAGATATAACCGGTGAAGTTGATGATGAATATAAAGATGTTATAATACCTGAAAATCAATTTGAAAATTTAAATGATAAAGAATGTGAAGAAATGTTGAAAAAAATTGAAGTAAAAGAAATTGAAACAAAATATAATACTGAATTATTAAATTTTAAATCAAAAGAAGAAGAACAAAAAGAAATATTAATTTCAAAATTACAAAACCTTAAAAATTATGAAACTTCAATAATTGATTCAAAATTAGAATCAATTGAAAAATTGAAAAACATTGAGAAAAATGATTTATATAATCGTAATTATAATGAATATTTAAAACAAAGACAAATTAAAAGATTATATGAATTAGAAAAAGACGAAGAAGATCAAAAATTAGAAGAAGAAGAATTAAAAGCTAATGACAGTAAAGCTTCTAATATTGAAATTGATCAAATTGAGGAACCACAGACTAAGAAATCAAAATCATCAACATCAAAATCAAAATCAACATTAATAATTAATAACTTATCATCAGGTACTCAACAAAAAATACATCAAAAAATAAATGAATTAATTGAAGAATATTTAGGTATACAAGATGATATATTATTTAAAGTTATAAATGAACATATCAAAACTTATAATTTAAATAATAGTGATGAATTAATTGAAGAATTGATTGAAATTTTAGATGATGATTCAAAAGTATTAGTAAATCAATTATTTAATTATATAGAATCAATAGCAGAATAATAATAAGAATTACAATAAATTATTTTGTGTATTGTTTAATGGGTATGTATAATAATAATAATAAGAAAATAAAAATTTTGAAAATTTTAAGATTAATGTTTCTAAATTTTGTTCTTTTTTAAGAAATAAAAAAATGTACTAATTTGAATCTAATTTTAAATGATGGTGTGTATGATTATGGCCAATAAAATGCTCTATTCTCTGGTTGATTTTGATTCATATTAACATATTGAGTATGATTATTATTCTGATCTTGATAATTAAATTGATCATTATTATTAATTCTATCAAAAATATCTGAAAAACCATCACTACTACTTAAATTATTTGAAATTTGACTTGAATTAATACTACTATTTTCTTCTGAACTTGTAATCATACTTTCTGAATCACTTAATGGTAAATTAATTGAATTTTTTGATTTAAATTTTCTAAATAATAAAATCATTAATGACATATAAATCATACAACCTGCTGATGCTCCTATAGTTATTCCTGCTATTCTACCTTTATTTGTTATAGTTGGATTTGTTGAATAATTTGCATCCATTGATCCATAAGGATTTGCAGAATTTGTTTGATCGGATGATGATCCACTACCACCACTAACTTGACGATTTGAATCAGTTAATCCAGTTAATGGAATTCTACTATCAATTAATGAAGCTAATGTATTTAAAGTTTTATCAGGATTTCTATAAATTTGTGAACCTGATGTTGTTATTAATTGACTTAATGCTCCAATTGAATTACTTGGGAAATAAATTTCTGCTACTGTTATTGTATAATCTATATTTGATGCTTGATATGGTATTAATTGTTTAACTGTAATTTCATTTAATTCTTTTGAATTTCCAAATGGATATGATACAACTAATGGTAAAAATTGGAAAATTTGTGCTGATGAAATAGTATGATTAACAACGAAAGGATAATTTAATGCAGATTTGAAACCAATTGTAATAATAGAATATTCATCACCTGGATCACTAGTATCTGCTGGTGTTATAGCTCTTGGTAAACCTTGAGTTGATGATGGTGTTGAAGTAGCTTGTGCAATATCAGTTTCTTGTGTTTGTTCAGGATCTTCAGTTGGTGTTTCAGCAATAATTAATGTAGATGGTAACCAATTTTTAGTAGTTGAAGTTCTACTTGCTGGTGGTTGTTGTTCTTGTTGATCTGTAGATGATGAATCGATGATAATTGGTGCTGGTGTAGTACTTGCAATTGGTGTTGATGTTGGTGGGATTGATGTGATGACTGGACCTTGAGTAATACTAGATGATGAATCAACAATATTAGTAGCTGGTGATTCACCTGTTGAAACTTGTGATGTAGAATCAGTGACTTGAGATGTACCAACAATATTACCCTCTGAATCAGTTGATGTAGTAACTGCCGAAGAAGCAACTTCAGAAACTGATGATCCTTCACTAGCAGCAGTAGTTTGAGTTGATGCTGATTCATTAGTTTGAGATTCTGCAATAGTATTACCTTCGGAATCAGTTTCAATACTTGAAGTGGTAGATTCACTAATTAATGATCCTTCACTTGCAATAGCAGTAGTTGAAGCAGGAACTTCAGAAGTTTGACTTGTTTCACCAATAACAATTGTATCACTCGATGAAGAAACAGCAATGACTGAAGTAGCAGAACCTTCTGTCTCAGTAGGTTCGGATGCAATAACTTGAGTAGTTGATTCAGAACCAAATATTTCACTAGTTGATGATGATGATGATGCTATTATGGAAGAAGTATCAATGATACCTTCAGTTTCACTTGTACTTAAACCACTAGTCAAACCTAAATCTGATGATGACGTATCAACTAAAGATGAAGCTAGTGGAGTTTCTAAACTAGTAGTTGTAGCTGATGTTAATTCTGAAATTCCAGATTCTTCAACTGGTAACTCTGATAAAATTGAAGAAGAACTTTCAGCCGATAATGATGATAATGATGATGATGATTCAGTAATTGTTGGTAAAGTTGAAGTAGTTGATTCAGGAACACCAGGAGTAAAAGATTCAACTACTCCAGGAGTTGAAGAAACAATAACACCAGGAATAGAAGTTGAAGTAGTAGATTCAATTGAAGATTCAATTGGAGTTTCAGTAGATAATTGTGATGAAGATAAAGAACCTGTCTCAATTGATGATGAAACTGCAATAGATGAAATTGTTTGAGAACCAACAACACTTGAACTTGTACCAATATCAGATCCTTGTGAAATTGAACTTGAATCAACAGAAGATGTACCAGATTCAACAATAATTGAAGATGATGATGATTCACTTATTGGAGTAGTAGATGATGAAAGTGAAGTTGTTGATGGATCATATAATGATGTTGAACTTTCTTCTCCTGAATCACTTAAAGAATTAGAACTAGTTGATATTGGAGTTGATGCAAAACTTGAACCAGATGTAGTAGTGAGAACAATAGGAGTTGATAATGTATCAGTATTTGAACTTAATGATGATAAAACAGTTGATGAAGCTGATGGAGTAGCAGCTATTGATGCATCAGATGCACTTACTAAAGATGTTGGTGATGAACTTACAACAGTTTGATCATTACTACTTAATGGGGTATTTGATGAAGTTGAATCAGTAATAATTGCTGATGATATTGAATCTGTTGAAATAGTTGAAGCTGCATCAACATTTGATAATGAGCTTTGAGCAATTGGACTTGTATCAGTGTTCGATGCACCTGTTGAAGAATCAGTAATTGAACTTTGAGTTGATTCAAATACTACTCCAGTAGAAGCAGAAGTATCAATTGGAGTAGTAGCACTAGTGAAACTTGATGATGGTGGTGAACCAGAAGTAGTAGTAGTGCTGATTGTATTAGATGGTGAAGATGTTGTTGATGAATTCTCTAAAGATGATTCAGTTGGTTCAACTAATGATGTTGTACTTTCTGATTCTTCTGAAGTTGATTGAGTTAATGCACTTGCAACAACTGGTGAATTAGTTGAAGACGAAGTTGGTGGAGTAGCAGTGTCTTCATTTGATGTTGTTGAACTTGTTGTTGAATCAGTTGAATCATTAATAACTGATGAAGATGTTATTGGAGTGGTGGTTGGTGAAGTAGAAGTTGTTGTTGGAGTAGTTGATGAAGTTGATAATGTAGAAGTTGGAGCAGCAGTTGTAGTTGAATCAATGGGATTTGCAGTTGGATTAGCTGATGAAACTTGTGGAGTATTTGCTGTCGTAGTAGTTTCAGAAGGACTTGAAGAAGAATCTACACCATTAGTTACAGCTAAAGGTCTAAAGCCGTTTGCACTACTTGATTCTGATGCTGTTGAAGATGTTGTTGGTTGATCTTGGGGAGTAATACTAGTAGTAGTATTTGGTACTTCTACTGAAGATGAAGTAGTTTGTTGTGCTTGTGGTGTTTGTGATGTTGTTGTTGGTGAAGTAGATTGTTGTGTTTGTGATGAAGTTGTGGGTTCTTGTTGTTGTTGTTGTGAAGATGCTGGAGTTGTATTGGTAGTTTTACTTTCTTCAATAGTAGGTGAAGATGATGATTGTTGTGGTTGTTGTTGTGGTTGTTGAGTTCTTGAATTAGAATTATCATTTGATGAAGAAGGAGTGGAAGATTCAACTTGAGGTGAATTATTATTTCCTACTCTTGATGAATCACCAGTTGTAGTTGTGGTTGCGTCTGGTGAAGTTGAACTTGATCCTGGATTATTATTATTATTAAATCTACCATCATTCGTAGAAGATGGAGTAGTTATAATTGGAGTATCAGGAATTGATGAAGAAGTAGATGATCTATCATTTCTATTATCATCTGGAATTCTTCTACCATTTGAATTTGAATTTGAATTTCTGTCATTATTATTACTACTATCAGCTGTAGGTTGTGAAGTAATTGAAGTTGAAGTAGGTACAGGTATATTGGTATTACTAAAAAAATTCAAAGTAGATGTTAATGAAGTTGATGATGATGATGATTCTTCAATTGGTGGATTAGATGAAGTTGAATTACTACCAAATAAATTTTGAAAAAAATTTCCAATTCCTCCGTTATTTTCATTATTATCTGCTCTTTTAAATTTTTCAACTAATTTATAATATGGTTTTAAAGGTTTTGATGATACAGATTCACCATTTATAAATGATATATATGATAAAATATAAATTGCGGTTATAAAATTTAAATTAATATTTGATAACATGACTTAATAGGAAATTAACTAAATGAATTGAAAAAATTGATTTTAAATATGACAAATAATGATATATCTGTTTGTAAAATTGAAATAATTTGATTTTAAAAGAAAGACTGTAGTTGGTGATAATATGAATAGATCTATTATTAATTCAAAACTTATATATCTAAAATGATGAATGATAGAAAATACTTGAGTTTTAAAGGATATTAAATCTATTATTTATTTTTAAGCGAATGAATGTAAGTTTATTCAATAAATAAACTAATAGTTGGAATTATAATAGTAAGGGTATGAAATATTTAAAACAAAACAACAATTCTTTGTTTAATGTACTTTAAATACAAAAAATTCGAATTTATAGACTTTGTCTGAATAGTAAATGAATATAGGGGTATCAAAAAGTTCTTTAGAATGAGTAGTAGACAAGATGATGATGATGATGATGATTATTCATATAACTCCTTACTGGATTGTATAAAAAGTCCCTGATTTGTGATATATACTTTGTAGGTTGTGATAGTAATATAGGATATTGCGAGGTTGATGATGATGAATGGAGTCTAGTCTGATTTTGCAATGAATTAAAAAGACAAAAGAAGTAGATAAAAGTGGTTGTAAAAAAAAAAAGTGGTTGTAAAAATTTGTTGATAGTATGTTGTTGTTGTGATTATTGTTAATTAGAAGGTTAAATTAAAAAGTAAAATTGATTTACAGAAGAAAAAAAAATAATTAATTATGGTACTGTATATAGTATATAAATTATTATGTTTACTTTTTCTATAATACCAAAAGTAATTTTGTGTAATAGTATGAGTTTAAAAAACTTTAACTTGAAGAGGAATGAGTAATTTCCATAAATAAAGCATCGAAGATAGATTAAGGTAAATAAGATTGATGGACCAGAGAAAATGAAATGAAACAGTACTGTGTGTTCTGCAATAGTAAAATTTGGAATTACACATGTGGTTATGTACTTCTTTCTACAACTGAAATGTGTGATTTACCTATCAAATATAATATTTAAATATTAAAACCCTTTTTAGTATTAGAATTATCTCCTTTCATTTAGGCTTAATAAATTAAATTTATTACGAGATTACTATTATAGGCGGGTAGTGTATTATTTGTTAATTTCTAATTGTTTAATCAATTAGGTAATTAAATTGGTAGTGCTACTACACTAAAATTAAATTTATACGCGTTTAAATTAATTCTCATATGAAACTTTTGATTTCAACCTATTGTTCGATACAATAATACATTATATAATTATAGATCAACAAATTTATACAGAAACACACAGATAGACCAACTATATCTACCTGGTCAACATGCTGATGACTTTTCAATGAGAACATCTCTCAGAAGAAAACAGATCTCATATGCGATTAAATTTTATAATTGCTAGAGATATCATCACAACTTTTTTTTTAAATTAAATGGATTTTTAAAAATCTAAAATTTGATTAAACGATGCATTTCGTATTAAAAATTTATCAAAATATTGAACTAAAATGGAATTTAAAAATGAATTTAGTAAAAATTTTTCTTTCTTTTCAATTTCCCCATTTTTTATTCATTTATTTATTACTTACGAACTAATTCAAGGCATTTGTACGTTTTCTGTGTAGTAAGTCAAGATCCAATAGTATCTGGATATTAAGTATTTTGATTTGTAAAGTTGTTCTTTAGCTAGAGAAATTTCAAGTAGTTTTCGGGTGAGTAGTAAACTGAAACTCCGTGTATTTAATTTGTGTAATACAAAGTTTAATCGAATGAAAAATTATTCAAAACCAAACTAAATTCATTTTTGTTTCTTTTCGTTTAATTTTTGATCCTTTATGGATAAATATTTGATTGAAATTTCTGAATAAAAAATTTGACGTAAAAATGATATTCGTTTAGACTGGATTGGGTTGATCATACCGACCCAAACATTATACGGTTCCGTATTAAATTTAAATTTCAAGCTCAAAATTTTTTTTTAATTTAAACTTCAATCATCCTTACGATGTAAAGTAATGTAGACTAACAGAAAAAAAAACTCGAAAATTATAAAACCAAGAAAGAGACGAATCAATGAATGTAAAGTATAATATTATTAAGTTATCGTCAAACTTAAGCTTATTTCAATAACTGTAAATAAAATATAATTTTTTAACACGAATTTTAGGTCAAAGCATTACTTCTCAACCGGCTTAAAACAAAAAAGAAAGGTTATTTTCTTAGACCTAAGTTGTCTAGTAATACTGAGGAAGTTTAAATAAAAGTTTACGCGTTCCAATTCTAATCTGATCTACTAACTAATTATTCAATCAATGCATGATTAGAATTCAGTTGCATTACATATGATTAAAGAACATTTCAAATCTAGCCTTAAATATGTTTGAATTGGAAATGAAATATAGACAATTACTTAATTAAGTAATAATGAATCTAGATTTGGTCTCTGCTTTTGTGTGTAAAAAATCTTTTGTTTATTTTTTTTTTTAACATCTTGATCTAAAAGTTCAAAATTCAGCCGTTTATCAAAGAGTTTTTAAACTTGAGTATATTCAGCAGATAAAACCTTTACCAAGGGTGTGCTCATGATCTTGTTATTCCCGGTAACGGATTTTAATTTTGGTTTTACCCATTACCGTTGAATCTGGTTTTTGTAGGAAGCTGTTTGGTACCTTAAACTGTGCTATGTAATTCAAAAAAAACAGGCTTATGGATGATAGTTTTCAACTAGATAAGGTAATCTTAGGCTTAAGAGCTTCTAGGTTTATCTTAATAAATAGTATTAACTCAGTTCAGTGAACGTATCTTAAAATGAACGAAAATATGATGTTGAAGAAAATACTACAAGACTTAGAGCAGTCAGTGAAATGAAATGAGTGGAAGATTGGTGATCAAATGTAGAATAGAAATTCTTCAATTTTAGCTGGAAAGAGAGAATTTGGATAAATTCACTTTTGGTTGGGCTGATCTCAGAAGGTCTAGAGTGAATGATTTGTCATTTTATTATACACAAATTTTATCCTGTAATCTATTTTTGTATTTTGACATCTTGCCGTTTGTTTCAACAAAGATGATTTATTAACAGAACCTTTAAGTATTACACAATTAGGAGCAGCAGTTATAATTCCTTATTTGATACATTTTCGTCAAAAATGGCGTCTAACTGCTAATTGTGTTATACTTAAGTACCGGTTTTGTCAATAAATCAACTTTTTTGAGGTTGTGTATAGTTCTCTCATAATAAACTGGATGTTGTGATAAAAGTTTAATTGACTGATCGTCCTCGAAAATAATTATCGATGATCAATATTAATTTATTTCACAATTTCTAATTCCCACAAAACATTTTAACAATACTTTCAAGTGAATAATATTCTGCATCACTACCCAACTACGCATTTGATTGTTTTTTACTACGTCAATTTAATTGGAGCGCCAGGCATCACAATTGAATGACCCATTGTACGTTTTCTATTATTATAGTTTGAAGCGTTATCTGAAGTGCAGTATGCTTCAATACTATTCGACCCTTATTATATTGTAATTCAAAACTCTTAGTATGATTTAAGTATTTATGGACATGATGAGCAGCTACTGTGTGAATTTTGTATGGATGATCGTAATATCTTGCTAGATTATTTGTGAAAAACTAATATTAATTTCTGAATGTATTGCTGAAATATAATATTTGTCCAACCAAGTGACGATTAGGAATCTTAATCACATTTGCTTGAGTCTTTAAACTACTTGAAGACCATAATAAGAAAATAAGGATATTTTGGTGGATTTGGATTTTGCATATTATGGTCTTCTAGTAATTTAATGATTTGTTCTTCCAAAATCTTCAGATTATGTGCTTTCCAAAAAGAATCTCAATTTTCCCAACATCCTTCATTTTGAAAGTTTCTTTTACTTTCATTTCACCATGTCTGATGATTGATCTCCTGAACTATAATTTTATCAATACAGATCAGACTAATTATTTTCATGTTGAATGTGGATTCCTTTTTTTAAAATTTATTTATTCTTGATTTCCATCTTTAGTAATCATATTATACTATTTAAACTCAAGATGACTCTCCTATGTTATACTAAAGGCATATTCAGATATTAATAAATCAGAAACATTTAACCTCTTATGATGTGGTACATGAATATATGTCTCCTAATATGGTTGACAAATATCAATTCATCAGTTGTATTTTTCAAACGAAAGTTTAAGTCTTGAACTCAAATGAGAAAAAAATAAATGTGTTGCAAATCAATCAATTCATTTTAAGAATCACATCAGAAATACAACAACAATATCTAATCATCAATCAACCACGTTTTGCAATGAAGTAATCATGGATGATGTAGACGATATAACAACAAATACCAGTACGGACATTAATAACAACCTCAATGAATTTGAAGGTAGAGGAAGTAAAAGTAGATTAAGAAAATTTGATAAATTAATAATTAATCAATCAAAATTAATAGATGAAGATGATCAAATTGAATATATTAATGAATTAAATAAATTAAATAAAGAACAATATCAAAGGTATAAGATTTATATAATTGGTTTTTATTTAATTCAAGTTTTGGTTATCATCATTGTGAGATTTAAATTTCAAAATGGGAATATAATTGAAAATAAATTATTCTTAATACTATTTTTAATTTCAATTATATTAAATTTAATTCAAGTAGTTTCAAAATCGGTAATATCAAATTTAAATTCAAATTATAAAATTTTAATAAAAGTTGTTAAAATTTTAATTAATTTACAAATAATTTGGACAATTTTAAAATCATTAAAGACAAACAATTATGAAATATTTCAATTGAAATTTATAATTTTAATTCTAATCTGTTTAAATTATAGTTTACCTTATTTTCATGAATCTTCATTTAATTCAATTAATCAATCAGTTTATGAATTAAATGAATTAAAATATAAATTTAAAAATATATGAAACAAATAAAATGAATAGGTAGACATTATACCAAAATACGAAAAAGTTTGAAAATTTAAGATGGAAAATCCGGGTATATTAATTTGATTAATTTTTGATGTAAGATATCTTTATGTAAGGGAGTTTTATTCAATCTTCCTTGATTTTGATGTAATGACCATATTAGGAACACCCAAACATTGAAATTTAATATTATTAGACAGATAGTGCTTAACAAGCTATATATTTCGTGTGTTTTCCTATAACGTTTGAAATTTTTGAATATTATTAATAAACTTAAAGGAGTTACAAGTCCATCTTTATTGAAAGGTTTTATTGCAGGAGTTGGTATTGTAATGATTATAAATTCATTAATAATTGTCTTAGGGTTAGAAGCATTACTTAAACAAATTTTAGATGATCCAAATCAAATGGATATTCATTCACCATTTGATAAAGTAGTATTTTTAATAATGAGTTATATTTTTAACAACTCTATGATCAGAATTAAAAATTATAACGGGTTCTTCATCAGAAAATTAGAATCACAAGTTACAAAATTAACAGAATCAGGATTAGAAAAATACTCAGCTCCTCCATCGGTCTAGTTTTATATCACTTAAGCTATGTTCATATTCCACGACAATGAATTTAATTTTTTTCCAAATAAATTCCATCATTGGATAGAGTTGATACAATGGATTCATTACTCTTTCATCCGAGCTATTGCTGCAAGCTTTGTATGGTGTTTGGGCTAAGAATTGTTCATAACGCTGGGCCAATTGAATCTGATTGAAAAATTATACTGTACAGTTGAAACCAAGAATATATAATTGCATAATCGTAACTAACAAAATAAGGGTATTGTTATTAAAATAGCTAATTGGGTTTTTTTTCTTTTTTCTTTTATGTGATTTATGGAGATGTTTAGTGTTATAGTGATCAAGATTTATTAGTCTAATAACCTGTGGTGAAAGTAAAATATGAGTTTGTAGCATGAATTTTACTAATTTCCGTTTCTTCTTCGATCTTTAATTCATTTTGATGAATTACAACTAGTTACATTACTTTCAAAGTCCATAATTTGGAAACAAACATCTTGTCTTTTGACATTCTTGTATGTATTACATTCACAACTATCAGAATTTAAATATAGTCTACTGATTTTTTAGGTAAAAAAAAATTGGAATATTTTGCAGCAAAAAAAATTATGTAGGTACGGATGTTTTCTTCATATTATCATTAAGTATAAATTAACCTACACCGTTTTTAAATCATCTATGTAGGATAAGTTTTGGATTTATAAGAGATAGGTTTCTAAAGCAGTAATTAATGTGCTCTTTCATTCAAAATCTGTTACAAGAAGATTATCGTTTTAAAAACAAAGAATTTGCGTTTCACCTTCAAACAAGTTGTTAAAAAATTTGCAACTAAATCCAAAACAGAAAAAAACCTACCAATTTACTTGTAAGCTAGAATGATCCATACTCCAAAGCGATTTAAATTTATTCAAATAGTAATGCCGAGGAAGTTCATACAATAGATCAATAAAGAGATCAGAGTTATAATAAAAAATCGTCAATTAAAATGTATCCAATTAATCAATTTAATGAAGGTAAAAAAACGTTTGAAAAATTTTTACTTATTAAATTAAAGGCAGGTCCCTCTTTCATTAATAGCTACAAATGAAAAAGAAATCATGGTATTTAATAATTTCTGTTCTGTTAAAATTATAGTTTTGCTTGCCAAACATTGAAATTTGAGGAGGAAAGTTGAACTATACTATTTAAGAAGAATGAGATTCTCCTTAATGATTCCTACAATTTTATTACCATTTTGTTTTACAATTATTGAATTCCGACATTGAAAAATTGATTTACATAAGTTGTTTAAACTGCACAAACAAGTGAGTCAAAATATATATTGTTGTATTTGTACTTAAAAAAAAATTTTCATTTGTTTGTTTGTTTTAAATTCTAGTATATTCGTCAAAGGGTTTGATTTCCCCGCATGTAATGAGGAAGCTTTTAAACAAATGGTTTTTTAATATTCACTCTTGTATGGTATAAGTATTATCCCAATCTGCCTTTACATGAGTCGAGACTTACGATTGTTCCTCATTTGATGGTAAATCTGTCCAGGTTCAATTAACATTAACCCCAACACTAATTATATAAAAACAATAAAAATGCAAGTTATGTGTGTCGTAAAAGATCTGAAATCGAAAAAAAAAAATATAATTAAGGTTTACGTAAACGCATAATTTTAATTAACAATAGAAATTTTTTTTTTTTTTCTTTTCGATCTTCACTAAGTAAAAAAAAGTCGTATACTGAAATTTCATTATTGAACTGTCGGGACATACAAATACTTTGAAACGTAATGTAATCCAATGTATTTGAGATTAAGACAAATGCTTTTAAACAAATGACCGGTTAGCCAGGAGTATTTAGTTAAGTAAAAACTCAAGTAAAAGAATTTGTTTCTACCGATAATTTATTTTTATAACCTTCTTCATTCCTACCGACATTTGCTTCAAAAAAGTTAATTTTGACTTGACAGCTATGCTAGATCTTTTTTTTTTTTTTTTTACTTTTCTTCCATGCACTTCTAGATTCGCGCTAGACTTTTTATCATTTCTTATCTTTTTGATCAATTGAACGAATGTAAAAATCAGATCATATTATATTTCATCAAATGTTACATTTTCTTTCAATACTAATACTCTAGTATGTTAGGCATTTACTTTGCAAAGGGAATTATAATAATTCATAGCCACAATCTATAATCTGTTATCTGTTAAAGATACCCATGGAGTTTTAACTTTTAAAGATCCAGTCTAATCTCAGTTACAACAAAAAAACAGGGATGAATTTAGTTCAAGGATCATTCTCTTTCTCAACACTAAATGTGAAACACATGTCACCTTATAACAATTATTTTGTCTGAAGGAGCAAAGGTTTGTAGAGCTCATCAATTAGCCTAAAGGATGTAATTAGAATTGGTAGTTAGTTCGTACGTTACTTTCCCCATGAGATCCGAACGTTACGAAATTTATCAAAGCAGAAATTGCAATTATAATAATTTTTTTCTATCAGCTTCTTCGGCCCTCACAAGCTTGGCTGTGAGGTAATAAGCAAATTAAGAATTTATAGAGACTAAACCGACTAACTACTCATTCAACTACCTAGTTGTAGGTCAATAAAATCCAAGAAAAATGAGAGCAGCTTGTCTATTTAGGCTAAATATCGTTGTAAAAAATTTTTTTTTGATCGATTATTCGATGCAAAAATATACAGAATGTAACATCAGATGATATTTTTCTTTTTATTTCTAACGAATTTAGATTAGGTCGAACTAGCTAAAGTCAATTCTTGGCCTAGAATCTAAACGAATTTACCATATTCCCCGATTGGTTCAATTGAATTCCGGTTATATAAATTTGACAACAAATATTTTTAACCACTAAAATTTTGAAACGAAGAGACATTTATTAAAAAAGGTCAAGATTTTAAGGATAGTCAAGTCTAACAAGTTCAAACAAGTATATGATTCAATATCCTTAAAACATTATGTCATAATTATCCCCTAAACACTCCTGTCTCTCCTTTTGTCTACCATAGCCTATAATTAAATCAAGATCAAAATTAACCTTTTGATCCCTTAATTAGCGTTGTCTGCTTAAGTATACCCACGAGATTACCAAATCAGTACTTAATATAAAAAAAATACTTTGATCGTACCTAATTAAGTAACTATTAAAGTATTTATTAAACTTTTTTGTCATTTCTATTTTTAGTTTTTTATTTTGCGCTCTGTTTGTTATTGATTTCGTAATTTGATTCGGATTTAGGTTTTTTTACTTACATGATTTATGCTTAATTTGAATTTTTACAACGTGGTGCTCGACCCACGTTTGACGTTATGAAAAATCCAACGCGTTCCTCTGCTCCAGGATGAGCGAAAAGTATAAACATGCTCCCCCTTTTTGGGATTAAAACTTTCCTTCTTCATCATAGGTCTAAATCAAAGTCTATTTAATAAAAGGAGTAATATGGGTTTATCTCTTAAAGCCTAAATCATTTGAAGGAGTGGTTTTTTTATTTAGTTTATTTTTATGAGCCATGATTTTTTGATATTCAAAAATCAAGGATCATATGGTTTTGATCGATAGGAATTTTTGAATATAACACTACGTTGATTTAACAAATCAAGAGAGATTACAGACTATCTTTTATTTATTACCGATAATTCTTTGAATTTATAATGATAATTCGAAATCTAGATGTGCGAGAATTAATTGAAGGGATAGGGTTGATTCATATTTCTCTTTGAGACATATTTACAATTTGATTTTTGTTTTGAAAGACGACTCAGTTTTGTTGAAACAAATCAATGAAGTTACCAAATTAAGTAAAGTAAACACATTTCTGATCAACCTTAGATTAATAAGAATCATTAAGAATATACTAGAACGTATTACGATTCAGACCAAAACTACAAAAATAATATTTGAAAAAACGTTTTTTGTATGTTTCAATTTTCACATCACTAGTCAACAACGACATAAAAAATAAAATGAAAAAAGCGTATACGAAGATACTAATTTAATTTACTCCAGATTTGAAATTTATGAAACGTTTTTTATGTATAAAAATTTTTCAAATTTTGGAGTAAACAAGGTATTGCTTAATATGGATAGGTAAGTTTGAAAAATTTTTCAATCAATTGTTATCAACTCTAGTTACAAAGATATGTAAGGAGATTAGTGCATTGAACTTCATGCTTGTTGTAAGACTAGAACATACTACTATAAAACAAAATTTATGAACTAGACTCATCCTTCCTTTTTTTTTCTTACAAATGATTTGTATCCACATTTTTCTACACTAAGTTACTCATGTTAAGGTGAGGTAATATACATAAATCTTTAATAGGAAAGAATATGGAAAGAAAGGGTATATTTTTTTTTCTCATACTTGTTTAAAGTTGATAATTTTTAGATTTGCTTGCTACACACAAAATAGTGAAAACTTTTTTCATTTACGTATTTTACGGATTAAAAATTGACCTCGTTTCAGATTTTTTATTTGTTTGTTTTAATAAGTCTACTGTACGACATTTGTAAAATCAAGACTTTTTTATCATCTACACTAAACACTTTTGGTTATGTAATGGCTATGGAAAGCTGTCAATTAAGTCATTGGTCAATCATAATACATCTACAAATCATATTGATTTATTATAAAAGTGACTAATGTATTTAAAACATCTTACTAATGACTAATGTATAAATATGTAAATATGGATATATGGGAAATATTTTATTTGTGTGTATTAAAAAATGAGTAATAAAAAAATAGTGGTGTCATGGATTGTGTACGACATAAGACTCATTTACTCAGTTAAGGAAATCCACAACTATAGTAAACAACACAAAGACATTTTTTGTAAATTGTGTTTTGTGTAATATGTGTGCTGTGTATGTATACTATTTTATTTTGTGTGTATATTAGCCATAGTTTAAATAGTCATACATTTTTTTATTTATTTAGACTCATACTTAAGAAATTAAATAATAAGAATATATATAAACTTATAACTCTCCTCTTTATATTTCATAAAATTTTTCACTTTATTTTACAACAACCAAACAAACTTATAAATTTACTACATTTATTAATTCAATTTAATAGATAAATAACAGAACAGAATCAAACAGTCTCAACTACTACTATCACTAAGAACTACTCTTTAGTACTTCCAAATTAATTTTTTTCGCATAGAAAGACACGTTTTTTAATTAAACACGTTTATTTCAAATACACACTAATAGCATTTTTTTACAACCAACTACAATTTCATATACATTTTACATTTACAATCACTCATATACATACAAAGACTAAATAATCATGTCAGATTTTGCATTTAATAATTATTGTATCCAATGTGATCAATTATGTCCAACAAATTCAGTATATTGTTCAGAAACTTGTAAAAATCAAGAAATACAATCGTCAATATTAGAATTAAAAAAACAAAAAGAATCAATAAGTTATAATCACAACCATAGTAGCACATCAACATCAGAATCATCAACAAACAGTTCAACAGAATTAGTATCACCTTTATTAACACCAGCTTTATATTTACAACAACAACAACAACTATATAATAATTCACAATTATCTATCTCATCTCCTTTGCTATTATCCCAATCAAATGAAGATGAAGACTTTTCATCATCAAATGATTTAAATTATTTTGATTTAAATTATTCAATAAATTCAAATATAAATTATACAACAAATAATGATCAAACTTCAAATAAAAATTCAAATGAAGAATTAATTAATTCTACTTCTCATAATTATAGAAAATGGTTAACTGCTTTATGATTTCATAAAGTTTTAATCATTTCAGTTTTCTCAGTTTGATTTTTTTCATTTAGGTTTTAGTTTTATTTTAATTTTAAGGTTTTTTTAATAGGGTTTAACGAATTGGGTTTATAAAAATATCACACATTACATTACAATAACAAACAAACAAACAAACAAACGAATATCAACAAGTCATTACAACAAAGAAAGAGCTCAATGAGTCTCTTTAATTATGATACAATCAATTTTTTTTTTTAATTTTTTTTGAACAGGAAGATGAAGAAGAACAAGAATAAAGATAAGTAAATAACTACTTTAGTTATTTTATTACTGCTACTGAATTTTTTTTTTTAATTATATAGGTTTATATTACATATTTTATAAATATATTAACTATAATTATTTTTAAATTATTGAATTGTAGAATCTTGAAATGTACTCTTTATCTAAATAAGTAATTCATATGAAGTTGTTACCAAATGAATGAAATATCGTAACAAGTCTTATAACGAGAATATCTAATCCAATCCGATTGCGCAAATGATCTAATACTAATTAAACAGAGCAGAGCAGAAAGCAAAGCAATTGACTTATAAGAAACTCTCTCCAAAAAGTATAATAAAGTCAATTTAGACAGATAGATCGAAACAAGAAAAAATGAATTTTTTATTTTTATTTGATAAAACAAGACCAAAACCGTGATGCGGAGTTAGATATTGATGCTTCAAGTAAATCATTCAAAAAAAACTCTTTACCAAATCACATCATTAGTTGTTGTACAATATAGTACAATGCAAACGTAGTGATACCAAAGGAAGCAAAATGTTGAAAAACCACAATGGCAATTGAGGAAAAAAATCCTCATGTCATCTCTCTTTATTGGCGTGTTTCATCATTTATTACCCACATGGCTTTTTATTTTTTTGGTTGCAAAAAAGCAGCAAAAAAAAATTTTTTTTTTTTTATTAATCGCGTCATTTGAAACAAGAAAAATTTTTTATGTCGGTGATTAATGTGCGATAATTTAAACTCTAGAATGATTTTTATAAACATTATTAACGCTCTGCTCAAAGTCAACGTGCTGTTTGGGGATTGGGTGCTTTGTTGATTGAAAGTCGAGAGTCTTGTTATTCTTTTAAGTCATTGCTTTACAACTTGTCTGATGGAATTGAATACCAAAATCAAGAAGTGTGGATAAGTTGACCTTTATTCAGAAATGAAATAAGAAAGAGATATCCAGATCCGTAAAACCAAAACTCGGAAGTCCTTAATATTATCCACAAATTTCAAACTTTCCCCAAATTCGATCCGGAACCTAAAATACATAAAAATTTTTTTGATCTAAAAATTAGTCTAGTTCTTTGTTTATTTTTTCTTCTATGTAACAATACTTAAACTTTTACAGTGACGTATATGCAATCGTAATGAAATCCGAAGTAATTGTCATAAATTTTACTATATTGGGACCAATTTAACAAGCTACTTGCAAATATAATCATTTATCAACGCGTTTAGACTAATGTGCGTTTCGACTAAATGTGTCATTTTTAGAGCTGGGGTATAACTATATTGATGTCATCTTACTAAATTAAACATGCAGATGACCATGTAAAAATGTCTTATTTTTGAATGAAGTCAATATTGTCGTTCGTTTTAATTTTCATATGAGAGTATTGTAAGAGAATCGTACTAAACTAGTCAATACGAGATTATTTACGATTATTGTATTTAATTGAATTTTAACTTTACACCCCAATTAAAGACTCATTTGTTGATTTGTTTTTCTTCTTGACCCTAATGAGCATGCTCTTGTTTAGAATTCAAATTTGAGAAACTTTTTATACAATTGATGATTTTTTCAAAAAAGTAAAACACTCATTACAGTTGAATTAAATTTTTTGAATTATGGATGAATTTTATCAGGATGAATGAAGTTGTTGACTTCTATAGGGTTAAAAAACTAAACTATTCAAGTACTCTGTCACGAGGACTATTATTATTTGAGCCGATTTTTTCATATATTAGTTCAGTTTTCATAACAGTGATTTGCTGTAGATTTCCAACACAATAAATAATAATAATACATTCTTCACTTTATCTCCTTCAATCCATTCAAAATATGTTTGTGTTCGCATCTTGTGTTAACGCCAAGTTTGTTCTCGAGACAAATTGAGCTAGTAAATATGAATTTATCTTAAATTTGAGTGGAAAGATGTATACATCAAGCACTTAAACTTTTTGATTCAATTTCAATGAAAGTGAACATATATATATATGTATATATATATATAGATTCCCTCCCATAAATATTTTTTGAAAACTTATCATATATCTTGTAAATTCAATATACCGACATCAAGTGTGTTTTTATGTAAAAGTAATTTTATGGCAAAAGAACTTTCCAATCATAATCAAAACATCAAGATGTCGTTGATATACCAAAATACTTGTTTGAGTTTGAAATTTTAAAAATAAAAGTCACCATTCATCGTATGAAATTATTAAGTTCAAATGGAACAAAATTCACCATATACCTTGTTATATTCATTTTGATTGAATGATTGTATGAATTAAATCTCGATTGGACTAAAGCAACACGAAATGATATAACTAGATTAGTAAGAATTAACATCTATATCAACTCATATTATTTTAGTTCATTCAAGTTTATGCCATTGATATTCTACTTGAGATTTGTTAAGAACCAATTTATTAGGCTACTTGTGTTTGTTATTATTGTTATATTACTTGAATTTTGTTAGATTTCATAGTCAAAAAATCATAACAACTTTTTTTCTGTAGGATGATCAAATCGAGTAATTCAGTTTTAAAGGTTGATTTTGTCTCGTATTCATTGTTGGTCTCTTTCTCATTGATGGATATTATGGATCACATATCAAGCGTTCCTTAAAATCTCAGTTATTAATTTTGTTGCGAGAGAATTTGGTAGCTACAAAATTTTTTAATCTTGTACAAAACTAAGTCGAAAATTTTCAAATTATCAAGTCTAAAGTTACAACCATCTTTGACACATCAAAAATCAATCCATACCAAAGCATATAACACCACAACACACATATGCTTCCATCATTAGTAAGGACAGGTGGGTATGTCTGGAAATTCACTCCACATATCACATCAACCCAAAGAGCAAACCTTAAAAAAAGAATGTTACAAGTTGATGAAAATATAGAACAAATATATCAAGGATTAAAAAAATCTTCAAATATAGAAACTCAAGATGAACATAAAAACAAGAAGAATCTTAAAACAGGATTTGATAAAATAGATTATTTAAAATTTGAATTTCCTAAATTTAATCAAATGTCAAGTAGAGATAAATATACTACTTTTAGTAGACATTCAAGAGATTATAGAAAACCTATTCATAGAGTACCTAAATGGACTAAACTTTCCTTTAGAGAAGATCCAAAACATTTTTAAAGAAACCTACCTGGGTTAGTGATGAGATGGGTTCTGTATATATACTATAATGTTAATGAAATGATGAAATATTAATTTTTTTTTTAATCTATTTTATCCCATATAAAATTCGATATAAATTCTTCTGTATATCTTGCTTCTAAAGGTAATGCAGTAACATTATCATCTTTCCCCTTAATTATCATTATATCTTCAGGTTCATCTAAAAATTCTTCATTTTCTATCGGACTATCAACAGTAGATTTTTTTGAACTTTCTAAATTTATACCTAAATTTTTATATAAATTAATTAATAAAATAGTTAAATCTTGTTCTAATAATTCATTTGAATTTAAATTTAAATTTTTTTCAAATTCATTTATTGAATTTTCAATTTTATTATTTATTTTATTTATTTCATTTTTAAATTTAATTTCATTTGAATTTAAATTATTTATTGATGATGTTAAATCTTGTAATTCTTTTATTAATTTTATTTTATAATTTTCCATTTCTATTGATTTTGATTTAATTAATTGAAATATATTTTCTGAATTATTTATTTGAGGTTGTTGTTGTTGTTGTTGTGAGTTAGAAATTGATGATGTATATGTTTGAATTAATTCATAATTTATATCATTTACTTTATTTAACATTTGTAATGAGTTTTGTTTTAATTCTATTTCTCTTTTTAAATTGACTATTGTCTCATTGGTCTTAGCTATTTCATTTGAATTTGAAATATTTTGATTATTAATAATTGATTGAATTTGTTCAATAGCTAAGAATTCATGACTTGAACTAAATTGATTTATTAGCTCTTGTAACATGTTTGCTGGATCATCATCATTTGTATTAGACGGTATATCCCCCTGATCATTCTGTAGTAGCGTAGTCATTTTCTTATTATGGGAGTGTTTAAAAAGATGATTTAATAGACGTGATAATAATTTGTTTACAATTTCGTAAAATTTAAAACACAAAACAAATCCCATAATAAATTCTCATTCAAAAAATTATCACCAGTTTTAAAACCTTTGTCACCAACCACCACCAAATAAAACAAACTCATGATAAAAAAATGAGTTACAACAAGAATGATAAAAAGGGATTTTCAGATGTAGAACTACCAACAAATCCAAACCTACCAGCATGGATAATAACACCAAAAGAAGAAAAAGCAATATTTGAAAGATGGAGAAAAAAAGCATTTGCACAATGTGACGACCTAATCAAGAAATATATAGCATGTTCAAATTACTACAAGAATCCCATAGAAGCAGTTGAAAAATGTAATGAAATTAATCAATTAAGTTTAAAATGTGTTGAAAAATATCAAAAACAAGAATATTTAGATATTGAAAGAGATATTTTTATAAAAGAAAAAATTTTGAAAAAAAAAATATATAAAGCTAAATTAAAAGAGTTAGAGGATGAGAAATTAAGAAATGAGATATGAAGTGGGTATAGGTTAAGTTGGTTTGGGTTGGTATATATATTGGAAGTCATGTAAATAATACAAAATAAAGTGAATAAAATTTTTCCTTAGGGTCCGCTAATGTATCTCACTTGAAGCTCTTCCTATCTCAACACTATTGACAAACTCATCAACCTTCAAAAAGCAGATATCTTTTCGGAAATCAGAAACACGTCAAATTTCTAGATGAATTACTTAATCCTTTTATATTCTATCTAATCTCCATTTGTATTACCTTGTACTAAAGCATCTTCTTCTTCAAATACTTTCCTACTAGCCATAAATATACTAGCATGAATTTTTCCTAACATTTCAATATTTTTATATTGATCACATGAAGTTGTTAATAAATCATTAAAATCTGATAAATTAGCTTGTAATTGAGCAATTTGTGAATTTAAATGAGATAATTGTCTATTTGTTATAGCTGATGTTGAAGTTGTTGTTGATGATGAGTGTGAGTGTGGGTGATTTGTGCTTGTTCTACGTGGCGATGAATCTCTACGAGATGATGCCATTTGATTTCATTAAGTTGTTTAGTCTCTAGTTTGTTTATGTTTCATAGTAATAGATGTATGATAATATTTTATTTTAATTTTGTGAGACATTCATGATAAAGAGAGAGAGAGATTAAAATTTTTATTAAGGAGATACATTCTTACAACCAACTTCAAATTAACAAAGTAGAATAATCAAGATAAAAGCAACCCAACTTTTACATAGTACATCCGATGAATAAAGAGTATTTATCAAGTCAAATATAATCCGTGAACTAAAACTCTTCTTGGTCAAAAAAGAACGAAGTAGAAAAAACACTCAATTTCATATATTTTCATTCCCCAGATTATTCCGTTTAATCAGAATTTTCAATAAATTTACCTATTCAGCACAACTTCATACTAAGTGTTATTAAATGGACCCGAAAATTATCATATAACAATCAGTTTAAAAAATGAATAATAGCAGTACGAATCAACAAAAATTCACGGTGCAGGCAAAAGCGGAATCGACAAATGATTCAAATTTACAAACATCACCAACCAAATCACAACCTCAGATATCGGCTTCGATGCCGACTACTACATCCAATAAAGCACCAAATTTTAAACCAAATGGGATACATCCTTCAACGGTTCCGTCAAATCCACAACCAAATCCATCAAATAATTTACAACCTAAAACCGTGAATTCTTCCCCAAAACCAATTCAATTTTCAACTAAACCTAATCCTACAACCCCCAACACTCAAACAAAATTGAATCCCAAACTTCAACCGCAAAAACAACCTATACGGCAACCTCAAGCTATAGCTCCAAAATATACTAAAATTCAACCAGCAATAGCCCCCAAACCAGTTCCAATTATGCCATCAACAAGTAAATTTAATCCCATACCAAATGGTAAAATTTTATTATCCATGAAATCTTCTTTCACAAAAGATACAAGTGGAGGATTAAATACTTCAAAAAGATGGATTTTACCTCCAAGACCAAGACCAGGTAGAAAACCAACTGGTAATGAATGTACTGAAAAAATTACAAAGACTCCCACTACTACTGTTATAAATAAAAGGAAACCAAAATTAAAAACAGATGTTGTGGAACCACCGATGTATCAACAACAACAAAAAATTGTAAATCAACCTTTACCAGTTAATAAGTCAATACCTATCAATCAGAATGTGTCCAATGTGAAAGTGAACCATCAAATTAAATCAGTCAATCAAACTCCCATTAAACAAGAAGAACGGTCAAATACTACACCAGAAAAGTCTATAACTACAGGTGCTATACAAGCCACTGCGAATGTTGAAAAACAAACAATACCTTCATCTGGAACGATGTCAAAACAAACCGTCAAGGAGAATACGAACAAGGATACTAATTTACTACAGCAAAAACAACAACCACAAAAGTTAATCCCAACTCCCAATATAACATCAGCAACAAGTACAACGACAAATAATTCAGTGGTCACTACTCCAATTTCAAATAAACAAACTCCACCTCCACCAACCATCAAATCAAATGATCCAAATGTTCATATGATGGAATTAAAAATGTCATATTTATCAAAATTAAAAGAACAAGAAATTATAAGAAATTATATAGAAGTATTAAAAAATCAAATAAAAGAATTAAGTTTTGTTCAAAATGGAGTTATAACATTTGATGCATTGAAGAATAATGTTAAAATGAATTATACCACTACTAATAATCAATCAAAAAGACTTTTAAGTAATACAAAATCTGATCAATTGGAATCAATAAATAATTTAAATGATTTAAATAAATTTTTAAATTATTTAAGTAAATCTTCAGATATTATAAAAAGTGTTCAAAAACAATCTTCAAATATGTCTACTTCAGATTCATTAAATTATCAAATTGATAATTATGTTGAATTAAGAAATAAATTCAAATTATTAAATACTTCTAATAATCATACTACCAATCCAACCAAAAAATCAGTTGAAAGAAATGATGGAACTATAACTCCAAAAACTATTGGTCCGATTAAATCATCTTTCACTCCAGATTTATTAAGACCTCTAAAGGCATCAAATTTATTTAATGATCCAAATTTAGAATTAATGGATATTGAATTACAAACTGAAACAATTGAAGAATCACCATCAACAAATTCAAAACAATCACAGGAAGACTTAAGCCTGATAAATCTTAATACTGAATCCGGAAAATCCAAAAATGATTTAAATGATATTGATTTTTTTGTTGATGAACATGATTTTTTAAATAAATTAGTTTTAGAAGATAATAAAATAAAAGAAGAAATAGAATTAGGAAAAGTTGAAATTTATAATAAAAATGAAGATAATGAAAATACTGGTAATAATCAATTTAATGAAGAATTAAGAAATAATGATAATGATTTACTTTACAAAAAAAAATTAAAATTTAATTGCGGATTTTGTACTAATGATACTCCTTGTTTATGTTTTGATTCAGATATTGAAATTAGTGGATTACGATAAGAATAAAAAATATATAAAAATGTTAATGAAAGTTTAAAATTTATGATTATATTGGTTAGAAATTTTGTAAATGTAAGTTATTCTCTGAAATTCTACTTTCGTTACTAGGGTTTAGACGTACTCAATCAAGGCTAAGCTTTTAGAGAATGGAGATCAGATATAGTTAGTCAAAGTCTGTCATACTCAAGACGATGGTGATAACATCTGAACGTTTCAAGACCAATGCCTCAAGAATCCATTAAACTTGAATCTTCTGAGATATTAAAAATTGCAGTTCTCATTAAATATTAGTCTAGTGTGAGACTGAAAATCCTATATACCCTATACTCTATTGTATTAATGGTAGGTACGGATGTTTAAACAAATTTGATATGCTACTTGTTTCTGAGGTTCGGATGTTTCAGATTTTTTGATATGCTACTTGTCTCATAGGTCCGTACCGCAGATAATTATTTAGTGATAATTATTCTTGACCACTTGAGTGAATCTTTCTACAAGCTAGTCTAACAAATGTCAACCATTCACATATAAAATGTTCTTCATTACTCTCTTAAACTCTATACACAATTATCTACTTTTCTTAAAAAAATGTTAAATAAGTTCCTAATAAAGCAGTAGTAGCTAAAACAATATATCCAGTTCTATAAACTCCCTTTAAAGTTAATTCTTTACCAAAATCCCAAATCAAATGTCTTATACCATTAGCACCATGATAAACAAATGGAAAAACACCTATAGCTTTTAAACCATATTGTACTGCAACTGGTAAACTTGAAAAAGCAGAAACTAAAGTATTTGTATCAAAAGGAATATTTAATAAAGAAGTAGCAGCAAAAGTACAAGTTAATCCATAAAAAGCACCAGCTAATATAATACCAGTAATTCTATGGAAACTTGACATAACCCAAGTTAATTGAGGTTGATAAATATCTAAATGTGGTGATACTGGTCTATTTTTTCTTTGTGCTACTAATACTTCTTGTTCTTCATTATGAGAAGTTGGAACAGTTGGAATAGATGATGAAAATCTTTTTAATAATATTGATGTAGTTGATTTTGATAATAATGATATTTGATTTGATTTTATTATCGATGTTGATCTATTTATTGATGAAAGATTTCTTGATAATAAATTAATAGATTGTTTATTTAATAAACCTATACGTGAAATCATCTTGAATGGAGTTATTGAATAGGTTATTTGTTTGAGTTATGGTTGGTGTGATGATGGATGATGATAAGATTATGAATTATGATTCTATCTATGCTTGTAAAAAAAAAAACTATTATTTCCCGGGGAAAGGTAATACAAAAAATTAAACCAATTAAATAATTTTAATTTTTAATAGAACAGTAAATGGTAGCAGCAATATGTCTAAAATAAAATTGCGACAATAATATTTTTCAGTCATTTTTATTGGTAGCATCAAAAACTATAATTTCTTTTCAACTTATAAAAGTCTAGCCATTTTATTTTATTAAGCTTTAACTTAATCTCTATACTTTATTCATACATGGTTTTACTGATATATACCATAAGTTAATAGTTAATAATATATCATATGTTTCAATTTGACTTTAATTGCATAATTCATATTTCCATGTATAGATAAGATCGGAAATATACCTGATAAGATAATAATCAATCACATGATCAACTAATATTCTATTTGGCTATACAACTTATTTCTTTTATCTCTCTTTGTAACATTAAATCGTTAGCTTCTGTTTTAATTTTGTACTACTCTCTTAGATTATTATTATTTCTATTTCTACTTGATACAACACAACACTTTTATTAAATATAATATTCATACACTTCATTAATCATCATCATCTTATAACATCCTTTACCATTATATATCCTCACCATTACAAAGAAAGGATCATATAATGATACAGACATCTACATCTGTACAACATCAACACCATAATCCTTTAAATAATACTAATCAAGATGAAGAATATACAAAATTAAATAATGATGACACTATTAAAAATAATAATAATCAAATTAAGATGAAACCTCAAGAACATCCACATAATAAACAGAGCATGGAGATAACCAAACCATCAAATGATGAAAGTAATACCAAAAATAATACCAAATTTACTTTGAATCCTTCACCAGAAGTACAAAAGATTCAACCTTCAATATCACAACCATCCAATCAAATTAAACAAGATCAAGATACTAATGGGAGTAATAATAACGATAATAACAATATTCCAGATAATGAAAACCAGAATGGCTCGCAACAACAAGAACAACAACAAGAACAACCACAACAGCAACAACAGCAACTACCTTCACCTACTTCATCACATCATAGTCATGATAGTAAAAATTCAAATAATCCAAAGGATGAAGATCAACAAACTGGTTCATTTAATAACAAGACATCAGATATATCCTTCACAAAAAAAGATTTAAGTAAATCAAGAACTCAATCATTTCAATCAGTTTTATCAATAGCATCATTAAAATCATTTAAACAACAACATATGTTAACTACAACTAATCAAGCAGCAAATCCTAATTTAAATAGAAATAATAGTTCAAATAATAATCCTCAATTATTAAGAACAAATTCTGCAATGAATAATTTAAAAAATTTTCAATCTTTTATACAAGCTCCAGTATTATCAAGTATAAATAATCAAAAACTGTTTGAAGATTTACAAATTGGTGAACAATTACCATTTAATGATAAACCTGAGACAAAAAAGAAAAGAAGAAATACAAATAAAACTTCAAGTACAACAACAAGCACAGAAGATGATAATGAAACCTCAGATAATGAAGAAACTTTACAACAACAAAAAAATTTAACATTAAATGCATTAAAAAAATTAAGTTTATCACCAAGACCAATAACAAATCCAGATGATTTAATAATATCACAAGTTGAAGAATCAAATGCAGCAAGAAGAAAATCTAAAACTCAAGAACCTTATCAACCTGCAGAAGTTGATTTATCATCATTTGCAAGTTTAACAAGACAACCTAAAGTTACACCAAAAATTCAATCATCACCAATTCATTCAAATTCAAATCCAACAACCAACCTAATAGATTCTTCTTCTTCTTCACATATAAATAAAAAACATTCATTACCAAGATTACCAGAAGGAGAATTAGTTGAATCTACTACTACTACCAATACCACTAATCCTACATCATCATCTCAAAATATAAATCAATATCATCAAGATTTAAAACAATCACAATTAGAATCTTTTAATCGTCAACAAGAAATAAAACCACAAAGAGATCATTTTAAACAACCTTTTCAATCTATGAATATGAATAATTTATCATATACTTCTCAAGCAAGACATCCAGTTGTACCTCCACAAGATATAAATACTAAAAGAAAACCTTCAAATCCTGGGTTACAAAATCAAGGGATTATGAATAATCAACTACAACAACAACAACTACAACATCCATCTGCATCGGCCAATCAACAACAACAGCAACCTATACAACAACAACATCCTTCACATCAGCAACATTCCAATGAGAAACAAAGAACAAATAAACAATTACAACAAATTAAAGGACTTAGAAATCCAATGTATGTTCCAGCAGTATTGAGAATGACACAAAGTGGAGGTTATTATCTATCAAATAGATCAGGTTCAAATTCACCAGATATTTTATCATCATCTCCAAATCATCAACACAATCATCGTAATCAATCTCAATCTCCTGATAATTATGAAACTCATTTACAAGCATTTGGACAAGGGAAAAGGGATTCATCAACAGCTTCAATCAAATCAACTGATTCAACATTATCCCTCGATTCAAATAATTCACCAAAATATACATCATCATTAAATAAATTAATTTATTCAAAAAATCATGATATATCAAAAGCTCCACCAACAAGAAAACATTGGATAAAAGATGATACTGTATTTAAATGTAGTATACCAACATGTACAAAAATTTTTAATTTTTTTGAAAGAAGACATCATTGTAGAAAATGTGGTGGAATATTTTGTAAAGAACATACTTCACATTTATTATATATTAATCATATGGCTCAATTTACTACTGGTGGTAGAGGTACTTTATCGAAAGTTTGTGATAATTGTATTTCTGAATATAATGAATTTATACAAAGAGAATTTGGAGTTTCAATTAATCCAAAATCACCATCTTCATCATTGGATTTAAAAAATCATATAATAAATCCTACTATACCTTCTAATTTACAACCACAACAAAGTAAACAAAATCAAATACGACAACTGTTTAAAGATTTAGATAAATCAAATCAACAAAAATTAAATAATATGAAATCAAATAATATAAATCAAAATGGTAATAATAATAGAAATGGTAATAGTAATAGGAGTGAACAATTAGTTGGAAGTGTTCCAGCAAATTGGAGTTGGAGTTCATTTTAATAATAGTAATTTATAGATTGACTTAAAAGTAATAATAATAATAGCATAATTAATAATATATTACGTAATGATTCGCATGTCTTAAATTTCTTTCTATGACGCATTTTTTCACGACAACTTTCCAAGTAAAGAAAACACGGTTTTTAATTTTTCAGTTTCTACTAATATGTCAAGACTACCTTATTCAATTCGACCAAACAACATATCATGATACAACATAAACCTCAATTGAAAGTATTGGGAATAGATGTTCAACTAATAAGGTCATTATTAAAAGTTATAATTCTTATATCAATAGCAGGAGCAGCAATATCATCAAGATTATTTTCAGTTATAAGATTTGAATCAATAATTCATGAATTTGATCCATGGTTTAATTTTAGAGCAACAAAATATTTGGTACTGCATTCATTTTATGAATTTTTAAATTGGTTTGATGATAGAACTTGGTATCCTTTGGGAAGAGTTACTGGTGGTACATTATATCCTGGATTAATGGTTACTTCTGGAGCAATATGGCATATTTTAAAAGATTGGTTTAAATTACCTATTGATATTAGAAATATTTGTGTTATGTTAGCTCCTGTATTTAGTGGATTAACAGCTATTGCAACATATTTTTTAACAAAAGAAATGAAAGATTCAAATGCTGGTTTATTATCTGCTATATTTATGGGTATAGCTCCTGGTTATATATCAAGATCTGTTGCTGGTTCATATGATAATGAAGCTATAGCAATTACATTATTAATGGCAACTTTTTATTTTTGGATCAAATCTATGAAATTGGGATCAATATTTTATGCTACTTTAACTGCTATTTTCTATTTTTATATGGTTAGTGCATGGGGTGGTTATGTATTTATAACAAATTTAATTCCATTACATGTATTTGTTTTATTGATAATGGGAAGATATAATCCAAGATTATATTCTGCTTATACTACATGGTATGCATTAGGTACATTAGCAAGTATGCAAATTCCATTTGTTGGTTTTTTACCAATAAGATCAAATGATCATATGGCTGCTTTAGGAGTATTTGGATTATTACAATTAATTGCATTTGGTGATTATGTTAAATCAAAGATCCCTTCAAAACAATTTAAATCATTTTTAATTGTTTCATTAGCTTTAACATTTATTTTGGGAGTTGGAGCATTATTTGGTTTAACTGCATTAGGTTGGATTGCTCCATGGACTGGTAGATTTTATTCATTATGGGATACAAATTATGCTAAAATTCATATACCAATTATTGCATCAGTTTCAGAACATCAACCAACTGCATGGCCTGCTTTCTTTTTTGATACATCAATGTTAATTTGGTTATTTCCTGCAGGAATATATTTATGTTTTCAAGAATTAAAAGATGAACATGTATTTGTTATAATTTATAGTGTTTTATGTTCATATTTTGCTGGTGTTATGGTTCGTTTAATGTTAACTTTAACTCCTGTTATATGTATTGCTGGTGCAATTGCATTATCTAAATTATTTGATGTTTATTTAAATGTTGTGGATGTATTCACTACAACCACCACCACCAGCAAACAAGAAAAATATAAAAAATTACCAATTGCTACATTAATTTCAAAATTAATTATATTATTATCATTTACATTTTATTTATTTTATTTTGTTTTACATTGTACTTGGGTAACATCAAATGCTTATTCATCACCATCAGTTGTATTAGCTTCAAAAAATCCAGATGGTTCTCAACATTTAATTGATGATTATAGAGAAGCTTATTATTGGTTAAGAATGAATACTCCAGAAGATTCTAAAATTATGGCTTGGTGGGATTATGGTTATCAAATTGGTGGAATGGCTGATAGAACAACTTTAGTTGATAATAATACTTGGAATAATACTCATATTGCAACTGTTGGTAAAGCAATGTCATCCAGGGAAGAAGTATCTTATGAAATTTTAAAACAACATGATGTTGATTATGTTTTAGTTATATTTGGAGGATTATTAGGTTATTCAGGTGATGATATAAATAAATTTTTATGGATGGTTAGAATAGCTGAAGGTATTTGGCCAGATGAAATAAAAGAAAGAGATTTTTTTACAGAAAGAGGAGAATATAAAGTTGATAAAGATGCTTCCCAGGCAATGAAAAATTCATTAATGTATAAAATGTGCTATTATAGATTTGCTGAATTATTTGGTGGTAGAGATGGTGTAGATAGAGTTAGAAATCAACAAATTCCAAGTGGGGAATCTCCAAAGCTAAATGTTATTGATGAAGTTTTCACTTCAGAAAATTGGATTGTTAGAATTTATAAAGTTAAAGATTTAGATAATCTTAATAGAAATTTAATTCAAACTACAAAAGCTGGAACTAAAAAGAAATCAAGAGCTATTAAAAGACCTACCTTGGAATTAAGGGAATAATGTGTATATTAAGTATAGAAGTAATAAAAAAGCAACGCATATAAAAGTCTTTGTTTGTCTTATGCAAGACAATTAGAGTTATTTGTCTGTGGTATGCAACATTAAAGCGTTCTTTGTAATTACCTAGGCTGAAGTCCTTTAAGATTCAGATTTTGCAACTAGTGAAAATAGCTACCAATTTCCATCATCAATTATTCTCGTGATACAAATTTTTCAAAATTAAATTTTCAATCTCAAACATCACTTCTTCTTCAATCAACCAAAAGATTATATAGATCACATATAATAAACATTCAAATCACCCAAAGCATCCGAACTCGTAGACTATAAAACATACTCTACATTGGCAATCTTAGCATAGTTTCATTATTTACCAAAATTAAATAAATCAATGTTTATAATGATGGAATTTTATTTGCCATAAATTAAGTCTTAAAGTTTATACTAAATAAATATCTTAGTGCATTTTCGTTTGTAATAGATGTCAATAGAGTTTATTATTTATTTAGGAAACTTACATTTCGTCTTCTTAGTGCTGTTATTTAGTGGCATTTGTAAGCCTTGCGTGGTTATAAATTTTTTTAACTAGATATAGGTCGGTGATAAAATTTAACCGTGTACTACATTCTATTTTTTCTTCGACTGTTTTTATTTCCATTTTCTGAATCAAATATGGAAACTTTGATTTAAACTTTCTTTTCCAACCAACTCCGAACCATCACTCACAACGAAGCCCAATAACAACCATGAAGTTTTCAAACATAGCATTTATCAGTGCTCTACTTCTATCGCAAACAAATGCTTTAACATTAGAATTACCAACTCAAACTATAGAACCATCAATCACTCAAACTTCTATAATATCAAATCCTACAGATTCATCATCATCATCAGCAGAATCAAAACATCAATTTCAAAAACGTATAAAAGAAATCAAAATAAATAAAGATTATGCAAGAGCTCAAGCTATGAAAACTGCTTCTTCTTCATCTATTCCACCACCTGCAAATTGGGTAAGAACAGTTGATGGTGTAAAAGAAATTGTACGACCTACAGTTATAGGAGGAGTTACAATAAGTGCAAAACCACCAAAAGAAACAGATCCTTTAGCTGATTGGGTATCATTAAATAAAGAAGGTTGGCCAAAAACTATACATCCTGAAATTAAAAATGGTAGAACTAAAAATGGTAGACCAAATTATAGTACATATTTTCAATCTGCTACAACAATAACATATAATAAAGAACAATTAAAAGCTCATAATATGGCAGATGATGAAATTCATGAAGAAGTTATATATATTGAAGAATCAGATTTAGAAAATCATTTATTAAATCCAATTATACGTTGTACTCCTGATAGATATAAAAAAAAGGGTATAGGAAAAGATTCTTCAACTGAACCATTTTGTACTCCAGAAGATGATGTTAGAGTTGAAATGGATAAAACTTCTTTTGTTACTTGGTATTCGAGATATTTTAGTCCTGAAGTTGAAAAAGTAAGAATTCATTTATATAATATTAAAGAATCTGCTCATCAAAAAGGATGGAAGAAAAGGGAATTATCAGTTGAAGATGATGAAGATGAACAAGACATAGATTATACTCCATTTGATAAAAGATCAAAAGTTTTAGAGCATGGAGGTAAAGTTCAAAATTCATTTTATGTATCAGATTGGATTATTAATGAAGATGGATTTTGGCCATTAACAGTTACAGAAGAATGGATTGGTAAAGATATATTTGAAAAAAAAGTTTTGATATCATTACAACCAGATAATATACCAGATGATGAATTTAATCCATTAACTGATTCAATAGTTGTTGAATTTTGGAAACGTTCAAAAGTAAGTAAAGGAGAATTTGCAGATTTAAAAAGAGTAGAAGAAAAATATAGACAAAAATATTTAGGAGAAGCTGATGAAATTGAAGAAGGTATTGATTATGAAAAATATATGGTTATGATGACTTTACCAACTTGTGTTGTTATCGCAGCTTTTGGTATGTGGTTATTTGTAAAAATAAATTCTTTTGATTTAAGTCATTTAAAAAAGAAAAAATTTGCAAGAAATAAAACAACTCATAGAAGAATTCCTTTTATTTCAAAAAAAAATAAAGATAGTTTACCATTAAATAATCTTGATTTAGGAGGACCAAAAAATGATTAATGAAATTTTGTATGTAGAGTATAATTGTTTGTTTGAACTTTTAATTAATATCATGTAAAAAAGAAGTAAGTGTAGACATTCTACACTGTGAACTATCATGTATAAAGAAGTGGCTGTAGACTTTTAATAGTGTTGTGCTTTATACGCGTGTTCTTTAGCTTGTTATAAAATTTTGATGATAACTACTAAATTATATTTTTTTTTGTTTAACTCACAGTTTAAAAAATATCAAAATTGAGGTTACAATTTCTAATCAATCCAAAGAACTCATTGAATCAACAAACATAACATTACCCATCACCTAACCAACAACCAACCAATCGTCTTTTGCAAATGATTGAAATCCTACAATTTCTATCAAACAAAACGTCACAAGGTTGGATATTAACATTTTTTTCATCAATTATTTGTATATCAGGAACATTAATTATATATTTTGATGATTTATATTATTTATTATTTCCAAGACTGATTACATCAAGATATCGTTTCAAATTAAAAGAGAATTATCTGTTTTTGAATGGATCATTAGCTTTAAGTTCTGGATGTTTAATTATAACTTCATTATATCGATTATTACCTGAAGCTCATAAATATTTATTAAAACTGCAACAAGATGAAAATGAAACTAAAGATGTGTTAAGTAAAAGACAGATACAATTTAATTTAATGATTAGTTATTTTGGTGGGATTTTAATATGTTTATTTTTTAATTTTGCATTACATTTATTAACTAGTGAAAGTGTTGTTCATTGTAATCATGGAAGTAATGTAAAAGGAGAGGATGAAGAAGCTATAAATCATCATTATGATGGACATCATCACTCATATGATAATAGTAAAACTAATCATTATCATCAACATTCACATTCACATTCAAATAATCATGAAACAGACACTCCAGTAAAACCATCAAGAGTAGATGATCCACATTCATCAGAAATACAAGAATATTTCCCACATCAAAACCCACCACATCAACATAATCATTCAGTTCATATGGAAGTAAGAGATGATGAAAATACACCATTAATTAGAAAGACATTAAAACCAAGAAAATCATTAATACAAATGTTTTTATCTCATTCAAATGATGAAGAAACTGCAGGAGAATGTAAAGGTTATTCATCAGCTGAATTATGTACTTATAAGAATCATGAACATTCAAATGGAAGTCAAGATAAATTACATTTTTGTGAAATTCCTCAATTAACTAACAATCAAAATGATGATGGTTCAACAGAAGTTGAAGAAGATGAAAATCATCATCATCATCATGACCATAATCATGAACATCATCAACAACATCAACATGAACAAATTTTTCATTCTAATCAATCACATCATTCTCATGAAATTGATCATCATCATCATGTAAATTCACCATTATCAAGATTATTATTAATTGGTATACAAACAACATTAGCAATAACATTACATAAATTACCAGAAGGGTTTATAACTTATATAACATCAGAAACAAACCCCAAATTAGGTATATCAATTTTTATAAGTTTAATATTACATAATTTTACAGAAGGATTTTCAATGTGTTTACCATTATATTATTCAATGTCACAATCATCAAATTTTCCCAAATTAAAAGCAGTGATGATAAGTTCATTATTAGGAGGATTATCACAACCTTTAGGTGCCGTATTAGGATTTTTATTTTTAAAATTTAATTCAAAAAATTATAATTTAACAAATTTAAATTTTATATTTGGTATTACAATGAGTATAACAAGTGGATTTTTAACTGTTATTGCTTTATCTATGTATGGATCAGCAGTATCATTTGGTGGAGATATGAATTTTGTAATGATTTGGTGTATTGTTGGTATTATAATAATTGGAATTTCAACAATTTTTTCAACTACTTGAGAGACTAAAGTATAGCATTTGTTCTTTTTATTTATTTATAATATAGATCTTTAACGTAATCGGCTATTGCCCATGAAGCAGTTAATCCTGGACTTTCAATCCCCAAGAGATTAATAAAACCTGGTAAATTTTCTTCTTCTTTTATTATAAAATCAGCAAATTGTTTTTTATTTTCTTCAGGTGATAATATTTTTGGACGTATACCTGAATAAGAAGGATGTAAAGAGTTTTGAGTTATAGCAGGGAAATATTTTTTAACAGCTTCATAAGCCAGTTTTAAATTTTGAGGATTTGGAGTATAATCTATATCATCAGCTCTGGTGACATTTAACCATTCTAAATCTGGTCCAAATCTTAATTGTCCTCCTAAATCAAATGTTAAATGAGTTCCTAAAGATGCAGCATTTGGATTAGGACATGGATATATTAATTTATTTGTTATTTTACCCAATGGAATTTCAGGTGTAAAACTAAAATAATTTCCCTTTGCAAAATAATAGTCGTATTGTTTTTCTTTAGGTAGTATCATATTTGCAATTTCTGCTGCATATAATCCTGCTGAATTTATAATATTATCAGTTGTCATTTCCATAATTTCACCATCTGATTCAATCATTACTGAATAATTTAAATTCCCCTTATTATATGATATATCTTTAACTTTACTACTTAATCCTAAAGTACCTCCATTATTTTCAAATCTTCCTTCATGAAATAATACATAATCATGAGCTGAAATAATACCAGTTGTTGGACTTTCCAATATTGCTTTATTTGCTTTAATTAATGGATGTATACTTTTGGCTCTTTTCGTACTAATAAATTCAACAGGTACTTCCAATTCATCAGCATTTTTTTGCAAATTATTTAAATATTCTTCCTCAATTTCATCTTGAGCAACAATCCATTTCCCACACTTTTGTAAATCAATTTGAAATTTCCCCTTGTTCCAAGCATCATAAATTTTATTTTTTCCCTTTATACAAAGTTTAGCTTTTAAACTATTTGGAGGATAATATAAACCAGCATGAATAACTTCAGAATTTCTAGAAGTTGTTTCTTCACCTAATTTATGATTTTTTTCAACTAATAGTACATTATTTCCTTTCACGTTTTGTAATTCTGATGCTGTTGATATACCTACTATTCCTCCTCCTATTACTATATGTGAAAAATCAGAATGACATGTTATGGAATGATGTAAAAATCTTTTGTTAATTCTACTGAACATGGAAAAGAGTGTAAATTTTCAAAAAATTCATATCATAGATTATAAAAATTGATAAGACCGATATTACTTTAGTTCTACTAACCCCAGAGATCGACTAAATGGAAATCCAATATTGTGTAATTTTTAAGAGTCCAAAACAGAATACGAGCACAAGAATAAGACGAAACTCTTAGGATAGAGACTTTGCTAGTTCAGAATCATCGCAAATCTTGAGCTCGATAAACCATGCGGAAATTAGGGTGATAAATTTGTAGTCTTTTTCAAAAAGGCTTTACTTGAAAATTATGGACCGAAGAAATGTGCGAAAAGTAAAGTCTTTCGACCTAATTTTGGCTCTAGCTATTAGTCTAATTCAACGAAAAGCGCAGTTTATTTGTTCGTCTTAATTTTCTCGATCTAGATTTTATTTTTTGATCAAGAGATTAGATTTTGTGAGATCTCCTGATTTTTGTAATTATAAGAGTTTGGATCATCTCTTCAACCATATCTTCATTTGAATCGAGAGGTATGATCGAAGTTTCAAGTTCGACTTTAATAATTTAATGAAAATCCTTTCTATTGTTCTCGAAGTAAGTACCGTTTATTTCATTCTTTCTTTATTTAACATCGTAAATCGTAAAATTATATTTTCATTTAGTTTTGAAACTAAATTTTCCATTTTTAGTCGAAAAAAAATTATTAAGAGATAAAAAGATAATAGTATCACAATACAATTAACACTACACTATCAGCCGTATAGAGTTCAATTCTTAACCAACAACAATACATACAACTCATAACTGAAAGATGAGATCTATCAAATCAGTAGTTGTAGGAGATGGAGGAGTTGGTAAAACTTGTTTATTAATATCATATACAACAAATACTTTTCCAAATGATTATATTCCAACAGTATTTGATAATTATTCAGCATCAGTATTAATAGATGGAGAACCTATAAAATTAGGATTATGGGATACAGCAGGACAAAGTGAATATGATAGATTAAGACCTTTAAGTTATCCACAAACTGAAATATTTTTATGTTGTTTTTCTGTTATAAGTCCTGATTCATTTGATGATATAAAATTAAAATGGATTCCTGAAATAATGCATCATTGCTCAAAAGACATATTAATATTATTAATTGGTACAAAAATAGATTTAAGAGATGATTATCATATTTTAGATGATTTAAATTCTAAAAAGATGAAACCAATAAGTTATGATCAAGGTGTAAAATTAGCAAAAGATATTGGTGCAATAAAATATATGGAATGTTCTGCAGCCACTCAAGTTGGTGTAAAAGAAATATTTGATTATGCAATAAGAGCAGTATTAGATCCACCTACTTTAAATAATAAAGAATATACAGAAAAATCAACAAGCAATACCATATCCAACAATAACAACAATTCTTCTTCATTCAATAAACATTCAAATGATCAATCAAGTTCAAATCTAAATAAAAAGAGGAAAATAAAAAAAGCTAAGAAATGTACAATTTTATAGATCCTTTAAAAATAGACATTAATTAATTCATTCATTCATTTCCAAAACTTTACAACTACTGTATCAATGCTGCTCTCGAAGGATGTATACCACCAAGATCTTTCGAAGTAGGTTTCCCCTTTTTTTTCTTCTTTTCTTCATCAATCCTCTTCTTCTGTTTTTCTTCTTGTTTTTCATTTTTTTCTTTTAATTTTAATTTTCTAGTTTCAGAATTTCCACCACCTCCAACAGTTAATTCAACATTAATTTTTCTATTTCTAATTTCTGAATGATTTAATCTTAAAGCTAATTCCATCTTTCTTTGAATTTCACTAGTATCATTATCAAATTCTAAAAATGCTATTCCCTTTTCAGATCTAATTCTTATTCTATTGGGTGAACTATTTTGAAAATGTGCTATTAATTCTTGTTGATTTATATCATATGGTAAATTTCCTACAAATAGTATGAATCGAGGACCTTTTCCTTCGTTTGTTCCTTTACCCTTTTTACCTCTTCTTGTTTTCCTTTTCTTTTTTGGTTGTTCTTCATTATCTTGTGGTTGTACCTCATTATCTTGATTTTCTTCTTCTTCTAGTTTTCTCTTCTTACTTTCTTTCTTCTCTATCTTTTCTGCTTCTCTTTCTTCCTTTGGTTTTCGAAATTGTTGAGCTTTCTTCTCCTTTTTAGATAATTTTTTAGAATCTGACATTTATTAAGGTGTTTTGAGATGAGATGTGGTTTATATTGATCTGATAAAAAATTTAAAAATTATTATGCGGAGTTTTATTTTTTGCAACAACAACCACCACCCTAAAATGGATGAAGTTCTATACTATATATCACAAGGAGAAGAAAAAGGAGCTGAATCATTTGCTTACATTACTTCAATCCATTCATCAAAACAATATCAATCTTTTCGTCATTCATCATCACCAAGATTTGGTACATGTTTAACAGGTATTGGACCAGGTGAAAGGATTTTCACTTGTGATTCTAAAAGAGCAATTATTAATGTATATTCATGGGGAAAAGAAAGTATTGATCAAAAAATTCCAATACCTGAAGCATTAAATACATTACATATTATTCATCATCCTGATGTTAGTGAAACAAAACATAAAAAATCAAATTATAGAATTCCATGGTTATTAATTGGTGGTTCAAAAAGTGGGAAATTATATATATGGGAATTATCATCTGGTGACTTGCTTTGTGTTAAAGAAGCTCATTATCAAGGAATAACAGTTATAAAATCAAGTGAATGTAAAACTTTTTTAATAACTGGTGGAGAAGATGCAAGATGTATAATATGGAAAATTTCAGATTTAATATCCATATATGAAACAAAAGAAGATGAAGAGGAGGAGGAAAATAATCAAAGAAATTTAAAACCTTATTGGATAATAACTGAAAATACTTTACCTATAACTGATCTAATATTAAATTCAGTAGGTATAATAAATGATTTAAAATTATATACAAGTTCAAAAGATGGTACAGTAAGAATATATGATATCTTCACGAAAACTCAATTAACGACATTTGTATTACCTGATTCAGTTGAATGTATAACAAAAGATCCAGCAAATAGAGCATTATACGTGGGATTAAATAATGGTTTAATTAAAATGTTACCATTATATAAATATAATAGTCATACATCAATTTTAGAGAGTGTCGGAGGATTAAATAAAATAATAACTATTGAATCACAAGATCCAAATTTAAATCAAACATTTATACAACATCAAAATTCAAGTATAACTAATTTAATAATGTCAATGGATGGTACAAGTATAATATCAAGTGATATTAAGGGAGAAGTTTATGTTTCTGATATAGTTACAAAACAAACCATCAAAAGTTTTCAACCTTTAGGTTTTCCCATATCATATTTATATATTGCAACATTACCTGTTTCCGTGTTGGATAATACTAATAATATAAGATCAGATAAAAAACATAGAATGATACCACCTTTAAAACGTGTATTAGCAAGTAATAATCCAATTGATCATAATTTAATAATAGATATTCCTGAAGAAATTAATTTTTCTGGTGATACTGATGATAGTGATGAAGAAAATTTTAATTCATGGTTGGAACAAAAACGAATTGAAGAATTAAAATTTAAAAACTTGAGTAATATTGATTCAACTGTAAAGAAAGTCGGTAATGGAAACACTACCAATAATGATTTGGAAATTAAATTGAAAAAAGTATCTGAAGCTTATACTGATTTAAGATCAAAACATGAAGAATTAATAAAAGAACATGCAAAATTATTAGATAAAATATAGCATTTCATATCAATAAATCAATAGATAATAGTGGTTACTGCTTAGTTTTAACTTTTTCTGGACTATTTTGTTTTGATGAACCAGTTTTAAATCCCATCAAACTAATATCATTCAAATCATCAATTGTTGTAGTTGTGATTGATTTATCTTCTCTCAGTCTACTTCTACCTCTTTCTTGAAATTGTTGTTGTTGTTGTTGTTGCGTTAATTCAATTGTTGATTGATCGTTTGATGTTGACATTTATTAATAATTGTTTTATAAAATTCATGAATTTGATCTATTCTAGTTATTGTGTATATAGTTAGGACTAATCTAATCTCGGGGTCTATCCTTTTTTGATTATACTTTTCAAAATATGAAACGGAGTTAAGTCTCAAAATAAATTTTATTTTTATTTTCTATGATGCGTCTTCAGAACAATTAGATTCCACATTTTTACAACCAACTTCAAACAAACATTCAGTTAATCCAATGCCTGTTGACTTCTTAACTAGTGTATTCTTTGATGGTCCAGAGGTAATACCGTATTGGGATCAAATAAAAGAATATGGACCAACAATACTACCTATTTTATTATCTATAATCTTTGCAAAATATTATTTTAGAGGTTCAACTAATACTTGGGAAAGAGATTTACATGGGAAAGTATATATTATAACTGGTGGTACATCGGGGATAGGAGCAGCTCTTGCGTTTGAATTAGCTACAAAAGGAGCACAATTAATTTTATTAACTAGAAGAACAAATGATTTATGGTTAGCAGAATATATTGAAGATTTAAGAGATAAAACTAATAATCCTTTAATTTATGCTGAAGAATGTGATTTAAATTCATTATACTCGGTAAGAAAATTTGCAACAAAATGGTTAGATAATCAACCACCAAGAAGATTAGATGGAGTCCTATGTTTAGCTGCTGAATCAATTCCAAGAAATTCCCCAAAACAATTTACAATAGAAGGTATAGAAAGACAAATTGGTATAAATTATTTAGGACATTTTCATTTATTAACTTTATTAGAACCAAGTTTAAAAGTTCAACCACCAGATAGAGATGTTAGAATTTTATTAGCACTTTGTTCATCACAAAATTTAGGAGATATAGATTTAAATGATTTATTATGGGAACACAAGACATATCCAAAATCACAACCATGGAAAGTTTATGGTACCTCTAAATTATTATTAGGATTATTTGGAAAATATTATCAAAAACAATTAATGCAATATGAAAGAAAAGATAAAGCTCCTTGTAATATTAGAATAAATTTTGTAAATCCTGGTATTGTTAGATCACCATCAACAAGAAGATTTATATCAATGGGTACAATATGGGGATTATTGTTATATCTTTTAACTTTCCCCATATGGTGGATATTTTTAAAAAGTGTTTCACAAGGAGCACAAACTTTTTATTTTGGATTATTTAATCCAATATTTATGAAATTAGAAGGTGGGAATTATTTACAAGAATGTAAAATTATAACAAAAGTTAGAAAAGAATATGATGATGATGATTTACAATCTAAAATTTATCATAATACTCTTGAGCTAATTAAAAAATTTGAAATTCAAAGTGCAATTGAAAGAAAAAAACACAAGACAAAAGAACAACTCGCAAAGGAAGAAAAAGATGAATTAAATCGTAAAAAGGATATTAATATAAAACCAAAAACAACTGATGAATTAGAACATAAATTAAATTCATTAAGAAGTCAAATTGGTTTAGGAAGTGGTTCAACTACAAATACAAAGGAATTACCATTATTTCCAAATGTTGATGATTTAAATAGTCTAAAACAAGGTAAAAATGTAAATAGTAAAAAATAAATGGGATGTAAATATGGAATAAGTCTCTAGTTTGAGTTCAAAGACAAATTTAAGATATTTAGGCAATCCAAGTCAATGATAAAACTTTGTGTAATCTTGACGTTGGGCCATTGTAGCACAAAGCATGAACAAGATATCTGAAAGTGACACTAAAATTGTAATGAATAGGAGTAATCTACGATAAAAAGAAAGAGGAGCACTAAGTCATTGGAGCATGAGAGAGTATAATTAAATCCAGCTAAAGCAAGCGAGATTCTGTTTTATGCAAATCAGGACAGAATTATTGAATGATAATCAATCTGTAATTATACTATTAATTAAGTTTGCGTCTCAAACATTTACATTGTGATTGTTATCTTTTGTCTATCTCACTATTAGTTAATTTGTGTTATCTTAACAAATCATATTGAATTCTTATATAATCAGATCATTACTAGTAAACCGCCTTTGAATAGAACATCACCAGACCATCAATACCATCCTTTTTGTAGTCTATCATATCTTAGACAGAAGCCATACTACATTTAGCTCTACAATAAGGTTAAACAGTACAAACTTTAAGGTTATTTTGTTGTTATAGAACATACTTTTTTATAACCGATTTTGTTCCACAGTACTATTAATGCACAAGAAGAATCCAATTTTTTCCGGATCATTTGATCGTTACTTTGTTTAAGTATTGTTAAGTTAAGTATTACATTAATTAACATTCTTATTTGCTATCTTCTTGATCTAAATCAAATAAAGGTAACAGAAGCTTGACTCCAAGTTCCACTTGAGGCCATATTAACAGACACCGTTGCATTATTCTCATTCTAGTTCCTATCTCATTCACATCTCCACCCTAAATTTTGGAGTATTAAATAATTCCAAAAAGATTAGAGTTGATTGATAAATTAACTTATTAGAATTTTCTATTATCAATTTTTTTTTATCGCTAACATAAATCAACATTCATTTATTATACAACAACTTCATCATCATAATCTTGTATCATTTACTACCATAAAAACAGCATCATGACATCAACAACTGATAATAGACAACCCACTAGTCTATCACAATCTCAACAACAACAACAACAACAACAACAACAGCCTATATCATCTTTAACGAAATTATTAAATGAATCTTCAACTTCAATTTCCAAAAATCCTTCACAAAATTCATCTTCAACTATAAAAGCATCACAATCAAGTTCAACTCCTATAATATCAAAAAATGAAGATGATAATGATAATTCAACTGATTTAGGGGAAATTTCAATACCGAAAAAGAATCTAGAGAAACCAACAATAGATATAACAAATTTACATAATAATAATAATAATGATCATGATAATAATACTCCTCAAGTCATAAATGGATTTGATCCTTCACCAAACACTAAATCATCTTCATTTACCCCAACTTCCCCATTTGCAAGACAATCATCACATTCATTTTCAAATAATCATATGTTTAATTCATCAAGAGCTGCATCAAGTCCAAGATATTTAAGAAATAATTCAATAAGTCATTCATCTTTTTCAATAAATAATGGAGAAAGTCTATCAACGTCAATACCATATTGTGCACCTGGAGGTAGAGGAAATTCCATTACAAATGGATCATCTAATAGTAATATAGCATCATCATTATCAAAAGAAACTAATTTTTTACCAACTAATTCAAATGATTCTCATATTCCAAATTTACCAAATGGACAATTTATAAGTTCTATTCATATACAATCACCACAAGTTAATTCAACTAATATAGATTCAAGATTTGTTATATCAAAACAAAGAATTGCACAAGCTCAAGCTGCACAATTAGGTAGTTCACAAAGATCAGGTTCTCAATCTGGTTTATCATATTTTTTCTCAAGTAAAAATAAACCATCAAGAAAAGATTCATCAACTGATTTAGGTTCATTTTATAATAATCTGTATCAAGATAATATTAATGAAATTTCAGGATCTCCTTCAAGTTTTTCATCTTCAGATTCTGTAATATCAACAAATACTTTTAATGGAGGAGTTCCACCACAAAGCGGCTTTGGTAATGGTGGTAGTACCAATGCTCCTTCAAGACATAATTCAATGTCAAATTTAAAAAGATTCTTTAAAAAATCAACACCTACAAATCAATCATCTCCTGCAACTTCTAATTTATCATCCTCATTAAGATCAACTAATGGAGTAGCAGCAGCAAATGCAATGAACATTCCACCACCATCCCCTTCAACTTCCCAATCATCAATAAATCCTTCATCATCATTTTCAAATTCACCTGGTGGATCAACAATTTCAATTACTAGATCATCAACTTTGCAAAATAAAATTAATTATCAAGAAAGAAGAGGATCAGTATCTCTGGTTATAAATTCAAATACTCAACAATTACCATTTTCAAAAAGATATGGTAAATATAGTGAAAGTTTAGGAGCAGGAGCAGGAGGTGCAGTAAAATTAGTTAATAGATTATCAGACAACAAGACATTTGCAGTAAAAGAATTTAGAACTAAATATCAAACTGAAAGTAAAAGAGATTATGCTAAAAAAATTACAGGAGAATATTGTATTGGATCAACTTTAAAACATCCAAATATTATAGAAACTGTTGAAATATGTTATGATAATGATAGAATTTTACAAGTTATGGAATATTGTGATTATGATTTATTTGCAATTGTAATGTCAAATAAAATGTCAAGAGAAGAAATTAATTGTTGTTTTAAACAAATTTTATCAGGTGTACATTATTTACATTCAATGGGGTTAGCTCATAGAGATTTAAAATTAGATAATTGTGTTATTGATAAAAGAGGTATTGTTAAAATTATAGATTTTGGTTCAGCAGTTGTTTTTTCTTATCCTTTTAGTAAAAATTTAATTGAATCTCAAGGTATTGTTGGATCAGATCCTTATTTAGCTCCAGAAGTTTGTGTTTTTAATAAATATGATCCAAGACCCGTTGATGTTTGGTCAGCAGCTATAATATTTTGTTGTATGATGCTTAAAAAATTTCCATGGAAAGTTCCAAAATTATCTGATTCAAGTTTTAAATTATTTGCTTCAAGAGGTGAATTTATACCTATATCTGAAATGTTGAAAAAGACTCCACAAGATGTTGAAAAAACTGCAAGTAATGGATCTTCCGGTACATTAAGTAATTTAAATGATATAAGTGAAGCTTTGGAGGAAGATATTAGTTCTACTAAACCAAAAAATACAACCGAAGCAACAACAACAACAACAACTCCCTCAAAAGATGCAAAAGATCATACATCAAGTGAAACAGGAGTAAATAGATTATTATTAGCATTACCAGAAGATTGTCGAAAATTAATTGGAAGAATGGTTGAATTAGCTCCTGCATGTAGAATAACAATAGATGAAGTATTTGAAGATTCATGGTTAAAATCTATTTGTATGTGTACAGTTGAAGAAACTTTTGATCAAAGTGGTAAATTTGAAGTTTTAAAATGTGATGATCATGAACATACTCAAGTTGATCAATCAAAAGCTCATATTGCTGCATTTGAAAAGAAAAAAAATAAGTAAATAAGTAGCCTTAGAGATAGTTTTAATGTAATATTTTCGTTTCTGGTTTTTAAAGTAGTCATTACGTTCGTTTATTATTTTAAGTCTCTATGTACAAGATTTTTCTAGTTGTACTTAAATTATGGAATAACTTTTATCCCCACTACGTTTGCAGTACTTATTATACTTCCAATAATAGCTTTCAAATCTAAATCTTTATGTCTATCATCAGTTTTCTTTATCTTAGCAATTTCCCAAACATGTTTTAAACTTATAGTACCAACACTTTCCTTAAGAGTCTTTCCTGAACCTTTATCAATTTTTGCAGCTTTCATTAATAACCATGATGTAGGAGGAGATTTTATTTCAAATTTAAAACTTCTATCTGGTTTAACATTTATTAAACATGGTATGGGAGTACCTGGTTCATAATTAGCGGTTCTTGCATTAAATTCTTTACAAAAATCTATTGCTTTTACTCCCTTTGAACCTAATGCTGGACCTACTGGTGGTGCTGGTGCTGCTTTTCCGGCTTCGACTACTAGTCTCACCATTGCAGATTTTGCAGACATAACGATGAGTTTGTTTTAGTGGTGGTCTTGTTTGGTTGATAGTGAAAAAGGTTTGTAAAACTCTAAATGATCCTTGGTTTATTTTTTTTCATATTTTTCAAAACTTCCCGTTTTGTATTTTTCAAGTTATTGCAAAAAATGTAATACAACCATCTTTTATCTGATTACAATATCAACACCACCAAGATGAACAAGTCATTACCATTAACATCGCGAGCCAAGACGACGGCATTAAAGCAACCAAAGGAGTTGTTTACTTATACTAGGAATATAGATGGTCAACATCAATATAATAAAGATAATATTCATAATAATTTATCTTATTATTATTTACCTGATTCAAAAATTGATACAAGAATAGATTTACAACTGGGATTTAAAAATTTTAAAAAAATACCAATGGAAGATGATATAAATACTTATCCTGCATTACTTGATCAAATTATAGAATATGAAAAACAAATTCAACAAAAATTAGAAACTGATATTATAACATTTAGAGGTATAATGACTAGATTAATGAGTATACCTTATAATTTACAAGATCCAATAGATTTAGTTATAGTACCATATGATGGACAATTATTTATGAATTGGAATTTTGAGATTGAATATAAGAGAAGAAAAGAACAAGAAGATAGACAAAGACAAACAACAACAAAAGAAAAATATGAATATATTAAAAAATGTGAATATAGTGGATATAAATTTGAAACTATTTCAACTATTCCAGATATATGGAGTAATATATCAAGAAAATATATAGAAACAAGACATAAATTACCAGTTAATAATTATGAACAATTTTTATCAGTTATTAAAACAGGTATTGGAAATGTTAAATTAATATTAGCAGGAGAAATTGATTGTTGTTGGGATTATATACCTGATAATACACTGAATTCATTAAGTCATTATGTTGAATTGAAAACCACCAAAATAATAGAAAATGATTATCAAGTTCTAAATTTTGAAAAAAAATTATTTAAAACTTGGTGTCAATGTTTTTTAATGGGTATAACAAAAATAATATATGGATTTCGTGATGATTTATTTATATTAAGAAATGTTGAAATTTATAATACTGAAGAAATACCCATATTAATAAAAGAAAATCCTTTAAATAATTTAAAACAAAATCAACAAACCAAGATTAATTGTACTTCTGCTTTAAAATGGTATGGTGCTGTAGTTGAATGGATTAATTCATCAATTGATAAATTAGATGAACTGAAAAGTTATGGATTAAGTTATGATCCTATAAAGAAAAGTTTTAATTTAACACAATTAAAAGATGAAGAAAATTCTAAATTAAGAAATGGTGGACTATTGACTGAAAAGTTTAGAACTTGGAGAGAAGAAGAAATTAAAAATTTATGAATTATGCTTGATGCTTGTTGAAATTATATTGAATATCTAATAATTAAACACTTTTAATATATATTATGTGTCTACGACTTTAAACTCCTAATATACCATTTGCTTCGGATCCCATTTTTCATTCTGTATAAATTCTATTAAAGATTTACTACCAGTTTGTAGAAGTGGATGACCACTAACAATAACCAAGAATTTTTCTAAACCTTGTCTTCTTTTTTCAATATTTAATTCATTAAATTTATTACTATTTAATAATATTTTCCCAGGTAATTGAGGTATAACAACTCTTGAAGTTTCTTGTTCCAAAATTTTTTTAAAAGCTAAAAAATCACTATATCTTCTTCTTATTTTACTATACCTTTTTTTAAATGCTGGTATATTTGTTTTACATATTATTTCATAATCTGTATATAAATTATTTCCATATCCATGAGTTATTGGATTTTTAACTTCTACTTCTAAAAAATTTTCTGGTTCTCCGTATATTTCATTAAATGATTGTTGTTTATGTTTTGGTGATGTTTTTATAACATCACTTATAGGTTGAAATTGTCTTGACATTTATATAAATCTGATTGTGTGAGGAGTTGATTGAGGATGATAACTTATCTTGACTTTTGATTGTAGTTTCACAATCACGTTTGGCTCTACGGATTTACTGGGATATTATAGCAAGACCTGTTGAAGGTTACCTGGATTTTAAAGAATGTATCTTGACTGTAAATTTATGATGATGTATGACAGATCTGGAGAGATATTATATTAATCTATTATCGGAATATAAAGTTTTAAAATTGATTGTTACTTTACGTACTGTATAATAAAGATAACGCTTACTTTCAAAAAAACAGGCAACTACCATATGCACGCAAATTTGTTTCAATATATTTAATCTCTAGTATCAACTTGTGATCTAATTGTCACAGTTCAAGAGTTTATCCATATCGATTTCCTTGAAAGGAGTTACTCAAGAGTTGAAAAGTCAAATTTTTTTGTAAATAATTCGAATTTAATCGTATTTTTTCCAATTTTGAAGAGGAAGAAAAACTTTTTCAATCAAATAGTTCCAAATTAAGCATGTATTAAAGCTAAAAGGTTTGTTATAAATACTTAAAAATTGAACATAAGCTTAACTTTTCTCAAGGCAGAAAATCATCTCAATCATGTAGAAAATTGAGCTTTTAACCCTCAAAGTTCATTAAAATTATCAATAAAATAAACCTCTATTACCAACATTTTTACCTTGTGGTACATTATGAACAATACGATGTAACCAAACATAAGTACTTGGCCAAACAAAAAATGAAAATAATAATGTACTCCATACTGCTAAATCAGGAATTCTTTTTAAATATAATTGATATTGTGGTATACCTTTTAAATTTTTAATATTATTTTTAACATTTTGAGTTGCTAATCTTGTTATTGTTGGATGCATTCTTATCTTTTAAAAGTTTGAGTAATTAGGGAATATAAATTAGTACAATACTTGATTTGGATTAAATTTGCAATTGTGCTGGAAGTGAGCTGGTGGAAGATAGTTAGTTAATAATTATCAAGAAATTCAGGAAAAGAAGAGATTGTAGAAAATATTTATATAATTCTTAACCGTTAAAAAAGACACTAGAGTGGAAAAGGAGTAAGAAGCATAGACACGAAAATATGTTCAATAACAAAGTATCAGCAGATTTCTGCAAGGATACAATTCAAAACTCATTCTCAAAACGAATGGCTGCAAAAAAAAAAAAAAAAATCAAATTTCAACATAATGTCGTGCATTAACGAAATTTGTAAGACAATACTTACTTAGGCTAAAATATATGGTCTGATCTTTCTGAATTTTTTTGCAAATTATGCCTTGCGTTAATACGAGTTTAAATCAAATTTGGTCCATCAATTTGTTACAGCTTGTATTCAGCTTGTATTAAATTGTTCTATAGCTGTTCATCTAAGCGAGATTTTAACATATTATATGAAAGAACTCCTAACTAAGGGCATGACAATCCATTGATACTTATTGATTTCACCAACTCTTATATAAACACCCATGTTTTGATTTGTTTTTGGGTTTGGTTTGTTTCAAATCATACCACTTATATATACAATAATTTTTTTGGGTCCTTAGTTTTTCCTTATTATTCCGATAACATTGTGAAATTTAAAAACTCCGAATATTTTATGACAGTATCACAATTATCTACACCAGTTATATGAATTTATTATTAAAGTAAAAAATAAACTTATTTTATTATAGTTGTCTCTATACAATGGGTTAAAAAAAATCAATCTAAACTAAAAATAATGTGAAATTCAAAACCAAACAAAAAATAATGATAAATAATAAATATGACACCAAACCTGATGATAGACGAATGAAAAGATAAATATGATATGTTTTTTTTTAAGTTCCTCAATTTTGTTTTTCTTTTTCCATAAATTCTTCTTGAACATCAAAAGTATTTGCATTATGAGCAACATCTTTTACTACAGCAACTCTCATAGTTGCTAAAAGATTGTGAGCAGCATTTGAATGAGCATATACTGCGCCACTAAAAGCATTTGTTGCATCTTTACCTAATGAAGCTCTTATTAAAGCTTGACCACCTGGATGTTCTTTTATAAATGATTTACAATTATGTATTATACCACTTATTATAATTAAACCTTCATTTTTAGCTCTTTGATTAAATTCTTCTCTTGTCCAAACAGGTAATTCATCAACTTTTAAACCCCATTGTAATTTTTGTCTCATTCTATCTATTTTTTTTTGTTGTTGTTGTAATAAACCTTGTTCAATAGCATTTTGAGAAAATTTTTTTAAATTCCAAGCTAATCCTAATTTTGATAAACACCATATAGTCATTTTTGTTGGATCATATTGATACCATTTTAAAGCATTTCTATAATCACTTGGAAATTCATGATGAAAATTATGATAACCTTCTCCAAATGTAACAAATGCTGTTAATACATGATCTCTTGGAGTTCTTCTATCATCAAATGGTTGAACACCTATCCAATGAGCCAATGAATTAACACAAAATGTAACTTGTTGAATGAAAAAAGACTTTAAAACACCAGCATAAATAAAACCACCCCAATAATCATTCCAAAAAAATCCTGCAACTAATGTAGGGAAAATAAAAGCAGAAAATAACATTAAAATTAAATAATGTCTATGTTGAAAAGTAACTACTGGATCTGCTGTTAAATCACTTATATCAGCTCTTGCTCTATTTTTTGGATTTGCTTTACTTAACATCCAACCCATATGAGAATACCAAAATCCTCTTCTTGCATCATATGGATCTCTTGGAGTATCAGTATATCTATGATGAACTCTATGACTATGACCCCACCATTTAATTGAACCTTCTATTGCTCCAGCACCAAAAAATGCAAAAAACATTCTAACAGGTAAAGCAGCATCATAAGCTTTATGAGAATATAATCTATGATAACCTGCTGTAATAGATAATCCACTAAATGCATATAATATACCAGCTAATATTAATGTTTTTAATTGAGGTGGTGTTAATATAGCACTATATATACCAAATATTGGAAAAGCAACAACTAATATAGCATTAAGCCAATTAATTTTAGCCATAAAATTATCAAAAGTCCAAGGTTCTTCAGAAATATGTTTTACTTTAGCATATTTTTGTTTTTCTCTTTCATCTTTTTCAGCTAATGATTCCATTGAATCTTTTGTAATTTCTTCTGCTGTTACTTTAACTAAATCTGCTGTACCCATTAATCTACCACCTAATCCTGCTGCAACAATTCTTGGTACTTTTTTATTTGTACCTGCTGCAATAGCATTTAATTTTGTTACTTCAACAACTTCTAATTCTTCTGTTGCTGACATTGTGGTTTGTTGTTGTTGTATATGAAAAGGATGGAAAATTGAATGTGAGAATTTATGTAAGTTTGTTGTGTTTACTGATGTAAGGTTTTATGAAATTGTGTTGAAGGGCTTTTTATAGTTAAAGTTGAAATTGATGCTAATGATTATGATGAAATTTGATGGTTAGGTTTATGTGAAAGATGGTAATGAAGTTGAATCAATCTATAAATTGATAAAATAATAAAATTGACAATTGAAATTGGTTTTATACTTTTATAAGATTTAAATCCCCTTAAAGTAAAATAATTAATTAAATTGATGGGTGTGTATATAACAACAAACTAAATTTAAATAATAAATTTTGGGTTTTTTGTTGAGTAAATACAATTTAGACATTATCGTCGTTTCTTTTTTTTCTCGTTGTAAGTTTAAGTCGGGACTGCATGATGAATTGGGTAGTTCCAAAAACAGTTAAATTACATACGTTTGTTTCCATTTTAAAACGCTTTTATCTTGAAAGGGATGAATGGAAGTCAAATGTATACTTTTTTTACTCTCTACATTACATTACACTCTTGCAGAAGAGAATTAATTCGGAACAGTAGTCAAGTGCATTTGATGAGCAGAGGAAGATACAAATTTAATGAGCTACAAACAACCCTTGAATTTGATTGTAATTAAGGGTTTTCTTTATTTTCTAGCATCAACACCTATAACAATTGTTATTCCTCTCAAATATGATAATTTTTACAAGTTTTAAAGATATTGGAACTGTCAAAATATTTCATTCATTATGATGCTAATAGCATGATTGACTGATAATTAATAAACGAGGTATCTCAACCTTCATAAGTTTGAATATAAAAATAATTAATTTTCTGTGTCATGCAAGTTTAGGAATTGATACATTTAATCGGAGTTAACAAAATCTAAAAAAGCATCTCATTATTTTGTAATATCTGAAACAAAATTGTCTCTAAATCTCATCTCATCTTGTTGGGTTTTACAAGTGTTAGCTAACAATCTAATGTAAAGTCCTACACATTAACTAGCATGTCAATTGTTTTATCTAACGTCATGATCATTTTGAAGTTCAAATTGACTTGTAGTTAAGAGGGATTTATAAATTTCATTTGAAACATTTATGATAGATTTACAGTAAAATACATTAAATCAAACGTTTGTTAATACTTCTTATCGCCTTCAATTTTTTTTTTCTTTTTTTATTGTAAGCCCTGCGCCTTGAAATTATGTACAAACATTGAGTTGTTTCAAATTCTCTACAATTTTTGTAATTTTGTCTGAGATTCGAAGGTGTAAATCTTGCAACGGAAAGTAAGTGTTGCGGTATGGGTGTAAAAATGTTTGTTCTTTCCTGGTACTTTTTGAGTTATTTAGAGTTGGACCCCTTACACTCTTCCGTATCATCATTTTTCATCTACAGGTATTTCATTTTTTGCAATATCGACTGTACGGAGTAGTCAAAGATGCTAATTCTTGAAATATTGTTGTTGTACTCGTCCAAATCTATTGTCTCTCTATGATCTGCATCTGTTTCATTAATATTTGATTCGATAACTATCGAGATTGTTGAGTGAAGGATTTATGATCAAAGAAATTTGAATACGTATTAGTTTAACGAACTCATTGTGTATGAAACTTCTCAGGCAAAAATGATTTTTATTATCTTTTCAAGTCTTTGTAGTCCTCAGGTAAAAAGTTTGTTGATATTTTCTAAATCGAGATAGATCGCCCATGTAACTAAAACCAAGCAGATCAAAAACCTTCCAGTCTTACATTTTTGACTACTTGAAACTAGCTTCACACTTCCTTCAGATTGTTCAGCATGATTGATCACAATCTGTATGACTTGATCTTGCTACCAATTACCGTTTCAGAATTTATCAGAATATCAATACCTTAATCGATAATGACTCAGACACTTGAATGAGATCATCCAGACCCAAAATGTACTAGCCAAAAATCTAGAGTTTATCAAAAATAATTAGAATAAAAAATTTCCATCGAATTAGAGTATATACTTATCATTGATGATATAGGTCAAGTAATTTACCTCAATTTTGAAGCAAAACAATGTAAAATTAAGAATTAAGCGCAAACACTAAGTGCTCAACTACTAATAGCACAAATCATCATGGGACTTTGTGAAACTGACTCATGTCTTGAGTTTGAAAACCTCAAAGTAAAGTAATTGTGGTAAACGATTTGACTTTTGTTTGAAAAACCTAAATTATCAACTTATAACTTAGTAGACCTAAAAAGTCCGCTAAACCTTAGGTTTAGAGCGAAACTTTATTGAAAAATTGGGCACGCAAAATTTAGCTATATAAAACTTAACCGCTTTTTATTTTGTAAAATGGTTCCGTGGTCTAGTTGGTTATGGCATATGCTTAACACGCATAACGTCCCCAGTTCGATCCTGGGCGGAATCATGGCATAAGATATTAGTATCTTTTTTTTAATCCAATTACGTATGTTCATACTGTTTCACTGCGCATCAAATTTTTGATGCCACCTTCATTGTATATTTATTTTTTACTAGATTAATTTTTTTTTATTAAACTAAGGTCTATATTTATACACTTTGAATTTTTGAAAATTCCTTTCTCAAATTTTTGAATAATTTTTTACTCTTGCCAATTTTATGACGTTGAAATATTTTTTTATAAACTGTAGCTAATTTAATGAACCAGTTTTTATCACCAAAAATTAAAACCACCAAATTGACAACTGAAAATAATAAGATGTACCAATAAAATGCTCTGCTTAAGTTTGTCAATTGCAAAAGATCCCCCATACTCGAATCACCGTTTATTGCGAATAATGATATGGACAATAAAGTGGCAACAACTAAATTAATTAAAAATGGTAAATTTTTTTCAATTGGTTCACGAAATGGTGGACCTTGATTTAAAACCACAGCTATTAAAATATATTGAAAGTTTGAAAATAAAAACAAAACTGTATTATCTGAAGATTTGACTGCATCATCACTACCAGGTATGGGTTTTATATACCAAGGTTCCTTTTTGACCCAAGACCAAATTATGACTTGAAAAATTAACAACACTAATATACTGCAAACTAAAGGAATCAATACTTTTGGTGATACTAAATTTGCAGTAGGTCTTTTAATGACTAATTTATCATAAGGTTTTGACCAAGACATGAAAATTGCCAATGGTAATATTAAAAATAAATCAATATATAAAAATTGAAAATCACCTAAATTTGTACCTGTCTTGTATAAAATTGTAACTGATATAAACTGGATTGCAGAATATAAGGACATATACTTGAAGCATGAGAAACTAGTAACTAAACTAGATCTACCTTCTTTAATAATGGTTGGAACACATGAAATTTCAAAGATTCTCGATGTGAAAGGGGCAGCAACTGAAGCTTCAGCCTCTGACAATGAGATTCCTACATCAGCAGCCTTTAATGCCCCACAATCATTTGCACCATCTCCACAAAATCCGACAGTATAATCAATCTTTTGAAATTGTTCTACCAATTCATGTTTTTCATCAGGAGACATTCTTGCAAATATATCACATTGCATTAATACGGATTGAATGATATTTGCATCTTTTAATTCTGTTAATAAAAATCTAAATATATCACCTGTTATTGCTAGTTTATAATTTGAACTTTGTCGTATATCTAAAGGTTTAATTGTATCAGGATCTAATTTATTCTCGGGATCATTTACATCTTGCCAAGTTAATTGCCTTTGATCATCTTCCTTATACTCTAAAGATGGAATATAAACATTCTTAATATCTGAAGTTAAAAGTTTTGATTCCTTTGCTACACTGATTGCTGTTAAGATGTTATCACCTGTACACATCACAGTCCGAATTTTGGCAGAACTAAGGACTTCCAAAGTAGCAGCAGTTGAGTCTTTCAATTTGTTCTCAAAAACAATAAACCCAGTAAAAGTTAATTCACTTTCTGCTTCTTGTCTTTCTAAGCTATTGTCCGCTGTTTGTTTGTATGCACAAGCAATAACTCTAAATCCTGATGTAGTATAATGATGCAACAATTCTTCAAAATTGGATGGGATGGACTCCGGTATACATATATCCATCATTATTTCAGGTGCTCCTTTTGTAAATATAAAACCTTTATTATTGTGTTTAACAAACACAGACATTCTTCTCAATGGTGCAGAAAATTCGTATTCTTTTTCAATTTTATATTTTTCATTTTGATTTGAAACAATTGGTATACCTGTATTTAAATCTTCATTATATTCCCATTTTGTGAATTCAAACATTTTAACATCTAATGGATCACCCATTAACTCTTCATCAATATTTCTTAAAGAATGACAGGCCGCCATACAACCCAACAAAAATTTCCCATTATTTGTTTCATGATCTGAGCTTCTGATAGTTTTCAAATTTTTAATATTTGTGATTAATTCTTCAAACACAATCTCTTTTCTACCGCTAGCATTATTAGCTAAATGTATACCCAAAACATCTAAACCATCTTCAGTTAAGGTTCCAGTTTTATCGAAACACATAACATCAATCTTACCAGCAATGTTTACTCTAGTCGGAGCAATACAAAATAATTGATGTTTCTTCAATCTTGCAATGGCAAAAGTCGTACCTATTGTCAAAGTAGCAGGTAACGCTGGAGGTACCACAATTGTGATAATATCCAACGCTCTTAAAATCATGACTTTTTTACTTAACCCTATTTTGATAAAGTTATATGTTGAATACATGAAACCTATGAAAGCTATTCCAGTCATGAAAGCAATATATTTAAAAGAATCTTCGTAGAACTTGAAACCTGTGGGCTTTGGGAAAAGCATAGACCTTACTAAGGAACCTTTTGTAGTATTGAACCCAGTTTTCAAAACCATGGCAGTGACAGGCTCATCATTTCCTGATTTCATTTTTAATAATTTAGTACCATTGAATAAATAAGATTTTGATAATTTTGGATCTATGAAATTTTCAGGCAATAATTTAAGAACATCCTTAGTAGCTTGAATTTTGGAGACGGGTACACTTTCACCTGTCAACATTGATTCATTGATAACACATTCACCATTAACTAGAAGGGAATCACAAGGAATTGTTGCTAAAGATGGATCAATTTCAAAAATGTCTCCTGGGACTAAATCAGTTGAATCTATTTGTTTCCAAAATTCATTTCTCCATACTCTTACTTCACATTCAAATTTTGAAATTTGTTGCAATCTTCTTATAGTGGCTTTGGTTTCAACTAAAGAATTTATGATAGAAACCATCGATATGATGAAAATACAAGATGCATAATAATAATAATCATCAGCAAGCCACAAAAATATGGAAAAGACTTGAAATATATAAAATGGATGTAAGATTTCATCAGCCAATAATTGAGCGATGGATTTTTCTTTAATTTCAATTGAATTCTCTTGAAAAATTTTAATTCTTTCTTCATATGTACCTTGAGAGATTCCATCTTTAATATTCTTGATATTCAACCACCTTGAATCATACCAATTTGAATTAGTTCTAAAGATATCTTCAACTGGATCATAAAAAAATTTAATATATCTGTAAATAAAAAAATGGATATTTGGAACTACTGGGTCCTTTTCAACATCTGATTCTGATTCTGAATTGATTAAAAAATCAGACAATTTTTCATCAAATCTCTTACTTGTTATCTCTTGAATTTGTAGTTCACCAAATTCATTTTCTATAACACACCAATCTGCAACTCCCAAGGCACATTTTGTACCCATTATATTGATCCTATATTTAGGAAACCATCTCAATACAATAAAAGCCAATCCCAAAGTTGAAACACAAAGAACATAGTAAAGTATCTTTTTGAACCAATTATCGCGGTAACCTGCTATACCAATGACCAAATCCTCTTCTGCTAAGTAATACCTTTGATAGTAATTTTTCGTGGGAAATTGTCTTTGAAAATCTTCATCGATTTTACTTGCATCTTCACGATCTTCGTCTTCAATGCTTTTATTACTGCTTTCGTCTGATTCTCTTCTTGCTCTTGGTTCATAATCAGTTGATCCATACTCAGGAGATTCTGTAGAACGTTGATATCCCAATTCATCATCAATCAACGCCTCTTCTGGTTCCTCATATTTATCTATTGAATAGTCCCAAGGAGTATTATAATCAACAGGGTCATCGGGATTCTCCAAAGTAGATCCACCTTGAGCCATCTCAATTTCATCAGGTGAGAAAAATTTAAAGTGTGCTTGGGTATCATTTGAACTTCTTGAAGCATTTGATTTAACTGATCTCAAATCAACAAGATCTTCATCTGCTGAAAGTAAAGGTGAAGTTTCTCTTGATATACGCGAGCCTCTTCTATTTCCAAAATTATGAGGATAATGTAATGATGTAATTGATGACGGAATAACCTCAGATGCTGCACCTGAAAACATTTCATTATTATTATCTTCCAATAAATGGCTAACAGATGAATCCATCGAGGTGACTGAGTTAGTCCTTGAACGAATCATTCTTCGATCATATGAAGATGACCTCCTACCTTTTGGTATAGGTCTTTGGTTTTTTGTCATTGAGCTGTCAAAACTTCAAAATATATGGGTAAATTGTAATGATTATTGCTGCAAAAAATTGGAAGGAGTAACAAACTGAAGTCAACTTGAACTCATAAGATCTATTGAGTAGTAAAAAAGATGTGTGATTAACAAAGCTCCTCAAAAATTGAATCAATAGCCGTGATAATAAAACCTTGAACGTTAAATAGCAATTGATTCTGATGATATCAAGTCTGAAAAATTTGAAAATTAAAAGATTTACAAAAAAATTTGTTTATCAAATTCGTATATTATACACTATTACATCATAAACTAAGCATATGAGACATCAACAGTAGAAGCCGTCGAAACAACTGCAGAATGGCATTGAAAATAAAGCTTAAAGCGCCATCCGAGTCATCAAGCACTCCACAGCCAACTTCAATTGAAAATGGGCTGAAGATACCCAAGATTAAAATAAAAGCACCTCAACCACAACCTCAACAAGAACAACAACAAGATCAACTACCTCATCAATCGTTACAGCGAAAACGTCATAATACTGATACGCTAAATGAGAACGAAAAACCTAAAAAGTTAAAGTTAAGTTTATCGAAGAATCAAAACAAACAAAATCAAACCAACAAGCCTAGAATAATACCGAGAGTTAGAATAAAACCAACAAGAGTGCCAGGAGAAGGATATGACTCAGAAGCTCCAGATTTAGAGGACGATCCTTTAATTGAACAGGGAATAATAATACGATTTTTAGATGATGCAAATTTAGATTTTGTTCACACTGCAATTGATTCTGGAGATCTAACAGGTTTGAATGTAAAATGGATTACAAGAGAAAAAGCAGTTGTGAATGTTAACGGAAATTTATATTCAGCAAGATTAATAGATCTACCTACTGTGACTGAAATTTATAAAACAATAGATAAGAAAAACATATTTAAAAATTTCGATGTATGTCAAATACTATTGGTTCTACATATCATAAATCCTGCTCAATTAAATACCGAAAAAGACTTTGAAGTTCCTGAAGAGTACCTTTTTAATCATCCTTTTTACAAGCATGTAAAAAATAATGAGATCAAGAAGAAGAAATTTGTTTTACGAGATGGGTTGTTAAACCCTTTTAAAGATGTGTATCGAAGATTCAGACCAACAAGAGTAGATCATCGAGTTATCGAAGATATTGAAGCAAGTGTTGATAGTCTTATAAAATTAGATAATGAAGCGGAAGAAAGTCATTTTGAGATACTAGATAAGTCAAGTCAACCAAGATTAGGCCGTGCTAGTGAAGTGTCCACTCCAATTAATTATGAGCAAAGACCAGTAAAACAAGAGTTCAAAAGAGATTCAGTCGAGTTGGAAAATGAAGCTCCAGGTGAGCCAGACGCAGGCGAAGCGGAAGACTTTGAACTCAATTTGGAAGAAGAACTTAACAAAGTCTTTGATGATGAAGGTGAAACAGAGGAACCGGTTGTAACTGTACCATCTCTGATAGCTGAAGCATTAAATAATGATGAAGCAGAAATTGTGGTAGATGAAGGTTTAGAGAATGGTGATATTGACGACTTATTTGGAGATTATGGGGAAGATGCTGAGGAAGAAGAAGAAATACATGAAGGGGAAGAACAAGAGGAAGAAGAGGAAGAGGAAGAAGAAGACGACGATGAAGAAGAAGACGAAGAAGATGAAGAGGAGGATGAAGACACAGCTCAAAATAAGGCTGGATTGCTGCATACTAAATTATTACAAGAAGAAATTTCTGAATTGGAAAAAGTTGTTGAAACACATAAAAAGAATTTGGCTTCTGCAACCAACAAAATGACGAAAATGAAATATCAAAATACAATTTCATCACTACTGGCATCACTTGATCAGAAGAAAAAGGAGTTGGATAAATCCCAAGAATTACATACAAAGAATGCAGAAATTAAACCAAACGACGCATTTGACGAGGATGCAGATGATGAAGATAATGAAGATGAAGAATTACAAGATGATGATGCTAATGATGATATCGATGATTTATTTTGAATTAATAATAACGACCTTATGATATTTTATTAAGTGTTTTCTATAAATTTTTGTTTTTGTTTTCTATAATGGCGCATTTTTGAATAAGTAAGATATACTCTCTCCATTATGTAACCTCCTGACAGCTTCAGCAATAACAGCAGAAACATCAATTGTATCTAGCTTGTTACATAATGATAATTTGTCTTCAAATGGAACAGTATTTGTACAAACGACTTTTTTCAATTTTGAATTATTTATATTTTTTATAGCATTTCCTGATAAAATACCATGAGTAACAATAGCTATTACTTCCTTTGCGTTATTATCTAACAAAACTTCAGCTGCTTTAGCTAAGGTTCCACAAGTATCTGCCATGTCATCAACTATAACACAAATTTTATCACTAACATCCCCAACTAAAACCATTTTGGAAACTTCATTAGCTCTAGCTCTTTCTTTGTGAATCAATGCAAAATTTAAATCCAATCTATCAGCTAAACCAGCTGCTCTTTTCGCACCACCTGCATCTGGTGAAATTATAATTGCATCTTTATAATCTATTTTTTCCTTTATATACCTTACAACACTTGGTTCAGCATATAAATTATCAACAGGAACATCAAAAAATCCTTGAATTTGTGATGCATGTAAATCCATTGTTATAACATGATTACATCCAGCACTTGTCAACATATCTGCCATTAATTTAGCTGTTATAGGTGCTCGTGATTTATCCTTCCTATCTTGTCTTGCATAAGGAAAGTTTGGTAGTATTACAGTAATTCTTCTAGCACTAGCTGTTTTACATGCATTAATCATTATTAACAATTCAATTACTCTATCATTAACTTCTCCAGAACCAATTTGACATATGATAAAAATATCTTCATCTCTTACTGATTCTCCAATTGAAAATTGAACTTCACCAGTTGATTCTCTTTTTATTTCACTCGGTGTTATGTGTAAACCTAATCTTCTTGCAACTAATTCTGCAAGCCCACGATGCACATCACTCGCCAATAGTTTTATAGAATTTGTTGACATTGTCTGTGTGAAAATGTTTTGATGTGCGGTAATTTAATTCCAATGTATATAAGTAATACGAATGAATTATTAGTTTGTTTTGTTGGGTATAAAAATGATTATTTCGATATGTAGTTGTAGCACGATGATTGAGTGAACCGATTAATATTGTTACACTTTTTTTTCTGGAGATGAATTAAATTTTAGCTGCTACCAAATCGTAGTAGATAAAACGCGCGATGCTAGATCTATTCCAATGGAATTTCATTCTTATTGTTTTACCCCATGTTTCATATCTAAATGACCATGAGTGAAAAGAAACAGTATGTTTATATGTGGAGCTTGATGGAATTGAATTGAATTTGAAACTAACTAACTTAAATACTAGTCACACACAGATCAAGGCATGTCTCTTCGGTACGTTAAAAAATCACATCAATAATATGTCTGTTTGGAATTAAATACTAATAATTGTGCAGACATGGATGGAACCTTGTTAAATACAGAAGACTTATATACGGAGGCTACAACAGAATTATTAGCAAGATATGGAAAAGGTCCATTTACCTGGGATAAAAAAATAAAAGTTGCAGGATTACCAGGGTCTTACGCTACAAATGTTATAATTAATGAGTATAAGTTACCACTTACAGCAGAAGAATATTTGAAAGAAGTCTCAGATATTCAATTAACAAAGTGGCCCAAAACCCATTTTTTACCAGGGGCTTTAGAATTATTGGATTATTTAAAACAGAAAAAAATTCCAATGGCTTTGGGTACAAGTTCCACTTTATTGAATTATGAGAGAAAGACAGGTCATTTGAAAGAAGGGTTTGAATATTTTGGAGATCATATAGTGACTGGTGATGACAAAAGAATAGCAGATGGTAGAGGAAAGGTAAGTATCTGCACAAGATCGAATTTAAACTTTTACTAACTTGGTATAGCCTCATCCAGATATATGGCATGCTTGTCTAGACAGTATCAACGCTGACAGGAATTCAAAAGGGTTAGAGAATATAAAAATAGAGGAGTGTCTAATATTTGAAGATAGTCATATTGGGGTTAAATCCGGAGTAGCCTCAAATGCTCATGTGATATGGATACCGCATCCTGAAGCTTCTCATTTGTTTGATGAATCTGAAGATGGTGAATATGAGATCATTACAAATTTAAACATGCTTGATAAAGCTAAATATTATTTGGAGTAAATGTTTAAAAAAACTTGATATATAGACTAGACTATAGATATAGATGTTATTTAATATTACAATATTATAAATTTTAGATCATGACGGATTTCAAAACCTAAGTTTATGAGATATGGAGAATGGTATGAAATCGGAAAAATTTGGTAGCACGTAATATATCAATATGAAACAAGATGATCTTCCTAATAATTTTTTTTCAAATCGGAAGTGAAATATCACCGATAAATAAAAAGACCAAGACCAAAAGATCATCAAAATCACTTTTAAAAGCATCTTCATATATTCATTATTCTTAGTTTCATTCTTTATACTTAATACAAACACAAACTTTCTTCAACTTTTCATACCTCATATATAATCACAATGTCCGATGATAACATAGTAGGGATAGAATATAATAGAGTAACAAATACTTCGTCAACAGACTATCCAGGTCATGAAAATTCAAGTGGGAAAGATTATTCATGGAATACTGATAAATTTGCTCAAGATTTTGAAATAGTGGTGACAAATTTAACTAAAAGAGAAGCAACATTTGATTTAATACATATAGATACATCAATAGCAAATGCATTTCGTAGAATAATGATAGCAGAAATTCCTAGTGTAGCGGTTGAATATGTGTATTCATTTATGAATACATCAGTAATACAAGATGAAGTATTAGCACATAGAATTGGATTAATACCATTAGATGTTGATCCAGATATGTTAACTTGGGTAGATAAATCAATTGATGAAAAAGATCGTTATACTGAAGATAATACAATAGTTTTATCATTAGATGTAACATGTTCAAGAAATCTAAATGCACCAAAAGATTCAACAAATCCAAATGAATTATATAAAAATAGTAATGTTTATGCAAAAGATTTAAAATTTGAACCTCAAGGTTCACAAGTTGAAAAATTTAAAAATAAACCAGTTGTACCAACAGATCCAAATATTTTAATTGCAAAATTAAGACCAGGTCAAGAAATTTCATTAAGAGCTCATTGTGTATTAGGTATTGGATCAGATCATGCAAAATTTTCACCAGTTGCAACTGCATCATATAGATTATTACCAGTAATAGATATATTAGAACCAATAACAGGAGATTTAGCAAAAAAATTTCAAAAATGTTTTCCAGTTGGTGTAATTGGTATAAATAAACAAAATGAAGCTTATGTAAAAGATGCAAGAAAAGATACAGTATCAAGAGAAGTTTTAAGACATCCTGAATTTGAAAACAAAGTTAAATTAGGTAGAAAAAGAGATCATTTTATTTTTAATGTTGAATCAACTGGTGCAATGTCACCAGAAGAAATATTTTTTAAAAGTGTTAGGGTATTGAAGAGTAAAGCTGAATATTTAAGAAATTGTCCAATTGGTCAATAAGATTAAATTTGTATCTATAATTTGTAATAAATAAATAAATGATAATGTAATAGAAATGGATCTGGATCACGGTTTTTCAAGTTGTTCTTCTTTGTCCTCTTCTCTTGATAAATATTCAATAACTGCATCATCCCAAACATGTCTTTTCTTATAAAATGCTAAATCATCAGGCAATGAACGTATTCCAAATATCAAATCTTTACTTAATCCTTCTTTTTTAATTTGAAATAAACTTGTTAAATAAGTTCTCGTAGTCATAATTATAGCATTAGATTTAGGTAATCTAAATAATATTTGTCTCTCACATCTTAAAAAACAGCCATTTTTAAAATCAATTTCATTACGTTTTAATTTTTCAGGTGGTTTATCACCAATTCTTCCATGATTAGATAATGTAAAATAATTAGAATGAGTTTGAATTGACCAATTAAATCTTATCCATAAATCCTTTTTTGATAAATTATTAAAAAATTTATTCATTGATGGTTTTAATCTTTGAGTATATTGTGGTACAGGATTATGAATAAATGAAATTGGTTTATTAAATAATTCTGATGCATCAAAACCAGCTGGAAAACCAACAATTGTACTTTTTAATATGTATTCTTCTTCTGACTTATTTTTTGAATCTTGAGGTTTCAACATTAATATAAAATCTTCTTCCATATTTGAACCTAAATTAATTAACATTTGTTTTGGAGTTAGATGTTTAGTGTTAAGTTTGAATTTAAACCCGTTAATTGCATTTGTAACTTCATTTAATGATTTATTATATATGAAATATTGAGGATATCTTTTAATATAAAACTCAAAAACTAAATCATAAAATTCTTTTAATGCATTAATTGAACTTGGATCATTACATATATACATAGTTTGATTAGGATTTGAATTTAATGATTGTTGTTTTAAAGAAGTACATTTTAAATATGTATCTTCAATTAATAGCCATTCATTAGGAATATGAGAAATTTTTTTTATTCCCATTGAAGGATTAAAATTTGTTTTACCAACAAATGGTCTAATCTTTAATGGAGTTTGGTTTTGCCATTGGAACTTGGAATCTATTGCTGTAATGTTTTGAAGAATTGGATTAATTGAGTTTTGTTTATTAGATTTGTATAATGTACATAATTGATACACTAGAAATCCCACTGCTAGAATTAAGATTGTTAGCTGGAACATCTAAGTTGACAAATCATGAAAAGTGAAAGAACGAAATATTTCCTATCTTGTTGGAAATCATCATTAAATGATTGTTTTTCTTCATATTCTTATCAAAGTTAAGTATAATTTTTCAAAATTCCGTCTTATATTTTGAAACATTGTAAAGCGCAAATAAATACCAATTTAAGTTTTTTTAAAATCTTTACCTAAGCGGTAAATTATTAAACTTCTTCAAACATCCGTACCACAACTATCCTAACTCATACATACATGGATAGAACTAGACTCACAATCTTTAACTAATTATCATCACTTAATACGTATCTATATTTATCTTCGAGTTAAGTTTAATAAGATTAACACCAATCAACAGCAACATTAGTCGTTAAGTAATTCAACAACTCGCTTTTGATTACTGTTACACGGTAGCGTTATTAAAGATTTTGTACTCAACATAACTTGTCTATTAATTTTTTTAGAATTCGTATTAGAAAATTTCATTTTCGTCAGCAAAAATGGTATATAAATCAAACATGTCAATGAATAGGTTTTCACCAAAATCACGTTATTTTAAGAAAGCAATTTTATGAAATAAATTCATTCGATCAGTGGTCAGGAATTATAGTAAAGAAAAATGGGCAAGGTTTAAAAGATATCTATAAACGATAGCAGAAATACACTATAATGCCTTCAGTGCTTTAAAATTCAATCCTTATATTGCAAGATATAAGAATTACCACGAGTTGTACCGTCATTTGAAGAATGTTGAACCTAACTTTACCAAACAGATTAAACATAGTCTAAAATTGTGGATTGCTGATTATGCAATTGATTATAGAATGCCAGCTTTCAATGAATTCCTTCATCGGTCGATATCTACCGGTGCTTCAAATGACCTTAATGCTTATTTACACAATATTTTCTTGGAAGCTCCAATCCCAGTTCTTCTAACAAGATTGTTGTCAGAGTCTGACGAAAATGAGAGAACTTTATTTTATCCAGCTGAGGAAATACTTATTCAACATGAACTGAACAAAACTAAATCTAAACCTGCTATGGGTTATTGATGCTGTTGATAAGAAGTTGCCAACTGCTAAATTACTTGCTGTAGGTCCTAAAAGACTGAACCAACCCCCCTACAATGTTATAAAGATTCTGAAACCAAACAAAGACCAAGCATCAAAAAAAGAAACCGATGTAAAGGATTATGGTAAAAAGAAAATTCATCATCAAAAGTTTAAAGGGAAGGTTGGGAAACCTTCTATTGGACCCAAAAGAGGTGGTAAACCACAGTAAGGGTTAGGTGGTTAGGTGGTAGTGTTTATTTAACACTAGGCACCACGAATTTTTGCATAAACAAATTTCTGTTATCTATGATAGTGGTGCTCTGATTTCTATAATCAATGAAGAAAAGATTTTTTGAAGATTTAGATAGGAGAAAAGGTGAAATACTTGCTATGGATGCGAGTGGAAATTTGTTGAAACCAGAAGGAGTTGGTAGAATACACATTATAGTCAATAATAAATGTAAATATTATACTTAACAAAATTATTGACTATAATGTGTATTCTACCCACTCCTTCTGGTTTTTGATTGTTGCATCCCTGTGAAGTAAATGTTTGAATTAGATGCAGTTGCTATCTTAAAATAACGTTTATTTGGTGAAAACAATCACATTTACATCAACAATGCGTTCATTGAAAACCCGGATACATTTATGAGGCACAGACAAATTGAAGGTCCTTGAATGATTTCGTTTTTAGCTGACATCGCTAAATTTAATGGCGAAACATTAAAATGGGTGAAGAAATATTTTGCAAATTTAATACCTAGGACTTTATTGATGATATAGCTATTGAAATCGAGAATTGTACATTAGAAGGTGACTTTCAAACTACTCAAGACTACTATCCTGAAGTATTTGTTGATGAGTTAGAAAAGGAAATTTAGATTTGAACCCAAGGATCAGCTCTATAGTCAAAAAAAATTAAATCTAGAGTAAAGAATTTTTATGAAGATATCAACTTGTGCATAAATTTTCTTTCTTCAAGATTTTTTTTGATTTTACAGCTGATCCAATTTCAAGGGTTTGGATTCCATCAAAATTTTAGGATTTTGTAGACAGTTTTTAAAAGTCTAGTATATTTAGTTTTAAGTTGATTAATCTTTTCAACCAAGAATTGAATCATCTTAATTCACTCCAACATAATAGTCTATATACTAAAACATAACATTTATAAAAATCTATATAAAAAAAATATATACTTGTAATTAAATTAATTAAGTTATATAGAAATATTTGGTCTAATTTTTGGATTAACAAATTTTAAAATTTGATTTTCCCAAATTTCATCACCTAATAATTGTTTAAAATTAAGAATTAATTTATAAAATTCATTTTGTAAAAAAGATGAAGCATCAATATAGCTACCTAAAACTTCTAAAAATTTAGCAAGATTAATTTTACCTTGTTGAGTTGATAATCCTCCAAATCCTTCATTTGGATTTAGCGAGATAATTTTTATCATACCTAGGACAGAAGTTTGTTTTTCTTCATTATCTATTAAATTTAAAGTATATTTACACCAAGGTTGAATAAATTCTATCAATCTTGGTGCTAATATTTGAGATCCATTTTCTCCCATTCTACCTAAACAAATTGAACAATTTTCTAATACTGTAGTTTGTAAACTTGAATCATTTATTAAAGGAATTAATAAATTTAAAAAATTTTCTAAATAATTTTCAATTTCCGTGTGGGATAATCTTATTATAATTTCACCTAATGACCATATTGCATTATTATAAACTGGATAAGTTTCCAAAGATCTATTATTAATTTCATTTCCAATACTTAGGAAAATTGAATGTAATTGAGGTTTTAAAATATTTATAACATATATTGCTAAATCTCCTAATAATGCATAAGCGGATTGTCTTACATCTTGATTATAATCTTCAAAACATACTAATAATAAATCCACAAGATTTGAAGAATTTTTAGAATCACCATTATAATTAATTAAATCAATTGAATGATATTCAAATCCTTGAATTAATCCATCAATTAAATCTATAGATGTAACAATAAAATCTTTTTCAGGAGAATTTATATTTGGATCTATTGAACAATTTTGATCCATTATTATACAATTTGATAATATTGTTAAAGATCTTTCATATATTGGAATAGCATAAGGAGCAAAAAGATCTTTTAAAGTTGCTGCTATTGATGCCATACATTCTAAAAGGGGCCATAATGCATTATCTTCATCATTTAATGAATTCCATTTATTTAATAAAGGAGGTAATAAAATTTGTACATAATTTGGATCAGCAGATAAATTTTCATAACCCATTTTTTCAACAAATGTTTGTATACAATCATATAATATTATAAGATTTTTTTTTTGATAAATTTTAAAACACTCTGTAAATAAATTTAATAAATTGTTTAAATTTTTTTCAATTAAATTTAAATCACTTTCTTCAATAAATGAAGATAATGCACTACAAGCAGCTTCTTGAACAATTTTTTTTGAATCTAATGTACAATTCATAATAGATTGGAAAGTAGGTTGAAAATAATTTGAATAATTTCCACCTTCATAAGCTTCTTCATTTATCCATATAACATATCTTGATAATGTCCAACATGTAATTTGTCTTACTCTTGGATTTGGATCTTTTAATAAATCAACTAAAAATGGTACTAATTCAGGTAATTTATCTTTTGCTAATGATATAAAACTTGAACTCATTGCTCCAAATGCTAATATTGCTGCTTCTCTAACTGGCCATTCTGATGATGTAATTTTATTTTGTAATATAGGTAATGCTAATACTAAAACTTCTTGTGGTAAATTTTCACTTAATATATCTAATGTTGCAGCTGAACATTTTCTTAAACTCCAGTATGTGTCTGTTCCATCTTCATCTTCATCATCATCGTCATCTTCATCATCTTCTTCGTTATCTTCTTGATCATCATCGTTTTTATCATTATCATTAATATTCCCATTACTTGTTCCATTTTTATTATTACCATTAGATACAGCTCTAGCATCTTTTGATTTTATAAAATTAGGTTTTATATCATCATCTTTATCTTCAATATTAGTATCATCTTTTTCATCTTCAATTTCAATATTTAATAAATCATCTTCTGAATAAATCATTTTATCTAATAATATAGGTAAAATAATTTTTAATTTATCTATAGTAAATAAAAATTTAAAATCAGCGGAATTTGATAAACTAAATAAAAATTCACAACTTTCTAAACTTAATTCTTGAGATGAATTTGTTGAATTTAATATATGTAAACAATAATTTAATATACCTTCTATATGAGGTACCAATTTATCTGGTCTTGTTTCTAATATTGATAAAAATGAAATTATAATATTTTTTTTTAATAAATTTAAATCTTTTAAATTATCTTTGTTGTTTATGTTATCTATCAATTGAGCTAATTGAAATATTTTTTCAAGATATAAATCAATAATTATTAGAAACGATTGAGTATTTAATAATATAAATTGATTAATACAATGTATAACAAATGATTTTATTTTAAAAGTTGAATTTGAAAGGGGAAGATCTAAAATTTTTAATAACTCTGGTATAAGATAATTTAAAGGTCTTTCACCATTTATTTCTTGATCTAATTGTAAATATGAATCTTCACAAATTTTAGATAATGCACTCATTGCTGATTCTTGAGTTGTATAATCATTTGATGATGCGGAGGTAGGTGAATTAGCTAGCTGTATTAATTGACTTAATGAAGAACTCCATTTATCTAATCCATATATTGAAAATAAAGTAGTTATAACATTTCCAGTAATATTTCGAACTAATAAATCATTTGAATTTAAACCTTTCATAATATTATTCAACAAGAAACTTCTATCAATTGTTGTAGCCGTATCATATTTATTTTTTAATATATGATTTTTTAAATTTATTCCTGCTGCAGCTCTAACATCAGATCCTGTGGTATGATCATCAATTATTAATAAAGTTAATAAATAATTTTCAATTTCTGAATTTTCTTTTGCTTGTATCAAAGCATCATTTGCTAATTTTCTTTCTTGATTATTTGATGATAATGTTCCTTTAAAAATATGTTTTAATTGTTCTAATGCATTTTGATCTGGTGTCCAAGACATTTCTTTGCTAAAAGTTCATTAATTTAACTAATTTTGAAATGTATATCGGTCGTTTAGATTGTATTTGAATTGATATAAGGTCTTAATTTCTTAATTTGTTTGATACTTCTTTTGAATTGTTTTCGAATTTGTCTATGATTTGATTTTAGTTCTGAAATCAAGAGTTGAAATATGTTATCCAGTTGTATTTCTTATTCAAGATTGGTGTCAATTAGTTGTAATGTATGTTATTCAATAGTCTATTGACATATAAGTAAGTTGTAAAATTTTTGTGATATTTGATGTAAATGATATTCCCACTGAAAAAAAGAAACAATAAAAAAAATTGGTTGTACTTAAATAAAAAAAACATTTGGTGATGATTTACATCAGTTTCTATACACTAATATGATGAAAAAGTTCTACACATATTAAATTATAGGGTAGATAGAAAAGCGTTGACCTCGTAGAACTCGTGTTCCATGAAAAATCTAGTACAATTCGTAATTGAATTTTCAAAATGGCCATTCTATTTATATTTCTAGATCATAACCAAGAGGTGTTCAAGACTCTAATATTTTGAGATTTAAAAGGTAAGTTATCTAAAAGTGTATTCTTAAATTTATAAAAAAAACTATATAAATCCAATATAATGCTAAAAACCTTGTTAAGAACAACTAATATGCTATGCTTATACTTATGCTACTTCCTAGAAATCAATTATCAATTAATTCATTAATTCTCATTCTTTTAGTAGCAGAAGTTAAACCATCAGGTTCTTCACTTGAACATCTTGAATTTAAAGTATCATTAGAATTATTTGAAGAATCCTTCATTTCATAATCTTTTTCATCAACTGTATTTAGTGTTTGTTGTTGTTGTTGTTGCTGCTGCAATTGCTCTTCACCATTTACCCAACTTTCTACTTTAATTAATTGTTCAGAGAAAACATTAGTTAATTTTGTAATCATATCTAAACTTTCTTTTGCAAATACAAATATTTTATCATTACTATTACCACTGTCAGTTGATTCTTGTTGTTGTAATGATAATGGTAAATGTAATATTATATCTCTTATTGTATTTTTTAATTCATAATCTTGCAAAAATGATATATTTGTTGGAATTCTTGATAATCCAAATTCAGAAGATTCTTGAGTTGTTGTAGTTGATGCATTTGCTGTGTTAGTGGTTGCTGCAGTTGTAGTAGTTCCTCCTAATGTACTTGGTCTAAAATTTGAAATTAAATGAATTATTTTTTTAACAGTTCCAATAATTTCAGTTTGAGTTTTTTGAGTAACTTGATTATTAATAGAATTGGGTTCTTCATTTGATTTTTGATATTGTAATTTAAATCTTTCTTCTTTTACAGCAATTTCAGTTTCATTAATTTTTCTTTGTAAAAAATTTATCTTGGAATTTATATTTGTATTTGCAGCTTTTAAAATATGAATACAAAATTGTAATCTTTTTTTTGTATCATAAGAAGTATTTATTGTTGATGATGATATACTTGATGATGATGATGATGATAATCTTCTTTTTTTTTGTTTATTATCAAATGATACAACTGGTGTTAATTCATTTGAACTACTATTATAATGACTGTTATTGTTATTAAGAGTATTACTTTCTAATGATGCAAATGAAGGTAATCTTGTTTGTTGATGTCTTGTATTTAAATTATCTTCAATTTTATTAACAACAGGTATTGCAGCAGCTTCAACTATTCCAGCAGCATAATTAAAACTTGGATAATTTCTCTTTTGTGATTCATAATATTTTACAGCATTCATTACAATTGGATGTTTTGCAACCATATTAACAGTTGAAACAATTGGATGTTTTTGATGTTGGTTTGAAAATTGTTGTGATAATGAAGGTAATTGATTATTATTATTATTTTCAAATTGACTTGAAGTTGTTGTTATTGATAATTCATCACTATCTCTTGTTACTATAGTATCAACATCTGATGGTGGAGTATTGCTTCTTGTTAATTGAGTTAAAGCTTGAGCAGCAGTTACTAAATCATTTTGATCATGCGGCTGGTTTGGGTTTGAATTTGAATTTGAATGTGATTGAGGGTATTGTTGTTGTTGTTGTTGATATGAAGATGTTGATGAATTAGTTGATAATGAAGATATATCAGTTATATCAGTTGCTGTAGTTGGTAATGATTTTGAATAAGGTGGTGGAGGACCATTTGATAATTGTGATGTATTATTAACTGAATTTGATATGTTTGATTGTATAGATGAATTTGATTGTTGATTATTTAATTGTGGATTAGTTTGTTGTTTTGGAGGTTGTTGGTGGGGGTGGTATTGTTGTTGTTGTTGTTGTTGTGATGGATACCCTATTGACATTTTGATTGTTGATATATTGGTTTATTGATATATTGATGATTAACTCTTTAATGGCACTAAATATTGAAATATATAAAAGTGGTGTAGTTGTTATTAACAGTAATAAAAGTAATTAATACAACAAAAGATTTCCAGAATCTTGATTTTTGAAGTAAAAAGTAGTAGTTGTATAACTTCTTGGTAGTAAGTTCTTTTCCAAGTTATGATGAATGAATCAAATTGAAAAAAAAAAGTTGTTGATGGAAATTAATTTGATTATATATAAAAGTAAGTTAAGTTAAGTTAGTTTAAAGTTTATATATATAATTTTTGTTGTAAAGTAAAGTAAAGTAAAGTAAAGAGAGAGAGTGAGAAAAATATCGAGAGAGTGAATATGATAAATTTGTCTTTAATCAAATCGGATTTAACTACTTTCTCATGCTATCTTTAATTATATCGGGAGTGGAGGTATAAGTAAGAGAGGCAAGAAGTATTAATCATTCGATGTCTCACTTTGATTCCAACAAAGTCAAATTGAAGTTTATTAAGAAAAATAAAAAGCACAGGGTTAAAAGACAATTGATTTACTTATGATTTATGAAAAAACGTTTGATAAGTTTTTTACATTGAATGTGATAATAATAAAAGCATAATATTTTATATGTATGTAGACTAAGTATGTGAAAATTTTAATTTAACCAATGTCTGTGTGTCTATAACTCGACTTAACAACAGACACAGAGAGAGGATATTTAACTCAACAAAATAGTATTACTTGACTACTACATCGGTATTAGAGTAATGCTTATCTCATCTCTAATTTATATCTTATCTATGGAAACCTATGTTACTATTAAGTATTTGTGTTACGTATAATATCAGTTAATCACTTTATTAATTGTAGAGAAGGAAAGTTTAATACTATCAATAGCAGTATCAGTAATAGTATCATATGAAATTTGTATAGTAGTAAATTGGTAGTAATATAATAGTTAATAATAAATGACATAATAATAATAAACTTTCATATGATCTCAAAGAGAGAAGCATGTGATATATATTTATGTTAAGTTTGTGTAACTTTATTGTGTTTTTGGGCTGCTACCAATTTATACTTTTGTGTAATTTATTTTAAGGAATCTTGCATTACATCATGATTAATAATATACAGGATTAATTAGGGACCAAATATAAATTAAAGGTGAAGATCATAAATTAAATCGAACAAACGTATTTCATCAAACTTAAACTTTAATTAAGTAAAGAGAACAAAAGGGATCTACTTAATTTAATTACTTTCTCAAAGAACAATAAAAGTATGTTTCAGATTTAAAAATTATAAATTATTAGTTAATTAGATCTTAATTATGTACATTTCTTTTCCTTGTCCTGTTCCTGTTCCTGTTCCTTATCCTTAGTTTCTTTTGATTTTCAACACTTCTTTGACGTAAAAATGAGTTAATAATAGAGCACTCAGAAAAATTTACTCCATCTTGTTCAAAATTGGATGAAGAGATGTAATTTGTGGTACAAGAGAGACTTTAAATTTCACATTCACACAGTTACTTACTAATTTTCTTAATTCCTTTTATTATCTATCCATTAATATACAAAAAGGTTATATATACAACAAAACTACCATCTTTATTCATTATTATTAGAATTTTTTTCAACATATTCAATAGCTTTTGATTTAATTTTTTTAATCATTTTTTCATCACCAATATTTTCTTCAAATTTTAACCATTTATTAAAAAAAAATTTAACTTGTTTTCTACTAATCTTTTTTAATTCAATAACTCTTTCAAATAAATTTTCAATTTGTAATTTTAATTGTTTTAATTGTTCTTTATCTTCTTGATCAATAGTTGAATAATATTTAATTTCTTGATCTAAATAAATATTCCATAAATCTATTCTTTTTGGTAAATCACTAATTAATCCTTCAAATAATGATCTTGCCTTTTCAACATCTCCCTTTTTAAATTCTAAAATTGCAAAATTTTTAATTAATTCTATATGTTGAGATTTTGGCAATATTGTTAATGCCTTAGTTAAAATTTCATTTATTTTAGATCTATCTTCTTGATCTAATAAATATGATCCATAAATTATCCAACTTAAATAATTGGACCCAAATTTTTTTAAAAATTTTGGGAATATCTCTTGTTCTAATTTTTCATTTTTTTCACTTAATTTTAAAATATTAATTAATTTTTGATACATTATAAATTCATCCATATAAGAACAAGATTTTTTGAAAATTGAATCTAATGAATCATTAGTACCAAAAGAATTCTCAAGATTCAAAAGAGCAATCCAAATATTTAATTTTTCATTTTCTTCTCTATAATTTATTGTTTCTAATGCTCTTTTTCCAATTTCTCTTGCTTTTTCAATTTCACTTAATTGTAAATTATATGACATATAATTCATCCATAATATTGAATTATTGGGGTTACCTAATATTAATCTTTCAAAATCTGAATTTGATTGAGGTGTTCTGGTGTTTAAATCTAATGTTTTATCTTCAATTTGTTTTGATTGTTTTTGTTTTCTTTTTGACTTTTTGGTATTTGTGGTGTTATCATCTTCTTCATCTTCTGATGACGATATTTCTTCATTTTGATTTTGATCTAATATTGATGCTGTCCAATCAAATCCATTAGTTGATAATTGTAATGAATCTGATTCTTCTTCATTATTTTCATCTTCACTCTCTTCATCTTCACTATCGTTTTCTTCTTCTTCTTCTTCGGCGTCTATTATTACATCTTCATTTTCTTCATCTTCATCTTCATAATCATTCTCGTCGTCTTCCTCATCTTCTTCTGCATCAGCCATTTCAACATCTACTACTTCATTATCTCCATTATCCTCAACATTCTCATTAAAATAAGAAGCCTTCATACCTAAAGACAATTGTTTTTTATCTTCATCAATTTTTAAAATCTTAACTTTAACTAAATCACCTTCACCAAATAATTTAACGGGATTTTGAATTTCTGAATTTTCTGAAATTTCAGATCTATGACATAACCCCGTGATATTTAAAGTATTATTTAATTTTATAAAAACTCCAAAATCCGTAGATTTTGTTACAATACCTTCATAAATTTCACCAATTTTTAAATCTTCAAAAGATTTTAAGTAATTTAATTTACCATTTATTAAACTCTCTTTTAGGGTAATTAATATTCTACCTTCTTCTTTACAATTTATAATCTTACCAGTTACTAATTGATTAATTTTAAAATATTTTTTCCAATCTTTTAAATATGAATCACTTAAATCTGAAACTCTTGCTAATGCAAAAATTGAACGACCTAATGAAATATATACACCATTATTATTAATATTTTTAATAAAACCCTTTACAATATCACCTCTTTTTAAATCGTCTATTGAATTTATTGTTTTATCTATTGATTCATTTGTTTTTAAACTAACTGATACTTTTTGTTGATCTAAATCAATATCTAATATCTTTGCAGATACATAATCATTAATTTGAAAAATTGAAGATAATTTATTCGAATAATTATTTAATGCATCAGTTATAAATGATGATGCAATAATTTTATTACCTAAGTCAACTAAAACATACATATCTTTAATCTTGATAATTCTACCAGGATAATTTTCACCAACTACTAAATCATTAATAGATTCAATATATTTATCTCTAATAGATAATTCCAAGATTTTAAATTCATTATTAATATTTTTAACTCGTGCTTTTATTGCACAACCAATGGGGAATTTATTATCAATATCTTCATTTAATATTTCTCCATTATTACTTAAATCAAAAAATGAAATTCTGCCTTTTATTTGTGGTGTAATTGAAACCCATAAATATCCTTTATCAATATTATTTACAAAACATAAAATTTCTTCATTTATTTTAAAATTAGAAATTGATTTTTGTACGTCTGTAGAATCTGTATTATCAATTAATGATAATTCTAAAATATTTTGTTTATTTGAATTTTTATGAGTTATTGGTAAATAACTATGATTTTTAACATCATGAATTCCTAAAATTTTAACATTATTTAAAATTTCTCCCTTTTTAAAAATTGAAAGTGGTTGATTTAAATTTTTTATATCTTTTATATTATTAAAACATTTTGTTATATCTATTCTACCTTGTAAATTATCACCTAATTGAACATTTAATTGAGTTCCCTTTATTGATTTTATAATACATGAAGTAATTGAATTTTCACTATAATCACTTATTAAATTTTTTGTTTTATCAATTGGATTTATAATTTTATCATTATTATTATTTATTTCATTATTTGATGCTAATGTTAATAAGAATCTTTTATTTTCAAAATCAATACTAAGAACTTTACAAGTTAATGATTGATTTTTATAAAATTTTTTATGAATATCTTCCGCTTGATTTTTTATTGCATATTTTGCTAATATTAAACCAGTTAATCTTCCAGTAAAACAAACAAATATACCTAAATTTGTAACTGATTTAACATAACCTTTTATAATTTTATTTTGTTGTATATCTTCAAGATCTATGGGGAATTGTTTGCTTTTAGAAGCTTCAATTAATGAATTTTTGGCAGTTAATATAACAGTTCTTGCTTTTAAATCTTTTTCCAACACTAATGTTTCAATTTCACTTGAAATTTTTAATTTTTTTAATAATGAACGATTTTGTTCATAATTTCCATCAGATAATTGACCATCATATATAACTCCTCTAATATTTGAATTTTCAATTTCAGCTAATACTGAATTATTCGTCTTTTCAGATATTATAGCTTTAATTATAGATTCTCCAGGAATTAGTTTATTAATTTCATCACGTTGAACTGAAGATAAAGAAGTTGATTGTTTTAAAGTAACAATTAATCTTTTTTCCTTGTCCAATATATCTAAAATTTTAATTTTAACAACTTGATTTAATTTTAAATATTTACTTGCATCATCAACAAAAGTTTCTGAAATTTCATTTTTGGGTAAAAATGCTTTTAAATTTCCAAAAAATGATACAATAACTCCTCCATGAACAAATTTTGAAATTATTGCATTTGTTTTGAAACCTATGAAAGCTTGATCAAAATTATATAATATTTCATCATTATCTAAATTAACTAATGATTTTCTAATAGTTATTTGAGGTAAATTCTTGTTGAATCCCAATAGTCTACCTTTTATTTTGGACCCAATTCTAAATTTTTTTTCAGGATATATAAGTTTAATATCTGACATTTGATTACTTGGTATAAATCCATTAAACTTATTATCTAAAAATTTAACATTTATACCTTCAGAATCAGGTAAAACTTTTGTAATTTCACAATTTATTAAAGTACCTATTGGTATATCTTTAACATTTAAATATTCAGCTTTAATAACTGCTGGATCTAATGATAATATTAATAAATTATCAATTATATTAAAACCAATAACTCTTGATTTATGTTTTGAACCAATATTATAATCAATTAATGTTTTTTGTTTAGTATCAATATTTGAATTATGAATTTGTCCATATAATTCATTTGATCCAAATTTTCCAAATAAATATTCTTTATCTGAACCAATAATTTCAATTTCTTCAAAAATATGACCAACGGGAAACGCTTCCAATGAATTATTTTTAGATTCTTCATTTTGTAAATTTAAAACATTTGGTAATACGGATAATATCAATTTTTTAATTCCATTTGATGATAATATAGCTAATATTCTTGCTTTTACTGTATTTCCTACAGCAAATCTTTCTTTTATATTTGTTATATTAAAATCTTGTAAATCTGATAAATTTATTGTACCATTAATTAATCCAAATACTTTTGTGAATATTCCTAATTCTGAATTTTCATTAACTAATGCATCTACTATTATACCTGGTTGAATTGAATCTATTGATGATATTGTGGTGATTGATTTTTTAGTTGATGTTGTGGTTGAATCAAGTGGTTTTAAATTTATTATTCTACCTGATGGTTTTGAACTTATAATAGTTGAAATAACTAAACCCTCTTTTAGTGAAATTGATTCATTGTCTATATCTTTATTTAATATAAACCCGGAATATCCATTAATTCCTAAATCTAAAACAATACCATGATCTTCAATTGATTTTATTGAAGCTTGTAATATATTACCTGGAATTAAATCTTCTTTTTCTAAATTATTATTAACTTGATCTGGTTCAATGTTTAATTCTATTCTTTTTCTTTTTTGGTTTGACTCATCATTTGATTCAACAACTTTTGCTTTTAACCATGATCCAATTTTAAAAATAGATTTTAAATCTGGAAATTCTTTTTGATTTTTTAAATTAGCTATAGTAGTAGATTCTTCATTATCTTGATCATTTTCGTCATCACTTTCTTCTTCTTCTTCTTCACTTTCGTTTTCATATTGATTTATTAATTCTGTAATTTGTGAACTTATTGAAGTAATAGGTATATAACCAACTAAATTATTTTCTAATGCTAAACCTATATCTAATTTATTTATAAATTGAATTTGTCCAAATACTAATGATCCAGGAAATAAATTTTTAAAATTTAAATATTCAATAGATAATTTATTTGAATCTTCTTCTTCCTCTATTTTTTCATTTTTTGTATTATTACTTCTTCTTGATTTTTTACGTTGTTTTAATTTACTGTTGTCTTGATTTGACTCATTGGTTCTCTTTTTTTCATTTATTTCAAATAACACATCTTTTGTTGCTTCATTTGATATTTCTTTAACTTCTAATGGTGTTAATTTTGTATTACCACCTCTTGGAAATGCAAGTTCATTACTACTTAATGTAGATTTTGTTGTATCTGACATTCCTTTGTTTGTTTGTTTGTTTGTTTAGCTGAACATATATATGTGGTTTTTGTCTATCTATCACTTCCGATGTGACCTATCCTAGTTTTGGTGTTGTATAAACGACTTTGTCTTTCCTTCTAATCTTGAAAATGTGTTGCAAAGAATTGAAATCAAAATTTAGAAATCTGAATTTTTGGATGAGATGAACAGAACTGCACATAAGATTTTTTTAACACAAAATTGATAGATTTATATCAATTGTTTCAGAATTTTATAACTAAGAGAATATTCATTAGCTTCATAAAGGCTAGAGTCAGTGAATCATTATACTCATGTTATGGTACAAGAAATACAATTATCGAATTATACAAAAAGAAAAGTTGAAAAAAGTCCTAGCTGAAAAATTGTTTAGAGAAATGGGAAGACATTAACCAAATGTCGAAAAAACCAACGATGTTTTGAAAAATCCAATTCTGAAAAAAAAAAGTGCATCAAAGTTCTTCATAATATCCTTCTATCATTAACTGCTCCACTTTGTTTCCTTTCAAGCATTACTTTATCAGCACCACGTAATCCAAATTTTTTAATTAATTTTGAATAAAATAATCCACAAGCATTACATAAAGTTCTACTACCTTCAGGACCTCTTCTCCATTCTGGAGTTTCTTGAGATAAACAATGTTGACAAGTAACTAATGGTTTATTATTATTATAAAATGATGATTTAATATCATCATATCCATTATTAGAAGAATTCATATTATGTCTTGAGCTGCTAGAACCATTAAAATCATTACTGGATAAAATTGGATTTGAAGAATGATCAAAATCATCAGGTAAAAGTCTAACTCCATTTTCATTTAATGTTATACCATTTAATAATTTTTTTCTATTTCTTTTTACGTTAATTGGTAAAGATTGATGACTCATTGATCTTTTTAAAGATTCACCATTTGTATGATTATGATCATAATTACTTGAAGTTCCATTATGAGTAAAATGATGATTTGAATTATGATGATGATTGTTGTTGTTATGATGATTATGATGATTATGATGACGATGAGGATGTTCTAATGGATATTTTGCTTGAATATTTTCTAATAATTCAACAATTTTTTTAAAATTAAATAATAATTCACAAACATTTTCATTTTTCATCCCTTTTATAACATTTCTCATAATTTGTTCATAATTCTCATGAGAATAATACAGTAATACACTAACTTCTTTAACTTTCGAATCAAATTTTGTTAAAAATTGTATTAAATTAGATATAAATTCATAATTTTCATCACTACTAGAATTTCCTGTATCATTTTTAACTACGTTGCTATTATTTTGTGAATACATACTATCAATTGATACAGGAGATGTTGAAATTGAATAAGTTTTCATTAAATCATTTTTACCATTAATTGAAAAAAATTGATTTGGAAAACTTTCATGACGATCATAAAGTGAAGTACCATATGAATATTCTGGACCTAAAAGATTATTACCTTGTTGAATTGGTGGAGGTTGTTGTAATGGTTGATGTAATTCTTGAATCTGTTGTTGTTGTTGTTGTTGTTGATTGTCTTGCTTAGTCAATTCTTGTTCTTGTAATTGTTGTTGTTGGTGTTGTTCTTGTTTTGATTGTGCTGCAGCTGATGAAGATGATCCTGGTAATAATGGTAAAAGTGGTTCTCCTTGAATTAATTCATTCTTGATATTATTTGATGATGATGATTGACTTTCTTGATATAAAGCTAAATTTTTAAAAGCAGAAGAATAATTCAAGATTTTTTGATTTTGATTTTGATTTGAATTCTGATTTGAATTATGATTCTGATTTTGATCTATATCTTTTGTATTAATTGATGAATCTTTAATTGTATCATTTAATTGTTGAAATGAAGGTAGTCTGGGCATAGGTCCCGACTTCTTGACAATACTCTTACTCATTTAGGAATGATACAGTCACTTGATTATTACTCTTGATGGCTTTAAAAGGTTGTTTTGTTTCAGTAAAATTGTAATTTAAAAATTGTGTTGCCAAATAATTTGTTATTTAAACAAAAAATCATACACAAAAAAAAAATAAAAATATAAAATTTTGTATGGGAATATGAATATCACCATTTAACATTAGTAACAAACTTAGATTTAAAGAACCAATCTTAAGTATCTAGCATATCAATAAATCTTTAATACTTCAAAAAAAAAAAAGCAATACCCTTAATCTTGATAAGTCACACAAAAATAGAATATTGTATTGGGTTCAATCTACTTGTCAAGATTTTGAATTTAAAAATAATCTGTCAATTTAAAGTTGTTATGCTTCAATAGACTTGGAATCGTAGCACAAAAGGACTAACAAATGTATAGGTATTTGGATCTTCCTTTTCTATTTCAAAACTTTCCTTGGATGAACTTTATTTTAAAACTTGCAATAATTTACATTAACTTGCATTTTTTGAGCAAAAAAGAACTTTTTTAAATCAAGATCAGATGTCATTAAGGTCTAGATCAATTATTTGATTGAGCAATGACTGATAAGTTTTGTTTCCTTGAGATACTTGCAAGATTTTTGTTTTTTCTTTTCAAGATAAGAAGATTTATTAATTAACTATTGGTTGCTGTTGATTTTTTTTTCTTCTTCTTTTTTGATGAACTAGTTGATGATGGTGGTTGCTGGATTACTACAGTACCTTGTTTAACATCATCTGGTTGATTTTCAAATTTTTGACTACTATCTAAATAAAACATTAAATCATTATTTGTTTCTTTTAATCCTTCATTTTCAATTTTCAATTCTTCAATTTGTTTCCTTTGTTCATCGATAGTCAAATTCAAATGCTCAATCTTCTTAGAAAATGCTTCATTCAATAAATTTTGTGTATTTAATTCAATACTTATTTTATGAAGTTTTTCTTCTTTACTTTGAATCTTAGATTTCAATGAAGGTATTAAACTCGTTGTTAGATCTGATAATTTATTTGTCAAATCTTCAACTCTCGATTCTAAATTTGTAAATTTTGCATTATTTTGATTTAAAATATTATTTTTATTTATATCCGATTTATTATTATTATTATTCGATTCAAAATAGTTGAATCCATCAATATTATAATTATTATTTATAATTTCTTCATAATATTCTCTTTGACTAGCTAATTGACTAATCAATAATTGAGAATATTCAAATCCAACTGCATCAACTTTATCAATATCTTCATTAAGAAATTTAGAATATTTACTTGATTTTTCATTATCTGGTAATTCAACTAATTTTCCATCAGATTCATTTGTAACTAATCTATGAACATAATTATCTCCTGCATAATCCCACACTCTACTTGTTGATATTTCCATTGCAAAGCAATGTCCTGTATTAACAAAATGTTTTAATGAATGTTGCTGCGGCGCATACCTGCTGCAACCTACATTCCCGCAGATAAGACAGATCCATAGATTTGTATTTTCTGAACATTCCGAACAATTTTCATTTTCTTCTTCATTTATCGTATTATTATTATGTTCAATACCCTCGAAACTTGAATTTATAGATTCTCTTCTATTTAAAAATCTATTACTTTGATTTTTTATAATTGATAAATTTGTTAATTTATGTGAATAACGACAAATTGGACATGAATCATCTTTCCATTTTGATAAACATTGACAATGAAAAGTATGTTGACAAGGAATAGTCAATAATCCTGTCATACTTGAATCCATTTTTTCAAGACAAACTGGACACGTTGGTAATTCTATCAATGCTTCATTTTTTAAATTGTCAGCTACGACATTTGAAGTGAATGGATCTTGTAATAAAAAGGGAATTAAACTTTTTAATTCATCTTCTCCTTCAGTTGGATAATTTAATTGAACTGATCTAACATAGACTACATGACAAGATTCAGGTTCCATTGAATTAAAAGATTTCCCATCAAATTGATTTTTAAATTGAGCTGCTTTTAAAACATCTCTAAATTTTATTAAAACCATAAATCTATTTTGTTTATCACTTTTTAAAATTCTTATATGTGATATAAAACTTATAAATGATTCTCCAATAAATCCTAAAAGATCAGTAGCTGTAAAATATGTAGGAATAGCTAAAATTGCCAACATTGTATCATCACCCTGCGTTGATTTTTGGAATTCTTCTTCTTTGTCATCATCATAAAACTCTCTAAATAGTCGTATTACTCCATCACCTATTAATTTAGCCTTAATAGGTTCTATGGTTCTTGTTGAAAATTTAGATTCAGAACTCATTGATGTTTGATCAAGATTTATATCAATTTCAATAATTTCAATATTTGAAAATCTATAATCAAAGTTTGTATTTGTAAAGTCAATAACGATATGATAGAGATCACTACCAATCATAATAATCTTATCTATATGGTTAATTCAAGATATAACCAATGTTGATATAATTGTTTGATCATTTATGAAGCTTTGAATAATTTGAAGTTTGTTTAAGTAAATTCAATGTGACTACAAATAATTTTTTTTTCAAATTTAGACTAATCGTAATATTGAGCCAAATCTATAGAGTATATATAACTAGCGTACTTAAATAATTTAGACCATCGAACCAGCTGATGGGAATGAGCCAGGGAATCCAAAATAGCCATTATTATTAGGATTTTCCATGTCATTATCTGATGAAGAACTTCTTGAATCCAATATATTAACTTTAATATTCATAATCATTTCAATCCCCTTAATTAAATCAATAGTTAGTAGTTGAACATTACCATTATATCCATCATTTTCTTCTAAAATTACTTTTCTATGTACATCATCTTCTTCTTGATCTTCATTATCGTTGATATTAGTTGATTGAACATTTGTATCACCATCATTAGTTAATTCAATTTCATTAGTAGTCAAGCTTGTCTTTGAATCTAATTGATTCGGTAATCCAAATACTTCATAATTATCAACAATTCCAACTATATACAAAAGTATCAATTGTACAAAGAAACAACATAAATCTAATACTATTAATTCAAATCTATTTGAAGGTAATCTTTCCCCAATAAATTGAACAGTTAATCCACCATTTGAAAATCCAGTAAATCCCGTACCATCATTTATAAATTTTTTAGCATTAATAGGACTAAAAATTAAATGTAACAATATTATAAATAAATTCCCATAAATTAAAATTTTAAAACTCATCTTGATCATTCCTTGTATATAATGATTCATATTTGAATTTTGTAATTGATTATATTTAAAAATTTCAGGATTAATATTTATAATAATTAAATGAATACAACATCTTATAATTAATTTTAAGAATGATAAATCTCGAAGATATAATATGACTATCAATACAAATTCAATTAATTGAATTGATTCTTTTAAATTTGTTGAAAAAAATTTTTTACGTTTGTATAATATATTTTTATTATTTGATATTGTTTCTTCTGGTGTTGGATATTTTTGAAATTGAAATTCATTTAATTTTTCTTCTAAATTGATTTGTTGATGGGTTGATACATGATTATGAGGTAGACTTTGAGAATTGATATGCTGCATTTTATTCAACAAGCTTATTGCATGAATTTTTTGAGTATGGAGTATTCTATGTTAAGTCTTTCTATTTCAAGCTCGTATCTTTATCATATGTTATAACTTAGAATGGTCGTTATTGTTGTGTACTTTAAATGATGGAGTTTAATTGTAATTCTCATGATTTCTAATTTATGATAGTTATTACACAAAATAGTAGATCTTACATTGACACATTACAGAGCAGATTCTACAACTCTTAAGTTTTAGATAAGATTCATAAAATTCATTTCATTTACTATTACTATCCTTCTCTAAAAAGTATAAAATTGGCTTACTACTAGCCGAAACAAAATTTATCTTAAATAATCATCCAATTCAGCTAATTTTTCAGCTAATTCATCAAATTTTCCCAAAATAGGCATAAACATATCATTAACAGCTCTAGATTTTCGTTTTTCTTTTATGGGAGTTATTTTCTCTTTTTCAATAATTTTATCAAGCAATACGGAAGATGAAACATGTATTGAACTACTATTTTCTTTATTACTGCTTTTAAGTAATGTATTATTTGAATTATTTGTATTCTGTTGAGGAGTTAATGAATTCATACTTGTTAATGGTGTTATATTATTTTCTTCAAAATTTTGATTTGAATAATCATTATCAATATCACTTAATATTTCTACTTCTTCATCTATTATACTTGTTGAACTCTTTGGTATATTTTTATTATAATAGTTGTTAGCACCGGCTGGAGATAATGATGAGGAAGGTACATAAGTAGTATCCTTTTGTTGTTGTTGGGTGATGATTGACGATGGTGATCTTAATTTTTCAGCGCTTGATATGTAATTTATTGATGAAGTTGATGTTCTATAAATTTGTTGTTGTTGCGGAGTTGATGAATTACTTTTTTTGTTTGATCTAAAAGGATTGTTTGATTCAAGTTTTGATAAGTTTGAGGTTAATGACGAAGTAGATAAATTCATGGAATTGTTGATTAGATTTATGGTTGAATTTTGTGCATCTTGTCGAGTGTGTGATTTTGATTCATCATTACTCTTAGTGTTTTCAATAAATCTTTCTGCATCAATTTCTTCTATGCTTGAGCCCAGCTCAGGTTTATATGGTAAATTTTCGGGACTAAAATTCTTTTCCCCTATTTCGTAACTTGGTTCATTATTGCAATTTCTTGCAATTTCAATTGAATGATCTTGAGCATAACTATCAAATGAAAATTCTTCATCATCATCGCTATCAATATCTTTTAACTTTTGAATATTTTCATTTTGATCTAGTTGCTCATCACTTCCTGTTGACTGTGTTACTTCCTCCTCATCATCATCAGACTTTTGATTCATTTGTTCTTCGATATCACTAGTTACTTTAGTCAACCTATCCAAAATTATCAGCCGTCTTAAATTGGGAGATCTATTCACATCGTTTATATCTCTAAACTTCGGTGATTTTAGTTCCAACGGAGTATCTGGTGAAAAAGATCCTATTGAAACTTCATCAAATGCGTCATAATTACTAAATTTATTTGGTTTTTGATATAATGATTCATTAAATTTATTTGTTTGTTGTAAAATGGGGGTCGTCATTTTTGTTGATGTTGTTGAGTTGGTTGTAGGTTGAACAGGTGATTTATTTAATGATTTTTTGTTAATTATCAAGGGTGTTTCCAATGGGTAAACATCACTTAAAGTTTCTTGTTCATTTGACTTCGATATTTTCAAGTCTGGTGATTCTATGTTAAATTGATCTAGATTTTCCCGTATTTCCTGATCATCCATTGTAGAATAAATGTTATCAATTTTAATTCGTATTGAATCTTCATCTTTATCCTCATCTTTTTCGTTATCTTCTACTTCATCTACATCTTGATCATCCCCATTTATTTGTTTGGAATGGTCATCCTTTTCAGATTCATTTTCTTCCATTTCTTTCAAATTGACAAAAGTAACAGATTTTGAAGATTTGACACTTGATTTTTTTTTAAAAGTTAAATTATTTTCATCAGTGGAATAATTTTTTTCAATTTCTTCATTTTTAAAACAATTTAATCTTGCTAATCTTTCACCATGAGTTTCTAAACATTCAGCAGGAACAAATCCAATTTTCCCATCTTCTTCATCTGAACTTAATTCATCAATATTTTTAAATTTCATTAAATTTTCATCACTACTTTTTGTTCTTTCAATTCTTTCTATCTTGGTTAATTTTTTAATTAACCACCAATAATTATCTTCATCATTTACTAAATGTACTGGTTCATCTCTTGATAATGAACAATGAGATGGATCAGGACCTGAAAAATCATATAATCCATATAATTTTTCTGGATCTAATTCTGATGGTGGTGATCTTGGTGGAGATAATGTCATCATTAAATCTTCATCATCTTCTTCGCCCTCTTCTTCATCTTCATCTTCCATACTGAATTGGTCGTATTGTGAGTTTGCTGCGTTCGATTCTAGTGTATTTTCTTCTTTATCAAATTGATCTTCTTCAATATCATCATCACTGTTGTAATTTTGTAATCCTTCTAGTATTTCTAATCTATGCGGTATATTTTCATCTTGAATTGAACTTGATTTTTTATTTGATTCTTCTTGTGAAGATTTTTCCAATCTGTGTTGAGTTAAATTTAATGAGTTTTTTCGAACTAGTTTACCATTATTATCTGTTGAATTGTCGATTGCTTTTGATCCATTGCTTGTCGAAGATTTGTTGAGATTAGATTTGGTGCTATTTTGATCTCCATTTAGTGCTAGTTTGTCATCATTATACTGATTATTGAAAGTAGTTTTAAAATTCTTCATTGATACCTCATTAAATATTTCAGTAGGATTGAAAATATGATTATATATCATTTCATCTTTTGAATTTAAAATTTGATCATCATTTTTAGATTCCAATTGTTGTTGTAATTGTGAAGATTTATTTAATATATTAGATTGTATATTATGTTTACCTAATCCATTAAATTGATGATTATGTATTACTGATGATGTTTGAGTTTGTTGTGATGATGAAGTTGACAGTCCTGATAATTTTCTATCCAATTCTTGTAGTATCCTATCTGCTTGGTCTATTGATGTATGCATATTATTATTATCTCGTTCATTGTTGTTGTTATTAGTTACTTTATCTTTATCAAGTCTCCTATTATTGGGTTTAGGTAGATCCATCTTTACGATTGATTATAGTACTTTTGAGGAGATATATGATATACTTAATTGAGCAGTTATTATTCTGCTTTTGTTGTGTTTCAGACCTGTCTCTTGCTGTTGTTGTGATATTAAAATACTTTTTTGTTTTCTTTTCAATGATATGACTTTCTTGATTGTTAGTTATTATAATAATAAATTATTATTTGTATTGTTTGGTTTTGAATTATTTTTTTTTTTTGCTTATTATGTATAATATGTTAAATTTAGTTTGTGATAAGGAAACCCTTCGAATGAATGTTACAATAGAAACGGGATTTAGTGGGAATTTTGTACGACATGGTAGCAGGAAACGGTCGAGTATGCTATTTTTACAGGTTTGGTCACCCGTTGGAGAGTGGATTCAACAAAAGCCATGCCCCTTTTAATTAGTCGCTAATATGAAGTAATTCAAAATAAGGAAAAGATAAGCATTGTTTGTTGGAATCAAAGAGAGAGGCTTATTTCGAAAGTGAAGTTATGTAGTGTAATGTCAATATCGAACTTAACTTCAGAAAAAATTCATCTCTGAAACATTAGACTATAAATAATTTAGTCTGCATAATTTCTTAGCTCATCATCAGTTCCAGGAACAGAATTATTCAAACTTGTCTCGAACGATGAAGTTGATTCTTTGAATCATTATTACTCAAAACTTCAGTTTCTAAGGGGTTTGTAACTATCAAGTCATCAAATTCGGTTTCTATTTGCCTCGTAAGGGGTTTCAATAAATACTAAAACCTATTTTTGATCAAATAACCATGCAGTTGCTTGTTGCAGTGGTGATTGTGTTATCTAAGCTTGTTATGCTTTGTTCGCTCAAAGCTTTGGTAGTAAAAATGAGCCGTACTGGTTAGAAATTTGTGGTTAATTAATGTTAAAATTTAAAAATTTTGATTCACTGACACGCGTCTTTTTGTTTCACATTTGTTTTTGTATCAATATTTGTAACAATTGATTTATTAATTATACATGGCTAATACAAAAACAAAGGAGAAAAATTTCGATTTGAGTCACAAGATTGTTTTAATGAATCTATAATTAGCAAGATTTACAATTCGTAAATATAAAGATTTATTGTTGGTTTATCGATCTTCCTACTTTATTAATACAATTTCGTTATAAAAAAAATAATGACTTTTTTATTGATTCTGTTCAATTATTTAAAGATTATTAAAATTTACTACTTACTTAAGCTTTAATAACTTCATTAATAGCATTAGCTAAATATTCAACATTATTATCATTAATACCAGAAATACTAAATCTACCATCATCAGTAGCATAAACACTATAATCATCTCTTAATTTTTTAACTTGTTCTGGTGATAAACCAGTATATACAAACATACCTCTTTGTTTTAATAAATGATCCCAATTATAATTTGATTTATCTAAATTATCATATAATTTTTGTCTTACATCATTTAATCTACCAACAACTTTATCTAAATCTGATAACCATTCTGGTAATAATCCTGAATTTTCATCAAATATAATTTCAACTATTTTGGAACCATGAATTGGTGGAGATGAATAAATTGGTCTAATTAATTTTTTTAATTGTGATTCAATTGCTTTTGATTCTTCTTTATTTGGAGTTATTATAGAAATTGAACCAGTTCTTTCACCATATAATCCCATATTTTTAGCAAATGATTGACATAATGCAAATGTAGGAATTTTATTTTCATTAGCTAATTTTGTTAATTTTCTAATTAATTCAATATCTTGATATGGTTTACCACTTGCAAAACCTTGATAAGCCATATCAACTAATGGGAAAAATTTTTTATTTTGTATAATTTCTAAAACTTCATCCCATTGTTCATTAGTTAAATCCATACCTGTTGGATTATGACAACATGCATGTAATAAAACAATTGATCCATCAGGTTGAGATTCTAATGAATTTTTTAAATTTTCAAAATCTAAATCATTTTTACTTGTTTCATAATAATTATAAAATTCTGGTTCTAATCCTGCATCTTTAAAAACAGCAACATGATTTGCCCAAGTTGGTTTTGGAACTAAAATTTTTTTATTTCCATAAAATCTATTTAAAAAATCAGCTATAACTCTTAAACTTCCAGTTCCTGAAATAGTTTGTGAAGTAACTATTCTACCATCATCAATTAATTGTTTACCATTTGAATCTTTATTTGAATTATTAAAAATAAAATTTTTAACAATATTTTGAAAATTTTTTGAACCAATAATTGGAGTATATTCTTTTTCAGTTTCCTTTTTTAATAAAATTTCTTCAGCTTTTTTAACTGATGGGAAAATTATTGGTTTACCTGAATTATCTCTATAAGCTCCAACACCTAAATTAATTTTTTTGGGATTTGAATCATTAATATAAGCTTCAGTTATACCTAAGATTTTATCTGGTGGAGCTAATGGAATTTCTTTAAATTTTAAATTATAAGAAGTAGTTGAAAAATTTTTAAGTTTTAATAATCTTTGATTATTTTGTTTAATCAATTGAGTTCTGTACATTGTTTAGCAAATTGATTTGAAATAGATGAGAAGGGTAGAAGGTGTTGTTAGTTAGCTAATTTGAAATTGATTTGTGAATGAACCTTGATTTCCAGAATTTTCAAATCAATGATTTACTATTGTTAAATTATTTTTCATTCAATATATATTCTACTAAACTATTTACTTAACTTAATTAGCATAATTTTCCCTCTGACAAATGGAAGTAAATTTGTGTCATAAAATATATTTCAAAAGCCAATCCCCACTTTTTTATGCATCGAGCATATGACTCAGGATGCAAACTATCGACTTGAGTCTTTGAAATTATTGACTTCAATTGGAGTATTTACTGAGCAATTTATACTCATTTCTATCAATCCTTTTTGCCATCTTAGGTTTGTCTTACTCGATAAAACTTTGAATCAAGATATGATCCAGGTGACTGTTACAAATTTATTTAAAAAGCGCGGGTGGTAGCCTTCGATTTAAACGCTTAATTTTTTATTCCTAATTAATCCGATGATTAAGATAATCCACAATATTTTATTCAGTACTCCAAATTTTTATACAACCGAAATCGGTTTATAAATTCATTCAGAAACAACTCAAACATGTTGAAATCATACGATCTTGTGGTATATATTTATGACAAAGATATCCATAAATATACATGGATCCTTGTGACAGCCTTAAATACCTCAAGTATAAAACAATTCAAAAGTGTCTTTTGAATCTTTATAAAGTATTAGATTATGGTGATCAAAATTAACCGCTAAAATTAATTTTTTTTACAATTTTAGCCCTACACTTCACGACCAAGAAAAAGAAAAGTTAGTACAATCTGAAGTGAAAACGCGTAATTTTTTGAATCAAGTGACTACTCTATCTGTACTTTCTAAACTACATGCATCCAAAAAAAAGGTCCTATAGTGTAGTTGGTTATCACATTCGGTTTTGATCCGGATAACTTCAGTTCGAATCTGGATAGGACCTTACCCATTTCATGTCTTCTGATTTTTTTTAAGTATTTGATTATTTGTTTTTTTTTTTCTTGTAAACAATATACATTTAAGCATAACTATAAAATATAAACTTAATCTATATAAGGGGCGCCTGATGCACATGGTGCCTTAAGTCATTGTATTCGTGGAATAAAAATCAAAACGCATCGAAAATGTGCCTTATAGGATTATCAATATCTATCTTGCATTACTTTCAAACTTAACCAAAACTTCATCTTGCCTTTTCAAGGCTGGTCTCGGTTATGCCGTCGAAAACATACTAAATAAGGTACCTTTTCAAGATAGTTATTGATTTTGATAATCTTGGATTTCCTATGATAAACTTCATTCCCGGATTTGTTCCTATATGTTGATCATCCCGATACTGTTGTGTTTCTTCGTTTTCGAATACATGAGGTTTCAATGAATCTTTTGCTGGTACCTCACAGAATTTGCATGGAGTATTTCTTGAATTGCGGTATAATGGATAGTGTGAATAGTATCCCAATACAAGTAGGTGATATGTTGGTAAAGATCCCAATGGACTTTTTCGTTCTTTAGCCAAATTTTTCCAGAAAACTTTCCAATTTGCCTCTGCAGTATCTCTCAGTTCGTCTTGTTGCATCCATCCATGTGGGATTATTGGTGTATCTAGCTTTTTGACAATCTTTTTGAAATTTCTTTTGAAAGAGTCCCAATTTATGTTTTTCTCTTCTAGATCTAACATACCTTCTAGTTGTTCTGGGTGTGGAGCTCCAATTAGGTTTTGTGTAGTCTTCGAATGAGATGAGGACATCTTATTAGTTCCAGTTGGGTTTCTAAATTTTGTAGTATTAAACCATGCTGTAAACCAGGCATTCTCTACATGACCAAAGAGACTTTCTACTTTCTGTTGAATTAGACTGAATGGTAGACCCCAGAGTATGGTGGAAGTTGTTTTAAATAGTTGAACCATGGATATATATGAAGCTGATTTGAATTTCTGGGTGAGATATGCTCGTTCATTGCTTTTTGGATGTTAACCTGCAACATTAATCTCAAGTAGTCAATTATGTTACTACTTTCTTCCGTGAATATTCTGTAAATTTGGATATTTGATTAGCTATATTTATTAATCCAAATCCCCCCAATTCTCGAGGCGTTTGAGCTCTTGTTATTGCCATGTTTTGAGGCAATTTCTTCCCAATAATCTGATGTATCTCTTCTATTTCATAATTCCTTAGCGGGGTATGCAAATCTCTGTAATATAATTTACTGAAAATAAAGGTGTTCATCAATTTTGCTATTAACATAACATTCAAATCATGTGTTGGAGCAGATTGAATAATCCCCGATATTTGTTGAATATGTTTTTCCCAAGGATTGTAAGTTGTTGTTTGGTCTTTCATTTGGATTCCGAGATGGTTGAATGTTTCTCTATTTAGTATTTCTTCTTTATACGGTAGATTAAAATTTTCTTCAATTTGTGTGGTGGATTGTTGTTGATGATAATAAATTACCTTGGTCTTTTTTTCGTTTAATTTTAGTCCTGATTCCTTTTCAAAGTTTTAGAACAACTCGTAGGCTTTTGATTGATCTTCTTTGTCCTTGCAGAATATAATAACATCATCTGCAAAACTTGCATGTTTTTGACTAAAACCGTATTGAGGATGTACGTTTGTTCCTTGTAATGACTTTTCGACCTGTATAATAGTGTTTCGAGAGCCAAAACAAAAAGTATAGGACTCAAAGAACTTCCCTGAGGTGTTCCTCTTTGTAATTTAAATATTGGGCCTTGTATGTTATTAATTAGTATACTTGCTTGAAATTGAGTAGTTGAAGCCATAATAAAATTTATGGCCCTTTCCCCAAGATTTATTTTCTTTAACAATTTGTGTAAGAAAATGTGTTTTATGGAATCAAATGCTTTAAAGAAATCCAAACTAATGAATAATTCTTGAGAATTTGAAATTTGTTGTTGATTATCTAATACTTTTCTTATTGTATAGATTGTGTCATTGATGTTTCTATCCCGAATAAAACCAGTTTGGTCTTTCAGAATTAGTCATTGTATTATTGGTTGAAGTTTAGATTCAAAATATGAACAAATCAATCTTAAACCACAATTGATTACTGAAATAGGTCTATGATTATCTACTGTTTTCAAAACTTTATCCTTTTTGGGTATTAGACTGATTAAAATTTGCTTCATTGAATGTGGTAGTTTTCCTTTTTCCATTATTGCATTAGCTACCTTGGTCAATGATGGACCTAATCTGTCCCAAAAAATATAGATAGTTTCATATGTAGTTCCATCAGAACCTGGGGTGGTTGATTTTTTGATTTCTTTCAAATGTTCATATAAATCTTCCAAAGTGATACTTTGTTTTAATTCATTTCGTTGATCGTCAGTTATTGATTTGTCAAAATTGGTAATAAAGAATTCTTCTGCTTCTGCATCAACTGGTTTTTCATATAATTTTCTCCAATATTCAGTAGCCATGTGTAACATACCTTCAGTTGTTTAAACCATTTGATTATTTTCATTATGCATAAGAAAATTGTATTTGATTCTTTATTGCCTCTAAATCTATATTTCAATACTTTAACATCTTTATTGACTTTTTGTGTTTGTGGTTCTGGGTTATATCGTTGATGAAGATGATAAATTCTGTTATCTAGTTTTTTAAGTGAGCTGCTTCATTTATTAATAATTTCACATTAAAATCCCATTCTTTTAAAGGATCATTTACCTGTATGTCAAATTTTTCTAACCGTTGTTTTGCAAATTCATCTTGTAGTAGTTGTTTAGGTACGCTGAATCTAGGTTTTCCCAATTGTTTGTTGATTTAATTGAAAAGGAAATTATATCGTGTGTTGAAATTTTTCTTCTTTCTTTTAACTTTTTATAGGTGATAAGTTGATGTTCGATATTTGATGATACCAAAAATCTATCTAATCTTCTTTTTGCTACTCTCTCCCGTGTTGCATTTGTTGGTTCAATTGAACTTGAATGGAAGAACCTAAAAACATCTATCAAATGATATAAAGTTTACAATTGTTTCATTTTAAATACTGCTCTTGCTTCTGCTCCTGCAAATATTATTTGAGTCGTATAACTTTTCTATCTGTACTTTCTAAACTACGTGCATCCTGTTAGGATATTGATGTTCAGATCTTGTTGGTATTCGTAATAGATTACATAATGAGATTAGAATAAGTGATTATGCTTTTCCCTTTTTAATTGAATTCAAAATAGTTATGCAAGTTAAGAAATTAGATTGTTAAGAATTATTAAAGTTGATTTAACTAAGAATGTTTATTTTAGATTATTATTATGATAAGTTAAAGTTTTGTTTATGAATTACTTTATTCAGATGTTTGTTATTGATATTGTTTCATATTTTGTTTGAACAATAAGAAATAATTTAGTTTGAATATTTTGGAAAAATCCAAATCAAGTAACTAAAGATATTATATTAGAAATTGCATACTGTGAGGACAACACATATTACTATTTTGTTTTTGTTATTCATTAATTAGGAAGATTGACTATTGTGTAAGTCAATGATAAATTTAGTTTATAAAAAGGATTGAATATCCTCTGGATTAGGAATGCGATAGAGGAGGGTATCTCCAAGTTAAATCATAAGTTTATTCAACAACTCAAATCATAAATAGTTATTTATAGTTAATCAACGTCATTCAAACACCTATAATAATTATATCATCATCATCTCATTAATTACGATAATCAATTACAATTAAGATTCGGAACCTCAGTTAAGTTCGGATTATTTATTTGTTTCAGTTTATTATCAATTTATTATTATTTTATTATTATCTTATTATTCTACGTAAATAGGGGATCTTAGGTGAACTTGCTTACACATCCATCAAAAAGGTCCTATAGTGTAGTTGGTTATCACATTCGGTTTTGATCCGGATAACTTCAGTTCGAATCTGGATAGGACCTTTTAAAATTTGTGAGTCAAACTTTTTTTATTTTTTGATTCATCATGATTTTTTGATTCATCATGATTTTTTTATTCAATAATTGCATCTCTTTTGTACGAAATATAAAGATTGTGTTACTTTAAACCAAATGATGTAACGAAAATATAAAATTTATTCTCAGTTGGAAAGTTATAATAATTTGACTCAAACGTTTCCTCACTCTGAAAGAAATACTTGCAAAGCTAATTCAAATTTCAGTTGAATAACTCACGTAACTCTGAGCAAATCATATGAAATTCTTGCACTGGCCAAGCCATTTTAAAGGGTCATTGATCGAATTTCATTTTCGTAACAAACAAAATGGGGTTCGCAAGATTTCAAAACTTGTACTTCCATTACTGTTTATATATTGGTTAATGAATTCAACAATGATAATCTTCTCCCAGGGGATTCAAAGTCTTAATCAATATATGCAAATTGCTTAAAACAAGACTTGTGATTACCACTCATTAATTCCTAGTCTTGATTTGAATTATTGGAGGTTGTAACATTCTGAAACAAAATTAAAACCAAATTTAGTCAATTCTTTTTTTTTGTACCCATTTTAGGATTGTTCCTTTCAATAGAAGGAATCAGCCTTGATCTTACTTTAAAACATTTGTAAACCACAGCTATGACATAATTACTAACATTCACAATTGAATGATATACTTTTGAATCAAAGAACTTTAAAAAATTAAGATTAAAGTTTATCAATTTGTTAACAGCCTTCACTTTTTTCCTTTATTTAGAATTTTTCTCCTTAAATTTGGTTGCAAACTACTACGCAACATAAATATATACTTTTTAACAATATAAATAAATAGTAACACGAAAATGTAAGATATTAAGGTGCAACGCATAATCATTGCTGATATAAATAATTAATGAAAGTACGTTATGATTCAAGAACACTTCAAGTTATGGTCAAACTCACCAAATTAATTGTTTAACATACAAATCATAAAAGAATCAGAAATTCCAAATAAATACCATGTTATATTACTGTAAATTTTGCTATAAAGATTTCGAAATTGAAATAGATCGTGAATCACATGTTCGAAAATGTCTGAAAAAATTACAGAACAAAGCTGAAATTTTGAGTGATATTATGAATAATCAGGGGCAAGATGCTAGTATAGATGAACAAAATAAGGATAACAATGTGGAGGTAAATTGCCGAAATAATAGAGCATTTTTGCACAGATTCAATCTGAAATTTAGTAATCTAATACACTGAATCAAGTATATTCAAATCATTAAAATTGCGATCAAAGTTAATAAAGACTGGGTTAGGTGTGGTAGGGTCGCCAGCATTGATATTCATACAGAAGTTGAATTCTCGTATAGTTTATGTACAAAATACGTAAAAAATAATACAGTTTAAATTTAGAGTTACAAAATCGATCTCATCTCTATACACAAATATATTTTAATCAAACGACATCAAAGGTTTTCTACATCAATTACTTCAACAAGACATACAAATAACACATACCTATAACAAAACATCATGATTAGAACGATAAAACCCAAAACAGCCCGTTCCAAAAGGGAATTAGCCAAAAAAGAAGCAAAATTAGTTGAAAATACAAAATCAGCATTATTTGTACCAGGATCAACAGGTAATAAAATTTTACATGATATAATGTGTGATTTAATGGCTATCAAAAAACCATTTGCCAAAAAGTTTTCCAAGAAAAATCAAATAAGACCATTTGAAGACTCTTCAGATTTAGAATTTTTTGCAGAAAGAAATGATTCTTCATTAATGGTATTTTCTTCACATAATAAAAAAAGACCAAATACTTTAATATTTACAAGATTTTTTAATCACAAAGTATATGATATGATTGAATTAATGATTATAAATCATAAATTAATACAAGATTTTAAAAAATTAACTTTCACAATTGGATTAAAACCTATGTTTGTATTTAATGGTCCAGCATTTGATAATCATCCAATTTATCAACAAATAAAATCTTTATTCTTGGATTTTTATAGAGGAGAAGAAACAGATTTACAAGATGTAGCAGGGTTACAATATATAATATCATTAACAACAGGAGAAATAGAAGATTTAAATAATGATAAAAATTTACCTCCCATAAATTTTAGAGTTTATAAATTAAAAACTTTTAAATCAGGTCAAAAATTACCAAGAGTTGAAATTGATGAAATTGGGCCCAGATTAGATTTTAAAATTGGTAGAAGAATAACTCCTGCACCAGAAATTGAAAAAGAAGCTCATAGAAAACCAAAACAATTAGAACCAAAACAAAAGAAAAATATTACAACTGATTTTATGGGTGATAAAGTTGCTCAAGTTCATGTTGGTAAGCAAGATTTAAGTAAATTACAAACTAGAAAAATGAAAGGTTTAAAAGAAAAATATGATCAAATTAGTGATGATGATGAAGAAGATGAAGTTGAAGGTGAAGATGATGTCTATGTCTCTGATGAAGAATATTTTGCTGATGAAGTAGATGAACCACAAACTAAAAAACAAAGAAGGTAAATGATTTGTAAAAAAAAAAATTGGAAATAAACAAATCGGTGCTTTAATTTAAACATTGTGATCTCTTGAAACCAACTTCACTTTTTTTTCTTAATTCTTCGAGCTCGAAAGAAGTTGTCTGTTTAGGTAATTGAGGTCCTACTGACTTCTTGTAAAACTTGGTTCCAATTGGTAGTCATTATTATTTGAAAAAAAATAACAAACATTGAATGCAGTGTAAAGAAAGGCAGGATCAACTTAATCTAATAGACAACAAAACATCACATGGCTTCAATCTTCAAGCCACGTAACTCTCATAGAGCAGATGATTCAACAAATGCGTCAAAAGATGATACTCAAGTTGAGGAATTGACAAAAAATAAATTTTATTGTGTTTCAAGATTACCAGGTTTACCACAAATATTAAAAACCCAAAGTTTCGATAATGCATATTCTGATTCGGAATCAAATTATTCATTGGTTATAAACGATGGCTCAATATACGTTTGGAGTTACAAATCATTAGATACGGAGCCCTTCTCAATTCATTTTCCAATAGATAAATCTATATTCAAATTACCAATGGCCATATTAACAAGACCATCCAGTGGAACTGATCAAGATCCAGGTTTAATAATGATTGACTCAATTACCGGGTATGTTAAATATTATGAAAGTGTACAACATGCACCAACATTAGGTTTAATAAATGATAAATCTTTGGAGCTACAAATTGAGTTACAAAAGGATGAAGTTATTACATTAGCTGAAAATGTTGAACCAGCTGGTATATGTATTTCAACTTCATTTCAAAGATGTTTAATGATATCATTGAGAGATTATAAAAGTAAACCAAATTTATCAATTATTGAAATGATTAATCCCAATTCTGGTTTATTAGCGAAATTCTTTAAACATGAAAATAATGAAATTGTTGCTATAAGGTCAGGTAGAACTTCCGAAAATTCGACATCACAACAAATATTAGTATTAGATTCAACAGGAACACTATATCTGATCCATTATTGTTTATTGTCTGCTAGTTCTTATCCATTCATTGATAAACAAAAGTCATTTAAACAGAACTTATATATCGATGTCGATACCTACCCTAGCTCGCAACAAAATACACAATGGTTAGATATTTGGTCCTTGGCAGAAGAGAATTATTTTTTGGCCCTTTGCAATGTGAATGAAAAATTGGTTTTAGTCACGTTAGGTTGTGACAAATCTGGTTCATTATTTTATGGAGCTCATCAATTGAATAGTATAGAAAAAATTCCAAATAAGCCGAAATTATTTTTACCTGAACCTGGTAAAACTGCTTTCGTAGTCGCTGATGACGACATCGTCATGACTGATATAAATACATCATACATTGAATCAAAACATACATTTTCATATTATCGACCAAGATGGGAAGATGTTGTAAGATTGAAAGAGTCAACCAAAATTATTGGGTATGGATATGAAAATCAATCACCTATTTCAAATCCATCAATTATATTGATCACAAAAGGATTTGGTGTTATACGAATTGAGAAATTTCCAGAATCAACAACTACTGAGACAATTGAAGAAATTAATAGTCCATTATCAATAGTCAAATCCCATATTGAACAAGGAATTTTTTATTCAGACTCGATGGAAATTGATTTTGATTTGAGTGATCGATTTGATTCATCAACTATTGAAGAAGCAATAAAATCAATTATAAATGAAGTAATAACTTCACAATCTGCATATATTCCCAAATCTTTACCATCAATAACTGAAATCACACAATTTAAAGTCAAAACTTTTAAAGAATTATTGAATTATTGTAAACGAAATTTTAATAAACCAGACACCTTATCTAACATCATTGAACAATTGCAAAAATCAAATGTGGCATTAAATATATGGAAGTTTATTGACTCCAAGAAAGATAGCGAATATTTTAAAATTTTCAAAAGTATTAAACCAGATTATAAAGACTTTTTTTTGCATGATATTAAAACGATTGGTGGAGTTTATCTGACCTACATTAATAAACTAGATGAGCAAGGGCTTGATACTGGGTCTTTGATAATTTCAACACTTTATGATGGTATCTACACCAATAGCTCCAATTTTACCAACTCTGAGAAGAGCGAAAAGTCATGGATATTTGACACAAACTTAGTTATTAAAGTTGAAGAAATCTTCCAAAAAGATTATATCAAAGATGGTTCTGAATCAGAAGAAACTATAAAATTTGTTGAATTGTTATATTACTTTTTCAATCTAGCCATAAGAACAAACCAGGGAGAAATTTATCATAAAATATATGTAGAAAAGAAAAAAGATTGGATTTCTTCATTGCTTAATATAAATTTGGAAAATAATGCTATAAATATTGCAGAAACTTATCATGATTTCAAATCATTAGCTGAAATTTTAAGTTCTCAGAAAGAAATAACACCAATAAATGAATTAAATTATGTTAAATATTTCGAAGAATTTGGTTATGAATTTGCGTCAGCAGTTTATGAAAATGATTTACAAAATAATAATATTCAAGAATTATTATTAAATTTTACAAACTATAAACCTTATTTATTAAGATTTTTCCATGAGAATCCTAAGAAAACGTCCTCAATTGCTTGGATTCGATATTTGCTAGATGACAAATATGCAAAAGTTTCTGAAATTTTACAATTGGCTCAATCATATAATTTACAAACAATTGATAATCAATTGACACAACTTTCCATAGCGAAATTATCATCCGTTGCTGCAAATGATACAGTTAAAGAAATAAATAACGAGATTTTAAGGATTAATTATCAATTAAATATAAGAAACGAAATAACAAATAAAACAAGGATAGAAGCGATTAAAGATTCATTTTTCATTCAACATTTTTTAAATCCAAATATTGACTCAACTTTCAAAAAAGAAGTCACGAGTTCTTACTTTCCAACATTTCAAAAAAATTTCAAATTAACTGATATTCAATTGATTAATTTATTAACTACAATAAAAACCAAAATCTTAGATAACAACAATTTTCATTACGTTTTCAATTTAGCAAATTTTGAACATAACGAAATTTTAAAAGAAAGCTTGTTTGATATAATTTTGGTAAGGCTATTGACCATAGCGGTCGAGAACTTTGATTCTAACTTGAGTGATAAAGATTTGAACTCAAAGATACGAAATAGTGCACTTTTTAAAGCAATTCATAATCAACCTCAAATAATTAGAAGATTGAAACATTTGTTAATCAATCCACCTAAGACTTTTGACAATCAATTAAGTCTTCTGAAATTTGACGATGCGTTGTTACACATTTTGCATAACAAGCTTGAGGATAGCAGTTTCGTTGATTTGATTAATTCAGTTATTGAACAAGCCAAAGTTTTACCCATATAATTAATGTCTCAAATAGTAAATAAGGTGTATAATGAAACTTAGATATATTAATCAGTCTTTAATTTATTCCCCTCCTTCACCAAATTCTTCTATCTCTTCCTCTTCAACTATTTCTTCAGCATCTTCACCTTCCACCTCGATATCATCTTCCTCATTTAAATTTATTCGTACTAACGTCTCAGGATATATTTCATCATCATCAACTTGTTTATCACTCAATTGTTGTTGTTGATATTTTAATAATCCCAAAGAAGCTAATGAAATAGATTGAATAACTCTTTGCCAATTTTGTAAAATTAATGCTACACTTTCTGTACCATTTTTCATTTTTGAAATTTGATTTGATATATCATTTAAATTTAAATTAAGTTCTTCTGTTAATTGTTTAAATTGTTTTAATTGTTCTAAATTTTTTCGTTTCTCTGAGATTTTTTGATATATTACTGAATTCTTCAGCATGGCGATCGTATGACTTGTGCTCCTGAAGTTTATAAATTATTGATGTTTGAGTGGTCTTAAGAAACACGGTATTTGAGATTTGAACTTTTTTTAGTTTGTGTAGTTTTTTTTGTTTACATTTGATCTTCACATCATCAAAACAACAATAACAGACAAAATGGCAAGAAAGGCTGATATAGTGGTACCAGAGATAGAAGTAGGTAGGAGGGCTTCCGTTAGCAATCAACATAACTCATCAAGATTATCGTCACCATCGTCATCACCACAAAGATACAATCAAAATGATAATGAAAATTTACAAAAACTACTACAATATCAAGAACAAAATAAAGTCTTGACTAAAAGAAATCATATATTTTCATCCAGAATTACGGAATTAGAGAATAAAATTAAGCAATTAAATAAGGAGATTGTCAAGTTAAAAGAAAATGAAAATTTGAATCAATCATTGATTGAAGTAGAATCATTCAGTCGAAATCAGTTGGATAGCCTTAACCATCTTATTCAAAGTATCAGACAAAAAAATGGACTTAATTTACTACCTCACGTTCCAGGAAATCTGGTAGATAATAAAAGATTAGTGAAGGTTGAAACTAACTCCAAGACTAGAGAAACAATTCCACAATACTTCAAAAAAGAAAAATTAGAATCATCAAAATTATCTAGTAGCCGAAATGATAAATTTATAAATGTTGATGATGAATCGGACTATGAAGATGAAGATGCAGGAGTAAAAATCGGTGTATTCGCAAAACAAAGATCGGCTGAACCTAGAAATAGCTTCAATCCTTCAAACTCAGTCTCAATAAATACAGTTAATGAACTGAAAAATGATTCTACGATTACAAAAGAAGACAAAAGAAACATGGCTATAGATGATAAATTCTTCGACGAGCCACAAAATTACGAAATTAGTTTTGTAAAAGACATTAAAAGTGAAATTATAGAAGACAATTCGAAACCTGAGATGGATGAAGATTTTATGGTAATCAATCTTGAAAACGTGAAACATTCAAAGAAAGAACTGGAAAATGATTTAATGCCAATTAAACCACTGGTTAAGGAAGGAAGGGTCAAACGTGTGATTGACTCAAGTTCAGATTCTGATTTATCGGATTTGTTTCAAGTAAAGAAGGAAAAAATGGAAGAAGATGTAAGATCTGAAAGAAGAAAAACTAGATCACAACGGAATAAAGGATCGAATTTCACAAATACGGCGGAGATTGAAAAAGATGAGAATATTAGCAACAAAAGAAAGACACCGTCTGATGACGAAGCGACTTCAAATAAAAGAAAGCCACTTTCAAATAAGACCAACAACTCTGATACAAATTCATCAAAAAGAAAAACCAGGAAAAGAGAAAATAGATTCAAAAATTGTGATTTATCTATCTTTGATTTTGAATGATTTGTGTAACACATTAAGTTTTACTTTGGTTTATATTAACTTTTCTAATTAAACACTCATTTTCATTTTAATTGGAGGATGTGGGTCATACCCAACAATTTCGAAATCTTCGAATCTGAAATCGTCTATATTTTTTATTTCATCTTTTCTTGATTCTTTAATTATTAATTTTGGAAAATTTTTAGGAATTCTTTCAAATTGCTCTTTCAATGCATCAATATGATCCAAATAAACATGAGCATCACCCATAGTATGTACAAATTCTCCACATTCAAATCCCACTACATGCGCAATCATTCTAGTCAATAATGCATATGAAGCAATATTAAATGGTACACCCAAACCCATATCACACGATCTTTGATATAATAAACAAGATAATTTTGGCTTTGCTTCAACTTTTGATTGTTTTTCGGAATTTGATTCGGGAGTTGAATTGGGGAAACTTACGTAAAATTGACAAAAGACATGACATGGAGGTAATGCCATTTTAGCAAAATCTGGAGGATTCCATGCAGACATTATAATTCTTCTATCATATGGATTAGTTTTTAGTTTTTTAATAACATCTTGTAATTGATCATAACCTTGACCTTGATAATTTGTATCACAATCAATATATTCTGCACCAAAATGTCTCCATTGAAAACCATAAACTGGTCCCAAATCACCCTCTCTTCTCTCTGTTAATCCTAATTTATCCAAGAATTCTCTCAGTCCATTACCTTCCCATATTTTCACTCCTTTCTCACTCAACAACTTGGCATCCGTAGATCCAGCTACAAACCATAGTAATTCATGTATTATACCTTTTGAAAATACTTTTTTTGTAGTTAATAAAGGAAATGATTCATTTGACAAATCAAATCTTAATTGAGGTGGTGCAAATAATGATAAAGTTCCAGTACCTGTTCTATCTGGTCTATGCTCCCCCTCATCTATTATTTTCTGGCACAAGTCCAAGTAAGCTTGTTCTGCAGGGTTTGGTGACACAGTCATTTGTAGCTTGAAAGTATAGTTGAAGAATTAAAGATGTTGTTTAGTATTATGATTAGTTTATATAAAATCGCGTCTCGTATTTTGAGAAATATTATTTTTATTTACCAAACCAAATCTAACGCGTAGTTAGTATTTCGAGTATTGCCATTCTTGATGTAAGTCTGAGAGCATTATCAAACCGAGTCAATCATCATTCATCATCATTCTTCAAATAGGAACAAAGGATTTTAAGGTCTTTTCATGTCACTTCATTATTAATTTCTTTATTCAATTTAAGAATACAAATACCGTTTACATGGAACCGAAATGACCCTAACAAATTGTCTTTAATTAAACTGATTCTCAATGAAGTCATATATGGAGAAATAAAAACAGTTAGCTTTGATGGTAGTTTGAAATAGAGGAGATTTTGAAATGTTCTTGCAAGTCTATTGAAGCCCCCCACGATCAATAGCGCGATACAGCTCTAATGCAGGTCGCCTGAAGGACAAAGTATAGCCTTGATTCTTTAAAAAGGCGAAACCGTGTTCAGCTCAAATTTAGAAGTCTCACTGACTAGTTGATCCTGACCGTCGTTATAACGAACTTTCATTCATCTAACAAATTATCAACCGTTTCAGAACTAAAAGCTACCATGTCTCAAATTTCTGAAACAAATGTTTCACGTCTCATACAGACCAAACCTTTAATTAACCAGTATTTCGCAATTTCCAAGCGAGGGAGCTTAAACAAATTATCTACAATCTAAATCTTTTAAGTAAAACAATTAATGTTTATTTAGACACTTCAAATCAGTGTCATCATATAAAAGCTATAAATTTATAAAAAATATTATTTTGCCATTGATTCTTCAATTAAATTTATTTAGAACCGAAAACAGCATCTGAAGCTTTTTGAGCAAATGATTTGTCATTTTCTGATGTTCCTTTACCAGCAAGGTCATCTAATTTATCAGTAGCTTGATCTTTGAATGATTCTGGAGTACTTTTTTGAGATTCTGGAGTTAATTTACTTTCTAATTTGTCTCCAACTGATTTTCTACCGGCGTCACTCATTGTAATTGTAATTGATTATTTGTTTTGTTTTTGGTTATGTTATTGAATTATTTAAATTTTTCGAGGATTATGCATACTTTGAAGCTGTATTTATATTGCAAAAATTTGGTCTTGTTCGAATTTGAATTTTTAATTAGTTTGCTATAGTTGCAAATTAAAGTTTGTTAAATTTACACGAAAACTTTAAACTTTTCAATACATTCTAATTTGTTTCGAAATTTTATATGAAGATTACTATCAATTGTGGAACGTAATAAATTAAATGACCCAATAATTTGCATGTCAAACACACTTTGTGGATTTGTTTATTGATATAATTACTTCATTTGGAATGAAGAAAAATCGAGAATCATGAAGGATAATTTAAGTTTGTATGAATACCACTTAATATTTTTGTTTTTGATTGCTACTCCTTTAATTAAAAGGAAAATTTTATGTAAGGAATGTTAAAGCTAAACACTTTGAATACAAATTTATCACTTTAATTCATAGAAATAGCAATGTTAATTTAATTACAAAAAGAAAAGACTCAGTACAATTAAGGATTTTAAATGATGTTAGACGAAATTCCACAAATCACAGTTTTGTTGGTAAGACCAAAACTTTGTATTACAAGACTACGTAATAGAAACAATTCCTCGAAATGAATGACGTGTTAAATGTTTTCGATTCTAAACACTCGTACCTTACCTTTTTGCTCGAATTTTGTCTTAAAAATGTGGAGTAAAATTAAAATTGGTTAGATATTGCGTAAATCGATCTTAGATTAATGTGACACATGATTCGTAAATGACAATAATGCTCGTTAGCTAAGAATGGTATGGACAAAAAAGGTTATGGTTAGCCCCCACGTCTTGTTATACTTTTCCACCAATTCTATTTTTGACATCTTTCTTGTTGATAATCATTTCATATAATAACCAGTGAAAAAAATTCCTTATTTTGCATCAAGATTCATTGTAAATTCATCAGGAGTCCAACAATTAACGAAATAACTATACTTGCAACCACCAGAAGTATTTGAACCATTTTGGTTCCACTAATATGCACTTTGATTCAGCAATCAATAAAGGTTTTTCTTTCAGGTCAAATGGTAAGGTTTCTAGATATCCCCCTATTACTACTTTTCTACCTTTTGCTTCTTGAACTTTAGCATGTAATACCACTGTACTTTGTGGTGGGGCTTGATTCTTAAAATCGATTGATAATTTTGCAGTTACTCCCTTTCGTGATGGTAGCAATGGAAATCCAGCTGAACATAATCCTTCGTCCAATATAGTTGAGATGATTCCATTATGTATTTGACCATCTTGACTTATCAACTTATCACCTAAATGATAAAAACTTGTTAATTCCCCCTTTTTCTCATTTATAAATACAATGGGGTCTATCTCCATTAAATCAGGTCCAAACAATAATCCCGTATTAACATAATTATTATGATGTTGTTGTGGAAAGGCTTTACTTGAAGTATATTGTCTTAATTCGGGATTATTTAATAAAGATTGGTATTCTTGGGTTGATTCTATTTGTTCTATAACTGACTTATTGATATTTGATATTTTACGATTTTCTAAGTGATCTTTCCTCCAAATTTTTGGAAATGATGCAAATCCTATACCGAAAGCTACTAAAGGTATCACTTTACGTACAGTTCCTCTGAACATATCTAATTCGGTTTAAACTTTTCTTTAATGATAATCGATCTAAAGGTTGGTATCGGTAAAAGGAGAGAAAAATAAGCGACCAGATGGTAGCCAAAAATTTTGGTAAGATCAGAATGTTAATTTTCCAGGAGATGAGATATTGTTTGATTATATTAATTTCTACAGAAAATCATCCATTTTTGAAGGATTACATATAATGGGAAATAAATCAAAGGGTGTGAAACGCCCGAATAGTGAACTGTTGAAACCAGTTGATAAGAATTTGAAAAAAGCGAAATACAATAACAGAAAACAGAATCTTCCTTCACCCCCATCGGAAGATGAGCCATTACAAGAATCAGAAGAAAGTAGCGATGAATTATCCATAAGTGAAGAAGATGACGACTTGGATGAAGTATCTGAAAAGGAAGAAGAAGACGAATTGGACGAATTAGATGACTTAGATGACTTAGATGAAGAAGTAGCAGAGACTGAGGAAGCTCCACAAGAAGAAGATGATGATGAGGAAGTGTTTGTGGAAGAAGATTCACCTAAAACTGTAGATCCAAATAAAAAATCGTCCAAGGAACAACATTCAGAGCAAAGAAAATTATTAAGTGATCGTAAACTACAAAGAAAATCAGGAGCTCAAGTTCAAGATATTAAAAAATTATGGGAAAAATTAAGAGTTACTAAACCAACACCATCAAAACAACAACGTGACAAGTTATGTGATGAAATCTGGGACCTTTCTCATGATGTCATAAACGATTTGGTTTTGAAGCATGATGCATCAAGAGTTGTGCAAACTTTAATTAAATATTCTAGTAAAGATAGAAGAGATAAAATTGTCAATTCTTTGAAAGGGTCATTTTACCAATTGGCCACCTCAGCCTATGGGAAATATTTATTGATCAAGATTTTACATTATGGATCGAAGGAGTCTAGAGCAGTTATCGTTAATGAATTGCATGGTAAATTACGTAAATTGATGAGACATAAAGAAGGAGCTTATGTAGTGGAAGACTTATTTGTCTTATATTCATCTGCTGAACAGAAACAACAAATGATTAGAGAATTTTGGGGTAGTGAGTATGCAGTTTTCAAAGACTCAGGTAAGGATAAAACCGTACTTGACGTCATTCATGAGTCAAGTGAGAAGAAACAATTGATAATGCAAAATTTATATGGAACTATCAAAGCATCAGTGGAAAAAGGTTCAACAGGTTTTCAAATATTGCACGCAGCTATGAGAGAATACGTTACCGTTTTAATAGATGATATTGATTCAAATGATTCTGCAATAAGAGATTTTATAGATTTATTAAGTGAACAATTCTCAGAATTAGTTCATACACAAGAAGGTTCTGAAGTTGCTTGTACTTTACTCGCTTTAGCTAATGCCAAAGAAAGGAAAGGTCTTGTTAAAAGTTTAAAAGTACATAAAAATGAGTTGATCAAAAATGAATATGGAAATGTAGTTTTAATTACTTTGTTCATGGTAGTTGATGATACCGTTTTAACGTACAAATCATTTGGAAGTGAAATGTTCACCCCAGAATTATTACCTGAATTAATTGAAAACAAATTTTCTAGAAGACCGATTTTGTATATATTAAAAGGTTTAGATGGGAGATATTTTGCACCGAATGTGAAAAAAGCATTAATAAGATATGAAAAACTTGCCTACCAAAAAACGTCGAAGAAGGATAAGAACACAAGGAGACAGGAGTTACTTGAAAAATCAATTGAACCAATATATAAAGCATTACTTTCAACTGAAGATTTTGAAAGTCTTTTAACTAAAAATATGGCTATACAGTCAATCACAGAACTTATTAATACACCAACCACGAATGAAAAAGTAAACAAAACTTACAGACCACAATTAATACAGAAAATTTTTGATAAAACCATCAAGGGGGATGTTCTAGAAGATTATCATTTATTAAACAAAATACCATTCGTTTCCAGATCTATTAAGTCATTGATTCAAGGTAATACCTACAAATTTGACAATGATTCTAAAAAGGTCATAGAGATTGAAGACGCTGAGCTTATACCGGGCACAGGAGTAGAATTTGCTGAGAAACTAGTTGATGAGGTAATAGATAATGTTAAATTAAACGATTGGATTATTGGTCAGCCTGCGTTTGTATTAGTCAACGCTTTAGAAGTTTTACAACTTGCAGATTCCAAGAAAGCTAAAATTTTGAAGGATCAATTAAAGAAACAAAAGAAAAATTTATCAAAGGATGATAAAGGTTCTAAACTCTTATTAGAATTTATTTAGTTCCATAGATTATAGCATTGCTTCATCAGCATCCATTTCTTCTTCATCACTAAATTCATCTTCACTTTCTTCATTGTCTTGTACGTCTTCATCAAATATGGACAGTCTGTGACTTAGTTTCCTGTCCAATCTCGTAGTAGATACTTTCTCTAGTGGATGAACCTCTTCCACATCATCTTCATCATTTTGGGATTCGTATTCGCCGTCTGAATTTTCTATTTTTTCATTTACAATTTCTTCTGTTTCATCCTCATCTTCCTCTTCCTGTTGGTCATCGATTTCTGGTCGAATAGTTATTGCGTCTTCATCGATTGATTTTTCATCTGCTTCAAATTCCTGAAACCATTCCAATTTACTATTACATCTCAAACATAAAACATCTTCTCCGCTTGTTTTTTTAACATTGAATTGTGTTGCAATACAGACATAACAGAACACGTGCCCACAATTAGTTATGCATGCATTAGTTACTGGGCCAGCTGTTGTGAAAACTCTACCACCTGATTGGGAAGCTTTTTCGTTATTATAATGACATATTGCACACTCCAGTACTGGTAAGTTCGAAAAGCGAGTGATTAATTTTGAGTCAACATCGATTGAATTGGTTGAGTCTTTAGGATTAGGGTTTGTTGTTTTTGAAATGATTTTTCTAGTAAACTTCCTTATCTTTTTTAATTGTAGAAGTGGTAACAAAAATACCAAAAATTCAGTCATGACATTCCATACTAATTGTCTGTTTTGAAACTCATAATTTACATTACTTCCATTAAATTTCAATAAATCTGATATTACTGGGGTTTCTGTTATCCGTAGCACTCTTCGTATGACTGAGGGATATCTACCACTAACAAGAAACATTGTGAAGTTCACTAAATTTATAATTTTAAAAGTATTATCACATTTTGTCAATATTTCAGTTCTATTGTTGATTATTTTATTTTTTAGCTTGCTTAAGAATGAATCTGTTTCTTCCGACAGTTCAGATTCATCGATTTGATATAGTTTTGTCTCTAGTCTTTTATATAAATAAGTCCCTACCAAAAATGCCAATAACAATGATTTTTTATTAAACCCAATAATTTTACCAGTTTTTGCATCACTCAATTTTAAGTTCTGTAATGCATCTCCGTAAGATGATCCCGACTTCCATACAGTTAATCTGAATATCAACAAATTCAACAATAATGAGTAAGTTTCAGGATGTTTATTGAATGAAAATTTGCCGAAAAATGAATTATCATTGTTGTCATGAAGCTGGAAAATTGAAGATAATTGATCCTTGAGTAAAGAAAAGAGTTCTGAATCTAGTATATTAGCATCTAGTTGCGATACCCTAGACGAAGGGTATGATATAGGATGCATGATTCGTCTTGATATAATTAGATGAATACAACTTCTCCACATAATTATTAATTTTTTTTGCGCTAAATCCGACTAGTAGTGAAAACTTTAAAGAGCATACATATTTTACAACTAAAGAAAGTATCGCTAAATAGGATTATATCATTATAGCATTCGTTAGGTTTTCATTATACGTAATATATCATAAGCAACTTCTTTGATCAAGACGGAAGAACTTTGACTTTCTTTCAAAGTTTGTAAAGCCTTTTCAATTAGCTCAAACATTTCAATTTTTTCTTTTAGTTTCAGATTTTGAAAATCATCATCGTGAACAACATGATTAAGTATAAACTTCAAAATTTTTAAAAGCAGTAGCTGAATGACAGAATTTTGATTATAACTTTTAAATTTGTTTAGTAAATTTTGAACAATTGTGACCTGCAGCATTGTTTTTACTAATCCTTCATTGATTGTAATTAATTGTAAATATGCATCAAGAACTGATTCAAAATTTGAAACTTTTGGTAGAAGAAAACCAGAAGCAAGACAACTATCAGCGAAAGGTGTACCTAATTTGACAGATTTTGGATTTAATTGGTATAAATGAAGTAATGATTCTAAAGCATTTGATTGCCAGTATGGATCAAATAATAAATTATAATACAAACTGATGATATCATATTTTCGGATTTTAGCTCTTACTGATCTGTCACAATACGCTAGTTCACACATGATTGGTAATATAAATTGACGAAATGGTAAATTTAGGATTGAAAGATTTTTTAAATAAGGAACAGCTCCCATATCAACAAATTCAGCTTCTTTTGCATAATTTAATGAAAGACAGTTATAAATAACAGGAGCCAAAATATTTATCACTTCTTTATATCGAGGATTAGTTGGAATATATTGCTCTAATAATTTCATCAAAAACTCCAAAATATCGGCCTTATACAAATATTTTAATACTTCTGTAATGCAAGACATTGACTTAATAAACTTCAAAAGCTGTAATTGCTGAGAAAAAATCAAATTATCAAATGTTTTTGTTAACAATTTGAAAAGATCGACACTTGAAATTGATATTCTTACCTTAGCTTCTGCTTGGCCAAAATATTTGATGACATCAACAATTTTAGCTATTGAAGTATCCATGATTTTTGCTGACACAATGTCATTCTTACCATTTTTCAGCAACCTTTTCAATAAAACTGCAAACCAAAATAAAACTCCATGCTTAGATAAAATTCTGCACAAATCAGATTTTGATCTACTTACATCTCTACTCAAAATGTTGTAAATTGTATCCACTGCAACTAAAGGAAAAGTAGCATTATGATCAAAATCTTCTTCCAAAAGTTTAGCAACAACCCTCATACCACCACATGAAACAAACATTGATAAAGCATTATTTGATGTACTTAAACAGTTAATAAATCTAGCGACTTCAAGTCTGACTCTTAAATCATAAGCTGAACTTCTAAATTGGGCCACGATGGGGATCCCACCTAAGAAGCAAAAATTTTCCAATTGACCAACATTATTTTCAAAAATATAGTTAAGTACAGCTAAAGTATGATACCACAATTGATTTTGTTTTGGTAATTCATTTTGAGACTCTAAAAGTTCAACTAAACAAAGTGTACCATGATCACGAATAAATGTGTCATGCAGAAATGGATATTTTTTTATTAAATGAAGCATTCTACCAGTGACTTTTATAAGTGAATCAGCATTTTCAATATCTTCAAAGTGAATTCGCTCCAATTTTCGAGTTAATTTGACCACTAGGTACTCCATTTTGACTTGAATTTCCAATTCATTTGTATCAAAATTATCTATTTCAAGTTCTAAAAATGGATCTTTTTCTTCGGTATCATCAGTTTGTTGATCTTCCTTCTTCACTAAAAGTTGTTCAAAATTTGTGGTTGTGAGTATTATAGATTCCTTTTCATCTTGCTCTTGAAATTTATTCAAAAGATCGTTTTTTGATAAATGAGTTTTAATAGGTGGTTTAGAACTTGTGCTGATGTTTTCCAAATCAATTGCATCGATATTTATCAAACTGGGGATAGATGATTTTTGTATGATTTTCTTACGATTTGAATTTTGATTTAGCCATTGATGCTTGAGTAATAAATTTGCACTAATTCGTAAATTTGGTTGTTTTTGAAAACACTCCATCAAAAAATCCCTTGCTAACGATGAAATATTCTTAGGCAATGGGGGTCGTTCATCAGTTCCTATCGCGTGTAAAGTAGCCATTGCATTCAATTCATGATATGGTGGATTCATTGTAAATAATTCGATAATTGTAGCACCTAATGACCAAATATCTGATGCTGTACATAAACCATCTCCACCTAGAATTGTTTCAGGAGCCATCCAATTGGGTGTACCAACCACCGTATGATGTTGTGAGTTCACTTTCGATGCAACTCCAAAATCAGCTAACTTCACTTGGTTGTCCTCAGTCAATAAAACATTTGCAGCTTTAACATCTCTGTGAACCACACCTTGTTCATGCAAGTAAGATAATCCCCTTAAAATTTCTCTGACATAACCAATAACTTGCGGTTCTGGAAATCCCACTTTTTGTTTCTTATACAATTGTCTCAATGAACCTTTTGAACAATATTCCAATATTACATTCAACGAATAATTATCTTTAACAAAGCCGTGATATTTTACTATGTTAGGGTGCTTCAAAATTTTCAAAAGATCAATTTCACCCATTAATACAGCTACATCCTGATCTTTTTCTAGCCTTATTTGCTTTATTGCTACTATTTGACCATTCACCAAATTTTTAGCCTTATACACACTTGCAAATGCACCATTACCAATTAATGATGTAAATTCAAAATTATTTATTCCCAGTCGATTGAACTCAACAAATTTTGATTTACTTTTTTGAGCTGGCGTTAATGAAATCTGAACCGAACTATTCTTTTTTGATCTTGGTGTCGATTTGAAAGGTTCTTCAAATAATTTTACTGGTTGTAAAATGCCCATGTGATTTCTTTTATGATCTTCTCGTACCAATGGTGTAGTGATATGATTCTCTTTGTCGCTGTCCCCCTCATGCAGTTCTTTAGCTTTTGTTTCAGTGACCGAATGAAATTGTAGTCTTTGAACATAAGGAGATGGAGATTCAACATCTTCAACATCTTTAAACACTATAGCAGAACCTGAATTTGAAAATTTAGAAAATGACAATTCATCAAAATCCGCATCAATTTCAACATTTTCTTGATACTTTAAAAGCAATGACTTCTTACTCTCAGATTTAACACTTCTAGAGGGGCTTCCATGTTGTTGATATGATGACGCGGTTTTAGTCAGTAAGGGTATTGGAATATTGCCAGCCTCGTCCAAATTTGAAAAATGATGACCAGATATCAGCATATTGTTATATGATCATGGTATCAGCTTCGGATCTGAGTCTTGAATAATACAACACTTCGTAGTTGTTTGCAGATTCTTTACCAATGTAATTGGTTGTAAAAAAATTGAAGTTTATGTTTACTTTTAGTTTTGTTTATAGTCAGATTTTGTGTCATATCATGAAATGAATTTCACGACGAAGACATAGAGTACTGAATTATACTACAACAAATAGACTTTAGATCTAATAAAAGTAGTAAAAGTAGAAACAATATACAACATTTATCTCGTGTAAATTAAACAATTTTATATAAGTCATCTAAGCTACTTCGATTAACAACTTACCGTTTGGTTTGTTACCATTAAACAACAAATTCCAAATTTTTGGAATTTCTGATAACTTTTGCTCAGGTGAATCACCCTTCAATTTCTCGATATGAATTGAATCATCAACATCTATCTTCTTTTCTTTAATTGCATCACTTAAAATTTTTATAGCTTCTGGGAATTTCTCTTTATATTTAAAAACCAAAAATCCTTCAACAGTAATACATTGGGCAACAATGTCAAACCATGTGGTAACATATGATTCTTTTGGATCATTATATCCTGAAATTGCTCCACATGCTGCCACTCTACCAAATTCTTTCATCTTGGTTAAGAGAAAGGACAAAATTTGACCCCCTACGTTATCATAATAGACATCCACATACGAGTCACCCAAAAAGTTGTTAATTTTATCTTGATAATCAGAATCTTTATAATTAACACATAAGTCAGCACCTAGTCTTTCTACCCATTTACATTTTTCTTCTGATCCAGCTAAACCAATAACTTTTGATGCCCCTAATAAATGTTTAGAAATTTGAACAACAGTTGATCCAACTGCTCCTGAAGCAGCTGAAACACATACAATTGGACCTTTCCCCTTTTCTGGTTTCTCCTTTAAATATTTACCCAATTGGCCTGCTTCAGTAAGGCCAAAAAATGCAGTTAATGAAGTCATTCCCAATACAGACAAGTAATAAGATAATGGTAAACCTGATTTCGTATCAATTTTATTAAGTATTTTAGCCTCTGGTATTATTGCGAAATCAGCCCAATCAATACGACCACTAACAATATCTCCTTTTGAATATTTTTCAGATGTTGACTTTAAAACTTCACCCAATCCAAAAGATTCCATAACATTTCCTTCATAAACTGGCGGAATGTAGCTTCTTGCATTATTTCCTTGTTTTCTTAACCAAGTTCTTTGTGTTGGATCATTAGATAATAGCAAAGTCTTGATTAATAACTCACCATTTTTCAAATTCTCATTTAATTTGACGGTTTTTACACTGAATGTAGAATCGGGTTTTGATGTATCTGTGATGATTTCACCATCACCTTCTGGTAATCTTTCAAAAATTACTTGAGTAGCTTCTGTTGGTAAAGACATTTGAGAATTAATCACTTTGCAATTGTTTGTTGCTGCTTATGCTTCAACTTAAGACACATGTTGTGAAAATCATCCTAGTATATATAGTAAATTTGATTAATTTGCTATAATGGTAACATGATTCTGATAGTTCATAGCAATTATTGTAAAACAAAAGTTTAGACTCAAAAACTCAAAAAAAAGACTAAAATTTTGTGCGATCAAATTACACTATAGAAGTTATGAATGTTCTAAAAGAAAAGCTTACTCGATACAAATTTTGATGCAATTTTTATTAAGCTAATATGTTATGAATCTATTAAAGCGTTATACTTCATGTTAAATGTTAATTAAATTAATCCCTTTGCATTCAATATTTCGGCAATTAATATCCCCGATCCAGCAGCTCCAATAATGGTATTATGTGATAATACAACCATTTTGAAATCTAACAAAGAATCTTCTCTTATTCTTCCAACAGATACTCCATATCCATTGTCTCTTTCCCTATCTAATCTTGGTTGTGGTCTGTCTTGTTGTTCCAAGACATGTATAGTTTGTTTTGGTGCTGAATGACAACCTAATTTTGATGCTTCACAAACGTAATCTGATAAGACTTTTTTTACTTCATCAACCGATGGTGCTGGTCTGTTCTTGAATCTCAACGATATACATTCTGTATGACCATCAATGACTGGTACTCTATTACATTGAGCACTTACTTTCATATCATCTTCTGGGATATTCACTATTTCACTACGTTCCTTGTTTATTGATCCTAAAATTTTTTTAGTTTCCCATTCTAGTTTGTCTTCCTCTCCACTAATGTATGGTACAATGTTGTCCAAAATATCCATACCTGAAACACCTGGTGAGAATCCAGCACCAGATATAGCTTGTAAAGTTGTAGCTGTCAAGGCATCTATTGGACCAAATTTATCAACCAAAGGCTTCAATGGTGCAACTAGACCAGCAGTTGAACAATTGGATATACAAATAAGGTACCCCGTGTTTTTACCTTCTGCCTTTGCTTTTTTAACTTTTGATTCAACAATATCCAAATGTTCAGGATTTACAATTGGCACTACTAATGGAACATCTTTTTCTCTTCTATAATTTTTAGCATTCGATATAACAGCTAATCCTGCTTCTACAAAAGCTTTTTCAACTTCACCAGCTACGTCAGAATCTAAACCTGAAAACACCACATCACAATCTTTGAAATTCCCTTCTGGTTTACACTCTTGAACTTGAATATTATGAACTGATTGAGGTAAAATATCAGTTTGTTTCCAATTTACTGCATCTTTGTACGATTTACCAGCTGATCTTGATGAAGCTCCTAAAGCATGAATTTCAAAATCAGGATGTTGTGATAATAATAGTATAAATCTTTGGCCCACAGAACCTGTAGCTCCTAACACACCAGCTTTTTTGACCATATTGAGTTAATTGAATTATTTGAGTTGTTAAGTGTAAAGAGTATGATTGTATTTTGAAAATTTATTTTTCAGTATGACTTTGTTTCTTTTTTTAGTCTTACGTAATATTGCAAAAATGAATCATAATTTTAAAATAAGATCTGAAACAATCAAATACAATTCAAGTGATTTCAAGATAAATCGAATTAGACCCGTGAGATCAAACTATGTTAGGCAATGAATAGCACGTAATAGCTTGAGATCAATGCTTGAATTTGAAAAATTTTTGATCTGCTGAGTTTTGCACATAATTTTTTTTTTAACAAACTTCTCTTCTGTCCATAGTAATTGAGTAGTTTTCAAAATCTTGCCGTTTATTCTATCGGGAGATTTGTAGTCTGCTTTTGTCAATCACATCAAGACTTTAGATCTACTTCATCATAAATGGATTGCTCGATCCCAATATAACACTTACAAAGAGTTGGTTGGTAGCGTACGATTTTGATTTTGTCGGTGTTTTTTTTGGGGCGCGTTATTCAAATTGAGAAATGATGATTTTGAAATTAATATATCTTTCAATTAACACTTAGATCATCCTACCACACATCAGTCATGGTTAATACTGATTTTGAAAGAATTTTTCTAAACCAATCAAGAGCAAGCGGTCGTTTGCGTATAGCAGACTCGGGTCTTGGTTGGAAAGCTACTAATAACCCAACAAGTAATGGTTCAACATCAAATCAACAACCATTTTTATTACCAAGAGAAGAAATAATAGTGGCAACTTGGTCTCGAGGTTCAAAAGGATATGAACTAAGAATTCAAACTAAAAATAAAGGAGTTGTAATTTTAGATGGATTTCATGTTGATGATTTTGCACAATTAAAACAAGAATTAACTAGAAATTTTCATATAAATTTAGAACATAAAGAACATTCATTAAGAGGTTGGAATTGGGGTAAGACTGATTTAGCAAGAAATGAGTTAATATTTAATGTAAATAACAAACCATCTTTTGAAATTCCTTATGATTCTATTTCAAATTCAAATTTAACTGGTAAAAACGAAGTAGCCGTTGAATTCAATCTTGATGGAGGTAAAGATAAACTTGGAGATGAAGTAGTTGAGATGAGATTTTATGTTCCTGGAACAACAATGGATCTAGAAACAAAAATCATTAAAAATGAAGATGGTGAAGAAGAAGAAATTGTTGAAACCAACCCTGATTCTGAACAAAATGCAGCACAAGTGTTTTATGAACAATTGAAAGATAAAGCAGATATTGGACAAATTGCTGGTGAAGCAATTGTTTCTTTCAGTGATGCATTATTCCTAACACCAAGAGGACGTTATGATATTGATATGTATTCTAATTCTTTAAGATTAAGAGGTAAAACATATGATTATAAAATACAATATGAACAGATTGAACGTATATTTTCATTACCTAAACCGGATGAAGTTCATCATTTAATGATAATACAAATTGATCCACCATTAAGACAAGGTCAAACAAGATATCCATTTTTAGTATTACAATTTGTAAGAGATGAAGAAACTGAATTAGAATTAAATTTAAGTGATGAAGAATTTGAAGAAAAATATAAAAATAGATTAAAAAAATCATATGATGCTCCAACTCATATAGTGATGGCTCATTGTCTACGTGGATTAACTGAAAAAAGATTAATTACTCCAGGATCTTTCCAATCTAGATTTTTACAACCAGGTATAACATGTTCTGTAAAAGCTTCAGAAGGTTATTTATTTCCTTTAGAAAGATGTTTCCTATTTGTCACAAAACCAACGTTATACATTCCATATAGTGAAATAAGTAATATAGTAATGTCAAGAACAGGTGGAGGTGTTTCAGCTTCAAGAACATTTGATTTAGAAATTAATATTGTAAATTCAAATCAAAAACATATTTTTGGAAGTATAGATAGAGAAGAACAAGAAAATATTGAAAGATTTTGTAAAGAAAAAAATATTAGAGTTAAAAATGAAGAAAAAATTGCAAAACAAAGATTAGCTAAAGCATTAGAACAAGAAGCAGATATGGATGATGATGATGGAGATGTTGATATGGGAAGTGCTGGAGATGATGATGAAGATGAAGATAATGATTTTCAATCTGATTCTGATTCAGATGTTGCTGAAGAATTTGATAGTGATGCTCAAGATTCAAGTGGAGATGATGAAGGAGGAGAAAATGATAATAATGGACCACCAACTAAAAAAGCAAAAAATTAATCAAGTAAATGTAATTATAATAAAGTTCAAAAAGCTAAGCTTTTAATGTTTTCGCTTATGTTTTGATGGGATATTGAATAACAATAAATCTCATTTCTCTCTTTCAAATTTACTCGAAATTTCTGACATTTCCATAATTGGACTGCAAAGGATTTTCAATACGGTGATATATAATATTTTATTATATAATGTACAGTTTTTAAAAGCTTAAATGGAAATGTCATATCAATTTGAAAAATGATAAATGTGGCCGCCAAACATATAACAATATCATGAGCTAATTGTAAGTGATGATGCACCTTATTGTTCCTAAGATTGATTTTTCCCTGATCTAAAATTAAAACTCAAAAATTTCTTTTGTTTATTATTCTGCTTTAATTTTTCATTGTTTCAGAGTGTTTCAGATTTTCTTTCCATTTCAAATAAATTCCTGAGCGTTTTCAATACATGAAAATATATAGAAAAGAGAAAAAATACAGAGAGAAAGGGATAATTCAGAACTGAAATCGGACTTTATGAAATGTAATGTTTAGGGTTTTAGGATACTTCCATAATTAGGCTAATTTAAATTAAAAAGCTTGTTAGTTTTTGTGAGATCATCAAATTAAGTCTCATGTTTTGTCTTCTTTTTTTAAAAGTCTGCCAATTTATTATAATTTCGAAACATCTAAACCGCAGTAAGTATAGTCAAGGGTTACTCTTCACCACTCGTCGTCAACCTTCCCTTAAAAATTCTTCTGCATAAAAACTCGGTGAAAATTATTTGCGTTCATTCCTTTATTGTTTAGCTGATTTAAGAAACAATTAGTTTTGAATTGAAAAAAAAAAAATATATTTCATGCAAAATGGTAAATCATATCTTCGTTTTTGTGATGTTTTAGGAAACGTTTCATAATTTCAAGTGTTTCAAATTTGTGTCCTTAATATTTCAAAAGTTTTTAATCCCCCATTAATAGCTAGAAACATCCGTATCCATAAGTTTTTGAGGAATTGTCCTTGTAACTAGTTACTAATACGTGGTAATAACAAGTTTAATTGATGTTTCAAACTGCAAATGAATTCATGGTAGTGGACTCAAATTTGTAATAAGGCTATTAAACTTACATTAGCTCTGCATATTTAATTTTTATTTTGTGATACCAATGAACAAAATCATCTACCATGATATTGAATTTAAAGTTCAAGAAACAGAAATACAATTTGAAACGACACTAGGAACTCATGATGATTTCACCAACAAATATGAGAGGCATCTTCTTTTTCTTCTTTTTCGCTTGTAGTTTGGATTTTAAATCTCGTAAATTTAAAAATAAATTACAAAACCAGTAGAAGAAGCTTCGTATCTTGAAAATTTAAACATCCGAATCACAAAATATAATAAATAATATGTTTTAGGAGATAAGGAAATTATCAACAAAAGTATAAAATTAATTCAACTTGTGAGTAGATACAGTAAAAACCAACTTTTTGTCGCATTCAAAAATTTTAATTGTCGCTTTTGAAAATTTTAATTTTCGCTTCACCTTTCGACTAACTTTCGTTGTAAAGAGAATGTTTTATTCGCACAATTTGTATGGATTTTGTTCGTTTTTACATAGTTAAGAGTGCGAAGAAAAGATGTTATCATTAGCGAAATGGATGTTTGTTGTGAAGCGACAAAAAGAAAGTCTTAAGGCGACAAAAAGAATTTTACAAAACGAATAAAAGTCGGTTTTTACTGTACAATTTTATTTTTACAGATATCGCCAACCAATTGACTCAACAAGTTTATGTACAAGGTCATGTAGTTGATAAGTGATGCTTGAGCATTTCCCTGTTAATAATTCAATTACGTAGTGCCTCAATAAAAAGTTTAAAATTTCTCTTGAAATTTTCGATTGTTTGGTTTTTAGCCAGCCATACATTAAAAATAATTTCAAATCAAATCAAAGAGGCTGCAGAAGTTGTTAAAAACAAGATGAAGGGAGAGGATGAAGATAGTTCCCATTTAAGATCCTGCTAGTACTCGAGCTGATAAGATTAATTCCCTGTGTGGTCAAAGGAATATCTTTATATAATATGAGAAGAATTTCCTTTTTCTGATAACAAACTTTCTAAAATTTGAAACATACTTCATACACAAGATTTAAATACTTAACCACAATTCAAATTTAAGTAAAAACTCAATTTTTAATCTAAACTTATTGATTTGACATCATACATCGTACCATTTAAACTACTCAAGGGTGAATAAAATTATATTAATCAATTTCTATTGTTTAAATACTTGTTTCAGAAATTTCAAGAGGTAGAGCTATACTAAATTACATACAATTTTAAAATATAATAAATTATTATATTTCAACCAGCATTTAAATTTTATTATAATTTCAAATTTGTACTTGCGTAATTCCTAAAGTTGCAATTAACAACAAGCATATTTTTTAGAAGGAAAAAAGTTAGAAACGTACTTGACAAACAATCACCCACAAGTTAAAGCTTTAGTCAAAAACACCCACAATTAATTTGAAAGATTTCAGATAATATAATATAGTAATTAATAGAATATTGAAGTAAAATTTATGAACATTTTATTTTTTATTTGACTGCAAAATAATTTAATTTTTTTTTTAAATTTAAAACAATCAAAATCTAAAGTAAGGAAATTATAAATTATAAATTAGCCTATGTCCCAAATTGATTTATTGGAATTTGAATATCAACAAGATTATTTAATTTATTCAAATACTTCTAATTGGGATAGTAATTCAATTAACAAACCAAGTATTCATACAAATATAAGTAACACTTTATCATTATCAAACGAAATACTATTTGTTGAAGCTAAAGATACTATCACGGGTACGATGGTTAATCCAATGTCTAAATCAAATTCAAGTAATACAAATATGAATACAGCACATTTATCAAAAAATTCAACAAATTTGAAAAGAAAAGTAGCACCTCCTCCTCCAATATTAGTGCATAAAGATATCAAAAATTTAGATGATAGTAGCAGTATAATTCCCAAAAGATCACCAGCTAGACTATTTGACCGTTTTAAGTTAACATCACCATTGAAAAGTACTGAAAATTTTGCATCCTCAATAATTGCAAATAGGTCTTTCATTTCCAAAATTGATAAAAGAAAAGACCTACAAGGACAAAAAATCAAGGCAGATTCTGATACCGATACTTCATCTAGTAATAATAGTGCACCTGATAAGAGTCTCAATCAACCGGTACAATCTCAAATACATCAAGGAGATATACAATCTATGGAAACAATAACACCTCATCAGGAACCTACATCTCCAGTTTCTTCATATAATGATTCAAGAAGTACATTTGACATAGAGGATGGTGCTGAGGAAGATTCAGCATCGTCAAATGATGAATCAAGTAATCATAGTTTCCAATTGAACAAAACACATAATAAACCAGTAGATAATTCTTCAATATTAACAAATTCTTCAAAATTAATTAAAAAGGCATTAGAATTTGAAGATGAAGAAATGGATGAGGATGAAATTGAAGAAGAATTAAATAAATTATTTGATGCTGTAAATGATGCTGAAATAGCTAAAATTGATGATATAATTCAATTCACTGGTCAATATAATTACAATACTACCTCAAATATTTTGGTTAGTAATTGAAGGTAAAAACTAAATGGCAATTGTATTTATTTCAAAATTTGTATCTCTTTGCAGGTCATGGGATTCTTTAAGTGGGTTTTTCATTTCATTTTCAAGCGTTGAAATTTTCGGTTTCTGGTAATTAAGATTAGTTAAATTCTATAGTATTGAAGTAATAGTTAAAATCTTAATATATCATTTATACATATAAAGTAACTGAAATCTCTTTTAGCCTAGAGGCAACTCATCTCTTGAAATCTCTACTTCTCAGCAGTAGTTTCTAAATTTGTCCATGAGATCAGATCCGTAATTGTATGTTTGATATTAAAAAGTTCGTAAATTCATTAGTTTAATAATAGTTCAAAGGTAGAAGAAATAAAAAAAAATAAAAAAATTTTTATATAGAATAAAAAGCCTTGAATATTTTTATCAAACATCATTAAATATTTACAACCAATCCGATTCATTAGTAATAAAGTCATATTGAGATTCAATCTAGCATATATTTATCCAGAAATTGAAAATACATAGGCAACAACATTTGTGTGAACAATAAATTTTTGATTTTCTTTCATAAGTAACTCATAGTATAGACCAAATAGAAAATATATCAAGGAAGGACTGATATTAAAAATCAACCTTATACATTGGAAACATGTATATTATACCGTTAGTCACCTCAATTATATCAATACTACTATTCACATTCACCTTTGCATCACCACGACTAGCAAATAAATCAGTAAATAGGCAGAATGAATTAGTAAATCGACAGTATAATCAAGAGAATACGCCTCCTCCTTTTGCAACAACTTCAACAATCCCTCAACCTAATCAAAATCATGAAAATTATGCACAACAACCACATGCACAGCAAACAAGAGCTAGTTCCATACTACCATTAGAATTTCGATCTATCGATGATTGTAATTTACAAAATCTACTACTAATAAGTGATATAAATGGGAATTTACATGGTGTCGAGAGAAGTACAGGTACTTTAATCTGGACATTACCAATAGATGAACCATTGGTTCAAGTACATTCAAACGATACATTCAATTCTAATTCACAACAATCGAATATTTTATGGTTCGTTGAACCTTATGAAGATGGGACATTATATTATTTCACACCAAATTTTGGATTAAATAAACTACCGACTAGTATCAAAAATCTAGTTATGGAATCACCTTTTTCATTAAGTGGTGATGATAAAATTTATACTGGAACTCGAAAAACATCATTATATAATTTAAATTTCCATACTGGAGAAATAAAATCATCTTTTGGAAATCTGGAGGAATGTCCTGTTCCCAAAAGCACACTACCTCCAAATCAACAGCTGAAGGATGATGATGATACAATAATGATTGGTAAAACAACTTACGAATTAACGATACACTCCAAATCCAATAGTAATGTGATGTGGAACGTCACTTATAGTCAATGGGTTCCAAATAATATAGATAATGACCTAATTATGCAAAATCAAGAGTCATTAGATAATTTGTATTTTACTCCATTTCATGATAGATCTTTGTTAGCTATAAATAAAAATGTTGGAACTCCACTATGGATAAGTAAATTACCTGCATTAGCGGTAAATATATTTGATATTTTCCATAATGATAAATTGAATAATAATGATTACATATTATTGCCTCATCCTTTAAAGGTATTGAATGATTTACAAACTAATGAGGTTAACAATAATGACTTAATTTTTATCAACAAAACTTCAAGTTTAAATCAATGGATAGCAATGTCATTTAAAAATTATCCAACACTAATTAAGAGTGCACCAATTTCAAAATATCAAATGATTTTAAATAATTACTACTCGGGAGTACATGATCCTTCTTCTATCAATTATATTGAAAATTACCAACTATCAACCAGTTCACAAGAACAAACTGAACAATTACTTTCTGGTATACATAAATATTACGATTTATCTAGTGACACATCATACCAACCAATCTCAAAATTTTCATCACAACAAGATATTAAAAGAATAGGAGACGGAAGAGAAGAACTTAATGACCGTAATCTGTTACTGCTGGACAAACAACAGAATTATAATAACGATATTCCTAATATTATTGATGGTATTAAGTTTCCTGCAAAGGTTTCAACTATTAGCTCGGATATAATTATGATAGAACCTGTCTCTAAAGATATTGCAAACAATTATCAACAACCTTTAATTCATAATGGTAATTCAAATAACAGTTCTGGTACTAGCGCAATATTGAAAAGAATTTTAGAAGATATTGGTGTTTTATTAATCATTTTACTATTGTTTATTACTTTTGGCAAGAAGAATAAATACGTAAAGAAATTATTCGGTGATTACAACTTAGGTAGTAAAAATTTGAAAGAAGTGATAAATGAAAGTCATAATGAAGTAAATGAAAAAATTGTAATTGAAAAACCTGAAGATGTAAATAATAAGGATTTAGAAAAGAATGCTATAGCAGAAAAAATTTCAAGCGATGAAGCTAACGAAGAACATGAAGAAGTTAAACCCATTAAAAAAAAAGTCAAAATTGTTGAACCAGAACCTGAAATTGAACCTGAATTAGAATCTGGAGTTGAAGGGAGTCAAGTAGAAGATAAACAAGAACTCAACAATTCCACTGAAACTCAAGAAGATCCCAAAGAAGATGAGCCAGCAACCAAAAAGAGAAGAAAAAGAGGCTCTCGTGGTGGTAAACGCGGTGGTAAACATATCAATAAGAACAAAAGCACAGATGATGAAACGGAAGCAATTGAAGAAATTGTTAAAATTAATACAGATGATGATGAAGAAATAATAACTACAAAAAGTCTTATCCAAAGTCTACCACTTCCTGCCAAATCTAAAACAAAGTTACAAATAGAAAACAATTTAGTTATTTCAGATAAAATTTTAGGTTATGGTTCACATGGTACAGTTGTATTTGAAGGAACTTTTGAAAATAGACCAGTTGCAGTGAAAAGAATGTTACTTGATTTTTATGATGTTGCTAATCATGAAGTTAGACTTTTACAAGAATCAGATGATCATCCTAATGTTATTAGATATTTTTGTTCTCAAACTTCAGAAAGTGAAAGATTTTTATATATTGCTTTGGAATTATGTTTATGTACATTGGAAGATATTATTGAAAAACCTCAAAAAGTTTCTGATTTATGTATTCCTATAAGAAATGAAATTTTGTTTCAATTAGCTAGTGGATTACATTATTTGCATTCTTTAAAAATTGTACATAGAGATATTAAGCCTCAAAATATTTTGGTTGCAAATATTAAAAAAAATCGTCAAACTATTAAAAAGAACTTAACAAATCAACAAGATGAAGAAATCATTATCAATGAAAATAATGTTCGATTATTAATATCAGATTTTGGATTATGTAAAAAATTAGATAATGATCAATCATCATTTAGAGCTACAACTCAACATGCAGCTTCTGGAACATCTGGTTGGAGAGCTCCTGAATTATTATTAAATCATGATTTACTTGAAATTTCTGCTGATTCAATTTCATCAATTCATTCTAATGGTGGTGCTGGAACTACTACAAGTAATTCATCATCAACAACATCTACAGGTAAAAGACTTACAAAAGCAATTGATATATTTTCATTAGGTTGTGTTTATTTCTATATTTTAACTAATGGATTGCATCCATTTGGAGATAGATATTTAAGAGAAGGTAATATTATAAAGGGAGAATATGATTTATCTCCATTAATTAAATTTTGTCCAAATGATAAATCAGAAAGTATTGATTTAATTAAAAAATTGATTAATTCAAATCCAATAATGAGACCAAATACAACTTTAATTTTAAAACATCCATTATTTTGGTCAAATTATAAAAGATTAGAATTTTTATTAAAAGTTAGTGATAGATTTGAAATTGAAAGAAGGGACCCACCACTGGATTTATTATTAAAATTAGAAGAACATTCATCAAAAGTATTTCAAAAAAATGATTGGCATTCACAACTAGCAGATGAAGAATTTTTAGAAAACTTGGGTAAGTATAGAAAATATCAACCTTCAAAATTAATGGATTTATTAAGAGCCATAAGAAATAAATATCATCATTATAATGATATGCCTCAAAGTTTACAATTGAAAATGTCACCATTACCTTCAGGATTTTATAAATATTTTAATGATAAATTTCCAAATTTATTAATGGAAATTTATTATTGTGTTGAAGAAAATTTAAAACATGAATATATTTTTAATGAATATTTTTAAAAAATTGAATAGAAATTTATAAAGGAAATTTAAAATACATAATATCGTCATTCATTCAGTTCTATGTATATGCCTCTATTTATCATTTGTTCTTTTTTTGAAATTTGTTAGTTTTGTTTTTCTTATTCGTAACAGGTTTAGTGACTTTACCTTTTGATGGTTTATTAGGCAACAGACTAGGTTTTTTGGTCTTAAGTTTAGTTGTATTATTATTTACTTCTCGATTTATATCTTTCTCATCATCACTTTCAATTTTATCATCTTCAAATTTAGTATGTTTACCACTAAAATTTTGTGTACTTATAGCAGTTCCATTATTAACCACAGTATTTTCATTACCATTCTTAATACCTAAAGTCTTTTGTAAATATTCCTTTGTGCTTTCTGAAGGACTACTATTCGATTTCTCTTCAATTTTTGTTTGATTATTTAATTGATTATATCTTGCCATATAACTTTGAACTCTATTTAATTCTTTTTTGATTGGATGTTGATCAGCATCAACTCCTAGTACTTTCAAATATGAATATATTGTTGAAACTAAAATATATTGATAATGATTTAAGAAATTTATTTTATCTTTTGGATTTGTTATAGTGGCTAATTGTTCATCTATTGATTTTGATAGTATGGGAGTTAATGATGATTCGTATTGAGATGTTGCATTATCTAGTGATTTTAAAAATATTTTTATATTATTCAAATTCTCCATGTTTGTTTGACTGTATAATGTAGAGTAAGTTGAAATATGTATGTATACTCTCTATAGAAGTGATGGACCTAGTCCATCTGATAACTTTTGATTTTTGTGCTATCTCTAAAATAAATACTGTGAAGTCATCACCATATTAAAATTAAACTTATTTAGAAAACATCTCAAACTCATCTCAAACAGGTATTCACATAATGGTAAGGCATAATAGAGAGATATTGACAGGCGGTAAAAACTATGCTCAAAAGCAGAGTAAAAAACATGCAGTCAATGAAGTTGTATTTGATAAAGAATCAAGACAAGAATATTTAACGGGGTTTCATAAAAGAAAACTACAGAGACAGAAAAAAGCTCAAGAATATAATAAAGAACAAGAAAGGTTGGCGAAAATTGAAGAAAGAAAACAAATGAGAGATGAAAGAAAACAAAATCTTGAGACTCAGCTAAAGGAATTTAATGAAAAAGCAAAAGAAATTGCAATGATTAATGGTGATTTGAAAAGTGACGATGACGATGAGGTATTGAATGGAAAAGAAGACGAAGATGAATGGACGGGATTTGATGAGGATGATGAAAATGAGGAAGGACGAGATACAAATGTACAAATTGAAGAAGAACCAATTCCACTAAAAGGAATATTACATCATAAAGAAGTATATGAACAAAATGAAGAACTACCGAATGAATTTGGAGATGAAACAACAGTAACAATAGAATCAATAAATCATCCAATAATAGATAATAATGAAATTTTAGAAGCAAAAGCTAAATCAAATAATGTTAACTTAAATAAATCAAATGAAATCTTGGAAAAATCAATAGAAAGAGCTAAAAATTATGCTGTTTTATGTGGAGTTTCTAAACCATCAAAAGACAAAAAGCCAAAGAAGAAATTTAGATATTTGAGTAAGGCTGAAAGAAGGGAAAATACTAGAAAAGAAAAGTCAAAGAGTAAATTTAAAGGTAAAAAATGATTTGAATAGTAAGGGTAGTCAAACTTAAGAGCCGTCGCACTTGTCAGATTAAAGAGTGATTGCATGCAATAATTTTCATTTGATGTATAAAGTACATGATTTTGTTCCACTTCCGTAGTATCAATAATCAGATATAACTGAGTCTGGGCTGGAAATTGAAATTCATGGATTGTTATCTTTTGAGTGACAAACAGAATGTTTGATCCAACTCTAGTGACTGAAGTAGACGTAGTAATAGAAGAATTCAAACTCTCAAATGGTATTTAATTTGAAAAACTGATGTACTTCATTCTTATCCGGGTAAATTATTGTTTTTAAATTCATCTCACAAATATAGTAAAAAGTAAATAAGAATTTTTGAAAAAATTTAAAATTCACCATCCAAGTCTTCTTTTATCATCAACTAAACAAACAATGAACTAATTGGTTTAATTTGTTTCATTTGATAATTTCAAATTAGTATGTTTAAATTAATAAAACGAAAGTTTTCAATCTATGAATGAATAAATAAAATTATTATAATGATGACAACGATGTCGCCCCAAACGGAGGATCCTTTTCAGGACGCTGACCGATTCGATTCATTAGCCAAACACTGAAAATTCTGATTATATATAATTTATATTCAATTCAATTAAGATTGGAGATCAAAAATTGGAGTTAGTATACTAATTTTTTATGATAGAACAAAATGAATTAATATCTTGTTCAATATAATTTTTCAATATACGATGATGTTATTACAGTATAATCATATCTTCCTTGAATATGTAGAGTTTTTGATCCTATGGATTCAAAATCAAGCGGAATGTTTCACGAGATTTGTAGTTCTAGGAAGTTTTATTGTTTATTTGAACTATTGGGCGAAGGTCTATTTAATAATAAAATGTCAAATAATTAGCTAATGATGTTTTCCATGCTAATCATGAATCAAAATTAATGATTATCAACATACCTAAATCGTGTACTTTTATTTTAAGAGACACGTCTGAAGCTTTTATAATTACATTTTTGTTATTAATCTACATTAGCCTATAGTCCATCGAATATTGATCAATAAATAAAAGTTCTAAACACTAAACACTAAGCACTAAATGCGATTCTCATCTTCTATTGTAAATTTGTAATAGGTAAAATCTCTTAATTCACTCACTTTCTGTATTTTATACCTTTTTGAAGAGTACAAAATCGATCGTTTGAAAATTGGAATTCAATTTGAGAACAGGTGAATAAATAAAATAAGTTGTTAGTATTTTTCCCAATATTTAAAATAACAACTAAATTCCTCACTATAGCTATAAGTCTAAAGACAGAAGGGGATAAAAGACTGAATCCATGAGTAAAATAGCAGTATAATCGTATACAATTAAAACTAAACATCTGTAACAAATCTACCAATCAGAATCACAAGTTTAAGAATTGAAGAGAAGAAATCAAAATCATGGTAAACGATGAACATCCTGGAGAAACTGATGAAATATTATTTAATGATTTATTTCCCTTACCATTCAGAATATTGATCTTGATCCAGTTTGGTTTATTTTTATGGTTTTCACTAAATGTCATATTATACAATTTATCAAGTATAAATGTTTTACAACTACTAAATTTATCATATAATTCACATAATTATTTACAACTTGAAGATTTCAATAATACTAACAGTAATGGTGAATTTGAAACTAATCTACCAGCCGAAAAGCAAGAGAATTTGAGATTAATGCAAGGAATATGGAGAAATTTCAAGAAATTGACTGTGATAAATGTGGTGAGTTGGGTTTTATTCAAATTTCTTCAATATTATAAACCCAGTTATAAGATCATTTATTACATTATCCCTATCATTACATTCAATTATAATTTTTATATATTATTTTACAAACACAATTTTACAAATCAGAGTAAAAATTCAAACCTAAATAGTAATGCTGGGCAAATTAGAATTTGGACAACAATAAAAAGAGTTTTGATTGGTAATATAAATTCCAAAACAATGAGAACGAATGATATTTTAATAAGTGATTCATTAGTATCTTTCGCTAAAGTATTAAATGATTTCGGATTATTTATATGGAGTTATTACATAAATGAAACAAAAGCCTATAATTATAAATTGGAATTCGGTATATTATGTCTACCAATACTAATAAGAATTAAACAATGTTTTCATGAGTATCGAATCACATCAAATAAACAGCATCTTTTGAACTTATTGAAATATGCCACTGGTATTGGTCCATTAGGTGTTAATGCCTTAATCAAATATACTTTGTTGAATTCTTCCGATCTTGAGAGGGAAAACGGTGAATTGATCAATAAATTAACTAAATTGAATAATTGGTGGTTAATTTTGACATTGATAAATTCAACATATTCGTTTATATGGGACATTAAAATGGATTGGAACTTAGATTTATTTAATAACATTTTTCAAATTTTTACAAGAGATAAAAGTAATAGATTCATAATATTAAGAAATCAAAAACAATTCCCAGATTTTATATATATCATAGCAATAAGTATTGATTTTTTACTTAGATATTTATGGATTCTTAAAATATTTATTATAAATGAAGAATTAAAACTGGGGAAAATTCATTTTATTCATGTTTTTTCAACTTTTTTATTTGGTTATGATGTTTATTCATTTGGTTATGTATTAATTGAAACTTTAGAAATTTTCAGAAGATGGGTTTGGTGTTTTATAAAATTAGATGCTGATTATAATAAATTGAAAATTGCAAATGATCAAAATACAATACCGATGGATACTTTTGAAAAGTAAGAGAGATAAGGGACTATTTGTAGACATTGTATATTCAATTATCTCAATACAGAAGTAACGATATAAACAAAGTTTGTTACTAATTTACTGACTGTTTTACATGTAGCTGAACCTAATGAACAAATTGGTATAACTGTGATTTCGAAATAAAATTTAAACCAAATGTAATCTTTAAGACAAATACAAACCTTGATCAGAATTTTACAAACTTTCCGAACTGTTGCTTTGATTGATACTACTTCTTTTTGTCAATTTCTAAGGTATGCTAAGTTTATTGTTCTATGTATTGAGTTACGGATGTGTCGTGTAAAATGGACGTGATCATGTTTTTCCTTTTCTTTTTTGTGATTCTGCCTAAAGTATAAATACAAATTGATTTCTCGCCTTCCCTAATTTTTCTAACAACATCATTCTTTCCAACAATGATGATCAACCCATCAATATAACTCATCAAAAGGTATTATTTTCATTGTCTTCATCCAAATCTAGTCCAGAGTAAGTGCCATAAGTGATTATAAACTACTCAGAAATTGGGATTCTTTTCAATATTGTCCATTTCAAATTAGTAGTATTTTATACAGTCGATTTTACGTTATAATTCCATATCAGAATTTTCATTTTATCACGATTATCTCCATTGTCAGAGTATTGTACCCCACCACTATTACTGGTCATTTTATCTCAGGGTATTCAATTTTATATAATTTCACGTGTTCATTAAGCAAAAATTCACGAAGTCTCACTGTCATAGTATTTATTATAATTCCATGTTCCGTTTATGTTGTGTCGTCCATTACTTCACTCTTTGAATCAATTAATCATTATATTATATTCCAATTGAAAATCAAATATTTAGGTAAGTTTTATCTTTTTGTATATATTTATACATTTTTAACCAAATATTTTCTAGATCATATTTGCAAGTTTTTTTACAGCAATTAATTTATTATTATTATTACTCCTACCCGTATGCTGAAACTTTAAGGTGCCGTATGATATCATTATTTTCATTATATTCATTGATCAAATTCAAACATAATTGCGTTTTTTATTGGTTTTTATTTTTCCACCTTTTTATACTAAAGTTCAACCTCATTAATCAATTTAATCAATTAGTCATTAATAATCTAGATGTGTGTGTTTTTTTAAAGGTGCTTTTTTCTTTAAACTTTTTTTCTTTCAGCCCATTTTGATATCATTTCATTGATCAAAAAAGAAATAAAAAGAAAAACTAAAAAGTAGAATAATAGAGCTTTACTCATAGGATTTATTGTGGAAGGTCTCAAAAAAGTTTATAATCATTTAGCTCTGGACTAGTGAAGACAATGAAAAATACCATAATTCAATACTAACGACTATTCTAGGATAAAATGTAGGATGTATAGTTGATTGTTAATACAAGATCTAAATATATAAATTTTGAACGTCATATCTATCCAAATAAAACACATTGTAAAATAGATTTTACTTAACATTTCTTACTTAGGTTGACTTTGAAAAAAGCGTTTGAATGTTAAAAATTGTATTAAAATCTTACTTACCAATCTACATACTGTCTCGATACTGGTCTAAATACTCTTATTCTTCCACCTTTGAACTCATTCAATTTATAAGATTCTTTGCTTATATGACCATGATTATCTTGTTCAATGACTTTAAATTTTTCTTTCTTTGGATCAAATTCATATATGATAGCAGTAAATGAATTATTTCCATCATCTCCAACACTAATAGATTTATTACCTATTAAACCTTTATGAGTATCAAATTTACCATTTTTTATCCATAAAATATCACCTGGTTTAATATCATCTATTTTTGAAATATTAGTATTATTGAAATTTTTATAAATAGTTACACCAAATGATTTATTACCAATTGGATGTAAAATCTTTGATTTGATTTCCGGATTATTGAAAACGTAATTTATAAAATTTTCATTTAAATTTTGACCAATTAATTGAGCAGCAGTGTTTACAATAACCGAACTAAATTGACGATGATTACTTTCTAACAAATCCGTTCTTATTACAGGATTAGATTTTATAAATTGATTTACTAAATGGATTGTATTTCTTGGATCACTTTCTTCATATTCCAAATCAAGAATTAATTGAGATAAATCATAAAACAAAATATAGAAATCACGACATATTATTGATCTCAGACCTCTTTTTGATAATTTATTAGAATCGACTTCATATATCAAATCAACTCCGATTTTTTTAACTAATGGGTCTGGTAACCCATTCTTCAACCACCAGTCAGATGTTGATTTTATATTTGAAATTTCAAATTCCAATTGTTCTAATGCAATCTCTGCTTGACTTTGATCACTTCCCTTTAACGATCTTGATCGTGATAAGGTTGAATCTGTTGATTTTCTACTTCCTTGTTGTCTTTGTGAAAGTGAGTTGATTGAAGCACCTGTTGAAGTATGAACTAAAGGTGAAATATCAGTAGTTGCTCTTTTGGGAGGCTCACCAATTGGAATTGGTGGAGGAGGTACGGCTCCAGGAATTGGTGGTGGTGGAGCTGCTTTGGTATTGTGGTGATGAGATTCAAAAGTTTCAGCACGAGTTGGAGGTGCAGATGTTGGTGGTTGTCTTTCAACAATTTCAAAATTATCGTCCTCACTTGAACTGGTTTCTTCTTCTTCTTGAAGCTGATGAGTTGGTGGAGGTGGAGGAGGAGGACGATCATGTGTTGATGGTAGTTTAGGTGGATGTGGTTGGTTTTCAGTTGAATGAGATGATGGAGGATTAGGAGGTACTGGTGGGGCAAAATTTGATTGAGCGGCTCGGGATGGAACTGGAGGAACTGAATTTGCATCCCTTGATGGAACTGGAGGAACTGCTGGTACTGGTGGAATAGGTGGTGCATCTCTGGAAGTAGGAGTAGGATGAATAGGTGGATGTGGTATAGTTGGATCTTTACCAAATTGTTCTTCCTTTAACGTTATTGTTTCATTCGAATCCTTCTCTTGAGATTTCAATGGATGTTGGTTATGATTATCGTGGGGTTTAGTAATATCTGATAAATCTTCATCTGCTTCATAACCAGTTCCTTCTCCCTCTAAAGTACTGTACTTTTTCAATCTAATTGGATGATGTTGATCGTCAGCACTATCTGATACGTGAATATCATCGTGATTTAATTGTTGCTTTATATCATTCAGAGTTATGATTTCAGCTTGATCAGAATCGGAAGGTTCATCATCTTCTGCCATGGAAGAGCTTTCATGACTAAATTTAGGAGCCGAAGCATGTGGAGGTACTTCAGGAGCAGAACTAGGGGCTGCTTCTGATGTTGCATTTGGTTCACGAACTGGTGATTCGGGAGTTGGAGCAGCTGGAGTGGCTTTAGTTTTCTTAGGTTGTGTATCAGCTGAAGGAGTATTACCGAATGGAGAAGGCATTCCCATCATTCCAAACATATTTCTACCTCCAGAAATTTTAGCCATTCTTTCAACCAATTTTTTACGTTTCAATTCCTCATCATCTTCCTCTTCTTGTTCTTCCTCATCTTCATCTATGTCTTGTTCCCCCAGTTTTTCAAAATTTACTTCATCTGCTTCTTCTGGCTCTCCCACACTAGGCGATCTTGCAGTTGGTTCATGCAAATGATTAGCATCATCATGAATTGATTTTGAGGAATCAGCTACACTTGAAACATCATGATCATCTTTCGTTCCAACAGCACCCTCCAACTCTGGATGATGATCTTCTAATTTGTGCGTGTATTGGGCTTCACCACTTTTTTGCTCTCTCAAATGTTTAACTCTTTCCTTTTCTTCAGCTTGCTTTTTGGCTCTTTCTTCTTTACGTTTTAAAGCTGCTTCTTCTCTTTCGGCTTCTTCTTGTTGTTTTCTTTGAAGTAAGGCAATTCTTTCTTTCAAAGAAACCTTGGGTCCAGACTCTTCCGTTGATTCGTTTTCATTTACCAGTGTTCCTTTAACAACGTTATCGGATTGTTTTGTATCATGAGTTGGGTGTGCAACTAAATTAGATTCGTCTCTTGGTGTAATTTTCGGAACATATGAAGATGGTGCTGCAGCAACAAATTGTTTTTTAATACTATATGGGTCGGATGGTTTGGAATGGAACGATTGTGGCATTGGGACCCTAGACGAAGAGCTTTGATTGCTTTTGGGTGATGATTGACTTTTTTCTTCTGCTATAGGTGCTGTTGGTGGTGATTTCGAAATGTTTGTTGGTGATGAATCTGTCTTTGATTCTTGAGTTTCACTTTGAGGTTCAGCTTTTTTAATTGGTCTATTCAGAACCGGAATTGTTGGGGTAGTCAAAATTTCTACAAAGTTTTTAGGAAACATTCCAGATTTACCATCATACTCACCGGTGTACCATTCATCATTCTCAATTGCCGTTATGGTAAGGATTTGGCCACTTGTGAAAGGTAAATCATCCTCATAGTCGGATTTATAGTCAAAGATTGCTTTAACTTTGAAAGGTAAATTTGGCTCTACCATTGCTATGGTTAATATGTTAATTGATTAATTCTTCTTCTATTGATTGATTTAAATATTTGATATGAGTTAATGGATCAAGATAGTTGTACTGTATCGATTTGATTGATGCTTTAAAAATGAAAATAGAGTTATAAGTAGTGATCAAATATTATGTTTATCTAATTTTTCTAGATAATAAATAAAAAAATAGGAGTCTTATGATGTAAGAATTTCCATAAAATTAAATGTCAACAAATGGAGTCAAAGTATCTACAAACAAACCTTCGGCCTCGTCATCTACAGTTCAAATTACTAAAGATGTATTAACCACTTGCCATCCTACTAAATCTTTCAACTACCATCAGGGGACATCAATTACTTCATTAAATTTTGATGATTCCGGTCAATTTTTAATTTCTTCAGGGATTGATAAATCAATTCAACTATATGATTGCCATAAAGGAACTCACTACAAGGATATACAGTCTCAAAAATATGGTGCTCATTCTGCAAGATTCACTCATGAAGGTTTGAATTGTTTATATGCGTCAACTTTAGATCCTTCTGTAAGTGAAGGGAATGAAGACACTATTAGGTATCTTTCATTGTCTAATAATCAATACATACGATATTTTAAAGGTCATAAAGCTCAAGTATCAAATATAGAGGTTAATCCGGTTCAAAACACATTTGGAAGTTCTAGTTTTGATGGAACAGTCAAATTTTGGGACTTAAAGTCTCCTTCAGCTATTGGGAATATCGCCGTAGGTCAAAATTCAGTTATATCTTTCGATCCTCATGGAGTAGTTGCAGCGATTGGTAAATATCCAATCGGGAGTCTGCAAACTGGAAAGATTGGATTGTATAATTTAAAATCATTTGACAAAGGACCATTTGTTGAAGTAGAAATACCTTGTTTACAGAATCAAATTTGGAATAAGTTGGAATTTTCAAATAATGGTAAACTCCTACTAATATCAACTGATTCAAGGGAGCATTACATATTAGATGCTTTTCTGTTGAAATTATTAGCAATTGCTAAACTATCATTTCGAAAAGATTCCACCTGGATGTCAACTGCTTATCCATACAGCGGAAGTTGCACTTTCACACCTTGTGGAAGATTTTTACTCATTGGAAGCCCAAAGGCCATAATACATATATTTGATTTGACGGATTTAAAAACCGATCTGATTAAGCCTACCATATTAACGAGATCGAATGACGTGGTTAAATCAAGTGTGGGTCTACCTAAAATTGTCTTATTCAACCCAAGGCTTTTCATGTTTGCAACAGCCGACACCACTGTTAATTTATGGCAAACATTGGATGAGTAGATTTATAGAAATTGTAATGGATATTTTAATGACTTTGGCTACCATATTTTTTTAACCTCTTTATTTACATCACCGAATGAACTCGATCCAAACTCTACTATCCAACATCAAGTCAAAACCAAAAAAATGCAGGTTTCAATGCCCTTCTGATACATTCAAGTCAAAACCAAAGGATACAATAAGATCAAAATATGATATAACAAAAGTGAGTCCGTTTAAGAAAAAGAAAAGCCAGAATCAAGTACCCAAACATGGACATGAACTTCGAGGTATAGATGGAGCAGTTCACACATTCATCACTAAAACATGTTCTCCAAACGTCTATCTGCCACTTATTTCTAATAAGTACATGATGATTCAATTTTTCCCGCAAGACCACATCATTAGTAACTTTCGAAAATCAAATATTTCATTTATTTTCCAATTATTTCGACTACCAATTTTGAACGATCTTGATACTGAGAGAAGTTTTAAACAATATGGAGGAAAGTATAATGACATGCAATTTTTCAAAAGCAAAAGTCGACCGAATCAATCAGCTTGTGGAAGATCAAAGTTGAAATCTCATTTTAGACAACTTTTTATTGATGCATTGGGAGAAAGTAAGTCTAAGGTTGAGAAACTTGCAGGGGTTTACGTAATATCTGTTTTGAAAGTCCCAGTAAACGGAGATCAAGAAAATTTTGTTAAAAATGAATTTAAAAAATTAATAAACAATATATGTTCGAAACAAAAGTCCACTAATGTCAATAAAAAGTCAAAAAAAATGATCTCACAAAAACCGATCAAACTTGGTCCTACCCTCGGCCAAGTTCAATATTCTTATAAAATTGGGAATCTTAAAGACAACAGAACTAGATTCCCCTATATTAAAATGTCAGAATTAACGCAATGTAAATAAATGGTCTATATATCTGCCCAAACCGGTAAATCGGTTTGATATTTATCATCATCACATTCAAAACTTAATGCATGTAAATACAATTTGGAATCTCGAATCAGATCTTCATGAAATATTGGTCTAAGGCAAGTAGGGCATTTCGACAGTCGTTTTTCCAACAAAACTTTTGAATGGTTTTGTTTTAGTGATTGTAAACGATCAATAAGATTTGTATTTACCTTCCAGGTGAGTATATCACGCAAATTAATTGTGCTAGGGCTTAAATCAGATGACTCAGTAAAGTTCGAAAACTGGGGAAATTTCTTAAAGATACAATCATATAATGCTCTTTCAATATCGGATTTTTCAATATACGTGTCTCCTAAAGCTTTTTCTGGATTATAATAATAGTCATTGGATATACCATACCCCAAATTCCTCAAATGAATCCTGATTTGATGAAACTTACCTGTTACGGGTATACATTTTACAATGCTCTCATCCAAGTTTTGGTTATATCGTATTCTTTCGAAAATTGTAGTAGAATTGGTAGGCAATCTTGCAATATCTCCAGGTGCTAAATATCCATTCATATTAACCACGAAAATGGGACATGTGTATTTGTTTATTCCTTCTGAAAATTTACCTTTGACTCTTGCTAAGTATGTCTTTGTTACCCTACCTCTTTTGTCCAATAATATGTTCAGATATTTAACAGCAGATTCCGCAGTCTTACAAAGTATTAAGATACCACTAGTACCTATATCCAATCTGTGACATGTTTTGATTGTTTTCATGTTGAGTTCTTTTTTTATTGTTTCTGATAAACTATTGTACAAATAACTTCCAGACGGATGAGTCGGGACTCCACTTGGTTTATCTACAACTAATATCTCATCATTTTCAAAAATTATTGGAATAGGTCCAACCCACGGAATCAAAGGTTCATGATTATGTTTCAAATGATGGATAACATCTTTAATATGAGTTTCTCTGAATTTCAACAAATCCAAGCCTTTAATAGTTGAGCTAGATTTGGTTAGACCAACATTATTAATAACATATAGTCTGTTTTCCAGAATATCTTGTAGTATATTTTCTTCTGATTCTCCAAATTCACTTGAATAGATTTGAGTCAAAGTTTTACCAACCCAACGTTCTTTGGCATGAGTTTGATAGGTGGTATAGTATGGTATTATTTTTCTAAACCCATTTTCAACTATAATCTTTGGCATATGTTAACTAAGTAAAAAAGTTTATGCGAAACAATATTTTTTGCTAGTTATAATAATTAAATACTTCATTCAAAACGTTTTAAGGAGCCAGTCGAATTTTTTTCAAAGAAGCTGTTGCTCAAGACTATTATATTCTGCAAGATTTTGGTTTTTTAGGGTAAACTTATTTCACGAGATCAAATACTTGATTATCAGATACTTTTTCATGCTTGGGACAAACAAAAATTCCTCAATATTACAGAGTGACAGCTAACGTCAAAAGCTGACGTAAATTCATCGATACCGCAGACAATTGAGTTTTAGTTTAACATCAAGACAAAAACAATACCGTTTACCTTGAGTTTAAATGATTATTCGTACCAATAATTGGACTCGACTTTCCCTCTATTTATATAGTGAGAAATCTTAATTAAAGATTCTAAAACGATCGTTGGTAGCGTTCATTATTTGAATTTTATTGTTGCAAATGTTTTTAAATTAATGAATTTAATTAAAAGATATATTTACTATAAACAAACTAATCAAAATTTTTAACGAAGAAGTGAATGATTTTGGAATTTTGAGTTCTGAGCTTTACTCATGAAATTGCTGGCAATACATTCTGATCAAATTGCCCTATGATATTACCCTTGTCGTAAGAACAAATTACGTATTTGCCCCAACCTGTACTCTGGCAGTTTTTCCACGCACAACCAATCAGTGATGCGGATTTCCAAACTATTTGACTGAAATGATTGAATTCATTATTTGGTTCGTCGTACCATGCTTGTTGATGTTAGTATTGGTTATTATTATTTTTGGAAAATGAGAGTTTTATAAATACATACCCATAAAAGTGTCTTGAGCTCCTTTAAATCCAGCAGCTAGATTTTCACCATATGGCCCATGAGTATGTGTCAATACTCCTGAACAATCATAATTGTCTGCATTATTTTTTGCATATTCATATAAGTTAACATCCCATTTTAATGGACCTGCTTGATGTATAGCTCTATATTTTTTATGAAGATCAATCATATCGGAAGCAAATGATGAATCGACATCTGGACTTGAAGCAATGGCGGCATAAAGATCATTTGATGAAGAAGTCAGTGAACTTGGTTGACTTACAGGAGATGATGATGATGATGAGGAAGTTGTTGGTAGCGTCAATAATGTTGATGAAGAAGTTGTAGTTGGAACTACTTGTGATGCAATTGGTGTGTTGGATACAACTGGAACCAAGTCAGCTGCAGTTGTACCTACATTAGATGCAGATGGAGTAGATGCAGCTGGTTGAGATTGAGAAGTACCTGCAAACAAGTTTTGTAATTGATCCCAAAATGATGAACCAGTTGAAGATGAAGATGATGTAGTTGCAGGAGTATTTGATGTAGATGATCCAGAATTGCCATTCAAAAGTCCATTAAGCCAACTTGAGAATGAGTTTGATCCAGAACTTGGTGATGTGGAAGCTGAACCAAGACTATCAATTAAGGTATCCCAGAAACTTCCTGTTGAAGATGGAGTTGAAGCAGCAGTTGTTGGTGTACTTGGTTGTTGAGCTGCTAATGCTACTGGTGTTGTGGTTGGTGCAGTTGGTGTGACTATATTTGAAGTTATTGTTTGCCAAACTGTAACAATAGCTGGAGCTGGAGCAGCATCAATGAAGTTCATGAAGCATAGTACCAATATTATAAAATGGCTAATCGCTAACATTTTAAGATTAAGGTTGTAGATGATTGGAAACTCAAATCATGAAAAATAATAAAAGTTAACCTTAGATTTTGATCAATATTTAAACCTTGAATTGGTGATTGTTGCAAAATTTCAATTAATTGCCTTTTTAGGAAATCCAAGTGTCAATTTGGTAGCAAATTTTTTCTGACACAAAAAAAGTTAAAACATCAGTTTACAGAATAGGTAAAAATTATTGAGAGTTATACAACCGGTTAAGAATTTATTTGAGTGGAGAATTAACAGGCGGTGATTTCTAATTTATTAACCTACAAAGATTTCTTTCAACGTTAATGCAACAATTTCAGCGACCCCACCACCAGTACAACGTGCAACAAGTCTTAAATCCTTTCCAATTTCATCTAGATTTATGAATTTAACTAATAATCCATAATTTGATTTTTGAGTATGTAATATACCAACTCCACTAATATCTATTGCATTTGATAAAACTGGAGGTTGTACGACTGCAAATCCTACTCTTGTTAATAATCTACTGATTTGAGATTCATCTTGTCTATGATTTAAATGTATAGTTGTAATATATTCACCATCAGCTTTTAAATGATTTCCAATTTGTGACCATCTTCTTTCAAATTCTTCATATCCTACTAATGCAGTTGGTGTTAATGTTTTTAATACTGAAACTGGAAACTTGAGATTTAGGTGATTAAATGATCCACCACATTTAAAAGTAAGGGATAAAATAGGATTCTCTTTCAATTCTGTTATACCTCTTATTTTAACATCAATTTCTAATTGAGTTTTATCTACAACATTGGATTCTGGTAGTTGTTTTGTATGTAGTGTGTAATTTGGCTCTGTATCGGAAGCTAATGATTCAAGATTTAATAAAGTCAATCCTGTTATTGTTTCTCCGACTGTTTTACTAGCATTATTGAGAATTATGAATTTGATAGCTAGATTAAAATTAGATTTAACAATTCTATAAGTTATTTTTATTAATTGATTTTCAAAAAATATACCTGCGTCAAAATTCAACATTCTATGATACCCTGAATACCAATTACTTGTTAATGTCATATCACTTTTTTCAGGTCGTTTAATATTTTGGGCCATTACTAAAGATTTCGATCTAGTTAAATTTGGAGGAGTCGGTATTCCAAGTCGACTTAATAAAGGACTTTCTTGTTGATTAAAAGCAGGTAAACTTCTGATAACAGCTTTTGCTAGTGCAAAATCAGAATTGTTGGTTGATAATTTCAAATATTCAAAAGCTCTTGTTTGAATTTCCAAATCCATAGATTGTGTTTCAATTTCAAATAAATCAACAATTTCAGGAACAAACTCAGATTCAGGAAATTTCACTAAAAATTTTAAAAATGATGTCAATAACATTGCTCTTGTAGATAAAGATACTGTGAAATATGCTCCATATAATAATTTATATTGTACTTGAATATTTGTTTCTGCAATGTCATTTACTTGATCTCCATATTCTCCTAATATAAAAGCAGCCACTTTAACTAAGTTTTCAGAAAGTTGAGTCGATTGATGATTATTAAATGGTCTTTTCATTAAATTTATAATAATTTTACAAGTTTGCTTTTGCATTGTATCATTATTAACTACAATTTGAACAATTCTTTCCCAAACTTCACTACCTATAAATCCTACTCCATTTGATGATTCACCACCTGTTGATAACAATTTTAACATGGTTGTAACATACCATATTGAATCTGTTGCAAATTGTTCTGCTAAAACAGCAATTTTGATAGCTAATTCTTGTTTCATTTGCATATCTGCATGTGGGAAATAATTGAGTAGTTCATTGACAATAATGGTATAACTTTCGCTGTTACATATTGTGTATAATAAATCCAATGCTTTTCTTTTCACTGAGATATCTCTATCATTTAATAATTTAACATATATGGGTAAAGTTTCAGTGAATTTTTCCTTCGTAGATAAGTAAGTTGAATTCAGTCTAGATGTTAGTTTGATTAAAGCATCTAATGCTAAATATCTAGTATTTGTTTCATTTGAATTAATTAACATTAATAATGCATTTGATGCTCTCATAATAACTTCTGAAGACGCATCCAAGAATACAGCCAATGATACAGCTTGAAATAATATAGCACTTTGTGAATTCCTGTTTGGTAAACCCTTAACATGTTTTGAAGCATTTTGAAATGCTTTAAATACTACTTGACGTAATTCATTAATTGAATTTTGATCCAATTTTTCAAGTGTAATTTTTGGTACGTTATTTCCGTCCACTACTAAAAAGCAGTTTTCAACAAATCGTAATAGTTTCACAACTAACCAAGGAGCTGGTGTGTCATAGTAATAATAATCTTGTGGACATTCATTCTCCACAACAATTGAATATAATCTTCGAGAAACTGAAGGAATTATCGATTTCACAACTTCTGCTTTCAATGATAGTAAAAAATTTAATAAAGGTACAGTTGATATAAGAACTCCAAAATCTTTTGATTCCTCAATTACTTTTAATAATCTCGGTATCCAATTTACATTTTTTAATATGACTTCTGGATATAATTGTAATAATGAATTCAAAGCCAATAATGCCTTTTGCTTAACAATTGGTTTATTCATTGGGGATGTTACTGATGCATAAACAAGATCAATTAATTCTATCCAATTTGACGCGTTTGGATCTGAATCATAAATTATTACATTTGAAGCTGTAAAACAATTCGCAATCATTTGAATAGCTAAACAATTCACTTCTTCATCTCTTGATTGTAAATCTCGTATCAAATATTCATGAGCTTCATCTAGTATATAATTCAAATGATCTTTAACTGTGAATAATGATTGTTTACTATTTTTATGATTATTTAATAAGATTGATACTGCTAAATATCCTAATTTCTTTTCACTAAATACAGATGAATTCAATAACTCAAATGATTCTTTTAATCCAAAATCAATTAATTCCGAATTTCCAACAATATATATATATAATAATTTACAAATATATTTTTTTCTTTGATACCCATTTAATGATGTTCCTGATTGAAATTTTTGATGTATATTATTAATTTCTTGAGTAATTTTTTTATATTCTTCTTCTTGATCTTTTGAGTTCCGTAGCTCTACTATGAATTGTTGTAACCCTTTCATTTGGTTCTTTTGTTGTTGTAGTTTCAGCATGTTATCATTTGAATTGATTTGTTTGCTTGATCGGTTAGATCTCTCGGACTTAAATCTTTTGTTTGAACCTGTATGGAAACTTTATTCCTCGCGCGATAAAAAAATAAAATATTTTGCAACAATTTTCCAGTGTAATTATTATTATAAGTATTAATATTATTATAAAGAAGTATGAATTATTCTATTAAATAGACGTAAATTTCCAACTATAATACTAATGCTTTTGTATGGCTCTAGAAGCTAAAACTGAATTAAATGCCTCTAGGGCTTCTTTCTATCTGAGGTTTGGAATTGGTTCAATTTAAGTATGGTCCAATTTACATGAAAGTAATTTACGACAAAAAATTGGACTTCTTAAAACTATGAAATATCAAGATGAATACAAGTGAATTCTCAAAGTGTTAGAAATATTTGATTTGTAAGACCAATTGCTCATGAGCGATTATTCTTATATGATTTTTAATCTTCTTTATCTGAATTTGGTTGCAAAAGATTCATACATAGTCGTGTAATTGATGACAACAAATATCATTGGATGAAACGATCAAAAACTCGGTTTACTAGTGAAAACTTGGTAGCGTACATCACAAAGCGCTCAATTCAATTGATTGGAAAATTTCTTCAAAAGAGTTAAGTATGATTAAACTAACTTAAATCATCTACTACATACCATTGAACCAACTACACCTCATTAAACATCCCAATTTACATATTCAATAAACATGTCAGTAGCACAATCAGCAACCAAAAAGATTAATTTTGCTGGACTTATTAAAAGTTTAGGTTTAACAGGAGAAACAGCAGCTTCATTAAATGCTTTTAAAAAAAGATATGATGAAGCTAAAAAGACAAATATAGATTTATTAGCTCAACCAACTGAAGTTGATTTTAATCATTATAGATCAGTATTAAAAAATTCAAAAATAGTTGATGAAGTTGAAAAAGCAGTACAAAGTTTTAAACCAGTTTCAATTGATTTATCAAAAAATTTAAAAAATATTGATATTTTTGAACAAAAAGCAATTGAAAATGCTCAATTAACTGAAAAATCAGTTGGTAAAGAAATTGAAGCATTAAAAGCTACTTTAAAAGATATTGAAAGTTCAAGACCATTTGATCAATTAACTGTTGATGATGTTGCTGCTGCAAGACCAGATTTAGATGATAAAGTTACTTATATGGTTAAACGTGGTAAATGGAATTTGAAGAGTTACCAAGAAACATTTGGAGATCTCCTGGTTATGTAGATGTAATAGACGTTTTATGTTGAAAATACAACAACTCTTCTTTATATGACGGATTTGCTCTTTCTTGGGAAGCACTAATGTTGAACAAATTCCACTTATTTAATGACTTTGCTTTGATTTCAGAATTTGAAATATAGATTATTAGAAGAAAACTCGAAGCGCTAAAATCGTCAGTTTAGAGGTCCAAGTTATGGGTTAAAATAAACTACGTTACTATTATTTTTATTAATCTTTCATTCCATCAAGCAAGTTTAAATGATGAGAAAAATGGCATTAATCAATTTCGCATTTGCTGAAAGCTATAATCTGAATCAGTTGTTCTAAAATTGTGATACTACTTCCCATTCATTTTCAATTTTATTCAACTTTTCCGTGAATTCAGCAACATGACATATATGATTCAAATTCTCTAAAAATAATTTTGGTAGTCTACTATATTTTTGAATTTCAGATTTATAATAATATGTTTTATTATCTGAATTTAAACCACCTTCAAACATTGCATCAAAACTTAAAATAATAACAACACAATTATATTTAACTTTAATTTTATTCACAAGTAAGATTAATTCTTTATATATTTCTTCATTGGACAAGTATCGGTTAAGATTAAAATCCAGATAGTTTCTTTGGTTTAAATTTTGTAAATCCCAATAATAATCAGATAAGTTACTAATAATGATTAATTTTAATTTATTTGGAAAATTTAAAATTTTATGAATACCATTTGAAATATCACGCAATTGAGTTATTAAATCTCCAATTGAATCAATTGATACTATAGTTGATGAGGAATTTCTTCGTTGAGTTGTAATTTGTAATGTATTGTTTTTGAAGTATTCTTTATTTCTCTGTAGAAAAGTTAACAACAACGCTCTAGTTTCAAATAAAATCAACCATGACAGTTTTGAAATAGCTTTAAGTGTCCCTGATTCAAACTTTAGTTCAATATCATCATCATCATCATCATCATTTGTTTCAATATGTTCAATTAAATTTGTAATTTTCATACAATCTCATATCTCGGAAGTACCTAAAGATAAAACAAAAAAAAAAAATGTTAAAGATCTTAGTAGAAATATCATGAACCAGCTATAATCAATAAATTTTTTAACAACCACATGGAATGTCAATAAAACAACTACTAAGACGTAGTTTAATCATAACTCATCCAATAGTCAAACGAATAATTATTCGACTAATCCAATATACTTTAAAATTTTTTAAATTTTTAAATTTTTTCATAAATAAACTAACTCAAGCTGTATTAAATGAAAGATCAATAACAGAATTTAGTAAAGAATTTGGTATAAATTTTGGATTTGTATTAATTTGTATATTATTTACAGCATCAGTCAATTATATTCCTCGACCAACTAATCAAATTTTTTATAAATTTTTATATAGATTTGATCCATATTTCTTTGATATTTGGCAACAACCAATTGGTTCAATTACTGGATTTTTATTAACTTGTATGGGAGCATATCTTATTAATCAATATTATTATACACATGAAGATATATATAGTCTACCGAATCATAATCATAATTATATACCTTTAAAACCTATACAAATATCAACAATATTACAAACTCAAAGTTCAAGACCATCTACTTCAACATCTGGTTCAACTACTTTATCACCATCAAGTGATTTAAATTGTACAGAAGAAGATGAAATATTTGAATCAACTACATCAACACCAATACCAACATATTATTCTGATTTTAAATTAAATGATAATATTCAAAAACCAAATAAATGGAATAAAATTCCAATAATATTATTATGTTGTGCATGGATTATATTAAATATCTTATATAATTTTAAATTACCAATTTATAAAACTAAAAATATAATAGCTTGGATATTTCATGTTCCTGTTCATTTTATTGTTCCTCCAATGATTGGAATTTGGTTATATATATGGCATGAACCAGGAACTTTTAAAATTTTTACATTTTGTTTAGGTTTTCAAAATTTTGCATTAATTTTAACTTATTTGTTTTTTCCAAATGCTCCACCAATGTTTATAAAAATTTATGGTGATAATAAAATTCCAACTTTTGATATGATTTATAGTGATGGTCAAGCACTGGAAGATAAAAAATTTTCAATTTTTTTACATAAAGCTATATATTATGCAACACCTCATAAATTTGCTTCTTTCCCATCATTACATTCTGCTTTTGCTTGTTTAATTTGCTTTTTTGTATGTTATTATTCAAAATGGTCATGGTTTAAAATTTTATCCGTTATTAATGTATTTGGTCAATGGTGGGCAGATTTATATTTTGATCATCATTGGAGAATAGATAGTTTAGCTGGTTTAATTTATGCTATTTTAACTTGGACTTTATTAAATAATTGGCAAAATACTTTGGGGGAAATTGATTATAAATTTAATAAAGCAAGAAATAATGGAGATTTTATAAATGGAAGTACTATGGGTATGAGATTATTTCGAAATACAAAATTACAAAATTTTTTTGACCCTTTAGCTTAATGAATATGTAATAATAAAATATACTAATAATATAAATAATAATAATGAAACTAATAATAATAATTATAATGACAATAAGATTAATTTCTACATTCTTTAAACTTTTTAGAGTAATTTTCTTTTATTTTATACTAAAGAAGACCTATTTATAAGAGAACATAATAGCAACATCCACCTAAAATTCATCAACATTCAATCAATTCAACAACATCCAAAGTAACAGGATGACATTGAAATCCAATTGATTGATCATAAAGATTATAAAAATGACCAGAAGCACATTGCCAAAATTTAGTTGAATTACCTAAAGCTAATTGACCATCTTTTGTAACTGACCAACCAGCAGCAAATACTGCACCATGTTGAGGAGTTGGACCATCAAATTGAAATTGATGACCTGAAACAATACAACCAATTCTATCATCTGAATCTCTTAAAATTGAATCATGTAATGACATTCTTAATGTTGCACTTGTATAACAAGCTACTGAATAAACTGGTGATTGAAATTCATCATCTGTATAATAATCATATTTACCACGATGATAAGATGAATGACTTTTTTTTGATGATTTTTTATGATGTTTTAATTCTTGTTTTGTTTCTGATTGTTCTTGATTTTCTTGAATTGGAGCTTCTTCAAATTCTTCAGTATGTTTTGAATGTTTATCATGATAATGTTTTGAAGATTCTTCATATGGTTTATCTTTATATTCTCCACCAAGATCATGAACATTTCTTTTATCAAATCCTTTTTCTAATAATTTTTCAAAAGATTTATCTTTCTTGCCACTATATTCAGAATCAATTGGTTTTTCTTTATAATGCTTGTCGTTATCATCACCATCAGAATAATAATAATCATTATCATCAACTTTTTTATTATTATTTTTTGAATTTTCAATTTCTTTTAAATCTTTATCATCACATAATTCTTCATTAACTTTTTGAACTTGACCATCATGAATTTGAACAATAATATCTCTAGTTTTTGTTGGTTTTGGAGCAGCAGTTATAATACTTGTAACAAAACTTGTTGTTAAACTTCTTGTAATTGAAGTAATTTCAGGTTCTAATAATTCACCATCATTATTTACAATATATGGATTTACAACAATTCCAAATTTAAATGGTAAACTTGTAAATGAACCAGGTAAATAATCACAAGTTGGTTTAAATTTTGTCCAATCATCACCATTTGCTGGAACATAATATGCTAATGCAGTTTCTAAAATTGAAAATGTAGTTAATGTAGTAATTATTAGTTTTATACTTGACATTATCAATTGTTTTTATTTTTTTGATCCTCTTTTCTTGAAAGAATTTGGTGTGGGTATTGGTGTAAAAAATTCAAAAATTGAGTAAGTGAATTTATATGAGATTATTTGTAACGCCTATCTGATATGAAAAGTCAATGGCAATTTTCTGATACGCCATATTTAGTGAGATCTGGGGAGTAGATCTGGATTTCACCGTATGAATCTTTAATGATGGTTGACCCATTGTCAAGCAACAAATAAATTAATTTAACACATTCTTGCAAATCAAAACAGCTTCACGGGTCCTACCTAATTCTTATTCTTGAAGCATTTGTTTTCACCTAATTAAATCAGTCAAAGTATTGGTTGTGAGTATCCAAACATCAAATAAAATAAATATAAATCTTGATTACATAATTAATCATCATCATATTATTTCGCACGACACAAATTTAATAATCAATAATCTAGAGCTTATATCAACAGATTATATCAATCATACTAAAAGTAAAACAGCTATACTACAAATACAACTAGAAATATGTTTAGGAGAGGTTTAATTAACACGAGGTTTATTCCTAGACTAGTATGTTTTCTTTCAAATCATTCCAAATATATTCAAAGGTACTAACTTCCAGTAGAATTTCCAACAAACAAGATTTATAAGTTCAGAAATAAAAGAAGCAATAAATTTAGCAATAAATTCAACTCCAGTAGTATTATTTATGAAAGGAACACCAGAATTTCCACAATGTGGATTTTCAAAAGCAACAATACAAACTTTAGGACAACAAGGAGTTGATCCTCAAAAATTTGCTGCTTATAATGTTTTAGAAGATAATGAATTAAGAGATGGTATAAAAGAATTTAGTTCATGGCCTACAATACCACAATTATATGTTAATGGAGAATTTGTTGGAGGTTGTGATATTATTTTAAATATGGCTCAAAATGGTGAATTAAATGAATTTTTAGAAAAAGAAAAAGTTTTAATACCTGAAGATGATAGTGTTAATGTTGATGTTAAACAAGCTGATATAAAACCAAATAGAGATTAAAATATTGGGGGGAAGATTAGAAAAGAACATGAGAAAGCTGGTTGTTGGTTGTTGTATATAGAATACATTTAAAGTTTGATTTAAAAAATAAATGAATCGATTTCATGTCAGTAATTCATTCTTTTCTACACGACAGATACTCTGCAACAAACAATGAGCCTACTTGAGAGGGAACAAAGTTGAAATTAGTCTTTATAATGTTTTTGCAAACAAGTAAAATCCTTCTTAAATTTGAATCATGATTCTTTTCTGTTTAAGTATGATTACTAATTAGTTATCAAATTCATTTTATAGAGCAGTGTATGTATACCAATCAAACATTGATGAATTCTTTTAATGATTGATAATACTCCTTAAATAAAGCATTGAATTAAAAACTCATCAAATTGATGTAATACTTCAGAGATCAAATTTCATATATGATGAATTTTTTATTAAGAATTGAATTTCAAATTTAAAATAAAACCTATATAAAACCTAACTAACTAATATTTCCAATAAAGACTAAGATAAAAGTTTATCTTTTTTTTATAAATGATATATTAATATATAATAATAATAATAAATAAATGACCCCAAGTTTAAAAATAAAAACTGAAAAAAAAAAAATGTGAAACTAAATATATATAATGATGGGTTAATTAATTAATAAATGCTATAGCTTGATTTTGGTTGGGTTGTTGTTTATTGACCTTCTATTTCATTGACTGTATGAATTTGACCTGAACTTGAACCAGTTGAAGAAACAGGTATTGTGGTAGTATTGTTGACTGTTGCTGTTGCTGTTGTTGTTGTAGCATTACTATTTGAACAACTTCTTGATCTTTTTATAGAAGATTTTCTTCTTGATAATAAATTTGAATCATTTAAATTCATTGTAAATTTATAATCACCATTTATTCCAGAAATTATTGATGAAGATCTTGTTTGATATTCTAAAATTTCATTATCTGAATTTGAATTTGTTGTTGAATATTCTTCTTCATCTATTTCATCTTGAATTAATTTAGTTGATGGAAATTGATGAGTGTTTTGTGGTGGATGTTGACTTATAATATTTTTGGATGTATTTGAAGAATTTGAATTTATAATTGAATTTGCTAAACTATTATTTCTTGATCTTGTTATTAATTTTGGAGTTAATTGTAAACTTGCAATTTCATCATCTAATTCACTAACTTCATCATCATAAATATCATCTTCTTCAAAATTATTTGATGATGAATTTATTGGTTTTAATTCTTTATTATTAAAAATATTTTGTAAATTAAATTCTTTGGGGAATGGTGTACGAATAAAAGTTGAATGATCTCCTCCAACATTTATTCCATCATCTGAATCTTCATCTGAATCTGAATCTACTTCTTTTGAACCTTCAGCATCTTCTTCTTCTTCATCTTCTTCAATTTGTTCAATGAATTGTGATGAAGCTTCTTTAAAATTTTCACCTCCTAACATTGCAGGATTATCAAATACAGTTTTAATAGCACGAGCTCTTGGTGAAAGAATAGGTTGATTTGACATTGGTATAGTTAATTCACTTTTGTTATTACTATTATTATCTTCAATATCTTCAATATGATCAACTTCATAACTTTGTTGAAAATAATCACTTGATTCAATTTCTTGTTCATTTTTTAACCATGAATGATTCCAAATTTCTTCAATTGTAATTCTTTTTTCAGGATTTATATTTAACATTTTTGTTATTAAATCTTTGGCTTCAATACTTATTTCATCCCACCATGGTTCTAAAAATACAAAATCTCCCTTTATAATTTTCATAGTTACATCATTTGAATCATCATCATAAAATGGTGGGAAACCACATAATATAGTATATAAAAAACAACCTAATGACCAAATATCAACAGCTTTTGAATATTGATTTTTTTTATTATTATTTGTAAAATGTTTTGAATTAGTGGTGTTTGAATTACATGTTATAACTTCAGGAGCAGTATAACCAGCAGTACCACAAGGAGTTTTTAAAGCAACTTTAAATTGATCATCATCAATTAATTGTTTAGCTAAACCAAAATCAGCTAATTTAATAGTACCAATTGTACCTCCACCAATATGAGTTTTAAATTCTCCTTCATCTTGTTTATTATCATCATCAGATTTTCTTAAATTTGATTTAAAATCCTGTGTTGAAGATCTAGGAAAAAATGGAATTTTTTTAAATAATAAATTTTCAGGTTTTATATCACGATGAACAATATTTAATCTATGTAAATTATCAATTGCTGATAATAATTGTTTAAAAATATGTTTTGATAAAATTTCTGAAAAATAAGTATATTCAATAATTTTATTAAAAATTTCTCCACCATTACAATACTCTAATATTAAAAAACAATTATCTTGAGTATCAAAAGAATTTTCTAAATTTAAAATATTTGGATGATGAATTTTTTTCATAATTTTAATTTCATTTTTAATATTTTGAAATTGTTTTAAAGTTAAATGTGACTTACTTATAATTTTTATTGCAACTATTTTATTTGAATTTAAATCAATTGCTTTATATACTATTGAAAAAGCTCCTTCTCCTAATATATTTATTAATTTATATTGATTTGGTAAATCTGGATATAATTCATTTAATGATGAATCAAATGTAAAAGATGCATTAGATGTATTTTTTGGAATGAAATGGTTTGTTGTTGTTGTTGAATTATTGGAAGTTGAATTTGAAGATTCAGTTGGATTTGAAATTGTATTATGTTCTATCATATTATTACTTTTACTTTTAATGTTGTTATTATTATTATCATTGGAAATAATTGAAGATATTATACTTTCTTCAATACTACTTGATTGATTTAAATCAAAAAAATCAGGTGAAGAATGATGATGTGATGAATTTCTTGTTATGTTTAAATTTGAATGTGATGTAATATTAGCTTTTGTTATTGCAGTAGTTGGTTTAGTATTATTTGTATTATTATTATTAAATAATTTTTTAAAATTCTATTAAAAAGAAGGAATATTAGTTAGTAAATTTGAATTTGAATATGAAAAATTGGTTTTTGAATATATCAATAATATCAATTTCTTTGTATAGTGAATTATTACAACATGAATAATAAATAAAATTATCAGTTGAAAATTTGAATAAATATAAAGAATTGGATTAATAATAAATATTATAATAATTATAATAATTTATCTTGGATTATTAAACAATTCTTTATATAATAAATTTGGAAAATTTCGGATTTCAATATGAAACAAATTTTTCTTTTCTTTCTATTCTATATTTCTTTTCTATGAATGCAAATGTTTTGTGAATTATTATATAAATCTGTTTATAGTAATAATTAATAATAATAGTAAAGTAAATATTCGGTAATAAAAAACAAATTTTAAGTTACCATTATTTGCATGAAAAATTTTGATCTGATTATTTGGATTTGACTAAAAAATTAACACACACGATAAAAGAAACAATATAAAATTTTTCACCATATTAAAATTCCATTTTGTATGTGTTTGTGTAAGTTTAATAAAAAATTGGTCGTGTAATGGTCTCGGGAATTATCATCAGGAAGAAATGTACACAAAGATCAAATTCAAAAGTATATTGCTATTACTAAGTATTAATAGTAAGTAAGCTTTTAATACTATGAACTTAATCAATCATACATTCAATCTGCTAATGAATACTTTTATTATTTAAATGACCCTATTGATATATGGAAGGCATTGTCATATGAATATCATGATTGTTTTGAACTTGCTTGTACCACCTAATTTATATAATTGTGGTATATTCGTATATGAATTGATGAGCCATGATCGTATAAAGAATTGCTTATTTGTTTTCATTAGTATGGATGAATATTGATAAGTTTATTTTGAGTAAATTTGAAATGAAATAAATTGGTAGTGCGGATCTCCATATATTAAATTTTGTATGTGATTAATAAACTATCTAAATACGAACTTTGTTTGAAAAGTAAACTACAAATGAATGAATGAGTGAATTAGTGAATCTACTTTTTGACTTTGAATATGGAATGAATTGATATTATTGATATTGAATTAAACCAATGTAAGAATTAAAAAAAAAATACGTACCTCTACTATTGGCATAATTTTAGAACTATATGTTTGGTGATTATGAGATTCAAAGTAGTTTTTAACAACCTATGATGATCTCACTTTGGATTTGAATATGATAATTGTATATAAAACTGTATGATGAGTCTAGATAAGTCCAGATAATTCTAAGTTTTTTGAATTGAAATTGAAATTGTTGTTGTTGTTGTTATTTTTTAAGTTATTTGATTAAACTTTATACTACTAATACAAATAGTGATTTTAACTATAGAATACAAAATTTGAAATAAATAATCTATTGTATTAATACACTTGTTTTCTTGTCTGATTTAAGATGGAATTGAATGAATAAGTAGTTGAATATGAACTTGGTTGGTTGTCTTTTTTGATTTGAATGATAAATTTGGTTGTAAAAATATTCAAAAAAATTAATTGATATTAATGATTTGGTTTTGTACTTATATTTATTTACTTTAATTATTTATTACTATGTATTATGTTAAGTATGATGCTCCATAGTTAAGATTATTATATGCAGAATTTCCTTTTTTTTCTATTTTATTTTTTTTTTTGTTTTTTAATCTTTAAAATTTTGAGGGGAAAAAATAAAAAATAAAAAATAGTATAGTGTGCATATAAATACCTGTATATAATGTTACGCTTACTTAACTTATTATGTAAGTAAATAGTAGTGTACTAACCAGCTGGAATTTTTATATTGTGTTGTACTTTATGTATATGCACTACTTTGATTTTTTTTGTTTCATAGTACACGATAATATACGTTTGGTAGTAAAGTGAAAATTATGTTGTTGTTAACAATTTGCATATTAATATATATGATAACAAATACAAACCAATGTTTTAAAAGAGTATGAAAGTTTCAAAGTTTCAAGTTGAAATAATGGTATGATTTCTTAGCTTTTTTGAAATTGGGAACGTAAGCTAAACACTACTAAAGTTGTAAGTGGAGATAAAACGTAGGCTTTGTCAATCTGATACTACTCCGATCTTTAATAAATCTCTATGATGTAATTAAATATAAATCAATACGTACGTATTTGGAAAATAAATTAAAGTTTAAATTTTATCAACAAAAAGTTTTCAATTTCAATCAATCCTCGAGAAATTTTATGTTTATTTTAAGTAAGAAAAAACATAAACAATATGATAGATAGATAATTTGATCTAAATTTAGATATAATACTTATCATATTGTTTATTTAAATTTATGCAATAATATTGAAGTTGAAACCCAAGTTTTGTTTGTCCCAATTTGTTTATTGTTTTGAAAGAGACGTACGTACTTTTGTAGTATTCTATAGCACAGATTTATTAGGCGTTCTTCTAATATTAGTAGACAAGTGATAATTCAGTAATGTAAGACATTTTCGTTTCTATTAAGTATGTACTGATTTGATCTGTCATGCAATACTTAAAATGTATAATTACATCATACTAATTAGAAAATTTTATTGTCCTAGAAATTTAAACAATTAGTTGATGAGTTGTTGTTATTGTTAGTTCCAGTTAAGTTACGAATTGATATATTACTTTAGACAAAAGCATTAAAGAGGACAATAGATTGATACCAAATTTTTTAATTATTTAATTGCTTAAGCCAAGATTGTTGTTATCAATTATTGTTGTTACTTTGGCTTTAAGTATACACAATTTTTTTCCGATTCTTAATTGGTTATATTAAATTGAATGTTCGGTGGGGAGTTGGTTTGTATCGTATGTTTTCTTTATAAAATAGGGATATTTTTACATTTAAATTGTAACATTGTAATCATAATTATTCACCTTTCTTTTGATTGAAAAGGGTTCTTTCATATTATTATTTCTCTTATATTACATGTATAACCTAATAATATCTTAAGAGGTTTTTTATTTCAATTTAATAAATTTTTTGAAACAATATTTATTTATCAATAAAGCGTACAATGAAATTACTAAGATTAATGTACCTATTACTTGTTGTTTCTGAATTAATTGAAAGAATTAGATAATAGATTTAAACATCAAATGAGATTATCTTCGAGAAGAAACTTTTCAGACATGTATATCAATGCAAATCAAAATAATGAATGATCTTTCTAATACATTTGCATAACAGATGTAAATCAATTCTTTTCAACACCATTCATCCAATTCCCTCTATTCTATTCGTTTTTCACTTCCGAACTAATGACTTAAATCAACTGACAGTAAATCGCAAGAATAAAAAGAAATCTCTCGAATCATGACCCATAAATTTAGTTGTCAAACAAAAAGAAATATATTTACTTCATATGTAGTTGCTATTGAATCGTTTATAATATTTCATTTATATCCGTATTTCACTTAATTTAACTTCAACCCACCATGTTCTTCCCCCACCTTTCGCTAATTTGAAACTACCGAAATCATTTTGTAAAGTAGGTTTGTATTATTCTAACTTGTAGGCTTATGTATGTCTCGGGTAAAATATGAAAGACATGATAACTCTTGAGTTGTTCGTAAAAATAAGTTATTGTTTTGTTACCAAAATTTTATACCCGAATAATCTAAGTCCGAATTGATATCAAAAATCTACAACACAAAAAAGAGGAAGAACAACATGAGCAAAGTTATAGACCGAGAAGGATCATTCGGTTGGTATTTTGAGTTTTCATTTATGTATGTATGTACTTTTGTAAGTATTATTGATTTCGGTCGGAGTTCGATAGATTATCGATATTTCTAATTAGGTAAAATTTAGTATTAGATATAAGTTAGGGAATAGATAAGAAGAAGAACACGATATTATTAGAAATAGAAACAATAGAATAATCATAGAATAGACTAAATTAAGTAATTAAGTAAACTCACACACTTTCTCTACCCAATTTTGATTTTCCCCACGGAGATTTATTATGAAATTTTAGTAGAAATTTAGTATAAGTAACTATTCTTAAATATTGTTTCCAATACTTTCGGGATTCATTTTTTGATTTTCAATTCATTCCTTGTTGCTACAATGCCAAAATAAACATAATAGATGAAATTGTGGAAAAATTTCAAAGAGATATGAAATTTGATAATTAGGAAAAATTCAAGAACAATAAAGCGATATCAGGAGTAAAATTGATAAACAAAATCATGAAGTACTAAAAAAGTTTAAATCTTTTAGAATTTGATCTTTGTTTATTGAAGGAAAAACACTAATCAAAGGTAAAACTCAGCCTAATTCATTTCCACATTATTCAAATTATTGCGAAGTAGCGGGAAAATAATTCGTCAGCTATTAATGTAAATTAGGCAATATATGTAGATCAATTTCAAAAAGAATGAGATCTTTGTATTCACTATTTAGTACTCCTTAATTTTTTGATTTAAAGTTTTGAGACAAAATTTGCCCTTCGAATTAGTTTTTCTTATTGCTTTATCTTCAATTTAGAATAAAAAAAAATCAAATCAAGATCAAAACAAAACATCACAATGTTAGTATATCGAAATTCTTCTTTGATTAGTGAAGGTACATAATTAACTCAAATTGATTTTGATTCAATTTGATCTCTTTTAAAACGTTTGAAGAATTTCGCTGATCTCTTTTCACCAAAATTGCAGATTTGAGAATTTGTGTAGATTTCTTGTGTTTGTATGTAGGTACGGATGTTACTCGAAATCTCGGTTGTAATTATGGTGATTCTTCAACAACTTTTTTGCCACACCAGTCTTGATAGCTAATAGGGTCTTTGAGGTTAGCTCGTAATGAATCCTGATTCTTGTTAAAGCTGCTGGCCTTTAATAAAGTTGTAAAGTTCTATTACCTTGAAAATTAAAGAAGTTGTATCGAACTTCATTGAATTTTTTAAACAGTTGTAAAATTTGTACCAAAATTGTTGCAAAATCAAATTATTTTGTCGTATAACTTTTGACTCACTGGTGCTCATTTTAATTCTTGAACTCTCTCCAAACTAGTATCAGAGCTATAGCTAGATTGGAGCAAGTCAAGTCACTCAATTATTGACTACTCTGGCTTTCATTTAAAGTGGGCTCTATCTTAGCTTAATCTGCATCAGACCGCTACCAATCTGTTGATAGTGCATCTCTCTTACATTTCAAAACTTTTATTTTTTTTTACAACACGCTCCAAATAAAATTTAGCAGCCAAAAAACCAATCAAAAATCATGTCATGTCAGATATAAAGAAAAGGAAAACATATTCATCAGTTAATGTTGATTATAAACTAATAGATCAATTGAATAAAGTGTTAGAAACAAATGATACTCAAAATTTAATTCAATTTATAGAATATGGAAATCTTGGTAAAATTTTACCAATATGGTCTTATTATTCCTCTTCAAATAATCATAAAGAATTTGTTGAAATTACTAATAAATTGAATAATATACTTTTCATGATTAATGAATCAAAAGATTTATTCTTATCACAACGACAAATCATTATTGATACATCAAAAGATATTTTAATTAATTATTTAAAAATCATATATAGAGCATTATCAAGTTTAAAACCATCATCAACAAATCCAACAATTAGATTATTAAATCATTTAGTAAGTTATGATTACGTGATATGTATGGAATTCATGAATCAATTTGATTTATCATTACCTGTATTACCAAAATTATTAATTCCAACAAAGATTGAAATTGAAAATGAAATAAATGATAATTATTCAATAAGAAGTAATTTTTTAAAATTTTGGATAAATCTTTGTTCAAATTTAAATTATATTAATAGATTAGATTTATTATTAAATTTTAAAATTACTAGAAATATTTGGAAATATATTGAATATGATACTTTATCAACTTTAGAAAATTTAATACAATTTTTAAATAATAGAGTATTAGATGAAATAAATTTTAAAAAGGCTCAAAAATGTAAGATTTTAAATGATAATTTTATGTTTAAAGTTCAAACATTATTGACAAAAATAAAAGAACCATTTTTTATGGAATTTATGATTAAATTAACAACAGATTATAAAAATGGTATTGTTTTCCCAAATGATGAAATATGGTTTGAAAATTCAAATATTGGTGTTGAAATTGATATAAACAACAAGACTTTTAAAATAGCAAATAAATTAATTTATACTTTATTAACAAGTTTAAAACCAACAAATTCAAATAAAGAAATTCAATTTATTACAAAAATAATAGGTAGTTGTCAAGAATTAATTCCACCTTATATGAATTATTTAGTACAACATGGTGGAGGATATAATGATCCTTCTTTAACTTCTTGGTGGATATCTCATGTTTTATTATATTCAAATATTTTACAATTACAATTACCAAAATTTGATATTAATTTAGAATTTACAAAATTTGATCCGAAATTGATTACTGAAAGTATTGTTTTTGCACCATTACTGAAAAATGTTTTGGTGGCTGGATTAAATTCAGATAAAGGGTTAATTGTTCAATTGACTTTACAATTAATAATGTACATATTAATAAAATTAGAAAATATTTTACAAATTGTTAATATTAGACAAGAACTACTATATACAGTTTTCAATTTACTTCCAGAATTAAGTTCCTATGTTCAATTACTTTCAAAGCATAATTCATCAAAATTAATTAAATTAACTGCATTAACCATTATAAATAAATATGAATCATTAAAACCAAATTCAACAAATCAAATATCATTACAAAAATTAATTTCAAATGGAGTATCAAATATAGTTTCAAAAACAGAAATAAATCAATATGATTTATCAATATTAGATATTTATATGAATTTACAAAATCAAGATTTTAAATGGTGGAATAAATTAAATAATTCAAATTCATTTTTTACAACATTAATTAAATTATCATCAAATTCAAATTTATCAAAAAATTATATTATAAAAATTTATAATTTAATTAATAAATTAAGTCAAGATAAAATGTTATTTAATGAAAATTTATTAATAACTCCAATATTATCATTAATTTATTCAATAAATTCATCATCAATGTCCACCAAGTTTTGGAATATGATTGATGAAACTATTTCAAGATGTATTAGAACTCCTTATAAATATCTTGATATTTCACATTTAAAATATAATGATTTAAGTATTTTTATTATTACATTACTTGAACAATTTAAATTTATTGAACAAAATGATGAAAATTTAGAGTGGTTGGGAAGATTTTTTAAATTTTTAATAATTTTTGGTAATAATGAAAAAGACTTGAGGAATTTATTTCAAAATATCAATCTTGATTCTACTAATATTTCATCGAATTTAGATGATAATTCAATCTTGGAAATTGCTTTCAATTATGAAAATAAGGAACTAAATTTATCAAAATTATTAAAAGATAAAATCATAACTTCAAATACTGAATTTTTATCAATTTTATACTTACTTAATCAAACAAATTCATTAAATGATATAATTTTCCCAATAATTTATAATTATTTAATAAATAGTGATGCAAGAGTACAAAATTATTTTGCTTCAAAATTGGTATGGGAAAATATAATTTTTGATGTTTCTAAAAGAGAATATTATAATGAAATACTTCAAAACTTATCAAACGTTGATACTGATTCATTAGCTGAATTTGTTTGTGAAAATTTAAAAAATGGTTCAGCAGAGTATCATGAATTTCTTTGGACATTAAAAGATGAACAAGTACAATCTTTGAGTAATGTTGAAGATGATGCTATTTTGTCAGAATTTGTTAAACGTAAATTGTCCGTTAATTTTGATCAATTTTATTGTGCTTTGTCAAATGATAAACTAGCTTCTCAAATTATTGATTCAAATTTGATATCCTTATCTGAAGATCAATTAAATCAAATATTAAATGAGATCGTGTCAAACAAAGATTTTAGAATTTTACCAAATTTAATTAATAAATATTTTAATATTGCTAATAAGTTGTTGGATAAAAACATTGAAGATGATGAACTTAATATTCTACTTGCATCATCTATTATTCAACAAAATTTAGAATTACCAACAAATTTTCTCAATTCCGTTATTTCAATAATTGAAAAACAATTACACGAAAATATCGTTTCAAATTGGAATCAAATTTTGGTAATTTTATCATTACAAGAAAATAAACATATTGAACAAGTATTAAAATTAATTGAATTTAAACAAACATTAAATCCAATTTTTATTGATTATATATCTAAAATTCCTCAAGAAAAAGAATTAATTATATGGTTACATAAATCTATTTTATATATTACTAAATCATTTGCTGAATTAAAGGTCTTTTCAACAAATTTTGATGAATTTTTAAAAAATTTTGGAGATTATTTATTAAATTCTAAAATTTGGGATTTAATTCCTTCAAATGTTTTAAATACTCAAATTGAAGTTATATTAAATTCCAATTTTATAAATAATGATGATTCAATTTATTTAAAATATTTGATTAAAATTTTAGTTATTGCACCAAAACGGAAAATTGAATTTCAAAAATTATTTCAAATTTCATTAATTTCATTGAAAAGTTTAAATGATATACCAACATCAAAAAATCAAATTCAAAAAAGATATTTTGAATCATTTATTTTATATATATTATTTAATTTTGATCATTCAAAATTATCAAATTTAAATAATATGGAAATTTTATTAGAAAAATATCAAGGTTTAAATAATATTGATGATCAATTGATTTCTCAAATTTTAAAAATAATGGAATCAAAAATTTCAATCTCATGGATTAAAAAAGTTTCAAATTGGGAATTTAGTGAATTAAAACCAAATAATGAATTATTTGAAATGGATAAATTAATTTTAAAAAAGAATAATGAATTTATTGTTACTTTAAATAAATATATTATTGAAAATAGTTTTAATATTAAAGAATTTTCATTACCTAAATTAAATCAAGGTTTAGAATTATGGGAACAAATTGAATCTTTAGAGTACCACCAAGAGTCATTTGAATTAACTTATAATTATGAATTTTTAATAATGATTATATTAAATAATGAAGAAATTTTAAAATTTAAAAAATTAGAAGATGGAAGTATTGCTAGTGTATTCAATATCAAAAATTTAATAGATACAGGAATTTTACAATTTATAATTTCAAATATATCAAATAATCAATATCAACAAATAACAAATATTATATTAAATAAAATCTTGGTATCATTAGACGATGAATTAAATCAATTTTTTAAAGATAAAAATATTTTTAAAATTTATTTATCAACTATATGTTTTACACTACAACAAGATTATAAAATTTCAAATTTAATTTGGTTTATATATTCTCAATTTATACCAATATTATCAAATCCTGGTCATTTCTTATATGAAAAAACATGTCGTTATATATTATCACATCCAAAATTAAATAAAATTGAAATACCATTATATAATTCAATTTTTAAAGCTATTGATACTGAATTTTATTATAGAGAATTAATTTGGTTAATTGAAAATATAACTGAGGGAATAAATTCCAAGGAAAATTTAAATTTATTAAATTCTTATTTTATTGAATCAATTTTAAATTTATTAAATTCAAAATTTATTAATATAAAATTAAAATCTTCAATTTTAAAATTTATATATAAATTACAATCTATTGATCATGGATCTGATTTATTAATTACTAGATTTGGTATATTATGTGATTTATCATTATTAAGTAATGAATTTGTAGTGAAAGATGATGCAAAAGATAAAGATAAGGAGGACACTATTTTTAATAATCAATTAAAATTAAATTTTAATGAAATTATTTCAAGATTTGGAGTAAGTAATAGTAAAAGAATTGAAAATTGGTCAAATGGTGATTTTAAAGATAATTTAAAAAGATTACATAGTTATATAAGTAATTGAATAATTTGCATTAAAAATTTGTTAAGAAAATTGAATATCTCATTTATTAGTTGTAGCATCATCTTAGAAATACGTCTTAAAGTTATACATTTACATTGTAAATTTACTGATGATTTACCTCATACAGAACTTTATCTCAATTGGTATAGGTTTTAATAATATGCAGGAGATAATAGATAAACATTATTTTTTTAATCTTAATTTTAATCTTTCGTTTCATATTTAAATAACAAGTCCAAACCACCATTCAACACAACAAATTACTACAAAGATGAGTGTATGTTTAAAGCCTAATGAATATCTGAGATTATTGAATTTGATATACTAACAAAAAGTTTTAAAGTTAGGAAGACTAACACATTATGGAATAGATTTAGTTTTAATATCAATAATATTAGCAGGAATTCATAGAAATACAGGATTACAATTTGATATACTGAATTTTAATTCAATAGATATAAGACGTTGGTTTGGTAATTATTTATCATTTGGTGAATTATGTTATGATAAATTAGTTTCAATTTTAAAATTTTCAGGATATTTTAAACAAAAAAATTTAATATTAGATAATTTAAGAACAACAAGTAATAAAATTTTAAAAGATCAAACTGGTAGAGATATTGATGATTATTTACATAAATAGTATTGGTAAATTTGGTGAATAAGGGAGGAATTTGTATTTATTTGAGTAGGTTTTGTAATAAGTTGGAATTTAAATAGGTGATATATCGCCAAATCACAAGGACAAAGGTAATGTACGTAATTAAAGTTCTTAACTTATTTGGTTTGGACCTTTAGAGGGTAGTAAGAGTAGAGAATTAGAGTTCAACTGTTCAGTCATTGTCTAGATTATCAGGGTCCTGCATAAAAATTGTGAATTATAAACCTCTTACTTATTTTGCAACGAATGTAAAACAGATCATTATCATTAGATCCATGAAAAACAATGAATGGTATCGAATCAGTATGATCGAAAATCAAATAATTGTACAACCTAAGAATCAAAGATGCCTGAAATTTTAATTATATATTTTTGTATTGATAAATTTGAAAATATTTCAAAGAAAATTGATTCAAACATTTGTAAAAATTATCAGATATTACTCTTTTTTCACTTAACTTCATGAAACTTTTCAATAAATTTAAAGATGAGATTTTAAAAGAACAAGAAGAAGATGTAAATCAAACTTCCATATATTTGAATTCTTATCCACCAAAGAAATTAGCCCAATTGGGTTATGCAATTTTAAATTTAAATATAACCAATGTTAGAACTGGTATCAGTGGTAAAACAATTTTAGAATTGCAATTAGATAAATCTATTGCCAATGGAGAGATTGATACAAGTACAATGAAGACTGGAGATATTGTCAAGATTGCAAAGATGATTAAGGAAAGTAAGAAGGAGAATAAAAAGAAAAACACGGATGGGGATAAAGATGAAGATGAATTGGCGATTGAAGCAGTTGTTGTAAAAGTTACAAATCAACAAGTTACATTATCAGTGGATGGATCAATCAATGATGACAAAACTTTAGTACTTTATAACAACACAAATGATAATTCAAAGTTGTGGATTGTAAAATTAGCAAATTCAATCACTTATGATAGAATGATTAAAACAATGAATAAAGTAATAAATTTACAAGAATCTGATCAAAATGATATACATAGAATTCTACTAGGTGGGTCGAAATTCAACATAAGAGAAAATACTGATCCAATTGTTGATTTCTTTAACTCCGGTTTAAATCAATCTCAAAAAGATGCTATTAATTTCTCAATTAATCAATCAAATTTCTCAATTATATTCGGACCTCCAGGGACTGGCAAAACAATGACTATAATCGAATTGATTCAGCAATTAACAAAGAAAGGAGAAAAAATTTTAGTTTGTGGTCCGTCAAATATTTCGGTTGATACAATATTGGAAAGATTAGGTAAGAATTATAAATCAAATGAATTAATCAGAATAGGTCATCCCGCTAGATTGTTACCTGTGAATTTACAACATTCACTTGATGTATTATCGAAGTCATATGGTAAAGAAGTGATCCAAGATCTTGAAAAGGATATACAATCTACCCTTAGTAAGATTAAAAAAACAAAAAGGTATGCAGAAAGAAAAGCTTTATATCAAGAATTAAAAATGTTAAAGAAAGAATTGATACAAAGAGAAAGGAAAATCATATATGAATTATTAAATGGTGCGAAAGTTGTATGTTCAACATTACATGGAGCTGGCTCATTAATCTTAAAACAAAGTCAAGTCCAATTTGATACTATTATAATTGATGAAGTCTCACAATCCATGGAACCTCAATGTTGGATTCCTTTGTTGATTAACAATAATTTTAAAAGATTAGTAATTGCAGGTGATAACATGCAACTACCACCAACACTAATGAATAAAGATTCGATATTAGGACAAACTTTATTCGATAGAATTATTAAATTTCCAAATGGTGAAAAAATCAAAAATTTATTAAATATACAATATAGAATGAACAATAGTATAATGAAATTTCCAAGTATGCAATTATATGAAAATAAATTAATTAGTGATGAATCAGTAAAAAATATAACAATATCTGATTTACCAAATGTTGAATCAAGTGATGAAACTAATTTAAAATGTATATGGTATGATACTCAAGGTGGTGATTTTCCAGAACAAAAATTAGATTCAATAGGTGATTCAAAATATAATGAAATGGAAATATTAATAGTAAAAGCTCATGTAAATAAATTATTAGAACTAGGTGTTGAACCAAAAGATATAGGAATTATTGCACCTTATTCAGCACAAGTACAAATTTTAAAAAAACAAATAAATTCAAATAATATTGAAATAAGTACAGTTGATGGTTTTCAAGGTAGAGAAAAAGAAATAATAATATTAACATTAGTTAGATCAAATGATGCAAAAGAAATTGGATTTTTGAATGAAGAAAGAAGATTAAATGTTGCAATAACAAGAGCTAAAAGACAATTATGTGTGATAGGAGATTTACAATTAATGAATGATTCAGGTTTTAAGTTTTTAAAAAATTGGAGTAAATATGTTGAAGATGGTTATGAAGATAATGAAGTTGAACCTTATGAAATTGTTTATCCAAACATTGATGATTATTTAGAAAATTGAATTGAATTAAATTTAAATAAGTAGTTTGCTTAACTTTAAGTCGGTGATATTGAATTGATCTATTTTCAATTCTCAAGCTTTTTTTTGTGAAACTTTGAATCTCGCGATTTGTTTCATCAATTTTTGTTACACAAAGTCACGGTTAAATATAAATGCAACCAATTTTCATTCAATTTGCAACCAATTACTAAAATGAAATCTTAAAAAGTGTTTCGTCAGAATATGATTGGAAGAATTTTTACTGGTACTCATACATGTAATCAAAGCTTTGGAATTACCGATCATTTAGTTCATCATTTTTACGTTGATTACTTTTTTTCAACGAGTTATAAACAAAAAGTTAAAAATATAATAAATTTTTAGATTTTCTTGTCATAAATTATTATTTGTTTACTTAAACCATATTAAATTGGTCCATTTTTTGAAATTAGTATATGATGATAGGTTTTTCCATTCTATGACTTTTGATACTTTTGATACGTTTACGGTGATCATCAATAAGTCGAGATGAAGTTAAAAAATCAACTTTTTTCAATATGCTTATTAATAACGGTAGTTCAAGCTGCTTTAGTCATAGTCACTGAAACAAAATATGTAACTGTTACTAGAAGTGCAATAACTAATGAATATGGTACTTTTTATACTGAGATACTATTGGAAGATCCTACAACTGAAGTGGTATCACCCACAACAGTAGAAGAAAATATAATCCCAACTGCAATAATAACTCAGCCAATTTCCGTGCCGATTGAAGAAGAAAAAGAAGAGGGACAAGGATCAAATCAAGCTATTCAAGTTTCTATTATAACTCAAGTGTATGAAGTTCCTATTCCAGTGCAAGAAGTAAATGAACAGTCTGATTCTCAGCCTCAACCTCAAAACCAGCCCGAAAGCAGCCAATCATTAGTTGCGGATATTAAACAAGAAGTGCAAATTCAACAAGAGGAAAAACCACAATCACAAGTTCAATCACAACCTCAACCTCAACCTCAACCTCAACGTGAAATTCAACAAAAGTCTGAAACACAAAGTCAATCACAACAGAAACAAGTTGAGTCAGCACAGAATGTAGAGGTGGAACCAGAGCAAACTCAACAATCAGGTCCAACATTTTTACAAGAAATTTTAAATATTCATAACCAAAAAAGGTCGTTACATGGAGTTCCAAATTTACAATGGGATGAGACACTTTATAATTATGCACAAAATTATGCTAACAAATATACATGTTCTGGAACTTTAATCCATTCTGGAGGACCATATGGGGAGAATATTGCATTAGGTTACAAAGATGCTACAAGTGTAGTTGAAGCTTGGTATTCTGAGATTAAAGGATATGATTTTAATAAAGCTAATGTTTTCAATCATATGAGTCAAATAATTTGGAAGTCGGCAACAAAATTAGGTTGTGCTAAGAGGTCACCATGTATAAATGGTATGGATTTTTGGATTTGTTCGTATGATAAAGGAAATTTGATTGGAAGTGGAAAGGAAAATATATTACCATTAATTTAAAGTAGTTTTTGAATAAATTAGGTTCATCAATGAGGCTATTGATTTTCATTGATTCCATTATCTTTCTTTCTAACCATAAACATAAATAGTAATTGTTCTAAGTTTCTTGTTTATGCCCTGTTTTTGTCTGTTTAGTTGCAACGAATCATTGATTCACAATCGAAGAAAGCAAGAACCTTAGGTTTGCATAAACCAAATATTCTCTTTGCAAATTTATCTCTCTTCTTTTTACTTAGATCTACCTAACTATTCTAGGAAACTTTCAACATCAATTGCCCCCAACCATTTAAATTGGGGGAGATTTTAAAAGTTCAAAATGCGTGCGGCGATCCCCGACTTCGTACAACAACAATCAAGCAGCTCGAAATAATGGCTTGTGTTAAATTAATGCAATAAACATTTATCTATTAGGTTTAATACCACATGAGTTCTAGTGAAGGATAACAGGAACTGCCTAATTTTTGATGGTGATAAAAAGATGTAACACAAAACTGTAGATTCAGATATAATAAAATCACACAAAAATTAAATTAAATTAAAGATCTCGTAATTACCTATAAATATCTTGAACTTTCCCCCACGAAATCAATCATGTTCTCAAGATCAACATCCAACACGAACAAATGTCATCGTTATTCTCATTAGATGGTCAAGTTGCATTAATAACCGGTGCAACTTCTGGAATTGGACTAGGCTATGCGGAAGGATTAGCTTCTGCAAATATAAAACAATTGATATTGACGTATAGATCAGAACAAAATTTTGAAGATGCTAAAACAGCTATTTTGAAACTCAATGAGAACGTAAAAATTGATGGGATCAAAGTTGATTTTTTGAATGAAAATGAAGATGAATTAGTCGAAAAGATTTATGAACAAGGCTACAAACTTAGTACAACTGGAGTTATAGATATATTAATTAATAATGCAGGTATAACAGAAAGATATAATTTTGAAAGTTTCCCACAACAAAAATTTGATGATGTATTGAGAATTGATTTAGATATTCCAATAAAATTAACTCAAAAGTTTGGAACTAGGATGTTGGAGCTTAAAACTAAAGGTAAAATTGTTTTCACAGCTTCATTATTATCATTTCAAGGTGGTATGAAATCTACACCATACGCAGTAGCAAAAGGAGGTTTAAAACAATTTACACAAGCAGTAAGTAATGAATGGTCTAGTCGAGGTATAAGAGTGAACTGTATTGCTCCTGGTTATGTAGAAACTAAATTGACTTCAACTATGGAGCAACAAAATAAAGATCTAGTTGATAAAAGAATTCCTATGGGAAGATGGGCACAACCGGGAGATTTTAGAGGACCAATAGTGTTTTTATGTAGTGATGCTTCTAGCTATGTTACTGGAGAAACATTAGTTGTGGATGGTGGTTGGTTGGGTCGTTAAAAGTAATAAAATGAGAGAAAACTTTTCAATTTTGATGCAAATCTAATCTATATTACACACCGCCTGCTTCTCTATACCATCTTATACCTCTATCAAAGCTTATTACACATATTCCCTCATTTGAATCACCACCCAAACCTCCTCTTACACCCTTACCAATAAATTTTACACCACTAGGTATGCTTTCATCTTGTTCTTCAACAACATCTTCTTTCCCATGATCTAAATCAGTTATAGATATATTCAAAGTTGCTTCTCTTTCAAAGGTATCTAAATTCCATACTCTAACACATTTATCAAATCCACAACTTACTAAATTTTTACCTTCTGAATCAAAATCAATTCCTAATACCCAACCTTGATGAGCAAAACCACCTATTACATTCGTAGCGGCAGAATGTGAAGGTGTCGTTAAACTACCAACATTTTCACCATGTTGCACATCATACAATGTTATTGAACCTGAAGATTGATTGTCTCTTCCAACAGCTAAAAGAGTTCCACCTGGTGAAAACTTCAAAACACGTGGAATTGATGTTGATGAGCCGGACGTGGATCTACTTATGACCAAATCCGTTGATTTGAAAGAATATATTAATTTTAGATTTTCAAAATCATATAAGTAAACATCTCCATTTACATAACCTATGGCACATTTTTTATTGTCTGTCTGATTTATAGCTAGGGAAATTGCAAATGATTGTGATTGTGATTGTGTTGAGGTGATTGTAGATGATTTTGAAGTAGATGAATTTAAATCACCATGTTTTTCAAATGATATAGATATCTCATTTTCTGCAAGCGGTTCAATTTTTAATTTGTAAACTTCTGTTATAGAATTCATTTTGTTTACTAAAAAATAATCTTGTTTTGAAGCTGGATCTTTGTAAAAGCCAGGTACCCAAGTCTTACTCACTTTTAATCCTTCATAATCCTTTATAGCAGATACATCATCATTTAAGAAATATTTAAATACCAATTCCCCATTGAAACAAGATATAGCTATCAAAGTTATCTTTATAGATGAGCTAGGTAATTTGTTTTCATATATACTAAAGTGATGAATCCCACTTTTATTTATAAATATTGAAGTTACATGATCTTTTGGTACATGTATTTCATCTTGTTTATTATCCCAAAAATTTATATAACCATCACTTGATACTGTTATTGTGTGTTTATTTGTGATCTCTACCCCAGTTATATCTGATTTATGAGCTTGGGTTGTTGATACTGTTGATATATATTGTTTACCCATTATTTTATATTACTTGCAATTATCTTAATGTTAGTATTAAGTAGAAACCAAAATTGTTTCAAGGAAAAAAAAATTATTAGGAAGTTACAACTTAATAGATCAAGAATTATTGACCACTTCAAATTCAATAATCAATCCAAAGTTTAATTTGATAAGTCACTTTAAACTTCAAAATGTCAGATGTGCTAATCTCACTGATATCAATACAATCGATTTTTCAACATCGTTCATCAATTGAATCATCCCACTTTTTCAGTCCAAATTTATTTGTACCAACTTCACAAATAGTTGAACCAAATAAATTAATATTGAGAAACGACTCAGAAATATTCTTTGCCATTGATAATTTGGTAAGATGTTGTATAATAAATCCGATTACTACAAATTATAAATTACTAAAAACTTTACAACCTAATTTTGAAATTCTAAGCTTGGAATTAAATGAACTGGGTAATTATTTAGCTTTAATTGGTGAATCAAAAGTTGAGATTATTGTTTTACCTCCAAGATTAAATACAAAACAAAAATCAATACATGTCGAAAACACAAGGAATTATAAAATTGTGTTGCAAAAGGGTAAAATTAAGAAAATGATTTGGCAACCCATTATAGCTAGTGATTCTATGTTGGTAATATTAACTGATCAGAATGAAATTTTTGGTTATGATCTTAAGAAGTCAACCACTATACCAACGATTAAAATTCAAGCTAAAGAAAATTTAAATTCAATTACATTTGGATCAAGGAGTAAAATTAGTGAAGGGTTGAAATTATATGCTGCAACTGATGAGACAATTTTAAGATATGATTTTTTTACTGAAACTACGACGATTGCCGTCTCGGAAAATGCATTGGATGTTGCTATAGAGGATTCCAAATTAATCATTGAATTGATTGAGGAAGAATTTGAAGACCAACCAAATTCATCATTACTTCGACAAGCACAAGATCAATTATCTTATTATAAACTCCTACAATTGAATGAATTGCTGAAAAATTTTAGAGAAGTAAGATCTGTATATTCCCAAAATCCCATCGAATTATTTACTATAAGAATGAAGAACTTAGTACCCAAGCATGAACCAGAAATCGTTGCCAGTATTGGTGCTGATGATATAATTTCATTTGGAGATAATGAACAAATTTCTTTAATTGCAACTATACAAAATAATACTATTTCTTACTTCACAAAAGTTTTGGATACAAATTTCATCAAAATTAAGAAAGTACCTGATCATTACCAGAAACCGAAAAGAGGATTTGGATTTGTTGAAGTACAAGATGATATAAATGTGGAATTTGACTTTTATAAAAAAAATTTATCCGACTTAGATTTTATTCAATCGGAAATATTACCAGTTGAAGGATCAGGATACTTGAAAGCTGTAAATCATCGAGATGATAAATTTGTAGCTGTGATTGATTCAAATTTATTAACTATAAATTGTGAGTGGGTAAATGATTTAGTTGTCGACTTAATTAATAACAACAAGGACTGTTTGTCCACCATAAATCCAATCTACGACTTGATATCGAAAGGTAAAGACTTACAAGGATTTGCATTTATTTCTCAATTTGATAAAGAAGTTGCAATAGTCGTCAGAGACAGCTTAGAAATAGTCGACATAAATAAGGACGAAGAGGTGCATCATGAATCAACAAACAAAGGTGAGTTATTAATTGAAGATAAACCACACGCACCATCATTAAATTTGACAGAGGGACAACCATTTGCTGAAATTGAAACTAATTTGAAAAATTTGAAAAACTCAATTCTTAAAAGACCTCAAGGAGATTTGTCTCCATCAGTTGAAAATTTGGCAAAAATCAATGAAATTTCGATTAAAACCAATAAAGTTATTACAAATTGTTCAGTTTATGCAATAAAATTGCAATCGAGAATGATTTTACAATTAAGGTCACTTACTTTACAAGCCGAAACTTTAAAAAGTTTGTCTACCGCAGAAAAACCATACAATGAAAAAACCAGTAAGAGGATTTCCGATATAAAGCTAAAACAAGATAAGTTACAAGTTAAATTAAAAAACATTCAAAATAAGATAAATGATGAATTTTTTAAGATAAAAGATATTCCATTCTCAAATGATGAAAAGAAATATTTTGATGAAATTAATAAATGTAATACATTAAGTTTTGAACTTGTCAAAAAATTAGATGATTATAGGAGTCAACTTGATGAATTAAAAAAGGAGAAACATGAAAAAAAGAAAAAAGAAGCTGCTGACATTGAAGGTGAAGAAGCCTCCACATTGAATGATTTACGAACTTATCAAAAAGTTAAAAAATTAAAAAATTGGTTAAATCATCAAGATTCTGAAATTCATGAATTGATGGATAAGGTCAAAATCTATTGAATTGTTCAAATTGGTAAAACCGAATTAAAATTCACCTGCTTACGATCAGTTGCCAAAAGAATTTGGTCGGTAGTTTGCTGTAAAACACGACGACCGAACCACGAATAAATATGTAGAAGTATTTTAATATCAAAGCGTCCTCATTTAAGGGGTCCATTCTATAAGTACTTTAATAGCTTTATTTCTCTTAGTCTCAATTCACAAGTCTGTTTAAACACCTCATGGAGACATTAGTCATGACTGAACTGTTACCACTTTACACACATTACGTGTAGGTAACCTTGAAAAGCACACATATGATGAAACTAATGAGTATGGGTCAGTACAGTCGTAGGATGTTGCGAATGGAGTACTGATTGTTGTAAAATGATTCTTACAGCATCTTAAACTATGGTTATCAAGATTTGTTTACTGAGTAAATTTGTATTTTTTTTTTATCAACAAAATTACAACAAGATAGACAATAATAAAGCTAGAGCTCAATCAATCGACCAAACTCAAACATCCAATCTAGCTGACAGATATAACTCACTATGACGGATATAGTACAACCTTCATCTAGCACCACTCCAAATGATTATATACTAAGCTTATCCCAATCGCAGATAGATCATGATCAAAAAATAGGTATAAAAGCCATTAGATTGTTCCTACAAAGTAAAACTTCATATGACGTATTACCAGTTAGTTATAGATTGATAGTTTTGGATACATCATTGTTAGTCAAAAAATCGTTAAACATTTTACTTCAGAACAATATAGTTTCAGCTCCCTTATGGAATAATAAGACTTCAAGGTTTGCTGGATTATTAACTTCCAGTGATTTCATTAATGTGATTCAATATTATTTTCAATTTCCTGAAAAATTTGAATTTGTTGATCAATTAACTTTGGACGGATTAAGAGACATTGAAAAATCAATTGGAGTAGATCAAATTGAAACAGCATCAATTCATCCTTTTAAATCATTATACGAAGCTTGTGTAAAGATGTTACAGTCTAAAGCTAGAAGAATACCATTAGTTGATACAAATGAAAATGAAGCTCGTGATATTGTAGTAAGTGTTTTAACTCAATATCGTATATTAAAATTCGTTGCATTAAATTGTAAAGAAACCAAAATGTTATTAAAATATATTAAAGATACAGATTTGAATAAACAAAAAAATTTATCAACCTGTACGATGAATACACCAGTGATAGAAGTGATTCATCAATTAACATTGAACTCCATATCATCAATCCCCATTGTAGATGAAGAAGGGAAATTAATAAATGTTTATGAGGCATTTGATGTTTTGACCTTAGTTAAAAATGGAATGTATACAGACCTAGATTTATCTGTTGGTGATGCTTTACTAAGAAGATCAGAAGATTTTGAAGGTGTCCACACCTGTACTTTGAATGATAGATTAAGTACTATCATGGATACAATTAGAAAATCCAGATTGCATCGTTTATTTGTCGTTGATGATGAAGGAAAATTAATTAATGTCATTACCTTGAGTGATATATTGAATTATATATTGTTTGGTGAAGATTGAACGCATGGAATGCCTCCAATAAATTTAATCAATTAAGGGGTCGGCGAAGTAGTACAAATTGTATTACAGTCGGCTGGATCAATTAATTTAGCATCTCGCCAGTTGACTGGGGACTTGCAAAAGAAGTCGAGCTAACGTCACGTCAGAGTCAAGGTATCCGCTGGAGTTATTGTATAATTAATAGTGTTCACTTCTAAATCTCTACTTAAACATATAGATCAAAATTTTTTAAATACCTAATGATGCAAAAAGTCATGTTTCTATTTCTTTGCTAGCCGGATTCATCTGTTTGATGTTATTAATCACAGCTTCGATTTGTAAAGTAATATCTATCTTGTCCAATTCCCAAGTTCCAATTTTCTCTTTATTTTGATCAATAAATTTTAAATTATGCAATAACAGTTGTTCTAAATTCGAAGCATGTTCATGATTGTTCTCCAATAATTTATCTTCTAAAGTTAAATTATTGATATCTTCTATATCTTCTGTTTTGATACCAAATTCATCACTGGTAGTGTTTCCGAATATTCCATTATTTATTTCATCCCAATCTTGATCTAATTGATCTTGCTTCATATCCTTCAATTGTAAGTATTGTTTGAAAATTTTTCTTTTGCTTATTGTTGCGTCAATTTGTGAATTCAATTGTTGCATGAATAGTGTTCGGTTGACATTCTTGATGTTGATGTTCAATTTGACTAAATCTTCATTGGTGAACTTTAATCTCATAAATGTCAAAAATTTCTCAAGCCATAAGATAAGTTTTAAAAAAATGTGTTGATCATCATTGACATAAACATCGTGCAAAAAATTCCACAAAATTTCCTCGTGTTGATCTAGTACTGACTTGATAGAATCATAGATTTCTAAAGGATTCATAAAATATTGGTCTTCTCTTATGGTTGACAACGTCTTTAACAAATCATCTATTAAATCTTGGAAAGCCGAAAAGGCTAAATGAATATTACTTTTTGCAAAAATTCTCATTAACGGATTGTAAAAAATTTGTAGAATGGATTTTAACAATCTCGTTAATTGAGGTTCTTGCCATAGTTCTTTGAAAATTTGTTTGTCTTTTCTACGAACCTGAATCAACCAATATTGCTTTAGGTTCAGATATAAAGAAGTATTTGATTTTTCATTGTCATTGAAGGATTTTATGATATTGGATAAATTTGAGTCAGGCAACGGCAGGATCTTAGAAGTGGATAATATTGTAATTACTAGGTCCTGATGCTTTTCGATTGCCTCTTCTTTTAAATCAATGATTTCATCAGCTGTTAACTCTGTATAATTTTCAATCCTCTCCATGTATAACTCATAGCCATTTAGCTTCCCTTTTAACAACTCAACTTCTTTCAGAAATTCATTCAAGTCTTCATTGAGAAGCATGATAAAAATCAATGAGCATAAATTCCTTGCACCTGTCTTTTTAGATTCCTCCGATAAGTCTCTATTCCAACTTGGCAACCTTGGAATATTTACGAATAGCAAATCTACTATTCTTGAAACCATTTTCATTGGGTTTGTAAATCGCAAAATTCCATAAATCAAACTGTAGGGAAACAATCTGTGAAACCTCTTACATTTTTGAAAAATTTCATTTGAGTTATCTTGACCTAAAAAAATTTGGTATACTGTTGCTGCAATCTCTAACTTACACCAATCATTGAAAGTTTGTAGTAAAGGTGAAGCATCTTTTATACTTTCTATGCTACCTATTTCTTCGAATATTTTAGTGATAGTGTTTGGGTTTTTAATCAATTGCAATTTAAAATTTTCAAAATTATCACTTAGTTTTACCATGAGTTTAGCTGTTTGATCTTGGAATTCGATTTGAGTTTGTAATATGATTCGCTCATGATTTATGCGTTCTTCGTAATCCACAATGTCTGATTCCGTCAACTCAGTCTTATTACTCAGTATGAAATTTAGAAACTTTTGAGTATTTACAATTTCTTTATGCTTAATCAATAATCTTAAATAACCTCTTAAAGCTAATCTTAGTTTTTCTCGACTCAACAAGCCAGATCTTGCGTCCATATCTAGATCCAGATCTTCATCATATCCTATATCATTTTTATCCTTATGAGGTAATGAAGGTAATTTTGTGGACATAACCCCAGGTAATTCAACGTTCAAATCGTTTTCCAATTTTTTGAACTGATCATAATATTTTAAAATAAAATAATTTTCATGTCCGGCTTCCAATTTTCTAACTATTTGTATGATGAATTCATAATGATGATTTCTCTGTTTAAAAAACCATGATTTTTCTTCATAGCTCAATTTTCTAACTGCCACAATATTAATATAAAAGCCATTTTCAAATTTCATTTTGTCAAACTCATTCATTCCAATTATTGTAGGTCTTTCTTTTTTGTGAACATCAAATTTGTCCAATTTAGCTGTATCAGAAGCCTTTAAATGGGATTCATTTAAATACATCATTTCATTACTAGTAATTAGTACAGTATTATAAAACACCAATAAACCAGACAACAATTTTTTGTTACTTTTCTTTCTTTTGGAGTTTGTTTTCCTTTCTTCAGAATCACTTATGTCTTTTGAATTGAATGTTTCAACAAATGGTTGTAAAACATCTTGCCAAAAATGTTGTTGTTCTTTTGATGAATTATTTGTGACGAATGGAAATGTAGCTATAAATTCTTGAAAAAAAAATGATAGTAACGGTAATTCTCTTTGATTATCACTCAGTTTAAAAGGTGGTCCAAGATATTGACAACATTCTGGATCATTTAGTCTATGTAATTCTTTTGTTAATTGATTTTCTATTAAGTATTTTTTTAAAAAATGAGATTGAGTTGGGGTGAATTGTAGTAAATCTATATCACCATAGTCATCGTTCTCACCACTACCATCATCGTTTGAGGATATCATTTGCTTATATGATTTGTGTTAAGATGTGGAGAAAAGTTGGTAGTCTGAAGGATTCTAAAATTGCTGCAAATAATCTTAATTCTTTACGTTCAAATACGTGTTTATTAAAGAATACAGACGAAATTAATTTCACTTTTATTGACAACTTCTAGTTAAATCAATCAAGACTTAATCAGATACATGTTGAGCCTTACGAATGTATATGATTGTATCTTTAACTGAGATAAAATGAGACATTGAGTGCTTTGGTAAGTTCTTAATAATCCTAACGAATTATGTGTATGATCACCTGACTGATTTTTATTTTTGTGTTATGAAGTTTCCAGATTGCATCTCATTCATTTTTATCAATAAAGAAAATTTATTTCTACACCAACAAATTCCCAAAACTTTCGACCGAAAACATTCACGTAAGACATCTGAAAAGACATATATAACAATGGGAACTCAAAAGAAGGAAAAGCAAAGGAGAGTCAAACAAAATGATACAAGAGATGGAAATTTGCGAGTGAAGGGTGAAAATTTCTATCGTGATGCTAAAAAGATTAAACATTTAAATATGTATAAACAAGGAAGAGCAATCAGAAATGCTAAAGGTGATATAATAAAAGCAGCAGATCTACAGAGTACTGATGCTCCGATAGCAAGAGTGGACCCCAACAGAAGATGGTTTGGAAATACAAGAGTTATTGCTCAAGATGCTTTGAGTCATTTCCGAGAAGCTATGGGTGATAAAAAGGATAATTCATATCAAGTTTTATTGAAGAGAAATAAATTACCAATGTCCTTGTTGAATGAAAAAGATCAAACGGAAAGCCCTACTGCAAAAATCGTGGAAACAGAATCATACCAATCAACGTTTGGACCAAAACAACAACGTAAAAAACCAAGAGTCGCAGCATCGTCATTGGAAGACTTGATGTCTAATGCTGAACAAGATTCCACGTCATATACTGAAAAACAAGAATTAGATGCCACATTGGGTTTGATGGGTGGATCAATTTTGGATAAAGATGATTTTACACAAGAAGCAAAAGAAGCCATCTTCCATAAGGGACAAAGTAAAAGAATATGGAACGAATTATATAAAGTCATTGACTCCAGTGATGTTGTGATACATGTGCTAGATGCAAGAGATCCCTTAGGAACAAGATGTGAGAGTGTGGAGAAATATATTAAAGAAGAATGTTCACATAAACATTTAATTTATGTTTTGAATAAATGTGATCTAGTCCCAACATGGGTAGCGGTATGTATACTGAACATTTATTTGATTATAATTCAGGATGAGGGTATAAAAGTATTCCAAAGCATTTAGTCAGGGTGATTATTGCAGATTTCATATCTATTTTTACTTACATTATTGCCTGTTACGTCTTTGGAAGATCAATTACATGACTCATTCAATTATTGGATATATTTAGTCTCGTTTTGAAACTATAACAATTCAATTTCGTTGGTAGTCTTTACCAACTATTTGGAGTCATGTATATGGAATCTTTTTGAGTTGAAGTTAGTTGTGTTTCTTTTGAAATATTAAATTTGCCATTAACTTCGTAGTATAGAGTCCAACATTCTTATTCATGATTACAATTTACACAACATTCCTGAAAATAAATTGTTTTTGAAGATATCTTGTACTAACTGTAAAAAAAATAGGCTGCATGGGTAAAACATTTATCAAAATCATATCCAACCTTAGCATTTCATGCATCAATAACGAATTCATTTGGTAAAGGTTCACTAATTCAACTTCTTCGACAATTTTCTACATTACATTCGGATAGGAAACAAATCTCGGTAGGTTTTATAGGGTATCCGAATACAGGAAAATCTTCGATAATAAATACCTTGAGGAAGAAAAAAGTTTGTACTGTTGCACCTATTCCAGGAGAAACGAAAGTTTGGCAATACATTACGTTAATGAAACGCATATTTTTAATAGACTGTCCTGGTATTGTGCCTCCATCATCGAAAGATTCAGAATCGGACATTTTGTTCAGAGGAGTAGTGAGGGTCGAGCATGTGTCAAACCCAGAACAATATATACCTGCTATGCTTCAAAAATGTGAACGAAAGCATTTAGAAAGAACATATGAAGTTAAAGGATGGAGTAAATTTGAAGAAGAACCAGAGTTATTAGAGCAAGCAAGTATTGAATTTATCGAATTGATTGCAAGAAAACAAGGAAGATTATTGAAAGGAGGAGAACCAGATGAAAGTGGAGTCGCTAAACAAATTTTGAATGATTTTAATAGAGGGAAAATACCGTGGTTTGTCCCACCACCTATTGATGAAGAAGTAAGAACTGGCGAGGATAAAAAAGCTCGATATAAAAGGAAAAGAGAATCTACGTCGAAAGATGACCCTGTAGATGAAGCGGAAGAGCAAGTGGAAGATAAAGGCATTCAAGCATCAAAAAGAGCCAAAGTAGATGAGTAATAATACATTTCTTCTAGACAAAATACAAACGTAGAAATTACATATTTTAATATAATATTGCATTACAGTACGGACTATTGTCTATATTCTTCCAAAATGTACCAAACCAGATTTTGCAGTGCTTGGAGTAGATGGAGCAGCGATACCATTATTTATAGGATGACTCAAATTATGAATATTGACGTTTGAATTTGATGAATCTTCTGATGTCTCATTGAATGAACCTAAACCCCATATGTACCCCTTGTATTTCAACAATTCATTCGAATCATAATTTGATCGTTTCAATAACTCTTTAAAACATTCCATTGACAAGTATGCGTGTAATGTGGATGTCAACAGTTGCTGTTGTTGAGATTGACTGCTGTTACTCGAATTTGTAGAAGCTCCATTAAATAATTGACGGATGTTTGGAGATATGGGCAACAATTGTAATTCTTCAGCTAAATACTCAATTGATGGTTTATTTGATCGATTTTGTTGATCATCACTTAATATTTGATTGCTAACATATTTTAAGTCGAAAAAATTGGGAAAATACAAATTACACCATGTATAGAAATCATATTCATCAACGGGTAAACTATCATTCAATAACAAGCTTAGTAAGTAACCCAAATCATAACCTGAATGGAACGAAATCCAATTGATCGAATCTGTTAATAGTAACCCACTGTCTATAAATAACTCTGCAAACTCAAAATGCTTTATACCTTGTGACATATGTAGTGAAAAATTTATGGATTGTTGTGATAACATGGCTAAATGTTCTTCATTATACATCTCTTTCATTAAATCATAACTAAAATTAAATTGCCAAATGATGGAATTACTGACTTGATTATTATTCGATACTTTTATAAAACATATGCTAAACTGAATTAAATTTAATAAATCAGAATTACATCTTATAGTTTGAAAGTGGTAATCAGTATTTGTTTTGAATGATCCAATAGCACGAGCTACTATTCCAGGAGTTTCTTGATGGATGGACGCATATATTATAGAATTCTTATCATCAATAAATTTTCGTATGTTATTGAATTCGTATTCTAAATTTGATGCCCAGACTTCTTTAATCACAGGAGATGATCTTAATGTTTGCGACTGTTGTGACACTTGTTGTTGTTGTTGCTGTTGCTGTTGTTGCTGTTGTTGTTGTTGCTGTAATTGCTGAAGTTGTAATTGTTGTAATACAGGGTTGGAACTTAAACTTTGGGTATTATTATTAGATTGAGAGTTATTTCCGTTATTCAAAGCAGCCAATAACGGATTTGTTATATGTTGATGTTGTGATAAAGGAGTTCCAATTTGCTGAGCTTGTTGTTGTTGTTGCTGCTGTTGCTGTTGCAACTGCTGACTTAGTAATTGTTGTCTTTGAAGTTGTTGTTGTAATTGTAATTGCGTGATTTGAGGTGACAGGCTTTGTTGTTGTTGGTTTTGCAGTTGCTGTTGGTGCTGTTGCAAGAACTGCAAATGAGGATTCACATTCATCTTGACTTATACCAATTAAGTACTTAGTTGTTGAATAATTCGAGATATTCCATAAATTGAAGTTGAGCTTGTATGAAACTTTTCAGGTTTTTTTTTTTACGAACCAAGTTTCACATATCGAGACTATAGCCCACCATAGATCTTTTACAAATAATTACTTACATTTTAATAGTCTCCACGTTGGAACTCAGTTCAAACCACACTATTTTTGACTCATTCACATAACAGATACATAACTCATGAACTTCCTAAGAAAACGAAGACCTTCCAATTCTTCTGATGATGACGAGGATCAATCGAACCTATCCCAAATTAAGAAATCAAGAAAACCACCAAACACAGCATTTCGTCAACAAAGATTACAAGCTTGGCAACCCATATTAACTCCAAGATCAGTGATTCCATTTCTATTTTTACTAGCTGTAATATTTGCACCTTTGGGGATAGCTATAATATACACTACATATAATGTTCAAGAACTAAATATAGATTATTCCAAATGTCACCTACAATCAGATAAATTCGAATCAATACCTGACAAATATACTGGATTCCATTTCAAGAGCAATACTAAACCTGATTTTAAATGGAGAGTTGAAAACTTAACTGCAACAGATTATGATTATCAAAAGTGCATAATTCAATTTAATATGCCTGATTTAAAGGCACCACTATACTTATATTACAAATTAACAAATTTTTATCAAAATCATAGAAAATTTGTGGAAAGTTATGATTTGGATCAATTAGGCGGTAAGGATTTATCAAGTGATTCAGTTACTGATAATTGTAAACCTTTGAAACATAGAGAATATAATGGAGAACAAAGATTAATTTATCCTTGTGGATTGATTGCAAATTCATATTTTAACGATACAATAAGCTCCCCTGTTTTGTTGAACGCAAGGAACGGTAATGATAATGAAACTTATGAATTTACGGATAAGGACATTTCGTGGTCTTCTGATAGAAATCATAAATTTAAAATGACGACATATAATCCAGAAGATGTTGTACCTCCGCCAAACTGGGATAGAATGTTTCCTCAAGGTTACAATGAATCAAATATGCCTAATGTGCAAAAATGGGAACATTTACAAAATTGGATGAGAACCGCTGCATTACCTAATTTCTATAAATTGTATGGTCAGAACACAACTCAAACCTTATCTTCTGGAACTTACGAAATTAGTATAGATCTAAATTACCCAGTTGAAATATTCGGAGGTACAAAAAGTATAGTTATCACAAACAATAATGTTTTTGGAGGTAGAAATGTGAGTTTGGGTGTCATTTATATGATCGTTGCTGTCATATCTTTAGTTTTGGGCTTAGGATTCTTGTTACAATTTTTGATTAAACCTAGAAAGATTGGTGATCATAATTATCTACAAGAGGGTGAAATCATCAATTATCGAGATCAACTATGAGATCAATACAAATAGACATGCAATTTTCATTTCATTTCCTGTACTTTCTATACATATCATTTTTTATGCTTTTTGGCAATTCTTCTCAATGCTCTTTGTTCATTCTTCATAACACCATCCACCATTTTATATTTACCTTTTATACCTTTTGGTCTTCCACTTAATCCTCTATTAGAACCTCTAGCAACCACAACTGTCATTTTCTTCCTTTGTTTGTCCTTACCTGAATTCTTAGCCTTTGCCATCAATTTGGAAATTTCAGATGCTTTATCATATTCAGATTTAGATGAATCTTCATTTATTATATCTGATTTCTTCTTTAATTTTTCTAATCTCTTTAAAGCTCTCATCTTTTTACGACCTTTTGCTTCTAAGACTTTTTTGATTGGTCTAGCATTTAATTGCTTCATTTTCTCTTTTATAGCTAAACTTGCCTCTTTAGTTATTGGTTTAATTAATTTACTGTGTCTTTTTTCATCATCTAAAAACCATTCTGGCAAATTTTCTTTATCTCGAAACGAGTATCTATTTATTCCTTCTTCAATTAAATCCTTTTTAGACATTTGACCTAATGCAACTTGATGTGCTAGCGTCATAGCTTCAACAGTTGTAAGATCAACATTGTCTTGATTTGATTTTACGCGGGAGCTTTCATCTTCGCTCTCCAAATCTTCATCCTCATCATAATCTCGAGAGTTGTCGTTTTTAACAATCTCGAAATCAGATTCGTCTGACTCCATTTCGACCTCTTCAGATTTTGATGTTGGTTGTTGTAAGTATTGTTTTTGTTGTTGCTGTTGTTGTTGTTGAAGTCTTAATTCTTTAGGTTTAGACTCTTCGATTAATTCTTCATCACCAAGTTCTTTGAAAATAGAATCCGAATTAAAGAAAGATCTAGCTGATTTGGTCAAGGTCCCATTTTGATTACCTTGAGCGATCAATTTGATATGCTCATCGTCATCTTCATCTGAAGAACTCTCATCATCTCCATCAACCATGTCATCATCACCATCACTATTTGAATTTTCTACATCTTCTATTCCGTCCCATGCTTCTTGATCATCACCTCTGTTTAATTTTGCTTTATATTTTGCATCTTTCTCAGCTCGTCTATTCTGATATTGTTCATACATGTCATCTAATTGTGCTTCTAATCCATCTAGTTCATCGTCATCGCTTCCACTTACAACATCTTCGTCAATATGAATTTCCGTATCCTTTGCAATATCTTCATCATTGAAAACCAATGCTTTTTTACCAGCAGCCAATTTATTCAATTTTCCTGATTTTTCCGCCGTTTTTAAATTAAATAAAGAATCAGCACCAATTTGTGCTGCATCTATACCAATATTCATATCGGTAACCATTTGCATTTGATTTCTAATAATTTCCTTTTGCTTTAGTTCATTAGCTGTCTTTTTAAGTCTTTTCTGTTTTTGTTTTTGTTTATCCAACATTGAATTCAATTCTTTATCGATTTTTTGTTCTTCTGTTAGTTCCTCAACTTCAATTTCCGGTTTTTCTTCTTCTTTATCAATACCTAATAGATCTCTTGCTTGTTTCCTAAATCTTAAAATTTGTTTGAATTCCTTTTTACCTAAAACTTTCAAATCTTTCAAACATTCCAGAAGTTCTTCATTATATGTTTTCAACTTTTTAATTATTTTCCATTCATGATCTGTTTCGTCTATGTCAAATTTATTTAATTGGCCAAGTTGATTTATTGGGTCTTCTTCTTTTATAAATTGCATTATTGGCATGGTGTGAAATAACGTGTAGTCACCTTCCTCATAACCTTGTCTTTGTCTTCTTTTCCTTTCTGGATTGAACACTTTTTCTTCATTATTTACATTACCTTTGACATCGTTTAATTCTTCAAATACTTCTTTCGGATCCAATAGCCTTGGATCTAATTTTTTTGGAGCTTTGAATCCTTTACAAACAACAAAAATTTCTGCTGATACATTTCTAGAACTTGGAGGTTTAGTGGCTTCAACTTTATCAAATAACTGTTGAAAAACCCACATTAAATTGTTATAATCTCTAGATCTAAATATTTTTGTAACGAAAGTTCCACCCACCACTAAGTTTTCAACAGCTAATTTTAAAGCTTGCAAAGTTAATTGTGATTGAGTGAAAGCATCTTGTACCCATCCCAAACCAACGTTCGGTGCACCATCGTGTAATACAGTATCTGCTTTCCATGTTTTCATGTGACCCCTAAGCTTACTCCTACAATCCTCAGTGGTGATATCACTTTGAAAAGTTATACAATTAGGTAAAGGTTTTATTGGTACAATATCAACTCCTATAATTAATGAGTTTATAGGACATAACTGAGAAGCAACTTGACACCAAGAACCTGGAGCTGCACAAAGATCTATTACTACTTTTGATTTTTCTAAAAAATGACCAAATTTTTCATTTATTTGAATGATTTTAAATGATGAACGGGCTCTATATCCTTTTTCTTTTGCAAGATAATAATACCTATCTAAACGCCCTTTCGAGTTTTTTTTCTGAGTCTTACCCATTCTTTATTTGTTTGTAGCCGTAAGGAATGATATAATGAGAAGAGGTTGTCAATTTAAGAGATGGAGTAGAGTAAATAAATTATTTTGTTTGAGATGCGGCTTGTTTTAATTTATTTGTCGCAGTTTAATGCTAATGTCTCATATGACTAAAACAGACATTACATTGAATTTTTATTTACCTAATGATATCATAGACTCCAAGATTTCATTTCTTCAACATTGAAATTATAATCATCTAGGAATCCAACATCAACATTGTTAATGTTCGACTCGTTACATAACACACATTCCTTGCAAAGCATTTCGTCAATCTGATTTTTAAGATCAACCTGTTGTTGATGCTCGTTATTATTGGTTGTTTCTTCAGTAGGAGATTTTTTATTCAATTTTAAAAATTGTTGATACACTTTTTTGAAATTATAATTACCTTTTGACTTAAAATAGTAACGGATTAAACATTCTTTGTGAAATCCATGACCACAATTTTTGAAAAAGATTAGGTTCTTGGTGATCAATAAATTTTTACATAATTGACAAGATGATCCTGGTGAAATTGTTATTGAAGATTCATAATCTTTAGTGTTTTCTTTCGAAACTTCCCTCTTCAAATTGGTCAACAATCCATAATTATCTTGAATTCTTAAATTAATCTCCTGTAAATTTCTTTTATAGTCGTTCAAGGAGTTAATGATTTCATCTTTAAATTCGTTTATCATTACAGTTTCTGGGAATAAAGGTAACAAATCTTTCAAACTCAATGGTGAGTTACTCAAGATATAATTTAACAGTGAATTTAGTTTATTCTTTGAATTATCCAAATTTTCAATCCCAATTTTTTCACCCAGGCATATATTATTTATCATATATTTTGAGAAATTTAACCATAACTTCCTACGTATGTTGTAGCTATCCTTCTCCAACTTTATGAAATGATCATTTTCTACTTCTTCTTCGTGATTCTCCTTGGCCTCATCTATTATCTCTTCGTACTTGTTCAACACAATTTCTCCCATTTCAACCGAGTTATTTTTTAAAGCATGATCTAAGGCTTGTTCGAATAAACCCATATCTATAAATATCAAAATCGCTGGATGTAATTTCTTGTTGAGTATACATAATCTTAATATAAAATTTTGATCGTAAGATTTTTCATTAGTTATAAATTTGATAATTAAATGATTAATAGTGTCCTGTTCTGTTGTTTGATAAGTGATTAATACTGATAAATAGTAATTGTTAAGATTCTTCAGCTTAAAACCTTTGTCATGAACCTTTTGTAAAAACCGTACAGCATAATTTTTACTGATTGATAAATTCTTGTTTTTATCAATATAGATCAATAACGCTGGTAAAAATTTATCAAAATCTAACTCATCGAATTTAAGCCAAGTCTCAATTATTTTAGGATAGTTTAGTAGAAATTGACTTGAAGTTCGATATACTTCTTCAAGTTCATCATTTGTATATAATTTGATTAAAGTCTTTGTTGCGAGCTCCCAATTCTTATTTTCCATATGATAGTCTAATATGAATTTATAATCTTCAATTAATTCAGCGTAAAATAAAGCTTTCTCATCTTTATTTAACACGCCGAAAATTGACTTCTTGTCAAAATGTTTGAAGTTCTTCTTAGTATATTCGTAAAATCTTTCATCATTTATTCTATTCATTAATTCAATAATCCATGTTGATAGTATGACAGCTCTTACTCTATTCTTCTTATTTAGCATATACTTGGTCAAAAGGTAATCAATTAGTAACCTTGTTGAATTTGATCTAATTAACATTAGACAAACTTTTTCAAATGGTTCTGTCAGTTTAGCCAATAATTTTATTCCTTTTTCTTGTAAAAGTATCAAATCTTTATTCGTAGTTTCTATACCAAATCCCCCTTTTGTTAAATAATCATAACCTTGTTTTATTAACACTAAATCTCTTTTGAAAAAGTTTTCTTCATTATCATCCAAATAGTTTAAGGCTTCATCAAATTTATTCATTAAATAATAATCGTACCATACGGAAGAATTTTCGTTATAAATTAGTAATTCATAAATATTATTATTTGTGTATATCCAGTATGTATTATCGTCACAAACAATACCCTTGATTGATTCATTCTCAAATGGTAACGTCTTCAAATCTTGATTTAGCTTATTGTGAATGTGGATTTGGTTCTCAGCAGTATACCCAATTAAATGATGAGGGGTCATGATTATATCCTGAAGTGAATCGTTTAACTTGTGGATGAAAATTTCGTCATCGTTTGTAGTTATTTCATTGGATAAAAATAAAAATTTATCATTCCTTGTGGTGAACAAATAAGTATTACTATGATGTAAAATATCTTTTACAGTTGGTTGAGTTTTGAATACTTTTAGTAGTTCTTCATATTGTAAATCGAAAGTTGCCCAAGTATATACTTTAAATTGTGCAATTACATTAATTTGAGTGTTAGATACTAAAACACCTTGAATTTGAGGTTCGAATTTATGAATCTGTTTCAAATGTAGAATATCACTTTTCTTATTGTTATGATCATCTATATGAGGTTTCAAAGTACATAAATAAACTACTCCTGACGAAGTTGATAATAGTAATGTGGTACTTGGTATAAACGTGATATGATCAATATCAAAATTCTTTAGTTTGTTCAATGCTTTGAAATTCTTATATTTAGTGTTTAAATAGTAATATTGTATGAATTTGGTCTTAATAATTAAGTGTTCCCCAGTCGAATTTATCCAAGAGTTTGTGATTACATCATTCGAAGGTAGATTGTATTTTAAAACTTGTGAAGGATTGTTTAAATCAATTTTATATAATAAGTTCAGTGTGAACAAATACATCAAACTATTTGATACTAATAGTTTTTGTAAATCATTGCTTAATTGAAATTGTAATTGAACTAATTTTATTTCGAATGTTGGTTGTTGTAAATTATTATATATTGAAATTTGATGTTGATCTAATGAATGTGTTGTATAGTGGGATGAGTTTAAAGAACCATTAAGTGATGGTGATGATTTTCTCTGCTTAGATAAAGCATTCATACGATATAATTTGGTAAAGAAATGCTTCTATGACAAGGTTGAATTAAGTTTGTGGTTGTGATAATAAATTACATAGTTTGTAATTGAGGATTTGATATCTGATAATCCAGTTTCTCGCTTTAGTTGTTCGACTTATCTGTTTTGAATTTCCAGAGTTTTAGTATACTTTCTCGCGGGATTTTATACCGATACACCATTTTCATGCTTATGTCTAAACGATTAAATAAATCATACATGTACTTAATAACTCCTCAATTTTACATTGTATGCTTTGTCTAGGACTCACTTAAGAGATTGTAAAGATTTCGTGATCAAAAAATCAAATCAATGTCAATGCATTTGTGTGTATTTACAGCTTCGATTTACCACAAGTGGAAACTAAAAGACAATTATCATTGGTTTCACCCAAGATATTCAAAATTCAGCTATTGCAACAACTATTTAATTTCAAGCTAATGAGTATTAGACAATTCACGTTTATCTATTGACTTCTACTTTTAATTTACTGTGCCTCAATACATTTTTACTGCAAAAGCTATATTTGAATGACCATATTTGACCGATGATTGAATAGTAATGAATAGGAGAAACTGTTGAGTATAGTTCCTTTCATATGCTACTCTATTTAAAAGTCAGACTCAGAGTATAGCTATCACTAGTATCTATATCATCCGCAATAAAATACGTTTGAAGTTTTAATATTTAATAACTAAAGTTCTCTAGAACTCCTTTTTTTGATTTACTTGCAATTTGCTCACACAAAACAATTGCTATTAATAATTCCAGTTCAAAAAACCACTCTTTCAATAACTCCCCAAACTACACTGAGTCACACCCAATAGCAGTCAACAGCAATTAACAATTAACAACAACTATTAAAACATATCGTATTCAAGCCAATTGACTCAAAAACAACTTGAATTTCGAAAATGAATGTGTTGAAATTACAAAAAAAATTCCCAATCTTACAACAATCTGATTTATTCAATATAATTGAAGACTTTAGAGCAATTGACTTGGATGATAAAGGTTGGGTTGAAAAGAAGGATGTCATAAATAACATAAGTAAAAAAGGACAGTATTCTTACGATCAAACAAGAGAAACTTTGAAACATGTTGATGTTGATGCTTCTGGTCATGTTGAACTAGATGATTATGTCGAATTGATTGCGAAATTGAAAGAACAAAATAATGGAGGAGAAGAAACAATAGATAATAATGTTTCACAACAGCCAGAGGTGTTTTCACCTGGGAAATTAAATAAGAAAGCTGCTCCACCAATTCCAACTGCAAATACGAAAAATAAAACTTATATTGAAGGTAAGACCTCAGGTACAACACATACTATAAATGATGAAGAGAGAACTGAATTCACAAGACATATCAATTCCGTGTTATCTGGAGATTCTGAGATAGGCGATAGATTACCATTTGACACAGAAACTTTTCAAATTTTTGATGAATGTAGGGATGGTTTAGTATTGAGTAAATTAATCAATGATTCAGTTCCTGATACAATAGATACAAGAGTGTTAAATTTACCTAAAAATAAAAAACAATTAAACAATTTTCAAATGTCTGAAAATGCAAATATTGTAATCAACTCAGCTAAAGCAATTGGATGTGTTGTTGTGAATGTTCATTCAGAAGATATTATTGACGGTAAAGAACATTTAATATTGGGATTGATCTGGCAAATTATTAGAAGGGGTTTGTTGAGTAAAGTTGATATAAAATATCATCCTGAATTATATAGACTTTTAGAAGACGATGAAACATTAGAACAATTCTTGAGATTACCACCAGAACAAATTTTATTACGTTGGTTCAACTATCATTTAAAAAACGCAAATTCTAATAGAAGAGTTTCAAATTTTAGTAAAGATATTAGTGATGGTGAAAATTACACAGTTTTATTAAACCAATTAAAACCTGACGTTTGTGACTTATCGCCTTTGAAAACAACAAATTTAACACAAAGAGCTGAACAAATCTTAAATAATGCAGATAAGATAGGCTGCCGTAAATATTTAACTCCAAATTCATTAGTTTCAGGTAATCCTAAATTGAACTTAGCTTTCGTTGCAAATTTATTTAATAATTATCCAGGATTAGATCCAATTGAAGAACATGAAAAGATTGAAATTGAAGAATTCGATGCGGAGGGTGAAAGAGAAGCTCGTGTTTTTACATTATGGTTAAATTCATTAGATGTTGATCCTCCTGTTGTATCACTTTTTGAGGATTTAAAAGATGGTTTGGTATTGTTACAAGCATATGATAAAGTATTACCAGGAAGTGTATCCTTCAAACATGTGAACAAAAAACCAGCAAATGGAGGTGAAGTAACCAGATTCAAGGCTTTGGAGAATACGAATTATGGAGTTGAAATTGGTAAATCTAATGGGTTCTCATTGGTAGGTATTGAAGGATCAGATATAGTTGATGGTAATAAATTATTAACTTTAGGATTGGTTTGGCAATTGATGAGAAGAAATATAATTAATACACTTTCAGAGTTAGGTAAGGGTGGATCTCAATTAACCGATAGTGATATTCTCAAATGGGCAAATTCTCATGCAAAATCAAATAAAATAAGATCCTTCAAAGATACCTCATTATCTAATGGATTATTTTTATTAGATGTTCTTAATGGATTAAAACCAGGTTATGTAGATTATGATTTAGTATATCAAGGAGATAACTTATCGGATGATGAAAAATATGCCAATGCAAAATTAGCTATATCAATTGCTAGAAAGTTAGGTGCATTGATTTGGTTAGTTCCAGAAGATATTAATGAAGTTAGATCAAGATTAATATTATCTTTTGTTGGTAGTTTAATGGCTGTGTCTGAAAAATAAATTTTTGAGTCTGTATATTTTGTAGTATTGTATAAGTATAAATTATTTTGAAATTTGAATTAAATACTGTAAACTAATACGTTATCCTAATTTTGATTTCCGAAACATTTTAGTTTTGTGCAATCGAACTTGAAACATGGCTTGTTACTTGACACAAATATACAACGAAATCAAGAAAACATCTATACAGCAACGAAGAAGAACAACTAACTCATTTAAAAAAATTTGTGTTTGTAAGTGGGAGCAGTTGAGTATGTTAGCTATACTTTAATCATATCACAATCACAAATATTCATTGCATTAGAATACTACTTTTATTATTCCGCTCTAAAGACTTTAGACATCAACTTTTAACCGTCTCAAAAAAACTAACAATTTTTGATTTTATTAAATCATGTGTTTTTATAACATGATAAAATTCAAAAAAAGATTCGCTAATAGTCGATGCAAAGTATAAGCTTGGTTTTAATCGATGAGCAATCTCGATCACGACAATTAGTTGCAAAAATCATGTATTTCAGGACTCAGTGAGTCCTGATGCTTTCGCTCTTAAATTTTTTTTGAACGGCATATATCTACATGTCTTAGCTACTGAGATGCATGCAATTTTTACTTTCTGCCGAAGCTCATTAGTTTACGATACTAGCTCCATTTCATATTCATCTAACATGATAATTCAATTCTTTAGTGTTACCAACACGTGATTTCAAAGGCGTGCATTTTTGCAAATCTACACAAATTTCATGACCTTTTCAACCAGCATTATTAATTTTTAATTGACTCGAAAAAAAAAATTTTACAACTCAATACAACATATCAACTCAATAAATACACAAGTATTATTTGAATACCATCGATTACTTTCATCAATCAACCCTCACAATTATCTTTATTGAAATAAGTGTCTACTTTTTACACTATCTTCATCTTATATCATCTGCTTGTACTTTGTTTCATTCACTCAATTGATTTCTAGTACTGAATTCTTATTAGTCTTTTATTTGATATTTTAAAGCATAAAACTTTTACAATTATAAAACTTTATCTGAATTTTTAATATAATTATCATGTCGGAATTGGATTCTCATCAGTTAGAGACTAGCAATGGTTTGAAACGAAAAAATGAAGAAGTTGATGATTCAACAGATCGTAATAATGAGGATGACAATAACTTAAATGACGCATCTTCTCATACTTCCAAAAGAGTAGCATTAGACAGTGAACAAATACAGTCCGCTGTTAAGACTGAAAATGAAAATGAAGAATTAGCTCCTACAATCGGTAATACCGTGGAAAAAGAAGAAGCTGCAGATGAAGAAGAGAGAACAGTTGAAGAATCGGCAAATCAAGGCAGTCAAGAATCAGAGCAATTGACAAAAGTAAAAGAAGAAGCAAATGAGGATGATATTGAAAAGACTTTAAAATCTTTACAGAATTCAGTGTTTCCAAATGATTCAAGTTCTCAAACAAATAATAATCTTTCATCTGACAATGCTAATTCACAAAGTGCCGTGGAAGCATTTTTAGAACAAGCTGGATTAGCTTCTTCAACCGCAATTCAACCTCAGCAACATCAACAGCCTCAACATCAACAGCCTCAACATCAACAATCATTTGAACAGGATTATGAATCCTCATCAACTTCATCTAAACCAGTTTCGAGTCATCTCAAGGAAAAAGATTCTGATATCTCATTTAGAATGTTATGTCCTGTAAAAGAAGCTAGTACAATCGTAGGTAAACAAGGATCAAAAATTAATCATTTGAGAGAAAAAGCTGCTGTTAGAATTCAAGTTAGTGATAATTTAAAGGGAATTCCAGAAAGAATTACAACCGTGAAAGGTACACCAGAAAACGTTGCCAGAGCCTTTGGGTTAATTGTAAGAACCATTTTGAATGAAGATGAAGATGAACCAGCAAATATGAGAAGTCAACAATATAATTTGAAATTATTAATCCCACATCCATTGATTGGATTTATAATAGGTAAACAAGGTTCAAAATTTAGAGAAATCGAAGAAAATTCTGCAGCAAAATTAAAAGCTGCAGAAACACCATTGCCTTATTCCACTGATAGGATTTTGAGTGTTGTTGGAGTTGCCGATGCTATTCATATCGCTGTATATTATATTGCTCAAATTGTCAACGATCATAGAGATGTATTGAAGAAAAATAAAGTTATTTTGTATAATACGGCTAATTATCAACAAACTGATCCATTTGGCGATCCAAGCCATCAACAACAACAACAACATCAACAACCAAGATATCCACAACAACTGCCTTACGGTGGAGGTGCAAATACAGTGCCTATTGGCGGAGGTAGTTATCAAAATCCATCACCATTTCAACCCCAGCAATCTCCTCCTCAACCACCACAATATAATTTTCAATCGATGTTTCAACCAGCAATGCCTCCTCAACAACAATATGGCGGAATGGGTCAAATAGGAGGAATTTCATCAAATTTACCTCCTTCGTCAATATCTTCCTCAAATATCCCACCTCAAAGTCAATATACTGACGAATATGGTAATACGATGATTGGTGAGGTTATTGTTCATCAACCGGTACAAACTGGTGACAAATTTAATCAAGATGTGTTTGTTGCAAATTCATCAATTGGGTCAGTTATTGGTAAGGGTGGAAACAATATTAAGCATATCAGAGAAAATAGTGGTTGTACTTATGTTAAAATTGAACCAGATAGAGGTCAATCCATTATGCTTGGAAGTGGTAGAGGTTTAACTAATATTCGTAGATTAACCTTAACGGGATCGTTGGACTCGTTTCAAAAGGCTATTTATTTGATTAACCAAAGAATTAATGCTGATAGGGAAAGAAATACGAGATAATACAAAACTTTCAAATTATTTGTATTTAGTTGTGTAGAGTCGTCTAATAAAAAGTTATGAAATATTTCCTTGAAATAGTTTTTGTAGAGTAAAAATCAATCTAACAAATTTAAGTTGGCGGCTATTGATATTTAATCATCATAAATAATTTTATCGTACATTAATGTCATTACGTCTATAAAATAAATATCGTCCATATGTTTTATCAAAGTAGTATCTACCAATGTTTAACTCCTAAACTTGTAAGTAACATAGTAACTCCAGAAAACAAACCCTCACCTAGAACTAATCCACTACTAAATATTATCATTCCAATTCTACCTTTATCACTAATTTTGTGCCAATTATAAGCAATTAACCCACCAATAAATCTCGCTAATGTAAAATTGGGGGTATTGTATATACCTATCCCTACTGCGACTCCATTTGGTAAGTAGACTAAATACTTGTAATATTTTGAAGTTGAGTCCAATGTGTTTTTAAGTAACGAGATTAGCCCAAAAATAACTCCAAAAAACATAGCAAATTCCATAGCTTTTGGAGGTAATCCTTCACCAGTAACTAATCTCGAACAATCAACCCAAATGATAGCAGTGGGAATTCTGAAAGTATCGCTGGGGATAGTATAAACTTTCATGTAGACTTTATACATTATGGAACTTAGAAAAACCAGGTATACTGTTCCAATAATTTGAGCAATAAATTGAGCTTTCGGAGATGCACCAATTAAGTGCCCCGTTTTCAAGTCTTGCATTAAATCACCAGCTTGTTGTGCCCCTGCTTCAGCTACTCCTCCAGATATCAAATTTATTAATATCTTAGATGGATGATTTGATGGAATTATGAATGCAAATATCAACTGTGATAACTTTCCAATTCCACTTACAGGGTTTATGTCAGAAACTCCTAAAGTTCTTGTAGCTAATACACTGAATAGCATTGCTAGTAAAATTGCAGTCAAGGAAGCATAAAGTGGAATTAGTTTACCAAAGATAATCTTCAATGTGATCACACAAAGTATTGTGGATCCAATAGTTCCAATAATTGCTACTTTATTTGAGATAAGAAAATTTGCAGGTACTTCAACTGCCGCGTTTATTGGTACAACAACAGTTTCATCACTTTGTTCTTCATCAGGATGTTGTAAGTTGTATTCTCGCTGGCGTTGTTGTAACTCCAAAACTTGAGTATATGAAGCTTTCCTTTTTTTATAATCTTTGACTAAGTCCCTTATACTTTTAATACTCAAAACAATAAAAGATACCAATGAATCACTAACCATTATACTTAAACTAATCCACAAAATCCAACCTTGACCACCGGATATCCAATCATCAATAGGGCCCGGTGCCCAGTTCATAAATTTGGATAAAGGAGCTAAAATTGCCCAACCAAGTACGGCTCCAAATAGCATATATGATACTGTTGGTAATCCCATAATTATTCCTTGTCCCATATAAGCTGGAGATGGCTGAATATTCCATTCATAATTATTTGAAGCCCAAGTACCAAATATTGGGATCTTTTTGAGGACGGGTAAGAAAAAACTTGCAATTGTATAAATTGAAGAAATAATAAAAGTGGCAGTCAAAGATCTCATATTTGAATTATAATTTATTGATTCCAAAAGTTGAGATGATGAAGTTTGACGCTGTAAAACTGATTTATTCAAATCATCCTCGTCTTCTTCTGGATCTTCTTTGGTGTCATCTTCATCATCATATATTTCAGTACCATGTAATACTGAAATCAAAGTAGCAGTGGCACTTCCAGATGGAAATGGTAACTTCTCCTTTATGATAACTTGTCTTCTCAATGGAATTGCAAAAAAAACACCAAACAATCCCAATCCCATTGACCAAATAATTAATTCTTTTGTTGAAAAAAATATTTTATGCCCCAATCCTGTTTCGTCAGCATTCAAAAATTTTTCAATTGCAGGTATAATCCCTATGAATCCGTAACATAATGGACCTGTACCAACTGCAACTGCAATAGATTGAATATAAACATTCTCGACATCAGTGAAATTTTTAGACATCGGAGTTAATCTGAATATAGCAAACCCCAATAAAGCTGCAGGAAGTGACATCATTGAAACCCATCCTGTCTGTAAACCAAATTGAAAATTTGATATTAGTATAATTGAGCCAATCAAGAGACCAACTATCGTTGATCGTAATGTCACCTGGGGTAGTTTTAATTTAGTGATATAACTATTTGATTTGGTGGGTGGTGTTTCCTCTAGTATTATTGACATTTCTATTATTTCTATAGTCTGAAGAAACGTTTATATTCAAGTTGGTCAGTTAATTTTCACTATTTCTGCACAATTCACTTGTTTACTTGTCTTCTGTGATCTGATTACTTTGATCTTGCAACAAATTACTAAGCTATTGATTGTTTTACTAATTGTAAGTAGATCTATGTAGAAAAAAAAAAAAAAAAAAAATTAAAAAAGAATAAAGTTCCGTCTTTATCGTTGCTGCAACTTAGTTGATTGACCAGACTACATTTCAGGTGACAAGATATTCGATTTGCTACTCAGTATATAGTCGAGTTGGTCTTTCCATTCTCCAGACAAATTGCAAGTTGAGCTTCACAACTGTCAATGAATAATCTTATTTTTATGATTTGAATGGAATTTGTTTCCTAATTAAGCCAAATTAACCATTCTCTATTACTCAGAAGTTCAACCCTTTTTTTAAAATATTTGAAACTGAACTATCCATAATGATACTGTACCATTAAAATGACCGAAGTGTTTTTCATTGATTGAGTTTTTGCTTACTGTTGAAACAAAGGGTTCGTATCGATTTGTTTAAGACAGAATCCGCTCAATAATTCTGGCGAACAAACTTTACGAAGTAAAATGATTAGTTCAACCATTAAATTCATCAACTCCCGTGAAATCTTATCCAATGTTAATTCTTCCCTGATTTAGAAGTCAATCAGCTACCTTTAAGTTGTTGGGTTAATGTTGTATATCTGAATTTTATCATGAAACTGAAATAATAGATAAAAACATGGAACAGAAAAAAGCCAAAAAAAATCCATCAGGAAGACTAAAGCATTTAGTAGATCATCAATTCAACAACATAAGTGTTTGAGACAAGTATGTTGAGGAATAATAACGTACGAATGGTGTACTAGAAAGGAACGTTGCATGGAGATAATACTGCATAGAGAGTTTTAAAATATAAGCTTTTGTGTAAGATTCTGAAACCTAGGCTCCGAGATCTACTATATTAAGTTAGAATAATCAATTGAACAAACTTAATTAGATTCCTGGACATGAAATTTTGGTAGTAATCAATTGTGGAGAAACCGTGTCAAGACAGAAGATGAGCTTCTTGCAAGTACCGCATTCCGAGTGAAATTTCAACGATCTCTTGAATTTTGAAATATACTGATGACTCTAAGTCAATGCTACTTGAATGTACGCAGTTATTTTTCAACATTCAAAGCATAATTACTCGGACCCTAATCTTTCAACTTCGACAATTCACGATCTGTAACCCATTGCAATTTTTTATCATCAACTTCATATTCCAAAATTAAATTTTTCAAATAATTTTCAAATTCAATTTTTGACCAACCTGCAAAATCTGGAGGATCTTTAGCATATTTTTTCATTAGCTTATCCCAATTTATATTCGACAAACTTTTACAATCTTGTTTCTTTATTTTTTTCAAAAGCCAAACCCTTGTTTGTTTAGTCATATTTGGAGTTTTGACATGACTCGTTGTTTCATTAAGTCTTGCCCATTTGTAACGGCATTGGATTCTAGATCTTTCACCATTCATTCTTTCACTAATTATAGTCCAGTTTATTTTTGGTACCAAATCTTGTAGAGAAGATGCTTCTTCTTTGTCTTTATCTTTTTCTTTGTCTTCTTCATATTTCAATTTATGTAACATTTCATTAACTAACTCAATTAATTTTGATTCTTGTTCTGATGTCCATTTTTCTTTCTTTCTATCTGGTCCACATTTAATATAATTTCTCCAACGATCTCTACAATCTTCTGGCATTCTACCTAATAATTCTCCAATAGTTGACCATTTTCCCGGATGACTAGTAGCCAAATTTTGTAATTTTAAATCTTCTTCTTCATCCCATTTGGCTCTTTTATCAAAAATATGATATCTTCTTCTTGTATGTTTATAAATACTAGATTGAGTACGATATGGAAATATTTTACAAATTTTTTTCCAAAATTTATCTTTTTTACGTTCAGTTGACCAAATTCTGTTGCATAGGGCTTCTCGATCCCAATTATGAAAATGACAAAATCCTGCAAAATAATAGTCAAGTATTGCATCTTCTTCAGTACTAAAAGGCCGTGGTTTATTCTTTTGTTCTTCTGAGGTATTGGCAGCAAACCATTCATTTCCTTTTTTGATGGCTTCATCTAGTAATTCTTCTTCAGATTTTATATTTGTAAAATCATATTTAGGTAGTTCTTTTGGTACTTCTTTAGTAGTTTTTTTCTTCTTTATTGAGTTCTTTTTCTGAGTTGATTTCGGTTTCAGTATTGATGAGGATGATAGGGATGATGATTCCACTATTGGATTGATCTCCGGTGTTTGATAAATGTCATCTTCTTCTACCATAGCCTTAGCAGCGGCCAAGAGTCTAGCTTGCATTTCTTCATTCAATGGATTTTCATCATCTTCTGTATGCAGATGTGAGACTCCATGTAAAGCTTCATCAATTAATGAAGTATTATTTTCTTGTGATTCAAAGTCATTCAAACTTTCGATAATGTTTTGATCATTGTTCAAAGGTTTTGTTATGCTTCTTTTTCTAGATTTTGCTACAGAACTTGATCTTCGTCTTTTAGTAGCTTTTCGATTGTTGGTGTTGTCTTCATTATATTTACCTATTGAATCATTCAAAAGTCCATCTATCTCATCAAATTCATTTTCATGATCAGTTGCTGTGATATGGGTCCTTTTGTCCTTTGAATGGTCTTGTGACGTCGTATTTTGTAGTATTGCTCCTTCTATGGGATCATTTATCATTAAAGGTACTGGTCGTTAGAATTGTAATTTACCCAGCTCGTATTCATAAAAAAAATAAATCCTGGTTTTGATATTTACCAAATAATTTACCGCTACATTATCATAAACAATCAATAATGTATCAATGGCAAGTTATATAACGCAATATTTTCCCCATATATCTTCACTATCCTTGTCATCAACCGATGATATTAATCAAGATTCATATAATCCATTGGAGTACAATAAGGTAAACTACATTATTATAGTTGATTCCAGTAATGATTTAAAATCAGAAGAAAACGACCCCACTAAAGATATAATAGCATATGCTCAGAATGAAGTAACGGAAGATAATCTAGATAAAAGAAAAAATTCAATTGGTATAATTAAAGGGATTCTAGCTTTTATTAAGGGATTCTCGTCACATAAAGCTCAAGAACAACCAATGATTCTTAAATTACTGAATGAATCTATAGTTGTACTACAATTGGAATCATTGTATTTGTTGGTTTGTTCGGTCAACACCAAAGACGATAGAGTTATAAAGCAACTACAGTTTCTCATAAAACAACAACATTGTTTTTTTAAATTATCAAATAAATCAATTCAAGAAAATGAAATAAAATTAGGAAAAGATATTTCAAATAAATTACTTGTTGAATGGTGGACAAAATTCATTAAATCATATAATTCTCAAGAATTACTTATAGATATTGGCTGGCCCAATCATTTGAATTATTTGGGATTTATTAGTATTTATATGCCAGGAATAAATCATCGAAATTCTTCAATTACTACATCAAATAGATTGAAGGAAGATATCAAAAAAACCTTACGTAGCGAAGATTTGGTTCCATCCGGAGTATTAATCAATTGTTTTTCTAAAGTTCCTAAAAAGTTGGGATATATATATTCACAAGTTTTAGATGATAGCATAGAGAATGAATCAATAATAGATGTTTATAATTTGATGGAGTATGAATTTATATTTAAAGAACAGAATGAAGATTTAAATGCATCAAATTTAGATGAAATTGATGAAACTAGTGGACCATTAAGTATACTAAATCCAATGAATTTAACGAATAGTTTAGTAGTGCAACCTTGGAATTCAGTCTCTGGTATAATTCGACGAGAGAGCCAAGAAACTTCCACAGATGATAATCAAACAACAGCAGGTTCTGGATGGTTATCTATGCCGAATTTTTTCGGTAAATCAAATGATTATAAACCGGTTATACAAACACCACAAGAAGAAATGAATAACGGTCAATTCTTATATGGAATTCAAACTGATCAAACTATTAAAAGAAAAATAGTGTATTTACCTACTAAAATTGATGATATTATCAAAAATGAAGAATATCAATTAATAACATTTGTGAAAGATGAAATATACATAACTTTAATTTATTCATCAAGTTTTATAAATCAATTAGATGATCCTATTTTTTATTCAAATTTATTACCAACATTAAATTCAATTTATGAAGATATAGAGCAAGAACTGTTAAATTCAACATTATCAAAAAGTATAAACTCAATAAAAACAATAAATATAAGTTCAAAAATAGATTCAGAGTTTTTATATACAATTTTTAATTTAAAAAATAAATCATTCACTTCATCATTACCATTAATTATAAATTCAAATAAATCAAAAAATCATCAAATTATAATAAATATTCATAATCAAATTATTGAAATTTTAAATAATTTAAATTTTTTATCATCAATTAATGAATTTTATCATAAATTTAAATCAAATCAAAATAATGATTGGATTTTTTATTTAATTAAATATAATTTTAAAATTATCATAATTATAAAAAATAAAAATAGATATAATAATCATAATAATCATAATAATGATAAAGATGATGCATCTGTTATTGAAGAATCTGTTTTGAATCAAATTACTGGATTTGTTTCTGATTATGCGAGTTTAGGATTTTTAGACAATTTAGGTAGTGATGTTAAATATTGGTTAGGTCAAGTTATTGAAACAGAAGAGTGATAAATAGAATCTAATACTAATGATCTTGAGAAAAACAGTGGTGCTTTGGATTATATTAGTAATGTGTTTCACTGATATTGGCATTCAATATTATTGAAAGTTTTGTGATTAGTTATGAATTTTCTTCACTATGATGAAGAACATACGACAGAACGAAAACTTCATTAAATGAAATTTTGTAGAATTTTTTATAAAATGTAAAGAATTAATTATCTCAAATTAGCTAAATTCTTATATCAGTGAAGAAACCAAGATGTTTATGTGAAAGCAAAAAAAGGGTACCTTACATATGTTTCAAACAATCGTGAAAGACCAATTGATTGAAAAAGTTTATCTTGATAATTGGTTATTTAAAATATTTCAATCGGATCGAGATATAATAGCCTAATTTCATGGAAATAGATGGTTAAATTTAATTCTTTTAACAATTTCAAGTTTTGAAAATGTGAACTATTAATCGAATGATCCTCTGGTGCATCTAAATTAAAGTTTCTATATCTTATCTACTAAGCCAATTACTACACAATACAAAAGTTCAAAAATAAAATCTTGAAGAATTATCTGAAAGTTATGAACAAATAAGTTTAAAATCTATTAAGACAATTGAAAAATTTGGCTTAGAAGTAAAACTTATACATTATCCCAGATTAGATTGGTAAAAAAAAAGTGTGGGGATCGATTACTAAGTGTTTATCTAGTCTATTGAATTTTAAAAAGAATACAATGGATGAATAAGTAAGATTGACTCTTTATTGTTTTTAAACGAATCTAGGGTTTTCAAAATTGATTAATTCAAAATTTCACATTCAATAGCCTTACACTACTCACATTCAGTTATCCAGTTAAATTCAGTTAAATCCAAAAAAGACGCGTCTAGTGAATTAAACAATAGATGCTTCAAACTTTAGTTTAATTTAAATGTCAAATTCATTTTCTCTTTGTCTCGATTGTTCCTAATTGATATTATATGCCGAAATTAATAAATTAAACTTTAAATTGAAACATACTTTAATGTATAATGATATAACATTTCAGTTTTCTTATACTAATATTTGTATGTAGATTGTAAATCGGATTATTTTTAAAATTACTTAAATCAAAACAATGTTTCAGAAATTAATTTATTTTTATTTTTTAATTCATTTTTTATTTTTTTCCTCATTGTTTTAAATTGTTTCAAATTATGTTATATGACGTAAAACAAAAGACTAGTTAAAATTTAAAAAGCATCTGATAAAATAAAATAAATTAGAACCAGCTAATAAATAAACATAGAAGAGTAAAGCCAACACATACATTCATTGACGCAAGACAATTTGAACTACTTTCCCCTCCTGAATTTTTGCTCGATTGGATTAGGTTCGATGTGATTTATATTAAGAAAGGAGGGGTGGATTCGGATCGAATAAACTAAAGTTTTTTTGACGTTAATTTAAAAAAAAAAAATAAACAATTTATTAAAGGTCAAACGTATGAAAATTTTTTCGTCAAATAAAATTAATAAATGTAGAATGTGAAGAAAAATGATTTAGAATGAACAATAGTAACCCTAAATTTTGAGAAAGGTTTCATTGCATAATATTGGTTTAAGCTGAATTAACATAACATAAGATTTCTGAAAGGAAACGTATGAATTAAATATATCAAACTCTTCTACTTACGTTATATAATTTTCTATTTCAAGGTATAAGCTGAAATATCTGAGTAAAAAAGGAATTTTCACTGAATTTTTAAAGGAATGATTTTAATTGGAATAATTCTTTTGTCCTTAAAAGAAATGCAAAACAATTCGATCGTATATATTTTAATATTTTTTATTTTTCAAAACTAATTGTTTATTAAATCAGTAGTCTAGCTTGCTAAACAGTAAAGAAATAAACTTAATTTAAAGAGGAAAGAACTATATACTATATACCATTTCTTATATTTCTAGCATTCACCATCTGAAAAACCCCTGCATTTTTTTTTTTTTTTTGTAATGTAATATCGATATGATGGTCATGATTGATTAAGAGTTTATACTCTTAAGCATGATTTAAAAATAAAAAAAATTTGTTGTTTGAGATTTATCTCTTACTAGGTCGCTATAGATTTGAGAAGATCTCAAAATCTAATTAGTTAAGTTGGTCTGAATGTTTGATTAAAATTCGAATCCAAAGTGAGGTTCGTTTGTTCTTTTTGTTTTTAGCTTAGTTAAATCAAAAGATCGATCTTTTTGAATTACTTTATTATCTTTAATCTACAGGCACATAAATTCTTTCACTCTTATATTCAACTTCTTCTCTTCCCCACTAAATCTTTATAATACTTTTTCAATTGGTTATGTGAATTACATTTTCATTGAATATTATACATTATATGTCTATTTTAATTTAGTTTACAATATACAGTTTTAAAATTTTTTTTCAAATTAAAACAAAATCACAAAAACCACTTAAGAGATTGCGCTTTAAAAATAAAAATAAAAGATACAAAAACATCTTATACAATAATAGAAATAAAAAATAACATACATTTTGAATAAAAAGAAATATTTGAATCTGGAGTAAAAGTTAAAAAGTAACAGCATGACCCTTCAGTTATGTTCATTATACAATAATTTAACCCTCATTCAAACTTGATTTAAGATCTTAGGAGCTTAAAATTCTAGTCATTGACTGATATATCTACGATAACCGTAAATGAATTTAGTGTTTGAAAAGTTGCTATCATTCAAAATCGATTAAAATCTACGAGGGAAAATTTTACGCATAAAATATATAATCATCTCATCTGGTTGTTCTTCTCTTCTTTTACTTCTTTTTTCATGCAACGAAAATATATAAATATATATATTACTGTCATAAATTATGTATATTCTGCAATAATATACTTATATCTGGTTTAATATTGCTATTTCTATACTGAAAATTTTTCTTGACATCAAACGCCCATTAAAAGAAAGAGAAATTAATTAAAAGGTTTGGTCTTTCATGGTCCTATCCTTTTAATATCCTAAATGAAGTCTACAAGTTAAAACATACAGTCTTACCGTACGGAACAATTGAATAGAGATTATAATCTGATGAAGTATAAAAATAAATACAATACAATACTGTATGTAAGAAAGTCTATAATATGCAGTATTTTACCGAGCTACAAAAATTTATAAAGTTTTGCCGTTTGAGTTACAAAAATGAAGTTGAAACGTCTAATTACATCATAGGTCTAATACAAATTGAAAAAATATATTAATATGAAGTTTTATTGATTGATTTACACTAAAAATAAATAATTTTTAAATGGACTCTGACTCCACCACTTCTCTTTGGTAAGTATCTCTTAATTTCTGTTTGACGCTAGTAATTTACTGAGAAATTTGTTGATGAGAACCCTTCAATTACAACTAATCTTTCTAATTACTCATATTTTGGTACCCAGTTGATTGCTTGCTCACCTACATCATAATTTTCTTCTACTCCGTAATTAGGTTAAGTTTAATTTCTTTCTACATCATTTTGACTTAATTTAGATCTACAAAAAATTACAACTAAATTAAATAATTGACTAAGGAACACTAACATAACCAAACTAAACGATACCATACACATACATGAAGTTTAGGGGTACTCTCAAAAATTCGCTTTTTTAAGTAACACAAAAGTAAAACTGTCGACCTAGCAGACATCCCCATCCTGGCCATCCTCATCCCATCCGGTCGAGAATTTATGTAAAACGAGTTAAATTGATATACAATTCAGAATATACAAACTTATTATCTCATTATCAATATTCTTTAAGTTACTTAGTATTAGTAGACATAAGAATACTTTACTGTAATAATACTTAATTTTACTTTATGTTTTGTGTGTTTTAATTTACTAAATCAAAAACCCCAAAGCTGAAAAAATAAAAAATAAAAATAAAAAAAAGCAAAAAAATTTTATTGTTTGTTCAAAAATACCATAAACATAAACTGGCTAAAAGAAACACAATTTAACGTATAATAAAATTTAAAGAATTTTACATAATTTATACAATAGAGATGATATCAATACTATATTATTAGTTATTTACAAAACTGATGAAAATTTTGTTTATATATATATTTAGATCTTCCTCCATCCTTCAAATATCTTTTTAAGAAAAGATTTCATTCCTTTGTTTCATATTCCAAGAATTTAATATCGAGGATAATATCTTGAAATATCATTTCGATTTATTCAAAATACTTCAACTTTATTATCAACTAATTTCTTAACATAGAAAATACCAAGAGAATAGGGATTTAAGATTTCTTTATCTTATAGTTAAGAAATTCATCGGATTAATTTATTTTCACTACATACATTCATTTGAAAAAAATAAATAAATAAACAATCTACAAGAAAAGTTTATACTATAATATTATACCCCATATTATATTCAATTTCACATACTTTATTCACATCAAAAATATAAAAAAAAAATAAAATATAGAAAAATAATATAAAATTATAATGGGAAAATTTGATTTTATAAGTGGTAGAACAGCTACTGCTGGTTTAAGAGGTAAAAAATTAAGATTAGCAGTTACTGCAATTGCAACAACTGGTTTTTCATTATTTGGTTATGATCAAGGTCTTATGTCCGGATTAATTTCTGGTGATCAATTTAATTATGAATTTCCACCAACAAAAGAAAATGCAACTATTCAAGGTGCTGTTACTGCTTGTTATGAATTAGGTTGTTTTTTCGGTGCAATTTTTGCATTAGTAAGAGGTGATAGAATTGGTAGAAAACCTTTAATTGTTTGTGGTTCATTTATTATTATTATTGGTACTATTATTTCAGTTACTGCTATAAAACCTTATTGGCAAACTGGTCAATTTGTTATTGGAAGAGTTGTAACTGGTATTGGTAATGGTATGAATACAGCTACTATTCCTGTATGGCAATCAGAAATGTCTCGTGCTGAAAATAGAGGATTTTTAGTTACTTTAGAAGGTGCAGTTGTTGCTGTTGGTACTTTCTTAGCTTATTGGATTGATTTCGGATTTTCATATATAGATTCATCAGTTCAATGGAGATTTCCAGTTGCTTTTCAAATTGTTTTTGCAGCTATTGTGTTTGCAGGTATTATAAATTTACCAGAAAGTCCTCGTTGGTTAATTGCTCATAATAGAAAACAAGAAGCTTATGAAGTTCTAGGTTATTTAAATAATGTCAGTCCAGATGATGATGAAGTTATTGCTGAAGCTTCACTTATAATTGATGCAGTTAATAGATTTGCTAATGCTCAAACTGGTTTTAGAGATTTATTCACAGGAGGTAAAACTGCTCATTGGCAAAGAATGGTTATTGGATCAAGTACTCAATTTTTCCAACAATTTACTGGTTGTAATGCAGCAATTTATTATTCAACTTTATTATTTTATCAAACAATTTTCAATTATTCTAAATATAGATTATCATTGATTTTAGGTGGTGTTTTTGCAACAATTTATGCTTTATCAACTATTCCATCATTCTTTTTAATTGATACATTAGGTAGAAGAAAATTGTTTCTTATTGGTGCAACAGGTCAAGGACTTTCTTTTATAATATCATTTGCTTGTTTAGTTAGAGATACTGAAGAAAATGCAAAAGGTGCTGCAGTTGGTATTTTCTTATTTATTGTATTTTTTGCATTTACAATTTTACCATTGCCATGGGTATACCCACCAGAAATAAATCCATTACGAACAAGAACAACAGCAGCTGCAGTTTCAACTTGTACAAATTGGCTTACAAATTTCGCAGTTGTTATGTTTACACCTGCATTTATTGAAAAATCAGGTTGGGGATGTTACTTATTTTTTGCATGTATGAATTTCTTATTTATTCCAGTCATTTACTTCTTTTATCCAGAAACTAAAGGTAGATCATTGGAAGAAATTGATATTATATTTGCAAAAGCTTATGTTGAAAAAAGACAACCATGGAGAGTTGCTGCTACTTTACCAAAATTATCATTATCTGAAATTGATGAACAAGCTAAAGACTTAGGATTATATGATGATGATTTTGAAAAAGATAATTTTGAAACAAAAGAAGATATAAGTGATTCTACAAGTGCTGAAAATAATGGAGTTTTTGAAAGAAAACCTCATCAACAAGAAGAAGAAGTTTAATATTGACTATTTTAAAATTAGTGCTTTTATTTAATTAAACTTTCTTTTTTAAAAATTTAATGATTAATTTGTTTTAATATAATAGGGTTATTGTGTTTCAGTTTTGCTGTTTTTTTTTTAATTTTATTGTTTATGAATTAGAATTATAATAAAGAAATATAGAGACTCCGATTATAGAAATTATTGCTCTTATGAACTTGTAGTAGTTTTGTAATAGTTTTGATCATTTTTGTATCTTTTCAAGTTGTTTTCAATCTTGAGCCGAATTTGATTTTTCATTCGAATTAACAAACCGCCTAAGAGATTTTTGTTTCAATTCTTAAAGCGAGAATGAAAACAAATCTTGGGGGGGATTGATTTTAAAACGTATTAATTATGTACTATATTCATAATTCAACATATTAATTCTTGGGTAAATTAAAATTTCGCTTTCAAGCCTCCTAGAACATCTCTAAGTGGCAAACAGTATTTGGTGATCTTTTTAGAGGAGTTTATGTATGTTTGTTCATTTGTTTTTAGTACTCAGATTAGATCTGACGCGGCTAAAACAAAAATCAAAATTCATAAAATTAAAAAGAAAATTTTATTCCAAAACACTTCCATGATATAAACGACTGTAAAATAATATGATGTAAAAATACGTCATGCTCGAAATTATTAATCGATTTGTAACTTGACTAGTTAAAAGCTTCATTTAATTGTTCCACTTCTATTTTTCTTAATAGTTGCAAAATAATAATTTTTTCTTAACTATGTTTCTCTGTAATTATGTATTGGGCCTTAATTAAATTTATGTTTTAGTGTTAGACACTACTTAAGAGAAAGCTACCAATTCGTCTGTCAATAAAATATTACAACAACAACATCGGATTAATATTACTTTTTGTTAAGACATCATTAATAAATATTAAAGAGATTTCTTGGTGTTTATCAACATTCAATTTTGCTATTTGTGTGAAATTTACTTAGTGTTTGATTTAAGGTATGATTAATTATAGTTGAAGTATAGTCTCATCAATACGATCAATATAAAGAACTGGGGATTAATTTAACACGAATTGCTTTCATTCATATTGTTTAAAATATTATTTGATTTTTCTTAACTATGATTTTGACAATTTATTTTATGTAAAATTGTTGCAAAATTAACCAAAATTAGTTAAGTATCTTGCTATGTTTAATTAAGAAAAAGTATTCTTCCCCACCAACTAAGAATATCATAAAAATGACTTAAAAATATATATAGAACCTGGAAATTCCAAAAATTTAACATGGTTGTGGAATATATTTGATAAGTTAAAAAGTTGCCTACATTGACACTCATTTATCGCCAATATAGAATACAAAGACATTGTTTTTTTCAAAAATGGGTCTAGGGGTTTTAACAAAAAGAACGAATACTTATGGTTTACATGGTAAAAAATTAAGAATGACAATAACTGCTACAGCAGTTGCAGGATTTTCATTATTTGGTTATGATCAAGGTCTTATGTCAGGTTTAATTGCAGCCGAACAATTTAATTGGGAATTTCCTGCTACTAGAGATAATGGTACTATACAAGGAGCTGTTACAGCAAGTTATGAAATTGGTTGTTTTTTTGGTGCATTATTTGCATTAATGAAAGGTGAAAGAACTGGTAGAAGACCATTAATATTTGTTGGATCTATATTAATTATTATTGGAGCTATAATATCAACAACTCCATTTAGACCTCATTGGCCATTAGGACATTTTGTTGTTGGTAGAGTTATAACTGGTCTTGGTAATGGATTAAATACAGCTACTATACCTGTATGGCAATCCGAAATGTCTCGTGCTGAAAATAGAGGATTTTTAGTTAATATGGAAGGAGCTTTTATAGCTGTTGGAACTTTTATTGCTTATTGGACTGATTTTGGATTTTCATTTATTGATTCATCAGTTCAATGGAGATTTCCAGTTGCTTTTCAAATATTTTTTGCATTACTTGTATTAATTGGTATATGGGGATGTCCAGAAAGTCCACGTTGGTTGATAAAAAATAATCATGAAGATGAAGCTCGTTATATTTTAGGTAAATTAAAAGGAGTTAAAGCAAATGATAAAGAAGTTCAGGAAGAAATTTCAGGAATGATTGAATCAATAAACAAGTTTTCAAGAGTTCAAGGTGGTATACGTGAAATTTTTACAGGTGGTAAAACTCAACATTTTAGAAGAATGATTATTGGATGTAGTGGACAATTTTTTCAACAATTAACTGGTTGTAATGCAGCTATTTATTATTCAACATTATTATTTTATCAAACTATTTTTAATGGTACTCAATATAGATTATCGATGATATTAGGTGGTGTTTTTGCAACAATTTATGCTTTATCAACTATTCCATCATTTTTTTTAATTGATACTTTAGGTAGAAGAAAATTATTTCTTATTGGTGCAGCTGGTCAAGGTATTTCTTTTACTATATCATTTGCATGTTTAATAAATCCAACACCTGAAAATGCTAAAGGTGCAGCAGTTGGTATTTTCTTATTTATTATATTTTTTGCATTTACATTATTACCATTACCTTGGTTATATCCACCAGAATTAAATCCATTAAAAACCAGAACTTATGCAAGTGCAGCATCAACTTGTACAAATTGGTTAATGAATTTTGCTGTTGTTATGTTTGTTCCTAAATTTTTAGAAACTTCAGGTTGGGGAACTTATTTATTTTTTGCTGCAGTTAATTTTTGTTATATTCCAATTATTTATTATTTTTATGTTGAAACAAAAGGTAGATCTTTAGAAGAAATTGATATTATATTTGCAAAAGCTTATGTTGAAAAGAAACCAGCTTGGGTAATTGCAAATACTATGCCTAAATTATCATTAACTGAAATTGATGAAGAAGCTACAAAATTAGGATTACATGATGATTCAGATGATGAAGAAATAGATCATGAAAATATTATTGGTTCTGATGGTGATGGTTATGGTTATGCTGATGATGAAAATTTTGAAAAATCAAATTTTGAATCTGGAGATTTAAGTGAAACTGATTCTAATACAAATTCCAATATAAACTCGAATACAAATTCGAATGAAAATAATAATGAAAAATAATTGAATAGATAAAGAGGTACATTTATGTAGAAGTAATATAAAATTATCCTGCAAATTTTTGAAAATTTTACTACTTGAATTCTCTAGATTTTTTACTGAACCGATGAAATTTAAGATTGTTATCGTTATAAAAGAGAGACTTTAATGGATCTCTTTAGGATCTTGATCAATTTATATCTTTGGAATACTGTCGTGTGAAAAGATATGTTAAAGGATATATCCTAGAGCTTAACTATTGTGGTTGAGATGTTAAAAAAATTGAGGTACGGATGTAGTGAGATCTATAAACACAAAATCTTAAGATTTGCAGATACTAGATCCAAACGGTTTAAGATACGATTCTGATTATTACTTAGATTTCATTGCCTAAAACAATTTTGATGCAGTTGTATATAATTGCTTGGTAATTGAGTATGATCATGAGCTTGAACATTTGGATCACTATCAATATATTTATCTACAGAAATACCAGATTGATTAGTTTGAGTATTTAATGCAGCAGCAGCTAAATTTTGTTGTGTACTACTTCCGGATGTTGTCGAAGTTGGATTACCATTTGAATCTAATGTAGCATATAAAGAATTATTGTTAGGTGATGATGTTGATTTTGTTGTAACAACTACTCTAGAAGAATCAAGATCACTCTAGAAAAATGCAGTAACATCCCAACAAATTAATAATACGGCTCTAGAAAATTTAGGGACGTACAAACAATACAAAGATCCCGCAAACATCTACTTAAAACAAGAGAATGAAAGATTCAAGATGGTTGGACTAGAGAGATGAGATTTACAGAAACGAATCGGAAAACCCTTTTTAAAATATTGGCCACAACCAAAGGACTAGTCATATATTTTCATAGGCTAAACTTCGGCCATTTTCGTTACAAAGAACGAAACATGCGGACCTGCAATCTTTGCAAAAAAGAATTACCAGCAAGAAGAATGTCAAATCACCTTATATTTCGATGTCGGGCATCAAAATTGTTATTGCAAAAGACTGAACCCAAAGATCGTAGATTACAACTGAATTTTAATACGTAACTTAACTCTTCAGAGATGAAAAGCATTAACATGTATTTGAAAGCGTTTTTTAGACAAACCAAATCAACAAATGGATACCGGTGTTCCTAAATTTTGCGTAAGTTTAAATAGTTCATCGAAATGGTGTCATGAACTTTCAAAAGACAATATAGTAAGAAAACGAAAAATATATAAAAAAATGCAGAGGTTTTTAGATGGTAAAACAGAATTGCTACCTCAAAATTATATTACAAACTAAGTAGACTATATAGAAATCATTAGTTAGAAATCTTTCCTCTATAGATTAAGTTCATTCTTTTACTATTTAGCAAGCTAGACTATTGACCTAATAAACAATTTATAATGAAAAATAAAAAAAATGAAATGGAGATTGTTGTTGCAAATTATGATTCAATTGACAAGCTTAACTACTGTGGTTGAGAGGTCAAAAAAGTTGAGGTACGGATGTAGTGAGATCTATAAACACAAAATCTTGAGATTTGCAGATACTAGATCCAAACGGTTTAAGATACGATTCCGAATATTACCTATATTTAATTACGTAAAACAATATTAATTAGATTATATATAATTTCTTGGTAATTGAGTATGATCGTGAGCTTGAACATTTGGATCAATATCAATATGTTGATCTACAGAAATACCGGATTGATTAGTTTGAGTATTTAATGCAGCAGCAGCAGCAGCAGCGGTAGCAGCAGCTAAATTTTGTTGTTGACTATTTTGTTGTGTACTACTTCCAGAAGTTGTTGAAGTTGGATTACCATTTGAATCTAATGTAGCATATAAAGAATTATCATTTGATTGATGATGTTGATTTTGTTGTAATTGAATTGGATTTTGTTGTTGTAAATTATGATTCAATTGACCAATTAAATCTTGATAATTTGGAGTTGAAGGAATATTTGATAAAGCAGCATCTGCATTATGAAATTGACTCATATTATGTTGATGATGTTGTAAACGTTGAGATTTTGGTTTTGGAGGAGGTTTATTTAAAGGTTTTTGAACTAATTTTCTTGATTGTTTTTGTTTTTTCTTTTTACTTGATGGATCAGCTGGATGATTATGATGAGGATTAATCATTCTTAATATCCACATTTCCGGATTCAATATTTCTTCATCATTTGGAATTACATTCCCATTAGAATCAAATGAAACACCTGTAGAATTTTCATCATTTTCATTTTCTTCTTTTGATTTTTTCTTGATTTCCTTTTCAGTAGGATATAAATTTGCAACTAATCTAAAATTACATTTATTTCTTTTAGTATATGCAATTCTTTGTCTCTTTTCTGGATCTTTAACTGTTGTTCTAAAAGCTCCTGATCTTTCACATTGAAAATATATAGCCTTCGGTTTAGAACTATTTATAACTATTTTACAATGTTCTTCTGGTCCTAATATGTTTTTAACATATTTAATTAAATCAGGTTTATTATTAAATGTTTTTATAATTTCATTTTCAACATATCTTGATCTTAAATCTTCACCTGCTATAATTTCTGAATCAGAGAAACCACCAGGTGACTGTGGTTGATCAGTTTGATGTTGTTGGTGTTGTTGCGCATGTTGTTGTCCCTGGTGAACCTGATGTCCTTGGTGTTGGTGTTGTTGTTGCTGTTGCATTTGTTGAAGTTGAGCTTGAGCTTGAGCTTGTGCCTGAGCTTGTGCCTGAGCTTGTACTTGAGCTTGAACTTGAGCTCTGGCTTGAGCTTGAGCTTGAGCTTGGGCGTGCGATTGGGCATGATAGCTTGAATGGTGATGTTGTTGTTGCTGTTGCTGTTGCTGCTGTAATTCCTGTTGGTGTAACTGCTGTAATTGTTGATGTTGTTGCAATTCTTGCTGTTGTAATTGTTGTTGTCTTCTTTGTAACTCTGCTCGATGTTGTAATTCAGCAGAATAATATGGATGTTGCAGATGTTGATGTTGTTGTTGCTGACTCATTCTTAAATGCTGCGCTTGATTTGTACTTGGCTGTGGTAATGAAGCATGCTGTTGAGGTTGATGATGTTGATGTTGCTGTTGTGCATAAACTATATTTGAATCTTCATTTGATGAATTTAAATAGTTGGTGGGTGCTGAAACTTGAGGATCATAAAGTTCAGATTTTATTTCAATCTGATTTGATCTTTTCGATGGCATGATTTATAACTTGACAAACCAAAAACGAAATGTGTTTAGTTCAAATACAACTAATGAATTTGATTGTTTGATTGATTATTTGTTTATGGTTGCAAATAAATTCTATTAATGATTAGTCTGCAGGATGAACCTGTATGTTGTAAAATTTGATGTTGTTTTGATTTTGTTTCAATAAAATGATTTTGTATGAAGGAAAGATGAGTTTTGAACACGACACGACTTTACTTATAGTAATGAGTAGTGTATTTTTAACAAAGGTCAGATCGACAACTCAATTAAAAACGACAAAGGGATCTAACGATGACTCTGCTTGGAATCGTCAGACCTTGCTATAGTGATTTAAGAACCTGAATTGTAGATCATAAAAACATATATGTATATTGTTTGGATTTTTTTTAAATATAAAACTATGTAACAAATTTAAACAGCTAATGGGAAAGAACCAGCCCACTCAGAAATTTCCTTTTTAATATTTTCTAATTTTTCATCAGTTTCATTTAAGACCTTATTTTTGAAATCTTTTAATTTATTTGCATCTTTTGGTAAATTTGCTTGGGTTTCTTTTGCATAATTTACTGCAAAATCTATATAATTAACAATTTTTTTGAAATCTTCTTCACTTAAACCTCTTGTTGTCATTGCTGGTGCACCAATTCTTACTCCACCTGGTACTAAAGCTGATTTATCACCAGGAATTGAGTTTTTATTTAATGCAATATTTATTTTTTCACATACTGTTTCAACTCTAGCTCCATCAATTTGTTTATCTTTTAATGAAACTAAAACCATATGAGAATCAGTTCCATGACTTACTAATTTATAACCTTTATTTTTAAATTCATTTTCTAAAGATTTGGCATTTTTTAATACTTGTTCTTGATATTCTTTAAATTCTGGAGTGTTTGCTTGTTTTAAAGCAGTTGCTAATGCTGCAATAGTATGATTATGTGGACCACCTTGATGACCTGGGAAAACTGAAAAATTAATTGGATTTTCTAAATCATATAAAATTTCTTGACCAGTTTTTGGATTAATTGATCTAACTCCTCTTCTGAAAAAAATCATTGCACCTCTAGGACCTCTTAATGATTTATGTGTTGTAGTAGTAACAATATCAGCATATTCAAATGGTGATGGAATAACTCCAGCAGCAATCAAACCAGAAATATGAGCCATATCAACAACCAAATAAGCTCCAACTTTATCAGCAATTTCTCTCATTCTTTTATAATCAATTAATCTACAATAAGCAGAAGTACCTGCAACTAAGACTTTTGGTCTATATAAAATTGCGGTTTTTTCTAACATATCATAATCAATTAATCCAGTTTCTAAATCGACTCTATAAGGCATAGTTTCAAAATATGTAGAAACAGCACTAATTTTTCTTGAATCTGTTTGATATCCATGAGATAAATGACCACCATGAGGTAAATCTAATCCCATTAATCTTTCATGAGGTTTCATTATAGCTTGATACACTTGTAAGTTTGCTGGTGAACCAGATAATGTTTGAACATTAACTCCCCATTTTTCTGGTGATAAATTAAAAGCTTTTAAAGCTCTTTCTTGACATAAAAGTTCCATTCTATCTATATGTTCATTACCTCCATAATACCTTGCACCTGGATAACCTTCAGAATATTTATTACACATTGGAGTTCCTAAAGCATCAAAAACAGCAGTAGTTGTAAAATTTTCACTAGCTATTAAAACTATTGAATGTTTTTGTCTATCTACTTCATCATTAATGATTTGATAAACTTGAGGATCGGTTTCCTTTAAATGACCTTCGGTCAATTGTCTGTGAGTATCTGATAAAGCGTAAGACATAGTGTAATTTGATGGACTAAATACTTTAATGTTTGAGATTATGACTCGTTAGTTGAGATGATTCAATAGTCTTAATGAAATATTTATCCTTATTATTTTTTTTTTTTTTCAATCTTATTACACGATTAATTTGTTCAGAGTCAAAATAATAATATGATCTCTGATTTTATGAAGTTTAAAAGAAACGTTTCCTTTAGGCCCAAAAATGCCTTTACAATAGTAGCTGTTAAAGCTATTAATCACACTATGGATGTCTGGACGATTTTCACTGATGAAGTTGTTCATTTTATCAAGCCGTGGGACAATAATGTACCGCATCTAATGTTACACAAGATCGAGGTTGAGATTTTGTACAAATGAGTCAATTCAATTCTCATTCTTAGCTGATTGAAATGAAGTTCCATTGACAAACTTTGATTTATTCATGTGAGTAAGTCACCCGTAAAGCGAGAAATTCATTCAGGTATCGATTTTGCGGCTAATCTGTGATTTTGATGTATAATTTAATTGGCCTCAATATTGCTAGCTAATCAAGTAAAATCAATCTTGTATTGAGAATTTTACTTTAAAACTTCATTTTCTACATTCACCATCTACAATTTACAACTGTTTGTTCTATATCCATCTTTAACTCTTCTACAATAATTATCTAAAAAACCTAAGAATTTGCTTTTCCCATATTGTTTAGGGAAGAGTTATATCAATAACTGTATGCTATCCGATGTGCTAGGAAAGAGAATTCTACCTTCAACACTAAATTTTCAAAATTGAGTTACAGGTAACTGTTCTTTATCAAATGTATCAAATATTAGCTTTGTCTTAAAACTGACTAAATAAGTTCTATATAAAATTTAGCTACAACCAAATCAATTACCTCTGTCATGAATTATCTTCTCCCTCAATATAAAGTCACTCTTAATCTATGAGCTATAGCTAACTTAGGTATCACCACACAAAGACAACTGACACCATTTAATATAAATAAATTTAAATCATAATGTGAATAATGTGTACTAATTAAAAACAAACATATGGGCACCAACATTAAAAATTTTTTAGTTGGAGTATATTGATCACCATTATCAATTTGTTCCCACATTGTTAAATTATCATATGCTCCACTATTAAATTCAAATGGAGTACCTTTAACTTGATGAAACATAATATATGAACCAATAGTATAAGTTAAATTAGTTAATGTCCATTTCCAATCATTATCCAATACATTTATAAAATTATAAAATATTTTTAATAATATTATTATAACAATATGAATAATCCATGCACCCTTTTGATGAACCCAATTAGCATTTACATTAGGATTTAAAGCTTGATCTATTTTCGTATCTAAAGTATCTGGTTCCAAATGTTGTATTAACGATGATGATCTACGTTGTCTTGTAACTGCATGAGCCGGTTGATGATGTGATGGTGTCGGAGTTAGATCATTTATATTTGCACTATTACTTCTTATTCTTGATGGTGATGTTGATGTAGAACTTAATCCTCCACTTGTATTATTTGAACCAGATGGAATTGCACTACCCCTTCTTGATGTTGATGAGCTTATTCCTGAATTATATATCAATGCAGATGTAGTTGATGACGGTGTATTTGAATTTGGAGAATTATTCAATGGCGGTTGTCTCAATTCTTGTTTATGAGTTGCAGCTGTTGTTGCATTTGGGGGTGTTACTTTGATTTCAGCGGGATTTAGTAATGTATTTTTTGATCTAGATGTAGTTTCAGTCATGATGTATTGTGAATGTGATGAACTTTCGATAAAATATTATGTTTAAGCTGTAAATTTGATAGCTTGTAAATGAAAGAAAATCTAGAATGTGTCGTTTATATCCTTGATTAAATGAGTCCAATTATCAATCAATTATGTTTGTTAGTTCTAATAATCAACTTCAAATAAAGCCAAATCAATTGATAATTATATTGATATGTACTTGAATTATTGTATATGAATTGAATTCTATCTTATAGTATTGTTAAAAAAAATTGATCGTTTAATAATTTTTATATCCTGTTAATCTTAGCCTAATATTTTTCTCTCTCCTTTCAAGTGTAATTTGATGTGTTAATATACTAAATTTATCACTGATTGTTCTTTGTTATCAATGAATGAAAGCTGATGTTAGTATAAACAAGTGATCGAGCTATAATTAGTAAATTGACAGCACAAGGGATATATATCTTCTTATTTAAAATTTGTAAGTAGAAGATAACAGATGGTATATTAATTTATTACGTATAAGCCTGAGGTGGAGAGGCGAAAAAAAAGTTAAATAAGAATATTTGGTCACACCCTTTATAGACGAAAGGCAGAAGGAGAAGAAGAATGGGTACAGCATAGTTTTTGGAAAATTCAGTTTACTTCGCGACCCGTTGAACAATTTAAGCTCAGAAGCTTGAAGATTCAATTAATAATTATCTCACTGAAGACATGGCTTGCATTTTGCCAATTAATCATGACATATATTCTCCGAATTAGTTGGAGCTGATGAATTTTAGTGTAGGAAACAAATATTTATTCCCAAGAGGCTTATACCTAATCTTTCAAACAGTACATTTGACCTTACATGGAGGAGTTCCATACATACTTCATAACTTTCCTTTATTCTATAGTTTATATAGACTCTATACCTCTCTAAAATAATGTATCAAATTTATATACAGGTATCGTACAAAAATATTAAATAAGAGAGAGATGCTCATTTGAAATTTAATACCATTAGTAGATCAACTCTAAACGAACCAATTGCATTAGGAAAAGATTAATACTACTCAATATACACCATGCCTAAATCAAAACGTTCTAAATTAGTCACGTTATCACAAACTGATAAAAAGGGTAAAGAAGCTAAAACCAAATTATTTGATGAAATAAGAAATGCGTTAGATTCATATTCAAATGTATATATTTTACAAATGAAAAATATAAGAACTCCTGTTTTACAAGATATAAGGTCAGATTGGTCAGAATCAAAATTGATAATGGGTAAAAGAAAAGTTATACAAAAATCATTTGGTGAAACTATTGAAGAAGAATATTTAGCTGGATTAGCTAAATTAACTAAATTATTAAATAAAAGTAAAAACAAGGAAGAAATAATACCTGGCGTATTATTTACTAATGAAAATGATCAAACAGTTAAAGATTATTTTGATGCATATACTAAACAAGATTACACTAGAGTTAAATCACAATCTCCAATAACATTTGAAATTCCTGAAGGAATAGTATATTCAAGGGGTGGTCAAATTCCAATTGAAGAAGATATTCCAATGTCTCACTCATTAGAAGAAACATTAAGAAATAAATACAAAATCCCCACCAAAATCAAAAGTGGTAAAATCATTTTGGAAAAACCATACTTGGTTTGTAATGAAGGTGATATATTAGATGTTAGACAAGCATTGATATTAAAACAATTTGGTATTGCAAGTAGTGAATTTAAGGTTCCTTTAGTTGGTCATTTTAATAAAGAAAGTGGTGAAGTAGAAGAAATAATAACTAAAGATGAGGAATAAAATGTTAAGAAAGATTAATAATACAAAGTAGAATTAAATTCTATAAACTTTTTGACTTCAATCTTCTTCTTCTTCTTGTATTTCCTTTTCTATTTCTTCGTCTTTTACTTGAACAAAGTGTAAAAGCGCTGGATGTTTTCCAATATTTCTTAATCCATATTCGTTTCCCAGTGGTATACAAAAAGTACAACCTTTAATTACAATAAATACTTCATCATTAAATGTAACTTCAACTGAACCTTTTACTACCAATAAAAAATAAGCACTTGAAGTAATTTTAACTGGTGGTTTCAAACCTTTTAATTCTAATAAACCCACTGCACAATTTCCTATTATATCATTGAAGAGAGTTGCAATTTTTAAATTTGGATCTTCTACAGTTGTACCATCTTCTTCATTATATAAAGCAGGTGATTGGAAAACTCCATAATCTGAACTATATGCAATAGCTTTTTCAACAATTTTTCCATGTTCAGGAATATCCATTTGTAAAATCTGATCTTTCAACCATGAAGCTCCAGGAATATTTGGATCATCCAACTGTTGCTCTTCTTCATCCGATCTTTGTTCTTGTTGTTCATCTGAACTTATTGGAGATATTGGTGCAACTACTTTATGTCGTTTTCTCCTTTTGGTTGATTTTCTATTCTTATACCCACTAGTTGGCTCTGGTACATGAACAACTTCCTTGATCAGTCTTAGTGGGATATTGTGTATGTCTCTGGCTAAAGTAGTGTCTGGATCATCCAGATCATTACTTAATTGACTTGCTTTGGTGTATATAACTCTTTCATTTCTCCAAAAAGCCACGGGAGGAATTCTTGTTCTCTTTGATCTACGTAGCCCATCAGTTGGTGGAGAAGGTAATGACTCAACTTGTGATCTTACTTCATTTGATGGTTGAGGTGACGTCGCATTTTTTCGTTTCTTGGATTGTGCAGTATTAGGATCACCAGATGAAGATGATGGTAAAGAATCACCCACGGAAGATTCATCATCCCCATAAGTGGTTTCATCAATTGAATCAATTCGAGTATCCTGATAAGAAGAGACTGAAGGCTGAGTTTCTTCGCGTGAATCCTCAGAATCCGGACTTATCGCTCGTTTTTGCTTTCTAGAATTGGCCACTCTTGTAAATTGTAATGAAGGTGATGCTTCTCTTGTATCAGGAGGACTTTTACTAAGATCATTTTGATTATACGACGGTATATAGTCTTCAATGTTTTGATTGTCATTAAAATCATCATTATCGAATTGATTGTGATCAAATTCATCTTCTGGTTGAATATTTTCAGTTTGTTCTTGGTGTTGTTCAGGTAATGGGGATCTTAGTGGAGATTGTTTATTTAATCCAGGAGACTTATTTAATTGTAGCAGTGGACTATTTGATTGATCCTTATTTGTTTCATCTTCGTTATCGAAATTTATCCTTCTGGCAACATAGTTGAATGGTGATTGATCATTTTCCTTATTACTTTCATTGAAACTATCATTATTTTCCTCCCTATTACTTTCGGTAGGTTCATGTATGTTATTATAATCATAATCATTAAAATCCACTTTATCCTGATAGACAATAGGTTCCGTTCTTCGCGTTTGTCTCGGCACAGATTCGACATCTAAGTCAGTTATAGAATTCGAGGATTGTTTTTGTCGTAGTAAGTCTTCTTCAAACTGTTGGAATCGAATATGATCTTGTGTATTATCTGCCATATATTCATCTATACTTTGCATCCCATCTTCATCTCTCGGTAGTTCATTCCTTGCTTCTAAGCCTAGTCTTCTGGATAGCTGACCAGCAAAAAGTCTATCCATTAGGTTGAATATTTGTATTTATATGGATTAGGTGGTTGGATTCTTCTTGGTGGCTCGTTAGGTCGTAAAATTTGTTTACTTGTGAACTTTTTGTTTGTTTTTGTTTTGATTTTCGGTAGCGCGATTTCTTCCATGATCGCGCTTTTTTACTACTGTCAAATCAACAGACTTTGTTCATTACCAGATCTACAAACACTTTAGAATTACGATAGACCTATGTAAAATTAGCTAACCCTACTTATGGCTAGTTCTATCCTTGATACTTTGGGTATGGCTGTATGAAATTTTTGAATAGTACGAAAAAGTCGAATCATGTATAGTCCCAAAACCACTTTACACACTATTCAACAGATTAAAACATGTATCATTAAGTACCGTCTTGAACCTAATTTGAATTCATTCAGATTGCTCATAAAATTGAGATTATAGCTTCAATAAATACAAGCATTAACCAAATAAAATGTATCTTTCAAATCTTTATTTGTAAGCTTTTTACAAAGCATATTTTAGTAGCTAAAGCAAATATGAATTGACAAAAATTTATTTACCAGTCTATTCAATAGCCAAGTCTATCTATAGATCTGTTACACAATACTGTAGATCCGGCCGATCTGAACGTGACTAAAGTGAGATCTGATCTTAATTTGTTATGCCATCTACAGTTTTTTGTAATGCTTTTAAGTTTTCTGTTATGCACCAGTTTGTTTCTTTGTTATGCTAGAATAAACGTATTTTTGTTATGCTGTCAAATTTGGTTATGCCATACCAGAAAAAGCAGAATTCGTTATGCAATCGAAATTTGCATAACAGCTTTTTTTGATGTGAAACCCCACATTATTGTTTTATTTCTTAGTTTGATGAGCTTTTATTCTCCGCTATGCTAAATTTCCAATTTGTGGTTCTTTAGATCCACTGCTTGCTCCTATTCTTATGTTTTAAATTGTGTAAATCGATAGGCTGAACCATTTGCAAACTATTTGTATTATATAGACCATCTGCTCAATTATCCTTTTGTGATATGATATGCTCCTATTTTTGGTATGCTAGTTCGCTTTTTTTGATATGCTATCTGCTTATTTTGATATGCTCAATATGATTGTTTTTGATATGCCGAATTGTTGTTTTTTGTTATGCTGAATTCCTATTATTTGATATGCCGACTGATTTTTATGTTATGCCGATTTCTTTTTTGATATGCTGGCTTGATTTTTTTTGATATGCTAGCTTCAATTTTTGATATGCTAGCTTCGTCTTTTTGTTATGCCAACTGCAATTTTTCTGATATGCTAAGTTGAGTTATTTGATATGCCGAGATATATATTTTGTTATGCTGAATTGTTTTATTTGATATGCTGCTTTTTTGATATGCCACATCGAGTTTTTTGATATGCCAAATAGTATTTTTTGATATGCCACGCTCATGTTTCTTGTTATGCTAAATTTAACTTCTTTGATATGCTAGCAGTTCTTGTTGATAAATATTACATTTAGTATGCTAACTATGTTTCTTAAAATGCCAATTGTGTATTTGTCAAAATGCCAGTTGTGTCTATTGTATCACCACAAGGTAATTCGATTGAAACACATCCCAACTTCCTGAAAAACAAAAGCATTGAGCTTGTAGGTATAAAGGTAATGAGCATATATAGAAGCTGCAAAATTACTATGTTTGTTTCTGCAAGAAATTAACTTCGTCTTGAAAGTAAGTAAATACCGAAAAATGTTTCAAAGTCATTTTGCGCGCAGGGCGTTAGCATCTTAATATGACTCGAATTTCATTCAACATATTAGTAAAATCTCATAAATCAATATGATCACTTTAGACTTTAATGAATTTATCGATCTAATACCTGAGAGTGTTCATGAGGATATTCCACAGAAACTAAATCAGCAAAACTCTCTGAAACTAAAAGAATTGATCAAAAATTCCCTTAATTCAATCCACACATCAAAAGAAATAATTCCAACATCATCAGAGTCCAATTCAGGTTTGGGGGTAGGCGAAAGTGAAGAAGAAAAGGTATTCAACATACAAGCTCAATCTTTAAACATGAACGATGTCATTTTAGACGTCGAGAATTTAAATCAAATTCCTCTGAATTCAGATGAATACGAAAATGAAAATAATGGAGAACAGCCGAACCCTGAAGTTTTAGAGTATTTGGAGTTCAAGAAAAACCATCAATTAAAATTCATGAAAGAAATTAAGGAGAAAAATTTAAATTTGAAGTCGAATGTCGGCAGTTCAAATAAATTCATGAATTATTAATCAAGACGAGATCTCCTACTACAAAATTCTACATTTTAACCAATTGAAGTGACAATTTGAAAGCTATCATCACTGATATGTAGCAAATATCTATAAGAGTTTTATGCTTGAATAAAATGAGGCTCTGCTTTGGAAAATCAAATCAACACTTGATCTAGAGGTGTCTTGTTATAAAAATCAATTCCAGGCAGTGAGACCAACTTGGTATTTCATACTCAAGCAGCAGTTGCATATTAATACAAAATAATAGCTTCCCTTCCTCGTCTCATGTAACTGTACTGAAACCACGATGCACTACGAGTCTCAAATTATCATGTTGGGTAACATCAAGTTCTTCTTAATTGTATTAGCGTCAGCGAAACAAAATATGCAGACGGACAGGTTGCAAACCGAATTTCACAATGCTCATATTGGGCCCGGAGTGTGCAACAGTTCCTGGCCGAACGGATGTTCAGCGTTTCTGAACTTGATTTCTGTGATCATTGATGTTACTATTAAATGATTGAAAGTCGTTAATATTTTTGCACCCATTCTAGAATCCTTAAAACTATTAATAAATTATTAATAATATCGCAGTTTTAATTACGGAAACCTCAAAATAAAAATTAGTGGCATAAGTTGGCTCGTAAATTCGTAATTAGATTTGGCAAAGAATCGGATCACTGTCTACACAAAATTAAATTACAAGCTGTTATTGACATGGTTAGAGTCTTTAAGTACTTAATTTTTTCATTGGGTATTAATAATATTAGTAAAGTTGTTACACAAAACGATGATGAATGAAACAACCAATATTGTACCAATAAATCATGTCTAGATTTTATTTTTTGAATTTAGAGACAATTTTATTTAATGCAAAATTCAAGCCCCGTCATTATTATTATGCAATCCTTGATGGTTTTAGTACCTATCTCGTGAATTTGGTTTAATCAATTAGCAACTAAATCCGTCGGTATTAAATTCAATTTCATCTTTAACGTTATTTCTTTTCAATTTATTCAGTAAAGAAGTAAGCAAATCAAAATTACATAATAATTTGATAGTAACCGCATTTCATGTTCATTTTCAACGGTGGATACCTGCCAGATCTGGCAACTTTTGGCTCCATGAACACACTTGAAGTCTGCAAGGCAAGCTTCGAGTACCACCTTATACCAAAGTAGTAAAGCTTGTTCTTAAATTAGCTTTCAATTTATTGTCTTAACTGACATGAACCTTGAAAGTCGCTACCAGACTTTTTAGAATGGACTTAGTCACTAAATTGGAAATGATAATAACTATTTCAAATTAAGACTTTAACTTTGTCACTTCTTTTATAAATTTCAAAACAATTCTTTGAGCAAAACTGAAACTAGTATAAATGAGATGGCAATTCCTAACCTTCAAAATTGGAAATTTAAAAGATGAATGAAAAATTGTATTTCAAGTTCAACTCATACTCAAATAGAAATCCAAAATTACGTGTAATTATCAAAATCTCAAATGGCTGCAAGAGGTGAAACAAATGGTCTTTCTTCAACAACATCAGAATCCTCAGACTTGACAACGGTATCGATAAATGACTTCGTTGGAAATTTAAATGATAATTCTGCTAGATTTAATACCACATATAACGAACGTAATTTCAATTCCAATCAAATTGATGATGATGAAGAAGAGAATAAAAAATTGGAAATAGTTAGAACAATAACCAGTTTAACTCATAAGCAAGAATTAACTAAATTAGATACTATATCGAATGAAATTTCACGTCAAATAACAAACAAGGAAGGAGATTTTCAATTAAAATTGGATGAGTTCAACCTTTTCAAAATTCTATCAAACTTTGTTTATTTTTCAAAAAAACAAGGTATTAAACTAAGAAATAGTGGTGTCACTTTCAAAGATCTTTGTGTTTATGGAACTGATGAATCTTTTGCAATTGTTCCTACTGTACTAGATTTATTGAAAGGTCCAATCGGTATAATTGAAAAAATTATCGCTTCTGCTAGAACTCAAAATAAAAAAATTTTGAGTAATTTAAATGGTATTGCTAAACCTGGTGAAATGTTATTAGTGTTAGGTAGACCTGGTGCTGGTTGTACAACTTTCTTAAAATCATTAACTGGTACTGATTTTGATTTATATAAAAAGATTGATGGTGATATTAGATATGATGGTTTACCACAAAAGGAAATGATTCATAAATTTAAAAATGATTTGGTTTATAATCCAGAATTAGATGTTCATTTCCCACATTTAACTGTTGATGAAACTATAACTTTTGCTATTGCATGTAAAACTCCGAATATTAGAATCAATGGTGTATCAAGAGAAGAATTTATTAATGCTAAAAAGGAGATATTAGCAACAGTTTTAGGGTTAAGGCATACTTATCATACAAAAGTTGGAAATGATTTTGTTAGAGGAGTTTCTGGTGGTGAAAGAAAAAGAGTATCAATTGCTGAAGCATTAGCTTGTAATGGATCAATCTATGGGTGGGATAACAGTACAAGAGGTTTAGATGCTGCTTCAGCTTTAGAATTTGCGAAAGCTATTCGTATGTATCATCATTTTGGCCAATATATTTGATATTGAAGATTGAAATACTAACACAATATAGGTACATCAACAAAAATCTTGAAAACAACAGCATTTGTTTCAATTTATCAAGCAGGAGAAAATGTTTATGAATGTTTCGATAAGGTCACTGTTTTGTATTTGGGTAGACAAATATATTTTGGTAGAATAGAAAATGCAAAAAAGTATTTTGAAAATATGGGATGGCAATGTCCTCCGAGACAAACTACACCTGAATTTTTAACTGCATTAACTGATCCAATTGGAAGAACTCCCAAACCTGGTTGGGAAAGTAAGGTACCAAAAACTGCTGAAGAATTTGAACAACGTTGGTTAAATTCAAGAGAATATCAAGAATTAATTAATGAAATTAATGAATATAATGAGTCAATTGATGAAGATGAAAAAAGATCTCAATATTATGAATCAATTAAACAAGAGAAGATGAAATATGCAAGAAATAACTCACCTTTCAATATTTCATATTTACAACAACTAAAATTATGTACGATAAGAAGTTCTCAAAGAATTTGGAATGATAAAGCTTATACTATTACATTAATTTGTGCTGCTGTTTCACAATCATTAATAGCTGGTTCATTATATTATAATACTCCAGAAACTGTATCAGGTGCTTTTTCAAGAGGTGGAGTTGTCTTTTTTGCTATATTATTTATGTCATTAATGGGTTTAGCTCAAATTTCTGCATCATTTGCAAGTCGTCCAATTTTAATGAAACAAAAAAATTATTCAATGTATCATCCTTCAGCTGATTGTTTAGCAGATTTTGTAATGTCAATCCCAATAAGTATTTTAATTAATACATTTTTTGTTATAATTATTTATTTCCTATCAAATTTATCAAGACAAGCTGGTAAATTTTTTATTTGTTATTTATTTGTTATTTTGTTACATCTAACTATGGGTTGTATGTTTCAATCAATTGCTGCTATAAACAAAACTATTGCTGGTGCAAATGCAATTGGTGGTGTTTTTATGTTGGCTTCATTAACTTATTCATCATATTTGATTCAAAGACCTTCAATGCATCCTTGGTTTAAATGGATTTCATATATAAATCCTGTTTTATATGCTTTTGAAGCAGTTATTGCTAGTGAATTTCATGGTAGACGTATGGATTGTGATGGACAATATTTAACACCATCTGGTACAGGATATGAAAACTTAAGTAGCGGTGAACAAGTTTGTGCATTTACTGGTTCAAAACCTGGTCAAAATTGGATATTAGGTGATGATTATCTATTTTTATCTTATACTTATAAATTTGATCATGTTTGGAGGAATCTTGGAATTTTGATTGGATTTTTAGCATTTTTTTTAACAATTACTTGTTTGGGTACTGAATATATTAAACCAATATCTGGTGGTGGTGATAGTTTATTGTTTTTAAGAGGTAAAGTCCCCAATAGAGTTGTTTTAACTGAAGAAGAAAGACATGGTCAAGATATGGAATCAGGACCTGCAGTTAGTCAATTGGATGATCGTGAATGTTCTATTCAAGAACAAGAGAATAGCGTTAATGATGATAATGTTGATGAGTTTAAAGTTAAAGATGTATTTATATGGAGAAATGTTGATTATATTATACCGTATGATGGAAAAGAAAGAAAACTATTAGATAATGTTAGTGGATATTGTATTCCTGGAACATTAACTGCATTAATGGGTGAATCTGGTGCTGGTAAAACTACTTTATTAAATACTTTAGCTCAAAGAATTGATTTTGGTACAATAACTGGTGAGATGTTAGTAAATGGTAAACCCCTCGATTTATCATTCAGTAGAAGAACAGGATATGTTCAACAACAAGATATTCATGTTTCAGAAGTTACTGTTAGAGAATCATTACAATTTGCAGCAAGATTAAGGAGATCAAATGATATAAGTGATAGGGAGAAATTGGATTATGTTGAAAAAATCATTGATATATTGGATATGAGATTGTATGCTGATTCAATTGTTGGTAAAATGGGAAGTGGATTGAATGTTGAACAACGTAAGAAATTATCAATTGGTGTTGAATTAGTTGCTAAACCTTCTTTATTATTGTTTTTGGATGAGCCTACTTCTGGATTGGATTCATCTAGTTCTTGGGCAATAGTTCAATTATTACGTAAATTAGCTAATGCAGGACAATCAATCTTATGTACTATACATCAACCATCTGCTACATTATTTGAAGAATTTGATAGATTATTATTATTAAAAAAAGGTGGTCAAACAGTTTATTTTGGTGATATTGGGAAAAGATCTAAAATAATTTTGGATTATTTTGAAAGAAATGGAGCAAGACATTGTGAAGATGATGAAAATCCTGCTGAATATATCTTGGAAGCAATAGGAGCTGGTGCTTCCGCTGGTAATGTTTCAAATTGGCATGAAAAATGGTTGAATTCAGATGAAAGGATTGAAACAGATAATAAAAGAGATGAATTGATTGATGAATTAAGTTCAAAACCATCAACTTTAACTAAAAAGGAAATTAAAGATTTAAATAATCAATATGCTACTCCTTATTGGTATCAATTTCGTTGGGTTTGTGAAAGAAATGCAATAACATTTTTTAGAGATCCAGAATATGTAATGGCTAAATTATTTTTAATGACAATTAGTGGATTATTCATTGGTTTCACATTTTATGGATTAAAACATACAATAACTGGAGCTTCAAATGGTGCATTTTGTGCATTTTTAGCAGTTGTTGTTTCTGCTCCTGTTATAAATCAAATTCAAGAAAAAGCTATTAATGGTAGAGATTTATATGAAGTTAGAGAAAAATTATCAAATACTTATCATTGGTCGTTAATGATTATTGCTCAAACTTTAAATGAAATGCCATATTTAATTATTGGTGCAGCTTTTATGTTTGTTTCATTATATTTTCCAACTAAAGTTAATTATACAGCACTGCATTCAGGAATGTTTTATTTTACTCAAGGTATATTCTTACAAGGATTTGCTGTATCATTTGCTTTAATGGTTTTATATATAGCACCAGATTTACCAAGTGCTAATGTATTAGTATCTTTTTTATATACATTTGTTGTTGCATTTGCAGGTATTGTTCAACCAGTTTCATTAATGCCAGGATTTTGGACTTTTATGTATAAACTTTCACCATATACTTATTTTATTCAAAATTTAACTTCATCATTTTTAGAAGGTAGAGAAATAAGATGTAATGAAAAAGAATTATCATATTTTAATCCACCTAGTGGTCAAACATGTCAATTTTTTGCATCAAATTATATAAAACGAGTTGGTGGTTATATTACAAATCCTAATGATTCAATAAATTGTGGATATTGTAGATATAATAATGCAAATGATTATTTGTTAACAATTGGAGCTAAATTTTCATTAAGATGGAGAAATGTTGGATTCTTTTTTGCTTATATTTTTTTTAATATTATTATTTGTATGGTTCTTTATTATACTTTGAGATATAGTAGGTTTACTACAAAGGTTACAAATGTTTTGAACAATCTAATTCCAAAGAAAAAGAAGTAGATGAATAGGTATATTTGGTTTAGAGGTCATATTTTGTCTTACTATTTGTATAATAAACTATATAGAACAATTATTAAAAATATGGAAAACCATTAGTAATTTTACTTTCAAAATACGATATCTAATACGTAAGTATCATTTTGAACTCCTGAATATAATTCATTTGACTAAATAACTTTATGTAGGCTAACTCAAATTTGACAGCAGTTGTCTCTTTTTTCCAGTGAATTCTATCACAAAATAATGTTTCTTTCCTTTAGTTGGATGTGTTGGCTTGTATAACTGAATATGCGGGAAGAGGATAAAATTTTATCTGATGCTAGCCGTCGCTTAAAATTTTATCTGATGCTAGCCGTCGCTTAAATTAAAAAATACTTAAGGATTTAAGGATTTATAATGTCCGTATAGTCTAGAAGAGATTTTGTACGAGTGAAAAAATACGGAGATTAACAAGAAGGAACAGAGATATAGCACAGATTGAAAGTACAAAAAACAAAACCAAAAACATTATATTTAACAGAATTCGAGGATGGGCATTTGTTTGATTTGATTGAATCTTGAAAGATGGCTGTAGATTTTAGGGATTCTCACAACCAATTGCTAAATCATTTCAAAGTAATGGTTATGGTTTATACTACACATTAATAATAGTACTATCTTACTATAAAGAATCAAGCGCAACTTAATAAGAATAAAAGATACACAAAAACAAAAAATAAAAATAAAACCGTTTCATATTAAAAGTTTAATGAATTTAATTTTGTGTAACATTTAATTATTAACATTTTACTAATATTATTATTATGTTAGTAGATATAGAAAATATAATGTAAATAGTCTATAAGTAAAATAAATTATATTTAATATGACTAAAGGGTATATGAAGATGAAAATATAATTGATTATTATTTTCTCATATAAATAAAAACAAATCCATTCAAAAAGCCAAGAAGGAAATTGCATTAATATATCTATATAAGCAATTAGAGATTCAAGTTATTATCTAATCTAATATTATATTGAATTTTTATAGATATTACCACAACTACTACTTAAAATTATAATTTATCAACTGAAATTAAACTTTGGAATCATAAACATTCGATTCATTAAAAAGTCCGAAACTTTATTTCATTAATTATGTCATTGAATGCAACTAAAGATGATGATGAAAGAAATAAATCAAATGTAAACAACATTAATGGTAATAGCAATACTAATACAAATACAAATACTTTATCAACATCAAAAACCTCTTCTTCTACTGCAGGTTCAACAAATGAATCTATTGAAGATTTTGTAGGAGGTATAAACAATTATTCAAACAAAATTGAGAATAAAGATGACAATGAAAAAACTTTTAATCAATATGATCATGATTATAGAGAAAATGAAGATGATGAAAGTAGAAGATTAGAATTAGTTAGAACAATTACTCAATTTTCACAAAAAGATGGATTAACTAAATTAGATTCAATTTCAAAAGAAATATCACGTCAAATAACAAATAAAGAAGGAGATTTTCAATTAAAATTGGATGAATTCAACCTTTTAAGAATTTTATCAAATTTTGTCTATTTTTCAAAAAAACAAGGTATTAAACTAAGAAATAGTGGTGTCACTTTCAAAGATCTTTGTGTTTATGGAACTGATGAATCTTTTGCAATTGTTCCTACTGTACTAGATTTATTGAAAGGTCCAATCGGTATAATTCAAAAAATTATTGCATCTGCTAGAACTCAAGATAAGAAAATTTTAAATAATTTAAATGGAATTGCTAAACCTGGTGAGATGGTTTTAGTCTTAGGTAGACCTGGTGCTGGTTGTACAACTTTCTTGAAATCATTAACTGGTACTGATTTCGATTTATATAAGAAGATTGATGGTGATATTAGATATGATGGTTTACCACAAAAGGAAATGATTCATAAATTTAAAAATGATTTGGTTTATAATCCGGAATTAGATGTTCATTTCCCACATTTAACTGTTGATGAAACAATAACTTTTGCTATTGCATGTAAAACTCCGAATATTAGAATAAATGGTGTATCAAGAAAAGAGTTTATTAATGCTAAAAAGGAAATATTAGCAACAGTTTTAGGTTTAAGGCATACTTATCATACAAAAGTTGGAAATGATTTTGTTAGAGGGGTATCTGGTGGTGAAAGAAAAAGAGTATCAATTGCTGAAGCATTAGCCTGTAATGGATCAATCTATGGATGGGATAATAGTACAAGAGGTTTGGATGCTGCTTCAGCTTTAGAATTTGCAAAAGCTATTCGTATGTATTATCATTTCAGGCCAACATATTTTATGATTTAAAATACTAACACAATTTAGGTACATCAACTAAAATCTTGAAAACAACAGCATTTGTCTCAATTTATCAAGCAGGAGAAAATGTTTATGAATGTTTCGATAAGGTCACTGTTTTGTATTTGGGTAGACAAATATATTTTGGTAGGATTGAAAATGCAAAAAGATATTTCGAAAATATGGGATGGCAATGTCCTCCGAGACAAACTACTGCAGAATTTTTAACAGCATTAACTGATCCAATTGGAAGAACTCCCAAACCAGGTTTTGAAAAGAAAGTTCCACAGACAGCTGAAGAATTTGAACAACGTTGGTTAAATTCAAAAGAATATCAAGACATGATTGATGAAATTGACGATTACAATCAATCAATCAATGAAGATGAGAAAAGATCACAATATTATGAATCAATTGAACAAGAAAAAATGAAGTATACAAGAAAAAATTCACCTTTTACTATTTCATATATGCAACAATTAAAATTATGTACTATTAGAAGTGCTGAAAGAATTTGGAATGATAAAGCTTATACAGTTACACTTATTTTAGCTGCGGTATCTCAGTCATTAATAGCTGGTTCATTATATTATAATACTCCAGAAACTGTATCGGGTGCTTTTTCAAGAGGTGGTGTTGTTTTCTTTGCTGTATTATTTATGTCATTGATGGGTTTAGCTCAAATTTCTGCTTCATTTGCTAGTCGTCCTATTTTAATGAAACAAAAAAATTATTCAATGTATCATCCTTCAGCTGATTGTTTAGCAGATTTTGTCATGTCAATACCAATAAGTATTTTGATCAATACTTGTTTCGTCATAATCATTTATTTTTTATCAAACTTGGCAAGACAAGCTGGTAAATTCTTTATATGTTATTTATTTGTTATATTGTTACATTTGACTATGGGTTGTATGTTTCAAGCTGTTGCTTCAATCAATAAGAATATTGCTGGTGCTAATGCTATTGGTGGGGTATTAATGTTGGCTTCATTAACTTATTCATCATATTTAATCCAAAGACCATCAATGCATCCTTGGTTCAAATGGATTTCATATATTAATCCTGTTTTGTATGCTTTTGAAGCAGTTATTGCTAGTGAATTTCATGGTAGACATATGGATTGTGATGGTCAATATTTAACCCCATCTGGTCCCGGATATGAAAATTTAAGTAGTGGTGAACAAGTTTGTGCATTTGTTGGTGCACAACCTGGTCAAAATTGGGTTTTAGGAGATACTTATTTATATCTTTCCTATACTTATAAATTTGATCATGTTTGGAGAAATTTAGGTATATTAATTGGATTTTTAGCATTTTTTTTAGCAATCACTTGTTTGGGTACAGAATATGTAAAACCAATTTCAGGTGGTGGTGATAAATTATTATTTTTAAGAGGTAAAATTCCTCATAAAATTGTACTTTCTGATGAGAAAAGAGATAATCAAGATATGGAAGCTGGACCAGAAATTGATCAATTGGATGATCGTGGACCAAAATTACAAAGTGATGATGATGATTTAAGAGTAAAAGATGTATTTGTTTGGAGAGATGTAAATTATGTTATACCATATGATGGTAAAGAAAGAAAATTATTAGATAATGTTAGTGGATATTGTATTCCTGGAACTTTAACTGCATTAATGGGAGAATCTGGTGCAGGTAAAACTACTTTATTAAATACTTTAGCTCAAAGAATTGATTTTGGTACAATAACTGGTGAGATGTTAGTAAATGGTAAACCCCTCGATTTATCATTCAGTAGAAGAACAGGATATGTTCAACAACAAGATATTCATGTTTCAGAAGTTACTGTTAGAGAATCATTACAATTCGCAGCAAGATTGAGAAGATCAAATGATGTAAGTGATGAGGAAAAGCTTGCTTATGTTGAAAAAATCATTGATATATTAGATATGAGATTGTATGCTGATTCAATTGTTGGTAGGTCTGGTAATGGTTTAAATGTTGAACAACGTAAGAAATTATCAATTGGTGTTGAATTAGTTGCTAAACCTTCATTATTATTATTTTTAGATGAGCCAACTTCGGGTTTGGATTCTTCAAGTTCTTGGGCTATAGTAAAATTGCTTAGAGATTTAGCTAATGTTGGTCAATCAATCTTATGTACTATTCATCAACCATCTGCTACATTATTTGAAGAATTTGATAGATTATTATTATTGAAAAAAGGTGGTCAAACAGTATATTTTGGTGATATTGGTAAAAGATCAAAAGTAATATTAGATTATTTTGAAAGAAATGGAGCAAGACATTGTGAAGATAATGAAAATCCTGCTGAATATATTTTAGAAGCTATTGGTGCTGGTGCAACAGCAGCAGAAGTATCAGATTGGTTTGAAATTTGGGAAAATTCACCAGAAAAAGAGGAAACAGATAATAAAAGAAATCAATTAATAGAAGAACTTCAAAGTAAACCCTCTGATTTAACTGAAAAAGAGGAGAAAGATTTAAGTCATAAATATGCTACTCCTTACTGGTATCAATTTAGATGGGTTACTGAAAGAAATGCATTGACATTTTTTAGAGATCCAGAATATGTAATGGCTAAATTATTTTTAATGACAATCAGTGGATTATTTATTGGTTTCACATTTTTTGGTTTAAAACATACTGTAACTGGTGCAACAAATGGTGCTTTTTGTGCTTTCTTAGCAGTTGTTGTTTCTGCTCCTGTTATAAATCAAATTCAAGAAAAAGCAATAAATGGTAGAGATTTATATGAAGTTAGAGAAAAATTATCAAATACTTATCATTGGTCATTAATGATCCTTGCTCAAACTTTAAATGAAATGCCATATTTATTGATTGGTGCTGCGTTTATGTTTGTTTCATTATATTTTCCAACTCAAGTCGATACAGTTGCTCTGCATTCGGGAATGTTTTATTTAACGCAAGGTATATTTTTACAAGGTTTTGCTGTATCATTTGCTTTAATGGTTTTATATGTTGCACCAGATTTACCAAGTGCTGCTGTATTAGTTTCATTCTTGTATACTTTCATTGTTGCATTTTCCGGTATTGTTCAACCAGTTTCATTAATGCCAGGATTTTGGACTTTTATGTATAAACTTTCACCATATACTTATTTTATTCAAAATTTGATATCATCATTTTTAGAAGGTAGAGAGATAAGATGTAATGAAAAAGAATTTTCATATTTCAATCCACCTAGTGGTCAAACTTGTGATGAATTCACGAATCAATATACATCAAGAGCTGGAGGATACATTGCAAACGGTAATTCAACCTCAAATTGTGCTTATTGTAGGTATAATAATGCTGATGATTATTTATTAACAGTTGGAGCTAAGTTTTCATTAAGATGGAGAAATGTGGGATTCTTTTTTGCTTATATTTTTTTCAATATTTTTATATGTATGGCACTTTATTATCTTTTAAGATATAGTAGGTTTACTACAAAGGTATCTGAAAGAATCAATTTGTTAATTCCAAAAAGAAAGAAAAGAACTTAATTCTTATATTCAATTGTATATACAGTATTTAATTTAATTTATAAACATTAATAGTCTAATATCTTTGAGTTTTGTGTTTCAATCTCTAGATCTATACCTCAATAATTACATCTTTATAAATAAAATAGTAGTCCAACCATACAATAATCCCCAAATTATATGGACTAGTATCTTAAATCTTTCCCATAGAAAATCAATTTATTGCTTAGCTCTTTGACTAGCAAGACTACTGATCTTATAATCTGTAGATTTCGTACAAAGAAAATAGATATTTTTCGGTTTTGGTTGCAAAATCATTTTAAAATTCTCATGCTCAAATGTGTGCCTTAGAAAAACCATCACCTTATTGAATGATTTTCCAGCAGGGCCAATTATGGATACAAAAAAACTTATAAAACTATTTTCCTCTAAATCAGAAGACCAATGGTAATTTTGTTTTATTATTTTAACATTAAACAAAGCATCAAATCTTTCGATTTACAAAATGCAAGCCAAAATGATCTTGATTTGAAACATATGGAAAAGCAGAGTCTTTTTTCTAACATGCTTTACATAAGTTGATTGAGTCTCAGCTAAAAAATAGTCGGCAATAGTAGACAGTTTCGACCTCCATCGTTTCCCAAAGCACGAGGAAACTCTGACAAAAAGTCTCATGTGTTCAAATAAAATTTAGGGAAAAAGTGAAAGCAAAGTTGCAACTTATTAACACGGTACAAAAATATATATTCAAATACTTACAAAAGAAAAAATCAAACACAAGCTTCGTAAAAACATCAGACAACTGAGCTAAACTAAAAGCACATTAATTAGGTCTTATTAATTCAAAAGAACAAAATAATTTTTTGTCGACACTCATAATAGCTCCATAATTATTAAATTCACCACAATAATTTGGTGCACTGAAAACAGTCACTAATTTTCTCTTATCGAAAAATTCATAACCATCTTCAACAACCATATGGCCCCTAACTATCAAATCCAATTTAAATTTTGAACAAAAATAATCAACATGTTTCTTACCAAAACAATATGAAACCCCTCTATCATTTTTGGGCCAATTATTCAAAGAAAAGTTTTTAACCAGTGAATCAGGGTCTGACCATAACAAATCTGCTAAAAGACCTTTATCAGGAACATCAGTTGGTCTTTTTATGTTTTCGATTTGTTTGAAGTCAGTTAAATCAGGTGATAATCCCCCATGAACACAAAATATTTTATCATTAATAACAGCTGCTATGGGTAATGAATTAAATACATCAACAAAATTTTTCCAAATTTTTGTATTTTTCAATCTTCTTTTACATTCATCATAAAATCCATAAATTTTGGTAATATTTGCCGATTCATGATTACCTCTTAACATGAAGAAATTTTCGGGATATTTAATTTTATAACAAAGTAATAATAGAATGGTTTCCAAAGATTTCTCACCTCTATCAACATAATCTCCCAAAAATAAATAATTTGATTGAGGAGGATACCCACAGCAATTAAAAATACGTAATAAATCATGGAATTGTCCATGAATGTCTCCAACAACTTTAACCGGTGGTGATAATCTCAATAAAGAAGGTTGATCCATGAATATTTGTCTACTTTTACCTAAAATAAATTTTATTTCATTAATTTCAACAGGAAGATGATCTTTTAATTTTTTCGAGGTAGATCTCTTTTTGGTTGACAATAATCTTTCAATGATGGCGTCAATGTCGAAATTTAAAATTTTTGAAGTTGGGACTAATGGAGGAGAAACTGAAGTCACCGTAGAAGAGCTTTCTGATTTGAATTTGGTAATTTCTTTAGTTACTCCTAAAGGTGAAGAATATTTCTTTTTAACATTATTGTGCTTTTTCAAGTTTGCATGTGACAATTTGCTGGGTTCTGGCGATGATTCTATTGAATGAGCTTCAGCTATTGAATCCAATTTACTAACTAAAGATAAATTTTGTTGCAGTTGTTGCAGTTGTTGTTGATTCTCATTACCATCAAAAAACTCTGAATGTTTACCGTTTCTGAAGCTAGAACTCGTGGAGGAAAGCAGATCGGTTTCCTTACTTGAATCATTCCCAATTGTAGTAAATATTGGTGATGTGGAGACCGAAAAGTCCAGTGATCCTAAAGAAGATGGTGAATTTTGTTGCTCTTTTAAAATTTGGGCCATGGATAAACCTATATCTAAATCATAACTTGAAGGTAAAAGGTACTGATTATCACCATTACTGTTTTTAAACTTTGAACTTGAACCCTTTGCTTTACTAGGCATTTTAGGATAGCCAAAACTATTACTTGAAGTAGTTGAATTCGTTAAAGATAACCTAGAATCATCTTTATTTTTAGTATTTTTAATATCAATAGCTTGTGATGTCAGTTTATTGATATCAGTCTTTTCGTCATTAATTTCATTTTTCTTTTTGCTAATATCATCTTTTGAAATTAATCGTATATTTGAATACGTTTTAGGCTGCGATAGCGCTGGCGATTTTTCATCGGAATCTAAGTCTGAGATAGTACCATTAGATGATGAGCTATTATTTGATGAAGAATTTTTTGATGATTTCGGTAGGGGTTCATTTTTCGACGGGCTATTTCCCATTTGATATTATATATCTTATGTATGTACGTATGTATTGACGATACTTTTGATGGTGATTGATATGTTATCTCTCAAATAGATATTATGAGTCCTTATTGAAATGTATTGAGGGTGAGGTTGTTGATCAACTGTTGCTTGATGAAGATGTTGTTGTTGTTAGTTGGTAAAATATAGAAAAAAAAAAAAAAGAATATAAAAAGGATAACAAATGTTAAGTAAAGGAGGAATGAAAAAAAAAATTAAATTTCTAATGTGTGATAAGTCTAATAAGTAATCTATTCTTTTAATGTATGAAGTACGTGCATATAAACATTTAGACTTTTTATTCATTAGTTTACTGTGGTCTTACTATAATGGGATGAAATTGTTATTGTGGTAAAGAAGTAGAAATTAAAAACTAAAGTAGTACTGCATATACCAACATACGCTTCCCTTTCCACAATAAATTTTAATTAGGCTAAGTCCGATTGTTGTTTCATAATTTAGCCTATAGATCTAGAATTATTCAAATACATATTAATAGATGAATAGTAATTATTTAATTCAAAAAGTCATGTTGTATTGATAAAGAATTTTGACAGTTTGATTGATACAGCTGGATATTGATGGACCAATAATAAATTAAATAGTCCCTAGTTCAGATTTCAATTCAAGTTTGACTGTAAATACTCTATATTCTTATTTTTCATCAGATAATAAACTAGAGATTTGGATAGTCAAATGATTTATTCCTATCACCTGAATTTTCATTTCTTACAATACTTTTCATTTAACATTTTCAATTTCTGCAATTCACTTAATCGAAATTTAGCTTTCTCTTCACTTCTTTTAAGATATTTGAAATATTCTTCAATTATATATTCATTATTATCCCATTTATTATCAGATTCAGGTATTATCATTACATTTTCAATCAATGCATCAAACGAATGCATTTTTTTAATGAACTTTTGATCTTTAAATCCAATACATTTTCGGTACTCATCACTTAGATAAACATATTTCTGGGTGTTGGGATAATACAAGACTAAGGGGTTCTTTTCACCATTATCATCAGTATCTTTACAAATATCATCATTTCCCTCAGTAATTATTCTGTAGTAATTTCCACACATCTCCAATCGTAATAAGTCCATCTTATTATACACATTGCCCTTATAATATTTTATGATCATCCTATCATCATTAGTTCTCATATAACACGGATATTCTCTTCGTGTGGATTTATATTCTTCAACTAGATCCTGTATATTTTCATTCAACATTTTGAATGGGATTAGGACAATCCGGAGCAGGTTATGTTTATAAGTCAGTCCTGATATCCTATCTAACTTTGGGTGAAAACCTTCAATATAGTGTTGACACGGGTCTCACGTAAGTATCAAATTCACAATTTGAAACTAAAGGATAATTTGAGGTATTCTTAAAATTTTGTTATATCATCAAAATAAGTACAATTGTTCGGTGGCTTTGGAGTTCAATAGACAGATTTTAAAAATTCAAAGATAAGATAAGAACCTTGAATTTTGCAAATTCTATCATACATTATTAGGATGACAATATTAATTTTTGGCCCTTCCATCAGCTAGATCAAACTGTATTCAAAACATGCTGATTCATAGATCTATCTCTTTTCATTTTCAGCAAACATTTCGGCTTTAACCCCAAATACAAAGATCACTATTTTTAGATTTTGTGTCATTTTTTACTTCCAGCTACAAATTTACTAGACTATTCTTTGCTCCTAAATTTGATACATCTTTCATATCTTCAGCAATTTGATCTATGTCTAACGAGGGATACGACCTACGAGATGATTTTTATGAAACATTATCCAAAAAATATGATGACGCATTGATTTCAAAACACATTTTATACAACGGTGAGTCGGTTGTTAACGAAATAATTCAATTCCCAATTGATGACAAACATTCTGCAAATGCTCAATTGACACTTCTTACATCATTGATGCATAGACCAGAGAATAATAACAAGAAGAATTCGGAAAATAATCCATTTGAAAAACCTGAACCAGAATTAACAATTTTAGACGACTATGGAGCGAATAAAGAGTTGAAGTTAGTGTTTAACAAGTATCCGGTTAATTCGAAACATTTTTTATTAGTAACTAAAAAATATTCATCTCAAAATTCACCATTATTACCTACTGAATTACTAGCAACTTATACCATTTTGGAAAAGCTTGATAAATTAAAACCCGAAGGTGAAGATTGGTTTGCATTTTATAACTGTGGTCCAGAAAGTGGAGCTTCTCAAGCTCATAAACATATTCAATTCATGACTCTTCCACCAAAACAAGAGTTCATATCGTATCCCGAAATATTGATAGAAAATAACTTATTTGAAAACAATGCAAATAATAAGTTACATATTCAAGATGCTAATGAACCTTTAGAGAATAAAAATCTACCATTTAGTCAGTTCATCATGAAGTTGCCAAAAAATAAAGACGAAATTACTGAAGATGTCTTGACAAAGTCTTTTACCTCACTATTGCAACATACCTTAACTGTTTTACGAAATAATGAAACCAAACATATATCATATAACTTTGTTATGACTACTGAGTTCATGCTTATGGTGCCTAGGTCAAAGAGTAAATTTGATGATCAAATTGGTATTAATTCATGTGGAGTCTATGGACTCTTATTATGCAAAAATCAAGAATTATTTAACACGGTAAGGGAAGTGGGTATTCTCAAGATCTTACAAGAAGTGTGCTTGCCAAATTCTGGTGAATTTAAGTTTGATGAATATAGTTATTAATAATAATACATTTGTTAATGCTGTGTTCCGAGTATAATACTGCCGATTTTTTAATGAGTTTCATAGACAAACGAAAAATGCAAAGCTGCTGTGACATTTTCTACGATAAAGTTCACATTTGCTTTACTTGAGTGTAGTCATTATGAAAGAATTGTTCTCTTTTCAACCTTGTCTGACCGTACTGAGCTTAGGCTAAATCTGAAAAAAAGCCGCACCGACTACCCAAAGTGAAAAAATTCAACCAATAGTATTAAGGAAATATTGAATTATGCTTTTTTTTTTCTACAGATACAAATAAACCTGATCAATCTATACTCAACAAACAACTAATACACATATAAATCATTCATCATGCTGTCCATGACATCAGTAGTCAAGGCTGCCAACTTTATTCTTGCAAGACCATCATTGGCAACCATCGTTAAGCCAATTGCCAAAGCTTTCACCTCATATGCTGGATACAGAGAGATGGGATTGAAGTATGTAACAAAGTGAATTAAACCATTCCATGTAAGGTCCATGTACTAACAATTCTTATTAGATTTAATGATTTATTAATGGAGGAAAATCCAATCATGCAAACAGCCATTAAAAGATTACCACCATCAGAAAGTTATGCAAGAAACTATAGAATTTTGAGTGCTATGCAATTATCACTTTCACATCAAATCTTATCTCCTGAAAAGGCTTTGAAACCGGAAGAAGATGACCATTATTTGATTCCTTATATATTAGAAGCTGAAAAAGAAGCTTTCGAAAAGGCTGAATTAGATAATATTGAAGTTAAGAGTAATTAATGCTATTACGTAAGGAGGTATAGTTTTTGAAGTTTGAACTTATCGCCATAAATGAATATACGTATAAAGACTTTGAATTTGTTCATCATGATCGTAGGCACAACAGATCTATCTTTTAGAAATTAAGGTTTCAGAAAGAACCCAAGAAATTCCTCTTCTTGCACGAAATATGTGTGAACAATAGCCACTACGCAAATGTCATAATAAATACATGTATTATTTTGATATTAAACTCTATAACTTCTCTATAATTTCTATCCTTTGTAATACTGAAATCTCTATAAATTTGAAAACTTCCTTTCAATACTAAATCACATACCTAGCTTAAACTTCCTTAACTGCTCTAGCACTAAAAATGTTACAATTGTATGAGGTCCTAGTCTGATGAACGAAGGTAGCCAGCCCCTGAATAAAAACCCAATTCCTTCATGTTTCACCGCATTTACCAAGATTGAAATTGCGCTCTGGCCACTTCCTTTGCTATTCATGATCCTAGTTTTGACAACATCCGCAGGAGAACATACTGTTGTAGCAACTAAACCTGCAATCAACGAAGCACTGAAATGGGTACTTTTTTTCGAAGGATCCATATGAATTTTATCAATTAAAAATGTCTTTGCAATATCATATGTTACAACCTGAGAAGCTGTCATTAAAACTCCTCTTACTAAATTGGGTGATAAACCTCTAAATAATGAGGAGACATTTTCGTTTTTGCAAATTCTATAAATTCCATCAAATGCATTCTTATAATTCCTTCTTTGATTTGACGGTAATGTTGAGTCATTTTGCATTCTTATATTAACAACATCAGATGGGTTCCCCACTAAACCTCCCAAAGCACCAGCTACCATTGACATGGGTAAAAGAACCACAGTGCTAGGCTTCGTATTATGTGTCTTATTTATATACAATTCTTTTAGGTATTCGTATACTCCAAATCTTGTAGTTGAATAAGTTGCCTGCCTTAATAACGATGCAGTTAACCCTGAATATATTTTCGTTATCCCATCTTTCGTCACTATATGATATAACATCCCAATTAGTGATTGTCCTGGTTTCGCTGCTGTTTGTAGTCTAACTTTCGCTAGATCTAAGGGATGAGTAACTAAACAAGCAGCCATACTAGCGAGCCCACCATACCAAAACCTTTTAAAATGATTTTCAGTCAGTATTCTTTTCCTAAATGTTTGAATTTTTCTTGAAGACATAAGTTTACAAGTGTTTACATTATGCTATCTCTGCTACTCAAAAAATGTTTTACGGGTAGATATGTTTCAGATTGATAAGAAATTTTGACATACGGATATTGGATTTTTGAGCTTTTTTTACTCATATCCCTCGATTTTTAGTCCAATCCTTGTTATAAATCAACACGATCGCCAAGGTAATGACCGTTTGATGTTTTTTTGTGGTGTGATAAGTCCTAAAATCATTTGCAATCTTTTTGATTTCTTTTTTTTTATTTCAAGATTTTGTCCCTCGTACTTTCTTGACGAAAGTAGTACAAAACTTTAGATTTCGAATATTCCAAATTTGGACCCATAAATCTAACATCTATCTAAGTCAAGGATACCACTCATCATAAAGCCATTGTTTCATCAACCATCAAATCACTACGTATAAATGCGGACAATAATTACACTACTACAAATAGGTTATACGATCATTGGCCGAGTAAATTTCATTATACATTTGTAGACTGAGAATTTCAAGAGGTTACAACAAGAGAAGTAGCCAACATTTTACCTAGCGACTCAAACGTGACTCGTTTCTTTTGAAGTACAAAAAGGAGTTATTCTATCTTGAAGCAAATTTGAAATGTCAAGCAGCACCATATTCAAAATGTATAGCGGCGTCATATTTCGAATGTTAATTCCAACATCTACGAAGTATTGAAAATAAATGGCCCCATGCAAACAATATAAGAATAGTTCAATCAGGTACAACTCGAGGTTATGCATCCGCAACTTTGGTATGAACAATAATAGTCTACTTTGTTGAAGTCGACAACACGGCGAACACGAGAGCAGACTGAAAATTAGTTTTACTTGCTTGATCAATTCTATTGATACTTATGCCATACAAATACATGCTTGAACACGTGAGACTGGATCGATTGGTCTCTCTTCAAGAATGCTAGTATATTGACACTGGTGCATGATAGAGGAACGGAAGTTTCTAGATCTGAATTTTAGATCTTCAAAATGACAATTGCATACATTTCAATAAGCTGGGAAATTCATCTTTAAAAGTCTAGCATCGAAGCTTAATTTCACCAGGACTATAATATGCTATTTTGAGGTTTAATTTGCTTATTCATCAACAGAGAAACACTTAGATTGAGCAAAAAGAGAACATATATTTAATTAATTATCAGAACCTATGAGTGAGTCGAGGATGTAATATTTAGAGTGTTTTAGAACACGCCAGTGATCAATTTCATTATTTGGTGCTTAAACAGAAATAGAATAGTGGGGAAAAAACGTACTATTGGAGGCTGAGAATTAAGGAGATCTTATATTTCAATTCTTGTTATGTTTGGGGGCCTAGCTTAGTTAAGCTAAATTGTGAGTGAAAAAGTGGCAACTGAAAAGTACCAGAAAGACTCCCACATAGTATACTCACTGAAACAAATGATTCAAGATGGGTCTAAACGTTGGGAAACAGAAAAAAGCTTGCATTATCCTGTTAATTATTGCATAGAATCTCGATCCTCACAATGTCGCTTCGGGAGAAAAGTCTCCCAAATATAAACTGGCGGTCTAGAGTCAGCTACAATAAGCATTCATGATAATTTCATAAAATGGATCCTGATCGAAAATAGTTTATACAAATTACTAAAAAGAAAACAATATGAAGACGAGTTACGTTAACGCGGGACAAAGGAGAAATTGAACAAGAAGAATAACACTGAGGTGAAATCCAATCATAGGTTAAGTTATGTTGAGTTATGAAATCAACTACTTTCAGTCTCTACTGCATTTTTGTATAGTTTTCTTCTACTGTTTACGAATACAACAATTTTTCACCAAGCTTTTCGAACAATGGAAATAATAAAATTCTGAATGTGAGATTATAGTTTAAGCTTATGTAGAAGTGAAGAACTATGAAGTTACCTTTAGAAACAAAAAATGAAGAGATGAACTTGCTTTGTTGTACACACCACTGGATGAATAAAGGCTGGTATAAGATATTTTCAACAAGGTTTTGAATTTTCGAACAGCAGATATACTCTTACATATGTTCTACGTCACTGTAGTATCAACGACAAGATCCCACATATCATTATATGAAAAAGCAAAATTCAACATGACGGAAGCAGCAGAAACAATAAATCGGAGAAACTCTGCCTCGATTTATTCAATACGACTGGTGAGGGTTCGTGAGCTGATGAAGAGTCCCACGGGCAAAGATAATCTTAATTAATTGCCCGCAAAGCCGCCAATATCATCTGAATGATGGATATTTCACTTGATAATTGAAACTCATTTTGGTAATCACCTAAAGAATTTTCAACGATAGAATGAGTGGGATTCAAATTCTGTAAAATCTAAACCAAGAGATACATAATGACCAGTGTAATCAATAACATATATTTCCAAATAACGATTTTCGTCCCCTCGCATGGTTCCAAAATCGTGATTCCAACTCCATAGTTTTTAATTGCAAGTAAATAAAAGGGGGATAGAGGAATTTGGCAATAAACTGATGATCAAATGCAAATTTTTAGTTGAATACTGCCCTTTAATTAAAAATCTCATTTATGGAAATTCTGGACATTGCAATGAAATTTGAACGGATCAATCAAGCAAAAACATCATTGAGTAATGGAAAAGCACGCTGTAGAATGAAATTTCCAATTTCCTCACACAGTGCTAGATCCATTAAAGCGAACCATAGATGGCAATTTCTAAAGTCCGAATTAGGCTTATACACCTTTATATACGATAAAACGTACTGGCTTCAATATACCGGACTCAACAAGAATGGTAAAGGAAAATTAAAAGATGCATTGGGTAAACGAATTAGCAGCAAAAACTGGACCATAGGTGAAGCGACATAAGTTAAATTACAAACACACATAAAATGAGCATCTAGATAAACCGGAGAAGGCAATTTTTCCCTGAAAGTCTCAGAAGTAGCAAGAATCAATGACAGGAACGAGGTTGTAACAACACAAGCGGCAGGGGTGGCATAGGATAAAACAAGACTCGTAAACACACAAAGCTGGCCACATGGGACTCACGCAAGGTTCCGCTAGAGCTAACTGAACCAAATATAATGGAATCAATAATGGGAACACAGCCGCAACAAGCAAAAAACTAATAGACTACAATAAACATATGCTAGACAGCAAATACAAAACCAATGCTTAAGAACACCACCAAAATATATGTACAGCGATATTTAACACAAATTGGAGCAACTAAACAATATCCATAACCCCAAAAACAAAAAATGCAAAGAAAGAAATTGCGGTTAGCTGACAAACAAAATCAAACAACAAACTACAAGAAACTTCGGATGTCTTGAGCGCTGCAACATTAAAATACAACGAAAAAAAGCATAACTCTATCCAAGCTACCTCTACTCTGCCCCAAACGCGAACTACATTAACTCAGCTTCCTACCCCACTAACCAAACTAATTCGTCTATCAGTCTTAAACAATTAATTTTACAAAAGAATATAGAAGTTCAAACCAAATCAAATGAAGTATCCGCCAGTTAATCAAAGATCTCTTACTTTTTAAGCCAGAAAATTCTGTTTCGCAAACAAAATTCAATATATGATTGAAAATGGATACTAAAAGTCATATCAATTCGAAAACACTAATTTCTAAATACATCTACCTTATATAAATCTTGCAAAAGTATTTTAGTTTGACGTAAAGCATCCGAGCTGCTATTATACGTTGAATAATGTGAGGACATTTCCATTCAAATTCAGAAACAGCTGATAAACTAATACGTTAATTGTACACTCTGTTTCTTGGAAAAATCGACCAATACAAATGTTACAATAAATAATTTTTTGGAAAGTGCATGTAACATATATTTCCAGACTCACATTAAAATCGATATCAACCCAAACTTTTGCTAATATAAACAATGAGCCTTCGCATTGATGAATTGGTGTAAATCATAGACCAAACATAGTTTGATACATTGAGTGGAGATAATCAATCAATCGTAATTTAAAAAATTAAGATCCATGTAAGTCTCTGATGCAAGTTCACCACGATACCCAATTGTTTATTTACTAACGGTTTTGATTCTTATATTGATTAATCTATTATATAAACTTACTGTTGCACTTAAGACCTTAAGATAAATTAGTTCAGTTTTGAAATTCTTTTCGTGATCACCGATAGCATGCAAGAAAAACATTTGATTTTCATATTACAATTTCCGTATAAAATCGTATTATACACCAGAGATCTCGCGTTTAATTTTAGTATGCAAAAGATTTGGTCCTAATATTGACCTATAAGAAAATCTAAAATCTATTTTTGGTGTTATACCATGGTTTCATTTTCTCGGCCAACACAGTGGTTATTCATTACTTCTCGGATTATTTATTAGTATATTGAAATGGTCCCGCGTTATGTGCGTAGATACAATTGTGCTAGCGTTTAAATTCCTATAGCTAGGTTTGATTGCTTAACTTTTTTTATTGTTCTCAAAATTAAGTACTAGACGACTTAGATCATATGTGGATTTTGAGCTTTTTTTTGTTTTTTCCGCTTTATGCTTCGGTCAAATTTATGTATAAGCGCAGTAACAATCAAATTCAGTTTGCTCAATTTCGGAACAACCTTGATTAGATCAAATTTTGATGTTCCCTGCTTCAACTTTTATTGGTGTGCTAAAATCTCAAATTTTCTAGATTCAAAGTACTTGCTCGTGTTTGATATTTTCCAATTTGTGAATCCCTAGTCTGATATACTGGTCTTTATTTCTATCAGTTTTCTGTTTGTAATTTTTCAACCCAGGTTTGCGTCTTGTGGATTTTGTTATCCTGGGGAGAAAGTTTGGTAGGTTTGGGTTATTATTTGATATGCTAAAATAACGTTTTATTTGTTATGCTTCTGATTAAGTTTGTTATGCTTCAAGTTTTTTGATATGCTACGATAACGCTTTTTTTGTTATGCTTCTGGTTAAGTTTGTTATGCTTCAAGTTTTTTGATATGCTAAAATAACGTTTTATTTGTTATGCTTCTGATTAAGTTTGTTATGCTTCGAACTTATTTTTGATAGCTGGATTCTGCACAAGTTCATGCTTTGTATTAGCGGATCTTACCAATTTGAATTTTGCAGTCGGAAATTATTTGCACGATCAATGAATTAATTATATCTAGTAAGCTTTCATAGAGGTGTAAAATTTTGAATTTCATTACTTTTCCATCCTATACGTTACTATGCTGATAAGATTTTTATGAATTGTTGGCGTGAGGCTCTTCGTAATCTGTTTTTATTTGCTCGGTGTTCAAAGATGGCGTTAGTCTTTTCCAAGTCTTCTTTTGGATTGGCATTACAAAAGATTTAATCGAAGCTTTGTTTCAATATTTAATTTATATATTAAGTGGTTATTCTATAAAAAAAAGTGCATAAAAGCAAATTATATTCTAACAGCTGTGAGATGGTTGGCTTGACAATACATTAAATTGGGCCATAATGGATCCAAGAATCACTTTGCTGTACTTATAATCTGAAACTGTCTCAAAATAAATTGTTCCAACCTCATCCAGCATGTGTCGTCCGACCTAGCTAGTCATCACGTAAAAGATTCTCACAATTATGCCAACGCATGTTAGAATATCAAAATTTGATTTTATCCATTCTTACTTGATAAGATTTTCAACCATTGAATAAACGAATGCATGATTAAACTCCTCCATTTCTGTAAGTTCAAAATTTGTTGTTGGATCTTAAAGAACTCGAACCTCTGGATTGCCCTGACTATCATTGAGTTCTTTCAATAAAACATTTAAGACTATTTTACACCTGTTAAACAAGTAGTCTCTCTCTTCGTTTTCTTTCTTGCATATAAATACTTGCTCAGGATCCTATCCAATCCCAGGGTTTTTCCTTAATGGTAGTTTTATAAAAATATTAATGCAAGAATGATTCAAAAAGTAAAGTAAACTATTTTAATCTATATTTGGCTCACTTAAACTTAGTTTATTGAGGTAACTCTAATTTCAATTTCTTAAATGACAACTATATTCTAAAGGTGCATATTTCTATAGCAATTACGCATTGGTTAATTCATCTTCTTCCACTTGTGATATCTCTCTAGCGTCCCCGTCTACTCTTTTCAATAAATCTTCAATCACCCAATCCAAATCGGTTTTCTCCAAATTTTTCCCTATGACACTGATCGTATTAACATTTTGTCCCATATGAGGATAACTTCCTATCTTTAAATTTCCTTTTCCGTATTTTTCATCGCAATCATTTTGTAAATTAGTCAAATAAGGTGCTAATTTTGATTCACCGGATTTAGTTAATACGTATCTTCGAATTAAACTTGTTGGTCGGATTCTTGGTTTCAAAACCTTTTCTAAATCATTCAACAATCTAGTGAAAAGCTTTGGTACACCAGGAAGAATAAAAACTTGCTCATTAATCACAACCACTGGAAACCATAAATCGTCATCAACAAATATTTTTCTCACTGTTGCATTTGATCCTACTTTATTTGTTGGCAATGTAGCCATTTTGTAGAATGCATTTAATTGATCTTCATTCAATTTGGATAAATAGTCTTTACGAAGCGTTTGCATTCTTTCTACCACCTCATTATCCAATGCATAATCTAGATCAAAATAATCACTCAAAGTTTTGTATGTTATATCGTCATGAGTGCTTCCCAATCCACCGGACGTAATGATAAAATCTATCTCATCTTGTTTAATTAAATTATTCAATGATACCGAGATATCATCTGCTTCATCACCACAAACAATCGTTCGTTTGAGAGGAATAGTTAGGTTATTGAAACAAAATTTAGCAAAATTATATGAATTAGTGTCAAGGATTTTCCCATTCAATACTTCATCACCAATGATTAAACAACCTGCAGTTTTAATTTGTGGCTGTTGAGTCAGCATTTTGATTTGTCGGGTGATATTGATGTAATTTGTGAAAGACTTTACAGTAAGTTTTTGAGTTTTTATGATGTTAATGTTCATACAAATGCAATGCAGTTCGATAAATCCTTTTAATAATTGTTTTGTGTATTGAATCACATTCCCCAACTTGCTTCTTTGTTAAATGTTTAATCAATTTTTTTAACCGAAAGCACTGAGAATTATGTAAAATTTCATAAATTTCAAAAATCTATGATACAACATATTTTGAGTAAATGAGGACAAGATCTGATGAAAGAGACTTGAGTAGAGGCGAATGTTTGGATAAAAACATAGTAGTTTTAATTGAATAGTTGACAAAATCTGGCTTATTGCGCTAGGCAGTTTGAGATTTTTAATTTGCAGCCAGTTTATTCTAAACTTTAATTCAGAATCAGTTGCGATCCATGTGTACAAACGATTTGGTGAGCATAAATACAGTTTTTGTTAAACGTATAGAGTATAAAAATTGCATCGAGTAGAACATTTGAAGAAACCCATGCATAGTAGTATACTTTTGTTGTTGACAATTAATTCATAAAAAATTGCAACAAAACTGAATGAAATTTACATTGCAATAATTATTTCGTTTGATTTTTTAGAATTTCGAAACCAATTTCTAACCTAAGTCATCTAAAGACAGGAAGATGCAACATCTGTTTCAACAAATTTTAACTGTCTTATTGCAGTATAGGTCACGTAGATGTGGAAAATTCACTATGACTAAATCGTTTACATATAGGAACACTATGAGTGATTTTATACCCATATAAGTAGGGGAGATTGTTTTGAATGACCTTGAATATTATCCAATTTGATAGGTTGAGCTTGTTAATCGATTGCTGAATTTACGGTCGCAGCTGCTAAAGAGACACACTTAGGAAATATAATCAGCTAACTGATAGTAGCCAATTTTCTCTTTAAGCACAGTTCGTATTTTCCACTTTGGATGCTACGAAATTAATAGAATCTGAAAAAAGAGTCTAGCCTAAAGCAATGCCTACTTAATTATGGATTATGATCGTTTGAGAGTTTGAATATAATTATGCAATCCATTTCAAGTACCACTTAAACGTATGAGCTAGCTAGTGGTTTCTTTACAACTTTAGTTTAATGCAAATACATTATCAATATATACTGTTTAATTCAAGAAAAAGTACTAAAAATGTGAATCATCGACTATTGATTGTTTAGTCTTAAAGCCTCCCTTTTATTTTCATCAAAAATACCATTCTCATTAACCTCAGAGTCATAATATGATAAAGCAGGATTTTGTAGCTCCGTTAAAGGATCATCTTTTATTAGCTTGATCATTGAGTTTTCTCCATAATTCACACCATAAGAGGCACTAATAGGTATAACTCCTTGAACCCAAGCATCCACAATTCTAGCTCTTTGTTTGGTTCCAAGCCTTGATATTGGGAATTCACCTTTTTTAATGAAAGCAACAACATCGATAATCAAATGATGTTTACTTAATACAGTGTTGATAATTAGTGGGACCAACGAAGCGAAATACCTCGTTCTTTTGGATTCACAAACAACCACAGTGTAATCTGAGCATCGAAAAACACAAGAACCATTCTTATAAATATCAGCATGACAAAATTCGATGGTATTTTCAATATCAATTGGGAAATGATGCAATCCCATAACTTCAAATGTATCAGCAATTTTCCCCAATATAAAAAGTGGTTGAAAATATGAAACTTCTTTATCACTTTTATTAGAAGTATTTTTAGTAATGGAAATATTATGCAAAAATCCCAAATCTCCAGTTCTCAAATATGTTACATCAGGATTACCGTCTTCAATAACTCCACTAAACTGAATTTGAGAAAAATGATCAATTGGACCTTTTGGTCCGTTGGTGAAAGATGTTAAATTAGCTTCTGAACATACCCAAATTTCTCCATATTCACCTTCTTTACAGATTTTTCTTGTTTCTGGATTTACAATTGCCACTTCTGTACAAACAGGAACCATACCTGAATCTTGAATATGTAAAGCGTTTGGAACTTCCGATTGATTGACAACTGAAACATAGCCCTGCCTTAAAGCAACAGGATCTAAATATAAGTCAACTGGAGCAACCGTCATGTAAGATCTAGTGGATATCATGGGATTAAAATAATGATTATGAACTGTTGACATTGAAGCAGCACTCAATTTTGTTGATTGAAAGACTCTAGCAATTTTTCTCAATAAATCAACTTCGACTCTATTTTCCGTGCTTATCATCATATTTTTCAACAAATTTAAATTGAACCCTTTTGGAGTAAATTTTATTGCAGCATATTTCAACATTTGTTCGGTCACAAATACATCTTTAACCTTATGCCTAGCTAGAGTTAAAAAAAATGATAATGGGTTTTCAGCATAAGTGACAGGAGAACTCAAATATGTGGCCGTCCCCAAAAACACACCTAAAAGACAAGTTTGAACAAATCCAATTCCAGAGGCATGCCTAACACAACCAACAATTGAAGATTGAGAATTCAAATTGCATGTCTCTTTGAATACCTTACAAATACCAATTATATTTTTGTTGCTCAAAGTTGCACCCACACGATAATGATCCGATGTAAAATTTAGCCAAACCAAAGCAATTTTATTACCTGTTTTACCCTTTGTATTTCCCAGAAAAGTTGCAATTTTACTTGTGATGGAATTGATATTAGATATTTTACTGAGTTTTGTTGTATTTTTAATCTTTAATGATTTAACCTTCTTGTGAGTAATTTTTTTCAAAGAATCAGCAACTGGCCCATTTTTCAAAAATTTCTCAACCTCATCATTAACTAAAATCTCTGATATATCAAAATCACGTATTACACCCACAAATGCTGGAAAATCCTCACCAATTCTATTTGAATCGAATGGTAACATTGGGACAGCTATTATCCCACAAATTAAACAAGCAAAAACAGCAACAACAAAATCCTCCGATAAGGAATACATTAAAATCACATACTGGCCAGCTTTTAAATTGGTCTTTTCCATCAAGTACTGACAAACTGCATAAACCTTTAGTTCAAATTTCTTCCAAGTCAATGGTTTATTTTTACCGCTTATGTCGACGTTTTGAAATGCTATAGCATCACCAGCTTTGTTTACTCTGTACTTTAATATATCTTGAATTGATTCAAAATCACTTAATACTAGACCTGTTTTTTCATCAATTGCTTTTGGCCGGTAATCAATAGCAGAATATTGGTCAGGAAAATTTTGCAAAGCCTTATTTCTAAGTTCAGAGACATAAGGAGACCAAATACCACCGATTATATCTTCACCATGAGGTATTAAACTTATTGATTTTCTCACAAAAAATTTTACATAATCAGCCTTTAATGTACCTTCCAAAAATTTCTTTTTACAAAGCATATTTGCAATTTCTCTACCACCACTTCGCATTATTTTAGGTAATGTATCACAATCAACTACCAAAACACAATATAGTCGAAGAAAATGCTTTTTGTAAAGAGTGTCAAAACATCTTTGAGCGATAGCATTTAATACTGGCTCATTAAGTGGTACACCCGAAGCATAATCTAGATCACCATTCTTTGCCTTATTACCACCAGAAGCATTAGATTCTACTCCACTCAGATCATCAATTTGTTTTCGAATAACTTCAGCTTCGACTATAGCAACAGGTAAATACTCATTACCGACAAATATATCAAAAATTGTACAATCGTATATTTGTTTCACTTCGCTAGCCAAAGTCGCCAATAAATGAGACGAATAATGATATCTAGAACCCGATGTTTTCATCAATTCCTTGTTCATCTTTTTAAATAATGCATGATCAATCCAGCTTACTCTTTGCCTTATCCTATCCTCATATAATCCCAAAACATAAACTTTACCATTGTAAGTAAAACCTAATAATCCTGTACGTAAAAAATCCATCTCGAGAAAACCATTTGGACCTCGACATTTAGCATGAAATATCAGCTTTGATTCCTTTCTTAATCCGTAAAATCCTCCAGATAGACAAGGACTATCTATCCAAATCTCACCTAATTCACCTTTTTGAACTAAAATCCCCAGTTCTGGATTCACTACAGCCAATGTTGCATCAGGAAGAGGATATCCAAAAGCATCGACCCTCAAAACATCACTACCAATTTCATCGGAAGTTGACGGATTTGTTTCCACTATCTTTACTAAGTTTCTAGCTAAGCAATCTTTATCAATTAAGACTGATGACAAATCGTTCGAATCTTCTTCAGTTATATTTATTCCCATTTTCTCTTTTCCTCCTAACCAATCTCTGAGAGATATCACCATTCCTCCATATTCACTTAAAGTTAACATCGGTATGATGGCATTTTCTGGATGCTGACACCCAAGCGGTCGTAAATACCTTTGAGATAAAATTTCCATAAATTCACCATCGATCGTTAATGCGTTGACTAAAACCCACTTAACAGATGAAAAATCCACACTTTGAGTTTTAGAAAAATATCTGGTTGCACTTGGTGATTGTTGATAATCATAAGTAACTCTTTTCAATCCTAGATAATCAGCTAGAAGCAAGGAAGCCCTACATTTTGTAATTATGTTGGCATATAAACCTTGAATTTCCATAACTCTTTGAGGTGACCAAAATAATACGTTTCCAGAATACACTGTGAACAATACACCTAAGATCAATCCAATTGAAAATCTGATGTCCAATGTAGCCAAAACTACTTTTTTATTTCCTCGAAACTCCTTCAAACTTCTACGAAGACCTCCACCTGAATTAGGTAAACTCAGAAGCGCGGCATCTAAACATTGCATTTGATGAGTAATTGTTCTATGACTTAAAGCTATACCTCTAAGTTCACCCACTGGGGACCTTGAAAATTCAATATAAGCCAAATTTATTGATGAATTTTTATCTTTTTTAGCATGTTGCTTTTGGTTCCAATATGATACTTCAGACTTTTTTGCTGATCCAAAATCTGTAGTTCTCCACCTTAAAAGTTTAGCTGGCCAATTAATTCGCAGATTCTGAGCATTTAATCGATCCAATTCTTTTGCAACAGTCTCAGAATAAAGTAATAGTTTTGATGATGTTAACGTCAATATGTTTAAAACCTCGGATAGTGATATGTCTTGATGAATCGGAATTGCAGTTACACCAGCTATAAAGCAGCCAAATAATGCTGTAACAAACTCAGAAACTTCACCATCTTTGTATAATAACACAACTGTGTCAGTATTTTTCGTAGAAACTTTATGACAAATTTCGTACGCAATTTTCAAAGCTTTCAAATACAATTTTTCCCAGGTTATACTACTTACTTCTTTACTTCTTGAATCTAGGACCACGAACGCCATATCAGTTCTGTAAGTACTTGCTCTTGATGCCAAAATTTCTAAAATATCATCAAAATTTTTACTGGTTTCTGGAATAGATGCCGCTGGTCTTCTTGGATTCAAGGGCATTTCTAATAAGTCGGGATCAAGTGATTGGATATCCTCATTTTGTTTCTGATGTAATTTGTTGATTGTTTGCATAATTTCTTCTCTCCGATTTATATAGTTCCACTGATCTATAGATTTATTGATAAGAAAGTCTTCATCTAATTTTTGTAGCAATATGGCCAAATCTGGAGGAATATCCCCTGTAGAATTTGATACAGGACCAGCTCCGATACCTGGTGAAAGACCAGATGAATTATCGATCATTGACTTTGAATCATTTGTCGTGAGAGTCCCTAGCTCTGGATGTATCGCTGCTGTAGAAGCTGATCTCTGTCTTGGTCCTGAAATATGAATTGAACTCAAATTTGGTTGAGTCATGATTAATTCTTCAATGAATGTGATGGTGTTATATTCTTCTCATGGACTTTGATGCAATTTATTTACTTCTTTGTTGCGTTGTTTATTGCAAATTTAATAAATTTTATAATGATTCGAGAATCCGAGTGAAATGAAGAGTCCTGTTAGCTGTTCAAGAACTGACGAATATTGAGGTATAATAATCTGATAAAGTATGTGAATAATCAAATAAATGAGATAATATTTTTAGATTTGTAACTTATTTTTTTTTAAATTATTATGCATGAAATTTTCATTTTTTGCAGTCTAAATAAGCATAGTATCATAAAGAACTTATTAACATAACACCGCATTTTGAGCAACATATTGGTCTCAAGAAACAGAATTGGAGACTGAGACTAAATTTACTTTGGCTCAAACACTGACTTCATATCGTTCTAATTTTTCAGTACGAAACGATTCAAGATCAAATACTACACAACAGTTCATCGCATTCGAATACTACTCCGAGTAGATCATATAAATCAAAGCAAGTATGCTACGGCCCGGATGTAATACAAGATTAGTTTATTTCAAAAGAGATGTGATACGACGTAATCTATACGTTCCTAGTGCTAACAAGTTTGATACCGTCCCCATACAAGAATTAGGAAGATTTCATGACAATCAAAATGTGATAGAATCAAAAATACAGCTCAAAAGAAGACAACTTCAGAAACGCAACAACAGTCCGCTTCAAGGTAAGGACAAAGACAATTACAAAGAAAATTTAAACTCGTTGAGGAATTTATCAAAAGACGTCTCCCACTTGTTAAGGGGAGATGCAAATTCAATGGATGAGCAGATGGACCCTAAAGTTACTGATCAGATCTATAATGAGTTACATCTCAGCAATAATTCAATGTTGAAAGCTGCAGATAATGGATTGACAACGAAGGATAATAATATGGAGTTCCCAAAAGAAATCATTGAAAATTTGGGTTTGGTATATTCGTATTTGAATCCTAACGACCAAACTACTTCCACATATTGGGATTTGATTGTATCTCAGCTTCAGATCGGTGATGGATTTTTGAATATATCTTCATCTGCTATAAATAACTTCATAAAGTGCATTCCTTTACGTGAATTAAAAAGGTTATTACCTGTTTTTCAAAAAATCTTCTCTTCCAAGAATACACCAATTCCCAAAAATACTCAATTTTTGTTTTTTAAATCTTTAGCTACAGGTGGTAATATACTGGAAAATGACATTCAATTGATGGAAAAATATTTTGAAAATTTTGCAACTAATAAGGAGCTAAAACTAGATATATATGAGACTATGATATGTGCTTACACTAAATGCGGTGAGATGACTAAAGTTGAAAAACTATTAAAAGAAATGAGACTAAATAAAATTGAAATTTCCAAATCAATTTTCACATCGATACTCCAAGGCTACATATTCTACGAAAAAGACTTCAACAAAGCGTTGGAAACATTCGACGCGATGAAATTTTTATCCAGTAGTACTCGACCAACTCATAGAACCTATACAGATATGATTGTTGCATGTGTGATGAATCGAAAAATTGAAAAAGCTTTAGATTTGTATAATGAAATGTTGGACAATAAAATGGAGATTAACCAAAACATATTAGCAGCATTAGCTAGAGGTTGCTCCAGTTCAAAACAATTTGCATCAAAATCTTGGGAGTACATCTTTAAAATATACGAAAATGGAATATCACCTAACTTACATACTTTTGAATGCATGTTACATATGTCTGGTTTGGAGGGTGACGTGGATTTGTCTCGAGCTTTATTTCAGAAGCTAGTTGAAGCTGGTTCTGTCACATCGAAATCAATTGTATTTTTGATGATGTCTTACTCAAATTTTCTGAATACTGGAAAAAATAGCAAGATAATGCAAAGCGACAGGGGTAGATTATTTCGGCATAACATAATCGAAAAGGTAGATTTCATGAAACCCATCACTGAGTTCCCTTTTCTTCCCGTTAAAAGCTTATCCACTAACGAATTGATTTTAGCTGAGTCGTCAGCATTAGTTTCTTTTATTATTGACAATAGGATTCGGATGTTATCTTATCAATTGGTATCTTGTTTTTTAAATATTTTAATTAAATTTGGTACGTTTGACCAGTTTAAGACAGTTTACAACAACACAACATTTCCAGTACTTGCTTCAAAAACGAGGAAATTCTCAGCTGATGTGGATACTTCAGATATGGGAGAATCACAAGAATCAGGTCAATTTGAATTGACTGATACAGATTTGGCTTCCGAAACCAAACAACAAGGTGACATCTCAACTAAGCTTCCACGAGATACAATCATCCACGTCATTGCATTAAAAGCAGCATCGACTTTCAAAAATCTAGAATTCGCAGAAGAGCTAATTTTAGAACGAGGACAGTACAGAAAGACTTCAAAATTTCAAAAAATGTCCAAAAAATCCCAAATTCAGTCAGATTTTGATTTTAGTAAAGGGTTAGTCAACTTTTATATTGATATGAAAATGTTAAATGATGCGTTGGCAGTTGTTTTGCTGTCCGAAGATAGATTTATTTGGAGTTGGAAAGAGTTGGGAGGTTTAGTAGGAGCTGCATTGAAGATTGATGATTTCAAATTAGCTCAAGATGTGAAAATGGTGATAAAGAAATCGAAAAATAAAGTTGTTAGGTAGGATGATGAAGATTTTGTTCGTTTATATTTTGTATATATTTAAATAGTAACACACTATAATGTTTTACTACTGCGAAGTCTAAATACAAGTGTAAATACGAGTCTAAATACAAGTCTAAAGGCCAACATACTGGATACTTTAACGTAATTTTGTAAATTTGTTTGAAGTTAGTTATGATTGAATAATAAGCAGCATTTACAAGAACATACTCGTTCAAGAAATAACACTTACAACCCCAGGTTTTTTGATGACTTTTTTGATCGTTTCTGGTAAAAATTTAGAAACAGTGTAATCCAGGCGAAGAGCATTCAACAAAGTCTGATCATTTTGATCGATTAAGTCCTTTTGCGCCATGATTGTTCCTCTACTCTTACCATTGATAAAGATTTTGAAGTTTTGAATTGATGTCTCGATTGGTTTGTCCATTGGAAAACTAAATTTGAAAATTGAAATTGGATCTTTCACTGAATCAGACAATTGTAAACTTTCCCAACATTCTTCAGCTATTGCCGGAGTAACTGGAGCCATACATAATAATAGCTTTTCGTAGGAGTTTCTCAATAGTGGATACTGGTAATCACTAGTTTTGCTTGCATCGGATATAAGATTCGTCATTTTCATAAAATCTGAAACAATGGTATTGAGTGAAAAATCAACGTCAATCGATTTGGCTATGTTTTGAGTAAATATTTGTATTTGATTATATAGAACAAATTCTTCCTTGTTGAGCTCAAGATTGTCGAAAGTTCCATTCATGTTTTTAAGCCTCGATATCTTACTAAAAATAGGGCTTGTACTTTTGGTGGAATCGTGCCTTTTATTTGTGATGATTTTACCTAAATTGATTGCCTTCTTGAGCCATCTTTCTACACCCAGAATTTGTTCTTCATTCCACAATAAGGTGTCGTTCACTGGTGCCAGGAACAACATCTGTGCTCTTGTCGCATCGGCCCCGTATTTTTCAATACATTTTCCTGGATCAGCCCCATTAAATTTGGATTTTGACATTTTTTCAAACGTTACAATTGGTTGTTTCCTTGAATTTTTTATAATAGGTCCTTCCGAGGTATCAAAATCTATTTCTTCCGGTTTCAAATATTTGCTAGTATCTGGATCCAAGTAGGTTCGTCCATGAACCATACCTTGGGTAACCAACTTTATCATGGGTTCATCAACACCAGATTTACTATTCCAGATTCCACAATCACTCAAAAATTTAGCTACAAATCTTGAATATAATAGATGCAATATGGCATGTTCAACACCTCCTACGTAAAGATCCACCGGCATGTTTTTACCTGCAGAAGCTGAAATTATTTCTTTCTCATTTTTGGAATCTAAATAACGGAGATAATACCAAGCCGAGTCCATGAATGTATCCATCGTATCTGTTTCTCTTTTTGCTGCTTTACCACAAGAAGGACACTTACAATTAACAAATTCTTCAATCGTACCTAACGGATTACCCTTTCCAAATTTTTTGCTTTGAAGTTTTGGTAAAACAACTGGTAAGTCTTCTTCAGGGACTGCAACGGGACCACACTCCTTACAATGGATAATAGGAATAGGAGCTCCCCAATATCTTTGTCTACTAATGAGCCAATCTTTGAGTCTGTATTGTATGCTGGCTTCTCCTAATTTATGCTCAGTAACATTTTGAATTACCATCTGAGCAGCTTTTTCGCTACTTAAACCACGATAGGACTCTAAATTCTGTAAACCATTACTTATAGTTGAAATATCCCTCATGATGCCGTTTTTCGAGGTATAAGGCACATCAATAGGTTTTGCTTTCGGACCCATCACTTGAACTATGGATTCGTTTGGCTGGTGAAGTTTCCAAAATTCATAATCTCTAACATCATGGCCAGGACAGCCCATCACAGCACCAGTACCATAATCATTTGAGACATAAGGAGCAACATAAATTGGAATACTGAAATTGATAAGTTTCTCGTTCTTTGGACTTAACGGAATTGTTGCTTTTATATTCTTTAACTTGTATCCCTCTCTTGAATCAAAATCAAGATCTTTCGAGTCATGCAAAAACTTTTTTAAATCTGGATCAATTTTGGCTTGATCCAAGACAATAGAATGGTTCATACTTAAAGCTAAAAATTGGACACCAAACAAAGTTTCAGGTCGTGAAGTATATATTTGAATTTTATCATCCTTCAAACTTATTGGAAAATCTATAAGACACCCTTGTGATTTACCAATCCAATTTTTTTGCATTGTCTTAACGTTTTCAGGCCATTCATCTAATCGTTTTAGATCTTCAACTAATCTATTGGCATAAGCAGTAATTCCAATAAACCATTGTTCAAGTTGTTTTTTCTCAACTACAGCTCCACTTCTCCATGATCTGCCTCTTGAATCCACTTGCTCATTAGCTAATACTGTCTTGTCGACTGGATCCCAATTTATCTCAGCATTCTTTCGGTACGCCAAACCCTTTTCAAATAACAATAGGAAAATCTTTTGAGTCCACTTATAGTAATCAGGAGAACTGGTGTTGATTTCCCGATCCCAATCAAAATCTACTAGGAATGATTTCATCTGTTCTTTCATTTTAGCAACATTAGTTTCGGTCCATATTGCTGGATCGATGTTTCTCTCCACTGCAGCATTTTCAGCTGGTAAACCAAATGCATCCCACCCCATTGGATGGATTACATTAAATCCTCTCATTCGCTTGTATCTAGCAACAACATCACTAATAGTGTACACCCTCAAGTGACCTAGATGTAGCACACCCGAAGGATATGGGAACATCACCAATGAATAAAAGTTTTCTTTCCTTGAATTTTCATTCTCAAGTTTCAAGTCATTGCATTTATCTTTCGACCATTTATCTCTCCATTTTTTGTCAATGTCTGTAAACTCATTGCTTGCCAAATATCGTTTGAATACTGGTATTGTGATCGACAGATATGAAATTTGACTCTTACATTTAGAAACATAAAATGGCCATTTTTGATATATCCTCCTTCTCATTGAAGCGTCCAAGTCAATATTTTGTTTAAAAAACAGTAGCTCCAATTGAATTTAAACTAGCTATACCTATTGCTATAGTATCATGAACATGAATAACCAAGTTGATGGTTGTATAAAGACTGTTAATAATTGAATCAATTCTCTTTTTTGAAACAATATTTTTCATAACACAAAACTCAAAGAATATATTACGATTTAAGAAGAAGAAAAAATAACAATCATTAAAACAATTACTAAATATCATCATCGTCATCAAACTAAAGTACAATTCAATACATTCATTTACATAAACTATCTTACCAAATATTGTTCAAAATGGCCGAGAGTCTACGCAATCAAAGTCCTGTGGATCCACAAGATCAAAATGAGTCAAACAAAGACCATAATTCTATAGGAAATTATTTTGGCAGAATAAAAAATGCATTATTCAATAGAAGTCACGGTCAAAACCAATCGCAGCCTTTCGAAAATAATAAGACTCAAGTTGAGCGGCAAGAACCAACAATTGAGATTGAAACAGAATTAATTGATTCATTTGATCCCATGTCTAATCGCTTTATCAAACCAGAAAAAAGAAGAAGGCTTTCTTTAATGGGTCTCGTCACAGATGAGGCAGTTCCTCGATCATTATCAACATCCTTACCAAGTGCGGGTTTTAGAAACAAATCTTATCTGTCTGTAATCAACGATAGTATCAAGCGTGAAGAAGAATTAGACAATGATCTTGAAAGAAGAAAGTCAATACAGGATGGTTATATGAGTTTAATTACTGAAACTGAAAAGCAAAGCAGAGATGAATCACCTTGTTTAAATATTCCCATTGAAACCCATAGTACCCAATTGAGCATTGACAGTGATACTAATAGCAACAAAGATTTTTTTCAACTAAATCCTCAAGAAAGAAATAAATTAGTACAATTAAAACTACTAAGACAATCATATGAACCGAGAAGAAAGAAAGCAAAGTATGTCACAACTCCAAATGAAAGTATGAGTGAAGTTCTAGGGAACTCTTCCATGGTTAATACATCAACTCAAACTCACGACTTAAACTACTTGGATAATAAGCTAAATTTTAAAAAAAGAATTGCATCATCACAATTGACCAACAGAGGTAAAAGACAGAAAAAAAAAGGATTTCAATTTACTGATTTCTTCTACGATACCAAAGATTTTGAAAACGATAAAGCACTTGGTGACCGAAAAATATATGCAAATAAAGTTGGAAAACCAAAATTCAATAACAAAACTACCCCCTCGTTAGGCATTAAGTTAGATGAAGATTACAACAAGCCCGCTTTTACATCAAAAAAAGATCAAGTTTTTTCCAATGAGAAGTTGTCACTACATCTTGATCCAGAATACGTGAATAAAACTAAAACAATAGCGGATGTCATAAAAGTAAAGGATGACGTAATATCCAAAGGCAACAAGAATCCCGCTAAACCTTCGTCAGGTTTTAAATTCAATATTAATCCAGAAAAATTCAATGAAATTCTCAAACCTGACTCAGTTGAAAAATATGAGGAAGCTTCTGTGAATAAAAATGATTTCAAATTGAATGGAAGTATTGAACCCAAAAGCAAAACTGGTGATCTACCTAATAAATTTGAAGACTCTCGCTTATCAAGTAGATCAAACAAGAGAACTATTGAAGAGGTTGACAAAAATGTTGATGAGAAAGTTTCAAGTACACCGAGCTTCAGTTTCATCAACAATTCAAACAATGCTATCAAAAAAACAAGTCCTACTTTCAGTTTTGGAGAAAAGACAGCGTTATCGAATTCTCAAAGTACCGATAAAACAAGCTTATTTACGAAACCTGGCTTTAAACTTTCAAACAATAATGAAATTAAAATTAACCAAACTACAGAAGGTGAAACAGTAAGAACCGAACCAAGTGTTAAACCAAGTGGATTGTTTGGACCCCAGAAAGCAACTACCAAGGATTCTGCAAGTTCCATATTCACCGTCGATAATGGAAATGACAAAGTAAAAGGCCTTTTTGATCTGAAATCTGAACTGGCATCTGTTTCTGGAAATTTATTTTCAACTAACAAAATGGTCACGCAACCTGATGACAAATTGAAAGAAGCAAAATCAAATGATATTACACAAGATGGTGGCTCTAAAAAATTCACATTTGATTTTACCCCAAACAATGATTCAAAGGACTCAAATTCATTGCTGAGAAATAAATTACCAGAAAATGAAAAACAACCGACTCCTGAATCCAATATGTTCTCCCTTAATAAAAACAATGAGCAACTCAAAACTCCTTCCTTCAATTTCAATACGGTAAAAAGTATTTCAAATGATAAAGGTAATTTGCCGAATTCAACAACTAATCCATTGTTTGGTTCCAAGACGAGTAATAAAGAAAACGACGAAGTGACCAATGCTAAGCCTTTATTTGATTTTAGTCAAAAACCAGTGGAGGAGAAGGATACAACAAAAGTAACTGAACTACCGAATGATACAGCCAAGACACCTACAGCCAACAATACAACATCAATCACAAACAAACCAGCCTTTGATTTTCTGTTTAATCCACCACCAGCAAAATCTCAAGATGATGAGACCACTAAAAACAAGGATGCTAAATCCGATTTGGAAGTTGAGAGTGAAAATGTTCCAAAACGATCAAAATTTTCATTCACCTCGACGGAAGCTAACAAACCATCAATTCCAGCTTTTTCGTTTGGTACTAACGTATCGGAAAAGGGAGAAAGCAAAAGTCCACAACCTGCATTTTCATTTGGTTCAACAACAACTTCAGAAGATAAAGATAAAACATCTTCAAATGATCAATCAAAACAATCAGAAGTAGCTCCTCCAAAAATCAATTTTAATTTTGCAGCTCCAACTTCTGCACCAGCAACTACATCAAATATCAATACTTCCAATGGATTTAAATTCGCTAGTGGAGTTACTCCACCGCCAGCAAATACTAATTTATTTGGAAATCCTATCGCAAAAACTGTGTCACCAAAACCTTTTAGTTTTCCCTCAACATCTACAAATACAAATACAAATTTAAATACAAATACCAAGAGTGCTTTCACTTTTGGCCAGCAACCTTCAACTCAACAAGTGAATCAATTGCCATTTGGATTTACGAACAACAATAATAATGCAAAAACTAATAACAACACTAATAGTATTACATCAAGTACTGAAAATGCATTTGGCAGTCGTCCAACAACTCCAGCTGCTTTTAGCTTTGGAAATTTTAATCAAACAACATCAAAAACACCTGTTGCTCCACAATTCAACTTTACAGGAAGTAAAGAACCAACTCCAGATCCAGCATCGATGTTTGGAAATCATACACAACAAGGTAGCAGAGAACCTACACCTTTTGGTGGAGTTTCGAATAATAATGTATTTGGTTCAATCAATAATTCTGCATTTGGAAGTAACAACAACAATAATAATAATAATAATAGTGCATTTGGAGCATTTGGACAATTACAACAACCACAATCTGCTACAACTCCTACATCGTTTGGAATGAATCCTACTCCAAGTTTTCAATTCAATAATGGAAATAATAATCAACCTATTTCTGATTCAAATACAAATATTAATACTACAATGAATGGATTTGGTGGAGGAATACCTACAATTAATCCAACTCCACCTCTGGTAAACCCAAGAAGAATAATGCATCCTAGAACAAGAAGAAGATAAAAAATTTAAGTAAATAGGTGATTTATCTTTTTACATAGCAATAGACTTATTTAATGTTAATATATAATTTGTATCTTACTTTCATATCACTTTTAATTGTTGAAGGTATAAGCGCGAATTACCGTCACACGATTATATTAGTTTCTTCAAATTTTATATGTAGACATTATTGAATAGTCAAAGGCAATGTTAATAGAAAAATCAATCAATATTGGTAACGTATTGCAAATCGTATCCTTGATCTTTCTACAATTCGTGATCAAAATTTGCAAATTAAGTGATTGACATTATTATATACATTTAGCAATTTAATGTAAAAGCAAAAGAAATAGTAAGTTGTATAAAAGCTATAATAGATGTATTATTATAGCCTTATAGAATAAATTATAATTCAAATTGAAAAATAACCTTACTATATTAAACGTTTTTATTCGATAATACGTTCAGTCAACTATTAAAATTATTTGTTGGTTAAAAATGATATTAAAGAAGTGCTAACTCATCAGATAGATAACAAGAGTAAGAGATTCTCAAGAGCGACATATACTAATTTTGTTCAATGAATATCATATGAAATTGGAGAAAAAAAAAAAGTACAAATGTGAAATTGTTTCAGATTTTGATATTATTTTGTATTATTACTATACATAGTAGTAAATGTATACATGCTATATTAATATATTAATTAGACAGAGTTGTATATGTATTGTAAATTATGAAACGTATTAATAAATAAAAAACCCCACAAAATTAAATTTAAATTGAAAAAAAAAAAAAAAAAAAAAATTAAGAAAAATATAAAAATGTCGTATTATAATTTATTTGAAATAAGAAATTACTGTAAATAGAAATCTAATTGTGCTTAATATACAGGTAAATGTCGGTAATAAATATAGAAAAGACTATTAAAGTTTTGAAATATTATATTTTGCAACCATTTGAAACAAATGAAATTTATTCAATTATAAGAACTAATGAGTAGGTACATCTGAAATACATAAATCTGTAGAAACTTTGATATTATTGATTGTGTTTTAATTGAACCGATGTAATTGTTTGATGAGTCTATGATAATTGGAAAGTTGATGAAGTTACAGGAATCTTATGATCTTTGATTATTCGTCGGTTCTTCCAATTGATTTTACAAGAAGTTGGTTATGCCAGCATTCTTCAAATACTAGTACATTGTGAGCTGAAAATTAATATCAAGTTCTATGTACTCGCTTTTTACATTAGGTTTGAATCTAAGCCCGCGGCAGAGCTACAACTATAAATACCAACTTGTAAAGCTTTTCAAACTAATACATTAACAATTTATAATCAAACTGAACAGACGGCATTTGATGGAATAACGATAGATAGATACATATCTGTATTTAGGCTGAGTGATGTATCTTGTAAATTCGTATCTTGTAAGATCATGTACCTCGAATCTTTTTTTTTTTTCAGATCTCAATGTGGCTGTTGACTGATTTAATGGTTGTGATTTTTATGAGAGGCTGAAATTTAAAAGATCTCATTTGTTTTAAGTATTACCACTAACAGTATGAGTTACTGAATTAAGTCTGAGTGAGGAGTTTAACTTCAACTAAACCTACTTTCTTAAATTTCAAAAAAAATTAGGTGTATCAATTAATGGTACAAAGTTTAATACAAAATGGTACAAAAAGGAATAAAAAAATGTCTTACGAGAATAAATAATTTTCTTAATGAAAAATTAAATCCTATAAGTCCTATAAAATAATTATTATATAATAAACTTTATACCATTTAAGTAATTAATAATGTATTGTTCAATTCTTTCATACACAAATACTTACTCAGTACGAGATATTTATTGTTTGATAAGACATAGACGACTAATTAGGCTGGTTCACTTTCTTTTTTTTTTTTTTTGCTGATTACAATAAATAGCTTACTACTAGAGTATTCAATAAATTAGCTAATTATCAATATATAGCCTTTACTCACTCAGAAATAAAAAATCAAAAATGTCTCTGTACGTAAAACTCAAATTATTCTGATTCTTTCAATTTTCCACTGATTAATGCAAATAACGTTCAACAAGTGATGGAATAGTCAATTCTTAGACTATTCAATGATGTATTAGTCAAATTTCAAATTTGGAAAAGGTCACAAGTGTTGGTCTCAAACGAGTTTTCCCGTAAGTGTTCAGTCTCTACCCATTAATTCCTACTCTTTATATCCACCGAACAAAGCTATATATTTAAGACCAAAATTATTAAAAAGGGGGTTTAATTTATTTTGAATTAATACAATGTACATACTCGGCTCATGTACTAATTAGTTTTTTCAACCTTACGACAAAAAGCAGAGACAACGACATTAATTTTATTATAATTTTAATTTAATTTAAAATAATATAAATAAAAAATAATTTAATTTTCAACGAACTAACAAAACTTCATTTTCAATTTTTAATTTTTATAAAAGATAATTCAATTTTCAACACATATTTATTTATTTATATTTATATCTTTCTTCATAAATTTATATTTATTTTTATCTATATATATATATCAGGGATTGGATTTTATTATTTAATTGATAGAAGAAGATTTTCTAATTGACATTTACTTATTCATTTCAATCAATTCAATTTTTTAGATACTACATTCATACACTCCATTTTACATATTAACTTAAATAGTCTTACAACAAAATTCAATAAATAAAAAAAAACAAAAAAAAAATGTCATCAGATAATGTTAAATATAGATTACAAAGAATTCAAACTCTTAATGGTGATCAAGAAGTTGTTTTAAAACAAGTTTGGGCTTATATATTGAAATATTTTGGTTATGAATTAGATTTTAATAATCAAGATATTCAATTTAGACAATGTTTTGTACCATCAACTTCAACTTCTCATTTTGATGAATCTCAAGGTTTACCAACTGGTGGTTTAGCTAAATCAAATACAAGAGGTTCATTAAATTCAACTAAAAGTTCAGCTTCTAAAAAAAAAATGGGTTTATTTGGTTCTAAAAAGGCTTCATCAAGTGCAAGTACTGCAAATCAAGGTGCTGGTGCTGCTAATGGTTCACCACCAGCTAATTCAAAAAGAATGAATCAAATTCAAACTCAATCTTCTGCTGAAAGATATGTTCCAGTTGATTTGCCAAGTGAAACCATTTATTCAGTTTATGCTCATCATTATAAAAGTGCTTATGAATATGCTGATGATTTTGATGGAAGTTCTGCTGCCCCAAGTGGTGGAAACCAACAACAAAATGGTGGTGGAGCTTATGGTGCAGGTGCTGGTGGTTATAATGATTATAACGATGACGTTAATTCAATTAATTCAATTGAAACTTTTGTTACTGCTGAAACTACTTTAACTGATTATGATGCATTACCACCACAAATTTTTGACAGTAATTATAAACACAACAATAGTAAAGGTGGTAAAAAGGCATATGGTGGTAGAATTGGTCATCCAAATCAACAAAATAATGGATACCAACAACAACAACAACAAAATGGTTTTGCTGCTGGCGGTAATCAAGTTGATATTTTCCAATCAACTGTCAATAAACCAGTCAAAGCTCATCCAGATTCTTCAATGCTTCAATTCTTAAGTCAATATAATGCAAAAGATTTACATCAAACTTTAAATAAAATTCAACGTAATGATTTATTAGATAACTTAGTCTTAAAATTCATTAGAGCAAGAAAATGGGATCACGAAAAAGCTTTAGAGATGTTATTTAAATCATTAAATTGGAGAGCCAATGAATTTCCAAGTGATGATTGGGTAATGGAAGGTGATTCTGTTTCATATTTAAATGGTACAAATCAAGGATTTATTAAAAATTTTACAACAGAAAAATCTTGGATTAAAGGTAGAGATAAAAATAATAATCCAATTTTTATGTTTCAAGCTAAAAAACATTTAACAGCTGATTCTCCTTTACCACAAAATCAAAGATATGCTGTTGTTACTATTGAATGGGTTAGATTATTTTTAAGAGAAGTTAGTGAATCAGTTGATACTTGTACAATTGTTTTTGATTTAACTGGTTTTTCATTAAAAAATGCTGATTATGCAACAATTAAATTTTTAGCTGATGTTTTTGAAGCTCATTATCCAGAAACTTTAGGTTTCATTTTAATTCATAATGCTCCTTGGATTTTTTCAACTGTTTGGAATATTATTAAAAATTGGTTAGACCCTGTTGTTGCTTCAAAAATTCATTTTACAAAAGATGCAAAAGAATTATCAAAATTTATTGATCCAACTTTAATTCCAGATTATTTAGGAGGTGAAGATACAACAAGAGGTTATTATCCAATTCCTGAACCAAAAGATGAAGTTCCACCAAAAAGAAAAGATGCTGAATATGCAAGATTAAAAAGAGAAAGAGATATATTATTTACTAAATTCCTTGAAACTACTAAAAAATGGGTTGAATCTACAAATCCTCAAGTTTCAGATAAATATTTAAAAGATAAAATCGATTTAAATATTGCTTTATCAAGTAATTATATTCAATTAGATCCATATATTAGAAACCCAGGTATTTACGATAGAGATCATTCATTAACTGTTGGTCATTAGATTATTGTTTAGAACAGCTTGTGATTTACGAAATTCAAGCAGATAAACTTGTTAGAAAATATATAAAAATTCTCATCCAGTCATAGCTGATATTTGTATTAAACACATATATAAGCAAATTACACATTCATTTTTTTACATTTAGATAGTTTTTAATTTTTATTTTACATAAATTCAATTTAGAAAACAAAAAACTCAAATTTTCTCTTCCAAAAATTACCGAATCTCTTCTTAGCTATAATTGGGTTGTATCTTAGTCATGAAGTCAGATATCATCATCATGAAGTAAGATATCACCATCATCCACATCTGCTGTCATAATTGTTTTGTACGTTCCCTTCAGTCCCTACCCCGCAAAAAATATTTTGTTAGTCGGCAATTAATATTAAAATCCGGTAATTAAGTCCGTCAATTACATTGAAATTTATGAGACATTAATTAGCCTATACTATTTTTGTGTCATTTGTGAAAATGCTTAGACATTTTAAAATTTTATCAGGATTGAAAATTGCTGCAAATTGCATACTTGAAGCCACTAAAATTGAATCGGTAATGTATAATCATGACTAAGACTGAATCATCAAATGGGAGAATGCTGTTTATCAAACCCTTGCATTTTCAAAAAAAAAAATGATTACTGGGTAGATAAGTCTAATAGTATCTTGTTGCCAAATTTTTTTTTTTACAAATTATTGCATACTAAGTCATTTATGAAGTAAAATAGTTCAATTCCTAAATCTCAAATTAGCAATACAAGATCTTGAATTAGACTACCAAGCTGTGGGAATCTGGGATAAGATCTTTGAAAGGGCCAGATTTTCAAAGTACCGAAAGCGCGATTTCAGGGGTCTACCTGAGGTACGGATGTTTCAACTATTTTTGTTATGCAATCTTTGGATTATATTGTTATGCAATCTCTGGACTTTTTTGTTATGCCATCTTTTTTGTTATGCTACTTTTTTGTTATGCCTGCTCTTTGTTATGCTATAATCTTGTTATGCAATTTTTTTGTTATGCTGCAGCCTTTAAATTAGCATTTAGTTGGAATCGAACCAAGAATTTTTTAGTTAAAATTACGACTACGCCACGCAAATTTGCTAGTTTTACGTGGCGTAGTCGTCAAAATTAACTTGAATCAAATTTTTTGAAAGCCAGTTCAATCCCTGCTGTTGCCAAAATTTGTATGTCTCGTGGCGTAGTGGTAAACTCGACCTCAAATGTAAAAAACTTTTTTTATCTCGTGTTCAATTCTTCTTATCAACACACTATTATAACTATTGTTTTGTGTAATTAACCTTGATAAATAATAAAAGCAAAAATTCAATCAAACAAGAGTAACCAAAGTTAACTAACCAACCATCAATTATACACTCTGCTTCATATTTCACAAACTCATCACTATGTCAAGAAGATCAGGTAGAAGATCAATAAATTCAGATAATAAATCCTCATCATCAATAAATGGGGATGATATGGATTTAGATGAGAATAATGAATTAGAAATTAAAAGAGAATCACGAAGTAATAGAAACAACCATGGAATAAATTCAAATGAAGATGAAAATAATGAACTTAATGTTGAAAAAAATGATGATGAAGAGAATCAAGGTAATAACGATTCATCAATTGAAGATGAAGAAGAAGTCACAAGATGTATATGTGGACAAGATGAATTACTGTCTAATCTAATAAATCCAAATTTAGCACAATTATTGAAAAAGGAATACAAAATAACTATAGATCAAGGATTATTTATTCAATGTGAGAAATGTGGAGTATGGCAACATGGTTATTGTGTAGGATTATATGAAAATGAAGATGTACCAGATAAATATTGGTGTGAAGAATGTAAACCTGAAAATCATATTTTAGTAAATTATGATCCATATCTGAAAAGAACATTATATAAATCAGTTAATGATAAAAGGAAAAAAATTGAAAAATTTGGAGTTGAAAATGAAGATTTAAAAGATATTAAACCAAATTCAAATAATAATAGTATTGATAATGATATAGATGATGATAATGAAAATTCAAGACAATCTAAGAGAAAAAGAATTTCACCACCAGTTCAATCTAAAGATAAAAGAAAAGAAAGAAGGATACATCATCATCATAATGAAGAAGATGAGTATGATAAACAATTACAAAAAGCTTTAAGAGAAAGTGCAAAAGAATCAGGGTTAGTGATAGATGAAAGTGATGCAGATAATTTGTCACCTAGGAAAAGAAGTAGTAGAGCTTCATCATTAAACGCTTCATCAAATAATTCAGATTCTGCAATTTCTAAAAAATTTAAAAAGGAAATCAATGAAGATGAAAATGAATCAGATACAAATAATCAAAACATCAAACCAATAAATAATCATATAAATGGCAGAAGGAAAACAGAATACAAAAAATCAAAAAGTAAACTAGCTAAAAAAAAAAGAGATTTAACATCTTCTTCATCATCTTCTTCCAATTCATCACAACAAAAAAATCAAAATCATTCAAATCAAAACATATCATCACCTACAACAAATACCGCAGGATCTTCATCATCAAATTCAACAACAAATAATCATACAATAAATAAAGATGAAATTATACAACAACCCTATAAACCAAGATATGTAAGTATAAATTCTTCAATTTATGATTTAAGAAAAAGAACAAGTGCAATAATTGAATGGATATCAAGAACAAAACAAGATTTAATTGAAGAAAAAAAATATAAATTTGAATTATATTCTTTTACTCCAGATTCTGATTCAATAATTAATGAAAAAAAACAATTTGAAATAAAATTTAACGAAAAACTGGAAATGATTAATAATTTAAGTTCAAAAATTAATGAATGGGAATTAAAATTTGGTAAATATGCTCCTTAATTAATGATTTATAAAATTAAAAATATACACTATATTTTATAAGTTTTATAAGAAAATTCTTTTTGTACTATAACTATACTAAGATTGCAACTCTATAAAATATCACGTAAAGCTGTTCTTCTATCAATTCCATCACTTAAAAATTCAGAATTTGAAACATTAGTACTATTTGAATTAATTTGTTTAGATTGATTTAATTCATATAATTTATTTAACCATTTTTCACTATTTAAAATTTCATCACCTCCAATAATTATATTTAATTTTGGATTTAATTTTGATAATTCATTTATAATTCTATATTCTTCATAAGTTACCCCTCCTTTAATATATATAATTAAATCTTGAATTGAATTATTTGATGAATTATTACCATATTGTTGTTTAACTTTTTCTGGAATTAAAGTTTGAAAAAATGAATTAGGTCTAGCATTTGAATCTGGATTTAATAAATTTTGAATTGTTGTTTTTAATTTTGGAGTATATTGTAAATAAACATTATCATTTTCTGGAGTTTCATTCTTATTGAAAAACTTTTTAAAGTTTACTTTATTATTTGAAAATAAATTGGCAAGTCCTTGTTGATTTATATTTTTTGTAATATTGTTATTGAATGGTTGATCTTGTGATGATTGCTGATGTTGTTGATTTCTTTTACTATCTTCCATGTCAAATAATACATTAAAGTTCTTTATTAAATGTATTTGTTCAGGAGCAGGAGGTTCTTGTGTAAATGAAGGTTCATTTAATTTTGAAATAAATAAATTTAAATCATTTGAAGATTCATGAAATTTATAAGTATATAACAAAATCAATTTGATTTTATTAACTGTTGAAATATTTTTATTTTGTAAAACTTCCAATAATGTAGTTTTAATATTAGATTGACTTTCTAATCCACATATGATTGTTTGTTGTAATTCTCCAATTTCCCATAAATGTTGCTTTTTCAATTCTTCATCAATTTTAGATATTAAATTCACATGAGTTCCAATGTTTGTTGAAAATTTTTGAAATTCAGGAAATTTAGTTAAAGTTTTTTTCAATTCTGATATATTTAATAATTGATCATTATTTATTGAAGATTGCTTTGTTTCAAGTTTATATTTTTCAAAATATTTTTGATAATTATCATTTAAATCTCCATAATTTAAAAATAATGATTGATTAAAAAATGGATCATCATCACCAAGAACAATTTGATTATCAGGTAATGCCACTACGTTTTTGTCAATTGTTAAAAATTCATGAATCATTGACTGATAAGTCCATGGTGTCATTAAAGGTGTTATTATATCATTTTTACGATCCAATAAAAGTAAAACTGGAGGTACATCTGATCGACGATTTAAATCATCAAATAAATTATTATTTGAATTTGAATTTATAATGTATAATATTTCAGAACTTAGTCGTTTTAATTCAATCGAATTTGAGTCATATTTTATTATTGGTGTCTTTTTCAAAGCCAAAAGTAAACTGGTTAAACCTTCAGCTTCAGCAACGACTGGATTTGGTAAATTAATAGTAGGTTTTTTTAAAAGATATAATTCATTATTTAAAATATAATAATCTTCAAATAATTCAATGATTTTTTCAATTACTTCAAACTCGTCTGCTTCTGCAATCAGTTCAATATGATTTTTACCAATTACATTATTAAAATAAACATAATATTTTTTATAATGTGGAGATCGAAGTTCAGATAATAATAATTTGATCGATTCTAAATTAGGATTGATATATACTATACAATCCAAATGTTTCATAGTTGTGAGGTTTTGTTGTGATTCAATTAATTCTACCAATATAATATCATTTGATAACAATTGAGATTGAGTATAACAAAGCGATATAAATGAAGTTGTAATATTATCTAAAAGTAACACTTTTGGAGATTTGTTATTTGAAAAAGTATCAGTTGATGAATTGGTTGAGTCCGTTTGTGACTGAAACATCACTTCAAAATAAACATCTTTGACTTTTGATAGATTCAACGTCATTGTAATTGGTATGTGATTTGGTACAATAATAAAGTGTTGTCAAATTTGGTATAATTTGTTTCAAATTTTATCGGTTATCTATAATGACTGATATCATTAAAGTCACAACTTTAAATTTAAGACTTTAAGAAATAAAAACCGGTGTTTTAAATCAAAGTTGGTAGCACAAGTTGAAACATCATTAAAAGGTAACGAGCAGTTCAAAAGTGATTAAGTTGAGGCACCAAGTCGTACATAACTGAAATCAAAAGTCAATGAAATTCAACTCTAGAGACTTTTCAGAATAAAAGTGATTAATAAAAAGGCTTTATGAAACTTTCATTCCCAAAAAGGTAATCGGATTTATCCTATGATTTCTTATCAAACGTTCTTTTATTTTAAGTATTACAAAAGGAAGAAAATACTCACAAACTTTCAGTAATTTTGAAAGTAAAGAAGAGGGGTGGTAAATTAACTGAACAAGTATCTCATATATACCAGTCTGGACCATTTCAAATTAAGAAAAATCCCCAAATTTATTAGTTTCGTTGGTGTACTGAAGAAGCTTTTTAGGCAAAAAACTTTTCAAACTCGACCCTATATGCTCTAGTATTGGTTTTCAAATTCACACATAATATTTTACTTATATCATGAACATTGTAAGCTAGTCTAACGGAATTTTCATTGAACAACCATATTAAATTTGAAACAACTTGATATAATCCATGGCATGAAAACATAGAATTTAAAAATCTCTTTAGTGTCAGAACATAAAAGTATATGTTACATATTAGATTCATTATGCATAGAATCTTGTAGAAATTTTAAGCATGAAGTATTGTTTATGAAACGTCAATATTTTACATATGAAACGTCAATATTTTACATAATCGATTGTTTGAAAAAACTTGATCCGTGAGATAGATATTGTGTTAGGCTTTTTATTTGGTTTATAAGTTCAAGAAAACATAACAAGGCTAATAAAACATAAGGCTGTATCATAAAGTCATAGAATGTTCAGCCGCGAAAGGTTTTCAAGAAGGTCAACTGTTCAACAAACAGAAATACATTCATATTTTTGAAGATATTATTTAATTTAGACGAAATATGCAACTGAAGCTTAAATAATAGCCTATAATATTTAAAACTAAAATAGTCCTAAGCTTGTAAAATATCCCAATTTAGGTATTAACGCACTCAGATATTCTATTGTATGCCCGCATTAGTTATTGTTTAACCAAATACATTGTACTTAATTATTATTTTATGAAACTTGATGATTAAAATTAAATGATCAATTTAAAGGGGTAGAGAAATTAAATAAAAAATAAAAAAATAAAAAAATAAAAAACAAAAAAAGTGGAGAGATTATTATTTAAATTTCAAAACTCACAAAGAAATGATAGCAATAGACAAATATTTATAAATTTATCATGGGGTTACAAACCATTTAATACGTTGGATGTATAATGTACAGAACGTAGTAACAGCTATTAGATTAGTTAGTAAAAAACAACGTAAGGATCTTATCATTAGGTTGATTCTCTGAGCAAATCACAAACAACTCAAAAAAATACAGCGAAAGGCTTAATTAAATTTTCAATTTGATCTAAAAAGCATTAGCTTTCTTTTCAGGAACATAGTATCAGCCATATCTTTGTTTGAAAAAGATCAACAAATTGATAAAAATTCGTAAATTCGTGAACAAATTAAGTCGTAAGACATCAACTTGATCATGTTATCTACCTTTTGAATGAAATATTTCAAACTACAAAGTGTTGCACTTGACATCCGTCATAAAAGTAATGAGAACATCTTTTACAAATTGCAATGAAACAGGAATATTTACCATACGAATTTGCATTGCAATTCATCACAAAAGAAATGAAATTAAAAAAAAATAATCATGAGGTTTCAAAAATATTTAATTAATTAGTAGAATGATTTTATATATGAAAGAAAAAAGTAACACAAGATAACATAATTTTTCTGTTGATTAGAGTAGCAGAAATCCCAATAGACAAGAACTATCTTGACATCTCTAGTATAGATCTATTCCTGTTTTATTATTGAGTTAAACTTTTTATCTGTCAAACATACTTCATGTCTTGTTCTTTGAATTTCAAGATGGGTTATATTATATTATAAATTATTAGTACAATCGTATATTTGCAATTCTCTAACACAAAATTAAGTAGTTTATTACACAAAGCATCTTAAATAATAAAATGTAAAGTAAAAATGAAAAAAAGATAGTCATTAATTTTTCAAATTAAAATATGGTGTTGCGTGTATGAGTTTGTATTGAAATTAGTTGATGTTGTTGTTGGATTGAATTGTTTTTTTGTTGAGTTAAGCTGGTTGTTTGTTTTATAGTTGTAGTATTACATTTCATGATAAAATATACAAATGAATGATATAGAATAATGGACATAATAGTATTTTAGACAGTAATAAATTGTATTTTAAATGGTAACCGCTGAGTACCGCTGAGTGTACTATATACTCTTACTATACATGGTATTAGTGTTAGTAGTAATATTAATTATCTCAAAATCACTTGTTTATATCATGTATTAAATTAAATCAATTAGAATATCGTAAATATATTTTTAATTATTATTATGTATGTAAATTTCAAATTGGTTTGTAGTCTTTTCTTTTATAAATATCACTCCATCTTACAATTATATATATATATATATATATCCTTAAAATCAACATATATATTCTAACAAAACATACAAAACATACACAACTTAAAGAATATTTATAAACATTTATTGATAAACTTTGTCAAATATATTACCTTATCTAATCAAAATCAAATTTTTCAAATTTGAAAAAGATAAAGCTCCTTAATTTTTTTCATATCAACAACAAAATAAAACTAACTACAGTATTCATTATATAAATCATAATTCCATCTAGATCAATTCTTCAACTAGCATATCCATCCATCAATCGCTGTTCATTAAACTGAGTACGCTAAACCGAACTGACTAATTCCATCCCCTAATATATTTTAGTTCATAAGGCTGTATCTTTATATATAAAACTATATATATATACATGCAAACATAAATGAAATATAATGTCACAATCTAATGTTAACTTCAATTTATTTAGTAATCTGTCAACTTCAATCGTAAATGAAGAATCAATTGAGAAAAATAATAAACAACAACATCAACAAGAACAACTGAGTATTTCACAATTAATTAAAAATAACAATGATCAATCGATTTCAAATCATGAACATAACTCATCTATATCCTCAAATTTATCGAATTCAACAAATTCATCTTCAATAACTAATCCTTTAAATCATAATACAAACAAAATTAATTTTAACCCAAAACCACATAATAATACTAATAATAAAGATGAAAAATTTCATAAATTTGTTAGAAAAACTATTCATAAATTAAAATTATCTCCTGCAACTCAACATAACTCAAATCTGTCACCAACATCTCCATTATCTTCAACTTCATCATCAGGAACACAACCCACAGCATCACAACAACAACAATCACAACCAAGCTCACAAACACAACCACAAAGTATTTCAATTTCATCAAATAAATCTCACCAAAGAGATCCGATTGAATTATCACAATCTCATCCAAGATTTAATTCAATTGTATCAAGTAATTCTTCATCAAGTGATATATTTGAAAGATCAGTTTCAAATTTTGCAAATCCTAATAACAACAACAATAATAATACGAATGAATTTAAAAATTCACCATTTATAAATTTAACAAATCCTGAAATTCCTTTTCATTATAATATAGAAAATTATACTAGTCCAATATTGGATACAACTACTGAAATTTTAACAAATCCAAATATAAAATTAGATCAAGTAAAATTAAATTGTTATTGTGATGAATTACCATTATCATCATCATTTAATAATGATTCAAATGATTTGATTGGCTGTTCAAATCCATCTGATTGTGGTGGTAATAATGAAATACATTTTAAAACAAATCAATTTGATAATAATAAAAATTCAAATTTAATAAATAATCAATATATTGAATCAATTTCTCCAACTTTAAGACCAAGAGCAAGAAGTATTATATCTCAACTGATTATTTCAACTTTAGAAAATTCAAAAAATAATCAAAATAAAAACGCTAAAATGAAGTCAACTTTAGGTTTATCAACTATAAATCGTTCAAATACAAATAATCTTAATAATAATAGTCACTCTAGTAACATACATCCATCAAATTTTCAAACTAAAAGATCTTCAAGTTTTGCAGGTACTACATTACATTCAAGAAATAAATTACAACCACCACCACTTACATCATCAACAACAACAATTCAAGATGATATAAATTTCCCAACAATTGATTTTTTTTCATATGCAGATATTATAAAAAATGAAGATGAATCAAATTTTATAAAAATTGATGAAGAAGATGATCAACAAAGTTTACATGATACTGATGTTGATGATGAAGATATTATAGAATTTAATAACAACAACAAATCAAATTTAAATGATTTAGGATTTTCAAGAACTACAACTTCTAATAGTGGATTAAGTTCAAGTTTAAGAAATTCTAGTAGTAATAACAACAATAATCTCAGAGAATTACCAAATAGACGTGGTAGTTATGCAACTATAAATGCAAAAGATTATATTGGAGTACTTTAAATAAGGAATTTATAAACTTGTTAAATTCAATAACAAACTCAATAACGCAAATTAGATTTTAATATAATTTAATACGAAATTAATGAACTTATGAAATGTTTCTTTCCATATTGGAATACTATTTTTAAAAAAAAAAAGTGATAAAGTTAAAATTTATATATTTATTTCAATTCGTTCACTACAGTTACGAACAAGGTGGTAGTAAAAGTATATACATACGTAATTATTTATTTTTCAGTTTTTTAATATTGTTTCGAAGTGAAGATGTAGAAAATAAGTTTAACAATGATGATGCATGAATTATATAATTCGGACTATATTTTGGGTACATTTACACGTCTCTCAACGTATAACCGTAAAAATCGTAAGGTTTTCAATTAAGACCCTTCCTCGTGCTAAATTTTTAAACGAATACCGAATTACTTCGACGTGTAAATTTGTACATCAACTAGTATAAAGTGACGCGACATAGAACTAAAAAACTCGACATAAACTGTATATAAAAAAAGTTTTTTTCTTCATTTCTACTTACAACGACAAAAAAAAAAAATTATTCAACAACCAAAACTTAAAAAAAAAAAAATCTTTATTCATTTACAACACAACATATCGAATTAAAGAATTCATTGTATTATAATTATCATTGTATCAAACTAGAACTCATCAATCAATCAATCCAATCAAATTCCAAGATTAACTAACCTTTGATCAACAATCATAATCAATTACGAACAATCAAAAATTTTTATCCTGTTTTAATTAAAACAAATCAAAGTCATCCTTTATTAACAATTTTTTAAAACATCTAAAATTTTTTTGTAAACTTAAGTTACTCATTCAATTTCGATTCATCTAATCAATCATATATATATAAATAATAAATTAATAGAATATAATACCATGACTGAATCATTATTTGATACCAATTTTACTTCAGAAGAAAACCAACCAAAACCAACAACTAACACAAATTCTCAAACTAATTCAAACGCCACTAATTCATCATCTAATCAATCAAATATTGTTAATGGTCATCATGATAATTCAAATAACTCATCATCAAATACAAATTCAAATCAACGAAACAATTCCAAAACATCAGAACAAGATTCAAATGGATATGACCAATCTACTTCATTACCTTCAATTAATGATAATGCTAATGTTGATGCATTAATTAATTATAGAGTATTAGTATCAGCAAAAGAAGCTGGTTGTTTAATTGGTCAAAATGGACAAGTTATTGATTCAATAAGAGGTGAAACAAATACAAAAGCAGGAATTTCAAAATTAACTCCAGGAACTCATGAAAGAATTTTAACAGTAAGTGGTAAATTAGATGATGCTGCAAAAGCTTTAAGTTATTTTGCTCAAGCTTTAATTGGTTCAACAATTGAAACTTATAATTATTTCCCATTAAAACAATTAAGTTCAACTCCTTGTGTTCAGAATGAAACAACAATTTTAAGATTATTAGTTCCAAATAGTCAAATGGGTACATTGATTGGTTCAAAAGGAGCAAGAATTCAACAAATTCAACATAATTTTGGAGTTTCAATGATTGCTTCAAAATCATTTTTACCAGGATCAAATGAAAGATTAGTTGAATTACAAGGTACAGTAAATGATTTATATGATGCTTTTAGAGTTATTTCAAGATGTTTAATTGAAGATTTTTCAAGTAGTGTTGGTACAACTTATTATATTCCAAGAAGTCCTCAATTAACAAGAAAATCAACTGCAACTATAAGTTTTCCAAATGATATGGTTGGAGCATTAATTGGTAAAAATGGTTCAAGAATTCAGGGTGTTAGAAAAGTAAGTGGTGCAATGATTGGTATTAGTGAAGCTACTGATGGTAAAGATGAAAGAGTTTTCACTATAACTGGTACTCAACAAGCTGTTGAAAAAGCAAAAGGTTTATTATATCATAATTTAGAAAGAGAAGAACAAAGAAGAGCAGAATTTAATGAATAAAAAATTTTAGAGACTATTATTCCTTTAAACAGACAAAATTTATTAGTTTATCAATTTTATAAAACTTTGTCACAATATTACCACATTCATTAATCCTTTTTAAAAAATAATTCATCATTTGAGTAAAAACAGAATTCGAGAATAAATTATATAAAATTATCAACTTTTTCATTACTAATCTACCATCTATAACCTTATGTATCAATTTTTTAGTGTATATAAAAAATATAAATATTAATTTTTAACTTCAACGATGTTTAGTTACTACAACAGATTAAATCGAGCTCTATTATGCGATATATTAATACACTTATTATTACCTCTATTTATCCTAATTTACAAACTTTTACTTATTGACTCAGCTAATTTTTCTAAATATAATTGATCAATTTCATCAAATCCATTTAATTCTTCACAATCTAAATCAATAACTCCCCAAATTTTATTATTTTTCAATATGGGTACAACAATTTCACTTTTAGTATCACCATCACATGCTATATGACCAGGAAATTCTTCAACATTAGGAACTAATTGAGTTAATTTTGTAAAAGCACAAGTTCCACATACTCCATTTCCAATTTTAATAGTTTGACATGCTACTTTACCTTGAAATGGTGCTAATACTAATTCATTATTATTATTATTTATGCTTTCATCTATTGTATAAAATCCAGTCCAATTTACTTTTATACCTAAAGAATGATATGAATGCCATAATAATGATGATAAATTTGATAAATTAGTAACCCAATTTTTTGTTTTTAAAGTTTCAAAACTATCAAGAATATGCTGTAGAGTTTCTTCTTTTGTTAATCCTTTTGTATTTGAATAATCTGCATGATATACCATGGTTGGTTGCCAATTATCAATGCAAAATTATTTGATGATACTAGTTGAGTGGTATGTTGGATTACAAATAATAATATTTATAAATGTAAGTAAGTATGGCTTTCTCATAAATTTTCAAATGTGTCTTAGATTAAAAATTATATGCACAGACCCTTAAAAAATGAGTCGCGTTAGGTCTCGTGCTAAATTATGCAGAAACATTTTAATTTAGGTCGTAGAATGTAAATTTTAACGCGTATCGGTTCGGAATTAAGCTACAGTCCATATTATGCAGAATCTAAGGGGAGAAAAATCAAATCGAATAAATCATTCAACCATTATTATTATTCTAAATTCAATTAATCAATTGAGTACCAAAATATTTAAAAAATATTCATGGACGCGTTTGAAAAGTTTCTATTAATAAGAGGTATTCAAAGGGTACAAATAAATAAAAGACAAGAGTCAAATGACGATAAAAACATAGACGACAATAATGAAAGCAACACGAACACTAATACTACCAATGAATCCAATAATGATCCTGCAACTACTACCACCAACAATAATACCAATGCTACAGATAACACAAACACCAACAATACATCTACGAATAATTCAACTCGACCTTCGGGTACAAGAAGATCAGAAGTAATTGTATTAAATGATGATGCTGAAATTTTAAGCCATACGATAAATGGAGTATCAGTACAAAATACGGAAAATAGAACCAGCAGTGGACTAGTTTTTGGTCCAACTGATCACAATGGTCGACCAATTTTTGGTCCATTTAGTCACGATGATCATCATCCTTTTGCTAATCCTATTGAAGCTGACAGTGATGATTTATTTATTGAAGAAGATGAAGATGATGAATATTATGATGAAGATTTTGAAGATGATTTTTATGCTAGTGAAGATGATATGTATGATTATCTAATGAATCATTTCACTCAAATAGTTCAGAATTCAGATGCAAACCTTCGTCATCTTCCTAGTCATCTTCCGAACCTTAGTGATATTCGACGGGTTTATGGGGAAGAGGAGGAGGATGAAGTGGAAAATGAAGAAGAAGAAGATGATGAAGAAATGGGTGAACGTTTAGAAGATTTATTTAATGAAGATGTTGATGAAGAATTTGAGGAAGCAGATGCAGCACCAACGCGAATATTTGGAACAATTGAAATGACTGATGAAAATACTCAACATATTCGAGATATGGAATTTTTATCATCTACTGATGAAGAAAGAGGAATAGTTATAGATGAAGATGATGATTCAGATCCTGATGGATTTTATAATAGTAGAAGAGAAAGCTTTACAACAAATAATACATCTCAAATTAATGAATATGAAAAAAGACTAGATATATCTTTTGAAGATAAAAATTATAGATATTTTGAAAAACCAATTAGTCATATTAAATTAAACTTACCTTCAAAATATAATGTATCAAATTTCATTTTTAATTCAAAACAAAAACCTCATCGAGAAGTAGTAGTGAGATATCCATCAGCAAATATATATCAATTATTGACTTACCCTCCTGCGGCAACTTTTCCTGATAGTATACAAATGTTTTCAGTTGGTTCATTAAATCTTAAAAATTTTGAAAAATCAAAAAGATATAAAAATAATTTATCAACAAATATTATTTATAGAAATCAAAATTTTCTTTTATTAGGTACAAATTCAAAAATTTTAATTTATAAATATGATCCAATTACTAATTTACCATTTACTGAACCTTGTATGGAATTCAACACAAAACCAAGTTATACAACAAATGCTGATAGATTAACTTCAACTTGGCCATATTTTCCTCATACAATAAATTATATAAAATCAGGTGAATTTAATGGAATACAAATAGTATGTGCTTGTATAGATGATGGATTTTTATTGATTTGGGAAGTTGATACTTTATTTCAATATATTACAAATGATAAAAAAATCGACAAAAAAAACAGTCCAAATTTTGATAAAATAATAAAACCAAAATATAAAATTAAATTCAGTGCTTCTTTATGGGGATTAGATTTTAAAGACAATATAATAGTTGCATCAGATAATTCTCAAAGTTGTGTTTTATTGTATTATCATAAAATTGATGAAAAATTTTATCATATTAAAACTCATCAAGTTTTACATAATATTCCAGACGTATCAATCATTAATATGGAAAAAGGATTAGTTCAAGTTTCTTGTGCATCGATATCTGGAGAATTAGTGATATTTGAATTTAAATTCCATCTAATTGATGGTCCCATATGTGTTGAGGAACTAGAATATAATAAGAAAAAACAATTATATTATGTTGATCCTATAGTTGAAACTATGGAAAATCAAGAACAACCAAGATCATCGACATTTTGTGATTATAATCTTAAAAGAGTAAAATTTCTAGAACCAATAGTGATATCACGAACAGTTTTAGGAGAAGACTGCTGGACAGTCAATAAAATTAATTCAAAATGGTTTTTACCAGTAAATTCTTTACAACAAGTATTTGGCAATTCACTGTTAGATGAATGGAAAGAAAATAATAGGATCATAAATGAAAGTTTAGCTTTAGATAACAATCATGATAGTGATGAAGAAATTGAGGGGAAGAAAGAAATAAAGAGTCAAAATTATAATACATTAACTAATTTAGGTAGAGCAACTGATTATCAATTTTTTGAAAGTAGAACAGTTGACTTGTCTGGTTTTAAAAATAAATCTGTTGATATTGCAAAATTTACCAATGTGAATGATGAGTATAGAAGACTTCATAAACAATATATTTCAGAATCTGACAATGTAATTGAGAAAAATAGAGACTTATTAGTGGTTTCAACCGGTAAAAAATTAGGATTGTTTAATGTTCCTTCATTATATTGTAAATGTGCAACTAAAAGTATTTTTAATTACCAAGTTCCAGATGTAGATGAAATTAGTCATTCAAATAGATTATCTATAGTTGCAATAATACCGGAAATTTCATGTGTTTTAGCTGTATCACAATTAGGTTTAATATCGATTATGAGATTATGTACATTTAAAGGGGTTTATGGAATGAGACAAGAATTCGTTTTTCCAAATGTCTCTAAATTACTTTATCCCGAAGGATCACCAGGAGTTAGAACTATTATTGGAATAACTACAAGAAAAAAATTCCAAAATGAAGAAATATACCTGTTGAATGTCATTTATGATGATGGTTTAATACTAGCATACGATTTACTAACATTTGTACGTTCTTAAGTTATATAGATTTGTAATTACTTCAAATTTGCCATTGAAGATTATGCAACTCTTGTTCTATGTTTCAAGAAGAAGTAACTAGTAGATGCTAAGCACCCTAGCACTGGCTAGTTATTTGAGTAAGAAAAGTTCAATTCATCAGTCACGGCACTGAAATGAACATGAATTGTTCCATAACTATTATCGGCTTGATAACTCGTCAATCTTCAAAGTCGTCGTCAAAAACGGAATTAACAACAGTCCAGAAACTTCATCGGGTTTATATGAAATTGCTGTATGAAGTAATACATTGGTTACCAAATTCATTAAATTTATATTCAATTTAAAACCAAATATTATTATTACCCTATTTGGAAATTCAAAATGTTCAGACATTTTTCCGTTTTTTCAAAAGATTCTTAGATTTTGAGTCCAAATTAAGACAACTACCCCAGATTTTCAAGATACGGATAAAAAAACAGATCTCGAGATATTGGAATTAAGATATCATAATTTGAAATGTGGGGAGTCTTTGAAAGGATCAACCAAGAGTACGTTTCTTGATACATTTACAATATCAGATGATAAGGGTTCATTATATATATGACTACAACTAGCATGAGTATTCAAATCTGTAATTTCAATATAATATAAACCAATTTTCAATTCATCAAAATCTCATTATGATTTCATTATATTTAATTTTATCATTCATTTTATCAATAGTCTTATCAGCTCCAACTTTCCCAACTCCTCCGAGTGAAGATGATTTTTACATACCACCACAAGGGTTTGAAAATGCAAAATCCGGAGATATATTGAAGTATAGAAATACACCCAACAAATTAAGAAGTATTTACTTTCCACTTAATGTAGCAAATTCATGGCAGTTGTTAGTGAGATCTGAAGATTCATTTGGAAATCCAAATGCATTTGTTACAACAATCATGGAACCTTATAACGCTGATCCGAACAAAGTGGTCAGTTATCAAACTTATGAAGATAGTGCGCATATAGATTGTTCACCACTGTATGGATTTTTATACGGTGCTTCAATGTCAACATTAGGATCACAAACAGATATGACTCTTATGGTATTAGCTTTGAATAGAGGGTATTATGTTGTTTCACCAGATTATGAAGGTCCCAAATCTGCATTTACAGCAGGAAGACAATCAGGATATGCTACATTGAACTCAATCAGAGCAACATTAAACTCAAAAAATATAACCGGGATTAATACTAACGCTAAATTAGCAATGTGGGGTTATTCTGGTGGTTCATTAGCAAGTGGATGGGCTACAGCTTTATTACCAACTTATGCGCCAGAACTTGAGAGAAGTGTCATTGGTACAGCATTAGGTGGGTTTTTCTCAAATGTCACAGCTCTTTTAGATCATTCAGATGCGGGATTAGTTAGTGGTTTAATTCCTAATACATTAAATGGTTTAAGTAACGAATATCCGAATATAACTCAAATTCTACGTGATAATCTGGATCCAAATCAGGCTGATCTTTTGAAAGCAGCAAAAGATCAATGTGTTGTTTTATCAGCCTTAAGAAATTTAGGTGAAAATTATTTTACTGGCAAAGATCCTTATTTCCCAAATGGATATGATGTACTAAAGGTGCCTGAAGTTAATGCTGTGCTTCAAGAAAACAATCTCGTGGAATTAGACGCTACAAAATATCTTCCCTCAACTCCTATTTTTATCTATCATGGAACATTAGATCAAGTTCTTCCTATAAGAGATTCTTTACAAACATATAAACAATGGTGTGACGCAGGTGTTAATTCCGTTGAGTTTGCGGAGGATTTATTGAATGGACATCTTACTGAGTATATCATTGGTGCTCCAGCAGCTTGGACGTGGCTCGAAAAAAGATTTGATGGTGTACCTCCAGTTCAAGGCTGCTCACATACAACAAGACTAGAAAATTTGTTATATCCTAATATTTCACAGGCCACTTCTGATTATTTCGATGGTTTAGTTGATGCTGTATCTTTTGCTAAGATTGGTTATCAGGGATTGGCGTCGGATAATGTTTCTACATCTTCCTTTGGTAGTCTTTTGAGCGGACTTGGTACTTTGTTGGCTGGATAAGTTTAGAGTATATATTACAGTATTCATAAAATGCCTTTCATTAATTATTTTTAGATTCTCTCTCTATTATTCATTGCAAATCTTTTATTACCTTTTAATCGTCATGTATACCTCATGTTTAGACAATATATAATAAACGTTTTAAGTTTGACCTAAGTAAACATTTCGGAATTGGCATACAGCCGAGTTTTTATGAAACTATAATTTTAAAAATTAGGTTAAGCGACTAAACTTTCGCGAAGTTTGAGGCTAATGAACATTTGCGTTTTCGTGCCGATAAATTGTAAAAATGTCAAGTTCCTCAGTATTCAGGTTAAGTTATGACTCAAACAATTTAACAATTACATATGATAAGAACAATTTTTGAATTTCGTCAAAACCTTAGGCCTCGTGTCAGGTACATTTAAGAGAGCTTGTTATGTTTAATTGCCAAACAGGTTATAAAATGATTTTGTTTATCAACTGCATGAATTCCAATTGCAACTTTTTTTACTCAAATTAGAAATATGCAAACAACATAAATGTGTTCCTTAGAACACAAAATCGTAATTTAATGTCAAGATTTACTAGATTTACTCCAATCGTTACCAGATTTAGATTTTGAATTGGGCGGAAAATCATTACTTGAAACCAATACGGTAAACAAAGAACGCAAATAAGAACGAAACAATATGGTAAACAAAGAATGCAAATAAGAACGAAACAACATGAACAATGTCAGTTTTTAGCATCACATGCAAATGTATCAGTTGAAATGGGTTCATATAAATCAGGGACTGCTCCCTAACAGTTATCACGATTGAAGAACTATTAAATCCATAAATTTTGTATCATGAGATCATTTGTCTTGATATATTCACTCATTATTTCAATAGTATTAGCAGCTCCAACAACACCAGTTTTACCAAGTGAAGATGAATTCTATACGCCTCCAATAGGATTCGAAAGTGCAGAATTAGGATCTATTTTGAAGTTTAGAAATACACCAAACAAAATCAGAAGCATTATTTTTCCAATTAACCTTAAAAATTCATGGCAATTATTGGTTAGATCTGAAGACTCATTTGGTAATCCAAATACATTTGTTACAACAGTTATGGAGCCTTATAATGCTGATCCAAATAAAGTCATTAGTTATCAAACTTTTGAAGATAGTGCCAATATAGATTGCTCTCCACTGTATGGGGTTTTATATGGAGCTTCAATGACGACAATTGCTACTCAAATAGATATGACCTTCATGACCTTAGCATTAAATAGAGGCTATTTTGTAGTTTCACCAGATTATGAGGGTCCTAAATCTACATTTACCGTTGGAAGACAATCAGGATATGCTACCTTGAATTCAATTAGGGCTTTTTTAAACTCAAAAAATATTACTGGAATTGAACCTGATGCTAAAGTTGCAATGTGGGGCTATTCAGGAGGTTCTTTAGCTAGCGGTTGGGCAACTACATTTTTACCAAAATATGCGCCTGAGCTTGAAAAAAATGTTATTGGTACAGCACTAGGTGGATTTGTCACTAACATTACAGCGACAGCCGAAGCAGTTGATGGTGGTCTAGCTGCTGGGTTAATACCGGTAGCATTAACTGGATTAACCAATGAGTATACAGAAGCTTCAAATTTTTTGACTGATAATGTTGATCCAGATCAAATAGATAAAGTTACAACAGCCAAAGAAATTTGTTTAGGTGAGGCAGTTATAGACTTTTTTGGTGATAATATTTTAACGGGGGAGAAACCAATGTTTCCAAAAGGATTTAAATTATTAAATTTACCAGAAATAAATGCAATAGTTCACGAAAATAATTTGGTTGAATTAGATCCTCAAGAATACTTACCGATAACACCAGTTTTTATATATCACGGTACTTTGGATCAAATCGTACCGATCAAAAGCTCTTTACGAACTTTTAATCAATGGTGTGACGCAGGCGTCAAATCGGTTGAATTTGCAGAAGATTTATTGAATGGTCATATTACAGAAACTTTGATTGGAGCTCCAGCCGCTTGGACTTGGATCGAAGATAGATTTGCAGGGAAACCACCAGTAGATGGATGTTCACATACTACTAGGTTGGAAAATTTATTCTATCCAAATATTTCACAAGCCACTTATGACTACTTTGATGGTTTAATTGATGCTGTTTCATTCGCAAAAATTGGTTATCAAGGTTTAGAATCAGATAATATTTCAAGCTCTGCATTTTACAGCTTTTTAAGTGATATTAGTGCTTTTTTAGACTGAATAAGTAGTTTATTAAGAGCAGTGAATTAAAATAATTTATTTTTTAAGAAAGTCGTGATTTCTCTTCATGTTATCTTTTGCAACTCATTCCAAGTTTTACAAAGTACATATGTAAAATATATTTCAAATGGTTTGGAAGTTAGTAACCTTAAAGGCGAAGAGTCTTAAAAAAATGCTCATCAACATTTTTCACGACTTAAAATCTAGTCGTATACAAGGGAAATGTAAAAACATGTAATGTAAAAGTATGTAAGCTTTATTCACGAGAATGCATTATTAAATTGATCACTAATGCTGTAGGATGAACTTTTTCAGCAATCATATTGAAGCAGGTCCAAATAAATTTTGACAAAAACCCTCAATACTAAGTATCATGAAATTTTTCACATCCGTTTCAAACGAGTAAAAGGCGAGTTTTAAATAAGTGAAAGATCCTTTATATTAAACAAATCTTAAGATAATCCTCGATCTAAAGGTGTAAGATAAAGTACCTTTTTTACTTGAAATAAAATTTTCCTATTAAAAATTCATAAGACTAGGAAATTAAAAGAAAAAAATAAACGGTTCACAACTCAAATCGTTAGTTTAAGATTTGTGTTTCAAATTTTTGCAAAATAACATTTGCATTGAGAAATTGAAAAAAAATATAAGATAACACTAGTCAAAACAAAATTAGTTGAAGTTATTATAAAAGATATTATGAATTTTAGAAAGTGGAAGTTCCACCATTTCAGTTTTGTTTAAAAATGTTTCAGGCATTTAAGAATCTATATAAACCAAAAGTTTTCCCCAGTCTTTTTGAGCTAGAGTTTGCATGACCTAAAGAAGTTAAGACTAAAATTTTTCGTCATGAGAATAGTTTTTTTAGTCATCTCCGTTATCTTATCAATAGTCACAGCAAGTTCTGTAACACTAATTAAACCAAGCGAAGATGATTTTTATACACCACCAATAGGATTTGAAAATGCAGAAGTTGGAGATATATTGAAATTTAGAGAAACACCTAGTCAAATTAAATTTATACTTTTCCCGCTTAATATCAAAAACTCATGGCAATTGTTAGTAAGATCTGAAGACTCATTCGGAAATCCAAATGCAATTGTTACTACAGTCATGGAACCTCATAATGCTGATCCAAACAAAGTTTTAAGTTATCAAACATTTCAAGATAGTACAGACATAAATTGTTCTCCACTGTATGCTTTCTTATATGGTTCTTCAATATCAACAATTTCAATACAAGTGGACGTTACCCTAATGACACTAGCATTAAATAGAGGTTACTATGTTGTTTCACCAGATTATGAAGGTCCTAAATCCACATTTATGGCTGGTAGACAATCTGGTCAAGCTACTTTAAATTCAATTAGAGCTATCTTGAATTCAAAAGATATTACTGGAATTGAACCCGATGCGAAAGTTGCAATATGGGGTTATTCAGGTGGTGCTGTAGCTAGTGGTTGGGCAACAACTTTATTGCCAACTTATGCACCAGAGCTTGAGAAAAATGTGATTGGCACAGCACTAGGTGGAGTTGTTACCAATATTACAGACTATATGCGAGTTGTCGATGGTAACATAGGTGCTGGATTAATTCCCGTTGGATTAATTGGATTGACAAATGAATATGAAAATGCTTCTTATTTATTATCAGAGCATGTCGACCCCAAACAGGCTTATAAGCTTGAAAAGGCAAGAGAAGGTTGCTTGCTTGGATCAATTATTCAATTTTTTGGAAATAATATTTTGACAGGTAAGAACCGAATGTTTCCAATTGGAACTGACCTACTTAGAATACCAGAATTAAGCACGATTATTAAAAATAATAACTTAGTGGATTTAGATACCAATGAACACTTTCCAAAAACTCCGGTATTTATGTATCACGGTACATTAGATTTGTTTGTACCAATTGGGGATACATTAAAGACTTATCGACAATGGTGTGAAGCCGGATCCCCTTCAATTGAATTTGCTGAAGATTTAGTGAATGGTCATTTAACTGAAGCAATAATTGGTGCGCCAGCTGCTTGGACTTGGTTAGAAAGTAGATTCGATGGTGTACCACCAATTGACGGTTGTTCACGTACGAAAAGATTAAAAAATCTATTATATCCAAATATATCTCAAGCCACACTTGATTACTTTGGTGGTTTTATTGATGCTGTTACATTTGCTAAAATTGGGTATCAAGGTCTTGAATCAGATAATATAACTAGCTCCGCATTTGAAAGATTATTGGGTGATCTTGGTAAATTTTTTGGTAAAAGAGCGAGTATTTAGGTTTAAGTAAATTTAATAATTCTGAGGCAACTTCGTAATAAATTTTTTTTACTTTCGTTTTAGGTGGTATGATGTAAGAGATTAAGTGGCGTTCTTGTAACAAACACGATTCATCGATTTTTATTCTCAGCGAGTCAAAACAACATTTGAAACCTTGTTTTCTTATTTTCTTTTTTTATTCAATAACGGTATCTTTTTGACAGGCTCGAGTTTCTTAATTATGTGGAGATAGTTCATTAAATTTATTAGCAAGTAGAATTAATAAAGCATAATATATTTTAGCTTGGTTTCGATGTTGAACTGAGTATTGATAAAAATTAACACATGTTGATTTTTGATGAATTTCCTCCAATATTTTGCTCTTTAAAGAAAAAATGAAAGTTTATTTGTTAATGTAACAAATGATAGAGAGATACATTCTGTCTTTTGAGTAAATATTCTAATGTAAATAACTGAGAATCTCATTCTCTTTTGGTTTGAAGCCTTTTCTTGATCCTTGTGCACTTGAACTTTCAATTGGGTTCTCCGCAAAATACTCTTCACAATCTTTGTATTTCTCTATCATCTGTGACATTGGCAAAAACCTTTTAAATCGGTTCTTTGCAAAACATTCTTCATAATTTTGGTCAACTCTCAATTTCCTTAGTTTGATTAATCTTATTTAAAATCACTTTCTTTGAATATTCTGTGGACGGATGGAGAAGTTATGAATATTTTTCAATGACTTATGCATGATACGTTGTCTTTTAGGTATGATTGCATGATTATCTTTTACTTTTAAGTTTGATGGTATTTCCCTTATAATGTAATGCTAGTTTGTTATTGTAGATGATTTCTTTGTTTCTTAATTCGGAATTCGTTGATTAAATTTTTGTTGGATGCCCTGAGAGCAAAAGTCTCTTTTTTGACTTTCTTTAATGAAATGGTTTAGTCTCTCCTCAATGTTTTGCTTTCTTTTACATTTTGTAAATTAATAGATGATGAAATATTGTCTCTTTTCTTTGTTTAATTTTTGTTACATCCATTAAAAGTTAAATAATTCGTCTGATGAGCCAAACGATCCAGAGATTTTCGTGTAGATGTAGTTCTATTCTGTTAAACACTTTCCCACGTATAGGACTTTGAACAACTTTGCTCTTAGATATAACTAAAAACTATATAGATATGAAGATTTTGATATCATCTTGTGATTTGTGGACTCACACCGACGCAATCGGAATTCACCGATCAGCAAATTTGCTCTAACATTTTGCCGGTAAATGTTTTTTAAAAAGTTTATAACCTGTTGTGTAATTTCAGTTCTTCTTAATAGGGGATTGGAATTCTCTTCTAAAGTCCTCAGTGACTTTAGTAGAGACCGAAACTGAGTTCGAGTCTAAGTATGAAACATCATATTGAGCTTGATTTAAACTAAACTAAAACTAACTAAAAGAAAAAGAATCATGAAAATATTCAAGATCTTTTTTCCAATATAAATCTATAAAATTATTCGCAACAAGCTTGTATCACAAAACAAGCTATGTCAGACAAATTAGTTGTTTTATACAACATCTGCCTCCACTAAAATAGATCTCCTTTTCATAAGCGAACCTTTAAACAATTTCTCTATTTCATCAAGTCTTTATTCACGTGCTCTTTCACAATGTTGTTTTCAATTACATGACCCAACAACTCTTTAACATTAAATGACATTCATGACCATGCTCTTTGTACTGTTCCATAAGTTCATTCGTTAACCCAATCAATTAATTTAGCAATACCATGTATCTTGTATTTTTCATCTAGTTCGACAGCATCATTTTATTAAGTTCTCTCTGCTAAACCAACGATAGCAGAACTTTCCACAACTTATTTTAAATAATTGCATCTTTTGTCATTCCAAGAACTTTTCCAAGTTCAACATAATTTCAACCAGATTCTTTAATTTATATAAATGCTGTTTTATACCCAATAAAACCAAATCCTTGAACTTATTCAAATGGATTTTCATTCCAAATGAAATCTTTTTGCACTTATCTGAATGATCCTTTACTCAAAAGTTCTTTAAATATATCACAAATCTAAATATATCACGAATCTCACCCACTTCATATACGACTTCAACTTTTCCAAGCTTAAGAACTCCAACGATTCTTCGTCTAAATCTGATATACTTTGTACCAATAACATCAACTAATATTGTTGCAAGGAGTGTAGTGATTCTAAACCCATTTACAAACGTATATTTAAACTTTTCTTTCTCAGCAAAATCATCAAAATATATCTTTCTGTGCTAACTTCAATGCACCAGTATCAATTTCATTTTCAGTTCTTGTAAGTAACGAACCATCGACTTCTTCCTTAACTAATAAACTAATCTCATAATGTCTTTCTCACTTCCTTAATCAATGAACAGATTTCATAAACAGCAATTATCAATAACTATTACTTATAACATCAGCAACTTACATAATCCAAATGAATCCGATCAATTTACATAATTCAAATAAATCCGATCAGCTATATCCTAAAAATCGGCATTTATTCCATGTTCCTGACTTAATCTGGGCGTAGCAGCCACTATCTTTAATCTTAATATTCTAAACCATAGACCTACTTCATTTTCTTCACTTATACAGCATTCTTATTTTCTTCACTTATTCAGCATTCTTCAAATGTCTTTTTAGCCACCACACTATCTTCTATATGATGATCCTCATTCTTGTACCATTTATTGTTTTCGTATCCAAAATTCCCAATATAGCAAATACACTTTTTCCTACAATATAGCTAATACACTTTTTCTTACAATATAGCTAATACAACTTTTTCTTCCAATACAGCTGAAACAACTTTTTACCATCATCATCTAATGTAATCTGATAAAATCCCAAACACAATTCTATAGATGAATGACATCTATATCCAGCCACCTTTTTAAATATCAGCTCCACGATCAGCATTAATGTGTTTTTTCAAAACCAATAAACTCTATAACTAATGATTGACTTCATCCTAATAATTACGTATTGTGTTCCTTTAAAAATAACACTAAACGTAAGGTCTACCTCTTAATCAACTCAATGTCATATAAATTTTAAACATACCGTTTCAATCTTTCCATCTTATACTATTTCTGATATTGTATTCAAAGATTGACTTTTATTTCACCTTTATTTTCACAGATCTCGACCATAATTTACTTTTACCAGTTCATTTAAATCATCAGCTTTCACATTGGTAACTGTAAACTTCAAACTTCCATGATTTACCTAATTGTCGATAAATAATAATTTGTAAATTTATAACTCCTAAATTTACCTGATTCCTGATAATCTCAACATTACGTATTTCATCTAACTCTTAATGATCTCAATATACTTCTTGTTTCTCTTGATAATCTCCATACACTTCTTGTTCTACTTCAAAAAATCACGGCAACCCTTCAACCGTCTCCAAACCATCAAAGCGGCAGCCACAACGAATGTTCCTGTCTTTAACTCCTCCAACTTTCTTCATTCCTCTCATTGATACTGAAACTACCAGTTTCAATATTCACCTAAAACTAACAATTCACAAGTTCTACCTATTCTGTTTCACAGATAATAACACTCGGAAAATCTCCTTGCAATTGCTCAACCATTACATATAACTGCAACAATTTCTTTAATATTTGATTCATTCTCTAGATCAAATCTTCTGGGTCCGAACCAATGCCTGGTTCATCTACTTGGACTTTAACCAATTATCCTATTTAGTTCTCTCCTAGAACTAAATCTGCTAGTAACCTTGTCTAAACTTTATCCGGGTTCATAATTGGACCTGAACCAATCATGATATTAACTTTGTCTAAACTTCATCCGGGTTCATGATTGGACCTAAACCAATCATGATATTTAGCTTCTTCCTGAACCAAATCTGCGAGTCTTGTTTAATTCTTAACCTGAATCTAAACCTTCTTTACCAATTCCAATCATTGAAACTTTCCTAGTTTCCTCTGATTCTTCCATGTTCTATATTTAATTCCTTCCTGGAGTTAAATCTGCGAGTATCTTTGTTTGATGCTTGACCTAACCAAACCTATATACCATTTCCATGTCACTCTCGGATTTCCTATCCTAACTATGACTTGATCAGCTTCTCCTGACCACCTGAATCGTATTTTACGATTCATCTAGAATACCTAATGGATCAACCCTTGAAATTTACCAAATTTCCAGCGGATACTTTTTCCATTCATCTAAAATACCTATCGGATCAACCCTTGAAATTTACCAAATTTCCAGCGGATACTTTTTCCTGCCACTCTCAGATTCCACATCTTAACTATGGCTTGATCAGCTTCTTCACTGACCACCTGAATTATTTCCTACGATTTATGGTATTAGATAAACCAAATAATCCATCTACTCATGCTGCTGGCTTTACCATCGCCTTGATGTACCTAATGCTGTTGACTTTACCTTAAACCAACCTCTGCTACAACATGATCGTTTATATTAACGTCCTCGGTGAGGACGGCTTTAACTAAAAGCATCTTTCACAGGGCTCATTCTCCTAGAACCTTCACCATTTCTTTTAATACTTTCATGTGCAAGATTAAAGCTTTCGTATCGCAAATTCAACACGAAAAGCAACCTCCATTTGCTATCAACTGATCCTTGTAATTTCTCATCATTTGATCATCAATTAATTTGTAAACATCTAATATCAAATGGTTAATCTTATTCTCAACCTCTACCAAGACCATTCCAGAAACAACATTCATTTTCAATTCTTTATTCTTTGTTTCAAAAACACTTTACCTTGCCCTTCAAATAATTTTGTCCATATATCTCCAATGTAGCATTATTACGATAACAATGTCTTTTACCATCAAACTCTCAGCGTCCTGAAAACTAATGTAAAAACCTTTTCATCTCTATTATTTGTTGGAGGACAACTATTTGTAAGCACTAACTTCCTCTTTCAAATCTTATGTTGTAACTGCAGCAAAAGCTTCTCAACTAGCTTCATCTAAATCAGCAATAGCACTTGCACCTGTACCAATAGTTTCTATTCCTGAATTATCATCCGAATTTATACCATCTGGAATACAACCTGACATGGCTCCAATATTTAACTCCAAATTATTTCTTGAGCCATGTACCATCCACTTGTTAAAATGAAGGTTCTATATCAAAGTAGTTCTCTACTACTTCTCCATCTGATGACGATAGTTACTGACTAACTATCTCCAGACTTCCCCTAAAAAAAAATTTTCGACCAAATTTACAATTTAAACGACGTTACCAAATGTTGTGTAATTTCAGTTCTTCTTAATAGGGGATTGGAATTCTCTTCTAAAGTCCTCAGTGACTTTAGTCGAGACCGAAACTGAGTTCGTAGTCTAAGTATGAAACATCATATTGAGCTTGATTTAAACTAAACTAAAACTAACTAAAAGAAAAAGAATCATGAAAATATTCAAGATCTTTTTTCCAATATAAATCTATAAAATTATTCGCAACAAGCTTGTATCACAAAACAAGCTATGTCAGACAAATTAGTTGTTTTATACAACATAACCAAGAAGTAGGGCGTGTGGCGTAGTTGGTAGCGCGTTTGCCTTGCAAGCAAAAGGTCATGAGTTCGATTCTCATCTCGTCCAAATAACAATTCAAAAAGTTGATTTGCAACCAACTTTATTTTTTGCATTTTTCATAGCCATGATATGTATAATATTAAGTGTTCAACTATAAGAAGAATATTAAGTGTTCAACTATAAGACTATAAGAAGCTACTTACTTTGTTTTTAGCTCCACTCCCATTAAGTTCCATATAATTCGTGATAAAAGCCAAAGGTTTATTGATATCACAATACTATCTTACTACCACTTTTGCAACTGATATATGTAAAAGAAAATTTACTAAATTTTGTAACAAACTTACTTTACTAAAAGAGTTATGACTGAGAGTTATTCTTATTAAATCAAATTTTGTAAATTAATTAAATAAACTGGTAATCCAGAAGAACTAAATCCATATATAAAACCATAATACTAAATCTTATTTACCTTTCTGATACTTCATCTTCTTCTTCAGAATTATTTACATCATTATCATCATTATTATCTCTTTCAATATTAACATCATTCCAAATAAAAGCAATTCTAAAATATCTTGCAACAAAAGTTAATAATAATAATACAGGAACTTCTAATAAAGGACCATAAACAGCAGCAATAGCTTGTTTACTACCTTCACCATATAAAGCAATAGCCATTGCTAAACTTAATTCAAAATTATTTGAACTTGAAGTAAAAGCTTGAGTTACTGATAATGAATAAGTTGCATTACATTTTAATGATTTTATTTTAATTTTTTGTTTTTCATTTAATTTTTCTTCACAACCACATTTATATAATAATTTTGATTCTTCTGTTATTGTATCATCTGTATTATTAGTTTCTTCTGTAGTTGTTTGTTCAACAACATTGTTTTGTTCTTTTGAATTTTTTCTCAATTTAATTAAATTTCTAAAATTTATATAATTTGAATAATATCTTAAAAAGAAAAAAGTTCCAAACCACATAATTAAAAAATATAAAGCTAATGGAATTAAACATTTTAAACTTTCACGAAGTTCATGAACAAATTCATCTCCTTTTGAAATAAATATTACAATGATAACATAAAGTAAACCAATTAATGCCCATGGACTTATAAATGGTAATATCTTCTTATTATATTTTTCAATTCCAACAGTTCCAATAAATAAAAATCTTATAGCCACACCAAAAAACAAAGGTATACCTAAAAATATTCCAATATTTTTTAAAACTAATACAAATAAATGACCCATTGAAATATTATTTATATAATCTATTGGTTCATTAGTAATAACATAACAAAATAATATTTGATAAGGAGCATATAATATAACTTGTAATAAACTATTAATTATAACTAATAAAGCACATAAATCATTTGAACCTAAAGCTAATTGATTCCAAATTAAAACCATTGCAATACATCTTGCCATCCCAATCATTATTATACCAGTTCTATATTCATGTTCATTAAATAAAGTAGCCCAAGCTAATCCAAACATCATAAATGGTCCAATAATCCAATTTATAACTAAAGAAATTAAAATTTGTTTTAAATATATTGAATTTCTAATTTTATTCTTATTAAAATTTTTTATATTTTCATATTCTATTTTACATAATGGTGGTACCATCATTATTATTAAACCAATACATAAGGGAATTGAAACATTTGTTAATTTATTTTGATCTGTATTATTAAAAGCATTTCTTGATGATGGTACATAAACTGATAATAATATACCTATTATCATCGCAAGTATAATTAATATAGGTAATAATTTATCTAATAAAGACATTTCTTTAAAGACTAATTTAAAGTCTCTTTTAAATGTAGATAACATGATGTATTTTTTTTAATTTGATTAATTAAAGGGTTGATGACTTTATTTGTGTGTTGATGGCTGATACGGTAAGTAATCTTATCTTAAGTGAAATCAAAGTATATATTTTGTAAATTAGGATGATCGGTTTGTGATATTGAATGAAAATTTACTCCAAAAAAGTACTATGAATGTTTGTTTGATTAAGTGTTTTTTAATTTCTCCAGATTTTCTTTGATGATAAATTTAATGAGAAACAAAAAAAAAATAAAATATTTAAGTAAGTCGTGATGAACTAAGTGAGTCTATAATTCCTTTTCTTATCAGTATAAACAAAACTTTAAACCCTTAACTATTGATGATAATATTACTTTTACTGATAATACAAATTCTAAAGTTGATCAAATTATAAAACAGGGGAAATTTAAAGGGTATTTATAATAATGTAAGTAGTGGACAATCCTTCAGTGTTAAGAAAAAATTTGCTAAATAAGAGAGTGTGGGCCTAAGACAAAATAAAGTATAATAATTGAATTTCTTTTTTTTACTTTCTGTCTTTGTCCCTGAGTTGAATCTACAAATATTTGAAAGTTAACTTGTTCGATTCAATTAAGTCAAATAACAAATTATTGGTTGTTTTAAACCAACTCCGAGACTTTGGTTGTTAAGAGTTTGAAGGAGAATGTTTATCAATTACTAGATGTTCCAACTATACTTCCCCCTATTAATTTGATTTAACTCAAACCACAAAAAAAAATATTCATGTTACAGATACGACGAGATGTCTTTTTTAAAACTTGCAGGATTAAAAAAAGAGATTAGGCTTTTTGACTTCGAATTTCATTTAAAATTCAAATGCATATCATAAAATAGTCACATTTAATCGCTTTAAAGGACATGTTAACATTACAACTGTTTACTTTAATAAAGTAGTTACAATTAGACTTGTAATTCTTTAATTGTTCTTCTTTCCAGTGAAGATTTTTCTAACATTACATTCACTTTATTTTGCTTATAAATTGTAAATGTCATCATAACCATTACAGTCATCTTTTTTATATTTTTTCTTGATTTATAAAAGTGGCATTCCTTATCATAAATGGGTTGTTAGTAAATCCCTTTAGTTTCAGCTGTTTTGTATTCGTAGATCCCTAGATTTAAAAATGAAATTATTATAGAATGACGATGAATATATTCACTAAACCTGATTTTTGATGATTAAAAAAATAAATTGAAACTGTTTTAAAAGTTTATCCTCCTTCATTCTGTGAGTCAAACTAATTTTATATCGATAAGCATCTCGAAAATCAAGTATTTTAAAGAATTGGGATAAAACTGAAGGTGAACAATTTAAATCCTGCTAAGATAATAGTTTTGGTAAAACTTGATGATAAATTGAAATGATTGAAGTCACATAAACCCTTATCAAAAATAAACCTAAATAGCTAATTTGTCTTTTGATAATGACTCATCAATATCCAAACATTGTCAAAATTGTTTAAAAAATTTTGCTTTAAATTATCAATGAACAATTTAGTTCAAATAGAAGATAACAAATAAAACTTAATCCCTTACATATCCCTTCTAGAATTTGTATTAAACATGACCCTGCGTTCATAGACATACACTTTAATAATTCAAAACAAACATAATAAATTGCTACCAAGTTTTTATGACACGAAATTTACAAAATTGACAAACCCTAAATTGACAATTTTGATTAAGCTAAAAATAAACATTAATAAACTTAGTTATTTCAATTACCAACCAATATAAACCAACATTAATGAGAGACATATAACATCCAAGACAAATATGGCTAGAGCAACAGTAAAATCAGGTACAATAAACCTCCTCAACACAATAATTGGAGCAGGAATCCTAACAATGCCATATGGATTAAAATCAAATGGTTTAATATTTGGATGTTTTTTAATAATTTTAAGTTCATTAACATCATCATTTGGATTATATTTACAAAATAAAGTAGCTAAATATACAAATCAAAGAGGTAATGTATCATATTTTAGCTTATCACAATTAACTTATCCTAATTTTTCAATATTATTTGATTTAGCTATACTGATAAAGTGTTTTGGAGTTGGTATATCATATTTAGTTATAATTGGAGATTTAATGCCAAAAATAATGGAAACTTTAGAAGTAAATAAGGAATCAATTTTTTTAAAAAGAAATATTTGGATTTCTATATTTATGTTTTTTATAATAACCCCATTATCATTTTTAAAAAAATTAAATAGTTTAAAATATACAAGTATATTAGCTTTATTTTCAGTTGGTTATTTAATTTGTTTAGTTGTTATAAAATATTTTGAAATTATTGTACTAGATAAAAATCATTTAAATCATAAAATAATATGGTTTGGTCCCATAAGTTGGAAACAAACTTTAAGTTCATTTCCAATGTTTGTATTTGCTTATACTTGTCATCAAAATATGTTTGCAATAATAAATGAATTAAAACCTCATGAAAAAGATGGTTCACAAACAAGACAATCAAATTTAATTATTAGAAATGCCATAGTTATTGCTCTTGTGTCATATTTAATAGTTGGAATATTTGGTTATTTAACTTTTGGTAATGATGTAAATTCAAATATTATATCAATGTATCCAAAATCTTCAATAAGTTCATTAATTGGTAGATTATGTATTGTTATAATGGTTGCTTTATCATTCCCATTACAATGTCATCCATGTAGAGGTTCAATAAATCATGTTTTACATTTTTTAACAGAAGGTTATAATGATTTAAAATTAAGAAAAAAAATAAGTTTTAATAATTTAACAAACAATCAAAATTCAAATTCTTCAAATACTACTACAACTCCTCATGGATATACTTCATTAACATCAGATATAGAAAGTTTAAATTCAATCAATGAAAATAGTATAATTGATGAATCATTTATATCAACAACTCCAATGGAAGGAGCACAAGATTTAGAAGGTCATGATCCAATTATAATACCATTAACAAATAAAAAATTTTATATAATAACAACTTTTATATTAATTGGTAGTTATATAATTGCAATATCTATAATATCATTAGCAAAAGTTTTAGCATTTGTTGGTAGTACTGGATCAACTTCTATTTCTTTTATATTACCTGGATTATTTGGTTATTTATTAATTAAAAATCCAAATAACTCAAGTGATAATAATAATGAAGAATTAACTAAGTTAGAAAAATTTTGTAAATATGGTGGGTTAGCTTTAGCTATATGGGGATTTGGAGTAATGATTATTTGTTTAAGTGCAACTATATTTTTAGGTGCAACTCATTAAAAGAGTATAGTTTTTAATAGATGTAATAATAATGATGATGTATTAATAATAATGATTTCATAAAAATTGACCCGTAATAATGAATTATTATCTAATCTTTTAATATTGTTCAATTTCTTGTAATAAATGATGAAATAAATTTGGATTTTCAGGTATAGTTTCAATTTTAACATTTTTATAAAATTCATTTATAGAATTAATTGAAATTGATCCATTTAATTTAAATTTTTGTAATGACTTGAAATCAAAATATTGAATATTAAAATTTATTAAGTTATCAATTACATTAACTAAAACAGGAAATTTAAAAGATATTAAATATAAATTTAAATCAAATTTTTTTAAATTGAACCAAAATTTTTTAAAATTTTTAAATTTTTCAAATATTGTTTCGTTGTCTTTATTTGAAATTTTAAAAATACAATCAATTAAATTTTTGAAATGGAATTTATTCTCAATAATCAGGTAAGTTAAAACATTATTAGTTAAATTTAATTTTAATTCTATTTCTTCATCAAATAAAAATACTAATGTGGATTCTTCAGTTTTTAAATATTTTAAATTATTTAAATTTGATAATTCTTTAAATTTATTAATTATCTCACGTTTTTCACTCTTTGTAAAAATTTTAAATTTATTTAATTCAATTTCAATTTCATTTAATTGATTTTGAAATTTTAATTTTATTGAATTTAAGTTATTTATTTTATTATCAATTTCATTAATTTGAATTTGTTTTGATTTTAACGTATTTGAAATATTTTGAATTTCTAATTTTTGATTTTGTAATGAATTTTTAAATTCTTTTATTTCTTCTGATGATAGTTTCCTTAATTGTTGTTTTATAATTTTTAAATTTTTTAATTTAATTATTAATTTTTCTTTTTCAATCGTAACTTTCTCATATAATTGATTTAACTCTAATAAATCATTTGACATAATTTCATTTTCTTTTTTTAAATCATCAATTTGAATATTTATCTCTTGAATCACATTTTTAGTTAAAGTTGATCTCCAAATATACCAAGTTTTTTGACTTATTAAATTAGTATTTTCTTTTAAATTTTGAAAATTTAAAAATATACTTTGATTATTATCTGATGAATTCATTACATTTTGATAAAATTTTTTCATTATTAATGTATTATCTTTAGAAATTTCTTCATTAAATTTATCATAAATTTTATCACCTTCTTTTATAAAATTTTGTAATTCATTACTCATAAATTCATATAATAAATAAATATCTTTATATGGTTTTGAATCAAGATAATCATTTAATTTAGGTAATTCATGAGTAGATTCTGCTGAACTTATATCAATTTGTGAAAATTGATTATCTGTATAAAATTTAACATTTATATCTTGTAAAAAATTAGTTAACAGGACAGGTATGTAATTCTTGAATTCGTCATTTTCTTCTTCCTCTTCTTCTTTTTCTTGTTGTTCTTTATCTTCTACAATTTCATCTTGTGTGACTTCAGCCAAAGGAATTTTTGTAGTTATTACATGTTCCTGTTGTATAGAAGATGAGAAACTTGAATTCAAATTTTGATTCTCCGTTTCATTTTGATTTTCATTCTCATCTTGATTCTCATTCTCATTATGTTTCTCATTCTCATTATGCTTCTCCATTTCATTTTCATTTACTTCTTCATTCTCATTTTCATTTTCATGCCGTATTATCTTGGTGGTGACTTGTGTCAATTCCATAGGTTGAGATTGTGTTAAATTATCATCTTCTTGTGTAATTACAAGATTCTTATTTGTAGGTTGATCTAGATTAGTGTTTAAGTTTAAATTTTTTCGATGTACTGGTTCCGTCAATTCCATATCTTGTTGTTGATCTATATTTTCATTATCCTTATCATTAGTATTGATTTCTTGATTTAATTCATCATTATCAGTAACTATTTCATCAATATTTTCATCTGGAATTTCTTCTAAATTAGGTTTTGATACTAAACTTTTATAAATTGAAGAATTTACTTTTTCAGTCAATTCCATCGTTTTTTCACCTCCTTCTTGCTCCTCGTCTTCTTCTTCTTCGTGTTTGTATCCATCACTTTTTTCATCTCCATCTACATTTTCATCAGAATTAGGTTTTATAATTTTTGTAATAACATTAGTAATATTCATAGTTTGTTCACCATCATCAATCAAAGGAAATTTTGGAGTTGGAATTTTTATTGGTTCAGTAATTTGCATATCTATTTCATCATCATTTTCATTATCATCATCTTCATCATTTGAACAATCTGCATCTTCATCTGTATCTTCTTTTAATTTTTCATTATTATTATTTTGTATAGAAGGATTATTTGGTTTTATAATTCCTGTTATGTCCATTGATATTTCATTTGTGAATGTAGTTGGTTCAGATTGTACTAACAGTTTTACAATTTCTTTAGCTTTCTGTCTAGGTGAATTATCATGTATTTCTTTTTCCTCTTCTTCATTGTTTTCATCAGAACTATCAGTTAAAGGTTTTGATCCATCAATTTCTTCAAATTCAATTTGATTCAAGCTAGGGACCTCTTCTGATTTAGAATTTACTAATTGACTCGATTCAATTTCAGAAGAATAAGGTGATGAAGAATAACCACCATCTGTTTTTCTTCTTTTTGATGGATTCATTATTTCAATTCTATGCATTGTAACTTCTGGTGCAAATGATACACGTCTTGCATTTTGAGTTAATGGAATTGTATTATCTTTTAATATACTTTTAGCCATTGTAGTAACGAAATGAGTTAAACGATCTGAAGTGGTGAATTATGTTAAAATATGAGATTGGATCTAATGGCTATTGATCTACTCGTTTATATTTGGTTGTAAGTTTTGTTATATCTTTGTTTGTTTTTGTTTTAGATAGATCTAAAAATCCTTACGTAATAAATTGCGTAATCAATCATTATCAATATAAAGAAGGAAACTTTACCAAATTCAAACTTCTTTCAAGACACATACTTTGTTGATAGAACTAAATTCAATTGACTATCTTTCAAACGATGTCAAAGCAATTTATAAATTACGTCTATACAAAACTAGAAAAAAAAATAATATTATATTTCTACCTTAGCCAAGTTTTTATAGCTCACCAATTATGGGTATTCTCCATTTTAAACCCTGTTTATCATATCTACAATTTCTTTGATTTATTTTCCGTTTTTTTTCACTATTTTCTTCAAATTTTGATAATGTTTCAGAAGTAGTTGAAGAAACATCATTACTTTCATTATTTAAATTTAATTTTAATTGATCACTTCTATTATTATTATTCTTTTTAGAAGCAATTTCATCTTTCCAATCTAAATTAAAATCTCCATATTTATTTATAAATTGTCTTTGTTGATAAATTGTACTAAATTTAAAATATCTTCTCATATTTTTTTCTTCATTTGTTTGAAAATAAAATTTTGAATAATTATCTAATTTTTTTAAATCATATTTAAAATCTAAATGATTCATTGAACTTAAAGATGATGATGATGATGATGAAGAGGAGGAACTTGTTGATGACTTGGAAGGTGTTAATGAAGTTGTTGTAATTAATGAATTCATTTTCTTATCGCTATAATCTTTTAAAAATGATCTATCATATTTATCCCATATATCATAAGGATTTCCTTTTCCATATTGTTTTGGACAACATGATATACTTGTATTATCAGAACATCCACCATTTTGAACATAATTTAATGCTTTATATAAATTTTTTAATAAAATATTTATAAAATATTTATAATCTGTTTCATTTAAAGTATAATAAGATAAATCATATTCATTATATAATAAAGATGGTTGACTTATATCAATAAAATAAATTCTAAATCCTGATTTTAAATATAATCCAATCTCTTCCATTTTAATTTCAATTTTTCTTAATTTATTTTTAGAATTTTTTAATGTTTTATTTTTTAATGGTGGTACTTTAAATTGTCCTAATTTTAAAAAACAAAATTGATTTTTCGGTATCATATCATTAATATTTGTTGGAGGATAAAACAGTTCTGATTTAATTGTTGAAGTTTTTGGAGCTCTTAAATGTTCTGGAAAAATTTCTCTTGGTGGTGGTACTTCTTGATTTTGATTTTCAATTATATTTTTATCATTTTCATTTTCATTATTATCTTCTTCTTCTTCTTCTTCATGATATTTTATTTCAAATTTTGTTGTTCCTAAACCATGACCATATTTAACAGCTAATCCAATATTTAAATTATACATTCCAGGAGCTAACCAAACATATTTAGAATAACTTAATAAATAAGTTCTATTAATTTCAACAAAATGATTATATATATAATTTGAAGGTTCATCAATTTTATAATCTGAATATTCAGCATATAATCTTTTATTTTTTAAAATTGAATAAATATATTTCCAACTATCTTTAACAAATTGAACATTTAATGGATTATTATCTTCGGGTTCTAAATCATTATTTTCTTGAGTTAAATCATCAATTAAATTTAATCTTTTTGCAATAATCATTCTATTTACAAATCTAAAAGAATCTAATGATTTAATATAAGGTTTTAACCATGGTAAAATTTTTATAATAACTTCTAAAGTATCTTCTCCAAATGTATTTATAATTTTATGATAAAATAAATCATTATATAAAATATAAAAATGTGAATTTATATATTTTAAATTTGAATGTGGAACCATATGTAGTAGTTTCATTTGAATTTCTAATGGTAATTCTGATAACATTTTGGATATAGTATTTTCATCTATTTAGTGGGAAAAGGTGTTTGACTTAGTGAAATATAGTTCAAGTTGTGTGCTTGAATGGTGAAAGTAATTAATGTGATGTGTTTAGATCTATTTGGATTTGATTATGATAAGGTAGTTTGATCTATTGCTGGTGAATATTGGTATCTGATATAACGGATTCGATTCAATGATAATGATTTTAGGCTGTTTTTCAGTACTTTGTTGTGAAAAATTGATTCAATATTAATCTAATCCAAAATGAAATTGAAATTTTTTTGTTATCTATTAAGAATCTATTCTAAAATCTTGTGATGTGATGTAACAATTAAATCTATTACTTTGTACAAACGTTTTTAAACTAATCTTGAACTATGAGTTGTTTTGATGATGATTGTTACAGTAGGAATGTGGAATACACAAATCAAAAATTTGGAGATGGTCTATACTTACGTCGTATTTGATGTTTGTAATCTAATATTGTACTGTGATCTGTTAGTGTTAGTGTTATTATTGTTCTTCTATTGTTTAGCTATCTTAAAAATCTATTGCTTCTTCTTCTCTCTTTAATTTTAATTGTGGGGTGACTTTTATAATTTTAATTACATCATTAGAAAAAAAAATAAGACATTGATGTCACAAACAATAAGTACGACACTAATAAAAATATGACATTGATTTCAATAAGCCACACTCTATATATACTTTATTATACCTGCCTTAAATATATTCGATGAGTGTAAATCTTATCGAGAAAGGTCTAAATTTGCTTGACTTAACAACTTGTCCCTGTAAAATCAGGATTACAGTTTTTGATTAGCTCTATAGTTAGGTCTTAGCAAGAACAAAGTCATTCCTTTCAGTCAAACTTGTTCTTTGATTACTGTTTAGTCTATAAAATGACTTTCATTTTTCCATAAACTTCATGATACAATAAATGTTGGTGATTTTCTAACTGAGAACATGCATATGATGAGAACTTGAGAAAAAATTGGTTAATTGATTGCTTGCTGTATGGATGGATGTTGGCTGTTGCTTTGATTAATAAATCGATTTTGATGAAGTCTAGTATCGAAAAATAGAAGCCCGTAATTAGTTACGGTTGCAAATTTTTAGGTAGGATGTAGTAAAGGTCTTCCAAATATAAATGTTTCAGAATTTGAAACAGTCCTGAAGTCTCTCAGAAAATTGATTTTCTACAGGTGTAATCCTAGTTTTAAGGGGCTTATTGATTACAATAAAATTATGTGGAATCTACTCTAACATGTTTAGCAATAATTAAGTTAAGGAACAACGTTGTTCCTAATTTAAAACCGTTTAATTACAATGAATCTTGCAAGATCTTGAATTTTAATTTTAACAGCACATATTCACTCGTTAAAAGAAACCCAACAATGGTTTTATCAAATTACAATTGTTTGTTGCTATCAATTACCTTAGTATTAATTTCCATAGTCAATTCTTTACAAATAAATCATAATCAATTTTTATTACAAGAACTTACTGAAAATAATCAACCATTAATATTTGAATCTCAAGAGAATAGTGACAAAGAAGTATGTAAACAATATGAATATAAATATCCAAAATCATTTAAAAAAGATAATTCAACAGTTTTAAATATATTATATAATGAAACATTTAGAAATCAATCAGCTAAAAAATTATCAGGAGCAGTAAAAATTGAAACTCAAGTTTATGATAATTCACCCACTGTAGAAGATGATCCAAATTTTTGGAATAAAAAATTTAATCCCTTGTACAATTATTTAAATAAAACTTTTCCCATAATTTTTCAAAATCTTGAAATTGAATTAATAAATCAACATGGTTTATTAATTACTTGGAAGGGGTCCAATCCAAATTTAAAATCAATTGGATTATTAGGTCATTTAGATGTTGTACCAATTCAATCATCTACATTAAATCAATGGACTTATCCTCCTTTTTCAGGTCATTATGATGGTGAAAAATTATGGGGTAGAGGAAGTTCAGATTGTAAAAATTTAGTTATTGGATTATTAGAAACTATAGAAGAATTATATAAATTTGGTTTTAAACCAAAAAGAAATATAATTTTAGGTTTTGGATTTGATGAAGAAATTGGTGGATTTAGAGGTGCTAAAAATATTGCAAATCATTTAATTAAAAAATATGGTAAAGATTCATTTTATGCTATATATGATGAAGGTGGACAAAGTATTGCTTATGAAAATGATGTATTATTAGCATTACCTGGAACTGGTGAAAAAGGATCGATTGATATAAAAATTAGTTTAAATACTCCTGGTGGTCATTCTTCAGTACCTCCAAAACATACTTCAATAGGTTTGATTTCAAAATTTATTACATTATTAGAATCAAATCCATTTGAACCAATTTTTACTCCATTAAATCCAACATATCATGAATATCAATGTATTGCTAAATATTCACCTACTATACCAAAAGAAATAAAATGGAGTATATTAAATGCTCAATATCCAAATGCAAATAAAATAGCAAGAGATTGGATTTATAATAATCAATCATTAACTTCAAAATATTTAATTTCTTCAACTCAAGCAATTGATATTATAAATGGAGGAGTTAAATCAAATGCATTACCAGAATATGTTGAAATTATAATGAATCATAGAATAGCAATTGAACAAACAGTTGAAGAAATTTTTAACCATGATCTTGTATTTTTAAAACAAATTGCAGATGAATACAATTTAGGTTTAATTATAACTAATGATAATGAAACAATTATTGAACCAACTTCAAATGGTTATTTTAAAATTGAAAAATTAGGTGGATTAGAACCAGCACCAACAACTCCAACTACTGGTAAAAAATGGGAATTATTAGTTGGAAATATAAGACATGTTTATGAAAAATTATCATTTACTTCAAAACTGCCATATTATAATCAAAAAGTTATAGTTTCTGGAGGTATAGCAACTGGAAATACAGATACAAGATGGTATTGGGATTTAACTCGTGATATATATCGTTATCGTCCTGGTTTATTAACATCAGTTGAATCTCATGCTCATGGAGTTGATGAACATATAATTTTTGATTCTCATTTACAAATTATTGCTTTTTATTTTGAATATTTACAATTAATTAATGAACAAGATAGTGAAGATTAAGCAACAATAACAAGATTATTTTTATTTGAAAAAGGATTGAGGTTTTAAATAGAAAAGTAGAGTAATTTATTATTGTCTTTTGTTGCAGGTTCTGTTTCTGGTATAACGTTATTTTTGCCTTTAAAACCACAATTAAATAAGCAAAACATGCTCTCTTTTGTCCAACACTTTTACAAAAGACGACGACAAGATATGACTGAGGTTATCATATATACACTGATTGGGAGCTGGTTGTAAAAATTTTTATCGATTTATCGTAATATCACACGCGTCAAATTAATAAGATGGAAATGACATAATACTTTGAAGCTTTCAAGTATCATCTTCACGAGGGTATTGAAAGTTTCATCAACAACAGGGTACAACTTGAACATAAAAGAGCTTCAATCTTATGTTAATGTAGTTAATCTAATTTGTGTGATAATTTAATTGAAAAAAATGTATTAATCAGCTCCCAAATCGCCCATAAACTTATATGATAACCTCATTCAAATCTTAGCCGTCAATTTCCATGAAATTTTTGTACACAAACAATATATTGATTGAGTTGGAGGATGTTTCTTCTAGTTAGGTAATTGAATTTGACAAAAGCGATGAAGTGTTCCAACATTTCATATCGTTTCAATCCATTGGAACTAACGATATCAAATAATATCAAATACTGGAACACTTCCTTCAAACAATATTTTGACGGTGTCAGCCAATCAAGTGACTTATATTTTGAAATTTTGAACTTACTTATTTGAAAGACACCCACAATCCCATTTTAAAAATCAATAATTAATTGTTTTATGTACAAAGTATAACTTTACTTGTTGATATCACTTGCTCTTTGATGTATTGGAAGCTAAATGATAAAATCTCGATATAAGTCACCCCTTAATTGCTGTATGAATGAAATTTTTGAAGTTTGAGTTATAAAAATATCCACATAATCATTTGTAGTTACTCCTTCCAACAAATCCTGATCAAATCATCAACATCTGACTCAGCTCTCACGTTGTTTTGTTAGCTCAACACGTCTTTTTTAAATAAAATCTTAAACTTGTTTCCTGACTTATCTTTTACAATTTTGTCATAGCCATTAAGTTTTTTCAATTATTTTGTTTAAAAAAATATATGCCTAGATCAAAAAAAGGACATAAACAAAGGGTTTCCCTATCTTACTTCTTTTTCGAATGTCAATAAACAAGTTGCTCAAATAAAAGTTAACAATTATCTGATGATCTTGTTAATCCTTATTTGAGCAACTTATGTAGTTGTTAGCTCCATTTAGATGTTTCATCTTTAAAACCAACATCCAATTTCCGTTAATACTGCATCAATATAGTAGTCAAGTTGAAGATGATCAAAAAGTCCTTCGCTATCTAACATCAATGTATCATATTGTCGTGACTGATCTTGTTCAAATCTAATCCTTTATATATTCCAGTTTGAGTATGTATGTGTCTATTTGGCAATTTGTAATAAATTCTACTTGATTTGCATGTATGTTATCCCACTTATGTAAACTGATGATGATGATGGCAAAAGCTTTAAATTTGATTTTTACTAGTATAATAATTTAATTTTATTGCGAGAAAAAATAAAATGATCAAGCGAGTAAGTGATATTGCGGTACGGATGTAAATTACAACCAAAACAAGTGAGGATAGTATAAACCAACGATGAATTTAGTTAGTAAATCTTTCACCATCTGATTATTTTAAACTGTCAAGCTAGTTACATGTAAAAGTATAAAAGACTAGAATATGTCAAAGTCACTTGTTTTTTAAACTTTTTGTATAAAATTAATTCATATGTTTTTTGCATCAAAGTGAGGTTGAATAATATTTTTTTTCATGTTTCAGATTTTCAAATTAGGTAATGGTTTGTAAAATTAGATTAATGTGATTACTTACAAGGTTTATTCTTCTTTTTACATGATAACCTAAAATGGCATCATTAACTATAGTCGATTATTTCATGTGAAACCCAGGAATTTCACATTTTTCATTCATCACCGAATGACAGGTCATTTAGTAGGAGTTTACTGGTTTTTTCGGATACAATTATGATCCTAATGACCTTGAAACATATCTGATTTTGATCATTCTTCATCTCCACTTGATCACATCTTTGTCATATTGATTATACTTCTATTCTACTTGAATGAACTTCACCATTATCAACCGACTGTATGATTAAGTAAGTCTTTAATCACAAGCTGGACCCTTAATTATTTAATGGTATTAAAATAAATTGCCTAATGAAGTAATTGATTAATTAATACAGTAGGACTTAAGCTAATGTCGTTTTTTTATAAACTTTGCTTTTGTAACCTTTCTATTTTTGTGTCTTTTATTTTTCTTTGTTTTGTGTTAAAAAATAAAAAAACGACATTTTATGTAATTTGATTTATCTTTGTGTTGCTATTATAATAAATTTGGTCGAAGTATATACGCCTTATTTGGTTCCACTTCGACCTAAAAAATAGGCTAATTTTCACAGATTAGTGTTTTTTTTACTTGATTACGTATCAACTTCTGCTTTTTAATTAAATTAAATTGAGGAGAAAGTTTAAATTACTTCTTTTACTAACAATAAATCTCTTTGTTTTAGTTTACTACCTAATTATTAATTACTACTTGATTTAGTAAGTATTTGATTGAATGAACCTATTATGAAACGTATTGAAAGCCTAATTTACCTATTCAGCAAGCCAATCTTACTTAGATGAATTGAGTTAGCTTGAACTTAATTTAATTATTAATTAATCAAGGTACATCGTCATTAATTATCTTTCTTTTAATTAATCTTTTAATAATAAATTTCGGCCATATCAATTTTTATTTTTTTCTCTCTCTCTCTCCATATGAAAAAAAAAATTAAAATTAAATTATAATTTTTAATAAATAGATTGAAAAATCAACATCTTTTTCTTTTAGTTAGTATATATATACATATACCATTATCAATTGAATTACGAATTTCGATAGATTTATCTGTACAATTAAAGAATAGAATATATAACATAAAATGGAGGTTTCACCAGGTACTTTAGAATTTACTGGTATGTTCAGAATATATACTTTACATTAACCCACTTTTTAATCATTTTTATTATGTTGAATAAATTACAAAAGATTAGGGTGATACAATTGGAGAAAGAAGGATAATTTGGAGAATAGGATGAATTTGGAAGACTTGAAATGAATGGATTATTGGAATCCATCTAGAGTTCATTCAATTTTTTTCCCAAAATTGCTCAAATAATCATTTATTTTCTCCACACATTTATCATTTTTTATCAAAATAGAAAATACTAACAAAATCTTCTAGGTTCATTTACCAAACAAACTACTGAACATTTGACTTTATCAAATCCAACTAATCAACCATTAGCTTTTAAAGTTAAAACAACTGCTCCAAAATTATATTGTGTTAGACCAAATGCAAGTATTGTTCAACCAGGTGGTTCAATTTCAATTTCTATAATTTTACAAGGTTTTGCTCAACCTTTACCAAAAGATTACAAATGTAAAGATAAATTTTTATTAGTTAGTGTACCAACTAATCAAAATATTGATCCTGCTCAAGTTGGTGAATTATGGGGTTCATTAGAATCTCAAAATAAATCTGCTGTTGTTTCAAAAAAATTAAGAGTTAATTATAATATTGGTCCTGATAAGTCCTCAGGTTCAAGTAATACTCCAGCTGCTACTTCTGGTGGTGCTAATGGTGCTGCTGCTGGTGGATTTGCTGGAAGTGGTGCTTCTCAAAATAATTATCAACAACAACAACAACAGCCACCTCAACAACAGCAACAACAACAATACCAACAACAACCACCACAACAACCACAACACCAAAATTCATTCGGTGGTGCTGGTGCTGGTTTAGCTGGTGGAGCTCTTGCTGGAGCAGGTGCTGCAGGTGCTTATAATCATTCACAACAACAACAACAACAACCACAACAACATCAACAATATCAACAACAACCACCTCAACAAGATTACAACTCATCATATACTCAACAATCCACTGGTAATGATTATGGTGCTCAAAATAGATCATTTAATGATACTTCATCAATTAATAATTACAATGGAGGTTATCAACAACAACAACAACCACCTCAATTACATCAACAACCAAGTTATCAAAACTCTCAATATGGTCAACCACAACATCAACAACAACCAATTCAACAACAAGGTGGTACATCACCAGCTGTTCAACGTGAATTGGAAGCTTTAGCAAGACAAGTTCAAACATTATCTACTAAATTAGATCAAAATGAAAAAGCAGCACATTCAAGAGGTGTTGGTGCAATAGTTGATTCAGATTTAGCATCAAATGGAATTTCTTTACCAATTGCTTTAGTTTTAATTTTAATTGCTTTCTTAATTGGTTGGTTAGTCTTTTAATCCTTTAACATATTAAGAAAACAGTAATAACAAACCTCATTTTTGAGTGTTTGAAATGTTACATCTTTTCAAAATTTAGAATTATCAAGTTAGACTTACTTTACATTATTCAATTTTTTTTTTATCTTTCATAAGTTTATTCCCGATTGAAAATTTCATATCATATATTCAATGGAATTAACTTTACTTTTTTAACTACAGTTGTTCTCTTTGTATAGTATTAATTAAAAAATTCATATACTAGATATTTAGAATTCTATGATCTCTTTAGATGCAACCATTGAGTTGATAAGATGTAAATTGTTAAATTCAACGATATAATTAATTGGTCTGACATATTACACTAAAACTAAATGAAGGAAAAAAGATAAGATTAAAACCGATTGAAAAATATTGAAGATAAATATTATTTCAAACATTATTATTAAAGGACTAAAGACCAAATGAAATGAATTCATTCAATTCATCCAATGGATCATCATCATCATATACATATACAATAGAAGATGATATACCTACACTAACTTATAGACCAAATTCAAATTCATCAACAAATACTTATGTTTCACAATCATCTAATAATTCAAATTTAAAATATGAAGAAAATTCATATATTGATTGGAATAAAGAATCATTACAAAAAAATCCAGAATCTTTAAAATTTTCATCAACCACCTTTTCAAGTTCATCATCATATATAAATATATCCAAAAAATGGTTAACTGTAATATTATCAGCAATAATATTAGGTTATATAACAGCAGCAATAGATTTAATATCAATTACATTAAATGATTTAAAAAAAGGTGTATGTTTAAGTAAAAATTATAATGATTGGAGTGTTTTCAATCCTTATTTAACTTGTCCTACAAATGATTGGAATAATTGGTCAAATCTACTATTTAATTCAATTTCGGTGGTTGGTGATATTTTTTTAAATTTTCCAATATATTACATATTTGCAATAGCATTCACTGCTATAGCAACTTATTTAAGTATTAATTCAAAAATCATCATCAAACAATCAGGTATACCAGAAATTAAAATTTTAATACTGGGATTTATATTAAATTATAAAAAAATATTAGGTTTAAAAACTTTAATTTATAAAATCGTTGGATTAATATTAGTTGTTAGTTCGGGGCTTTGGTTAGGTAAAGAAGGTCCATTAGTTCATGTATCTTGTTGTATTTTCAATATAATATTTGAACTTTTATCAAATGGTGGTGGCAACAGAATAAATGAATCAATAAGAAGAGAAATTTTAAGTGCTGCTACTGCAACTGGTATATCAGTTGCTTTTAATTCTCCTATTGGTGGTGTATTATTTGTATTAGAAAGTATGCCATCTTTTTTCAATCCAACAAAAATTATATGGATTTCTTTTGTTTCTGCTACAATTGCAATAATTGGATTAACTGGATTTAATGTATTTACTGATGGTGGGAATTTTATAGAACAAGATTTATTTCAAGTTATATTTGGAAATTTTAGTTGGTTATTTTTAGAAATTATACCTTTCACTTTATTAGGATTTATTGGAGGAATTTATGGATTTTGTTTTATAAAATTAAATCAATTTTTTCAAAATAAATTAATTAGAAAAAAAATTCAAAATTATTTATCTGATTTATTGAAAATTAGTTATAAATGGGGACCTTATTTAGAAGTTGGATTAATTGTTACGATCACAACAATATTAAATTTCCCTTTAGAAATTTCAAAATTATCATTAAGTTCATATCTTATATTATTATTTAAAGAATGTTCACCAGATAATATTGAAGATCAAATAAATTCATCAAATTTTTTATGTTCAAATTCAAAAGGTTTTATACTGATAAAATTATTATATATATTAATTCAAGGATTTTTTTTATCAAGTTATACATTTGGAGTAGATTTACCTGGAGGTATATTAATGCCTTCATTAGTTTTAGGTGCTACAACTGGTAGATTTTTAGGAATTATAAGTCAAGTATTACAATCAAAATTTAATTGGGAATCTTTAGCAACATGTACTGAAAAATCTTGTTTAGTTTCTCCATCAAGTTATGCAGTTATAGGAGCTGCATCATTTATGACAGGTATAACAAAATTAACTATGACTGTTGTTGTAATAATGTTTGAAATGACTGGTGCTATATCTTATGTTTTACCAATAATGTGTGGAGTAATGACTTCAAAATTTGTTAATGATTGGTTAAGTCCTTTAAATATTTATGATAATTGGTTACAATATAATTTTAATCAAAATAATGATGAAAATAGTTTAGGATTAATTAATGAAAATAAAGGTACAGGATTAGTAAGTTTTAGTTCTTTGACAACTACAATAAAATCAAAATTACCAGATGTTACAGTTAAATCTTTAATGGTACCATTGGAAAAAGTTAAATGTCTTTGTTTAATATCTCAAGATGAACCATATACTCAAATTTCATTAATAAAATTTATGAATGATGATAATCATGAAGGATATCCATTAATTGTAAATTATTCAAATCCAATATATATTGGATATGTTAAAAAATCAGAAATTTATAATAAAATTCAAAATATTAACAATCCAAATCAATCAATTTCATTTCAAATTCAAAATTTATCAAAACAAATATTATCAATGCAATTACATTATGAAAGAAATTTAAAAGATTATATAGAGGTTGAACTAAATATAGAGTCATCAATATTTTATACAAATGAATTATCACCATCAATATTAATATTAGAACAATTTGAAAAATTATATTTAAATAATTTAATAATATTAGATGAATCATATGAAGAAATGAAAGGATTTATTGATAGATTTATTTTAACAAATCAAATTTTAAAAAATTTTAATACAATTATGAAAAATACAGATTCGGATAAAGATGATTTTGAATTTATAAATCGAGATATTGATAATGAATTTGATTTAGAAAATGGTATTGGTGGTAGTGGTAATGGTGGAAGTATGTCTAATACAAGAGTTGATGATAATTATGATGAAATTATGAATTTACGATATAATAGGAAAAGTATAGAATTGATTACTTAAATATATATAACCAAAACTAACACTAAGGACCATACTTTATTTAAAGCAGCCGTGCTAGTAACTGACTTCTCAATTACTCAATAAACTCTTCGTTCGTTAAATAATTTATTTTTACTTCACCGATTTTTAAATTTCAATGGAAACAATGCCCCTAAGCATACCAAATCTATTATCAAAATTTGAAATGTCAAAAAACTTTACATACAAATACCATTCAGAACTAAACAAAGAGACATTTTCTTATTATCTGATATATACAAAATAGATATGAATAATTTTTTCAATTTGAAAGCAATATCATGAAGCGAAAATACCAGTGCCTTTTTTAGGTATTGGCGAATTAGGCGCTACTAGGAAATGAAAAAGATTTTTTATAAAAGACGGCCGGGTACCAAGCAATGCTCAATGACCCACATACAAATCACATTTGTAAAAACTTTTTAATTCAATTAGAACTTGACCTGTCAGATTAACCTTAGCTTTGAAAATTTTAAATTTCAAAATTGGATAGAGCGTAGGATTGCAAAATTGAAAAATTAATTTGGTCGAACTCGACCCAATTCGTTTCAAAACTTTTTTTTGGATGAAAAATTTAGCTTAGGCTTTTAATTATACGGTAAAACTATGAATTTAGGGCCATATTCTTTTTTTCCGTCCAATCTTCGACTTGTTGTTTCGGACCTACCTTCGTTGTGACATCAGTTTGTGTAAACATTAGCACAACTAGAAATCAGCAGTAGGAATTATACTATGGTGAAAGCAGCCATTCCGACTCCATGACACCTCATTTGAGTTTCTCTTTAAACTCTTTCCTTGTAGGAATTTTATTTTCATATATTCATATTAGGTATGAATTTTAGTTGATACAATGAAGCGAATTTTAGGTACTAGCGAAAAATCAGATATTAGAGAAACTGAAAGCTTTACATAAACAGATCCTTCAATATAGCAGCAATCATGTATTGCTTAAAGGCCCTCATTCAAAACACCGCTGTAGAAACTATTCAATTGACTAAACCATAACCTGGCAAGGCAATTTGAGCTTGAAAAATTTTTATTTTTATAAATTCGTAGAATCCTTTGATTGCAAAATCTACGAAAGTGTTTTGTTCGAGCTCGACCCAAGTCGTTTTAATCTTTTATGGAAAAACACTGGCAAATACACCAACTCTACTTTCAAAACTCAAGATAAAGCAGAAATTCACATACAAGTAACATTCAGAATTAAACAAAGAAACATATCCTTACTATTCAATATATTGAAATTAGATATGAGTAATTTTTCAAAGCTTAACTATGGAGCCTTCCACTTGCCTTCCACTCTTCTTTGGTATTAGCATTGGTCGAACTCGACCTAAGTATTTTACGAACTATTTTTAATATTTTATCGAAGAAATAAAATTTAACACAGACCAATTGTAGGGCAAAAAAGAAATATCTGGGGCCATATTTTTTTTCTTTCCCGTAGGAATGTCGACCTATTCGCTACAAGGTGGAACTAATATAAATTGTGATATCATTTTGTATTGAAATTATCAATACTAAAAGCCCTCGGCTTTAATTTAAAGTGTCGTAAATTGATACATAATACTCCACATTCCATTAACCCGCATAGTAAATAAATACATCTTTAATACTAAGTGAAAAATAACCATTCTACACTACTCTCTGAAGAAATACGTTATCACAGTATTCTATTACATTATTATATTAGCGGTTTATTGATCCAATTTAAGAAGATATTTACCAATTAAAAAATTATTATTATAATTCAGTTGGTTTCTTTTCAGATTTCAAAACAAAATTTATCAACAAATAATTGTTTTTATATATCAACTAATCAATTGGCTATTTCATATTGAAAGAAGTTTGAGTTGATCTAAACATATTGAACAATTCAAACAATTTTTACTTCAAAGTAGCAAATTTATCAAATTTTGTCATAATCATCACTAGATACAGATTTTCATATTTTTCAAATTGAACTATTAAATCAATCAAATATAGAAATATAACATTATACTAAAAAAATGGTTGCAGATACTATAATTTATCATCCAACATTAACTAAATTAGTTAAATTTTGGGATTCAACACCTCAAAGAGAAAAATCTTTTAGATTATTAGCTTATTTATCAAGATTTTTAGCTTATTATACTTATAAAAAAGGTTATTCAAAAGAAACAATTGATATGTTTAAATCTTTAAAAGGTCATTTTACATTTATTAGAAAAGGTATGCGTTTTTTTAAACCTGTTCCACATTTACAAGCTGCTGCAAAAGCTTATGATAATAAATTAATGGATCCAATATTACAAATTACAACAATAATTAGAAATTTAGGTTATGCTGGTTATTTAACTATTGATGCTTTAGTATTTGCTAAATTATTAGGTATTGTATCAAGTAAAAAATGGCCAAATTTATCAACTTATGCTTCAAGATTTTGGTTAATTGGTTTAATTGCTGGTATTATAAATTCATTAAGAATAATATATTCATTAAGTAATTATGAACATAATTCAGTTGATGAAAAATCAGAAATTGATTATAAAGCAATAAATAATAAATTATATGCCGCAAAAAGAAAATTAATTTGGGATTTATTAGATAGTTTTATTGCATTAAATTCATTAGATTACTTACATTTCACTGAAGGAGATGTTGGATTTGCTGGTGTTATTACTTCTATCTTTGGTTTAGAAGATATGTGGAAAGCACAAAAAATTTAGAGATAAACAACGGTTTTAGTTTGATTATTCAATATTAGAAATTGTTTTGATTCAAATTGGTTAACTTTTGATAAACTATTTACACAAACATGATGACTCTTTTACCATTTATGTTTCATATACTTGTTTAGTTAATTTATAGACTTTTTTATAGTATGAGATTTATTTAATTGAAACATTATTGTAATTAGATACCACCTTATTTATCAGTATCATTTGAATTTTTTAGATCTTTATTTAATTGGAAACCAGCCCAAAAATATTTTATTAATATAGTCTTAAGTTCTTCAGTCAATTGCTTTTGATGATCAGAAGTTTGAGCCTCTATTAATTTATTTAATTGTGGTACATCTGATGAAATATCAATTTTATCTTTATCAATTTGTTGTTTTTGTAATTCCTGATCTTTTCGTAATTTTAAAACTTCTTTATCCTTTTTGAGTTTATTTTCTTCAACATATGTATCATATAGTTCATTCCATGCATCATTTATTTCATCATCAAGATTAGACATTTTGAACTATGTCATTCTCTTTGTTGATGATATTATGTTTCAGAATTTATTTTATTCGCGATCTAGGAATATAATTTTGTATCATCTCATATAATTTTCTAATTTTTCACAACCAAACACTTTTACCACTTCATAACTTCATAAAATGTCATCAGATGAAATAAAACAACTACGAATACATATTGGTAACATATCACCTAAATTAAAAGAAAATCCAAATTTACTAGAATCTAGAATTGAAAAATTCAACTTCATACTCATAAAACCATTAACTTTTCATACAAAACCATTACAATTAAAATATTTTGCATTTATAACTATAGAATCATCAACAAAAGAATATGAAAAATTTAAAAATTCATTAAATGGAGTTGTATTTATGGGTTTAAAATTAAATATAGCATTAGCAAAACCTGAATTTAAAGAAAGATTTAAAATTATAAAAAATACACCAGAAGATTTGAAGAACCAATTAAAACAATCACAGATAGTACAATCTAGAACTAAAAGAATTGAAGAATCTCGAAATAAATATCCCATAAACTCAATAACTTCACACATTTCCACTGCACAAACTTTATCACCAATAATATCAAAATCAGAACATACATTTCAAAATAATTCAGCAAATACAAAAAATTTACCACCAACTCAAAGATTAAATGGTTCAAAATCATATGGATCAACATTAAATTCATTATTTTATAAATATTCAAATGGTAAATCTCATTCAATAACAAAAGGAATACATAGAAAATCACCAAGAAAAGAATTAAATTTAAAAAATCAAACTCTTCGTATATTAATAAATGGTGAATTAAAACAATTTAAATTTTATAAAACTAAATTATGGGGGTATGAAAAGAATCGAAATATAAGAGATTTAACTTGGGAATTTGATACAGCAACCAATTCATGGAAAAGTGGGTATGATCATATTATTGAAAAATCAACTTCATGTGGTATAAACGGTAAACAAGCCTTGAGTTATGGTCAAAATTTAACTAATGAACCAGCAACAATCGTAGATACAGTCGATGAAGATCATGAATCTAAAAAAAATAAATCCATATTAGCTTCAATTTTAACTAATTATGATTTTAATAAACCAATTGAAATTGAAGAAAATAATGGAATTGAACAAGAAGATATTGAAATTGATTCAAAAGGTAGAAAAAAAGTTAAACATTATGATTATGAAATTGAAGGTAAAAATATTGATGAAGATGAAGATGAAAATGAAAATAAAAATGAAGAGCGAACACAAATAATAGAGCAACAAAAAGATTATGATGAAGTAATACAAATTTCAAGTGGAGATTTACAAAAACCTCAAGAAGAAATATATTATGATGAAGATGATGAAGGAAATGATATTGATTTTACTACTTTAAAACCAACTCAAATAATAGAAAATGATGATATAGAAATAGATGATGATAAGGACAACAACGAAGTAGTTCAGGAAAGAGAGAATAAAGAGATTGAAACAGTTAAAGATCAAATACTACAGGATAAAGTTGAAGATATAATTGAAGATCAAGTAGAACAAATTGAAGAAAATTCAGATGAAGAAGAATTCATACCTACTTTCGGGTCAAATTCAGAATCAAACAAAACAACAAGTAATACAGAAACACTTCGATCATTATTTAATCCCACAACCAGCATAGATTCAAACAATTCAGAACAGCAACAAAATGGTTTTAAATTAGCATTATCAGAAGATGATGAAGATATTGATAACTCAGCACAACTTCAACTTCAAGATCAAGAACAATTATTAAAACAAATTCAAAAACAACAAAATCAACAGCAACAACAACAACAACCAGAAGAACAAAATATAAAAACAATAAAAAATAATAAAGATATAGGATTATTTTGGCCACATTTTGAATCACCATTTTTAAGTACTCAATCACAATTTAGTAAAATTGGAAATATTAAAATTTTTAATCCAAATCATTTTCAATTACCTAAACTTACTGAAGATACTAGCTCAAGTAATGTTGGAAATGAAGATGAAACTGAATTTGAAAAATGGTTTTGGTTTAATCGTGGTGAATTTTCAAGAGAATTTAAAAGACGAAGACGTGATGTTTTAAGAATATTGAAAAAGAAACAAAAATAAGAACCTATTTAATCATTTGTTTATTTTAAAATTCTAGTCATATATATCAATACATTTGCATTCATACTAGTCAGATTATTTGTCTTATTTTACTTCTAGATATATTTTGTTGATTTAAACAATCACTGGTTTCAGCAAACGAAGGTGCATTTCGTACTGATAATATTTCACTTGAAGTTAATGATTTTACAAGTAACTTATCCCATCCTATGTAGTATCATACTCACAATATCAAGTATTATCATAGGTATGCTTATTGTGTATATTAAATATGTTAATCTACTCAAGTATCTCCTGCTTGAACTTATTTCCGCTTCCACCTTTCATTGAAAACTAAGAACTAACGGTAATGAAATGATAATCTAGTGATAATCAGCAAGTGATAACAACCGTATTATTAAATTCATAAAACCAACCAACGGAAGGGCTATAGTTTGTTCATAAATGGTGGATAAGTAGAAAATAAGTTCAAGCGCAAGATACCTAAGCAGAATACTTATCGAATAAATAATAACACCATCTCACCCTCCACAAAACTAACCTCCTTCTTATTCTTATTGACTGTTCCACATGATCTAGATATTGTGACAAATTATCCCTAACTAGTGTTCATACCATCTGAATTCTATCAATCAACGGTCTAGTATCAGTACTAGTACATTTCTTCCTTATATCGGCTCTGCAACATTGATATCTCATTTGATATTCAACTTGTTTTAATATTGAGCTTGTTGATGTGGAAGATAAAAATTTCAATGATTAAAACGCCGAGAATTATTACCTTGGAATCACTCTAAAACCCGGACTATTGATTTTACCAAGGTCGTCAGATTCATGAACTATCAAGACCATATTAGTCAACTATACATACCTCAATGTTCTTGATTTAAACCAAAATGTACGACAAAATCAATGTAGAAAATTTGTTCAATAAATCAAATTGTTCAACCGCGATGAATTTAGTTCTCCATTTTGTGTCTTTATTGTTAGGACTTGATTCTTTAGGCTATCATCATTTCAAACAATTATTAAGGTACTTTGTTCAAAATTCACAAATTAAAACTCATCAGAACTCAATGCCACCGCCTCCTACAAAACCTAATACATCACATGATCAAAAGCCAAAATTGACATTTAAAAATGTACTACAAGATATTTATGAAGCAATATTAGGTTTAATTTCAAGTCCAGAAGTTTCAAGATTTACTTATCCTATAATTACATGTTTATCATCAATAATAACTAAATTAGTAATTGGAAATATAAAATATACAGAAATAGACTATACAACATATTTACAACAAATTGATAAAATAAATCAAGGTGAAATAAATTATTCTAAAATATATGGAGATTCAGGTCCAATAGTTTATCCAGCTGGATTTGTTATAATTTATCAACATTTACAATGGTTATGTGGAGATTCATTAGTTGAAGCTCAAAAAATATTTGGATATATTTTTACTACAACTATTTTATTTGTTTCTTTTATTTATTCACAAATTTGGGATATTCAACCTTGGACAATTTGGTTATTATTAGGTAGTAAAAGGTTAGTTTCAATCTATGTATTAAGACTATTTAATGATGTTTTTACTACGTTGGCAATTTTGGGTGTTGTTATACTATTACAACAAGCAGCTGTCTTAAAAGAAGTTCAAGTAAAAAAAGTTAGGAATGTTAAAACCGGAAAAATAAGAGACAAGGTATTAGGATCATCATGGTATGATTTAAGTTTTTTATTGAGTTTTATTGCTTGTGACTTATATAGTCTTGCATTATCCATTAAAATGAATGCTTTATTATATTTACCTGCATTAGTGATAATAATTTATTTTTTGAATGATGAAAACTTATACAAATTTATAATTTTATTGACTGTAATACCGTTGGTGCAAATCATGATTGGTTGGAAGTTTTTGGTTTTAATGTTCAATACCGAAGAAGCTCGTGAAATAAGATGGAACTATTTAAAACAAAGTTTCAATTTTTCAAGATCATTTTTATATAAATGGACAGTCAATTGGAAATTTATACCTGAAAATATCTTCTTATCATCAGATTTTTCCAGTGCATTACTTGTACTTCATTCATCAGTATTACTATTTTTCATATTCACTAGATTCTTAAACCACAAAATCATAGGTAAGTCCATTTTACAAACAATCAAAGACTTTTTCAAACTCAAATCAACCATTTCAGAAAACAACATCTTTTTAAATAAATTAATAGCACCACAAATTATTTTTTACATAATATCACTCACTAACTTAATAGGTGTCTTATTTTCAAGATCATTACATTATCAATTTTTGAGTTGGTACGCATGGTCATTACCTGCTTTATTACAATTAAATTTTAAATGGTATATAGGAGTACCATTATGGTTTTTACATGAATGGTGTTGGAATGTATTTCCTGCTACTTCAGTTAGTTCTGCTATCTTAATTAGCGAATTATCTATAATCTTGGCATTAAGTTGGTATAACTTTGATTCTTGGTTTCCTTCACCAACGACGTTAAAGGAATATACGAAGTATGAAAAACACCTAAAAAGAATTGAAGAAGAAGAAAAGAAAAAGGAAGAATAGATATGTTTTATAGAGATAGTTGTAATGTTAAAATTGTCTTCAGGAGTACGTAATTCGATTTTGAACAGAGAGGCTTCGAATTGAATTAAAGTGTTCAACTCATCTTCCTAGATTTTCATACCCCAGACACTGGGTCTGAATTGAAAAGCATTCACATGACGAAAAGTATACTTTATTCCGTATCAGCAGTATTTAGAGTACCAAAAAATTTGGCTATTCAGCACAATTTTCTAATTAATTTACAACAAACCATTAGAGCTTTGAAGACACCTCTTTGAATTTTTAATTATGATTAAAATTATTTCTTGATACCATGATTACCCTTGTAATCAACAACATTAGGAGCTTCCCAATTCTGCAAAACCTTGTCCTCATTATCAATCTTATAAACTTCAATCTCTAAAGGTCTACAACAATCTTCCATTTTCAGTTGACTATCTTCAGTTTCCCCAAATTCCCACATTGATAAATCACCACCAGGACAAGCACTTATTGCAACTAACAAATCAATTTCTGCAAACATTTCAAAATAATCTCCAGGTTTTGCTGGACAAGTTTCCATAAAATATTGATCAGATTCTTCCAGTAAACCTGTAACTTGAAATACATTTAATACATCATGAACATCAAATTCGTCTAAACCATGAGGTTTTATAGCTCTGTATAAATTAGAATGACAATGATAATCATTATGTTCACCACTAAGTAGTCTATCAACGTAGGGATCACATCTTGTTCCTAAACAATCTATTGGGCAAGTTAGTAGATTCTTTTGTCTAAATATATTTAGATTTACATACCATGAACTCTTCCACCATGCTCATCTTTTCTTGGGCCTAAAGAATCTCCAGTTATAGTAACTAATGGTCTTAAGAAAGGTAAATTCAGCCATAATCTATCATAAGTTGAAACATGGTAACTATGCAATTGAGCTGTTCTCGCAACCCAAAGTCTTTCTCTTTTATCATTTAAGTTCCATATGTTTAAATCACAAACTTGTGGACCTTCTGGTGTTGTTATCCTAACAATTGATTTTGCTGGAATTTTGACAGCTATACCGTCTCTTTTTGCACATCTATGTTTTGAAATTAAAGTCTTTGGAGCTTCGTGAATTGATTTATACAAATCTTTATTGGCGTATAGTTTTGATCCTTCATGAGGATAGTATGCTGGTTTAGGTTTTGGTAAGTTATAGTTAGTTGATTTGATAGATTGTGATGACTTAAATTCAACCATTTTGATTTAACTTGTTTTGGTTGCAAAATTGTGTTTTCAAATTTGACGATCTACACTACTTACATATCAAGTTTGTTTCTATAATAAAATGAGGAATAAATCTGACTGGATTTATATATTTTAGATTCGTACTGTGGATCGAATCCCGGATGAAAAAATTCCGTCCTGATAGATCGGATCTCGAACTAAATAACACCAGCTTCTTCATTTTTTTTAACTGGTGATCAAAAATGGAAATTTTGAGCGAGCATACATGTGTATCAAACATTTCAGTCAATTTTTTAAATAATCTCGAGAGTTTTTCATACACTTTCGAAGCATATATGTTAGTTTGACTACTCAATGGGTACACTTTGACTTTTGAGATTCCACAATTCGGTAATGCTCGATTCCACTTTAGAACTGCGAGAAAGGAACTCAATACTCCGACTATGGAAAAATTGTCTGGCTCATCATATCAGTTATGAAAGCATCAGCAATGACCAAAATTTGTTTTAGTGGTTTGAAGTGATGAGATGATCTTGATAAGTACAGATAAAAACAATCAAACATTTAAAGGAGTCTCGGTCATTGTTGGTGTTTTCATAATTGCTGCTAGTTAAATCACTTGGATTGGTTGAAGACAAAGACTAGCATTAGATTGATTAGAGTGACTGGAATATTGAGGGTGGCAAAATTTCAGCAAAACTAGAAATGCCATCAATGCTGATACTTTCCCAACGGCTCTTGTGCTCACTAATAAATACATCAAATAGCACAAGCTAAAGGTCGCAGTCAAGAAGGGCACCAAAATTATCAATAATGATCAAAACAAATTTCATTACTTTCACTAAAATTAACTGAAGTATCAATTTCATCATCGTCACCTGAAGCCTCATCATTTTCACAGCTATTAATTTGAGCAAAATTATCATTACTTTCACTGATAGCAATTAAAAATGAATAATCTGGAGGAAATCAAAAAGATTTAAAGTATTCAATGATATATAGGATGAGTTTTTATCTGGATCCATGAATCAAAAGTTTAAGATTATCGATGGTAATACAGGAATATGCAACATAAACACTGGATCTGATGTCGATGTTCCAAGGATATTTAAGGACATTTCTAAAGTCGCCATTAAATGGAAGGGTGGAAGCAATCTATCAAGAAGAGTTAGGTCGATGTAATGCAATGGAAAATGAATTATCAGCTATAGTTTATACACTAACCAAGTTTAATATGACTGGACAAAATGTACTGGTTTATACGGATCATCAATCTTTTTAAGTAGTAAGACACTGTCCTTAGTCTTACCTTGGATATTGGAAATATCGGGACCATAAACTCCTATGCGTTTATTATATCTTTGAATGCGGTCTTAATGATCGAGTTCAATGATATAATAAACGCATAGGAGTTTATGGTCCAAATATGCTTCACATCCAAGGTCAGACTAAAAATTTTAGCTGATATTTTCTTCAAATACTAAATGGACAATATCAAGGAAATCATTGACGAAGATAAATTAATAATATCTAATCAAAGACTGATCTATCATATATTACAACTATAGAAAATCAAGATGAAGATGAATTAAAACGTATCAAGCAAAAATCATTTGACTTTAATGCTGATGCAAAAGCTAGTTTAACTATGAATAATTTTACTTTGGTTTACTCAAAGGTGGATGGATCTTTACTAGTTTTCTTTATACAATATTTTATTCTACCTAAAACATCAACATTAATTAAAAGTTTGTCTACATGCATAATTTGGAAATATTATGAACTAACATATTCAAAAACATCTACAACAATTTGAAAAAAAAGAATAAAGTTGTTACTTAAATTCTGTTAAAATTTTAAAACATGATATATCTTGCGAAAAAATTAAACCATCTCAAGTTAAATTACAAGCTGCTTAATTTTAAAACTTTCCTACAGCTACCACAAAAATTTGAAGTATACTTAATATTGGAGATTATTTTGAAAAAAGCATTCTCGGGATTATCAAATATACCGGTACATTAAGTGAATTCCTAAATGACAATAGTGGAAAAAAAACAGCCTTTACCACATGGTGCAAAGTCTAGAATAGCTTTGCACAATTTAAAGAATTTTTTACTTGATTCAATTGCAACCCATATCAACCACATCAACCCTTTTGTAATTATGATCGCTGCTAGTAATAAGGCAAAAGTCCATCCTTTATACTGGATATTCATCGGTAATAGATTCAAAATGTTCCCAAAATTCACATATTCATATCGAGCGGGTATTCAATGCTTTATTGTGGGCGACAAAGGAGTAGTCGAGGATTAAAAGGAAAGGTTTCATGTTGTTACACAAAACGTGTCTTCAATTGCAATGGGAGCATTTATATATTATTTCACTTAGTAAATAACCCATTTTTATCAATTGAACAACACAAACCAGGTGTGAATTACCGGTATAACCCTCATTAGAATGTTAAGTCATGAATAGGTTATGAGTAAAAGCTAAAAATATATATATGATTTTGTTTTTTGTCTCCACTAAATTGATCTCTATAACGTCTTGATGACACTTCCTAGACAAAATAATATAGTAATTTTGCACGAAAACACCCGCCAAGATTAGACCCTTGATTCTGTTCTATAAAAATATAGAAGTCCTGTCAATTGAAGAAACTTAGTGTACCTAAAGAAAAACGTTAAGGTCACACGATTCACAATACTACGTCGTAATTTTCTCATGTTGGACCTAATTCTGGTACGAACAAGTTATTTCTCCGATCGAAATTACGAGTTAATTCCTTCCCCACTTTTTTCATTTAAACATTAAATGCTACCAAGTCAGATTTCGTTTGTTGTGTTCCACCATTTATAACCGTGGAAACTTTGAAAAATTTAAAAATCTGGGGTAATAAAAAGCAATAACCATACGAATAAATTCAATACGAATCGCTAGAACGAAGTAGTATGATCGCTATAGCTCAAAGAAATTTGTGGATTTGTCACTATTTGCCCTGATTGAAACACGCTACTTCATTTTTAGAATTTTAAGGTTGAATTCAATAAACGTTATTCTGATTGTTATTCTTTCGATTAATTTAAAAGTCACACTCTAAATTTCTATGGGGAAAAAACAAAACAGCTTCAGAACAATAAAAAAAGTGAAAAATTTTAGTAACCGAATACTCATATATTTAAGTCAAGTAGCATTAATTCCACTGCTTAGTACAGTATTTATGCATAACTACTACAAATTACCTGGGCCCTAAACTTATTAAAATTTTAACTTAATTTTGTTCGATACCGGCTTGAAAATTTTATTTATTTATTTATGTGGTGTTGAAAAACTTAAATAAATATAATATCAAATTTCCCTAAAATAAAAAATCTCTCAAATCTACGATTCTTGATCAACTTTAACACCATTAATCTATATCAATTACACAGTTAATCAAAAATGTATAGAATTTCATTATCAAATACAATTCGTTTATCAACAAAAAGACAATTTTCAACAACTTCTTCAAATTTAGTAAATTATGGATTTGTTGGTTTAGGACAAATGGGTCAACATATGGCAAGACATATATATAATAATTTAGAAACAGATGATCAATTATATGTTTATGATACTATCCCCAAATCAGTTGATGATTTTGTGCTTAATGTAACTGAAACAAATACCACCAACAGAGACAAATTAACAAAATTACCAAATTTAAAAAGCTTTGTTACTGATGTTGATGGACAATTAGATTTTATTGTTACTATGGTTCCTGAGGGGAAACATGTAAAGGGAGTAGTTGAAGATATTATAACAAGTTTTAAAGAAAATGGTTATTCACCAGAATATAAAACAACAATTATTGATTCTTCAACAATTGATATTCCAACATCTCAAGAAATTCATAAATATGTAAAAGAAACTATACCAGAATTTGATTTTATTGATGCTCCTGTTTCAGGAGGTGTTGCTGGTGCAAGAAAAGGAACATTATCATTTATGTTAAGTAGAGATAATCATCAAGATATTTCACCTGCTCTCACGGTTTTATTAAATAAAATGGGGAAAAATATTTTCCCATGTGGTTCAACTCATGGTACAGGATTAGCTGCAAAATTATCAAATAATTATCTTTTAGCTATAACAAATATTGCAGTTGCAGATTCTTTCCAATTAGCCAAAACATTTGGATTAAATTTACAAAATTATGCAAAATTAGTTTCTGTATCAACTGGTAAATCTTGGGCTTCTGTTGATAATTGTCCAATTGAAGGTGTTTACCCAGATGCAAATTTACCAGCAGATGTTGGTTTCAAAGGTGGATTTATAACAAAATTAACAAGAAAAGATGTTGTTTTAGCTACTGATTCTGCTAAAAAATTTAATAGATTTTTATTTTTAGGTGACGTTGGTAGACATTGGTATGATAAAGCTTGTGAAAGAAAAGATATTGCTGATCGTGATTTAGGTGTATTATATGAATGGTTAGGTGATTTAAAACAAAATGAAAATGGAGATATAATTGATGTTAAAGGTGGTCAAAAATAGAGAATACTTATAGCTGATATATAATTTAAAGTAAAGTAAAATAAAAGTACATATTCATCAAAAAAAAAAAAAAAGGATGTAGAATTAAACTAATTAATTATCTATAACATAATCAATATTAAAACCAGGAATTGATCTACTATGATTATGATTGTTCATTTTAGTAGTACTACCATTAGTTCTTGAATTAATTAAATTTTGCTGCTGTTGTTGTTGTTGTTCATTTGAACTTAAACTTGAACCTTCTTCAGTTTCATTATTTTCATTAATTAAATCAGTTAATGATGTATCAACCACTCCAAACAGTTTTTTATGATGTTGTGGTATTACAGGAATATTCATATTACTTATATCTTCTTCATCATCATCATCAATTTCAGGTTGATGATGTCCCGCTAGTCTTTGATTTCTATTTCTATTATTAAATTGTTTTCGTGATTCATAATCATTACTAAATAAATCTTTTGGTTTTTGATAACTTGTTGGTTTTTTATATGATAAATCAAACATAGAAGAAGTAATAGATTGATTTCTTTCATCCATATAAAACTGATTTGTCTCTGTTTGATTTGAAGTTCTTTGAGGTTGAATTGAACTTGTTGATTGATTTAGCAAGGGTAATGTTTGATCAATTGGTAATTCAAAAGAATTTGATGAATCTATTGATGAAGTTGTTGATGATCTTCTACTTGGTTTATTATTAGTTGTTTTTGGTGGAGATGTAGATAATATTAAATCATTACTTTCATTTGATTCAAATATTTTTGATTTTCTTTTATTATTGTTGAAAGTCTTTGGTGCTAACATTGGTGAAATTGGTGATGCTGGATCATCAGCTATATCTTCTTCCAGAGGTTCATTATGGTGTTCAGGTTCTGTATGTTGTTTATTTATTGAAATTTTAGGTAATGAGATATTAGGTATGGAATCTCTAGTTTCAATTGGTTGAGGAGGTGTTGAACCATTTAATTGTTGTATTAATAAATCTCTAACTGGAGTATTTGTATCTATATTATTTAAAGTTGTCGGGGTGGAATTATTATTATTATTATTACTAACAACATCATGTAATGGATTAACATAATTTGTTGAATCATCATCAATTCTAAGAGGACTTAAACTTAATGAACCTTCATCTCTTTCTCTATATGCAGGTGGATGTAATGACATTCCTCCATTATTTTTAGTTGCATCAGGCAGTGCAACAAATGGTGGTGGAGCAGTTGAAGGATGTCTAATTAAATGTATTGGTCTTTGGATAGGTGAAGATAATGGTGAAGTAAAAGTTTCTGGATGTGGTATAGCTTGTGGAGAATTTATTGCTACAATTGTTGATTCAAATTTTGGTTTATATAAATTTGCTTCTAAATGCATATCTGCATCTCTTTCAATAACTCCAGGATTTAAATTTGATGAAATATGTTGAAATTCTATTGCTGATGAAGGAGTTGTTGGTGAATCTTCTCTAGTTGTTTGTTGATTATTCGCCACACTAGGTGATCTTGATCTTGATCTCGTTGCATTTTCAAATCTAGACCTTATATTACTTGTACTACTACTATGTTCAATAGGAGTTACTTCTGGTGATAAAGGAGAATTATCAATAATTGGAGGAGGTGGTAATTCACCATTTTCAACTAAATCATCATAAGCAGGCAAAAGAGTATTTCCATGTGCTGCTAATGGTGATAATACATGTAATGGAGAATCAATTGAAATTTCATAATGTTTTCTTTTATTTTCATTTTCTGGATCATTTTTACTTATTCTTAAACAAATTTTAATCCAATGATGAGATTGAATATTTTCATAAGAAGTATCTGGATGTATTGAACAATTTGATTTCCCAGTAATTTCTTGTGGTACATATAATTGAAATTCTAATTCTTTTGGTAATATATCTTCTTCATATTGATCTAACCCTACATTAGAAGTATCTTGAGGATTTTTTTGTAATAAAGATCTTCCCTTAACAGCTTTATGTTCTAATAATAAATATTTTTTTGGTGGTTCCATTCTATGAACTTTTTTATTATTACAATAATATTCTAAATTTTCAGTTAAATAAATTCTTATTCTATGTAATGCAACTTTACCCCATAATGGTACAAATCTGAAAGCTAAAGGTAAATAAGAATCTAATACAACTGATTTTGCTCCAATAACAATATCATATCTAATTTGATCTTCCCAATCTCTTGATATTACAATTGATTCATTTTCTTCTAAATTTAATTCTGATGGTGTTCTTATAATATTTATTGGTAATTTTCCAGATAAATTTGATTTAAATGTACCAGGTCTTTGTATTAATACTTCTAAATTATAAGTAGTTGATCCAAATGTCACATTACAAGTTTCAGGAATTGATGGTGGTAAAGGATGTTCAAAATTATATAAATAATCACCTGGTGCAAAATACATATTTGAATCAGTTGTTGGGGAAACAACACTAGTTAACTCAGTCATTGCATCAACAGATCCAATTGAAGGAGATTTTGATCTTCTTATAAAACTTGGTGATAAATTTCTTGTAAAAAAATTATCTTGATTATTACTGGTGGTGGATCCATTTACACTTAGAGAATTACTTGAAACTCTTCTTGGGGGAGGTGTATTTGATCTAACAGTACTTAATTCTTCATTTCCTCCTCCAGTATGTTGTATACTACCATTTTTTTCAATATAAAAATCTGCTCCATTATTTGGTAAATTTATATTATTATTTGAACTGAAAAATGGCCAAGTATGAGTTATTATATCATTAATTTCATGATATAAATTCTTTTTTGGTGGAATACCTTCTGGCCATTCAGTTCTTTGAATACCTTTAAAAGTTAATGTAATTGATTTAATTTTACTTGGTTTTAATACTCTAATAAATAATGAACCTCTTAAAATTGTTGGAGGTCTTGAACTATATTCATGTTGATCAAATCCTTGAACAAATAAATTTTTTTCACTTGGTATTATATAAGCTTGTATTGAAGAAGTTGAAGTTGTTGGTTTATCAGGTAATGTCGGTATAAATATATTTTGATTTGAGTTATTGTTATTGTTTGTAGGTGTAGATGGTGATGAATTTGATGCTAATATTGAATTTAAATCATTGTGGTTAATTAATTGCAGAGGTGGAAATAAAGGTGAATTTGGTGGTTGAATGTTATTGGTATTTGATCCTGGCATAATTCATAAAATACTACAATTAAATGAATAAAAGTAGATTGTATATGCTTCTGATGGGATAGTATGTTGAAAAATGATAAGGATGGAGGGGGTGAATGAATATGTGAATTGTAGACAAAGATTGAATGAAAGTAATCAAATGATGAATGAAAAAAAAAAAAATGTGTTAGGAACCCAGTTGAAAATTAAAATTTGATATTATTTTGAAAGAGTTAAGTTTTAATGTAGAAAGACTTTTCCACTAAGATTCAATATGAGATCTAAAAGCTTTTCAAAAGAAATGGAACAAAATCAATATTAAGAGAAAGATTGAAGGGTTGCTTATAGTAGAATAGCCCACTAAACACTAAATTAAATCTATAAGTTTAAATAATTAACAATCTTTGCAGATTTGATAACATTATTTAATAGGATACACTTACGGATCAATTTCAATTAAATAAATAGTACTAGACCATCTCTCATCCACAATTTTTATCCTTATAATTAATAAGCAATTTTTTTATTATTTAACTCATGAATTGATATATTATAACTCTGTCTGATAAGTAAATATTATTATAACTTGAAATCTTAGACTTGAGTGGTTATCTGATAATGATAAAAACTAAGTTTGTGTAATATTATTATTGATTAATCTGATGGAAGTAAGTGAGTCAGATCTGAAATAAAAAAAGTTTAAGTTAATAAGCACTTTTAAGTGGTCTGAGGAATGAACCCTACATCCAATAATGTGCATAGTATTTGATGTATTGATCTAATGTTGGGTGCTAACTTTGGAACACACTCCTTGACAACTGATTGTTCTTAAACTTTTAGCCATAAAAGCCGACGGAATTATTTCTTTTTTTTCTTCCATTTCTTATTTTTTAACTTTGTTCTACTCTTCTTTTATTCTGTTACATTTTTAAGACCAGATTTAATTTGCTATTGATATCACATCTCTTAGCTTTAAGAAAATGATGTTAATCGCCTTAAATTTATATTACTGAGTGGTGATTGTATTGAGATTTTTAACCCCAACTAATATTTAAATTATCTTGTGCATGTTATGTATGTTTCACATATTATATAAATGTAGATCTTTAACCCTCAAATGAGAAAAAATGAACATCAACAAAAATTGAATAGGAGTGGGTGGAAATGTACTCATCAATTAACCTTGCAAGATCTCATATACTGACTTTCAATGGTGCAAATGCCACTGAATCAATTGGAAATTTATCAGTTTGACGAGATCGACCTAAAAATCTAAGCCCTACCTAATTTGAATGTCTCTTATGTAAATATTGACCCTCAAATTTTTATCAATAAAAGTTTCATTTGTCTAGAACGTCCAAAATGAGATTAGGCTATACGTCAAATTGTTGCATAAATCAATGAATTAGGCTTGAAAAAAGAGTGGTTGCTTTTTATTTACAAAAAGCTGAAATCGAAGTTCAATTTTTTTGCAACCAATTTGTAAAAGATGTTAGATTCAAATACAAAATATTCTATTATCTATCAATCTATACACAACGTCTATAAACAAACACTCAATTTAAACCTCACCTTGATTATGTAAACCATCAATACTTCTACTTAACCAAAGACCAATTCTTCTACTTATTTTCATATATTGAAATTTAAATAAATCATAAATTAAATCACCACGATATTCTATTCCAATAGCAACTTCTTCAAATTTACACAAGGCAAATTCAATTTCTTCATTAGGCTCAACTAGTTCCCAATCAATTTGTATAATTTTCCCCTTTTCTATATAAAATTTTAATTTTATACCTAATTTGTCATTTACTAAGTAATGATGAAAAGGTGGAGTATGACCAAATTTCCAATTCCATGTTTTTAATTCATTTGATGTATCTATTACTTCTTGTGGTAAATTAATGTTTGATGTTATTTCAAAAACATTGGTTGATTTAATCAGACTTGCAAAATCACTTAATCCCATAATTTCATTAAATTCTTTAGTTTCTTCATCTTGTTCTAACTCTTCTTGATCTTCTGAAGTCAATCCAAATTCTTGTTTGAACCCATTACTTACAATTTCAATAAATTTATTACTATCAATTTCTAAATTTGTTACTTTTGATTTTACAGAAGATATTGAAGATTTAGAATCTACCACCCCCAAGTCCTTTTCATCTCTATGTAAAATTCTCCTCAAGTTTTTTAAATTTGAATTTAATAACATAGTTGAATGATGATAAGATTTACCTTTTGATAATTTATAAGCAGATCCACTGATTTTTAACTCTTCATCTCCTCCATCTTTAGTAACAATATCTCCACGTTTATTTACTTCCAACTTCTTTGATGCATTTTTAGAATTATTTACTGAATCAACAACTAAATTAACAAATTTAAATCTATCAAAATTTAATTTTGAAGTCATAAATGAAAAATTAACATTACCTAAATCATGAACAACTGTTCCACCACCTGATTTTCTTCTTATTAAAGGATAATTTTTTAAATGATTTAATATAGGTAGGTTAACTTCTTTCCAAGGATTTTGATTTTTTCCAATTATTACACATGATGAATTTATATAAAATAATAATCTTTCCAGATTAAATTTCGAAGTAGTTGATGGTAATGGCATTTTATTATATATATAATCTTCAATTGCAAGGTTTAGGTAAGGATCATTTAATTTAGAAATAAAAATTGATGGTTCTTTTAAACTAGCCATTGACTCTAATGATAAAGCATTTTGTTGAGTTTGTTGAGTTTGCTGCTTTGGTTTGATTTCTGTTTTTCCATCTATACCATCATATAACTTGTTTTTTCTTTTCAATATATCTGAAGATTCTTGATAATGTTTAAAATCACCTAATCCAAAATCATCCATATCTATATCGGATAAATCATCTTGAAAAGGTACATGAATATTGGAATAGCATCGTAGTAGCTTTGAGTAGCTTTGAATTAATTTAAAAGATCTTCGTGGGTAAATACTTGTCATATCATTTGTAAAATCGATGTGATGTTAATCTATATAGAGCTGTTTGATAGTGCAAAAAAAAAAAACGATCTTAAAACTAATTTAATTTGAAACATCTTACATCTACATCATCAGCACACATAACCCTAATGACAAGCACAAACGAATTGGAGAAAAAACTACTAACGAGATGTTATGATTCAAATAATGAAATATTGCAAATATTAAATTCACGTTATTCAACAGAAGGGGAACAGAAACCAACCATTTTATTTAAACATATTGATAAATCTTCACCTAACACCAAGAAGAGAAAACTTGACGATTCCACAATTGATGATGAAAACGTAATATCTCCAGAAAGGAAACGTAATACAAGAAAAGAATTAAAAACATATATCAACGACCAATTGAACAATCAAAGAAAACTTATCAAAAAAATCAAAAGTCTACAAAGAGATAAAACAATAAAACAAATAGATATATCATCATTACTAGATAAATATAATATTTCCAAATTTGAAAAATTTATTAAAATGAATGAAATGTGGCAATCATATATCAAAGATTTATTATCAACACCTCAAGGAAAATTTCAATTGAATTCTCAATTCATATTACCAAAATTAGTAAATGCAGATTTTAATGGTTGTTTAATTACAGTTTTAAAATCAAGAAATACTAATGTTGTTGGAATTAGAGGGATTGTTGTTTGGGATAGTCAACATCTGTTTATTATATGTACACCAAGAGGTTTTCAAAGTAAAGAATGGTTACAAAAGAAAGAAAATGAGAACGACAAAGAAATTAATTCAAAAAATGAATTATCCTCTTGTTCTGCTGCTGAATTAGTTGGTGGATTTAAAATTATACCTAAAAAATATACATTATTTGGATTTGAAATTATAATACCTAAATCAAAAGAAAATAATGAAAATGCAATAAATGAAAATGCAACACATGGAACTGATGATTTAGAAAGTTTACAATTTACTATTTTAGGTTCAAGATTTGAAGTAAGAAGTATTGATCGATCTTCAAAGAAGTTTAAAAATCATTCAATTGATGATATTTTATGAATGACTAAGTAAATAATGACCATGATGAATTAATTAATGCAATGTAAATTTTGATTTTTTAATGTATTCTATTTTTAATAGTATTTAATTGTAAATTCAATACTTCATTTTCACTAGATTTCAAGATTTGATCAATCATAGATTCAGCTTTTGATTGTTCTTCAGCTGATAATTCTTTATCAGGTAATGATAAAATATAATTTAATTGATTAATTCTCTTTGTTTTATCTTCTTCTGAAATTTCATCAATTTGTTCATCATTATATACTCCAATCATACTTGAATTTGAAAAATGACGATCTTGATTTTGAACCGTATTTATTCTTTTTAAAACTTCTTTAAATCCTCCTTCTGTAAAATTTGATATTTGATTCTTGTTGAATTGTGATAAATCTTCTAATACTTCATTAATATATTTATCAGCAGAATTCAAATCATTTTCATCATTATCATGTTCCTCATATATTTTAAATCCACTTAATTTATTATTTTTTTCAATATTAGTTATTGGTAATTTTTTATTTGAATTTGTTATATCTTCTAACATATGACTTAATTTTATTAATTCATAATAATTATTATATATAATTTCTTTCTTTTTTTGACTTGATGAATCTAATTTCAGTTGAATCTTGTTTCTTAGGACTAATATCTCTTTTATTGATGAATTTTTTATAAAATTATTTACATCTTCAATTGTCTCTATTTTGGGTTCCTTTGATGGTGATGATGATTCAATCGCATCAGTTTTAGTAATTGATGCTTCGTCAGGTTCATTACGGTCGTTATTATTTATTGTTTCATTTGTAGTATTCTTTGATGCTTGTTGTGATTGTAAATGATAAAATTCTTGTAATGCTTTCCTTCTAGATGAGATTTTCCGCGTAGGTTGTTGTGATTGTGATTGTGATTGCTGTTGATTGTTGGAATTTTGAAATTGAGAATTTGATGATAAATTTGGGGAATAACTCAGTCTTGGAGTAGATGCATTAGATGATGGTGTTGATTCTTTATGAGGTTTTTTATATGATAAGATTGGAGTCAGTGACATTATGAATTGAATTTCCTTTTGAAATTTCTCTTAAGTACTTGCAATTTTATATATCTATGACTTTTGGTAATGTGTTTAGAGACGTAGACTAAATAACATTAATACAGGTATTGTTTGGTACGTCGTCTCAGCTCTCAAGAGTTAAATATTGTTTGTGTTTTTACTGATAAAAGTCAAATCGAGAATTTGGTCTACCAACACTTGATAAGAACAAATTAATTTGCTTACTATACACTTACTATAAATCAAGTAATTATGCCAAATCATTATGTTTATTTCTTTTATTCTAAATATGCCAATTTATCCCAGTCCATTGGACTTCGTTTAATCTCTCCAGTTTTATCAAGGATATTGATGAAATTAGAAAACTTAAACCAAGGCCAACAGAAATGGAAAAATTGGCGTATTTAAAATACTCAGAACCGCGAATTTGAGAAAAATAACACCAGCCTAAAGACCTGTTTTAATCGTCCAACTTTACTAATCGCTTTTGCGATGTACTAATTAATCATGAAATAATCTTCTTCCTTCAGATTATATTGGTCCGTCAAAGCATTATGCCCTGAAAGTTTATTATTAACACCCTTTTTGAACTGAGACTTTGTAATTTCAAAACATATGATTTTCTTTTTAATTCTTCATTTATCTACCTTATTATTATTATGATAAATACTCCGTATAACATTGTTTAAAATTATTCTTTTTATTCTTTATCAATCCAAAATTTGGTAGCAACTCGGATATGGGGGTTGTTATATAATCCTTATAAGTTTAGCAATTTAGTTAAAACTATCTACCTTTCATCCTTAGTCCTTCGATTACCTTTAAGTAGCATATTAAACCAATTCATATCATATACACAACCATGTCTTTACCATTGAAAGAATATTCACCAGATACTCCTCGTCAATATTTATTAGAAGAATCTGAAAAAATTATAAAATCAATACCAAATTGGGAAAAAGGTAAAAAATATTTTGAAGATACTTCTTATCCTGTTGATACTGTTCATACTACATTAAATGGTAATTATTGGGTTGCAAGAAATACTCAATTAAAAAATATAGATATTGAAAAATTTAAAAAATGTATAATTGGAACAACTGAAATTGGTTTTACTCATTCAAATCATGAATTAAATTATGTTCATCCAATAAAAGAAATGATTGTTGAAAATTTAAAAAAATATGATGATAATGGTTGGAGTTATATTATTCATGCTTTATATGAATTTGGTTTCCCATTAACTAAAAGATTTTTTAATCAATTGGTTGAAATATATATTGCTAATGATAGAGCTTTAATTGTTAGTGTTCCAATAAAAGGTAAAGAAGATGGAGTTTTAGGAACTTATGTATCAATTGAAGAAATTAAATGGACTTCTAATTCTGTTGATTGGTTAGTTGCTACAACTTCAAGTGCTGGTGGTTTAGTTCCTGATTTTTTGACTAAATTGAGATTAGCTGATGAATTAGTAAAAGATGTTCCTGAAGTTTTAGCTTATATTAATAGTAAACATTTTTTGGTTCAAGTTAGTTAAATAGATCTATGTTGTGGCTACAGATTTCTGTTTTTTTAATTTTATAATAGGTAGATAGATTAATTGAATGAACTTATTTTTGAATTATAATTGATAAATCGATTGATCAATTCTAAAATTTGTCGTGAGATAGCCTTTGCTATGACCTAGTTATTTCATCCTTTAGTCTATTTCGTTATCTTTTAAAATATTGTTGCAAAGCCAGATCTTTCATCGAGATAGGAAAAAAAAATTTCGTATAATTTTGAGTCAGAGAGTAGTCAGGTTGAAATAAATCTAACAAACACCACTTCTATAAAAATTGTATGATAAGTAGAATATTCAAGAGAAATATGTCTACATCTTCACTCAATAACTTATCAACTAGTCAAAATTGGCCTGCTTCAAAAGTAAGAACTACTTTTTTAAATTATTTCAAAGATCAAAAACAACATACTTATGTTCCATCATCATCTGTAGTACCTCATAATGATCCTACATTATTATTTGCAAATGCTGGTATGAATCAATATAAACCAATATTTTTAGGAACTGTTGATCCTTCAAGTGATTTCGCAAATTTAAAAAGAGCTGCAAATTCTCAAAAATGTATAAGAGCAGGAGGAAAACATAATGATTTAGAAGATGTTGGTAGAGATTCTTATCATCATACATTTTTTGAAATGTTGGGAAATTGGTCATTTGGAGATTATTTTAAAAAGGAAGCAATTAAATATTCATGGGAATTATTATTAGATGTTTATGGATTACAAAAAGATAGATTATATGTTACATATTTTGAAGGAGATTCAAAACAAGGGTTAGAACCAGATTTAGAAGCTAAACAATTTTGGTTAGATGTTGGAGTTGAAGAAGATCATATTTTACCAGGAGATGCAAAAGATAATTTTTGGGAAATGGGAGATCAAGGTCCTTGTGGTCCATGTTCTGAAGTTCATTATGATAGAATTGGAGGTAGAAATGCTGCTTCATTAGTTAATATGGATGATCCAAATGTTTTAGAAATTTGGAATATAGTTTTCATTCAATATAATAGAGAAGCTGATGGTTCATTAAAACCTTTACCAAATAAACATATTGATACAGGTATGGGATTTGAAAGATTAGTTTCAATTTTACAAAATAAATCTTCAAATTATGATACTGATGTATTTACACCAATTTTTGAAAAAATAAGAGAAATTACAGGAGTAAGACCTTATACTGGTCATTTTGGTAGTGATGATAAAGATGGTATTGATACTGCTTATAGAGTAATTGCTGATCATGTAAGAACTTTAACATTTGCTATATGTGATGGAGGTGTACCGAATAATGAAGGAAGAGGTTATGTTTTAAGAAGAATATTGAGGAGAGGATCACGATATGTTCGTAAATATATGAATTACCCAATTGGTACTTTTTTTCAACAATTAGTTGATGTTGTTATTGAACAAAATAAAGAAATTTTTCCAGAAATTGAATCTGGATCTCAAGATTTAAAAGAGATTTTAAATGAAGAAGAATTATCATTTGCTAAAACTTTAGATCGTGGTGAAAAATTATTTGAACAATATGCTATAATTGCTTCTAAAACACCAGAACAAACATTATCAGGTAAAGATGTATGGAGATTATATGATACTTATGGTTTTCCAGTTGATTTAACTAGATTAATGGCTGAAGAAGCTGGATTAAAAATCGATGAAGAAGGATTTGAAGTTGCTAAAGAAGAATCAAGAGAAGCTTCAAAAGGAAATGGTTCAAAAAATGCATCAAATTTAGTTAAATTAGATGTTCATGCATTATCTGAATTAGATGGTAAAAAAATACCAAAAACTAATGATGAAGCAAAATATGGACTTGATAATATTAAAGCTCAAATATTAGCCATTTATGATGGAAATGAATTTCTTGAATCAATTGAATTTAATAATAATGAATCAAAACAATATGGTATATTATTAGATAAAACTCCCTTTTATGCTGAACAAGGTGGTCAAGAATATGATACAGGTAAATTAGTAATAGATGGTAAATCTGAATTTAATGTTGAAAATGTTCAAGTTTATGCTGGTTATGTTTTACATACTGGTTATTTAACAGAAGGAAAAATTTCAGTTGGTGATGAAATAATTGCAGCATATGATGAATTAAGAAGATGGCCAATAAGGAATAATCATACTGGTACTCATGTTTTAAATTATGCATTAAGAACAGTATTAGGTGAAGGAGTTGATCAAAAAGGTTCACTAGTTGCAAGTGAAAAATTAAGATTTGATTTTAGTCATAAACAAGCTTTAACATTAAAAGAATTAGAAGAAGTTGAAAAAATTTCAACTCAATATATTAAAGATAATAAACAAGTTTATTATAAAGATGTTTCATTAAATGACGCAAAGGAAATTAATGGATTAAGAGCTGTATTTGGAGAAACTTATCCAGATCCAGTAAGAGTTGTATCTATTGGTATACCAGTAGAAGAATTATTAAAAGATCCTAAAAATGAAGAATGGAGATCATTATCAATTGAATTTTGTGGTGGTACTCATGTTCAAAAAACAAATGATATTAAAGATTTAGTTATAACTGAAGAATCAGGTATTGCAAAGGGTATAAGAAGAATAGTTGCAGTAACAGGTCATGATGCTCATCAAGTGCAACAATTAGCCAATGAATTTGAAACAAAATTAAATGAAGTCGATTCATTACCAAATGGTTCTGAAAAGGAAAATAAAGTTAAAGAACTTGGTGTTGCATTAAAAAAATTATCAATTTCAGTAATTGATAAACAAAAATTAACTGAAAAATTTAATAAAATAGATAAATCAATAAAAGATAATTTAAAACAAATTCAAAAAGAAGAAAATAAAAAGACATTAGATATAGTCAAAAATTGGCTTAATGATGAAAACAACAATAATTCAAATTATTTAGTATCTCATATTCCAATAAATGCAAACGCAAAAGCAATAACAGAATCATTTAATTTAATTAAAAAACAAGATAAATCAAAATCAATATATTTATTAACTGGTGGTTTAAATAATGGTGATAAAATTGCTCATGGTTGTTATATTAGTGATGAAGCTATAAATAAAGGAATAAATGCAAATGAATTATCTAAATTAGTAAGTCAAGAAATTGGTGGTAAAGCTGGTGGTAAGGGAAATATTGTTCAAGGTATGGGAGATAATTCAAAGGGGATTGAAAAAGCTATTGAATTAGTTGAGAAAGAATTTAAGGAAAAATTATAAATTAAAGATATGTTATATAGTATAGTAATTTTACAGCATTAGACATTAAGTTATTTAGATATTAAAGTGTAATCTAAATGTAAATTCCATTTATTTATTTATATGTACAATTTTCATACGAAATCTCTATTTACATTTCTTCCTCAAGCAATAACAGATCCATCATCATCATTTTGTTGTTGTTGTTGATTATTATTAAACTGTTCTGATTTATTTAATTGTCTTTGTCTTTGTTTTTCTCATTGTTCTAAAATTTGTCTTTCTTCATCTTTTAATTTTTTTATAATATTTAATCTTTTATTTAAACCAGATTCACCAGCTTTTGACATTATTCCTAACATAAGATTAACTGAACGAATATTTTCATCATTACATGGTATTGGATAAGTTAATAATCTTGGATTCATATTTGAATCACATAATCCTATAGTTGGAATATTTGATGAAATACATTCATTTATACAATTATTATTCTCTGTAGGGTTTAATATAACAACTAAATCTGGTTTTATAATTGAATTATTTTGTTGTTGATTTATATGAATTTGATTATCATTCATATCTATTGTTTGTTTCATTAATGGATCTTTAATTTGTTTTGAAACTTCTAAATAATTTGTTATTGTTCCTGGAATCCATCTCTTGGAAACATAATAACTTTTAGATCTTTCAGCTGCTTTAACTAATGATTCTTGAATTGACCAATTTTTATGAGTTCCTACATATAATACAATTCCACCTTTTTCAATTATACCTTCAATTATTTTACATGCTAATTTTAATTGATTAAAAGTTTGATTTAAATCAATTAAATGAATTCCATTATATGTACCATATAAAAAAGGTTGAAATTTAGGATTGAAAGAAGAAGTAGAATGACCTAAATGACATCCTGCTGCCATTAAATTTTTAATTGTAGTTTCTGAAATTTTTGGAGGTCTATGAGTATCATTTTGTGGTTTATATATATTTTCTAATTTTGATCCTAAATTCCCAGAACTTCTTAAATAATTTAATTGTCTTAAATATAATTCTTGTGGTGAATAATCTTTATAATCAGGTGTTGGTTTTAGATTTGGATATTGTGATGTAAATTGATTTGATGAAGATGATGTTGATGTACGTTGTTTTGAATCTTGAATTTGTTTTTGTTGATTTGTTTGTTGTTTCAACCATGGTCTATTTGCTAGTATATCATTTGTTAATTTCATATTATTTGTCATATAATCTCGTAATTCTTCATCTAATTGTTTTACTTTATTTTGAGAAATTTTTGATAAATCTTGATTTAATTTAGATATACGTTCTTTCATTAAAGTTGTTGGGGTTTTGTTTAAAGTTGTAATGAGTTCTTTTGTTTCTTCAGTCAATTCCCTTATTCTTTTGGATTTCTCAATTGCTTCTTCTTCTCTAGCTAATGCTTCAGCTATAGCTTGTTCTCTTAATTCTTTATGTGATAATTTGTGTTCATATACTGTTTTTGAAGTGGGAGTGGTTTCAGATTGTAAATAAAAAGATGAGTTTGATACACATCTTATCAGTAAAGAAGACCTCTGAAGAGGCTTAAAAGAACTCTTCAACATGTAGTAGGTTTTTGATCTGATCTACTTCCTATGTTGTAAAATTATAAAATCAAATTTTTTTTCAAGTCTGAAAATTTGTTTCAAGATTTTCCACACGACTTTAAATTATTATACCACTCAATCTATAGAGTAGAATGAATGTTGAGGTATTTAGATGAAGAATTACAATATGAAGAATTTATACATTTAATATTAGATAAAGATTATAGCAATACCTATATACTAATATCTGATTTAAATTTATATGAAACAAAATTAACAAATTTTAAATTAACTCCAAAACAAATTATAACAATTTCAAATTTTAAAGTTATATTAATTGAATCATGGAATGAATTATATGACTTTATAAATCAATTTAAAATTAATAATGAAAATTTAAAAAAAAATGGTAATTGTTTAATTGCAATTTATGGAATTTTAAGAAATTTTTTAGAAATTGGTATTGATGAAGTATCAAATTTATTTTTAAATCAATCACAATTTAGTGGATTTGAATTGAACAGGTTGATTCATAAATTTTATGTATTACAACAATTTAGTCAGGATAAATTAAATATAATACTCAATGATGGATTTGAGAAAAATGAAACATCAGTATCAGAGCCTTTAACTGATCCAATTGGAAGAAATGATACACTAGTCCCTTTGTTTTATTCCATTGAGGTACCTAATATACGTAAGATAAATAACAAAATCAACAAAAGAATTTTAATTAAAGATAATGATAATCAAGAGGATTGTGAAATGATTGACATAGGTACCATTTTAAATAAATGGTTCGAAGTTTTAAATTTAGACGAATTCATGGATAAATATTAATGATAAATCTGATGCTCTTTTATCAAATACATATATACAACAATATTAACTATCCTTTTTTAACCTGATGAAGAACTTGTATTTAGCAAACGTCCAAAATTAAAGGTCTTTCTTATATTTATTTAGTCTCTTGAGTTTCTGGAACAGTAATTTCTTCTACTTTTTGTTCACCTTCACCTTCGCCTTCACCATCACCTTCCCCGTCTTCACCTTCTTCTCCAACATCACCAGCTCCTCCTAATCCACCTAATGAGCTAAAATCAAGACCACCTGGTCCACCTGCACCACCAGCAGCTCCTAATTGACTAGCCAAAGCACTTAAATCTGGTTGACCACCTGGACCACCAGCTCCACCACCCATTTGACTTAATAATTGTGAAAAATCCATTCCTCCTGGTCCACCAGCTCCTCCCATTCCTGGCATTCCTGGCATTCCTGGCATTCCACCTGCTCCTCCTCCCAAACCTTGCATTCCAGCCATCATATCATCTTGATCATCATTAACTTCATTTTGTTCATCTTCATCTACCCATTTATCAAAATCAGTTTTTATAAAATGATATTTAATTTTATCTTTTGTTAATCTTGGCCAATATTCTTCTTCTAATTCCTTTTTTTGTAAAATTATAAATATTTTTTGACCATTTTCTGTATTAATTTTTGAATCTTCAACATTTATTTCTTTATAAAATTCTAAATTTAAATCATAATGAATTTTATTATCTGAAGAATCTGCTGTTACTTTTAATGTAGTTGGTTTTAAATCTATGTTTAAATCTTTTGGATCTGATATTTCAATTGTTAAATATATTACATTTTTTGAAGCTTCTGTTTTACTTGAACGTTGAGCCCATAATATAGTTGGAGGTTGAGTTTTAACTGACATTTTTCAAATTTTGTTGCTTTTTTTTTACTCTAACTCAATTGATATAATTTTACAAATTGACTCTATAGGATATTGTCAATTAATATGAAATTAGTGGTTATTGATGCTGTTTAAACTGAAGAAATGAAGTGCAAAAAATGTGCTCTCCATTAAAATAAATTATCAAAACTGTTGAAAAGATGTTTAGAATTCTCGAATCTTCTATATACAGGAATTATGACAACATACTCTTACAACTTACATCAAAAACTTTTCATATTAATCTATAACATCTAGGTAAATATTCAAACAGAGTCTTCTGTAGCAGTGAATCGAATAGCACCTTAGCTGAAGAAGGAAACTTTCCAATTTTTTAAACTTGAGCTAAACCTAAAACGTGGTGTAAAATGAATCAGCAAACATCTTATTCAATCATAAACTCAAACTACTCAAATAAAAGGATCATAAGCCCATTGTAAAAGAGCTTGACGTTGTTTTGGTCTACAACTTAAATCACCTTTTTTACAATGTTTTTTAACTTGACCATGATGTCTTTTAAAAGCTCTCCATCTTTTTTTTTGAAATTTATCAACTTCTTCATTTCTTCTACCTAACCAATATCTACAATACCATTGAAACCAACCTCTTGGATCATGCCCCATTATCCATTCATTTTCTCTCCATATAACAAGACTTTGTCTACTTTTAATTTTAAATCTATTTAATTCAATATCTGGATCTTTACCAACTCCGACTCTTTTTTCTTTGCTTTCTTCATACCATTCTTTTGGTAATTCTTCTTCACAATCATTTAAGTATTTACCTTCAAATACTCCTTCTTTTAAAACTTCTGCTGGAGTTAAGTGTGGATTAAAACCATCATCATTAAAATCTGAAGCTTCTGCTCCTAAACCATCTGCTTCTATTTCATATTCATAATCTTTTTGCATTCTATCATTTACTTTTATTTTAGCTCCTTTTTTAAAATCTTTTAAACTTTTCATTTTGGATTGTTGAAAATATAAAGTTTTAGTCTGTACAAAATAACGTAATGGATTTGTGAAAGGTTTAGTTAGTGATACGGAAGATCCTCTACTCAATGGATTGAACAACCTGAATTTCAAAAACAATGTGAAATGAAATTGAAAATTAATCTATGTGAAATGCACGTCTATAATGATACAAATTCTCGAGAATTTTATGATATTTCACTTTTAATCACATTTTAAAACCATTCCAAATTATTATATACTCTGCAAATTTAAAGCGCAATGGTTATTTATAGCAATGATAACTTGTTTTAGTTTTTAAAACTGGTCTAACAGACTGCAAATTTTACATGCAGTACTTACAGTTACGTCAGACTTTAAACCAATGCATGTTTCATGTTTTTTTGACCCGTGCTCTCTTGTAGCTCTCAAACGAGTAATTTGTTCATGATTCTTTGAATCCTTCACATATAGTACGTCGATGTGAGAGATAATTGAAGAATTAAGTTTTGGTTCTGAATGATAAAATGTGTACCAGTAAACACTAGAGTTTTGATACAAATTTTGCAGCCAAAAAAACTATACTACGTATTTCAAATTTTTACAAGTTGCCATCATTCACATGGTAGAATTCGGATATGCAAAGTCAATTTTATTTCTCAATTAAAAAGGCCGATAGATATCATTATGAACAGATACTCAAACAATAACATTTCTGAAGCTATACTAATGTTTATTTTAGATATTATAAAAAAAAAATGAAACAGAGGAGTTAAACCTATTGAAAGGGAATTTGTTGTAACACCTTAGCATTGAAAGTTTCAATTAAAATACCTGATAGAAAAAGACATGACTTATATTGTAATATAAAGTGAGCAATTCCATTAAAATATAATGTTGAGTATCCGTTCTGAGCAAACTTTTCAATTCAACCTTATGAATTAAAGTAGTTCAACAAACCTGCAGCAAGGCAGTGAATTCTATTGTTTGCTGCTCCTAGTCGGTCAAATAAATCAACTTGTACCGTGATTAAGAAAAATATTGAATGGTCAAAGCTATTAAACAGTGGAAGTTTGAAAAAATTTTTCGTATTTTCATTATAATAACTTTAATAATTCTGTGAAAGTTTGCCCTGATACTCTGGTACCATCTTGGTTTTGAAATTGATGTTTAGCGCCAATATTAGAATGTATTCACTGCTTTGCTGCAAGTTTGTTGAATTACTTTCAATGGTTGAATCAAATAGTTAGCCCGATATCTAATTTTTTCTAATCAGCTAAAAACAAAACACCAGACCCCACAGAAGCCGGAATCATCAGAAGTTTACGTGGTCTTAAACCTCGAGCAGACGGGATATGAATCTCCATGTTAGGATGCAATAGTGTAGTCTCTTGGTTGTGTAGACTATTCATAAAACATTAAACACGGAAGGTTTACAAACTAAAAATAATGTAGATAAGTTTTAGCCCCTTGAACATATCAGTAAGTGGTAGCAACAATAACCTAAAACTATTTATGCACTATCTGCTTCTAACCATCAAATCATAATTAAAGGTAAATTTTCAACTAATATGTAAAATTCTAATTCGCATGAAAATGGATAAGGTGATGTAACTAAGGCTTTCCCTAAAATTTTAACCCCTGATGGTTAGAAGCAGATAGTGCATAATTGTTTATGTTGTTCTTTATGATTGTATTATTAAATTTTCAAAGTGATAGTTGGTCCATGTAATTTGCACTGGCTCTCTGGTCCAACAATACCTGTTGAGATGCCAGCTGAGCTTCAGATTTAATATGAAAACAAGCTAGGCCTCGCTTCATTGTCATCATCTGAACCTAAAACTTCTGCAGCTAAATTGATATCTTCGTTTTCACCTTCCTTTTCCTCATGTTCTGTGTTATTTTCAGCAGGTTCACGAAAGGTAAGCTCTCCTCCATTTTGCCAAGCTAAAAGATTGACTGATTCCATTTTTCCATTCCTTTTGAAGGATTTTCTAACTGTTGTAGGTTTCCAACGATTATTCTTTTCCTTGAAATTATCATATTTATTAAAATTATTAATTTTGTTGGACTTATTGAAATTTTTGTTGTTGTAATTGTTTCTGTTATTCTCATTAAAATAAGCAGTAAATGAACCATTAACCTTTTCTCCTTGAAAGTTATTCATTTGCATTGCATTGATAACAGCTGCATCTAATCCAAGTGCCACAGCAGATGTCACAACCCTTTCCTTATTGGAAACATCTTGAAAGTAAAATTTCAGCAAAATATGGTTTTAATTTTCCCAATAAAAAATCCTTAGCATCTATGAGTTTATTGTTGAAGTCTGTGCATCTAATATACAATCTTCTATAATTTTTGACAAATGTAGGAGCATCTTGCCTTCAACTGGACGAAGGTTTAAGTAGGAACACCTAATGTCTCTATCTTCTTTGGCTAAATTTGAATTCACTGCAACCACTCTTGCAACATCATACCAACTAAAACCTACATTTGGATGGACTGGGTTCTTTTGAGCATCTTGGAAGAACTCTTTAAAGTCTCCCTTAAAATATTGAGAACAAGCTTGTGCCCAAAGCTGTTTTGGGTAATTTGAAGCTTTGAAGTGATCTGGAATTGCACCTAACTTATATAATTTTAAAGTGTCTTGTGAACCTGTGATAATTGCATCTTGCAATAATGTTGGCTGTTTGTAAGTTATAGTTTTATCAAATGTTTCAGTTGAGCCAAAATCCAAATTAGGAGGGATATTAAACGATGTGGGAAAAAGCTCAGTTTCAGATTCAATTATGGCTATGCTCAAATTCCCTAACATACCATTTAAATTAATTTATAAAATTTTCTATGAGTTGCATAATAACTAAATTGTATCTAAAGCAAATCAACATATTCAACAAATGATATAAATAAATCAAATGCTTCTAACAGCAGGTTAGTTAAAAGATCACCTAGTCCTTTTATATTTTCATTACACTTTGTGATCTTCCAATGACCATGCTGGAAACACACGATTTATTTAGGTCTTATACTTATTGAAGACTTAGTTAAAGACACATTATTTATTTTAGATCAATACCTTGCAAGTATTCCGCAACGAGTTTTGTTGCTAGCTTCATAGTCTATGAAGGCCATATCTTCCGGATGACTCTCCCACTTAAGTAGATTTTAAGATCGAAGATAAAGTAAATAAAGCATGATCGAGTTTCTCCTTAAAATCGTCCATGATTGTCTTATATTTCTAACGTACCACTAGCCTTCTTGATATCTGGTTTTCACTAATATAGTCATTTCAATATCTGTAATAAAACTCCTTGTTCTTTTCTGATCGTCTCAGGCTAATCAGTTTTAGAAAATTTTGAAAATATTGTGGATCGATATAAATTTTATGATTCAGTAATTTATAGTAGTCCAATAATAATATAGCAAAATGTACAATTAAAATTTCTTCTATTACTTCCATTATTAACTCTTGAAGCAAAGTTTGGTTTAATCTCTTCAAATGAACTTTGGGTAGTAGGTTAATAATGGAAATAACAGAAGAAATTTTAAACCAGAATTTGGATGAAATATTAGGGGTACCAATCAATACAAATTATCAACAGTTTTCCATTTGAGAAGAAAATAAAATGACATAATGTACATCTAGATCTTGAATTCCAACTTGGTATCTCCAAACTTTGCTTTTATGAAATCTGAGACAACATTTATCTCAATATTATGTCTCCAAGTAAGATTGAATAAAATGTATTGAAAAAGCAAAAGAAAAAAAACACAGAAAAAGAAAAAAACCCTTAATCCCTAAAATTTAATTAATTACTCCACAAATCTTTAAGATTTAGGTTGAAATCTTAATGAAATTTTTAAGTATTCTGGTAACAATCAAAGAGATCTAATCTACTTCGAATAAGGCAGATTAGATTGATTAAATAGAGATCTAATACGGAATGTACTGATGGTTAGATTGTTTTTGATTGTTGGTAAGATACTGAAGAAAGCTGAGCTTATTTCTTTTGATAGCATTTTTAATTTGTGAATTTCAAATTTGATAAAATACGCCTTATGCTTCTTTATTAGATATAGAGAGAGGAGAAACAAATTGAAAATGGTTGAGAAGAATTAGAAGAAACATAAGGAGTGAGAGACAAAGAGGCAGACCAAAGTAAACGAGTATTTGCTTATTTTATTTATTGTATGATGAATTAGATCTTCAGCATTATAAATATACACCGTATATTAATTTAATAATGCCTTATCGAATAAAATATAAAATAAGAGTACACACACTTACATAGAAGTATATCAGATCTTTTATTCGGCAATTGATCAGATCTTCAATCGATTTAAATTCCCTTATAGATATACAAATTGGGGTATATTATACAAAAAAAGGAATTCATTAACTACAAGATCCTATATCTGATTACATTAAGTTTATTAGATCTTCAACTCCAACTCTTCAATCGATTTTTCAATTTGTTTTGACTTTAAGATTTTAATCAAGGGAAAAAACAATTGAAAAAACTTTTATTATTGAGTCAAATTACCTGATATTAACACTGTTCTGAGCTTGATGATTTTACGTTTATCTTTTATCTATATCTACCAATTCACATATATAATATCTTAATTATTATATTCCATCAAATATTATATTTGACTATCTCTATGTACTTAATATATATTTGGAGATACAAAAAATAATATTAATAAAAAATTGATAGAGAGACAGAAATTTATCATCAACTTTAAATTTCTTTATTAAAATAATTTTTTTTTTTTTTTATAACAACCACAACAACAACTTAAACCATTTAGACAAGAGAATATAGTCTTAAACCCAATAGTTGTTGAAACAATCAACCAATCAACCAACCAATCATCATTAGATAGTTAGAATATAATTTTAAGAGAAGGATTTTGAAATTTTTAGATTTTGAAAATCAGTGTATTAAATCAAATTACTTTTATTCTAGAAATTTATTATAATCAAAACTTAACATAGTATACAAAAATTTACAACCAAGTACTATACACACATACATTTATCATAGAGTAGTATATAAAGACATTGTTGTAGTTGGCAAAGAGAGAATTTAGATTGAATTTATAATTTGAAATTCATTTTATGATGAATCAGGCAAATGGGAATAATTCATCAACCATTACAACATCACTGAATAACAACAATTCAACAAATATAACCAAAAAACAAACCAACACCAGTAGTAATAACAACAGCAACAACACAAACACTAATCCAAATAATAAATCATACAATTCATCTATTAAAAATTCAAATTCACCGATACTATCATCATTATCAACTATAACTGATTCAAATGCTACAAATTCAAAACAATTATTAAATACTTATATTTATGATTTTTTAATTAAACAAAAATTACCTCAAACTGCAAAAATATTTATAAATGAAGCAGATATACCTTCAATTAAACAACAACAACAACAACAACAGAATCAACAACAGTCTATTCAATCACCAAATCAATTAAAATTTTTAAAAGATAATAATTTACCAAAAATGTCATTAGCAATGGATGCTCCACAAAGTTTTTTATTTGAATGGTGGCAAATATTTTGGGATATTTTTCAAATTAAAAATAATATTAGTGGTGGTAATATAAATCAAATTAGCAGTAAAGGTAATGATAATTCAAAACAAAATTTAGCTCAAAAATATTATCAATTACAATTATTAAAACAAAAACAACAACAACAAGAATTAGCAATGTTTATGCCTGGACCAATGAATAATCTTCAACAACAACAAACTCAAAATCAACATCAACAGCAACAACAGCATAAACAACAAAACCAACAACAACAACAGCAGCAACAACAACAGCAACAACAATTACAACAATTGAAATTTCAACAACAGCAACAACATGGTCAAGGACAGCCGCATCTTCAACCTCAAATTCAACAACAATTACCACCTCATTTACAACAACAAATCCCACAATCAATTGCTCAACAACAACAACAACCACAACAAACTGGTCAACCTGGCCAACCTCTTTTAAATCCAATTCCAACTAATGGTCAACCTTCTCAAGGACAATCGAATTTAAATTCATCACAAATACAACCATCACAAATTCAAAATCAAAATGTTTCAGCTCCAACACCACAAATGCAACATCAACAAAATCCATTATCAGCTTCTTCAGCTAATTTTCCAAATATGGTACCTCAAAATGCTCAACAACTTTTCATGATGAATCAACAATTACAACAACAACAGCAACAACATCCTCAACAACAACAACCTCACCCACAACAACATCCGCAACAAGGACAAAATGGCCAAATTGTTCCACCACCAAATCAAACAATGCAACCAGGTGCACCAATGATGAATCAGAATCAAAATCAAGCTGTTGATCAGCAAAGAATGATGATGATGATGAAACAACAAGCGGCAGCAGCAGCTCAAAAACAAATGAATCTTAATTCAACCAATGGAGGAGATCAACAAACAACACCAATGATGAATAGTGTCTCTAATAATTCAATGAATAATTTGGGAAATAATTTAACTTTACAACAACAATTATTTCTTCAACAACAATCACAATTACCACAAAATCAAGTACCTAAAAATTCTTTCCAACAACAAGCTCAGAATCAAATGAATAGTTTACGTCAACAAGCAGCAGTTGCGGCTCAACAACAACAACAACAACAGCAACAACAGCAACAGCAGCAACAATTCCAAGCAAATGATATTGGATCTAATCATAATTCTCCTGCTGCTCCTTGGTTACAACCCCATCAAACTCCTCATATGATGAATAATAGTCCAGGTCCAAATGGTTCACATCCAAATCCTCAACAAGATCAATTTTTACAACAACAAAATAATAATAATAATATTGCTCCAAATACTACTGCAAACACTCCTTTACAACCTCAAAATAATGCTCCACCAATTGTTAGGAATTCTAATTCTACATCAAATATTAAGAATAAACCTGGTGTTATAAACATTAATACTGCAGCTAATGGTAAATTATCAAAAACTAATAATCAACAACAATCATCAAGTGTCAATCCTAATATACCAAATGGTAGAAATATGAATGCATTACAAGATTATCAAAATCAATTAATGTTACTTGAAAAACAAAATAAGAAAAGATTAGAAATTGCAAGAACTACTGGTAATTCTGAACAAAATGTATTAGGAAATGAAATGTTACCACCTCAACAAAATCAAATTCAAAACCAACCACCACCACCACAACAACAACAAATGTCTCAATCTCAACATTCAACACCCGCTGTTTTTAATGCTCCACCTCCAACTCAACAAAATTTCAATGGTAATCCTCAAAAACTTTCACCTGCAACTTCCTCTAATCCATCTCCATTGACTGCGAATAAACCATCACCAGCAATGGGTAATAAAAAACCTAAAAAGGAACCAACAGGTAAAAGAAGTAGGAAACAAAGTTTTGTAGGAAATCCACAACAACAACAATCACAAAATAGTCAGAATTCTCAACAACAAGCTCATACTCCATTAACATCACAACCATCAAGTGCAGGCACTGAACAACAACATTTACCACCACATCAAAATCATCATCAACAACAACAACAACCAATAGCTCCACCATCAGGAGGACCACAACAATCACAACAACAACAACAAAGAAGAGGATCAAATACTCCAAATATTGGTAAAAAAGAATTTACTCCATTAACACCAGTAAGTGAACCAATAACAAATAATAAAAAGAAACGTAAAATGAATACAGTAAATGAATCACCAAGAAAACAATCTAAACAAATACCAACATCATCTACAGCAAATGCAACAATATCTAATGGAATTAAAAAAATTGATACCACTACCAACAATAACATAATAAAAGAAGATTCAAAAGAAAATATATTAGATTTTAAAGATAAATCAACAAATAGTGATGATGAATTTCAAAATGTTTTAATGGGTAGTAATAGTAGTAATAATGATGATTTATTTAATGTTGATTTATTATCTGATCCAACAACCACCACCAACAATCAAAATAATCAATCTCAATCAAATAATAATAATGGATTAGGACCACCGGTTAATACTGGTACAACATCATCAACAACAAATTTTGATGATATTGATTTTGATATTAATCAATTATGGGGTGATGGAAATGTTGATGTTGATTCAAATTCTTTAAATGATAGTATTGGTGGATTTAATTGGAATGTTGAAATTGAAAATGGTGATTAAAATTTATTAAGATAAGTTGAGGAAGAAAGAAAGGATAGAAAGGACATACAAACAATTAGACATTAGATTTCAAAAAATTAAATTATTAATCATCAGGACTTAAACCAAATTTGTTTTCAAGAAATACAGACTTCTGATTCGTTTTATAATATTTATTCATTGAACCTCACAGATATTTCAAAAATTTTTTTTTAATTCAGAAACGATTTATATTCATTTCAAACATTGATATGTTTAAGTTTTTTTAATTTTTTTAAACTTAAAAAAGTATTATTATTACTATTTTTTTTTTTTTCATACAATCATTCGATTCATTCATTTAATTTTCGGACTTTTGCTTTTCAATTGAGTATATATAAGTTTATACTATTGTAATTGTAAATTAGAATTAAGACATTTTTATTAGTGTTTATAAAATTTATTGTAATAATGTAGTTTGAAAATTACGCATAAATTGCGCGATGTTCAGATCTCTTTATTTTTTCAAATATCAAGTTTGAAATTGTTAATTCTGCATCATTTTTTTTTGCAACTTAACTTCTTACAACTAAGAACCTCACTATGATGCTAAATATATATAGAAATTCAAGATTTCTACCGAGATGCTGTCACACAAGTATGAACAAGCTACGAGTCATGAATCAAAACAACTTTTTATATCCTAATTTTTCAAGATCAATTACTACAACATCTTCATTTTCACCATCTGAAACTGAATTGAATTTAACAACAACACCTGAACTAGATTCCGAAGCAATTACGGAAGATTCAGAAATAATAGAAACTACGAAAGAGAAAAAAACACGTAGGAAAAGAAAATCAACACCCAAACCTCCTAAAATATTTGATCCATCAACATTTGACCCAATCAATAATCCCAATGAAGCATCTGCAATTTATACTAATTTAGGTTGGTTTTTCATCCCCAAACATTTACACTTAACAGATCAAGAACCTCGTTCTAGCATTAATCGATTTTTCAGTCTTAAAAACTTTAAAAAAAATCAAACACCTCAGAATATTATACAAGATTCAATTATAAATGAATGGTGTCCATCATATGAACCTGAAAAAATACCAATAAAATTAAAAAGAAAAGAAATTAAATCAATTGAAGAAATGAAAATTAGAAAAAATTTATTTAAAGAACAAATGTTAGAAATAAATCTTGATGAAATTAAAAAAAAATTACAATCACAACAATCACAAGCTAAAAAATCTGATGATAAAGTATCTACTATTAAATCAAAAAAACCAAGTAGAGAAGAAACAAAATTAAGATTTAAAATTGACCCTGAAACTGGAAAAGTAGAAATAAAAGGAAATTTAAATTTAAAACATATTTGGTTATATTATCAATCAAAACAATTAATAAAATTTCCAAACCTTACGAAAACAGAAATAACAAAAATGTGGAAAAAAATTTCAGATAAAGATAAATCTCGGTATTATGAAGAATACAAGAATTTATTATTACTGGGTAAAGATTATTATAATGGTAAAATTGTAACATTGGAACTGAGATTAAGTTTTCAAATTGAAAAAGATGGATTTCAAGCAAGAAAAAATAGAAATGAAATTATTTTGGAGAATAGAGCAAAACGAATGGAAAATCAAATTAAAAAATCAAAAGAATAAGGTTATGGTAAAGGAGGGAGTTGATCAATTAGGGTGGGAACAGGGACAATATTTTTTAGCATTTGGAAACTTGTATATATATTATTCTTAAAAAACTTTTTAATAAAAAGTACAGACAAAATGTCATTTTAATTGTTTGATAGTCTAATTATCATAATAAAGAGCCTTTAATTGTAGTAACGAAGAGCAAGATAGAAAACCGAGTCTAGTTTACTTTTTGTACTCACAATCTCAATATCGTAAACCTCTCGCTAGTTAGTGATTTCAAACGCAAAAAAATTCTAAGATATTGCAACCACTTGATTCTTTAAAATATATGAACCTACGACATGCCAATTGGAGATCTATTACATTCGAAGTAACTAGAACAAGGTACTATTCAACTCAAGCTAAAATTAGAAATGATAAAGCTGTTGAGATTGCGCCAATAAACCATTTAGCCTCAATTGAAGATGATCCCCAAACACCAACCATTCCAAAACAGAATTTAACCAAGGGAAAAGATAAAATATATCCACAGATCAAATTAACAAAGCAGGATGTTAAAAAATATTATACCTTACTAAAAGCATCGGAATATAGTTTATCATTACCCGAAGATTTCAAATTAAAAAAATCATTAGATTTATGGAACAGGAAAACTTCAAAACAACAAGATTTGATAAAATCAAATTTTGAAAATATTGTACATGATATTTTGGCTAAAAGCAATACATTCACTTCCCATTTTAAGGACGCAATTGCTCCGGAAGAAGGAGAAAATGCTAGAGAAAATGCTGAAACCCATGAAAAGGATGAAATAAAAAGAAACAAAGATGTTAATCAAAGTCAAGGAGTTCCTAAATTTAGATACAATTTAACATCTGGAACTTTATCATTAAAGTTTCCAATGCCTGATAGAAGAGTGAAAAATTATTTTAAATTCCTTGAACTTAAAAAACTAAGAAATGAACATAATGGTCTAACATTTATTGAATTCAATAAAGAATTAAATAAATTAGATATTAAATGGAGAAAATTGAATGGTGATATAAGAAATGAATTGAAAGAGCAATATGAAAATTTATTGTTGAAAGGGAATGATATTAATGATGATTTGACTAAAATAATACCTATTATTTCTAAACATGGTGATAAGGCCATAACTGAAATTAGTTATGAACCCGAACCTGTACTAGATCCGGGAAAGAATCATAAACGAAAAGTACCTGCTTTGAAATTTATTGTAAATGAAATGACTGGATTTACTTATGTTTTTGGATTAACTTATTTTCATGTTTGGAATTACTATTTAAGTAGGGAAATAAACAATAAAAAACAATCAGCAACCGATATAAATTTGAGTCAATTGATCAAGAAATGTAAAGCAAATTGGATTAAAATAAATAGTGAAACCAGATCTAAGATATTTGATGAATACAAACGATTGTTAGCAAGTGGAAAAGATATGCTCAATGGTGAAATTTCATCAATTGAAGCTAAAATGAAATTGATCAATAATTATAAAACTTATAGTGTGATAAAAGTCAGAGGTACTACTTATGAATATGATGAAAAATATATAGAATCACAATGGAAGGATGTACCTGAAATGACATTTTCACAACTAACAAATAAATTTTTCATTAAACAACCATCATCTTTAAGATTTTTAAAAAATCAAATGACTGGTAAAAATTTAATTATTGGAGAATTGACATTATTGCATGCTTACAATTATTTTATATTTGAAAATTTTAAAAGTTTTGTTGAAGGTGAAAACAAAGTGTCATTTCTTCATGTCATTATTGGTAAATGGAAAGCTATGAGTGATGAGGCTCGAAATGACTACAAATTAAAATACAAGCAACTACTAGAATCAGGTTATGACATATATTTAGGTGAAAATATGTCGATTGAATCAAAATCCGAAATAAATAATTTTAAAAATGTTAGTGTAGAAGTATGGGGTCAATTACCTCCAAGTTATAACTTGTCAGGTAAAAAACAAAATATCAAACCACCTTCAATTATTATTGATCATAATTCCAAAAAAGTTAAATTAGTTGAACCGCTAAATGATGTTCACATATTTAATTATTTTTTAACTCAAAATTCAACTGATCAAAACATTTCAAATTTACAAGATCAATGGCTAAAGATGTCAGATCAAGAGAAGCAAAGATTAGCAGATGAATATAAAAATCTATTAGTTAGTGGGTATGATTATTTATATGGGAAACTTATTTCAATTAATGAAGAATTACCTAAATTACAAGAATTAAAAAATCCAAATGGTAAAGGAACTAAAAGATATCAAATTTTAATGAAAGAAAAACCAATTGTTGATTCAAAAATCGAAAATGATGAAGAAATTTTCAAGTATTATCAACAATTGAGAATGGAAGAATCAAATGATAATAGTGATGAATTTTTCAAAAGGATTGAAAAAGATTGGAAGATTTTATCTGAAACTGAGAAAAATGATATCAACGTTGCTTACGAATTATATAAAAATTTTGCATTTAATAGATAATTTGAGTTTTTTCGAAGTTTCAATCGTAGATGCGAGAAACAAATTTAGAGAAGTAACTGGTCAAAGTATAAAGCAGAAACTTCCTCTACATTTAGATTAATTCTTTTTAATTTTATGATTCGTTAAATTCATTTAAGCTATAGAGAAAATAATAGAGCTATCTTACCTAAACTCATGTAGTTTGAGCTTGCTTTTGCGGAGAAGCTTGCAGAGCTGGAGGTTGATGTTGCGGTTGCTGCTGTTGGTGTTGCTGTTGTTGCTGCTGTTGTTGTTTCTGTCTCATCAACATTTGTTGTTGTTGCTGCTGAGCTTGTTGTTGAGCTTGTTGAGCTTGTTGATATTTCAAATATTGTTGTTGAAAAGCTTGTTGTTGAATATTATTATGTTGAGCAGTCATTAATATTGCTTTTGAAGGAGCTCTAACTTGATACATTTCTCCAGGAATAGCACTAAACAGTTGAGTATGAGAATCTTGTTGTTGAGATATTTGAGCATCTACATTAATTAAAGCACATCTTCCTTGTAAACCACCTATTGATCCAGAAATGGCTTGATTTGCTAAAGTTTGTTGTTCTCCACCTCCTGATTGTTGAGTTTGTTGATGTTGTTGTTGCTGTTGTTGTGAATGTTGAGCAGATATAATCAATGAATTTGCATAAAATTCCCTTGCTTGTAAGAATCGATGTCTATATCTTACGGGCATGATAATTTTACGTTCTAATGGAATTGGGTTATTTTTAGATAATCCTTCCAAGACTAAATGAGTTTCTTCATCTGGATCTAGTATCTTATTGGCATTATTTAAATTTAAATCCAATCCATCGTCATTAAATGCAGCATTTTCTCTTCTTTGTGCGGCTAATGCATTATTTTGAGCTATTTTTGCTTGGTTTCGTTTTTGATATTGTTGTAACAAGACATCATATGGAGCAGATCTCCCAGGAACAGCTCTTTTTGCACCCATCGAATGTGTTTTACAAGTAAGCGACCTTGCACATAATCCTCCTGAAGGTAAAGCTACACCACATTGTTTTTCAACATCAACTGGACCTTTTGGTTTGGTGACTGTTTTCGGCTTTTGTTGTGATTGATTTACAGGATTGGGTGCTGTTGATGGTTGATTTGATACAGAATTCTTTTTTGTTTTTTTAACTGGTTTTTCAATTGTAGTAGCAGCAGCAGCTGCTGCTGCGGCAGCATTGGCTGCTTCTTTTTCCTTTTGAGCTTGAGATTTTTTGTATTTCTTCTTGGGTTTACCTGCTGCATTATTTGATGTATTATTATTTGAATTATTTTGTGATTCATTATCTGCATCTTTTACACCATTTGGAATTGGAGTATTATTTCTTGTACTATCCACTGATGATGAAACATCAATATCTAAAACTCCAGTTTTTCTTTTCTTTTTATATGGCATAGTAGATGAATTTGATCCATTATTATTAGCTTGATTATCAGCTATTTCTTGTTGTCTTTTTTGTTTCATATCAACACACTTTGGATAATGACTATCTAAACTATTTATACCAATAGGTCTTTCACAAGATTTACAAATTTTATATTCTATTGATTGTGATAAATATGAATTATCGATATTGTTATGATTTAAAAATGAATTGGTTTTACCCTTATTATTATGAATGATATTGACTTTTTTATCGAGATAATCACCAAATTCTTTCCAAATTATAGATTTTTTGGGAAGATTTGGATCAACTATTGAGTTTATTTGTGATAATGTGATTACTTGATCTGATTTAGTTGTCATTCTTTTGTTCAAAAGTATGGATTAAATGCTTAATAATTTCAAATATCTTCCAAGTTTCTCCCAAATGTACTCGTAAAATTGCCAAAACTATCGATTAAAATTTCGATACTAACGATGCTTATCTTTAATTGGATCTGATATTTGAAATATGTTTAATCAATCTTTGATTTTAAGGTGGTTGCTTTTGATTTACGAGTTGTTTTGTGACAAGTAGTGTAAATTTGAAGAGTGTCTCAAACTCTGATAGTTGATAATCCTTATCAGATCTAAATCTTAAGTTGCAGTCACTTCCAGTTTGCTGATGATGATAAAGGATTTAGTCGAAAAGATATTTGATGGATGTTAGGATAGATAAATGAATATAAATGGTATTGTTTGTAATGTGTTTCAAAATTCAAATTTAGTAGTTCTACAACCAAATTTATTATCTTAAATTAATTGATCTACTTCATAATCGTTTCAAGCACAGTATCTTACCAAGTATCACTGAACCACATCTATCAGGTGTCATAGCATTTGAGGTATGCTTAGAAGAGATCCAACTACAATCAAATTATCACCAGAGGATGTGTTAGAATTTGATGAATTTGTAGAACATCAAAAAATATTAAAACAACAAGAAGCTCAACAAGCTCAACAGAATACTTCACAAACTCCTCAACAAACAAATCCCAATGATAGCAATTTACATCAAAATCATAATAATACTGATTTAAGTCCTTCTGATACTTTATTACAAGAACAATTAAATAACAGTGGTGATGGTTTATTAGCAAATTATAAAGAAGGTCGAAGTTTACAAGATCGTCAAAATCAATCTAAAAATGAAAGAATTGGTGTTCATAGAAATCAATAGGATAATTGAAAGATGCAAATAGGGAATTCAATGAAAAGATGAATGAAAGATACCTCATATATCTAGATCGAAATACGATCAGTTCAACCTGAATTTCATGCAGGAGCATTTAATTATTACGATAAGGAATCATTTAGCTAGACTGCTCAGCATAAGTAAAAGTGTAAATAGCTCTTATTATACATAATTTGGAGAAATACTGTGCTAGTATAATATCGATGTATAATGTATCATATTTGTATACAATTCTTCTTCACGTGACCTCTGTTTTACTATGTGTATTACATAATCAGTAAAAGAAATAAATCTATTTGCATAATCTTAATGAAAATATTTTATAAAAAGTTGCAACCATTCTAAGGGATCAGTCAGGATAATACTTTAGTTTAAACCTCATTCATATTTCATTTCACATCATGGGAGTGGGTTTACCATTATTAATACTATGCGATATTATATATTTATTTAACAAGGGGAGATTGACAATAGTGCTATCTACATTCATTTTTTATTATTTGTATAACATAGAGAAAAAGAAATCAATAATATCACCAAATACAAGCAAACCTATATCAACAACTGAGAATGATTCCACATCAAAATTAAAATTTAAAGAGTCAAAAAGTTCAAATTCTCCAATTTACGCCATAGATTTCACATCAACAACTTTCATACCATCCACAACTTCAAATATACCCAAAACTGTGTCATTACGTCTGAGAGCTAAAAGATCTCCCAAAATCATAAAAGCCAATAAACCAACCACCAGCATAAAAAGAGACAATTCTCCTGTACTAAGTCAAACACAAGTTGATTTAAAATCTTCACAAATCTACATATTTTATACAACTTTAACTGGATCATCTTTAAGAATATCTAAAAAATTAAATGAAAAATTATCATTAATGGAATTAAAATATAGTCCAAAGTTATTAAGTTTAGATGATGATGTAGATGATTTAGAAAAATATTTTTTAAAAACTCCAAAAACCAATGAACAAGGTGATGAAGTTAAAAATATATATATAATGGTATTACCATCTTATGAAACCGATTCACCAATTGATTATTTTTTGGAGCATCTTATAGATACTTATCAAGATTTTAGAGTTGATAAATATCCCTTAAGATCTTTATTAGGATTTGCAGTATTAGGATTAGGAGATTCAGAAAGTTGGTCAGGTGAAAAATTTTGTTATCAAGCAAAATTAACTGATAAATGGTTAGGAAAATTAGGTGGTAGGCGATTATTTCCCTTGGGTGAAGTTTGTATGAAATTTGAAGGTGAACCAAAAGCTCAAGAATGGATACAAAACTTTAGTGAATTATTAGTTGATGATGAACCATTTTATATTGATGAAAATGATGATGCTGAATTTGATGATAGTGATAAAGAAGATGAAGAAGCAAATAGTGATGATGCAGATACATTAGTTGATGTAGAGGATATGGGTGATATAATTAGAAAAACGGGTGGAAGATCACAACAACAACAACCTATGGAAATAAAACAAATGGTTGCAAAAGATTCACCCACTTACAAATCTTTAACAAAACAAGGTTATACTATAGTTGGATCACATTCAGGTGTCAAAATCTGTAGATGGACAAAATCAGCATTAAGAGGAAGAGGATCATGTTATAAATTTGCATTTTATGGTATCAAATCTCATTTATGTATGGAAACAACTCCTTCTTTAGCATGTTCAAATAAATGTGTATTTTGTTGGAGACATGGTACAAATCCAGTTGCAAAATCAAATTGGAGATGGGAATTAGATCCACCTGAAAAAGTTATGGAAGGTGCATTACAAGGTCATTATCAAAAAATTAAACAAATGAGAGGTGTACCTGGAATTCAAATGGATAGATTTCAAGAAGCATTTAAAGTTAAACATTGTGCATTATCTTTAGTTGGTGAACCTATTTTTTATCCTCATATTAATGAATTTGTTGATATGTTACATAAACAACATATAAGTTCATTTTTAGTATGTAATGCACAACATCCAGATAATTTAGCAAAATTATCAAAAGTTACTCAATTATATGTAAGTATTGATGCACCTACTAAAAAAGATTTAAAAAAAGTTGATAGACCATTAAATAGTGATTTTTGGGAAAGAATGATGGCATGTTTAGATATTTTAAGAACTATTCAATCACATCAACGTACAGTTTTTAGATTAACTTTAGTAAAAGGTTTTAATATGGAAGATATTGAAAGTTATGCTGATATGGTTGAAAGAGCATTACCTTCACAAATTGAAATTAAAGGAGCAACTTTTTGTGGATCTTCAAATGGTAATGGTAATCCATTAACAATGCAAAATATTCCATTTTATGAAGAATGTAAAAACTTTGTAGTAAGTTTAAATATAGAATTACAATCAAGAGGTTTAACATATGATATAGCAGCAGAACATGCTCATTCATGTTGTATATTAGTAGCAGATTTAAAATTTAAAATTAATGGAATATGGAATACTCATATTGATTATCCTAAATTTTTTGAATTATTAGAACTGGGTAATGATTTTGTTGATATAGATTATATTAAACCAACTCCTGAATGGGCAATATGGGGATCTGATGAAGCTGGGTTTAATCCTGAAGATACAAGATGGGATAGAAAAGCTGAAAAATTGAAAAATAAATTAGCAAGAGAAGAAGAAGCTAAAAGGAAAGAAAAATTGCAAAATAATGAAATTGAAATTTTATAGGGAATTATTTATTAAATAATGTGTAATTAATGTGTAATTTTTTTTTGAGTATAAACTATTGGGTCGGAGTATGAATTGTTGATACTCACATTAAATATCTCCTGGCTTTCAAATATATTTTGAGATATGGTCATGCGGCTGTGTTGAAAATTCTCATAATTTTGGTATCAATTTGTAAAGTTGTAGTTAAATTCAAAAACGTTTCAAATATTTACGCGTATAATATCAAAACCCCGAAAGATTGCAAATTTTAATATTAAATCAACCACTTCAACCAAATCTACCCATATGTCATCACAACCAGAACACAAACCAAGACGAATAGCGTTTATTCACCCAGACCTAGGTATTGGAGGGGCAGAAAGATTGGTAGTTGATGCAGCAATTGGATTACAAAATTTAGGAAATGATGTTATCATATATACTTCACATTGTGATTATACTCATTGCTTTGATGAAATAAATTCAGGTAAATTAAAAGTTGTAGTATATGGAGATTGGTTACCTACAAACATTTACAAAAGATTTCATATTTTATTTGCAATTTTAAGACAATTATGGTTGACTATTATGTTAATTATAACTGGTACAATAAATCAATTTGATTTTTTCATAGTTGATCAATTAAGTTTTTGCATTCCTTTATTGAATTTATTTAGTGAACCTAATACTAGGATCTTATTTTATTGTCATTTCCCCGATCAACTTTTAACTAAAAGATTAAGTTTGTTCAAAAAGATCTATAGAGTACCTTTTGATTTTATAGAAGAATGGACAACTGGTATAAGTGATCAAATAGTAGTCAATTCAAATTTTACAAAAAAAATATTCCACGATACTTTTAAAAACTTATCAAACGTTGAACCTGGAGTTATATATCCTTGTGTGGATACTGAATCTACTGAATCAAATCCCGAATCAAACAAAGAAGTAATTGAATTTTTCAAAAATTCAAAATATTTTTTATCAATAAATAGATTTGAAAGATCAAAAAATATAGAACTTGCAATAAAAGCATTTGCAAAACTGAAGAAAATCTTACCTGGTAAACCAAGATTAGTAATAGCAGGTGGATATGATGCAAGAGTAACTGAAAATGTGGAATATTTAAAAGAATTAACTAAAATATGTGATGATTTAAAACTTACAAATTTCACAATTAGAGGTAAACTTATAATAATGCCTCCATCAACTGATGTTTTATTTTTACCAAGTATTAAAACTTCATTAAAAAATCTGTTGTTACAAAATGCTGAATTATTATTATATACTCCAACAAGAGAACATTTTGGAATCGTACCTGTGGAAAGTATGCTTCATAAAACTCCAGTATTAGCAATTAATTTTGGTGGACCACTAGAAACTATAATAGATTTCGATGGAAATAATAGAAATGAAGCCACAGGATTCGTAGCACCAAACGATTATGAAAAATGGGCTAAAATTATGATCAAATATAATAATGAGACCAAATCTGACATTAAGCAAAAATTAGGTGAAAATGGTTATAATAGAGCTATTGAAAAATTTTCAAGAACTGAAACAAGTCATGAATTTGTCAATAATTTGGAACATGCTTTAAGACATCCAAAAAGACAATTTATACATCCAAGAGTATTTACTCTTATGCCAATTGTAATTATGACTATTTCTTACATCATTTATAGAGCATTTTTTAGTAATTTTTAATTCAGATACTTGAATTTAATTATCTATATACGGTTTTAGTATCCTTTTTAAAAATGTCTTTTATAGCTTGCCATAAATGTAATTTTGTATCAATTTCAGTATTAACATGAAGGTCAGGTGATCCTTTCAAGCTGAAATTTTGAAATACTTTACCAGCACTACTCAAATTGGTTCGATCAATAAGTTTGGAATTTTTTCTTTTCCTGTTACGATCAAACCATGCTTCTATGTGAGATGAGAAATTCTCCAATGTTCTCCAATATGAATTTTCCACTTCGATATCTTCACGTAATTTATATTTGTGACTACTTAAGCTGGGACATTGTAAATTATAATGCCTTATTTCAGAATTCAACAATTTCACTTTTGCCGTTATATAGTTCATATTTGTTTCATTTAATGAATTATCTTCCATTGTGATTTTGGAAATATTGTTTTCGTAATAATCTAGTATTTCATCAACAGAACTTGCTCGTTCAATTATATTCTGCATTATCGATTCATTAATTATCCACTTGAACCACATTTCATCTAAACTCTTTTTAAACTCGTTAATTGATTTATTCAATGTCTGTTGGTTTTCTATCCAAGGTGGTAGAATCTCTTGTTTATTCAATACTTGATTCATAAAATAGTTTGTATCAGTACAATTTTTCAAATGCTCTTTACTCAAAGGTTTTCCTCTAACATTTACCATTTCTGGAGAATCTTCAAATCTACCAGTTTGTTGATCAATCGAAGCATTAATTTTATTTCCAGCTAAAGCACCAACATAATCAATAGACGATAATGATGATTTGTTAAGAAACATAGAAGGTCCTAATAATTTCTCCTTGTACATTTCACGAAATTTCTCTTTTTCCTTATCTTCTGGTGATTTATTGATCTTATAATCCAAACTCACATCTTTAGCAATTGATAACCTTTCATTTGAAGATTTTCTTCTTTTAGTTTTAAAAGTACTCATTGGATCATTTATAGGTTTAGGAACTGAATCTATGATCATTCTCAAATTTGAATCGTATGTTGATTCTGTTCCATCCCAAGGTTTTGAGTTATATATATCTTTCGCATGCTTGTTTCGGTTTAATAAAGGTTCACTTTTAATATATGATTGAGCTTGTATATGGTCTCGATTTTCTTTCTTTCCATAATCGTGTTCAGTCAAGATACTATTAATGGATGGATCCAAATTCTTCAAGGACGAGATGTTAGACAGCAGACTAGTTATCTTCTCTTCTAGTATCTGTTTCATTTTATCTACTATAGCCGAATTTGCATCTGATGATGATGAGTTTGATAGAATTGATTCATGTGTTGTGGAGCTAGATTCTTCTGCTCTCGATTTGGATGAAACTGAGTTAAGTCTTTGAAAGGCATAACTAAGTCGTAGTATTCTAGTATTGTGATTTGTGAATGACCGAAGCATTTTTAAAAGAACTATGAAGCAAAAGCTTAAATTTAGTAAGTTTGTATGATATTACTGAAAATTATTCCGATATTACTGAAAATTATTCCGATAAGATAATAATGCGGAAAAATGTAGACAAAAAATGAATCCGACCTAATTCATTTAAGATTTAGGGAGATCACTTTGATTTGAACACACAGATTCCGATTCGCACATTTGATACCCCCATAATTTCAAGAGCCAAGTCCATTATTGAAGCAATAAATGCAGAATACATTACTATAATCTTTTAGATTCGCTCAAATCATTGAAGTTTAACTGGAAAAAGTATTTTTTGAAGGGCTGTCATTAAAAAATAGTTCAAATTGGTAGCATAAAAATTTGGTTGTTATCAACAACTTTTTTTTCACAGTTCGTATGATTTAGAAATTATCCACTTAAATTATACTGTTACAATTTCAATTTAAACAACTATCTGTAGTCATTAAATAATAAATACATTTTAAACATGTGGATTTTTGATTGGTGTATGTTGAAATCAAATGAGTCATTCATGGTTAATAAATTCAACTCCCAACAACATTGTTTTACTAACACTCCAATATAGTCCAAGATGTTTTAGCCTCATTAGGTTTATGGAATAAACATGCAAAATTATTATTTCTTGGTTTAGATAATGCAGGAAAAACCACTTTATTACATATGTTAAAAAATGATAGATTAGCCACATTACAACCAACTTTACATCCAACATCAGAAGAATTAGCTATAGGATCTGTTAGATTTACAACTTTCGATTTGGGTGGACATCAACAAGCTCGTAGATTATGGAAAGATTATTTTCCTGAAGTTAATGGAATTGTATTTTTAGTTGATGCAGCTGATCCAGAAAGATTTGCTGAATCAAAAGCTGAATTAGAATCATTATTTAAAATTGAAGAATTAAGTCAAGTTCCATTTGTCATTTTGGGTAATAAAATTGACGTTCCATCAGCTGTTGGAGAAATGGAATTGAAGAATGCTTTGGGATTATACAATACTTCAGGTAAAGATGTAAAAGTTGCCGATGGTTCAAGACCAATTGAAGTATTTATGGTTTCAGTTGTTATGAGATCAGGATATGGAGAAGCTTTTAAATGGCTTTCTCAATATATATAGATTCAATAATGTACAATAATGTTTAATTGAAGTTGAAATGTTGGTCTTGCTCTTCAAAGTATCTTAAATAATCTGGACGTGTCGCGTGACTGCTTTTTCAGTCATAAAAATAAAAATGTCATATTATTTACTATTAGATCTCTTCTCAAGCATTTATTTAAGATTGCAACTTTGATAATATTAAACCATTAATAATCATATATAATCATAATGGAGTCCTCAAACAAAGGTCAGTTACACCCTGAACAAAAAAAATGGAAAGCTCCAAAGGGTCCAAAACCCGTGCAACATAAGAATAAAAACACGATAGGTTTAGGAAGAACTATTCAAAATAAAAGACTACAAGAAAATGCAGTTCAATATTTACCAGATGGTGAAATGAGATTTACTACAGATAAAAGAGATCCAAATTGGGTTAAATTAAAATCAGTAACTCAAGAAAATGCATTAGATGAATTTTTAAATACTGCTCAATTGGCAGATACCGATTTTAGTGCTGAAAGAGGTCAACAAGTTAAAATAATAAAAGTAGGAAATACTAATATAGTAAATTCAAATGGATTATTAACTACTGATGAAATGTTAGCTATGAGACAAAAACATATGATGTTTGAAAATAAATTAACTATACCAAGAAGACCAAGATGGAATAAGAATCAAAGTAAATTAGAAATTGAAAGACAAGAAAATTTATCATTTTTAGCATGGAGAAGAGAATTAGCAAATTTAACTGAAAATAATGATTTATTATTGACACCATTTGAAAGAAACTTGGAAGTTTGGAGACAATTATGGAGAGTTGTTGAAAGATGTGATTTGGTTGTTCAAATTGTTGATGCCAGAAATCCATTATTTTTTAGATCAGTTGATTTGGAAAAATATGTAAATGGTTTTAACGAAATAAATGATTCCAATCATCAAAAGAATAATTTACTTTTAGTCAATAAAGCTGATTTACTAACGAGGGATCAAAGAATTGCATGGGCACAATATTTTAAAGATAAAAATATAAATTATGTATTCTTCTCAGCTGCAAAAGCTAATGAATTATTGGAAAAGGAAAGAGAAGAATTAGAACAAATTGAGCATCAACAAACTCAGACTGAAAATGATATAATAATGGAAGAGATAGAAGATGAATCGATAAAGATTTTAAAGATTGAGGAATTAGAACAATTATTCATGGATTCAGCTCCGAAATTTGAAGAAGATTCAGAGTTCCCTGATCGTAAGCTACAAATTGGGTTAGTAGGTTATCCAAATGTTGGTAAATCATCCACCATAAATGCATTAATTGGTTCTAAAAAGGTATCCGTTTCAGCAACACCAGGTAAAACGAAACATTTCCAAACTTTACATTTAACTCCACAAGTTCTTTTATGTGATTGTCCAGGTTTAGTATTCCCAAATTTTGCTTATACTAATGCTGAATTAGTTTGTAATGGTGTCTTACCCATTGATCAATTAAGAGAACATATCCCACCAATCGCTTTAGTTTGTCAACGTATACCGAAATTCTTCCTTGAAGCAGTTTATGGTATACATATACCGATTCAAAAAGTTGAAGACGGAGGTAACGGAGAATATCCCACAGCAAGAGAATTGTTGAATGCTTATGCCAGAGCTAGAGGTTATATGACTCAAGGTTTTGGTGCAGCAGATGAACCAAGAGCTGCAAGATATATTTTAAAAGATTACGTAAATGGAAAATTATTATATGTGAATCCACCACCTGTGAAATTGGAAAATGGAGAATGGCAATTGCAAAATTTATCAGAAAGTAGACAATTCAACAAAGATTTATATACATTACAACATTTACCAGAGTCAAGACAACACCAAATTGAACACGCAATGAAAGTCAAAGGAATACCGATAGATGAATTTAATTTGAGGGAGGATATATCAAAATTGAACTTCTCGATGCACATTGGAGGTAATAGTGGAGATACTACAGAAGGTACCAGTGTGACGTCGACTCCAAATACTTTGTTCTACGGAGGTAAACAAGCGAAATTAGAAAGTGCAGGGGATGAATTAGATGAAGAATTTTTTGCAATGAATAATATTGAAGGTAAAATCAATTCACCATTTCATAAGAAGACTATAAGTTTACCAACAAAATCTGATAAAAAACATAATAAAAAGAATAAAAAACAGGATAAAAAGTTAAGAGTAGTGGGATATTAGATTATGATAGTAGCATTTTTCTTTTAATGACAATTTAATGATTATTTTACTGAACTATTTAACAATTGTAGGGCTTCTCTAATTGACCTCTAAGAATTGATGTATTGCACATAACATCGTACGACCCAGGAACTATGCGATCTCTATTATAAAATTCCTTTCCGAACTTTGCATTTGTTAATTGCAGTAATTTGTGTGTGAATAATGCGGTTATCGATTACATTTCTATGGCATTTAAATCTTACGACGATCTTACGACGAGCATGTAACCAAACTCAAGAATTGGCATATTTAGTCAGATTAATTCAATTTCTACAATTACTTAATTGATTAGCAAATATTTCATTACTGAAAAACTATAAAGCTAACGTAGTAGAAAATAAATACTAATCATCTCTTCAACAATTTGAAACATCAAAGACATAACAAATGATGAAAAGAGTTTAATAAATTCTGAATGATGGACCCATAGTTGATTTAATGACTAATGATCCAACATTTTGCCAATTTTTCTTTAATAATGAAACTAAGAAATTAGCAGCCATCATAATTTGATTAACTAATAAATCTTCTTCCATTTCAACATTACCAACAGCAACAGCTAAACATAAAACTTTTTTCAATTGAAATTTAATAGTTGATCTAACATCAGTAACTTTTGAATATAAATCATCATTATGAGAAACTGGAGTTGGAAATTTACCAGCTTTTGATAAAGTTGGACCTAATAATCTTGGAATTTGTTTAATTAAAACTTCTGAAGCAATGAAAGCATTATATTTTTTAGCTAATTTTTTAATTAATTTTTTATTTTTATTTAATTTTTTTAAATCATCAACTGACATAGCATCAACTCCTAAAGATTTAGCTCTATCAACATCAAAAGCATCACCAAAAATACAGATGGTCATGTTTGGTCTTGGAACTTGAGGTAATTTTAAAGTACCTGAGAAACGTTTATCTCTTTGAGGATCATAATTTTTTAAACCAACTTGTAATTCAACAGTTTCTAAAAAGTTTCTCTTTTTAGTTTCATTGGAATGTTCTAATAATTTTTTGACGTTTTCACGAACGTGAGATGAAGTGATTTTAGACATTTTTGACTATATTGATATTCGTCTCCCAAAAATAAATTGGTAAATTTGATTGATTCGACGTGGATATAGAAGGAAGAAAGAGAAGAGTGAAAAATTAAAAAGTGAAAAATTTTATTTGTATGAAAATTAAAAATTCAAAGTGTAACTACCAAATGATGCTGCGTAAATGTTTCAAGAAGTGGTCACATGACTTTCAAATGACTGTTACCCGACTTAGAATTTGTGTCAAAAATATTTCACGTCACTATTCACGACGATCAGTGTTCAGCCGCACTTGTCTAAAGATTTTCCTAATTCTCGAAATTTATTTCAAACGCGTTTCGAATCATATTATGATTTTCAGTTGAAAGCTCAAATAGTGTAATGACATCCCTACTATCAAATTCTCAATTAACTTCACATATACGGCATAATAAACGACTAAACCAAAATTTGATAAAATTTCTTTCATCATCCACATCCACTAAAACCAGTGTCACACCACAATTTTCGAGTCATTATAAGAGATTCGAAAAATTCAAAAAAATAACAAGAGCAGAAGAAGCAGAATTACAAAAGATAGAAGATCAAAAAAAATTACAATTTTTAGATAATAAATATGATATAATTAACAAAGATACAAAAAAAGTTTTAGATATTGGATTTGCACCAGGAAATTGGTTAAATTATATGGTTGATAAACTAATTCAAATAAATCAAATAAAAGATAATAAATTATTTTCCAAAAAGATTCATATATTAGGAGTTGATATTTTGTTTAAAAATCCTCCATTAGGTACATCATCAATTCAAGGTAATATTTTTTCAAATTTTATTCACAAAAATATAATTCAACATTTTAAAAATATTGAAATAAATAGTTTTAAATATAATTTAATTAATGAAACTCAAGATCAATTAATTCAAAAATCTTATTTTGAACAAGAACTGGAAGAATCATCAGCATCAGATGAAGAAATGTTGAAAATTTCAAATAAACTACAAAATTTATCAATTTCGGAAAAATTTAGTGGTAATGATTGGAAAATAGATTTAGTAGTAAGTGATTTATCAAAACCTAAAAGACAACAAAGTGGATTTTATGATCATACAGAAACTCATCCATATTTAAGATATAATAATAATTCAGGTTTAAATCATTCAATAATGAATCCAGAAAAGGGGAATTTAGATTTAGCTGATGCTGCTATAATATTAATGCAAAAAATTTTAAAACCAGGAGGGAAATTTATATTAAAATTAAGTGAAATTAATAATGAAGATCCTGAAATTATGATAATGAAACAAAAATTAATGACAATGTTTAAAAATGTTCATATTACTAATTTAATGAAAGAGTGTATATTTGTATGTTTAGGTAAAAAGTAACAAAATTGAGTATTTATTATTACATTTTTAATTTGAATTTATTTTGTAATTATCTATGAATGAGAGGTTCTTATACTTTTTTAACTTCAGATTCTCCATTTGCATCATCTTGTTCCTCCGTTATTTCTTCACTTTCAATTTCTTTTGTCTCAGTTTCTTTTGCACCAATATCATCTTCTTCTTTTTCTTTTGACTCATCTTTTGATTCATCTTCTAAATTTATTAAAGGTGGAGCACCACCATTACCATTATTTCCATTTATATTCAAATTTGTAAAATCATCAATTAATCTTTCACTTATTTTTTCTTTATTCTTACTTTTCAATATTTGTTTAAAATCTTGTATATAATTTGATAATTTTTCATGATCAACTCCATAATTTGTACCAAATAATATAGCTTCAGTATATCTACCACTTTTTATTAATAAATCCAAACATTTATTTATATCTCCTACTAACCACCAAGCTTGCCATGCTATATTATATTTCCCTTTTAGTTCACATTCTTCTGCTAATTTTATTAATTGTGATTTATTATTTGATGATGATAATAATAATAATAAACTTGAATAATCCCTGGCTAACCAAAAAGATTCTTGAGCTAATTTTATATTCCATTTTTTTAATGCTAAATCTCCTAATTTTTTCCATTTTTGTATATTAATTTGTGATAAACTTGGATTTTCATTTTGTTGTGTTGATAATAATTTACAAGCTTGTTGTAAATTCCCAGTATTTAAAGATATTTGAAATTTTGAATCAAAATCTTGTGATAATGAATATGATAGTGATAAATAACCTAATTTTTCAAAAAATCTAGATAATTGATTTAATTCAGTTTTAGAATAATTAGATATAAGATTATTATATTCTTCTGATAAATTTTCCTTTGTGATTGTTGTTAAATCAGGTATTTCTTCACCTGTTTCTTCATCAATTATATTTTCCGTTGCAAATTGTTCTAAATCACCTCTCATAACTAATGTTTGAAGTTCTAATACTTCTGAATTAATATACCATGAAATAACATCAAATGATTTATCAATTAAATATAATTTACCATCTTTTGTATTATATCCTATAATATAAAATTTACGATCAAAATGTCCTAAATTTATAACTTCTCCTCCAACAAAATAATTTAGTCTATTACTGGTAGCTGTAGTGTATACAAATACATCACCAATGAATTTCCCTGATAAAATAGATTCTGAAGTTGGTAAAGTATATAATACATCAAAAGCCAGTTCTGCACCTTCTTCTGCATCTAATTCATTATTATTCAAAGCTTCTTCAAAAGCAGCTTGATTATAACTTAAGAAATAAGTTTCATCACTTTTTTTACCAATAGTACTGACACCACTAGTTTTACCTGCAGTACTAGTTGACGTTATTATAGCTAATAATTCACCATTATCTGACCAAACAACTTCAGTAATATCATCATCTATATCAACTCTTCTAACTAATTTTCCTTGTTCCCAATCATAAAATGATATACAACCTTCAGATTTTATACCTAATAATGCACCAGTAAAAATTTTATCAGCTTGATATAATAAATCTAGTTGTAAATATTCTTGAAAATTTTTAAAAATTTTAACATTTACATTTGATTCTCTAATAGCAAAAGAACAAGCAGCTGAAGAATCATGACTATTCCATACAAAATCTAATGCACTTCCATATGCCTTGGATCTCCAACCTAATGCACTATAAACAATATATTCACCATCACCACAAACTGCAGCATATCTTCCATTAGGAGAATGATTTAAAGATTGTGGGAAAATTTCAATATTACCTAATTCTCTTTGCTGTAAATTCAATGATTCACCATCTTTTAACCCTTGAGTTGAATTTGGTTTAATTATTGATTGGAAAACTTCTGAATTTTTAGCATATATTAATTTATTATTTGAATCTAATGAAAATAATGGTTCTTCGTTACCTAATTTTATTATAACAAATCCAGAATCAAATCCAGCTGCAATAACATTTGATTTTGGTAATATACCAATACACCAAACTCTTTCTAAACTATAATTTATTGATTTTTCTAATTTAAATGTATTTGAATTCCAAAATCTTATTGTACCATCTTCTGAACCTGATACAATTATAGGTAATTCTGGATGAAAAATTGCAAATGAAACATTTGATAAATGACCTTCTAAAGTAGCAACACAAGATTTTGTTTGATAATCCCATACTTTTATTGTTTTATCATCACTTGAAGTTATTAAATATGGTTTATCAGCTTGTGGATAATAATCAACATAATTTACTCCCTTGGAATCATGAGCAATTAATGTAAAATTTGGTTGTGGACTACCTAAAGACCAAATCTTAACAGTTCTATCTAAACAAGCACTTGCAAAAGTATTTGGATCCTTGGGGTTAAAATTAACACTCATAACATAATGTTGATGACCTTCAAATATTTGTTCTAATTTCCAATTATTATCCCAATTCCATAATTTTATAGTTAAATCATCACTTGAAGTTAAAATTAAAGGTCTTGTTGGATGAACAGCAATTGATCTAATATAATCTGGATGAGCTTCAAATTGAGTAATTTTTTCACCAGTATTATAATTATAAACTCTAATTTGAAAATCATCTGATCCAACAACTATCCAATTTTTTCTTGCTATAAATTTCCCAGTACGTACTGGTAATTCAGTTACTTGTATAGATTTAACTAATGCATTTGTTGCATATGACCAAATTTCTATTTTACCATTATATAAAGTTGTTAATACCCATGGTTCTGTTGGATGGAAATCAATACCTTTAACCCTATCTGAATGATGACTAAATGTTTTTGTGATATCCAACTTCATGATGAAAAGAGAAAATAAGTCAAATGATCACTCAATTGGAGTTGTTGTTGGTGGGTTAGAGATAGTATTTGATTAAACTTGTATGGTTTCGTATTGTTGATTTGAAAAATCTTTGAACACGTTAAAATATAAAGTAGCTACCAAGTTAACCACTTTTTTACACGACTACACCATATAGATACTAATTATATACCAACATTTACGAATACAATAATAGGATATTTATACATTAAAATAGTTAATAAACTCGTTCTAGTTTACCTCTTCTTTCATCTCTATATTTCTTTTCCAAAGCATCAATTTTCCTTATATACCCAATCCATTGTTTATTAAATGTATCATTTGAAAATTTATCAATTATTAAATCTTGACCTAATTTTCTCATTTTTTTCAATCTAGCATGACTTATTAATTCATGTTCCTTAACATAAATGTTAGTTAATAATTGTTCTAAAGTTGGAAATTCTAAAATTTCACCATTTATTTCAAATAATAATAATTTATCTTCATTCAGTTCTCTAGTTTGATCAGATTGATTAAAATCTGGATCAGCAAAAGATTTGAAAAAAAAACCAATTGAATTTGCCCAATCCTTTTTATGAGGTGATGATGGTTCGTCATCTTCTTCATCTGTAACTATATCTAAATAAGGTCCAGCTGATGCATGAACTATTGGAATACAACCTCTTGCTATATATTCAACTACTCCAATTCCAAAATGTTCATTCCACATTGCATTTAAACCAAATTTACAAATTGATAATAATTCAATAACTTCCGTGTATGAAATGTCAACTTTAAATTCAACAAAATTTGTTAGGTTTAAATTTTTTGTTTCATTTTTTAAAAATTCTAATGTTGCAGTATCATCATTAGTTCTACATGAACCAGCAAATATTAAAGTTGGAATATCCGAAGTTGGTTTAGTTATACCAGGATAATTATTTGATAAAAATTGTTGATATTCTTTTAAAATTAAAATATGACGTTTTTCAGGTCTGAATTGAGCTAAATATAATAATTTATTTTCTCTTTCATTTGATGGTTCTGATTCAGTTATTAAATTTTCTGTACCACATGGTGGATATAATATTTTAATTTGTTTACCTAAAGGTTTATTTAATGTCCATATTTTATTCATATGATTGAAAGTCCATGTCCCATTTGCTAAAGTTAAATCAACATATGATCCTAAATATACATAAATAAAATATAAAATTGACCAATATAGAAATTTAATATAACTTTTTAAATCTTGAAAATTTCCAATATTTGTTATATCCCCGATTTTTTTATATTTCAATTTATTAAACATATCTTCTTGTAAAACAGGGTAATGAACATAAGCAATTATAGGAATTCTTAATATAACAGAAGCAATAAAGTAACTCCCAGGTAATCCCATAGTATCTACCCAAACATCAGGAGATAATTCAAAACATACTTCTAAACTTGATAATATTTGACCAATAAATTGACCTAAAATAGTAAAATGTTTCCAATATGAACTATCAATAAATTTATTAAATTCTCTTAAATATATAAAAACAATTCTTGAATGATCTAATTCGGAAATTTGAAATTTATTTTCAACTCTTTTTAATATATAAATAGGTTCTGAATCTAAATTTGAAGTATATATTGCACATATATTTTTCAGATCTGAATCTAAAGTTGATTTAACAGCTTGCCACAACACTCTTTCTCCTCCACCTCCATTATTAGCATAAGGATGATAAAATCCATACAAGATTCTTCTTTTTGGATCATCAACATCTCTTCTTCTAGTTTCTTCAATAAATTTATCTTTATTAGTAATATCACCAGGATATATTTTTAATTTATTATTTAAATAATTTGTATAGAATGATGGATTTTCACTAGCTAATATTAATCTTCTTCTAAAACTTGATCTTTTCCATCCTATTTTTAGATATATTGGTTTATCATAATTTATTACTTTTAATATTTTGTCTCTCCATTTTTGAGACGGTACTAAGAAATAATGTGGTAATATATTATTGAAAACTTGATGAATAAAATATATAGTTATTAGTACCCCTAGTATTAACCACATTTTAATAAAGTTTATTGGATAATGTCAGTGTTGTAAGGCTTCCAATGGGTGAGAAATTTTCAATTGACTTATGGGTGATGTTCTCAACAACCTCAAATCATGGATTATACTTTTAAGATAAGATCTATTTTTCAGTTTGGCTTGTTTGAGCTTTTTGTAGCCGATAAGAATAGTCATGTGACGACTTGTATGCAGGTTCGCAATAATAGAAAATTTATTGAAAAATTTTTGATTGAAGAAACAATTTTCGACAACATTCAAAGAAGTTTATAACTTTACACGTTCAATTATTGATGAGTTTTGTTCAGTCTATTGCATGAGTTTTACTTACAAGGGTACTGTCTGATTACAATTTGCTGATTAATTTTCATTGCTAAGCCAGGTCTATGATGAATATTTGCTTTAAGTGTACCGATTATTTTGGATCAAGATCAGCATAAAGCCATCCGAATTTTAACATGGAGAATTACCTAAGAACATATGTGAAGGTCAATTGAGATTATTGAAAAATCTTGGTTTGAAGTAGTTTCCAAGAAAGTCAAAATTAATTTAGATCACATCTGTTTGGAATAGTAAATCGCACCTCAATCTTTCGATGGTAAATAAAAAAGTCAAAGACTTACAACATTTGGTGAACCTTAAAATGTTACAAGATGAATCAAGTAACTCCCATCATTAAAGCAATGCGTACGTGCCTGCAAATTATACTGACACATCTTTGAAGTACTCACAAATTATACAAAAGAAATGATTGAGACTACATGGACTTTTGCTAATAGTGAAGGGAAAGACAGCTCCAGCAGAAAAACCAAAATTGAAGAAAAAGATACCATTAGAAGAAAATTCAAATTTTTGGGTTTTGCTTTATTCGGTTTTTTGGATTTTCTATTACTTTTCTCTTTCTTCCATTTGGGTTTTTCTATTGGTAATGTCTTTGCCTTCAAATAAAGTTTATTCAATGATTCCAGAATTAAGACTTCTTTGAGATTGAAAATTAGTTAAAGGTAATGATAGAGACTTTTAATTTGATAAATACTTACTTCACCGAACAGGGTTTGAATGATATTTAAAATGTTTTTCACCCACTCATCAAGAAGAATCACATTATACTAACGAAACTTGTTACAAGGGTACTCAAATGCTGTAATTTAATCCACTAGTACTGTCACTCACAGTCATGAATGGCAATATTAGTAGGTTAAATTATAGCATTTGGGTACCTGTGTAACAAATATTAATTACTAGAATAAGTTTGAACCAATATTGATGTGTGATAATGAACAAGATTAAAAATCATTTAAATTCAGCTCAAATTCTAGTTCAATATAATATTTTTTTTGTTTATCTAAATTTACATTCATCTAGAATGAAAAGTCTAATTATTGATAGATTTTCATCTAGATTTATCTGTTAAATGATCAGATATCTTTATTTACTACAGATTATAATACTAACCCTTAAGTTCCATTATTGCGAAAAATCCCTGTTTTTCGAATTCAGTTTGTATATCATTTGATGTTAGTCTACCAAGGAAAATATTTAGAAATCGATTTCACTAAAAAGAACTTATAAAAACAGTACAAAGACGTTGAGAGTTTTATACAAAAGACCTTCAAAGCATGTATAAAGAAGAACTGTTCTTCAACTTGAATATAAAATTATAGAATGGATATTATTGAAGTTGTAAATATACAAAACCCCTTCAAAAATCAGGAATGATATATGGTAGCATCTATCTTCTGTATGTGATTAATCAATTTACTACTTTAAGCTAAATTAATTAATATTGACGTGATTGTGTCATTAATTTATCTCTAAGTACTTACTCCTTTCAATATGTAGAGATATTCTATTGCTTTTATTAATTAATAGAATTAGAATTAATAAAACCTTTAATAATTTGTTCTTCTTTAATTTCTTCCAATATCTTATTCATTTATCATTAATCACTTTTGTTATTCAGAAACTGGTAAAAGAGCTGAAAGAACACTGCAATACATTAGAATCAAGTATTTCTCATTTTATAAAGATAGAAAAAAAAAAAATTAATAAAGAGAATTTAAATCAATTAGTAACCATCACCAGCAAAAGATTATCAACTCAAATCAACTCATTCTTGACCAAAGTATATCATTAATATTATCAACTCAAACTGAATTTCAAATTGCAATTTTGATAACACAGATCAATACCTACAATTAAAGCACCAAATTCAAAGCAAATTTTTGATAGCTTCATTAAAAAAAATTCATAAAAAACAGACACGTCTTAAATACATCTATAATCAATCAATTAAAACACTTCAAAATCATTCATTCGTCAATCAAACCAACCTCCTAGACCGGTAAAACACTCAAAGTCAATTATATAACCAATTTGTTTTCATGTATTTAAATAATAATATAAATTCTACAAATACAACAACTAACTCATCTATATTATCTAATATGTCAATACAAACTACAACTACTTCAGCAACACCCACTTCAACAAATGAAAATAATACCACCATGTCTCAACAACAAATAATTAATAACATACCCCCATCTGGATCTAAAGTTAAAACACCTTTAAAAAAGGAAGAATTAGAACAAATAGCTCGTCAATTAAAGAAAAAATTATCAAAAGCTAGTATAACTGCAAAGCAACTGTTATCACCAACAAATTTAAAATCTTCAGCAATAAGTCATCATCATCATCAACAGCAACAGCAACAACAGCAACAACAACATCAACGATATAATCAAAATTCATCATCATCTTTACCAAAATCTTCACCTTTAAAAAATTATTTACAACATTCAATAAATAAATCAAATAAGAATTCACCCACAAATAATCATCATCAATATATGAATAATAGCATTGTTGATTCATCAACATTTTCGTTATCTTCATCACCAAATAATTTTTATTCTCCACAAGGTAAATCTCCAACTCATATAAGAACTCCTGCTCAACATTATCTTCTGTCTTCACCTTTAAAAAATATAGCAAATAATAATAATAACAATAATCAAGATAATAATGATTCAGATGAAAATTTAAATGATTCACCTACAAAGAGAAGGAAAACTAGTTCACCACAGAAATTAATATTAACACAAATGACCCCACCTTCATCAACTGGTGGTGGAAACCACAATAGTTATAGAAATGAAAATATTCAAACTTTGAAACCTTCATTAGAAATGACTTCAAATTCAAATAATCAATCAACAACAACACCCAAACAAAAAGAAGCAAAAGCAAAAGAAATAGAAATTGAAAGACAAATTGAATTAGATGTTGCTAAAACTCCTGCTCCAACTGATACTGAAGGTGCTGATTTATTAATATATTTAGCTACTTCTCCAAGTCCTGCAAAAGCTTATAAACCAAAAATTTCTTTCAATACAGCTCCAACACCAGCACCAGTACAACCATCATCTCATGCTCCATCATCTCAACCAAATTCACAACCACAATCGAATACAACCTCAAACGCATCATCAACAACAAATTCAACATCTTCATCATCACAATTCATAGCTCCAGTCCCACCAGTAACTCCAAAAAGAATATCAAATCAAAGAGATCACCTATCATCAACTATTACTCGAACTCCACAAAATAGATTAACTCCATTTTTCAACAATTTAAATTCAAATAATAATGGATTACCAAGTTCAGGATTAACTTTGACCCCCACGGGTTTTAATATGAATGATTATGTTAATTTTTTTACCCCATCTCCTGGAAATTTTAATTTAAATAAAGCTAATGCTGCTAATAATTTATTGAAGACTCCTGATTTTAATCATATTATGAATCAACATCATCATTTGAATCATCATGGTCATCATAATTTGAATAATAATAATAGTGGTGGTGGTAATCCTCCTGGCAAATAATAAAAATTGTTTTTCGTTTCGTTTCTGTTGGTTTTGTTTTTTTTTGCTTCTTTTTGTATTTTTCTTCTTGCATAAATATTAATTTAGTATTTGTAACTATTGAGTAGTCTTAGGGAAAAAGTAATATACGTATACACATTTTATTGAAGTACTATTGGTTTCTATTTTGATTGATTTCGGAGTTGTTCTGATTATCGTAATACCGATTTGCGAAATTTGATATTTTTTGCAACCATTATTGTCGTGCGAATTTTTTAGTACATCTATACGGAAACTCTTTTTTTTTCAATTATTATTTTCCCCCTGATGTTTCTCGCAGTGAACGCTTTCAAAGCTAGAAAGCCTGCATGTGTGAAATTGGTATATAAATTTTAAATTATTAGTTTATAGTTTATGTATAGATTTTTAATGCATGTTGAATTATGAAAAAAAAAAAAAAAATACTTTTCTACCATAATTACATTCATATATTCCTGAAGATCATACAATGAGTCCCGAACAGAGTACTGAACTTGAAGATAAGACAAAAGAACTCAATATTAATTCGAATTCAAATGGTACAAATAGTTCTACCATCAATTCCGAATCAATTAAACAAAAAACCTCAGATGACCCCCAAGATGATGAAGAAGACGATGATGAGGTAGATGATCAACAAACAACTACAACTACAGGAGATAAAAAAAAGAAAAAAAAGAAATCAAACAAGAAAAAGAAAAAACTAGTGTCCATTGACTCTTCATATCCAGATGGTATTTTCCCCGAGGGAGAATGGCAAGAATATCAATTAGATTCAACAAAACAAAGAATAACAGATGAAGAAAAAAGATACCTTGATCGTCAATTCAACAATAAATGGGAAGATTTCAGAAAAGGTGCAGAAATTCATCGTAGAGTTAGACAAAAAGCCAAATCATCAATAAAACCTGGAATGAAAATGATTGAAATTGCTGATTTAATTGAAAATTCTATTCGTACATATACAAATAATGATCATACTTTAAAACAAGGTATTGGGTTTCCTACTGGATTATCATTAAATCATGTTGCTGCTCATTATACTCCAAACACTGGTGATAAATTAATTTTACAAAAAAATGATATAATGAAAGTTGATATTGGAATTCATGTAAATGGTAGAATTTGTGATTCTGCTTTCACAATGACTTTTAATGATGATGGGAAATATGATATTATAATGGAAGCTGTTAAACAAGCAACAAATACAGGTATAAAAGAAAGTGGAATAGATGTAAGATTAAATGATATTGGTATTGCAATTCAAGAAGTTATGGAAAGTTATGAAATGGAAGAAAATGGTAAGGTATACCCAATAAAATGTATAAGAAATTTAAATGGTCATAATATTGGAGATTTCGTTATACATCTGGGAAAAACTGTTCCTATTGTTGGGAATGGAGATATGACAAAAATGGAAGAAGGTGAAACTTTTGCTATTGAAACTTTTGGATCAACAGGTAAAGGTTATGTATTACCAGAAGGGGAATGTTCTCATTATGCTTTAAATCAAAATATTGACAATATAAAATTACCATCAGAAAAAGCAAAAACCTTGTTAAGTAACATAAAATCAAATTTTGGTACATTACCTTGGTGTAAACGATATTTAGAAAGAACTGGTGAAGAAAAATATTTATTAGCTTTAAATCAATTAGTTCGTGCAGGAATTGTTGAAGATTATCCTCCTATTGTTGATACCAAGGGATCATATACTGCTCAATTTGAACATACTATATTATTACATCCTCATAAAAAAGAAGTAGTAACAAGAGGTGATGATTATTAATGAATAAGAACAATTTGAAATATTTATTATGAAATAAATACGGGGTATGCATTTTTATTCTTTTAAATATTGCCATTTTTTAGAATTTTTTAAAATCCAAGGATGTTGTAAAACTAAATCTAATTCCAATCTTTCATGAGGATTAAATTTTAATAACCTCGTTATTAAATCAATAGCATCATTATCTAATTTTGTTGTTGTTGGAAATTTTAAATCAACTTTTAAAATTCTCTTGTATGTTGCATTTTTATCATTTTCTTCAAATGGTGGTTTTCCTATTAAAAATTCATAAATTAATACACCTAATGCCCAATTATCTACTTTAAAATCATGTGGTTTTTGTTCAATCATTTCTGGTGGTAAATAATCCATTGTTCCACATATAGTATTTCTTTTATTATTATCATTCTCTTCAATTGTTTGCTGTTCAAATTTTTGTTGTTTAGATTTTGTATATACAGACCAACCAAAATCACTTAATTTAACAATATTATTCATATTTAACATTATATTTTCAGGTTTTAAATCTCTATGAATAATATGTTTATTATGTAAATATTTCAAAGCTAAAACAATTTGATAAATATAATAACTTGCTAAAACATTATTAAATTTTTTTTGAATCTTTAGGGATTGATATAATTCTCCATATATACTAAATTCTAATACTAAATAAACATTTATGGCATCATGAAACCATGTATATAAATTTGTTATATTTAAATGATATAAGCTTGATTGAATTTCAATTTCTCTTTTAAAATTTTTTTCTAATTTCATTTCTTTTAATTCTTTTTTGGACATTATTTTTAATGCTATTGGGTATCCTGTTTGTTTATGTTTTGCACAATAAACTTTTCCTAGTTTGCCTTTACCTAATATTTTACCTAATTCAAAATCTTCAAATTTTGATTCTGGGATATTGAAAAGTGGGGATGATTCTGCGGTTGTTGTTGATTGTTTGGTTTTAAATTGTGTGTGTAAATTTAATGGTTTTAGAGTCGGGGGTGGTGCTAGATTCTTCTGTAGTTGATGTTGATTATGTTGGTTGTGATGCTGATTTTGATTTTGATTTTGTAGATTTTGTTGTTGTTGAATTCTTGCTTTACTCTGAATCCTCCTATTTTGATCAGTAGGAGACTCAATAAAAGGTGATGAAGAATTATTTAGCATAATTCCATTTCTATCATTATTAATTGGTGTAATATTTGATAATTCATTATGAATACTAGTTAAATGATTTCTTAAAGGAGTAGGTGATGTCATTTCATTAATTGATCTTCTATTAATCAGGTATGGATTTGAATCTAATTTATAACTTTTCCTTTTAGCTGATGTTGTTGTATTAGGTTTTAATTTAGTTATTTTAAATGAATCAAATTGTTGATGATTGAAATGATGGTTGTAATTCGTAGTATTGTTAGATAGTTTGGACAACGGTTGCCTATCTGATTTGATATTTTCTTCATTACGCATATCATTGTTATATAACGTTTTGTTTAGTAGACTCATTCATGTGAAGTTTAGTTGACAAAGTGATATGTATTGATTCTTTCTGAGATCTATTTAAAAAATAATCGTGTTTTATGTTTGTTATTGTATTGTTAAGATTACACTACTTTTATAATTAGATACATTCATTTCGCAGCCAAATGGAAAATACTTACATTGTTCTCATATCATTGGAAGAGTATCGTTTTAAAGCTATGTTTCTACTCTTGCTGACAGTTTCTCAATCTCAACTAGCTCATGCTTACAAATGTTAGGTTTTAATGCTCAATGAGAGTTTTCGTTCTATTTGAGTAGAATTTTATACCACTGACGAAGCAACTTTCAGATGCATCAGGTCAATTGTTACAAGCTACGAAGCGTTACCTACTTTCATCACGATGTATCAGAGCTATGTTTGCTTTATTTGCAAAAATTGAAAATACTGAAACCTCAACCTCTTAATACTTCAATTTAGCATATATTCTTAAACATTCAAAAAGCTATCCAAATATACATCATCTTTAAATTCATTATCATCATTATTATCATTATTATCATCAATATCAACATTTTCAACATTTTTAAAATCAAAAATACTAAAAGTTTTATTTTTAATTAGATATTCTCTATTAGATTCTGGAATTAGATCTTTAATATCATCTATATTTTTAGTTAATCCAGCTTCATTAATACTTTGTCTTGTTGCTTTATATACACTCCTATAACCTGTTTCAACTTCTTCAATTTTATCATCAAATTTTAAAACATCACATAATGCATTTACATCTTTTAATTCTAATTCAACACTTGTTACATCACTTGTATTTATATAATTTAATATGGAATCTAAATCAACTCCAATAAAACTTGATTTAGTAAATGATGATTGTAATGGATTTAAATTTGGAAATTGTTTACTCAGTGGGAAAGTTTGTTTAACTATAAATAACCATATTACATGCAATAAAGTATTTATAAATTCAGTATCTAATTCAGAATCAGTAAACCATGGACCTCCAGTAACATCAATACTTGGTTGCAAATGATATAACATATAAATTTTTCTTGTTGGATGTTTTACTGATTTTATAGATTTTATATATCCTTGAGTTTCTAAATTTTTTAAACATTTATTAACAATATGTTGATGTAAATTAGTTTTAGCTTTTAATGTCTTTGTCCATATACCTTCTCTTGCACTTGCTTCAATATACAGATAAATCATTGCTTCATCATCATTCATATTTCTAATTTTTTCAGATTCTCCAATACTTATTGGTTGAAATCTTAAATCAGTTCCAACTTTACTTAATTTTATTAATTTTAAATTCATTAATTCTTGTAAATGTACCATTAATTCTGTTTCTTTTTCAATTTTGGACATTTTTAAAAGTTCTTCAACACTATATTGTTTCTGTGCATTTGTTTGAATCATTTTGGTATGTAGAAGCTTTGCAACTTCAGATAAATTGGTGGACATGGTGAAGTTGTAATTGTTGTGAAGGAAAAATAATAATAATGGCTATGATAATAAAAGTAGAAGTTATCGAGTTTGAAAGGTGGCTATCGATAGGTATTTTATGCTGTAGGTCAGTGGTAATGATGATGTTGATGATCTTCGTAAATTTTTTTGGTTCCAAACTTTGATTGATTTTGTGTGTTTTCTTTCCTCGAGATAACATCAACTTCAAACATCAACATTCAATTATGATATAATGAATCATGAAAATATCGACGACTCAGATGACATACAAGACACCCCAAACATATCTATACCGAAGAAGTCTAAGCTACTGTTCAAAAAATTTAAACCTGTCAAAAATGAAAGCGATACTTCAAAAACATCAAGAAGATCAAATTTGACTTTTGAACAGAATGATGAAGAGAAAGATGAAGATGATTTTGACATCAGATTGACTTCAAATAGATCCGTATTACGAGATAATACTTCAAAATCTTCAAAATTGTCATTTAAAAGCACGAGGAGGGAGAACCAACAGGAACAACCAAGACGAATACAACTTTCAAAATATAAGTCAAAACAGCCACTCACAGCATCCACAACAATAGAACCAAACCAGACTGACTATATTCCTGACAAAATTGAGTCTGATGAGGCCTTAGAAGTCTTGAGTTTCGACGAAGAAGATCCTGATAATAATCCTGTAATTGCAAATATAGATGAAATCGATGAAACTTTTAAACAAAAATATTTAAACAAGCGACCAAATTTGCCAGAAATAAAACCAGCTAAAAAATATGTACCAATAGAGACAAACAAAGAACCATCAGAAGAACCACTATCTCGAAGAAAATATCTAACTCAATTATCAAATGAATATAAAAATTTTAATTATGATGATGGTACAGGAGAATTTGAAAAGCAACAAAGACAACAAAATCAAATTGTTTCAGATATAATTGAAGAAGAACCTTTACATGATTTTGAATTAAGTGATTCTGATATGGGTACTATTAAAAAGCCAAATTTTGATTCAACAAAATATAATTTAGAAATTTCTGAATCTGAAAATGATGATGAAAATAATCAAAATTTCAAAAATATGGAAGAAATAAAGATTTTATCTTTTGAAGAACAAATTGAAAATCTTACATCTTTGATTAATGCTGCCGAAATTGAAACAAAATTGAGATCGATCAAACGAACTGAGATCTTACTGGAAATTGATAAATATGAAGATAAAAAAGAAAAGATTTTGCTTATGTTAAAGAACCTTGTATAGTTACTATAAATTATTGGCATGCAATCAGTTTGTCACTCTATTTCATCTCTAATTTGACTCAAATATCTTTAGTCATAGTTTAGCGCGGTTAAAAGAGTCATATCCTCAACGATTGCCAAATTTGGTATCTCGCTTAAATTTTTTTTTCAATTTTTTCACTTTATTAGATCAGACAATTTTTCAAGTTATAATAATTCCAATATTATATAAATCGTTCTATTCAATTTCTTTTAATCATCGGACTCAAAAACTTTCGATCCAAGATGTCAATTAGATCAATTACAATGACTACAACCAAAAGATTTTTATCAACTAAACATCAACAAAATAAGCCAAAACACTTGGTAAATATTTCACAATTTACAAATGAAGAATTTTCAAATTTAATTAATAAAGCATCAAATTTAAAACAAATATATAAATCAAATGATTCAAGACTTACTATAGAAAATCATCAAAAATTATTAGGTAAATTAGTTGCATTATTATTTTCAAAAAGATCAACAAGAACAAGAATTAGTACAGAAGGTGCTGCATCATTTTTTGGAGCTCAACCTATGTTTTTAGGTAAAGATGATATTCAATTAGGTGTTAATGAATCTATTTTAGATACAACAAAAGTTATAAGTTCAATGACTTCATGTATTTTTGCAAGAGTTAATAAAAATCAAGAAATATTAGATTTATGTAAATATTCTTCTGTACCAATTATAAATTCATTATGTGATAAATATCATCCTTTACAAGCTATTGCTGATTTATTAACTATAAAAGAAAAATTTGGAAATACAAAGGGTTTAAAATTAACATGGATTGGTGATGCAAATAATGTTATAAATGATTTAGCTATTGCAAGTTTAAAAATGGGTATAAATGTTTCAGTATGTATCCCCAAATCAATTAAATTTGATCAAGATGTTGAACAGGATGCAATAAGTATAGCAAAAGAACAAAATTTAAATTTTGAAATTTTAAATGATCCAATAAAAGCTCTTGAAAATTCAAATATAATAGTAACAGATACATGGATTTCAATGGGTGAAGAAGAACAAAGATTACAAAAATTAAAACAATTTGAAAATTTTCAAATTAATTCTTCATTAATTAATAATGCAAATATTAATTCAAATTGGATTTTTATGCATTGTTTACCAAGACATCAAGAAGAAGTAAGTGATGATATTTTTTATAGTGATAATTCTGTGGTTTTTCAAGAAGCTGAAAATAGATTATATGCTGCTATGGCGGTAATTGAAGCATTTGTTATAAATAAAGGAGATTTATTGAAATAAATCAGGAAGTAGAAAAAGTGTAAATCGAGTACATAGTCAAATTAAAGTTCAATCATCCGTGATAACTCTATAGTTGTAAACAACCCCAGACTTTGTCGATGGGAATGAATCAATTAGTATCAAAGGCCAGCTTCCGATTGAAATTCACAAGAGGTAGTAATTTCATTACCTAGATTATTGATATATATCGGCAACGATCAAACCTTTTGGTTGCCCCAAACTTTAGGTCTGAATGCTTATATGTGACTAAAAACATCGAATTTGCAAATCAATAACCATTGATTATTTGGGGGTACGGCTATATCCCAAATATCTTAAATTTAGAGTAGCACTCTAACTAAAAAGATGTTAAATTTGTAGCTTTATTTCATCTTTGTACATGTGTTTTCTAGTTCTAGCCCTAATTGATCTAGCTAGATTATTCAAAGACCCTTCAATCCTTTCAAGGGTTCTCAATTATGTTGGTTTAAATTAGTGAATCGGCTTGCCATAAGACCAAAAATTATCGTAATAATTTTTAACATTTCCGATCAAGATTCAAATGACACCACAATTTTGATCTCGGGGTTTTTTATTCAAAAAATAATTATTATTATATAAGTAGACCACACATCTTCTAAATACTTACCACAACTAATTTGACCTTCAAAAGTAATACTCAATTGTTCCAACCAAAATCACCAAAAAAATGACTAAAGTAATTGTTTCAGGAGGAACTGGTTTCATTGCTCAACATATCCTTAATCAATTAATAAAAAGTAATAACAACTACAATGTAGTTTTCACATCAAGATCAAAAGAAAAAGGAGATAAAGTAATTAATTTATTTGAAAAACCAAAAAATTTAAGTTATGAAATAGTAGAAGATGTAGCAGCACCAAGAGCTTTTGATCATGTATTACAACACCATTCTGATGCCTCGGTTTTTTTACATACCGCTTCTCCTTTCCATTTTAAAACTACTGATCCTGAAATATTAATAAAACCTGCTGTTGAAGGTACAAAAAATGTATTTTTAGCTATTGAAAAATATGGTAAAAATATTAAAAAAGTTGTAGTTACTTCAAGTTATGCATCAATTGCAAGAACAGATAAAAAACCAACAGATATTATTACAGAAAAAGATTGGAATACTCAAACTACACCAGAAGAAATTGGTAATAATCCTGTTTTTATATATAGAGCAAGCAAATCATTAGCAGAACAAGAAGCTTGGTCATTTATCAAGAATCACCAGGTAAATTTTAAATTATCTACTATAAATCCAGTATTTGTATTTGGACCTCAATTATTTGATTCAGAAGTTAAATCAGAATTAAATACATCAAGTGAAGTTATAAATAAAATTATAAATTTAAAACCAGATGATAAAATCCCACCATTTAAAGGTGGTTGGATTGATGTAAGAGATGTTGCAAAAGCTCATTTATTAGCTTTTGAAAAAAATGATGCAGAAGGTGAAAGAATTATATTATATAATGGAAATTTTACTGATCAAACTATTTTAGATTTTATTAATTCTAAATTTCCTAAATTAAATTTACCAAAGGGAGATCCAGGTAGTGATAAAAAAGCTTTAGAAAGTGTACCTAAAGTTGATGATTCTAAATCAAGAAGAATTTTAGGTTTTAAATATATTGATTTTGATACATCTATTGATGATTCAGTTAAACAAATTTTAAAAGCTAAAGGAGAGTTGTAATAAAATAAGAAGATATTTTAATTTAGTATTTACAATATAGATATGGATTTCCAAGGTTTTCTTTTTTAGATATATGAATTTGGTAAACTAGACTACAGATTAAATAAAACGATCAGTTTCCAATAGTAGAAAAAAAAATATACAGAATTTTATCCTAGGATTAAATCGTTTCAAACTCTCTTTGTGTACTCTTTCAACAAAATTTGGGTGCAAAATGATGTTTCAGAGCTAAAAACTATATATCAATTTCCATAAGAAACATGCAAAATTCCAACTTTTATTTAGTCTAAATATCCCCAATAAAAAGCAAATATGTACAAAACTAAAAAAAAAAAAAATCATTTCCCAACTAGCCTATATCAATCTATTAGCATCCGCATCCAAAACACCCCCCATTTAAAAAACTCCATATTTTTGACAAGTTTGAAAAGCCCAAGCAACAAAAGGATTCATTTTATTTTCCAAGACTTTATTTTCATCAACTTTTAAATCATATTTTAATTTTTGTTGTAATCTTATATTTTTTTGTGAACCATTTAAATAAGTAAATTGTAAATATAACCAATATAATAATTTTTGTTTAAATGTAAGTTCAATTTTAATATCTCCATCTTCATTATAATAATATTCTTTTGATGATCCAGTTTTTAATTCAGTTGTTTCTGTATCTGAAACATCTGTTTCTTCTGCTTCTTCTTCCTTTAGTTTCTGTATTAAATCAGGATAATCAGATATAATTCCATATTCAATTAATTTAGCTAATTTACCAATTTTAATTAAATATTCAAATTGAAATTTATTATTTATTGTCCATGAATAAAATTTTAAATTTTGTAATTTCAACAAGGGAATAAATTTTGTTAAAAATTCAGTTGACCAAGTTGATATATAAATTAATGAAACCCCTGTAAGTTTTATCTTGGTTCTTTCTTTTTCAACAATTTCATCTAAATAATAATTATAATTTATATAATTTATTGAATCTCTCCAATTTACACTTATATGAAAAATATCAAATTGAAAATAACCAAATTCATTAGTTATACCAAAATATGGTTGAAAAAATTCAGATTGATTTAAATATTTTAAAAAATTTAAATCCCATATACCAAATTGTAATCTATGATACCACCATTCAATATCATTATGAACTTTTAATAAATCTAAAAATAAATATTTTAAAATTTTTGTAGGATTAAATTTTTTTATATCTAATTGTAATTTATATTCATTTGAATTATCTTTATCTTTAATATAATTTTTAAACCATTTTAAAAGATCGACAAATGATAATAATGGATAATTTCCATTTTTTGTCTTTAATCCCTTTAATGTTGGATCATATGGAGTAGTAGTAATCTTATAATTAGTTTCATTACCTTCACTATCAACAAATACTCTTTTTGTATTTAAATCATGAGATATTATCACTCTATTATCACTTGATAAATATAAATCAGTTTCAATAACTTTTGCTCCAGTTTTAAAACACTTTTCAAATCCTAATAAAGTATTTTCTGGATATTTACTTTTAAATCCTCTATGACCTGTTATAACTGGTGATGATGATGTTGATGGTAAATACGTTGGTGATGATATTGAAACTGTAGATGACGTCATCAGCGGTGAAGAATTATGTATGTTGTTAGTTGTTGAAGATGACATTTTTTTCAAACTGAGAATTTGGGTATTTCTCCATGAATTATATACTCTATATATGAAAATCAGACTCAACTATATTGTGGTTGTTGGTTTCATTTAAAGTTATTGACGGATATAAGTTGTTTTTATATAATTATTAAAAATATCATAAAAAGTTTGTGGAGTTTTTATATGCACGTGCATCGTTTCTTTTTCTTTTTTTTTCGGCCGGTTATATAATAATAAACCTAGAACAAGCTAGATTGGCTCGAATCAATTGAATGAGACCTCAATCAACCTTTGCAGAGCTTTACCTTCTCAATATAGAACTATTCAGACTGTTTTGTAACCTCCCGTAACAAAAGAAACAAGTGCACAGGAGCTTCAAGAAATATAAGGATCGAATCAACTCTACAACCGGATTTATTCGTTGGCTGATATTTCCTTCTTAGTAATTCTATGCAGAAAAAGCCACTATTTGATACTCCATATTTTTGAAATGGTTGGAAAAAGTGAAATGGTCTCCGCAGTATCGACTCTAGCTCCGTTGATTAGTCATAGCTTATTCTCCTAGTTACCTGGAGACGGAGCTATTGTAAAGATATGTTTGTTCCTGTTTTACTAATGTAAAAATAAGTTCAATGAAAAAAAAAAAAAAAAAATTCAAATGGCTGCAAAATGTTGAACTTTTTTAATCAATCTTGAAAATTCAACATAAAGGAATAGCTGGCCCTAAATATGAAGCAGAAGCACCACCTACTCAACAACAATCTCATAGATTTATTACGTAACTTAATTTTTTAAGCAGTTTATTTACTCGACCAGGAATCGTGATCTTTGCCAGATCCGCTTAAGAAGTTTTGATTTTTGATAAATGGTGAGGTTATGTCTGGGTTTTTTAATTAGCTAAGATCTAGATTGTTGTACCTATTTCACGATGCATCAAAAGGATCATTGTACGTGAATCTAGGGTATATATTAATCAACAGTTCTTAGCATATACTCTCATAACTTTGTTTTTCTTGACTCATTGCTTATCTGCCTATATCTATGGTCAATCACTTCTTCGATTGTTTCAACAACTCCCCACTGAGTTCAAGTATCTAAATAGAGATTTCATCCAATTGTAGAAGCACAATGTTTTAGTTATTGAATAATTTTTGTAAATTTTGCAGACTTAATTTTTTTTTGATCGCTGGGACTCTGGGTCCAGTTGTGATCCAGTGTATGGCAAATTGTTCAAATTCATAAAAGTTTTGAGAGACTAGAACTTAGCTATGTTTCATTTGATTTTGAACAGAATTTGTATGAAACTTTAGGGCTCAATATCAACTAAACAGAGGTTTTTGTTGTTGATTTTATATTGAATGAGTTCCATGTCCATCAATTTATTTTCACAATGCGTTCCACGTCCATCAATTTTCCAAGTGGTTGCAACTTATAATTTTCAGAATTTGATCAATCAATCTGAAAAGTAGTTATTGCTACTATTTGGAATATTACAAATGTTATTAATATGGGAGAGTCATTCAGAACTTGATGTTTTAAGGAGTTATTTAGATTCATAGACGAATAAAGCTTTTTTGCAATTTCATCCAAATATTGCCATCTTCAGAAATTTTTTTAGAGTTTAGACCAACATCTTAAAATAAAGAGTTGATCGTAGGATCATGATTGAGATTTAAATGTAACCTGTCTCCTAATCAGATCTTGATACAATACTATCAGATCTTCACAGTTCTGAAACTATAATAGTGTAGAAATTTGTTACCTCCTTGCAAGCTTGAATTAATGAACAAATTTAGCAACTTAGTAATTAGTAAATTGACTTATGATGCTTGTTGGAATATCCCCAGTGTTACAATTTGTTGTTTTTTTCTCAACTTTAGAGTTTACACGGTTGCAAATAAATAAATAAATAAATAATTTCTAAAGCTAAATGTTCTAGTATCTAATCATATCTAAGTAATATTTCCACTCAATCATATGTTTGCCGATCATAAATGATGCTTATTTTTTTCTTCATCAACACATAGCTTAATTAATGAAAAAGCTATAGATTCACTCATTGGGATCATTATACCTTCAGGATTAAAGTCATCCTCATCTTCAACTTTATCTTCTGTATCACCATTTTCCATACCATCGGTATTTGTTACTCCATTAGGATAAACTAATCTTCTAACAAAATTTGTATCAAACCATCTTGCATCTAATAATTCATTATCATGATTTAAATTTATAACTTCATTAGTACCATTAAAATCAACTATTCCAATACAACCAATCATTAAATTTGATGGAAATGGCCAAGGTTGAGTCATAACTATTTGGATCTCACTACACGTAACCCCAGTTTCTTCCCAAATTTCTCTTTTAGTTGCAATTTCTACTGTTTCACTAGGTTCCATAAATCCAGCTGTACATGAATACATTTTAGAATGGACATGTCTTCTACCTAAACTTAATAGTATTTTTGATCTATCACGATTTGTAATTATTGAAATAATTGCCATATCTGTTCTTGGAAAACTAACATTTGAAACAGTAGCTGATTTTACAGGACATATTGATTTAATTATAGGATTTAATTCATCTTCATGATTTGGTAATTCAATAGTTTCTTCATTAGTACATAATAATTTCCCACCTGCATGTATAGGAATTGTTGGATGACCACAACCTGGACAAAATTTATTTGTTTTTAACCAATGGAAAAACATTGAACCTTGACTAAATAATGAAGCTTCATAATGATTGAAATTTAAAAAATGTTTTCTTGAATGAGTGAAAAAGATTCCATTTTCTTCTGGGGTATTGTCAATATTTTCAATCCTATTAACACAATCATTGACATAATGAACTAAAGTTTTACATAAATCTTTATTTCTACTTATGTCAACTGCGTAATAAGCTATTCCTTGATATCTTCCTTGATGATCAAGATATTTTTCTCCCTCACCTGGCGTTTCACAATCCGATTTTAAGGTGTTTATATCAAGACCAATCGATTCATCAAGTAAACCCAAGAATAGAAACACAGGATTTGTGTCAGCCCTTAAATTCGGTGAATAATTTTTATTATCATCATTCCATTTTTTTAAGATCGAATTCCAATTAGGTATATTGTTTAACAAACCACCATTAATAAATTGTCTATTACCTCTATACCCTAAATTCTTATCATTTTCTCTATCTAATAATTCAACATTAATTTGATTATCACCATTAGTAATCACAGTCAATTTATTTGGATAATTTTTATGAACTAATGGATTTTGTTTATTAAAAAATATAAATCTAGTCAGTGGATGAAATAAAGATTGTGATACAAATTCATTATCTTCTCTTAAAAATGATACTCTATTTAATACTTCAGTACCAAAATACATATCTTTTTGAATTTCTTTCACTGTTGAATATAATGAGTGTGACATTTTGATGATCGTTGAAAGTGGTTGGTACTTCTTGATGACTATTGATCTAGTAAGACTGCTATATACCATTCAACAATCTACTCATAAGTATTAATTTATTACTCGTGATTGTAGTTGTTGTTGATTGAATAATTTTTTGCAGTAAGATTGAACAATTTTTTTTATTCAAAAGATAAAAGAGAGATAAGAAGCAAGCGAAAATTTAAATACATTAGTAAGATATCTATTTCTCCACAAAATGTTAAAGATGTAGTTATATCGAGATTGTACGAAGATTTATATAAAAGCATATATCAAAGATATGTATAAATGTATCAAACTAAATCCAATACTCGAGTGAAGTTGTTAAATAAAGCTCCTTTCAAATATAAAGTGTTTTTGGTTGATATAGATTTCGATTTCCCTGGGGCGTATAGTCTAAATCATACCATTCTAAAATATGTTTTGGTAAGTAGATAAAGGTGTTCCCAGGGGCTCATTTCTGTTTATGATTTTGTTTACATTTTTCAGTTAAATGTCACTAATACTAATTTGAAAAGTTCAATCTTTTGAAACTTTCCAAAAAATATTAGTGATGATGAATTGAGAATAATTCGTCTTGCTTTATTGTTAGTATTTCATGAATTGAATTGTTTTAAAATGTCTAAACTATGCTTTTGTAAAATGTATGTCAGATATGAAATGTAGACTTTTCCCCAGTATAAATGTAGGATGTCAAGCGTTCATTAAATTGGTCTGTTTGGTATTTCATCATTATATAATTTGTTAAAAAAGCATGTATTTTCCAGTCTGTAATTTATATGTAACATACCATTCACTTAATATTCTGATAATTGAGCAATTTGATAAATTGTGTTTTCAAAATTCTGATGATGTAAGTTAGTAAAGCTGTCAAACTCGATTAAATCAAATATTATTGTCTCCTATAATCAGCTAAAATAGTATAATTCTCCTCAATATAGTTAGGAAGTCTAACGTCTAAATTTATACTATTTTTCATCATTATAATTAATTTTGAGATATCTCAGTTGGATATGAACATACGCTTTCTTTATTGAATCTGGATAAGCTTTGAATGAATGTTAAATTAGTTCAGTTTAAATGATCTTCAAATTGACAATTTATATAGATCATCAAACTCGAGTTATTCGTAAAAAGATGTTAATAATAGATGTTTCAAATTTTTCAAAACAAAACGATTCTATAAAAAAAAAAATGAAGATGAGACTTGAACCAAATTGTCCTGCATATAACAAAGTCATATTCAAACAGGTTTATAATTATAGATCTAAGAATCAATGTCTTGAGAGTTCGAAGAACTCCTTCTTGCATTCATGTGAGCTTGTATTGATCAGCTGAAGAAATCTTTGAAGTAGCAGTGAAAGTTTTTTTTTTTTCCAATTATACAATTAAAGCCAACGATAGGCTCACTAAGGTAAGAATTTAAATATTTACAATTTGCCTATTAAATACTACTTACAAATACAGAGTCTATCCAATTTTTAATCCTTTTATAATAGCATTACCCAAACCTTTAACCCATGATTTTTTTGATTTTTTATCAACAATAATGAATACTCTACCAGATTGATTCATCCTACCAGTTCTACCAATTCTATGAACCAAATCAATTGAATTTCTAGGTAATCCCATTAATATAATATTTTTAATACCTGAAAAATTTAAACCTCTTGATAATAAATCTGTAGTTACCAAGATATTAATTTTAGATTTATTTGAATCATTTATTGGTTGAGCAGGTTTCAAAAAAGGTGATAAAATATCTTTTCTATCTTGAACCTTTTTGGTACTTGATATTCCAAATATATCTTCTTCGTTAATGGAATATTTATCTTTTAATGTCTCAACAAGTTCATCTACTTCATCTTTAGAATTTACAAATATGATTATCCTCTTAGTTTGATCTGGTTCTGTTCCATCTTTTGATATCGCATATATGGTTTGAGCTAAACATCTGACTTTTGATCCATTATATGGTTGTAAATCTGAATCCAAAGTGAAAATTTTAATCTTTTTTGGAATTTTATGCAATCCAGGAGTTGAAATTCTTATAATTGATTTCTCCTCTGGGAATAAAATTTTTAATTGCTTTTCAAATTCTTTGGGAATTGTGGCAGAAACTAGTATCAAATCCAATAAATTAGGAAAATTCTTAACCACTGATGTAGTATCTTTGATGAAAGATGGATCAAATAAAGTGTCTGACTCATCCAATATACAGTATTTTACACTTTTGAAAATTTTGAATGGTCGATCAACTGATTCGATTTTTGATAAACTTGTAAATTTTGCAGGTGTAGTGACTAATATATCTATTTTTCCATAATTCTTTAACTGTTTGTATAAGCTGATAGAAGGATCACCTTGTGATAATTTCATTATTGAAAAACCTAATGATTCATTCTCTGGTAAATTTAAGAAATCAATATACTTTTTATTAACATTCTCATGTTCTAAACTAAATTTATTTGCTCTATGCAATGTCTCATAAATTTGATCTACCAACTCATTAGTAGGTACCATTATAATTGATCTAATTTGTTGAGATTTCTTGAAAGCTTCATACTTTTCAGGTTTAGTTTTAAACCAATTTAAATCATCTTCTTTTAATTTTGAAAGTAAAACAGATAAATAACTCCAAGTTTTACCTGATCCAGTCTCTGAAGAAATTGTAAAGACTTTTGTTTTTTTAGATTCATTCTCATTTTTCAATTCATATAAGATTCGTTCACCTTCTTCCATTTCATCTAAGTTAGGTGATGCTGGTGTAATTGATCTTGTTTGGTTTATCTTTTTAATTGCAGCTACTTGGATTGGCGTTGGCTTGATTTCTATTTGGTCTATTGATGAATATTGTGGACCTTTCAAGTTATATTGTGATTTAATCTCTTTTATCATTGCTTCTCTCACTGAAGGGAAAATCTTTAGTTGATTAAAATCATTTATTTTTGAAATTTGTAGTGAAGGATCCTGAGTATTTGTCGATTTTAATGAATTGTATAATTGTGAAAATTTTCCTGTTTCAAATATACGACTTTTATTGCTATCAGACTTGGTGGGTGGTGATGTTGGTGAGCCGTTTGAGTCTTTGTTGGACTTTGTGGTTTTTTGCAGCTTCAACCTTGAGCTTTTAATCTTAATTTTTGAAGAATATCTTGAAGCATGTCTACATTGACAAGAAAATTGACTCTTGAGAAATCTCGATATTATATCCTTATCATGCCGTATAAACCTGTTTATCATTAGTTGAATGTGTTCTGGTTTGTTTAATTTATTTGATAACCCATCTGAATAGAAGTTCGTGATAAAAATTATGTTACAAACTGGTAGTGCATAGAAGATTCAGATTTATGTTTCAAAAATTTTTCAATTAAAGTCACTTTGATCAACCAAATTACTTCAACAATTTAACCAAAATGTTGCGATTGTCAAGGAGTCTAAGAAAGTTGAAATTACAGCCCACGTTAAATAATGTTCAGACGGGATTAAAGTCCACAAACATTACCCTAACTAATACATTCACAACTTCTTCAACTTTACTAGCTATGCCTAGACAAAAAGAGGGTAAGTCAAAACAAATATTGAGAAGAAAAGTAGTTGAGAAGGACAAAGTCAAAAAATCTACAGGCTTAACTCATTATCCATTTAAAAAAGCTGTTCAAAATTTAAAACTAGAGAAATTAGCTCCATCAATGAATCACATTGAATCTTTACATCCAAACAAATTAACCACAGGAGTTATCACCAAATATTCACCATCTACGGAAAATAAATTAAATGACTTCGAAGCGTTCAAAAAATTTCAACATCACGAATTATTTCAGCACCCTGTTTCCCTTATCACTTCCAATACTATCAACATCTACAACGACTTTGTTAAAAACTTACAAATTGAATCGAAATTCAACAGAAAATACATTGACGGAATTAAAGGAGCAGGAAAATCGACATTGATAAACCAAGCATTGGCCTTAGCCTTAGAAGAATATTCCAACGACGTGATCATCTTACATTTGTCATCTGCTGATGTAATTGGTAATGGTTCATCTGATTATTTTTACAATAACAAACTTGAACTTTATCAACAACCCATGGCTACTAAAAGATGGTTAAGAAAAATATTAAGAGTTAATGAGGAAAATTTCAAAAAATTGAAATTAACCAAAGATATAAGCTTTTTTAAGGATAAATCCAAAATCGAATTAAAAGCAAATCAACATACATTATATGATTATTTATCACAAAATAGAGAAATAAATACTGGACAACCAACTATATCATTCCAATTTTTCATTGAACAATTAAAAGATCATTCATCAAAAATTCCAATACTTATATCAATCGATGATTTCAATTCATTTAGTGATTTTTCAATAACAAAATATAAATCTCCTGATTTTAAATCAATACATATTAAAAATTTTGAATTGGGAAAATTTCTTCTTGATGTAGCAAGTGGTGATATAAATTTCAATAAAGGAGGAGTATTATTAGCTAAATCTTGTGATTTTGCACCACAAAGGAAAACAACTCATATTGCTGTATATACAAATGAAGAATATGATCCATATATGAAATATCCTAATTTGGATTTATTAGTAGCACAAAAATTATCAAGAAATGGTGGAATATCACCTATAAAAATGGCTTCAATGACAAAAGATGAAGTTAGATCATTATTACAATTTTGGAAAGATCAGCAAGTTTTGATAGTGAGAGAAGATTATGTTAAAAAAGATTTCAACAAACAAGAAGAAGCTGAAGTGAATGAAGAGCAAACAATTGTTGAAGTAGATATGGATAAACAATTTGAAAAATTGGTTCAATCATCCTTTGTTGTGTCTCAAGGTAATCCATACGGAATTTTGAGACAAAACTTGATAAGTTATTAGAGTAGCGTTTTTTTTGACACTCAATGTATATAAGTTCCAAAATTTGTCAAATATATAGATCTACAATCTAGTCAAGTGAATGCAAAACGTTATTCTTATTACGTAAATAAAGTATCTTCTTCTCTTAAATATTCACCGATATCACCTTGTCTGAAAGCCACTATTCCAGTTGGTGATAAATTCCTTATTTCATTAGTTGATTTCGCACTAACTCCAAAGCCCAAAGGAATATCATTCATACTATATATTATAACACCAGCATGTTCAGGTATATCATCACTAATTCTACCAATATGAGCTTTTAATACATGATTTCCATAAAGAAATGGCATTTCACCATTTTGTTTTATCCATACTTTATATTTGGCAAATTGTGATAAATATGATAAAGCTGTAATATGTAATTTAAATTTCCCAGTTTTAGTAAATTTTCCAAAACATATTCCTAAACTCATTAAATTTGTTCTTGCAATTGATGTTGCAAAATTTGCAATTTTTTCTGATACGTAATATACTCTATCTTTCTGTAATCGAAATACATGTGGATTTTCTTTGTTATCTATTAAAAATGATATGTTTCTACCTATATAATTGGCTAGTTTTTCAAACACCACTTTTGTTTCCTCTTCCGTTAATGGTCTCATTTATGATTATATTTGTGTAAGATGGCTTTGATATTTGTTATTTACGTATTGGTTGTTGTTGGGTTAAAAAAAGCGAGGTGATTATCTAGTTGAGAAAAATTATAAATGGATCCTTCTCTTATGATCTTAGTATCTATATAGTCTTAACTACTTCTATTCTACTTAACAATAATTTTTCAAATTTAAAACATCGCGATGTCTTCAAAATAAATTCATTACACAAAATTGGATTCTGGAGATGTTAGATTATACCTATTGAGATCTAATAAATTTGAGAAATCGGAGAGCCTAAAAATTGACTAGATTGGACAATTTCCTGATAACACGGTAATCTTTTAGATTTCAAAAGTATTGTCAAAGAAAATTTTGTTCAAAGTAAGTTCAAATTTGAAACATTTTGGAACAATACAAACTTACGAGAAAAATTAAATTTTCAATTCTATATACTTGAATCACAAATCTTCAAAATTCGCAAGTCGTTATGTCATCAGCAAATAGTCTACCAGACGTAATAGAAATAAAAGAAGATGTTGAAATGGATGAATCAAATAATACACATTCTGAACCAACTACTACCGAACTTAGGCAAGAGGAACAACAATCGTCTAATGAATCCAAAAAAGATCAACAAATTAATAGTAGGAAAGCCAATTCCAAGGAAAGGCAAAATAGACAGAAATATGAGCAATCGTAGGTAAGTCCCTTTCGTAAAGAAAATTTTGAAAAAAATATGAACCTTTGTACTAACTATAAACTATAGTGAATATGTTGCATTATTAGATGGAAATGGTAATCCAATACCTAAATCAGAAAGAAAACCAAAGAAAAAGGTAGCAGTAATGATAGGTTATTGTGGTACAGGATATAATGGATTACAAATTCAAAATGATCCAAATACAAAAACTATAGAAAAAGATCTTTATGAAGCATTTTATAAAGCTGGTGCAATATCTTTAGAAAATTCAATTGACTTAAAGAAATCGGGATTTCAAAGATGTGCAAGAACAGATAAAGGAGTTCATGCTGCTGGAAATGTTATTTCTTTAAAATTAATTATTGAAGATTCTGAAATTTTAAAAAAAATCAATGATAATTTACCTGATCAAATTAGGGTATGGGGTATACAACGTACTACCAAAGGTTATGATTGTAGAAAGATGTGCAGTTCTAGGTGGTATGAGTATTTATTACCTACTTATTCACTCATTAGTCCCAAGCCAGGTACAAGATTAGCTAAATTAATTGATAGTGAAAAAGAAAAATATCCGAATTTATTTGTTGATGATGATGGAGAAAGTAACACATTTTGGGAAACAACTCAACAAAAAGTCTTCGAAAGTGGAATAAGCAAAGAAGAATTGGATTTAGTTACTAAATATTATGAAAACAGTCCTGAACAAAATCAAGATTCTCAAATTGAAAATAAAACAATTGAAAATATAGTTAAAAAAATTAAAACAATTGAAAATCAACAAAGAAGATTATATCGTATAAGTTCTAAAAAACTTGATAGATTTAGAAATACAATGGATCAATATAAAGGATCTAATAATTTTCATAATTTTACAATTGGTAAATCTTTTAAAGATTCATCATCAAAAAGATTTATAATAGATACTAAAACATCTGAACCATTTGTAATAAATGGAACAGAATGGATATCAATAAAAATCCATGGTCAATCATTTATGCTTCATCAAATAAGAAAAATGATTTGTATGGCATGTTTAATATTAAGATTAGATTTACCATCTACATTGATAAAAGATTGTTTTAAGTCAACAAAAATTAATATTCCAAAAGCCCCTTCATTAGGTTTGTTATTAGAAGCACCAGTATTTGATGCGTATAATTTAAAATTAAAAGATCATCAATATGATATAATAGATTTTTCAAAATTTTCAAAAGAAATGAATGAATTTAAAATGAAATTTATTTATGATAAAATTTATGGAGAAGAAATTAAAGAAAATTCATTTTATGGATTTTTTGGATTTATTGATAATTATAAAATTCCTTTAGATAATGAAGAAATTAAAAATGGTAATGGAGGTGCTGGAAGTATTACTATATTTGATTTTTTTCATAACTATATTAATGAATATAAGAACGATAAAGAATTTGATGCTGACAAACCTATAAAAGTAGATGAAAAGCAAGAAGAAAATCAAGCAGATAAGAAATAATTAGTCTTTAATTGTTCATAGTGTATTAAAAATGCGTAAGACAAATCCTTTGTACTTTAATTCAAATTAAAAAATCATTATTTGAAATTCCAATTTTTTGATACTTTTTAAAACATACAATGACAAGAAAAAAAGAAATTCAATTTCTAACCTATCTCATTTACAACTATCAACTATTATTATTATTATTATGAATATTTTTTTTTTGAAACAATGACATTTCAAACATAAGCTAAATCATTTCACTTTTTCCGTGAATTTATAAATGCAATTAAATCGGTTTCGAGTCTGACACATTTTTAGACATCCTGTTCAATGGCGTATGTGTTTTGCAATACTTGAAGTTATAGCCATAAATAATTTTCGAGAAAATAAACTACAATTAATTGAGATTAGAGTTAGAAGAACTTTCATGATTATATTTTAGCGGAAATTTAAATTATATTTTTGCTTCAAGATTTAGTTTATCCTAGAGACGTTTCCCAAAATCTCTTCACCATTAATGACACTAAACACCTTCTTTGACTCATATGTTGTTACGATCGCAAAGCTTTTTTGTTCAGTACCGACTGATTTTATAAAAAAATCTTTTAATTCATTAGCACCATTTGGTTCTTGCAATTCAGTTACTTTTTCCAAAATTAAGATTTTTAATTTGTTACAATTATGTAGATTCAAGCAGCTCAAATTTTCAATCTTGTTTTCAGATAAGTCTAGGGATTTTAAATTTGATGGGAACTTTTGAGCGGCCAACACTGAATATGTGAATTTATTCTCATAAAGATCCAAGTGTGTTAATTGATCTAGCTTACTGAATTTACCTTTTATTTGTAGTGACTCAAATTTCGTGATTGTTAATTTTTGTAAAGATTTAGGTAAATCGTTCAAATCCAACATTTGAATGCTCAATCCTGACAATATCAAAGCGTTTAGTGTTGTGCAGCATTTAATACAAATTTGAGAAGGAAGATGAATTGCACAATTGGAATTGTCAAAGACTGAAACTTCCGGAGATTTAATTAATCCCAAATGTGTGATACTAGGTATATCGATTTGCAATGTTTTGATTACTGTACATACTTTCCTCTTTTTGTTTGGACATTCACTTATTTCTTTAAAAACATCAAGCTCATTCATTAAAAACCAAGATGGATCGAGCTTTTCCTGATAATTGCCGGGTCCAATCAATGTGTTCCATCCGACCTCTAAATTATTTAAATATATCCACTGCTTCAAATTTAATTGGAAAATATTCGATACGTTGTTAAATGAGAAATAAAATTGCTGGATATTGGGATACTTTAAACACTTATCGACTTTTAATATATCACAAGAAAGGATTCTGAGTTTTATCATAGTTTCTGGTAAAGAAGCAAAAAGTTTGTTTAGATCAATGTTTTTGGCTTTGGAAAGCTTTAATGTGTGAAGGTGTTCTAGGCAAATATTAGGTTTCAACTCAAAAATTTTTGAATTCCCACCAATCTTCAAAATTTTTGTATTTGAAGGAAGTTTGAAGTTGGATCCAAGAATAAAAGAATTTCCATCTCTCGAGAAGTCTGATAATTCGAATTCTTTATTTATTCCTTGTCTCACAGAATTATACAATTCAGTAACCTCTTGCTTGAAACTAACTTTTATTACCAAAATTTCTAATGATTGAGGGAAATCATATTTGATGATATTATATAAATTATCACAATGATAGATTTTAATGCACTTCAAAAGATTGTAGTTCTTCAAGTTTCCCAAAGTTTTAAATTCACAGTTTCTAAGTTTAATAGATTTGATTGTCCAAGATAATTGAAGAGCTTCCAACGATTCCACCCTTGACATGTTTTTGCAATCAAAATATTCAAGACATTTTAAATCGTTTAAATTCGTATCAAAATTTTTTTCAAAACTACTGTCTATCGTCAATTTCTTCAAAGACGTGGGAAATTTAACTTCAAGACTATTCTTATAAATCGTTGACATAATCTGAATATTATTATTGCTGAATTGGATAGCTTGAAAATAAAGCAGAAATTTCTTTAATACACTCTCAGCATTTGCATCTTTTGGCTTACTTTTTGAAAAATGAACCCCAACCACATTGACTTCTCTTAAAATTAGTTCCAAATCGACGTCCATACTGTCTGTAAGTAATATTTCAAATTCAGCATCACGATATTGATTCATTTTTTCAAATTGAAAAGTGGATTTCTGATGTGAGTCTGTAGGTTCTTCTTGAGACATCAATAATTCATGCATTTTACTAGCTTTAATGACTATTCTGGAAGGTTTGAAATTGTACGCCTCATATAGCTCTTTTAAATGTTTTATTGTTCCATCAGAAGGTTGGGAATTTGATCTATCAGAAGGTATGTGCCTAAATTGATCAAGCTGATATCTGGAATACCTTGCTTGTAAAGCATATTTTTGTAAAATCGGGATTGAAATCAACGTCTCAATTTTCGAATTATCATTAATGTATTTGATGATTAGAACCAACACTTCATCTGGTAATTTAAGAAATGGATCCATTCTTAAATGATTCATATTGACAATGACAAAGTTTATAGTGATTGATTGTTGTTTCTTATAGTAGTTGCTTTAACATATTTGTTGTTTTGTTTGCCACTATTTTCTTTTGACAATTATTGAATTTTATTTTAGACGTGTTTATGCACTCGCTACCATACGACGTTTCAGAATTTTATCGTCTAATTTTGGATTTATTTGAGCATCAGATCAACCAATTTCAATCGATACAAAAGATTTATCGGCGTTGCAAAGCTGAATAACTTCAGACCGCGAGAAAAATCTGTAGCTTTAGTATAATGTTATAGGCGAGAAGGATTCAAAGAAGCGATATTTTTCATTGCAATCTCATGCTATTTTCTCTTGTATTTCAACTCAAGATAAAATTACTCACACATGTTTCTGTTCGAGCTTCATACCAATTACAATTCCAAGAATAAAGTGTAATTTTCCTCTTGAAAGTGTCAGTCTATCAAAATATAATTGATTTTCCAACAATTATAAGTAGGTTTTACTTTTCTATAATTTTTTTATTAAATTGAAAATTTATCTTAATCTATGGGGATTTCAAAGAAAAACCAGCTAGTTATCTATCATATTATCTGTTCTTTCTTTCTTCAATTGTTCAACTAAAAAAGATGAGACTTTGCATGTTTAACTCTTATCTGTTTCTCAAGGTAAAAGTTTTGCTTAACTTGACAATAATCCTTTTTCCTCGACATCAAGGCTAATTCTAATAACACCAATTCTTTTGAGCTCGTTTTATTTATTAAATTTGAATTTAATTTGACTCCATCATGAAGTTAAATTGAAACACTTTATGATCTTACTGCTAATATTTGGTGGCTATATTAAATTCCTGGTTACCCAATTACCATTTCGATATGATTGTGAAGTTAAAATTTTGTTTTGACTTGGCTATGATTCTTTTCTTCTAGTAAACCGATGATAGGCTAATAATAATGTCATCGATTTTCCTTAAGTTGAATTTTGATTAATAAACTTTTACTTTAATAGGACTCCATTGAAATTAAACTGAAAGATCTATGATCCTATCACTGATAATTGATTATTGATATCCTGCCATTCAATTTCTATTTTGAATTGATTGACACATTGTGGTTTTTGTTGAACTTGTTTATAACTCTTTCTCTACATCGATGATAGGCTCATAATTCTTTCTCTCGTCATCGATAATAGGCCATTAATGACAATCAATCCTTTGGAATTGAATTTGCTTAGTCTATTACATTTTGGTTCAAAATAAACTCCCATATGAATTAAAGTAAAAGCTTTTACGATCTATGATCTTATAGCTGATAATTGATGACCTTTATTCAAATTTTGACTTTTCAATTACCATTTTTGACTTGAACAATTTGATTTCATCCAGTGAGTGACATACATCTCCAAATTCTCTCTAAATTTGAGTTTACTTATCAAATTTTGCTTTAAAAAAACACTCCATAATGAGTTAAATTGAAAAATGTACGTTATTCATCTCTGATATATGATGGCTTTACTGAAACTTTGGTCTTTCAATTACCAATTAAGAATTGATTGTCTCGTTCTAACATTTGTTTTGACTTGACCATAACTCTATTTTCTCCAAATCGATGATAATTATATGATCTTATCGCTGTAATAATTGATGGTTGTACTCTAAATCTTCGCTTTTCAATTACTGACCATTTTTATATTGATCATGACGTAATTTGTGTATTCTAAATTCCGAAAATAAATTTCGACGAATATCAATCTATCAATAACTTTTTCTTCACTATACAAATTTAAAACTACGAACTTACCTATGACTAATCAGTCTTATGACAATTGGCTCAGATACAAGCATGTCAACCAAACATGCTTATCACCACTCCTAGATTTTTAAACCACAAGATGAACTAGATAAAAACTTTCTTGGAAAGATATAGTTTTTATTGAAATAATTTGACTAGACTCAACTCATAATGATATATAAAGTCTTTTTATTGCAGTCATATATTTGGAAAAAGTTAAAAACGTTTGAACTTTCACTTATATCGTCAAAGTTCAGATACCTTTGAATCAAATTGGTTGAGTGACCATTTTCAATCTTATTACCGATACATCAATTTTACAAGTTATTACTCCTTTTAAATGATAAGAATTCAATAAAAAGAATTATCTATGGTGCAATGGTTTCAATCATTTGTGTTAGGATTAGGTCTAAAAGATATAATTAAATTCGAGCGAGCAAAAATTTTATACAAGACTCATTGATGGAAGTGATTAGTATTAAGTTCGGAGGATGTGTTGATTGATATGAGGAAGTGAGGAAGTGACTTTTTCAAAGGACCTTGATTTGATAATCAATTCAATTTTAATCAAAATGTATGATAAAAAATTGAAATATTAAAATAAAAAACAAAATTTGAATGGAACCTACCTTAATGAAAGTACCTCAAAATAAATAGCTATCGTTTTTCACCAAATAAGGAGTAAAAATTCTTACACAGTTCAATCTGATTGATTCCTCAGGAGATTGTAACTACATTATTTTGATTCATAAGTTTAACCAAAAAAGAAAAGAATATGATATTTTGACGAAAACCCAACAATTATGGATCCAGAATGAGCTATGACATGTAGCCCCTGACGTACCACCTTCGGTTTATTCAAGCGCTCTTAGGTCCTTACGTCGGGCTCCATGTCGTGGTTCATTTTGGTTTTTATCATTTTTGGGTTTCAAATATTTAGCTTTCTTTTTAATTAGTATACTGAGATGTTGATTAGTATACTGAGATTTTAATTAGCTTAGCAAAGTGAAATTTAAGGAATTCAAAATGAGTAAGACTAATCCTTTGTACTTTAATTGAATTCAAACATTATTATTTAAAATTCCAAATTTTTAACACTTTTTAAAACATACACTGACAAGAAAGAAAGAAATTCAATTTCTAGCATATCTCACTTACAACTATCAACTATAATTATAATTATTATTATGAATATTTTTTTTCTTTTGGAACAATGACATTTCAAACATAAGCTAAATCGTTTCACTTTTGCCTTGAATTTAGAAAAGCGATTGGATCGGTTTCGAGTACAAGGTTTTTCAAGACATCCTATTCAATGGCGTATGTCTTTCGCAAGAAGTTATGGCCATAAAGAAATCTCGAGAAAATATAATACAGTTAATTCAGATTAAGGCTAGAAGGAATATCAAGATTAAAGCTAGAAGGAATATCATAATAAAATTTTAATGAGAATTAAAATACACCTTTTGCTTCAAGATTTAGTTTCGAATCTTAGACGAAATCTTCCTTCCCATCTTTAATCCTGAACAAAATCTTAAATTTATAGGTTGTTACAATCGCATAGTTAATTTGTTCTATGCCTAGTGATCTTAAAAACTCTTTTACTTCATTTGCACCATTCGGTTTCTCCAGTTCTGTAACTTCTTCCATAACTAAGCTTTTTAGTTTGGTACAATTATGTAATTCCAAGCAAGTTAAATCCTCAATCTTGTTTTCAGATAAATCTAGGGTTTCTAAATTTGATGGAAACTTTTGAGTGACCAACATTGAATATGTGATTTTATTATCAACAAGGTTCAAGTACATTAATTGTTCTAGCCTACTAAATTTACCTCTTATTTGTAGTAACTCCAAGTTCATGATCTTTACTTTTTGTAAGGAACAAGGGAAATTGTTCAAATCCAACACTTGAATGCTCAACCCTGATAATGTCAAAACTCTTAATGTTGTACAGCCTTTAATATCAATTTCAGAAGGAAGATTATTTGGATAATAGTTTGAGTAATGAACAAATAAAAATCCGTCGAAATTAGTCAATTTCAAATGTGTAATACTAGATAAATCTATTCGCAATGTTCTAATTACTGCACATGCTTTCCTCTTTTCATTCGTATACTCGCTAATTCCTTTAGAAACTTCGACCTCGTTTAATAGAAACCAAGATGGATCGAGCAATTCCTCTTTATCATTACTGAGGAGTGGAACCAAAGTGTTCCACTCGATTTCAAAGTAATTCAAATTTATCCACTGCTTTAAATTTATTTGGAAAAGATTTGATAATGTGTTGGACGAAAAATAAAATTGCTGAATGTTAGGGTACTTTAAACGCTTATCAACGGTTGATATTTCACAACAGCGAATTTCGAGTTTTTTCATATTTTCTAGTGAAGAATCAAAAAGCATATTTAAATCTATGTTTTTGATTCCACAAAGCACCAAAGTGTGAACGGCGCTCAAGCAAAGTTTAGTCCCCAACTCAAACATATGTGTATTAGACTTACCATTTATTATCAAAATTTTTGCATTCGAAGGAGGTCTGAATTTAGGTCCAAAAATCAAAGACTGGCCATCACTCGAAAAGTCTGATAATTCAAATTCTTTGTTTATTCCTTGCTTCACAGAATCAAACAATTCAGTGATCTTGTTTTTCACGTGAAAATAATCCATTACCAAAGTTTCTAGTGATTGAGGGAAAACAATTTTGATAACATCAAATAAACTATGACAATAATGAATTACTAAGCACCTCAAAAAATTGTAGTTCTTCAAGGTTCCCAAAGTTTTAAAATCACAAAAGCTAAGTTTAATGGATTTAATCGTTTTAGATAATTGAAGAGCTTCCAACGATTCCACTCCTGAGATGTGCTGGCAATCAAAATATTCAAGACATTTTAAATCATTCAAATTCGTATCAAAATGTTTTTGACAAAGAGCATCTATTGTCAATTTCTTTAAAGACGTTGGAAATTTAACGTGATAATTACTCTCATAAATTGCTGACATGATCTGTATATTGCTGAACTGAATAGCTTGAAAATAAATCTGAACTTTTTTTGATACACTTTCAGCGTTTAGATTGTATGAAGAGCCTTCTGAATAATGAACCCCCGCCACATTAACCTCTTTTAAAATCAGTTCCAATTTGACATCCATACGGTCTGATACTAATATTTCAAATTCAGCATTACGATATTGATTCATTTTTTCAAATCCAAAAACAAGTTCCTTTTGTGAGTCCGTAGGTGCTTCTTCTGATATCAATAATTCATGCATTTTACTTGCTTTAATGATTATTCTAGAAGGTTTGAAATTGTACGTCTCATATAACTCTTTTAAATGTTTTATTGTTCCATCAGAAGGTATGTGCATAAATTGATCAAGTTGATATTTGGAATATCTTGCTGGTAAAGCATATTTTTGTAAAATAGGGATTGAAATCAACGTCTCAATTTTCGAATTATCATTAATGTATTTGATGATTAGAACCAACACTTCATCTGGTAATTTAAGGAATAGATCCAATCTTAAATGATTCATATTGACAAAGCTTATAGTGAGTGATTGTTGTTTCCTATTGTGGTTGCTTTAACATATTTGTTGAATACCTTGCCACTATTTTCTTTTCAGTAATAATTTTTGAATTTTATCTTAGACGTGTATTATTGACACGCTACCATACGGCGTTTCAGAAGTTTATCGTCTAATCTTAGATTTATTTGAACATCAAATCAACCAATTTCAATCGATGCAAAAAACCCATCGGGGGAAAAGGTGAGTCAGTTCGGACCACAAAGAAGAAGGTGATTCCATCTATTATGATTTTGTCGGTGGAAAGGGATCAAAGTATCGATTTTATCCCATTTGAGATCAGTATCTTTTTCACCCATTTTTCTTGCTATTTCAACTTGAAATGAACTTGTTAACACGAATGTCTATTGATCATCATACCAATTACAATGTAAGGATGAATTTTGAATAAATTTCTCGAAAGTGTCACTCGGGTAAATTATAGATGATTTTGCGAGTATGCAACTATCATAAGTAACATTTCTTTTCATTTATTAGTTAGCATATTATTGTACGGAATTATGGCACTTGCTAACAAAAACGAGGTATTTTTTTATCAAATCATTTATTTTTTCTTTCTTCAATAGCAAACAAACCAATCAAGTGAAAAGAAATTGAATGTGTGTGCACACACGTATAAACTTTTTGATTTAGTTCTAATAAGTTTACCAATTCAGTGATATGTCACATTTGTTTATCACGTTGACATTTGCATTTAACTTGACGAAAATATATTTCTTCTACATCGATGATAGGCTTATCATAATAACACCATTCTTTTTTTCTTTTGAGTTGAGTTTGCTTCTGCTTATTAAATTTTTGAGATAATATGGCTCCGGCTGGGAATTAAACTGGAAAAATTTATGATCTTATCGCTGTCGATAATTATTGATGTCATTTTTTCCAATCTCTTGGGCTTTAAAGTATCATATTTAGTTGGATATCACGTTAAAGTTTTACTTAAATTGGCTATAATGCTTGTCCACTATATCGATGATAATTTATAGGGTTAAAATAATGTCACCAATTTTTTTGATTTAAGTTTGCTCATTAAATTTGGTTTTAAAAGTAAAAACAATCCACGTGAGTTAAATTAGAATCACTTTATGATCCAATCGCTGGTAGGTAACTGATGACTCCTCTTCAAATTTTGTCTTTTCAAATATTAATTTTGTTAATGCTTTTGCATATTCAATCCTAAAACCTTCATCTAAATTTACTAAACACCTAAAAATTGATATATCTTACTTGTTTATCACGTTAAAGTTTATTGTTTTGATTTGGGCTATAACAGTTCTTTTTTCTGATGATGGACTGATAATAATAATGTCAACAATTCTGGTTGAATTTGATTTACTTATTTGATTTTTTTGAGTTAACTTGATTCCATTATGATTTTATATTGAAAAAAATAATAATATGAAATCTTCGCTAGACTAGTAATTAATGGTCCTTTTTCAAATCTTGACTTATTTTGATTTCTGTCACCGTTTTTTTTTCATGATCGACGATAGGCTAATAAAGTCACCATATTCCTTTTGATTTTAACTTGGTTTTTCGAATTTTCTATTAGTATGACTGTTTTGAATTAAAACAAAAGATTCAATATCGATTATATACGATGTCCTTTATTTGAATCCTGACTTCTCCACGATCATCTTATGAAATGAATTTGTTCATTTTATTCATTAAGTGTATTTGTTACACTATAAACCCGGCAATATCATCTTAAGGTTTTTTTCCACCTTTTCGGATACAATTACGTTTAGTAAATTCTTATTCTACACAAATTCTTCAAAAGTTAGTAGAATTTATCAACTTTAAATTGCTCAGTTAGAAATTATGACAAATTTTAAAAATGAATTGATTTTAAAAGTAAAAAATATTTAATTTAGTAAATTATTTAATATGAATTTTATATAATAATAGCAAATAATAATTACTTTTTTAAAAAGTAAATATCAAAACCAGAGAATTCAAAAAGTAGATTATTTTAACTAAATTTGATGATTAAAATGCAAAGAAAATTATTGTGAAATATTAAATTCATTTAAATTTATTTAACTTATGATTGAACTTCATAAAATTTGAAAAAAATTTATTTCATTTGATTTTTTGATCAAGTTTTTGACGGGTTTATAATGATTTATTTATTCAAATTGACAACAATTCGACAAATTTAGAAAATTTTGCAAAAATTGCAAGATCCTTTTTGAAACATTATGAAAATTCAAAAAATAATTGAAAAATAATGATTATCAAACCACCATACCCAACGATCTTTACCAATGTTAAAGCTTTTATCATCTTGATCAAAACTGTAAAACGTAAAAGCAACAAGTAAAGCAATAAGCAAAATCACAGCTTTATTTGAGTGCAATGACCAAACAGGATTCGAAATAGAATGAAAATTTGATTTTCCTTCGGTTAGCAGGTCTTACTAACTTACTATTACCTATACCATTTTCATTCTAATTCAATTAAACTCTATTAATCAACACTTCAACATTATTATTTGAACCCATGACACAATAAATCAAAAAACAAATAAAATAAATTCATTAAAGCCAAGCAGGATTATTACCTTGATTTTGTTGATCATGATGATGATTTTGATTTTGTTGATGTTGTTGATTAGATTTCTGTTTTTCTTGATAATTACTTGAATAATTTTGATTTGGAGTATATATAGCTTTTTGATTTTGATAACGTTGATCAATTAATTGTTGAGCTGTTTTTTCTTGAGATTGTTGTTGTTGAGTTTGAGCATTTGTTTGTTGTTGATCTGTGGTGTTGTTGTTGTTATTATTATTGTTGGTGGTGTTATTATTGGCATTATTATTATTGTTATTATTTTCATTTGTTTGATTATTATTATTATTATTATTATTTTCATTTTCAACATCATTAATTTTACCTTGAGCTCTTTGTTTTTCTTGTTGAAATTTATATAAAGTCCAATCAAATACATAATCATATCTATAATTTTCTTTTTTAAATAAATCTCTAAATAATTTTCTTAAATATGCATAATCAGGTTTATCATCAAATCTTAAAGTTTTTATATAATTCATATAATCTAAAAATTCTGTTGGTAAACCTTTACATAAAATATTATTTGGTGTTGTCATTTTTTTTTCCATTATTCTATCATATTTTTGTCTTTTTGTTGCAGCTTTTAAACCTTGCCATGGTAATGAACCTCTACAAAAATATATTAAAACATAACCTAAACTTTCTAAATCATCTCTTCTACTTTGTTCAATACCTAAATGAGTATTTACTGATGCATATCTTGCTGTACCAGTTAAATTTTTATTTTCTCTATAAGGAATATGTAAATGAGTTCTTGGATCTCTATATTTTTTTGCTAAACCAAAATCAATTACATTAACTTGTGAACCTCTTCTACCAATTCCCATTAAAAAATTATCTGGTTTAATATCTCTATGAATAAAACATCTTGCATGAATATATTCAATACGACAAATTAATTGATCAGCTAATAACAAGACAGTTTTATAAGTAAATTTTCTATTACAATAATTAAATAAATCTTCTAATGATGGACCTAATAAATCAATAACCATTGCATTATAATCACATTCAGTTCCATACCATCTAACAAATGGTATACCAACTCCTCCACTTAATGCTTTATAAACTTTTGCTTCATATTCTAATTGTGGATGTTTTGCTTTTGTATTTTCTAATTTTATTGCAACTTCTTCACCTGATATAATATTTGTACCTAAATATATATCACCAAATGATCCTGATCCTATTTTACGACCAATACGATATTTTTTACCAACTCTTAAATCCATTGTTTAGTTGATTTGGTTGTATTGATCGATTAATTGAGTGATGTTTAAAAATTATATTAAATTTATTTTGTGATCGATTTGGAAATTGATGGAAACGAATATTGATGATGACGATGACTAACGGCGATGATGACGATGAATGACTTTAAATTTTGTTATTTTGATGGAGGTAAAGAACAAAAAAAAAAGTTGATAAGATGTGATTGTAGTATTGAGTAAAAACAAACACAACCTAATCTAACGATGGTGATTAATTTGATATGGTATGTTGATGTTGATGATGATGATTGATGATTGATATCTTACAACTCTATACCGTTAATTGGTAGTTTAATTGTTTGCTATTAAATTGATTGATTGGTTGTTAATAATAAAAATTTTTTGGTGTGTATATCTTTAAGTTTCTTTTTTAGAATTTTTTGTTAGGTAATTTTCTGTTGTCAAAAAAAAAGTTAATTGCTGATTAATTTAATAATTAAACGACAATGATTTTGAAATTGAATCCCGAGTATAGATTGATTGATTTGATTGTTGAGTGCAATAATCCAATAATTTGCTAATCAAAGTACATTAATAAATCAAATAATTGAATTTAAACTATTCTATATATAATTTTGATATGTGAATTTAAAGAAATTGAGTGATTTATTGGATTGTATTGAGTGAGTGTAAATGTATGTTGTTAAGTTATAACATGACTTTGTATGTCGTGTAATTATCAATAATTGTTACAGAACTTAAATATCAGAATTGAGAATTAGAGTAATTAACAAAGTAGTATCACTACCAAATTACCCTATTTAGAGGATTATTATATTTCTGAATTAGCCATGGGTTTTGAGTTTCATTAGACGAAATACGCATTTGTTGTTCATTATATGTATAAAACTTGAAACAACAAGTTTCAAAACGTAATAAAATAGACGAAGGAACTATTGCGAAAAAAAATTAGTGAATATGGCTGCGATTAATCTAGATCTTTTTTTCAAAGGGATTGGGGGTGCATTTACGATGAAAATTTGTTTAAGATCTTGAACTGTTTGTTTCAAAACCATTTTGAAACGGTTTTTACAAGAAAAAAAATGCTCTGTGCCAATATATATTCTTTTGACAGACAATTATTTTAATACTATTAGGAGTATGACTTTCATAAAATGATGTGGAGGGTTATTTCTCTATTACTTCAGCCAATATCTTTTTTTTTGCAACCAAACATAACATCAAGTTTTTAGTTGATTGTATGAATTGATTGATTATCTCTGTATACTTATTTAAACCAATAATTTTTGCAAAACTTGTTTAAATGCTCTGCCAAATTATCAAAAGATAGGTATTAGGTCCTCAGGTAAAATATTTAAAGTAATAGTTATTATTGGAGGCTTTTATTGTATTTATTATGTATTATTTATTATTTATTATTTATTAAAATGATATTCAAACTGTTAAAACAAATTAAAGCTATAAAAAAAAGAAGTAGAGAGACAAGTGGATACAGCCAATAAACTTGCCTATCCAACTAAATTAAAAAATTAAAAATTAAATTAATGAAACAACACAAATTAAGAACCAGCATTCAATATTAGACGTTTGATAATTATTAAGCTTTTGCAACTACTGGTTTTTTAAATTTAGCATATAATTTTTTAAAATAATCTAATAATTTTTTATTTGGTGATGTGGAAGTTGATGATTTAGTTACGACTGGTTCACCTTCTTTTGTAGTTTGTTCTGCTTCAGTTGTTGGTTCAGCAGCTTCTATTTCGGTGGCATCTGCTGCTGGAGTAGTAGTGGTTTCTTCTTCTGCTGCAATTGGTTGAGATTCTTCAATTTCTGATTTTGGAACTGATACTTTAGTTTCTTCAACTGGTGCTACTGGTTCTTCAGTGGTAGTAATTGGTTTTGAATCTTCTATTTTTGGAGTTTCAGTTTCAGTGGCAGTAGCAGCAGTAGTGGTAGCATTTGGTTCTTCAACAACTTCATTTGTTACAACATCTGATGAAGGTTCAATTGGTTCAGTATTTGTTAATTGTTCATTATCTTTTCCACCAATTTGTTCTGAATCTTTTTTATCTAAACTTTCTTTTGAATCTGAAGTAAAAACTTTTGAAACTCTTTTTAATTTATCTTTAATAGCAGCCATTATATTAGTGTTGTAAAATTGTTGTAAATATTATGATTTGATCTAAATTTAAAAATGAATGATTGTGGTCTTAGTTATTGATAATATTTGATTATATTAGGTTAATGATCTATAATACTTCTAATTGAATTTAATTATGATTTTTTGAAATTGAATCAGATCACAGTTGAGATATAAGTAAACTATAAGAAAAATATCAACAAATTTTTTTAAACAGGATATTACTTTATATTTATATTTATATTTATACTATTACTACTGTAATACAAATAATATTAATTATAATTTACAACCAAAATCAAGTCACTCAAATTTTAATAAATAATATTTTTTAAGGAAACTTAAAATCTTGTATTTATTATTTATTTATTTTTATTTAGTGTTATTATTGTCTTATGCGTAAAAGTTTAAAATATTGTCTTACGTAGGTAGTAACTGAAGTTTAAAATTTATAAAGTAATTAATTCATTAAGATAAGGGATATAATTTATTAACTTATTATCTCTTTATAAATACATGTTAACAACCATATTCTAACTTACTACCAATCTCTCGGAGCTTTGAACCTGAGTATTCAACAAAAATGATCTCTAGATTGATGCTAGACTTACTACTTCGTGTAAAATACAAAAATAACTTACACAATTTTTGTGTTTCTAATTTTTATTATAGTTATTGTGTTAGTATGTCAAATTTGTATTATTATTATACGTTTAATACATGAAATACACGATATGATATTTCGTGTAGTATCACTTGATAATATATTTTAGTTCAAATTGTGGTACGAAAAATAGAAAAAGATCGACTAAAAATAAATCATATATAAGATAGTAGTATTGTATGTAATAGCCTTGTTTATTGTGAGTTAATTAAATTTATTTTTAACACAGTTTCACTATTCAACCAAATATTATTTTCAATTATCACACTTTATAATGTAACAATGAGTAACATCCAATTCAATCATCAACTGCTTTTTAAGCTTTAAACTTACAACCCAAATCATTTTATACAACTCATTTTCCATTTCCCCCCTCTATGGAATGAAAAGTTTTTAATATTTAATACCCAAATTAAGTCAATTTATTTATGATTTTAAATTTGTGTACATTAAACCTTGAAAAAAATACACGGCTGACTTTTTTAATACATATTAATTACACAAAACTATAAATAGTTACAAAATAGTAGTGTGACTTGATCTAAAATATGCTACCATAATACTTGTTGTCTTACGATACTTAATTTTTATATACAGGTTATGTAATATCTCACATTTTATTATTTAAACTCTACCAAATGGATATCGTCAAAATTAATACAAATAATCTATATCAACAATTTCATTTATAATTTTATTACAGGTTCGTTTACTCATTCAAATTCATTTATTATGTATCATGATTTTAATACTGTTCAACTATGAAATGAAGCATTCAAGGTGATAGCTATAATAGCAGGAGTATGAGAACCTTTTAATCAAAAGCACCACGATATCATTAAATTAGTCTCCACAATATATTGTCGGATAAATTTACTAAGAATCCAAATCCAATAGATCAATTACTAACTTCTCGTATTCAATCAAGACCAAAATGATCACACTAAAGATGCTTTAATAACTTTTGGTGAAACAGCGGTACGAAATTTGATGAGGTTTTATTGTATGGATATCTTCGAATTGTTTCTACCACTAGCTAGTCACTAATTCCAAAAAATAGGTATTCAGCTGTATTTAACATTAAATCGAAAAGTCCAAAAAGAAAGAGAATATAAACAAGTCATTGAAAGCAATAACAGATTATTTGTGTGGTGTAACTGAGGAGTAATTTCGTGTTTTCTAAACACTTATTTTCTTCATCAGCTGTGGGTCACCTTTATCATACAAATTCCTATCAGACTTGAAAAAAGCTGAGGAATATCATCGACAGGGTTAAAATGACACCTTGAAATGCAGAGTTTTGTCGGTCAATGATTTGATTTTTTTTTGTGATTGTTTCAATGATGTGTTGATAATCTCTTCTTTTTCGGCCTATGCAATTTAGTGTTGAATATGAATATTGAATTACCGTTTTTTGGAATTAATAAAGCAAATGGTAAACGAAATTTTGAAAATGTTTAAACTGTAAAACCTCAAAACTATATATGATTAAAGGTATTTTACTTTTTACTGAGATACTAAAATTAAATAATTTTTTTTAAGTTTTACTTAGTTGACTATAATAAAAATCTAGAATCTAAACTACCAGTCATTTGTGACTTCAAAGACAATGAACCACACCATGAAAAAAAAAGCTATAAATCTAATTAAACTTTAGGAGTACAATATTTCAGTAGTCTTAATCGTATTATTTACTTTGTTTTTATCCAATTTTGAAATAGAGAAGTAAGTAATTCACTTGATTTTTTTAAATACCAAATAAATCATTCAGGCTGATAGTAGGTTTTATAATTTTAACTAAATTATTCTCATTTTTTTGGATGTTTTGAAATAAATAATTGAATGACAATTAGTGAGTTATTAATTGATAAGATTAATAAGTATTCTAAAATATGTGAGTCACTTAATTTCATTTATTGGATACTTTCAATCTATAATTAATTTTTTCAAATTTTTTGTTGTATTTGTAAAAATTGTCTAAAATTCAACTTGTAAATGATATTGTTCATTTTCAAACTTTTCAAACACTTACCTTTTTCTTCGATTAAATCGAATATTTTGAATCCTAATGAATATAAGTTACGGGATAACGTTTTGAAACACAATCTTAAATAGATTTGAGTACTTCTTAATTGTTAGAATTACTTTAATGACTATTTGTTTCTTCATAAATTATACTCAACCTATTTGAAAAATTTTGGTTGCAAATCTTTTTGTAAATTTATAAAGGCACTACAATAAAAATTGTACTATAAAGGTAAACAAATGTAGTATTTAATTTGTCAAGTTCGGGAATGCAAGAGCCTACTAGCAAATGGAGTTGCTAACGAAATCAATTATTAAAACATTATCATTCAATCACATTTCAATTCCATCACATATTAGTCTAATATAGACTGTAATCATATCCAAAAATTTGGTAGCACGTATAAGTTTCATAAATTTCATTTGATTTATTTTTCTTATCAAGGGTACCACGTTTATCAAGAAATATAATAATATCACTGTGTATTCATAATAATAATAAAATTGTTTCATTTCTTCACTCAATGATGGATTAAAATCCTTTCATCTATCACTTCTTATCTTCAAAACTTCATTCAAAAGAGCAATGAATTATAATGAAAACTTATAATATTCCTCATAACCATATATTTATCCTATCATCATTAACTTGAATATAAATCTTGAAGAGAAGAGAAGAGAAAAGTGTGATAAGCCTTGTTTTAGTAGACTATAAAAATATTTTAAATAAATTAAACTACGCTTCGTATTAAGTACGAGAAGAAAAATAAATTATTCCCGATGATAACGAACGATAATTAATTTGATGTAAGACCTAAATTAATGACTTGTAATTGTCCCAAATGCAAATGCATTTCACTTTTCATGCAGCTATGTATGAATCTTCTCTCACAAGATATACAGGATCTTAAATTGATTCCATATTATCCCGATCTTAGGTCGAGATCGAGAATTTACGCGTGTGAAAAATCTTGTTCTGTGGTACAAAAAAATTGATTCTATTATTTATTAGTCTAAGAAAAATAATTATTGTATTATTCTACTTTAAATATTGCTGCTAAAATTATCATCATTTGAATTGTTAGATATCCAACAACAACATATACTTCTTATCACCAGCAACAACAATCATTCACCAACTACAACAACCATCTAATTTAACCATCCACATCTACTCAACTAATAACTGCACCTGTACATTATAGAATCAATTTATAGATCAAATTCACTTAGCCACATAAGACTAACTAAATCAATTTTTACTAAAATTTTAATCTTGAAACACTAACAACATACAATCTAACCACCAAGATTATGTCAATATGATCAAAAATTATAAATCAATTTTCCCAAAATCAAGACAAATTAGAAAAATATATATAATAATACCATTTTTTTTAACATTTTTATTTTTATTACATTATTTAAATACTTATGATCAAGTAAAACAATGGACATTTCAAGTTATAGATAATAATAATAAATTGAAAAAGTATTTTCCGATTTCAAATTATAATGAAAAATCTTTAACTATATTACCATCAAATTTTGATACCACAGTAAAAATTGATCATAATATAACTGAAAATAATAATGAAATTATACAATTTAGTGGTAATTATAGTCCCTTATCTGAATTTATAACAAATCAAACATATTCAAATCATCAATTAACAATATTTGAATCTATTGGAGAATCATTTTCAGAAGAAGTTCCTCATCAAAAATTTTATGAAAAATGTAATAAATTACAAATTGAAAAAAATATTACAATAACACCATACCAGAATTTAAAACAAGATTTTCAATATATTGTTAAAACTTTATTAAAACAAATTGAAAATGAAGATGCATTTAAAGAAATTTCATCTTTTTTCCAAGGTAAAATTCCTGAATATCTTAAAGAAGACACGTTAAATGAAGAACATTTTTATAAATTTGCTGGTACTTCAGTTTGGTTAGAAAAATATGGAGTTCATTTAATGGTAAGTAGATTTTTATTTACTCAAACTTCAAGAAAAGCAGATCCTCAAATTAGCTTATTATATTCTCAATTATATAATGAAAATTGGGAAGAAATTTTTAATATTGATTTAATTTTACCCGTTGTGGATGAAAATGGTGAAAGAAAATATGAAAATTTAAATTTTCCTAGATTTATGCCAATACCTTTTTATCATAATTCTAAAAAAACAGCAAAAAGATGGTATGGACCAGAAGATACAAGATTATTATTAAGTAAAAATGAATATGGTGATGAAGAACCAATTGTTATATTTAATGCATTTCATAGACAAGTTATTCCAATAAGTAGTGAATCATCATCATCAAAAAATGATAAAAAATTACCAACAAAATTTGGATTTTATAGATCAATGTTTATGGGATATTTATTTCGTTATCAAAGAGGTAAAAAAAATGTTGATGGAGGTGAAAAAAAATATTCAAAAACAATATATAATAAAGTGGTTGAATTAAAAATTAAAGATAAAAAAAGAGAAAAAACTGAAAAAAATTGGACTCCATTTATAAATCCAAGTGATAGAAATATAAATAATTTAAATGGTGGTGATGAATTTATATATATTGTTTATCAATGGGATCATTTAAAAATTTTAAAATGTGAATTATCAAATCCTGGAGTAGTATCAAATTGTGAATATCATTTTCAAGAAGATAATACAAAAAGTAAAATTGGACCAGTTAGAGGTGGTACTGAATTAATACCTATCAAAACAAAAAATTCTTCAAAAAATAAATTAAAACAAATTTGGATTGGATTTTTAAGAGCTCATTTAAATAAATGTGGTTGTGGTAAAGCAATGTATAGACCAAATTTTATTATTTTAATTGAAAAAAATGGTCAATTTAAATTAAGTCATTTATCTTCTTCAATTTCATTTAATATTCAAGTTGATGGTTGGAAATATGCTCATATACAATGTGCTAAAAAGGATCCAAATGTTTTAATCCCCAATGGTATTTCAATGTATGAACCCAATTCTGATTATTTATCATTAACTTTATCAACAGCAGATAAAGATGATAAATTAATTCATGTAAAGGGTTTAAAAAAAATTATTGAAAAATCACTTAATTTAAAATGGGATGGTAATTTACATACTACACAACCTTCAAAACAAATTGAATGTGTATTAGATCATTCAATTGAATTTTGTAAACAATATGGTTTAAAACAAGATTTATTAGGTGTATCTGAAAATTATATAAATAAATTAAAAGAAGAAGAAAAAAAAATTGCAAAAGCTCATAATGGTAATGTACAAATTGATGATACAAAAGAAAAGGATTCAGGGAAGAAAGTTGAAGGTGAACCTACTGTACAACAACAATCTCCCGAACAACAACAACAACCGGAACAACAAGATGAACATTCAAATGAGGATAAACAAGATGAAATAAAACAACCAATTCAACAACAAAATCAAGAAGTTGGTTCTGGTGCTTCTCCTCCAGTTGTTTAAAGGAAAAATATTAGTTGTTAAGAAAAAATATCATTCATATTTATTTCAATTCTTATTAGACATTTTGATATCTGTAATATTTATATTTTTTTCAATTTAAATTAATTGCATACTTCACTTGAAATTTATTAGTATATTGTGGTATTATAGAGATTTTTTTGACTCTATTAACTTTGTTAAAGCGGAACTGCTTTTACAGAAATCAATTGAGTATAATCTCTTAAGTCATATATAACTTATCATCAACTAATTTGAAGTCATCAACTGGAAGATCGTGGTCAAACTAATTTTCATAATGTTCCTTTAAAGAGTTCTTCAAATTTTCTCATAAGTCCATCACTTATTAATTTTATTAAACTGATAAAAGTTCTTTCATTTTTCTGATTTCTATTTTATAAGCTAGCCATACTTATAAATTTGTGATCTTCCAGCTGCTAACTCAAAAATTAATTGATGATAAGGTACAAACTACTTAACCTTTATTTCTCATTAATATTGATTTCTTGGAATTTAGTTGATGATTATTTTTTGGTTAGACTTCATATCAAATTTTCCTTAGAATTCTTCAACCTCATTTATAAAATAATCTAAAGTTGATATTTTTTTTGGGGGGCCTTGCTTGATGATTTACTTTTTCCATTTGGTTGTCTGATTTTGCTAGTAAAACAATGAAATCCACTTATCTTCTTTCAAAAGGGAATGATTTCAACATAGATTCAAGATCTAATCTGGTAAACTGAAGTAATCATGGTTTCTTTTTATTTTTGCGCTCAGGTACAGATCTGTAATCTAATCTTTATTATTACTTAGAAGAATCTCATACAAAAAAAATAAACTTTAATTTATCGAGCTTTAATCACATTGCTTCGAAGAGTTTAAGTAAAAGCTTATGCAACATCAAAGTACCAACACCAAGATATAATAAACAAGAAAGATGAAACAAAGCCTAAGTATTAGATATTTTAAATCATCAATTATTAGAAAATTAATACTACTAATAACATTAATAATATTGATTATATATCCAATACATCTACTATTTAATGGATCAATATCATCATCATATTTTGAAAATTTACAAATCCCCAAACCTTTAAACCCTAACTCAAATACAATAGAAAATTATTTTCATGATACTATAAATCAAGTATTATTAAAAAATGAAAAAAATTCAAAAAAATTAATGATTTTCCCTAAAGATTATCAAGATGAAATGAAATCTTTAAAAGTTACTAATATTAAATATGATAGAAATAGAGATCTTATAATATATTCAGGAAATTCATCATCAATGTTATCTTATGAATTAATAAATTTACCGAAACATTCACATGAAATTCAAATTTTTAATGGAATTTTCAATCAAGACTATCCTAATTCATGTTCAAGAAATCAAAATAATATAAATTTAACAATAAGTGATAATTTTATATTTAATGATGATTTTAATATTATGATTACAAAATTAATTGAACAATTAAATAATGATGAATCATTTATTGAAATTGATGGATTTTTTGAAAAAAAATTACCAAAAATGTTACAAGATAATTTATTACATAAACATTTTTATAAATTTGCTGGAACTTCAATATGGTTAAAAAAGTATGGTGTTCATTTAATGATTAGTAGAGTTATATTTTCAAGAAAAGGTTTAAAATGGAATCCTCAAATTAGTTTATTGTATGCTCAAATTTATGATAAAAATTGGAATGAAATTTATGATTTAGATTTATTAATTCCAGTGATTCAACCAGATGGATCCCGTGAATATGAATCATTAAATTTTCCAAAATTTTTACCAATTGCATATTATTTTGATTATAATTTTACAAAAAGAAGATGGTATGGACCAGAAGATACAAGAATAATGTTAATTGAAAATGAATATGAAGAGGAAGAACCAGTTATAATTTTTAATTCTGATCATAGAGTTGTTAAAAATATAACTCAAATTTCAAAAGAAAATGATATATCTTATAAATTAAATTTTGAAATGAAAAGATCTATGTTTATTGGTTGGCCTTTTAGATATCAATTAGGTAAATCAAATACTGATGGTTTTAATAATGAAAAATTTGATAATATAAAATATAATAAAGTATTAGAATTAAAAATTGAAAATCAAGAACGTCAATCAGTTGAAAAAAATTGGACTCCATTTATTATACCAAGGGAAAGAAGGGAAAACAAGGGAGATCAATTTATTCATTTTGTTTATCAATGGGATAATTTAGAAATTTTAAAATGTGATATTACTAATAATATTGAAAATGGTATAAGTAATTGTATGTTTATTTATAAAGATTCTCAAAAAAATGTAAAAAAAGTAGGTCCAATTAGAGGAGGTACTGAAATGATACCACTTAGTTCAATAGATCCTAAGTATAAATATGAAGATATTTGGATTGGATTTTTAAGAGCTCATATAAAACATTGTGGATGTGGTAGATCAATGTATAGACCAAATTTTTATATATTTTCAAAAAGTGCCACCATTGGATTTAAAGTTGATTATTTATCATCATCAATTTCATTTAATATTCCTGTTACTGGTTGGAGAAAACATGAAATTCAATGTGCTTCAAGAGATCCAAATGTTTTGATTCCCAATGGAATTTCGATGTGGGAACAAAATAATGAAATGGAAGAAGATATATTAAGTTTAACTTTAAGTGTTGCTGATGAAAATAATAGTATTATTCATATTTATGGATTAAAACAAATAATAGATAATTTAATTGAAAATAATGATATAACAATGAGTAATAATTTTGGTGAAGTTGATTTAAGTTATGATAATGAAAGTTTATTGAAATGTGTTTTAGATTCAAGTATTGAATTTTGTAAACAATATGGTTTAGAACAAACTAGGTTAGGAATAACTGAGGAAGTGTTATTGAAAAAGGAGAAAGAAAAAGATAATAAGAATGATAAGGATAAGGATAAGAAGCAATGATTCACTCATTTAGCATTATTAATAGACAATTTATAATTATAAAACAGATAAAACAGTTCATCGAATTGTGGAACTTGATTATCTACTTCACATTGCACTTATTTCTTCTTCTCTGTTCCATTTTAGCATTGTTTAATAGACCTTTTATACTTATTGAACAGTTAAAGAAGTTATAGAACTGTTGGAGTGTACACTCTCTTGTATTGTGTTTTAATTTGTTGCAAATTTCTAACATCTTTTTTTTTACAACCATCTTGTTTTTTTACAACCAATTCTCAAAACTTTCACAAATCATCATCAAACAAACAAAACACAACCAAAGGTACAAATTGAAATGATATGACTATAAATAATGAAATTTCAAGTTTAAATGAAGATAAATTCAAAACTATTCAACATTATGGACCAGTTACATGTATAAAAATTTTTAAAAATTATGTATTTGTTGGATATGGACCAATACTTTATATATATCAATTTAGTTTCTCAGACTCACCTGAATTAAATTTTGTAAAACAAATATTTAAAAGAAATAAGATTCATAATATTTATATTAATGAATCTCAATCTAAAGTAATTATAAGTGGATCAAAATCATATACTGTTATTGATTTTGAAGATTTAGAACCATTTATGATATTTGGAAAATCACATTATAGTAATTTCAAAATTGAAGAAAAATCAATTAATGAATGGATTATAACATCATGTATATTAGATGATGGAACTATTTTACTTTTAAATTCATATAATGAAATTTATCAAATTCAAAGTAATTATATTACAAAAATTCATTGTGGTGAAAAATCAATTTTATATAGTGGATCAATTAATATATTAGAAAATGGTGAAATATTTATTGCTTCTGGTACAGTAATGAATGGTATTATAATTTGGAGTTATAACACAGAAAAAATTAAATATAGATTAAAAGATCATGAAGGTTCAATATTTGGAGTTAAAATTGATAAATTTGGAAAATATATTATATCATGTTCAGATGATAGAAGTATAAAATTATATAATTTTAAAACTGGGAAATTATTATCAACTGGTTGGGGTCATGGATCAAGAATTTGGAATTTAGAATTTATGATTCCTCTAAATATTGATGAAGATGATAAAAGTAATATAAAGATTATGAGTATTGGAGAAGATTGTACTTTAAGAATCTGGGAAAATGATCCCGGTAGTGATAAATTGAAAAGTTTAAAAGTTATTGAAAATTGTCATAGAGGTAAACATATTTGGTCTGGAGATGTTCAATATACAAATAAAGATCGTTATGAAGATTATCAAAATTTAAAAATTTGTTGTACAGGAGGTGCTGATGGTAGAGTTAGAATTCATGATTTAGACGAAAAAAATCAATTAACAACTAAATTAACAGTAACAGATTTTATAAATAATTTAAATTTACAAATTGATTTGAAAAATATTTCAATTAAAGATTATTTTTATTTAATTTATTTGAATAAATTGATTTGTTTAACACTGAATGGATTGATTTTAGAATATGATTATAAATCAAAAAAGTATAGGAAATTAGCACAATTTGATGATTTTACTAATGGAATGGTCAATGGGTTTATTAATGCTAATACAGTTTTAATAGCGGACAAAAATGGAAAACTTTTAAGCATTTCATATACAAATGATGATATACATTTAAATTGGTATGAAAATGAAGATATAAAAATTTCAAACATTTATGTAATTGATGATTCAGTTATGTTTTATATATTATTTGAACCATCAAATCCAAATTTTCCTTTCATTTTAAAACAATATTTTTTTGAAAATAATCAATTAAATTTACAAAATTTTAAAAATATATCAAGACCAAATAATAATTTTCAATTAACTTCATTCACGATAGATTTTGAAAATGAATGGATTATATTAACTTCTAAAAAAATGTCTTTATTAATTGTTGATTTATTGGATTTATCAATAAAATGTTTTAAAAGAAAAATTGCACCTGGTGATACTATTAGTTCTGTTTCTGTAATTAATACAACTTCAAAATTTATAAATTTATTAATTTTATCAAGAGATGGAACTTATTTAATAACAAAAATATTTAAAAATTTTGAAAATACAAATTTTGAAATTGAAATTTTATTAGAAAATAAATTAACTAGAGGTTTAATTGAAGGTGGATTTATTTATAATAATAATTTATTATTATATGGGTTTAAATCATCTTATTTTTTTGTTTGGAATGAAACTAAACAAATTGAAATTATGAATGAAATTTGTGGAGGTAATGGTCATAGACATTTTAAATTTTATTTTGAACCAAGAATGTTAAATAAATTTAAATTTATTTATCTGTTTAAAAATGATTTATATTTATGTGATTATTATGGAAGATTTATAGATCAAAACATTGATAAAGATTTTGGAATTTTACATAGAGGAACTCATGGTAGAGAAATTAGAGATTTATCAATACTGAAACAAGAATTCACCGATAATTCAAGATTAATGGTTACATCATCTGAAGATTCAACAATTGGTATAAATAAAATTTATTCAGATGGAGAAATTGAAAATTTTTGGAATATGAATAATCATATTTCAGGTATGCAAAAAATTAAATTTTTAAATAACAACTATATATTAAGTTCTGCAGCAAATGAAGAATTTTTAATTTGGAAATTATCATTTTTTAAAAATGATATACCTACTGTTAGAGAATTAAAAAGATTAAGTTTGACTCAAGAAATTCCAGATTTAAGAATTATGGATTTTGATGGAATTGAATATGAAAATTATATTTTTTTAATAACTGTTTATTCTAATTCAACTATAAAATTTTGGAATTTTAGCAAAGTAACAGAAACTTTTGAATTAATAAATAAATTTAATTATTCAACTTGTTGTATATTAAATTGTGAAATTTTTGAAATTAATAAAAATAAATATTTAATCATTTCAGCAACTGATGGATATATTTTAATTTGGAATATAAATGATCCAAAAAATATTCAATTAGAAATTAAACAAAAATTACATCAAAGTGGTGTTAAAGCCATTTGTTTAGCTCAATTGAAAAATAATTTTTATTTAATAACAGGAGGTGATGATAATTCATTAACTTCAAGTCAAATAATCGTAAATGATTCAAAATTAAAATTGATCAATTTGCAAGAAGAATTAAATGCAGCATCTGCAACAATTACTTCAATATCTCATTTTGATAATTATGTTATTGTTGTTAGTGTTGATCAAATTGTAAGATTATGGACTTTTAATCCAAATTTAAAATGTATTGCTGCAAAATATACTACAGTAGCTGATGTTGGATGTTGTGATATCACCACTATAAATAACGAAAAAATATTGATTATTGGAGGTTCTGGTTTAAGTTCATGGAAAATCAATATATAAAACAATGGTATATAGAGATACTACAATGAATTTTATATTCTATCATTTTTCATTAAAGTATATACATTATATAAATAATCAAACTATAATTTTAATAATTGTAAATTAAATACAGTATCATTAATTTGTTGTTCTTCATCAATAATAATTTCTTTATTATTTGTTTCATCACTTGGTTCTAATGGATAAGTAGTAGTTTTTAAAATTAAATCTTTATTATCATTCAATACTTTTTCAAAATTCATATTATCTTTTAATAATTTATATTTAACTTGAATATCATCAGTTGAATTTAATCCAGCTTTTTTTCTTAATCTTTGAATTCTATTTAAAATTTCTCTTGCAAATCCTTCACTTTCTAATTCTGGATGAATATTTGTATCCAAGATAATTAATAAATCTTGATATGATCTAAATTCTTGACCTTCTGAAGTCATTGATTCTGATAAACCTTTTAATACTTGTAAATCTTCACTTATTAAATCAATTCCATCAACATTTAATTTACCACATTCTGAAAATTTTTTAACTTCTTCTGATGGAACATTTGGTAAAGCAGCTTTAACTCTTTTGGCATCTTTCATTAATTTTTTACCTAATACTGACCAATCAGCAACACATGAATATTCAACATTATATTTAGATTCATCATCAGTTATAATAATATCACGAACATTTATTTCATCACTAATATAATTTTTTAAACTTTCAACATCAGATCTAAATTTTGGATTTGAATTTATAATAACTAATTCTTGTAATGGATGTTTTAAACTAATCATTTTTTTTTCACGAATATTTCTTGCTAAATCAATAACTTTTTGCATTCTACCTACTTTAATTTCAATTTCTTCATCAAAATATTCTTCTCTTACATTTGGATAACTTAAAAAATGTACTGATCTTAAATCTTTATGTTTTGGATTAACAACTATTGAATTTAAATATTCTTCTTTAAATGATGATTTTATTTTTTGATAAATATTATCTGCTAAATATGGTGTAAATGGAGCCATTGCTCTTGAAAGGGTTAATAATGCTTCAACTAATGTATTTAATGCATGTTTTGTATCTTCTTTATCATCACTATCATAACCTTTTAATCTTCTTCTATTAAATCTAATATACCAATTTGTTAAATCATCAATTAATGCTAATAATCTTGGAACTACAGTATATAATCTATAACCATTCATTTCTTCATGAATAAATTTAATTAATGATTGAATTGATGCTAATAACCATTTATCCATAATATTGGAAGATTTTAAGTCCGGATTATAAATAAAAGTTTCCCCAGTGTTTTTTTTAAATAAGTCAGTACTATCTTTGAAGAATTTATATGAATTATACCATGGTAATAATACACTTGATACAATATCTTTTACACCATCTTCTTTAAATTTCAAAGTTTCTGCTCTCAAAACTGGTGAATTAATCATATATAACCTTAATGCATCAGCTCCATATTTATCTAATATTAAACTTGGATCAGGATAATTTTTCAAACGTTTTGACATTTTTTTACCATCAGCTGCTAATACAATACCTGTAACAATAACATTTTGATAAGGTGCTGTATTAAATAAATGAGTTCCTAAAACTGTTAAAGTATAAAACCAACCTCTAGTTTGATCTAAACCTTCAGCAATGAAATTGGCAGGGAAAGCATCTAAAAATTTTTGGTTATTTTCAAATGGATAATGTTTTGAAGCATAAGGCATTGAACCTGATTCAAACCAACAATCAAAAACTTCCTCAATTCTTTTCAATTGTCCTTTACCCTTTTTTGAAGGAATTGTAATATCATCAATTGATTCTCTATGTAAATCAGTTATATCATTACGTCCTGATAATTCTTTTAATTCATCAATTGAACCAACACAAACCATTTCTTCATAATCTTCACTGACCCAAATTGGGATAGGAGTACCCCAATATCTATTTCTTGAAACATTCCAATCTCTTGCATTTGCAATCCAATTTGAAAATCTTTTTTCTTTTACATTTGAAGGAACCCAATTTGTTTTTTCAACATTTTTTAACATATCAGGAATAATTTCTCCAATTCTTACAAACCAAGCAGGAACAGTTCTATACATTAATGGAGTATCTGATCTCCAACAAAATGGATAATTATGCTTAGCTTGAGTATTTACTAGTATTCTACCTTCTTCCACCAATTTTTTGATAATAACTTTGTCGGCATCTTTAAAATACATTCCGGCAACCAATTCTGCTTCTTTTCTCATATTACCTGAATCATCAACAATATCTGGTGGAGTTCTTTTTTCATCAATAACACCAGCTGCAGTTGCACATTTAAAATCCTCTTCACCATATGATGGAGATTGATGAACAATACCAGTACCTGAGTCATTTGTAACATAAGAACCTGGAATAACTTTGAAACCATAATCTTTAAATGTATCATAAAAATAATTAAATAATGGAACATATTTTAATCCAACTAAATCTTTACCCTTTATTTTTTCAATGACTTTATATTTAGCATCTTTTGGTTTTTTATATAATGTTCCAATCAATGATTCTAATAAAATATAATTCTTTTGAGCTTTTTCATCAAAAATCTTTACATATTCAAAATCTGGATTAACAGCTAAGGCAATATTTGCTGGTAAAGTCCATGGAGTTGTGGTCCATGCTACTAAAACTGTATTTTCATCATCAACCAATGGGAATGCAATGGTAATAGCTGGATCAACTACATCTTTATAATTTTGTTGAGCTTCGAAATTTGATAATGGAGTAGTACAAGCAGTTGAATATGGCATAACTCTTAATCCTCTATAAACTGAACCTTTGTCAAATAATTGTTTGAAAACCCACCATACTGATTCCATAAATTCTGGATATAAAGTTTTATAATCATTATCCATATCAATCCATCTACCTAATCTTGTTATAGTTTTTCTCCATTCATCTGCATATCTCATAACAATGGATCGACATTCTGCATTATATTTGTCAATACCCATTGCATAAACATCTTCTTTCGAGGTAATTCCTAATTTTTTATCAATTTCATGTTCAACTGGTAAACCATGAGTATCCCAACCAAATCTTCTTTCTACATGATAACCATTCATAGTTGCATAACGTGGTATAATGTCTTTAACTGTTGATGTTAAAAGGTGACCATAATGTGGAGTTCCTGTTGCAAATGGTGGACCATCAAAGAATGCAAATGGCGGTAATCCTTCAGTCAATTCTAAAGTTCTTTGAAATGCATCAACTTCTTCCCAATGATTAATAACTTTCTCTTCCTCTTTGGGGAAGCTAAATGAACCCTGTGGAACATTATTAGCTACTTGTTCACTCATTTTTCGATACGTTGAATTAATATGAGTAAAAGTATGTTGTTTTTAAAGTGATATGAATATGATTATTAATATAATAGGTTGTATTAAAGTGACTAATAATTAATTTTTCAAGATCATAATAAATGAAACAAATTTTTTTTTTTCAGTACAACCAAAATTGCAAATACAAAATCAACTTAAAACACTTGTTTCACACGACCATTAATTTATTAAATCAAAGTAATTTAGAGTAAAACACCATCAATAAATGTTTATATGACAATTACTTTGAAGCTGTTTCAGCTGTCACTAAACAGAGTGTTATCATCATTTGAATGCCCACCTAAAAATGTAGCCATAGCTTTGTCTGGTGGCCCAGATTCTATGTTATTAACATGGTTTCTTTCGGAGTTTAAGAGAACCTCAGTAAATTTGAATCAATTGAATATCCATGCAATTACTATCGATCACAATTATAGATATGGTTCAGACGTGGAAGCATCAAGCTTGACACAACATGTGGAAAAATGGGGTGTTAATCATGTCATCAAAAAATTGGAATATAATGTTCAAGATCCCAAGACGATCACTAATTTTGAAGAAATTGCTAGAATTAAAAGGTATGAGATAATGAACACTATTTGCAATGATCTAGGTGCACCAGCTTTATTTTTAGGTCATCATCAAGATGATCAATTAGAAACTTTTATTCAAAGACTACAAGGTAATTCATCAATTTTTGGATTAGCTGGAACTAGAAGTATTGCAACTATGCCTTTGACAAGTGATTTGAATCCTTCAAAATTGTTGAGTTTTCAAAGAGTTAAAATATTGAGACCGTTTTTGAGTTTTACTAAACAAGAAATTTTACGAACCTGTCAAACAAATCAAATTCCATACGTGATAGACCCAACAAATTCGGATATCAATTTGACAAGGAGAAATTACTTAAGAAAAGTTATTGGAGAAACTTTACCGGATAAGTTGAAAGAATTTGAATCTAAACATGGCTCCTCAGAATTATTTCCATATAAGTCAATTATGAAAGATGAAATTATCAAAACTCATCAAAGCTGTGTGAATCTAGTTGAAGACTTCGAAAGAAAAGCATATTTGATGCACCGATCTCTTTCTAGATCTAACAAGATTCATGAGTCACCATCATTTAGTAAATTACTCATAGAGTTGCCAAAAAATTACTTTGCGGGTACCAACAAAATTACTGTAAGCAGATTTTTATATCAAAGACTATATCCTTATTCCACTTTAAATCATTATCATTGGGCATATGCAAAATTGGAAAGACAACTAGTACCGAAAATTGCAAATTGGTTGAATATGAATCGACCTACTCCTTTGAAATGCACTATGATGAACTTAAAATTTAATATTTCAACTAAGCCGTCCTCAGTTTATATGGAAATAACAAGAGCACCCTTGACACGTTCTGAAGTGTTAGGCTTGGAGCAAAAGTTGAATATTGATGAAAATTGGTCAAAGTGGTTTCTATTCGATAAACGATTTTGGTTACGATTTCGATCAAAGAAAAAAGAGAAATTACTGATAGTTGTTATTCCTTACTCACACAAATTACATTGCAAAATGGTTGGCAATTCTTTGAAGCTCAAATATGCAATTGATAGTAGAATGGATGCTTTACCTATTGTGATGCAAGATGGTAAGATACTTTCGTTTCCTACATTGGAAACCTCTGCTAGTGAAATTGATTCTGAGTGGAGTACAAAATATAACAAATTTGATTATCTTGTTAATTAGTAGAATTGATGTATATAAATTTTATAGAAATGAGAGTAATGAAGTAAATCAAATTTTATCATCTTCTGAGTATTATTCTCGGTATATGTTTTTGTTGTATGCAGGCGCAAAACGAACTCCATAATCAAACTGAAAAAAACAAACAAACTCATTAGTTACTAGATTAAATTTAAAATCTAACTCAATCCATTTCATGAAGCAAGGTTATGCCCTCGGTGAATCCAGATGAAATTACAAATGGCTCGGGAATGCATAAAATGTTGGGAGGGCTCTCACAATTAACACCTAGACCTCGATTGTCTGGTATGCCTTCAAACTTAACAGGACAATCGATGTTTAAAATAGGGCATCAAAAAATCAATATAGATGTTGATTTATCAAATAATTTCATTGAAGGAGTTACAGAAATTACAGTTTTACCATTATCCAACAAACTAAAAATAATCAAATTGGATTGCCGTGAAATGAAAATTAAAAACATATTTATTAATGGAATAAGAAATTTAAATTACATTTATGATGACATGCTATACATGAATGATCCTTCGATGTTTGGAGATGATATTCCAGACGACAAAATCAATGTATTTGACTTATATTCGGATAGATACAACATGCACCAACACCATTTCATAAAGCAAAAATTAAATTACATATTTGCGGAGAAGTATGATCGTGAAGAGGAAGATCCGCTTGACATAATTAACACTCAGGAATTGAAAATTCTACTACCTGATAATATGAAGTTTGAATTAACTGATGTGAACTCGATAACAACTCCATTAGGTAGTCAACCAAATACAATGACTCCTACTCATTTAAAGTCTAAGAATACATTGAGTGAAGTTTATACACCAATTCATATTAAAATTGAATACAGTTTGAAAAATTCAAAGAATGGAATAAATTTTGTGACAAATGAAGATTTGAATAAAAAATCATGGCATGTCTATACTAGTAATTCAGAATACAACGTTTCCACATCATCATGGGTTCCTTGCATAGATAGTTTAAACAGTCGATCAACATGGTCACTAGAGGTAAGTGTGCCTAGAACTTTACGAGATATTGGACATCCTAGGTTGATAGGATCAAAAGAGGCTTCTCGTTATTTTTTGGAGCAAAAGAAAAGAACTGAAAGCAATGAAGAAGACGATGTGGAAGATAATGAAGATAATCCAGATTTGGTTGTTTGTGCCGCAGATGTAAATAATGTTAAGGAAACTCCACACCAAATAGATCTATCGAAAAAAGTAGTTTCTTGGTCCATTTTTAATTCAGTTTCGGCACATCATGTTGGCTGGGCAATAGGATTTTTTGATAGTTTTGTTTTAGTTGAAAATTCAGCATCTAATAATAACGATTTTGATGATATTAATGAAAATAATGATGTTAATGATTTTAATGAGAAAGAAAGCAACAGTTCTCCAATTACCATCTATGCATTACCAGAAGATATGGAATTGGCGAAAAATACTTGTATTATAGCACATAAAGCATTGGATTATTTTCTGAATGAATTTGGTTCATTTCCTTTTAGTTCATATAGTTTTGTATTTATCAAATTTTCACCTGTGGGGCATAATGGGTATGCTGGATTATCAATCATGTCATCATCATTACTTTATCCCCCGGACCTAATTGAACCAATGTTCACCACCACTGATGTCTTATTGAGGAGTATTGCTAGTCAATGGTCAGGAATAAATATTGTACCTCGTAGTTTTGAAGATATATGGTGTACAATAGGAATTGCTGGATTTATGGCAATTTCTTTTATTGAAAAGTTAATGGGAACTAATGAGTATCGATATAAGTTGAAGAAGTTAAATAGCAAAATAGTTCAAGAGGATATCAACAAACGACCTCTTGCTAATCCATTTTTAAAATACCCCGTGTCAGAAAATGATTTAGATTTCATTAAGCTAAAATCACCAATGATTTTTTTCATTTTAAATAACAGAATGACCAAGACGGATAAATCATTTGGACTATCGAGAGTAATTCCAAAACTTTTTTTACAAGCTATGTCTGGTGAATTACCAAATGGATCATTAGGAACTGATCATTTACAATACGTATGTGAAAAAGTTAATAGGAATAAGTTGGAAAGTTTTTTCAAGCAATGGGTGTTTGGTGCTGGTACGCCAAGCTTTAAGATAAGTCAAAGGTTCAACAAAAAGAAAGGTATGATCGAAATGATTATACGGCAAGTTCAACATCATGAAAACAAAGAAGTGCCATTAAATACAAATTCATTTATAGATGATGCTTTATGCTACTTGAATAAAGAACCTGTGACTATAAGGCAGAATGTGTTCACTGGTCCAATGACTATTAGGGTTCATGAGTCCGATGGTACGCCATACGAACATATCATTCATATAAAAGAAATGAAAACTACAATCGACATACAATTGTCCAAAAAAATTCGAAAAATCAAGAAAAAAGATGAAGGAGTAGATCCAGGTATTAATTTTAATCAGTTTGGAGATGTTTTAACCAAGGACCAAGAGATGCAAAGATGGGAATTGAGAGATTGGGATAAAAGAGATGAAGATTCTTTAGCAAGTGAACCATTTGAATGGATTAGGGGAGACGTTGACTGTGAATGGATAGCTAAAGTTGATGTTTTGCAACCAGACTTTATGTTCGGATCACAACTTGTGTATGATCGAGATGTTGAAGCTCAAATTGATGCCATCAGGTATCTTGGGGAAATTGAAAAACCGTCTATTGTTTATTGTACAGCATTGGTGAGGACAATAATGGATGAAAGGTATTTCTACGGTGTAAGAATTGCAGCAGCTGAATCCTTAACTAATCATTCGAATGAGTCGAACGATTTTATTGGAGTAAAGTATTTGATTAGAGCCTATAAGCAGCTATATTGTTTTCCTGATAGTACAATTCCAAAATCAAATGATTTTAATGACTTTAAATCCTTTTTGATTCAAAGAGAAATTCCAAATATTTTAAGTAAAGTTAAAAATCATGAAGGTAAAGTTCCATACGAAATACAAAATCTCATATATAACTTAGTGAAGTATAACGATAATTCTATGAATGAATATCAAGATTCGTTATACATGAGAGATTTGATCATTGCTTTAACGACTTGTGCAATAAGTGGATGGCGAAAAGATTTGCCTGAAAGTAACAATGTTGATTTTGCTGAGAAAGTTTATGAGGAAATTGTTAGGATACAGAAATTGGATGAATGGAGACCATCTTTTCAAAAAGTATTACAGATTACATGTGTACGATCAAGAATACGAATGGCACTAGCAGGAGCAATAAAAATACCCTTGGAAGAGTTGTTACTCAACACATTAGATGATAATCCAATTGATATAAGAATTGAGTCGTTTAAAGGCTTGTTGTTGTTGAGCGATATGAGTAATGAAGAGATTAATGAGTATTTTTTGAAAGTTAGCCTTTTAAACTTTTACAGAACATTGTACACCAAGAAGTTGATTTCAACGTTAATTGAGTCTATATGTTTGATTGCAATTAATGGGAGTTATAACAATTTTGAAGATGAGCGGAGTGAAATAACTAATGCTAATACGGGTCCATTGGATTCTTCCAGGATGTTAATAATTGATGAAGGGTCGAGTTCTGACATGAAATCAAAGCATGACAAATCTGCTAGAACAACTATAATGGGTGCAATAGAAATATTAAGAAGAGACTTGGCACCAAATACGAGTTTGCAAAATATTTTATGGGAATTACTTCATTCGTCTTTACTTGGAAACCTTGAAAAAAGAAATTTATTCTTGATTTCAGAAATTTTATATCAAGAACATGATTCTTTAATTGTAAAATTACCAGTCCCAAGCTTACCTTTGCAAGAATTCAAGAAAAAAGTCGTTGCTAAACATTTAGGTGACGGAAAGATTGTTTTAAGAAGAGAAGGTAGGTTTAAAATCCAATTGATATCGAGAAAGTCTTCTAATGCTTTGATATCAAGTAGAAAATCCAGCAAAGTAGAGGAAAATGGTCACAACAACAGACATCATCATCAACAACATCGTCCTCAATATCAATCATCTAATTCGAGTTTCCAAGAATCTGGCTTCACAAATTTTAAAAGACCCGCACTAAAAATATCATTCAAATCTTCATCGGAACATCATTCGAATACCAAAAGCGAAAGACGTAGATCAGAAACTGAATTGATCGAAATATCCGACAATGAGTTTCCAGACTCACCGGTGACTCTTGGATTTGAGTCAGAGTATGTTAAGACTCACGGAAGTTTAGTTACTATCAAACTCGAAAAACTCAAAGTTCCCACATCTTCTTTAGTAAAGTTAGATCCATTTGACAAAGGTTTAATTAAATTCAGGTTCAATAACAAGCATGCATTACTAGATATCACATCCCATTCAAAAAATAAAACAGATAATTCTCAGTCTTTGGTGACAATCGATCCTTATAATCATACTTTAGTAACCATAAAGCTGAAGAAGTTGACATGAAAACCTCAGTAAGTAGTTCAAATGCATACCGTAGACTCTATCGAGTTGTGAATCATCTTATAAGTATATATTAACTTTTACTACTATCTATCCCTTATATCAGATGGTGTTCTTCGTAGTTTCAATAACTTGGTCAGAAACTGGTTTTACGAAAAAATGATAAATTGTGAGAGCCTATATAAAAATTTAGAAGCACAAAATTAGAGTTTGTAAATTGATCTATTATATTAATTAATTTAATTATTTACCAGATATTGCACATTATAGAAACCTCATCCATTACTATCATTTCAACTGTGATAAATCAAAGCATAGATAAGATTAGTAAGACGACCACTATAATCTGAGATTGAAAAATAAATGACTGTTTAAGTCAAGCAATAATGTCATTCAATAGTCTTGCCTTTAATGTCTCAAAATCAACACCTACTACTTCTACTAATAATACCAATACTACATCAACAAAGTCTTCAACTTCGAATTCAGACAATGGCCTAGCACTCTCAAGCAAAGCCAAATCCTTATCTGCAAACATTGAATCAACACTATCGGGAGATGATCCCAAATCAGATGCACATGATTCACATGCCAACTCAAAAGCGAATGATTTACATGATGAATCAAATACTCCACACTCGACAGCTCATGCTGTATCGCCGTCTTTCGGGAAAAATGTCTCCAACATCAACAACAACTACAACGAATCTAAAACATCATCCATCAAGTCACATCCCTCGAATTCGAAACTAGGTTTTAGTCCAACTTTAACTGCACCTCCTGTTGTAACTATTGCATCCGAAAATAACGATAAACTTGGTACATCAAAGAAGATAAAAGATAGTGCGGGCACTAAAAGCTCGGATTTGATAGGCTTATTTGATAAATTCGATATCAAAAGTAGTGAAAGCGGTTCAACTTCTGAGATCAAACATGATAACAACCAAGATAAACAATCTGATAATGATGTACTGATAGAGAATGAAAAATATGATAGTGAGCATGAACAAAAATTAGAGAAAATGCAACTGGATGATGAGGATTTGATTGGAAAAGTAGAAAAGGAAGGTACGGAGAAAATGATAGAAGTAAAGAAACCGGATGCTTTAATCAACACTATCGATAACTCAAATGGAAAATCACACAATTTATCATCAAAAAAGATGGATCAAACCGCATATTTGAGTATGACAATACAGCCTTACAATCCACCAGAACTAGAAAATACAATAGTTAACAGCGAATTATCAAATGTGTCAAATTTAGAGCAAAAACCTACCGAAGAAGAAAGCGTTGATATCAATAATGAGAAAGAGCATCTAACATCAAATTCTCAAAATGAAACCATGGAGTTGTCAGAAACATCAACTAAAGCAGGTTCTAATATTACTCAAAAAATCGATTCTCATCATAACTCCAATGAAGAAGTAATTGCAGTTGAAGAGCCAAGCAATCTAATCGACAATTCAAGAAATGAATCGAAAAAAACTAATGATGGTCAAGGTCAAGGTCAAGATGAGGTTGGTTACAAGAATGAATTGGGTCAGATAGCTGAGGAACTGAAAAAATCTGAGGATCTCATCGACTCAGACAAAATAATTGAGTTTGATCAAGAACGCTCGGAGGATACAGTACCCAAAGTACCGGAGGAAAGTTCCTCAGAGCATTTGAAAGGCTCGAAGATTGAGGAAAATTATAATAAAAATGTTTCTCTGCCTGACAGTTCGCAATCCACAAAAAATGAATTAGGTGACATTGCTGGTGATGAATCAGAGGACAAAGGAATTGAAGAAATCGTTATAAACAATGAAGAGCCCTCTACCGAAATCGAATCAAAAGTGAAAAGTCGAGTAAGTAAAACTCCTTTGAAAATCAAGTATAAAGTAAATCCGAATGAGCAGCATCAGCAATCTCACAAAGCATTTGATTTTCAAAACTTTTTGGTACAATTGAGAAAAAAGCCCGCTGATCCTATCGTTAGATATTTAAGATCATTCCTTGGCTCTTACATCAAGCAAGTTCATTCGTTTTCAGCTGAGCAAAGAATATCTATTATTACAGATTTTAAAAGCTTCACTAATGAGAAATTCAAATTATACGAACCTTTTGCTTCAATGGATAGTATAGATTTGGAAAACTCTCGAGAAGGTTTAGAAAAATTAATTATGAATAGATTGTATGATTTATGTTTTCCTCCAGAAGTGTTCAATCATTCTACTGCATTATCCCAAATTCCTCAACCATATCAAGATGATTTGAAAGAAGATAAGGAATTTTCGACACAATTAGAGAAGTACAGTTGGATCAATGGATCACACTTCGATATTGATATGACTCAGTTCAGTACCCTCAATGTTAAAGATGGTCAAGATTTTTTTCATTTCGCAATTTTGGAGCTTAACAAAATCAACAATTATCGAGCACCTAGAGATAAAATTATTTGTATTTTAAATTCATGCAAGATTATATTCAGTTATTTGAAATTGAGTAAAAAAGAAACCAATGCTGATTCATTCATTCCTTTACTTATATTAGTCATATTAAAAGCTAAAACTAGTCATCTTATTAGTAACATCCATTATATTGAAAACTACAGGGGCGAGGAGTGGTTATTACATGGAGAGACAAGTTATTATTTATCATCGATTCAAGGTGCTATTAGTTTTATTCAAAATTTGAGTAGAGAGGATCTAACAATAAGAGATGAAGAATTTGACGCACATATGGAGGCTTGGGATGCTGAACTTAAACAGAGAGAAAAACAGGAGAAAGAGGAGATGGAAAAGTTGAGGCAAATTGAGTTGCAGCGTCAAGAGTTCATAACGCAACAGCAACAACAACAGCAGCAGCAGCGGCAACAAGTACAACAACAGCAACAACAACTACAGCAGCAGCCAGAACAACAACACCAACGAAGCAGCAGGCCATCAACTCCAAAACGTCGATTGTCCCAACCACAACCAAGGCGCATCTCAAATCCCAAAACTATGGAAAATGTTCAAGCATCTACCCAGAATACAGGAATATCTCCGTCAAATGTATTATTTTCAAGTGCAGAGATGTTCACGAGATCAATCTCAAACTTTTTGTCACCACTGCCTCAACCTAATACTGTACCTAACAATTCAAGTAGAGATTATGTATCTTCAAAAGCACCCATCAGCTCACCTCCACCACCTGCTTTACCACCGAGAAGTTCACAACATAGTATTCCACAAATAAGTAACATCGAATCTTCGAATAACACCACGGAAAGTACCGCTGAGACAAGTAATATTCAATATCAACCTGAACCACCCGCTGAAGAAGAAATTAATTCAGAACAAATGAAAAATGCATATGAAGTGTTGAAAGAAGTATTTCCTACTTTGGACACAAATATTTTGAAAGATGTTATATTCATAAATAAGGGGGATGTGGATGTATGCATTGATGCTTGTTTACCATTAGTCGATGGATGATTGTGAAAGCTATAACTTTATATAATAAAACCTGTCAAAGGACTATTGTATCACTTTTATCTCATGCGCTTAAGTTCCCTGTTTTCTTTAGTTTCAGCCGCCGATTGGCTTTGTTTGTATCAATATCGAGAGCTACTATTTATTTGATAATAAAATATGGTCGACGATTTTACAATCTGAAACAGCCCAGGATTATTTTTCCTAAATAGGTAAATCAACTGCAATAAGTAAAATTCACAATGTACTTACATACAATTACACATCCAAACAAATAGTAATAGGTAGTGAGCAACTAGACCTTAGTTTGAATACCCTGGTAGTCCCCAAGAGTTTTAAAGCAGAAACATTTGTATTGCCCGCAAAATATATTTTACGTCTTTTTTTTTCAATATTAATTGTGTATTAGATCAGCAACGTCTTTGCTCTGCAAAAAGCATTGAATAGTTTTTCAGCGCCGGGTGTTATTCGAGAGTGGTATTTCTCTACGCGTGTTGCTGCAACTAGCTTTCAATATCTGATTCAAAGAGTTGTGATAAATTTGCAGCAAGTGGAGTGTTTTCAAGTTTTTCGTTTTAGAGTTGATTAAAGGAGATTCGGAATTTTAACCCTAAACGAGTTAAAATTACATTCTTATCAACTTGTACTTATAAAAGACTACTCACTATGTACAACTTATTCTGACTCGATTGATATAAAATGAAACCCTATCCACCTCAATTGAAAAGTTAGTTTATATTTTAGACCCTGCAATCTTTTCAAGAGTCGACTAAGCTATCAAATTAAATCAATAAATAAAATACATTCAATATGCCTATGCAATACAAAGAATCAGCAGAAGCTCAAGGAGCTAAACCACCACAAATTCCATCACCAGGTAATAATTCATTTTTAGGTGATATTTTCACTTCCGATGCTCCAAAAGATAAACAAATTTCTTGTGGGTTTTATAGACAGGAAAAAGGTGAACCATTAGTGTATACCTATACTTATGATGAAATGAAAATAATTTTAGAGGTTGAAGGTGAATTTACATTGACAGATGAGGTTGGAAACAAAGTAAATGCCAAAGTAGGTGATGTTTTCTATTTCCCAAATGGTACCACTATAACTTTTGAATCAACTGGTTATGCATTGGCTTTTTTCACTGGGTTAAGACCAAACGGAGCTCTTTAAATTTAGTTTTATCTCGACAAATCAATATACATAAATTCTTTGCATGAAATTCTAAACCTCTATTTGACAAGTGCTGGACATTGAACTTTGGTTGCACTTTAAACTGTGTTTGAAATTCTCTTGATGAACATTCTATGCAAAATTGATGTCTCGTTCAAGTTTCAGAAATATTTTTGCGTCAAACGGATCGAATTTTGTAGAATTATTATGAAGTATTTACACAATCTTTAAAACAGTATTGCAAGTGATAATCAACCACTTTTTGCAGTCACTTACAAACAGTTTGACAATGCCAATTGATTATTCAAAATGGGACAAAATTGAGATCTCCGATGATTCAGATGTTGAGGTACATCCAAATGTTGATAAAAAGTCATTCATTAAATGGAAACAAAGAGATATTCATGAAAAAAGAATGCAAAGAAATGTTGAGATAAAGTCAATTCTAATACAATTGACTATGTATTCCAATTTAAATGAGCGGGTTGATTATTTATTATCAATATTGAAACCATCAGAATTATTAGATGCATCATTGGTTAAAAGAACTCTAGATACCAAATTTGATCCTAAACAAAATTTCAATTATGAAGAGTTAATTAAGGACAAAGGTGATACATTGAGAAAAGGGTTGAAAGACTTGACTTTCAGCAAAGAAGAAGTTGATAATCTTCCACCATACAATGAAATGATTGAAGATTTATTTGTACAAATAAAAGAGGATCACGAGGATGCTAAATCAGATGGAAACAAATTGATAGAGTATTTGAAAGAACATAGAAATAAAATCGATGACGTTTTGAGTAAACAAACCATCAAGTTGGATGATTTGTTGAACCAAAAAGCTCAATTGATCGTGAGTGATGATTTACATACTGGTTTTGATAGGTCATTCTTGAATAAAGATAAAGAAGAAGATGACGAAGAAGAAAAGCTGCAAACAACCCCATCATCATCTCAAAAAGAAACTATTACCACCACTGAAACCCTTAATTCTCCATCATCAGCTAATGTTGAATCTCAAAAACCTAAAACGGATAAAGATCTACTAGATGAATTAGAAATTTTACCAGAAACCGAAAAATTTGGCAGTATAGCAGCTGAAAACTTATCCGAGTCAGCTGATTACCTCATTAAACATACCAAAATTTGTACCGAATCGCAAAAAGACGCTTTATTAATGACTGCTTTTGATGCACAATTAAGTAATGACAGTTCAAAAGCTAAAAACATAATACATCAATCACTAATAATTCAATATGTCACCCAATTGAAAGGCAATAAGAATACAAAAGATGATACGATAAGAGCTATTAAATTACTATTTGGCAAATTTCAAGATAAAGATCCGAAAGTAGAGCAATTATTCAAAGAAGAATACACTAATCTTGTCAATCATATCACGAAACGATGTGAAATCATTAAGCAAGAAGAAGCGGCAAGAGCTGAAGGTAATGAAGGTCAAGAAGAAGAAGCATTACTTCAACTAAGAGCATTAGATGATAATACAAAACTATCTGTAGCTATTCCGTCAGAAGGTACTCCAGAATATAAAATATTTCATGAAAAATTACCTATTGAATTTCAAAATGCTATCAAAACCGAAAATATAGATGAAATTAATAAAGAATTTGCAAAATTAAAGTTTGAAGATGCTGAGAAGATTTTGGATGTTTTTAATGAGTGTGGAGTCATATCAGTCAGTGGAATTTTGGAAAATGAAGAGGAATTTGAGAATTTGAGAAATGAAGAAGCATCTACTTAATCTTATATTAGAGTTTTAAGAGCTTTTATAAAATCAGAATTTTAATGTAATGAATGATCAAACACATGTGTTTTCTGACATCTGAAGCTGTTTAGACTCTACTGACATACTATCAAAAATTAAGTGTTCGACCCAAAGTTCTCTCATACTTCTCAATTTTGAAATGAGCTACTTCCGATAGTTTCATACTGAGTAAATACTACCAGCATTGAATTTTTTAAAAACAATAGGAACTTAAGACAAAACGATCGATAAAATCGAGACTTCTATGAAATCAAACTACACTTCAGTACATATACCATAATTTTCATAAAAGAAATGAAATACGTGGTTTCTAAAGATTACTTGATTTTGCTTTATTTGGTTCTCTCAAGTTTAATGCTATTAAGTTGGTTAAGATATGATCTAACAATTTTGAGTACTGTTACCTAGTTTTTACGTTCACAAGAGGAATGTGTGTTGACTCAAAAAAGGCTTTAATTTGTAAATAACAGTAGCAGATCTGACAATATCGTTTTCGTTGTTGAAGTTTTATCTCCTCAAAATCCCTTTTGCTATCTTAATTGGATAGTTAGTATACTAATTATGAATCAAATTTTGATATAGTCAGGTGTATCATAGTCACAATTAGGAATAGTAATTAGCTAACATGAGTTATTCAATCAACTTTACTGTATCATTTATATCCATTACGCTTGGCTGAGAAGGTCATGCTAGATAACCTTGGAAAAGAAATATTGTCAGTTGGATGTTCAGAAAAGTAGGGCTTATTATTTAGTAAATATAAAAACATTCATCATAGTGAACATTATAAACTTAAATGACGATCATATCATAATGAATAATGTACCTCAATGTAACCAATGCAACGGCTCAATAATAGCTCATCAATTAAGGTTAATTTCCTGAAAGCTTCTGTAAAGTTTCCAAAAGTGATGCATTCGAATCTTGCTGATTTGATTGAGGTTGAGAATAGGAACTATTTGCATTTTGAGTTTGATTTGATTGTAATCTAGAAAGCAATGCATTTGGGCCAGTTGCTTGAGCATTATTTTGAATTGGGTTATTGTATCTAGAATTTGGGTTAGGAGTAGTGGTTTGATGGGGTTGAGGTACATTTCCATAAGGTTGATTATTAACAGGATTAGGTCCATAATTTCCTCTTGGACCTCTACCATCTCTACGCAAATCAGAACTTCCATAATTTATTGTAGGTCCCCTGAAACTTGGCTGCGGTTGAGGCGGTGGCTGTTGAGCAGGGTTCATTGACATCAAAGGAGAAGTACCGTGTTGTTGTTGCTGTTGCTGTTGTAATAGATTTATCATATTTTGAACTTGAGCCGGGTCAAGAGATTGTAAAGTTTGCAAATAGTTCTGATTGCTAGGTGCTGGTTGATGAGGCTGAGGTATTGGAACTCCATATTGATTGAAATTTGGTTGAGGAGGTGCTTGTAGTTGAGGTGCACCATAAGGGTTGTAGTCCTGATGCTGTTGTGGAGGCACTTGTGGTATATAAGGTGAAAACTGAGCTTGTGGAACTTGACCATATGGCTGTTGCTGTGGAATGTATGGTTGTTGTTGGGGAATTTGATTATCATTCGACCAATTTTGATTAAAGTTGTTTCTATTTCGATTAAAATTATCATTAAATCTTCCCTTACCACCTCTACCACCTTTCCCACCTCTATTTCCAAAGTTTCTTCCTCTATTATTTTCATTATGATGATGGCGGCCACCAGTTTTATTGTTGTGTTTATCATTATCATTATAACTTGTATCTTGAGGAAAATAAGGCGGTGGATTGTCTCCATATTTTGCTAATTTCACTTTGGTCATAATTTCAGCAGCCTCTTCCGGATCTATATCTGCATATTCATCAAATTTTATTCCTCCATTTAGTTGAGTTTCATAAGTTTGAAGATCAACTTTTTGTTCTTTAATAACACAAGCACCTAAAACACCAGAGTAAGCAGCTTCACTAAGCACATCAGTAATATTCTTTTGAGTGACATCTTCAGTGTCAACAGTAATTTGAGCATTAGCAAATGTTTTTTTAACTTTTCTGATGAAAAATACAGATGATTTCCCAGTAATAAACACACTACAATCACAATTGCCTTTAATTCTCTTTCTACTTGGCTCATCATCAGCTTGTCTTTCTCGTCCTCTTCCATTAAAATTTGGATTATTAACTTCAGGATTACCAGAACGTCTTGATTTTTGAGGTTTTGACGCGTCTAACCTCAATGTTTTGTTGTGTAATGGAACACCTTCTTCTCCCTTGATACACTCCATACAAGCTTCTGCTGTTCTAAATTGTGTAAATCCATAACCTGCTTTTATAGCAATTTGAATGACTTCTCCGTATTTTGAGAAAATTCGAAACAAATCTTGTTTTGAAATAGTATTAGCTGGTAAGTTACCAACAAATAGTCTCAGTTTATCTGGAAACTCATCCCAATTCTGCAAATTCATATAATGATTTTCCCTTTCTATGAAATCTTCGTATTCTTGTTCTTCTTCTTCTGACATTGGAGCTGTTATATTTGGTCTACGACAGTATTCATTAATTGGTATCAATGGAACTGGGTCTTTCAAATTTTTGAAAGGCTTATTATATGAGTAAACTTGATTATAATTCATATGACTACCAGGAAAGCTATCTCCCAAACTATCAATGCGTTTCTGAAATATTTGTGCTTGTTGATCTAAACCTAATTGTAGAATTTCTGCATTTTTTGCAATTTCATCTTGAATGATGTATTCAAATGCTTGACGAATGACAGAATCCGATGCTTTTGGCAAATTCAGGGTTTGAGGTGTTGTTTTTGATGACGAAGTTGTAGGTAATGATGGTTTTGGGGGTAAATTAGGTACAGCGGGTTGATCTATTTCAGGATCATACTCGTCGTCATCATCTTTCTTTTCATCATTTGATTGATTATTAGTTTGTTCACCATGTGGGTTTTCAGTTAAACTCACTTCTGGAGGACCATTATCTACTTCATCTGTTTTAAATCTTTCGACTTTGTCTTCATTCTGCTCTTCACCTATATCACCGTCCAGTTCATCATCAGATGTTTGCCCTTCCAAAGCTTGATCTTCTATCACTTTCGGTTGCTCAACAATTCGAACAGATTTTTTCTTTTTCTGGGTATTAGACTCCAAAATTAAAGGCGATGACTCGGATGCATCATGCGTCTTATCAGTTTCTCTATCGTATGTTTCTTCATGAATTTCATCAGTTTTCTTATCGTTTGTTGAACCGACCTGTTCTTTATCACTTTCATTTTGTGATTCATTAACAACAAATTTGTCCACGCTAATGTCTTCCTTTTCATCTGTAACTGGTTGGTTTATTGAAGAGTTATCATTCACTTCGTCGACCGACTTGGTTTCCGTAGATGGCAGCCTTTCTGATCCCTTCCTATGTAGCGTTATTGGATTGACCTCCATTATTAGTTTGATTAAGTTTTGTAGAATTGAATGATAACATGTACTGTTTTCTTGCTTACTACATAAAGCTGTTTCGCCCTTTTGATATTGAAATTGTCACTACCAACTGCTTTTTTTATTATGTAATTTTCCATACGTAATTACGTAATTCATAGCTATTTACCAAAATGGAAATAATCAAAACATTACAATTTTATAACTTGGATCCATCATTCTTATCACTTGAAAAGAAACATCAAGTTACTTTATCACAACTGAACTTCTTTGCTCAAACCAATTTCTACCTACCACTATTGATTACTAGTTACCATTTTTTGTTCTGGGAAAGATGGCGTTATTTCAAAATTTTAGCACACACTCTTTAAGATCAACAAGAGGTTTCAAATTAAAGCAACCATCCCCTATATCTAGTCCGCAACCAATCAACAACTCAGCCTTTCCAATCCAGCAACAACAACAAAATACACATCAACAGGTGCCTTTGAATCAATTTCAAACCATAAACAAGGATCCAGCTTTTTCACAAGAACAACAATCGCAAATTGGTCAACCAGTGTCATCACATAAAGATATAAGAAGTTATGCTGAGCAAACTTTAGGGTCGGATAATGCTTTAATTCAAGCAGTAAAACTACCAAGAGACGAAGATTTGAACGAATGGTTAGCTATCCACGTGGTAGACTTTTATAATCAGATAAATATGTTATACGGTGCAATTACTGAATTTTGCTCCCCAGTGACATGCCCAAGAATGATAGCAACTGAAGAATATGAATATTTATGGCAAGATTCCAATCCTACTCCTTCTAATCCAAATGGTGTATCTTCCAATTATAATAGTGCCACAATAATATCTTCACCTAAGAAACCTGTATCATTACCAGCTTGTGAATATATCGAGAATTTAATGAATTGGGTCCAAAACTTTTTTGACAACGATAACATTTTTCCCTCTAAAATTGGGGCACCATTTCCACATCAATTTCCAACTTTAGTTAAAACCATAGTAAAAAGATTATTTAGAATTTATGCTCACATATATTGTCATCATTTTCATGAAATAAGTGAATTAGGTTTACAAAGTCATTTAAATACAAGTTTGAAACATTATGTGTTATTTGCTACTGAATTCAATTTGATAAGCAGGAAAGATTATGGACCATTGGAAGATCTAGTAGATACAATGTTGAATAGATAAAAGATTATAGGGATTATAAAAGCTCGACTTGACACATTATACATAAGTGATCGGATGGATATTGATTCATTCTAGGCTGTCCATTGGGTTTTGCACCCATTTCTTCTGGGGTTGGTAATTTAAGTAGTTTTGTTAATTTAATACCATATTTTGAAAGTTTTTGTGGTGAATCACTGTTTAATGGTTTATTAAATTCATTCTTATCCCATGGAATTATTATCATTATATAATCTAGCATCCCATTCCATTTATCTACCCAGTTTGAAAATGATGGTTCATTGTTCGTGTTCAAAGCATTTTTGGGATCAACAATTTTATAGCCAACAGAATATAGAGAAATCGCAATGACATTTAAATCATTATGTGCATTTTCAAGTTGACTCATAATTTCTTCCAGCTCTTTGGTCGGTATGAAAACATCTGGCTCTGGATTTTTCGGGTTATTTTGTCTTTCGATCTCTCTCTGGTCGAGAACTTTCGATTCATCCTCTTGACCACTTTCATCATCATTATCGCTATCATCCTCTTCTTGCATTTTATCTTCATCCTTTTCAACTTCCTCTTCCTCGTCTTCGTCATCCAATGATCGTTCTTTTGAAAAAGTGTAACTCAATGAACAACCTAAAGCATTCTTCACTGAACCTTCGTACACAACAGGTTTGTTTACCATCGATAAATATGGAGCATCAAATGGTTCTGAATTAAAATCTCCCGTGAAGAACGAATAAAATTCGTTATTCGTTTTCAAAAGTATACTCAATGTGTGTTGAAATTCTTTGAGCTTGTGTAGAATCATATATGTTTGTAAGCACCTTTCATAAGTACCAAAAGGATGCCAAAATAAATGAGTGGTCCCAATAATAATCCCGTGTTTATTCAGTAAATATGAATACTTGTTCAACAATTCTGGTTTAAATTCCAAAAAGCACATAAAGCCAACGTTCTTTGTGATGATTCTAGCATCCGGGAGTCTGACTTCATCAGGCAAATAATTAATATGATTGTCATATTTTATGAAAGATTGATATTTACAAGTAAAATAATTTAACTTAAATGCAATGACAAGTCCATGATTTTTCGTATTATATCTATAAAACTTCGAGTCATACCCTAACTTTTTCAATTCTTCCTGCCAAAAATGATAATATTGAAACTTGTCACATTCTTGTAAACATAAAATGGTTGGATTATACCAATTTATTTCCTCATGTAATATCTTTGACCTAACCGACCACTTTAATATTTTACCATTAGTTGGATATAAATCTCTTCGAATCAAACATTGAGCTAGCATATTATAGCTCATTATAGCAATATTAAATTTGGAATCATCGAGTGGCTCCACCTCAAGGAAGGGGCGCTTGATAAATTTTTCAATTGGTCCAGGTGAATCGAACACACCTCGAGCTTCTTTCTCTTTCCGCTCATTTTCTTTCCTTTCATTTCTTAGTCGTCGTTGTTTCTCTATGTATTCAGGTGTTATCTTAGATGGATCCATGGGCTTCTTTGTACCTTTTTTTTTCGTCATGTTGAATCAGCCGTGGGTTTTGGCTTTAGTTGCAAAATCATATTGATTTATTTTTTGGTTTTTTAATACATGTTTGAGATTTAATTTCAAAACTAATGATCTAAATTCTAACCACATTACATCATTGATAATGGACATCTATGAGAAGCTAAATCAAATACAAGACCAAGTGTTTTCACAATTAGACTTATTGGTTCAAACAACAGACATTAAAGATGAAGAAGAATACTCAATTGCTACATCAACTATTTTTTCACAAATCCATAAATTACTTCTAACTTTCAAAGACTACCTTCGAATAGTAAAATTAAGCAACCCTAAAGCAGCTGATTCATCCACTTATCAAATTTATGACTTGAAATATAAATCTTTAAAATCAAAACTAAAATTTTTAGAAATTTATATAAACGATACACGAGATAGAAATTTACAAGAATGGAGATTAGATCATTTCAATCTAACTGACTTATCATCAATTGGGAACGAATCCACAGAGTCTCAAATGAGAGAAGAATTATTTTCAAATAGATCGTTACAAAAAGCCAATGAAAAGTCAATCGCTCAACAAATTCAAGAACAGAACAACAAAATCACATCCTCATTACAATCTTCGAGAGATTTATTATCGGCTTCCATACTACAATCTGAATTAAATATTGATTCAATTGATCAACAAACGAAAGATTTGGCGAAATTAAATGAGAATTTTATTCAATTTAGTGATTTATTAAATAAACTGAAGGGTATAATTAAATTTATTGAGAAACAAGATAAGCAAGATAGACAAAGGATTTATTTGAGTGTTGGGTTTTTTTTATTATGCTGCTCTTGGGTCATTTATAGAAGAGTGTTACGAAGACCAATAAGAATCTTGTTATGGTCTTTCTTCAAAATTTTTAACATATTTGGCTGGTTGTTGAGTTTTGGAAAGAAAAGTCTGAATGTTGAAGAAAGAGATTTTACCGCTTCATTGATAGCGACATCACATGCAACAGTTGCTGACGCATTTTCTGCTACGTTGATCACTACTGTATCTGAAATTTTAGAAGCTACTATTTCAGCGGTATTGACAGATGGACTAGCAGATTGATAAATAAAAAGCCAACTTTTGTATGGGACGCATACCATTAAACCTACAAATCAGCATTTTGTCTGATAAAACCCACTTCAATCAACCATATTATACCCAATATTGTAATATCATATTTCCAGGTTTCTAGACTTTTAACGATATGAGACTGTTCACATATGAGATAAATCCATATAAATGTCCGCAGATATAATGAGCATTATTACTTACGACAATAGAATCCTAATTGGAGTGATAGAAATTTAGACGAAGAGGTCGATAAAGTTAAGCTTAATAATTGATTAAAAAATTTGAATGCTTAACTTACTATTGATTGCCAAAGATGTAATGCCAACGCCAGGATCATCGACTCAGCCATTAATTAAGGTAAAATACTTGAGGTACAAGAAAGACGAAATCGAAGACGGGTTTTTCACTGCTACATTTAACTCGACGCTAACAAAAATGGCCGCAGCATGAATATCGTTTTTACTAGGACTTATTACATTTTTACATACTTCGTCTATTGAGATTGAGCAAGAAAATGCGTCTTTAGTATATATAGTGGTCAAATAAAATCGAGGTTTTAACGTTAATTTTGTTCTATGAATTTAGCATTTTTTCTCTATTTCTCTAAACAACTTCTACTTTTACATTAGATCCTCCTTTTGAAGATGACTCCAAAGCAGCAGCCACAATCGCCAAATGATGAAAAGCTTTTGATGGTGGTACAACAATCAAATTTTTATCTTTCTTTATTACAGCTTCTGCAAAATTTTTAAATTCTTCTTCAAAAGTGTTTACTTCATCAATTTCAATAAGTGTCTTTTCACTCTTAGTTTGGCCGCTTGTACCAGTTTGGTAAGAAATTGTAGGTTTATTTAATGAAGGAGACCAATCATATGTAACTGAACCATTTGTTCCAAATATAGTAAAAGATGTAGATTTATCAGTTGCTCCAAATGCTGATCCATATGTAAATGTACCAATAACTCCACTTTTCAATTTCATTGTTGAAAATAAGATGTCATCAGTTCCACTTTGTTCTCTTACTTGTTTGGTTAAACCACTAACGGATTCGACATCACCTAATACTTCAATCAAAAGAGCTAATTGATGTACTCCTCCATCACTTAAAAATCCACCTATATGTTCAGGTTTTAATCTCCAACCGGTAGCAAGATATTTGTTTTCATCATTCCATGGTCCAGTTGCATTATAAGTAAAACCAATAATATCTCCAATTTTTGGTAACACTTCATTTTTAATAATTTTGATAGCTTTTAAAAATGACCAATTTTCCAACACAGCAATTGGTAAATCCGTTTTTTCACTCAACTTAACAATTTCTTTAGCTTGTTCTAAATTAGCAGCAATAGGTTTTTCAAAACATATTGGTTTGTTTTTTTCAATTGCTAATTTAACGGCATCTAAATTGAATTGAACTGGTAATAATGCATCCACAAAATCAACTTTAGAATCATTAAAAACTTCTTCTAATGAATCATATACTTTTTCTTTTGATATACCTGCTTTTTCAGCAAATGTTTCTGCTTTTGATTTTGTTCTATTATAAGCTGCAATTGGTTTCAAATTTGAAATTTTTTTAATAGTTGGTAAATGTGTATCTGTAGCGAAAATACCTGTTCCAACAATGGCTAAATTTAAAGGTGATGACATGACTTGATTGAATAGGTTTGACAAAGAACAAAAAACAAAATGGTAACTCAAAGTATTGGACTTAGCTTAAAAAAATTGGACCTTTTTAAAATCATTTTGAAACTTCGGACTTTTGGTAGGACCCTCCGCATGAGATATTATTTCGGAAAAATACATTTAAGTTGGGGGACTTAAAATTCAAAAACCAATTTTTGGAGGACTATGTTTCAATGGCTTACTAATTACCAACTCAAATATTGAACACAATAAATCAAATAGATTTTGAATATCAGGTCAATCAACGTCATTCATATCAATTATTTGTAATGGAAATGATTTTATAATGCTAGTGCTTTTCCTGGTATTTAGATTTGATTCGGCAAGAATTGAAGGGTAAGATTTTGAATCTTTCAATAAACTCAAAGTTATAAATGTTGATTTCGTTATTCCAATTAATGGTAATATAAACCTGCTTATATCAATGAAAGTATTTGAACCCAACACTTCTAACATCATTCGTTTGTGCCAGTGTAAATTTAGTTTAATAAATTTCCTACCATTGATTGAAAATACAAAAGGATATATTTGTTCAATTGAGATATACCAGGATGTTAGCAAATAATTGAAATCCAATAGTAATTCATCAAGCATCAAATCAGTGGAATTAGTTAATGCATAAATCGAAATGTCTATTGATGATAAAGTAATACATCTATTATAGTCTCTGAATAATTCTTCTTTGCAAATGATCGAAAATGAATGTTGTGAATCTCTCAGCACTTCTTCGGTAGTTGAATAGTCACATAGGGTCCAAAACTTTTGGAATTTGGATGAAATTAATTGAATTAAATCTGTATTTGAATCGTCCTCGATAAGTTTGTGATTGTTTATGAATATCTTTATGTTGATAGCTAAAGTTGAAGCTGGAATAACAACTGGACCCAATTTTAAGTCCAAGTTATGTTCTAGCATATAGTATATATCATTTTTACGTATATTGAGTGACATGTTCTTATGATAATTTGATTATAATAAGATCTTGAATTTTGCAACCAAATTACATTCATACACAAAAAAAATATAATGATACAATTTAATTCAATTAATGGACCAACTTAAATTTACATTACGTTCAAATGGAAAAGGTCTACTATTTCACAAACCAACAATAAATCTACAAACAACCCAACAACAAATCAAATCTTTACCCAATTTCAAATCAAAATTATTAGCATATTACAAGAGATTTTACAAATTAAGAAATTTTGAATGTTCTCCATCATTATTCAAAGTAGACAATTCTCCATATCATACTCCAACTATTACTTCAGATGAATACGTGACATTACTCAAACGTCAATTTCAACGAGGAGATTTTAATTTAAAACGTAAGAAATTTTTAGGTCTACCTCCAATAACAGAAGATGAATTGATTAATGAAAGGTTATTGAACACATTATGTTTTATCTTTAATCATACTACTGCTGCACCAAATCCAAAACTTGATAAACTAATAGTTACTGAACAAGATGAAATTGAATCTAGTGTTGATACATTAGAATCAAAAGTAGTTAGTACGATACTACGAATGGATTATGATTGTCCTAACTTTATTAAATATGATTTCAAATTTGATTGGGTGAAACAGATTGATGCTTGGTTGGATAACAATAGAAATGAGGAGAAGGAACCATTAGCAGACATGGAGAAGGAGAATCAAAAAAGTAAAAAAGGAAAAAAATCTGGAAAACAAGGTCCAATTGGATTGGATTATCTCAAGTATAAACAATATTATACCACTTTAATGAGAATGAATGAAAGTTTAAAAACATGTTTTTGAATAATTCATTGAGCTTGAGTAGTTTGTGTGAATGATGGGTGTATATTACATTACTGTTTATAAAAGTTGGTGTCTAGAATTTATCCTGTATATACTAGCTCTTATATATTGCATTTGTAAAATATAATATCAGCAACTATTATCTACAGTTTACCAAAATTTTCAAACTTAGCATATAAATCATATAATATAAAGTAAAATGGGTTGGTTATCATTCGGATCAACTAAATCAGAAATTCCTCCTCAACAACAACCACCATTGCCAACAACAAATCTTCAACAGAGATCTCATAGTCAACTAACTACACCGCAATCACCGATAATTGATTCAAATTATCCAAAAGATACTCAATCATATCAACAACAATTAAACAATCAAGAGTCAGATATTGAAACCACGTTAAACCAATTAAGTCATAAACAATTATCATCAAATGCAACAACTGATTCTAAAACAATTGAACAAACATCAAATATAAATGTTCAAACAATAAATACAAAAGAAGTAACTGGAGTAGTTACTAAATTTTTAGAAAGTTATCCTATATCAAATTTATTTATTATAGATGGTGAAAGAGATTTAAAAAAACTGATAATATGTACTTCAAATAACGATAATGGTAAAACTTGTTTAAAATTAGGTATTAATTCAATTGAATTATTTAAAATAATGCAAAAAAATGAATATTTTTGTTCTTTACCAAATGATGTTGATGCAACTTATTTTGAATGTAGAAAAATACAGTAAAGGAGTAATATAAAAGAGATATTACAATTTTTTAAGTTAAAATTTTATAAATATAATAAACATTCATCACTGCGTTAACTATTAATTTTAGTATTTAAACTATACTAAATATATATTTCATCTCTTTATACCATAAATGATTCTCCACATCCACAAGTACCTTTTGAATTTGGATTTTTAAAAATAAATCTTGAGCTTAATTTATCATCTAACCAATCCATTTCTGAACCAACAATTGAAAATAATGCTTTTGAATCTATTAATACTTTAACACCATCTTGTTCAACAGTTTCATCAAATTTTCCAGGTTTATCAACATATTCTAAATTATAAGTTAATCCACTACAACCTCTATTTCTAACACCAATTCTTATTAATTTTGGAGTTGGTTGATCTAATAAAGCTTGTAAATGTTTTATTGCATTTGATGATAATGTTATTAATGCTTTTCTTGGTTTCAAAGTTCTTTTCTTTTTAGGAGTAGATGTTGTATTTGTAGTGGGTATAGTTGATGTGGTTTTGGGTATTGATGCTTGAGTAGATTTAGTATTTTGTATTGAAGATGATGCTGCTTGAGTTTCAGGATCAAATGCTATATCTATTATTTCAGAAGCTGGTTCTGATGGTTTCTGTTGCTGTGATTGTTGTTGAGGCATTGTTTCTTTTTTGAACCTCGAGGTCCTCAGCCTCCGTACTGGTACTTGAGATTGTGATTGTGATTGTGATTGTAATTGAGGTATTTGTTGTTGAGGTTTTGGTGATTGTGATGAAATAGGTGATGATGGAAATCCTAACGAATGTTTAGCCCATTTATTTAAAGGAGTTTTGGTGTTACTACTTGTATCATTCCTATCTATAAGTTTTGGTTCTCTATTTTGATCATTATTATAAAAAAATGAAGATGAAGATGGATTAGTATTACCGGTTGATAAAGGTATTGTTTGTATGTATCTTTTATTACTATTACTACTATTAGTTTTAATTTCTTGTGATAAAAACCTCTTAGTCAATTGTATCGTCGATAATGATCTTCTTGCTATCATAATCTTAGTGCTTGGTGAGAATATATATGGTTATCTGATCTAAAATGCAAATTTTTGAAAATGAATTTAAAATTGGGGATGTGTTTGCTGTATTTCCTGTAAGTCTAAACCTTGAACTGAAGTCAAATATGTTTTAACTGTAATATGTAATGTGATATACTAATTTATTGTAAATATAAATGATCTTTTGTAAATGTTATTTGTAAAGTAATTGATAAAGCAATGATCTAATATAATTATTAATAATAACTACAATAGTAATAGTAATAGTAATAGTAATATAGTACTGTATTATAATTTATTGTGTGTGTGTGTATAAAAGTTAATAATTCTAAATAATTCTTAAATTGTCACTAAATACACTACCATACTTTATAAATATGTGACATATTATTTTACTATTATATAACGTAATAATATTTCTAATTGATTTAATTGGTTAATTTAAAAATACTAACAACAATTTTCGATTCCGATAAATTGAAAATGCTTTCATAGAATAGAATTATATTTTTCAAAAAATCCATATAGCTCGAAACATTTACTTCAACAAACTATTAATTACAATGCTAATCGAGTGTCACTAGCTTCATTAACTAATTTGTTTCACGCTTATAAGCGCTTCTACATTCTTAAAGTTTATTTGAAACTAATTGTTTGAAAATTTGCAACTAAACCAAAAAAAAAAAAACAACAACCTACTAAGTATTTTGTAAAATGTATTCTTTGTATTACTTTATATAGATACCCATAATAGATTCGAGCAAGTAAAAATGTCTTTGACAAGTCTTCAAAATACTGAGGATTCTAAACTACTTCTCAAACCTGTTTTGAATCAAATTGTGGTTGTTTCAAAATGTTTTTGCGCTCATTTTTTGAAATAATATGGTTTACTCTTAACGTGTGCGGTACGGATGCAGCTTATTTTTTATTCAAGAAATTACATAAGAATTGTTTGATATAACGAATATGGCAAACTCTAGAATCAAATTGATCGCAAAGTTGATTACTACTTGGTTTTAAAACTTTCTCCACTAATTATTTCAGAAGAATTGCTACTGGAAAATAAAGTTAACAAGATCGACTTAAAAAGAACTGGCAATATTTTTGATGCATAAGAAGTGCAAGTTCGTGTAAGTGGTTATAGCAAGATCAACGGCTGAAACAGTCAGCCAAAAGGTACGAGAGTATTTCTCAGTCGAACAGCGATGATTCTAGATATTAAAGAGAAAGAGACATCGTTTGAATTTGTTTATGATTCAACTTCAGCTGTTCAGTCAAGAGTTCTCTTGATCAAGTTTCAAAAAAAAAAACGATCCTATCCCACATTTTTGATCATATCTCTATCATTTACTATCATTTACTACGATCGTTAACTTTTTGCCATGTCTAATATTTCTAATCTATTTGTATTAATATTTGTACATAATCTATGTGACTCTATTCATATTACTTACTAGATTGACTTTTGTGTGATCTATCATCAGCCTGTATATTCGATTCATTATCAACGTCTTCTTCATCTTCATTTATTATAAAATTATCAGTATCATAATCAGCAGAATTTAATTCAATTTCATTATGACTTCCCATCTCCAAATCATCATCAAAATTACCAAATACCAATACATCATCATTCACAAATCCTCTTTGACGAAAACTTGCCAATTTTATTTGCATTTTGTTATAAATTATATAAGTTACTAAAGTAGCTGCACTACCTGTGATTATTATACTTATAATGTCCACTATCTTGCTTGTTGTCGAACTTTCATTATCACCTAAGTCTTTCAATTTTGCTCCAACAAACAAATGTATTAATAGTTTTGGTGATGTAATGATTGTGGCTAATACATATGTCGTTATTGGTAGATTTGGAATTGCTGCTAAAGCACCATTGGATAGTGAATAAGGTAACGGACACAATCTTATCAATATCAATAGTAACAATGAATTATCTTCATTTAAAATTTCCGCAAAAGCTTTGAAATTTTCATTATATGCCATTAGTTTATTCGCTTGATTATTTAAAAAATATCTAAAGATCAAAAATGAAGCGGTTGAACCTGCAACTGCAGCTGATGCTAAAATTGGCCATCCTTGTGGAAAACCATATATCATTCCAGTAAGAAAACTTAATGCTGAAAATCCAATTAATGGTGGAAATCCAACTATAAATATCAATGAAAATATAATCAAATTACCATATTTTAAATCATGCCACTCATTTGATATCAGTATCAATATTCTTATAAAATAGCTATGAAAAATAATAAACAATGTTCCCAATATTACCAATATTATGAAACCAAATACTAGTAAAGCTTTGATAGGAATTGATTGTTCAATGAACCATTCTTTAAATTTTTTGCCAGTATGAATTAGACTTGCTACCTTTTGAGCAATTGTCTCTCTTAGTGTAGGGGTATTTCTGAATTGATCGTAGTTGACCCGACTATCTGTTGAAGGTAGATGTGGCATGCAAATAAAATCGTTATTTAGGTTAGTTGAAAGTTATAATTCTTAGTTTCAATTCATATGATCTCTATCTTTGCTTCTAAAATTGGTTCATGCTGCTAAGCTTTTTTCTTTTATTTCTTAGTGGAAAATTCAAGCCGCATAACTTCCTGATCTGAACTTGTTTCAAAAATATTCTTTAATTCTTATCTTCTCTTGCATTTTGTAAAAGTGATAAATTCTTTGAATATCTTTTAAATTTTAATCGTGGAGACTTACACCTGCAATCGAGAGAGATAAAAATGCTAAATTTGTCTCATTTCATTATGATTAGTTTGCGATTCACGTGTCCCAAATTTACAATAGATTATAAATCAAAAATTTAAATTAGTACAGACAATTATAGTCAGTTTTTCAATTAAAAATAGCGTGGCTCAAATACAACCATTTGGATGGAAAACAACATATGAAAATCATATTTAGAAGTAATGGTTTGAATACGAATTTGTTTTATCATTAAAGGGTCTAAGTTACTAGTTAATTGATACGCGCAAGACTATTATTGATATTCCTATTGTATTGAAAAGATCAGCATTAGAAACTCGAAAAAAAAAAAAAAAAGTTGTTGATCTTCGAGTTATCACTGCAACGTGCATAAATCTTTTTTAGAGAACCTCGATAATTTCCTATTTCCTATTGTCAAAGATCTATTGTTCACTCGTATCTTTGTTGCAAGATAGAAAAAAGAATCGAGGTTTAGGGCTAATTATGTTGCACGTTGTATAATCAACAATAGTCAATCATAAACATAAATATTAATAACAAGATGTGAAGTATAATCAAGGTTATGCAATTTGCAAATATAATGGAACTGGTTCCCAATTAATTCCTAAATTCACTTTCAGGTTTAGTTTTCAAACTGATTCAACATCTACAAGTGAAATGCTTTTATCATTATTGTTAATATTATACCATTTATCAATTATAGCGGCATCATTTATAGCTGCATCCTCAGATGGTTATGCTCCTGTTAAAGTATCTTGTCCTGGTGGTCAATTGACTAGATCATCAACAACGGGCTTAAATCCAGATGAACAATCATATATCAATTCAAGATATCAAATTGCAAAGCAAAATTTGGCTACTTTCCTTAATGATGCTAATTTGAAAGACTTTGATGTATCTAATTTTCTTAATAATGCAAATCCAACTATAGGTTTAGCATTTTCTGGTGGTGGATATAGAGCACAACTCTGTGGAGCTGGTCAATATGCTGCTTTAGATTCAAGAACTAATGTTGTAAATGGTAAAGGATTAGGTGGCATTTTACAATCTTCGAGTTACATTTCAGGATTATCTGGTGGTGCATGGCTTGTTGGATCATTAGTGTCGAATAACTTGATTTCAATTGATGACTTAATTAATCAAAATTCACTTTGGCAAACAGAACATTCAATTTTATCACCTTCTGGTAATTTTTTGAAAGATATTGGTGCTTATTTCAAAATTGGAGAACAAGTTCATGGTAAAGAAAGTGCAGGATTTGATGTCACTATTACCGATATTTGGGGAAGAGCATTAAGTTATCAATTATTAGCTAATTCACCAAACAATGGAGCAGGCAGTAAATTCAGTGATATTATAAACCAACCAAATTTTCAAAATCATTATAGTCCACTTCCTATTTTAGTAGCAGATGGAAGAGCACCAGGCACTAGTGTTATTAATTTGAACAGTACAGTATTTTCAATAACTCCATTTGAAGTAGGAAGTGAATCACCTTCTTTACAATCATTTGTTCAAACAAAGTATTTGGGTACAGAATTAGATAATGGTTATCCCGTTGATTCATCAACTTGTATTAATTCATTTGACAATGCTGGGTTTTTATTTGGAACTTCCTCCTCATTATTTAATGGAATAATACTTACATTAGGTCAAACTAAATTGCCCAATTTTATTACAGATTTAATTAACAAATTTGCTGTCGATCCATTTGAAAAGTTAAATGTTGATGTTGCTAATTACAGTCCCAATCCATTTTACAAAAGTTCAAATCCAGATACATCAATCGCGAAATCAAAGACTTTATATTTGGTAGATGGAGGAGAAGATGGTCAAAATGTTCCATTGGATCCTTTATTGCATCGTAATTTAAGTACGATCTTTGCTTTTGATAATTCAGCAGATAATTTACAGTGGCCAGATGGTACAAGTTTAGTTAAAACTTATGAACGTCAATTTTCAGCAGAAGGGAAAAATTCCGCATTTCCATACGTTCCTGATTCAAATACTTTTAGAAATTTAAATTTAACAGCTAAACCAACTTTCTTCGGTTGTGATGCTAAAAATTTGACAGGTTTAGCTGATGATGTATTCAGTGTTCCTTTAGTAATTTATTTTGCAAATCGTCCCTACTCATATTGGTCAAACACATCAACATTTAAGTTAGAATATGATATTGATGAAAGAAACTCAATAATTTCTAATGGTTTTGCGGTTGCATCAAGATTAAATGGTACAATAGATTTGGAATGGAATGCTTGTGTAGGTTGTGCAATTATAAGAAGAGAACAAGAAAGATTAGGTCATGATCAAACTGATCAATGTAAAAAATGTTTTCAAAAATATTGTTGGGATGGAACTATATATCAAGGTAATCCAATAGGTGATAATTTTGATGAAAGTGGGTTAACTGTTGTTGCTAATGATTATACTAGTAACTCGATACCTGGGTTTTTTGAAACAGGTCCAAATTTAAAGAAAAGAGAGTAAGGAAATTCATGGTAAGGAGAATTTTCGATGGTAATAAAGACTAATTTTAATTTATTAATGCAATATTTCGATTTTATAACGTTGACTTGCGTAGACATGACGATCTTTGGAATTTTTAATTCGTGACACTCAAAAGTAGTGTGTCTTGTTGTTGTTGAAAGTTAGTAATTTTGATAAAAATCAATTTATTTTTCCTTAACAAAATTTTGTTTACCATACAAAAAATTATGCTGCAAAAAAAAAAAAAATTGTTTTATTTTACAACCACTTTTGAATAAAACACTTTCATAAAACCAATACAACTGATACAATTTTAAATGTTATTCGAATTTCTTATAATTGTCATTTCAATTGCGTCTTGGGCAACCTCGGCGTCATCTCATGGGTATGAACCAGAAAAGTCTACATGTCCAATTAACCCATTAGTTAGATCAGCAACAGGTTTAAGTAAAGAAGAAACAAATTATATTGAATCACATTATGTTCTTGCAAAACAAAGTTTAGAAGCTTATTTAAGTAAATTAGATTATTTTAATGCATCAAAGTTTTTAAGTGAAGCAAATCCAACAATTGGTTTAGCATTTTCTGGTGGTGGTTATAGAGCACAACTTTGTGGAGCAGGTCAATATGCTGCTTTAGATTCAAGAACTAATGTTGTAAATGGTAAAGGATTAGGTGGTTTATTACAATCTTCAAATTATATTGTTGGTTTATCAGGAGGTTCATGGTTGGTTGGATCTGTTGTATCCAGTAATTTAATTTCTATTGATGAATTAATCAACAATAATCAATTATGGCAAACAACTAATTCAATTTTAAATTATTTTGATAATTCTGTTGAAAATTTAGAAATGTGGTTTGATATTGGTGAACAAGTTTTAGATAAACAAGAAGCTGGATTTGGTATTAGTATCACTGATGTTTGGGGAAGAGCTTTAAGTTATCCATTGTTAACTACAAAGCCTTATTATGGTGCTGGTTATAGATTTAATGATGTTTTGAATGAAACAAATTTTAGAAATCACTATAGTCCATTTCCAATTTTGGTTGCATTAGGTAGGGTACCAAATACAAATATTAGTCCAAGCAATAGTACTGTTTTCTCCTTAACTCCTGTTGAATTGGGAAGTGAATCGCCATATTTAGGTAAATTTGTTCAGTCAAAATATTTAGGAACAAAGTTAGATTCTGGTCAACCAATTAATGATGAATCATGTGTTCAAGGATTTGATAATACTGGATTCTATTATGGTACTAGTTCAAGTGTTTTCAATGAAGTTGTTTTATATTTGGATAACTCAACCCTTCCTGATTTTTTAAAAGAATTGATTACTGAAATTTTATTAGATCCAATTGAAAAAGCAAATGTAGATGTTGCAATTTATGATCCAAATCCATTTTATTCCAAAAACAATGCAAATAATACTATTGAAGAATCAGAATCATTATATTTGGTAGATGGTGGGGAAGATGGTCAAAATGTTCCATTGTATCCATTATTGAAAAGAAATGTTAGCTGTATAGTAGCATTTGATAATTCAGCGGATTATTTGAATTGGCCAGATGGTACAAGTTTAGTTACAACTTATGAAAGACAGTTCTCAAAAGCTGGTGAAAATACTCCATTTCCATATGTACCAGGTCAATCATCATTTAGAAACTTAAATTTAACTTCAAAACCTACATTTTTTGGATGTGATGCAAAAAATCTTTCAACATTAACTGATAATATTTATGGTGTTCCTATAGTTGTTTATATTGCTAATCGTCCTTTCACATATTGGAGCAATACATCGACTTTCAAATTAGAATATAGTTTGACTGAACGTAATGCTATGATATCAAATGGATTTGCAGTTGCTTCAAGATTGAATGGTACATTAGATGAAGATTTTGATGTTTGTGTTGGATGTGCAATTATTCACAGAGAGGAAGAAAGACTTGGTATTGAACAAACTGATCAATGTAAAAAATGTTTTAAAAAGTATTGTTGGGATGGAACAATTTACACTGGAAATCAAGTTTATGATAATTTTGATGATAATGGTGTAACTAATGATTGGTCTTGGTATAATAAAGATACTATTCCAGGATATAATTTAACTTCTCCAACAAAATTTAAACACCATGGAAGCATTCCGAAACGGAATAAAACCGTAAATTGTAATTGCACTGCTCCGACCCATTGGAGAAAAATTCATTACTAAATTCATTAATATGCTAGGAACCTGAGAGCTAATATAGCTAATTAATCTAATTGAAAAAAAAAAAAGAATGCAATCATTAATTAATTTCTACCTATATCGTTATAAATATATTTACTTTCTAATCTATTCTTCGCCTTCTAGTAATGCTGGTAAATCTTCAACTTTACCATTTTCATATATAATTTTGTATGTGGCTTCGAATAATGGAAATTCATTTTGTAATTTGTATGCTTCTAATAATTCATGAACCTCTTTAGATGTGATTATACCTTGTGATGACTGACCATTTAAGACTGTTTTTTCAGCTTCCCATGCATCTACTTTATGTTCAACCATGTATTTAGCAACTTTCACATTTCTACCTCCTGAACAAGTCGTTATTAAATCAGCAACTCCTGCACTTTCTTCAGTAAAAGTCGATGGATCTGGTGGTGCTAAGCCTTTTATACCAAATTTTTGCCAATAAGATGCGAAATGAATGATTTCTTTTATACCAATTCTCATTATTGCAGCTTTTGCATTATCACCCCATCCTGCTCCAACAACGAATCCTACTGCACAAGCGACAACGTTTTTTAAAGCTCCAGCAATCGAGGCACCAACAACATCTTGAATAACTCTTACATGAAAGTAAGGTCTATGGAAAACTTGTTTCAATACGTATTCGTCAATATCTTTACCTTCTCCTCTGAAATCTTTTGGGACTGTGTATGCAACTGAAGTTTCAGACCAATTACCCTTTGCAACTTCAGTAGCTATATTGGCACCAGATAAAACACCACAATATATTCCCAAATCATCTGTAACTGAAGTAGACAATAATTTACAACCTTCTGAATCAACTTCCAAACCTTTCAAACATGATATGGCTCTTGCTGTTGGTTTAACATTACCTTTCAATTGTTTATTTATTCTTGGTAAAAATTGATGAGGAATATTGAATACTAAAAGATCAGCATCTTTAACAATGTCAACAATATCTGGGTTTGCAACTAAATTAGTTGGTAATTGAATTCCTGGTAAATATTTAACATTTTCATGATCATTATTTATTATTTCTGTCAACTTTCTTTTTTGTCCTTTATCATTCTCTATTTCTTCTTCATATACCCACATTGGTACTTCCTTTTGAAAAATTTCAGGTTTTTCAGCACAATTTTCAGCAACTAATTTGGCTACTGCTGTACCCCAATTGCCTGATCCAATTATAGCAACTTTAAAAGGATGTTCTATTTTGTATGGTGTTGAAGCAGTCATTTTGTATTTGTTATGAATTAATTGATAATCTGTAAAGTTATTTGGAAGTATAAGTTTGTTTGATTTATATAATTTCAATTGATGAATTTGTTGAGATTTAGTAAACGGGAATACTTTTTTATTTATATGAATTTTAGAAAGGGATGATATCATATAAATGAAATTGAGTATTTTGTGATGTGTTTTTTCTATAAAATTATTGTTGCACTTTAACTCTTTTCTTTTTAAAATTATTTCATAATTCATATCTGTATATCACGGGGTTACATAATATGTTACGTAATACTCTATATAGAAATTACGTAAATGAAATACACAAAACTTTGAAAAAGAAACAAAGAAAAAGTTTTTCCGAAATATAGCTTACACAAAAAGTTGATTGTTTATAAAGACAGCTTATTGTTAATAAACGAGTTACAAATATTGAATGAATTGACCAAACCTTGAGTGATTTAATAATCAATTGAGAAATGAAAACTTCTATAGCATCTCATCACGTCGATATTTATTCGGTTGTAATAATGTAAAATTATTTGAATAAAGTTTTTTGAATCCAACAATATTTTTTCGTTGACCCAACAAATTTAATACATCAATTCTCAGATTTAAGATGACTATAAACAACCATAAGAGGGGTGGATATGAAAATAAGATGAGATAATTCTCATACAGAAAACAGATTCTACTTAAATTTTGATAGTTGAGATTGCTACGTATATAAAAATTCTAAGCTATGTACATCTGAATTCTTCAAATGCAACATCTCTATTAATTTTAAACTTAAGTCGAATCGGTTGGAACTTTAGAAGAAATTATAAAATTTGTACCACTCGGTAGCGGATGGGCCCAATAAAATCTGCGTCAAGTTCGACCAAAATAAAGGAGGGGTGAGAAAAGCAAGCGTAGGGATGGACTAGATTTCAGGCCGCATATAAATATATAAATTTAAATTTACACCCCTTTTTGATCCATAGATGTCTTACGATAGTGTTAGAGGAATTTGTGAATAGATCGCGATTAAATTGAAGATCTCTGAGAGTGAATTGATGAGATTTACCGTTGAATTCAATTTCTATAAGTTTCCTTTTTAGTCTTTCTGACTAATATCGGCTTTTGAACTCAATTGCTTGGATTGGCATTCAAGACTCATTTGACAAATATTTTTTACAATTTCTATATAATATTTCAATTCTTTGACGTCATTACAATCAGAAACTTGAATTATATTTGATATCAAGCCCAAATTGGGTTTGTGTATCTAAAATTAATCGACTACAAGACCCTTACACTTGAAGTTTATATCTGAGACATTGAAAATAATAATCAAAGCATAAATTATTCATTTCTTGGCTATAAAAAGATGTCTCTAAATCTATAAACCAAAATCTTCATTATCGTCATTATGTATAACATTATTTTTTCTCCATGGAACATGAGGATTTGTATTCATTCCAGGGAAAGCATCAGAAGTTAACCAATCATCTTGACCTTCTACATCAGTCCAGTCACGAGTTTTAACTTGACCACCACTAATAATTCTAGCAGCTGTCAATGGGTCAAGAATCCCTTCTAGTTGATTATCTTTGATGTGTGAAAGAGGATCAGGTAATCTATTCTCTTGTGGTTTTAACTCTTCAGGTTGTTGCTTTTTCTTAACTTGCTGCGGTTGTGGTGGTGGATAGTTCGGTATCGAATCAAATGACCAGTCGTCCATCTCTTCTGATGGAATGTGAGTGTGAATTGGCTGATGATAGTCTATATTGTGTATGTCGTTATTTACCTGTTGAGTAGAAACATTTTGGGTAGACTGAGTCTCTCCTTGTACATTCTCACTTTGTTGATTTATAGTAGTTTGAGGGACCCCTACTTCCCTAACATCTTGTTTATTTTCAGAATTAACTAATTTGTCACCCTCTAATTCTACTTGTTTATTACTTATTGAACTCATTAATTTTAAAAATTCGGAATTTTGAAATTTTTCATTCATATTTGAATCTTGAGAATTAATTTGATTCATTGAACTTTCAACTAGTTTCGCAGTTTGTGCAAATTTTTCTTTATCTGAGTCTAAATCATCAACGGCAATTTCTGAAGCTTGTTGTTCTTGTTGTTGTTCCAGTAATTCTTTTTCTAATATGTCAAATTCATTTTCAAATTGTTGGTGTTGATTTTGCAATTTATGCATTTCTTGATGTTCTGATTGTTGATTATATTGTGGAATCGCGTTCATTTGTAATCTATCTTGAAAATTTCCCATCGAATAATTTGGATGATATTGTTGATGTGCATGATGATAATTGTGTTGTTGTGGTTGGTGTTGTTGTTGTTGCTCCCGTATTGGCCCTAATTGTTGTGATGATCGTTGTTGATTAAATTGTTGATTCCAATTATTGTGTTGTTGATTTAGTTTTTGATGTTCAATACTCAAGTTAGAAAAATCATTAACCCAACCTTGTTGATTTTGTTGTAGTTTCATATTTGGTTCTGCTTGTTGATTAAACTGTGGTCTATTCATTTGCTGTAAAAACAGTGATGCAAAATCATGTCCATTTGAACTCTGGTTAAAATGTTTGAAATCATTATTTAAATTTGAATCAATTTGATGCTTTTGACGAAATTGATGTATTCCTTGCTGTTGTGGTCCATTTAAATGTAGCCTCTGATGCTGTAGTGATGTATCTCTTTGAGTATGTTTGTTTAAGTTCTGTAACGCACTTGACGGTCCACAACTTGCCGGATCCATCTTTGGTTGTTTTGACTGATGTAAAATGATTTGATAATGAATAATCGTATTTTTTTTTTCTATTAGGTATCAGATATTTCCCCATGAAATAATTTAACCGAGTGCATTTTAATATAGAGATCTTGATAAATTTGCACGACTTTATGGTCAGACAAAGCATGAGTCTTGTATCCTACTTACTAATTACATCGTACCTATTTAATTTGGAGTCACAATTACTTCAGAAAAAACCTCTTGGTGTCAGGAAAATCATGATTCATTCAAAGATCACGTTCATATATTACTCAATCTAAATATACTATCATCAAATAATTCTAAAAACGCATCATGTAAAAATTCATGAATATTTGAAGTTTGCATAGACCTTCCATATTTTTTGAAAGCTTTAGCACTAGCAGATCTGACTAATGAACTAGCAGCAAAACAAGCTAGTAAATGAGCATCAATCTCATCTAGCTCAACTTTATTATCCCATAATTTATCAAGATAATTGTTTGACCAATTTATTAGAGTTGCTGTTGCTCCTGTTAATGTATCTCCTTGTCCTCCAACTCTTTTATTTGAGCCAGGATATGAATTTATCACCACTGACTTGGAGTTACCTATTACATCATGTTCTCCCTTTCTGAAAATTATAATATCTCCCAACTTTTTGGACACTTCTTGCATTTGGTCAATTAATACTTCTTGTGAGTAATCCTTAGAGATGTCAACTGGAATATCTAGCTTTTTGGCTATTCTTTGAAACTCAACTATGTTTGGAGTTATAATTGCCTTTTTATAGTTTAATATAATTTTAGGTTGTATGGATAATAGGTATAATGCATCAGCATCCAATATAACTGGTTTATTCAAAACTTTAATCTCTTCAAGTATACGAACCAATGATTTTAACATCAATGGATCTCTACCAAAACCTGGTCCTACAACTATTATATCCATTTTATTTAATAAACCTTGAACCTTTGGTAAAATCAAATCATCGATAATTTTAGTTAAAACACTATTATTATTCTCCAATATCTCTTCAATTGATAAACTTTTCAATTTATTCAATTCGTCATCGTTTAAATTTAAAATGGGATTTTCCAAATCAATCAAGTAAGGATGTACCATTAAATCGGGAGAATAAGTTTTTATTATAGGGGCAGCTTGTTTTTCACATATTATATGACTTAAATCGGCTCCTACTAAAGCTGCCGAATGAGCTGAAAAAAATGGTGCTCCCGTATAATCTTCATTTCCTCCAATTATACAAATTTTACCAGCTTGTCCTTTATAAAAATTTGGTAATAATGGTTGAACTAATTGACGAGATAAATGAATCAATTCCTTTTGAGTTTTCTTTCTTAGCATTTCTAGTATTGACAAATGAAATGTATAAGATGTAGTAACTGAAGATGAACTTTGAATTACAATAAATAGCAATTGATATATAAAATGATAACTTAAGGGGTTGTTTTTCTAGATGTAGATGGATTTAATGTCTGAAAAAATTCCGGTTTCAGATTGTACTCCGTTAATTAAAGAAAACTTGACATTGAATACGACACACTCAGTTTCTATACAAGTTCCGTTATTTAATAGCAATTCTATATAAAAATGAGACAATTTATGTTGACGTAAATCAACTTTAGGAAGTAAGTACAATAAGATATTAGCCAATATGATTTAATCTAATTGATGGTTATGTCATACTACACTTATACGAGTTGGTCCGGTGAGAATTAAAATCAGTTGTAGTATTTGATTACATAGTTGTTAAATATTAATAATATTATTAATGTATAATATATAATTTTAAACTCCAATAATAATGTTGCTTTATTATAATAGATCTATTTTTTCTAAAATATTTTTCATACATTCAAAAAATCATTTACTTTTCATTATTAAATTGATAATTTTCGAATAGTTACCACTCAATTGAAAAGTATTTGACTCGAATTATTGCTAATTAAAATATGTCAGTATCATTATCTAAAGTTTTAACTCCAAAGTATATTGTACCAATTGTTGGTGTTGCAGCTGCTTCAATTGCCGCTTATCAATACTCAACAGCCACAAGAAATTTTATTAGTAATGAATCTGGTAAAACTTTCACTGGAGGAGATGATTGGATTGATTTAAAATTAAAATCAACTGAAACTTTAAATCATAACACTAAACATTTAACTTTTGATTTAAAAAATCCTGATGATGAAAGTGGTTTAATAACTGCTTCAATGTTAATGACTAAATATGTTACTCCGAAAGGAAATAATGTCATTAGACCATATACTCCAGTATCAGATCCAAAACAAAAAGGAACAATTGATTTTGTTGTCAAGAAGTATGATGGAGGTAAAATGTCCACTCATATTCATGACTTAAAAGAAGGTGATACTTTATCTTTTAAAGGACCAGTTGTTAAATGGAAATGGGAACCAAATCAATTCAAATCAATTGCATTAATTGGAGGTGGTACTGGTATTACTCCATTATATCAATTGTTGCATGAAATTACTTCAAACCCAATTGATAAAACTAAAGTTCAATTAATTTATGGTAATATTTCACCAGATGACATTTTAATTAAAGACAGAATTGATGAAATTGCTTCAAAACATAAAGATCAAGTTAAAGTTCATTATTTCGTAAATGATGCTAAAAATGATTCAAAATGGGACGGTGAAGTTGGTTACATTACAAAAGATTTTTTGAAAAAGGAATTAGAAAAACCAAATGCAGATTTTAAAATCTTTGTTTGTGGTCCACCAGCTTTATATAATGCTATTAGTGGTAACAAACCAAGTCCAACTGATCAAGGTGAATTAACTGGTGCATTGAAAGAATTAGGTTATGCAAAAGAACATGTTTTTAAATTTTAAAATATAGGCAAATTTGTATAGACAGAAGTAAAGAATATTATTATTAATAAAGGTGTAGAATATACAGACAAAATCAGAAAAATAAATTTTCAACTTGTTTCACTCTTTAAATGAATAAACTAAAAATTGCAGTTGAAGGATGTTGTCATGGAGAATTAAATAAGATTTACCAATCGATACCTAAATCAACTGATCTACTTTTAATATGCGGAGATTTCCAGGCATTAAGAAACCAGGCAGATTTTCAAGCTTTAAATGTCCCCAAAAAATATCAAAAATTAGGAGATTTTCAAGACTACTATAAAGGAACTAAAACAGCACCTGTCTTAACTATATTCATTGGTGGAAATCATGAGTCATCAAGTTATTTACAAGAATTGAAATATGGAGGTTGGGTGGCTCCTAATATCTATTATCTAGGTGAATTTGGAAGTGTTTGGTACAAAGGATTATTAATTAGTGGTTGGAGTGGTATATATAACAAATATACATTTTACAATAATAATGGCATAGAGATGGAAAAACTACCGTTTGATTCAAGTTCAATACGAAGTGTTTATCATCAAAAATTAACTAATTTTATCAAAATGTATTTACTAGGTTCTAAGTCTGATGTAATACTAAGCCATGACTGGCCAGTTGGAATTGATAAATTTGGAGATAAGCGTACTTTACTTAAGCGAAAACCATTTTTTAAAGATGACATTGAAAAAGGGGAACTAGGAAGTCCCTTAAACGAAATTTTAATACATCATTTGAAACCAAGATATTGGTTTAGTGGTCATTTACATGTAAAATTTAGTGCAAATATAAATCATAATGAAAAGCAACATAAAAAACATCAACAACTCAACAATCATGAGATCAATTTAGATTTAGATTTTGATGAACCAGAGCCAAAGAATGAAACAGAGGTAATGACTAAAAGACCAAAACTTGATAAAAACTATGAAACTTCATTTCTTGCATTAGACAAAGTCGGAAATAAAAGAAAATTTATTGAACTTATAGAAATAGAAACAAGACTACAACATCCATCTTCAAAAAATTCAAATTTATACTATGATAGAAGATCAATTGCAATAAATAAGATAGTTGAAACAAAATTAAAAAAATTAAAATTAGATCCACAATCAGTATTAAAATCACTAGCTCTGTTAAATCAATTTCTTCCAATAATAGAAGAAGAGATCTCCAAATTGGATAAATTAAATGATGACGAATTTATAGTACCTGAAAATTTTGAAATTATTGCACCTGTCGAATTTGATGGGAAATTGAAATATTTCCCTAATAATCAAACTAAAGATTACTGTGAAAAGTTCAACATACCAAGATTGAATTTAGAGAGCAGTGATGCACCGAATGATGATGTTAGTTAAGGAGGGTTTATTAAAGTATTCTTCTAGCGTCACCTTTGTTTGTGAAATGACGATCCTAAGCACGAGAGGAGTTGCGCCTTTTCTTGCAAGCGCTGGATGAAAGATAGGTAAAGAACTATAATGTACCAAGACACTTGATTCTCAAAAATTCTACAATTTGTTGCATACATATCACTGAATTCCATATATTCAAGCACTCAATACTTCCTCTCTATAGAGCTATCAATTTCTTTTTCAATTCCTTCTATGACTTCTTCTTCGTCAATTTGTTCAACGAGTCCACCAATTCTATCCTCATCTCTCTTGTGCAAATAAGCAATGGCTAAAACCACAAATATAGTAGCAATGGCTGTGCTTAATAATGCAATTGAACCATTTCTAAATCTTGGAGCAGTATCGGCTCCAAAAAACACTATCGACCACCATGCATTCATAGTATTTCCTAACATATTCATTGAACTTATGACGATTGCTCTTTCTTGTAAATCATCAGCACATACAATGTTTGCCCAAGCGAAAGAAACGGTCTGGGCCGCATACGATGCTCCACCTAAGAATTGTGCTGCAAATACGAAAGAAGTATTGAATGGTTTGCATAATTGTAAAATTGGAGATACTATCATTATTATAGCAACTGCTAGATTCATATGCCAATGGTTCTTGCCATTACCAACATTTTTGATATAGTACGCTGCTATACCTGTTGATACTACTCCTACTGCATAAACACCCATAGGTATATGATTTCTATCTGATATTGAATAGTCATAATATTTCAACCAAAGTCCCAATATACTGTTTGATGCAAATGCCTCATTTGATGCACCTGTGATCCAAAGCATACTAAAAAGATACCAATGCCATCTACCAAAAACTCTTTTCAAAAGTTGTTTATCAAATTTATCATGAGTAGGTTTTTTCATATTTTTTAAAGCCATTTGATGTTCTTCCTCAGTAAAATAAAATGGTTTTGCAATATCTGGTGAATCAGGAAAGAATATGAAACCATATATAACGATCGGAAAACTTATTATAAAATCCATAATATATAACCATCTCCAACCAGCTAATCCTTGTTTCCCATCCAAATTTGAATGAACAGCAGCTTGTATAACTCCCGAAAATAATTGTCCTACTAATCCACTGGCAGTGAAAACAAAAGTTCTAATTACCAAATCCTTTTTATTTGGATAATATGTACCTAACATTAAATGAACACCACCAAATATACAACTTTCAAAAGTACCTTGAAAAAATCTTAATATACAAAGTTGATAAAAATGATTCAATCTAAAGTTAATCAAAGTTAAAATAGACCAAGTTCCAGCACAAAATGTCAACCAATATCTAGGTCTAACTTTAAGCATCATTAAATTATGAGGTACCATAGATATAACAAATCCCACATAAAAAATAGTATTACCAATATTAAAATCTTTTTTAATCATATTTAAATCTTCAGCCATTCCTGAAAGATATGATGATGAATATGCTTGTCTATCCAAGAAATTACAAAAATACAATAAGCAAACATAAGTCAATACAAATACATCTAATTTGAACAAGTATCTTCTTGCTTTTGGATCTGATGGTGGAACACCCCACAAGACGTCTCTTGTCTTACTCAAAATTCTGGTAATTTGATTCATAAATTTAAGGGATGATAGTATTGATTCTAGTATTCTGAGTCCAAAAAGGACGGAAAGAACTTGAAGTACTGATTCATTTGCTTTTATGGAAATGGTTTTTGATTTCGAATCATCTTATCTTGATAGATAAACATCTTTCAATTGTTCAATTTCGTTCCAGTTTAGGTATTTACCGCATATTGATTATGTAGAACCACTTAAATTTGTTAATAAAACGGAAAAATTTATGAAGTAAATTAAACGTCAACTTGTCACAAAATTGCGCTACTAAACTTCTAAAGTTACGACGTACTTAAATCGAAAAATGAACTGGATGTTAGAACCTCAAATAATATCAAGTTTCGTTCACTATGACTACCATTTATTACCAATTTTCATTACATCTAAAGCCTAGCAAGTATCATTAAAATTAAGTCACATTGTATATTGCTTTACTTTATCACTTGTTTTTTTTCATAAAGATTTAATACTTTGAAAAAAATTCAAATTGAAATCAAAATCCTTCGGCTCACGATACAAAAGTTGTGACTCTACATTTGAAGCATCGATCTGGAACCTCGAAAGTTTCAATAGTACAATTAATATGATGCTTGCTCATTAAATTTTAAAATATCAACACACAATAAGTTGAGTAATATTTGATTTTCACTTTCCAATATTGTTGTGAATGATTATGATACGGAGTTTTCCGATAGCGTTGTAGCTGAAATCTGGCTCAAAATGATGGCTTAAGTCCACTTTCGGGGATGAGGTGTTTGCAAGACACACTTCGACTTCACTCAACCAAATGAACCACATTTTCGAGCTTTTGATTCACTTATGACAAGTAATCTTAGTATCTAGGCAACTGTTGTCACGTATATAACTAAGTAGTATCATGAGGGAGAGCCGTCACTTCTTCATATCACCAGCTAAGTCAGCATGATTTAATTGCAATGGAACAATCGAATTTTGGTTGGGTGACGTGAGAACTATATTTTGCTCCTCACTGATGATTTTACAAAACTTGGGAGAATAATGATCCTCTAATCCACAGGTTATCATTATTCTTCCAAGTGGATCAGAGGATCATTAATTCCCCAAGTGTCCAGAAATATGAACAGACAGATTTAAATGGTATGCAATTCATTATTTGAATATTGCATACCACTTAAATCTGTCTGTTTCGCCAATATATGATTTTACAAGAATGAAATTTGGTTTCTTCTTGAATTGCTTATTCCATGGATTTAAGTTAGTACTAATTATTCAAAACGTAGTACTTTATACATGAATCTCGTTCTGAATAAAAAGTACTAATCCAACATGGAACAATCAAAAGTCGAGGAAAGGGGAAGTTCGCTGGACATTTGAATAGATTGTTAAAAAATTGGTTTGGTGAACGCTCAAACAATGGGTATTGATATATTGGTTTATACAACGTAAATGTCTCTGGCAATGATCAACTAAGTTCTGAATTGTTGAGTTCGTATATCATTTAAATCGTTCTAACTTTTGAGTTCACCAATATTTTAACTTTTGTAAATCTCAACTTTATGTTCAATTGTAAACAATCAAATAATTCATCCTTGATCAAAGGCTCTAGTTGAACACAATATTCTATTATTCAAAGTTTGGTCATCACTTTACTGATTTCAAATCACATGAGCAGTAATTTAAATGTCCAAAATAAAGTTTTGAAAAAGAGAATGGAATGGAGAAAAAAAAAAAGAAACATCCAATTTTTATCTTCAAGATTCAAGTTATTATTAAAGTCAAGTTTAACAAACAACTGATCGATAATATCAGATCATAAAACTCATCAATTTATAACTAAAGCAATTGTAATAGTTACCGGAACCATCACATTAAAAGACATTAATTATCTTGGTTTTTCAAAATATAAACAATACATAATATTCCACAGTATCCTACCTAACCAGCCTCTTTTCAACAACACTTGATTAATTAGATTCAAATAATGCCTTATGATGCTCACAATCCATTGACAGTGTCACTACCTTACAATTTCATTAATACCAATGATTACCCAACTGAAGTGATGGCTAATAGATTTTCCGCATGGAGATCTATAATTAAAGAATTATTAAATTATTTCAAAGAATATGTTAGCGTACAAGAAGAAATAGTGCGTCAGCAAAATAGACTTCAACTGTCTGTTGGTGCTGCTGCTCGTGGTTTTAATGGAACACCAAATAATCAAGCATCAGCAACAAATCATAATAATAGTCATTCAGATTTGGAACTTATATCAAAATCATTCTTACCAGTGGGGAATGGATCGGTTCAAGACATTTCGAATGTCTTATTCAAATATCATCAACAAAATGTTACCAATGCTTCAAAAACCTTGAAAGATATAAATGTTATTATAATACCAAAATTAGAAGAGTTAAGAAAAGATTTATTAGTGAAGATTAAAGAAATAAAAAATTTACAAAATGACTTCAAAAATAATTTAGGTAAAGAACTAAATGAAACAAAATCTTTAATAAGTCAATACAATCAAGCTATTGAAATGGCCAATAAATTAGATCTGAATCATACATTACATCATTCAGAAGGTGAGCATGGAAAATACGATCCATACTTAGTGAAACTTAAATTAGATAGACAATTGAAAAAGCAATTGATTGAGGAAAATTATTTATATGATGCATATCTGAATTTACAAAATGCAGGTAAACAATTGGAAGGTATTGTTGTAGTTGAGATTCAAAATTATATGTCAATGTTTTTGAATTTAATTAGAGAAGAAAATTCCACATTTGCTAATTATTTAGTCCCAAATATTAGTGAAGGATTTTTATCAAAAGAATCAAATTTTGAATGGAACGCATTTATTGAAAGAAATTTACCATCAAATAACCTAAGTGTTAGCGCCGTGGGAAATCAAACTACATCTTCAGTTAAAAATGGAACATTTATTGATTTAGACATTCCAAAAAGACATTCTCATGATTTAATTATTAGACATTTCCATTCTAATTTGAACGTTGCTGTACGTGAAGGTTATTTAGAAAGAAGATCGAAATTTTTAAAAAATTATTCTAGTGCTTGGTATGTTCTCACATGCAGTTATATACATGAATTTAAAAGTAATGATAGGAAAAAAGATCCACATCCAGTTATGTCCTTACCATTGGATTCTTGTACAGTCAGTGATCACTCAAAAGATGACGGTAAAACTGAAGGTGTTTACAAATTTATCTTGACTTCAAAACTGGCAAGTGCATTGATGCATAAGACTCATAAATGGGTTTTCAGGACCAATACATATCTGAATATGATCGATTGGTTTAATGATATTAAAAAATTGACAAGTTTACCTACCCCATCAGCTAGAGCAAGAACTTTACCTAACAGTACTGATTCTGATAGAGTCTCAAGAAATTCATCAGTCCGTTCGCCTCAAAGATCTTTGAGAACTGTTAATTCAAATACTCCATCAAATTTGAACAGAACAAATACAAAAACCACAACAAATAGACCATTATCTCAAACCACATCTATAGCTAATGCCAAGAGATTATCTTCCACTTTTTCACAAAAGAACAATCATTCACCAAGATTAGCTAATATGATCAACAGTGATGGTACATTGATAACACCAGTAGATTCATATGATGAATTAAAACGTAATCCAACAAATTTAAGTAGTCATTATGTTCCACAAGCTCAACTGACTTTCAGAGCTCAACTGCCGGTTATGCAAATTCCACAACATCAACAATTGAGAGCTCAACTGCCAGCATTACAGTATCGAACACAAGGTCAACTACCACATTCTCAACAATCTCAACCTCAATTTCATCTAATACCAGTTGATTCAATGACAAGTAATGGTCAATTGAAACAAAGTTATGGTTCAACACCTACTAATAATAATGCTTACTTTGGTCAACAACCACAACAATTTTATGATCCTGTCCAACAACAATATTATACTATTACACCGTCTCTACCACCACAACAAACCCCTCAACCTCAAGCATTTTCATCATCTCCTCAACCTAATCCGCAATTTTTAAGTACTTCGCCAGTTACTCAACCCTTTGGATCTGCATATTTCACACAAGCAAATTATAACGACAAAGAACCTATACATACAGGTGCACCATATTCAACTACAGAACATTCACAAAATACAATTCCTGAAAATGAAAATGGACGAGAGAATAATTCAAAAGATCCAACGATTCAAATATCAACAAATAATAATGGGCCTGATCTTAATAAAAATTTACATCCAATTGTACCAAGACAATCATCAGCAGATGAAGTTTCAACATTGAAAAGTAATCCAATAGATAAACTTGGTGATATAGATGTGATAGTCACTAGTAATGCATAGTTTAAATATACAAAATGTTAAAAATAATAACTAAACATATTTACGAAAATTAGTTCTACGTAAGTCTATCTCTAGCAATGAATTAAAAAGTATATATCTTAGTATTTATTGAGATTAATTAAAAATGAATTTTTTTTAAACAACAACACCAGAGTTTGAAGCTATACGAGGCCATAAATCAGCACATTCTTTAGCAACAGGTCCAGTAATAGCAGAACCTTTCATTTCACCTTTTGGATTAACAATAACACCAGCATTATCTTCAAAATATAAATAAACACCATCTCTTCTTCTCCATGGTTTTGATTGTCTTATAACAATAGCTGGCATAACTTTTTTTCTTAATTCTGGTTTACCTTTTTTGACAGTTGCCATAACCATATCACCTGCTGAAGCAGCTGGTAATCTATTTAATCTTGCACCAACTCCTTTAACTGCTAAAACATATAAATTTCTTGCACCTGAATTATCAGCACAATTCATAATAGCACCAACTGGTAAAGCTAACTATAAGAATAAACTGTTAGTATTTTTGATTGAGTTACGCTATTAACATAAGGTGAGTTTGAATTTTGTACTTGTTCTCGAAAAATATCGTTCAATATCAAACCCAATTCTTTCATGTGATGCCACATGGCGGATTGAGGTCATTAATCTCCAATTCAGTCGTGAAAAGTGCTGCTGCTTATAAACATAATTCATTAATTTCTTGATGAGATCTTCTCTGGTGGTTCCGTAGTGCTTTTTATTGATCCACTCATCTCCTGTCTCATGAAATTTCACTGCCCAAATTCATAATTTCAAAAGTTCAATAACTCCCTTCCATATATGTTTTTCAAGAATCAAAATAATCACATACTGACATACGGAATTTGTTTCCTGAAGCACCTGATCCTGACATTTTTAATTATGTTGTTTGGTATTAACTTTGGTTGTATATTGTATTAAGACCTATATAAATTTCAATTTTGTATTGGAAAATTTTTGTTAGTGAAGCCCATTTCCTCGTAATGTATGTGACACAAAATTTATTATTTAGTATTACATACAAAATTTGTGTTATCTATTCAGAGTAGGGCTATAAACATTTAGTCATGTGACTTATTATATATAGAGTTTTTGATGATAATAATACTTGCAAGGTACATTAATGATAATACTGATAGTTCAATCAATCATCTTATCTTAAAACGAATCGTATATTATGAGTAAAAAGACTTCGTCAATTCCTACTTCACTCTCATTAGTTAAGAAATACAAGCGTGGTTGATCTATGTATTTTCGTTGGTTTAATAAAGTTAATCCAATACAGATGTACATTTACTGGAGGACTATGTTATCTAATGCAAGCATTCTTGATATTTTTCATTCCTGATATTTTTCAAAAATGCTAGCATTGGATAACATAGTTTTCTTGCTATCTCCAAAACGTACATCTACAGCAAGTAGTTTTCATATTGTTGATTTGAATATAATCTCTCAATTTGATAGTTACAAATCATTATATTTGAAATTCACGATGTAAGTGATTTAACTCATCTTTTCGAAACGAAAATGTGTAAAGATTTCCTCAAATTTCTTAGTAAATAAATAAAGATTAACTCCAAATGAATTTGAAAGTTTCATTTTAGTTTTAGTTTCAGATTTAAGTCTTTGAATAAAAAATAATAAAATCTAATGTCAAATAATATTTCGTTTCAATTAAAAATTTGTCTAGCACTTAAAAATTATATTATGTCTGATGTCCGGAAAATAATAATTGAGACATTTTCTTGTTATTATTGTGACAATTTCATTTTGTTGAAATCAGCCACAAATAAATCAAAGTAAATTTGTTATATTTTTTAAAAGTGAATGTTATTATCTCAGTAGCTAAACTGATTCTAAGAATTTAACAACTTGATCATCCTAAAACTTCATTTAAACAAAAGTTTCTCTAAAATTGAATTTTCAGGATATAAATGTCCGAATTTTATCTACGACACCAATAATTGCTCATAACTTTTACATTTTACAATTCCTTCACTTGCATAATTTTGTGAATATTGAAAATCACAATATCAAGTAATGATAATCATAAGCTTACATCAATTAACAACGCACGAGTTTAAAAAAAATGCTCAAATTCACGCTCAACTCAAAATCCTGCTGCCGCTGAACGTCTTATTACCGTTTTTGTTTACTTTTTATCAAATCTTATGTTTACCTTTGAGATTATCTCAGCCACAAACTTGATGGTTTTTAATTGAAAGGAACATCGCATTGAAAATTTATTTATTGTTAATTTTTTATGAATAGATTGATTCAATTTATTACATGTAACGTTTGCTGTCTTCCAATTTTTGGAAGGACCAAATTGAATAACATCAATTTCTTTTCTGATCTCTGAATAAAATTATTGTTGATAAAAAATTGAAAACTTTCTTATTTTAAATTTTTTACATTTTTGATTATTTAGAAGTATATAAGGAATCATCGGTATAAATTATCACTTAGCGAATGATCAATAACAAGGTTTGTAATCTCTCAGAAGCGAAGGTTAAATTAGAACTCTTCAATTTCTTCTATATCATCGTCATCGCCTCAAATCATTCGAATTTTGCAATGCAATTATATTTCATTTTTGTGTTACTGTTTTGAAATTTGAAACTTTAAGGTTTATAAACAATTCGCGTATATAACAAAAATATAATTTTGTGTCATTAGATTCTCCAGATCTAGATCAGATCTATTTATTCCTTCATCATCAGATCCAATTCAATTATGATTCTATATTCTACAACGATTTTGTCAGAGTATATTGAAGTACCGGTCATACAACTAGAATCGGTAGAGCCGTAAAATATCAGGTAGATCTATATTAAATAAAATCGTAACGTATATTTATATTATTGTAATCTTACTTTACCCTTATCTAAATAAAGAATAAACCCAAGATCGATTAAAGAAGAACCTATGGTAAAATAAATAATCAAAGTAATCTCTTTTTGGTATAGTATAATCATCAATTATTAACAACTTTTAAAGAACCCGGTTCTCTTGCAATCATATCAGGTAATGAACCATTACTTAATTTTCTTCTACCAAATTCAGGATCAGGAGAATTTAAAAAATTTGGATTATTATTATTACCAGCAGTATTCGGCGTATTATCTATATTGTGATTATTATCTTGATGATCAAAATAATGATAATCATCATTATGTGAACCAAATGAATTACTTCCTATTCCATTACTTGTTCCACTTGAACTATATTTATGATCATGTCCATAGCCTCCAGCTGCTGCACCTGCTGCTCCTGCTCCCATACCTCCTGCTATAGTTGTAGATGTATTATTTCCATTTGATCCACCTCTTGATGATAAAGTTCTTGAATTTGTACCTTGATGTCTTGGAGTTTGTTGTTGAGAAGTATCAAAATGATTATAACCACCAGCTAATAAAAATGGATTTGGATCATTCACACCATTATTTAATGGTCCATTTAATCCATTATTATTATTACTACCTGAAGGTTTTTCTGGTCCTGATAATGTAAATTGATCATCAAAATCATTATCATCTGAATATTTTCTTCTATACCAACAAAATCCAAATATTAATGCAGCTATTACAGCTACTCCTGCAACTGATCCAACTACTGCTCCTGCTATTACTCCTCCTGAAGTTCCTCTATTATGATTTGTTGAGTTTGATGTTGAAGATGATGATGCAGATGACGTTGAAGAAGATGAGGAAGGTGAATTTGATGTAGTTGATGATGCTATATTTGTTGATGATGAACTTGATGAATCTGATGAAGAACTAGGACGTTCTATTATTGTTTTATATACTACTGATTGTTGTCCATTATTAGATGAATTTACTACTGTTGATATTACTGTAGTAGGTGCTATTGATGAAGATGATGTGGTGGAAGTTGTTGTAGGTGGTGATGATGAACTTGAGGATGAAGACAGTGTAGTTTCTGGTTGAGCTGTTGTAGTCTCTCTGACTGTACTTGTTTGAGGTTGTTGTTGTGATTGTGATTGTGATTGTTGAGTTTGTTGTTCTGTGGAAGATCTAGGAGTTGTACTAGTGGAAGAAGAAGTAGTTCTACTACTTGAACTACTTGAAGTAGATTCATTTTCTTCTTCTTCATTCGAAGCATCTGAATTAACAAATACTGTAAAATAACCATTCCCACCACAATTTTCTTTATCATAACCTTGACAACTTGTATCACAATAAGAGTTATCAACTTTATTATTTGGATCAGTTGAACCACAATAACATTGATTACCATTAGTTAATGCAATAATTCTTTTACCAGAACATTGAGATTGACACCACGCAGATGATTGGAACGTATAAGTACCTTGAGATTGTGTGTTTTGTAATGAATTAGATCTAAAACATCCTAATGATGACCAACTATCTGATTTTACTTGTGTTATTAAAAATAATAATTGATATAGTATTGCTTTTTTAGTTATTTGACTTGTTGAATAATTATTAAAAGATTTCATAATTTGTATATCTGTTTTTGATTATTTATTTGATAAAGGATTTGTTGAAAGTTTAAAGTTTGAATTTATATAATCATATGATTTAATGAATGGAAATATGTGAAAATGACAACAAAATATGAAAAATGAAATGAATGAATAGAAAATATCAAACACTAACAACAACAATAATTAATAAATTTTGTAATATCAAAGAATGAATGTAAGATTGATCTAATATGATGATGTGATGAAAGTTTAATTTCAATAAAGCGAATGAATAAATTTCCAATTAATGAAATGAATGAAACAAGAATCAAATTCAAAAAAGGGAAAAGGTGGGAAAAATAATATTATTATTATTAAAGTATAAGGTTTTTTCTATTTTTGTAATATTACTTGTGTACCTTATGAAAGGAAAAATTGATTGAATAAAGCGATTGACTTGAGAATGTTTGTTAGTTGGTTGTTTTGAGTGAATAGTGTGTTTTGGTTGAAGAATGAAGTTGTATATTTTACTAAATTAATTAATGAAGGATATTAAATAAATTGATTTGTTGATTTTTTAAATTTAGAATTTTTTTTTTTTTATTTTTTTTTATTTTTTTTTATTTTTTATTTTATAATAATATTAAATTTCTTTTTCTTCTTCTTCTTATTCTATTGTTTATAACATGAGGTGTTCGAATAGACTAAAATCTTACTTTGCTTAGGTCGAAGTGGAATGAGAAATGGAGGTAGAATAAAGAAACGTACGTTTGATGAAAAAATTCAAATGAAATCATATTTTAATATCCGATAGAGTTATTATTAATTTTCAATTATAGCCATATGAAGATTCTAACATATTAAATAACTTGATGTATCTAAATTTTCTTATGCTGGAAGATCAAAGATCCGTTATTCCTTTTTTTGATTTTATTAAATTGCAAGATAAGGGCTTGAACACGAATTTGAAAACTTCATGGAGGTGTTGAAATTTCAGGTATTACACCAAATTTTTATTATTTTATTAACTCCATATATTATTTACAATTTTTGTGTCTTAATCTTGTAGTAGTACAAATGTAAACTTGATGTATTATATTACTGTCTGTGTCAAAAAAAAAAATTTTGTCGTGAGAATAATCCCGTTTATGAGTAATATCCTGAATTTTTGAGGTTCAGAGAATATTAGTAGTAAAGTGACAAATCTGAATTATGTGCATTCCAAATTTTGTTAGTGCTTTACTAAAGAAATATAATGCTTCATAACGTATTCAGTTTAAAGAAATATGGTCTAGTGAATATTAACTAAAAGTCAGGATTAATGCGTTTGACTCTTATACTTTGTCCCCCTATTCAATATTCAAGGAAACTACCAATATTAAGGTAAAACTAATATGATATCTAAATTTTCAACAGAGTATTTTGAAACTAAATTAAACATATATTTGTTATGTCAGGATCATGAATCCATAAGCTTTTGTATAATTTTATAGGTTTCCTTAATTCAGGTATCTTTCTATGGAACACGAAGGTATTCAGATGAATCAAAGGAGATAAAAAATATTTATATTTAAAAAATTTTGCCAATATTTTAAAATAGGTTTGCATTATGTAATGAATCACTATAGATAGAATGAGTTAGCTTGCTGTTAGCGAAAGACGTAGATGATCATATTTGATTGAGATTTCATTTCATTTTGTATCTAAACAAAGCAGTAAAATAAGTTTTTGCAAGTTAAGGGGTTATCGTATCATACTCGTATTAATTTTTTGTGCAACAATTATACGGCTCGAAAATTTGTATCAAGAAGATATCAAGATCGCAAAAAAAAGGGCTTAAAATTGATTGAATATCTTTATCTTGAAGATAGGATACAAATCAATAGTTAGACTTGTTTAATATTGCTCTCTGGTAAAACTTGTTGCAGTATATATAAATATAACATAATTAGCCTCTGAAATTTATTATCAAATCCTAAAGTTTAATTTGACAATATACAAAAATGACATCAACTAAATTCGATCCAAATTACATAGAACTTGATAACAATCCACCGATTTATGATGAACAAATTCAAGAAAATGGATTAAATTTGAAAAACAATATTAGTTTAGAAAATCAAACTTTGAAAACAACTGATACAAGTGGAAGTCCAACGACAACCACAAGTAATTTTTCAAAAGCACTTTATGCAACTTTTGTTGGTATATTCTTATTTTGTTTATCAATGCCATTAATATTCCAAAAAGGAAATTTAAAATATTTTGGTATTTTTTCATTACCATTTAGTATTTATTTTTTAATAATTATAAATGGATTTATTGCATTTGGTGTTGAAAATAATTTAGGTACTTCAAATTTTTATAAATTATTAAGAAAATCATTTTCAATTACTTTTGGTATTCTGCTTGTTATTACTTTTTCATTATTTTTTGCATTTCCAAATGCAATTTAAGATTGAAGTTCAAATAATGACTAATTTATATGATGAATAGTTGTGTGTGTTAGATCCAGAGCTGGATATTATTTCGCGCTCTGTAATAGAAGTTTTATTATTACTTGAATTGCGCCTGTAGTCTGTAATATTCGATATCGAATAATTAGGTCGAGCCAAATGAACTCTTGTGGCAAATGCGGCCAAATTCCTAGCTCTTCCCCGATTTAGAATAGCGTTATATTTTGCGCTTTCATTTGACCTTTCAAATTCGGGATCTTTTTCATTTTCCGGACATGTGTTTCACCAAAAAACGACAAATTTCATGTATTACGACAAAAATCATGGAACAATCCATCAACCGCTGTTCAAAAATTTTTGTTAGTGGTAGTAACTAAGTTCGTATTCCTCCTCTTTTAACAATGATTGTCGAGTGATATATGTCTTATGGTCTTGGTAGAATCGGTTACTCGAACAATTTCTTCACTTTCGAAGTATTTTAACAAGTTCTATTTTAAGTAAAAACAATTGACTTTTACGGAAATCTAAATTTAATAAAACAAATAGAAGAAGAAAAATTTACGTGACTCAACATAAGATTCAAGAATAAGTAGCAAAACGAAATTTGTGGAACAATAACTCAACAACAATTATAACAATAATAATAATAAGGTTCAATGTATGGAAGAATGAAAATAAAATGTCAAATTCGTTTCATAATAATAAATTTCAGGTACCATTTACTGAAGTGAAAAAAAAATAAAATTAATAATACAGCACAGAAATTGAAAATTAAAAAGACGAAAAATATACAAAATTTAAACATTCAAAAATTGCATATGATTGTTCATTTTCAGTAAAGATTTAATTAGAATTCATGATAGCATTCATAATTGATGGTTTTTACTACACCTAAACTAGCCCGCAATTTTCCATTTCTCCCCCTCAATAAAATTCGTATCTCAGATCTTAGATCTCGATACAATAAAATCGAAGATGAAATAGAAATGTCGGATCTGACATGATATATTTTAAATCGAAGCTTTGACATTTTTAAACACAAAACTTTAAAACTCTCCTGTCAGACAGACAGCTATTTCATACTCAAATTGTCCTAACAAATTTTGGTGATATACTCACCTCAGACCTGTCTCCTATGCCATCCATGTTCACCTTCTCTGGTGATATTATGACAAACCCTTGATGATTAATATGATCAACTTGTAAAAGCATGATTAAAATCTTAAAAACCCTTCAAAAATTTAAAAAGGTCGCAGTAAGTACTGCATATGACACACTGCAGTTTTGATTGGTTTATTGCAATGTGCACTACCAAATGCTTATTTTCAATCAATTTTATGAAACTTGAATACACATTTTTTTTTTTTTTTCAAAACTAATTGTTTATTAAATCAGTAGTCTAGCTTGCTAAACAGTAAAGAAATAAACTTAATTTAAAGAGGAAAGAACTATATACTATATACCATTTCTTATATTTCTAGCATTCACCATCTGAAAAACCCCTGCATTTTTTTTTTTTTTTTGTAATGTAATATCGATATGATGGTCATGATTGATTAAGAGTTTATACTCTTAAGCATGATTTAAAAATATTTGTACCCACTTTTTCAACAATTCTTCGGAAAGGTCTAGCCTTTCCGGCTGAGTTCGTCGGAACCCATTTAATCTTAAAATTGCTCGTAGGTATGTGTTGATGTCCCTCATTTCTAAAGGTGATAATAGTGTATTACATATTAGGATTCGAGATTACTTAGCGTAGTAACTCAATCTTTAATATGAATGGGGAAGAGATGGAACTAAAAGATTGAAATTTTAACTTAACATGGACCTAACGTGGTAATAGTAGGACAATTTTGTGGCAGACCAAGTTCAAAAATTACTAAAAATTTGTAGAAAGACTTGATTAGATGAATACAACGATCTGGCAAACAAAAGTTCTTTACATAAGCCTTTGATAAAAATAGTTCCTTTAGCACTTTGTGACCAAAGATCGTTAGGATTTTCATTTCTACATTAGCTGATTCACAGTCATTTGACTTTAGCTTGAAGGAATTTGGTTGCAAAGACATTGCATCAAACATCTGAACATCAATATACTGAATATTTTGAAAAGTAGTGTAAAGCTTACAAAATTAGAATCACTAACTACGTGAAAAAAATAAAATTGAACTCAAACAAATTTACCCTCTTCTTCTTCTTCTTTTTCATTATGTCAAATAGGATATAAAAGGACAATTAATAACTGAAGATTACAAATTAAGAGAATACCTTAATTCATGACATACCTTTAAAAGTTCTTTAAAATTCTTAAATTAAGAATTAAAGCCTTTTTCGCTAACCACGATCAATATTTTATTATGTATAAAATTTATATTCACCGTAGATCGTTGTTTGATAGTAGTTGGGCTAACATTTTTCAATAAACTCTTTTTTCTACTTGACTCTACTTGTAGCTATTGAGCAAGATATTTTCTACCTCCATTTATACAGGTGTATGGTAAAATAGATTGAGTGTAGATGATAGATCAAATAAAAAAACAAAATCAAATTACGTTATCAGAAAACTCCATTTAAGTTAGCACTATTATTAATGACAACTACAATTCAATTACAACCATCAATTCAAACAATAACAAATATAATCAATGAATATGAACAAGAAATTCAGAATTTAAATCTTCCCAATTTAATAACATTAATTAATCAAGGAGATCAACAAAAAACTAATTTATTAAATAAATCACCATATTTATTGAAATTAAATATACAAATAATTCAACAATCATTAGAAAATCAATTAAAAATTTTAAATTCCAATTATAAAAGAAATAAAAATTATAAACAACTAAAGCATAAGATTGAATCATTGCTTATAGATTTAATTGATGAAAAAATTTATATATTAAATAAATTAATAAAATTATATAATTTTCAAAATTCACCAATAATTGAAGAGAAAATAGATCGAGAAGATGAAAAACAATCACAGAATGAATCATCTGTACTTAAGAATAGAAAAACCCTAAAGACGACAGAAACAGAATCAAAAAATTTAGAAGAATTAAGAAAAAGATTATTATCATCAAACACCAAGTCTTCATCAATTGAACAAGATGCAACAACATCAAATGAATATCATGAATCAATCCAAACAGATATAATAAATGAATTAACATCATTAACATCACATTTAAAAACAAGTGCTCTTACCTTAAGTTCAAAAATTTTAGGTGACGACCTAAATATAATAAATGAAACAAATGAAAATTTAATTAAAAATTCTCAATATTTTAAAATTATTGAAAATAATTTAAATAATTATTTGGGAAACAAACTGGGTAATAAAATTAGTTTATGGTTTTTAATTAAATTATCTGTTTTTTTGGTTGTTGTTTTTATTGTTATGATTTTATTTATTGGAATTATTCCAAGGATTAGATAATTACATAGTCTAGTTAATGTTTAATGATTTTTACGATTCAAGAGAAAAGAGAGTACGTTGTAGAGAAACCAACTCTAGATCCTTTCTAATTTTAACAAAGTTTATGCGTAATATTTAGATCATTATTTAAACTGTTTATATACGATGCATCAATTTTTTAAACTATAATCATGGTCTCTTAAAATTTTAAAATTCTATATCATTAATTGGAGAATTAGTTTGAATTTCAAATCCATCTAAATTATTATTTATTGAAATAGATTGAGGAGTATCTTCTTTAAATTCTCCTAAATCACTAAAAGAATTTGAAGTTCTTGAATTATTATCATTAATTAAATCTTGTGTTGGAGTATTATTCTGGTGGTCTAATTGATTTTCTAATATACCCAATGGTCCACCAACTGAAGTTCCATTATTTAAATTTATATTTTGCTGATTTTGATGTTGTTGATTTTGATTCTGATGATTTTGTTGTTGATTATTTTGATTTTGAAATTGTCTTGGTAAATTTCCACATCTATCTTTTCCAAAATTAATTTTTAAATTTTTATAATCTTGAAAAGATTTTATACCATCTATTGCTTTTATAGCATTTGCAATATTAACAAAATTTATAAATGCACAATTTTTTTCTTCTAAATAATTTATTTGTTCAATATCTCCAAATTTTGAAAAATCATCTCTTAATTTTTGAGGATTATATAAATTAAAATTATTTAAATTTCCAATATAAATATTTCTTGATGCTCCATTTGATACAGCTAATGATAATGCATTACTTAATGGTCCTGAATGTTTTCCCCATCCAACTTTAATTCTTCTATTATGTATTGTTAATCCATGTAATTGACACATTGCAAAAAATTGTGCTGCTGCTATTGGATCAATAAATGTTATAAAACATACATGTCTTTCTTTTAAAAATCTAATACTTTGTAATAATCCTCCTCTAACAACATTACAAATTTCTTCAACTGATGATTCTTGATGTAAATTTCCTAAATAAACAGTACGATTACCTAAATTATTTGCACCACCTGCTTGAGTTGCAATTTGTGCAGCAGCTGCTGATTGTTGTACTAATGCTGATGATATAAATTCACGATCAGCTGCAGTTACTATATGTTCCATTCCTGGAGCTAAACCTAAATATTGAGCAGCATTATGTTGTTGAGTTTTTGTTATAAATGCACATCTATCTTTACCATAAAAACATTTTTTATCTAAATATTTTTCTTTTAATGGTAAATTTGCAACACATCTTATTGCACTTAATATACTTAAAAAATGAATGAAAGCAATTCCTTTTTCTTGAATAATTTTTATTGAATCAATTATACCATAACATGATAAATCATCTTTTAATTCTTCTTCAGTTATTGTTTCACCTGTAATTGGATTATTTAAATTACCTAAATAAACATTTCTTGTTGCTCCATCTCTTTGAATAGCTTCTAATACTGCAGGTAATATTTGTGTGTTTTTACCCCAACCAATTCTTATATCATTCCCCTTTATGTTTAATTTTTTTAATATACAATCACTATGAAATAATAATGCAGATTGATGATCAATAAATGATATAAATGCACAATTTTTTGATGGAATAATTTTAACATTTTCTAATATACCTGAACGAACATAATCTAATAATTCATTTGGTTCAACATCTGATGGAATATTACCTAAATAAACAGTTCTTGAAGGAGCTGCAGAATTGGTTCCATGAGCTAATGGATGTGGTTGTTGTTGTTGTGATTGCTGTTGATATTGTTGTTGATGTTGTAAATGAGGTTGATGAAGTTGTTGTTGTTGTTGATATAAATCTTGTTGGGATAATAAGTTACTATCATAATCATTTGTTGATAAATTTGTATAAATACCATTTTGTAAATTATTTGTTGAAAAATTTCCATCTTCTGTATAAAATTCTCCACTAATTGTTGTACCAATTGCAGGAGCATCAATTCCATTATTATATGAAGCAAAATTTTGAAAATTTAAATCTGGTTGATATTGATTTTGATCAATTGTTTGTAAATGTTGATTATTTAAACCTCCATTATGATTATATTGATGATCATAATTTCCATTATTATTTTCCATTTGAAATTGATCTTGTTCATCAAATTGATTTTGTTGAGGATAATATTGAGGATAATATTGTTGTCCAATATATTGTTGAGACATTCCTTGATAAGGATCTTGATATGACATAATTAAATTAAAATTGAAAATGGATTTACTAAAATTAAAAGTACAAATTTGTTTAAAAATGAAATATGATTTAAAAAATGACCCACTAAAATGTAAAAACTGAGAATGAAAATGAAATTAAAACTTTTTCTCTAATGCCAATTTGTAGAAATATATTGATTAACTTTAATACCTAGAAGTACGTAAATTTGATCAAAACTTTTTTGATTATCTTTTGAATACAGGAAAGATTTTGTCAAAAAATTACAAGTCTTTCTTATACAAAAATTACTTAAATGATTCTGTTAATCTAAATGTATGAATAAAATGGAATCAAAACTATGAACAAGAATGAAAACTATGTGTTTAAAAAATCAAATATCCTTGAAATGAAATAGTGAAAAAATGTTTATTGAAAAATGCTTTGGAAGAAATTCTATAAGTAGTATTGATGATAATTCGAAATGAAATTAAAAAAAAAAACTAAAACTGAGAATGAAAATGAAAATAGGTTGTCGTTAACGTCTTTTTCAACACTTGATATGCTTTTTGGTTTTTTTTTTTCTTCTTTCCTTAATCTAATAAGTCAAGTTGGGTGACAAATATCTGTTGAAGTAGTTGTTCTAATAAAACTATTTGATCTAATCTATCGTTGTATTGATTCCTATAGATCAAATATTAAATTAATGAATTGAATCGTGTTGGCAAAAAAATGAATGGAAAGAAAGAAAGAAAAAAATTGATGATGTTTTTTTCTATTTAGAAAGATTTTTTTTAATGTCGTTTCTCAAATTTTAAGTTTAAGTTTTAAGATTCTTTTTTTTGTTCAACAATTTGGTTGTAAAAATCATTTGAAATAAAGATCTATACTTGATTCTACTCCATAGAGCTAATACAAGGCCCAACGACTATGGTACATCGATGGCGTTACTTCTCAAAAAGTTTTATAAAACTGCCACTAGATGTTGTTGTAAAATTGTTCAACGTAAAAAATAATTGAACAAAACAAAATATATTACGCGTCATTGAAATAATTGAATTATTGACATGAATTTTCAATATTACCGCTAGTTGATTACTGTCATTAATTTACTAAGTAACAAATCCCAAATCTCAACCAAATGAACCGACTTCAGAGTAGTATCAGGATGCGACCGTAGATAATATTTTCACTTAATTCTTAAGACAAAAATGGTCTCTTAAATTGAATTAACTTACGCGGAAGTTCGTATGAAATGAAGAAGAAGTGTAGGCTATGCCAAAGAACCAAATTTTTTAAAACGGCATTTGAATCAAATATAAAGGTTCTACGTCTCTAAGTGGAACAAAAGAATCTAATCGGTCAAGATGGAAGGTAAATCCCGGTCTATTTTATCTCACAAAGTCTGTTCATTCATTTCTAAAAATAGTTTCAAAGTTTAATTTGGCCCAAGATTTAAACTTTTTGATCTGAGCCGCAATACGTTGAAAAATTTAGCTTAATAAGGAAAGAGATCGTATTGGTTATTGGCTTATGTTAAACATATTAAGAGATCGTATTGGTTATTAATACCATAGTAGGTAAAACATATTAAAAATTTATATTAATTATGAAGAATTAAAAAATTGGCAAATGAAGTTGAAGTTAATTTTGTTGCCAGCAATTTCTGTTTAACTTCAATCATCATCGGAGTCACTATAATCTGTTTCAATATCAGCTTGACTAATTGCATTAACATTTTTACTATCATTATTTTGACTAACATTACTAATATTATTCTGACTTGTAGTTTTATTTTGACTATGTTCTTTACTTTTCTGACTAGTATCTCCTAAACTATCAGAAACTGAACTTACTTGATGTTTAGCATCACCCAAACTATCAGAAATTGCACTTACTTGATGTTTAGCAAGACTAGATTGTTTTGAACTTTCATCATCACTAAAATGAATATTATTTTCACCATCACTTTCATTTTCATCTTCTGTTGAACTATATTGAGTTGCATTCTCATCATCATTATCTGTATCATTTTCATTATTATCTTCATCTTTTTCTAAAGCCTCTCTTATAACATCTTTATCTGATATTGCTTCAAAAGATTTTTTATTATTAAAACTTTGTGAAAAACTACTATCTTTTAATTCAGGTGATTCATTTCTTAAAGTACCATAATCTTCAGGATGAAAAGCATCTGATATTGAATCAGGATCATTTTTGATTTTAGTAGTAAATGATTCATCTTTTAATTCAGGGGATTTTGGTGGTCGACGACTTGGTCTAAAATTATATATTGGTTGTTCATCTTTAACTTTAACTGGATTAAATTCTGGAAAATGATCTTCACTTTCTTCATCACTTTCATCTTCACTAGTTTGTTCTTCTTCTTCTTCTTCTTCCTCTTCTTTAATTTTCTTTTTCCCTCTACCTCTTGTACCCAATTTCCTTTTCTTTGTAGTACCGTTACCATTTTTACTTCTTTTTCTATTTGAAAGATCCATATTTGGAATATTATCAAAATTTAAGCCTTTTAATTTCCCATTTTCTTGTAAAAATTTTTGATTTAATCCAATTAATTCAGATTTTGGTAAATTAGATTGAACTAATTGAAATATTTTATTCTTTTTAGCATCAAGTACTTGATAGAATTTATTTTCTAAATCTTCAATAATTAAATTATAATCTTTTTCTTGTTTTTTATATCTATCATTTAAAATTAAATTTTCTTCTTCAATTTGTTCTAATTTTTTTTTATCATTTAATAAACTTGTAATTAATGATTCATTTTGTTTATTATATAAATCAATCCAATTAAATAAACTACTTTCTAATTTATATTCTTCTTTATCTTCAAAATCTAAAGGATTTAATTCAAATTGACCAATTTTGGGACTCCATTGAGTATCTTGTTTTATAATTATTTGTAAAGGTTTATTATTTAAAGTTTCCAGTGAATCAAAATCATATTTATATCTATCTACTTCAAATCTTGCATTTATCTTCAAATTTTGATGAATTCCATCTTTTTCTTTACTTTCAATTAAATTTTCAAAATCTAATGGAAATAAATTTGTAAATACATTAAAAGTTTCATCCTTGGTGAAAAGATCATTTGCATTTGATCCAAATATATCATATATATTATCGGAATTTATAACTGTATCGTAACTTCCTTCAGGCCAAACAGCTATAATTGAAATATATGTAAAATTTAAATCACTAGTCTTGGTATTATTGGTCAAATCATTAATTTCATCTATATTTGTATCAGCTTTTGAAACGTATAACCAGATAGATGATGATTTAATTTCTTCCGAAGTATCTTTATCAACTATTGATAATGGAATTTTCAAAATAGTCCCATCTAATCCTTCTTCTTCATCTTGATTATAAAAACTCATTGTCTGCAAGACATTTCTATGTGGTGTATGGGACGATTAATTTTAGATTGATTAAAGTAAAAATAATAATTACAAGTTTCAGAAATTAATTTATTTTTAAAAGTAATATATCTGAAACGAAAATAAGTCCGAAATTTTCGTATAATATTTAGAGCATTTTGACATACAAAAATGGAGAATATGCGATCTCAACCATCGAACCAGATACAAATGCATAGAGTTAAGATTCATCCCGTCTTACTTACCCCAGAAATGAGTTTGAAGAATGGTTTATAAATTCAATTAAAAATTGTAAGACAATCATATCATTCTGTCAAAATATTGACATAATTTTGCAAATTAATGCATAAATGGACATTATCCTTTATCTGACGAGTTTATGGACTAAATTTAAAACACTATAACGCTGCAAGCTGTATATAATCACAATGAAAGTATTTGAAATTAACTTTACTTACTTGTGATGTATTCCTCATTTGACAATTGAGAATTAACAACAATCAATCAATCAATCATGACTGAATATGATACAGGAATAGAACCAATTACTTCAGCATCAGGTATATCAGCTGTTCCATCAAGTTCAAGATATGTTCCATCAACATTAGTATCAGATGATGAAATTACTGTAATTGATAATAAAAAAATAAATAAACAAATATTAAAAAAACCTTCTGCTGCATATTTTAATGTTGGTTATACTACATGGCCAAAAAGAGAAGCTGGTAATGCTGCAAGTGTTGCATTAGCTGCTTTTTCTTTAACAACATTTGTTTTAGGATTATATTTAGCTCAAGCAAAAAATATAAAAATTATAAATATTGCTATAGCACCAGCTATATTTTTTGGTGGATTAATACAATTTTTAGCTGGAGTTGGATTATTTTTAATTGGTGGTGCAGGTAATACCTTTGCAGCTACTGTTTTTACATCTTATGGTGCATTTTGGTTATCTTTTGGATCAATATATATTCTAAATTTTGGAATAATTGAAGCATATGGTGATGATGCTGAACAATTTAGTTATGCTATTGGGTTTTTCCTTTTGGGATGGTCAATTTTTACATTTTTTATGTTTTTAGTAACATTTAAATCTACTTGGCCAATGTTAATATTATTTTTCACTTTAGATTTTGGAATTTTTATGTTAAGTGCTGGATTTATAGCACCAAATGAAAAATGTGTAAGAGGTGGTGGAATCTTATTATTTATTTCATCATTATTCGGTACGTAAAAACTAGAAAAGAAACTGAAGATGGTTTTTTTTACTAACATTTTGTTCTAATTAGGATTCTATAATTGTTTTGCAGGTATTTCAACAGAGTTTAATAGTTATCTCGTTTTTCCAGCCGGAGCTATCCCGGTTAGTCACAATAAAACAAAAACAGTACCAACTTGAACGAAGAAGAATAGAAGTTCAATTCAGAGTGAAGAAGGAATTTTCAATATGCAAATTTATTCTATATAGACATGATTTAATAATATTAATAAAATGGACACCAACCAAAATATATTAATGATAAATTTTGAGAATTTGTAGCTTCTTGAATTAATTCTCTAACTGCTGCTTCAGTACTTAATCCATTTGCAACTAATTTATCAGCCACAGTTGAAACAGCTCTTCCAACTTCTGAACCACCTCTTTCTGGTTGTAATTCAATACCTGCTTCATCTTCTTGTAATCTTTTCTTTCTTAAAGGTGATAAAGACCAAGAATATAAAGGATCCCATCTTAAAACATCTAAAATTGAAATTATATGATCTTTATTTTCTCTCAAGACTCTTAAAGTATGTTCAGATGATTTTTTAAATACTCCTTCAACTCCGGTTATTCCAAAACCATCAACAATATCTCTTGTTAATCTAAAAGGAACAGTTTCAGGAATAGGAAGACTTTTTCCTTGATCAAATGAAACTCCTAAATCAATATGAATTGGTTCACCAGTTTGTTTATCTAATAAAATATTATTACAATGACGATCACCTAATCCTAACATGTGACCAACAATTGAAGTTGTTGCAACACCATGAGTATATTTAATTCTACTTTCAAACCATTTATCAGATGTTAGAAAATTATCTTGAAAAAATAATCTTAAAACTGGTTTAATTTTATTTTCAATTTTTTGAAATTCATGTAATCTTTCAAGTTTATCTTTATTTTGAGCTAATTTCATAATTTCTCTTGCTTTTTCAATTTTTAATTGATCATATTTTAAATGATATGGTCTTATAACATCAATTAATGAAGTTGAATTAGGCACAAATTCAATTATTCCTGAAGTTGGACCTAATGGTATTGCATTATAAGTTCTGATTGATAAACTTCTTTTATTACATTCTTTATCTTTTGCAAATATATGTTGAACTTTAACAAATACTTGCTCCATAATTGAATCTTGACGTAAATCATCTGTACCATGTTTTAATAATATTTTATGAGTAGAACCATCTGATAATGAAAAAGTTGCAATTTTTGGTAAACTTAAACCTGATGAAGCTAAAATTAATTTATTTTCTATTTTATTTAGTACTGGTACATTTTCATATTTCTTAGTTGGATCGATTTTTAAACTTTTTGTAGGTGGAGGTATAGTGGGTAACTCTTTTAACCAATATTTTCCAAAACTTAATTTATCTAAATTCATAACTTTGCTTTTACTTACTTTATGCTCAGCCAATTTGATACATTCTTCACTAAATATTTCGATTGGAATTAAAATATCTTGCACATATGCCTGATTCTGCTCAGTTAGTTCACTCCATATACCAGCAGCTGATAATGCTTTCGATTCGAGTAATATATTTCTATCTTTTCTTGCAAAATTTAGTTGTTTCTTCAAAGAATATAATAAATATAATGAATGATGAGGATGATCAATACACATTTGTAGTATCAACTTTTTCAAAATTGATTGAAATGGAGTGTTTTCTTTTGATAATCTGGACATCAATTGAGCACACCAACTTAATAATTTATATGATGGTAAAGCTAATAATTTTGATTCAATTTCAATATTTAATTGATCATCATTTGATTGTTCCAACCATAATGCAAAAAATTTATCCAAATCTTGTTCAGGGAAATCATCAAATGTCATACTTTCTAGATAATATTCAACCGCTTTAACTGAGAATTGTTTCCTATTGTCAGATGCATATTTCAAATCAGCCACTTCTGCAGCTAACATTACCTTCAACTTATGATAAAATTTATTGATATCCTTTTTTTCATCTGAAGAAACATCCTTATTTTGATAATGTGTTCTTAATTCCTCTATCTCATCACGTTTCTCATTTACTCTTTTTTCAAGTCCTTCAATATGTTCACTTAGTGATTTTGATTTATATTGAGTTTCACAAAATTGAGCCAACAATCTAAATATTCTTGATTGTTGCAAAGGTTCATTAAGTATTAAAGCCTTTTCAGCAGTTGGTAAAACTTGACTTTCCATTAAAGTTGAAGCTAATTCTTGACGTGATTCAGCCATCCATTTAACCATCATAGCTTTAATCAAAAATTTATCAGTTTTTAAATGAGAATCATTAATATCTACTCCACCAGCATTATATAATTCTTTCAACATTAAAACAGGAGCATTAGTATTACCTTGTTTCCACATTGATTGGGCTGCTTGGAATAATGATAAATTTGTCATATTTTGATGCTCTGGATTTCGAGAATTTTGTAGTTTTTTACATATTGAATCAATCATCACCATTGAGGATATCATTTTTTGGTTTTGATTATTAATTCTGGCTAAGTTATTATAGTCTACTAGTTCCTTACAAGCAGACGACCATAATTTATCTGGATTGTCGGTAGTTGAATCTTGTTGTTGTGCTAAGATTTGAAATGTTGCTTGCTTTGCTAGAATTAAGTCTTCAAACATGCTGAAATCCAGATGTTCAATTAAGCGTTGTGATTCATAGGATTCATTACAAATTATGCCCTTTACACTAGATACTGTTGCTAAAGATTTGAGCCATTTATAATCCCTCTCCCTGTGTTCTTTAGCACCTTCATTTTGAAATTCCCTGTTATCATTCATTATCTCTAAAATTGATTTATCACATATTGATCTTTGATCCAGTGGGAAATCATGAATTTGCTTTAAAACTTTGTATATTATTTCATTTTCATCTTTGGGATTAATTGGTACAGGATGATTCCATTGTGATAATTTCCAGCTCCACTCGAAAGAATTATCACCACCACCAATGTAATTCTTGTTGATGATTTGAGAAAGACCTAACAAACCAGTATTCGACATGCAAGCAATTAAACTGTCATTGAGATCTCTTGAATTAAGCTTTAAACTCGTATCTAAACATGCACTACTGTATTGAAATTGAACTTCTGATGAAGCTGTATTAGCAATCATTTTTAGTGTCTGATCCAACCCTGTCTTTTCTGGCAAACCATATATTAAATCATTTTCATCTAAATTTTCATAAACTTGTTGCAAACTCGAATAATGATTTTGTAAATATTCAGTAGAGTCTTCAGTACCGGCGTATATATCTTCAAATATCATGTATGCAAATTTGTACAATTTCAGTTCTGCTGCCATTTTGAAAAATTCTAAAAGATCAATCCTGGAAAGAACATTGGAAAAGCGTTTGAAATTTGAAGTTTTTGCAGCGATTCGTATACTTTGAATTATTTTTAAAAGGATATGCTTTGTTGCCTGATCAATATTTTTCAATTTAGGGAACGAATTTAAAACAATCACCACTTGCTCTTCCGCTTTAACTTCCCCAAGCTGCAAGTACAAACAAATTAAAGATGGAATAGTAGAAGCAGCAAATTCTGGCACTTGAATTGAGAAAGTGCTTATTATCGACCCCAATGATGTGTAAGTTGCAACCTCTTTTAAAATTGCCAAGTATATATTTGAGCACCATTTTTCCCGATTTATCTCGTAAAAGGTCTCAAAATCTTCAATTATACCTTGCAAACTGTAATCAAGATATTGAACTTCTGATTCATCATTTAATAAAACACAAGTTGATAATTTTAATGGTAATATATAACTTTTCAAAGGTTCGAGTATGGAGTTCAATCTAACCAAATTTGATAATTCTTTTGTTGCATTAAGATGTCTTTCAAGCAAAACTCCCAATACCGCTTCTGCACAAGCAGCATCATTAGCACTACTACTTTTGCTTACTTCAATTAATTTTTCCAATGCATATTCAAAATAATGGGACTTCAAATACTTTTCAGAAGGACCTTTGTATTCCAAGTGTTCATTAAGTAGTAATTGATTTTTAGAACCAGCATTCCCGTAATGACTGGACAAACATTTTGAAATCCAAACTTTAAACGGAACAGATAATTTTTTCATATTTGAGTCACTAATTTGTAATAATTTCTTAATTACATAAGGATTGGATATGAAGGACCTTGAATCATCAACTAAATCAAAACAAAATGAACAAAGCTTAATCCAATCAAAACCGCAATGCATCTTAAGACAATCTTCGATAATCGAAATTTGAAATTGAGTTTCTTCATTCTGTAGCAATTTGATACCAGCATTAACAAGATCTAATTTTGATGAACTTTTTCCTTTCGTATACGCCTTTTCAACAAAACTGCTTAATTGTCTCATCAAAGTATTGAAGGAAAAGTTTAAATTCCAATCGTTCTTTAATGCTTCAAACAATGCAACTACCATAGCGTTAACAGCATCTAAAGACTTTGAATAAACTAAATCGACCGCATACAAATTTTGAAAGGATGAGAAAACCCTCATAACATCAGTGGAAAAGTTACCATCTTTCAACAAGGGTGACAAAATCGATATTAATAAGTTCACAACATCCAACGACAATAAATCATTACCCGCAATTAAAAGAATTAATTTGATCTGTCTCAACACAAGTTGTCTCTCGATTATTCCGCTATGTTTTTCGAATAAAAGTCCAACTCTTCGTATCAAAAAGTATATCATTTGAGAAGACCAAAAAGGACTGGTTTCGTTGTGAAACTTTTGAATAATTCGAGTGATTAGATCCATACTTGAATTGAGTGAGATTGACAGTCTGGAATGAATTTCAATTGCAATTGACTCCTCTGCAATTAAATGGACCATCTGTTCAGTGTCTTTTGAATATCTTTTCAAGTCACTTTCTTTTGTCACTACCGCATTGATTATGATTTCTAATACAATTAATGGAAGCTGATTTTTCATTTCTTCTTTTAAGTTCGGCAAATAACCATTCAAAACCTCGAAGCATTTATTTTTAATACCGTCTCTTGAGTAACTAAGTGGTATTATTTTTGATAAACTTTCTGCAATAATTCCTTCAACCTTTGTCTCCTTTACCTTAGCAATGTTTTGGAGTGTGATCAGATCAGCACTGTGTTGCTGCAGTTGCAGTCTAGTTGAAACAATAACCGCCACCATGTCTCTATAATTCTCAAATATGAACGAGTTGAAATTACTATATTTGAATAGCTCCACTGGGAAAGAATCGAATGAATTAAAATTCCACCAACTTCTTAACAAATCTATTTTTACCAACTTATATAAGTCTTTCGAGCTTTTCAAATTTGTTTCTGAACAAATCTTGTCAAAACCTTTCTCCAAATAAGAAATCATAAATTTGAATCTAGAATATTCAGTCAAATTAAATATTACGAACCTTAGGACCACCGATGATGAATTAGCCAAGATTGAAAAAAACAAAATAAACGTTGCAGCATTTTCTTGACCAGACTGAGCATTTGTAAATGAATCAAACAACCTAGAATAAGTATCTTCTTGCAAAGTGGAATTTAAAGTTTGAATTTTCTCATAGAACTGATCAGATGTATTAATCTTAATATTGTTAGTTGAATTTTGAAATTTATGAAATATTTCATTTCTCAAAGATAGTTGAGATATTATGTTTTCATCATTGTACTGTGAATAAGTTATAAGAAACTTCAAATAAAAAAGGGATGCAATTTCTGTGTTGATTAGAAGTTTATTACCAAGTGCATATAACCAATTAATAATGTCTGAGCTGTCCTTTGTTAGCGAGTCATTTCCTAAATCTTTCAAATGTGGAATCAAAAATATAAAAAATTTTGAAACAATTACTAAGACCACTTCATTTCGATCAAACTTTTGATTTGAAAGTAAACGTTCTCCAAATAATCTTACAATCCGTATAAGTGGAAATGCTTGTATTTCTGTAATGTCAATTTTTGGTAAGACTGATTCTACTATGTACCATAGGGCTTGTAAAAAATATTCATCTTTCAAATATTCTATTGTTGAGATCATTTGATTTAGTACATCAGTTTGAGATAAGTCAGTAGATTGTAGACTAGTTAATTTGATCTGAAGAAATTGATCTATTGGTTTAAACTCGTGTGAAAGTATAATGTATGAACAATTTTGTACCGTTTCATTAGTGGGTGTACAACTATTTTCACGAATAACAGCAAATTCATTATTTAACTCGTCACCATCATATAGTCTTTTAGCAGTATTTCTTTTGTTGTCAAAAAAATAAACAGGTTCAATTGACTTTAAAATCGTCTCCAATGGGAATGTGGTCATTTTCTTCAAAAAATTTTTAACAATATTGGAAGATTTTGTGAGTATATTAAGTATCAGTAAGGACTCATCGGAATCCAAATCTAGCGTTATGAAAGATTCAACACCTACTAGCAATTGATATTTCAAGATCTCAACCAAATCCAGCTGTGATGGTTGATTAAAGATTGACACCAACTCCAGTAGTATAATTAACCACTCTAATAGACTATAGTACTGTTTGTTTCCCGTGTTCATCAGCTGAAAAGTTTCCTGTAAACGTGTGTAAAATTTGAAAGTTTGGGTGGGAGTGATCGAATCTATCATGTATGAAAAAGATTTAACATTACTCAAGCGTGTTTCTAATGTTATGAATGACTCCAACTGAATATTTAGATTTTGCATATACATTGGTGAATTAAAAATGTCATCATATAAATCAAACTGTTCATACAAGTTGTCAAATTGGAAAGAATTACCTGATAACCACTTCAAAAATTCAGGTATATGACATGCAGAAGATAAAATATCAAAGCTAGGTTTGAATGTACCATCCCATTTTGCAATTATCCAATCGTCAATTTTTTGCGAAAGAGTATTCCTCCTATTCACATTTAATTCAATTAAAATCTTATTAACAGCATACCAAAACTTGAAGCTCTCGTTACAAAGGTTTAAAGGACCACTGACCTCTGCAAAATCAATAATGGTTATAATTTGAGTAATGATTGAATTATCAATAATCTTATTCAAGTTTGACTTGCATTCCATGATGATTAAAAATATCAAATCGCAAGCGATATTATAATTTTCTTTGTTGAGTTCAACTAATGAAATTTTTAACAATCGACATAAAAAGTTATTTTTATCAGTAGATTTAAACAAATTAATGTAGTTCTCGGATATTATGCTTCTTCCCAACAACAAAACCCATTTTTTACTAACTTCACTATCTGCAACCGCTAATGAATGTTGTAAAACAGTTTGCAAATCCACGTCCTTATCGATGATGTTGGTCAACGTGAAATCAAAGGTAGTATTCGTAACTTCGGTTGATTGAACAGTCTCAACATTAGGCTCTCTTTGATTGATCTTATCTTTTTCAATGGAGTGACTCTCGAGGTAAAACACAAGCAATTGTAACCCTAAGACTTGAATTTCAGTGGACGATTTATGAATTATCAAAAAATTGCAAAAATCTAGGGGATCACTTGAAATTGTCAAATAATTGTTGAGTACATCAAATTTGGATTTTCTTCCTCTCGATTCAGTCAGGGATGTTGTAAGGACGTCTTTATTCTTCAAAGCAAAATATGAATTTAAAAGTTTGGCTATGCCCAAGTATTTTAACCAACTTCTACACTCTTTTCCCTTAAGAAAAATTGATTTCAACTTAAACCATGTTGTGTTGCTATTGGAAAATGTAAGTCCCAAATGGTCAACGGATAATGATGTTAGATTAGACAGTAGACTTTTTAACAACTCAACTATTAATATTTCTAAATTATAGCGTACCACATCCTTATCATCTTCATCATGTTGTGTTTCAATAGAATCATCTAATATGTCTGTTGTAAATTCGATTTCTTTATCACCAACGATTTTTGGTAGGTTATCTAAATTGATGAAGTTATGAGTAGAACCTAAATTTATGAAAATCAAAAATTGATCTTGAAGCTTTTCCCAATGAGTTTTATGTGAAATGACCATCATTTTGAGACCTAATTTAATTAACCTATGGACATATTTAAAATCAGTTGTAGCTAGTAAAGTAATGAGTTTATTTATAACAACGAATAGTGTGATATGAAGCAAATTTTCCTTGTTAAAACACTTGATTGTCTTATCCAACAATGGCAACATTTTAAAATACTTTTCATCTTCAAACAATTGAGTATGGGCAGTCGAATCATCACATTGTAGTAAGTATTTCAATGCTGTCCAAAACTCAACTAATAATTTATCATTCAATCCGTTATTGGTCATCAATTTACCACCCTCCAAAATTCGATCAATGACTGCGATTATAAAAAAGTATAAAGTTGACCAATCCTTATTCGTGAAATGGTCACTCACATATTTAACATTGATTATTGTTGAAGTTATTATTGCAAAGTCAACGGAGCAGGGAGCAATTAATTCATTCTGTAGATAAAATGAATCTTTAATTTTAAAGCAAATGTCTAAATATACTTTATATTTTACATTCAACTTGTAATTTATGGATTTTTCAATCAAAAGTCTTAAATAATAACTGGCTCTATTTAATCTTGACTCTACGGATTGAATTTTTGAGCTGTTATTAGCTATTCCATTAACGAATAATTTTGAGTCATGATTTATGAAATTGAAAATGGCGGTTGTTAATTCACGTAATTGTTTCAGTGACAATTTATAATTTGATACTGCTACTATTTCTAATTGAGTTAATGCATCATTTCTATCTTTGACTTTTGTTGATTGCAATAAATCTGCTAGATTTGGCAAGTCCAAAGTTGACATATGAATCTAAGACCATTTGTGGTTAATGAGATGGATTTGGTTGTAACTTTAAAGATGAAACACGTAAAAAATTGATCTGTTATATAAAATCAAAAATATAATTCTTTTTGTGTAAAGTACTTTAAATTACTGCAAATTATTGAAACTTTGCAGTCAAATAGCGTTAACGAGTGCTTACGACAAACGGTACATCCATGAAAGTTAAGATATTCACTTAGCGAATTCTTAGTTACTATCTTTTTAATCTGCTGTTAGTCTGAAACAAGTACAAATTGATTGTTGTATATCTGAAAACGCTTTCCATTGTCACGTCCAAATATGGTAATTTTTTAGCATTATGAAACTTATAAATTATTCTTACAACCAAAAGACTTTATGGCACTTGAAAGTATAAAGAGTTTAGAATCTGCTGTTTTAAACAGATAAAGTAGTTCATCAAATCATAAAAACATACTTAATCAGAATCAAAGATGAATATTTATAAAAAATCATTCGAATCAGATCACTATTTTCCAAGTCGTTCACCAGAGAGTAACACTAAGTGTTCATGCAAAAATTGTGAATTTTGGGAAAATGAAAGAAAACAACAATTAAATATATTATTAATCGGAATCTTATTTCCATTCATCTGGTTTTTCAAAATTGGGCAAATTGTTTACTTATTGAGTCAAAAGAGGATAACAACTTTACAAATTATGATTGATAATGGTTCTTGTTTGAATGATTTCTGCGTGAAGTTTCATGAAGACTGTACTAAGCAAATTTTGAATTGGTTAGGTTATTTGGTTGCTGCAATTTTAATTGAATTATCAAGTGTCCTAATGGTTTTGATCGTGTTCAGTGGTCTGAGTTATTCATCTTTTATTATTCAGTAATCAGTTATGTTTTAAATGAATCAAATCTAAAGAGAGTCAAAAGCTTTTGACTGTGTTTTACGAGAAGTCAAAATATTTCAATTTTTCACTCCACAAAAAAAATAAATATGATTATTTAGCTTTATAGTATTAGTATGTAGGTAGAAGAGTATACTTAATACAACATCATAAATATATTACATTTTTCATCTTCTTTTGCATTTCATCTTTAATTATCTCAACATCTACACACTCATTGATTATACAAAATGTTGAGATCATTCAAAAGATTTGCATCAACCTCCGGATTAGTGAAAACTCCTTTATATGAAGCACATGTTGAATTAGGTGGTAAAATGGTTCCATATGCTGGATTTGAAATGCCAGTCTTATATAATTCACAATCTCATATTGATTCCCACAATTGGGTTAGATCCAACGTTGGACTCTTTGATGTCAGTCATATGTTACAACATAATATATCAGGACCGGACTCACAAAAGTTTTTAGAAAAAATTACACCAATTGATTTAAATCTTTTACCTGAATTTACTTCAAGTTTATCAGTATTATTGAACAAAGATGGTGGAGTAATAGACGATTGTATAATAACGAAACATGAAAAAGACAAATATTATATGGTCACTAACGCTGGATGCAGGGAGAAAGATGTAAATTTCATAAATAATGAATTGAAAAATTTCAATTCCGTTGATCATAATACATTTGAAGGAACATTATTAGCTATTCAAGGTCCAAAAGCTCAAGATTTGTTACAGAAATTCACTAATGAAGATTTAAGTAAAATCTATTTCGGACAAACCAAATTCATAAATTTATCTCCAATTTCCGCAACAGTTCATTTAGCAAGATCAGGTTATACGGGTGAGGATGGATTTGAACTTTCTATACCATCATCAAATGACCAAGAGGTGAGGGAAGCTTTAAACTTTTTCAATACATTAGTTGAAGAATATCCAGATATTGCAAAACCAATCGGTTTAGCTGCTAGAGACTCATTAAGATTGGAAGCAGGTATGTGCTTGTACGGTCATGAATTGGAAGAGACTATTACTCCAGTTGAGGCATCATTAAGTTGGTTAATCCCCAAATCTCGTCGTGATGGATCAAACACTCAATTCAATGGGTCATCCAAGATACTAGATCAAATTAAAAATAAATCAACAACTCATAGAAGAATCGGATTAACGTCAAAAGGTCCAGCTCCAAGACAAGGCAACAAAATTTTTTCAGAAGATGGTAAAACCGAAATTGGCTATGTAACTTCGGGATCTTTTTCACCTTCACTTGGTGGTAATGTAGCTCAAGCATTCATTGATAAAAAAGCAAAAATAGGATCAGATGTGAAAATAGAAATCAGAGGTAAATTAAGAGACGCAAAGATAACAAAATTACCATTTGTACAAAGTAAATTATATAAACCTTGAATAGGGAAATTGAATCTATTTGTAAAGTGACATAAAGATATTTTTTTCTAAATATTATATTTCGTCTTATTAAACGCGTCTGAGCTAGCAATTTTATGCGTATTAGTATAATTCTTATTATGACGTACCAGACGAAACTAAAAATTACACAAAATCTCGGAATCTCGTAAAAATGTAAACACTGATATTTTATTTAATTCTACTTAGTAATATAGTTTTGGCTCCTTCTGAATTAATTTCGTAACATTCAAAGGGTTATATTTAAATATTGATATTTTATATATTCAAACCACTTTCTTCCACTCTACAACTTTTACTTCCATTCTTATTTTTCATATCGTTTCATTCAAATAAGCTTAATGTCATCAACACCTTCTTCATCTCCAGGCAAAAGATCGGTCTTATCACCTAAACCTACAAACTTTACATCACCTTCCAAAAGGAAATATTTTCAACCATCATTCAATCAAAATTCACCCAAAAAATCAATATCAAAACCCTCAACACCCTCAAAGCAACGTAAAACGCCAACAACTCTAGGATTCACTATTTGGGAAGATAAAACAAACGACAAAACCAATTCGAGTGCAAATCATGATATAGTTGGAACAACCACATCAAATAAATTAAATCATAATGATCAAGAAAATATTCTTCAACCTAAAAAGTTGATAAACATACGACCTTGCTTAACTCGTAAACCACCTTGCTTAACTCGTAAACCATTGAATGATTTAAATATAGCAGACTTCAAAGGTTTCATCACCCGAGATAACGAAACTACTCAATTAACTGAGTTATATCAACCCCCAAATTTCAACAATGATTTTAAATCCCTACATAAATTTAACAATTTACCATGCTTTGTCACTCCAACTAAAAAGGATAAATATTTAACAAAATCATCGTTGGATGATGGTCATATTGGAGTGATTAACTTTGATAAATATTACGTTAATAAGCACAGGAGATCTTTATCTCTTGGTCAGAATGATGCTAAATTAGAATTGATCAAAAAGAATGGGTTTACCATAATGTCTAATTAAATGCAATAGGATCTCAGAACAATTTTTTTAAATCTATCAATACACTTTTATAGTTACTAAATGCATACCCTTTGAGAAATCTAATATTCACAATTTTAATTAATGTCTATAAAGCTACTTACAATCTATTTAATTCAATTTTTTTCAACTCCTCCAAAAGCTTTATCGAATTCGGTAAAGACAAATCTGTATCTTACATCACCAGCTTCACACCTTTTTAAAGCTTTATGAACATTCTCTTCACTGATTGGAACTTCTTCGATCCATGGTTTAATATTATGTTCACCAGCTAATTTCAACATTTCTTCAACTTCAATCTTTGAACCTAATAAAGATGAACCGAATGCAGCACCATGTTTCAAGAATGTAAATGGACTGACTTCAAATTTTTCACTTGTTGGTGGTAAACCAACTGATATGAAATTTTTATTGACTTTCAAAATTGACAAATATTTTGGTAAATCTAAACCATCTGAACCTGAACCACAATTCAAGACCAAATCAAAAGTATCTTCATATTTTGATGGCCAGTTTTCATCTTCTTGAGTGGCTACAAACTCTGAGGCACCTAATTCGAAAGCTTGTTCCTTTTTGCTGTTTGATCTTGAAAATACAACTACTTTTGCACCAAGTGCAGCTGAAAATTGAACAGCTAAATGTCCTAATCCTCCAATACCAATTATACCTACGGTTTTACCTTTTGCTGACTTTAATTGAGATTTTTCAGTTTTACTTGGATCTTCAATTTTATCTTCGTCTAATAACTGCAAGTTTCTGACAATTGGTGAAAATACTGTTATACCTGCACAGAACAATGGTGATGCATATTTGAACTCTAAATTATCTGGAATATGGAAAACAAATTGATCTTGTGCAATACTATGAGATGAATATCCACCTTGAGTTACATAATCATCAGCTTTTGAATCCTTTGAATTATAAGTTGCAACTGCTTTAGTACAATATTGTTCATTGTTATGTTTACATCTGTTACAATCCAAACAAGAAGATGATGCTGCTCCAATACCTGCTCTATCCCCAACTTTGAAATCCTTAACTTCTGAACCGACTGCAATAACAGTTCCTGCAATTTCATGTCCAACAACTAAACCATATTCACCTTTGTTGGTATTGATTGGACTCCATGCAGCGGTGATTGTATGAATATCTGAATAACATAATCCACAAGTTTCATTTTTTACAACGACATCATGAGGATTAATTTTTTTTCTATCATATGAAACTAATTTAGGATGATCCCAATTTTCAGCTTTGTCAACTGCAAAACCTTGAAATTTATCTGGTACTTGTTGTTCTACTGTCATTGTTGTGATGTAAGTCTTTTGGTTCTAGTGATGTGAATTTGAATGAAAAGTATTTCATATTTAGGAATTAACTTTAAGTTATATTTATACCTAACCATTTGTTATCTAGAATTGCTGATTTTCATCGGGACAACTTTGTGTACAAAATTTAAAACAATAATAAACGATTCATAGGAACAAACAACGTTAAGTGTGAAGTTTAAGTATTATTACTTAATATTTTATGCTTAGATCTGTTTTGTTTTGCTACTTGAATTAAAATTTATCCGTCTTGTATGCCAAAAAGTAGTGCCTATACCATTCTGAAAAATTATATCATGAATGATTCAACTGACGTAATTTAGATTAAACTAAAAAACATTAGATTTGATATGACCACAATTTCATTTGTTTGCTTTCTATAAGATCTATGTATCGTTGTAACTACTGATTGTGAGACCAAACGTATATCAATGGTTGAGGAAACAAAATGAAATCTAAGTGGTATGACCAACCCTAATTTGAAAGCTCTTATCTAGTCTTCAACGTTTTTGGTTATCATATCCACTTTTGTGTTGAAGTGATAACTTCCGGGTCTTTCCAGACATGTACAAACACCGAATTATTTCTGGCATTGATAATTAGTAAGCATTGATTTGAGATTCAAAAGGTAGTTAGATCTTGCAAAGCCTTTATACTATAATCAAAACTCATAGTTTTGTGTGAGTGAGATGTGGTACTCTTTTATGGTTGAGAGTTTGAGTTCCTAGTAAATGCCTCAATATAATCATTCTGTTGAAGTGACAGATTTTTTTATCTTCCAGCCGAGTGGAAAAGTCAAGTTGCAAAAGCCCTAATTGTACAATCACGTATTTGAATATACAATTTGAAGTGTTTGAAAGTGTGAATTCATTTTAATTAGGAGCAGGCATTAAAATCTTTACAGGATGGAAATTTGAAGGTCTTTATATACATTTTACATTATTTCAACTATAATAGTTATAAAACAATAAACAATATTTTTTGGTTTAGGAGTTAAGATCAAATACGGAGAAATTTGAAATTACATATGCTACTTTCATTCATCGTTTTACTTTAAAATTCTTCCCCAATATAAAATCCAAAATTGAATAATCCATACTTAAAAAGTAATTTTTAGTTTCATCAGTGATGTTTGGATAAGACCATAAATTACTTAATCTTTTTGTATGAGAACAACCTTTAACACCTTCAAAACCATTGAATATATTATCAATCCATGTAATAGCCGCAGCTGCTCCAAATATTTGTTCAGTTATATGACCATTTAATAAACTTTCTGAAAATTCCAAAGATTTAATACCCCAATCACACCATTTCTTATAAATTTTATAAACTCCAGATATGGGGACAATATCATCTAAGGTTCCATGATATATAAATATAGGAACCTGTGGTAAATAAGAACTATTTAAATTGATTAAATTATTTGATTCAATAATTTGTGAAATAATTGGAATATCTAAAATACTAAAACCATCTTCAAATGTTCGATTTTCACCATTGAAAAAATTCATATTTTGATACGTTATTAATCCAGTTACGAAACATTTCGATGTCGCCTCTTTAAAATTCAATAATTTTATACTAGATTTAATTTTGGAATAAACTATTTCTTTGAAATTTTCATATTCATTACACAATCCATTTAAAGCTAATGGGATTAATCCGGAAAATGTACTACCATCAGTTGCTTCAGCAGTTGCAGTAATATTTGTAACTAAACCTCCCATTGCACATCCTAAAATATAATTTTTCAAATCAGGTGCATATTTTGGTTGTAATGAAATTGCCCAACTTGATGCTAAACTACCTCCAGAATATCCAAACAATACAAATTTAGCCAGTGGTTCAATTCCAGTTATATCTCTTGAATTAGTAGCTGCTCTAATACCATCCAATACTGCATATCCCAGAGTTCTACCAACTGCGAAACTTGAATTAACACCTTCATAATCTGAACTTATAACATAATAACCTTTCCTTAAAGCTGGTAAGAAAAATCTCATATCTAATTGTGATGCAAGTGTTGATATTGGAGCTCCATTTTGAAAGCCATAACTTGGACAGCAATTAAAATTGGCAGAATCTTGAAATGTTTGATATGATAGTACTTTATTTGTTGATGCATTAAAAGGTTCAATTACTGTCATTACCACTACAGCTGCTTGATCAAATGAATTTGATGATCTATACATCAATTGCCATGAATTTTTGACATCAAAAGTGAAGAATAAGTTATTTAATTTATTGGGAGTGGTACGATTTTTTAAAATAGAACCTAATGGTTCCAATTCAAAACCTTTTGGTGGATTATAAAATGGATCTTGATCTGGTGGGATTAAATCCGATAAAACAATGGAGAGTGGAATCAATAGGATAAAACATGGTAGTAAGATCATTGAATTGACCGTTTATTTCAACATGTCTAACGCATTTAATATTATTATTTAATGATATATATGGTATGCTTGAGATGATTTTGGTTGCAAAATCCTGTTGCACAAATTATGTATGAACAGCTTGGTAGCACAACCTATATACAATAACGACTAATGAATTAAATTTTAGGAAATTTGTGAATATCTAATATTAGGCAGCTTACTTTTTACTCTTCTTCTTTTTCTTCAATTTGGATGCACTTGCAGCTGGGGTTGATTCTACTGCTCCTTGATGCCCTCCACTTAATTTTTTCTTCTTTTCTTTAGGCAACCATCTTTCATCATCTAATTTAAATTCTCCTTCAGGTTTGAGCACTTTATTTTTACCAAATTTTGGAGCTTTTTTCTTTTTAGTGACTTTGGAATTCTTTTTATTGTTCTTTGTACTTGTAATTAAAGGTTTGACTTTCACTGGAATTAATTCATCAATATTTACCGCTAAAATATCTTCTATTGGTTTATTAGATTGTAATTGATCTATTGGTATTAAATTTTCATCTGACTGTGATAAAATTGAATTTATTAGTTGATCTTTTGGGTTGATTTGATTTAAGAATTCAAATAATTGATGAGAAGTAGATTCATTAAACCCATAATTTTTCATCGCTATTATCTTTGCAGAATTAAAATAATCTGGATTTTTCTTAAGGGTATCAGTTGAAGTGTATAACAATTTTTGAATTAATTTCGTTAACAAATGTTTTAATTTTTCAATGTTTTGAGTTGATTCATAAACATTTATTAATGTACCCACTATACCTGGAGAACATTCTGGTTGATTTTGAGATTCAATTGATAATTGCTCCAATAATGGCAAACTTTGATCATATGAACCTAATTTTGAATTGACTAAGACTAATAAAAGTACAGCTGCTTGATGTAAATTTGAATTTTTTTCTTTATTTATGTATCGTACCAAATTTCTTCCTATATTTTTCAATTGTGCTTTGTCATTTAAGCTTTTGAAACTTATTTGATTTTTAGATAATACTTTATATGCTTCAGGAACAAGTCCCGTTTTCAATGGAATGTTATTTCCCAAAGTACCACTGGCAAATCTCAAAACTAAACTGTTTTGCAATATTGTGTCTAACTGTAATACTGTGAGTTTTTGTTTTGAAGCCTGGATAGTTTCTTGATATTGTAACTTTCTTTCTAATAAATTTACATTATCTATTTTACCAGAATTTAAATTATTTTTAATAATTAATTTAATTAATTGATCATGAACGTCGTCTATATTTATTTGACTCAAAATTTCATTACTTTTTGTGATTTCTCCTAGGGATTGATATACATATGCTAAAGTCAAATTTATTGGTAACAATTCTGTTTCAACATCTTCTTCTGATAAGTTATTCTCGGAACAAACTTTATGTGCTAATTGTAATAATGTTAATGCTTCTGCATGGTCATCAATAGCAATATTAATCAATGCTTGATTGAAGATTAAATCATAATTTGATTCATCTAGTTGGCTATTATCGATTTCAATTGGTGAACCATTTTGAAAAATTAATTGTGAAAGAATTGCTTTCTCATTGACTAACAAATCTGTATTATCATTCTCCTGACTAATGAATTCTTCATATAGCTCTGATGCTTTCGTATAATCCCCAATTTTGTAATATGTTTGAGCTAAAATGTGTTGGAATCCACTTTGTAAATTAATTGGAATTGATTTAAAATTATCTTTATATAAGTTTAAAATTTCATTAGTTTTACCAAGTTTATAATATACATAACTAATCTCAAGAATTAATTCATTAACCAAGTCCTTTGGAATTTTTGAAATTATTTGATTTGCTTTTTCATATTTATCTAAATTTATTAAAGAAACTAGACAATTTTTAAAACTTTTTACATCATTGAAATTTTTAACTTTTGATAAATATTCAAATGAAACGTCATATATTTTTTCATATTGTGATTCTGATGATAATTTACCAATCTTTAAATTATCAAATGCTTGAGTTATTACACCACTCATGATTTCAGTTTGATTGATCAAATTATTGTTGATGATTTTTGCAACGGATTTTTTTTTTTTTTTTTTTTCATTTCTTCTAATCAATTCTTCAAATACAATTGAAAAATTCAATAAACGATAACCACACAGTCCAAGCACTATGCTAAGAATATCTCATGGTGTGAGGATAACGCCGACGAGACTATTGTCTCAAACAACTAAATTGTATTTTCAAACAAAACATTCAATATTAGAGAAATATAAACAAGATCAAGATGAAATAGCAGAATCACCAACAAATATGGCTAAAGATTCACATTTACCTATAATAGCACAAGATCTTAAAATTAAACCTCGTCAACCTAAAACAAAAGCACCATTTTTATCAGAAGCTGAAGATTCTCAAAAATCTATATCATCATTTAAAGAAAAAATAGGTCAATGGATTGTATCAACTTTTGCAATTGATATGGATTCTTCAAGAAGTGGACCAGTAGCTGGAGGAATATATTTTGGTGAATGTAAAAAACAAGGATTATATTATCCAAATGAACCATTAAGTGATACTGCAAAATTTTATTATCAAACTTTAAGATTACCAATGTCCTTTTCACAACAAATTCAAATTACAATTTTACATTATTGGATTTTATCAGTTAGAATGAGAGCTCTTCCTTTTAAATATTCAAAACAATATCAACAAAAATTAATTGATAGAATATTTTCAGATTTAGAACTGAGAATGACAACTGAATTGGGTATTAAATCAGGTAGATTAATTGAAGGATATTCTAAAGATTATCATAGTCAATTATTAGGAAGTGTATTAAGTTATGATGAAGGTTTAATGACAGATGATATAACATTAGCAGCTGCATTATGGAGAAATATTTTCAATGCAAATGAAAATGTTGATGTTAGACATATTGAAGCATTATTAGTATATGTTAGATCACAATTATATGTATTAAATAAAATGACTGATAGAGCTTTTGGATTTGGTAAATTTAAATTTGTACCACCTGATCAAATTGTTCAACCAATAACTAAAAAACAAGAAGAATTAATAAAACAAAAGACAAAAGAAGAATTTTCAGGTATGAATTTACCATCTCAACAATCAGTTTTATCAATGGATGATTAGAGGAAGACGAGACTCATTATTTATTTCTTTGTATATATTATTATTACTTATTTATTAAAATTTACTAATATTATTATTACTTTTGGAAACATTAATTTTACTCCAATCTTGACCTTTAATTCCTCTAATCATAACATTCATTATAGCATAATCTTCACCTTCAATTGCACCTTCAAAATCATTTTCACCCAACATTATATCTTCAACAAAATGAAAATCAAATTTTTCATAAATTGGAATATTATTTGGTGATGAACTTTCTAAATAAGCTAAAGCATTATTTGGATCAATATAATTTTTAAACATAAATTCAAACATTTTTCTTAAATTTCCTTTACCTTGTGCTTGCTTTGTTGAACCAACATAAACTAAAGTATAAATAGGTTTATTTTTAAATCTTAAATCATTATTTATAATTCTTTCACATGAATCATGTAATAAAGTTAACATCCCATCTTCACTAAATATTTTATTTCTACCTTTTTCTTCAAAATTTTCCCAAACTTTATCAAAACCAGATTGCATTAATGTAAAAAATGAATCTAATCCTTCATCTTCTGATTTTGGATGTGACCAAATACTAACAGTTTCAAAATTTATATCATTTTCTCCTTGAACTAATACTATTCCTTTTTGTAAATGTTGTTTTATATAAGCTTCATATAATAATAATTCACAATAATCTCTTTTATAATGATCTTTTATATGACAAACTAATAATTTACTTAATGAATCATTTGAAAATGCATCTTTTAAAGTTAATGCAGCTTTATATATATCTTTTTCTTGTAAATATCGAACTTCATTATTTTTATTAATTTTGTTTTTCTTTTTTAAACTAGTACTATTATTACTTATAATAATTGGTTTGGGATTTGGATTTATTTGATGAGAATCAACAGACATTATTGACATTTGCAAATATTACGAATTGATGTATTAATTTAAATTGAATTCAGTTATAAATATTGATAAGATCTTTAAAAGTTGTGGGATATAAAATTGAAAATAGAAAGGGCAATTTCGAGATCTCTTTATATTTTTTTAAATCTATACTGATCTAAATACATCCTTAATTTGAAACACATGTAATAATTCGTGTAGTTAAGGAGTTTCAAGTTATATGTTTAACATATTAAACTAATGTTGTTAATTTGTATAGAAGCGCATCTGAGTTTCCGAAATAGGAAATAACTCCAAAACAAAGTAATTGAGATCATTTATTACGAGTTTCAGAAACAATACAAAAACTATCTTCTTTTTCTACTAGTCCCGTCTATTCCCATTCCACTTTCATTCTAGCTTTTGAAGGAGCGTCTTAATTCGACTAAGATACTCCTGTTGTTCTTGTTCTAGCTAAAATCTTTTATATATACACAATTAGATTTGTAAAATTTCCCCATATTTGAAACTTCGAGAAGGACACTTATCAAAGAACGTGAGTCCAATCACCAAATGCAGATTTATCTATTCCATTCTAATCCCTTTCGTATACATGAACCAGTCTATTATTGTATTCTAAAAGCCATATTCTTATCTTTCATTTCAAAAGTTGTGCCTAACATTTGTTTGTACCTATTTGTTTGTTTTCTTATCTATTTAATAATCTAACACAAAAATCACATATTGTCTTCTTAAAATATCATCGTCATCACAATCAAGATCAAGAACTATTATCACAACAAACACATAATCAATGTTTAGTTCCCTACTACCTCCTCCAAAACATTCAGCATATGACCCCTCATTACATTTTACACCTCAAAAATCACAAATCAAAAATGATAAATCAATTATTGAATTCAAAGAAGTAGCAACGAATACAAATTCATCAACTCAAAATTCATTAGATTCAACTATACCATTAAAACAAAAATATCCAAATTTGGTTCATAATTTTCCCATCCCACCAAAATCTCAACAATTAATAGATGAAACTAAAACTGTGCTAACGAACCTACTAAATTCAAAATTAGGCATTACTACAAACTCGAATGAACCAGAAATAATACAAACTTCAGCTTCATCTTCCTCCCAACCACAAATAATTCAGATATCAACATTTGAACAAGATCCAATGTTACCACCAAAACATAAATTAAGAAAAAATCGTCATGAAAAAATTGAAATTGATCAAGAACCAATTTTAAAAAAACAACATAATGTAACAAAAGAAGAAAGAATTAAATGGAATATTCCTGCAGCAGTATCAAATTGGAAAAATAATAATGGTTATACTATTGACTTAAAAAAGAGAATGACTTCATCAAATCCAGCAACCACCGAAACTGAAATTAATTTAAAAAAATTTTCTGATTTGAATTCTGCTTTAGATCAAGCTGATGCCCAAGTTAGGAAACAGCTCACAGAAAAAGCAGAAAGACAAAAGGCTTTAGAATTGGAAGAACTGAAAAAAAGAGAAGATCGGATTAGAGCTATTGCTTATAATTCTAAACGTAGGAATATTAATGATTATGACGATGATAAATATAAAAGAAGAAAATACTAAGATTTGTTGTAGATTAAGATGATTTAAATGTTAGACAAAAATCTTAAGGAAAACCGAAAAATCCAAGGTTTTGGAAATTGACTGAATAGAAGAGTAAAACGATTAAGAGTTAGTGCTTATAACTCAAAACATAGGAATAATAACAATTTTTTTTTTTTTATAACGATGATAAAAATACAAAGGAAGAAAATATTGAGATTTTAATTCAATGAAAGATGTACATAATAGCTAATACAATTATCAATAGTAACTTTTATTTTTTACTTACACAAGCAACAGATTTTTTTTGTTGATAATTTTTATCACCACCTTCATATAAAGATTTACCAAATTTTTCTAAAGCTGACAGATTAACCCATTCTAAAATTCTATTTATTTCATTGTTGGAATTTAATTTTATTATATCTTGTTTTAAAATTTGAATTTTTTCTTTACATTGGTTGATTGATCCTGTAACTAATAATTCTTTTATTGATATTTGTTTCTTTTTTGGTTGTGATTGTGATTTTGATCTTCTACTTCTTGTTCTTGTTTCTAAATCATCGTTTTCAATTTCTTCAACTGATTCATTATTCATATTAGTATCATCAATTGAATCAATTTGCATTTGATCATTGTTACCATTATTATTTTCAATTAATTGTAATTGTAAAATTCTTTTCCTTAAAGCAATAATATTTTCATTAATTTCAATTTCTTCAGAAGTTTTAAAATTTTTTAAATTCATTGCTTTATGTCTTGCTTTTATACTTGAAAACATAACATCTTTAACTGATATTAGTTCTTTTCTTAATGATGATTCTCTTTTACCCCATGGATTTAACCACAGTATTAATTTATTTATATCTTGAATTTCATCATAATATTTCCAACTAGAACTATTTAATAATGGACTTGTTAATTCTTCAATAAATTTTCGTTGAATATTATTTAATTTTTGTAATGGTAATTGTAATGTACCTTCATTATTTATTAATACTTCATTTTCTTTATTTAATAATATTTCATTATTTGTTAATTTAATATTATATTCTAGAAGTTTTGCTTTATATGATTCTGGAATATTTGTAAAATTCATTTCAATTGGTTTTTTTCTTGTAGTTGGAACTGGAGTTGGAGTTGGAGTAGGTGCTAGAGTTGTGGATTCATTTGCTTCTTTTTTAGGTTCATTAGAATCAACCGGTGGTGATTGTGGAGGTTGTGAAACTCGAGCTTGTTGTTGAGTTTGAATTTGCACTTGTACTTGTGAATCTTCTACCAATTCTTCTAATCCTTCATCCTCAAATTCATCAGGTATTTCATTAATTAATTTTCTAATCTCTTCAATTTCAATTTTAAAATTTGTAATCATATCAGTATCGGTTGGACCTTGAACCCATAATCTACCCATTAAATAAGTTTCATCTAATACATCGTCGTCATCATCATCTTCTTCATCTTCCTCGTCGTGTTGATCATTACCTTCTTGAACATCATCAGTACTTTTATTTTGTTTATTATCTTTATCATCATCTTCTTCATCATCTTCATCTTCATTTGAACCACTATGTAATGTAGGTAAGCCATTATTTTCAAACCACCAATATCGATTATATAACCTATCTTTACCTAATAATTTTACTCTTTGACAATCTAATTCATTAAGTTTTTGTTCAATTAATTTTTTATTTTTTTTGAATTCAATTATTTTTAATACTGCTTCTTTTCTAATAGCTAGTTGTTTTTTAAGTTCAGGATTTTTAGCACTAGCTTCAAGTTCTTTTTCTGTAGGTTCAATAATTTTTAAATCAATACCTAATTTATTATTCACTGGTTGTGGTTGAGATTTATCTTTATCTTTATCTTTATCTTCTTCAATTGATTCTTCTTCATCTTTTGGTATATGTTCATCAATGAACTTTTGAGCATTTAAAGCAATTTCTAAATCCAGTCTATATTCTTTTATATTATCTAATCTTGTTCTTCTTAATACTGTTTGTTGATCAAGACTCTCTTCAATATAATTTCTAACTAATGGACTATTTATTAATAATTCAGTTAATATACTCAAAATTTTTAATTTTAAATTTATATCTAAATCTTCAAAATTATTTTGTAAATTAATTAAATTAACTGACATATTTTTTGGAGCTAATTTTTTGAAAATTTCATTGATTAAATGAAAATATTTTGGCACTGATTCAATAAGTGATAATATACCAATTAATACAATTTGCCAATTTCCATCTTTTAAATTCCTTCTTCTTAATCTATCATGCCATGGAATATCTTTAAAATTTAAATATTCATAAGCTGAATGATCAAATACACTTGATTTAGGTTCATTGTCTGATGAATCGTCCTTTTTAAGTTGTTTGGATTCTTCTTCATCATCATCAATTTTTAAGGGTTTATGTTCTGTATCTGAATCTGAACCTCTATCATCTTCTTCTTTATCATTAATGTTTTCATCTTTTTCTTTCTTGACTTTGTGATCTTCTTTTTTTTCTTGATCTTTTTCTTCTTCTTCTTCATCATCATCATCTTCATCATCGTCATCTTCAACTCTTTCAGGTAATGCAATATTTAATCCATAAATAGAATCATTTTCTTTTGCTAATTTTGCATCTTTTGAACTTGGAATTTCATTTGATATAAATTTACATAATAAAGAACAAAAAATTTCATCAATCATACTTGATTCAATTTCAATTGAATTATAATTTAATGCAGAAATAAAATCATCAAATGTAAAAGTATCAATATTTAAAACATTATGATAAACATTCATAAATACCCAAACTTGTAATGCTTCTGATATTGACTGAAGAGGTATTAATTCATTTTTAATCTTGCTTTTAATTTTTAAAATTTTGGGTGATGGTTTACCTTTTTGAATATCAAATCTTATATCTAAATCTTCAACAATTGTTTTTTTAGTTGGTTGTTGAAATGCTATGGATGATGCAGAATTACCTTTTGCTTCTTCTTCTTCAATTTCTGCTATAAGTCTCTGAGGTAAATGATGATTTGGAAATTTCTTTCTAAAGGGAATAATTGGTTCATTTGATATAGGCGTTGAATTTTTCTTTGTTTCTTCTTTGATTGTAATTTTTCTTTTCTTTTCTAAAGGTTCTTTTGATGATTTTTGTTTCGTTGATGGTTCTTCACTTTGATCTTTTTCTTTAAAATCTAATTTTCTCTTTTTTGGTATAACATAAGTTGGTTCACCATTTGGAGTTGAATCAATATATTGTTTTAAATCTTCTGGATAAGTTGAAGGAATATTATATTGTTTTGCATATTGAGATTTTACAACCCATGGAGCTCCAACTTTATGAGATCTTGACATTGTTAATTTTATAAAAGTTTTAATTAACCATTTTGTAAAATGATTTCTGTCTCTTGATATATTATTACCAGTAACAATTGCTTGTTGTTTATCATGAGATCTTATAACTAAATATTTAGTTGATTTATCTGCACCATATTGAACTTTTTCTCTTATAACACCTCTTGATTTTGTAGATAAATTATTTGGATCTAAACCTTTTAAAAATACCATTTCACCAGGAAAATAATCATTTTTAAAAATTTGATAAACTTTATCAACTAATTGATCTAATCTTGAAATTCTATTAAATTGTAAATATCTTAAAATATGTTCTCTTAAATTTTCTGGAAAATTTTTATCTAATTCTTTTTTTTCATTTAATTCACTTGTTAAAGCTTCAAAATATGTTAAACATGAATTACCAGTAATTTCACAAACAAATTTTCTTTTATTATAAAAATCTAATCTTGTTAAAAATTCTTCATAAGTTAGGAACCATTCTTTTGTATTTGGTATAACCCATACTTCTTGTGTTAAATCTGTTGGTGTAGGTGGTGGTGGTATAAATGGTACTTGCTTTCGTTTATACAACACCATTGTAAGTTTGTATTTATGTGTGTATAGGTTTGAGGTGGAGATATGATGTAAATTCTAAATTTACAGGTGGTGTATGTTTGGTTCGGTTTCTATTTTGGTTGTTAGATCGTTATGTTTAGTGACTAATAATTGATTGATTGATCGATTGGTTGTATTTGCGATAGCGTTTTATAACAAGTTAAATAAATGGTTGCCTTTCTTAGAATTATAAGGAAAAAAAAAAGATATAATGAAGTGTTGATTTTTAATTTGTATTTTTTTTTGATTGTAAATAATTAGAGTAATTTTATTATTATATTTTTGTGTATGAAATTTTATATGTATTATACGCTTAATAAAATTCTAATACAATTTTGCAGCTATAAAAAGAATATTAAAGAGAGAGAGAGCTAAGATAAAGGGACCAATTACTTATACTGATAAAATAAATCTACTCTTTCTCATCCATTTTACTAGTGTGTACGATTGACCGACTATTCATCGAGTTGTTTCCAAATAATAAAGAAAAGGGGGAAGAAAAAAAAAAGATTTTGGGTTAATGAAATATTTAATTGGTACGAAAAAATGATTTTTTTTGAGTGAGGTTATTCTGATTTATTTTTTCTCTCTCCTACTTTATTATGATTATGTAAGCAATATACTGAGTATTACATAATCACTTTGTTTCAAATAAATCTATACCGAAATACTTAGATAATATATTAAAAAAGATATGAATACATAACTGAAAGGGTTCATAAATTTATCATAGTCTAAACTAACGTTCATCTCTTGATATAATTAATGTGATTGAGTTTTATCCGTTCTGGTTTGTATCTAGTTAAATCATATTAAATGTAAAACCCCAAATTATATTATCCTGCCAGAATTAAAAATGAATTTACCATCAGAAAAAAACCAATTTTTTCGACAAAGAATCCCTATGTATAATACCTCTTTTAAAACTAAACAAAAATTCCTCACATTCTGTAATAACAGTTTTCAAAATCACCCTGGTTCTGACTAGTGATATACTTCAAACCAGATCTACTAGATTCTCCATAAGGAGAGTTAATCTACTTATACTTTTCTGAACGCGTCGGTATATCTTTTTTAATAAAAAACTTTCTTTCGTCTCGTAAAAAATAGATTTTGAAAAATCGCTACCAAATCTACCTCAAGCATGTCAAATACTGCTCCGATCTTTTCAATTACATCTCGATACTTCTTGAACTCCTAAAAATCAACATTACTATTCTGGCTTACATACTTAGTAAGTTAGATTATTAAGTAAACCCAATAAATAAAAGTGTTGGGAATTTTTGAGTGTTAAATTCAGTATTCTGATTTCGGAATGATGAAAATGTAATTAGCCCAACCCTACAACCTTTTTATTCAATTTTATTTCACATTCTACTACTGTAAATCTAGTCTCCTTCTCACTTTTAAAAACTTTTTCAATGACTTAAAACTATAAAACACGGTCAACACATAATGATATCATAAACAGGTGAAATTAAAAGTACTACTAATTCAATAAATCATTTATTTCGTAAAAAAGATAATCAGTCTCATAGTTGTGAGTTTTAATGAATTGCACAAACATTGTTATTATTCAACGAAGCTAATAATAAGAAGCTGATGTAATTTTTATCGACGACGCAGCTATCAAGAAATTGTAAGGCTCAACAGGAAACACTTTCAAATAATCTCAGACCCTCTGATGTTGTATATTCAATTCAACTCACGTGATAAAATTTCAATTTTTGAGAGTACTTTAGCTTTCTAAAACAGTAAACTCACAACTTAGCTGGAAATCATTCATACTAATAACCTTCATAATTATTTGATAAATTATCCAATGTTATTTTACATGTACTTTTGTTGTATTTAAAAATGTTTCTTTAGCTGGGACAAATTTTATAAATCTATCCCTCGTTGTATGTAAAAACGAATGAACGAAAACAAAAAACTTTAGCATACTAAAATTGTATTTTCATAATTAGAACTAACATTATTTATACAAATAACACTCAGAATGATTTAAGTATTAAGTCAATGTTACTTTTGCTCTACTTTTGTCAAATAGGAAAATTTTTGTGTATATCAGTTGCAAAACACTGTTTTTTTGGTTTGCAAATAGATGAATAAAACAGAATTAACAAAAACAAAAATTAAAATGAGCCAATACATTCTTCAAGTATTAGTGAAACCTGCGGTGCTTTGCAGGTTATTGGATGGTCATTACGAACAATGAAAGGTTATCATCAACATGTCAAATGTTGGAGTGAAAAAACATTGAACAACAGTTGAGATTATTGAACAAGATGATACTTTCATTTTGTCCACTAAGATGCAACAACTTTTCAAATTTAAAATTCAATAACCATGGTCCAGCAAAATGGGTAGTTCACATGCTTCCAAAAGTCTTGGGTTAAAAGTTAATTTCAATATAATAGTCATAGTATTTGCACATTGTAGAATGAAATAAGTCTTGAAAAAAAATGAAAATGAAATATAAAACTTACAGATGAAATTTGTTTCAGATTTGATTCACTATTGTTTAATGTTATTACCACAAAAATTCAAGCGTAATAACACTCTAATTTCATTTTGCACCTCTTGTTAATCATGTATTTACTCCTGTCATATATCTAAGTCTTAAGTTATAATTTAGCTTCTTCATTCGCTAATGAATGTTTAAATTAATAACTCTCAAACATAATGTACGTAATTTTGATATTATTCTTGGTATTTATCGTAACCTGTGATCATAACCGTTAGGGCGTAAAAAAGAAATTTGGTAATAGGACTTTAGTGGAGTGAAAAAGTATTTCAAACCAAATAAGTTGATGCCCTTCTACATATACGTACTACGATTGGGTCTTTTGCTTTGATGCTCAGTATTTAAAACAATTCAATCTATTTGTGATAGACCAGAAAAAACTTGTTAAATTATGACTTCATTCAAGGATTTTAGAAGCTAGTGGGGCGAAGAAAGTGACAAAAATTGATTCGTAATTAAAAAATTAGATTATAATCAAGAAAATTTAGTTCAACGTAAAGCAAATCATTAAATTGTTAAATGTATGATAGTAATACAGAGGTTTTGATAGCCAATTATAATTTTTCAATTATCCAAACTTTTTCAAAATTTATATTTCATCATTTTTACGAAGTTTCCTTATGAATGAACTTAAGCAAACCAAAAGATTTTGAAATATTGAAAAGAAAATCTAAGACTATGTAAAACAAAAAAAGAGAATTTGAGCCATTGCAATAGCCACCACAAGATCCATCTAGATGATCGGAAGATACTAAAAATTAAACTATTTGTGTTGTGTATATTTACTGTTTTATCTATTGTTAATAACATTTGTTTTGATCGTTATTTTGTTCATCAATATAAAGATGTCAATCTAATGTGTCCCACATTTTAAAACGGCATCAATCAATTAATGAAAAATAAAACAGAGTTAAAAAAAAGAACCCCAGTCGTCAATCATAAGTACTATTTGTTAAAATTTAATTTATTTGGTTTGGTTTGTTTATTACTTACAGCCTTAGGCGATTGTACTTATTTTACACCTGATACATTTAGCCTAAAATCAAAACAATAGCCGTTTTTTTTTTGACAAATGTTTTCGGTCTATTCGATAATAAATCAAAAATGATTTACCTTTGAAGTTGTGTACTAATGCAACATTTTGAAAGTATTTGATTTTCAATCAAAAGAAATAACAGAGTCCATTTGTCGAGAAACTAATGAGTAAGCCTTGATTATAAGCAGTAAGTGAGATATAATTATTGAAATTTAATCTTGTGCAAATTACAAATCGATAAATATTAATCTTTTATCTTAAAAAAAGTGGTGGTTTCATTTATTTACAAAAATTAACTCAACTAAATTGTTATCATACTGCCGGTAATTAATACTAAATTAATATTTGATTGAATTCCATTTGAATGTAAACACAATCTAAAATGATTGTCTATTTCAACATATCTTACTTATCTAAAGACGTTGAACTAACTACTTTAGAATAAAAAATAAAATAGTATAAATTATTTGAAATTTTTGACATTAAAATCGGTATTTTTAGATTTTGCATAAATTTGGTCTCAAATTTTAGACTAAATTTTAGATCATGTCAGCCTTTAACATTAAACTATTGTTCTTTTTTATTTATTTCGTTCTTTACCGATATTGATATTTGAAGTATTCAAACCAAAAACCAACTAAACATTCATATGAGATAACTAAATAATTAAAGTCGATCGAATTCAATTGCAATTCCGTTTCAATCCCCATTTTAAAAAATAGGAGAAATGTTTTAAGATCTAAGTGGGAATCAAAAAATCAAAATTATTTAAAATTCATGAGATCTGAAATCAATTTCCCTTAGTCCAATTATTTATCACCATGTAAAAGCATATGGTATAAGACCAACCTAACCGTTTAAAGCAATTGAATAAATATTGAAAAATAATTCTTAATTTGTTGTTGAATGTGATTAATTAATCTATTGCATTTAATTCTAGTCCCACCATATCGACCGTTCAAATTAAATTAATATGACAAACTTTAATTAATTAATTTGTTGAAAGTTTGAAACGTTTGATGATACTTTTATTACTTTATTATTTCTTAAAACCCCTTAGTGATAAATTTCTTGCAGGTTTGCATATAAAATTAATTTTTTAATTTGGGAGTGCTTAGTTACTACCAAAAGTAAATACTTTTAAAATCAGGATTATTTTACGACATTATTGTTAAAATCCGTACCGCAGCTTTTGAAACATCCGTGCCGCAGCTATTAAAACATTCAGAATAATAATATTGATTGAAACATTATCAATGAATCTTTGACTCAATCATATTCTTAGTGTATCTATCTACATCCAGAAGTTAAACTTTCAAGAGATGATTGAAAGTTGTCAGAGCTGTTGATATTCAATCTTTATAATCTATTAATTTTTCTAAAACTTCTAAAATTTTTAATACTTTTTCTTCTTGAAATCTTCTACAAATAAGTTGTAAACTAACTCCACCTCCATGACTTTCAATAGGATCATAATCTTGAGAAATATTAAAATCAGTATCATTATAATATTCATTTCTTGATAAATCCTTTTTATCAATATTCGAATCAACTCTTGATACAGGAAAAGTACCAGTTGAAAAATCACAAAGGTTAAAAGGTGAAGTATAACCAACATAATTATAAAATTTATCAATTGGATTTCCAGCAAATGGAGTTACTGGCATTATAATTGCATCAATAGGTTTTCCATTTTTAGTTTTTTTTGAAGTTTGAATCCAATTATCTAATACTTGTTTTATTAATATAGTTCTTTCATTTTGTAATTTCCATAATTTTGAAACTGGTAAATCTTTTGAATTTCCATAATTTGACATATATGGAAATAAAGGTTCATTAACTTCTAAAGTTTCATTTAATACATGTTTTCCACCATCACTTGTGAAAAATTCAGTTATTAATGTTGATAATCTATAATGATTTATTGGTTCCCATTCAATTATATCATGACCTGCTGTTTTCAATTTATTAATAACTAGTTCCATACCTCGTCTTATAGGTGGTGTTGGTTGTATTATTCCATCATCAATTAATACTGCAAGATTTAATTTTTCAGGTAACTTTATATTTCTCCATGGTAATTCAACAATTTTTGGATCATAATTCCAAGGTTCTGAATTTATAATAGATTCACAAAAAAATTTTAAATCTTGTAAATTATTACCAATTGGACCATTAACACTATTAACACTTTCTAAACCTGGTAAACCTGATCTTGTACCAAAAGTAGGAAATCTACCAAATGAAGGTTTTAAAGAATATAAATTTTGAAAACTCGAAGGAATTCTTATACTACCACCAATATCTGATCCAATACCTAATGGAGAACCTTTTAATTTAATTAATGAAGCTTCTCCTCCACTTGAACCTCCTGCACTAAGCAATCGATTCATTGGATTTAATGTAACTCCCCATATATGATTTTTAGTTTCTGGTAACATCATTGCAACTGGTACATTTGTTTTAACATAAAGTATAGCACCTAAATTTCGTAACATTGAAACTAATACTGAATCTTCTTCAAATTTTTCAGGGTTAAAGCAAAAATTAACCATACCTAAAGTTGTAGCTTGTCCCTTGACATTAAAATTATCTTTTAATGAAACTGGTAATCCATGTAATGGTCCAATTGTTTTACCATTATTTTTCAATTGATAATCATCTAATTCTTTAGCTGTTTCAATAGCTTTATCAAAAAAAATTTCAGATAAATTATTACATAATTGATGAGAAATTGAAGCTCTATGACAAAATGCTAATGTTACTTGCAAACTTTTCCATTTTTGTTTTTGAATATTGGTAACAATTTCAATTGCTGAACTATTTGTAATTTCAATTTCTAATGGTGTTAAAAAACTATGAGAATCAATAAAATTTAAAACATCTTTTATTTCCCTTGATGGTAAATTTGATTCAGGAATTAACCAATCTAAATTCCATTTTGAATCTCTTTCAAGTCTTTTTTTATTTGCAATTTCCTTATATTTTTCTTTAATTACAGTCATAGGATTTGATAAAATTGATTGAATTTGAAAGTAGACATAAGGGGCTATTATTTAATTTTAATGATGAAATATGTTTACAATCAAAAATATTAATATTGTTACTAATATTCGTTATCTTATCTTTTGAAACAATAACATAGGAAAAGTTGGAGAATTGTGTATGGGAATTTAATTTTTTTGAAAAGCGGAATTTTAAGCGCGATCCGAGATTTGAATTTTGTCTTTGACACTTACAATCTGTCAATCCTTGAAGATATCTTGATTTTTTGACTCCCAATAGCCTAGTGTAATGAAATTAATCTGATATTGAAGTAGTATTGGCTGTATTTTCACATGCTCAAATGGAAAAAGAAAATTTGAAATCCATGACAGGTACAAGGGTATTTTGAAACAGTAAAAATGGAGGACAAATTAAAAGTCAAATATGTTTTCAACTTTCAAAATGCTAGGGCAAACGCTTATTTGCTCTAGCATTTTGAAAGTTGATAACCTGAACGATCAGTAATCTAAATTTGTTATCTTTAAAACATTTGCTTTGAAGGCTCCAATACTGTTTTATTCAATTGAGTGTTAACAACAAAATGAAAAAAACAGACGAAGGTTTCAAACCTTATTTGAAATGTGATTATGCTCCATGCAATCAAACTCTATTAACAAATATTCTTTAAAAAGCTAACATACTTCCAAATGGAGATCGTAATCCTTTGAACGTATTAAGTAAGTAGATTGACTCATTAGATCTTTCCGTCCTTATCACAATGAATAAAAAATTTTTTTAGATTATTAAATTAGATTTTGAACGATTCACACTATCACCATTTCTTTTATTTATACAATCATCGATTTCTTATCAATCTGATCTAATTATACCCACATATATATTAATAATACGATAAAGACATCATGCTATAACAGGTATTTTTTACTTAACGAAATTTTTGACTTAATATTTACCGTACTTTGCTCATCGTCACAACAACTTCTTCAAATGAAACAACTACTATCTAAAACAAGTGAAATAATATGGGGACCAAAACCTTCAACAAAAGAAGAACAAAAATATTTAATTAAAACTGATTTTTTTATATTATCAATAGTTTGTTTAATTTATTATATAAATTATCAAGATAGAGTATCATTTAATTTTGCATATGTTTCTCAATTAAAACAAGATTTAGGAATGAAAGGTAATGAATTTAATTTAATAAATACTTGTTTTTATATTGGTTATACTATTTCAATGATTCCTCATAATTTAATTTTATTGAAAATTAGACCAAGATATTGGATTTGTTTTTGTTGTTTATGTTGGTCTATTTTAACTTTGGGGATGTATAAAGTTACAAATTATAAACAAATTTGTGTTATTAGATGTTTTTTAGGTATATTTGAAAGTGTTACATTTGCTGGAGTTCATTTAATATTGGGGAGTTATTATGATGAATCAAGATTATTAATAAGAACTGCAATTTTTACTTCATGTGGACTTGTGGGTTCATTATTTTCTGGTGTATTTCAAGCTGCAATATATACAAATCTTGATGGTCATTTAGGTTTAAGAGGTTGGCAATATTTATTTATTATTGATTTTGCTATATCAATTGTTATAATATTTTATGCTTTTATATTTTTTCCTGATTCTCCTGATATGGGAAAACCTTTTTATTTTACAATTGAAGAACATGAAATAGCTTTAAAAAAATTTAATCAAAATAAACCAAAACAAGATAAATTTAATTGGAATATATTTAAAAGAATTTTAGGAAGATGGCATTTTTATTTATTTAGTATTTTATGGGTACTTGGAGGAGAAAATGAATCATTTGCTACTAATTCTATATTTGCTTTATGGTTAGCTGAAAATAATTATACTATTGTACAAAGAAATCATTATCCTTTAGGAATTTATGGTATTGGAATTTTAGCTACTATTTTATCTGCAATTATAATTCAAAATATTAAACAGTTTAAAGCTCATTATATTACAGGTTTAATTATTGGAATATTGGTAATTATATCATCAATTATTCAAGTATCTAATCCATATTCAGATGTTTCAGTATTCATAGCTCAATATCTTTCAGGTACATCATTTGCAGGTCAAACGGTGTTTTTTGCATATGCTAATATCATATGTCATAATGATTTACAAGAAAGAGCTATTGTTTTAGCTTCAATGAATATGTTTAGTAATGCAGTTAATGCTTGGTGGTCAATTTTATTTTATGGAGCTGATACTTATCCATTTAAAAAAGGTAGTTGGGCATTATTAAGTACTGGTATTGCTAGTTGTATTGTAGTTGTTGTTATTAAAATTTTAGAAGTAAGGGAAAAGAAAATAGAACAAATTAAAAATAATGAAGATGAAGACGGTGAAATAAGTGAAATAAGTAATAATGTTGAAGTATTAGATGGAGTCAGTAATGATGATAAACGAAGTATCGAAAAAAACTCTTTGAATGTATAGAATATTTTAATGAATTAATGACAACCTGATGAAATATTTGAAAATGGAATTAATTTCAATACGAAGTAAGCTCTTTGGATTAAATTTGCTATAGGTGAAAAATCACTCAATATAGTTACTTAAAAATATCATCACCAATGTTGCAATTAAACCATGATTCCGCGTGTGGTTATGACAGGAATCACGAGTGTATCCTAGAAGTACGAGCTTTCTTCAAAAAAAAAAGAGTACGACTTTATTATGAAACAATCTTAATTAGTTACATAATTTGTCGTACACGATACATTCCGGATTTTAAAAGAACTCTCAGTTGAAAAAAAATATAAAGAAAACACAAAAATAAAAGTAAACCCTCCCTCGTTAAAATTGTTGAAAAATTTCAAACATGTATAATTTATTAAATGTAAAACAACTTAAATATTAATTCATCATAAATTAAAAAAATATCAAAACTAAAAAAATATCAAAACCAAAATTAAATTAATTTTTTACTAAAACGTAAAAAATAAAAATAAAAATAAAACTATATAGAGTTTGACTATTAGTCTAGAACTGCTTCTCTTCATTTTCATAAGAATGTTATAGTTAATTAATTTTATTAAAAAAAATTTGGTTTCATTGGGCCCCTTAATTTTATTAAATTCATTAAATTCCAAGTAAAACATATTGTCTCACATTTGAATTTTTAATATTATCGTCAATTTTTATAAATTCGTGAGGAGTTCCTTTTAATGGTCTAAGGAGGTCGATTCCAGTGATACCCTTTTTTTTCATTTCTTTTTTCATATTTCTATTCTTGTTTGTTTTGTTCTCACTAACCACATAAAAGAAATAATTTACGATAAATAATAGGGATTGTGTATTATTATAAGGTTACTTTCTACTTATTGTACGAACAATAAGATTGTATTTATTGATATATTGTACTGTATTTTATTTTTCTATTGTCTACACTTCTTAATTAAGTCTATCACATCTAGACTGTCAAAACTTTCTTTTAGGCTAATTCATAATTTTTTTGCTTCGTTAGTTGTTGAATCATTGGTGTTTTGTATTCAAGGAATCACTTGACAACCAAATGACTTTACCTCATTTTTAATTACAGTATGATCAACTTCTACTTTGTGATTCATTGCTTTTATATTATTACTTTTTTTTTCTTAATTTATCCAGTGATACTTCATTAACATATAACTAATGAAGTAAGTCTAATCTTTGTTTTCTTCCTTTCGATAATATCGTTATTGTTATCCTGTCAATAACATATGAACGTTTTATTAAAAATTAAGCGAATTTAGGCTTTAATTTTGTTATTGTATTTTTTTTTCTTTGATTGAGTTATTTGCTGTATTGAGCAAGAAATAGGATTTCAAACTTCAGTGGGGCACATTAACGTTGTCCCACTCAAATGTTGACCTTCATGTAAATGTAAGATACGGGTGAGAGATATTGTGTAAACCACTTACCGGCTCTGAACGCTGAAATTCGAAATCTTGCGTAGTTTTAAAATATATCAAGGGGGTTTTATTGCTTAAAAGAGAAACTAAGTTCATGTGTCTTTTGTTTCAAGTATTTCCATAACTGAGTTTAACTTTCTATAATTCACTATTTTAAATCATATGAAAAGTTCAACAATTTGAATTACGATAAATTTGACTTACGAATTATCAATAAAGTTTTGAATTTCAAAAGGAAGGTTAACTTAAATAAAACTTTAAACTGATAAACTCAACATTAAGGATTTTTCATAAAAAGGGTTATATTAATTATTTATCTCATCAAATTTCAAAATGGTTTGAATTCATGATGGGGGAGTTCAGAATCTTAAAATACTTAGTATCCTTAATATCGTACTACTTGAATTTATTGTAATATGGTTTTGAATTTTTAATTTTATGGATTGTGTACCATAAACCCATTCGGCCACAAAATTTTTCATATCAATATTGTATTTTAGTTTATTGGGGGTCGATGAAGATGAATATTTTTGGTTATGATACTGTTTTTTAATAAATTTGAAAAATTAATACGATTTAATTTTTGTATTGTGTTATTGTTAGTTGTCCTTTTTGTTACCATTTGATACATCATATTGTAATGTAGTTAATCTTAAATTTAATCAACTAAGGCTATCTCTCCTATTTGTATCAACTGCTACTATTGATACATGTATATCTCAATAGGTTAGTATATGTCTATAATAAGTAATCTTACTTTTAAATATAATAATTTATTATTTTTCAAATATTTAAATTAAAATTAATAAATTAATTTAGGTAACAAAAAAACTATCAACAAACCAAAAATTATGAAAATTTTATTATGAATAATTGATTATTGGTTACTCTGCTATATATAAGATTAATTGATTACCCTTTTTTTTTTTTGAACTCATGATCAATCAATTTTTCAACACTTGTCTATCAACTAACTTTTCATATTTCAACTTTTCAATTCTTATTTATATTACTAGATCTATATTCGTATCTCATTACATTATTTATTACTGATAATATTAATTTTTTTTATTTTTTTTCACACAAATTTGGACTCACTAACAAAAAGAAAAAACAACACACGTTAAAATAAAATAATTCAATTAAAACATCACATAACAACAACGATAACAAACAAGTGTTCAATTGATAAAGATTAAGAAACAAGCATGAGTAATAAATTAAAAACTAAAATAAAATCTATTAAAAATGAATTAAAAACCTCATCATCATCAATATCAATTAATCTACATCATAATAATAATAATAACTCAAACAGTAATATACATAATATGAAAAAATCAAATTCAACAAATACTTCACCATTTTTCCAACAAACTTCATCATTTGAATCTATTGCAACTACAACTTATCAATATCAATCACAACAACATTCACAACAACAACAGCAACCACATTTCCATTCAATGTATAGAACTAGATCATTATCATTACCATTAACTAAAACCAAGAAACATCAACAACAACAACATTTACAACAATTAGAAGAATCCAAATTTCAATTATTTGATAGTTACTCCTCATCACAATCTTCATCATCATCATCACATTTTGATTCAAGTGATATGAATTTAAATTTAAATGCTAATACTTCTAATACTACTTCAACTTCAGAACCAACAAAAGAATGTTATATTCCACCATTAGTTGATATAAATCATGATTATATTCATCATAACAATAATCAAAATCAACAACAACAAACAATGTCAAGTAGTTTACATTCAACTAAAAATTCAATTCATTCAATAAATTCAATAAATTCTTCAATTAATGGAAATGATATACAATTTGAAAACAATTCTTACTCAATAATTCCAAAACCTTATGATAACGAAAATAATAATAATAATGACGATGAAATTATTGATGATGATAAATTAGCTAATAATATATTAAATGTTATAAATAAAAGAGAAATTGATTGGAGTATTTGATTAAACAGTTGGTTGTTTGGTTTTTTGGTTTTAATTTTTAATTCATGTGTTGTTGATAATGATAAGGTCTTATGTGATGTATGGTTTGGTGATTTGCTGGTCTCGATTTTATTTTTAATTCTTTCTTACTTTCTTTTTCAAACAAAAAGTTACTATTATTAAAAAAGTTAATTATTATTATTGTTTCAATTCTTTATACCACTCGTTTTAAATTTTGATATATTTTTATAGAATCTTTTTTCCTTCAATTCTTAAATAAATAAAGTAAATAAATAAATGTGATTTCATTGATTTTAAATATACTCTTATAAATGTAAATGATCAAATTTAATATGATAGATCTTATTGAATCCACTGTATTTTTATTTCTCACGTTTTATTTTAATTTTCCCCCTTAATTTTAATTTTTAAAAAGTGTTGCAAAATAAATAAATTCTAAGATCAAATCGATACACACTTGAAACATCATTCAAAATATACACCTTGACAAAATTGTGGGAATTTGTGGATATTGATAAGAGTTTGGCTACTAGTCTTATCCCAAATTCACACATTTGTCAATAGTTTAGATAAATTTCTTCCAAATCAACTCACATATATCAAGCATCACTCAATAATTTAACCACTGACTTACAGCCATTAAAGCTCGTACAGATGTGTAAATCAAGTTATCCAAACACCTTTAAAACTGCAAAAACCAAAACTTTAAAAATTGCCACTCCAGCTCAAACAAATGATCAAGTGAATTCAAATCAAATACTGCTTATTACGACCATAGATAAATTAAACATAGAACAATCAAACAGGAAGATTCAAACCAAGAAGATCTAAATATCATGTATGACGAAGAACATGATGAAATTTATGATGTTGATTCAACAGATTATATCAACCAGAATCAAGATAACTATGAATGGGAACAAATTTCAGACAGTGATAGTAATGATAAAGATGATTGGAAGGATGATGTAAAACATTGCTTAATATCACTAGATAAGACACCTAATTCAAATATTAATTCAATTTTCATCAAAAATTTAATTCTTTCAAGGATTCAAACTTCATCACTTTATAATCACAATTTAAATCATATTTATGAAAATAATTCAAAAACAAATAAGTTTATTTCAAGTTCAAAGTTATGAATGATAGTGTTAGTCAAGCTGGAGTATTATTTTACATCCAAATTTTGTGATTCCGGTAGTTCAAAATCAAAATTTATTATCAAAATTCTGATCAATCAATATAACTGTAAATAGTTAATAATAAATTCATACATCAAATAAATCATGTAAATCTAAATATCGAACAATTTTTTAAATTAGATCTACTAACTCATCCGCAATCTAATAATAAATATTGTGGGGATGATCAAGTACGAATATGTTTTATAAAAATTGCGTCAAATTACATTTCGGACTTTTTTTTTTCACTTTTTGACGTGACAAGGTAATTAAGTTGACAAAGTTATAATAGAGATGTTGATTAAATTTTCATTTCAAAAAACGTTTGAACAGTATTCTGTAACCATGGAATTTCGCTGATATTTAATTAAGCCTAAATAGAATTATATGATAGTTAAGCGAATTCGAACGTTTGAATTAGATTCTTAAAATTATAAAATTCGGGTGTTTCAAGTCATGTAAAATGTTTCGGATGAAAAAATTTATAATATCAGGAACCCCAGAGTTTGTTCAATAACAGTAGAACCTAAAATATATTCTTTCCCTAGACCCTAATTTTAATAACTTTAGCTCTTCGGTAAATTGAAACATAGGAAATAGCGCTAAATGACACTACAATCAACTTCTCTTTTTCTACTGCAAATTATATGTAAATTATTAATAGATCCAGCGGTCTTTCGATTTAAAAATAAAGCGGTGATTAAAAAAATTCAACAAAAGTTATACGACGAGAAAATTACGTTAGGAGATAAATAATTATATAAGAATAGATATATATAATACATGTACAAGAAGAATTTAAAGTTAATTAAAATATCACTTTAATCAGGGTTTACTCATTCAAACTTCATCAATCTTATACTCAAGCAGCTTTGGTTTCACTGTTGTTCTAGTCTTATCAATTATTAAATTTAGTTAGGAGATCTCAACAAAAAAAAAAAATTAACCGATTAATTGATAGAGAAGAATTGAATTGAAAAATTTACAACCAAATTGAATATTAGTTATCAAAAACATTTAATCTAATAGACTTCATCATTAGATTAGCCATTTAAGAGCAAGACTCATTTTATTTATTTATTCATATTTATTTATTATTTCAAATCTTACATTCCTTTCCAATTTTCATTTCATTTCATTTTATTGCATAACTATTTGTCATTCATTTTTTCATATCTACAAAAGGAATATCATAAATATTTACCAGATACAGTTATAGATTTCAGAAATATATATCATTAAAAACATTCATAGATCAAGTTTACATTCACTTTAAGTATCATTTTAAATTATGGAATCTGTTGATCAGATAAATTCAAATGAAAAATCACCAATTTTACAACCAATTAATAATGATAATATAACTCCATCACTAATAGATTCATCATCCACGTCAAAAACAAGTAATAGTGACAGTAACAACAATAACAACAATAACAACAATGTGATACAACTCCCACAAACTTCATCAACCCAACAAATATCAATACAATCTCAATCTCAAAATCAATCAGCAATAACATCAAATTCAACATCAAATTCATCATTAAATTTATATCATTCAAATTCAAATTCAAATTCAAGACGACATAGATTAAGTGTAAGTCATGAAGATATGAATTTAGATTTAGTTGATCCAGGAACTATAAGAATAGATTGTAGTGGAGCATTTATTGCAAATGATAATTTATTAAGAAAATCAATGAAAATATCAAATAATAATAATGAAGAAGAAATGAATTCTTCTTCATCTAATTCAAATACTCCTACACCTCCACTGTCTAATACATCATCTGATTTAGAAAGTGATGATAATAATGATAATGATTATGATATAATGATTGATGATTTAAATGATGAAGAAAAATTAAAAAATAAAAATGGTTTAATTACAAAAAATAATATAAATTTACCAAAACATAATGATGAAATTATTCATATTTCAGTAGATATAGGAGGAACATTAACAAAATTAGTATATTTTAGTAAATTAATAAAACCATTATATAAAAAAAATAGAATAATAGAAGGTGGTAAATTATATTTTAAAGATTTTCAAACTGAAAATTTTAAAAATGAAGTTATGAAATTTATTATCCAACTAATTAAAAAATCTATTTCAAAAGAAAATAAAAATCCTCCAATTACATATATAATGGCAACTGGGGGAGGAGCGAATAAATTTTATAACTTAATGAACAAAACATTTAAAAAAAAAAATTTACCAATGAAAATTATTGCAAAAGATGAAATGGAATGTTTAATAAAAGGTTTAGATTGGTTAATTACAAAAATTCCTCAAGAAATTTTCATTTATGATTTACTGCAATTATGTATAAAATTTCAACCTTTACAAAATGAAAATGAAATTTATCCTTATTTATTAGTAAATATTGGTAGTGGAGTAAGTATGATAAAAGTTACAAAACCTGGTCCCTTGGGTTTTGAAAGAATTGGTGGTAGTTCATTAGGAGGTGGAACATTATGGGGTTTATTATCTTTATTAACTGATGCAAAAGATTATAATGAAATGTTAGAAATGGCTCAAAGAGGAGATAATGAAAATATAGATTTATTAGTTGGTGATATTTATGGAACAAATTATAATAAAATTGGATTAAAAGCAAATCATATAGCATCAAGTTTTGCAAAAGTTTTTAAAAAGCTAAGATTTAATAATAATGATTATAAAAGTTCAACAAATCATCAAATAACTCATAAACCTTTATTAACATCATCAGAAAAATTATCACAATTTAAACAAGAAGATATAGCAAGAAGTTTATTATTTTCAATAAGTAATAATATTGGACAAATTGCTTATTTACATGCTTTAAGATTTAATTTAAAAAGAATTTATTTTGGTGGTAGTTATATTTCTGGTCATATGCAAACTATTCATACTTTAAGTTTTGCAGTTAATTTTTGGTCAAAAGGAGATATGGAAAGTTATTTTTTAAGACATGAAGGTTATTTAGGTAGTGTTGGAGCTTTTATGATGGGTCCTGCAACTGCTAATAACTAAGATTATAGATTCAAATTTGATAAAAAGATCGTATTAAACATTATTGTATAAAATATTAAATGTATCTACTAATTCAATTCTTACATCATTGGATAAAAACTCCGAAATTTTTTTTATGGTTAGTTTTCTTCATTCTTTATAAATGTAACGTAATAACGATAGAATTCCATGTTACATTAAAACGGATTAATTTTAACACTAAGAATTCTTAACGGTTTATAAGAAATAGTTTAAAATGAACAAAGGCTAAGGGTCAGCTCAAGAGAGCAATGTACCACTCACATCTTTCAATAAAGTGAAGTTGAAGTTGGTCTAGTAATTTGTAGAAATTTTGGTTATTCCCCACCTTTTTCTTACCGATGTCTTCTATAATATTAAATTATAGCAAAAACACAACAAAAAAAAAAGAATAAAAATAAAAGAAAGAAATGATACACATGGAGTAGTCCAAATTGAGTTTTTTAAAATAGCAATATCCTTATTCATTGTTAGATCTGATCGTAACTTAAGCACAATCTATACCACGAGGTTTAGTTAGACCAATTCTACTCTACTTTGACTGTTCTTCATTACAGTTTCGTACCGCTTTGTTCGTAGTACATAATAGTAGAAGAAAAGAAAGAACGAAAGAAAAAAATAACAACAACCTTTTAAAAATAATACACACAAAAAAATTTATACAACCATTAAACATTTAATATTAAAATAACTCATTACCTAAGTATTATAATAACAACCAAGAAACAATCATTCATTCACAAACTAATAATACAAATTACATTTAATTTAAATATAAATATATAAGTCTTTCATTTTTATTCAACTATCATATAAATTTTTTTTTTTTATAATGAATGATATTGATTCATCATTAAATAGTCATAAAATATTAGATAATTTATCAATAAGTCATTCTGAATATAATAAACGGTCAGTAAACACTAGTAATAATAGTAGCAACAATCAACAGATAGACCAACAGATACCGAGTAGTCAAAATCATCAACAATCACAACAACAACAAGAACCTGATATACTACATATACAACCACAACAAATTAATTCTATACATTATCAACAATATCTACAACATTTACAACATCAACATAATCAACAACAACAACAACAACAATTACATCAAAGAAATATAGGTAGATCACCATTATATCCATCATCAAAATTATATAGTCAACCACCACAAAGTTTTAATTCAGAGTGGATTGAAGAAGGAGATACAACTAGTCCAATAATATCACCAACTAAATCAATAAATTATAAAATAATAGAAGAGAACAACCCAAAAATGTCATCAACATCAACTACTACTCAAATAAATCATAAATATGAAACTCCTTCAAAAAATTTAAAAACTTATGCATATATTACGCCAAATTCAAATCAAAAAATTGGAAATACTCCTTTAAATAATAATGAAACATTTTCTGAAAATCATTCACAATCATCTTCTATATCAACAACTATTGAATCATCAGATAAAATAAAATCTACAACTACGACCACCACTACTATTCAAAAATCCAAAAGTATAAGTAATTGGAATATTTTTTGGTTAATGTTGAATGATATAGTTGGAAAAGATAAAATGGCAAAAGTTGGTCAATATACTTTGAGGTTGTTGGTATTTTATGCAAATAAGTCTCAACTATATTTATCAGATGAAAATTTAAATATTAAAATTATAAATAATAGATATAATGATTCAACAAAACAATTAGAATTAATAAAAAATTTTATAAAACATCCAAAAGATTTTATAAAAATTATTTTAATTCTTGTTTGTTCTACTTTTAAAGATAGAATTTCAGGAGTTATAAATGGATTATCTATGTATAGACAATTTTTAAGATTTGGTAAAACTCCATTTAGGATAAGAGATTTAGTAATAAAATTTTCAAAAAATATTAACTTAAATAAGAACAATAAAGACAATAAAGATTTAGAAATAAATAAATCACAAATTTTTAATAGAACAACATTAGGTCAAATTTTTTCATTATATTATGGAATAAATGATGAATCAATTTTGCTTTTTAAATTAAATTTTTTAAAATCTCCTAATTTAAAAAAATTTGTAACTCAACATGAATCATATAGTTGGTATTGTGAAACTTGGTTAGCTTTATATAATGCTTATGAAGATTTAAATAATTTAACTCAACAAGAAATGGATTTAAAAATTCAAATTCAAGTTAAAAATAAAGCAAGAATTTTATCAAAACAAATATTGGGGAATAACACACATCAATCTCAAGGACAATTTTTTAATCACTCTAATACTAGTTCAAATTTTATAAATTTAGAAGATCAAAAATTATTAAATTCAATTCAATTTAAAAAAAATAATGCATGGTTAGATATTTATAAAAATTTAGCAGATTTAGGTTTTAATACTTATTCCGTTTTTAATATTTTATTACCATTTGATACTTGGCAAATTTGGATGGGAATATTAGCTTCAAGTTTATCAACTATTAAATTATATAGATTAAAAAAGCAAGAATTATTAATTAATAATTTATAGAATTGAGCTTGAAGTAATACATTAAGTTATTTATTCATTTATGTTTATAATATTTTACAGTCTCTTCTGTTAATGTTTCATTCTTTTCCATCCATTATTGTCTATCAATCTTCTAAAATATCTTCTAATTTAATATCATTTGGTAATTTCATTGCTTCTTTCCAAAATTTAGATAAATGTCTATCACCAGAATCACAAGCTATAATTACAATATTTTGACCAGGACCATATCTTAAAGCTAATTTTAAAGCAGCAACACAATTTATTGCAGCAGAACTACCCCAAAATAAACCATCATTTAAACATAAATATTTTGCCATTTTTAAAGCTTGTAAATCATTAACTTTTATAGCTTCATCAATAAATTTTTCACCAATTTTAAAATTTTTAGTTAATCTATTAAGACCAATTCCTTCAATTAATGTATCTACTTGATGTCTTCTTCTTGTACCTTCTTTTTCAACTGAATCATATAATACTCCATAATTTATTCTATTTGCTAATCCACTACCTTGAGGATCAGATAATATAATTTTTATTTCAGGATTTTGTTCCTTCAAATACTTGCCAACTCCTGTTATTGTTCCTCCTGTACCTGAACCATTTATAAAAAAATTAATTTTTGAATTTAATTGTTTATAAATTTCTGGTCCTGTTGTATTATAATGAATTTTCCAATTAAATTCATTTTCAAATTGATTTGCGAAAATTGCTTTTTGGTTAGAACCAGAGTTATTATTAATTTTTTCAGCTCCTCTTTTTGCTGCATTAACATATTGATTTGGATCAACAATACTTGCAGGTTTAACTTTTTCAATTTCTGCTCCTAATGCTTCTAGTAATTGAATTTTTTCAGGTGATGTATCATCAGGTAAACAAATATGTGCTATATACCCCAATGCATTAGATAATACTGCAAAACTTATACCTGTTGATCCTGAAGTACCTTCAAATATTTTATGATTTTGGTAAGGTTCTATTTCATTATTTTTTTCAGCTTCTCTTATTATTGCTAATGCTACTCTATCTTTTGAACTACCTGCTGGATTACATAATTCTAATTTTGCATAAATTTTACATCCAGTTTTGTTAGATAATGATTTTATTTCAATTATTGGAGTATTACCAATTCTTGATTCAATACCTCTTGATTTTGGTGGTAATGATGTTAAATGATTTTCATCTGTGTTTTGGTTGTTTAGTCGTTTGTATGCTTTATGTAATTCATTTATTATTATTATCAATGATATAACTGTTGCTGATGTTTGTAAAGTAGATTTTAATGACATAGATTTGATATCTGGAAAGTAAGAAAGTTGAATTGTGTTTCATCTTACATGATATCGGATTTAAAATTTGGTAGCAGACTTTTGTTACAATTTGTAAGAATTTAGCTGCAAAAATTCCCAATAACTGGGTGATACGGCATTGAATTTCGCGAAATCAAAGATAAGCGTTGCAATTTTAGAATCTATAATTCATATTTTTGTAGTTACGAAAAGATATGTATTAATCACGACAGGATCAGTTCAAGGTTTACGACAACTTTAATAATTTCAAAAAAATTGACTTTTGAATTTACCATGTAAATTAATTACCATTTAAACTTTTAGATTTATACTTTACTTTTTATCATCAAATCCAGCACACTCAAGTTGATCAATTGAAAATTCCCATGAATTAAATCCCTCATATTTAATTTTGATTCCTATTATATAGACATTTCAACATCAGAGTATCTCAAATTTACAATCTTATCATAATTACAATTCAGTAATTCCTGATCATTTAAGTTTTACTTTTCTTTTGATTCATACTAACCATTTCCAACATCTATGATAAATAGTTTTTACCACATTTACACAGACTCCAATAAATTACTGATTTCCAAATAATATCTCGAACAAAAGAACCCGCGGAACTCTCTCTTTATCAGGATATAATCACTACTTCTTTTATGTGTAAATGAACGGTCCAATCATTGCATGTTACTTGATAAACAGTAACTCTAATTATCCCACGCCAGAAAACAAATTGAATAAATCAGCCAATAATATTCTTAATGGATTCTTTTCTTGGAAAATTCTTATCTTGAAAATGAAAATAAAGTTTCCTACTCCTTGAACATCACTGTGTTGAAATTATTTTCCAAAATTCCACACTATAAATAGACCTTGTTTTCCTCAAAACTTGAATAATTTTTTGAATTTTTTCTTAATCACTAACATCATTAAGTGCAAAATCTTCAACTATAAATAATGCAACAATTACGGGCGAATATGGGATTTTTACTGGAGTGGCTACTACAATTCCTTTTATCATCATATTACATATACGCGTCATTGTAATGTGGTGGTTTCTGAACCGGTATTAATCAACAGTAATTATGTCATATGGGCCCGTAGGTTGTATCGTTTTAACTTTGAACTGTAAAAGTTATTCGTTGAAGATTTTTAATTCATCGTAGAAGATCATAACTCCAATTCGAGACAGCTTTGACCCAACTAAGGAATGAAAGTTTATTGAGTATTGAAATTAGGTTCGTACTTAATTGATGATTGAAAAATTTGGAGTGAATCAAGATTTGTAAATCTGTTTAAAAACTCTCTATCTTGATATCTAAAATTGTCGAATAGATAGTTTCGAGCGTAAATGCCTTTCTTCTATCTGATGATGTTAATTGGTTTATGAACACACGCTTCATAGTGTAGTCAATCTATGCTATTACCACCGAAGTTTGGATAATTAGTGATCTTCGATCCCTCTCGGACCTGATTGAGATAAAATATATTATGTTCAGGTGTGCTTTTTTAAGACCAGTTTCGAAGCTTGTAGTGGTTTAGTTGTTTCAAATAGAATTAATTTATGGATTTTATGATTATGAGAATCATGCATGGTTCAGATATGAATATAAAATTGAAATGATTCTTCTGCCCACCTTCAATCTGTTACTCTTTTAGTTTCATCATCATTTGTGATACTCCTCGAGCCATTAGGGTTCAGCTCGCCAAATTATTTCATTGTTAAGTTCTTGTCTTAACTCCACATGGTTGAACCAATGAAATTCAAATACATACCCCAGTTTGTGTCACAAAAACGCATGACCAAACTTGGAATCAAAAAATTTAAAGTGAAAAATTTCAGTTTTGGACGGTAAACAAATATAGCTAAATTTAACAATAACCAAAAATGTCAGTTGAAGAATTAAAAAACACCATATCTAAATTACATGATAGAATTCAACAATTGGAAAAAAAAGTTGGAATTCCAGTTGAAAATCCATTTGCAAAACAATTAAGATTAGTATTAATTGGAGCACCTGGATCTGGAAAAGGAACTCAATCAGTTGATTTAAAAGATAAATTTTGTGCTTGTCATTTAGCTACTGGTGATATGTTAAGATCACAAGTTAAACAAGGAACTCCATTAGGCTTAGAAGCTAAAAAAATTATGGATCAGGGTGGATTAGTTAATGATGAAATTATGGTAAATATGATTAAATCGGAATTAGAAAATAATAAATCCTGTTCAAAAGGTTTCATTTTAGATGGATTTCCAAGAACTATCCCACAAGCTGAAAAATTAGATGCTATGTTAAAAGATAGAAAAACTCCATTAGAAAATGCTATTGAATTAAAAATTGATGACGAATTATTAGTTGCAAGAATTACTGGTAGATTAGTTCATCCAGCTAGTGGTAGATCATATCATAAAATTTTCAATCCTCCAAAAAAGGAATTGACTGATGATGTTACTGGTGAACCATTGATTCAAAGATCAGATGATAATGAAGCTGCATTGAAAAAGAGATTAGTTACTTATCATCAACAAACTGAACCAATTGTTAAATATTATCAACAAACTGGTATTTGGAAAGGTGTTGATGCTTCACAAAAACCAAGTAAAGTTTGGAATGATATTTTAAAATGTTTAGGTCAATAATTAAATATGAAGATGGTAAACTACAGGTAAAAAAAATCAGAAAAATATTTACATATGCATTTGTAATAAAAGATGTACATAAGTTATATGATTCTTTCTCTTTTGATTTTAGGACTTTGCAATTCGGCATCGGCTGATCGTTTTTTCTCTTGAAAACATGAAACATGTACAATTTTACGAGAATTTTTATCACCAGGTTGTCTCATACAATCATACCATACCCATTCTCCTATATCATCATTATATTTTGCTTTAACTTGCTCACGACAAATTAAGCATCTATTATTCATGTTGGTGTCATTAGAAGGAACAGTTACATAGTTAACTTCATTCGTAGTAGTAATATCTTGTTGTTGATCTGTACTATTCTCAGTAGCTGTATCTAATAAATTGTCATCATTAAAATTAACCCATTCATAATCATCTAAATACCAATTTCTTGATTGAATATTAGCACCTTTAACTCCTAATTTCTTGTTCATCCTAAAATGCCAATCCAAATGTAATCTTTTTTTGTTCGTTCCATCATAATCTGTTGTAAAACGTTTCCCACAAATTGAACATTTTGAAGGCTTTGCATCATATAATAAGTTCATCATTGCTGTAGATGGTACATTATTATTAATAAAATCTTGTAAATTATTTGCAGATTTTTTGGAAACGTTCATTAATTCTGTGAATTTTAATTTATCATAATCTGATCTTGGTATTGAACTACTTTGTAATAAAAGATCTTCCAAAGATATTTCGGTTTGATTTTGGGTTAAGGAGAATTTGATTTCAGGGAACATCAATGTATAAGTTGGCTGAGAACCTGGTATGGGTTCTTGTTCTTTTTTCACTAACCCTGATAGTATTAAATCATTAAAAATTTGAAATGCTGGGTTGACCTTTTGAATTGGACTTTGAATTACAGGGTTAGGTGGTGGTGCAGGAGTAACGGGCGTAGACTGTATTTGTATGTTAACAATATGAGATTTTATTGCTTCTAATTCCGCCGCTTTCATTTCATGAGTTGTCAACATTGTTTTTAAACTATTTAAAGCTTTAAATCTTTCTTGTAATTTTTCATTCATCATATCTGATCTCAATTGCTTTTCAAATATGGGTATAAGATTATCAATATCATTTATTAGTGATTGTTGTAATGATACTATGGGTTTTTGTGGCAAACTAGGTTGGGTTAAAGTTGGTGTTGATTGTTCATTTTTAGGATATCCAGCTTTTTTCAAAAATGTACCAATTTTGCTTAATTGATCATCTGAAAAGACACGTTCATTTGTATTCTTTATAGTGAAAATTTTCCATGTTTCATACATTCGTACTAATTTATTTCTTATAAATTCATTGTTTAGTTGAAAAACATGTACAAAGATTTTATACAATTCATCTCCAATCAATATATTATATGGATTCCCCACGGTTTTACATATATCATCTAGAACGTATAAGGTATATAGTTTTTGTTCTGGTAGTACATTAAATATTCTCTCAGAAATTAAATCCATTATTTGATCTGCAAATTCTGGATGCAGTTTCGCAAGTTGAGTCAAGTATGAAATGACCGGACCATTATTAAACGTCAATTCTGATAGTTTTTGCCGATATTCTTGAATTACACTAGACATTTGATTGATTGTTGTTTAGATATGATAGTGGTAGGTCGGTGATCTCATCAAAAGTGTTGATATTTTTTCAAGCTAAAGTTCGAATTTTGTGTAACATCTATCAAGCCGTTGAAAAATAGACATATTGAACTTTGCATCGTTAGATCAAGAGAAGTATTTATTCATTAAAGATAGTCTGAAAGTTGAAAGTCGTTACCTCTAAGCGTCAAGAGAAAGAATTATACTTGAATGCTCCAACTTGCTGTTTTGGTGAAGTGAGGTTGGTATTTTGTGCGATCGATGTCAGATATGTCAACCCAAAAATCACCATCAAGATGCCTAATAGATTACGGGCATTATTTCTTTTAACGAACTGTGTCTCAAGCTCAAGTAAGCTTTGACAATGACCGCTCAATGATCTGCAAATATGTTTGGGCAATTTAATCAGTTTGAAGTACTAAAAAATAAAAAATCTGGAAATTACTCCGTCTCTCCATGTCTTTAACTGCAATTTGGAAAAAGCAGAATAGCAAGCCAGCATCTACTCAATCTTTCAACATTTTAAATAAATAACACTTTATAGGAAAGTCTATTCATTTATATCTCATTCCAAATTAGTATAGTCTTCGTCAATTGAAATTGTATTTTGTGTAACCACTTGAAACAATTTTCCTATACTATGAGTTTAGGAAATGGACTGCTTTTACAAGCACCGAATAGTACGAACCTTCTCAACTCGATACAAAAACCTCTCAAAAACCTTAAGCTGCAACATCTGCTTCAAATTGTTTACCATATTGAGCCATGCTTTGATCAATCACTGTGGAACGAAACAGAAGCTTATACATTTAATCTGTTCAGACTGTCCTTTTGACTTACGGCCAGGTATGTTGCTCATACCTGTAATGCCCCAGGACTCAAATTTGGGTTTAACTCAGTATAGCACTTGTAGGTTAAATAAAGCATATGCAAGTATGGTGCTAATGTCGATATTATATATTCTTTCAATTCAATAGAGCTATATTGACTGTAATTGCTGATATTTTCAAAGTTCCCAAATACTATATGAGGACTATTTCATAAGACATAACTGCCATAAAAAAATCACAAGAAACTGTCAAACATAAGGATATGGAATTTTTTATAACAATAAGATTGCGATAATATCTAAACACCTGCGCAGATTTTAAGTCAATTTCATTAAGCGCGGTGTGAGAAAAAAATTTTGATATAATAATCAAAAAAATTTTCAAACAATTAATTTACTTAAGGATACAAAGTCAGTCAATCCATTAGCCTCATCAGGAACTGTCCTACATCCTTCATATCAGTAACAATGTCCCCAACTGCTCACTCATCAACAGATAAGAAACAATCTGGACTTGCTAGAGTCTTAGGTTCTGCAACCGCTGGTATTGCAGAAATTGGTGTATTTCATCCAGTTGATACCATTTCAAAAAGATTAATGTCAAATCATACTAAAGTTACATCATTATCACAATTGAATACAGTCATATTCAGAAATGCGGCAGACTTGCCATTTGTTAAAAGATGTTTCACATTATTTCCTGGTTTAGGTTATGCTGCATGTTATAAAATCTTACAAAGAGTATATAAATATGGTGGTCAACCATTTGCAAATGAATTTTTAACCAAAAATTTTAAAGATGCTTTTGATGGTGCTTTTGGACCTAAGAATGGTAAAGCTTTGATGAGTGCTACTGCTGGTTCATTAATAGGAATTGGTGAAGTTGTTTTATTACCATTGGATGTTTTAAAAATTAAACGTCAAACTAATCCCGAAGCTTTTAAAGGTAGAGGATTTTTTAAAATTATAAAAGATGAAGGATTTGGATTATATAGAGGTTGGGGTTGGACAATGGCAAGAAATGCACCTGGATCATTTGCATTATTTGGAGGTAATTCATTTGCAAAAGAATATATATTTGGTTTGAAAGATTATAGTCAAGCTACATGGACTCAAAATTTCATAACATCTATTTTTGGTGCAAGTGCTTCATTAATTGTAAGTGCTCCATTAGATGTTATTAAAACAAGAATTCAAAATAGAAATTTCGATAATCCAGAAGGAGGTATAACAATTTTAAAAAATATGTTCAAAAATGAAGGAATAACATCTTTTTTCAAAGGTTTAACTCCAAAATTATTGACAACTGGTCCTAAATTAGTTTTTTCATTTGCATTAGCTCAATCATTAATACCAGCTTTTGATAAATTATTGAGTAAATAATGTAAATAACAATATAAATAGAGATACACCCATGTAGATAGAGAAACAATCAATAAATTAATTAATACGTAAGGAGATCATATGAACTTGTAGACGATATTATTTCATCTAGACTAGTTGAATTGATGTTTCTATGCTTCTCGGTTTTACTTAATCTAGACTAAAACCGTTATTATTTAATATTCAAATTTTTTCTGCGCACGCCCCCCATTTTTGTTTATCACTGAGATATTTTAAGACAAAACATCTAGAATTTAACAAGTTGAATTAGTATGGTACTCATATGTAAACTGCTAAATAAATAGTCATCATATCCTAAATATAATTATTTGTGTGTCAGTTACAAGTTATACTTTACAACCAAAATCAAAGCAATTTTAACTCAACACAGATATCAACAAGATGAAAATAACGTTATGGCTTCTACACTTTTTTAAAATAAACGTTATACAAATTATACTAAATAATTCAAGAAATCCATCTATAAGTTTACAATTTATTGACTCGACATTGTTTAATAGAGCTAGTAGATGCTCACCGGCGGAGCCAGTGAATGGTAGTGGTGCTTTCGCAGAACAATTTTATTGGAGTAATAATTTTACTGATATTCCAGTTGATGATTTCATATAAAAGGTGAAAATCAATTAAAGATTTGTATTACTTACTTTCATGGGTATTGATAGGGTATTGGGTTGTTTTAGATGTTCATTTCTTGTTTGGGTTATGCTATATTTTAGTTTTATTTATATAGATTTATTAATTTTTAATATACAAACTTAATCTTTATCTCATTGTAACTTTATGTGATTGATGCTATTGGAATTTTTCTTAATTTTTCATCATATGTATTAATTTTAGACAACTCTGTATATTCTTTTATCCATTTATTCCTTGTCATAATCTTATCCAATTCTTCAATTGATATCTTATTCTCAATCAAGCACAATCTAAACACTGATTGGTATTTTTTTTTATCTCTATTCATCTTCTCTATTGCTCTTTCACGTAATCCACCTGATGTATTAGATAAATTCATAGCTGATTTTAATAAATTTTTACAATTCGTTAAATATATATCTTTGTTTTTCATACTAGTCTCAAAGTCTATCATTGATGACCATTGATAGAAAATGTCGGCTCTTTCAATTAATACGTCACATAATTGAGCAATTGTAGCACCTAAATTCAGTTCTTTCCCCAGTGGTTGATTTCTCTTGTTAGCTAAATCTGAGTTTACTAAATCTTGAGCTTTAGCCAAAGCTTGATTCTGATATTTCAAAATATCAAAAAATGTTTGCTTATCATTTATATCATTTGATTTGTTTACTACTTGTAATGTGATGTCTTTTCTATCTAGTTGTGTTTGTAGCTGGTCCGAAAAGGCTAAGTATTTTTCAGGTGTATCATCCACCAATACAGTCTTGAATGATTCTTCCCATAGCTTTATGACATCTTGAACATCAGTCAACTGCAAACTCTGTAGAATTGTCATATTGATCGCAATTTCCTCTGCTTGTGCTTTGGTGATATTTTCTAACATTGAGTTTGCATCGGTGTCATTTTGTGAATAGTCAAACGTTATAACCTTTGCGATCTTGGTTGCAATAAATTCAATAGGTTGAACTTCAGCTTTGATCTCAGGCAATAATTCATCCAGATCCAAACAATTGTATAATGCTTGGATTAGACGAAAAGATGCTATCACCGTTTCAAATAGATCAACTGGTTGAATGACTTTTTCACTAATTACCTCCTCTTTTTTCCCTTCCCCTTCTTTTGACTGATTGAAAACTGATTTGTTATTATCATCTTCATCATCATTTTTCAATTGCTTGAGTTCCTCAATAAAAGATTCGAATTCAACATACTGATCATGAGCTAGTCGTATTAACATATCACGTGCACTATTAAAAAGTCTGATTGCTTCAGCATTGTCAAGATTTAGCTCGTCATCGTTTGAAGCACTTGATTCTAATATTTCAATGTAAACTATGGCTGTATTGAATAATAAGTCTTGATTTTCACCCACGGTTTCCAAACTCCTTAAATGTAAATTCAAAATCAGCTCTGGACTTTCAATAACAGAATGTTCACTATTGTACACTTCATCAAGATTAACTAAATTCTCTAAATTTAAACCATCTGATTTTATTAATAAATAAACATGTAACAACAATCTACTTGAATTATAGTAAGAATCTCCATTGTCACCTAATTGAATTGATTTCAAATATGAATTATATGCTTTTTGATAAAACCTAAGAGCTTTAGCTAAATCAGATCCAAGCCACCTATCCCCACTTTCTTCGTCTAATGAACCTTGTTCAAGGTATTCTTCTGCTGTTAAAGGGTTTGATGAATTCTTTTGACTTTGTTGAATTTGTTTTTTGCTTAACTTTGGTACTTTTTCTATGTCTTTAGTTAGCCTTCCATGTTTCAAAGATGGACCTTTTTGAAAAAGTACATACTTTTCATTGTTCAGGTTGTTGCTTGAAGAAATCGAGCTTGTTTAAGATGTACTATTTTAAATTCAAGTACAATAATACATATAAAAGATGCTACCAAATCGTATCATACGCATTACGTTTAGACCGATCTTGAATGCAATGATTTCAATTATATTTGTAACATTTCAATTATATTTGTAACACTCCTCAAGGCACCAGATGACTCCATTGACAGGGCCATGTCGTTATTTACAATTCTTCTGGTTTTTTCTTTTTTCGAAATTGATCGAACATAATTTTGATCATTTTGCAACAAAATTATATGAAACTCGTACAGTTAGTTAGTTCCCAAATTCCAAACGAATGTATCTGAACTATCTAGTTGAATGATTATTAATTCATTGAGTGACTAAATTCCTACAATACTGCAATCACCGATGGTAAAAAGAGTTGGTCCGAATTCACATTATAAACTCGATGCAAATTCTTTCAATGATTTTGCGCATGCGCAAAAGATGTGGCTATTTTTTTAAAAACAGACGCGTCTTATAAATAATAGACTATATAAGTTTCACGAAAGGATCGAAATTTTAAAATAAAAAAACAACTCAAAGATTTAATCATATACAACTAGTCAATCAATATAGCGTTTCAATGGATAGACCTATCAACAAGTATATAAACTATAGGGCATCACACGATACACTTTCACAATTGCCTACCGTGCCACAAGTTATTAAACCAAAAGGACCCTATAATAAACACTATGATATTCCAATTATCATTTTCGCTTCAAGAATGAACGAAAGGCATTGCTCAATTTTATTCTCAGATTTAACCAAAATTAGTTCCAAATCAACTGTGAGGTATCATTGCTCTCCTTGGAATTCAAAGTTACCTGATTGCATACTTGATGACTCACCTATATTTCCTGATGAATTATTTTCTTGCCATATACATTCAAATAATATTGTTGGGGAGGAGACTTCTCTGGAACACCTTCATAACTTAATTGAAAATTATACTAAAGATCATAATATCGTTTTGGCAAGATTACAATTTGATGTAAGAGCAAGAAGTAATAAATATTTAGAGGGAATGGGGGTCTCTTGCAAAATAGTTTTAGCGTCCAACAAAATTAGGACTCTTAGAATAGACCATCTTGCTTCAAATGTTGAGGACCTCATGTTTGGGATTGAAAATCAATTTCTTAAATTGTTGGAAAGAATGAATGAACGAGTATCAGAACCATTTAAAAACAGATTAATTACTTCATTGGAATTGGGAAATTTTATAGAAAGAAGATGTGTTTCTGATAGGGTTATCCAAGACACCCAAAGTCTGCTTTACAAAGATAGTCAAAGTTTTGATGTATCACGAAATGAAACTCAATTTAGTGAAAACATTATTCAATCTCGGAATGGACAAGCATCCAGTGGTCTTGACAACAATAGATTCAGATCCAGAAGAAACGTTTCTTTAACACATACCCCACCGCGGGAAGATGAAGAAACAAGTGATTTTGATGACTTTGTTACTTGTTCTTCACAATCCAAACCACAAACAGATGAAAGTGGCTTACTGAGTCTTTTAACACCAGCATCAACAACAATATCTCAAGATATAAGAAGTGATTCAACTACATCAAAACCGACTACTCCAACAAAATTGAGAAAAATAACAGTTTCGGAAAATCGAATTACACGTCCGTTACAACCACCACCACCAAAGTATCACAATAAATTAACATTCAATAGCGTAATTGATTTCAAACAATATTGCAAGAATCATGAAGTAATTGAGTCACAAAATTTCGAATTGAAAAATAATATCAGCTTAGCTATATATCCTTTGGAGCCGATTGTTACTGAAGCAATAGGAAGACCCATTAGATTACTGCCTTTCCAAGTACGTTTAAGAGACTCAGAAGGTGGTAAGTTAATCCTAGAATTTGACGAAGTATCTAATCAATGTACTTTTTTAAATTTGAAGGCTCAAGAATTTATGATAGAATATGATACTTTCGGTAGAGTTGAACATGGATTTAAAGGTATAGAAATCAAAAATCACTCAAGTATAGTGATTAGTCGTAAGTTTAGGATACTCAATGGTATTAAAGTCCCTTATTTTACCATTGTCGATATATAGTTTTTTTTTTATAAATTTATACCAAGTAATATACAAGTTATGTCAAATTCTGTATAGTATTCTACACGTCCATGTTCTGTCAACCGACTGATCCACGAAACGACATAAGAGCCAAAGAGTTACAAGATACACCGACCACATTGTCTAACTTAGATTTTATTACTTTATGTTTTCGTTTATATTGGTCAAAATATACAATTAATCATTAATTTAAACTAAAAATTTAAATATAACCAATTTTGTTGGCTATATCTAAAGCATCATGATCAGCTGTTAATCTTAAATAAGCTTTTTTAGTACCATTTGGTCTGATTAATGTGTTAACGTAATCAACGTCAATGTCATATAATTCTTTAGCAGCACTTTTAATTTGATGTTTATTAGCTTTAATATCAACTTGAAAAACTAAAGTATTTGAATCTTCAACTTTTTTCATGGCAGTTTCTGTAGCGATTGGGGAGATGATTACTTTATAAGCATCTAATCTATTGTAATGAGGGACTGATTTTCTTTGATATTTTGGGTTTCTTTGTAATTTTAAAGTTTTTGGTAATCTGAAAGTAGTGGATGTTCTTACTTTTAAAGCTTTTTTACCGTTGATACCTTTTGAGACAGCTTTTTTGGCAGCAGTAGCACCTTTAGTAGTTGCTAAAAATTTAAGTTAGTAACAAGCCTTGAGATTTGAGGTACTTCATGAACTATGTTTCGTTAATCGATTTAAACTGGACCAAGCTTGAAGATTTGGAATATTCCTGATTATAATGATCGTTTAGTTTGAATTGTACCTGCATGAGAAGTATTGTTTATTCATGCTATATTGGGCCATTATAATTTCGTATCTTTTTGAGTCTATCTTTATAAAATAAATTTGATCAGACTGATCAATAATCCAAATCTCATTCAAAGGTAGTATAATGATTCATGATATTAATTGTCCATTCAACATGATTTACTAGGACAGAAGTTGATTATTCTATTTATGTCTTGATTCGCTAGATTTGAGCGTACCCCATGCCTTTAATTTAACTCTATGTATCATTTTCCATATTCACTTGATTCTGTTCATAGTTCATTTGTACTTTTGACCTAATTTCACATACAACCCATTGTATAGTTTGATGATGAATTGATTAAATCCTTGTATGGAATTTCAAATTTGAAAATTTAATTTTTTCTTTGTCTCTCACATTACGAATTGTCAATACTAACTTAACTCTTCTCACTAATTAGTATGGTATAAAAAATGCCTAAGCTACCAAATTTAATTCACGTGCACAAAATATCCAATAGGGTTCTACACATCGCAGTTTATCACTAGCTATTTTACATCGAAGGTTAGGTTGATATGTATATGCAATTTTAACTATGAACAAGGGAGATCTGGGACCTATAAACGACGTAATTTTTTTGGTCTGTTACCACCAAATCTGATCACGGTAGAATCACTTATCCTAACAATATTATTTTTCAAAAATGAACCTTCCTTACCTAATAAAGCAGCTTGGAAAGCTTCCCTACCTTTTCCAAAATTTTTTAAAATTAATTCGATTTTATCATTTGGACCAATATAATTTCTTTCTTGAATAGTTTTAAACATTTTAGAAGAGACTTGAAATCCTGCTTCATATTCTTGTCTTTGAGATTTTCTAAAACCTAATTGCCCAGCCGTTATAGAATATTTTACTTTATGTGGTAATTGTAAATAATATAGAACTTTTTCATTATATGACAAATTCTCATTAGATTTTAGGAAATTTAAATCCTCAACAACTGCTACTAATGTACATCTCGTATTATGTCTATTGAATGTTGCGTATAATTTCCAATACACTATTTTCTCATTTACTTTTGCTTTTGCTGGAGCTGTGGTTGATGGTTCAAAAGCTGTAGTCGTATTTGGTATTTTGTCTGCGTCTTCACTCAATTCGTTGAATCTAGAAAGTGGTGTTGTGGTACTTATTGGTCCAGTATTGGCTGTTGGTGAAAGAAAGGTTGATGATGTTGAAAATAATTTGAGGATAGATGGAGATTTTATTCCCTGTGATAGTATGTTTTGTATTGATGATTGTCTTATCACATTGGATAGACATTGTTTGTAAAACATACTGACTTATGAAATTGTATCGAAGAACCCTATCGTATAGTCTAATCCTATGAATTGAAGATCAAAAATCAATTTCATCATATTACTGAAATATTTTGACGCTACCAATTCGAATCTCAACATCATCAAAACATTCTGTCACCTATACTTCGTATAGTCAATTCCCCTTAGTTTTGTCGGGCCTAAAATGCGTTAGAAAGAACTTCGAAGAATTTCGCAGAGTCAATAAATCCGAAAGAAAGTTTGTGCAAAATCGCCAACAGAATGCTTTTCAACGGCCATGAAAAATATTGGGATCAAGTTTTGCGTATGTTTTGAATCGAAGACAGTCTATCACTTCATTAGAAGTCTCAGAGCTAGCAAAAGATAGATCTGAAATTACGCAAGGAACAGAAGTCAAACTATCAAAAATGAAACAATAAGCTGAAAGAACGAGTAAGTGTTTATCCGAAAGTTTTGATGCAATAATTTATATTTGTCTTACCTTCAATTACGTGTAGTTCAAAATTAGCCACATGCAGAATGAATTTTCATACAGTATGGTTCAAATTTCGTGAGAAAACCTTTCATCAAAATTGTGTCAAAAAAAAACATTTTTTTAGCTTGGAGTTACAACACGGATTGCCAATTCTAGACCCTTATAAATAATAGGAAAAAAGATGAATAAACGTGAATGATTCAATTGAATCAAAGCATGAATGATTATACGATACTTTAGTTGTACTTTTGAAACTTTAACCTTTGAACAAGTAAATAAAAAATTGGGTAATTTATCAAAAACTAGGTATTACACGTATAAGTATATTTTTTGACGATTTTCAGCTAAAGATAAGGCGAGACCGTTGTGGTATATTTGTTAATATTCTCTTATGAACTAATAGTTAGTTAGTAAGAGAAGTCAGCATAACTTGGTTAACCTTGAGCCACAATGCACCATTACACTCTAGACTTCGATGCTGATAATGTTGTGTTGAACGTATCATACTCCAAGAATATTAGAAATGTCATAGATAATATCGATTGAAAGCCTTGATATTAAAAGAGTGTATTAGAAATTCTTAATCTATTGTATTGTATTTTATCTGTTGATAATTAAAGAGCGACAAAAAAAAAAAATCAACACTTTAATTTTAGAAACAAAAATCGTAGTGATTAACAACACATTTTATCATTTATAATTCAAAATTTCATACATCACATTACTTTAATACCCAGTTTATAAATCAATTTAGAAAACAGTTTTTTTGATTTCTATCAATACATCCCCATAACATATCAATTGAATAGAACTTATAGGATCAATCCCATACTAATTCTATTCAAATCACAACCGCCCCACAATCATTCTTTCCTTAAAATTTTGAACCAACGTCATTGATTCATCAAAATATAACAACCATTTTATCACAATTCATCTTCGTAACGATTACACACATACATATTCAGTACCTCAATAGTTCAACATTTCAATCAATTGAGTTCATTAAGAGCATAATTAGTCACGCGTCAATATCAAATTATTAATATAATCAATTTACAACCACACCTCGATTTAGATATTCATACATAAACATAAACTAGATAAAATAGATTTTTACATAATGGTACAACCTCAGCAGTCACCTTTGACTGAATATACATTACCACAAGTGGTTAATAATAAAACATCTACAGCAAGTAGAATGACAATAAAAGAATATAAAAAAATTGGGGAAGGAGCATTCGGAACAGTGGTTGAGGCAGTTTTGAAATATGAAGATCAACCAGCTGCTACTATTGGCAATACCAACGATAATAATACCACGAATAATGGCAATGGAAATCCTATAATTAATAATGATAATCTAAATAATAATGAAAGTTGGATAGGTCCCTTTGCGATAAAAAGAGTACCTGCACAAACTGAATATAAATCAAGAGAATTGGAAATACTAAGAGTAGTTCAGCATCCAAACATAGTAAGTTTAAGATTCTTTTTTGATAAAAAATCACCAATTGATCAAAAAATTTATCAAAATTTGGTAATGGAATGTTTACCCTCAAATCTACAAAGCGAAATTAAGTTTTATCGTCAATCTAAATATACAATTCCATATCCACACATGAAAGCATATACTTTTCAGCTAGCAAGAGCAATGTTATATCTACATGGTTACGGTATAAGTCATAGAGATATCAAACCATCGAATATTTTAGTCGATCCAACGACTATACGATTGAAAATATGTGATTTTGGATCAGCCAAGAAACTAGAGCCAAATCAACCATCTGTGAGTTATATATGTTCAAGATATTATAGAGCACCTGAATTAATTGTTGGATGTTCATTATATACAACCAAAATTGATATATGGGGATTAGGATGTGTAGTTGCTGAGATGTTCTTAGGTAAACCCATATTTCAAGGTCAATCACCAGAATCACAATTGAAAGAAATTGCAAAATTATTAGGTCCACCACCAAATACATTTTTTTTCAAAAGTAATCCTCAATATCGAGGTAATATGTATACTACAAAATTATTTAGTTGTACAATTGAAGAAAGATTTAAACAAATTTTTAGTAATTCACCAATGGATGCAATAGATCTTTTGATGAAAATTTTAGTTTATGATCCAGAAGTAAGAGCAAGTCCAAGAAGAGTTTTAACTCATTCATTTTTTGCAGAATTAAAGAATAAAGATTTTAAAGTATATCCTAGAGGATCTTCTGAACCAATAGAATTAGATTTATTTAATTTTAGCGATTTTGAAAAAGAATTAATGGGACCTTATACTATATAGAAATTTTCGAACTGCTTAAATTGTATAGCTAATATATATTACAGTGTTAGATAATACCTTATTAATTTAATTCGAATATGTTGACTACTCCATTTAATCCACCTGATACTAAATATTGACCGTTATTGATTGAATCAATACTCAATATAGCATCATTATCTTGATAATTCCAAACTATGGATTTCAGCTTAATATCCCAGCATATAATTCCATCTTTATCACTACCACTAACAATCAAATTCTTACCGTCATTACTTATGATAAACCTCAGTTCACAATTATATTTCTCACAAATTGGTTTACCATCAACTCCAACAAAAGTTTTAACAACCTTGTTATCCATATAATTCCACAACCTGATTTTTCCATCTAAATTAGTACTCAAAATGTACTTCCCATTAGGTGATATGCTAACATTAGCTACGGGAAAATTTTGTAAATCTTTAGTAGATAATGAACTAGTTGCTGTTCCGTGAGATGTAGACGTAGTAAGTGTTTTCAAACATTGGAAACTTTCTAAATCAAATAATCTTATTAATCCATCATAGGATGCACTGATTATAATCGAATTATCTGGAGTTAAAACTAGACTTGATATAGGATCTGAATGTGCAGCCAAAGTTGTCAAAATCTTCCCTGATATTATATCCCAAATCGTAATTGTTTCATCAGCTGATCCACTAATTAGTAAATTTCCTTTGTTATTAAATTGTATGGTTGTTATATGATAAGTGTGTTTTCTAAAAATTTTTAAACATTGAGAGGTTGAAGATGATGAATTTCTTGTTTGAAACAGCCAAATTCGTATAGTCAAATCATCTGAACATGATGCTATTATATTTGAGTTTATAGGTGAAAATTTAATATCTGATATTCCCTTGGAATGTCCAGTTAATTCTGTTATTAGTTTGTAGGTGTTAAAGTCATAAACTTTGATCTTATTTAATGTAGCAAGTGCTACGTATTGATTATCTGGAGATATTCGTATTGATGTTATTGGATTGGTTTCATCAAATGAGTGTTTTAATCTATATAATTCCTCTGTTTTGGGTGGATGATCAATTGTCATACCCATGTCATTGTTAAGTGTTTAGATCTTTGAAATACTACTTCAAATTTAGAGCACAAAAAAATATTATTATTGGCAAATATCACCAACTTTAATTACAACTATATCAACGACACTCATAATACAATGGAGAACCAAACGAGCAACTTGTTCAAATTTAACATTTCACAGTTGCGATTACCTAAATCCGCCAAATTAAGATCATTTGGAATATATTTAGCTGGTGGATTATTCGCAATTGGATTTTGGTCTTTAATTGATTCAGCAATCTATAGTAAAACAATAAATGCTTCAGATGTTCATGTAACATTCATTGATTGGATCCCATTTATATGTTCATCATTGGGGATGTTAATTGTGAACTCAATTGAGAAAAACAATTTAATGAATAATAATCAACAAGGTGGTGGAGTATTTAATGATGAACATAATTATATATGGGCAGCAAGAGTGATATTGTTTTTAGGGTTTAGTTTATTAGCTGGTGGATTAGCCGGTAGTTTTATGGTTTTCATCTTGAAATATTTGATGAAACATTATACTTTCCCAACATTAGGAATGGGGGTATCGAATATCGTTGGTAATGGATGTGTCATGTTGAGTTGCATTGTTTTATGGTTATCTCAAAATATTGAAGATGAATATAGTTATAGCTTAGCTTTATAATAAATGAGAAGAAGAAAAGTGCAGAGAGGCTATGTTGTAAATATTGTTTACTTGAATGTTTATTCTTTCATTCTTTGTATCCATGAGTCCATTAAACTTCGCTCTATCTCGTCAAATCTATTCATTGTCGATGGATTCACAAGTGTATGTGAGCTAGTGGTAAAGTTCAAGTTGTCTTGCCGTATTGACGGTTTTGACGGTAGAATTTGTTTAGTAAGTTCATAGTTTTTGTTCTTCGTCAATTCTTTGATAAGTGTCTTTAAATATTGAAATGCAACAACTTCACCATCGTCATTTTTAGTCAAAAGGCGCATTATGTTTTCGTTTAATTCGTTTATATTTGACCTATGATCTTTTGCCAGATTGCACCGTCTCAATACCTTCTCTGATACTTTAATCAATATTTGTTGAAACTGGTGATCAAGATTAGACAGGCCTTTGTTCGGCGATGGTGTTCCATTTGTGTCGTTACCATCTGTACTATGACTGATCATGCTGATATCAAAATTGACTTGTTGGTGGTCATCTTTCATAGTCTTCCACTTCTCTTGATTTCTTTGTATTTCAGTGGACGCATAATAATCTTTATAATCATCAGATGATTTGTTCTTTGAATCGTGTAATAGCTTTTTGGTGATCAATTTTTTGATTGACTTTGAACCATCTTCAATTTTTTGAGTAATGAATTTATGCTTTAATAATTTTTTAGCATTGGATCTTAAATTAGTATCCTCAACAAAACATAAACTCAAAAAGTCTCGAAATGTTTCAGATACTTCTAAGTTTTTTAAATCTATCATTCTGATGAAATCTCCGTTGGTTTGACATTTTGAAATTAATCTTAATGCTTTCATTGGTGGATTTGAATCCTGTAAAGGGGGTTTTCCATGAAACATCTCATAACAACAACAACCTAATGACCAAATATCAGCTTTATATCCATGACCACCACTTGAATTCAAAATCACTTCTGGCGCCATCCAATACGGAGTTCCCACTGTTGTGTTTCTTTTGGAAAAATTTGAATTCAACTGGGCACTTACTCCAAAATCAGTAAGTTTTATATGACCTTGCTTGTTGACCAAAATATTCTGACTTTTCAAATCTCTATGAATTTTCCCTTGACTATGCAAATATGATAACGCTGATAATACATTCTTTGTGATATATGCAATGGTTTTTTCATCTTTAATTCCTGTGCCTCCAGTTGCTTTAAGTAATTCAAAAACTGATCCACCATCGACAAATTCCATTACCACCCATAGCTTATAGTTTTTGACAAAGGAACCATAATAAGTAGTAATTTGTGGAGAATTGCACTCACTTAATATTTGAATTTCTTTATTTATCTCGATTAGATCTGTTGTATCTTGTTCCAAATCAATTTGTTTTATTGCAACTTCTTTTTGAGTTTTAGTTATTATCCCTCTATACACCACTCCAAATCCACCTCTACCGATTTCATCATATACTTCCAATTCATCTGTCGAGTTGACTCGCATAAAACTATGTTTGAAGTATTGTTTCAACTAGAAACCTCAAAAAACGAAGTGAAATAAAAACACAAACAAACCAAATAACTTATGTTTTGATTGCGAAATTTCAATTGTTTTAGAATTTAAATCATCTGCTCCAATGTTGCCACGAAATATACAACCACTACCGAGAATACTACGATGTTTTAAAGATTTGAATAACAATTTACTGATACTACGGCATCCTACTAGGCTGACAAGATTTGTTTCTACAAAACCACAACATTTTAAAAAACAAAAGGACTCATTTGATGATCTATTTATATCCAAAACCCTTTCTTCGACAAAGTATCAAGATGATGAATTGATAAAATGTACAATATTTGATGAAAATGGAGTAATGATCCATCATGGTAAAGAAATTGCTAAATCACAATTCATGAAACAGTATAACTTAATTCCTAGGGATTTTAGAAAAATTTCAAAACATACTACAGTACTGGGTAGTAAAAATCCGAGTTTAATGATGCATAATATTGAACTTGTCCCAAGTTTAGTTACTAGAAAGAATTGCATAATGCTAAATTTGTCAAATGTTCGAGCGTTAATAAATAAGGATAAAGTTACATTATTTGATTCACATTCATTCACGAGAAGTGAAAGTCATACTCAACTGCAATTTTTGAAACAATTATCTGATAATTTGAAAAAAAGAGATGAAAACCATGTTCATGACGAGTATTATGAGTTCAAGGCTTTGGAGACAATATTAATTCACGTCATTGCAAATCTAACTACTGAAATGAAAGTACATAAAACTATAGTGACTAATGTTTTGAGTGGATTAGATGAAAGTATAGAAAGATTCAAATTACGGTATTTATTGATTCAACTGAAAAAATTGGCACAATTTCAACAAAAAGTTACGTTGATACGGGATTTATTGGAAGACGTTTTAGAAAGAGATGATGAATTAAATGATTTATATTTAACTGATCCAAGGACTGGAACAAATCATGAAGAAATCGAGATGTTACTAGAATCGTATTACAAGACAGCTGATGAAATTGTGCAAACGGTTGACAATTTGAGGTCTCAAATTAAGACCACAGAAGAAATAATAAATATTGTGCTAGATTCAAATAGAAATGAATTGATGTTGCTAGGTTTAAAATTTTCCACTGGTTTGTTATCAATGGGTGTAGCATTATATTTTGCAGCTTTATACGGTATGAATTTAGAAAACTTCATAGAGGAATCCGACGGTGGATTTGAGTTTATCATTTTAGTTTCAATGTTATCGTTAGCTGGATTGTTATTTGTTAGCGTCAAGCAATTGAAAAAAGTTGAAAAGATTACTATGACTAATTTTAAAGGAGGAAGGAATAGATAAAGTTGTATTTATACTTAATTAGACTGTTCAAATTTAACATCTAACATTGGCCCTCGATTACTTGCACTTCTTGGTCTGTTTTTTATTTCTTCACTAAACTCTTTTTGTTGATGTTTTGGTGAACCTTGTGGCGATGGAATTGGAGTTGATTTTGTTTTGAAAGGTCTTAAAGAAAATGTATCAGCGCTTAATGGTTTTGGTGTCTTCAAGTCATGTTTTTCCTGTTTCAATGCTTTCGAATTTGGCGTTGAAATTGAGTCTTTTAATTCGTCATCCCCAGCAGTGACTGTAACTTGAATTTTTTCAGGTGGTGGAGACAATTGTTTTGAACTTGGAGATGGGAAAGTTAATTTTTTGGTTGGAATACCAGTTTTTCTTTCAGCTTCTTTCTTCTTCCTATAATTCACTTCGTGTTCAATCAACGTATTGAACAACTGTTTCCTCGACAGTAGTTTCAACAAATCTTTTAAAATAATATTATATTCCTCTATAGGTGGTTTAAACCCTGTTGATTTTTTGGTTGGCGGAGGTCTCATTATTATATGCACAAAAGGCAATGATCCAATTTTATTCATCAGATTTAATTCTTCAGAGACCAGCTCTATTGATTTTTCTTCTTCGTTTAATTTCTCATTCAAATCATCTGACAACCCATACCCGAGAAACTTACCTAATTCAAAAACGTCACAAATGTGCTCCAAGATGCAAAGTAAGGAAGCCAAATTACTTCTCGGTATAGACGAAAGATGTTTTATTATATCTTCACTTGATTTCGAGCCATCTTTATAACTCTTTAAAATTAAATCATAAACCATAAAGGGGATAATTGAATCTTTAATTTCTAGTAACCATGATTTAAGAAAGTTTACAATCTCATCAATTTTTTTCTTTTGGAAATGTTCCAAAACTTCGTTTATGAAAGACTCTTGAAGATTAGCAGTACCAGCCAAAACATCTAGCTCATTTGGAACATGATCTGCAACTATTTGTGTTAGCTCTTGTTTTATTGTCCATGCTGATTGAAAATTTAATGGTTGCAACCACGCTAGTTTTAAATCAGAGCCCTTGTCATCTAATATTTGAATTAAGCTGTAAAGTAATACTGGGACAGATGCTATACTTAAAACATCATCATCTTCTCCATCGTTTAATTGATATTTCAATACTTGCAATGGTATATCATTATAGATGTTAAATTGATTGATCAAAGTTTGAGGTAGTTCATTATCGCTTGTTAGAGCTACATAAATCCCCGAGCTCACTGACTCCAATTTTAATGCAAAGTCATACTCATAATTTTCTTTTGTTTTCAAAGATGATAAACTTTTAGAAGCTTCATTAATTTTTTTAATTTGATCATGATGAAATTTTGATATTATTTCTGATAGTTTAGATGAACTATTATATATAATATGAATTTTCATTTTTTCAAATTTTTCCAAATACTTTGATAATTCATCATAACCAATTTCAAAAAAATATTTTAGTTCTTGAGTTTCCAATAGTAGATTTTTGTATTGATCTAATGTATCCGATATTACTTCATCATGATTTGTTTTCATTATTGAGCTTCTCATACTATTGAACATCGCACTAAATTTTGTAGAGGTCTCGGACATATCTTGAATGAATTTTGTTTGTGGAGATGTAATTTTATTTGGTGTATTTTCTTTTGATTTGACGGATGAATTTTTTATTGGTGTAGAAGGTGATTGCTCGTTTGGTATGTTTTGAGAAATGTAGTCAGCTAGGTCTGACCATTCAAACCAAACTCCCTCACTCTTGAATTTCTTTTGAAATATACTCGTAGGTGTAATTAGTTTTAAGTCAATTAATGACTGACCAAATTTTTCAAAATTTGATCTAGACGGTTTTAAACCCTTAATTCTCAACTTTGTCAAGACATCACATAATGATTCACTTGCAAATATGTCTATTTTGTAACCAGGTATAGGTATCTTTCTCTTAATAGTGGGAGTTTTGCCCATCAATTGAGATATGGTCTGTTGCAATTCTTGCTCGGTTTCAAAAACAGCTGTACCAATATTCAAAGGAAATTGAAATTCCACATCCTGCTTTTGAATCTTTTCTTCTTCAAAATCATCATCAGCATATGACTCTTCATCACTATAATCAATTTCTTCTTCATGTCGCTGTGTTTTTATGGGATCATTATATTTTGAACCTTGAGTTTCGGCAAATTCTTTTAATCTCAACTGATCGAAATATTTATTTTTTAATTTCTTTAGCTTTTCAATTGAGTCAATATATTGATCATAGATTTCTTCTAATCTAGAGATTTCTTTTTTAATTTTGGGTTCGTGATGTTTTAAATACATAGTAACATCATCTAATACAAATTTATCAATGGCTGAAGCTAACTGTAGTAAAATATTTGACTCAACCAACATTTCATTTTTAAAAATTTCAATGCATTTACTATAATTTGGCAAATCCTTATCAACTCGTTTCAATACTTCACCATTGTGTATATCCCTACTATTTTTACTTAAAAACTCACTATTTGAATGATAGTATTTTAAGTAATTGAATACTAATTTTCTAAAATCATGTAATTCTGTAATTGACTTCAAGGATTGAGTCTCCAATTTCTTCAAACCAGTGATGAAATCAGCCGACCATACTGAGTTCGCAAATGATTGCATTTATCAAGATGGTTATTTACCACAACTATTGTTTTTCAAATTTGTTTGGTGGTGTATGAATACTCAATTCGTCTTGATGATTTTGTTTACATATTTTCACATAACAACGCGCTAAAATTTATAAAGAGTAAATCAGTACAATTGAATTAATTAACTTAACAACATTCTTTTAAAAGGTAAAAATCAAACTAACGAAATAATACTAATATTATGTAAATATACAAAATTTTCAACGTCTTCTATCTTTTTCTCCTTCTTCAAAATCCAATCATTAATTTAGCTCCACCATTTTCTTCTTCACCTTGATTTTCAGCATTTCTTCTTTTTTCTAAATCATCATAAACTTGATTTAATTTTTTTTGATTTTCATAAATAATTGAAATTTCATATGGTTTTATAAAATTACCTAAATTATGTAACCAAGATAATTCAACAATATAATCATTTGCAATTAATTCATATGATGTATATAAAAGTGCAACAAAACATTCATGATTACCTGTTTCAACAAAATAATCTATTGTTTCATGAGCAATTTTTTGAGATTTTGATTGTGCAACTACTGATAATAAATCTGACCATAATTTATCAGCTTTTAAAATTGATATAGCTTTATTATATTTTTTCTCTTTTGCAAATAATGTTGCTGCAATTTGTCTAAAAAATATTAAATCATGTTTTTCTAATCTTTCAGCTAAATCTAATTTATTAAATCTATTATTTGATTCATTTTCAATTGATGATCTTAAAGCTTTATAATCTTCTTCTTCAATTAATAAATCATGATAAGCTGAATTAACAACACTATTATTTTTTTCTAATACTGAAATTAAAAATGGTTTAATCATTGGTAGGTTATCTGATTTTACAAACATTCTAACAACTCTTGGTAAATCTAATTTTGGAGTTAAAACTGATAATAAATCAACTAATAAATTTGGTTGTTCATTAATATAAAATTGAATAGCTTTATAATAAATTTCTAAATTTGGAGCTTTAACAATAATTTCTTTAAATGAACTATGATCAAAACAAGTTTCTGATTTTTCAATCATTGTTAATGCAGCATTATCCCATTCTTCATAATGACAATAAAGGAAAATTAATTCTGGATATAAATGAGCAGTTTCACAAGCTGTTAAAACTTTTGGAATATTTATTCTTGACCAAAATAATTTTAAATGTTCCATTACTTTTTCTGGACTATATTTTGAATATAATATAGCTAATTCAGTAAACATACCCATATGAGCTCTTTCTAATCCTAAACCACTTTCAAATAATGCAATTAATTCATTAAAATATCCATTGTATTCATAAGTTTTTACTAATTCTGGTAATTCTTCTGCATCAACAATTAAATTTAAACCACAAATTTGAGCTAATCTAAATTCTTTATTTTCAATACATGCATTATTAACTTGTTTCCAAACTTCTGTATTTGAAGCTTTTCTTGCACAATCAACTGCTGCTTGATAATCACCAAGATAAACTAATGTAGTTGCTAATTTTGAATATTTTGAAACATTAGCATATAAAATTTTAGCTCCTTTATAATTTTTAGATTCAAATAATTTATCACCAATAGTTTCTAAATCTGCAACATTTGATGAAGATACAAATTTTTCCATATCATTTAATTTATCTAATGTAGCATAAGCATTAATAAAAGCCCCATCAATAATTGGTTCTCTTAAAGTTTCTCTTGCCATTTCTAAAAATGGTAATAATTCTTCTTCTTTACCTGCATGTTCAGCAATTTCAATAACTTGTTCATAATTTTCAGGATTTTTAGATTTAACATATGAATCAATTGCTTCTGGTATCCTTAAACCATCTAATTGTGCAGTACCTAATTGATACCATAATTCTGAAGTATCATACTTTTCAGCATATTGTTCAGCTCTATCTAATGAAACAATATCTTCAACTAAAACTTTCATTGCTTCTGATCTTAAACCAAATTTATCATAAACTTCAAATGCTTCTTCATTAAGACCATTTTCAATACATAATGGTGCAATTTCATTTGGATCAAATTTATCTAATTTTTCAATATAATTTGAAACTTTTGATGAATCAGCTTTTATAGCAGTAAGTATCATAAGACCTTGTAATGATGAATTTTCACTAAATGCTGATGGTTCTAAAATGATTTTTTCTAATAATTCCATTAATTCTTCTTGTAAATCATTATCCATAAATGCTTTTACAGTAATTGAAATTGGTTCTGGATCATCTAATTCTGGAATACCAGTTGAAATAATTTGATCAACTAATTGTCTTCTATGAATATTATCTGAAGTTAAAACAGTACTCCATAAATCAAGATCAGATTTTTGTAATAAATATCTTGCTTGATATTTATACATCTTATTTTCATTTGTTATATTAATTAATTGTTCATCATTTCCTCCTTTTGAATAACAAATATAAGCTAAATATGGATCTCTTTTTTCACAATATTTACCAACTACTAAAGTATCATATTGATTATTTTCTTGTAAAAATTTTTCTGGTGAATTATTTGAATCAATATAAATTTTAGCTAAAGTATTAAAAACTTCCTGATCACTTGAACCACCTTCTAATGTCTTTTCTAAATATGGTAATAAAATTTTTAATCTATTTCTTTTTTCAACTTCTTCAACTAATTCTTTTATTGGAACTCTACCTAATACAGACATTAATAAATTTTTAATTATAGCTTCATCACAATCAACATCTAATAATCCAGCAACAACTTGTGGTGTGTTACTTGGATTAACTGATTGAACATATACTTCAATGAATTTGAAATGTTGATTTTTGTATAAATATAATATTAAATCATGAATGAAATTAAATCTATCGCAAACAATAACTAATGGTAATTGATCATCTAATTTAGCTTCTTTCAAGAAATTTTTAACTTTTTCACCATTATAAACATTATTATCTCTAACAATTCTTTCAATTTCTTTAGTTTGACCTGCTTTTGCAGCTGCTTGGATATATTTAAAAACAACATCTGGATCTTGAGTTAAATTAACAATTGAACTTAAATAATAATATAATCCTTCATTACATTTATATTCTTCAAATAATTTAATTAATTTTTTTGCACCAATTAAATCTGAATATTTTGTTGCAACTTGAATTATAACTTGTAAATTTTGTTGTAAATTATGACTAAATAATTCTTTTAAACAAGCTATTGATTGATCTACATTTAATTGACCAAAATATGAAACTAACCAATCATTTGGTAAAACATTTGTATGTATAATCACTCTTTTAATATCTTTTAAATCATCATAATGTTCTAAAGCTCTTTGAAATAATCCTGATTTTTCAGCTAATTTACCAATAGTTGGTTTATCATAATGACTAAACATTTGATTACCTAATATAGCATCTGCAACTTGTGGAGCATGTAATAAATTAATTTCTAAAACTTTTGTTTGTAAATGACCTTCTGCAGGTGTATCATTTTTTAACGCATCTAATAAAAATGCAGTACCTTGTTGAATATAATTTTGTGAAAAAAATAAATCAGCAATTTGTTCAATATTTAAATTTGAATCTCCAGCTAATAATGAAGTAGCAAATTCACTTGCTTTATCAGGATTAACACGAACTAAATTTTGTATTAAATTTGTATAATCTGGATGATAATCAACTTTTTCACAATATGGTAATATCTTATCAAATTGTCCTAATTCAGCTAAACTTGAGACAACTTTAACATGTATATGAGCCCTTATATATACTGCTAATGCTAATGCTGTATCATAAGATTTTACAATATCTCCTAATTCTTCTGAAGAAGTTAATTTATCTTCTTTTAACCATTTTTCAAATAATGGTTTACGATCTTGTTGCAATACTGGTTTAGCTAATTCAATAGATTCATATTTATTTAAAGTGCCCTTATCTAATAAAGTTGAAAAATATTGTAAAATTGGAGAAATTTGACCTGGTTGAGGAGTAATATGTTTTAATTTATTAATTGTATCTTGAGTACGTAATTGTTCAGATGATGCAGCAACTTTAGCAGCATTAGTATAATCACCTTGATTTAAATAAGTTTGAAATTGTTGATTAAATAAATTTTCAGCACCTGGGAATCCACCTCTTGATGATAATGCTAAAGCTAAAGGTACATTAGATAATTTATCTAATACATATGGAATAATTTTTTCTCTACTAATTTCAACACTTAATACTTGACCAGTTTTATTTATAGTTAATAATCCTTTTCCATCATTAAAACTTGTTGCTGTAAATACTGGATCAGATGTGATTCTATTAACAAATAAATTCGCACCAGTTTCCATATCATATAAATGAATGAAACCATATTTTGTAAGAATATAAATAATACCATATTGATTTGAAGCTTGTAAACTAATTGGAAAATCATTACTTGCATCTGGTGGGAAAAAAATATCAACAACTTTTTTTTGAAATTGGGGATTACCATCAACATGATCAATTTCAATTATATGCATACTACCTTGACCAGAAGCATTTTTATTACCAACGATAAATACTTTTGTTGGTTGTATAGATCCATTTAAAGTTAATGAAGCAAATTTACAAACATGACCATCAATAGGTTGTGATACATTTCTTGCTTTTGAATATAATTGAATATGACCTGCTATTCTACCATCTTCTTGTGCAATACCAGTAACTGCAAACCAATTTAAATCAGGTTCAGCAACAAAATTAATAATTTGAGAATTATTTAATTTTTGATGTCTATCTGTTAATTTTATTGGTCCATCATTTGTACCATCAAATACATTCCAATAATAAATTGATGATTGAGTAACTAAACCTAAATGTTGATCATCAAGCCATTTCCAAAATATAACTGGTTCATTCATTGTATATGCTTTTAATCTTTGTTTTGTACCTAAATTAAAAATTTGTAAAGTTGTACCATTTGCTCTTAAACTAATAACAAATTCTTTTGGATGCATAATTGCATTATCCGCAGTCATATTTTTTCTAGTTGGTTGATTATTTAAATTTTGTAAATCAACAATGGCAACTGAATTACCTTGAGGACCTGATTCACGAGAACATATATATCTATCTGATTCTAATGTGGTTGATTTGAAATCTAATGATTGTTGAGGAATACCCCAATCAGTTAATTGAGTTACCTCCGTGAAATCAATTGGTATATCTGACAGCATTATTATTGAATTTTGACTGATTTAATTTAGATAAGTAATATGATTAAATTAAAACAAACTTTGATCTTCCTTCTTCTCTAAACCCTATACCTATCAATTTTTTACTTTTATAATAATTATTCTTAATCCAATTGTTATTCTTCTTCCTAAATTATTCTTAGTTTTAATTGAGTTTGTTTGCTGTTTCTTATTAAAAAGGCTAAATGTTGGTTGTCAAAATTGTTGTTCAATTTTTCAACGTATTCTCTCTCACTATCAATTTTCTGTCGTTGATTTTTTTTATTTTTAGTGTCACATTTTTTTTAGTGATTACAATACTTCGACCCCTTTTAAACCCGAGTGGTACCGTTTTTAAATAAAGAGAGATCGAATTGGTATATTTTAAACTAAGCTATAGAATAAGATGTAAGTTTAAATATTCTATAAAGGTGGTCTAACTGAACTTATACAATCTTCAATAATCTTATTTGTAAATCCTGTAGGACTATCATAATCCTTTTTATGTTTATAACCTTTTAAATAATCATTTGCATGATAATAATCAGTTCCATACCAATCACCAGTAAGCATACTTATTTCTAATTTTTTATTTTCTAATATTTTTGTTTGTTCTTCATTATTTGAAAATTTATAATCATTTGTATTTGCAAATTTTGTATTATATTCCCAATCAACTAACCAATATCCTATTTTTCTAATTGCTATTTTAACATATTCTGGTGTTACAAATAAATCATCTGGATTCATTTCTATATCTGTTGTTGAAGTTGCTGTTACACCAGTATCATCATCTGAAGTAATAGTTGTTATTTTTTCTTCAATTTTTTCATCAAACGTGGTATCATGTGGATGTTCATCAATCAGTAAGAATTTTTTCCATAAAACTAATGCTTTACAAAAATTATGAATATATTCTATTGCTATTGTTGAGATTCGAACAGATTTTGGAGATAATGATGCGATTCTATGACATCTTATAAATACAACTAATGAATAAATATAACTTTTTATCTCTGGAGAAATAAATACTTTATCCATTTGAGATCTTAAATTTAATAATACGTCCTGAGTATTTGGAATTATTTTGAATTTAGACATTATATTGGAATTAAGATCACTTATAATTGGAAAATTTACACTCAACCAAAATTGTTCTTTTAAAAAATTGTATATTTTATTATCAAACAAATCATATTCTAAAAATGGAATAATTGTAAATAATTTTGGTTTATATACTTGAATAATTCTTTTATTAATTGTAAAATTTGATGGTAAATTACTTAATAATTTTGAAGAATTCATATTATAATTATCAACTTGTAATATTAATTTATATAACCTTTTATATTCTATTAAATCCAATTTTTGTAAATTTTTCCATAGTATAATATTTTTAAACCATAATTGATCTCCAACATCATAAGACATTTGGTCAAGTATTTCTTCATCCGTTTTAGATTGTAATAAATCAATTATTACAATTTGAGATGGATTAATTAGATTAATTGGTTTTAAAATATATTGAGTAAATTGATCAATTGCCTTTGTTGAATCTTCACATGATATAACAAATCTATTTTTTGTAATTAATGATAAACATAATGCCGTATAAACATTTTCCATAATTGTTTTGCAGACTTTATATTGCTTTCATTGAAACTTAATCTTTCCACTGATATCTTTACCTTAAATAGGTTGTATACAGAAATACTTTTATTGACGCAAGTACAATTTAATAGTCACGACCAATGTTGTCACAAATCTGTGCAATCAGACTTTGTATACTTTATGTCAAGCGTAAAAAGCTGCTACCAAACTCTTAGTGATTTTTGTTAGTGTATGACGCGTTACTCTTGAATTATTACTTTCTAGAACTTATACAACCTGATGAAAGTGGCAATATAAACAACTTATAAAGGTTAGAGTCATAATGAATTAAGAATTTGAGACCTCTTACTTATTCGAAGAAAGACAGAGGTTTATACTATTCAAAATAACTTATTACAGTAATGAAAAACAGAGAATAATTTGAGTATAAAATATATTATTATAAGTGTATATATTTTTTGACATAATATATAATAAATTTCCAGGGTTGGTCGGTAACTTGTGGTAATTTCTTATAAGCCTTGATACCTGTTGAGAATTTTAAAAATTGCCAACTAGTGTTACAAAGTCATTCGTCTTAACTTAGTGTAGTTTGTTAATACTTGACTAATTGAATCAAACTCAAATTGAATTTAACTAAATTTAGTTAATAAGACACAAAACACGGTTATATATATTGTACTTTTGTGTAATTTATTACATAATAATATCGGTACAACTTACGTAAGAAATCAAAAAATACAAACAAATAAACATAAAGTTAGGATTCACAAAATAGAAGAAAATATTATCATTAACATAAACAACAAAATAAAATTATCAACAAGAAGGTTATTGAAAAACTTAGATTTGAAAATTAAGGTTCATACTTCTTTATATATTACTACCAACAACTACCAATAAACAATTAGGTTCGTAGTTTGAATTATTTGCTCAATTTTAACAACTTCAATTTGATCTGAAATTAAGAGAGAAAATTTATTTATACAGAAAAAAGTTGGTTGCAAATAGGAAAGTTTTTTTTTTTTTAACTTTTTAAATCATTCGTCTAAACCAAAATATCAACAAACACAAATCATCGGCTACAATTTTTCTTTAAAATAAAATAATAAGTGGGGATCAAGAGAGTTATTCATCGTCAGTGATCTCCTCAATTTCATAAAACAACTAACAACTAACTAATTCATTCATTCCTTCATTTCAACATTTTCGTTCAAAATAAATTTTACAACCAGCAAACAATTTTGAAAATTGAATTGAGAAATTGGAAATGCAAAATAGTCCAAGTATGATCCAATTTCCTACTTTCATTCGTAAAGCAGAACAATCACCAAGATCTTTGGAATCTGCTTTTCCTCCTTTTAATCCACAACATAAATATAGAGGAGTTTATGAAAGAGCTGGTTTTGATGTAAATAAAAATGCTTATTGTAATAACAAATTGAATAATGGATCGAGAATATCACCTGATAGACCTTATGAGAATAGCAATGATAATCATAATGGGAGATCAGTCAATAGATCCAATGAGACTATTCAAAATGAACAAAATCACACAGGATCAAATTATACAACAAATATTCAAAATCAAAACAACCTGTTTGAAAAAACATCACCAAATTCTGAATATCAAAACACTACTACATCATCATCCTCAAAATCTAGCAAATCTAATTCTATGAACTCATATGCAAAAAGTAATAGTTCCTTACTTACCACTGCAAGAAATACAGCAGAATTTCAACAATCTAATAATTCAAATGTTTCATCAAATATGAATTTATATCCTGGTCAGAAATCATCGAATTATAACCAATCTAATCAATTTGATGATATAGGTTTAAATTCATTAAATGAAGTAAGTCCTGCAAAATCACAAAAGAATATAAAAAATTTAACATTAGATTTAAATAAAGATGAAGATCAATTACATGATTTACCAAACATTAATAAAATTCCATCATCTCAATCTAATCATCATTCATTGCATTCAAATCATTCTAATCAATCTAATAGATCATCTAATTCAAATAAGTCTAATCATTCTGGTCACTTGGTGAATCAATCTTTGCATTCAAATAATTCAAATCAATCTTTTCATTCGAACAATTCAGGTAAAACTGCTCATTCAAATCATTCAAATCATTCACATCATTTAAATCAAGCAAATTCTTCAAATCAATTGAAATCAAATGATCCAAATATATATGCTCAACAAGGATATCAATTACCTACACCTCCATCATCACACAATTCTGCAACTCAAATACCTCCCAACTTTCAACAAGCACCACATTCACATCCTCAACAACCATTTGATCCAAGGAAAATGAGAAAAAGACCACCAATGATGATGAATGGTGTTCCACCTTTGTCAAATCAACCTTATTATCCACAGCAAAATGTACCTATGAATAGAAACATTACACCAACTTCAAATCATCATGTACCTTATCCAATGAGTCCAAGCTACTCTCCTAATTTAGCTCAAAATCAACAATTCCCAACGAGACAAAATCATCATCATACACATCATCAACACCCAAATCATCAACAACCAAATCATGGATATATTCATCCAAACGGTTTTCCTCCAAATGGATTTAAACATCAACCACCACCACACTCACCAGGGTATCCACCACGTCTGCAAAATAGACCATCTCCACCAATGCCTAATCAACAACCATATCCAAATCCACTACCTTTGCATCAACAACATAATCAATACCCACAACCACAACCTTCTCAACCAAGGTATCAAACTGGTATTCCTCGTCAACCTACATATTCTGAAATCAGAGAAGATAAATTATCTCCAGCATTGAATGAATTTAAACATGATTTAAAACATCATCAAAGCATTAAAAATAAGAATGAACCACCAGCATTACCTAATCAATCACCTTCTGAAATTGGATTATCTAAATTTCAAAACAATGACAAAACTCCAGGCTTTGATACTGATGAACCTACAAACAATGAATACAATCAATTTTTATCAATTGGAAATAATGGATCAGATAAAAGAATTAGTCAAACATCAATGGTAAGTTCCATATTATCAAAAGATTCATTCAATGAAGAAGATAAAAGAATAGAAGAAGAATTAGAAAATCAATTAAATAATATTAAAAATGCTGGTGGTAATTTTGATCAAATCAAAAAGAATTCAATAATAACAAATTCAACTAATAAATCATTATCATCAGCTTCATCATCACCAACAAAATCATTAAATTCAATACATTTACAACAGGCACCACCAGTACCTCATTTTCATGTACAAGATGTTGATGAAACTAAACCAATAAGAGATAGTTCAGATTCAAATAATACAAAAGATAGTAATATTGATGAAATGTCAATAGCTTCAATTGAATCAATTCAACCATTATCTGTTTCTCAATCAGTTGTATCTCCAACAAAAAGAAATGTTATCGATAATGATGAAATAATTCAACCAACAAAAAGAAAAGATTCTGCTGAATTTACTAAAATTATTAGTGAAATCAATGATTTAGAAAAACAAATGACTGAGGAGGAAAGTCCTATAAAAGAATCAAATTTTGAAAATAACAAATTAAACAATGAACAAGAATTATCTTCAAAATTATATGAACCAGGTACAGGTCCATGTAGATCATGTAATCAACAAATAAATCCACAAGATAAAGGATCATTAAAACCAATTTTTTCCAAAACTGGTGAATTATCAGGTCAATGGCATAGATCATGTTTCCATTGTAATTATTCAAATTGTGAAATAATTTTTAATAAAAAAGTTCAATGTTATGTTTTCAAGAATCAACCATATTGTTTTAAACATTATCATTTAATTAATTTATCAACATGTACCAATTGTAATATAGGTATAGAAGGTTCATGTATTGAAAATGATTTAAAACAAAAATGGCATATAAATTGTTTAAATTGTTCAATATGTTTTAAAAATATTAAAAATGATTATTATGTTTTAAATGATTCAATAATTTGTGAAAATGATGCAAAATTTTTAATTCAAAAACAAATTAAAAATCATGATGGATTAAATGTTGCTGATAGAATTGAAAAAAGAAGAACAAGAATTTATCATAATTGAAATTGATGAAGTGGACGTTTACGAGTTTAAGAGTCGTTACTAATTTGCATTATTTATCTTTATAGACTAATTGAGAAATATTTACTTAAAAACACTTCTTTTTTCTATAAAGTCTTTTTTTCTGTTTATTAAAATTAGTCTAAAAATTTATAACGAATAATCAAGGTAGAAAAGGAATTAATTCTTAGTATTGTGAAGTATGATAAGTTGCATCATATTCAACTTTAACATATGGACGATAAACAGGTGACCACATTTGAGATCTAACCCATTCTAAATTTTCATTTGGATCACGAGGAACTTTAACAAATTGACCATTTGGACTATGTTCTTGTTCAATTCTTGCAACACCTTCTTCTAAAGCAGCTAATACAACAGTTGAAGCTAAATGAGCACTAACTTCATCTAATTTTGAAATATCTGGTAATAAACCATTTTTTGGATTTTCAAATTTTGGTGACATATCACTTAATTTATCAACTGCTGCACTTATCATAAAATCACTAATTGTTGAAGCTCTTGATAAAACACTACCTAAAAGTAATCCAGGAAATGCAAAACAATTATTATTTTCTGATATTGCATATCCATCAACTGGTTTAAAAGGTGAACCAGTTGCAATTAATGCATTATTATTTGTCCATTTCATTATATCTTCTGGAAATGCTTCATGTAATCTTGTTGGATTTGATAATGGAAATACAATAGGTTGTGGATTATATTTATACATTGTTTTTATAACATTTTCATTAAATGCTTTTGGTTGAGTTGAACATCCTATAAGAACAGTTGGTTTTATATGTTCAACTACATCTACTAAATTTTTTGTATTTATTCCTTCCCATTTTTGATCAGGTTTTGCAAATGGTTTTTGAGCTTCAGTTGATTCTGTTGAATTAGTGATAAGACCAAACCTATCCATAAGATAAATATTTGATCTTGCTTCTTCTTCGGTTAAACCAGATTGAACTAAATTTAATACAATTTGACTTGCTATACCCATACCAGCAGATCCAGCTCCATAAATTAAAATTTTACTATCTGTAATTTCTCTATTAGAATATTTTAAAGCTGCTTTCAAAGAGGCTACAACAACACATCCTGTACCTTGCATATCATCATTAAAACATGGTAATTTATCACGATACTCATGTAATAATCTTTTCGCAGGTTCAGTTTGAAAATCTTCAAAATGTAATACAGATTTTGGAAATTGTTTTTTAAAAGCAGTTACAAATTTATTCATAAATTTATAATATTCAGGTCCACGAACTCTATCTTTTCTAAGACCCAAATATAATGGATCTTCCAACAATGATTTTCGATCAGTTCCCACGTCTATTCCAATGGTTAAAATACGATGTGGTTGTATACCACCTGCTGCAACAACAATGGATCCTTTACCAACGGCTCTTAAAAAAAATTGAATTGTTAGTAGCATTTTCGGAATTTTCAAAATTTTGACAATTCAAATCCAAAGATACATACATCATTGATCCAGCAACTCCTCCCCAATCACCAATACCTAAGATCAGACCCCCGTCAGACTTTTATTTCGTTAGTAATTGATCCTTTTGATTCAAAGTGTGATAAATCATGTTGTTAAAATAAAATTTTCAAAAAAAATTTTTGAAAAAAATTTATACAAGACTCTATCAGCTCCCTGACTTTACTCTTCAAATCTTAATATAATTAACACAATTAGTAAGCGGAGAAATCATTATACATACACATATGACCACGTCAATATCATCTGCTGAACCAAAAGCTGCTAAACTTTCTTCAATTGTATCTGGTGAATCAATACTCAAAAATAAACCCTCGGGTTTTCTGAATCTTTGTGAATAATTTTCTATAGCATCTCCAATAGTTGGAGTATAAATAATAGGTAACATTTCTTTAACATATCTTCTTACCAATTCATAAAATAAAACTTTATTTTGAAGTCTTAAAGAATCCATAAATGAATTTTTAGCCAAATCATTAATTCTAGTTTTAAATTGTCCATAAGCTCTATCAACTTGTTCATCCAATGTATTGATAGCAGTAGGTAACATTCCAATCAAATCAAACGCTTTTCTTTCTTCATTTGTAAAAGCTGATCCTTTATTTAAAAATGGCGAGTTTAGCAAAGCAAATCCAGTCAAAGGACATTCAACGGCCCCATCAGTTGATATTCTAGTTGCTTTTGGTTTTAATTCTTGTATAGCTGCATCTAATCCAATTGGAGTTTTGATAGTGTGAGTATGAACATTAGTTGAAGCATATAATCTCTTCAATTGGTTGAACTGCTTGAGACTCTTTTTTGTGCAACCTAACATTACTTGATTTGAAAAAAAAGGGATGTGAATTGAATAATTATTGAAGATTTTTTGAAAGCTTATTAAGTAGTCAATTGGTTCAAGGAAGTTTTAAAAAGAAGAATTGATGGAATTAAAATTGATTTTGAAGCAAAGCCTACTTCAATTAAACAAAAAACATTATACACTCATTTATTTAGACTATTATAGCAAATTTCCAGTTCTAATTTGAAATTCTTATTGTGACCGGATTAATGTCACACTTTTGTGTAACCAACGTCAAGAACCAAGAACTAAAAAGAATACTCTATGCGATAACATTAAGCTTCTTAATTACAAAGTGCTTTACGTTAGTAATATAGCTACGTTATCTGAATAAGGTAAACTTTTGCGCTATTGGACCCTTATAGATAAAGAAACATCCCTTTTCAAGTGAAACTCAACATTGATCGTTGTTCAAGTTGGATAACAAATTGTATTGAAACTGGCTATTATAGGTTTGGTTTGGTGCTTCGGTGGGTATTTCAATGAAAGAGATCAAGGGTACATGTGTGTTTATAATAATAGATTATAAGTACATTATTTTTGTGTAAGGATCGTAAATTTAAAACCGAATATTTTCTTTACTTTATTTATCTAGCCGTTCTCGCTTCTCCTTCCCCTCCTTTAAAATACATGTAATTTATTTTTATCTTAATTGACGACTAGGAACCGCTAACAAGTCGATTACGTATTATTCAAAACACTTTGACTTCTTTGCTAATCAAATCTCTGCTAAGTTTGCCTTTTTTAACCATACTTGTCAATAACTCAAATACAACTTGAGCAGCATTAAGAGCTGTTATTTCAGAAATATCATAAGCTGGTGCAACTTCAACAACATCAGCTCCAACAATGGTTAAATCATCAACGGATCTGAGTAAATGAATCAATTCCCTTGGTAAAAATCCACCAGCTTCATGAGTACCTGTACCTGGAGCATTACCTGGATCGAGTACATCGATATCAACCGAAATATATGTTGGTGTATTTTTCGGTATAGTTTCCAATATTTTATCAACTACATACTGTGGTCCTTTTAACCAAATATCATCAGCTTCAATCCTAAGCCAATTTTGAGAATCATCATCTTCATAATCCCCGATATCTGTCAATCTAGTTCTAACACCAACATGAACATTGTTTTTTGTAGTTAATCCTTCTTCATTTGCTTGCCACAACATTGAACCATGACTCAAATCATTTTGGTCAGATCTCCAATACGAAGGATATTTCTCAGGACTCCAAGTATCTAAATGAGCATCAAAATGTAAAATATTCAAACGTCCATAAATTTTATGTAATGCTCTTATATGTGGTAATAATACTGAATGATCACCACCAAGAGCAATGAATCTTGGAGGTAACTTTGAATCAATTGCTGAATTTCTTGATAAAAGCAACTCTTCAAAAGCTAAATCCATTTGTTTAAAAGCCAAATGATTATCCATAGGAGTGACAGGAATGTCTCCACAATCATTTATTGTAGCCCATGATTGATATGGATTAAAGTGTGCTCTTTGATTATATCCTCTTAAACTATATTGACGTTGTGAAGCATCTCTAATTGCTCTTGGGCCAAACCTTGCACCTGGTCTATATGAAACTGCAGTGTCAAACGGTACACCAATTATTCCAATATCGAAATCTTTATTTGGTTCAACTAAACATTGAAATTGATCAAGGTGAGCAAAAGTTGCAATGCCTTGAAATTGCCATAAAGAACCCCATTTATCTTTCAAATCTGAGGAAGCATAAACAATTGCTAGAAGTAGTTGTATTATGATTAGTTTTAGCATCTTTTGGAGTTGATAGAAGTTAAACACATTTTTCAAAATATGTCAACATCTTTGATTCTAGTTTTCAAGACGGAATTTCATGCAAGCGGAACTTTGGACCTTAATAAGCAAAAACGCAAATTTCAATCTCGATTAGGAAATATTTACGGCTGTTTGAAATCTTAGATTTTCAGAGATAAGTAGTCAAAAAAAATAAAATTGTTTATTATAAGATCAATGCAGCTTTAAAAATAATATGGGGATTAAAGATTTGAAGAATAAATTTGAACGTCTTGGATTACATCACGATCAGTCAATTCCATCTCAGAAGCCTTTTCAGGTGAAGCAACTGCAACCACAGCAAACTAATTCATCAAAAGAACAAAGTCAAGTTTCAAAGAATGATGATATTTTTAGTAAACCAATAGCTACAAATGAACCTCCAAAAATATTTGCAAGAAGAGAACATTCATTCAAACCCCAAGGATGTACATTAGATCAACCAATTCAAACAAATAATTTTTACAACAATCTAACTCTCGAGGACCAAACATTTCCCATTTGGACTTTACCTTATTCGCTATGGCTCACCAAAGATCCCGATCAAGATCATGGATTTGCTTTTAATCATACAGATGCACAGCAAAGAGTGTTTGGACCAGATCCAAACACTTCCACGTCTCAATTTTATTTTAACCCACCAAGAATCAAATCATTCGTTTTAAGCAGTGAAAATTTCGATAATGTTAAACTAACATTACATGATCATAGGAAAAATTCAGTGACTGCAAGGTTAGAAAATGATCAAGGTTGTATTGTAGTTCCTTTATTGTATGGAATGGGATTTATTACTGCTATTTATGATAGAATTAAGCCTATACTAGCTTCACAAGTGGGTGTTCAAGAGTTTAAAAAAGTCAGTAAAATCGATGGATTGACTAAATATACTGTGAAGTTGTTTAATCATGTAGTTTGGTCAATTTATAGTGATATCGATTTACAATTAAAAGATCCAAATCATATTGTCGGTAAAACCCCAGGTACTGTTCAAATAGCTCGTGGTGATTCTCCTCATTATGATGAAACAGTTGGTTGTTACCCTACCAGTTGTGATATATCAGGTACATCAAGTGGAGAATATTCATTCAATTACAACATAGTAGGGAAGTCAAGATCGGGAACTACACTTGTATGGGCATTACCACATCAGCAAGAAGTGATTAAGTCAAACGGGAACACCGATCTAACATTAGATTCACCAACAAAAGGCTTAATGAAAGCGTATAAAACTAACTCATTGATAATGCAAGAACAAAATTTACCAATAGATATCCTGTGGGATCCTTGGACTTCATTTGCTACTCACGCTAAATATTCATCCTCGGCCATACAACTAATAGGCCAAGCTGCAACCGATGAAATTCAACAAGATGTAGTAGGTATGGCAAACATTGACTCAATGTACACATCAGGGAAAATTCTTGATAAGTTTGCTTATATCGCATTCGTATGTCATTTCATATTAAAAGATGAAAATTTGACTTTTCAAATCCTTCCTAAAGTCAAACAAGCGATTGAAATATTTGCACAGAATCGACAAAAATTTCCACTTGTGTATGATACTACTTGGAAAGGTTTGATATCATCTGCTGAACCCGGGGCAGATTTTGGTAATTCAAACTATAATGATCATCATTTCCATTATGGATATCACATTCATGCTATAGCTTTAATAGCGAAAATAGATGAAGCTTGGTTGCATGACAAAAATAATTTAATATATGATTATGCAGTAACGCTATTGCGTGACACTGCAAGTCCCCAAGCTGATGAATTTTTCCCACAATCAAGATGCTTTTGTTGGTATAACGGACATTCATTTGCCCATGGAATTTTTGCTTCTGGTGATGGGAAAGATGAAGAGTCATCAAGTGAAGATTATCATTTCGCTTATGGTATGAAATTATTTGCCAACGTCATAAAAGATCAAGCAATGGAAAGCAGAGCTAATTTAATGTTAGCGATAATGAGAAGATCGATGAATATGTATATGCTTTTTTCAAATGATAATAAAATTCAACCATCAAAGATCATATCAAACAAAGTTTCTGGAATCTTATTTGAGAACAAAATCGATTATGCAACGTATTTCGGTAGAGGTACTATTGGTGATGAATGGATTCATGGAATTCACATGCTTCCAATAACACCTATCTCGGGTTATATAAGAAACCCCAAATTTGTGAAAGAAGAATGGGATTCGAAATTAGCTCCAATTATAGACAGAATACCTGACGGATGGAAAGGTATTTTGATGTTAAATAAAGCATTGTTTGATCCGAAGAGTTCTTACGAATGGTTTGCAAGACCAGATTGGAATCCTGCTCAAATTGATAACGGAATGTCTAGAACTTGGTCATTAGCTTATACTGCGGCATTGTTAGGATAGAAAACACTGAAAATTTACAAAATCTAAATCTAATTTATGTTTATTTTTTAGCTTTTATTCTTGCTGATCTTCTTCTTCCATTTGACTCTACTTTTGGTGGATCAACTTCCTTCTTTACTTTCTTCACAGGTTTGATTAATTTTGTTTCCTTCAACTCCAATTCTTCGTCAGCATTTTTCCTTTTGCTTGTCCTTATTATTTCTTGCTTTACTTCACCTTTCAGATCTTCTTTAATTACTTTTTTGGAGTTTGCTTTTGGTTTTGCTTTTAACTCCACATTCTCATCCTCGAATTCCTTTTTCAATAATCTTTGTACTTCAGGAGCATAGCAACTCGTTCTACCACCAACAGTGATATGATCTAAAATATAACCCTCCTTCGTCTGAGACTTTCCTTGCTTTTTTCTAGCTTTGCCCCATCGATGAAGCATCAACCAATGTTTGGGAAATTGTTTTGCGTTTCCTTCACATTTCACACTTTCTTCACATACATAAATAATGGAGTCATATAATTTTTGAACAATTGGGTGAATTACATCTAAATTATTTTCTATCTTGCTTGATATAACTTCCTCTGGATGCAATTTTGCATGGAACGTAATTTCGTCACCTACCCAGTTACCAACACCAGCAAATAATTGTTGGTCTAATAACAAGCTTTTTAGTGGTTTTTTTCTTGATAGAATGAGTTTGTTGAATTCTGCAATACCTAATCTAGGTCTGCCATGATTCAGTGGGTCAGGATCACCAAAAACAAACTCTTTCTCGGGTTTTACGAATTCTGCAGATTTACTATAGTCAGGTCCTAGCACATTCAAAGGTGGTAATGTCAATAGTCCTTCATCAGTCGTAGCCTTTGGGTCAGAAATTAACCTTATTCTTCCAAGCCTCCTTGGATCACAAAAAGCTAGTTCTAATTTATTATTTCCCTTTATTAGTTCCATCTCAAATTTTGTGAACTTTGGAGGCCAATTTGTGTCTAATTCTACCTTTATTTCATTTGATATATTCTTTTCTTCAAGTGATTCTTTGAATTTTTTATCTCCACCATTCTCCATGAAAACTAAATGAGATTTAACATTCCGTATCTTTATCATCCCGGTCATACCAAAGTGCATTAACAATACATTTGATTTATCTTCTGAATCTCCGTCTCGTAATAGTCTTAACCAGAAATATTTACCATGTCGACCAGTTGAAAGAATTTCTGAATTAATAAAGATATTCCTCATTTTCTCCAATTCCAACTCTGGATTCGTTGATTCTTTCAATATTGGGAACAATAATTTATCAAGTTGTAAATTCACGTTAGATATCTTGAACCCTATTACATTTCTTTTCAACAAAGCACAAACATGGGCCACCTTGAAATTACGTTAGTACTCAAAACCGTGAGCGATAAATAACAAGTAATTTCAACACACCTCCGAAACCTCTGGCATCTTATACTTCGAACTATAGAATCATTTCAAGTTAGACCTTTGAAACCTTGCTAAATATATCAATCGATATTGTGTAAGAAACTTAAAACTATGCGGCTTTAACCTATTCGGAAAATATAGATAATACAATATAATTTCCATTCAAAATCTATAAAATAGCCAATTCTGACGCCACTTACGACTAACAATAATACATGAATAGATTATTCGGAACTAAAAGCAGTGCACCAAAGCCTTCGTTAAATGATGCGATTAAAGGAATTGATGACAGAGTTGGATCACTAGATGTCAAATTAAGCAAAATAAATTCCGAATTGTCAACGTATCAACAGAAGATAAGTAGAATGAGAGACGGACCAGGTAAATCTGCTTTAAAACAGAAAGCATTGAAATTGTTAAGACAAAGGAAACAAATTGAAGCACAGAAAGATCAATTAGAGAATCAATCGTGGAATATGTCGCAAGCTTCAATGACAACAGATAATTTACAAAATACGATGGTTACAATTAATGCCATGAAGACAGCAAATAAAGAATTGAAAAAGACTTATGGTAAAATAAATATAGATGAGCTAGAAAATTTACAAGATGAAATGTTGGATATAATTGATAAATCAAATGAATTGCAAGAAGCATTAAGCACGAGTTACGATGTACCTGATGAAATTAGTGAATCTGAATTAGATGCAGAATTGGAAGCATTAGGTGAAGAAATTGATTTTGAGAATGAAATGGCTGAAAGTGGGATTGGGGCACCAAGTTATTTAAACGATGTTGGAAATACCCCAGATAAATTACCAAACTTTATTGATGAAGAGCCAGAGAAAGCCAAAGAAGTTGCTAATTAAATGCCAATATAAATTATGCTTTTTTATTTGAAAGAACCCGAGAACGGGATCAGATAGAAGAATTAAAATTTACGTTGAATAGCCATGAAATAGTTCCCAACATCGGGACAGGAGGTAAATTTCCAACCATATGACGGTAAATAGACACAACCTTTGGTGGAAGCAACTTGGAATTGTTGACTTCGAGATGAATCTTCTTGTAACCAATCTTTGATCTCATATTGATTGATGTATTTTTCCAAAGTGTGAGTTCCAACTGGAACAATCTTCAAGATATGCTCACCCATGAATATAGTGGTAAACCAACTTACGGGATCTCTATTAATAGTTGACAAAAATAACCAACCTCCAACATCTAATCTTTCTAAACCTTCTTGTAATACTCTAGATGGATAATCCACATGTTCCAAAACTTCAAACATAGTAACAATGTCATACTTTTCATCTTTTGGTAAATTCTCTATAGCACACAATTCATAAACCAATTTGTTTGCTAATATAGGGTCTTTAGCCTTATGTAGATTTGCAGCTTCTAACACATCTTTGGATAAATCAATACCTCGTACAGTTCCAACAAATGGTAATCTAGCCATGGACTCAGATAGTATACCACCACCACATCCAACATCCAACACATTTAATCTTGTTATATCCAATAGTTGTTCTTTTCTAACATTTTGATCTTCCACTATCTTATTTTTAATTTGTGTAGGTAGTAAATCAACATTAAAAGGTGGAATATAAATTTCATCCTCCTCTGACGCCACATTAGCATTTAGTTTTAAATGCAGTTCTATTGTATCGTATATAAAATCCATTCTTAACAAATTCATTTTATGTAGGATCCTTTGAGGACCATTGACATCCCACCATGATGATGCTAACGCGTTGAAATGTGAAGTTTCAGAAGCAGACGAGCTTGTGTAACCTTCATTCAATTGATGCAACCATGAAGTGCTATTACTAAATCTCCTTATCGATTGCCATTGTCTTGTAGACTTAGATAATGCTCGTATATTCATTAAATTTTATGTGTAGTAGCTTTAGTATAGGTTTCGAGATATTTGTAATATTATTTTCCACTCAAGATTTTTTTATTACTTAATCTTTTATGTACAATAACAACAATTCTTAGAAAACAAACAATAAGAGATCTGAATGTTTCATGAGTGATTCTGAAGATGATGAAATATTTGAAAGTCTTATGGCTTCCCGAGCCAGAAGATCAAATGCAGGATCACGACTAAAACAATTAATTGCATTGGAGGAACAATCAACTGAAGCACAAAACACTAATCAATTTGTAACAGAGGAAGATGAAAATGTAAATTTACTATTTCAAGATGACGAGGATGATCAAGAATTCATAGATGAAGAGTTGGATAATGAAAACTTATTGGGTATAGATGAAGATGAAGAAGATGATGACGAAGACGACGAAAATGAAACAAATATCAATGGAAGAAAAAGGCGGCAGAGCGATATTGATGATGACGATGAGGAAGAGGATGTGAACATGGACGAAGTTTTATCTGATTCAGACATATCAGCATCTGATTCAGACGCAAGTGAAGGTGAAAGGGAATTGCAAAAACAAGAACGAGTCCGAAAGAAACGTAAAAAGACAATTATACCTACAATAAAAAAACTCCCAACTACAAGTCCGAAAAAAGTCAAGAAGTCACCGTTAATTACATCAGATTCGTTATTATTGTCAAGTAGAAGGTCATCATCGAGATCGGCTGCTGTGGAGAGTAAACAAGCATTGGTTGATAGATTGAAAGAAAGTGAAAAAAGAAAAGCCAAATACGTACATGTCGAAAAGAAAAAAGTTAAAGAACCAACTCAAGAAGAGCGATTAGTTCAAGCAATAGAAACTGAAAAGGAAAATATAGAATCTTTAAACAAATTTAAAGAACAAGAAATTGTGAAAAAGGAGAGACAACGACAATCATTATTATCAAAAAGGCTAAAATTGAAAAACGTCATACGGATAATCAGTAAACAATCTTATGTGACTCCGGATGAGGAAGTAGCTTCAGCAAGGAAAGAATTTGAGATATACATGAAAAAACGAAGAAGATTAAGTAAGAGGAAAAAAGGTGCAAGTGGAGAAGAGGAATCGCCAGCTATAGCTCCTTTTTCAATAGATTACTCATCACCATATCAACAAGCAATAATAGCAGAGAGGAAAAAGGTACTAGATTCTGAAATTGATAAAGTGGAAGAAATGAATTTGAATTTGATGGAAAAATTGATAGAGCATAATAATGAATCAAATGGCACTGATAATATCGCGAATGGTACTTCAAATGGTATTGCTGATGATGTCGAGAAAAAGGTTGATGATGTTGTTGATATAAAAAAGGCGTCAATAGATGGGACTGACCATTTGGAGACTAATGTAAGTCGGCATATTTCAAATAATGACGAAAATAATAAAAACAAGATGGAAGAGGTTGATAAAGAAGTCGAAGAAGAAAATGCCAATGCGGAATCCAGCATCGACAAAGCAAATGTTTCTGAGAAAAAAACTGCTGGTGAGAGTGAATTGATGAATGATAATAATTCAAAAAATGGATCAATTGATGAAACTCAAAAAATTTTGGAAGAACAAAACGTGAACTCTAATGATAAAATAATCATTAAATCAGATGAGGCACTTGAAAAAAATAGTTCAATCAAGTCTGTCGACTCTAAAGATAACGAGTCCATCGCTGATAGATTGAGAAATGAAGTAAAGCAGGAGGAAGAAAATACCGGAGATAATAATCAAAATTCAAGTACTATCAAAGAGGTAGATGTGACAGCTTCTGTTGAACCCGAAATTAAAAGAGTTAAATTTGCAGACGATAAAGCGGAGCCACAATACGTAGATGCTTCGCCTCAACCTGAAGAAATAAGTTTGAAAGCTTTACCACATCCTTCCAAAGAAGTTTTCGAAGGTCCAGTCCAAAAGATATGTCGTAATTTAGTTTCCTTCCTTGATTTTGATGAAGATAAAAAAGATCTCAGACTTAATCCTACAAACATGAAGGCTCTTTTGTTTGGTAAACAATCTTTGCTACCAGCTAGCAGAAGGTTTAACGATGTCAAAACAATCATTCACATTGGTAAAGTTGAAAACCCTTACGCTATAGTACAAAAAGACAAACCTGATGATTCGTTTACATCAGCTTTTGAATTAAATGAAGATGATCCAATGTTTGATGAATTAAAAAAATTACCTAGATTAGGAGTTGCTCAAGATATAATTGAAGAAGAAGAGGATACAAAAGAAAATGAATCAACTGAAATCAAAATTAATACAGAAGCTCCAACAGGACTTTATTTACCAAATGGTAATAAAAAAATATGTATGATATCAGGAACTGAAGTTAAATATTATGATCCATCAACTGGAATGCCTTATAGTTCAGTTGAAACTTATAAAATATTAAAATTGATTGAACAAGGTCAAGCTCAATGGTTGAGTTTAGATCGAGATAGCTCAAATAATGGTCCATTTGATTTGTATCTAGGATTCAAAGGTGAAAATTTCCGATCTGCTAAGGGTGTACCGGAAGGTTTTGATGGTTGATAAAACTATGAATTGTCTATTATTGTATATATATGTATATATCATCTATAACGAATTTCACGAATTTTAACTATTTACATTCGAGTAATTTTTTACTCTTTCTCAATTAGTTGTATTAGTTGCAGATCCATGTTGAACATCTTGTGCATGAGCGCTTATTAAATCATTTTGAAATTTCATTAATTTTGTTTTTAAAATAGGTACCAAATTTTTCCTAATTTCCGGTACCAAGTCATCTGAATTTACTTCAAATACATATTCATCAGAATCTTGATCATGTGTAAATTCAGGTACTATTATGGTTCCAGATATTGATTTTTCACTATTATCACTCCCTTTAATTTTAAATTGTAACCTCATATCATAAATGCATAATACTTTCCCCTTTCTTTGAGTTACATCACAATCACCGGTGACTGAGTCAATTTCTGTGATTATGAACTCATACTCGTCATTTTTGAAATTTGTGTTTTTTATATTTGTTTCAAAATATTCTTTTGACCAAGGTAGACAATTTTTATCAACCCAATGCCTTAATAATGCCAAATGTTAGCGAGTTGTTTGAAAAATTTATAAGTGACTCAGGCCAACATACCAGTTATTTGGATTATGAACTACCATTCTATTTCTACTTGTGTAAGATCTATATGGTGGTTGTAAGAGTAAATTAAATCAATTAAATATTTGGGTGTAAAAAAAAATCATGAAATTCTAGTATATTCTAATGCTACCAAATTTGGAATAAAAAATAATATCGTACAAAATCGTCAGGTGAGACAATCATACAAAGATAATAAAATTTCATTCATCATAAAATCATCAATATTATATTAAACAAATAACATCTATATATACTCTATATTACACGGAAAAATTGATCATTATTTACTCACTCCAAGCATATGGACTTCGGCTCCTCAAATATTCTCCATATTTAAAGAATATGAATGGAATAGGAATCAAAAGACATGCAAAAACAGCCAAAATTGTTGTAGCCCAATGAACACCTATTCCATTATACATTTGATACCCAAATAAAGGAAATATACAAGACATGACTGACCTAACAAATGAATTGCAAGCCATAGCTGATGCAGAATACAAAATATAAGCTTCAACTGAATAAGCAAAAATCCCATTAAATACTAAGATAGTTCCTGATCCGTATATTCCTGATCCAATGATTGGAACAATCCAATGGATTGAAGAATAAGATGTCCAAGCTATCATAAATAATCCAATAGGAACAACAAATACTCCAGCCATTAATGAAACAAATCTAAATTCTACTTTTGGAACACCATTATTTTTCTTTAATAAATACAAGTAACCCTTTTTAACAAAATATGGTGAGATTAAACAAGTTAAAACCATTCCTGTAGCCAAACCTAAAAACGACATACCTTGAGCAGCTAAATCAAATCCATAAACAGTTCTAAAAATATATGGAAAAGCAACAAAGAACAAATAAACAATTGCCAAACAAAATCCAGTGTAAAAGCATAAGACCATGGTCATATTATCAAAAAATAAAAGTAAAAATGGTCTTCTTGAACTTATTAAAACACTATGAATTAATGAAGTTTTATTTCTTTCTGAAAGTGCATAATATCTCTTATCGCCTGTCTCTTTTCTCAATCTTTTAGCTTTATGTTTCAAGTTAATTGGTTCATATGTCTCCGGTACAAAGAAGACGACTAATGCTAATATAAGACCAGTCCACATTATCATTATGTAAAAGGTCCACCTGAAGTTCATGGTACTGTTGATAAAGCCAGACAACAAAGGTCCTATCAGTGGTCCCAAGAATGGTGAAACTGAGTAAAGAATTAATGCCAACGCAAGGTCTTCATTAGAATCTTTACCTTCCATCTCAACTTCAGAACCATCTTTCAATTGTTTTTTCTTTTTAAATAAATCTGAAAACAGTCCTCCACATACTGCCATAAAACTAGAGCCACAAAACCCGCTCATAAATCTTCCAAAAATCATTGATCCATAATTATTTGTAAATGCAGTTAAAAATTCAAAAGCAATCATTAAAGTCAATCCTAATATATAAACAATTTTCCTACCATGGAATTCACTTATTGGGGATAGAAACATTCCACCAGTTCCCAATCCTAATATAAAAAATGATATACCTAACACACTAACTTCGCGACTAACATTAAAATGCTCCATTATATTTTCAGAAGCTAATGACCAACAAGATGATAAACAGGTAACACAAACTGATCCAAATGATATAATCCCTACAATAACCCATTTATGAAATCTTGATAAGTTGGTAACATCTTCTTTGTCATCTTTACCATCGAACGTGACTAGGAACTCATCTCTTTCATTATTCTCCGAGATCTCTGGTTTTTCATTTTCTTGTATTGATGTTGACGTTGTTGAGTTAGAACTATACGCTCCATCTAAATCATTTGATTTTGATTTCTCATTTGACACTGACATAATTTGGTTATCTATTCATCTGCTTTGATTTATTCTTTATAAAAATACTAATTTTGACTGAATTTTTCATGCTATCTATATACTTGTTTGAAATATAATATTCAAGACAATAAAAAATATTAAGCCGTTCTTTTTACTTATAAATTTTATCGATCCGGTTGTCGAATCGAGAAAGAAATCTACCCGAAATATTCATCTTATTCGAACAAACCTTACAAAGAGATTCAAATGATCAAAGACAAGGAATTTTACCATTGGTACGAAGCGCAATCCCGATAATTGGATATTCTTTCCCGAATAATTGCAATTAATGGAGTTGAATTAATGCTCATAACAAATGAAATATTGAATATTGAATAATGGAGATATTTTGATCCGAATTCTGCAAGAGATTGATCTGATGAGATTCATACATAAATGAACTTGAGAAAGTACTCATTATCTTCTAAATCCGCAGAAACGGTAATTCTCAGTCTAAATTGCGGTTGGTTCGATTTATTGCAGAATAGTATATTAATTAAATTCAAGATGTTAAATTGGGAGTTTTCAGCTTTACACACAGCCGTCAGAGTTGACTCTTTTGAAAAGGAACTCAGTTTGCAAATACGACTTATTCGCTTCGAAGATCTACTTCCCTGCTGATCATGATCATGACTTTGCATTGTTGTTGGTTGTTGTTAATAATTCAAGACACGTCAATTCTAACAAAAAAAAAAGTTTAAATTATTGACTAATGTTAACTCCAAATTCTATGTTATTATTTTCAATTTAAGCAAATTGATGAAAGTTAAAGATACAATTCAATTATAATATTGACAATATTATTAGAAAAATAATAGACCGGACAGAGCAGTCAAATATAAAACAATATTAGAAGCAATAGATTTAAAAGCCAATTGATCGAAGAGAGCAACAAAAGAAAACACTATCATACGTCATGAGTCTTCCATTAAGTCAAGATAATATAGAATTACATGATTTGGGCAAGTCATCATCAACCACTTTACCATTATCAAATAATCTACATACAGAATCAAGAAATTATAAATTACATCCAAGTTCAAAACATATATTAAAGAAGTTATATTTTGCATTGATAATAGAATCTATTATATCAGTAACTATATATTATTTCTATGATGATATATCATTAATTAATCCAAATCTAGCCCCAACCTTATTAGGTTGTTCGTCAGGAGCATTAGCACAGTCTATAAATCAATTTCTGAAGAAAAAATTCACACTTAATAAGATTTTTAAATTTATGATATGGGGTAGTATAAATGGTTATTTCACAGTAACTTGGATTAATCTATTAATTTTACATGTTGATAATTTAATTTATAGAATAATTATTGATCAACTTATCGGTGCTCCAATTTTTCAATTAATCTTTAACATATTAAATACAATATGGGATCATGGTGAAATATTTTCAAAAAGTACGAGACAAGCTTATCTTAAATCTTTAAAATATAGTTATTGTTATTGGCCATTTTTTAGTATTTTTTCATTTGTATTTGTTCCTCAAACCATGATGTTTCCAAGTAATTGTTTAGCAAACTTGTTTTGGAATTTAATATTAAGTAAAATAGCATAGACTTTAAATTATTATGATATTTTAGACATTACATTGATGACAAATTTACTTTCTGAATGACTTTAATGGATCATTTTTCCTCTTTGTTGACTTACCCTTTTTTCTATGTTTGTTGATTTTATTTTTACTATGAAATGGTATAAACCCTAAATTTTTAACATCAGTCCTGGCATTTTCTGGTAAAAGATATTGAGGTAATCTTTTTAAATGAGATTGAATTCTTGTAGGATGTAATTCCTTATCATGTCTTAAACTTGCTAAATCTTGAGGATTTTCTTGGAAAAACCTTTTCAACTTTTCTGAATTTATTAATTCATTTTTCAATTCTTTAACTCTTGCCTCTCTGACTGCTGTTTGAGTAACTGCTCTAAATGCGTCATCTGCACGATATCTAAATCCTTCAACTTGTTTCATATCAAATTGGTAAGGTTTAATCTCAAATCCATTTTTTTCCTGTTGTTTAACTATCTTATTTAATATTTTTTCATCCTTTTTGGCCAGTGGTAATGATGCAGTTTTATGTTTCCCGACTTCAGAAGTCGGTATTATAAATGATAATGCCATTCCTGATTTTCCAGCTCTCGCTGTTCTTCCAATTCTATGAATGTATGCTTTTGAGGTAGTTGGTAAATCAAAATTTAGGACACATGCAACATTTCTAAAATCAACTCCTCGTGAAACTCCGTATTCTTTATCATTTTTGAATTTTTTGGATGATTTAGTTTCTTTCTTATCCTTCTTGTTTGTGCGTTTTTCGTCTTCTTCGTCTTCTTCCTTTTCCATTTCCAATGATATTTCATCAGTTGCAATTAGTAAGCTGTATACATTTTTATTGAATTCTTCCACTATATGTAACCTTGAATTTACAGGTAATTCGCTATTCAATATACAACACCTTATTCCAAATTGTTCCAAAAACAATTTTAATCTATAACCTCTGTCAATATTGTTCACAAAGACTATTGTTTTCCCCTTGATTAAATTTAGTTTGAAAATGACATAACTTAATAAGAATTTATCAAATTCGGTAGTTTTTGCATAAAATTGTACCAACTTGTCGTTATTATTTTGATTGTCATCTAACTTCAATATAGCAGGTTTCGTACAAAATTTATTTTTCAATTCTGTTAATTCATCATTTAATGTTGCAGACATTAAAAAAGTTTGTAAATTCTTCTTAATTGGTAAATAATTTTCTAACTTATTTAAATCTTCCAAATATCCAAAATTCAAAATTAAATCTACTTCGTCAATTGCTAGGATTTTAACAGTACTCAAGTCTACTTTATTTGATGTTTTCTCATTTTGTTCCAATATTTGTATTAATTTATTAGGTGTGGATATTAGTATTTCTGGTTTATTATTTAATAATGAGTTTAATACTTGGTCACTATAACTCGATGATAAGTTCAAAATTCCAATTTGTTTATTGCTATATTTGACTAAATTTTCCATAACTTGATAAACTTGATTTGATAATTCTCTAGTCGGTACCAATACCAAACTTTTAATCCCTTTCGAATCTCCGTCAACCAACAAGTTCTGTATTATCGGTATAGCATATGCGGCCGTCTTACCTGACCCAGTGGAAGCTTTAGCGATGATGTCTCTTTTCTCGTCAATCGCTAAGGGAATAGCAGAACTTTGTATTAATGTAGGATTTACAAACCCTAAATGATCTATTGCTTGAAGTAATCTAGGATCGAGATTCAAAGAGTCCCATTTGGTTTCATCGTCTATATATGTAGATGCTGCCGATGTTGTTGATGACATTTCAATGAATTTGGCAGTATTCTTCGATGATTTTGAATTTGTTTAGAGATGAGAATCTTTTGAATGAAGATCATCCTAAAATGTGAAACTATTTTTAAGTTTTCTCGCAGCGCGATGAAGATGAAACAAATTTAAATTGAAATAAATTACTGCAAAATGGAAGCTACTAGCTCGACCCAATTCAATCAGAGGTGATTCATTGCTACTAACATCAAATTATTGTATATCTGCTCGATGCTCTCACCATCACCGTATTCAATGAGTCTTTTCTATGATTTTGAAAAAAAATTAAACAACTATTGAACTAAATTTGAAGAGCTGTATTTAACTTTTTCTGCACAAAAATAGATTCAATGTATGAATGAACGGTAGGTCCCCAAAATAACAAGTATATCACAATTTGTAATAGCTATAACAGACGACTTGCCAATGATTCACACAAAGGTATACAATTATACATCACAAATAGCTAAAACTTTACATTCAAGACTCAGTCACGTGACTTGTTTAAAGAAGACTGTTTTTTTGAAGGAAAGAACAAACCAAGAACCAGGGCGTGTGGCGTAGTTGGTAGCGCGTTTGCCTTGCAAGCAAAAGGTCATGAGTTCGATTCTCATCTCGTCCAAACAACTAAATAATTTGATTTGCAACCAAATTTACTTTTTTGCAATTTTACTTTACATCATATATATAATCTCTTATTTGTTGTAGATGGTTTGGATGACAAATTTTTTGGTGTCAAGAGAGTTAACATTTTATCTGTATTTAATAAATAAATGAATATCGAATGAGGTTCTATCTACGTACTATTAAATAAAAAACTCGTGCTCATGTCTATGCTACTATCGTTATCTACAGGAACGGCATCACTATTTACAGGATCATCATTATCAAGTATTTCCTTATTCGATATACTGTCTTCAGGCTTTTCACTGTTACTAAGGGTTTTAGCTTCTCCCTTCTCTTTCTCCTTCTCAAGTGAATTTTTTGCCATTTTGATTAATTCCTTAAATTCCAGTCCATATTCTTTCATCCATTCACTAATCGAAAAGTTTTTATCAGTTATTGATTTATTGGCCATCAGAACATTATTACTTCCAAACTGAGCATTGCTATTCTTTTTGAACCCCAGATGTGATAATTCCCATTGATGTAGTTTTTGTCTTAGCACTTTTTCTGGAACTGGGTGATTGCTATCAAGATTTGAATTATAAAGTACAAAGAATTGGTTATATCTTAATTCTAATTGATTTCTTGTACCTGAACTTGGCAAGTGTAAATTTGACAATTTCTCTTTTAATTTTGTAGTTGCTAATGATGCAAAGTCCAATTTTTGTAATCGTTTTAATTCGACTGGTTTTCTTAAAGTTTCATTTAAATGATGATTTTGATGTTCAAAATTTTCTGGTGTTGATTTAAAATCAATTGCTTTTCGAGATGACATGGGAGGAGGTGATGAAGAAGAAGATGGGGAAATGCTAACGGGCTTGAAAAATGATGATATTGAGGATTTCGCTCCTTTTGGTCTTAACAGTTGACGCGGGCTTGCAGGTTCAGATTTACCGCTTAAACAAGCATCAATATGAGTCGATTGCAATCTTTCTGCCGTCATCCTTCTCAGACAAACAGGGCACTCCACTAAATCTTCTCGAGAAATTTCTATTACCTCTGGTGAATCTTCTCTTTTTTGTCTTTTAGATTGAATTTGTGACTCCAGTGCTGATGTATTTGATGACAAGATTTCAGTGACCTCAATTTCGTCTTCTAACACCCTTTTCTTTGGAATACTGTCCACTTCTGATGAATCATGTTTATTTAAATGCATTAATAGAAACGGTCGAAGACGCGTATAAGACCTTACTATTTCTTCCAACAAAACGTCTCTTTTTAATCCACTTTCAAAAACTTCAGTCTTACACAAAGGACATAAATTATTAGTAATTAAATACTCCCGAATACATTGTGAACAAAAAGTATGATGACATGAAGTAATAACTGGAGCACGAAAGAATTCTTTGCATATGTAACATCTCTCTAAAACATCTAATTCTGATAGGGCTGGTATTGAAGTAGATTTAAAATCTGAAGGATCCGATACGTCTTCGAGATTCCTCGGTAGATTTGATGACATTCAGTTTGGCAATAATGAATAATTTTGAGTTGCTTGAATATGATGCGTGTTAGAACTATCGCGTTCTTCATTTGAATTTAATCTTTGATGTTATCGTCGCTACCAGAATTTTAAAACCATGTTAAATTCCCCATTCAAAAATCCTCATAAATTCCTATTAGACTTATATTCTAAAACAATCCAATATGATAACTTCGGGCAATATCTTTTTTGAAGTGTGGTCTTTTTAATTTTGTTGTTAGGTGTGCTAGCATTTAATTCTTATCTTACACAACACAAAACTACAAATCTGTAACATATTAAAAAAGATAACAATATTTTGCAACCTTTTTTTCTGTGCAAACATTACAAATTAATTAAACAAGTTCAACTCCATAATTCCATGTTTAGAGACGTTTCCTCGTTATCGATTAGTTTTGAAGACTTAAAGCCAACAACAAGTAAATCATCCATCAAAACTCCTACAAAATTTTCAACAATTCCACCCAATTTCTCAAACCCTTCATTCATTGATGATGATGATGATAAAGAGAACATTTTGCCCATTAATGATTTGAGTTCAATTTTGTCTATTCGAATGTTGAGAAGACCAAAATTGCTGTTTGATTATGATAAGACAACATCAACTTCAACATCTTGTGAATTGAAATTAAAAAAATTAATGATGGAGGATGAAAATTATGATTTTATTTTGAATCCATGTTGTGATAAATTGGATTGTAAATTTGTTAAAAATGCAATCATGAAAGAGCATAAAGTTACTTCTCAATTTCATAGTTGTGCTGCTTCATTTGACTCAATCGACTCTGAGATAGAGCAAGAACCAGAAAAACATTCAAATCAAAGTTTAGTGTGTGCTCCTCTTAGAATAAGATCAATTGAAAACATAATAGCCGCAAGGAATCTAGATGAAAGAACTTTACCTCTTGATAAATCTGATAAGTGTATTGATTTAATGAATGATTTGAATGAGTGTATCAATACAATTCATATTCATACTCAACTTGAAGAAAGGTTAACTCGGTTGAAGAACATTTTAAGAGGTAAAAAGAATCAAAAGATTAAAAAATGATCGATAGATGATTATATACAACTCTATTAAAAAGTCTACTATGATTTATCAACTCTATAAATTTGCCTCGCTTCTTTGGATTGGTCTTGCATATCTCTTTTTTTCAGTTTCCTCATCATAATCCTTGCCATCAAAAGTATTATATCCCCAATTATATGGCTGGTAAAATAATTTTCTTTGATATTTAACCAACTTTGAAGGATCATTTTTCAATTTATAAACAAGGTCAGGATTTGATGTGAAAAATCTTGAAAATCCAACTAACGTTCTGCCATTTGCCACATCTTGTTTAATTTGTTTGAATTCTGGGGCGTCATAAGTGTAATTTCCAGCTCTCAAAGTTATTCCCTTCCAAACTTCTTCCACAAATTGATTGGATCCTTTCATTGTATCAAGATCAACGGTAACTACACCCTGAACTCTAGGTTCAACAACTGAAATATAAGCTAATTCTTTCCCGTCGTTTGCTCTTTTTTGTAATTGATCCAATAAATATGAGAATTGAGGTATTGGACTAGTCTCTTCGTATATTCCTTGTATTTCTGCCCATGGTGAAAGTCTAATAGCCAATTTTGAAGGTGGAATGACTGTGCATAAATGATCAATTAAGTCCAAAATAAATCTAGCTCTGTTTTCAATTGATCCACCATACTTGTCCTTTCTTTGATTGGAATTTTCGTGTAAAAACGTGTCTGGTAAGTATCCGTGAGCCCCATGAATCTCAAACATGTCAAACCCTGCTTTCATAGCATTTTTAGCAGCTTCAGTATAGTCTACTTTTATAAGTCTATCAATTTCTTCAAGTGTTAATTCAGTTAATGGTAATTCGGCTTTAGCACTCAAGTGTTCAGACTTACTATCTGGGTATATAGCACTAGGAGCTACATACTTCTGTCCTTCTTTCTTCAAAACTCTAGGATCAGCTACTCTTCCTAAAAACCAAGCTTGTAATGAAATAAATGATTTTTTTGCATGTACAGCATCAACAATTTTTTTCCATGCTTTTGTTTCCTCTTCGGTTGAAATAGCTGGAACATCATCATATCCACCGGCAGCACGACTCACATAAGTTGCTTCTGTGACTAATAAAGTTCCTGGATATTGAGCTCGTTGACTATAATATTCTAACATTAAATCTGAAGGTAAATGAGCACCAACTTCTTGAGAAGATTTTGCAGCTCTGAATCTTGTTGTTGGACAATAAACTATTCTGTTTGATAAGGTGACATCTCCAACTTTTATAGGTTCGAACACCAAAGTTCCCTTCAATGGTGATTCTGACATTTTGGTTAAAGAAAGAGAATTTGAAATAGATGTAAAATTCATGGGGTTCTATATAAACATTGAACAATTACATATTTTTCCATTTTCCAAATTTATTTATCCGCTCTGGGGCTTTATTACCCAAAACAGAATAATATGAAATCATGAAACTTCCCCATCATAGTTTCACTATTTAGCATAAGTTAACGATTTCATATCATACAAAACAGTTAAAATATTTCAATATTAGTTTGACCTTAATCGATTAATTCTGACACTCTTTAATCGGATCAAAAAATGGTAAACTCTCAAACTCAACAAACATGAAATGTTTGTCTACCACTAAATGAAACAAGCTCCGTTCCAACTCACTATTTAAACCAAACTCTTTCTCATACCATATCAAGTGATCTCTCCAAATGTTATTGTCATTATACATTTGAAATCTAGCTATAGAAGCTAAACTTGCGTAAACAAATAAAATTTTCAATGCAAACAGATGTTTTTTATATAATAAATCTTTGAAATCTTCGGTAATGACCATAAGGTATCTAAACAATGGTATGGGAAACTTGTAGTATCGACTTCCATACATAGCTCTGGTTAAATAATCAATATTAGTTTTAAAAATCTCTTCGAGTTGTGAGGATTTAAAACTTAAATCCAACAGATCTGAAAATACATACAATTCATTTAATAAATAATTTATAATTGGATATCCACAATCCTTAGATGTTGGACTTGATCTCATCTCTTCTACTCTGAAAAATAATAATCCTGCTAAATCGGAATTTGCAACTGCTGTAGAACAGTTTAAAATGGTATCTCTAGTTCCACCAGATATTCTAATCATGTCTACTTCTTCCTCGTCCTTATTGAAACTTATCAACTTAATTAATTTATGTGGTTGTACTCCTAAAAATGAAAATATTAAAATACTTGAAACAACTAATTCTTTAGCCACTATAGGATCCTGAAATGAATTAGGTACTACTTTCAATTCATCAATTTTAGCACTTGCTTTGCTCAAAGTATCCAAAAAGTTATAAGTTGTCTGATAATAAATATTATCTTTGGAATCTAAGGCCATATCATGATTCCAATTCTTCAGAGTCATAAAATTAGTTTTATTTGAATTATCTTGATTTTGAACAATATCTAATTCCAAGGTAGTACTTAAAGCAATGGCACTAAATGCAAATATCAGTTGTCTTACCAAATCACTTTGCATAAATAAATTTGGCACTTTATATTTCCATGCATTATATATACATTCATTAACTCCATAACTAAATAGTTGAATGCATTCGCTATCAAAAAATTTGAGTAATCTCAATTCAAATTTTGTAATACCCAACATTGTTGATGTTTGATTTAGTATTAAAGTTCTTGTTAATTCATCAAATTCTGTCGGATAGCTGTGGGATTTTCTGTAATTAGATACAGCATTATAGTTTAATACTTTATCAAGGATTGGCGAAGTAGGCCCATATAGTACACTTGAGGGATCGAACGAAACTGGTGTTCCTGTACAGCTTGTGTTATCAGAAGATGATGAAGATGAGTCGAGTATTTCTATTCTCGCTTTATTGGTTGGAGGTTCAAACAAGGTGCGATCTGAGGATCTTGTTCTTGAATTTGATTTTGGAGTTCGTCCACCTCTTTTAGTCTTTACTGGCTTCGGTATGGAGTAAATACATTCTCTACCAGTATGTTCACAATATTCACAAATCGGCTTAACCTCGTTACACTATAATGTTCTGTTAGTAATCTTGGTCTTTAATCGATTATATCATGATAATACATACTTTTATTCGTAGCTTCTTACAACTTAAACAACCACCTCTTGATCTTGTAATTCTAGTGTGAGTAGTCTTTTCTATAGTCATCCGCTGGTACAAATAGTTTATTATAGACTAACCTCTTGACAAGTGGATTTATTCATTTTTAGTAGATCTAGTGAAATTCTATTATTAGATTAAAGCCACTTACAAGCGGAGATTACAAAAATATTAGGAATTAAATTTAATTTGTAGTTATGACCAGTTTTAAAATGACAGTAAAATATTTGCGACAATTAGTTTAAAGTCACCAATTGTGTGCCAAAGTCAAGCTTGAGTAAAAATTAACTCTGACTTATTATATGGAGCAGAGAATAGTTCCAAATAGGATTGTAAACCTTGAATAAAGTATGAAACTTTAAATCAGATCGGTTGAAGCTGCTATTGTTTCAGCAATAAGCCTAATTCAAAAAAATTAAAGCATAAATGCCAAGTAAATATGTATTTAAAGTTCTATTTTAAAACTACAAATTTGTGTTACTTTTATATTCTTTATATTCTTTAATAGGATCGAAATAGACAAAATTTGGATCAAAGAATGGAAATTTATAAAAATTAACAACTATTAAATTTTTAGAAACAACCAAATCAAATAAACTTATTTCAATTTCAGTAGACAAACCAAATTGTTGTTTATACCATAGGATATATTCTTTCCAAATATTTTTTACAATATCAATATGACACTTAAGCATAAATGTTAAACTTGCATGAACGAATAAAATTTTTGAAGCAAAATGATGTTTTTGATATAATAATTGTTTATATTGAGATGAGTATTCCATAAGCGCTCTAAATATAGGAATAGGAAATTTAAATTTTAACGAAGCATATAAAGCTTTTGTTAACAGTGTTATTACTTCTTTTAATATTTGAATGATTTCCAGATTCTCCGAATTAAGCTCTAGGTTATCTGAATAAATTGTTAATTCTTCCCATAAATAATTTATGATAGGAAAACCACAATCCTTTGCTGATGGGACATTATTAAATAATTCTAATTTTAAATCTAACATTCCTGCAAAATCGGATTTTAATATTGTTGTATATACATTCAGAAAAACACTTCTTGTTCCACTACCTATTGAAATTAAATCAGTTTCACCTTCTTCAAAACTAATTAATTTTATTAGTCCATAAGGTTGAGAACTTAAAAATGAAAAGATTAATAAGCTTGAAACAAATAATTCTTTTGCAATGTTTGAATTTTGGAAATATGAATTTTCAGATAATATTTTAGCTTCATCTATTTTAATTTGAGCTTGTTCTAATGAATTTAAAAAATAGGTAGTTGTCATTTTAAAAAAATTTGTATTTGAATTAAGATCTAAATCATATTGATGATCTCTTTCAGGTTTAAAACTTGTAATTTGATTATTATCTTCACCTTGTAGAACATCTAAATTTTTTTTCTCTCCCAACAATACTGCAGTAAATGCAAAGAGTGATCTTTTGACTAAATCACTCTCTAAGAATAGATAAGGTACTTTATATTTCCATGCATCAAATATTGGTTCATTTATTCCATAGTTCAAAACTTTGATTAATGTTTCATCAAAATATTTTAATAATCTTAATTCAAATTTCAGTATTCCTAACATAGATGAAGGTTGATTTAATAGTAGAGTTTTAGTTAAATTATCAACCGAGGGTGTTGATCTTTTTATATCAATAAGATCTGTCTCACCGTTCTTCTTCGGTGGATTTTGTTTAAAAAGAAATTGTTGAACTTGTGAATAAGGTCGGTGTGGAAGTATGTAGTGTTGGGAAATTTCGTCTGATATATTTGATATTGGAGTTGATGAGTTACTCTCAGTGGTTAAAAATGCAGATGATGTTTGGTTTACGAAGTTTAGAATTTGTGAGTCGGTTTGTCTTTGTATTTGAACTGGGGTTGTTGTTCCTTGTTGAATTAGTTGTGATTGTGTTGGAGTATAATTGGTGTTCTTGGTATCGATTGAAGTGGGATACACACATTCCCTATTAGTATGAATACAATAATCACAACTTGGTTTCCTCTCATTGCACTGATTTAAATGTTAGTATTGTCCAGTTCTAAGTAATCTCAATACTTCACATACTTTTATTCTTAATTTTTTGCAACTAAAACAACCATTTCTTGATCTTCTTTTCTTTGGGCGTGCTTTATCAACTTTACCTCTAATCATTTGGAATATGTTTTTGTTCACATAAAGACCATTAATGAACCTAGCATACGTCTTGAACTCAATTTTTGATGATTGAAAAAGCAGATAATAATGTATTTGGTGATAAATCAATGATCATGAAAGAAGAAGTCCAAATATATTTACTATTTCGGATTTATAAATTTGTACTACAACAGCATCATGGAAAAACTATGATTAAAATATACGATTACGATAACATGTTAGTGTTAGCAATACTATTGTTTAAACAAAAACATAAGTTCAATTCCAATTATTAGACTATACCGAAAGTAACAAATATGATATTGTTGATGCAATATTCGGATATAAGCTCATCTTTTAAATTTGTGTAATTTGTATACAATCTGTTAAAGTAGAATAAATAATAAAGTGAAAAACCATATTGATTGCCCTAAATAAATATTTTTGAAATTTTATTAAGACTTTGAGAACTGGATTGAAAATTTCCCTAATTAACTTACAAAATAATAATGTCAAACCACTGTGGAAATAAAACATGGTAATAGGCGGATCGGTGATAAGAGCAAAATTCGTTTATAAAAGCAGGTACAACTTTCTTTTATTGTTCTCTCCAATCAATCATGAAAATAAATGGAAAAATAAAGCAAATTCAAATTCTATAACTCACACTAGTAACCACTAAATAATCTCAAACATCACATATAACAAATTCATCAGTAATAAAATATTGTATAGTAAAGCTCTTTCTGTAAATCAAGCTAAAGCTAAACCATATCTATTTCTTTCCCTATTTTCATCAAATGTCTTTTGTTCATCATAATTATTATAAGTATTATACCCCCAATTATCTTGATCATAAAATACAGCTCTATCATATTTAAGTAAAGGATAACCATTTTTTAATCTTGAAACTAAATCAGGATTTGAAGTAAAAAATCTTGAAAATCCAATTAAAGTTCTATTATCTTGAACATCTTCTAATAAACTTTTAAAATCAGGAGCATCATAAGTGTAGTTTCCTGCTTTTATAAATTTACCTTTCCAAATCTTGTTAGCAAATTCATTACTACCAATTTGTTTATCTTTTTCAACATCTAAACTTCCTGAAACTCTTGGTTCAACTATTGAAATATAAGCTAATTCATTACCTTGATCCGATCTTTTTTGTAATTCTTTCAATATATAACTATGAATTTCTTCACCTTCTGGTTCTGAAGTTTGAAAAGTAGCCCATGGTGATAATCTAACTGCTAATCTATTAGCCCCAACTATTGGAATTAATTTATCAATTATTTCTAATAAAATTCTTGCTCTATTTTCAATTGATCCTCCATATTTATCTGTTCTTTTATTACTTGCTGGGTTAAAGAATTGAGATATAGCATATGAATGAGCTGCATGAAGTTCGAAATAATCAAATCCAGCTTCTAAAGCATTTCTAGCAGCATTTGGATATTCTTCATTTACTAATCTATTAATTTCTTCAATTGTAAATGGTCTTAATTCGTTTCCTGATTCTTTAGCCGCTTTTTCACTTTCTTCAGTTTTATATATAGCTGATGGACCTAAAAAGGGTAAACCATCTTTTTTCAATACTGCTGGTTCAGCAGCTCTACCTAAATACCATAATTGAATTGAACTAAAAGATTTCTCTTTATGAATTGAATCATTAATTTTTTTCCATCCTTTAACTTGTTCCTTTGTGAAAATACCAGGTACATAATTTGAACCTGATCCTTGAGGACTTACAAAAGTAGCTTCAGTAATAATTAAAGTACCTGGAGCTTGAGCTCTTTTAGTATAATAATCTAATTCTAAATCTACTGGTACATGATCTGATGTAGCTCTTCTTCTTGTTGTTGGTGCAAATGCTATTCTTTGATTTAAAGTATTAGGACCAACTTGAATTGGTTCAAAAAGTTTTGTATCACCTAATGCTCTAATTTCAATATATTCCGGTTGTGACATTTTGAAATATATTTTTGATTTCGATTATTGATATGACTTGGGTTATTGATATGAATTGATGAAACTTTGGAATGATACAAGAAATGATTGAATATTTATATAATTTTCAAGTCCGAGCCATAGTTTCAGATAAATTTGTAAGCAAAGATTGGTTTGTATTTGTGATAAAACAATGTGTTTTAATTTGTAAGCAATTCCCTTAATTTTTCAGTATGTTAACTACACAAAATCTAAGGTTTTGCGGTAAGATAAGGTTTAATTTTGTAACTCAAATTATCAGATCTCATACTTCTGAAATATATAGGGAGAATAAAAATTTACAGCGATAAGTATACGAAGTAGGTATTATTTTAGGTTATGGTCGTTATCATTAAAATGCTATAGCTTACTAATATCTATACAAGATTTTTCAAGTGTATAATATAACTATTCCATTTCGAATTATTTAATATTTCCTCATTCAAATAATCATGAAATTTTGAACAATCCAGAATGGTTAATTTTGAATTTTTTAAACTTAATATAGTTTCAATTTCATTATAATAATCGTTAATAGTAGCATAAGTCTCTGCTTTGTGATCTTCTTCAATTTCATCTTTTTCATTAATTTCTTCAATCATTAAATTGTATTCGTATAATCCATCTATTATCTTATCCAAAATATAATGTACATCATGACTTAAATGGTGATGTATTAAATTATCAAATTGTTTCTTTATAAGTTTTAAATTATTTAAACTTATATCATGACTATTTATTTTTTTAAGTAAACAATTAAACATAGTAATAGTTGAAACTAATTCAATTGATGATTCATATAATTGATCTAGATTTTTTAAAATTTTTTCATGATATTTTGAAGATGGAATTTGAGGATGTAAAATTAAATCATGACTGAAAGATTCAAATTCTTGATTTATAAAATGTTGAGTTAAATTAATTAAATTTTGTGAATAAAAAATTTCATTTGAAAAATACGTAGATAGTATTAATTGACTAGTTGCTTTTGCAGATGTTGTCAAAGGTAAAGTTTGTTTTACATCACTTATGAATGCAGCAGTTTCAGCAATTTGAAATTGTTTTTGTTGTTGTTGAATAAATTGTTGAGTGTATGAGTTTTTGTCGTTTGCAAAATCTGGCGTTAATAAGCTATGAACTTCTGACATAATACTTTCACTTTCATCTTCTTCATATTCTTCATTTTCGTAAGTATTATCATGATTAAAATACTTTCGTAATCCATCTAATGTATTTGATGTTAATTTAGGTGAAAAGTTATTGTAGGTGTCTTCTAATGTGCTTGATTGAACTTTGGAAGGTTGAGGAGATATTGGGAGTGATTTATATTCAAAATTGTTTGAATTAGATGACGTTATAGGCATATCTATTGATATAGGAGTTATAGGTAACGATGAAGTTGTATTATTTGTTTGTAAATCTGGAAGTTGATCTTTAAATGATAAATGTTGTATATTGATTAATTTCGAAGGTTTGCCAACAGGATGATTAGAATTTGTAGTTTGATTTAATGGTGGTAATACTGACATTATTTGAAACTTTGATATGTCTGATGTGGTTGGTTGAAAATTTTGTTTAATGAGGTGGTTGTTTGTGCAATATTTAAACTTGTTTTCAGTTCAATGTAAATGCTAATAATTATGCTGATGATTATGGTGTGATCTATGCTAGTTCTATATTGAATATATTAAAAACTCTGAGTAATGGGTATAGTATTTGCAAATAATATGTTAAAAAATAAACTAAATTGAATAATAATTTTCAACAGAAATAACGAAATAAAAGATATGATATAGATATATCATTTCATTTATAAAGAAATTATATAGTTCTTCCGCCTTTTAAATCTACACCACAAAAAGCCCCAATTTCAATCTAGATTACTTTAAAGAACAAAAGCTATTTATGTAACTAATGTTAAATATTTTAGATCACCCCCAAATTATATTAAAAAACGTACATTATGTATGGATTATGATTTTGTGCTTAATAAAGCTAGGCTTAAATTGCAATCACTAATTAAATAAAGTTTTAATACATTATTGCTATATTTTATAACTGCTCCAACGATTCTGAAACATCATCATGGGGAATGTGTTATATTGAACTCCAACTGGATTTTGATGTCTCAGAAAGGAGCTCCATTTGTACAAAGGAGTTATCAAAATACGGACTCGGAAAGTGTACTTCAAAAGTAAGACGCGAATAACCGTATCATAAATCTACTTTAATTTTTCAAGAGAGTCAAGAATTTTATACTCCACTCCCCACCTTTTGAATTTTGCAGAAAATCATATTTTGTGTTCTAGGCTAATTTAAAATAGATAGGATAAAAACATTTTAAAACCTCGTTTACAATTTGTTTAAACAATCATTATTAAATGTCCATTTACAAAAGTCTTGAAGTTTAATCCGTATCATCATACATGTCATGTTTCAACATTTCTTAAATAATACCTTTGCAATTGACTGGTGCAATTGATTCAATAGATGCTTGTCTTTAATTACAAGCTTTTTTCTAAGAATTTGTAAATCATACACGTTTCAAAATTTATTAAACTGATTTTGTCTCTTTAATTTTGTACTTCGTATTAGAATTCTGGATTTTTCTCTAGTCTAGATTCTAGTTCGAGAGAAACTTCATGAAATTGTCCAATAGCCATATACCCGACTAAACATAGTTTCTTCTTTTTCATGATCACAATTATTCAAAGATTTTGAGCATTTGATTATCATTAATTAGTTCAATGCGAAATCTAGAATTAATCAAAATTTAATTCATAAACTCGACAGAAAAGAAACTTAACTTGTTGTTTGGACTAGCGTTGTATCACTTACTACGACCAAATGTTACTTGTACAATTTTGGCTTTGAATATACCTAGTTTTTCGGAGTCGAGTTTTTGACGGTTTTCAGAACGGGGTTCCAGCAATTATAAAAAGAAATTTTTTGAAACATTGGGGCTATAAGGTAAAAGAGCTACCAAATTAAGAGCCAAATTACTGAAACGTCTCAAAGTCCACGGAGAATAGGCTAGCTAAATCGAGAGCTTGTTTTGAACTACATGTACTACTTACTGACTACTCTATGTCTCACAATTCAAATTAATGATACGCTGTAATGTTAAAAATATCAAAAGTCTTTGGCCCCTAATTTACATCGCTGAGTTCCTGAGAATTTCAGTTAGAATAAATTCGATAAAAATAGATACAAAGAAAGTTAGGGGTGTGATGGTTCCTATTAAAAAAAATCATAAAACTTTAATTATATAACAGCAATTTAAAAATGTATGGAAATGTAAAAAAAATTACGATATATCGAACAATACACTAAACTAATTGTTTTCTATTGTTATCTATTCGGTACCTGTAATTTTAACCAGTTTTCAAATGCACCCTTTGAAAACTGGGTAATTTTAAATGGAATAGCACCCATTTACTTTACATTCCAAATAATTATTTGCCACAAGTCGTTACATGAAACTAAATTTGGTCAGTGAATCAATTGTTTCATACCTTTAATATTTTGTAATTTTGCAGAAGAGTTTTCTATTTGATAACTCTAGCTCCTCTAAATGTAAGTTTATTGAATGGCATTGATTTTTGATTATCGTCATATGTCAATTACACTTGTGCCCTAATATTTATGTATTTATTTACAGATTATAATAAAAGTTGGCTCTTCCCTTAAACCGATAAACATAATGAGTTCTATGTTTTCCGAAAGCAATAGGTAAATATAGAGCAATTAGGTCGAACGGTATTTGATTTATTGATGCACTTCTATTTTGCGGTTTAATGTATTGAATAGAGACTTTTGAATTAATTCACGATATTTTTCTATCTCATTATTTCGAAATTTGAGTTTGGTTATCATGTAATTCATGATAAAATAATTCATGCGAGGTTGTAGGATCAATCGGACCAATTACTCACTAATTTAAAATTTGACACTATGTTTTAAAGGATTTTTTATCTGTTAGATTTTGTGTAAGAATTTGAAACACAATATAAAATGTTGGATTAAATCAACGAATTTTAAATTCGTAGATCAGGGTTTCAACCATTTATTGAAATCATCCAACAATCTTGATTAAAATCTAGACAAATAGAGCTGTCAAAGTAATTGAATGATCTTATTCAGATTTAACGCAGAGTTACAAAAATGAGAGAAAGACTCATAATATAAATGATTTGATCTGACGTAGATATAAGGTGTTGCAACGTACTTTTTGAAAATTAGTTTTAAAAATTAGCTGCTTTTGACTTGGTAGAGAGAATACACTGTTGGTGCTTATAGACAGGTGCAAAGTTGAAGTGATTCTTACCGTCCGTGAGTTTCCTCCCAAACACTTTGGGTGAACGCATTTGTTGATCGTACATCGTTTAAGTAGATAAAAAATTGATATATAAAGAGCTTATTTATAAGTATCAGTTGCGTAATTTACTACTAAACGATTTAGTAAATATATATGCAAGCATTGTATTAACTTACTACAATGCTATCATACACAACAAGAATATACAAAAATCTATAATTCATCTTTTTTAATTTCATTACTTTTTACATTACCACCAGGTATTAAAACTTTATATTCAATAAATAAATCACCAAATTTATCTTCTTCATCATGATCATTTAATATAGGCATACCTTTACCTTTTATAATTTCAATTTGTCCATCAATTATAATTTCTCCCTTTTGTCTTTTTAATATTATTTCATGATCAATTTCTGAATCTTCATCTTCTCCAAAAAATGGAATTTTTCTTTCCCAACCACCGTTAATTGATTCATTTAATGTTATAACTTCAGTTCTATATAAATTATTATTTATTCTTCTATAACCCCAACTTTCATCAAATTTTTCTCTAAAATTTAAAATTAAATCTCCTGGTATCCAATTTGGAGATTGATCACCTTCTCCTTCTAATTTTCTTGAGGAATCTCTTGGTTGTCCTGGTTCTAAATGTATATCATAATGTCTTTGACCTCTTACTACTCCTGAACCTTGACATGTTGAACATGGATTTGTAATTTTTTTACCTTGACCTTGACATGAATCACAAACCATTCTAATTTGTTGATTAAATCCAGGTGCTAATTGATGTTGTACTGTAATTTGTCCAGTACCATGACATTTTTCACATTGATGAGTTTTTTTATCTTTAGAACCAGTAGCATCACATTTTGAACAAGTATTTTGCATAACAACATCAAATGATACTAATTTTCCTCTATAAAAATCTTTTAAAGATAAATGAATATTAGTTGAAGTATCTGCACCTCTTTGAACTTGTTGATGTCTTCCACCACCTCCACCATGATGTCCTCCAAAAAATTGTCCAAACATATCACCAAAATCAAATTGTTGATGTTGTGGTTGACCATTTGGATCACCAAATTGATCATAATTTTTTCTTTTAGTTTTATCACTTAATACTTCATAAGCTTCTCCAATTTCTATAAATTTATCATGAGCTTCTTCATCTCCTTTATTTTTATCTGGATGATATTTTAAAGTTAATTGTCTATATGCTGATTTTATTTCTTTTTCAGAAGCTGATTTATCAACTCCTAATATTTGATAAAAATTCTTTTTAGCTAGTACAAAGGAGACTAGACTTAGAAAGATAGTTGATAGTAGAAATGTAAATTGCATTATATGTGGTAGTCTCTATGTGATATATGAAAAAGGAATGTAGAATGTGATGATGATGTATGAACTCAAGTTGGTATGGTCTGGTTGTGAATTTGAAAAATTCAAACTTAATTTTTACACGTCAACATATCAATTATTAATGAAGAATGCTACCAAATTTACGCGATTTAAATCTTAACTGTTTTATATGTAAGAATCTGCATCTATTGTTTTTGTGTAACCAACGGCTTTAGATCTACATCGAGGTATCAGAACTCTATAAAGTATTATAAAATGTTGAAAATTGTATCTGACTGGTTTCATTTGAAATGAAATACACATCAGTCTCATTAACATATATTAAAGATAAAAGTACCATACATGCATCATCAGGTATACTCATAACGTCCAAGAAAGAATCATTCGTACTAACGATCAATCATATACCGAATATAAATGATTATAAAATATATTCAAATTATGAACCTAACAAATCCATTACCAATGTTCAATGGAATGAAATTAAAATTATAGAAGAAATAGAATTAAATCAAGATTTTCAATTTTTTAAAAATGAATTTCATATCTTCCCATCTGATCAATTTTTTAAAAGCACAATATCATTATTAAAATTGACAGCACCAACAAACATGAGTAAAAAATTAATGGAATTTAAGTTAGATCTAAATTTTAAAATTGGTGAATCTATTAAAATTATATCTAGTCCTTTCAATTTAACAAATCCGTTTATTTTTAATAATTTTATAAATTATTCTCATATTGTCAATCAAATTAATGATGAAGATTATTTATTATGTGATTTAAAATATTTAGATAATATGAATGGTGGAATAGTTGTAAATTCCCTAAATGATCAAATAATTGGTTTAGTATTAGGTAGTTTAAGAAAAATAAATGGAGATGGTGATTTAACCATCATTATACCATTTATAAAAATATTTAAATTATTAAAAATGAATGAATTTTCAATTAACAGTTCTACAACAAATTCATTAACTTCATCATCAATAATTCCAATTAAAATTAAAAGTTCAAATAAATATACTTGGGGTTCATGCGTACTATATAAATCAAACGTTTTAATAACAAATCATCATGTTATATCACCTTTATTTAATGAAATTTCATCATCTGCTTTAATTATTTCACCAAATAACCAAACACTAGCAATAACTAAAAATCAAATTAAAACACCCATGAAAGAATTAGATTTATCATTTATTTTTCTAGATCAACCTATACAAGATTTAAATCCTATAATACCTTGTAGGAATTATAAAGTTGAAACAAAAGTATATACAGAATCATATGGATTATATTTAAATGTAGATAATTTAAAACCAATGATTTGTCCAGGTTTTATAAATTATATTTATAGTAATCAAAACAATTTAAATGGTATGATAATTTCATCAACTTCTTGTTTTAATGGTAGTTCAGGTGGTGGATTATTTAATTTTCAAAATAATGAATTTCTAGGAATAATTTGTTCAAATGCTCAAATTAAAAAATTTAAACCTTTTGAAGCTATAAAAGGAAAAGAAGATAATAAAGAAGAATTTGAAAAAATTACGAATTTTACATTTATTTTACCAATTGATTTAATTGATTATTGTTTTAATCAATTAATCAAGGAAAAAGTTATAAAAATTGATTCTAAAATTATTGATTTATGGAAATTAAAATCTTTTCATCAAGAAATATTTATTGATTTACCTGAAAATAGATCAAAACTATAGAATAACTTAACTATAACTTCTTTAATTCATTTATTCATTTAATTCTATTCACTTCACTTCAATCATATGAATTATAAACAATTGTCATATATTCATCAATAAAATCATTAATTGAATTACTTAATTTTAAAAATTTTTTAAATTTGAAATCATTATCATTATCATTAAGGTTCTTATTTAATTTATTTGAAATTTCAATTTCTAAAAATGATTTCCAATTTTTAAAAATCTTTTTTAAATTTTCTTTTATTATCCAAAACCATTTTGCATTAAATTCAAATAATTCATTTTTATCTGAAAGTGTTGTAGATGTTGTTGAGTCAGTGGCAGTTGTGGTAGATGTGTAATTACTCAAAGCAGATTTATCATCTAATAACAAATAAATTAAAGTTTGTAAAATATAATTTTCATCAAATTTTAAAAAATTAATTGATTGATCTTTTTCATTTTCATAATACCATAACATTATTAAAATTTTATTCATAATTAAATACCACATCAAAATTAAATGATTTATAATTTTAATTTGAATTAAATTATATTTAAATTTAAAATTTTTTAAGTTATATGGTAAATTTAAAAAATCAGATAAAAAAATTATAGGTAATGAAACAATTGATAAATTATTATAAATTTCAATATTATAAAATTTTAAATCAAAAAATTTAATTAAAAATGAGTTTAAATCATTATTTGGATTTAATTCTTCATTACTTTGATTAGTATGATTCTGATTTTGATTATTTGATGAAAATTGATCTTTTAAAAATTGATCTAAATTTATATTCATTATATTTTCTTTTAAAATTAATAATAATAATTGCCAATTATAAAAATTTTTTGGTAAAAAAATATAATTATTTAATAATTCATTATATTTTAAAGGACAATTTATTATAAGATTCTTTTTAAAAATTTTAAATATTTTGTCATTATCATGGCTATCATCAGTAATTGAATTTTCAAAATAATTTATTGATTTATTTATTAATATAATTGAATTATGTAATGAATTTTTTATATCATAAATTTGAATATTATTTGTTGTTGTTTGAGAATTAATTAAATCATTTTTTAATTCATTTGTTAAAGTTGAAATTATTATATTTTTTAAAAATTCATTATTTTCAATAATTAAAGAATTTTTACAAAATTTTTGCATTAATTCAATTAATGATTGATTTGAATCAACTAATTTATATAAAAGAATTGAATAAATTTTGGGACATCTATCTAAATAAAAAGATAATAAAATAAATGTACTCCAAAATAAATTCATATTTAAATCAATTAATTTTTCATTTGGATTTGAAAATTCTGTTAAATTTGATATTATTATAAAACTTATTTGATCTAGATAATCTAATATAACTTGATTATTTAAATAAATTGTTTGTTGATTTGATTCAAAATCTTGAACTTGATTTATATCATAATTTTCTAAATCATAATTTATATATATATATGATAATAAACATAAATTTTTTGAAATTTCAATTTGATCTGTTGGTATATTACTATTATTATATTGAGGTATTAAATTTTTAATTAATAAAATCCAAGATTTTTTAAAAAATTCTAATGATTTAATTGAGTTATTATTGACTATAAACCCTAGGGATATAATTGAATAAATTATTCCAATTTTAAAAAGATTTGGTTGTGGTGGTGGAATTGTTTGTTGAGATACTGAAGGATCTATATAATAAGTACTTAAATAATATATTAAATCTTTTAATATGGATTCAATAACTAAAAAGTTTTGTTCTTGTTCTTGTAAAGTGGTATAACCTATTAGAAAGCTATTATAAATTATTTCATTTGAATATGAATTTGCCGTAGTTGGAGAGCTTAGATTCAAAATGAATTTTAATTTTTTAGTAATTGATAATAAGTTTATTAGTGAATTATCAGAATTAGTTGAAGTTATCGATGATGATTCTGTAGTTTTTCTACTTTGTACGTCTGATGATGATCTTCGTTTTTTTGAAGTTACTGTTGATGAGTTGTTATATGAATTTGTAGCAGGTGTTCCATAATTTCCATGATAAAATGATGATTCACTATTTACACTATTTGTACTATTCGCAGGAGTCATTGCCGTTGTTAAAGGTGACAATGTGTTATTCGAATCATGATGATTTAGGGAGTTATGACTACTACTCCCACTTATAGGTAGACTACTGAATTGTTGTTGTTGTTGTGGTAGTTGTTGTTGTTGTGAATATTGTGGTGGTTGTGATACTCGACTACTTAAATCATTACTATTATTATTTTCATTATTATTATTATTTGAAAAGTTTGGTACAACTCCAGTTAAATTTTGATTCTGATGAACAGTTCTACAATGTCTTTGTAATAAATCTCTTCTTACAAATGAACTTGTACAATATAAACAATGAAATGGTTTTTCATTTGTATGAGATCTTTCATGACGTTGTTTATGTTCTGATCTTGTAAATGCTTTTGCACAAAATCCACAAATATATTTCTTTTGTGGTGTAGCTGCCATATTTTTGTGTAACTAATTTTTTTGTTGGTACAATCTCGGAGTTTTTTGATTGGCTTTGTGTAAGAATATTTGAGGTCTGTTGATGAACTATAATATGGGGGAAACTTATTGGGGAATTGATGAAATGAAAATGTATATGTGTTGTCGTGACTGGAGTGGACTAAGATAAAGCAGAGCAGTCTTTAAAGGAAATATGCTGTTCTCAGATAATTGACAAATTATTTGATGTGGGAGTTTTGAAAATAATTACAACCACTTTGTATGAAGTTAAAAATGTGAAATTGATGGCTATACTTTGTGAAAATATGATATGCTATAGTCTGTTGATATCAACAAGTTAAAATTTGAGCTTGAATCGATGTGGTTGAAGTGAAATTTTGATGCTGGGATTTGGTTGTAAAAATATATGTATGTGTATATCTGAATTAAAATGAATATTTAAGTGGTATAACTATATAATTTGTAGTTGTTTCATATTTGAATTGACTGATAAATTATGTTTAAATTTATGCTGTCTCTAACTATACGTGAGTTAGTAAATTTTTCAATAAGAAGTATAATTCAAATTGATATGGATTTGATGTTGGTAATATATAAAACTCAAAAATATTATAAATAAATATGGGGGTAGTGTACTTTTGTATACTTCCTCTATAAATTACTTATTAAGGTAACAGAAATTATTATATTTAGTCTCATACTTGTTATCATACCAACAACTTCACTAGTACAAACGTTTTAGACTGAGCGTAGTACTTACTGACGTTTGATCTATTGGACAAATGTTGTTAGCAATTACAGAGATCTTCCTGAAAAATCGATCTTCGTTCTCTCAAATTTCATCTATCTCTTACAAAATTTAAACTTTTAAAAAATACTCGAGTGGAGAGGTAATACGTTTTTTTGTTTCAAAGTGGATTTCATTATGATTGTTTGTAATTGACAACTTCGATTTTTACCTTACTCCTCATGGTACGTTTTAAAATTTTCAGTCATACCAATTGATTTGCATGATTGATATTTCGAGTGTTTCCGTGGGTACTTCATCTTGTCCATCGTCTGTCTCATTCTGTTTTGAAATGGACCATTTCATTCATTGCAAAATTATAACCATTGAATATGGTCTTGGAAAAAGTTTTAAATTTGAGAAAACTTATGATGGTCATTTGAGTTTTAGATTCATCTAGAAACTATAAAGTTTAATCTCATCACGAACTACGACCAATAAATTTCAACTACATGTGAAAAATTTTCATAATGAACCCTTGAATATGTTGTACATTAGTCCCAAAGGCATGATAAATTATCACTAAATTATAAACTTATCTATTGAAAAGCTTTTTATGTCTAACTTTTCACTTAACTAAATTTGTTTACGTATATGTACAATTGTTTAACTTTATAAAAAATCATAAAATTTATTGTAAATCTTTTGTTGATCTTTTTTTTAAGTATTAAGTTTAACCATACGTATTAAAATCATTTACGAAAATCTCGAAAAATTTTAAATCTTAATAAATCTTCTTTAGTGACATTTCTTTTTGTAGAGATACGGCTGTTTATATCTTCCGATAATGCTTTGAAGAGCTAAGAGAAAAATGTTTGTTGGAGGAACATCATATATGATAAACGCAGAATAGTTTGCTAAATTAAGACTCTTTAATTCGGGCTTTTTACACGATTATTACTTTTATTATTAAACTATTAACCTTAAAAATAATAAAGTATTATAACCAGGAATAGCGAGATTTCAATATTAAATCTTAAATGAAAAATCAAAAAAATAATTATTTGGTAATTTCTGTCTCCCCCACTCTCGTTTTGCTTAAAGGAAACTTAAGGAACAGAAGGAAGAAAAAAATAACAAAGAAAAGTATCGATTTTACTTTATAAAACGTTTGAAAAAAAATGGTTTGAAACTAAAATAAAAAATTGAAAAATTAAAAAACTCCGAAAACAGCAAAAATGTAAAATACTAAAAAAATTTAATTCCCAACAAAAAAGTATTAAACAATTGAATTAGACATCAAAAAAACGAAAAGAGAATATTAAAGAAAGGTGCCTGATGTAACGTTATAATTTCAATTGTTCTATATGGAATTGGTTTTAGTTTGAGCATTTAACATTTGAAAACGCATCTTTGTTGGTCTGAGAAATCGACCATTGATTGTTCTATCGAAGTAGGACAATCAAATCCCTTTCCCATATAAAGAAAAAAGCTCAAAATATGTTATTTGACTAAAGATAACTCAATACATATGTTTGCTCTAATTTTAATTATCTTTCAATAATACACTATGAATTTTAAAAAATTTTGATCGTCAATTGTTTCAAAATCTTACACAAAAAATGATATTAATATACCGTATAAGTAAAATCTAAAACAAATTTATAAACATACTTGATAGTGAAGTCTAGAACCCACGAATTTTAAATTTTCAAAATAAAGCATATAAGATTAAATTCTCAAAATGTTCTTCTGTCTTGTGACTTGAAGAAAATTGAAAACCAACAAATGTAGTCTGCTTTAAAATTTGAAATAGATTCACAATTTTAATGTTTTAATGTCGCATGTAAACTTCTGAGTTTCACCATGATACTGGAACTACTCTACTTGAGCACAAATGAACAGTAAATAAAAAGCAGCTTCACAGTTGTTCAAATTTTGAAATCGATAGACGTGAAATTTTCGAAACAAATTTGTATTGAATTGTAATAAAAACATTATCATGGACCTACTCATAGTAAATTGAGTCCTTTCGGTCGACGGTTGTAGTATTGACGACATGAGCCCTCCTAGCCTTTATGGTTCATTGCACTTGCAAATTAGAATAATTATCTCTACTCAAATTAGAATAAGATGAAAGATAAACAAACAGAAAATAATTCCTAATTAGTTTATTATGCGGCTTCGAGATCTCGATTATTGTGGATTCAAGTTAATACGTAAAGTTGCTGAGACCCTCTGGGTTAGATTTCAGATAAGGAACAAATCTATCATTAACATCAATTCATATTATTATAGTTCGAATCAAGTTTAAGAAGTCTATCTTATAGTGAATCATACTATCGGCAGTACCGTTATATCGATATTGCATGGACCTACAAACCTCAACTTCGGTTTATTACTAAATTTACTTTCCGTATTATTGATCATTAGATCGTTCATCAATTGTAATCGCTTTTATTCATAATTTATTCATTAGTGACGAGTCCTTAGGTAACAACAGGAAAAACATATTTAACTTTATCAACTTTGTCAACTTCATCAATTTCATCAATCATGGCTTATAAAGGAAAACGATCAAATAAAAAATTCAATCCAAAATTCAATAAATCAATTCACAACAATCACAATCAACAAGAATCAGAACTTGAAAGAGAGAAAAGAGAAAAAAAAGAATATAATCAAAAATATGCAGAAGAAGAAATTATAAAAACAGGTATGATATTTTCAGGAAATATAAATTCAGGAGATATAATTTATGTTGAAAAAATCGCTGAACAATTAATCAATGCTTTTTACCAGCATTATATGGAATATAAAAATTTAACTCCAGTTGATTTATTAAATATTTGTGAAAGTTTTTTCATTGGAGATGCATTAATATGGGCTCGATTCGATTTTTTCGCCAAATTTGATGTTCATGATTATTGTCTCAAAGTTGTTGATGCGAAATATTTTGGTAAAGAACCTGATTTTAGTGAAGTCGATATTGAAGCATATAAAGCATATAGCCCTAAGATACTTATTAAGGAATTCTTAGAAAGATTTAAACCAAGACATCACGCTTGTTTAGTAATTGACAAAATTAGAGAAATTAAACAAGGATCATTGAACCTTGATAGATTCAGATTAACATTCTTTGATCATGTTTCACTTATAAGCAATGAGGATTTGGAGCAAGAATGGGTTCGAGAGATGCTTGTGGATGTATTTCAGGAAAATTTAAACTTCGAACATCAATACATAGCATCAACTTTTAAGAGTTTAGAAGATATCAAACATAAATACAAAACTAGGTAAGCCAAGATTAGATTAATCTGAACTTTTCAATCTTCGTCAACTAATAGGCTTGTGAAACTATTCCATTTGCTAACAGAGTTTCCACCAATTCACAAACTTCGAATCCACAAACTTCAAATCCACAAACTTCAAATCCACAAAATTAAAAACTTCAAAAAGACGAAAATCAAAACCTTTAACTGAGTGTACAATTCATCCAGATTTAGGCACGAAATAAGAGAATAAATTTACACTTGTTAATTAATAAAAAAAAAGTATACATGCATATCGTTACTCATTAATCAAATCATTATTTTCTCCAAAACTTCATTAAATCATTATTGGAAAATTATCACCTTTATATTTTTTAATTTCTTGTTCTCTTAATACTAATAATATACAACAAATAATTAACATTTCATCACTAACCCCATTATCATAATTTAAATAATCAAAAATTTTTATAATTCCATGCTTTTTATAACAATTTTGTTCATCATTCGCAGATTTCATTTTTAAATCTTCTTTTGTTAAATTTATATATTGAGCAATTGGTAAATTAATTAATTTTTTACTACTTTGTATAATTTGTTTAATTTCTTTTCTTTTTTGTAATTGAATTAAATTTGATAATTTATTGTTAATTTTTAATTTTCCTTTTGAATCCACCAGTAAATTATGAGTTAATAGATTTTCTTCATCCCTAGAATCCATTAAAAACAAGCTAATTTTAAAATTATTTGAAGTTGTGGTGGTTGATGAATTATTTATAAATATTCTAAAATGATTATTGTTTATTTTAAAATCAATACTTGGATAATTTGAATTATTATTTATTAAATAAATGACTTTGTCTTGTAATTGTGGGAATTTTAGGATGTAATAAGTTAAATGATTTGAAAAAATTTTATAATCAATTTTACAAAAAATTTGTTTTTGTAGCGTTACTGAATTCAAATTAAAAATTTCTAAAAATGATGATGATCCTAGTTTCAAGAAATTTAGTAGCTTATTTGATTTTATTAAAATTGGTAAATTTGGATGCTCAATGGCTGATTCATTTGATTTATATAACATCAAATTTGATTGAATTTTATTTGATGTTATCAATGGAATTTCTTTAAAATATCGAAAATCTTGTATTGTTCTATTATTAAAAATTATGATTTGAGGTGTTATTAATGTATCTTGAGATATTAATGAATTTAAATCATTAAAATTTAAATCTTCATGATTTTGTTCTTCAAATTCTCTTTCGTCATTGTCATAAGCTTCGTCTTCTCCGTGATCTCTCAAATTTCTCAGATTTATATGAGTTATTGAAGTTGTTAAAATTTCATTCGTATTATTACTATCATTTGATCTTATTGGATTTTGTAAAAAATAATCTTTGTTAACTAAAGTACTAACGGTTTCTTGACTTCTTGATCTATGAATCATCAAAAATTTTTACAGCTGTTATGTTTGTTTTAATTTGATTTGCACTTCTGGAGCTTATTAATTTTCACTTCTTGAGATGATTTATTATGTTATATAATAGTTTCAATTATATAGTAAAAGTACCCACAGTCCAGCTGTAAAAGTCTTGTTATTTCAAATATGTGATGATATTAGACCCTTTAAATGGTATCAAAAATCTATCTAAATAAAATCTGAATTATTATTATTATAATTTGATCTCTTGTTACTGTTACTATTAGAACCACATATAAAAAATTTTTGAAAATAATTTTTTTTTTGTTTTAAATTAAATAAAGTTCTTCTTAATTTTAACATTGATCTATATTGTTTAAATTGTGATGATGGATCATTAAACATTTTTGTTATGAATTTGAGTAGTTATGAGTAGAATAAGTTGTTGATCATCATTAGAAAATTGTAATAGTGGGAATTTGTTTGTTATATATTTCATCAACTTGCTTTCTTCAGGGACCTTATTAATATTAATATAATATCCCTTATTTAAATTATAGATGCAAATTCATGCAACAACTTTATTCTAACAATTTTTCACTTTTAGTTGTCACCTTATAAATACTAGTTGCTTGAGGAAAACATGGTCTTTTGTATTTTCTATTTGAGCTTTATTTAAGTTCATAATTAGATTTTTTAGAATCCAGCTGTAAAAGATATGCAAGTTACATTGTAAAATTTTTCGACTCAGTTAGCAAGTCTAAAATGTGGACATGATGAGTAGTTCAAATAATCCCATTGAAGTCTTTAGTTAACTTAGTCTGAATACTAAGTCTTGTAATACTAATGTTGGGGAGTAAAGAAGAAAATTTGTGGTGAAAAGATTTGAGTTTTTGCAGCCAAATTTTGTAAATTTTACAACCGAGTTCAAAACAATCTATACAAAACAGAATTGATACAATGTGCAAACTCACAAAAGTTTGCAACAAAATTATTCATTTTAATAGATTTAAGAATTACCAACCATTATCTCCAAAAGCTCGTCAGATAAAAATGACGACACATACAAAGTAAATTGAGGAGTCCAAGACAAATTCAAAATTTAAATTATAAGCTTTTTCGCTAACTGTAACATGAAGATTTTTCAAACGTTATAGTATAATATTTTTCGACATTAACGTTCAAAGAGGAGCAATTAAATAGATTCAAATTCTGTTATAAATCTTAGCTGGTAAATTTGGAAGTTTACGAAGTTCAATGAAGGTACTATGAAAAAAATCTAACCGTGCTAGTATAATATCATTTGAGCCGTCCCACTCTAACAGTCCAAATAATTAATAATTTTTGTGCTCGCTCGGTTAACTCATCTCATCATAAATAATTGGTACTAAAACGGACTATCTCATTCCAAATTTCTAGCTGGAAATTCGACCTAATTTAGAAATTAAGTCAGTTTGCAGATTAAGTATGTATTAGCAAACCAAATTATTTTCAAAATGAAAACAAAAACAAATGAAAAGTAACTGAATGTTGATAGAGATTTGATAAGAACTAATCTACAATGGTTTGATTAATGATTTTTAGGATTTTTGTAAGTTTTTTGTATATTTGTAAAATTAATTAATTATATATATAGTATAGTAATAGTAAAAGTGTAAAATAAAGCTGGATTGGAAAACAAATTAATAACGATAAAGATTTTAAAATTTCAAAATAAAGAAATTCCCCAATTCCTTTAATTGAAACGTAAATCTAAAAAGCATCATCAAATCATAAAATTTGCCTCCAATAACCAACTAAGTTATTCACTAATATTCTCTAAGTAAAATAAAAAAAACAAGTAATAATGATTAATAAAAAATTAATGATTAAATTTAAAAATATAACTCATAATTTGATAAAAATTTAAATTTCTTCTTCAACGATTGTAGAAAATCCAAAAAAAAAAAATGTAAAAAAAATTCTGATTCATAACTTTGATTGTTGTTGTAGATGATAAAAACTAACTTTCCCCAAAGTAGTTTTTTGTTTGATTGTTTGATTGTTGATATTGTTTGATTTAATTATCAATGGAAAATGTAATATCGAAAATAGTGATTCCCCAATCACTTTAACTTTCAAAAAACAAATTCAGTTGATATTGATAATGATAATAATAATAATAATAATAAAGGTTGTAAACTGTATTCATTTGGTTTGATAATAATATTTATAAAACTCTGAAAATAATAATAATAATAATATGAATAATTTGAATATAAAAACATAATAATAAAACACACACTTATAAAACTAACATTCATCAGAATGTAGTATTTGATATTAAATAAGATAAAAAAAAAACTTGATATTATAGGATTTTGTTGATAAAAAAAATGGATTGGATATCAATGGAATACAAAAAAATTTGAAAACTAAGTAAACATGGTAAAACTCTCTGGAAAAAGAATTGAATGATCAATCATTTCAATCAATCAATCTTTAACCTCTATAACTTGATTTTGAAACCATTTCCTAAACTTAAAATCTTTGATTTGATTTCTTTGATCTAATTTTTTTATGAATTAAAAGACCAATAATTAAAACTGCTGCAACAAAAATTAAACAGAAAACTAAAATAACACCAGCTGGAAACATCTTTTATGTTAATGATTGAATTGATGGTTATTTTTGAATTAGCTTTCCTTTTCTTTGAATTTTAAAACAAAACTTGAAAATAAGAAGAAGAAGAAGAAAAAAAGAAGAGAATAATCTTTAGTATATAAATTGTCGATTATTTATTATTTTATTATTTATTTATTTATTATAAAAATTAAGATGAATAAATTTTAATTGAGTGATTTTTTGAGAATTAGAGTAATTGGTAGTAACTACATGCTTGTATATTAGTACTGTATATAGAGACTAATATTTTTCTATTTGTTGATAAATTACCTCAAATGAATTTGTATGGTACAAAAATAAAGAATTCTATTATATAAAATACATCCATAACTACATACTTTAAGTCAAACTCAAGTTATTATGCTTCAAGTCAGATACATACATAGAGAAATACACAAAATCTTAATAACAGAAACAGATTGAGATGGTTATATAAATTTCGTAAGCCGCTTAATCTCACATTTCATTTCGTACCATATTCTATCCTAGGGCTACTTCCAACGATTATATGTCATAACTCACTAAGTAATTCTTAAATTAAATACTAACTCAATCTTTTATGACAAATTAATCCCTTAGACCATATACCTTCAATTAATCTTGATGTATCCGTGTATAATGGTTCCTTAGTTCACTATTGTAAATGCATGAAAAATAAAAATAAATTAATATCTCCGATATTCAACCAATTAAATCTCATTGAAATGACAAAAAAAAAAAAAGATCCAGGTTAATTAATAATCCAAAAAAAGGGCTTTAATTTTCAGTGTAGATCATCGAATTTGTCTAATTTTTATTATCTTACGTACGTAAGTAGAGAGGATACATCCTTGAAGAAATTTTGATCCGAATTGAACCATACTGTAGCATGAAAATGAGGGTCATAATATGAAGTTAAGTGTAAGATTTTCCTCTTAGTTGAACCCAAAAATCTCAAACATATTTTAAATCCGATCAGCCATTCCAACTAAAATCAAAAGTTACATAAATTAAGTTACTGAAACAATAATACGGTATTATGCAAATATAATAGTGATACAAATTTGACACAGTTATTTAGGTAACTGAAGTGAAAAAAGTTTTATATCAACGGCTATTACGGACTAATAAAACAAAAGTTTCAAACAAAAAAAAAAAAAAAGGACGTTTTGTGGAACCATTCGGTACGAAATCTAGTGACATATATCAGTTCGGAAAAATTTCTATAAAATATTTGGAGGATCAAAAAACGATAGAACGTCTGGGTCAGATTTTTAATAATAATTTGAGACAAAATTTGATTAAGCTTAGTAAGAATTTAATGGTCTCTATTTAGCAGTGAGTAAATCCAAATCTTTGATTTTGAATACTCTCGATAATTTTAAAAATTGTCATGAACTAAGTCTGTGATCATGAGTACTTAACTCTAAGAAAGTAGCTATTGATTTTTCCTAAGAATATTTCCTGATTTAATTGTTTACCAAAGTCCAAATCAAGTATCTTCAATCAAATATATATCTTCAGGGTACATAAATCAAATATTCAAACCATATCGAAGATCTATAGTCTACTTATTAATTTTAAATTGGTTGTAATCAAAATTCATCGGTTATAAAATTGAAAAGAAAATGTATTAGGCCAAAGACCGGAAAAATTTAAGTTTGATTGAAATCGGTTGACAAAAATAATTAGATAATAATCAAGTGCTTAATACCATATATTAACGAGATTTAGAATTCTGTAGCCTAGCATCTAGTAACAATTTTTGTACCTGAAGATTAAACTCCGGTCAAACTTCATTCAGTTATTACTTATTCCCTTTTTCAAACAACTTATTTAAAAGCATTGAAAGAATCTCTAAACATTTATACATTATTTGCCTCACGTGATAAGATTTCAACTTATCAAAATGAAAAATAGCTTCCCAAAACCGTTAAATTTACAAATTACAGCAAATTTATTCATACAAATACCTTTCAAAATTACTTGAATAATAAGTTAATGTTGTCCTCATTGTACTTTTATCAAGTTTGAAAATTTATGTTTGACTGGGACAAAAATTGTAAATTCGCTGCTTTTTTGGATGCAGAAACGAAATGAAAATGAATGAAATACGAAATAAAAATTAAGAAAGCCGATAAACACATTTTTTATGGATTCAAAAACATGCGATGACTTTGTATCTTACTCAAAGTAGTCATTATGGTTCGCAAACAGGAAAGGCTCATCGATTGACGAAGTGAAATCTTTTCAAATATATTTAAGAAGTTCGTAAAGTTCGCAAAAGATCAAAAAATCTATACATAAAAGTTCATTTAAAAAATTAGAATTTGAAAATATTCATTGAATTATCTAATCTAAATCCTATACAACAAAGAGTTACTTAGCGTAACCTTTGATAAAGTTTTCTATCCATATTTTAAGTTTTAAAAAAACATTCACTCTAGCACTTCAAGATATGTAAGTTTTGTAGTTATATTAACACAAACAATTGAAAATTGAGCTCTGAATGATCTATCGAAGTAACAGCAATACTAATGAATGTTTGAAATTTTTAATAAATCTTAGGATTAGTGATAATCAGATTATTGAACATGATGGTATTTCCAAAAACTTGTTAAAAAAAAAAAAAAAAATTGGTCTATAATTATCTATGATTCATAGCGTCATTAAAAACATATTTTTTTCATAAGTGTAACAAGGTATGGTAAAGTGAGTTAAATTCATCAATTCATTAATTCATTGGAATCTCTCATGAGATGGTTATGCCGTCGTCGTCGTCGTCGTCGTTTTGTTGTAGTAGTTGTTATCGTATCTAATTTAATAATGTCTATGAAAGATGGATATGATGATTGATTTGAATTAGGATAAACCATTAATTTATCTAATTCTGGTATTGATGGTGGAAACAACCGCTGTAAAGTTTGACTAAATTGTATTAAATTAACAACATCCTGCCTAGCAACAGTAGTATAATGACGATTTTGATGATGACTATGGTTTGAATTATATCTTAATTCATTTTGATATAATCTTGAATTTGGAGGTTCTCGATATAATAATGTCTTTTTCATTGATGATGAAGGAGGAGCAGATGATGGATGAGTTGTTGATGATGATGAAGAAGAAGAAGATTGTGATTGTGATGATGATGGTTGTGGTTGTGAAACAGGAGGTGGTGGAGGTTGTAATATTTCAAAATCAGTAGTAACATAAGTTGAATCTGTAGCAGTAGAAGCTGATAAATCTTTTACAATTGTATTTGCTTTAACTTCATCAATTGTTGGTTTTTTAACAGAAACAGTTTTCTTTTTCTTTTTATATTCCACTAAAGGTTTAGTTTCTAAATCATAATCCTTAACTTTTGATTTCTTAACTCTAGATGAAGTAGAAGATGATGAAGATTTTGATTTAAATTTTTTATCATTTCTAATTTCTTCTTTTATAATATCATCTTCATTATTTTTTTGAATAGTTTTTAAATAATTTTTTAAATTAATTTTCCATTCATCTTTATTTATTGAAGTTTGTAATTTAATTTTAGCAACTTTTGAATTATTATTTAAACCTTTATTTAAATTATAAATTATTGGTTTTCTTTGTTTATATTTTGTTGTTCTTAAAGTTAATTTTTTTGGGTTACAATTTAAAATTTCTCCATTTTCTGTTTTTCTTAATAATTCATGAATATTTAATGATTCACCTGATGGTATTGCAGTTGGATGAGAAGGAGTTATACAATCTAAAGTAACTTCTTTTCTTAAAATTTTATCAATATCAACTTCTGAAAAAAATGCACAAGATTGTGGTAATTCTTTTATACCTAATTGTTCACAAAACATTGCTCTTGTCCAAAGATTACTTATTTGTAATAATAAACATGCTAAATATTTATCTTTTTCTTTTACTAAATATCTTAATTCATCATGTACAGTTATTGATAATCTTGCATCAATATTATATTTTTCAATTAAATATTCCATTGATATAATTAAAAGATGTAAATAATCAACTCCTGAACTTTGTATAGTCCAATTTATTCTACTTGTCATATAAGTATTTTTATTTAAATTTTTTGCATTAAGAGCATCTGTTATTGAAGCACCTAATACTGGAGTTTTGGGTTCAGATTCTTTTGCTATTGATTCTAATGCATTAAAAATTATTGATTCACTACCACCATAATACATTCTTGGAGATCCCTTTAAAGATTTTGAAATTTGAATGTTTCCCTTTGTTTTTTCATATAATGTTTTTGCAATTTTATTAGCTTCATCATCTGATAAATTAGGATTACATTGTTTTAATAAAGTTGTTGCAAATTTTACACCTGCTCCATAAATTCTACCATAATTAAAAACTTTTGCATCATTTCTTGAAATATTTAAAATTTGTGCTGTTTTGGAATGTAAATCTGTTTTTTGAGATTTTTCACCTTCTAATGTCATCCAACCTAATGCTGATCCTCCATGAATTTCAAACATTGAATCTCCAACTAATGATGCTATCCATAATTCTTCTGAATCAACATCTGCTCCAATAAAACAATACCCCTCGGGGGCTTCAATTAATGATTTTAATTCTGATCCAATTCTATTCTTTTTCGCATTTGAAGCAGTTAACCAAGTTGATTCAGTAGCTCTTCTTGTTATAGTACCCATTGAAGCTAAATTGGGGATAATAATACCAACATCTTTATGATTTTGAGCTTCTTTTTTAGTATCAAAAAATTTATTCTTTTTTTCATCATTATATACAATAAATTGATCCAAAATTCTATTTCTATTACCCATCCAATAGGATGCTTCATTATTTAATTTTAAAATTTTTTGTGCATATTCATATTCTGAAGTTAATGTTGAATCTTCAAAATATCTTAAATAATTTTTTGATAACACTATGGTACATCTTTTATTTGGTCCATCTGGATGTGGTACTTTAAATAAAACATATGATTTACCTTTTTCATTTAAAAGATCATGATACAACTCAATTTCTTCAGGAGTTAATTTTGCTTGTCTATAATTCCTATTTTTTAAATCTTCTATAGTTTCTTCTTTATATGGAACTTTAAAACACCAACCTTCTGAATTTGTCCAAAATAATGGATAACCTTCCCATTTTAATTTTAATAATAATGGTGTAATTCTTGATTTTAATGTTAAATTCATTTCAGTTCCAGCTGGTGATATTGAACCCCATAATTCTCTATACCATTCAGGATAACCAGTTAAATAAGCACTATTTTTATATGGAGTACCATCTTTTCTATATCTACCTTCTTTTAAGGTCCAATTTAATTGATTTAACCAAGGATCTTTTTTATATTTTGTTGGGACTTTTTTATCTTTTATAGTTTCAATTAAATCATTAGCTAATTTTTCTAATGTATCAGTAACATCAGTTCTATTTTTTTCATAACAGGATTCAGCTGATTCAATATATTTTTCCCATTTTTTTGTTGTTGGTAATATTAATGAACCAAGATGTTTTAAAGCAGCAAATGATACAGGATGTGGGATTTTTGTAAAAAATTCAGGAAATAAATGTTGAGTAACTTTATAAGTAGCATCAACATCTTTTGCACAATAAGTCATTAACATTTGAAAATTTTCAATTATTAATTTTGGATCTTCAGAAGCAAAATATTCTCTATCAGATTTATCTAATTCAATATTACAATGAAATTTAGCAACATTAGCTAAAGAATTTGGTGAACCAGTTAATAACCAAGGATCTTCTTCAATTGAGATTTCATTTGAGGCATTTTGAATGACCATATCATCATCATTTATTATTTCTTCACTAGCTTTCTTTGATTTATTAAATTTTTGCCACATTGGTCTTTGTCTTGAACATATACCACTAGTTGCAACATGTAATGACATTCCATCTAAATAAAAAGCTTTAGATGGTTTTAAATTATATTCTTCTAAAATTCTAGCTCTATCATAACTTATATTATATCCAATAATTAATTTTGGTTGTTTTGAACAATTCATTGGTATTAGATGATTCCAATCTTTTTTTTTTCTACTTTTATTTTTTATATCAATTAAAGTTGGTGAAACCCATCCATACCATGCTTTTGATGATGCACAAGTTGCCATTATTGGGAATTTTGTAATTTTATATAATACTTCAACATCAAATACTAATTCATCTTCTAATGGGAATGGAACAGTTTCTGGTTTTTTACCTTCTTCATATCTTGTCCAACCAGATTGAAAACTCCATTCTTTAGGTTGTTCTGGTAGCTTGTTATTTTTATCTAAAAATGTTTTAGCCATTGATAAATAAGGTTCTGAAGATTTTTGTCCTAATTTATAAAAATGTTCATCTAATGATTTACCAACTAAATCAGGTAAATGATTTATATTTATTGGTTCAGTAATTTGAGTTTTTTTACCTAATAATTCATTATCTTTTAAATGTTTTTTAGAAATTTCAATTAAATCGGGATGTTTTGGTTTTAAATAATCAGTAGTTTTTGATGATGGAAAAACTTTATTATGTAATTGATTTGATAAATATTGAATACCAACTTGATTGATTCTGGGTTCTTCGTTGAATTGTTCTTGTAGTAGTGAATGTGATGGTGTTTGTGTATGTGGTTGCTGTTGTGATGGTTGATGCTGTAGTAATCTATATGATTTATGATATGACCTTCGAGGTAGATATGATTTTATAATTGACTTTTTAGGTAGTCGATTAATCATGATTTGGGTTATGTGATTGTTTGTATGTCAAGTGATAGCTATATTGTCATTGGAATGCTACTATGTATTGGATCTTTGAATTGATTAGTTTGATTGTTTGTTGATATGGGTCTGATGATAAGATAATACTTCTAATCAAAGTGGTTGTAAAAATAGATTGATAGAGACAAAACAAAGAGAGAGAAAGAAAAGAAAGATCTTAGATCGGAATATGGTAGCCTTCATTTGTTTACAATTTAAACTTATATAAGAACAACAACAACAATTTTAAAAATCCACCAGAAGCAAAACAAAACATTTTAAGGTTACGTGACTTCACTAAAATAGAGAAGAAAATCAAAAAAGAAGTTTGAATTCAATGACATCTGTTTTGAAGTATAACTCGAGTTTAAAGTATTGTCTTACTTTTTTTGGTCATAATAAAAACATTGAAAAAAACCACAGTTGTTTCCTTTTTAGTAAAAAAAAATAATAAAATGGCTAAAACACATCAAAACTATGAAATCACAACAAATTTGTTGAATTTGTAGGAAATTTATGGGGAAAACGTTGGGAGAGATAGAATCTCAAAGATCGGCCGGCTCATTGGGTTTTTTCGATCAATTTTTATTCTACCTAAAAGAAGTTTAATTCGAATATTCGTAGTAAAGTAATGATATAGCAATTAAGTAGCTGCAAAAAAACTTTAAAGAGTTAATTATTAACAAGATGTATACTAAGATAAGACTACAAGATAGGACCAAGACGAATTAATCTTCCTGAAAAGCTGGACACTCTTAGGCATTAGTTGGTCTTGTAACCACGTAAGAACTTCTTAACTACTACATACTTGTAATATACTCTTCATCTTAGATGTAATGGATATTTTTTTACTTCCTCTTTTGCTATGCTACTATTTCTAATACAAATTTCAAAGTCAAAACAAATCAGAACAGAAAAAAAAATCAAAAGCAAAACATTTAAAAAAAAAAAACCTTCCTTCATTTTCTTTTTTACAATCAATTAGAATAGAAGAGTCAATTCAATTTGAACAAACCCATAGAATCGTATCAATTGAGTTAACAGTTTAAAATTCAAACCAATAACAATATTCAATTTCCATTCAAAAAGAAGAAGAAAGAATGTCAGAATTTTCAAAATTTAAAAAGGGAGATTTAGTTGGTGTTTTAAAAAAAGTTGGAGTTCGTGTAAATTCAAAAGATAATAAAAAGACATTAATTGAAAAAGTTGAATTATATGTTTCAACTAATCCAAGTTTAAAAACTAGTGTTTTAAAATTTTTAAATGATACTAGTTCTTCAAGTCAAGCTGATGAAGAAGAAATTACTGTAATTGAAGGTGAAGGAGCAGCAGATGAAGAGGAAGATAGTGATGAAGATGATGAAGATGATGATGATGATGAAGAAGATGATGAACTTATTATTGAAGAAGAAGAATTAATTGAAGAAGATGAAGAAGAAGATAAAGATTATCAAGCTCCTCCTCCATTAAATTTAAAAGAATATATTTTAGATCCAATAATTGCAAAAAGTGAAGATGCAATTGATAAATTTTATGAATTTACTGATTCAATTGGTATAACATATTTAGAAACAAGTGAAAAATTAAGAGATCAATTATCTTCAACAGTTACATTAAATTTTTTAGAATTAATTTTTGAATTTTTAATTTATTTATATAGTTTTACTGAAATTGTTCCATTAAATAAGAATAAATTAATTCATCAATTTTTTCATGATAATTTACCTTGGTTACAAGATTCAAATTTCCCAACTATTGAAATTTCAGGATTATTTGAATATAAATCAATTGTAATTGGAATATTTTGGATTATATTTGCAATAATTTTCCCATCAATAATATCATATTTTATAAATTTTACTTCAAGAGTTATTGAAATTGAAGATGATGAATATTTATTTAGAATTTATTCATTTGATCCTTTTATTTTTGCTATATCAAAAATTTTAATTTATTATTTTATTGGTCAAAGTAATCTTTTGGAATTTTCAAATCAAATTAATTGGTTTTCTGGTTTAAAAAATAATTTATTAATTAATTTAGGATTGTATCATACTTTTGCTTCAACTTTAGGTACTTTACCTTATATTTTGGGTGGTGTAAATGTTTTAATTGCTTTATATTCACAATTTGAAGAATATTAATCCACTCCAAAACCTTGATTCAAATCAAGAGGTAAAAATCAAATAATTCTTTTGTCTTTTGGTTTAACTCAAGAGAAGAAGTAAAAGAGTATTATCAGTACCACCACCTACACACTACAAATTACAAATCAAGACAATTACATACATCAATTGTCTGATCAGAAAAAATCTTACAACGAATCCAAACTGTTTTTTATCTTAATTGTTTTAACACCTTTTTCTTTTTTTTAGTTTGTTGAAATTTTGTATTATTATTTAATATTAAAGAATAAAAATTTAACTAGTTCCTTTTAAGTAATTTATCTTATCTTAAGTAAGGCTGAACACTCTTGCAAGTGCTGCTTGTCTCTACTTTATTGGCCATTTAGTTTTTATACCCATTAATTCTAAATCATTCATCATTTCATTTGTACTTGCCATTTGTGGTCCAATAAATTGTTTATTTATTTTAGCTAATAATGCAGCTTCTGAATATTTTGTTTCTAGACTATTATCCTTGTTGAATCTATCATTAAAATTAATTGTATTAGCTGCAGTGATATTAGATGATCCATTTCTATCTGATCCACTTGCTGTTCCACCATTATTTTGTTGAGTCGAAGTTTGTGGTGGATTTGCAGCTCTTCTACCTCTTCTTTTTGGAGTTGGTTTTTCATTAATATTTACTGTTTTGGAATTTTTATCACTTACATTTGTATCTGAACCAGAAGTCATCATTTTATCATATATTGAATTTGCAAATATTGCATGTTTTCTTGAATTTTTTAAATTTGATGAACCCAGTAAAGTTGATCCAGGTTTTAAATTTTTTGGTAAATCATTTGTTATTATATCAAATTCTTCTTTACTTATTAATGGCATAAAATCATGAACTATTGGATTTTTTGAATCTGATGATATATTTAATAATTCAGTTATTAATTTATTGTTGTTATTCAACTCAGATTGATTATTTAGGTCTAGATCCAATAGTTCATTATCATTTGCTATACCATTAAATAATCTTGATGATTCTTTACTAGTAATATCAAATATACTTGATTCTTCTTCATCTCCTTCTTCACCATCATTTCCTTTTTCTTCTAATAATTCTTTAAACAAATCCCGTTGATATTCAAAAAAATTCTTCAATTTCTCCAATTTATTTAAAAATAAAGAATTTAATTGTTTATAAATATTATTTGAATCTTCATAAAATAATAAAGAATTTTTTAATAATTCATATTTTTCAAAAATTTTTAATTTTACTAATTCATAATCTCTTTTAATTTCAAAATTTTTATTTAATTCCAGTAGCTCTGAATCATTAATTTTTGAATTTATAAATTTTATCTTACTGCTTTTTAAATTTTTTAATCTTTCTAATAATTGATATTTTTGAAATTTGTATATTTCTGATTTATTTTCTTCTTCATATTCTTCAAGATTTTCTAATTGTGATCTTAAATTTTTTCTTCTTCTTTCTTTAAATGATCCTGTTGCATTTGCAACATCTTTTGTTTGTGATAGTACTTTTGTTCTATCTATTCTTTTAAATGAATAATCAACATGACGTGGATATGAATAAATATTTTTATATAAATTTTGAGTTGGAATTTTACCTGATGAAGAAGTTGATTTAACATTACTTATTGTTCTATTAATTTTTTCAAATTTTGGATCTCTATATATTTGATCTTGTTTTTCCAAAGGCCATTGTGATTTATAAGGATCTTCATAAATTTTAGTATCAATATTTTGATAATATTTCATTCTATCATCTAATTTTTGTTGCTTTGTTGAATCATCAGTTTCATCACCACTTAATAAAATTTCTTCATTTCTTCTATTGTTTGCTTCCCATTTTTTACTCATTGCTTCAAATATATCTATTGTTAATCCTTCTTCTATAGCTTCTTTTCTTAAATCAAATAATGAACCTGCTGCACTTGCTATAACCATATCAACTCTTGGAATTTCTTCATTTGCTTCTATAAATGATGCAAATACTTCTTCTGGAACTAATGCTGATTTATCTGCTATTAATGGATATTGCATATAATGTTTTGGTGGGAAAGGTAATGGTGGTGCTTGAACATATAATTTTCTAGATTGTTTTGTACTTTTTGGTTTTTTTGGTAAAAGGGATAAATTGTTTGGTGGTTCATCGCTGACTGGTGTTTCTGAATTATAATCAGTATCTTCTTCTCTTTCCTTTTCAAATTCATCATCATCATCATCAAAAGCTTCATAATCATCGTCGTCTTCATCTTCTTCATCTTCGTCTTCATCAAAATCCTCATCATTAATTAATCTTCCCGATTCGCTTCGTTTATATCCAAGCTTTTTTCGAAATGAAGCTATTGAAAATGGTAATTTATCTAAATCAATAATTGGAGGAGGTGGATAAATAAAAGGAATCATTATACCACCTTTTTCATCATCACTTAATTCTTCATTATCTGATTGAATTGGTTGGATTGGAGGAATTGGTGGAGGAAATTTTTCAATTATTCCTTGTATTTGATTTTGTATATTTTTGTCACTTAAATCTGTTGTTATATCTGTGAAAAAATCAGAAGTTATTGATGGAGGATGAATTATTGGTATTATATTTGGAGGAACTGAATTTAATAATGTTGAAGTTTTTTCATTGATTGTTGTTGGTTTTTTTGGTATAGTTGATGTTATTGATAGTCTCCTTTTCTTTGTAGGTGGATTGAATATTTCCGCTAGTTGTTCTCTTGTTGGTATTTCATTAGGTCTTTTGAATGTTGATATATTTGAATGATCCATTTTTTAATTTTATAATTTGGCTGCAACGAGAAAAATTGAGGGAATATATTGGAATAAATCTTGATGGCTAGCGTTGAATGGATGTATAATCAGTTTGTAAATGCAATGTAAAGGTTGGATGGTTAAATGAAGATATTTGATCCCTGAGTTCGTGATATAATGGTAATATGATTTTAACAATCCAAATGATAAACTTGTTGCCAAAAAAAGTGAAACAAAAAATTCGTTAGAAAAAAAAAATTAAAAAATTTGATTTTATTTTCTCTTTATAGATTAAACTTCGTCTATATTGATATAAGAAATTGTAAAAGTAGAGTAAATACATTAAGTTTAGGGTCATAAGCTCAGCAATTAATTGACAGGGCTATTGAATTGAAGCTAAGTTTAAAAAATACCCTCAAACTCATTTGTAATTGGGGTGGAAATAAAGAACTCGACTAAACATATCCGCATTAATTTGTCTGATCTTATATATATTGGGCGTCCACCAAAAAAAAATCTCAATACGAACAAATCATTTGAGATGTGCCAGCCAGGTATTTTCAAGATATCATAGTATAAACCTACAACTTTAATCACTTTCAAATGTACACTAAAGAACATACGATATTAAATATAGTTGCAAAACATAATCAGTAGCAAATATACAAACATTGTTTTTGTGTGACATTTGTATTAATCAATATGTTTAGTTAAGATAGGAGTAACTACAATCCATTTGCTTGAATGTGGTAGTTGTAGTCAATCAATTCAATGGATTAGAGGTGCTAAGTATTCAGTCCCCTGCAGCCGTGTCGAACTTCCAATTGGAGTTGGATTGAGTACAAAAAACCCTATAGATAATACATTAATACCTATTGCGAGACTTTTAAATTATTGAAATTAAAAATCTAAGATTTCTCATATAATCTAACTTCTAAATCGGTATCACCATATTTATATCTTGGCTGATAATCCAATGTCATGATTGTTCATTCTTTGTATTTTATTCCACAACTCTAGTAAAAATTCATGTTGTAATATAATTTTCATTGTTTATTTTCTAGTTATTACAAGTACTTAACCTTACTCCTAATAAAAAATCAAATTTCAAAATTCCATAAAAAAAAAATTAAAGTCGAAAAAATTAATGAAATTAAAAACAACAACAAATTCAACAACATTAATATACAATTCATTCAATTAAATTCACGACATTAATCTATCTTACAAACGTATCACTATCAATTTTAATACTGAACAATCGATTTAACAACTCGAAACAACTGATCAATACACGTCACGTTTCAAAAATGGCTCCAAAATCATCAACTTCATCAGGGCCATATAAAGACAAAGAAAAAGTTTATTCAAAAATGGCAAGTTATCCATGGTGGCCAGGATTTATAACACCAGAAGAATATATTCCAAAACAAGTTAAAAAATCAAAAAAGAAAAATACACCATATTGTGTTATATTTATACCTGATGGTGATTTTTATTGGGCAACAGAAAAAGGTTTAAAAAAATTTAAAGATGGTCCACCACCAACAACTACAAATACAAGTTCCAAAAAGTCAAATAAAAATAATAAAGTGAATAATAATTCAAATAATCTTGAAGATTTTAAAGATTTAAAATTTTTAAAAAAAAGATTAAGACCTAAAACTAGTAATGCTGATATTTCTGAAGCTAATGTTGCTGCAGAAAATTTAAATTTTGATGAATTTATTAAAATATTTCAATCTGGTGATGATGATAATGAATTGGATGCAGTGAATGAACCACCCGCTGGTGAAGCACCTGTTGAAGAAGAAAATAATGAGGAGGAAGAAAAAGGAGAAGAAGATGGAAATGAACAAGATGGAGAAAATGATGAAAACGATGATAAAGAAGAAGATACAAAACTTACTTCGAGAGCAACTAGATCAAGAAGGCAATCACCTTCAAAAACTACTACATCTACTAAAGCAACACCCACACAATCTAAACGAAAATCACCGACGAATATAGAAAAAATCAGTAAGAAACCTAAATTAGAAGAAATAGAATCAAAATCAGTTGATGAAGAAACAGCTCAACCAGCTACAAAAGAAGAAGATAAATATCAACAATTATATTTTTGTAGAATTAAGCTACAACGTTCATTAATTCAAAGAACTTCCCCCACAGATTCTTCAACAAAAAAGGAATCTTCACCCACAGCAGATGAATTATCAATGGCAAGATTAATATTACATAGATTAACTAATTTTCCCGTAACAAAAGAATTATTAAAATCAACAAAAATTCATAAAGTTTTAAAAGCAATTATAAAAGATCCAACATTAGAATTACCTGAGAGTTTTAAATTACATGAAAGATCAAGAGAAATATTACAGTCTTGGGATCCAATTATACGAGATTTATTATCGGAAAAGGGAGATTCAAATGATTCAAATGGTCAAGAAAATAATAATAATGGGAAGACGGAAAAAAATTCAAAACTTTTATCTATAAAAAATAATAATGGGGCTAATGGTGCTAATGATGAAAGTGAATTTAGTGGAGTTGAACAATCTTTACATGATATTGATGATGAAGATGGTAACAAAGAAGAATCTGATGAAAAATCTGATGAAAAATTAAAAAAAGATTCTAATGATGAACCAAAAGTGGAAAACTCGAAAGAAAGAGAGGTTGGAGATGACAATGAAGCAACCAAAGAAAATGAGAAAAATGAAGAAGAAGAACCAGCTAAAGAGGAAGAGAAATCAAAAGTTGAGTAGTCGATTTGCTTAAACGGGTTATTAACTTTGTAAATGATTTGTTAACTTGAAAAAGTTATCAATATATACTTATTGTATACTGTATTATTATTACTTAATTAATGAAATTTATCAATTAAATTCCATTTTCTACAAATCTTATTCTAATATAATCTTTTGTAACAAAACAAAAAAAGACTAGTTATTATATTATAATTTAAATATGTAAAAACCTAAAACTAATATACATCCATATTATATTATTTTCAATAGACATTTTAATTAGATCTTAAGCTTTTGGAGCATCTTTGAATGAAATAGCAGCTTCTTCACCCATAGCACTAATAATTGAAATAATTAAATCTTTACCTTCATCAAATTCAGATTGAATTTTATCACCTAATTCACCATCTGGAACTTTAACATCATCTTTAGTATCACCATCTGGAGTCATTAATGATAAAAATCCATCATCAATATCTAATAATTGATATTCTTGTCTTCTAACATTTGGAACTTCCATATTATGAGTTGATGGTGATAAATCTTCTAATTTTTTACCAGTGAAAATATCAATAGCAACTAAATGAACTTTAGCATGACCATGTTTACCAGTTTTAGAAGTTGACATATCAACAATTTTACATGGTCTACCTTTAATAACAACATGTCCATTTTTTCTTAATGCGGAACATTGCATTGGAAAAGTTAAGGCAGCACCAGCATCAGCTGTTTCGAAAGTATGCTAATAAGGAGTTAGTAATTTGATTTATTAAATGTTTCATTGCAAATCTTGGGGTTTTGATCTCGTGATGCTTAATTCGATGAATCGTTGATGCACCATGAAAATAGTTTCTTGAATATATCTCTGGCATTCAAGCTGTAACGTGTAACTCCTTGAGAGTGGACGTGATTCATTATTAATCATAAGTTGTAAAGTTCGTGAAGTTATTATAATTCAGCAACGGAATTGGTTTTCAATTGACATGATTTAATATTGAATTTACCCCATGATATCTTTCTCTTTAAACATCATCGTATCACCCCCACTTGCTTAATAATGACCCATCAGTGACAAAAACATACATCTTCTTCAGCCATATTGTTTAATCAATATCTAATTTAAAAGTTTAATGTAGAAATGGAAGAAAAAAAAAAAAATTTAAAATTAGTTTTATTAAGATTTTTAAAAAGTGGTGAAGAATTCTATCTCTTTTGAAAAATTTTTTCTTTTCTTTAGTGTAGTAGTAGAGATGTCGTTGACGATTTTTTTGTGTCGTTTTTCTAATTGAATATGGAGTTAATGTATTGTTGTATGGATGTTAGATCAGATCAGATCCTAATAGATTTTAGTGATACGTTGTTAAGTTCATCAAACTATTAGATAGACTAAGTTCTATAGAGAGCATGTGTCTATTGAGATAGTTGTATATTGATCAATAGGAGAGTGATTTAGTTTTATGTCGTAAACTACAGCTTGGCTTGATGAATTGGCAACAATTCGCCTCATTTTTTGCAATGAAAAAAACTAAAGTTAGCTGCAAATTATTGTACATATTTATATTCAAATCAATCACCAAACTTAATAAAAGTTCATCAGATAGCATAAATACAAGCAGAATAGCTATATTTAAATAGTTAAGTTACTTTTCAACTAATTTTGGTGCTCAATTACTTAAGTGATACATGGTTAATCTCGTTAGGTTTTCACTTCTCTACAATTCCTATGGGATCGAAGCTTACCTTCCAAAGCAAAATAGAACATTGGTGAAAAACTATTACATTAACGGTGGTTTAGTTTTAAAAATGATGTAAATTTTAACCATTATTTGTAAATCTGGTGATGTTATGATTTAATGTATATTACAACGCCGGAGTTATGATTCGGTGTTTGATCACTTTATCACAAATACTTCATAAACCTTTTGTCAGCCTCGAATTCAAGATTTAATTAACGCTTGATCTAACAATTGATCTAACAATTGATCTAATCTACTTATCGTTCCTTCTAATTTTTCACAACTTCCACCTCTTTAACAGAGAACTTTTGAATCGTGGGGTATAAATACATATGAGTTTTCCCAACCAACAACTAAAACAGAAGAATAGACTTGATTACCTTTGGTTTACCTCCACTCCACAAGAGTTTACTTTTCTTGATTAGTCTTCGGTTTTATCAATTGTCCCACTCAATTTTTTTGACAAGGCTGAAGGAAGTATTAACTGTTACATTTCCACCAATTCAGCTAAGTAAGAATACGAAATACTCGTCGTTTCGTAAATGGAATTCATACTTTAATTAAAGGCTATGGGTCGTTTATTCATCTAGATTTACATGGGGGTCGTACTTGTTGATCTCTTTGATCTTAAGAGATTCTGGATTTTTGTCTTCTTTTTTTCTTTCCCAGTCTAAAGTAAGTAATCGTACTTAATAATAATTAATTTATAATTACAATTTAACTCGAACTTTAATTAAAAATTATTTTTACATGAATAGTTGATCGACAACCAAGAAGGAATAGAAAGTTAGAGAAAATAAAGTAGGTCATCAGATTATTTATCAACTACAGAGATCATAAGTGATTCGTTTTTCATCATCGTCATCATTTAATAATCATCTGTAGCAATGTCTACAACTTTCACACCTGATCAATATCAGACTACAGACAATGAACCTACAGAAGCAACTGCAGTACCAAGATCTGATTCATGGCCAAGTCCAAGTACAACAATAACATCACCTTCATCAACTCATACTTCATCAAATGATAATTCATATTCATTTATTGGTAATACACCATCATCAATATTATTTTTTGTTGCATTAGCAGTTGGAGTATTTATTGGATTTTTATTTATTTATTTCACTATAAGATATTTTGTAAGATCTAAATATGGCATAGCAGTTATACCTATAGGAAGAAGAGGTATTTCAAGAATACCTGGTGGATCTGGACCTGGGTCAGGATCAGGAGGAGGAAGTGGAGGATTAAATGAACATGCATTTGCTCATATTTTTACAACTAATGAAATTCAAGAACAACTAAATCGAAATGATTATAGATATGAATTAGTTGAACAAACTTTAAGTATGAGAAATGATAGAAATAATGGTAGAAATAGAAGAAGAAGAAGAAGAAGGAAAATGAAAAAATTATCAGAAATTGAAGTTGAAAAATTATTTCCTAAAAAGACTTATTTGGATTGGTTAGAAGGTGGTAAAGAAAGAGATGTTGAACATCGAGATGGTATATTGGAAGAAGAACCTTTGCAGCAGCCACAAGAACAAGAACAAAACAATGAATCTATTAATTCTTTATATACTGCAAGAGAAGAAAATGAACAAGAAATTGAATTAAAAAATATTAAAAATAATAATATAACTTATATTGAACAAGATATAACAGATTGTAAAACAAAAAATGATGATCATAGTTTACATTTTGATTCAGGTTCTTGTGCTATATGTTTAGAAATAATTGAAAATGATGAAATTGTTCGTGGATTAATTTGTGGTCATGTATTTCATGCAATTTGTTTAGATCCTTGGTTAACAAAAAGAAGAGCTTGTTGTCCTATGTGTAAACGAGATTATAGATTTAAAAGAGATTATCATTGTAATGATAATGATGAAAATAACAATAGTAATAATAATGTTAATGATGGTAATGATTTAATTAATGATTTGACTCAAGTTGAAAGTGATAGAAGTTTAGATTTTGAAGAAATAAGAAATGATCCAGCTATTCAAGCTCTTTTACAAGATTTAATTCCAATTGATGAAAGAGTTAGAATTATTTTAAATGATGAAAATTATTCTCATTTAAATCTTGATGAAAGAGGTAAAGAAATTTCAAAAAAGAAATATGGTCATTTTTTAAAAAGATTAATGTGGAAATTTTTTGGTATTACTAAAAATGATTTATATAATTGGGCAGTAATGGAAATTGTTAAAAAATATCGTAGAGAAAATTCTGAAAATCAACAACATCAAGATAGTTCCACGGGTCAATCATCAGAACAAGAACAACAAGATGAACAACAACAGCAGTCGTCAGAATCAAATGCATCAGAACAGCAGCGTTTGGAAGTAACTCGGGAAACGGTCGAAAATAGGGTATAAGGGAAACACAATAATGAATATAGATTACTGGCTAATCTATTATTACTAATAATTAATTAATGATAACTAACTAATAATACATAACGATTCACTAGTGAACTTTAAAGTTTCAACAGTGGAGATTACTTTAAATAACGTCTTCAACAATTCTTTTTTCTCTTTAACTTTAATTCACAATGTGCCAAGCTAAAGTAATAACAGAAAGAAAAATGAAGATCAAATCTATCACTAATCTTCGTTAATACTCGATTCTTTTCATGTATTACTCTAAGTTCACACTCTTTCTCGCTTTAATTTGCAGCTAAATGTTAAACGCACATGAGATGAACATGAAATAAATCTCCACTTTTAAGATTAAACTTTAATGAGGAGAAAAGTAAGGTAGTAATCATCCAATGTATTAGTTCATAAATTTAGAATTTCACTTACAAACATCAAAGCATTCATTCATGGATTAATCTCTCAATGTAAATCTAATTATGAAATAAACAACTAGAGAATTAATGTCGTGAAACATACCAAATAAGACATTAATTAAAAAAAAGGCATTACTGCATATAGATCAAAATCAATCAAAAATTGGTCGTGTGAATAAACTCATATTGAAAATTTTTTTTTTTTACTGTCTCTTTTTTTTTCACTTTTCTAAAACTAAGAAATTGTATTGTAAAAAATTTTCTATCATACCTTCTTCAACTAACTTAGCATATACACATCAAAAGTATGTAATTAAATCAGATCCTACAGTCCTAGACAATATGAGATTTAGATGTTTTGTCTCTGAGAGGCAGCATTAATTCAAGGGGATCTTTATGAACATTTGAATATGAATACTAACTAACTTATCAGTGGCCGGTATCCAAAGAAAATACACCAAAAAATTTAAAAGACATCATTCAGATAGATACCATAGAGTATCAGAAAATTGGAGAAAACAAAAAGGTATTGATTCATGTGTTAGAAGAAGATTTAGAGGAACTATTCCACAACCAAATATTGGATATGGTACAAATAAAAAATATAAATTTCAATCACCTTCTGGATTAAAAACTTTTGTTGTTAAAAATATAAAAGATTTAGATGTTTTAATTATGCATCAAAATGAATATGCTGCTCAAATTGCTCATAATGTTAGTGCTAAAAATAGAATTGAAATTGTTGGTAAAGCTAAAAAAATTGGTGTTAAAGTTACTAATGGTAAAGCAAGAATTAATATTCAAGGTTAAATATGATTATTAAATTATAATTATTAATATACATTGTGTTTTTTTTTTTGGAAACTCAAAATTAGTTTTAAGTTTTGTATCAATGGGGATGAACTATTTGAAAGTCTTGATTCTGGATGTCATTGGGAAATCTTGGTGATTCACGACTCTAGAGTTCAACCATGTTCTGCTAAAACGATATGAAATAACTCATTTTCATCATGTCCTGTTTAGAACTCTTCTCTCTCACTTGTCATTTTAGTTTCTAGACGATGGTATTTTAACCATTATCGTTATTAGGTACTTCGCTAAATTATCTCTCTTGAAAAGATTGGATAGTTAGTGGGTACTACTACTTCAAGCAAAGACAATACGCTTTTTGGGTCAACAAAACCGATCAAGCAAACTTCACATATGCCCAAGCTTTATTATAGCAACAAGTGTGCCTTTTATTTCTTCGAAATACAATTGAATATTTAATTCTGTTATTATTATTGTAATTATAAACTTAAGAACTAAACTCTATAAAAACCTATTTAAAAATATACATTTATTCCTTTTGCTTTTGTTCATCCTCCACATTTTCTTCATTGTTTTCTTCCTCCTCATCTTCATCATCATCGTCTATAGATAATACACTAAACTGAGATACTTGTGGTCCTTTTGATTTTGAATCTTCTTCTTCCTTTTCTGCTTTTTTACTATTTGGTCTTTGTTGTTGTTGTTGTTGTCTAGATGAAGAATTCCTTGATCTTTGAGGTAATGATTGTCCTCTATTCCAATCAAATTCTTTTTCTCTAGTTGATGGAGATGATGATGATTGTGATTGATATTTATTAGTATTATTTGCGTTTTCGTCTCTTCTTCTATTTGATCTTTCTCTTGATGGTAATGTACTTGTAGTTGATCTTACAGATGACCAATCTAAATTATCTTCTTTTGGCTTATATGATGATGATGTTGATGTAGATGATTGTGTATTGTTTGTTATTGATGATGATGATGAAGAAGATATTGATCTTTGTTTTTGTGGTAATGATTGACCTCTATTCCAATCAAATTCCGGTTCTTTTGTTGGTGATGATATATTTGAAAATTCTTCTCTTCTTCTTCTTGATGGTCTATCTTCTCTTGGTCTATCTTCTCTTGGTGGTAATTGTGTTGTGGTTGATCTTGCTGCACCCCAATCTAAATCAGGTTCTTCTCTTCTTTGTCTTGGTGGTCTATCTCCTCTTTCACCTCTTTCACTTCTTTCAAAGCTTCTATCTCCTCTTTCAAAACTTTTATCTCCTCTATCTTCTCTTGGTGGTAATTGTGATGTAGTTGATCTTGCTGCTCCCCAATCTAAATTTGGTTCTTCTCTTCTTTGTCTTGGAGGTCTATCTCCTCTATCTCCTCTTTCAAAACTTCTATTATCTTCTCTTGGTGGTAATTGTGCACTTGAAGATCTAGCAGCACCCCAATCCAATTCTACTCTATTTGATCTTCCAAATCCTCCAGCTCCTTCATCTTCTCTTGGTGGTGGAGCAACATTAACAAATATTTTTCTACCTTGAAAATCAGATAATGTTAAATTTAAACTTTCTTCTAATAATTCTTTTGATTTAAAAGTAATATAACCAAAACCTTTTAATCTATTAGTTTCTCTATCTAATGGTAATTTTATATCTTCAATTATATCTTTATTTTGCATTCTATCTTCAAAAAATCGAATTAATTCTGATTCTAAAAATTCCCAAGGTAAATTTGATACTCTAATTTTAAATGGTGGAAAATCAGGTATTGGAAATTCTTTACGTTCTCTTCTTTCATATCCTCCTCCTACTCCTCCGAATCCACTATCATTTGCATCAATTGAAGTATTTGAAGTACCATATGATGTATTTGATGATGATGGTTTATCTAATGATACACCAATAGAACTCATATCAACTTCTTCATCTGCCCATGATGATCCTCCAAAAGATTCATCAGTCAAAAATGAACCTAAGTCCATTTTGACGGCCTTCTTATTACCCTTTTTAGACATGTTTTTTTGATTGTATAGTTGTTGTTTGTTAGTTTGTTTGTCTATTAAAGTTTTTATATATTTAATTTTTCGTATTTTGTTTTAAATTTGAAAATTTTTTCAGTCAGTAATTTAATTTGAAACAAAAGTAATACAAAAGAAAATTATTATGAAACGATGTCAAAAAGAGACAAATGACTTTAAATATTACGACACAGCGGATATACGTCAAAAAAATGAATTCAAAATTTGAACAAAAGTCAAAGCTATTTAATTGTTGTTGAATATCTACAAATCAAGAATATATACCATTTAACCTATCATGGCTTGATACAAGTATTTTTAAAAAGACACACCAGTTGAGTCATAACCAAAAAAAAGGGAAAAGAGTGATTATTTATAATTCTTCCTAGATTCACATTCATTCCAACAACTCAAGAATTCATGGCGAATATGTTCGGAAATAGATGATGGAAATCTAATATCTTTTACATATCATAACAAAGCATGCTTTTTGATTGAGTTTAAGAGATGGGTATAAGTAATGGAGATTTTTTTTAATATCTTTTGGTTAGAAATGAAAACCTGATTTTTGAACACGATCAAAAAGTATGTTGTACTATTATGAGATTTAAGAGATACTTAAACATGAGGACACATTTTCTACAATTCGGAGTAAATGGTATGTTCAGTATCACTTCTCTCTAATTATTTTAATATGAAATAACCTATATCATTTTATAATTCAATATCAAAATTTTAAATTTGATTGTTTCAAATGGCTAGTTATTACATTTTGCTCACAAATTTTAAGTTTTGTATAGGTAACAGGATCATCGATATATTTGGGTATACCCAAATATTTGAATCAATTGTGTAAGATTCACAGTACTTTAATCGTTTATGTACATTCAAAAGTCAAGTATTGATTGTCAGAACTTTCAATTAAGTTAATAAATCTTTTCACCTAGGAATTAAACATATCAATTAAGGTTTGACAAAAGAAAACTTTTAACTTTGATTTGACATCTAAGAAAAAAGTAAGGTAAAGTAAAGTAATGAAAAGAAAAGAAAAGAAAAGAAAAAGTTAATGGTAATGGTTAAAGTTAAAAATTAAAGTTTGAACACGGGTATCAAATATATATTATTGATTTTTCTTTTCAATTGATATAACCCACCTAATTACCTAATATTTGAAATTAATCTTAAATTGAATAAACTGTGGAATCAGATCCAACGTGTACTAATACTAATTAAAAAGTCAAGTAAGTAAGTTGATTTCTTTCTGGGCATGCATTTCTTGAGTTGAAATTGTAAGCTGTTTGACTAGCCTTTTCCATTTCATTAGGTAATTGTTCCCGCAATTTGTTCAACAATAAAGTAAATTGTATGTATGTACAAGAGATTAAAAAAATCTTATACTCAAACGTATGATCAATCAAATTTTGAAAAAGATCTTCACCCACTCTATTAATAACGGATCTTTGTCATATCCGATAGTTTATATCTCTAGATTTGAAGATCGATTTAAATTTAGATTTGAGTTGTAATATGAAACAAAATTATAATCATACTCTTTTTGTTCGAAGAATCTTCTACTCTCCCATTCTACATGGAATTTTGAGATCATTGAAAAGAATCTATCTAAGCCAAATGTCAGCATTAACAATAAAAATTCTATGCATAAATGAATATCCTTTACTAAATGATTGATTGTTCCATTCGCCTCGTAAAAACAAAAATACTTAGCTAAAAACAATAAAATGAAGAAGAAAGGGACAACATGAGGGGGGTTGAGTACTAAGTAAATATTTACATATAGTCTTGAGGTATAACCACTAATTTTGAGTACAGTACTTCAAATTAATTAAATAGCAAAGATAACAATTAACAAATTAGAACATCACAAAGAATAAAGATTTACGGTTCCAGCTAATAACTTATAGAATTCAGGATGAGTTAAAGAGAGTCAATAATTTTAAAACATGTCTCTCATAATTGTTGGTTGATATATAGGATTAATTCTTAAGTTTGTTCAATTAACCCGGATATAAGATGATATGATATAGACTCATGATTATGATGTAATCAGCTCTCTCACTTTCTAATTCCCATTCATTTTTCTTTTTTGTTAAATTTTTCAAACGGAGTAAATAATAAATTTACAGGGCATTGAGTCAGTTTGGTTTAATAAACCCGCTAAACCTTTAGATTTTTTAAATTTGATTTATAACATAACATATGTCCATTAATTTAATATTAATTTCATATTGTTTTAACATTTTACATTTGTATTAGATCTTAATTCAACCAATTGTTCAAGCTCATTGACTATTTTCACTCATAATTACATAGACTTGCACTTGAAAGTATCATTTAAATTACATATAACAGCAATTAAGTTTAATACTATTATTGTTTAAAGTATTAGATAGAGAGAGAAAGCCCTATATTATTTTAATTTGATTTAATTAATAATCTAATTAAAGGTTTAATCAATCAAACAGTTAAATTTCAATTCAACATTACAAAAGATTAGATCAGCGTACCATAAACGGGGACCTTCACGAGCGAAACAACAACACACCCAACCCCATAATATTCCCAATAACTATTCCAAAACCATTACACCTTTGGTATTTCACATTTATTTCATCCATCATAAGTCAATTCAATAGTATTCTATAAAATATCACGATGACTTTACTAAAAGATCATACTAATAAAGTACCACCACCTGTAACACCACAACAACCACAACCTCATCATCATCATCATCATGGTATAAAAAATTTATTCAGAAGAGATACAGGAAATGTAACTCCAACAGATTCTCATTCATCAATAAATTCTTCATCATCTCATATTGGATTATCTAAATTATTTCATCATTCACATAAAGATCATCATATAGATTCTGATGGTAATCGAGGGGGTAATGGAGCTGTAACTCCTCCAAAAAGAACTCAATCATCATTATCATTAAGAAGAAGAAATACAAATCCAATTAATCAACATAGTCAAATAAATAATAGTAATAATTCTCCTACAAATATCAATTCAAATAGTAATTCAAATAATTCATTATCATCATTAAATAATGCTTTAAAGATTAATAGAAATAGAGCAAATTCAGAACTAAATCACAACAACAACCCAAGTTCAACTAATCTAATTAATAATATGAATAATTTAAATTTAAATAATGGTAATATACCACATAAAAAATTAACAAAAGCTGAAACTTTTGCTCATATGTCACAATTAGATTCAAGAAATGCAGCAAAACAACAATTAAGAAATACAAGAATTCCAACAAATCAATCACAAATATCATCAACTCCAGCACATTCTTCATCAAATCATGAAAAAATTGTATATAATCCATATGGAATGATCAAGACACCAAGTCAAGAACAACCAAAATCAACAAGTTTTTATTTATCTGGAGTAAATGATGGTGAAAGAGTTTTAGCAAATCCTGTTGCAAATCCAAATGATTATTTACCTGAAAATTTACAAGAAACTCATATCAATTTATTAGATGATTATGATATAGATGTATCAAATAAAAAATTAGGAGATGGAGGTTCATCAGATGTTAGAATTATAAATTCATGTAATGATAAAAAAAAATTATATGCTTTAAAAAAATTTACTTTGTTGAGTAAAGAAAGTGATGAAGAATTCTACAAGAGAGTTGCAAAAGAATATATTATTCATAAAAAGACAACATCAAATCAACATGTTGTTGATGTTTATGGAATTATTCGTATACAATCTCAAGCTAATTTAACAAGAGGTTGGGGAATGGTTATGGAATATTGTAATAATGGAGATTTATTTTCAATGATTATAAGATCAGGTTGGAAAAAATCTCCACTTATGGAAAAATATTGTTTTTTTAAACAAATTTCAAAAGGTTTAAAATTTATTCATGATCAAGATATTGCTCATAGAGATATAAAACCAGAAAATGTATTAATTGACGCAAGGGGATGTTGTAAATTATGTGATTTTGGTGTTAGTGATTATCAACATGAAATTCCTGGAGATTTTAATAGTCCTATAAAATTATCTACTTCTTATGTTGGTTCTCCACCATATTCACCTCCAGAAGTTATGTTATTAAAAGAAAAATCTCATAATGAAATTAAAAATTTTGCTTATAATATGTTTAAAGCTGATTGTTGGGGTTTAGGTATGCTTTTATTTTGTATGATTTATTCTGGTGTACCATTTCAACAAGCTTCACCATTAGATCATGGTTATAGAGATTATCAATTTAATCATAAAAGATTTTGTACAGATCATCAAAATTTTAAAAATAATAAAGGTATTAATAAAGGTCCAGGATCTGAATTTAAATTAGCTGCAAAATTTGAAAGTTCTGGTGCTTCAAGAGTTGCTTGGAAATTATGTGATCCTTCAACTGTTAAAAGATATGATTTAGATATGTTATTTGATGATCCTTGGTTTAAAAGTATAGAAATTTGTGATAATTGTAATGATGATTTAGGTGGTAATGAAAATGGAGAAGAAATTCCTCATAAAAAAATTGTTCATGATCATAATGTTAGTAATGTTGCAAATAGTGGTAGAAAACAATTATGTCTTTAGACTAATAACAGCATTTGCTAAGCTAAGATCTACTTTCGTTTTATTATTGGTTATTATATTCTTTTTCAGGTTGTATTAGGGAATTAATTATTTATTTATTGTAATTTTAATAAAAATGTTATAGAAGTTTATAAATATTAAAAATAATTTTATTTGATTATAACTTTGTTAATTTTATTATCTTCATTATTGACTTGATTCACTCTAGTCCCTATGAATCCCATTCGATCTTAAATTGACGTAATAAAACTACAAATAACACACACGAAATTATCAATTAATTTCTTCCTTGTTTTAAAATCATATGGAGTGGTTAAGAAACCTAGCCCATATTCAGTCGAATCATCACTAATTCAAAATGAACTAATTAAACAGCACATATATAATGGTATTTTGTAAGTGTTTAATGTTTGTATATTATTGGGATTTTCTAGTCAAAGACATTAAAACAAAAAAAAGGTGGTTAATCATTCATTTATTTCTATTTGAAAAAAACTCTATAAGTAAGGTGCATCATTGATAGACCAACTTTTTAATATTTAAATTTTCCATTCGAAATTAACTTACAACTAGGCTAGAGGTCAAAAATAATTCTTTCAATGTTCTTAATGCATGTTGACTTCTGACCCTCTACTCTAATAACATCAATAATATTATTGACTTCTAATCTAGTTGTATCTTAGTTGCAAATGGAAATCATTATATAAAAGTTAGTAGATGCCCTTACCAAATTAAAGTAAGGGTTGTTTACGTTGACCGTTTATTAGGACCAGCTTTGAAAACTCTATAAGGTCCAAAATAAAGGTTGGATTGTTTAATTGTTTTAAAACATGTTGAAAATATTAGCTTTTCTATTTGTTAAAACTGAATCTCCTGTTTTTGTTTATTATATTGTTTTTCCATTGAAGCTTTTAATTCTAATATATTATGAGGAATTAATGTTTGATGAAGTTTTGGATTTCTCGCAAAATCAAATGTATAATCAGAATTATTTGGTACCAGACTAGAGTTATCAAAGCAGATCCTAATAAACGATTAACGTCTTCCATGAGTTTCTTAAGAAATTCATCTATCTCTCAAAATTTTTTCCAGTTCTTTTTCCCCGTCTTTATTTAATTAATTAAAACTGTATTGGTGGTACAACTAACTCTTTTTAAAAATAAGTGATTCATTGTATATGATGATATAGTTCAAGATTTTTCCATTGATAAAATGAAAGTTTATAGATTCAGCACTTTCTTTAAAGAACTTTTACTATTCTAAGAATGTACTCTACCACATATTTTCATAAAGGCTTTGCATCATACACTTGAACATTTTAAATCTCACTGATGCTTCAAACATTCAAGAATTTAATAGTAACTTCCATCTATATTTGTATCAAATCCAACTTGTCTTTCAGTTTTGCCTTTCACTACTATACACGTATCTTTAGAAGATATTGCTACATCTACCTATTTGAGGTTAATAAAAGACGTCTGATTCGAATTTTTTCGTTGAATTTTTTATTTCTCATTTAACTTGAATGTCTTAATTTTTTTTAAGTCCCAAAATTATGAAACACGACACAAAGACAAATTTATAAAATTCGAATATGAAAAAAAGATTCTAATAAAGTAAATTTGAAATTTACAACCAAGACAGTCATAAAATGACTGATGAATCGATACAAGATTTATTCTACTTGATAGACCAATCAAAAAGTATGTTAAATTAATTTTCAGCCTCCAAAAAGTCTTTGACTAACATGATTTTCTAGAATACAAACCAACAAATCCAACACCATTAAACAATCTAATAAAACAATATAATTTAGAAAATTTAACAGCTTCATTATCAAGAACCAAACCAGATGGATCAAAAAATGTAAAACTACGAAAATCATATAAAGCTCATATTCAAGATCTTCCAGGAAAACATTCAATTCCTTCAAATTCAAATTTAGAAAAATTACATAATTTATTAGATCCAAATTTATCATCAATTACTCAACCAATAAACCCAATAGATTCAAACTTATTAAACAATGCAATAAAATTTGATAAAACTCCTATAAATGGTATACCAGGTTTTAATGTTGTTGATTTAGCTATTAATGATCAAAGTATATTAATGAGAAGTGATGAAATTGATGAATTTGATGAAAATAAAAGTAATAAAAGGAAAAAGAAACAATTGAATAAAGATGAATTTAAAAGACAACATATATAGAATAGACATTTCTTGTTTTTTGGCAGTAAGAATTCACGTCCCAAATTGGCCAGAAAGTAAAACATTCAACTTCACATATCACATGTGACATAAACCGTGAGTTAGATAAGTTGAATTGTTACTTCCAACTTACAAATAGCTTTGATTAGCAAGTATTCAAAACATTGCATGTGGATCTATGAACTACTGCGTTAAAGACTTTAAAAAGATTGCAATTGATAGAATATAAGGGACTGATATTGGTTGATCAGCTATTAATTAATAGTATTACAATGAGATATGCTAAAATTGTAAAGTTTTTAAAGTATTATAGCAATTTTTGGATCTAAATTAACATAGACGGATGTAAATAAAAACAATTGATGCTACAATTGCAATTACTGGAGTCGTTACAGTTGTATTAATCATTCGTTAGGACACAACAACAAATGTACAAAATTAAATGGAGTAGTGGCTCTTAAATCATCAACTAAGTATGATCTATAAAATAAACGGAAAAACGAATCCACTAAGTACTTCGTTCTACATTAGTTTTTATTCTTAGTTTAATAGGAGTATTTTTAATACTTACGGTAATTCAAATATTGCATTTTATCACTATTATTTATTAAATATTAAATAATTATACACTTTTTTATACTTCTAAATTTTTATTTCATTACTTCGTTATAGTTTTAACAACAGTTAATTCCTTTACAGGAATAAATCTATCATATTTTTTTAAAGGTTTTAAAATTGATCTTTTATTTTTTTGTTCAATTTGATCTTGATCATCAATGACTTTTGTGGTGTTATCAATATTTGATTTTAATTTATTTGCTAATAATTTACCAATATGACTTAATAAAGTTTTTATAATTAATTTTTTTATCATATTAGTTAAATCAATAAATGACATAATTTCATTATTTATATTTATTTGAGGTAATTCAATTTTAAAATTATTAACATTTAAAATTCTTTTATATCCTTTATTTAATTTTATTGTTATTTGTAAAGTTATTGATTTTATAATTAATGATATAATTGAAAAATATTTTTTTGATCTTTCAATCATTTCATTAATTTGTTCATCATCTTCTTCTTCATCATTTGAATTACTTGTTTCTGATGATTTTAATCCTGAAAGTTTTGTTAAACTTCTTTTATTTTTGTCGCTTGTATTATTACTACTACTTCCATTTTCTTTTTTATCTTTCTCTTGTTTTTCTAATTTTTCTTTATTTTTATCAAAATTTACAGATTTATTTGCTCCTTCAGTTTCAACAACAAATCCAAATTCATCATTATTACCATCTGGATTTTCAATTTCATCCTTTTTAGCTTCTGTATTATTTGTAAAAGTCATAACTTTACTATTTTTTAAATCAGATGTAGAATCAGTTTGAAAAATAAAATTCATTAATTTTTCACCTGTAATTTCATCAATTTTAATATTTAATGGTAATGAATTAACTTGCATATTTTCAACAACTTTTATACCACCAACTGATCTATTCATTGTCCATGATAAATCAATTAAATTTTTATCTATTTTGGTATTATCTATTGGATTTATAAAATCAGGATATCTTGCATTTTCAATTAAATTAAAACCTTGTAACATACCAACTTGAATTCTATTAAAATTTGAACCACTTTCAAATTCTTTTCTTTTGTAGATTCCTTTAGCTAATGCAAGATCTAATATGGGTGTTCTATCTTCTTCCAAGATGTGTAATATAAATTCATCTGCTTTAATTAACCAAGAAATTTGAGGATTATTTGAAGAATCATCAAAAAAATCACCAGCTAATAAAGTTTTTAAAAATAAATAAATATCACTTGCATATTCTCCACTTTCTAAATTTATAGTTAAATAATTATTTAAATCTTCATTTGTTAAATGATTTTTTCTAAAACTATAATTTGATGCTAATAATTTTAATGTTCTATAATATGATTGCATTATTTTAACTTTTTCAGTCATTCCTTCTAAATTTTCAAAATCTATTGAAAATTTCATTTTTTCAATTTTTTCTTGAATAACTTTACTTAATGGTTCACTATAAAATAAAAGACTTATAATTATAACATATAATGTAAAATATTGTGATGAAGTAGAAGTTAAAATTATGGAGGGAGTATCAATTCTTAATCTTTTTGGTGCATCAATTTGTGATGAATTATTTTTATTATCATTTAATTTAATTTCTGTATCATATAATAATGTCATTACTGATAAATTTTGAATTAATAATTGATCTTCTCCTGCCCATTTTCCATTTTGAGTTACTTCTGGACCTAACCATGGTGGCCAATTTGAATTTGATTTAGCACCATAAGGATTTTCAATAACAACTAAAGGATTTAATGAATTTTTATTTAATACAAATACACTTGCATCTTTTAATATACAACCATATCTTTTTTCTAAAGTATCTGGATTAGGTGAATCCTTGGAATCTAAAATAGATATAAATTTACCACTTATTGATGGAGCAGATATAATAACTACTGATTCAGGAGCATCATCACTTTGTAATTGAATTTGAGGTGATATAATTTCAATTAAATAATCTTCTGATAAATTTTCAGATCCCGAAATTTCTTTTAAAATTTTATCAAATTTAATTAATCTTTGTTTTGATGATAAATCAATAGTTTCAGAATCATCATGAGTAGATAAACTTCTACCATTAGATTCTGAGAAATTAGATTGTTCACTATTGCTACTTTGATCTTCTTCCATTGCCTTTTTACCTTTTTCAATAATTTTTTCAAGCAAAGTTATTGATTCATGGGATAAATATTTTCTCATATTTGCTTTTAATTGAACAAAATGAATATATTTTAAAACTAAATTTCTACAATTTCTATTCCATTTTAAAAGCATACTTAACCAAGTAAATTTATTATGAAAAAATTCATCTTCCTTTTGTACTGAAGCCATTGTTGATGATCTTTGATAAACAATTCTTTTATTTTTTTTAACTCCTTCAATTTCTTTTTCTAAAAATTCAATTCTTTTTAAAAGACTTGAATCTTTTTTGGAAATTTGATTTAATGAATTTAATCTATTTGTTAATATATCAATACGAACTTGTGTTGGATCTTTATCTTTAATTCTACAATTATGAATATCTTCATTACCAAATTGATCATCTTCTTCATTTTTTGAAGCATCTTGATCAGTATCTCTTTCATATGAAAATCTATGAGAATACATTACTGGATAAATATTAACATTTCTTGGACTATATTTTATTGATGGTAAAAATGCTTCTTCATAATCTTGAATATCAAACCAACGTTTATCATTATCGAAATATATATTATATTTTGAATTTTTATCATCATTATAAGATTTTTTATTATTTGAATATAAATTTTGAATAAAACTTGTATGAATTACTCTCATATCAATCCCAGATAATGTAACTTCTCCAACATTAAAAATCATTTTCATGATTTTTGTAGATTTTGATAATTCTTCATGATATAATGTTGTTGGTTCTTTTCTTTGATGTAAATCAACTGAAAATTCATTAATTTTAGCTCTTAATCCAACACATTCAATTCTATCATCATTAACATCAACTATTTCATCTCTATAAATATGTGATAAAAATAATGATTTTAAATAAAATGAAAATTTATTTGTAAATAAATGTTGAGAAAATTTTACAGAATTTTTAACTTCTCCAAATAATGGACCTCTTCTTATTGGTAACATCATATTACTTGCAAATAATTTCCACCATGCAAAAAATTGATTAAAAGCTCCTGGACTTAAATGTATAGTATTGTAAGTATTATCTTTATCAGCAGTTAATGAAATAGCCATATGAATATATTCACTTCTGAAACCCCGATAAGAATCATGATCTTTGTCACAATATTTTGGATTCATTAATTGAATATCATAATGAGGTTTAAATTTATCAATTCTTTTACCATCAACTTTACGTTGCAAAAGGAAACCAACACGATAACTTATACCACCACTTAAATTTATAGTATCTTTTGCAAATACTTTTTTCATATAATCAAAATCTGGTTTAGTTTTGGAATCTTCTAAATAATAAGCAAAACAAGAACTTATAAAATTTGGAGAATCAGGTAAATAAATGGAATCTAAACTATTTCTTGTCCATGCTAGCAAAGGACCACCTAAATAATTTGGTATATACCATGATACAGAATCAGCAGTAATATCAAAAAATTGTCTTGAATCATCATTTTTATTTATATCCCATATGACATTTTTTTGAAAAGATAATACAAATCCTGTTGAAGTACCTAATAAATCATAAGGATCTCTTGAACCTTTAAAACCAACTTCTAAACTTTTTCTTGTTTTTATTGTACAAGAACCATGTAAAATATATTTTAATTTATCCCAAAATCCTAATTTATTAGAAGGATCAACAGGAGGTTTTGAAAATTGATCAAAATTTAACATAAATTGTTGTATACCAAAATTATATGATGTACCCCATATAATTCTTGTTGGATAATCTGAATCAAATTTACAATTTAATTTTGTATACATTTTAATACTTGATAAAGTTTTTTCAACAATTAATGAATCATATTTTGAATTTGCTTGGGGGACAAGGGGGATATCCAATTTTCTTATATGTTCATCTTTTGTAACTAATTGTTCTGTTATTACAAGTGGACCTTTTAAATATAAACTTGAATTATTATTTTTACATCTTGGTGAATATAATATAGGTAATGGATAATCTCTTAAATGCATTCTCATTTCAATAACTTTTAAATCTAATTGTGTAGGGATTAATACTGAATATTTAGTATCTTTTGGAACTTTTTGACCAACTTCATATATGAAATCAGCAACATTATCTAAACCAAATTCAGGTTGATTAATATTTAAATCAAATCCTTCCATTGCTATTATTAATAAAGGAGCATGATAAGGATAAGCAACAACATCCAAATTATAATTTGAATCAAATTTACATTCATTACCAAAAAGATAAGTTTTATGATTTGCAACTTCTTTTCTTAATTTTTCTTTATATACTTGAACTTTTCTAATCCACAGTTTTGAAATTGTTTGATTTAAATTATCTAATCTCTTGAAGTACTGTTTATCATCTGGTAATTGACGTTCTTTATTTTCAAATAATGAATATAATTCTAATCTTTTCCTTTGTTCAACTAAACCTAATTGATAAATCATACCTAATTCAGATTCAAAAGGATCATCTTCCATTACAAATTTTAAATGATTTGATTTTATTGATATAGGAGGTAATGGAATTGGATTTTGTTGATGAGGATGAACAATATTTGAATTTTCTTTAGTTTCATTAGATTTTAATAACTTGACTAAATGTTTTGCTAGCTTCAATGAAATTGAAATATTATCAAATAATTTATATACAATAAATTTATGAGGTTGAATTAATCTAATTGAATCTGTATGAATATCTAATTTTGGTTTTTTACTTAATGTTGAATTTAAATTTAATGAATCAACACAAACTAATCTACACCATTTATCTTTTATAGTTGGTGATATAGCTAATAATCTTATAAAATATAATGATAGCTTTCCAATTTTATTAACTAAATCAATTTCTAAATTTGATAATTGTAATTTCAATTTAAAATCTGATGATAAATATAATATCATAGTCAGTTCTTCTAATACAATATTTAATACTAAAAATTTTAAAATATTTGTAGATTTTGAAATTGATGGTTGTTCAAATTTATTTAATTCTTTTTTTATTTTGGATTTTATTAATTTTAAAGGTTCAATTATAAATTCTCTAATTAAATAAATTGAACCAATTAATGTAAATAATTTAAATCTATTATAATTTAAATTTAATTTGTCAATTTTTGAAGCAAATAATAATTGATTTTTTCCATATAAATCAGTTATTGAATCCATTTTCATTTCTATCTTGGGAAATTCAATAAATGGTGTTGTTTTGGAATGTTTTGAACTATGATCATCTGGCATTAATAATTGTAAATTTTTTAGTGTGGTTGTTATGGACCAATATTCTGTATCAACTAAAGAAGTTAAAGTTTCCAGTGAATTTGATGATAAATCACTCTCACATTGATCATTATTATTATCATTATTTATAATTAAAGTTTTAATTGATTCTAATTTTAAATTTATTTTTCTTAAATCATGATTTCTATCAATATCATTAAGACTCGATTCAAAAAGATCAGACTTCGGAATAAGTACAGATCTTGCACCAATTAATAAATCAATTTCAACAAATTTAATTTCAATTTGATTAATCCAAGAAGGTAAATATTTGAAAAGTTTTTCTTCCATGGATTTTACTGGTATACTGGTCTGTTTTGATATATTCAATTCTTTCAATTCTTCATTAAATGAATTATTTATTCTTCCAATTGAAAAATCACTTTCTGCTAATTTTGTAACATCTAATAATAACCAATGAATACCTTGAAAAACTTCTAAACTTGTTAAACTTACAACAATTTTATTAAATTCAATTGATGAATTTATAGTAAGATTCTTAAAAATATCTAATTTTAAATTAAAATTATTCATTTTAGCAATATCCTTTTTCATTATTTTATTATTAAAATCTTTACTTGATAAATTTGATTTTTCATGATAATTTATAATTGGATATAAAATTTCTAAATTTGCTGAATAATCTCTTGTTTCAGTAGTTGATAAATTAAAATTTAATAAAGAATAAGAACAATTTAATAATTGAGTGTTTTTTCCTTCATGTTGTAAAATAATTCTTGGTTGTTCAATAACAATTTTCATATCTAAATTTGGATAATGATCATTAACATATTTCCAAATTCTTGCTTTTAAAGATTTAACTTTTAATTCATCTTCATCTTCTTCATTATCACTTATTTGTTCATTATTAATTTGTTTTCTTAATTTTTTCAACTTAAACCATTTTTGAATTAATACTCCATTATATAATAATGCACTCATTTGTCTTGAAGTAACATCTAATATGGGAGAACTTGCAGAAAAATAAATTTCCATTACACAATTTTCAAAACCTCTTGATTGAATTAATTGACTTAATAAATTTGATTTAAAAGTAAATGAATTATTTGGCATATTTAATAATTCATCAGAATTTTGTCCATCTATACCATTTAATAAATTAATTCTTTTGATAAAAAAAATTTTAAATAATTGAATTGATAAAGTTAAATGGAAAGGAGAATCTAATTTTGGATTAAAACTTGCTTCAAAACCAGCTGAATCTTTATTTAATTTTGATAAATTAAAAGAAACAGATTTTGTTACAATTTCCAATGATGTTTTGGGTCTAATTTCTTTAAAATATTCTTCAATTGACATATTATCTTCAATTAATACAAATGGAATTTCTGAAATTTTAGAATTTTCAATATGTATACTTATATCAGAAACTAAATTATGTGATAATTTTAGAATCTTATCAATTGTTAATTTATTATGTGATTTTTTATTTGGTTGTGGTGGTGGTGATGATGAAGCTGCTTTTTCATCTTTAGTTTCTTTACGTAATACATAATATTTAATTGTATTAAAAATTGATATATTACTTTCAGATATATTAATTTTAGTTTTAAAATCTTTTAAATTTCCATTTTTTTCATTTATCAGTAATTTAATTTCTAATCTAAAAGTAGTTAATGAAGCAGGTTTTATATCTTCTTTCATTTTATGAATTATATTACTTAAAATTAATGAAGATTTAAATTTTATAAAATTGGTAGATCTTATACTTTTTCTTGAATTGATATTATATTTTATATATGATATTTGAGTTTTATAATTTAATATTGATATTATAGTTGTATTTCGAAATTCTAAATCTAATGTTGGAAAATGCCGTATTATAAAACTTATAAACCATTTTTTTATAAAATTTTTTGGATATATACTTAATGTATCTTCATTAAAATCTAAAGATGATGACAGTTGTTTGGATTGTTGTTTTTTATTTGGTGATGAAGGATATAATTTTATATATAAATCATCTATAATTGTCATTTTTGTATTTCCCCATAATCTAAATCTTAAAGATTTGATTTTTATAAGTTGTTTTGAATTTTTTAGGGTGATTCCATTAAAAGATATACCATTATTTATTGTTATAGTATTTAAATGAAAACCTGTAATAAGATATATAATATACCAAAACCCAATCCATGATAATATTGTTAGAAATAGATAATATAATAATTTATCTGTGGTCCTACTCATTGGTAGTGATTAGCGAGTAGAAATTGAATTGATGATGTTAGTTGTCTTTTAACAACTCAATGGTAGTGTTGTGGGATGAGGTTGATGTGAAATTGTTGTTGTAATTGGTGGTTGTAAATGTTTTGCTTGAGTATAAAGTAATAGATATAAATTTGGTTGCTAAAATAAATGTGTTATTGTAATTTTGAAACTTTAATTTTTTTATTTTTCCATTGAGAAAAGGTAAACAGTGAAAATCTATACCGAATTATTAGACTTATGCACTGGTTCACCACTAGATTTACACCAAGAACTTACACAGGGGATCTCGTGCTTTGTACAGGGATCTCGTGCTTTATACAGGGATCTCGTATTAATCATAGACTGGGACAGTCAATAGGTAGTCTATAAACTTATATTCAGACCAATTTGTTCTATAACCATTAGCCAGCTCTCTCTCTTTCTATTTCTCTTATTATTACTATAATAATAAATTATACATACTTGACATCTCAAACACAATACATAAAAAATATAATTTAAAGTTATTAAATGACTTAATTAAGTAATTTGTATATACTGGAATTATAAAAGCATATATCCGTAGAGAATAATTGAAGAGACATTCAGATTAGAACGTATCATCATTTCCATAATTACTTTGAACAAATCAAATACTATATGGCAAGAACGGTTGGAATGTTATTCAACAGCCCTAGTTTTTGTCATTTTTTTGTTAGAATCAAAATATTGTAATTTTCTTCATATAAGAAAATCTGAAACTCCGATAAAAGTTAGTATATACTATTAAAAAACGTATGAAAAGAGTAAGAATGTGTAAACGATCGAATAACTAAAGAACTTCTTTACAAATTAGGCTAAAACTTTATCGAATTCAGAGATGAAGAAATTTCAAAATAAAGTTCGATAAAGTAGTTTCAAAATTAGGTTGTAACATATTCAACAAAGTCAGGTAGGTTAATTATAACTTCCTTCTTCTCGTAAATTAGGTTGTTGTAATTTGAGCTTATACATTTGAAGATATTCAAGTAATCAAAATCCAGACTACAAACCCTAGTAAGCTTTATAAAATTTGAAAAACAAATTTGCCTCTCCATTTTAAATTTACAAAGCCTGAAATAATCTCTATTGGTGTCTCGATTTATGATACATATTATATTTGTAAACTTTTTTGTTGCAAATTTGGTTCATGAATAGTAACTCAACAAACAATTTCAAAGATCGAACCAATTCGAATTAATTTTTCTTTTTTATGTTAATTTAAAGAATGTAAAATAAGTGTAGAACCTGATGTAAAAATAGCTGAACCAATTACAATAAGTTTTAAATCTAATCCTTTTTTAGTTTGATATTTACCAGCAATAAAATAAGCAATTGAGAAAAATAGTATTGCAATTAACAAATTTAATAAAGCAGACATATCAGTGTATATTTTGATGATAAGGAGGTTGAAAATAAAATTGAAAAAAATCAAAAATTTTATGTTTTTCACTTACTAGTAAATATTGGGTTTAATATAAATCAAAGAAATGGCGAAAAGCAGTCCTGAAATACTTTTTCAATTTTGACATTTGAATTTTAAAAGTATGTATTTAATTAATTGCAGTTATTCAAAAATTAAATTGCATTGTTTGAAAATTAAATCTAATAGATTCAATACTTATCAACAAACAATTCATTACAAAAAATCTTTAAATGTTTATACAAAACAAAAGGAAATCTCCATACATACAAAATTGATATTTAAATCGTTTGACATACGAAACAAGCGCATTTTCAAAACCACGCTAATTTTTTATCTAAATTTACATTTGTTTGAAAACAATGCAAAAATAATTTTTGTGCCGTTCAATTAAAACAGTGGGTCAAACAGATTAATTAATTAATCTAATACCGATGCTTACAATTACCCCCCTTAAAGTAAAATAAATCAGAAATTAAAATCAAATTAAAAGTAAATTCAAATAAAGTAGAACGAAAGATAAAATTGATAGATCTGTCGTGAAGATGACAAATTTCACTAAATATGTGCTTCTAAGGTTGCAAAATCAATGAAGTTAAAACTATCAACAGAAGTACTTAAATTATGAATAATTTCTTCCTTTCGTAAATTTAGATCAAACTTTGATACAATAAAATCTAGATGTTAAATTTTGAGCCTTCATAATGTAGAGAACTCTGAAGCTAGTAACAAGATCTCCACCATTAACTATTCACCAAACGTATTTTGGAATCTGACTTTGAATATGATATCTAAATTTTAGAAGTCACATTTTTGAACTTATTTGCTGCAAATTTTATACCAATCAATAACCAATTCTCATCAAAATTTTGTGAAATAAACCAAAATTTGTCAAACCAATACTAATTAATCGATTATAACATACTTATTTAAATGAGTTATTGGAAGTATTAGAGATCAATTCACTTAATTCGTGCTAAATTGAGTGAGGTATTTGTCTTTTATATTGCGGTATAGATTTTTTTTGACCTCATACTGTACATAATTTTTGTGTCCAGTCGCTAAATTGTTAGCGGAATCTCTCGACACTGAATTCACAAATGTAAACAAACATCGAGATTCACAATCTCAAATCTCCAGATCTCAATTGAACCAGAAGAGGTCACAAGATTCACTAGTAAGTTTTACTAAATTATTATAATTATTATTTATTATTAATACACAACTATTTATTGTCTTTTTTTAAAAAGTGATTTGAATGAAACATTATGGTATAATTATATATATGTATGTAAAAATTATTAGGTTTGAAAAAAGTATAACGTATCGATGAAATTTAAAAATAAATTGTTAAATGTCTTTTGTTTGATTGTTTTTATTGATTGTCATTTAGTTAAATATTATTTTATGAATGAATTAAGCTTAAAAAATTTGAATTTCATTAATCTTCCAAAAATTATTAAACTGAATCTTCATCATTTACTTTTTGATTTCTTTTAATTTTAAAAAATCTAATTCCTCCACCATTTTGATTTTCATCATCAACATTTTTAGCTCTTGTAAATGAAGAATCATCTCTTATACCAGCAGCCCCTGTTTGATGATGTTGTTGTTGTTGAGATTGATTATTTCCTTTTTCACCATTAACTCTATTAATATTTTTTTTATAACTATTTACAATATTTGCACTTAATGTTATAACCCAACAAATAATTAAACAAGCAAAAGCAGCCCACATAATAGCCATTGATTTAACACCAATATGAGCATATAAATCATCTGAATGGAATGCAGATCTAGCTAATACAACTACTGCAGTTTGGAAAGCTGCAAATCCAGCCATAAAAAATAATGCAATACTAATTAAAAATATAACAATTTTATCAATTATCAAAAAGCAGAATCCTAAAATATCAATAATAAAAGCTAATCCGGCAAATCCCAATGCAATTAAACAAAAAGCAAAAGCAAATCTACTTAAATAATAAAAAGTATTTTCTTGTGATGAAAATTTTTCAGGTATATTTCTTGTTGTTTCAAAATTATCAACTGGTGATATAGGATAAGCTGGTCCTAATAAACAATTACTATAATCATTTTTATCACATACACCCCAAAATGTCCACGCTGATCTTGATGCTGGAGCATTAGGAATATTTGAAGTATCTGCTTCTAACCAATAAAATTTATTTAATGGTCTATGTCTTGATGAACCTGATAATACTGTAAAAATTAATAATAAAATAGCACCTGCTAAAAAGAATAAATTAAAAAAAGTAGCTATTAATTTCATTTTTTCGAGGATTTTTTGAATGAACTACTTTTGATGTGAGTGAATTGTGATTGTAGCCTTAGTGGTAGAACTATTAGTGAATGAGCTAGCTAGTTAATGAATTGAATTGACTATCAAGATTCAAAAAAGAAGGGAGTAAAAAAAAAAAAGATTTCAAAATAAAATATAATAAAATTATAAATGAAAACCAAAAACTTTAAATGATGTAGTAGTAGTAAGTTAATAGATGATTGAAATATAAATTAACAAGAAATTGAAATAGAATAAAAACTTTTTACATTTAGTCATCTGAAATAAAATGAAATTTTATAATAGAAAAAAACAAAACATCGTACTTTTGGCTAATGCAATTCATTTCGAAGGAATGATTGAATGATATGGTTTTTTTAAAATTTCATATTCTCTCTCCAAATTCAATATTTCATTAGACCTAATACAATTTTGTGTAATTGTTTACTTTTTAATTAATTTAGTTAATTTTGCAGCTTAAATTAGATTACGAAGAGAAAGAGAGTCTAGTCGAGTAAATCAAAACCCTTCTGCTTTATAAGGCTGATTTCAATCTTCTTGGTGTGTATTCTGCTGATACAACTCTCTATGTTGTAAGCTAGTAGTTATGAATCTTTACTCCACTCATAATTCCTTGTAAAACTTAAATCTGATAATTCATGACTTTTTCATAGTCGAAATCTAAACTTTTCAAATTACACAAAATCTAAAATAGGTACAATTAAAAACAAGTGGTAAAATTTGGTTTGTTACTAATTAGGAAATTTATAATTTATTATGTAATGCGGCTTATGATGTTAAGTACTACTCGATGAATTTAATGTTGTAGCAATCTTAAATAATAGTACTTAGATACTATTAATAGATGGTAAGGCTTAATCATTTTTAGTTGTTAAGTACTTGTCCCTCCTATTTTTACTGAAACATGGGTCCAATTAGGGGAAACAAGAGAATATGATGAATGATGAATGATGAATGATGAATGAGGAATACAAGCAATTGATTCCCTCAGTAGTGGATTAGCTCCTAGAAATCATTACTTACGGTAGTAGTTTAACGAATATACTTGTGATAGGTTATTTTTAGTGTCCATTGCAATTTTTTTTTCCTCGAGGCACATTTTAATTTTGTACTATACATACAGATCATACAAATTTTTTTTTTTTATTAGCACAGCCATTCGAATAACGGTTTTGAAACATCTAAGTATCCTTTTCATTTAACTACAATAGGTCATTTAATTAAGTACGTAATTTCGAAATGTTCGTTTCAATATTCGATATCACAAGAATGAGGCGACAAAGCCTTCTATGTTACTACCACATCATTTTATCAATGAATACGAAGATTCAAAAGCATAAACTTTCATGATTATGGACATCACAATCATTGTTGAATAAAGATCCTTTTTTGATAATGAACACAATTAATTGGTGAAAGTGGATTTGACAGTAAGAATTTATTTTACAAGTTCAGCATGCACAAGGTGTATCAACATAAGATTCCTTTAACATCACTTGCCTCGCATTAATTACCAGAAATTCGTTATTTGCACGGAACAACTTAAGCGATTTAATAATTTGCGAGTTGTGTGTGTGGTTTTCAGAGAGTCATCACTTCTGTTTTCAGTTCTAATGCGAATACTTGATTAATCCATTTCTGGAGTGTATGCTAGATAAATGGGGCTTTAATTAGAAAGAGTTGGTTTACGATGAATGATAAATATTACTACTCATAATTAGAGCTCATTTTACTAAGCATACACACTTGAAAGTGATGAATCGGGCAAACGCATTAAAACTCAAATCAGAGGAAATTGAATAACAAATTTTTGGAAAAATGGAGTAACTAGTTTGTTTGTAATTTAAATATAAGCAGTAACATCAGACAAAGAAGGGTAAATCTCAATTGTATATAGGGAAGTACACCCAAAATTTATAGTAAACAAGTAACTGTGAAGAACTAATTATTCAAAGATTCAGTGGTTAACTCAATGACTGATTTTCCTTGTAAAAAACTTACCAATGTATTGATAATTTGGGTGAACAAGAGCAACTGAAAAGAGCCAAATAGAATTTACAATCTTATTAAGTCTATAAAAACAACCATCCATTAAACATTTTTTTGATTAATTATATACCTTAATCATCATCTATATGACTTACAAATCTCCAATTAAAACAATCTCTACAAGGAGGTTGTTCAACACATTTAGCAGTTTCATTATAAGTTAAAATAATATCATCTATAACTGTATGAATTCTATGATTCAATAAATTTACTCTCCAACCTTTATCACCAACAACATCATAAACACATTGATAACCAGTATGACAAGCAGTTTCCATTGCATAACCAGCTAAAGAACATGAACTTGATGCACCATTACAAACTCCCATATATATTGGATCAGCAGTATTACCAATATGCCAAATATTTTCTAAATGTTTTGGTAATCCTGGAGGTTGAGGTAAATGTAATCTTTTTGTTGCTAACATTTCTCCAGGAGCTTCATAAGCAACAACTGGTAAACCATAAGTTCTACCTAATAAAGAAGCCATTGCTCCACCTAATGAATGACCAGTTACCCAAATTTCAAATTCATCAGGTGAATAAATTTCAGTAACATTTTTATAAATATCTAAAGCAGCTTGATAAAATCTATCTTTTCTTCTAAGTTCTTTTTCTAAACAATCTTGATTACAAGTATAAGTTTTTTCATAACAATCACATACTGTAGTCCACATATAACCAACTCTTGCACAACAACAAGAAAATAATAAATTATCATTTATTTTATCAACTCCTGAAGTTTCATCACTTGATCCTCCTGGTAATCCTGCTCCAGAAGTTCCTTTTATACCAATAACAACAGTTTTATTATCATTACTTACAAATATATGACCTCTCATTCCAATTTTTTCCCATCCAAAATTTATATTTTCATTTGAATCATTCGGTTCCCAACCTCCAACATCAATCCAATCTGATTTTTTTTTTTCATCATCATCTTTTGGAAATCGAACATAAGAATTTGATGAGATTGTAGCTAATGTTATAATTGTATCTCTATCTGTTACATTGGGGACTGTAATATCTTCATCAATCCATTCTAAATTAATTTTATTTAATATTTGGGGATTACCATTTATAGATCTTGCATAATCAAGATATGATTCTATGAAATTTGGTTCATTTCTATCTTTTAATCTTTTTGCTATGGATTTGGATGTTTTGAACGGTAGTTTTATACTGAAAGGATTTGAATTTTTATGTATTAAAGGCCAATCATTATCATTATCTTCTTGTGTTTGTGCTTGTTTACTAATATCATTAATTAATTTATTGAAATATTCTTGATGCTTTGATAAATATTCTTCTGTAATATCTAATCTTTTATGTATCCTATAATCATCTTTACCTATTCCATGATGAAAAATATGTTTTAATTGTAAATTTATTGATTCTTCTGATTCTGATTCTTGATCTTGAGGTAGTAGAATTCTATCTTGTTGTTGTGTAAATGTGGGGTTTTCTTGTAAATCACCTAATAGTAGTAGTCTTGATAATGCATTTATTATGATAAAGCATATTATACTTATCATTATATTTCTTATTTATGGAGATTAAAGGATCTGGTTCTATATGACTCTTGTATAGTGGATTCTATATTGCTATATGTTATTAATAATGTTTGTTCTATTATAATTGATAGAATTGATAATAATAAAATAAAAATATAAATTTCTTTTATCCGAGATTTACTTACACAACAAATTTTTATTCTTTTTAGATCATTCATTCTTTCAAAGGGCAAGTTTTTATCATTCCTATAGATAGTCAATATCATCATCACAATTCGGTAATCATATCATCACAACTTGCCGGACTGTGTACACTATATTACAAGAGGTTTGAAGTCAAAGTTATCATCACTGTTAGGGTCTTGGACGTTGACTAGTTGTTTGAAGGCAATTTGGTTATTAATTGTTGGACAACCTCAGCGTGCGTATCTACGATGACTAAGAACAAATTTAAACCAATATCTATATGGTTATTATGTTTGTAGTCATCTTTTTAAATGCATATTAAGGTTCTTCTTCATTTTGAACCAAATTGCCTTCCTACAACCAGTCAAATATTTAAAGGTATCTTTTTGGATTTGATATTCTTTGATATATTTTAAAATTTTGAAAGAAGCTGCTGAAACTTTATGAGTACCCATTATTAATATTATCCTGAACTTGTTTCAAAAGTTTATTCTGAACAAAATTTCAGTCTGGCATTTCTTTATTAGAGATGCTTTAACATGGGTTGAGGTTTATTTTACAGGTACCAAGAGTGACAAATTAAAAAGATCAAGAATTCACTTTTATTTATTGTGTTCAATTCGTTGTCCTTAGCAGCTTCAATTTGGTTAGTTAGATAATATTTAAATTTACGTGTTATACTCATTAAATATTATCTTGATAATCAAACTGAAGCTGTGTAAAACGATGAATTAAACACAATAAGTCAACTGAACACATTTATGATGATCTATTCCATATTTATAAAACTTTAACACTTTCATATAGTTTAAACTATCAGAGAATATCACAAATAATGATGTTGATTGAAAGAATTTGGTTACCATCATCACAAGCTAACTAGAACCTAAAGTTACAAGCAACACCGAAGTCTTTCATGATGGAAATAAAAGAGACTCAACCTTTCCTATTCCTTAACTTAGCCTTGTAATGATGACGTTTGGGCATTATCTCTAAATTGAACACAATACTAGATGTCAAAAAAGGAGTCTTAAGATGTTCGTACCTCTTTAGCCCATGACCTCTAAATTTTGCCATCTACAAGCTCTGGTTTGGAAATGAATTCATCATTCTTATTGTTAAAAAGTAACCGTGTCAAAATATTTTAGTGGCAGCTTTCTTAATTCTGTGACAATTTAAGTTTATTTTCACTACCAAATTTGAATTCGTGTTTTCTTTTAAATTCTGAGACTCATCAATTGAAATCTTTAATTCAATCCAGCCTTCAAGATTTCGAAGATTTTGCTATAAAAAATGGCCAAAGAACAATCATCTATATCATTAGAATACCCAATTTATGGGGCTAAATTTATAAATAATAAAACAGTATTAGTAATTGGAGGAGGAGGTGAAGGATCAAATGGTATACCGAATAAAATAACTGCATTAAAATGTAGTTTTAAAACAAATCAAAAAAATAGAATTATTCAAAGATTTAGAGAGATTCAATTACCTGCAAATGAAGATTCTCCTCAAGTTTTAGATTTTGTAAAAACTACAAATTCATTAAATGATGATGGTACAAGTCAATCTGAATATCAAATTTTAGTTGGTTGTAATCAAAGTTCAGAATTGTTGAAAACTATGAATATAAATAATAATGTAAGAAAATATCGATATAATGATGAAGAACATTTAATGTTTGAAGATGCTGCTCAATTTGAAGCAGAATTGGATGGAGATACTGATGAATATCCTAAAGTTATAAAATTAGCTTCAAATAATTCAATTGGTTGTATAATGACGTCAAAATTACCTTCAACTTTATATTTTTTTGATCCAAGTTTATTAGAATTGAAACATAAATATATAACAAATGTTGAAATAAAAGATTTTGAATTTAATAAAGATGGTTCGAAATTATTTTATATTACTTCAAATTCCATATTTACTTATTCCACAGAAACAAATTCTATAATATCTGAAAAACATTTTGAAGATTATAAATTATCAAAAATAAAATTAATCAATGATTCTGAAGCAATAGTGTCGGCAACATACAAGGGCAAAAGTGCTTATATAATTAAATTTAGTTTAACAAACAACAAAATAATAAAAGAACAATTAATATCAAAAAACATTAAAAATATAGTTGCATTAGATATATCAATCCCACAAGATTTAATAGCCGTAGCAGGTAATGATTTATCATTAACATTAATACAATTATCAAATTTAAAAACCATTCAAACATTCAAAAAATTACATCCTTTCGCTATAACATGTGTAACTTTCTCCCCAAATGGTACAAAATTAGCTACTGGAAGTGCAGCAAATATTTTAAATGTAATCAGAATTCCACCAAAATATTTAAATAAATCAAAAACTTCAATATTTGGAATTATTGGAACACTAGTTCAATATTTATTTACTATAATACTAATGATATTTATTGCATTTGGAGTACAAAAATTACATGAAGCAGGAAAATTTAATGATTTAATGATATATACTAAAGATTATAGAGATATTGGATCTCATTATGGAAAATTCGCGTATGATTATGCTGAAGAATATGGAAAATTAGCTTATGATTATGCTCAAAATTATGGGAAATTAGCTTATGAATATGCTGAAGAATATGGTAAAAGATATGGTTCAAAAGCTAAGGATATTTATAATGATAAGATTAAAAAAGCGAAAGATCATGAACAAGATTTTAAAAATACTTTGAATGATATAGTACAAGAAGTCACTAAGGATTTTAAAGAAATCACAAAAGAAGATTTTGATAGTGAAACTTTGAATGATATTAAATTAACTACATCAATTTTATCAACTGATGTAACTTCAACTTCAAATTATATTTCAACAGATGCAACATTTTTCAATGAAATTGAACCAGAATTAGAAAAACCAATTGAAATTTTAAATAATTCAACTGTAAATTCTGAACAAGTTGAACAAGAAATTGAGAAAGAAAGAAATGATAGAAACGAAATAAATCAAAATGAAACTGATTCTCCGGTAGAAGAAATTGACATTGATGTTAATGAAGATATTGATTCATCATATAATAAAATTGAACCAGAATTGGAACAACCTATTGAAATCATAGATAGTGCATCAGCTGATATTGAAGAGATCGAAGCAAAAATTGAAAAAGAAAGAAAAGATAGAATTGATAAAAATGTGGAAAATGACGAAGTTGAAGATTCTAATACTTTTAATAAAGTTGAATCAGAAATTGTTGACCCAATAGAAGTCTTGACTAACAAAAACACAAGTAATGAAGAGATTGATGCAAAAATCGAAAAGGAAAGACAAGACAGATTTGATGAAAATGAAGCTAAAAATGAAGATTCAAATACTTTTAATAAAGATGAATCTGAAATCGTTGATCCAATCGAAGTATTAGATAATAAAAACACCAGTAATGAAGAAGTTGATGCAGAAATTGAGAAAGAAAAAAAAGATAGAAATGAAATTGATGAAAATGTTGATGAAAATATAGCTCAAAATATTCCTAATTATGAAGCAGCAAAAATTGAAACTTATGAAGATGATACAAATACTGAATTGAAACCAGAAGATCTTGAAGAAAAAGGAACAGAGTTACAAGACGATGAGTTTCAAAATCAAGGTTATGATGATGATAAAAATGAAGAAGAAGAAGTTATTGAAGAAATTGTTGAAGTTATTGAAGAAGATCCAAATGATGAGTCAGAAATTGCTGAAGAAAATTCCGAGTTTGAAGATGATAATCAAGCTGATGATGTTGAAGTGATTGAAGAAATTGTTGAAATTGAAGAAATTGAAGAATCTCAAGATGAAAGTTTACCAAATGCTGAAGATGATGTTTCAAACTCAAGTGTGACCGATGAAGAGTTAATTGAAACAGATACTGACTCAGAACTCCCATCGGAAGTTACTACATCAAGTGAAGAAACAATAGAGACTTCTACTCAAGAAGAATTCAAAGAAAATGTAGAAGAAGAAACTGAGGAAGTGAAATATACACCAGAAGATCCAACTCCGATAGAATCACAACATACTGTAGAAGTATCAGGAACAGGAAGAGATGAACCAACGTTAAACGAAGAAGAAATTAAATCTGAAATTGAAACTTTTGAAAATCCAGAAGTTGAGATTTCCACTCCTTCAACTGAAGCTGTTTCTATTGAAACTACTGAAATTGAACCAGCAAATGATGAACCATCTACTATTGAACCTACTGCATCCTCATCCGAAATTAATGAGAACATTGATAATTCATCAGACTTATTAGGTGAAGAGTCAATTTCAATTGAAACAACAAAAAGTACAACTTCATCAACTACAATTACTACATCTAATTCAATCAAAACAAGAACCAAAAAATTTATAAGAACTATTAAAAAAACAAAAACTTCAAAACCAACCAAAAATCCAATTGAAAAAGATGAATTATAATTTACAGTCGTTTTAGTAATTCAGTAAATAGCATTTTAAAAGGTATGTAAATATACGAGAAGTAATTGACACATTTGAACTTTATTCTATAAATTATTATTAAATTACTCCAACGTTATACAAAATTATACACTTTTCCAAATTTTAGCAGAATAATGTTTTACAAAAGCTAAATGATCAATTTTTTTACCTTCATTACCACCATCTTTTTCAATATCAATATCACTAGCAAATGAATTTATAGGTAATACTAATATATCACTAACTAATTTAGGAGTTTTTAAATCATGAAAATCTTTCCATGTTACTTTATTAAATACTGATGATAATATATAATCATTAAAATATTTTAATATAACATCTGTCCATATTGAAGAACCAGTCCATTGACTAATTTGTTTTGATTTTTGATTTGTATTTCCTGTTAATCTTAATATTCCATCATTATTATTATTATTATTATTACTCATACTTTCTAATTTTTTCAATCTTGTAAATTCAATAATTTCTGCTATAATTTCTCTTAAAATGGGGTGACCTGGTTTTGCTTGTATAACAAATTGTCCAAATTGTAATCTTCTTATTGAATCTTGTCTCCAATTAGGAGAATTTGAATCAATTTCAACTGCAATAGTCATTCCAATATCTAATGGTGAAACATTTTCAGGAGTCCAATTTGGTATAGGTTGTATAGGATAAGTATCAATATCTGCATAAACACCACCTTTTGCAAATAATATTAAATATTTAAAAAAATCCATTTTTAATATAACTTCAGGTAAAATTTCATAAGTTTCAATAACTTCAGGAATTTGTTTATATAAATATTTTATCATTGTATGAGCAGTATCATCATTAAAAATTTCATGAACAAAACCAGGATTTTTTAAAGCCCATTGAGTTTCACCTTGACGAAATTTTTCATCAAATCTTTCATCATTTAATCCATGTTTCCAAGTTTGCCATATATATGCAGGGAATTTTGATTCTGGATTATAAGAATAAGCAAATGTTAACTTTTCTCTTATTGTTGATGATGATATTGGAACTTTTAAATCTTTTAATTCTTTTAAAATTAATTTATTTTGTTCTTCTAATTGTTTTAATTTAATTTCTTGTTGTTGAAAAAATTTTTTATTTAATTTTTCAATTTTATTTATAATTTCATCTTGATTCTTGGAATTTTCATTATTTAAAATTTTACTTAATCCTAAAATTTTATCATTTGGTAAATTTAAATTTGTTGAAATAACATCTTGAATATTTGTACCTGGATTTAATAAATTTGGTATTTTGAAGAAAGTGAGGAAGAATACTAGTAGTAGTAGTAAGGTGATAGGTAGTATATATTTTCTTTTTGATGATGACGATGATGAATATTTGGGCATGATGTTGGCTTTAGTAGTTGTAATGTAGATCTGTAACTGAAATTCAAATGAAATTTGTGTGAGATCTGAAATCTTAAAAATTTATTTTTTTTAACACAAATCTCAGATCTAAAGAGATTTATAATAATATTACGAACTTATCAATTACTATCATATCTTTAGGTTTAAGAAAGCAAGATTCAACTAAATCATGATTTTGAAACCTAAGTTACTATCAATCCATGTGATTTATATAGTAGCGTTAGAAATACAACATTCAGTAAGAGCCGTTTGAAATGAAATGTTTGAAGACGCGTGTTTGTTTTGTGGATACATCATAATTCGTGAAAATTTACAAATTAAATAACTAGGAAAACGTCACGAATTCTCATAACTTGTGTGGCATCAATTGATCATAAGTCTCGCTATAAATTTTTTCCATGATAGAGATGGTGGAATATATGTATGAGTGTGACAAAAGCATTTGACCAGTCTTTATTTCACTAGTATTGAAAGATATTTTTGATTTCCTATTATTTGTACTTACTCACACATTTGTACCTTTATTTTGGCCAAACATTTGAAATAACTCCAAAGCTTGTACAATCTTACACATTTACCTCTCTGTAAATTTCATTTGATTTATCTTCGAAGTTATCAAGATTTGTCTAGTGGTGAATTTATTGACATTACGCTAAACGTTTCACGAGTCTCAATAGTAATTGAGAATATGTCATATATGTAACTCATTATGATAAAATGGATTGGAGATATGAACACTTCTATAAAATGAGTGATATTGATTTCTTAAAAAGAACTGATTCGAAATCCAATTGATTTAATTGCAACTAAATCTCCTCTTCTTCTTGCATCATCTTTTCCAAAAACCTTAATTTCTTCTTTTCTTAAGTATTTGTTAAATTCTGATAATGTAGATATTGGACTATCTTGGAAAGTGAAACAGAATATTAGTTGATCATGATGAAAGTTATCTTTCAAAGTATTTCCAGCCATATCTTTTAATTTGTAGCTATGTTTTAGTGTGCCGGCAACTATGATGTATGGTCCCTCGTAGTTAGGTTCTTTACGGGGAACCTTACATCATATTTGACGACACACAAAAACATGATACAAACTCTTCAGTATACTTGTCTAATGCAGCAACGACTTCCTCTTTAACTACTTCTTGAAAATTAATTATTTCATTTGCAATTTCTTCCACTTCCTCCTGAATGGTGTTTACAGCTCCTGATGCTTGTTCTTCAACTATTCCTTCTTCATTTACTGCAGTTGTTGCTACTCTTGCAGCAAAATCAACTTTCGGGGCTGCTTCCAGATCAAAAATTTGTTCAGCATTGGGTAATTCAGTATTGCTACCTTCTCTTTGCTAATATTAAATCTGAATTTTGTTGTCTTTGTTGAGGATTTTGTTGACTATCTTCATTATTGACATCTTGATTTAAATTTGCATTTGCAGGTCCTCCTTGTTGATTATGCTACCTCTTGTTGTTGTTAGGTCGGCCAAGACCTGATTTGATTTCAAGCAGCTGGTCATGTTCTTTGATTGTCTCTTGATATTCGGTATTTCTTGTTGATTGAAGATTTGCTTCTCTCATTTTTAACTTTAGTGTCTTTTTCTAGTTTTTTGTACAGATTCGTCTAAAAAAAAAGCCACTTAAGGGGCTTTTCTGAACAGTAAGATATCAAAGAAGAAACAGACAACTTCTTCTCTGTCCCGTTTTGAGGTGTTATCCTACCTAGGACAGGGGGTAAAATAGCATAATTTGAATCTAGGAAATGATGATTGTAGTTATCTGAATCCGTGCAAATACTAAAAATGATTGTTTCTATATAATTCTGAGACAAGCCTGCTACCAATCACTCTGAAATTTCTATAGAATTGACATCTTGCATATTATCACATTTGATTTGATCTGAATATTTGATTCATTCATCGCTTCTACAAATCAATTGCCTTGTCAATTCATCATAAGAGCTTTACAGTAACAATTGATAAGCTTTATACCAATTTCACAACCCAAATCAAAAAATGTCTTCCACCACAACAAACAATTCTAAAACAGAGTTATATGGAGGAGCAATAACAATAAATAAATTACCATCAACATTTATTGATATCTCACAAATACGACAAATTCCAGATACACAAGAAGTTTTTATAAATGAAGTAGATAATACATTAAGTTATGATCAATCATTAATATTTGATATTTTAGAACAAGTCCCAACACCCAATTATTCAGAAGCAATTCAAGAACATTTAATTGATATAGCTCCTACCGGTACAATAAATCATTTAATTGAAGAATTTAAAGGAGAAGATATAGAAAAATTTTTTAGTTATATAATTTTTAAACCTGAGTATAAGAGAGTTGAAGAAAATCAATCCAAACTTAATATTGTATTAATTTGTTTAATTAGAATTAATAAAATTAAAACTGATATTTTAATTCAGTATATTATACCATTAAAGAAGAGTTATGATATAACGTTAATAAATTTTAAATCACCAAAAAATGAAATTGATCAATTAATTATTGATAATTTTGAAAAATTTAAAGAAATTTGTTTAAGTTTTAAAATTGAAGATTGGAATTTATTTGCATCATAGAGAGTAATGAAAGGTGGGGAAAAGACTTGAAGGATTAGATGTTCATTGATATGGTTAGTTTCATCTCATTTCATTATATTCATGTTCTAATCTTTATACTATATAAATGATATATCAATCAATTTTAGTTTGTTTAGTTGATGTCCTAGGAAAAACAACTTTAAAAACTCTATATAATATAATAAGTATACCCAAAATTAAAGTTATAGTAGTCAAAGAATTAATTCTATCAAATGTTGATATTCCATTAGGTATATCAATTCTCAAGTTATTTTCTTTATTTTTTTGTTGAATTGGATGATAAAATACAGTATCTTTTGAAAAATAATTTTCAAAATTATTACCTATTGAACTAAATCTTGATGTATCAAATGGAGATTTTGCTAATATTTCATGATCTTTAATATTACAAGCTAAAAATAATTTAGGTAATGGATTAATTATAGTTGTATATAATGATTTTGAAGTAGTTTGATTATTCGTTCTATTTTGATTTGGTAATTGATATCTTGAATGTAAAGTTAAATTAAAATTTTGTGGCTCATTAATAGGAGTATCTAATTTAAATAATAATTCTCCTCCCCAATTTTCAATTTTATATTCTGGTAATTCTAAATCTTGAAATCCATTATTTATTAATAATATTGAATTTTTAGGAATATTTTGATATTTATCAAAAATTAATGATTTATTTAAATGTAAATAAATGAATGGATTACAATTTAAAACATCATCATCATTTATTAATTGAGTACTTGATTCTTTATTTAATAGGTTTATATTAGTATTGAATATAGGATGTAAACCATTTTTAATTAAATTTGTATTATATTCAATATTTTCCAAGATTCTATGTCTTGGTTTAAAATGAAACATAGTTTTATGAATATTTTTTTCATTCTCATCAGAAGATTCTGCAGTTCCATCAAATATAACTCTTAATCCACTTAATACTATATCATCTTTTGAATTTGAAATTTTAGAATCTTTTAAAAATATTCCAATTTCTTTATATTCTGTTAATTTTAATTTATATGAAATTTCATCAGTTTTATATATTTGACGAATTGATAATTGGCTTTCATTTGAGTCGTCATATATAAGATCATATGTTTTATTGGTAAACCAATAATCTTTATCGGATGGTGCTTTTATGAGTAAAGGTGAAGGTGAGGAGTCATAATAATATAATGACATAACATGATTAATATATTGTTCTTCATTTATTTCAATTCCAATAAGATCATTCAAAATATCTTTTAATTCTTTAAAAAATTCATCATTATCATCATTATTTATAGTATTTTTTGGTTCAACATAAATATTTAAACCAGAAGTGAATTCAAATGGGAAAAATTCATTTCTTGAATCAATTATATCATTATCAAATTTAGATTGTATTCTTAATTGTCTTATATGTTTTAGATTCTTGTTGAAAGGAATTGTAAATTTATTTTCAATTAATAATGAATTATCTGAATGTAATGATTCTAAACTTAAATGTGTTTGATTTAAATGTTTGATTATATTATCATGATTTTGTTCAAAATTTATTACTGTCAGCCTTTGTTTTATCATAGTTGGGGAGTTGGAAACGACTTTTGATGAAGATTGAGTATGGTTGATGTGGAAATAAAGTTGGTTGTAAAAAATTGAATGCAATTATTTTTGGTGTTTGATTCAAACTGAAAGTTGAAAATTAGAAATCGTGATCAAGCCGCACCAACGACCAAAATTGGAAATCTTGCAATACCTGTTCAATTCTCACAAGAATCGAATACTCAAACTAAATTGAGCTATCAAAACCGTGAATTAGAGCTCGTGAGAGTATAATATACTTTAACAATTTGAATAATATCAGAGTTTTGGCTGAAAAATAGAAAAAACTTATCAATTTTCTAAGGCATTGATCACGTATATTGAATTGAAAAGGTATTAAGTTATTAAAATAATTATTGAATAGAAGACATTTATGAATGGAGTTTCTCATGATAAAATTAAGCTCTGGTGGTCTTCATTTAAATTGATTATGAAAGTGAAGTTCATTTATTGAGGTATGGATGTTGATTAAGTAGTTTTTCAAAGATGAAGTTCATTATTATTTAACCCATTATTTAAAAATAAACTTGATGATGAATTATTCTTTAAATTTAAAAACAATAAATCATTAATCCATCCTAAAATACTACTGCTACTGCTGCTACTACCACTACTACTATTAAAAAAATTTGCAAAAGTAAATGAATAACCAGTTAAATAATAATAAAATTTTTCAATACTATGAATTATAATTTTTGGTAATATCCAACCAATATAATAACTTAATAATATAATTAATCCAATTACAATTAAATTGAAAAATATCAGTTCACCAATTGATGAATAAGCTAATGGAGTTGAATAAATATAAGTATAATATAATTGATTTAATTTATATAATATAAAATTATTTGAATTTTTGTAGTTTTGTTGTTTATCTAATAAAATTTCTGAATATGATTTATTTATTTGGTGATCATCTATATATTGACATTTTGACAATAATATATCATTTGATGGTTCTAGTATATTATTAGTTGAAGCTGAAGAATTTATTGAATTATTTAATGGTTGAGTAGTTGTTAGTGAAATTGGAGTTGACTTTGAAGTTTTACTTTTTAATGATTTGGTAGTAGTAGTTGTAGTAGAAGACATTATTTAGCTTAGTTTGTAGTAAGTTGTAGTGAAATTGATGTGAATTTAATTATAAAATGTGTTTTTATATATTATTTAGTAAATATAATAATTAGGGTTTGATCTTAAGTGGTATTTAGAATAATAAATTTTGATGATTTTCTTGAAAAAGCTTCCCGAATAGATTTGAATATCTACAAAACCGTGAAGAATTGCTGATATGAATATGTATAGATAAATATATCTCCTAACTTCTATTTAAATCATTCATCATAAGGAAATTCTTTATTTATTTATATCTTGACCATAGTTTGAAAGTCATTTTGTTACATTTTAGTAGTTTAGTGTAATAAAAATTTTAAAAAATTATACATACAAATAAATATAAATTATACATCCGAAGATTTCGAAAAAAAACAAAACAAAAGTGAGTTTTAGTCAGTTTATTTAGAGTGATTAAGAAACTAGTGATCGAAGAAAAAAAACCATCTACTATAAGTCCAGAAATTTGTCATTATAAGTAAAGGTTAAGAGTCTTTCCTTCTAACTGAGTTGACTATTGAACGTGTTGAGTTATTCTTAGATGCCTATCTCTTTGGTCGACAATTGATTAGTACTACATTCGCCAGATTTCTTCCGAGCTAGATAGTCTCAGAAAGATTTTCAATTTAAATATTGAAATGGTAAAAGCCATTCATTTTTTCAAATTTGCTTTTATTCATTATTAATAAAACTCATATAAAAGTAATCTTGGAATACCGAATCTTTTTACTTAACCACAATTTTGTTTAATATCTAGGCTATAAATAGAATAAAAGAAGAAAAAGATTAGTTTAGGCTTAAAGCTTTCAAAATAAAACGGTTTTGCTTTCTTACTTTAGGCCTAAAAATTTAGTAATGTTTTAGAAAATAGCAAGTACAAAACTATAAATAAAAAAAGAACGGAATACAACATTATAATGCATCAATTATTATAAAATTTGCGTTAATTTATCTTCTTGCCTTTTCAGTATGATTAGAAATCATCTTCTTGGTTTGTTCGTCAACTTTACAACCTTTGCTCCAAAAACAGGCTCTCTAAACCCGATAAACTTTTGGTCAGCCAACTTCAATACAATCCAGATGATGTATTAAGGTAATAGAAGAAAGTATCTTACGAGGTTGATGAAAGCAAGTTCGATTGTTAACCATCGAGTTCTATATTTTAATCGGAACCCATCGGTTATAAAATAGCAAAAATAAAATTAATTGTCACAAAATTGATTTTGAAACACAAAATATAAAATTATAGTGTACTGTATGCATTAATAATAATATCAACATAGATAAACGTTTATTTTAATAAGTGAAGAAGTAATTAAATTGTCAGCACAAAACTATATTATCTTATAATTAGTTCAAATTTAAAGTTTAAATCTACAGAAAAATACGAGCGTATGTGAAACTTTCATTAAAGTCATTAAAGATGGGAAAGAATCTCAAAGTTAGAAAGAAATGTTGAAACAGGTGAAAATGTCTTAATTATAAATCTAACACCATAAGTTTATACAAAATTATAATTAATTTACTGTTGCCAATTGAAATATTGACATATATGTAAACTTGATTAAGGTGCAAAATTTTTCAAAAAAATTCTTTAATATGGGTATATTCTAGTATATCTACAATGCTTATTCAAGTATGCCATAAAACTTGTTTTTTCTTCAACTTTTGTTTTCTTTTATCCAAATCAGAAGAACCACCATTTAATAAATTATTACCATCATTTAAAATTGTTGTATTATTTTCATTACTTTCTTTGCCCCAAGAATTTGGATCAACTAATTTAATTTCATTAACTCTTGGTATAATTTTTTTATTTGATTTTTTTTGTAATGCAGGAAATTTATTATCATCTATATTTTTTGATGATGATGATGATAATGATATAGATGATCCATTCTTAGGTTCTGATGAATTTAAAGAAATTAATGAACCATCTGATTTAGAACTTTTTAAATTTGTGTTATTACTACTATTATTATCTAGGTAATTTGGAATATATGGAGGACTTGGACTTTGTAAAATTGGAAAATTTTGTTGTTTTGAATTTGGTTTCTTTTTTAAAACTGTAGTATAACGTGTTGGTTGATCATTGGGGTTTATATATTTTATTTTTGTTGGTTTTTTTAAAGGTGGGAATTTATCTAATGAAGTTCCAGTAGATGATTGTCCTTGAGCCCAATTGTCTGTTCCACCACTTGAAAAAGCATTTGCATTTGATCTACCTCCAAGTATTGGAAATTGATCATTTGAATTTTCTTCATTTTCTTGTATTAAAATTGATATTAAATCTTTATGTAAATCATTATTCTTGTTGAAAAATTCTGAAAATTCTTTTATTAAAAAATTTAATTCCTCTAATGATTGTGATTTAAATAAATTATTTTTATAAATTGTTAATAATTCTTTTGCATTAATTTTTTTTAATTTAAAACTTTCATTCAATTTCATAAATTCATTAAACTTGGTCTGATCATAATTTAAATAATGCCTTGCTCTTTCTTCAAATCTTTTCTTTTTAATTGCTGGAGATTGTTGATCTTCATCTTGATCATCATTTGAAGTTAACCATCTGGAATTATTAAATGTTGATAATTGACTGAAATGATGATTATGATGATGACCATTACTATTATTTTGATTATGATATTGAGAATTGGAACCAATAACTACTCTTTGTCCATTACTTAATCCACCATGTTCTTTCAACATATGAGCAGTTAAATCTAAGTCATCTCTAAATACAACAAATCTTTGTTCAACACATGAAGCAACAGTACATACATAATGTGCTTTAGTAAAATGTTGATATAATGAATCATAATTTTTATAATAATCTGCATTTTTTGGATTTGTTTGATCACAAATATGACATCTTTCATGTTTTTCTCTTATATGTATATTTAATTCATCTTCTGAATAAAATCGTTTACCAAAACAATGTTTACATTCAGGATGACCTGAAAATCCATCTTCATCACCTTGAGATTGATGCTTTTGTAATAGTTTATAAGTATATAATGGTAATTCTATTTTAAATGCTTTTTTGAATTTTGAACAAATTAAACAATAATATTTCCCATGTTCTTCTTTTGCATGATCACATAAATCTTTAAAATTTTTAAATTGTTCTTTACAAATTGAACATTGATTTGATAATAAATTTAAAGTATCTTTTAAAACATAATCTTGTGTGAAATATATCTTATATTTTTCATCAAAAGATAGCTGAGATTTGTCTTCAAATTCTTCATATTCTTTATTTGTATCTTCAGTTATTATAACTGTATCATTTTCACTTCTACATATAAGACAATTATTCTTTTCATATAAAGCTCGTTGTCGAAATGTACATTTATGACAAGTTATATGATTACAGGGAGTTAAAGCTGCATATTCTATTTTTTCAGCACATATAAGACATTGTTGACCCTCAGGAATATCTTCTTCCTCTGAAGCTTCATTATTATGTTGATTTTTAATAACATCATCTTTGTTTCTATATCCACCTCGTTTTTTAAAAGTTGTTGGTTGTTTTCCTCCTCGACTTACTCGAGACCTCCTATTATCTTTATTGACCGTCGCATTAGTTTCCAGTGACATCGAACTATTTTGGGGTAGTATTTGAATAAGTTATTTTCACTTCTTGCAGTTATTATTCAAATCTAGGAATTCTACTCACAAAATTTATTTTTTTCATCAATTTTCCACAAACCAATTCAAACACGAAGAAAGTTGATTAATGCAATTATTTAATCTCAGTGCCACTTTAAATGTTTCAAGATTACTATATAATCCAGCATTATGCTTACCACATATAACTGTTAAATCTTTTGATCAATTGACCATCCCATTTAGAATTCCTAATCATGAAGATGTTAAAATTAAAGGTGTTGTTTTAGATAAAGATAATTGTTTTGCAAAAGATCACGATGATAAAGTTTGGCCTGAGTATGAGGTATGTTTTTGAATGGTAAAAAAGCGATTATGATGGAGGTGTATACTAACAGTTTAAAGCAAACTTGGCAAAAATTAATAGATACTTATCCAGCTGCAAATTTATTGATTGTTAGTAATTCTGCTGGTACAAATGATGATATTAATCACGAACAGGCTCAGATTTTAGAATCTAAAACAGGAGTTACGGTTTTGAGACACTCAATTAAAAAACCAGGATGTTATGAAGAAATATTATCTTATTTCAAAAAATTGAATGTAAAACCTAATGAAATCTTAGTAATTGGTGATAGATTATTTACTGATGTATTAATGGCTAATTTAATGGGTAGTTGGAGTTGTTGGATTAATGAAGGTGTTGAATTAAGTAATAAAATTTTCCCAAAATTAGAAAGACAAGTTTATCAAAATTTAGTTTCAAGTAGGGAGGATGATCCTTGGAAACCTCCAATCCCAATTGAGAAATGATAAGAAATTATGTTTTGAAAATTAAGAATTTTTGATTAGATCGATAAAGATCTAACTTTCAGTTCCCTAAATTTTTTGTTATGCTAGATTTCAAGATAAAATAGATTTAAAATATTCATAGAGATTGCTTGATTTGAACAATTAGAATAACAATTTCATCAATCAAACAAATGTCATTTTCACAAAATTTCTACTTAATGACGTCTCATAATGTTTTGTTTGATCCACCAATACCAGAAGGTAAAAGGATAAATGTTGGGAATAATGAAACAATAATTGAAGATCTTTCAAGTATTTATAATTTAACAATGTTTAAAAATTTATTTAGAATTTATTTTTCAATGTTATTGACACAATACATATTAGTATATGCTTGTGTTCCTTTTGAAGATATTAAAAATAGACCTGCAATGTGTTTGATTTCAAGTATATATATTTTAGTAATGGTATGTCAAATAAATTATTATATTATGCATTATTGAGATTTTACTAACTTTCTGCTCTTAGTTTACTATCAACGCATCAATGCTTCCTTTATGTTCAACTACTATCCCAACTTTACTTTCATTACGTTGTCTATTTTGTTCGTTTGTATTGGAAATAATTGGATTAATACTTAATATAATTACGGTGGCTCAATGTTTAAAAGTAGGTAAAATGTTTCAAGTTGAAAAGAAAGATCAGGTAGTTATTATCAAGAATAATGTTGAACTTTATATAAACATTTTCAATATTACTGCAATGGTTTTTTCAATATTCGCAACAATTTCTGTATTTTGCTTGTTAATTATTTGTGAAAAGGCTTTAGAATATATTGCAAGTAAAATTGATAGAAGAGTTATAAAACAAAACAAGAAAAAGCTTGAAAAATTTACATTAAGTACCGATTCAATGGAGAAATTCACTCAACTTCAGAGTAAATATTTCACGTAAATAGTAGAAGTATACATTTAACAAACTATTGAACATCTTAGTATATCTCTTCGAACCGGGATTCAAAGTTATTTACAAAATACTTGTGCACCATTCTTGTTATTCAATAGCTAAATATTTGAAGAAGCTGTACATTTATTACGACAGCCGCCTTAAGAATATAAACCCATAGAACGCTAATTAGAGGAATATATACGCGAAATGTTTTAGTACAACTTTATTCATTGAGACTTGATTTATTGTAAAATTAATTTCATGATGAAATGTGCTACGGTATTTGATATCCTGGTCACATGACTTAAGTTTTTGCGCTTTTGAATTAAACTAGGTGGAAGTTTTATATTCTGAAGTATTCAATGACGTTAGTGATTCAATCATTTTAAACCTGTTTAACTAACTCAGACCCAGAAAGAATCAACTATCAACAACTACAGAATGGATCAACATAGCTTAATCAAATAATTTTAGTCCATGGATTTTTCAATCGATCTTAGTGTCTGCAATTAATGTTTCGAAATGTATATGTCTAAGATAGCAATTAAATCAGAAACCCTGATTTTTCAATGCTGGAAATTACGAGTAGATCAACTTACATCAGGAAACTTAAAATAGAATAATTTTATCCTGAAACTACTTGTGTTTAAGAGAAAGTCAATGTTGAATTTGGATTTTGAAATTTGAATAATTATATTAGAAGTATGTGTCACATTCTGGCCGTCACTGGAGTGCAATTACTCAAATTTGATGGAGAGAAAAATTTCTTTGAGGAAGTTCAATCTGTCACTAGATCAGAGATAGGATTTGTTCAGTTAAGTTAGTTTTAAAAATTTTTCAAGAGTAGGAATAGGTGATGATCACTCGGTTTATGAAAAGGCTGGTCAATTATTTTCCAGTATATTTGAACTTTTTTATAAATGTCTTTTTAAAAAGAAGATATAGCAGTTCGAAATTATAGTTTAGAGGTAACTGATTTGAGTTTCTTGTTGGTAATTTTAAAGAATTCGATTTGAAACGTCATGTGGTAGCTGGCTAAATGCATGTCCCAGTATAATTTAATTTAAAATGAGAATGGCAATCAAACTTATAAATTCAACATTACATCTACTTACACCTTTGATCCTCATTACTTTTTTATCCCAACAATGAACATATATCTTAATTTACCAAAAGAACTTTTATCCCTTATCATCAAATACATTAATGATAATTCGAAAATTGAACAATTATTCAAAATACCAGCTTTACAACAATATGCTTTAGAAGAGAGGTACTCTAAATTTAAGCTCAATGGAGATGACAATTCAGGAGATGGATCTATAAAGAAATTGCAAACACTATACAAGAAATACAATTTCAAACCTCACAGAATCATTGGAGACACAGCAAACATTAATAAATTGATTGACGCTAAATTACCTGAAGTTGAAAACAAGAATACATTGAAAAAAAGGAGACAAACCAGATCACATGTTAAAGGATTAGGCTCAGAAAATAAACTAATTGACTATAGTCATGTTGATTTTGAAATTTTGCATACACCTTTCGATGAAGTTCTGGAACTTGAAAATATTTTCAAAAATGTTAATATTGTTCTGATTGATATAACTAGTTATGATTCTATTGCAAAGTATCTCACCTCGAATAATGAAAAAGAACTCGAAACACTTTTGGATATAATTCAAACAAGTCAATTGGAGTCTTTAACTACTGTCTTTCTGAATCGGTTTACTGTAATGTTCCCAACTTCTTTGAAAAATTTAAAACTTATTCTTGAAGGTAAGAATGTTAGACCTGATCTAAGTGATTTGATTAATCTTGAATCTTTTTGTGGAAGTGACCTTAATGGATTTGACTCATTGGATTATATCCAATTACCCAAATCTATCAAAAACTTGAAGCTTAATAAATGTCGCATACCAGATTTAGGGGATATGAAACAATATTCGAATTTAAGGTCTTTGATAATGGACCGTAGTGATGCACTTTTTGAAGTCATGAAAAGTTCTTTTCCCAATACACTAGAAGTTATAAAAATTATCAACACTACACCGGACGAAAAAATTGTTGAAATATTTAGAGCGGCGGAAGAAGGAACTAATGCTCAATTCGAAAGATCAGATTTTTCTCATGACGGTAAATTTTTTTTAATAGGTGACAATTTCAAACCACCCCCAAAACTACAAGTATTACATATTGATGATCGATGGAAAAACATGAAAATCGAACGCCTTCTAAAACTACAAACGCTCAATAGCTTTATTTTGAGAAACATGGAAAGTGTTGATTTAAAGCAAGTTTTATCATCTTTGCCGAAAACTATGTACAAGATTGAAATTACTGATTGTACTATAACAAATATAGGAAGCGATTTAATTTTTCCTGAACTGAAACATATCATATTTACTTGTAACAAGCCTAATAATGTTTTTAGATCAAACATGAATCACCTTAAGGAATTGAGGGAATTGGAATTGACATGTAATCGCTTTGGTCATAACTACGACTATACTAGACTTGACGCTTTTGAACTTTTGACTCATGATAATGCTAGTATTGGTAAATCTGGTGGTAAATCTGGTGGTAAATCTGGTGGTAAATCACGGGGAAAGCTTGTTAAAAAAAACAAAGATGAGGTGAATGATATTATGACTTTTGAGACACCTGCACTAGAAGATTTGTATTTACACAACTCAATTCTATACCGATTTGACAGAAGAAAACCAGATATGGAAAAAAGACTCAATTTACTCCCAACTCAAATATCAATAGAAGAATGTACAAACTTGAAAAGATTAAGTATTAAAAATTCGACTGTCCGAACATTAGATCTTAATGCATTTCCAAATTTGTTAGTTTACTTAAAAATCATCGGTACCAGATTGAACTTAATCCAAGGTGAATTTAAGATTTTGAATAAATTGGAAAAATTGGACTTGAGGGAAGATGAAATTAATTACGCGATGTTAGCAAATCAAACTTTTCCACAAAGTTTGATATCATTAGACTTATCAGAGAATGTATTCGAAGACTTGAGGTGTTTATACTTGGACAACTGTGTTAACCTACGCAATTTGATCTTATTGAAAGTGACTGATCTGCATGAACCAAAAGGTGCTAATGAGTTGAAAAATGTGTTTCTTAAATTAGTCCTGGATGCTGATAAGAGCCATGCAATTGTTAAAAACATTAGAACAAAAATTATATTTGAGATAATCGATGGTGTTGAAAAAGTCAGAGGTCGTCGAAAAGGATCCAATAAAAGGAAAAGGATCGAAGGTGATTCAGAGTAAGTAGGATACTTTAAAAAATATCAATTCTTATGTATTAATTTCTTTAAACACTCTTAATTTGACAATATCATAACACTATAAATAAGCCATCCACAAAGTATCAGCAGCAGCCAAGTTTCTTGGATTTACAGCCTGTGATATTAATTCCAAAACATTTTGAGTAGCCACCCCTAAACCAGAAGATATGTGTCCCATTGTCATCACCCTTTTAATAATGCTTTCAACGTTCAATTTGACAACTTCTCTTAAATTATTTTCAGGTGATTGTGAAATCCAATTGATAACCTCATCTCTAACAAATAAGGTCAAATATTGTTCCAAATCAGATTCAGGTTCTAATAAAGCTCGAGCAATACATAAAACATAAACAGCTAAAATACCTTCTAAACCATTTTCTCCAATCAATTTTTGAATATTTGGTGTTAATCTAAAAGGAACTTGTTCAGCATTAACAAATACTGGTTGAGGTTTCGAGTTTGAATCATTTCTATTAGGAATTTTGCAAGGTAACATATCTGAAGTCCAAACATTACCAGAACCTTTGTTCACATGAATCTTTTGTGGTTGTCTAGCATTTACACACATCATATAAGTAGCGAAAATGAAAGATGCATATTGTGATGTGAATTGTTTTCGAAATAACCAAAAATTGTCAAAACTTGGATAAAGATTGAGAAAGTAATTTTTCAAAACAGTTGATGGAACTAATAAAGTTTGAATTGCACTTAATATTTCAACTCTAATACTTGCTAAATCAGGTTTTGGTAATCTTTGATCAAATGCTGCTCTTAATTTTTCAACAGTATATATAAATGGTTCATCTCTACTCTTGCCATTATTTCTGCAAAAATCTTCATATATTCTTTGTAAGGTTATATCCCTAGTATCATCATTAACAATTCTTATATGTGGAGATAATGGTACAGCAATTGGTAATGTAAATTGAATATTTCTTCTTCTGGTTTCAACTTTTCTTGAAATATTATCATTGAAAATCCTAAATAATTGAAAAACGGATTCTTCTCTTCTACAATGACGAGCAGCTGGGAATTGAACAGCAAAAGTATGCAAACTACCATCATGACCTCTAATTCTTAATCTTTTGTAACAAGCATTTGTACCACGATCCAATTCAATTGTTGGTAAAAACCTCTCTATTTTAACAAAATGACTATTGCTATCTTTATTTAATAAGTATTGACCTGGGATTTCAATTTCTTCAAATTTTTGATGATGAAATTCACTTAAGTGAGGACATAAATTCTCCAAATTAACTTTTGTAAATCTTCTATCCAATTTATCTTCCAACCTGTCTCTCCATTTTCTTAATTTTGTAATGTAAGTTTCCAAATTAGGTTTCGAGAATACCAAATCTTGTTCAAATTCAGCTCGGATTTGTTTTGGTAAAACAGTTTCTGCAAACCTTGTTATATTAGCTTCAGTCACGGGTGGAAGTTTAGCATCATCTTTTGGATTTCCTAATCTATTCAAATATTGTACACCATCATTCAATAAAGCAACACCTAATCTATAAGCATCTTCATCTGCAGTACATTTAAATCGCTGATTTATTTGATCAACTAATGATTCTAATGATAAAGCTAATAAGGGATAAGCTGTTTTCAATATTGCCATAATTTCTTCGACGTGCTCCAATGGTAAACGTACAGAATTTGGTATTGTAATTTGAGGTGGTGGTGATTGTTGACCATTTACATGTTCATTTCCTCCATCAGCATTGTTCACAGATGCAGCTTGTTGACGCGCCATTTCAATAGCTTGACGTTGTTGAGCAGCAAAATCTTCACGAGTTGTTCTCAATTGGAAATGCAAAGCTTGAGGATAACTCTTTGCAATTCTTACCAAAATTTGTTTAGCCAATTTAGCTTCTCTTTGAGATAATGATGCCAACAATTGCGGTATAAATGTAATCCAATACCAAACTGGTACTTCACCTCTAAAATTCTCAAATGCTTGAGCTAATGTACCAGAACCATCATCTAAACTGATTAACCATAAAATTCTTGCCAACAATTTTCTAGTTTTACCATTCTTGTATAAACCAGCAGCCTGTAAATAACAACTAATAGCATTATTTGCATAAACCATATCATTAGGATTTTCTTTAAATCTTTTATCATTGAACATACCCCACTCTGCCCAAGCTTTTGGTAAATTTAAATCAATTTGTACAGAAGTCGCAAAAGCTTTATTTGCTTCATCCTTTTGGTTCAATTTATTTAAAAACATTCCTTTCAAAGTAAAAAATTCAGCTTTTTGTTGGGTTGCAAAATATACTAAATTAGTATTGCTAATAACATCTAGACCGGTATTCAACTCATTTGGATTCTGATAATGACATTTGACCTGCTCTTTTAATTTCAAAAATGCTTCTTGAATTTCAATGTTAGGTAACTGATAAATTCTTGTTAACTCTTTAATACAAACTTCAGGCATATTATGTTTTCTAGCTACATGAGCAAACCTATTAATGACCCAAGCTATTTCATGAAATCCACGATAAGCATATGAATTAGCATTACTACCAGAACTTGATTGCTGAAGTACAGGAATAAAAGGCATATAAACTTTGTTGATGACCTGAAATGCATGTTGACGCCATGTTACTAAATCATTCCATATATTGATATCATCCCAAATATTAGGCAACCTCTCTCGCCAAACCTGTAATACTCTTTTCAATTCTTGAGATTTTACATCTAAGTTCTGAGCATTTGTACTAACTAAACTTGCATAAACTTGACTAGCTTCCATAAATTCAACATATTGTTGGAAAGTATGTAATAAGGGAATATGAGCATTTGCAAATTTTTTGGGTAATCCATGCCACTTTCGTAATGCTAATTGAATACCTTCATCACATAATTTTGAAAGATCCTGTAACGTTTCTTTTTCTTGTCCATAACCTTGTAAGCATAAAAATGTTTCAAAAATTTGTCGACGTGGAGTTGAAACATCCATTACGTTCTTAACGGTTTGATCTAAAGTTTCTCTATCATTATACCAATCAGCAACCCTCCAACCACATTCTAATAATAAATCTGAAAATCCTTCGTGTCTTGCCAAATCAGTTAAAATGTCCCAATGTTGAAGTTTTTCTGAACATAAAATCCAATGATCCTCCCACAATGCATATTCAGATTCACCATAAGGTAATGCACCACTACGAGCTTTAATTTGTGCAGTTTCATACAATTGTTGAGCTTTATCCCATAGACCCATTTGTTCATAAGATAATGCACTAATAGTTTCTGTATATTTAGCTCTTCTACGCCATATTCCATAAAACATATCATCCTCTTTCAAAGTGGCATAAAGTTTAGTTAAAGCATCCTGAACAACTTCACGTACATCAGCGTTAGCATTGACCGACTCTTCATTGATTTTTTCTAATAATTGTAAACCTTGAGACCATGCATCATAATTTGCAGCTAAGCATTCAACAGCGAATGGAGGTAATTGTAAATCATAACATTTGGCGATACCTTCTAACAAACATTGAATAACATTTGGTCTCATATCAATTTGACGAGTATGATATTCCTTAGATAATAATATGACTAAAAATCTAGTGAAATCTAAATGTTCAGAACGTGGAATAGACTTGAAAACAATTGGAAAAATTGTGGACCAAGTTTTATGGATGGATTCACTACTTTGGTAAAACATATCAATTAATGGTTCAAATACATCACCAGCTTTTAAGTCATTTATCTTGCTTAAAAATTCTGAGTGATTTTTTAACATATCCGTTAATTTTTCATCTGAATCAACCTCCATTTGATCGTAGTTCGATGATTTCGGAAGATCAATGGTCTCAATAGGAGCTAATTTATTTTCATCAGCTACGAATTCAATCTTTTTATCAAAATTAAATGATCCAAATATAATTTGCAATGCTTGATTCAACCATGGATAGTCTGCTAAATACTCCCAATTTTGCTCTCTTATCACATAATATAATCTTTTGGATATATCCTTTTCCAAACTATTGTTTAAAATCGACATCAATTTAGTTCTAATCAAAACATCAGTAGATCTTGTACCAACCATAAATGGTTGCTCCATCCGAACAGTCAACTCAGTACAACTAAATGAATCGTCCTCAAAAATGTCAACAATTATTTGATAAAACTCTTTAGACAATGTTGGCTCACCTCTAACTTCAAACACCATCATTTTAGATAATATAGCTGCTTTTTCTTTAGTTGTTGGAAATAAATCTGTCTTTGAAAATACCCAATTCTTGACAATCTTTATTATTTTTTCAAGAGTTTCTTTATCTAGACTTCTTTCGATTAATTGTGCTAGTAATGATAAGAAAATACGTCTTTGATCTCCTAAATTCGAAATTCTCATGGAACATAAATTCAAAATTTTTTCCAATAATTTAGTTGTCATTTTTGCTTCAAATTCAGCATTTGTATTATCTTTAGATTGAGTACCTTGATGTGTAATGGTGATGTGATCCTTACATAATTTACTGAAAGTTTTCATGATGATGGGCAATAACGGATCTAATGCAGATGGTCTATATTGAGCCAAAGTCCATGATAAAGTAACTCCTGCAGCAAAAGATGGCATATCCCCTAAATCCTCAGAAACAGATGTAGTTAATAAATTAATAAATTCCTTGACATCCTCTTCTTCTTCTTCTTCTTCATCTGCTTTTTTTTGCTTATTGATTGCTCCCAAAATAGTACATAAAACTCTTTGTAAAATTTCTTGAATATCATGATTATCAGATTTTATACATTTTTCTAATAATTTTTGCAAATAAGACAAATTGGAAACAATCCAATCAGGTTGCTTCCATTCTAGGACAACACCCAAAACTTCTAAAGCATTTAAACAATATCCCAACAAGTTATTTGAATTCAAATCATTTGAAAGTAAAAATTTTTCGAAAAAAGTCAATTTCACAGTGACTTCTGGCCAATGTTCAGGACTCAATAAATCATATAAAATTCCCAATGCTTTTTGCCCTAACTCACTTTCAGAAGCTCTTTGTGGACTAATACAAACATATCTAATCAAAAATGTAACACAAGCTTCTCTTTGTCCAAATGGTATTGTGTAAGCAGGCGAGGTAGTGAAATCACCTTCAGTTTTCAATTCATCTTGAACTTCTCCAGGGTTTTCAGAATCTTTACTAACCAACTCAAAATTATCTTGAGATTTTTCCATTGATGTGTCTCCATTGATTTGTTTGTCATCTTTTCCATCCTTTTCAGTAGAGTCTACACCATCATTTAAAGTTTTTTCAGCAGTATCCATATCGATATCATTTACATCCTTTTCCAGCTCCGTAACTGATTCATTTTTCTTCAAATCTTTAGCTTTTCTTTCCCAATACAAGATCAATTCCGCTAATTCGATTGCCAACACTTGATTTTCAATTGCAGGATTTGCCAATATAGTTAATTTTCCCATAGCAGTAATAATATTTGAGATGAAATGTTCTCTAGCAACAAAGAATAAATCTGGATGTTGAATGATGAATTGATAAACATTTAAAACTTGAGTTACATTAAAACCATCCTCCGATATAATACGACGCGGCCATTTTAACCATGAATCAACATCTTTTATTCTATCAGACATGACTGGTGCCAAAATATCTAATGCTTGTCTAACTAAGTGTCTGGAATCTGTTTGATGTGTTCTCAACAAGGCCACAAATACTTGTGTTGCTAATTTTCCTGGAGTATCATATGCAGCAATAAAATATGAAGTAGTAACATAAGCAACCTGTTTAGTGATGTTGTCATCTAATTTAATATAATTCCAGCTGAATTTGATTATATCCTTACGTAATTCATTAATTTGAGTAGGTGCTAATTTCAATAGTAATGCTGTAACTTCAAGAAGGGCATACCTATAACTATCAATAGCACCAGAAGTATGACTTGTAATAATGTCATTCGTAGATTTCCAAACAATATCATCGAATTTTTTGAGCCATGTAACACCTTCAAATAAATCTGAAATATCATCATTCTTTACTGACTCAAAAATAAAAATGGGATTGAAAATTTTTTTCAAAAGGAGTATTTTTGATCTTTCACAAGGTTCTGATTCGCCAATGAAATCAACAGTTTTATTCAAATATGATTTTTTCAACTCGAGATTGTTAGAAGAGACGATATCATTAAAGATGAAATCATCCAACTCATTCGAAATCTTGTATTTCAACTTAGAAAGACGGTCAATCACTGTAAACACCAAATCAATTTCTCCTTCATTTATTTTAATAAATTCAACAACAAGATGTTGCAATTTTACAATGGCCTGATCATTTTGAAAATGAGCAGCTGATAAAACTGGAGCAGTACTAATTTCATGAGCATCTTCAATAAATTTTGATAAAGTTAGCAACAAATTTTTTTGACCATTAAACCATTCTTTATCATGTTTAGCAATTGCATCAGTTAAATCAATAAGATTTGCAAACTTGACAACTTTAATTTCAGGATCAGTTTCGTTTTCAATTTCTTCAATAAATACCAGAAACTTCTCTTCAGCTACTTTTCTTAAATTTTCACAACCATCCATTCCAATGATTGATGCAAGCATATTCCCCAATTTTCGATTTTTGAAGTTTTTGATCAAATACTCAATACAATTTTCAGCAAATCTATTAAGAAATTTTGATATTGGTTTTCTAAAAGGAGAATTTTGATGACGATCTAAATGCCCTTCCAAGTATTGGAGAGTGTTAATTATTTCTTCCATGAATGTATAAGCTTTAGCAGGTAACAAGTGAAATATATTTAAAATAGCCATAACTATTTGTACAGTGTGATTATTATCAAGATTTTGACCTGCAATTTGCCTTAATGTATTAATTTGAGCCCAAGCCATCAAATGATCCAATAATTTTCTACCAATTTCAACTCTAAAATATGAGATCAAAAGTTCTAATAATCTAGCTAATGCTTCTAAACCTGAAACAGTTAATTTTTTGTGATCAGATAAATTCATCAACATTGGACGTAAACCATTTTGTAATAATTCCTTTGGTAATTTTGCATTCTCTTGTAAACTTGAAGCTAAACCTTGATGAGCAGCATTAATAATTTCAGTAGATTTATTACATAATGCCTTAAAAAATACACCCAAAATTCTAATTCTTGCTTCAGCTAATGTTCCTATTGAAAAATCTGGTTTAGATAAAGCTAGTGATAGTATTTTAATACATACTACACGAAGTTCAATCAATTGCTTTGAAGTTCTGTACTCACTTAAACGATGAACATTTGCTAAAGAATCATCATCCGCATCAACTAATGCTAAAGCTTCCAAAAGCAACCTATTTAATTCTTCGTTGAAACTTAAAAATGTATCTGGTAATGCCAAACAAAATGTAATTGCATCTATATTACCAATTTGCATAGGAAATGGTAAAGCTCTTAATGGTTTACCAAAAATTGGAGTTAATAATAAATGTTTGCATGGATCAATGATTTGAGCAATAGGTACTGACGTAACATCTGATAATACTTTTAAACATTCTTGAGCAACTTCTCTTACCATTGGTGTTGGACTAGCTAAATCATAAACTAAAGCACCCACCAAAGTTTGAAATGGTTTTTCTAATACTGTTTCTTTAGTCAAATCTTTATTACAAGTTTTTAAAAGATCAAGCAATAAAATTTTTGCAGATTCACGAATTTCAAATGGGGCAGTTTCTGGTGTATCTCTAAGAATGAAAAATATAGCTCTAGCTAACTCAAATTGTCTTTTGTAAAACCAAGTTGGAGCTATTCCTAAATCATGAAACATTGTTTTTAAACCAATAACACCACCTAATTTAGTATGATAATATTCATTATAACAGCAATGTGTAAATTTATAAAACATTGATCTAAAAATTAATGAATGCAATGCACTTTCTTCGGATCCAAACAAAATCACTGTAGTATCATAAATTTTTTTGATGGTATCAATACCTTTTTGACGAACATCTTTATCCCAAAAGCTCAAAGCGTAAGTAATAGCACTTAAAAACGCGTTTTCACTAATATATGCTTTTCCTTCATTATCCAGAACCGAAAATTTTCTTTCCTTCTTAATTTTTTCAATGACTGAAGTAGTTAAATGAATCAATGTAAAATGTGTTGTCAAACCATCTATTAAATCAATTGCTTCATCCTTTAATTCTGGAATTGATACTGAAAAGAATAACTTTTCAAGTAACTTTGCAAATAATTGTTGCTGGCGATCCAATTTTTCAACATCTTTAATGTCCAGTGGGTTCAATTTGATATCAATTTCTCTATCTTGTGACTTTAAAAACTCAACGCTTTCCTTTGTATACTGATTAAAATTTTCCGGAATTGGATTGGTGTTAATAAATAATTTCAATATACTTGTTAAATATTTGAATGCACTAATTCTATAATGTATTTTCAATCTAGGATCATCTAATAATTTAATTGCTGATTCAACTCCAGGAGTGATCGAAACAGGAACTTTATCATCAAGTCCATATATTTGTACCAAGGCTTTAATTTCTTGATCAACATCTGATTGGGTTTGTAAATTATCGCATGGCTTAATTTGTTTATGATTTCTACCACCTAATTTACCCAAAATTCTAATAGCTGTATGACTATGTTGATGATGATAAGGAACAGGTTCTAAATGCTTCCATAATGCTGCCATTATATCGTCTACTACTGGTTCAATCATTGGATCAAAATATTCAGCTGTCAAATTGTCAACACATAATTCAAAAGTACGCAAACCTTGACTTACCAATTCTTGTGGACCATTCAATGCATAAACTAAAGGACGTGTTAAATAACTTAAATGAGGTACTAAAACTGATAATCTAACTGGAACTGTCAAGCATAATTCAACATATATATCCCTCTCATAAGGTCTTCTTGCATTAGCAATCATCTTATTCAAATTTTCTAATAGCACCGGTAAGATAGGCATGATTTCTTTATACAAATTTTCAAATCTTCCACCACTTATACTTCTAAATAAAATCCTTACCAAATATGAATATACTATAGGTTCTTCAGCTTTTGTTCCTAATCTTAACGATTCAAGTATGAGATGATTTAAATGAGGTAATAAGACAGCTTCATTTGTAGTTGGGAAAAGATTGACTGACATAAAACATAATTTAAATAACCGTATTAAAATATTTGATTTTATTAAATCTGCATTTCCTAATTGATTCAAATTATTTTTCAAAAATGAAATTAAAATACTTGAAAAATTTGCAGAAGTTACTTCACTAGCTAAAAAAAATTGTGGCAAATGTAATAATGCAGCATTATCCAACATTGATTCAAATAAAAATGGTAATTCCGAACTAACAATTTCATTAAATGAAGCTGGATCAATATGAATAAAAATAGTAGCAAATATTTCCATTAAATCTTTTTCATCTTTGGATGATGTGATTGGTAAATTAGGTCCACCAGTTGAAAAATCATAAGTTTTTTGATTGACAGGTAATTTAGGTTTAGATACTGAAAAAAATCGTAGACAACTGATACCACCTCTAAATAATGCTCTTAAAATATTGACTTCTTCTACTGATATTAATTTTGCAGAGTCATTCCATTTATCATAATTAACTTGTTGTTGTTGCTGGTCTGGTTGAGGTTGTGGTGGAACTGGTGGATTACAATTTTTCAATCCAAATATAACTGATTTTAAAAATGTCATTAAAGTTCTGAAAAGATATCTTGCATCTTTTAATACATCCGTATTACTTGCAACAGGAACAGTGGCAATTGGAGAATATGAGTCTATGTTGAACACGTTTAATCCTAAATCCTTATCAACTTGAGGATCAGCATCTTCCTTAGCTTCTTCTTTATCAATTTCCATTTCACCATTGGTTTCATCAGCTTTCTCTTCTTGTTCAATTGGGTCCTTTTTAGACGAATATCTTTGTACGGCCTTTTTTGATTCTTTCTCTTTCATTAATTTCTTTTTTTCATATTCATTATGTTTGGCAATAATAAAATCATACTTACGATTCAAACTTTCAAATCTCTTTGCATATGAGTCAATTATAATTAAAAATAATTGTCTACCTTCTAATTTATTTGGTAATTTCATAATTTTTTCAACTAAATTTAATAATAATTTTGCACTCATTATTTGAACTGTGAGAGCTAATGAATCATCTTTTAATAATCCACAATATATATTAACAGTTGACCATATTTGTGGTGAAGTTAATTCATTCCTTACATTATGTATAAAATCTGCAACAGTTGAATAAGCTAAAGGTCTCAATGTTTCATATGAAGTTAAACCATCGCCAATTAAAATTTTCTCATCGAATAATAGTTCTAATTTAGGAATAAATTGAGTTCTAAAAGGTGTAGATAATATGTGTCTTGTAGCATGAAGTAATTCCTTTCTTGCAACTGATAATTCAGCAGGGCAATCTTGTAATAATCGAAGTATTACATCAGGGATACATTGACTTTCTTCAGGTTTCATAAATTGACTTGCATATCCTCTAATAAATACATAAGCTAAAAATGATGCTGCTTTTACTTGTCCCAATATGAAATCACTATATGCTTGTCTATTTTGAACATTAGGAGAAACCGAAGTTACAATGTTATTATCTGATTCTTCATGATATTGCTGTTGTTGTTTGACTTGTAGTTGTAAAATGTGAATAATTTTTGGTAAAAATTGTGGTATTGAAGTTGCTGCTAATGACTTATAAGACGAATATAATGAAACCATAGTAATTGGACATTCAGCTAATGTTTTAAATGAAAACATGGCTCTTCTTAAGGTTTTAGATGGACCTTCTTCATTAAATGGTGACATTTCTTTATTATCATTATCTATAGTTGATTCATCGACAAATACTTCCTGAACTGTTTTATCCATATTGTCATAAATTTGTTCCATTACTTCAATAAAAGGTTGTACTTTTTCAGACAAGTTTGCCTTGTAAGTTTTATGTAAACTTGTTATAATTTTCATACATAAAACTCCATTATCTTCATTCTCCTCTACTAATATTTTGGTCAAGGCATTTAAAATTTGTTCTGCAAAAGGTTGAAAAGTTTCATTCATAATGGATCTATGTATAATTTCTAATATACTATTTCTTAATTTATGTTCAGGATTAGTTGAATTGAATGAAATTGGTACTTCCTCGAGTTCTTTGATAAATTTAGGTATAAGATTCTTAAGGAAATATTCATATTCTGCTGCTCCATTAAATGACTCTATTGTATCTAATAATTCTGATAATATTGAATGTTTGGTGGTATAATCGTCACCACTATCATTGAGCCTTGACACAAATGTGTCTAGTTGTGCAATGTAAGACATTTTTATGTAAGTCTATGATGTCCCCTTTTGTCAAAAATCGGGTCTGAAATGTCTTACTTGTCGTTGTTTTGAATAAATTGGTTCAATATTACTTTGTTTACAGCCAAATATTTAAAAACATACATAAAATAGATTTTAGAGGAAATTGAATTTACCAAATTTTTCAAAAGTCATGTGATTATCACATGATTTGCACAGAAATCATATATTGTATTATTAGTTTAGCATACAATATATCAAATTCTATCACCCATAGAATAGACATGAAGAAAACGTATATAGCAGTAGAAGTGCTTTATTATGAATTTTATATCAATGATTGTAAAAACATTCTTTGTAAAACTTAACAAATGTTTATGATATAACGCTATAATCTCACTATAAACTTGAAACAAAATTACTATTATTAAGAATAAAAAAATCTAATTAATAAACTCTCAAGATCCTAAACTTTACCCATAGATGTAACTACTTTCCTAGCTCTAAAATCAATCCAATTCAGCAACAACATACACAAAAAGACAACAAAATTAAAACTAAAAGCAATCCAAGTCATAATTTCAGCTCTTGTACCAATTTTACTCAGAATTAATCCAAAACTTGAATCACTTAATAAATTTATAGCAGTTTTACACAGTTGAACTTGTAACATTGAACCAAGTCCCCATAACATTAAATTTATAAAACTAATAAATAATCCAATTTTATTCATAATTATCCTACCTGGTAATGGAAGTAATATATAACATAATATTAATAAACATGCTAATGTTAAAAATATACATGACATTAATAAATGAGGATGAATAATTGTTTCAAAAGTTTGAGCAATTTGTAATAAATTAAATTGATTTGATAAAAAATTTAAAGTATATGAAGGTATTGAATTAAGTGTCTTGTATGTAGTACATTTTAAATCATCTTTTATTGATAAACAAACACCTAAATAACCTACTTTAATTGAAATATCATCTAAATCATTTAATGTGGTTGAATTTGATTTTATTGTTAAATGTTGATATAAAGATGATGATGAATTAAATTTATAATCAATTAAATAAACATTTGAATAGTTTGATGAAGTATCTATGCAACTTAATAATAGGAAAGCTAATAATGCAGTTGCTATAAATTGAAGGATTATTGTTAAAAGAATGATTGATTTTGATATAACAAATGTCATGTTGATGGAATTAATTAGATTAGATACTTAACAAAAATTTTGTATTAAAAATGTTAGACTTAATGTAATATATATACTGTTTCTTGTTAAATAACGTTCCTTAAAATTTTGAAACATGTTGTTGTTAAGAAATTCTGTAAATTATGGAAACATAAAACATTACACAAAAAAGATGCATGAAAATTCTGAAACATATCGTTTCATGAAACAAATATTTTTTAAGTCTATTTATAACGCTTAATATGACTGTATTTTAATAATGCCTAGAACAAAATAGCGAGTCCAAAATCAAGAATCATACATAATCTTTTTTGAAACAATTTTAAACATTTAGTCTAGAACAATTTATTATAGGATCTATTAAATTAAGCTAAGAATTATTCTTATTATAGAATAAATTATTAAAATAGCACTTAAAACAACCAAAAATGGCTTAAATATTTCAAATGAATTTCTCATTTTAAAATCTCCAACTATTAATTTTGAATTAGATGAATCTACTCCCCATTTACCTGTTTTATAAAAATTATTCATTAATTTATCTTTTTCATACCATATTTCTAATAACCATTCTTCAAACTTTTGTAAAGTTTCAGGACTTGCATCATCTATATCATCAACAATTTCATCTCCTAATGGGATATCATCAATTTTAAAACCTTTAATATAATAATTTATTACAGGTGGACCATAACCTTTTATATAAAAACGTTTCAATGAAAAAAGTATTTCACCATATTCATCTTCTTTTAATCCTGAATATGCAGTTGTTATATCATAAACAATTTCAAGTGATCCCCTTAATTTTTGTAATGCTAAATATAAACCTCTAACTCTTGGCAATAATACATGTTTTAAAGGTGGATAACCTTTTGATAATACATATTCTGCTGATTTTTTAGTTGTTCTATCTGATGGAACAGTACCTTCAGGAAATAAAAGTAATTCATATGGCCAAATTTTTGAAGAATCGTTACCTTGTGGCCATTTTTTATAATTCTTTTCAGTTGAATCAATTAATTTAAATCCATTTGCAGGTCCTTTACCTCTACCATTTGCATCTATTTTCAATAATTGATTAGTTAAAATAATTTTATCTTTTTCCCATTTTCTAGAAAGAAATAAAAAGTTAAAATTTTTCATTCCATATCCTAATACTGGTATCTTAGATAAATCTTTTAATATAATGAATACAAAATCACTCATTTTGGAAGTATAAGTTAAAAACCAAAGAAATAACCAATCAGTATATATTTGATGATTTGATATCAATATTGAATTTGGTTGGAACATAGTATGTAAATTATTTGAATCATCCACTTTGAATTGTTGAGCATTAGGGATAGAATTAATATCTAATGTAATGGCTACTTTACTTGGATTAACAATTGATGTTATCCAACCAATTAAAATCAAAAAATGAGTTTTAGTTTTATTTATTAATGCTTCCTTGTATGCCGATGTATTCTTAAATATGATTAATCCAGTCCATTGAGTAAATACAATTGACAAACATCCTAAAATAAAGAATGGTATAATTAGTGCTGTTCTAATAATTATAACTGGTAAAAGATGTCTAAAACTCATTTTCTTTTTAAATCCTCATGTGATATCAAGACTTATTTTGAGTTGAATTCACTTATTTGCTCTAATAATATTGATTGGTTATGTTTTCTCTTGATTATGGTCGAGATTTCTCAATGTTTGTAGTTGTGATTGATTCTGAACTTTGTATTAAAAATAATATGATACAAATTGATTAGATCAAAGCATTTAATATGAGTTGAATGTGTTTAATCACTATTATTTTCAATACTGAATTATTCTTCTATTTATTAATAATAGAAATGAGTACTTTTGGAGTGTGATATTAAAGGCAAAATAATATTGTGTATTATTATTAATAGTAACAATTTAACTTAATAGAATCATTATTATTTTTTTGTTGGATTTTTTTTTAGGTCAAATATTACATAGACATAGTAACATAGAAAGAATGATCAATGTATAATCAATCAATAATAGAGTATTTTATTTTTTTCATAAATGTTGTTCAAGTATCTCTATAGGGTTCTGAAGCATTTAATTACGTGGACATGCAATCTCTTTTTGAATTTTAAATATAGAGTTGAATTTGAAACATTTTGGTATAATCGAAAGTAAGTAGACAAAGATAACTCCGCTTTGATTAATCTGGATCTTAAAACACAATAGTATGAGTTAAAACCGTCAAACTTTTCATTGCATGGCACGACGCGGTCTTTAGTTTCAAATTATACTTAAAATTTTCAATTCTAATGGAGTTTTCATTTAAGCCTCCTTTTGCTTCGTCAAATAATTAATACCGCAATGCCACTGCTTGAGCTTATATTATCTATAACAGACCAAATCGGTAAATAATCAAAGGAATGAGGCGATGAATGTGGTCAACCTCAATCGGTTATATAAATGTTTCTAATATTACATTGAACATAATATCTAGGACGATCCTTATTAACTACTTCTTTGTGTTTTTACGCTATATAGCATCGTTATCAGAAATGCTAACAATATCTAATTTTATTTGAGTAAGGTTGTATCGAGTAAAAACTTCGTTTGCATTTGATTACCATTAACTTTTGACTTTACCTGAATTGCAAAATAAATTATACATAAATCCGCAATAGAACCTGCTCGTAAACCATATCAAACAGAGCTTTTAAATTTATATGCATCAATTTTCAGTTACAATCTTGTTGTTTCATATCTTTTATTAACAGTTATAGGCGAAATCTAAACATGTGTGTATCTGAGCAAATTCAAATTAAAGATGTATAAATTTAATAATGAGGATTATACATATATTTGCTTCAGCTAAACTAAATGAATTACAGGATTTGGTGATAAGGTTTCTTCTTTCAGCAAACTCCGGTTACTTCAAAACTATGTTGTTTCCAACTCTTTCTGATTAAAATCATGTGCTATTTACAAAATTGCGCTTAGATCTTCATGGTTGCAAATTAATCTTTTTTTCCAACTAAATTAGTAATCGGATTTATGAAGATTAAGTTTTATAACACCGATTTTAGTATATTTTACACTACACAATTCATGAATATTACATCTTATTGTTTCAAATCTATTCACAAATTATATTGTTAATACTTTGACTTCATAAATCCATTTCATAAATCAAAGAATATTATATAGATCTTGATACTTCCAGTGAAATTTTGTCAATCAAATTAAATTATAATATTTGATCTTGGATTTTTATTAATTTTCAAATTTCAAAGCACAAAGTCAACTTAAGTAAGAGATTACTATATTTGAAAGATCTGTACCCCACCACTTTCTCAGTGACGATCAACTTTAATGGCCATAACATCACAAGATCCTCCAAAAACATCATTAATATTCAATTATTCAAATCAAATTGCCCTGAGTCTTTGCAAGTTTATCAATTTATGTCAGTTTCAATAAATATATACGAAGTTGCATTAATCCTTATATCAAATGTCAAATAATAATAACAATAATCACCATCATCATCAACATCATGGTATTGACCCACCTATAATTATTGATAATATCAACGAACCACCGGATATTCCAGATAATACGTCACTAGCATCATCAGACTCCGAATCTTCGCAGCAACATAAGCATCAGGTAAATCCCATACAACATAGTAATGAATCTGGCACAGATAATAATGACTATCAGCATCAGATTTTAGGACCATTAGCAGATTTGGAGAGAAGTATAACGTCATTTGAAAATTTACAACGCCAACAAGAACAAGAAAATTTAAAAAAGCAACAATCAAGATTAACTCAAACTACATCAAGAAAAACTTTAAGAGTTCCAAGAGCAGATAAAAGGGGCTTATTTGCATCAATCGTTTTTGTTCCTGAATATCATGATGCCAGAGACTATCCTTCAAAAATCAAATTTTTAATTGTTTTTATAATAGCATTTGCATCAATTACTGGACCAATGGGAACATCAATCATGTTACCTGCTCTTGATGATATAACTGAAAAATTGCACACGACAGGTTCCGAAGTTAATGTATCAGTTGGTATATATCTTTTAGCATTAGGAATTTTCCCTCTTTGGTGGTCATCATTTAGTGAAAAATATGGAAGAAGATCAGTTTATATAATAAGTTTTATTTTATTTGTCGGTTTTTCAATAGGAACTGCATTAGCTCCAAACATCTCTGCATTAATTGTCTTGAGAGTATTACAGGGTGGTTCATCAGCTTCAGTTCAAGCTGTTGGAGCGGGAACAATTGCTGATTTATATGCACCACAAGAAAGAGGTAAGGCTATGGGTTGGTATTATTTAGGACCTTTAATGGGTCCCTTTTTAGCTCCCATTTTAGGTGGGGCGGTATCACAAGCATGGGGTTGGAGAGCAACACAATGGTTATTGATGATTTTTGCTGCTTGTAATTTAATACTAATGACTTTCTTATTACCTGAGACGTTAAGAAAAGCAGATAATATGAATGCTATCAGAAATTTAATGCAACAACAACAAGACGAGAAGGAAAAATTCGATAGCGATTCTAGTGATCAACCACATGAACCACCACAAGCATTAAATGATGAAACATTACAAAGAGTTGCAACTAATTTGAGTCGTAGATCAAGCGCTAGATCAGTAAACTCATATATGGAAGATGGTGACGATGAAGGACCAATCGTTGATCCAGTCATGCCCACATTATCAAGATTATCAACCAATAAATCAACTTATTCTCGTCGATTACAACAAAATTACGTAAATGGAGAAATTCGAAATGCAACTTCAAAAATATCATTACCACAACAAGAATCTAAATGGTCTAATTTCAAGACTAATTCTTATGATTTAATCATAAGACCATTACATTCAACTATTTTATTAAAACATCCCCCAGTAATATTAGTTATAATGTATTCAGGTATATCATTTGCAGTGATTTATTTTTTTAACATGACTATATCATATCAATACGCTAGATCACCTTATAACTTTTCACAAATCATAGTAGGATTAATGTATATACCTAATTCTGTTACATATTTAGCAGCATCAATTATAGGAGGAAGATGGAATGATAGATTATTAAATAAATATGCAGAAAAACATGGTGAATTAGTTCCAGAATCTCGTATTTCTTGGAATATAGTAGTAGCTGTAATTTTATATCCAATGGCTTGTCTAATTTTTGGTTGGACAATTAAATATGGAGAATTTTGGGTTGTACCATTAATAGGAACATCACTTTGTGGATTTGCTTCCATGTTAGTTATTGGAGCAACAGTAACTTATTTAGTTGATACATTACCTGGTAAAGGTGCAACTGGAGTTGCATTGAATAATTTAATTCGTCAAATATTAGCTGCTATAGCCACATTTATTGTTGAACCATTACTTAAAGCAATTGGAGCTGGGATTTTATTTAGTATATTGACTGGGATATTAACTGTTGCTTCGTTAATTTTGGTTTATCTAAAGAAAAGAGGTGGATATTTTAGAGAGCATTACGATTTAATGAAATTATATGACAAGTTATAGATAAATATTTTTATATTATTATTTTAAGTTTATTATTGGTGCAAAGATATAATCGACGTTCAATCCGATTGATTTCAATTCTTCCAATTGTAAATTTAACATTCTTTTAAATTCATCGTATAGCATTTCGTCTTTAATTTGATACTCTGAACCATTAAAAATTAATAAAGTGCCATATAAATGTTTCCTAACTTGTTTGAACAATTTTTGAAATTCTTCTGTGCACCAATCGATTAATCCTGACGAATCAATGTGACTTATATTACTTTGTTTCAAAATCTTTTCTATCTTTGTTGTGTATGCGAGTATTGTCCTTTTAACGATCGAGACATTAATAACCATTAAATTAGATAAATAATTAATGACATCTACCTTTGTGCTACCTTGTAATCCAACTATTAATTTTGATATTGTTTTCGATAAATATAAAGATGTTGATTCAAGGTATGATTGAATACCTGTTTCCAATTGATCCAATTTTTCAAACAAAATCAAAATCAATTCTATTTCATCTAACTTTAATTTAAAAATATTATTTTGTAAATCAAATAGTAAATTTTTGATTATTTCTTCTTTCCTGTTGAATATTTTTAGTTTAGAAACATCAAGTAATAAAGTCTCATCCAGGTCTAAATGTTTAATATATTTTTCAATTTTGTTGAGTTTCTGTTCAATATGAATTAATAAATTTACCGCGTCTGATATCTCATTATGTGATATATTAATATCAACTTCGTCAAGTTTGTCTTCTAATTGTTTTATTTCGTTAAAAAATTGTGACTTACCATTTACTGACACATTTTTACCAAAATCATGTGATTTATTTCTAGAATGGACTTTAGCACTAATGTCATGCAATAAAAATTCACTTGAACTTCTTTTATGACCACCAGCTCCGCTTCCACTGACACGTTTCTCATCTTCGTGTGAACCAGAATTTCTAATACTTTCTCTTAATTGTCTTTTCTCATCTTTTGTTTCATTTGAATGCTCATTTGATCCTGAATCATTTATAAGTCTTTGATTATGCATCATTTCATTTTTACCCTTATTAAATGCTTCTGTAACTTTAATTAAATGATCATATCTATCAGTCAGATAAACATAATTTAAAGATTTTGTCTTGATATTAATGAAATAAAGTGTATCATCTTTTGGTGGTTTGATTTGATTCAAACTTACTTGAGTTAATGGAAAACATTGAATGGCATGTAATCTATTTGATTTCCCACCTGTTGAATCAACAAGTCTCTTTGACGCAATTAGGAGCATGTCATTTAGCACAAACAAATGGCCAGCATTCTTAGGCTTCCATGTTCCTGGATTAACTTCATGCCATCGTCCACTTTCTGCTAATACGTGTCTCCCGGGTATAGGTTGAATGAATTTGGAAGCTCCATCAACATGTTTGAAAAGTGATTGTAACTCTTTTGCCCACATTTTTTCTAGAACTAAAACGGACGATCTATCTTTATTATTTTGTTGTCGATTTTGATTTGACTGTTGTTGCTGTTGTTGCTGATATTGTTGTTGTGGTGCATCATATTCCAGACTTAGTCTTCTTTCAGCAATATCTTTAACTTCGTCAAAAAGTTCAAAAAGATCTTTGGTAGTTGCTCTCATACTATCTAATTCATCTTGAGTGTCTTTCAAATCATTCGTCAATTCTAGGATATTTTTTTGATTCTGGTTTATATTCTGTTTTATATCTCTATCAATTAACTGTTTCTGCTTGACTAAAGATTTGTAATAATCATCTACTTCTGCAGCTGATCCTTGCCCCAATTCATTAATTATTTTCTGCTCAATCGTCGTCGGTTTGTTTGATTCTAATCGGGGTAAAGGTGGAGCACCAGTTGCATCAAATTTTTGATGTTCACCAGCTGAATATTTCCTATGTTGTTGTTGAGCTGCTTGGTGAATACTATATCTTCTATTATGTCTCGAGGGATCGGAAGTTGGAACTCTTAGTAGATTGTTGTTACTATTATTGTGAGCATTATTGGAGTATATATGATTTGGATTCAATTGGTTCTGTTGGTGTTGATTATTGTAATTCGTGTAAGTTCGATTTGTTTCAACTCTATCGAGATTTAAGTTCGCATTCGCATACGGGTTAACAGCTTCTGATTTATTCTGCCATCCTGCTCTGCTTTTTCTATTTCTTAGTTTTTCCATTTCGTTGATCCCATGCAATTGATCTTCAAAAGTGGAAATTAATTCGATGTTAACTGGAGATTAAAATCGGATGAATTTTTGAGAATTGGTAGCCAGAATTTTTTGAATTGGTTAATATAGTAATCGTTTCATGATATTGAAGATAATACAAATCTTAAACTTAAACCAAGATATATTTTGCATAAAAAGAAAAGTTCGACATATTTGTGTTTATGAGTTGAATTCAGATAGACACAGTCAACAATATTAATCAACGACAAAAATAGTGTTCACCGATTTAAATATGGCTGTCTCTTGCATTTTGATAAACTGAACCAGCAGCAAAAAAAAAAAAAATAAATGAAAACATGAAACATTTGAAATTTAAGTCATAACTTACTTACAACAATCAACTTTTATTCATTCGCTTCACAAAATAATACTCAGTCACATGTCACTAACAAGTAAAGAAGTGAATTACCTAATATGGCGATATCTTCAAGAAACAGGATATGATCTCACAGCTTATGCATTTGATCGACAGTCGGATTGTCTGAGCTACGAAAGAAATTCAAATGACGAAATAATAAATAGGATTGAAGTTGGATGTCTAATAGATCTAATACAAAAAGGCATACTATATACCATAGCTGAAACGGAAGCAAAAAGTGACGATCAATACTCTCTACTAGGAGCATTGGTGCAAAAAGAACTAGAAGATACGAATCTAAAGTATCATATTATCAAAGAAAATGGTGTAGACCAAATTAAAGACAACGACCAGGATAAAAATGTCGACATACAAGAGGATACACCTATGGAAGAACCTTCTGAAGTGAAAAATATTATTCCAGAAATAAAGTTTCCTTCCAGTCTATCTTGTGATTGGCATCCATCCAGTGAAGCATTTGCATATGGTAAATCGAATGGAAATGCAATAGTAACAGCAGTAAAAGATGGAAATCTTATTGAGTCAGTCGAAATAAGTCACCCAAGCCTACTAAATATCAAAAATGAGATAAATTATGTATCTTGGTCACCACTAGGTAATTTATTAATAACTTCAGGAGCATTTGGAGAAATTAGAGCTTGGTCACCAGATGGAAGATTGAAAAATATTGCAAATACTATGGAAGAGTTTAATCAAGTCAAATCTAATGTAATAACAAATATACTATGGAGTCAACTGGGGAAATTCGTGGTTACAATAGATAGTGAAAATCAAGTAACAATATGGGATGGACTCACGTTATCATTAGTACAGCGAATAAAAAATGAAGATCATAATGACGCAAATTCAATTCTGACAGCTTGCTGGCTTAGCGATGATAAATTTGCAATAAGTTCTTCTTCCACACACGATATAAAATTATATGATATTAAAAAGGCACCATCTGGGAAAGTCTTTGACTTTCAATATATTGGAGCATTAGTTGGACATCTGAATACAATCACCATAATGAAATTAAATCCTGTGTCAAAACTTCTAGCTACTTGTTCAGATTTTGATTATCAAATTCGAATATGGAATAGTTCTTCAACTCAACCAAGTTTGGATTTAAATGTAAAAACGGAGCTGGTGAAAGTACATGCTTCACCAATAATTGAATTAAATTGGTTACCAATAGAAAATAAAAATTACTTATTGTCAACATCGATGGAAGGAGTGTTAAATGTTTGGGATGCAGAAACTGGTGAGAATTGTAATTCATGTGAATTATTTAAAAACCCCGTGTTTGATCAAGACAGAGACATGTTGGTTTTTATTTCATCTGTTTCACCAAATGGAAAGTTATTGGCTATAGGTGATGATTATGGAAAAATATCAATCTGGAATTTAGATTTCGAAAATTACAAACTACAAGATAAATCTTACATCGAATGCTTAGCTGTATACGATCCTGATGCAAGAGTTAAAATTGATGATAAGGAACAGCGAAATAAAGCTTCCATAGGTTTGTGTGATTTGAAATGGGATCATGAATCAAAAAAATTGATTGGTTCGTACATTGGTTTGGATAGTGTAGTTATATATTACAATAATTAATATCAATTCCATTTTGATGAATTCATCCATTGAAACTCCTGAATTGTGTATTACGTCTAGCTTCTACTCTTCAGTCTTTCGAAATCACTTTAAGTTGCAGTTGAAACAATTGTTTCAGTTGCAACTTGAGCAGCTTTCTTTATAGTTGGATTAGTTTGAGGGAAAATCACATCAATGTAACAAGTCAACACAGCAACTAAAGCAAATACAATTTTCAAAATCGGAGGTTGTGCACCATCCTCTGCTTCTTTGTTTATAGGTTCATTCAAATAACTTTGGATTGATAAAAATAATGCAGCCCAAGATAACATTTTATTTTTCATGAACATAGCTGCCATTGGTAATGATTGTGAGATGATATTTCCAGCATCTTTCCTTGCTTTAGCTGGTACGTGTCTGTATGGAACCACCAACTCTGCTCTTGCCTTTGGTGCCATTTTTTGTAGTTCGAGTTAGGTAGATAAAAGTTGTTAGTTGTTGGTGAAGTTTTATTTTTCAAGTTAATCACGAACACAAAATTAAATCTATTCTAATTTACGATAAACTATCTAGTAGATCGGTCTGTCCATAATATTTACCAACTATTATTATAACCATATAGTAAGTGAATTTAGAGGTTGAATTTGCAGATTTTCCTGCTTCTTTCATTTGTTGTTTCCTCAGAATAGCAGTATTGGCTAAATCTCTCAAAATTGAACATTCATTAGCTTCCAATAAATTATCCAATTTTAAAAAGATCTTCCAAATCCATAAACTCGTATTAACTGTTGTTGATAAAGTTATCCATTTCGTCAAGAAGATCAAAATCTCAAAGCATATCTTTCTATCTAGTGCAAAGATAAAATAATCGATATCTGGAGGTGGATTTTGAAATGATGTTTTCCATTTTAAGTTGTATTGTTTATTGAGTGACGATGGATCTACTACATGCGTTTTAAGTTTCTCTTTTAATGCTATGAATTTATCGTATAGACTGTAATCTCGATTGTGAGATATTTCTATTTCTGAATCCTCCTTATCTTCGATACTAGTATTTTCAGTGTTGGACTCTGTTTCATGATATAGAAGTGACAACGATTGCGCTTCGTGCTTTACGTCTAAAAAATATTTCAAAACTTCAGGATCAACCCCTTCCATTGATAAGGCTGGCTTGCTTATATTGTCTTCATCATCATATGTGTTCATTAAATGGATTAGTTATTTGATTGTCAGAGTGATTCAATTGTTTCAGAAAAATTAATTATAGATCTGTATTATAACCAATTTATTATCTTATCACCTTCAAAAAGAAAAAACTGGATTTACATCAATTCCCCTTGAAAAATGGGACAGAGGTTGTCCTTATTGGCACCATCGGCTCCTACTGTTGCAATATCATCTTACATTGATGCATTGGAAAATTATCGGTATATTGAATTACTAAATAATTCCAGATTTTTAAAAACAATTAAAGCTGTTAATAAAGTAACAGGTCAAATAGTCATCATAAAGCTACTAATAAAACCGTCAACACCGAACTATACGATACAATTACAAAATGTTTTGGAACTACTAGTCAGACAGTCATCAATTCTATACCCATTCAGAAATGTTTTGACGTGGCATAAATTACTTGAAACTGATAGAGCTGGATATTTAATTCGAGAAATAGCGAAAATCAATCTATATGATAAATTATCACTACGACCGTTTCTAGAACCAATCGAAAAATTGTCTATAACATTTCAATTGTTGAAAGTTGTAAATGAATTGCATTCTTTAAATATTCATCACGGAGACTTGAGATTAGAAAATATATTAGTTACATCGTGGAATTGGATACTATTGTCAGATTTTGCTAGTTTAATCAAACCCACATATATACCCGAGGATAATCCTAACCAATTTCTGTTTTACTTTGATAGCTCAGATCGAAGAGTATGCTACATTGCCCCAGAACGATTTTACAATAGTCAAGACAATCCAAAACATGTACTGAATATCGAGGACAACGGAAAATTTAATTTAAAGAACAGCGTGACAGACGAAATGGATTTATTCAGCTTAGGTTGCGTGATTGCCGAATTATGGACAGATGGTGAACCCATTTTTACATTATCTCAACTTTTTAAATATATAAAAAATGACTACGTACCCGATCTTTCAAGCATTCAAAATCCATTAATTATTGAATTGATAAAAAAATTATTGAAAGTCAATCCAAGTGAGAGATCCAGTGCAAGAGAATTGCTCGAAGAGTATAGAGGTACTTGTTTTCCAGAGTACTTTTACACATTTCTTTACGAGTTCATGGACAACTTTAATAACCTTGAGGATAGTGATGCGAAATTGAATTATATTTACGAAAACTTTGGTGAAATTAGTAAAAACCTAAATTTTGAATATACCGACTCAACTGAAGAAGATGCTGTACTACCCGTTAGATTAAATTTACCAGGAATGCCTTCTAATTACAGGATAAAACAAAAGAAAGAAACGGACGATTCCGCACTTATGGTACTAAATATGGTTTCATCATTACTCAGAACCCTCAAACATGTTGAATCAAAACAAAAATTTTGTGTTTTAATTTTAGCCTTGTCTGAACAAATAAATGATGAGGCAAAACTAGACAGATCATTACCGTATTTATGCTCCATATTAGATGAGTATATAGAATCTCCTCACACGTCATCTGCAAAATTAGTTTGTTTAGCGTTACGGTCCATGACGACCTTAATTATGACATGTTCATACATCACACCTATAAATGTTTTGTTATTTTCAGAATATATACTACCTAAAATTACGAGTTTGTTACTAGTTAAGGCTGATTATCAACCACAGAAATTCATTAGTTCAACAATTGCTATATGTATACCTTTTTTAGCTACATCTGCAAAAAAATTCTGGTCAATGTCCAAAGCATTCACCACAAGTAATATATCAAATACCTCACAGATTGCAATACCCACAATACAAATCACAAAAGATCAATTAGATCAAAAATTTAAAGATATAGCAATATCCCTATTAACAGACCAAGCTTCTTCCGTCAAAATAAGCTTACTTGAAAACATTTTACCCCTTTGTCAATTTTTTGGTAGAGATAAAACGAATGATATTATATTACCACATTTAATTTCATATTTGAATGATCCTGACCCAAATTTAAGATTAGCATTCCTTTCATCTATTTTGAAAATTGGTCCCTATATTGGTGTATTTTCATTTGAACAATATTTATTACCACTACTACTTCAAACCTTAAATGAAAGAGATCAGTTTGTTGCTTTAAAAGTACTTGAAATATTTAATGCATTTGTACTGCAAAAATTGATAAACTCAAAATTGGAGTTCAACGCATTGGAAATTTATTCAGAGTTGTTATCAAATTCCATTTGTTTATTATTACATCCTAATGAATGGATACGGCAGTCGGTTATCAATTTGATTATTTCAATAAGTCGAAACTTGGATGATGCTGATAAGTACTGTTTCTTATATCCAATAATTAAAAGTTTTTTACAATACGATATATTTGAGATTAAATGGAGTTCCTTATACCCAAGTATAGCAAGACAATTGAATAAACAAATTTTTGATTTGGCTACTACATGGGCTACGAAATCAACTAATAAATCCTTATTTTGGCAAAATAAAAGAAATACCAAAGCTATTCCATTGAATGCAATGGGAAAATCCGTGTATTTACCTAAATTTTCTGAAGCTTCTTACAAAAGTAAAGAAAATTCACCATTAAGTCCTGAAGATAAACAATGGTTACTCAAACTAAAGTCGGTCGGATTTGATGACAAATGGTTATGGAAAATTTTTGTCTTGAAAGACTATATTCAGCATATTAGCAAAGTCCCACCATTACCCTCAACTTCATTTGAACAAATATTGATAGCACCAAGAACCTATTTTTTGGATGTAATTTATAAATTTGAAAAATTGACTCCGTTAAATGGAGTAAGGAATGAAAATTTCGTGGTAAAGCAAGAGGATTCGGTGTCCTTGAAAAGCCTTGAATTGAATCTTCACAATTCATTGATCTTGCCTAACTTGGAGAGAGTGACAGCTTCGGTGCAAACAATAGAAGCTAATATATTTGGTGAAATGGAGTCAAGTAATGGGAGTAAGCCAGCAAGAGCTTTGGCCAATAATTCTAACACTTTGCATAAAACCTTCAAGACTGGTAATTCAAGCTCCAAGGTTATTACTTGTTTATTCACACACACATATGATGGGGAAAATCCATTCATCATAAATCATTTACAGAATTTATCATTAATTCCAACTCTCACAGATTTTCCTGAATTCGGAAGACTTGTGAAATCGAAAACTATAGAAACATCTACAACATTGAATGAAATAAACGTCCATAGAACAAGTGAAGAAGTGGACTCAATTACGTGCATGTCTGTTTCAATTACTTCTGAATTTTTCGTCACTGGTTCAGAAAATGGTTTTCTAAAAATATGGGATATTTCCAAGTTGGAACAAATTAACAGGTTTAAAAATGCAGAACAATCACTAAAATTAAACACAAAGATTACAACAATCACATTTTTACATGATCGATTGTGTATCATTGTCTCCACAAAAGATGGTATTTTAAGAGTTTTCAGAATCGATGTTAGTAGAAACAAAAATAGAAAGATAGTGAAATATTTGAAACCTGTATTAATACGTGAGGCTCATACAAGTACCATAATTACTAATGTTTTGAACAATGATAATTACATATTTGTTGTTGATCTTCAACTGAAAATTAATGTTTTTGATGTCACGACTATGGAAAAATTATTTGTTTTGCAAAATCCCTTATCGTTTGGAGTGATAACCTCATTTATAACAGGAAGCAATAAAATCAGTTGGATTTTAGTCGCAACTAAATTGGGAATTTTAACATTGTGGGATTTAAGGTTCAAAATTCTTTTAAAATCTTTTCAAATTCAAATCGAATCCAATGGTCACGTATCTGTAATTAACGAAATAGATAAACTTGAAATGATTGAAAATAAATCAATCGTATCTCGAGATAATCAATTGATATCCATCAAAATTGAAAAACTATCTATGACAATAATTTTCGAAGTTGCATCCTTAGATTGTAAAAAGATTATTCAAAACAATTCAGTCCAAAGTTATAAATGTAAATTGGTTGAAATTGATAGTAAGAAAATGGATATCGATGAAATGATCGATAATTTGAGTTTAGGTTAATACATATTTTAATCCTCACCAATATCTTCATACCAGAGTTCTGGTTTCTCTTTGATGAATTTAGCCATAAGTTCTTTACAATCTTGATCATTCAAATTTATGACTTCAACCCCGTTTTGCTCTAACCAATCATGTGGGCCTTTGAAATTTGTATCTTCTCCACAAACTAAGGTCGGTATTTTATAAAGCAAAACACTTCCACTACACATTGGACAAGCTGATAAAGTAGTATATAAGATGCAATCTTTATATACACTGGCTGGTAATCTTCCTGCTCTTTCTAACACACAAATTTCACCATGTAATGTAGCAGATTGCTTTTGAACTCTCATGTTATGTCCTCGAGATATAATTGTTCCATCTTTTTTGATTAAACACCCACCTATTGGTATTCCTCCTTCATTATATGATTTCCGTGCTTCTTCGTAAGCTATTTTCATTCCTAATTTATGATCCAAAGTCATTTTGAGTTGAAAGTATTATGTTCTAACGATTGGCAGCTATTGAAAGAAGAGTTTTAAAACACGAAATTTTTGAAAAAAATGAATGGGATGAGATCAATAACGAAAGGTCCGTCGTGTTTTATCTATCGTTAGTTTATGACCAAAAGAAAGTATGAAGAAGAGCCAAGACTTCAAGAAGATATAAATGTGGAACTAATATTCGACTGTCCTTACTGTTCGAAGACTTCAAAAGACGAAGAATCGTTCAATCTCCACATATTTAATTTTCATGAATACGAGTGTATATCTTGCAACAAAATATTTCCCTCAAATCAGTTTTTGACTTTACATATCGAAGAAAACCATGATTGTATGAATCAATTGACACAAGAAAGAGTTGGATTCAAATTAAATTGTTTTGAAATTAGGTGTAATGACAATTTTCCTACCAAAGAAACAAGAATTTCTCATTTAATTAAAGTACATAATTATCCATTAGACTATCCATTTAATGTGGTGAATGATGGTATCTAACCAACTTCTTTAACAGAATTATCAAGTTTCCTTTTTTTCTTATTTATTATGATTTGAGGATCTTTGGTCAATTGTTGAACAATTTTAGAGTCAAATTCACTTGAACAAGCTGGACATTTATTTTCCGACGGTATATAGCTCATAATACATAAACAAATTGAACAGACATAACCTAAATCAACTGGTTTTTTGGTTAAGAAACAACTTGCTTTGTAATTAACTTGCGTATCTGTTGGCAATATTACGTATGGTCTTAAATTAGGTTCTATGAAAAACGCTGTAGACAATATTTGTATTATACCATTTGGGTCAATAATCTTTAAGTATATTCCATTTGTTGCATCACTTGCTTGCTGTAAATATGATGAATCTTTGTTACCCAATTTCAAGATATCTATTGATACTTTTAACTTCTGTGCGGTGAATATACAATTCATTAAAGGAATATAGTTTAATGAATCATCATTATCATTTGCAGACACTATCAATACGCGGGACTTCATTGAAGCTGTAGATTGAGCTGTTGTTGATGATGAAGAATTTATTTGATTTGTAGGATTTAATGTAGATGATGTCGTTATCGCTGAGGCTGTTGTTGTACTAATACTTTGATCTAGCGTTAGCATTCTATTTGTATATGTCAAAGCCAAACTTATTGCGCCAGTAATTGTGGAGGAAAGGTGTTTTTTGCCTTTTGAATCATCCTGCAATTTTTTACTAGTGATTTCAATGAACTTATTCAATTCACTTAAAACAACGTCGTCAACATTCTTGAATTGTCTGTACATTCCTTTGGAAATATTTGAGCTTTTGCTAGTAGCATTGGGATTGGGGTATAGGAATTTAGAACGATATGGTGAACTTGCAATGAATGCAACTTGATTTGAATTATTTATTGATAGATGACTGTTTAAAAATACTAGCAATGATTTTGTAACGTCTCGTAAGGTGACTTGATTTCGTAGATTGTACCAACCAATCGGTGAGACGTCTAATATTATGGTTAATAACGAAGGGTCATCGTTTGAAGCTGAATCTAGTGAAGTTTCTGTGAATATTCGTTCAGTTATTGCCTCCATTTTATGATGTGAAACAATTTGCAATAAATGTAATATTATTAAAAAAATACATGTTTATTCGATCGCGTATTTCAATGTTTAACAATATTCTGAAACTAATGTTTCAACAATCTTCTACATGCAAATTGGGAGACATTTGGCAAAGACCTAATATAGCCTTTTAGTTAATTATAATGGTTTATGATCCAAGAAATTCACCAAGCCTTTGTTAGTCCCAGGACTAAATTTCAATTATTGAAACTATTCGAAATTTACAAGAATAATCATTTCTTAAGAAAAACAGAGACAAGTTCACGACTCTCGAGAGACGAATATAATATCCCGGTTAAACCAATGTAATTATGAAATATTCATCAAACAATTAAAGACCTAGAAATACAAAAAAATTTTGAAAAAAAAATTGATGTTTTGATTGATAAAGGAAATTAAGCAACTAAAGCTGAAGCAGTAGCTGATTCATATTTCCAGTTTGGTGGTAAGACTGATACGGTTCTATAGTATCTAGCTAATCTGTGGATTCTTGATTCAATTAAAATTAATCTGAATTTTGAATCTTTATCTTTTCTGTTTCTTTCTAAATGTTTTCTGACTGAAACAGCTTTTTTAATTAAAAAGTATAAATCTTCTGGAATTTCTGGAGCTAAACCATTTGATTTTAAAATTCTTAAAATTTTATTACCAGTGACAACTTTAGTTTGTGAAACACCATGGGCATCTCTTAAAATAACACCAATTGAAGATGGAGTTAAACCTTTTCTAGCATATTTAATAACTTGTTCAACAACATCATCTGATGATAATTTGAACCATGATGGTGGGTTTCTTGAATATGGAATAGCAGATGAAGAAATACCTTTACCCTTTAAAAAAATTGTTAGTATGATCATTCAGAGATAAAGGAAAAAACCATGACAAAAGTAAAACAATAATTCATCGAGTAAGCTAAAATAATTCTGCATCTTTAAAACGTAGGAACCGTAGTTTACCTACTTCTTGGTGTATCAAAAAAATTTTGGATTTTCGACGATATTGTAATTCCTCAACAATGAGAAAGATAGTCAATTGTTCAAGTTATCAAATACTCAAAGCGTATATAGTAACAATTCTAGGTTCATAATTTCGACCGTAAGTGAATCATTTACTTTGAATAAGACTCTTGCAACAATTTAAACTGACCATAATTTTCATTGATGATATTGAAACAGATTCTAAATATTTGTAATGTTATGATTGCTTCGTTGATTAAAATTTTACATACAGATGAATGCATACGACCCATGACGACTGATTATTTTATTTGATGTATATGTGGATGAAGTAGAGTTGGATATGATAATTAGAAAGAAAAAAAAATTTCAATACATCTAAAAAGTGAAAAATTATCGAGAAGTCTTGGTCATATTGCACTACTTCTCGCAACTAAATTATGAAAATTATGTGCAGTATTTTATCATTTAAATATTTTACCCGGATCTACAAAATATGGTAGCTCTCGCTATCTACATTGATGTAGCCAATGTTTAGGATATTTGAGTTTCCAAATCTTCGAACTCCTCTTCATCAGATATTTTGATTAATCTAAATTCAATTTGTTAGTATCAATTGATTCACGCCAAATCCTTCAAAATAACATACTTTGATACACCAGCTTTGTCTCTGAAATTTTCAACTGCACCAGCAAATAACATTTTTTTATCATTTGGAGTTGTTGGAGGCAACCAGTATAACATGACCAAAGGTATTTGTAGTCGACCATCTTTTGTTTTCAATGGATATGATAATATTATATATCTTGGTGCATTGTCTGGTAATTCTTGAATTAAATCTTCTATTGAGTTTAATGGATTCTCTTCTATATCTTCATCTTCTTTAACTTCATATGTATCTTTGTCGATTGTATCTATGAAAGGCTTGTTAGTATTTAGAATTTACTTTCACAAGTTGGATAGCATACATATTAATGCTTGTATATTATTAACTCTAGCACTTTGAAATCTAAATTTTTTCAACCTAGCTAGGGTTTCTGATGAGAAAGAATATAAATTTGATGACTATAATAACAAGTTAGTTGAAAAACTTTGATTAATGGTACGAATAAATAATACTTACCATTCTCTCTAAGTCTTAATACGTGATAAAGAGGGAGGGTCCTGTTAAGCAATTGAGTAGTTGATTAACAATTGTACTGGTTATTGTGAAGTGGGAATTAAGTAAGTCGTGTATTACCTTACAAAAATTTCCGAATTGAGACAGATCAAAACAAATAGAAATTTATAAACAAAACAAAATAATTGAAGTATCAAATCATAACAATCATAGTTCAGCATCTTTTTGCAATAAAGTAACACAACTTCAAGAAAAGACCATAACTTCGAAAGATGGGGAAAAATAAGATTACTGTTCCATTAATTGAATTTTTGAAAAGTATGTTGAATTGCGACCGTGTTTCAATCAATCAAGTTTACTAACCGTGTTTTGTTTAGATAGAGTTTATCTTGGAGCATACGATTATGTACCATCGGATACGAAAGACCTTGTATATTTCACTGTTGAAGACACATTACCGTATCATTCATTCCATTTAGATTTTGGTCCTTTGAACATAAGTAATTTATATCGCTTTGCCGTAGTTTTACATAATATATTAAATGATGATTTAAATCAAGGTAAAGGTGTTGTATTTTATTCATCCACTTCTCCTCAACAAAGAACTAATGCGGCTTGCTTGTTATGTTGCTATATGATATTAGTTCAAGCTTGGTCGCCTCATCAAGTATTACAACCAATTGCACAATTTGATCCCCCATTTGCAAGTTTTAGAGATGCAGGATATTCAAATGCTGACTATGAAATAACTATACAAGATGTTGTTTATGGAATGTGGAGAGCAAAACAAAGGAGCTTAATTGATTTGACTTCTTTCAATCTTGAAGAGTATGAGCAATATGAAAGAGTGGATCAAGGTGATTTTAATGTCATTTCAAAAGATTTTATTGCATTTGCTTCACCACAACAAAGTAAAAAATCCAATTCTTTAAATCAACCATTTAAAAAAGTGTTATCTTATTTCCAAAACAACAATGTTCAACTTGTTGTAAGATTAAATTCTCATTTATATGATGCTAAAGAGTTCACTTCAAGAAATATTAAGCATATTGATATGATTTTTGATGATGGTACTTGTCCTACTTTGGAGTATGTGCAAAAATTTATTGGAGCAGCTGAGTGTGTAATAAATAAAGGTGGAAAAATTGCTGTCCATTGTAAGGCAGGATTAGGAAGAACCGGATGTTTAATTGGAGCTCATTTAATATATACACATGGATTTACAGCAAACGAATGTATTGCATATATGAGAATGATCAGACCAGGAATGGTTGTTGGACCCCAACAGCATTGGTTATATTTGAATCAAAATTATTTTAGGGATTGGAGATATACTATGGTATTAGATAATAGACCTGATGAATTTATTGGTGGTTATTTCCCATTGTGTTCATATGATGAATTTAAACAAAGAATGAAAGAACAAAAACGATTAGCATTAAAGGAACAACAGCAACAACTTCAGCAACAAAACTCCTCGTTTGCTGCAGTGGATTCATCTTTCACAAATACTCCGATTAGAAGACGGAAAATAAGTGGAGCATTAGCTTCGAAGATTCAAACTGCAGTTCCAATGATATCACCTGGTCAACCAAGAAAATATATAGAGGAATCAGATGATGAACAAAATGATATTGCAATAACTAGTAATTCAGATGATGAAAATGTAATGGAAGGGATTATTAGAAGTACACCAGCAAAAGAAAGCACTCCACATTCAGAGAGAAGAATATTACGTTCCATATCAGCAAACACTCATCAACAACCAATTCAATTAACTAAAACTACTACTACAACAACAACAAGGGTCGTAAGTACAACATTATCATCATCACCTAATAGTAATGGATCACCAACTAATGGATTAAAAATAAATAAGGCTAGATCAATTAAGCCTAGAATTGGCCTGGGAACTCCAAATTCAACAAGAGTGAGTTCAGGAGGGGTTAGAAAAATAAGTGGTAAAAAGTAGGCAAATAAAGATTGATCCAAAATACTATTCAAAAATATCATTAGAATTCATTTTTAGTTCTTGTCATTGTATTATACAAATCCACATTCTTTTGAATTTATAACCTAAATTTTACTCTTCCGAAGCAACTGCTTCAACTATATTAAAATCTTCTTCGTCGTTGGTTACAAACGCCAAGATTTGAAAATCCTTGAATTGAACATCATCAATATTCTCTTCATTTAATGGAACCCACTTGTTGTCATAAGGAGATGAGATATCTTTTGGAAAAGCCAATCGTATATTCTCGGGCTCGACCTTGACGGTGGTGATGTCAATTTCTTCATTAATTTCGAATTCAGATTTAGGAACTGGTATATTATCTTCATCTAACAATTCATCATTCTCTTGCTTTATTTGTGAAACTTCGTCATCGATCTCAGATTTCGGTACGGGAATATCATCTTCATCTATTTCTTCTTTTACTTCAGTTGTAGATTGTACTCCACCTGAATTATTTATTGTCTTGGCTAATTCATTTTGAATTGATTGTATGTTGATCTGTTGTAATGTTAAAGTATATGTGATTTTACCATTTTTTAATTTGAGAATAGTTATATCTGCAACTGTCTTTTTCTTTGGCGGCTAGTATTAAATAGTTAGTATATTGAGATACTCTTGGATCAAACTTGAGGTTCATCATACCATTCTATTTGCTGATTTTTCACTGTCAGAGTTGATGTTTCAATTATTTTAAGTTTAAAATACATACCGCGTAATTTTTCAGATTATCCAAAACTATTAATAAGATCTGTTACTAAGCATTTAACGAAAATGATATGACAAATCAATTGATCAGATCAGTTAACCAACTCAAGAAAAGACCAGATTATGTGAAATCGATATGTCAGTTATATAAAGAGTTACTTCGCAAAAGTTTAAAATTGAAAAATCTGCCCTCATTACCTAAAAATAATATTATTGCATTGACTTTGAAAGTTGGCTTATATGAAAAATTTACCAAACGATATACAAATCCTGAAAAAATTAGCGAAGTGTTACTAAATGGTATACGGTTGAATAATATATTGGAAGAAGCGTTAAGAACAAAGAAATGGCTGGCATTGCAAGAATTTATTGATCAAGAACAGAATGAAAATTGGCTATTGCAACAAAGAAGAAGTTCATTTTTAAAACATTCAAAAGAACTACAAGAGAAAAATATAAACAATCTCCGTGGTAAAGAAAAGACTTTAGCAATGTCAAGAAGGAGGAAGAAAAAGATTTCAGTGTCACCACCAAAAGATCGACATGAAGTTTCGGATTATGTTAAGAAAGGTTTTGAAAAAGCCCAAATGGATGGTCAATCATTAATTCTAAGATACTTGAATCAGTTGCAATATGATGGAAAAATTCCTAATCCTCATTTGTTACCATACACTGAAGAAACATTTACAGCAGCTGGAGATAATTATAATCAGAAACATATAATAAATGGAGCCTCCCAAAAAATAATAAATGAAGCATTTGATCAAGAATATATAGAGTCAATCTTAATACCAAATTTAGAATTTGAATTAAATAATTTGGAAATTGAAAGACTTTTGAAAATTTTAAATGAAAAAGGACCATACCAAGCAACAGCCAAACAGACATCAGCAGGAGTAGTAACTATGCCATTTATAGAAACACCAACTCATGATTTTATACATAGACCTAAACTTGCAAAGTTGATTAAACAACAAGTTTTATGGTATAGGATTCGTAAAATCTGGGAATCAAGTAGTAATTTGAAAGAAGAAAATAGACAAAAAAATGGAGGATACCCAGTAAAGGGATCAAGAGGGTTTGGAGTTGATGAGATTATAAAACCAAGATCGTTTTATCAGGAATTAGCTGAAGGTGAAGAATTGTTTGAATTATTTACGGAAATTGAAAGAAGAAAAATAAAAAATTTAAATGATGATACTGAAATTGATTTTAAAAAATTTGATTGGTGTAGTGATTTAGATTTTGTTTCTGAATATATTGACAAAAAATTAGAAGGTTATTTGAATGAAGGTAAATCAATGAACTTATTGCAATTACAAACTAAGTTACAAAACAAATTCAACAAGAAATATGATTCAAAAGTTGAAAGATTTAAAAAGCTTTTAAAACAGTTGAAAGAGGATCGTGTTTTCAAGCATAGTGAGATTGTTTCATTACCTGTTACCACTCCATTGAGAAGCAATTTACCGAAAATTGATAAATTTCCAATTGAAGATCGAATCGGACGTGGTAAAAAAGTTAGTGACTATTTAAAATCTAACAAGTTTAAACATTTTGAATTTGGTAATCAATTAACGAAGAGAATTAACGAGATCATGACCATTGTTGCCAAAAAATACTAATAATAATACACATCTTGTTTATATTTTAATATGTATATACATTTAGAGTAACGCAAATCATTAAATCATTATCATACGCATTATCGTCATAATCATTTCAATTCTTTTATACCACATATCCTCCAAAACTTTTATCGGAAGTTACATAACCTTCAACTTTATTTGAAGTTGTTTTTGTATTTAAATCTTCATCTTCATCATCACTTTCAATAACAGCTTCATTTATTTGATGACCATTTAAATCATCTGTTTCCTTTTCCACAATCTCGAAATCTTCAATTAATTTTATCAATTGATTAGTTTCATCATTCATTTCATCTTCATGTACATTTAATCCATTCATTAAAGCAATAACTTCAGCCATTGATTTACCTTGTTGTTTTAATTCTTTATGTTTAGCAATAACTTCTTCTAATAATGTAATTGAATTTTCATACCAATTTGAAGGACCTTGAAAAGGTAGAATCACAAGTATATTATTTCTTGCAAATAAAGCTTCTGTACTTAATTGATTTCTATAAAATATACTTGATTGATAATGTTCTTTACAACAATATTGACTCATATAAGTATTTGGTAAAATAATAGAAGGTTTTCTATTATATATTTGATATTTAGTTGAAGCTCCACTTTCTAATAATGAAGAAGCTGTAGTTGTACCATTTGAATTTAAACTTAATCTTCTAACCAACAGTTTTGGTTGCAAATTACATAAAAAATAACCACATTTATGTTCAATATTTCTTTCTTCAATTATATCATTATATGATTCAACAGTTAAAAATCTAGATAAAAATTTTAATAGATTGAAATCAATATAAGTATCAATTAATATTTCTGTAATTAATAATGAGATTTTTAAACTTTCTTGAGGAGATAATAATTCTTTACCTTGATATGGTCTTAAATATGGTAGGAATGAATCTAGTGTTAGTAACTCCATATTTCATAAACTTTATACTCTAAACTTTTTCCAAAATTGATTTGTGGTAGTTGTGGTGAACGTTGAGCCTGTTTTAAATTATAAAGTGGTACAATTGGTGAAAGATCTGAAGTGTTAAATCTTATTTTTCTACTTTAAGGAATCAATCGTAACTTTTGAATAAATTCAATGATCAATAAAACTTTAAATATATTTTTATAACTTGTAACTATTTACTTTTCAAATTTAGAAGTGATAGTAGTAGTGATAGTCTTGTTTGTTGTATAAAATCTTTAAAAAAACAATTATAATATCTCAATATAATAAACATGTAAAATTATTTATTAATGAGGACTAATGCAATTATAAAAGAATAAAGGAAAAGGAGAGGAAGAATAGGAAAAGAAATTAAGAGTTGAAAGATGGCAAAATATTTAAAAGGAAATGAGTTGATATTTAAATAACTATTAAGAAGATCATACAAATTAAAAAAGAGAGAGAGGAAAAGAGAGATTAGATAAATAATAATAATAATAGTAAATCTTAATAATTGAGTAAACAACGTTAATTCCATCGATAGAGCATATCAAATCACTTGTGAAAAGAGATTAGATCCGTAATCTGTAGATGAAGACTCTAGACTATCCATTGAGGTTTCCAACAATCATCTATAATTGGACACTTATCTATTCTATTTCAAAATAAGGGGAGTATGTTACTACATAATTATTTACGAGGAGTTGGAGTTCAATGTCATGAACAAAACTTACTTGTCACGACTTGACTTTATTTTCAAATTGTTACACAAAATCAGAAAATTTGATACCAATAGTAATTAATTTACAACCACATTTATTCAACTTCATGATTTCAATCAATTTAATGATTTATAGTATAAGTTCATAGAAAGAGATCAATGCAGGCTGATCAATGGGTAAAAAACTAAATGGTAAGAAAAAGCCTAGTACAAAAGGTGATGGGATTGGCTTAAATAATAGAAATAATCAAAAATTTACAGTAACAACCAAATCAGCATTAAAACCGAAATTGAAAAAGTCTTATTCGAATAGTTCTAATGAGTCAAATATAAAACAAATACCCCAGCATGAGCCTCAAGATGAGCCTGTTAGACAAAGATCTAACACAGTTTTGAGTTATTTATTTAGTCATATATCAGCTGGTAATAGTCAACAAAAAAATGGTTTTTCATTATACAAATTGTTGTTATTGGAACTCAATCTACCGTCTTTTAGTGCAAATGACGAGTACCTGTCTTTGGAAAAGAAATCTTTTGTTGATGCAACCGACGCAAATTTGACAAATCAATCTTATGAAGAACTTATAAATATGATGAGAATACCTTATTACTTAGAAAAATATATGTTTTTCGGATTATTAATATGCTTTAATTCCTTTTTAACTTTATTTACTTTGGTACCATTGAAAATTTTGACAGTTTCATCAATATCATTTGTCAATTATGTTAGAAAACCTCATATGAAATTTGTAATACTAAATGGATTAAATTCAATTAGAAAAGATATTATAAGTTTGAGTCTAATCATAATTTCATTAACTTGTCTTGTTTTTGGGAATTTAGACATTTCGAAGATGTATCATGATGTTAGAGGTCAAGCTGATATTAAATTATATGTTATGTTTGGAGTTTTAGAAGTTGCAGAAAAATTATGTTCATCAATAGGACAAGACCTATTAAATATTTTGTTTCAAATTCAAATCACGAACAACAAGTATGAAAATTTCAGATTTTTATTATTTTATATCATTTCCACCATGTATTTGATCTTTCATTCTTATATTTTAATTTATCAAGCAGTTTCATTAAATGTTGCAGCCAATTCTTATTCCAATGCTTTATTAACTTTATTATTATCAAATCAATTTTCAGAATTAAAAAGTTCAGTTTTTAAAAAATTAGATAGAGAAGGATTATTTCAAATTACAATGGCAGATTTATCAGAAAGATTTCAATTATTAATGATGTTATCAATAATTGCTATAAGAAATTTATTTCAATTACAATCTGTTAATGGTTTAATTCCTACAAGTTGGGAGAAATGGAATATTTGGATTGGTGCAATATTTGGTCCTGGAGTAGTAGTTATTGGTTCAGAAATCTTTGTTGATTGGTTAAAACATTGTTTTATTTCAAAATTTAATAAAATTAATTATAAAATCTATAAAAAATTTCTTTATGTTTCATGCTTAGATTTTTTACAAGTGTTTAAAATTAATTCAAAAAATGATAATAGTGTTTCAAGTCATGAATTTTCAGATTATATTATTTTGACTAGAAGAATTGGATTACCTTTATTGGCTGCTGCCGTTTGCTTTTTGCGGATGACTATAAAGAATTTCGAGTATGTGTTCGTTATTCAAAACTCCGTCATTAATAGTATTTGTTTGATATTGGTCACTTTTTTAACTTTAATATTCCTAAGAATTATACTTGTTTTGATTATTTTTAAAATAGCAAAAAGATCAGTTTCAAAACATAAAAAATATGAAAAAGATCTTAAAAATAAATATTATGAAAATTCAAATTCAAATTCAAATTCAATGGATATACCCAATGAATCATTATCAACTCCAATAACAACACCACCTCATGAATTATCTACATCATCATTAGATTTAAATTTTTTACCTGGTTCACCAAATACTCAAACATCAACAATAAATCCAAGTACAAGAATTCATCTATATGATTTTTTTGAAAAAATTCCACCAACTCCAGAAATTCAAAGAAATGAAAAATTAATTAATAAAAAAAAATCAAATACAAAATTAATTGATGATGATGAAAATGATTTATCTAGTGTTATGAGATATGAAATGTCAAGTAAACGAATTTGGTAAAACAAATTATAAAGAATACAAGGTTTTACTTATTAATAAATTAATTTATTTACAAGCCCTAATTTTTTTAATTCTATTTACACGATTCTTTTACTTTTTAATAGTTGATTCTTCATAAGTTTATTAATATATGAAACAAATTCAGGTCTTGGTTTTCTTAATCTTGATACAAAAGCCAATGCAGTAGTTAACAAAGCTAATGCACCAGCTTGATGAGCTGCAGCTAATGGAATAGGTACTAAATAAATTAATGTAGTTATACCTAAAGTAACTTGTAATGTTAAAAATCCCATCATTGTTTTCATCATTATATCTGCTTGTCTTGGAACTATATTTTTACGTCTATTACAATAAACATGAGTAACTAATATTGAAAAAAAGGTAGTTGTTGCCATTATTCTATGAATTAATTGAACAGTAGTTGGATTTTCTAATAAATTTCTCCACCATAAATCTGATTCATTTGAATTTCTTGAATAAACTGGATCCATTAATTCATTTTTTGAAGGTATCCAATTATCTCCCATATGAGGGAAAGTATTATAAATTAAACCTGCATCTAATCCTGCAACCATTCCACCTGACATTGCTGTTAGAAATGTTAATGCTAAAAGCCCATATGAAACATATCTTAATTTAATTAAAGCTGGATTATTTAATTGATTAATTAATTTTTCAATTTTTAAAAATTGTAATTCACCACCTTTTTTAATTGTTTTTATAATTTTATTTTCTTGTAAAATTTCCATTGCAGTATATAATACACCTAAATACATTAAAAATGCAGCACCTAAATGAGTAGTTAATCTATATTGAGAAACAGTAGGTTTTGATCTTCTATCTTTTAATTCTTCTTCATCTAATCCAGATTTGACCATCCACCAACCAATAAATCCTTGTAATCCTAATAATCCAGTTAATCCAATAACTCTTTTAGTTACTCTTGGATTAAACTTATTTCTTGACCAAAAAATTATAGCAGGTATTATAAATACTAATCCAATAAATCTTCCAACTAATCTATGACTCCATTCCATTAAAAATATAAATTTAAATTCTTCTAAAGTTAAATGAGAATTTAATTGTTTAAATTCTGGTGAATTTTTATATTTATTAAATTCTTCTTCCCAATCTTTTTCATTTAATGGTGGGATTGATCCAGTAACTGGTTTCCATTCAGTTATTGATAATCCTGATTCTGTTAATCTTGTTAATCCTCCTAATACTACTATACCAAATATTAATGTAGATGTACCTATTAACCATATACCAACTGATTTTGGTGGTGTTATTAAATTTGATGATGGATTTAGATTAGTAGAAACTTTACTTTTTAAATTTGTTGTAATTGGAGATGATGATGATGCAATTGTTGTATATGATCTTTTTGGTCTGAATAATTTGTATAATTGATTGAATTTAAATTGTTTTAAAGTAGGTGAATTTATTTTATTAAGTATTAAATTAGGTTTACATGATGGATGACGAGCTAATGATGTTAGAACAGTTGAATTCTTTGTGAAATAAAATCCAGACCTTGAGAACATTAGTACTGCATCAGTTTGAAACTGAAAATATTGAGTATTACTTTGTATAAATTTTATGGTGTTTTTAACTATTGAGGTAAGTTTAAAATAATGATCTGATTACATAAAACTTAATTTTTACTAGCTATTCATTGTCGCAACTTGTAGTTGTCGTTTAATCAGAACTGACAAGAGCCGCATTTTTATACGATGTACTGTATATAATTTTTGAATTACGAGATTTCCCTAGGCCCGAACCTACATATTAAATTATTTACCTATGTTTTTCCACGCATTTAAATAACAAAAAATTTTGCAACCAATTTGCAACAAAATATATCGTGAAAGAATCTGACAAATTGCCACAAATAAATTTAATCAATTTAACGAAATTATTTGAATAAACATTCTGATAAGATTATAATGATCTTGTCTCCAAATTATCGATATCATTCAAAAAACATCAAAACAATGCCCTATCATACAAATGAACAATTAAAAACTTATACCGAAGATAAAAGAAATTTAAAAATATCATCAAAAGAACCTAATTATCTATATACTCATCATGATCAAGCTAGATTAAAATTAGGAATACAACACAGTAGTAATGATGGTCCAATTTTTTATTCAACTTCAAATTCAATTAAATTCAATAATTCAATAATTTCAAGAAGTTTTTATTTGTTGATGACTTTTATTGCTTTATTGATTGTTTTAAGTGCTTTAGTATTTGGAATTAGAGAATATCAATTATCATTCAAACGTAAAATTAAATCTCGTCAAGAAGAAAGTTGTAAACTAGAATCAAATAGTTCTAATATTGATGATGAAAAAATAAATTCTTCATGGAAATCACCTGTAAAATTTGATGCTAATGTTGGTTTAAGAAAAGAAGATGAAGTTCAAAGTTTAGAAAATGTAATTCAAGCATGTGGAGAAGTTGAAAATTTAAAAAGTGGTACAGGATTAACTAAATTTTTAGATAATGGTGGTATAAATGGTGGAGGTGGTATAACATTAAATAATGTTAAAAATTATAATAAATTAGGAACAAGTAATTGGAAATTTCCTAAATATAAATTATCAAGTAAAGCTATGAGTGTTAATGTTACTACCAATTCTAATTCTAACCAACAAGGGAGTGGAAAAACTAGTAAAGTTAGTGGTATTAGTGATAAATCAATTTCAAAATATGGTAGGAAACAACAAAGTAAATTTATCAAACAGCAGCAGCAACAACAGCATAGAAGATATTCAGTTGAGGAATTATTGAAAATGAATGGAACTCATTCAAATACAATTGATTTTCAACAATTAATGTCTTCTGGTATGCAAAAAATTCAAATATCTCAATTAATTAATTGTTCAATAAGAATCCCAAAATTAAGGTTTTTAAATGCATGGCAAGCATGTACCAAAATATCAGAAATAAAAACAATATTATTTGATTCATCAAATGATAAAATTTTAAAAATTTTAGCCATATTACAATTAATTTCATTTGGAAAACATGATTTTGTATTTGATAATCCAAATATTTTTTTATCAAATTTTAATGAATTTATTGAAAATTTAATTGATTCATGTATTATATTTGAGTTATTTACCATATGTAATAATTGGTTACAATCATTAATTATTGAATTTTTCTTAATGTATTTTTGGTCTCATGCAAAATATAAAGAAATGGATTTAAAATGTAAAATTATATCACAACAATTTTTAAACTGGAATTTATATAAACCAACAATACAAGATAAATTTTTAATTTTTAGAATGTTATGTAATTTATATTTGGGTATTAAATCATTAAATTCAATTACTATATTAAAAGAAAATGAAATTAAATTAAGTATCGTTATTAGAGATTTTATTAAACATAGTTTATGTAATGATTATATTCAAATTTTACCAATGCTTATTAAAGCAATAGATGTTTCAAATTCTCAAGAAAAATTAAAATTATTTTTTTATGAAATGATTAAAATATTAATTCAAAAACATAAGCATTGTTGTATGAATGAATATCTTCATGATATTAATAATTATGAATTAAAAAAAATAATTCAATATGGTTTACAACAATATCCTCAATCAAATCAAATTTATAAAAAGGCAAATGATATTTATAAATTGATTATTGATGATAACCACAATAACAGGCAAACAAATCTGGGAAATACTTCAAAACATTGGTATTTCACATCTTCAATTAACGATCATATAGAAAATGAAAATCAATTAATCGCTGAAGCTATACCTTTATCTACAGAATATGTAGAAAGATTTTTTACACCAGATAAAAAAATAAATTCAACTCAATCTAAACAAGATGAAATAAGTGATAATTTGTTAAAACAAATTGACAATGAAAATATTGATGAGAATTTTGAAGATTCAAAATCTGGGGAATTTGAAGAATTTACTTCATGGCAAATTGGTTATTTATCAAATAAGCCTTAGTCCTATGTATTGTATGAAAATATATTATATCTAAGTAATATTTAATTGCTGCAAAATAATATAATAAATTGTTACAGAATTGACGAGCTACCAAATGTATGAATTTTTCAACCGAAAAAAATAATTTAATTTTTCAAACATACTCGGTTATTAAAATACAGAAGAAAAGAGAAGTTTAAGTATTGAATATAAGATGCACATTCAAATCTTTGCCATCGTTGATGTAGTGATTAAGATGACTGTATAAGCTGTGCAATTATAAGCGAGTGTATCTATCGTAGTTTTAATACGCATGAATTTAATGGTGAATCTTATATTTTGTTGTAGTACAGAGTGTAGTTTAAATGTTCATATGATATGAAAATTCTATGAGAGGTATTAAATAGTTAATTTATTACCATATGCTTAAATAAAGTAACTATCATTTTCGAAGAATAATAATTTTTAGTTGGATTTATTTCTTTAACTCCTGTCCCTACATAATAATTTTACTTTTACTTCATTTGGTAGTGAATGTTCTCCGCATAAAAAAGAATCAACTAAATTCTGTATTAGTTTTTGCACCATTTCTATTTTGAATTTTATAAATTAAAAAAACTACCAACGTTTCTTTCAAAATTTATTTTACATTCTTTATCATTATAACTGTTAAATACATACTATTGGTCAGAAAAACTGCTGTTTAGTACAAACTTACATCAATAGAATTCAATCATTTATCATAGATTATCAACAATCTTTATTTAATTCGTAGTATTGTTTTATTTCAAATCAATCCTTATCAAAATCACAAGATAAAAGTAGTACAACAATTTCTATTTTTCCAAAATTACATTCATAATCAACTTTTTTCAATAAATATCTAACATTACATACTCAACAAAATGTCTGGACTTGAAATAGCTACTGCCATTATACTTGGTAGTCAATTATTAGAAGCAAAATATTTAATAAAAGATGATGTTAAATTAGCTGGTAAAGTTGTAACAAATGCTTTACCATATATATGGAAATCTTCAAGAGGTAAAGCTTCTTATTGGTATTATTTTGAAGATTCATGTAAAAAACATAAAGATTTAAAAGCTTTAGCATTTCCAAGACCTTTAGCAAATGCTCCACAAATTGAAGTTGATGTTGATGGGTTTAAAATTTATGATAATCAATTTCAAGTTGAAGAATATACTTATAAAGAATTATATGATATGGTTTTAAGATTATCATATATTTTAAAAAATGAATATGGAGTTACTTCATCTCAAACTATTGGTATTGATTGTATGAATAAACCTTTATTTTTAGTATTATGGTTAGCTTTATGGAATATTGGTGCTTTACCAGCTTTTTTAAATTTTAATACAAAAGATAAACCATTAGTTCATTGTTTAAAAATTGCTAATGTTTCTCAAGTTTTTATTGATCCAGATTGTGCTGAACCAATTAGAGATACTGAATCAAAAATTAATGAAGAATTACCAAATGTAAAATTACATTTTCTTAATGAATTTTCATTATTTGAAAGAATACAACTGAAATCAACTCCAAAATATAGAGCAAAAGATGAAACAAGAAGACCACAAGATACTGATTCTTCAGCTTGTGCTTTAATTTATACTTCAGGAACTACTGGTTTACCTAAAGCTGGTATTATGTCATGGAGAAAAGCTTTTATGGCTTCTGTATTTTTTGGTTATATTATGAAAGTTGAAAAAGGTTCAAATGTTTTAACAGCTATGCCTTTATATCATTCAACTGCTGCTATGTTGGGAGTTTGTCCTACTTTATTAGTTGGTGGTTGTGTATCAGTTTCTCAAAAATTTTCAGCTACTTCTTTTTGGACTCAAGCAAGATTAGTTGGAGCTACTCATATTCAATACGTTGGAGAAGTTTGTCGTTATTTATTAAATTCACCACCTCATCCAGATCATGAAAAACATAATGTTAAAATTGCTTATGGTAATGGTTTACGTCGTGATATTTGGTCAGAATTTAAAGAAAGATTTCATATTGAAGGAGTTGGTGAATTTTATGCAGCAACTGAATCACCAATTGCAACAACTAATTTACAATATGGAGAGTTTGGTAAAGGAGCTTGTAGAAAATATGGTTCATTAATTAGTTTATTATTAAGTACTCAACAAAAATTAGTTAAAATGGATCCTGAAGATGAAAATGAAATGTGGAAAAATCCAGAAACAGGATTTTATGAAGTTGCTGAATATAATCAACCTGGTGAATTATTAATGAGAATCATGAATCCTCAAGATGTTAGTAAATCATTCCAAGGTTATTATGGTAATAAAAAGGCAACTGATGGTAAAATTTTATTTGATGTTTTTAAAAAAGGAGATGCATGGTTTAGAAGTGGTGATTTATTAAAAATGGATGAAGATCAATTATTATATTTTGTTGATAGATTAGGTGATACATTCCGTTGGAAATCAGAAAATGTTTCAGCAACTGAAGTTGAAAACGAATTAATGGGATCACATGCAATTCAACAATCAGTTGTTGTTGGTGTTCAAGTTCCAAATCATGAAGGAAGAGCATGTTTTGCAGTTATAGAAGCAAAACCTGATTTAGAACATGAAGAAATTTTGAAAAAAATTAGATCTCATACAAAATCTTCATTACCTTCTTATGCTCAACCATGTTTTATTAAAATTGGAACAATTGAAGCTTCACATAATCATAAAGTTCCAAAAAATCAATTTAAAAAACAAAAATTACCAAAGGGTGATTCAGGAGAGGAAGTTATTTATTGGTTAAATGGTGATAAATATAGTGAATTAACTGAAGATGATTGGAAATTAATTTGTGCTGGTAAAACAAAATTATAGATAGTTTGCATATTTAGAGCTTAAATATATATTATTAGAAATACGTTATATGGATATCTTTTTCTTTTTTTTTTAAATTAAACTATACATGTCCCTAATTTTTGTTGGAAAGTGCTGCAACACCTGGTAACTCTTTACCTTCCAATAATTCCAATGATGCACCACCACCAGTTGAAACATGTGATAATTTATCAACAGCACCGTATTTTTTAGCAACTGTAGCAGTATCACCACCACCAATGATAACAATATTACCATTTGCAGCAGATTTAACAACAGCATCTAATAAACTTTTTGTACCACCTGCAAAATTATCAAACTCAAAAACACCTGGTGGACCATTCCAAACAATAGTTTTAGCTTTAGCTACAGCATCATCAAATAATTTTTGTGATTTTGGACCACAATCAAGACCCATCCAATTTTCTGGAATACCTTCTTTATCATCAGCTTGTCCAACTTCAGCATCTTTATCAAATTTATCAGCAGTAACAAAATCAACAGGTAAAATAATTTCAACATTATTCTTTTTAGCTTTAGCAACTAAATCTTTAACATCTTTAGCTCCATCTTCATCAAAAAGTGAATTACCAATTGGCATATTATCTAAAACTTTTTTAAAAGTAAAAGCCATTCCTCCACCAATAATTAATAAATCAACTTTATCTAATAAATTATCAATTAATTTAATTTTATCTGAAACTTTAGCACCACCTAATATAGCTAAAAATGGTCTTTTTGGATTTTCTAAAGCTTTTGCAAAATATTCTAATTCTTTAGACATTAAAAACCCAGCAGCTCTTTGTGGAACTTCAACTCCAACCATTGATGAATGAGCTCTATGGGCAGTACCAAAGGCATCATTAATATATACATCAGCTAATGAACTTAATTGATCTCTGAATTTTGTAACAGCTTCTGGATCAGCTTTAGTCTTCTTACCATCTTTATCTTTTGATGATCCTTCTTCTTCAATATGAAAACGTAAATTTTCTAATAAGAAAATTTCACCATCTTTTGCAGAATCAACTGCTTTTTCAACTTCTGGTCCAACACAATCATCTAAAAATTCAACTTTTTTATTTAATAATTTTTCTAATTCAGTTGCAACTGGTTTTAATGAATATTTATCATTTTTTTCACCATTTGGTCTACCTAAATGAGAAGCTAAAATAATTGCTTTTGGTTTTTGTTCTTCAACATATTTAATAGTTGGTAATGCTGCAACAATTCTTTGATTATTAGTTATTGTTTTACCATCTAATGGAACATTAAAATCAACTCTAATAAAGACTCTTTTTCCAGTAAGATCTAAATCTTTAACTGATAATTTGTTTGATAATGACATTTTCAATTTTATTGTAGAATTTCTGAATTTAAACAATTGAACTTTAAACTTTTTCAATTGAAGAAAGAAATAATGATTCTCAATTGCTTTATATATTTTGAAACGGGGGAGAGTTGAGAGAAAATCGTTGACAGGGGTTTGCTACCAATCATATGATTTTTCAAAACACATTAAAACACACGCCGACAATTGAAAGAGGATGTCAAAAATTTAAAAAGAGAAGTGATTTGAAAGCTTTACCTTATCTACATCAATGCATTCTACTGCGATTCGAAAGTTGATATATCATTTACATTAGGTCTCAAGACCCAGATCAGTTTTTTAATTTTTACCCCGGGTTTCAAAATTCCGCTTGCCCAAACATTAATTCGATTTAACACTAATTACTTGAAAACAAAAGTCGTAACAGGTCGGTTTTTTGTCAAATGCTCTATATAACCTTCTTTTGCAAGTCCTATCTGTATTACCAGCTTATTTTGAACAAAAGGATCGTGGTGGTTAAATGAAAAAAATAAATTATGAAACTTTTCATAAATTCAAAATGGATATCATTGTGCAGGATTGAAAAATTACAAAATGAAATCAAGACAGTGTCCAAAATTATAATATGTCGCAAACCAAATATTGCATTGCGACAAGTGGAAATCTGCAACAATTCTTGTTTTAGATTTTAAGAATTCAGGATTCTTCTGGAAAGTAAGCAAATGAATTAATTATATAGTTCTCAATATACACCATACTAATTCAGATTTTATAAATAAATACGACAATCTTCTTCCGAAATTACTCAAATCAGATTCCTGAAAAATACACTCAAATCAATTCAATTCATAGTACTAAATCAATTTCAAAATGGAAAAATTATTACATTGGTCAATTTTGCAACAATCTGGAGATAAAGAAGGTTTGAAGAAACTTGGGGAACCAGATCAAGATGCTTTAAATAAACTTTTTGGGGGTCCAGATGAAACAGCTTTAATGAAAGAAAGTATAGCAGTTGCAACAAATCCAAAAGTAGAAGAAAAAGATAAAGTTATAGCATTAGAAAACTTTGAAATGTTAATTGAAAATTTAGATAATGCAAATAATATTGGTAATTTAGGATTATGGCCAGATATTGTTGGTTTGTTAAAGGATGATGTACCTGATAAATTGAGAATACTTGTTGCAGGAATAATTGGAACTGCTGTTCAAAATAATCCAAAATCTCAAGAGGATTTTGATAAAACAAGTAATGGATTGGAAAGTTTGATTAAAATTGCAGAAAGTGATAAGAATAAAGATTTAAAATTAAAAGCACTCTATGCAATTTCATCATTCATAAGAAATTATAAACCTGGTTATGAAAGATTTGAAAAATTAAAAGGTTGGAATTTGATTAAATTTGATACTAAAGATCCAAAATATGATTTAAGAATTTTGTCATTAGTCTCATCGGTTTTAAGTAATGGATTAGATGATACATTGGAAAAACAATTTAAAAATATTAAATTAATTCATTATTTAGCTTCAGTTTTAAATTTAGATTCAAATACCAATTTAGTCGATAAATCATTAAACATAATATCAGAATTACATCGTTTAAAATATGAATTCACTGCTGAAGAAACTTATGAAGTTGATAGAGGTATTCAAGTTGTAGAAGGGTTGAGTGACAAATTAAACATTGATGATTTGAATGGTGCTAAAGAAGCTACAAAGAAAAAGTAATGGGTATTGCACATTTATATTCTAGATAATAAATAGTAATGAATTTAACGTATAACTTTTCTACTTTATCAATTAATGGCTTTGTTTGGGTCATCCGATGTGAAGAAATTAAGCATAGCATTATCAACAGTTGGAGGTACAATGTTCCTGCCTGCAGAATCTTTACCCAACGTCCCATCAGCTCTTAGCTTGTGATACACCTGATGCATTGTTTTATAAGAAAAATGTAAAATTTCAGCTTTTTGTTGCGTCATTCTTGTAAAATGTTGCATTGACCGGATAAAAGTAGCTTTTGCATCACTTCCAGATTTTACTGTACCTAAATTAGCCAATTTTTCATTTCTTTCATATTTATCATATAATGATGAGGCAATAGTATATGTAAATGAATTTAACCACATCAATGACTCCAGTCGTGATCTAGTAGTGAAAATGTTGATTTTCAAATCTAATTGTATTTTATTAATCATTTTTTCAATTTCACTATGTTCAGGTAAAATGGATATCTCATCATCAGATTTCTTCCTTTTGTTTTGTTCATCGACATTCATTCCCAGTAATACTTGTGTCCTAAATTGCCTTTGCTTGTAAGCTTTGAGTTTATTAATCAACTGATCGTAACATTCCACCATGACTATTATATGATATTTATTAACTGATTTTTCACACATTAATTTCTCAGCTTGTAATACTTCTTGTTTCAAAACATCATTTGATAATTTCGTCACAAAATCTTGAGCTAAATAATAAAGAATGAACGTTTTCTGAACAACTTTTTTTGGGGTACAAGGTATAAAATAATCTTTTTCTTTTATATACTCAGCTGTTACATTTCTTTTCCAAAATACAATGGGTAATTCAAAATCAGATTCACTCACCGTCAGTTTAAATTCCTCCTTTTCATCTTCGAATAAATCCATAGAATCTTTATTAATCCAAATTTCCATTTCTTCGTGTAGTTCATCTTTTTTTCTGCTTACTCTATTAGCCAATTGTAGTTCTTTCAGTGTAAATTCGTGATTATTTATCTTTGGTAATTCCGCTAATAATGTATCTGTTTTGCTTCTTTTAGCCTTTTTGGGTTGTGAAGAAGGTATTTCACTGTTTTGAGTGGTATTAGCTCTTTTTAAAGGTTGTACATTAATTGTGGTTGTTGGTCGATTTATCGTTGAAACAATTGTTTTTGAACTATTATCCTTATTCTGCAGTGTTTCCGCTTTTGAAATCAACGATTTGACTGGACTGGATTTGGAAAAAGATTTCTGTTTAGCTAAATTTATAGTTGTTTCATTTTCATCTTCGTCATCAGAACTCAACCAATTCACAAATGCTGGCAACTTTGGCAAATCTTGGACTACAGGTAATTTTGGCAATTCTTTGGCTGGAGGAACGTTTTCAAGTAAGTTTGGCTCAGACACTTTCAGGAAGGAAAATGTCGAATTAAATATAGGGTCTGAATCAACAGCTTTCATTACATGGACAGGTGATGATACTGGTAACGCCTTGCATTGTCCTGGTGATGAAGAATGTGGTTTAGGTTCGTCCTCTTCATCACTATCAAGTATTATTATTGCGGTATCTTGCTGTGAATTAATTGGTTGAGAATTGCATTTAGTTTTGTCATCGCCGACTGTATTTGTTCTTGTATCTATGATAGGTTTAATAATCTCACTCTCATCGTCATCTGATAATTCAATTATAACTACTTCTTCAGGTTGCTTTGGTGCTGCTATCTTTGACGGTTCTAATTTCTTTGAAAGAGTTTGTTTTGGAGTTACATTAATATTTGTTCGTTTTCCTGAATTTGAGTTGATTGTGCCTATCCCGTCACTTTCACTTAATTTTGGAGTTGTAGCATTGAAAGTCTCAACAGCAGGAGATATCTTATTGTTTGTCTTAATTATTGGATCGGAGTTTTTTGTTATGACTAGATCTTCTTCATCGCTATCATCTAAATGGATTATAGGTGTTTCTATAGGTATCGAGTTCTTTTGTGTGTTGACCAGATTTTTATTTTGATTGCCACCATGGGAAACTAAAGGTTGATTTACTCTATTGTTAACGGGAAGTGGGCTGCTATTCAATATATTCTGTCTGCTTTGACGAGTAGCTTGTCCTTTGTGTGTATTTGTAGGATCATTCCCAAACCCCGTTGTACCTATTGGTGAGTGATTTTGACTAACAAAACCCGAATTGACATCCTGAATACTGCTATTAAATGATACTGATTGATTGACATTGTTAATACCAGGTAAGGGACTACTTGTTCCTAACAAATAATCCATCTCACGATCTGTTAGTCCATGAGAATTAGAAGAATCATTTCGAAATGATGCTGCAGGAGAAAAATTCAGTGAAAGATTGACAAATGGTCTGCTTGTATTATGATTATCAACATGTACGGGAATTATAACGGGAACACCATAGTTTGGATCATTTGATAAAGTGTAAAGTTGGGGTCCTGTTGTTTGATTGTACCGAGCACTTGAAGTATTGTGATTTATAGATGGTTCAGAACCATAATGCTGGTGAGATACTGAACTATATCCGCCGGACTGATAATGCTGACGGTTTGAGGTATTGTAGTTTGAAGATGGTTCGGACTGATAATGAGGATTGCTTGAAAAGCCATAACTTATAGATGGTTCTGATTGGTAGTGTGGACCACTTGATGATGATGAATAGCGACCCCTTGATGGTGATGAATAGCGTGGACCGCTTGATGATGATCGATAGCGTGTACCACTTGATGATGATGGATATTTTGGAACACTTGATGAAACATAACTCAGTGCTGATGCTGAACGATACGGTATAGAATTTGATGATACATTATGGATTGAGGATTTGGATCCAACGTTTGTTGATTTACGAGAATGAGTTGCCGATGACCCGTGTTGATTAAGTCTCGATGATGAATTGAATTGACTTCTATTTGAACTTGTAGAATTTGTTGGTATTTTAAATTTAACATCTGTTGAATTTCCCGAATTTGATGAGTTTCCACCATTTGAGAGTGGAATACGCATGCTGAATAATCCGTTTCGTGGTTCTGATAGTGAGACACTGAATTCTAATTCATATCTTGGGAACGGTTGATTTGAGATAAACAATTGAAGAAATTTGTACAAATTGAGATTTTTTTATTTTTTTTATCTGAATAAGGACGCGTTTCAAGTAAAATCTTAGGCTAAATATCAACTTTCAGTTTCATCAATGAATCGATGTATACCAACATGCGACAGATAAATATGAATTCGAAAAGTACTATGATTATTTGAATTTGTTATTCACTATCCAGGAGGTTGTCTTTTAATTGTGAGCGTAATATGGTGAACCTTGCATAGAAATTGAGATTAATAACACTTCGAAAGCGAAAAAGACAAATTAGGGAACCAGAGTTTATGATGCAGAGAGCCAGTAGATACAAACACCTCTTTCGGCCTTTTCATGATCATATGAAGAGTTGTGATCTTTACTCTTGGTGTATTCCAATTTTGAGACTAAACGAGACTCAATATTTTAACGTTTGTGTGTAATTGTAGTACAACATCTAAATCATAGGTATTAACAACTAATAATCGTATATCCGTCAATTCAATTCGACACATGTCATCTCGAAGACTATCATTTAGCATACCACAACACGATGAGACTACACAAGCAAAAGAAAACTCAATTTATGCATTAAAAGAAATTAACAATAGTATCAAGTATGATTGGCCTCGAATATTGGAAGATGATGCAAATCCAATTGAGTTTGCAATATCATTATTAGATGATTCCTCGGTGGGAATGGCTCACAGATTAAAGGAATTCCAAAAATTGAAAAACTCGACCGAAGGTGCATTGAGAAATGTTGTTAATGAACATTATGAATTATTTAACAATAGTATTGGATCTTATCATATGATATTATCGACTTTAAATCAATCACAACAAGATTCAGAGGTAATTAAAAATTTTTTGGATTCTACACATAAAGAGCTTCATGATAGAAGTGCCGTATTAGGAGAATTATCAGAAACATCCGCAAGATACGCCGAACTGATCGATATTTTAGATTCCATGAGTGAAATGAATAAAATACCTGAAGAAATAGAGCAATTAATTTCTGAAAAGAAGATTCATGAAATATATGATGTGATAGCGAAGGGATACAAATTAGCAGAGAAATATAGTTTATGGTCATTACCAGCAATGAACAATATTAAATCATATTTGGAACAACAATCGAACGAATTATATGATATGATAGTCGAGGAATTACAAAACGAAATATATATGAAAAATAACAAATCAGTCAATAGCGCGGGAGTTTCTTCGTGGCAGGCGCTTTTGGATTCAAATAGTCCAAAATTAGCATCTTTTATTGCTTTATTAAAACTGGAAAGTTTGGAACAATACGTTTATAATTCCGCAAATTTGGAAATAGCAGAGATTGTTGATTTTTTAACAGAACCTATAAATACATTTTTATCAAACCAATTACCAAGTTTACATAATCATAGTATAAGTAACGATGGAACTATCGATTACAAAATTTTGCTAGATAGTAACCTGAATTCAAATAACGAATCTTTTTATTATATATATATGCTTTTATTGACAGCATCTAAGTTGGGCAGACTAAATCAAGTTGTTGACATTTTGGTAAATTCTAATCAATCTGAATTGAACGGTTTAATAGCGAGAACTACTGAGGAGGTAAAACTGAGAAATGGATTAGCTCTTTCAAAAATTTCAAAATCTCAATATTTAGAATCAGAATCATTATTTGATATAATTGGGTGTAACAGTTTCAATGATTCTGCTGTTATAATATTACAAGAGCTTTTTGGATCTATAATTGTCAAATCTTTAATGACGTTTCAAAAACATAAAATCATCAGTGAAATAACCTCTGTTCTTAAATTAGATGGTCTTCAGCCTAATAAGAATGCAATCTCAGAGAGTGTGATGCAAGTATGGGAAACAACTAAATCGGAAATAAAAAATTTAATTCTCAGTTATATTCATGATGATAAATTTTCTTTCCACAATAAGTTACTTGATCCAATTGATCCTAATAAGGTATCCAAACTACCAAGACAAAACCAACTTTTTGAATTTGAAAATGTTGACTGGGAATCAACTAAGTCAGCTCAAGAGTTTTCTAATTCCTTGGCAGACATATTTCCTGGTTTTCACATCGATGATGATGAAAAAAAGGATGTTTTAAACATGAAAACTCCATATTTTGAGGATGATGAGTTTAATACTGAAATCGAAGTATTGGTACCTAAAAACTTATTTAATATGAGAATTATATTGGAATCGTTGTTAATATTCATCGAAGGTTCAAACAGAATTTTTTCAAATTTTAAGAATCCCCCAACAAATGAAACAGCTCTTACTTTTTTCAACGAGTTTATGAGATTTAATTTCATGACATATTTCAGAGATGCAATTGATATGGTATTTGGGGATCAAGTAGGAGGATCATATGCAATAGATCAAAAGCCCAATGAACCTTCGGGATTGAAACTTGACTTACTTTCGATAAATCAAGACACGGAATTACAAATTTTGAGTGAATCAACGATGGGGAAATTTGATTCTAGTTTTATGGTTTATGAAAATGCATTTAATTTTAAAAAATTATTTCTTGAACTTTGTCTCATATTCAACACTTCACTTACATACAGAGAGGACATCTCAAATATGGTTTTACATGTACTACAAAGCTTTGCTACTGAATATAAAAAATTATTTCAAGATTTGTTGTCAAATGAAGGAAGTGCATCCAATAGACCAACCCTTCAAATTAGTAAATGGATGAAAATGCATGCCCTCACTGAAATTAGCGGAACAATTATGATGGATCATTCGTCACCTGATCATAAACTCAATTTTGCCAAATTCATAGCCTCTGAAAATGGAATGTTATTGTATGAGATTCAAAACTTAGTCATTAGTAAAGATGATTTACTAGATGAACAAACTTTTTCACAAGTTGTACTTTTATTGATGACTACCTCATGGATATTATCTTGGTTGCCCTTGATTAAGAAGGAATCGAATTATAGTATATATGATGATGAACAAAACAAATCGGTGGTAATATCGGCCGTTGATAAATTGAGATATAACTGGTCATTTTTAGAAAATGGACGCTCTAGTATTAAGTTTACTGCTGGAGCTTCAGATATTACACAACATGATATATTTTTAGCATTAAATTCGGAAAGAATGATTCAATTTGATGACGTGATTGCATATTTTGAAGGTATTAAAGATCAAACATTACTAGCATTAAGATACGAATTAAGAAGTAAAGCTTTATATTATGTTAATCTATCTTTCAATGTTATGAATTGGGTCTCTAAAACTGAACCTGGAGATGCTGATCCATATATAATATCCTTGAACCAAGAGGTGTTTACGGTAGATAATAAATTAGGAAAAACATTGAGTCAAGAAGATAAAGAAAGTGTATTTATTGGATATAGCCAATTTCTTAACGATCTTATCATTCAAGGTTCAACTAAAATTCATAAAATAAATTCAAATGGAATTAAAAGAATATTATTAAACATAGCAACACTACAACAAATGTTACGAAGTCTATCATCCAAACCAGAATTGATTGAATTTAATAAATCAACTTTATATTTTGAAATGTTTGCATTGAATGAATTTAGTTTGTTAAATAAATTTAAAGAGAACAATTCGATTTACACTAAATATCAATATCATAATTTAGCTAGATTGATTTATAGTGAAAAGTTAGCTGATGGTAATGGCTCACTGTTCAATAAAGGTAAATATAATGATTTAATTAAGAAAATAGATGATATAGGTGAAAAATAGATGAAATGCATTGGGAACAAGACCTTCTTTGTGATGAACTTGTATGTTTTGAAAAGTGTTTTGTAGATATTTGCTAAGTGTAATCAAGTTAAAACTAAGACAAAAACAATAACCGGTTGGATTGAATGACGAAGAAAATGGGCAAAACACTGTTGACTACGAAGATTAGTTTGGCAAAGAAGATTTCAAATATGAGATTTTTAGCTTTTATTGAATCTTTTCATAATTCATAAATTTGAGGACATAACTAAATATCAATCCCTCTACTTTATATGATCATGCAATCAAAATAACACTTATCTTCCAACTTCAAAGAAAAATCATAGATAACGTCGAACTTAAATAAGATCAATTTTATTGCAATGACGTTATCAATTGTAGTTGCAACTTCTGTGTTCTTTTTCGTGGATATTTGAGATATAGTTGTTTAGAGAAAATGGAAAGAAGCTAAAGAAATATACGTTTAGTACCGATTCAATGGAGCACTTGATTCAACTTTGAAACAATATTTTGCAGAACCAAGCGGCCTGGATTCAAATGGTCTCCCAAATTACCTCTTTTTTAAGTTCATCGTCTCGACGCCAAGTTAAGAGAAGCTACTGAAAATCTGTAGACATGGAAGCTTTTGTTTCGGTAAATATCATCCCTGTCACATGATCTATGGTTTTGTGATTTAGAATTTGATGAAGATTCCACAGCTTATAGTTCAATTCCGATGATGATGGAAAACATTATTTCAGTTTAATTTGAGAATAATGTTCAGTTTAGTCTAAGCTTAAATCGAACCAACTCATATACGAAGAGAATTAAAATATCATTAAACTTTCTACTTTATGATAGTCAGTGTCATCATATACCAATCTTAGTTTTGGACTAACAAAATTTTGTCAACGAGTTCTGATATACAATTTTCTTGAAGATTTTGATTTCAACGATTTCAATTTTGGAAAGTTACACACACGATATAAATTCAATGGGGAAGAAGTGTAATATATAATAATGTTTTAATAAAGAAAAGAAGTTACAGAGTGCCTCACGTATGAGTTTGGAGAAAAGAATCCTGTGGTAAAAATGTGCAAAGGAAATCGAGATTCAATATTCTATAATCATACCAGAATAATTAATCATACTTTTTCCATCCTTGTCGGAGGCACAACTTTTGCTTTCGTTACTCCAAATTTAATCTCAAATATTTTTGAATTAATACAGGCAGGATTACATTGTTGATGAAAAAGTTTGCCGATATTTCTCACTGGGCTATCCGTAACTGAACTCTTGGAGACATGAACCGGTATGACACCTCGAGAGTAATTTAGAACCAGAATGATGTTGGCATCTTGCTTAACCAGAATCCAATTTTAGACGATGAAGATATGAAACGTCATATGGTAGCTGGTAGAAAACACGTCTAAAATATATTTCTTGATCAAATAAATGGCAACCAACTTTTATTTGCACATTACATATTTCTAATCTTCAAACAACAAACCCATCAAAACAATGCAAATATTCCTCAAACTACCGGAGGAACTTTTGTCCCTTATTATCAAATACGTCAATGATAAGTCAAAAATTGAACGACTAATCAAAATTCCAGCTTTACAACAATATGCTATAAAAGAAAGGTATTCCCAATTCAAACTAAATACTAGCTATGAAATAAGAGATGGCTCCATTGAAAAATTAATTGCTTTATTCAAAGAATATAATTTTAAACCTTCGAGAATTCTTGGAAACACAAATGACATTTATAAATTACTTCGTTTTGGAGAAGAAGAAAGTTCCTATATGACGAGACAAACTAGATCTCAAGCGCAGAACTCGGGTTCAAACAATAGATTAATTGATTTTAGTCAAGTTGATTATGAAATTTTGTTTTGTCACTATAGTGAAATATCTGAACTTGAAGAAATCTTTAGAAATGTTAATTTAGTGCTGATAAAGAATATAAAGTACCATACAATATCAAGGAATACTACATTGGATCAAAATAGAGAAATTTCTACACTTTTGGATATAATCAACACTAGCAAATTGGAATCCTTGGATACCGTCTATCTGAATCGCTTCAAGGTTAAGTTTTCAACTTCATTGAAAGAATTGAAACTTAATTTTGGACGTGAAAAAATTGAACTTAATTTAAATGAATTAGCTAATCTTGAATTGTTTCATTGCTATAATCTTAATGGAGTTGACTCGTTGGATGATATACAATTACCCAAATTTATCAAAAACTTGGAGCTTCATTCATGTGCACAAGTTTTGGGGGATATAGAACAATATTCCAAGTTAAGATATTTAACAGTAGACTGTTGTGATGCACTTTTTCAACTCATGAATTGTTTTTTCCCCGTTACATTGGAAGAAATTAGAATTATAAATAATATATCGAAAGCAAAGGTTGCTGAATTATTTAGAGCTGTGAGTGAAGGGACAAATACTCAGTTTGAAAAGTCAGATTTTTCAGTTGACGGTAGATGGTTTTTGATTGGTCCCAGCTTTGAAGGACTTCCAAAGTTAAAATTGTTGTCCATTCAAGATGCTCGTGAAGCGATTGAAGTTCGAGTTTCAACATTTATAGCTCTTAATAGTTTGAGTTTGGTGAAGGTAAACAATATTGATTTGAATCAAGTTTTATCATCTTTGTCTGGAACTATGTTTAAAATTGAAATTAAGCAATGCAAAATATCAGGTGTCGAAAGTGCCGTGGTTTTCCCTGAGCTGAAGCACATTATATTCTTAAACAACAACCTTAGTACAATTTTCAAATCAAACTTAAATAATTTAAAGAAATTGGTGAATTTACAATTGAGAAGTAACAGATTACAGAATCTTACTGAGATACATGAGCTTGATCCGTGTGAAATTTTGAATTTTAATGATGAAGACTTTAATGCATCAACTGGTGAATCCAAGAAAAAGGTTGGAAAGAGAAGCAAGACGATAATTAAAGATAGTTTGACATTTAATGCACCCAAATTAGAGGTATTGTATTTGCTGAAAAAGGATATGTTCATGTGGGGTAGAAGAACAAATAGAAATTCAGGAAAACTTCAGCTGCTTCCATCTCAGTTGTCATTGATCGAATGTACAAATTTAAGAAAATTAAATATTATGAATACAATTTTAGATATATTAGATCTCAACAATCTTCCAAACCTGTTGGTTTACTTAAGCATCACAAAGAACAAATTAAAGCTATTCAAAGGAGAATTTAAAAAATTGAACAAATTAAAAGAGTTGGATTTAAAGGAAAATGAAATTAATTATTCAATGTTAGCAAATCAAACTTTTCCCCAGAGTTTAAAATTGTTAGATTTATCAGAAAATAAAATTGAAGATTTGACTTGTTTGTATTTAGATAATTGTGTCAATTTAAGAACCTTAATGTTAGTTAAAGTTACCGGTCTGGACGAACCAGAAGGTGCCAACAAATTAAAGAAATGGTTTCTTAAAATAAATGCAAATGCTAAAACTAACCGTGGATATTTGACCAACCGAAAATCAAAAATTATATTTAATGTTGTGAATGGTGTTGATGTCCGTGAAAGAAGTTCAACTGGTTCAGGATCAAAAAAAAGAAAAAGAGTCAACGATCCAGCATACAGATGAGATATAAGTAGAAAAATAGTAAGTAGGTTATTTTAAAATTAGCTATTCTTAGTTGCTATTTAATTTATTTTCGTTTGTTGAACTCTAAGAATATTTAATCCATGGATTATCACCCAGCAGTAGTCATAATTTTTTGACCAACAGCTTGCGAAACTAACTGCAAAACATTTTGCGTTGTCTGCTTAGCTAACGATATCATCTCATCACATTTAATCTCAATTTCACTTCTTCTCTCATTCATACAGGTGAAATAAAAAAGCTCAAGCAAAACTCAGATAGATGAACTTCCCCTCAGTTTCATCCCCTATATTGATTTACTTAAGTTCTCATTCTCAATCTAATGACTTAACATTATTCTTGGAAATCTCTACAACAAAATATTCTATTAATTAAAAAATTAAACATTACTCATCGATAAAAATTATGCTACAACGTCCCAAAATTTTTCCCATAGATTAGATGGTGGTTTATATTCATATTCTAACTCATCAATTTCTCTTACTCCTGTATCAATATCACAATCATCTAAAGGAATTAAATAATCACTCCATTTTGTACTAAAACCATGAAAGTAAATTTGAAAGCCAATCCATAAAACAACAAACAATATAACTGAAATATAAGCAGTGAAAAAATCAGTAACACTAAAACTATTAACAAATGAAGCATACCCTTGAATAAGAGTGATCAAAAAAATGAAAAAACATGCATAAATAGCAGCATAAGGCATTAACCAAGCTTTATACGGTAATGAATCCCTACTTATACCTCTTCTTTTTAAAACTTTCATAAATCTAATATGTGTTACTGAAATGAAACCCCAACATATTAATCCTGCTGCTGCTGTAATATTCAATAACCAATCAAATGCATTTTGACCATTTGATGAAACTGCTAAATAACCTAAAGCACCAAAAGCAGCTGTTATTAAAACTGATATATATGGTACACCTCCACGATTAACTTTCATAAAAAATTTTGGTCCTACTCCTGCTTCAGATAAACCATAAAGAATTCTTGAACCAACATAAACATTTGAATTAGCAGCTGATATGATCGTACTCAAAATAACAGCATTGAATATATGAGGTAATACATGGGTTCCGGAATTAATCATTGCAATGATAAATGGTGAATTTGAAGTATATGATCCACCTTCTAATCTTGGATCATTATATGGAACTAACAATCCTAAGAAAAACATACTCAAAACATAGAATATTAAAACTCTAAACAACACCTTTTTGATTGCTTGTGGCACTGCTCTTCTTGGATTATCAGCTTCTCCGGCACTAATACCTACTAATTCTGTTCCTTGAAAAGTAAAAGCAGCACTAATCAAAGATGATACCCATCCTAAAAATCTTGATGTTCCTACATCCGAAACCATGTCACTAGGCCCCCAACCATAACCATTACGCCAATATCTAAACCCAATTGGACCTTGAACTCCAGCACCACAAACCATACAAAGTGCATAAATAATCCATCCAAAAACAGCAATAACCTTTATAGAAGCAAGCCAGAACTCAAATTCTCCGTAGAACTTAACTGGGAACATATTAAAGATTGGAATTATAACAAAGAAGATTGATATCCAACCTGCCAAAGGAATTTTATCTGTCCAGAATTGAATGACTTCTCCAACAACAGAGAGCTCTAACGCATAAGTTATCAGCCAACTGAACCAATAGAGATAGCCAAGCGCCAGGCCGCAGGACGTGCTCACCCACCTTGTAGCGAACTGTGTGAACGAAGCTGAAAGTGGTGCGTAGGTTGTTAATTCCCCCAAACTTGCTGTTACACTCCATGCAATTGTAGTGAAAAATAAGAAGGAAATCAAACTCAATATCGGTCCTGAAGTACTGATCATACCACCAGTTGAAATAAATAAACCAGTCCCTTTAGTGTGTGAGTTAGTAATGATTTATATTTTTATGAAAAAATTTCAATCAAAAATAATTGTTTGGAACCAAAATTCTGTTGGAAAAAAACATACCAATTGTTCCTCCCAAAGTAATCATTGAAATATGTCTACTCTTTAATCCTCTTTTAACTTTATCTTGTTCAAAATCAGAAATATTCTCAATATCAGCATTTGAAATAAAATCAGTTTGTTTTTCTTTATTTTCATATTTTAATGAATTTATCGGATTTATAGTTTGAAAATTTGAAGTTTGTGGAGTTATTGATGAGATGTTATTACTCCCACTTTCATAATTATGTTTTTCACTCATCTTGGAAGTGGTTGATGATGATGAATTTCAAAATAATTAATGAAATTAATGATTTGAAAAGCGGTTAATATATTTTTATACTTTTTTCGCAATTTAAATTTTAACCTAAGAAAATAAATTGTATGCAGTACTTACAGTAATTTATGTGTAAAAAAAGAAACTTAAGAAATCTGTCAGATCTCTTATATCTTTAGTTTTGTGTTACTTGATAAGGGGATAAGACCAATAAATCAATTAAAATTTATCAACTGACCTTGGACTTGGATTTTCAGTTTTCTTTTATGCCAGTCATCTTATCTTCTTCCCTTTGAATAATGACGGAGATGCTCTCGTCCTTTGTTTGAGAGTAAGACCGCAGAATAAATTTGCTGTGGTTGAGGGGTATTCTTGCGTTAATCGAACTACATTTAATCAATAATATAAAATTATTTTTAATCATTGATTTAATATCGAAACACCCCACAAGATCAACTAAAATGAGCTTGTAATAGTAGATAAGAATTTAAAAATTGAAAATATTTTAATAGTTCTATATAATAAGAGTTCGTCTGTCAAAAAATCGTAAGGCATTAGTGCCATAATTTATTATAAATCGTAAGGCATCTCATCGCGAAAACTAAGTTAATTATAGACTAGTTTAGTAGTTGTATTCATTTTTACTTAGCTAATATTCAAATTATAATTAGGATGCCTTAGTTACAATTTTTTTCTCTATATAAATCAGGCTTAATTAATATGTTGGATTGTATTGTTCGAATTCTGAATTCTTATTGTTAAAGTATCACTTTATATATTCAATTGTTTGGAAGATACATATGTTTGTGTTTTATTTTGTAAGTTGCCGTATTTACATTAAATTTCTTTTTATTTAAGTTATTTACTAGTCTAACGAAAATAAATTTCTTGTTAATTCGCCCTATTTGAATTTGATCTGATTCTTACTGTATAATTAATCAATCGTAATTACTTACGTGATACATCTGGACTTTAATCTTCAGTAATTCAAAAGAATAGCTAAAAAGAAGAATGATCCTTATTTCAGAGTGGTTAAGGAATCATGAGTTGGAATTATCTCAAGTTTCCTTAAAGTTAATGTAACCATGGATGTAATTACAATGTTTTGTATATTTTATTCTCTGCTCGGTTGTTTCAAAGCTCCGAAAATAATTATAAATCAAAATTGTATGTGTAAAATTATTATAACAACTGAAACAAGACCGATTGTTTAGTCCTTGAACTATCATTATAAGGTGGAGAACTGATTTGACAATCTAATTTAACAATTTTGGGACCAAAGGATATTCCTAGGTTGTTTCAGAGCTGCATGTAGTTATACTTTCGGAAGTATTTAGTGTAAATTTGTTTTATGTAGAAAAGAGAATTTGCCGTAATTCTAAATCAATCTAATGCTACAAAAATCCAAAAAATAATATCCTTATACGAGGTTACACTCGAGCAGTTGTAACATCATGTTTTAGATCAAGCTATTAGTGCTGTTTAAAGTGGTCGTAAACTATTTTTGTTCAGACATAGAATATTTTAAACCTCTTGTTAAAAATTTTGTCGATTAATGCCTTGATTTCATTATTAAATGTGGCAACAGTGTGTAAATAGAACGTGGAAGTTTCTATTCTATTATATCAGCTTGAAAATTAGCAAAATATCTGTTCTTTTTAATAATAGAGATTAAGATCATTTTTTATCAATGTAAGTGAACAATAATTTACATATATTAATGTTGTTGCTTTACTAACACTCAAAATCATTGATCCTAGGTTTTTGAAAGTTGAATACTTACTGAAGAGATAGTTGCATTGATTTCACCGAGTAAATGGTTTAGTGAAAATGATTTGAAGTTGACTGAAAGAATCTTGATTGATGAAATTTGCTATTAGTCTAAGATAATTTTTCATATTATCTCGCGTGCTGTATAAAAAATAAAACACGTAAATTAAACAGATTAAAAGTTGAAGACGTTTCTTTTAAACCTAATATAAGTCACGGGAACTTTAACTTTTGACTTGAGCAGAAGTGATTAGCACATAAAGAGATTGTTGCAGAATCATACAAAAGTATGATAAATTTAACTTAAAGGCTATACTTAAAAACTTCTCGTAAATAAAATTTAAGAATCTTAAGTAGTCTAAATCTTAATTGGAATCGAAAAAAAAAAAAGAAGGTAACAATAATAATAATAAAGAGTTTATATAAATTTTATCAATCACGTATATATAACAATAACAACAACAATTTATACACATACAAACATAAAACACGTTATATATCACTTCAATTATACCTAATTCTACGATAGAGTACTTATACAATACATTAGATAGACAAAAAACAAAAACTTACCAAATCGTTTACAACCAATTATGAGCTCTTCTGATTCAGAAGAGGAAATGTCATTATCTCAATTACAATCAAAACCATCATCAAAAGATTCAAGATCAACATCAACAACTCCTACCACAAATGACTCCGATCAATCAGATGATGATTTACCATTGAGTCAAACTTCAAAAAGAAAGAAAAATTCAATAGATTCAGATGATGAAGAGTATGATGATGATACCCCACTATCTAAAAAGGCTAAAACAAATAAAAATGGATCAGCAAAAATAAAAAGGGAAACTAAACCAGTTGTAAAATCAAAATCTAATTCAAAACCAAAACCTACAACCTCAAAAGTTACAAAAAAAGAAGTTAAACCCAAAAAGGAAACCAAACCAACTAAACCTAAAAAGGAAGTCAAAAAGGAAAAACCACCTGCAAAAGATAAAGAAGAATCAGCGCCAGTAGATGGGGATGATGAAGAAGATGAAGGATACAAATGGTGGGAAGCACAAGACGAACATGATGGAGAAATCAAATGGACGTCATTAGAACATAATGGTGTAATGTTTCCACCTCCTTATGAACCACTTCCTTCATATGTTAAATTATATTATGATGGAAAACCAGTAAATTTACCAAAAGAAGCAGAAGAAGTTGCAGGTTTTTATGGAGCGATGATTGAAACTGATCATGCTAAAAATCCAGTTTTTCAAAAAAATTTCTTTACAGATTTTAAACAAGTTATAAAAGAATGTGGAGGATTAGGAGATGTTAAAATTACAGATTTCAATAAATTAGATTTTTCTAAAATGCATGCATATTTTGAAAAACAAAGAGAAGAAAAAAAATCAATGTCAAAAGATGAAAAAAAAAGAATAAAAGAAGAAAAAGAAAAAATTGAAGAACCTTTTAAAACTTGTTTATTAAATGGTAGAAAAGAATTAGTTGGAAATTTTAGAATTGAACCTCCTGGATTATTTAGAGGTCGTGGTGCACATCCTAAAACTGGTAAATTAAAAAGAAGAGTAGTTCCTGAACAAGTTACTTTAAATTTAAGTGCTAATGTACCAGTACCTCCTCCACCACCTGGTCATCAATGGGCAGAAGTAAGACATGATAATGAAGTTACTTGGTTAGCAATGTGGAAAGAAAATATTGCGGATTCTTTTAAATATGTTAGATTTGCAGCAAATTCATCAGTTAAAGGTCAATCAGATTTTAAAAAATTTGAAACTGCAAGACAATTAAGACATCATGTAGATGCTATAAGAAAAGATTATACAAAAATGTTAAAATCTGAAAAAATGCAAGATCGTCAAATGGCTACTGCAATGTATTTAATTGATGTTTATGCTTTAAGAGCTGGTGGTGAAAAGGGAGATGATGAAGCTGATACTGTTGGTTGTTGTTCCTTAAGATTTGAACATATTACTTTAAAAAAACCAGATAATGTTATATTTGATTTTTTAGGTAAAGATTCAATTAGATTTTATCAAGAAGTTAAAGTTTCAAAAGAAGTATTTAAAAATTTGAAAATTTTCAAAAAGGCACCAAAACAACCAGGTGATGATTTATTTGATCGTATTAATCCATCAATGGTAAATAAACAATTACAAAATTATATGAAAGGTTTAACAGCAAAAGTTTTTCGTACTTATAATGCTTCTAAAACTATGCAAGATCAATTAGATACAATTACAAATGAAGGTACAGTAGCTGAAAAAGTTGTTAAATTTAATGCTGCTAATAGAACAGTTGCTATATTATGTAATCATCAACGTACAGTTAGTAAAACACATGGAAATACAATTCAAAAAATTAATGATAAATTAAAAGAATTTTTATGGCAAAAAATTAGATTAAAAAAAATGATTTTACAATTAGATCCAAAATTACAAAAAAAAGATCCAAAATATTTTGAAGAAATTGAAGATTTAACAAATGAAGATATTGAATCTATACATGAGTCAATAATTGAAAGACAAAAAGAACAAGCATTTAAAAAATTAGATAGAGATAATGAAAAATTAAAATTAGAAAAAAAACCATTATTGAAAAAATCAGATATAAAAGATAAACTAACAAAGATTGAAGAATTAGCAAAAGAATATAAAAAAGAATTAAAAACTGGAAAATTTGAAATAAATCCATCAAAAACTACCGTTGAAAAATTAAAATTACAAATTGAAAATATTGAAAATAAAATTACAACTACATCATTATCATTAAAAGATAAAGAAGATAATTCAGAAGTTTCTTTAGGTACTTCAAAAATGAATTATATTGATCCAAGATTAACAGTTATGTTTTCAAAAAAATTTAATGTTCCAATTGAAAAATTATTTACTAAAACTTTAAGAGATAAATTTAAATGGGCTATTGAATCTGCTGATGAAAATTGGAGATTCTAATTTATTAAATAGTAAGTAAATATTTATTAGATTAATATATCGTTGCTAATCAGGATTTAATTAAATTGCGATAATCTTCATTTTGTTTGAACTCTTCGACCCCTGACATGCACAAGCCAAACCTGATTTTATTGATTCAATTTGAAACACTAGCCCCGCAGAATGTGAGAGATTAAAAGAAAAGCCGACAAATTTGATAAACGGCTTCGATTACAACCCTTAACGCTAAGCAAGGAAAATTAAGTTCTATAAAAAACCCAAGAACATTGCACACTCATTTGTTAATTAGCACTTAAAACATAGAAGAAAGTTTTACTATTCATTAGTTAGACCATCGTCCTTGAAAAAGGAAAAAAAATGAACTACACCGATAAGCCGCTCACTCTAAAATATTCCAAATCAAATATCCCAATATTGATTTATTTAAAACTAGTGTATCTATATAGTAATATCAATTTGTTAATTGATGCCTTACAGTTCTTTGGAGGTTCTTCTTGTTACTCTTTAAGTCAATCTCCTTTGAAATTTAAAGATAACAAAACACGTATTAATTTTAATGCATATTTGACGCGACTTAATATCAACAAATTTTAAATGTACAATTTATTAAACAAATGAAAAAACAAAACCAACTAAAAACCTTCTATTTGGTAAATCTATAATACTAAACAATACAATTCCAACCAAAATTTCATATAAATGCAGATTTAACTAAATCATTCAAATATACGGATTCATTTCCTTCGTATGTTTTGTGTTATTCCTAAATTTTAGAACAATAATATATCACACAATCTATCTAACACGTCTTAAAGTTTCCGTAAATTAATTTTAGTTAAAAGATATGAAGGAAGGAAATATACAATTTTATATAATTCATTATCAAATGTCATTATAAATTCAAGATTTTCAAAGACCGTTATAGCGTATTCAATTGGATAAACAATTCTTACAAGAATAAAACATTATGAATCATCTACATCATCATCATCATGATATAGCGACACCAACTACAATAATAGCTTCATTCACAAAAAGAGATGATGCTTCATCTGATATGCCATCATTACCTAAACTATCATCAGCTCCAAGTTTATCAATAACAGCCATACCGAAAAATCAATTCAATCCATATACAAATGTACCGAATTTACCACTGAATCTAGTATTTATAATAGTTGGATGTATTTTAGCATCAATTTTAATTGGAGTTGTATTGTATCGAATTATAACTCATTATATTTATTCATCAAAAGCTCAATATGAAAAAGAAATTTATTATTCAAATAATGTAACAGATTTATCAACAAATTATTCATTTCCAATACGATCAAGAGCTACTTCATTTGTAGATAGTTCATCAACTTCTTCTCAAGGTAAATCATTACAAAATCATTTATTAAGTGATAAACAACAATTTAGAAAATCAATGTTTATAAATCCAAGTTTAGAATATAAATCTATAATTTTACAACAAAATAATTCATCATCATTATATTTACAAACTAATAATTCATCAATTGGTTCTTTAATGAAACCTTTAGGTCCTTATTTAGATTCAAATACTATAACTTCAATTGGTGGTGATTCTGAAATTAATGGTAATTCTTCTATAAATAATGGTAGTGTACAGACGACGTTGAGACCTCCTTCTTTATACCTTGAAGAATTGCTTAATAGTAGTGAAGCATTTAATCGTAATGAAGTATGATTAGTATGGTAATATTTATTTTAATTGTAATAATAGACATAACGAATTCGGTTATTAGATCAAACTTCTCCCCTCCTTATATACCAAACTTCGCTACCAAGTACACTGCAATCTTAAATTTAATTTCACAGTTTAATCTATTTGAGCTATTAATTAATTTTTCCAACAATTAAGTTATCAATTTAATCAAATACCATATAAATTACACTCAATTGAACCAATAATCATGTATAAACAATCAATTAGATCATTATACCATATAAACAAAAGATTTATATCTAACACAACAGTAAAATATGCAAAGGGAGATCAATCAACTATTGATTCATTTAGATTACCTTCACAAACTTCAATAAATGAATGGGAATTTAAATATGATTTTATACCTAAAACTTCTGAACCAAAAGTTCCACCAATTTCAAAAGAAGCAGTTAAACAAGATATTGCTCATGAAAAAGCGAAAGCAGTAGAAAGAGAATTATTTACAAAAGAATCAAATTCATCAATTAAAGTTGAAGCAAATGATGCTAAAGTTTTACATGGTGGTGAACAAGTTGGTGCAGAACCAGAATATCATGAAGATAAAGGAAGTAATCCAATTGATTCATCAACCGCAAACATTTCAACAAAAAAATCAAAAAAATCCCCAAATCATAACCAATATGTTCAAAGTTCAATAAATCCAGAAATAAATAATGCAAATGTTGTTAATTTAGGTGATAATGAAATTGATCATAAAACTGAACAAGTAAGTAAACAATCACCAATAGTTGAAGATATTGAACATGATAATTTACATCATGAAGGACAAAAAGCACCAGAGGATCCAAAATCAAATAATAATGGAATTTATGGAATTTTAGCTTTATTAGGTTTAGGTGGTGGAGGATATTGGTATTATTCATCCACTCAAGCAAAAGCTAAGAAATGAATTTGATTATTTGTGAAAAGCTTCATAGGGATATAAAAATATAGAGATAATAAACAGTTTTTTCAAATAAATAAATGACCTTTAATTTTTTTTTGATTTAAATAATTTCTATAAACATGAATAATGATGATAATATATCACCGGATTTCTCAATATTGTCTAGCAGCTTCTTGACAAGCTTTTAATTGTTGTAAATAAAATCCACAAGTTTGCATATTACCATCAGTTTCTTCTAAACACCTTGTAAAATTTCTTGCATCAACATCACAATGTTTCTCTTGTTGATTTGTAAATGAATTTTGTTGAGGTTGTTGTTGATAATTAGTTAAATCTTGTTGTTGATATTGTTGTTCAGCTGGTGGAGCTTCTGATCTACCACCACCAAACATTCCAGTTATACCTGCACCTAAAGTATGACCAATAGTTGAACCTACTGCAACACCGGCAGCAGTTGAAGCCATTTGACCAAATAATCCCGGTTGTCTTTGTTGTGTTTGTGGATGAGCTGCTGGATATGATGAATGTTGTTGTGGATGTTGTTGACCATATGCTGGGGCAGCAGTATGTGCTGATCTTGTTTGTTGTCTTGGAGCTGGAGCTGATCTTCTTTGTCTAGGCATTGTTAATTGATTGTTTCAGATTATGTTGTTTAAATCGGTTGTCTTAAATTTTTTTTTTCACTATTAACATGCACTGGTTCATAATTTATATAACGATTTTTTTTTTTAGTGGCGAACGTGCTAGAAATGATAAAATCACCGGGGTCGTGTAAATACCACCATTAATGTTACTATTAAATTAAAGACATGATCAATTAGACGATCGATGGATGTAATAAAAAGAGAAGAAGAGATTCGAGAGGGGTACGGAATGGTTAAATAGTTGCATTATTACTCATTTGTCAGTCACGCTCAGCGTGGCGTATAATTTCGTTTGTTGTACCAAAATCTGTATTTGACTAGTTCGGCAATTCAAATTTGCCATTAGATGAAAAGCATTAGCGAATAATGTTGAATTGGAAGACCAAATTATGAATTCAAATTGAGCTTTAAAAATCATTATCTTGTAGAATCAAGTTATTACTACTATCATTGCTTTGAAGCAAAATCAAATAATCTCCTTCAGTGAGATTTTGACCATAAACTAAATTTGGTTTAACTACAATCGAGGATCATTTTCAAGTTGCAAAATATTATAGCCGACACTTAAGAAAAACTTTCAAAAAGAGTTAGCAATTCTTAAGTATTGGTTTTCAATAATAATGTCCTCTAGACAAGGTTCTTATTGACGTCAAAGCAGAATTTTATTTGCATACGTTCTATGATTTTGCAACTTTCATTTGACTATGAAAATTTAAATTTGTGTAATAATTTGAAACAACTTGAATTATGAAGTTGAAATATTGAGATACACCAACGTTGTAAATTCTCGATTTCCATCATCTTTACCAACTAGATAAATACAAGAGCACTAGATATTACGTATAATCTATATATTGTCAATAGGATTTTACATACAACCTCAAATAATCAAATTAGCGACGTGATTTTGCATCAGAGTAGTATAAGTTCTTGTATCCGGTAAAAGTCAAGAGTTGAAGCATTTAATGAATCTCAACTATAACCGAAGAAAGTAATAAAGAACTTGGATTTGACTTAAAATGGAAAAGTCCATTATTTTCAATTTTTTTTTGGGATTTCAAGACACTTTTAAAGTTACTTCACAAAAATCCCACCCTATGGGCTCGTTATACAGGATTTTTATAATTAATTCCCAATCGGTCAATTATCAAATGATACAATCCGTTTTGCAAGTTTTGAATCCTTACGATTGGTTTGGTTAAATAAGAAAAGTTTAAATTGTTTCCATAAGTAAGGTGTATGAATAATAAACGAAATCTGGGGTATTAAAATATGTCTCGCCCAATCAAAGGTCACTTGAATGTAATACAATTTTAAGTTCTTTATATAACATGGCCAGAAACTGATCATAAATTGACGATTCTTTTAATATTAAATACAATGATCAAATTTTGAATGCTACCCCGTAAATTGTATGAGCAGGTTGACTTTTATTAAAGAGCAAAAATGATCACGCAAAGTGAGCAATTTCCCAATTGCTACCCCAATTTTAACGAACCGATTAGATAAAACATCGACCCAACGACATTACTTGAAAGTAGTCTCGTGAAATTTAGTTTTTATCAAAAGCTTTGATTGTTTAGATTTATAGTTTTTGGATTGAAAATTTCTTTGGCCAAGAGTGATTCCAGATTCGTGTGACTTGTTGTGATAAAATTAAATTATTATTTTCATTTTTTTGATCGTTCGACATTTGAAACGTTATCAATAAATTTAAAAATCACTCAAATACAAAAATTCACCACTCACACTAGACTTTGAAGCAATTGTTAGCAAAGATGGACTACGAAGAAAGATTGGCTTCTGCCGAAAGATCAGAATCACCTTCATTAGTTGGTTCATCAATTAGATCTGCTGATGATTCACCACATAGAAATTATATTCACCCTGAAAAATATAAATCAACTAATAAAAAAACTAAAAGTAAATTAAGTAAATTGAATCCTGCGATTGCCGCTTCATTAGATGACTTGATTGGTGAAGGGGCTTTAATCAATTCTGAAGAAGATTTTGAAAAATATTTAGATAGTGATGGATCGGTTAGAAAGGATGTTAAATATACACCAAAAGAAGATGAAGAATTTAAAAGCAATGAAAAGTCAAAAGATGAAAACAAAGATTTACCAACTGAAAAAGAAGCTGATAAAGTAGATAAAGAAATATCAAAAGGTTCAAAACCTGAATCAATTGACCTTTCTGATGTCCCCAAAAATCCTAGTTCATCTTTTTACAAACAAGAAGATTATTCAACTCCAAACTTATCACAATATCAATTGGATCAAGATATAAAGAATCATAATGAATTATTGAATCATGTTAAATCATATGATTTAGAAAAATTGCCTAGATCAACCCTGTCTTTTCATGATGATTCCAAAGCTACTACATATAAACCACAAACACAAATGTCAGCAGCACAACAACAAAGATCAGAAGGTCACCTCCATACACCAACTTTTTTCACTGATAGACCAAGATCAAGATCAAGATCTGCTAATCCATCATCAAGAGTCGGTGAACGATCATCATCAAGATCATCAACTAATGCAACTAGATCAAAAACTCATTTAGCTAGAGGAGATTCATATAAGAATATTCATGGAGATGAGCCTGAAAAATATGAATTACCACCAGAATTTGCTGCTCAAGATAGACAATTGACTGAAGCAGATGAAGAAGACGGTAGACGTTCAAGACAATCAAGACCTACAATGGGTGAATCAATAGCTAAAGCCGAAGCTAAAAAAGCAGAATTAGATGCTAAAGATAAAGCTTTTACACAAGAACATGAATCAAATCCAGTTACTCGTGATCCATCATTAGTTACAACTGGTGATTATACAAATTTTGAAGTGGATTCTCCACATACTGATTTTGAAGCTTCTAATAATCTATATTCATCAAGATCGATATCATCAACTAATTATTTAAGGTCCATATCAAGATCAAGATCAAGAGCAAGACATCCAAATCCAATGGATGAAAAAAATGATGCAAATGTAGATACTTTAGTTGAAGAAGGTGCTTTGATTTCAGATGATCCTTATGCTTCGATTGATCAATTGGATACCATGGTTGAGGAAGTGTTACATGGTGATAATAGTTCTAAGAATTTTTTACCATTGACTGAAGAAGATGAAGAATCCGAAAAAGTTGAAAAGACGGATGCATCATCAACAAAGGAGGATTCATCAAGTAAACAATCAGAATCAAAGGAATCTACCATTACTGAAACAAAACCAAAAGGATCAACCAATTCGGAAAATGAAACACAACCCACCTCTTCAAAAGTGCATGAAGAAGTTATTAATGAAGATGCCAAAAAGGCTAAGTTTGAAGGCAATGAAAAAGATGACGCACATCCGGAACCATTGAAAGAAGAGGGTGCGTTAACGAGTGATGATCCATATGAAAGAGTTGATGAAAGTGAATTAGAAAAAGAAGGCATAAGTACTGGTGATAAACAAGCTAATGAAGAAGCTAATGAAAAAATTGACAAAGCTGTAGAAAGTCCATTGAAGAAAGAAATAAAACCAGAATCTAATGATAAAATTCCTGATGAATCGGAAAAATTGGAAAAAACTAACGACAAAGCAACGTTATTGGAAGGTGTCGATAATGCAGATGGACCAGCTGAATTGGAAAATTTAGAAGAAGAAGAAAAAGAAGGTATTAAAGAAAACGAAGAGGAGGCAAAAGAGGAAAAAGAAGGTAAAATTCCAAAAGATGAAGAAGCAGAATTGGAATCAGCTGAAAAAAATAAACCAACATTGGTTCAAGGAGGTGAAGAAGAAATTAAGTCTGTTTCAAAAGAGGATGAAGACAATAAAGAACCCAAGGAAGAAGCAAAATTAGAACAGGATAAAGAAGTTGAACCTAAAGATACATTAATTCAATCATCTGGTGATGTAGATGGTCCATCTGAACTAGAAAAACAAGAAGAAGAAGAAATAGACGGAGCCAAACTCCACAACAAAGAAATTAAAGAAGAAGAAAAAGGTAAAACTCCAAAAGATGAACAAGCTCAACAAGAATCAGCTGAGAAAAATTCAGCGGCAACCAAGGGAACTGATGATTCTGAAGAATTTGAAGATTTAGATGTATCACCAGAAGAAATTCGTAAACACCTTGAATCATTACCAATATATATTTTCACATCATTAGCAGGAGGTATGCAAATCATGCCAAGAACTAATAGATTAGCAACAATATTACAAGCTAATGGTATTAAATTTGAATATAGAGATTTAGGTACTGATGAAGAAGCTAAAAAAATATGGAAAAGACAATCAAATGGTAAAACATTACCTGGTATAGTTAGAGGTGATGATTTTATTGGTAATTGGCAAGAAATTGATGAAGCTAATGAAGAATATAAATTGAAAGAATTACTATATGAAACTCTATAGAAATTTCAAGAGTTTAAAAATTTAAAAATATATGATAAAACTTATTTATTTTAATTACTTTTGACATTATTTATTAATCATTAACTATTTATTTAATCTACCTTAACAACAATTTCTCGGTGGTGATCGTTTAATTCTATATTTTTCCATTAATCTTTCACTTGCAAATCTTCCAACTCCTGAACCTATAACAACAGCAAAAAAATAAACTAAAGTATAAGTCATAGCCGCCAACATTAATGTATAACCAAATAAATCAGGTACAATACAAAGTACTAATCTTATTGCATCTCTTACAATAGTACTTGCAACAGGCATATTTGATTTTTTTGAAGAAATAGAAGTATGTGAATTAATTTCAGTATCATTTTCATCATTTGTCATATTTTTATCAATACTTTCATCATTAATACCTGATCTATTAGCTTGAGCTGATGTAGTTGGTTGTAAATTTGCACTATGATTAACTACTCCATTTTCAAATTCAACATATTTATCATTATTCCATACAACTTCCTCCAAATAATTACGAATAAATTCTAAAAATCTTGCAAAAAATGCTGCAAAAAATAATAATACAAATATACCAAATGCTTCTGCTTTTGATGATGCACTTAAATTTTTAAATAATACTGGATAATCTTTAAATTGTGTAGTAAACCACATATGCATTCCCATTCCTTCATCTCCATGATCATGAGACATTGACAGTGCTGCAGCAGCTGTAGTTTCCATTACCATATCCATTGTACTACTCATTACCATTGAGGCCATATCCATAGTTGTTGATCCATGATCATGTCCAGCATGTCTATTGTAAAAACTCATTATTTTTTTTTCAGTAGCTAGTGATATGATTTTATGTTATGCTAATATGTTCAAATTATCAAAATTTAAGGAAAGTGTAAGACTTATTTATAATTTCATAAACTTTTAGTATGGTGTGATTATTTTGATTGTATGAAAATAGAAAATGTATAAAATTAATTTGCTCTAATGATAATTGATTGATATAAAAAGAAAGTATAAGGAACGAATGTTTAATATTATATTAGTTTCATGATTCCGTATAAAAAGTTCAGATTCAAAAGATTGGATAGATTGTTGATATGTTAACGATATTAGTTTTGTGATTGTATGATAATAACGATTTGGTTAATTAAAAATTTGCTCAATATGAAAAATTTATTATTGAGCATTTTTCTATTGTACTGATTAAGTAACTTATGCGGCTTTAATTTATGTAAGTGGATTAAATGCGGCTGTCTTTAATTGGATCTGCGCAAATTTCGTATTACTTAATTAAGTAGTCTTTACCGAATTATGGAGAAGCTAATATTAATATATAGATTAGCTATCCTAACAGTAGGTTTCAACATGGTAAAAATACAAATCGATAAGTTTACATTAAACCAATACTGATTTGGTTATATTGATTTATTAATTTGCGCAAATTTTGGCATTTGTGTTTACTATTCTGTATTTTAATTTCTGTTTCAAGTTAATTATTTATAATACACAAAATTGGAAATGAAAATTAAATGGTTGCAAAATACCTATCAACATGATGGTACAATCAAAATATCCTTAAATAAGTTGCTCATTTGTCCCAAAGTCTCAATGGCTTACGGATGTTTGACTGGTTCTGAAATTAAAGGTGACATTAAAATTTTAAAGATATGCTAGGGCTACAATAGAAAAATGGAGGACACACTATAAGGAAAGAGTTTGATGACAGTTTAATTCAAAAACATTCAACAAAAGGTCCATGCTCAACATTAATTGGATAACTAGGGGGCTCTAACATAAAACTCAAAACAGTCCATGATACAGTATCCTTGAATTTTTTTTATCCTTACTCAAAAAGCTTATTTTCTGAAAATCATTAAGTTATAGTTTTCTTTATAATCTCATAGATATCGTTAAGAATCAAAAATCTTTGACTTCATTTTAATAAAGATGTTGCAGTTAACCGACTTACCAATAGAAATTGTCGAGAAGATTTTGCCACTCATCGAGAACTTCTATCATGTTCGAATGGACGTTAGACTACATTGGTATTATAAGATCGATATAAATCTTGCTTTACAATTAATCTCAAACTTTGAAAAATCAAGCTTAGAAGATGGACGGTTTAGAATTTTTATAAAATTTGATAAGGAGCCAATAAATAGTAAAGATTTATATTGTTCCTCAGAGTATTACGCTTTCGTGATTCCCAACTATAAAGCAGGAACAATCAAAAAGAATACAGAATATATCAATAAAATTAAACTGAGATTTGAAGTTTGGGTCAATGACAAAACATTTTGGGAACAGTGGCGCATTTATATTACCTTACTTCCATATTGTGTTAAATCTAGTTGGATTGATCAGGATAGTGACACTATATCAGACATTAGAACATTAAGAAAAATGCATGATCAATTTAACTCCAGTTGTGAAAGTATCGATTTCTACTTGATATATGTTTTTAAAAATGACATTAAATCTATTTATGGTCATAGGGGCATCGGAACTTTAGTCAAAAATTTGAAGAGATGTAAATTAATATTTGAAACATCAAGTTTGAGAGCTTTTACAAACATGACAAATACAACAAATTTTGACCCAGAATACCTAACTATAAGTATTAAGCCTGATACATTTGATAGAAAGTTACGTGTTGAGGATATAACTGGACGTTCATTCAAAAATTTGATCGATTTTGAATTATTTTATGAAAATGAAAAAGCTTGGTTAAGCTCAGAATATTGGTTAATTAAAAATCTTGGTCCAAGTATAAAACGATTCACAATTTCAATGCGATACTTGTATGTGACAAAGTTATTAAAAGCTCTTGATTATAAACAGTTAAAATATTTGAATATAACAACTTCGGTTGAGAGTTATGGTGCCAAGGGTCTGGAGGAGAGGAAAATTAATGATAAATTGATGAAAGATGTAGTTCGTGGACAAAATTCATATATAAACCTCATAGATTGAGGTGAATTTTTCTATATTCTATTTAAGTTTTCCAGTTTTATAATATATGAAACTCAAAATACTCTATTTCTTATTTGAAAATTGCAACACAATGCATTAGTGAATCATTACAACTAATGTTGATTTGTTTTGATTATCACGGTTTAAAACCTTCTATTTTTACAAGAGTAATTTACTTCTTCATCCCTTATCCATCAACTTCTTTATTTTTAATTTTTATGATAAATTTTAAATTAAATTTAAAGTTTTTGGAAACTATATTAATAAAAGACTCAAATTAATCTCGTCAAAAAAATGAAGTAAATACAAATCTCTAGACTAGATGCTTTATCATGAGATATTACCACTTGAGTTGATTGAAAAAATCATTTTAGAAATTGAAAATTTTGAACCAATTCCTAAATTAGTTCGACAAATTTGGTATCACAATGTTACAATTAATACTTTGTTTGAATTACTTGTGAAACATGAATTATATAATTTGAATACTGGGTTATATAAAATCTATGTTAATTTTGACTCCAAGAAATATGCACCTTCAAATGAATTTGTGATTATTGAATTCGAAAGTATGCTAGAAATAAGACTTAAATCCAAAAATTTTAAAATTATTAATCCATTCCTTCAGTTGTGGTATGGATACGAGACTGACCCAAGTCTCAATTTTTATTTAGACATTTTACCATTTCGTATTGAAGAAAACGAATCAAAAACCAAAGAGATTTTTAAAGCTGAAGAATTACCCCCAGAGGTAGATTTAGATTTTATGGTTTGGTTTTTAAATTATTACATTTATGGAGTTGTTCCTCGACAGTCCTTTGAAGACCGGGTAGTAAAGATCAAAGAAGCAAAAATATTTCTTACTATTGATTCTTTTTATAATTTATCCGCAATCAAAGAATATCAAGAATGGCAGCCTGATTCATTGGATATTAAAATCAAGAATAACAAAACTCCCACTAACTTCCTGGTTCTTCAAATTAAGTCAAAACCATTCAAAAATTTGAGAGTATTTAAATTTGAATATAACGCTTACGAGTCCTACCTTTCTTCGGATCTTGAACTTGGAAAATTACTTGGGAAGTCAATTGAGGAAGTAACAATAATTATGTCATATTTGCAAATCAAGTTATTATTAAATGGGTTTGATGACAATCAATTGAAATATCTTCGTATAGATTCCAATTTAAATAGTTATGGAAAACCTAATCTGAGAAAAAGAGCAACAATAATAGAAATGATTAAATCAAAAGTTCGTGATGGTAATTGTGAAATGTACATTATAGATAAGGAACTTAGAAGGTATAAAGTGATTCAATTACATCTGCTTATTGGGATGCAAAATATAGATTTAGTTTGAGTCGTATTTGTTTTAGCCGTGAAGAATCAAACAAAATTATTACGATATGAATCATTAGCTTATGATGGGCATCCCAATTATGAAAACATAAATCTAAGCAAAAATTTCACTACTTTAAATTGATACGGTAAATAGTATTGTATTTAATGTAAAATTTGAAAGTTTGAAGGGTTAGATATTATTATAATATCACAAATCTGAAAATTTACATCAGAAATTTAATTCTTAATTGGATTTATACAAATAATGTATTACGAAAATAAAAAAAATTCTTAATTCAAATGTAGATTTCAAAACTTTAAAACTCTTGAATTAATTTATTTTATCAATCTTATTTAATTGTTTCTTTTTTAGTTTCAAAATAAAACATGAAACCTGACACAAAACCTAAATTTAAGTTTAGGGAGCTTTCCAAATCTAAAATTTTGTATCAATTGGTTTTAGAGAAAATTTCTTGACAGTAGAAACACTACGCACTTGCAAATATCCCTTATTTGATTGTCCTAATTTTTGATTATTTTTGTAGTTCATAAAGAATAATTATTTCTCAGATGTTAGTTATTCTGATTTATCTTTTGTTATATAGGTATAATTTTATAATATCTACCCCAATCAACCTAGCCTAAACCAAAGATTGTTGTTGAAGAAATAATTCTTTGCCACTAATTATATCGTAATCTTATCCCAACAGAAGTTTATACGTTATCTTTATAAACAAATTGGAGGATATTTGGCGAATTAAATCATTTCGACCAGAACTTAAAAACATGGAAAATCCATGCAAATAAAGTTAAATTATCATCTTATCGGAAATTAACTTCGGTATGTTAACTATTGAAATGGAGTTATAAATTTCAACTTGTTTTATACTTCTTAAAATTTTGAAATATATAAAAAACTAAAATAACCTTCATGAATAATGAAGTCATGACTAAACAAGATGCTTCATCATGAAATTTTACCACTAGAGTTAATCGAGAGAATTATTCTTGAAATTGATACTTTAGCAACTATTCCAAGATTCATTCGACAATTATGGTACTACAATGTTACTTTAGATACACTACTTAAATTACTTGTAAAACATGAATTGGACAATTTAGATAGGGGATATTATAAAATATATGTGAATTTTGACTCAAAAAAGTATACGCCTTCTGATGAATTTTTATTCATTAACTACAAAACAATACCAAGGATGAACCTAAAATCGGATGTTTTTAAAAGTGTTTTCCCTTTTTTTCAATTATGGTATGGATACGAGACTAGATCAAAGTTGAATTTTTATTTAAATTTATTACCATATTGTTTTCAGAAAAATAAATACGGGATTCATGAAGTTTCCGAGAAATGGAATCATAAACTCACAGCGGTTGACCTTAAATTTGTTGATGAATTCTTGAAGAGTTCGATTTATCGTGTTGTTTCTAAAAATGAATTTGAAAATTCTTTGAAGAAGCTTACAAGAGCAAAGTTAATTTTTGAAATTAATTCTTTTTACAGTTTTTCATTAATTGGGGAATATCAAGAATGGCAACCTAATGAATTAGATATTACAATTAAAAGATGTTTTGTGCGGGATAGTTTTATTGTTTCTACGATTAAACTTTTTCCATTCAAAAGTTTGAGGGTTTTCAAGTTCAAGTACAATTCGTGTGAGTCTTATCTTAGCCCACATGTGGAACTTGGTCCACTACTTGGTAATGCAATAGAAGAAGTCACTATAATTATGATGTATTTAAATATAAAGGTACTATTAAGAGGATTTAATGATCGTCAATTAAGTTACTTTCGTATAGACTCCAACTTGGTAAGTTATGGATCACTCAATCTGAAGAAAAGAGCGCAGATTAGGGAAATGATTAATTCAAAAACTCGTAATGGTAATTACGAAATGAACATCATCGATTGGTAATTTCGAGGGAGATAGAGCTTAATTAAAAGGTTTTGAAAGCAAATAAATCCAAGGAGAAATGTTAAGAATGAAAATTTCCATATTGTCTAAATATGGAAAAACCTACCTATGCAAATTAATTTACGTTCAATTTTCTAACTCGCAATACTAATACTACTAGCATAATGATTTCTGTATCGATGTGTGAAAAGACATCCGTAGTTGCGATATACAAAACATTTTAATGTCTTATCTTTCAGCAACATGAAAGATCAACTTTAGTTCAAATCTAAAATCATAGTCTAATTCATTCTTTCTTCCATGCAAGTGAATGTTTACAAAAAGAATTTTATAACCGATCTATTTCATGTTTGAAAACCTTAAATTTTAGTTAACCTAAATAATAATATTTTATTTTAAAAATAATACATGAAACTAGCCACAAAACCAAAATTGAATTTTTTTCATCTTAAAATGGAATATTTAAAAATCTAAACTTTTTAAATAAGTGATTTAAAAAACGTTTCATAACCAAAGACCAATTTAAACACAGAAAAGAAATAAATACAGTTTCTATTAAATAAAAAATATTAAATATTACAAATTACTACATGTGCTATCTTACCCAGACACATCTTATAAACACTTTTTCTATACCGCGTTTCTTTCAATTCTAATCTTCTATCAAATTACATCTCATTCTACGATCTGTAGTTAAAATATGTAAATTTAACCAATCATTAGCAATATATCTTAATCCACAAGGACAATTACCCCAATGATTTAATTTATCATTTAAATTATGTAATTTTTTAATTGAAGGATTATCAAATATAAAATGTCTATTTAATAAATGTTTTTTAAAATCATAAGGACGATTAAATTTACCCAGTTTATGATTACATTGATTTTTGGGGAATTTACAATTAAATCTACTTTCAAATTGATGAGTTCTCAAATGTCTTGACATATCTCTTGTTATTTTTTTACCACATATTGAACATTTTTTAAAATCAATAAATTGACTTTCTATTTGTGGTAATATCATTGATGTATTTGAATTTATTAATGTTGTCATATCTGGATATTGATTAAGATCTATATTTTGTGGTAATTGTAAAGTTGTCGGTAGTAGGCTTGATGATTGATATGTATGTTGTGGATAATATTGTCGTTGTTGTTGTTGGAGTTGCTGGGATGGTATCTGTTGCTGTAGTTGTTGCGGCGGTACCTGTTGTTGGTGTTGTTGTGGTGGTGGTGGAATCTGCTGCTGCTGTTGTTGTTGTTGTTGTTGTTGTTGTTGTTGTTGCAATACGTTCTGTTGTGAATATTGATACTGAATTTGTGGATGCGGTAGTAGATTTTGTTGTTGGACTTGGTGATAAATTTGTGGTTGATGTAAAGGAAATGGAGTAGCATTTTGATAATGTTGTTGTTGTTGTTGAGGTAGTTGTGATTGAATTTGTGAAGGTAATTGTTGCTGCTGAACAGGTTGAGTAGGTTGATGAGGTTGGTAATTCGATTGATATTGAGGTAGTACATTGTGATGATCATTATATTGATTTATCGAAGGTACTTGATGATATATACTTTGAGACTCTAGATTGGGAGGTTGTTGCAATGATTGTACTTGTGGTAAATGAGGTTGACTTGAGCTGATAATTTGTGGTTGATTTTGAACAGAGTATGTAGATGAATAAAATGAAGGTAAAGAATATTGAGTTTGACTAGATCTACTGTAATTGGGTTGTGATCTATTAGATTGATGATAATCTGTTTTACTAGTAGCTGAATCATATTCTGATGAAGATGCATTTGTTGCTAAAGAATTTTGCCTAGATTGTTGTTGTGATTGATTTTCAGAGGTTTGATTGGTATATTGAATATTTGATGGTACAATTTGATTTTGATTGTATAAAATGGATGGGTTAGTCGATACATTATTGTTGGATGTGGGTTGAAAATGATAATTTTGAACTTGAGGATAAACATTATTGGTTGGTATAGAATTTTGTTGCAATTGTTGCAAAGATTCCTGTCGTTGTGGATATTTGTTATTGTTATCGTTTTCTCGACTTTCCATATTATTCTGAAACAGCAACCCTTTAGTCTAAGGATCTTTAAATGTTTTTCAATTAAGTGATCTGATTCTAAATCTCCTATATTGATTAAAAAGTCAGTTGGATTCAAAAGTTTGAATTTTATTTCGTTGAATATTCTGATAAACTTGATGATACTGATTATTTTGCTCCGAATTTGATTTCTTTCTTCGTCCCTAAGTATTCATAAAACAATTCTTTCTCTCGTGGGTGCAATTAATTGTTATTGATAACTCATAAGTCCACACTTTAGATTTTATTCACTTTGTTGTGATTTTGAAAGTTGATAATTTTGTATAGATTTTTCAGAAAAAACCTTCAATTCCCTCCTTATTTTTTTTAGTTTTGAAGAACAAAAAATAATCGGTAATTATGTACTAGTTTAATCACTCCTTGCTAAAATTTGAGATCTTGAATAGTAGTTGATATGAGATGATTGATATCTGATCAATTTCAAAAAATATGTACATACGTACAATTTTAAAATTTTTATTCAAAAATGGAAATGAAATATTTTTTATAATAATGCATGAGCATGATAATTATCTCTTAAAACTTAAGGTTAAGAAGAATAAAGTACAACTAAGTAACACTCAGTAAAAAGAACAATAGAATTCAAATATTAATAGAATTTAAAAATTTAAAAAATACTAAATTAAAGAATATCGAAGGTTTTAAGCATCTTGTGTTAATTGATAAAATTTATTCTAACACAAATAATTTTATTACTTGATTCAAATGTAAACATGTTTTCGAAATGTAAAAGTCTTTAAGCTAAAAAAGGGCATTACATTAACTAAAATGTTTGTTTTTATTAATAAATGAACAAAAAAAATTGTTCAAAAACAAATTGAAATTCTATTGCAAAACCAATCAGTAAGATTTCTTAATTTAAATGAATTGATTTTGTGCCTTTGCTTATGAATATTTGATTTATTTCTAAATTTCTTTTTCTAAAGAGTACATTTCCCGTGGAAACATCCTATAGTATTCCTTTTCTTATATTCAAACTTCATGAGCATTTTTGGTTGTTTCGACATAGTAGCTGCTTAAGTAGATGGTGGTGAAAGTTAACTAAGAGTATCTCTTTTTACATAAAAAACATGTTTCAGAATGTAGAGAACTATAAAATAAAACTAAAATATTATTTAAAATTACGTTTCGGAAAAAAAATATTTATTTTTATTTTTGCCAATTTAGCGATAAATTAGTTAAACTAGAACATGTCAATTAGGAAGTCTATATGTAGAACATGTAAAATTCGGTGTTTTGAAGAATATAACAGATACGAACTAACGAGTATCTACTTCGCTTTTCTACTCATTAGTCAATAAGTCCTAATCAGGGGGAGGGGGCGTAACTTTAAAAACTAACTCATAGTTGAGACTAAAATTCTAAGTTGTCTATTGTGTATATCCGGTTTAAAATTTTTATTCAAATGAAATTTCATTTTGAAAAATTAATGTAAATAAGTACGGACTCACCTCAAAATTTTTAGCTCATAATTTTTTTATTTATTACACCCTGGGATTTAAAAAATGAAATCAAACAAATTTTAAATAATAATGCAAAATATATTTTGTCTCAGAATCTGCTTGGTTTCACTTAGGAATTACAATATATTATACTTTTATATCATTTCAACATCGGCGTAAATAGTAGCTATTGAACCCTTTTGAATTTCATTTTAGTAATTTTAAGAGAATTATCTAAACTAATATTGATATTTGCATTAACTCATCATGTAGAGAAGAATCTAAGTAAAGGGAAGAAACCAAAATATATAGAGAAAAAGAAACGATTTAAATTACCACAATTCCGTCAAATTAGGTTACAAAAAGAATGGTTATGATATTAAAGATTTTATATAGACTATAGAATACCATAAGGTCCATCTGATGAAAACGTAAGTTGAGTTGAATAAGATGATGTGTGTATAATATTCTTTGAAAACAGCTGGATCCTCGGTAAATTATTATTAACTTGAGATTATTAATTATTGCCTCAAAGAATTTTACAAAGTCAAAAACATTTTTAATTTAACATGGGAGAACACTCACATTAATCCTTCTGTACAACACTGCATAAAAAAACTTGATACACAAATCAATTTCAATAAACATTTTGCGTTCAGTTTTTCATTCATTACGAAGTATTTCAAAAACTATAATGCTCACAAAATCATGCTAGACTCAACCACAATAATAGTTACCAGTTTTAGTGCTACTTGAGTTAAAAATGATTGAAAGGTTTTCATTCTATCGATAGTTAGCGGATGTATTTTATTAAAAGAATCAGTGTGAAAATTTTAGTTACTTTACATAAGCGGCTATTCCAGGAATAAAATGTAGGGCTTTGTTTCTTTGAAAGTGAAGTATTTAAAGCTCTTTATTGAAGCTTTATTCTATACTTTGCCAGGTTATAAAAACTCCATGTTGACTTTTCACTTTATTTTCGGAAAATGCGTATTTATAATAAACTAGAAAGATTGTTATTGGTTTTCGTTAATTTCATTTAAATTGATATATGTCTAGCTACTCAAAACTCAAATTTGCAAGAGCGCAAAACGATTGTGAAAAAGCTAAAAAAAGAAACAAACAAATAAAAACACCTGCATCTTTCTTATTTATGCATGGTTGATAACTTATATTTTAGGCATTCTTAAATATAATCTAACGGAAGAAAAACCTTCTCTTCTTAAAAAGTATACGTACATAACTTATTGTTATTAAGCATATTCGGAAAAAAAGAAAAACTACTACTACTCTTAATGGTTTCGTGTTTTGTCCTTGACCATGCGTAATTTGTGCTTTTGGTTCATTGATGATTGAGCGTTTTTCTTTATTCGATTTCACATCTCTCAAAATTCTTTAACTTAAAGCTCTTAAACCTCATCTTGACTTCTGATGAAGATGATATGCAGTCAATGAATAACTAAATTTAAATAAATGCTTTATTGAACAATAGGAATGAATTCATCAATTTGGAATAGAATACAAAAATTATCATGCTTTAAATTTGTGTTTCGGTTATAGTATAATAATTTTAAGAATTTTGTGCAAAATAATAATTAATTTGTAGCCTTACGTTTTAAAAAATACAGTTTAATAAATATACATATACGGATTAGGCTGTATTTCAACAGTTAATTGATAATATAGCTTTGCCACACGAGAAATAGGAAAAAGAAAAGAGAGTAAATAAATGATAGAGTATGGTTAAATTTTCCGTTTAGCTTATGAAAAATAGGTATTCGTGTTTCTTTCGAAATTAAACAATACTACAAAGTTTTTCATAAGCCAACTCATCAAGTTTGTTTGTATAAACTTTTTCAGTTTGTATTTAATAGATGACCTAAGTTTGATCTAATCACTTTAGTGTAAGAAAAGGGTTCAACAAAAATTCAAAAGACAATATAATATGCACAGTTTATATTTAATACAACAAGTTATTTTAGTCTAAATTTACCTCGCTTTTACTCGAAAATCCCGATAAAGGAACTAATGCATTTAATCTTAAGCTTTCTTTCTTTCAATAATCAACTTTTCAAAGGGATATCAATAATTCTATTATTATACCATTATTTTATTTTCACTTTATTACCTATTTATTAAGTTTTCTATATATTAATTAACTAATTATATAGATGTTCTTAGCATACATTCACTTTTTTTTTTTTTTTTCAATATTAATTGTTTATTAGATCAGTAGTCTAGCTTGCTCACGTCATCACATAGTGATAAATGTTTAATGAGGATAATGACAAATGGGAAAAAACTCAAGGGAAGGATTAATTTTGATAGTGTGGACAAGTTTGGTGGTTAATTTATTATGAAGAAATCATTTAACGAAATTTTTATACAAAGATGTCATACCGTATATATTTTCCACAAATTAAGTCATCTTTGCTCAAACCCGATAAAATATCGACTGCAATTCTCGTTTCGGCTGAATCATCAATTTATGGCGTGTTTTGACTTACAAATCATTCCTCTAAAAATACACATTTCTTATGAAAACTTCATCAATGTCACTTTGAGTATCAATTACTTCATACAAATAACATTCATACTAATCTAATAAAAGCAAATCACCTGCCGTTATATGAAAAACATTTAGTTTGTAAAAAAACACCGCTTTGGACGAAACCCGAAAAAACAAGGACAGTGTTAGGTATTGGAGATTCCTTACCGTTTTCATCATTTTTTTTTAATTTCACTAAAAATTATACATAATATTATCGCTTCACTTACTGAAAGATTTTGAATGTAGTTTGTATGAGAGAAATCGGGATTCTTGATAAAGCTCTTGAGTTATAGGCCTATTTGTAAGTCGAGTACTTATGATTTACATTTAATGTATTTCAGCTTCTCTCCAAATACTGATTTTTTAATTATGAAACAATAATCTTTATAAATATGATATAAAATTTAGGCACCATGAACAAACAAATACCTTATATTGACAAGATCATAAAATTTCCAAAATTGAGCTGTTAGACTAGATCGTGTATTACCCAATTAACTGAAATTTTGAAACAGTCGTTTTTGTGTATCTTTTACTACGACTACGTAATATATCAATAGTTTTATGTCATCGAGGTTACCCTTTACTTGGTGTCACTGTGCAAAGTTCTTCGCCATATTTAGTTTTCAAAATTTTGAATTTACCTGGTAGTGCAATCAAATAGTCTTTAAACTATTTTTCTAAAACATAAATGTAATTTGCTAAAAGCTACAAGCAACATTGAGTAAACTCGCATAGCAATGAGCTCAGAAAAATGTAAGCAACGTACATCCTTAAATTATAAATTTGATTGTAGTTCTCGTTTCGAGTGGAGCATCATTCTATAGCGCAGGTTAAACTTTGAACATTTTTGAAAAAAATACATATTAGTTCAAATAGCTTGTTCAAATTTAGTTTGAGAATCATCAACCTCATACAAATAACACTAAGAATGTGCAAATAAATCACTGCTAACATTTTTATTATTAAATGAAACAGTTGTAAAAATTATAAGCTAAAAGTGGTACAGTATTCATGGATTCCTGGAATTTTCCATGCATTTTGCTCATTATAAATTTTTATTTTGGTTATATCATGACAATCATGTTACAGAAAAACTTATTGAATTATTTCGAATGCTATTTGTATAAGGGTGAGTGAGATTGTAGTTGAATTTAATTAGTCATGCACAATTTGTTGGTTTCAAATTTTTGTCGTTGGGACCAAACATGGATAGTAAACTCTACGAATATTGCTTTAATTTACCTATTCCCTGACTTTTTTGATTCTGACTTTATTCAAACATTACACTGAACTTAAGAATTTCACACATACTCGAAAGGTATACTTCAAATGGTATTTAGTTTATGGCTTCTTGAAACACCATATTTTTTGTGTACTGTTGTCACAACTGTTTGGATCGAAAAAAGAAAAATTGATCCAAGATGTTAGAGGCTTCAATGCACCATCATCCAATGATCAAATAGTTGGAGTAGCTTAATGTACGACTTAATAACCTCATTACCAATTTTTCAACTTAATTTGTAGGAGAAAAGCACTGCAATTTGGAAGTTCAAGCAGCTACGTGCTTTTAAAACCGCTATTATATGGTGTACTCAAATTTGACAAATAGTCGATCACTACTCTCGTTTTTAGTGAAGCATAATTTTTTAGCGCATTTTTGACTTCATTCAGTGTTGAAAATCATCCATATTTATGATGATATCTTCGTCAGTTTCTGTCTGAAAGCTGGCAAGTCTTAACAAATAACATTCTGTTTCTAAAAAGTAAGGCGGATGAAATGACACATCATTGAAAAAACAAAATTTGATAAAATTTGTGTTTCTACAACTAAACTGGATGCTCCAGAGAGTGCAATTACATGTTGTCACCATGAAAAAAAATTTTTAAATCACTCAAACCAACAATGGCATTGGACCATTGGACTAATCTAATGATTCTGATTGTGATTTGTATGATAGACGTTATGATTGCAGAGATCCCTTTTGAGTTATCAGCTTAGAAGAAGAACTTTTGGTTTCAAACATGCGACTAAGTAACTATATCATTCAATACGTTTTTTCACAAATCAAGTAATTCAGTCCATTTTACAGTTTGAATCAACCCATTACGGAAACTTACCTTGTTTGTTTGTTTCTTTTCTTCCTAGGATCCAGAGCTTAATTATTCGTTTCTTTTCACCCATCCTGCGAGATCTAAAACAATAATTAGGGGAAGATGGAGGGGTTCAGTTCACAAGATCTGACGACCTTAATGATGCCTTGCATAAACTTACATCGATTTTCATCATTAATGACCAAATTAGGCAGGTTCAATGTTAATGATCTTAAATCAAATAATTACGTAATAATAACATCCTTGTTGAATACGATTTTTCAAAAAAACGATACAATTTTGAAACTGTTCATAAACTATTGGTTGTTATGTGAAGAATTTGTTTCAAGAAATTAAAAATTTAACAAGCTTTATATCGTCACTTAAAGAATAGGGAAAAAGAAAAATACAAAAAAGAGTTTAAGTAGCTCTCATTTAGGCTAGTCGAAAAAAGTATAATTAGTAAAATTTGTTGGTTAACTTTATTTATATTATATATATAAAAATCCCATGGCTTATAAAATAAGTTGATTCAGATAATAATTAATATCTACAAACAGAAATGTAATTGAATTCGATTAACTAGGTAATTTGTTGAGATGACAATTTTTTTTTTTTGATAATTATTATAATCCTAAATATTAATTTGTAGAGTAGACCAATTTTGTAATAAATATACCTGTGCTAAGTTGCAATATACAACAAAACTTTAAAAATAATGAAACAATCACTACCAAGTGAGAATTATGCTGGCGTTTTAACTAAACGGTTTTATTTAAAGTTCATGTAACGTAATGTATTATGTAAGATTTTAAAACAAAAGAATACGAAGCAATTTAAAACAATAGGGAAAAAAAAAAGCAAATTTCAAAAGTTATAAATTACCAGCATTTTTCGTAAGTTATGATTGATGATGTAAGTAATTTGATTACTTGATTTTGAATCATACAATATGCAAGTATTTAATTGAACCATTACTGATATATATATAATCAATTAATTGATCAAGATCAAATCATTCTTATAGAATTCTGTTTTTCTATTTCTTTTTCTATTTTGTTTTGATTTCTTTTTCAACAAGTTTCAAAGATATTACGATTTCAAATCTGATACAGATCTACTACAAATACTAGCTATCAACATTAGTTGAAACAACTACACTCACTTCTAGTCATTCGTTTAACAAACTTTTATTATTTTTTTATTTTCAATTATCAACTAATAATTAACTTAAGGTATGTACTAATGTTTCAAAATTGAATGATTTTAATCGAATGGAGAATGAAATTGAGGGAAGGGCAACAGGGAATGGAAGAAGAAGAATATGAAACTTTGGGGCAGGAATAAAATTTGGATTGACGAAACTCAAAATCTTTTTTTCAGCAATTGACGATCTTTGTCGTTTCAACATGTAAAATTTCAACTCAATTAATAGGAACTTTGGAAAGCAATTATAGACTGATTGATCAGCAAGTGAAATGGAATCTAATTAGCCAATTAGATAAAAGATAGTTAATAAGGCTTAAAACAGATATCGTACAATTTGAAATAGACCCATCACTACTACTTGACTACCTATTTGGTTCAACTAAAATTAGACCAGCCTGTACTAAAATATATTATTATTTAAAGGTGGGATATATAATTAAGCTAAAACTAAACTATATACAGGATTTTGTATGTAAACTCAATTGGTAGTTCATTACTCAAATTATAAAACTCGTCACACCAACTAACAAAATAAAAACACAAAGTCGCGAAGTATAATAAAAAACAAATTTAAAGTTATAATCAAAACATACTAATAATATTTAGTAAACACACTACCATACACCAAATATACTAAAACACAACTAAGAAAATAATGTAACCCATTTATTTATTATTTTTACATTTTTCCTTTCAAAAATATATCAACAATCCTTTCTTCATTTTAAAGAAAATTTTTTTATTTTTATATTTATATATATTTCCTTCCTTTCATTTATCAATCCATTCATTCATTCATTCATTTAACCAACCAACGTTATAATTACTAACTCATTTAACTAACTTAAAGTCATTCCTTTATTATTATCCTAAGTTATCTAAATCAAAGTTAATTCTTATATACTACATTCATTCATTAATTCATTCATTCATTTATATCAACAATTAATATTAAATCACACTCATTTAAATTAAAACTAATTGATACCAAAACTTAAATTCAAAAATGAAATTTTCAAAAGCTATTATATTAGCTTTCATCACTACTTCATTAGCTGCTCCAGCTATAAAACAACATCAAAATCAGAAAAAACAAGATGTTGATTGTCAAGATGCAGTTTTCCATGGTCATCATAAACATAAAAGAGCTATAGTTTATGATTATGCTTATGTTACTGTTACTGTTGATGCAAATGGTAATCCAGTTACAACTTTGGAACCAGTTACTTCAACTGAATCAATTGCTGAACCAGAAAAAACAAGTTCAACAAATACTGATATTTCTTCAACTACTACAATTATTCAAAATGATTCATTAACTTCAAATCAACCAAGACCAAGTGTTGCTCAATCAAAAGGTACTGTTCAACCTTCATCTGTTCCAACTGGTGGATCATCCAACAACGGTATTAATGGAGATTTGCAAGATTTCCAAAATCCAACTGAAGAATTTCCAGATGGAGTTTATTCATGTGATCATTTCCCAGTAGGACAAGGTGTTATTGCATTAGATCAATTAGGATTTGGTGGATGGTCAGGAATTTATAATTCAGATACATCAACTGGAGGATCATGTAAAGAAGGTTCTTATTGTTCTTATGCTTGTCAAAGTGGTATGTCAAAAACTCAATGGCCAGATCAACAACCATCAAATGGTGTATCAGTTGGTGGATTATTATGTAAAAATGGTAAATTATACAAAACAAATTCAAGATCAAATTATTTATGTGAATGGGGTATAAATGCAGCATCAGTTGTAAGTAAAATTGATAAATCAGTTGCTATATGTAGAACTGATTATCCAGGTACTGAAAATATGGTTATTCCAACAGTTGTAAATGGTGGAGGATCAAATGTTTTAACTGTTGTTGATCAACATTCTTATTATACTTGGAGAGGTGGTTCAACTTCTGCTCAATATTATGTAAATAATGCAGGTATTTCATATGAAGATGGTTGTTTATGGGGCGAACCTGGTTCAGGAGTTGGTAATTGGGCTCCTTTAAATTTTGGTGCAGGTTATGCAAATGGTATAAGTTATTTATCATTAATTCCAAATCCAAATAATTATAATTCTTTAAATTTTAATGTTAAAATTGTTGCTGCTGATTCAAAATCTATTGTTAGTGGTTCTTGTGTATATGAAAATGGTTCTTATAATGGTAATGGAAAAGATGGTTGTACTGTTGGTGTAACTGGTAAAGCTAATTATGTTTTATATTAAGTTAGTGAAAACAAAAAAGAGAACTTTTTTTCATTACTTTGATTGATTTATTTGTATAGTTTCAAATAAAGTATATAAATTATATAGGTTCTTTCCATTCTTTTTTTTTATCATTTGTTTTGTTATTTTTATATATCAATCCTTCAGTTTTTATTTGTTTTAATAAATTTTTATTTGTTTGTTTTTTAATTATTATTTGTTATTTGATTCTAATTGATTCTTTTTATTCTTTCTTGAAATAAGTTCCTTTAGTATACACAAAAATATTTAGTGGTAAAAATGATAATTTAGACACGATAAGCGGAAAAAACAAGCTATCGATTTAGTTCATTGATGAGAAGCAGTTTTCAATGATTGTTTGGTTTTATTTGGTGATGTTTGTCTATCATTTTCAAACATTATTGAAGTTTTATGTTAGGGGGTAGTACATATAATAATTTATTTGTGTAAAGCCCCCTAAATTTGCGCTACCACATGAAAGTTGTTGAGAGTATTTTCATATCAGCAATCTTGTTGATAATTTTTATTTAATTCGTTTATTCACTAATTTGTATACTATGAATCATAGTTTCGGTAGTAATTTACTATAGAGCTAATTGCTCACCCAACAGGAGTATAGGTGGTTTGTTAATCAAAATGTATTATTGAAATCATAAAGTGGTTTTATGATAAATTCTTCTAGTTTAATCACAATAACAAAAGCTAAGAATACACATTCAAATTAATCACTAGCTCCTGGTACTCAACCAGTACAAAAGCAAAACACCAAGATACTTTGGCACCTTATGGTGTAACCGAGGGCAGTTCGGTTCAATTCAAGAGCTCGGTTTCACATCAGATTTAGACTCGAATCATCCTTATCATGCAATCTCCTTTGCGGCAAAAACACATAGAGAACCAGTATAAATCAACTGAAACCATAATCTACACTTAAGAGCATTCTAGTTAAGCAGATTCAAAAGGCATGTCAATTGAGGAGGATGAAGAAAAATTGGTCGGCTAAACAATGGTAATAATTTGACAGACAGAAGCTTTCAAACAAGTTGTGAAAGCATCTTTTGAAAATGTTTATTAATTTCACATTCAAATAAGTTGAGGAAATCATAGACAGTCCTAGTGTAGATTTTCAAGCTGAATTTTGCCGTCAAATGGAGTTTAGTAACAACGAATGGCAAAAAAAAACTCGAAGATATACAAACAGCAGAACCTCAACAAATCCTTCAGCAGCACCAAATAAATCCGAATAATCAAATGCGGAGGTACAGCGACAATGTTTTTTTCAAATTTTTAAGTTTGAACAAAATTTGAACAACTTCTCCAACACGACTACCGATAGAAATGTAACACCATCGAATTATATTCCAGAATTAAAAGTCAAAGGGACAGATGATATAAAAATGTTTAACAAATTATATTCCATAGGACTGAATCAAAAGTTTCAAAAGTGAGGTAACTGGAGCAACCATATTTCATAGGAAAATTATTGGAAAAGCGAGTTTAGAATATTACATCATGAATTAGTTTATCAAGTACTGATAAGTGACATTTGGTTTTCTCCGTGAAGATAAGAATATCATCCACGTAATTCTCATAGTTCATACCAGAATTATATGGATGATCTTCTAATCTGTTTTATTAGTACTTGATAAAACTCTTACAGAACTTCAAGCTGAAAAAGTTTGTATTCGTTATGTTTTAATTTACGAATACAGTCAAGGGAAATCAGTTAGCTAATCCATTGCGCAGATTCTGTTGATACTTCAAGTGAGCTATTTGTTTAGATCATTTTCTTCCCACATTAACTCTATCAATTTTTAAATCGATGTTAATATAGAGCAGTGAGTTATGAATAATATCAACGAGATTAATTTGATATTTCATGTGGGACATTGTTTCTTATTCTATCTGAATCTATATAGTGATCGAATCTATTTATAAAGTGTATTGTTGAGTACCAATATATTGAATTCACAAATTCTTCTTGAAAGAATCTTTCTCATACAATACTTGAAGAAAGATTTGTATTGACTAAAATAAAAAGTTGTAAAAGTTATGTTTTATTACTCACCAACTTCCAACAAGTATAAATCATTCTTGAATTAAAAAATGAAGGGTTCGTAGATTCTTACCCCGACAAACTAAAAAATAAAATTAAACCTGACTTAGCCTAATAATGAAATTTTAACGAGATCTTAAAATTGTTTTTTTTTTTCGTATCTTTGAACTTTTTAATTTTTAGGCTAAACTAACGGGTAAGTCAAATGATATTACACAATTAGCCTAAAATAAACTAAATTTAAAGTTAATCTCCGAGATCTTGTAAAACTGTGTTATTAGATCTCACAGATCTCAACCAACGTGTATTTACATATTTCAACATATACCAGGTATGTATTAATGAGTAAGTTTATAGTCTTTAAAATCTTAGATCTCACATTATGATGTCATCCGATCTTGATGTTATACATAATTTTACATATAAAGACTTTTCAACTTTAATTAAAGTTAAAAAATTAATATAATATCTCAAGAGTTTGATGTATATATATTGCATATAAGAGAAAACCTTTATTATTTAGTCTGTTTGTATGGTAAAAATTTTCACATTTAACTGTAATTACTGAAAGCTTTCATCCCATCCTTCATATTATCATTTATAATAAGAATAAGATGTTCATAATAATCCGTATAAGTTTGCTATTCATATTAAATTTACTCACTGCTACCAATCTCTTAAATTTTTTTTTATTTAGACTGTTTAAATTCTTAGATAAAACTGCGGATAAACTATTTTTTTTATATCAATGTGTTGATAATTAAAATACAAAGCTGTTGAATTCATTAATATTTACTTCGTTTTGTTAAACCAAATTCAATCTGTGATTAATACATCTTACTTCTAAGATCAAAAGATTTTCACAATTTCCTTAACACAATTTTGACGTATTTAACTACAATTTCATTATTATAGTACACTAATTAAAATAATAATTATTATTTTTATTTTCTTAAGAAACAAGAACTTAATCAACTTAAAAATTTCAAACAATTACATCATACCAACACCTAAACCTTATAGTACTATTCAATATCAGATCAGAACTGGGAGGAAAATCACAAGTTTGAAGAATTCAAAAAATATTACATTATATTATATATATCTATACATATATGAGTTTCAAAAATGACATCAAATGAGTTAGGTCACTCCAATAATTCTAATCCTACAACAACGACAACATCGAGTACTACAAAAACCAAACCTTCGAGATCATCAACCATCAAGGATAGTAAATCTACTTTTATTGGAAAATCGGCGAATTATCATGCTCAATTAACTAAATCATTATTTCAAAATTATAATAAATCTCATCAAGCTTTACAATTGAAAAACAATTCTACAATGCAACAATTTAATAATTTTGATCAATCTTATAATTTGCCAGATTTTATAGATTTCAAACCATCTGATAAATTGAATTCTGTAACTAATAACAATCATAATTCATTTTCACAATTAGATAATAATTATTTTATAGATAGAGGTTCAATATCAGTCCCATCATCAAGAATTGAAAATTATTATACAAATAATACTATTGAAGAAGAAATTCAACAAATTATTCAAAATCATGAAGATTTACATTATTTTGATCAAAATTCAAATTATAATGATTTAAATAATAATAATGAACTTTTTAATAGGAATAATGATCAAAATAGTAATAATAACGATAAAGAATATGGATATACTTTAAATAATGACATTGTAGATGTTGGGAAATCAGACTCAGTTGATCTGAATTTAAAAAATTTAAACAACCATAATAACAATAATCATAACCAGCATTCATCTAATGAGTTTGATTATCAACAATCCCTATATTCCCAGAATCCTCAAAGCCTATCTCATAATCATGATCATCATCAACAATCTCATCATAATTACGATGCCAACCTAAATTCCAATCAACAATACCCTCAATCTCAGTATAATGAGCATAGTTACAATCAAAGTCATCAACTACAGCACAACAATCCACATTCAAATCATCATCAACAGCCTCATCCAAATCAGAATCATCAGCATCAAAATTTAGCTCCTAATCATCAACAACTTTCGCAGGATCAATATAATCCCTCCAGCCATCATCAACAACTTTCGCAGGATCAATATAATCCCTCCAGCCATCATCAACAAGCCTATGATCATCAACAACCTCATCATCGTTCCATAAATACGTATAACTTACCTGATCATGCGGTTCCCAATGATATTCCCAATTACTCAAGTAATCCACAAACAATGTTTGAAACATCAAATTCACAATCTCAACCACAACACCAACTTCCTCAATCACAACAACAACAACATTTTGAACCTAAATTGAAAATGAAAAGAGGAAGACCAAGAAAAAAACCTGGATTTTATTTAAAATTAGATGGAGTTAATAAAAAACCAACTATGTTGAATAGAATGATATCTTCATCACAATCTGATTCAGGTACAGATTATTGGAATAGAACTCCATTAAATGGACCAATTGGGATTTCAAAATTATCATTTACACCAGCGCAACAAGATGATTATGAATTGAAAAAAGATATGGAATTGAATGATAATTATGGTAGTGTTGGTGGTGTTGGAGGTAATAATCAAAATATCCCTGCTTTTAATTTAACTCCATCAATTGAACCACCAATTGGTACAAATAGCTATTTTGAATTAGATAATACTCCAAAAAATGAAAGTTTAAATGGTGGTGGGTTTTTTTCACCTGCAATAAATGAAAACAATAATAATAATAATAATGATACTAATCATTTTAATCAAACTTTTGAAGCTTATTTACAATCTGATCCATCACATTTGCAACCACATCAATTTAATGAAAATCATCATAGAACTTTATCTGGACATCAAAATCAAAATCTGCATCAACTTCTGCAACAGCATCAGCAACACCAACAGCAGCAGCAAACGTATCAGCAGCCGCAAAATCTTCATCATCAGCATCAACATCCACAACAGCAGCCTCCTCATCAACAACATCATCAACATCAGCAGCATCAGCAACAACAACACCAACACCAACCTCCTCACCAACAACAATCAAATCCATCATTCACCCCTTTAAATTTCGATGTATTTAATAGCTCAGATCAACATGATCATACAACCTCAATTCAAAATGATGATTATCATTCATTTGAGGAAGATGATCCATTAGGATCTGAATTTGATGAACAATTTACTGTATCACAATATATGGGACCAGAAGATGAAATAAATGATAAAAATTATTTAAATTTACATAAAACAAAATCAAATCATTCAATAAATAGTGTAAGTTCTGATAAATCAATTACAGCAACAACAGGAACAACATCAACCTCAACATCAATTACTCCTAAAACTAAAAAGAGAGTAGCAAAAGGAGCAGTATGTCCAGTTTGTGATAAATATATAAGTAGAGATTTAACTCGTCATATGAGAATTCATAATGAAATTGGAAGATTTCAATGTGTTTATCCAAAACATATGTGTAATCATAAAACTCAAAATTTTAATAGACCATATGATTATAAAAAACATTTATTACATCTGCATTTTAAATTTGATGATCCAAAGGGAAAAAATGCAAATACTTTAGGTGATAAATTACCTATACCTGGTTGTTGTATTGCTTGTGGTTCAAGATATATTGCAAATGATTGGTTAAATGAACATGTTTTAACTAAAGATTTGAATAAAAGATGTGCTTATGTTGAAGAATATCAACATCAACCTAATTCAAATAGTAATAATAATGATTTTAATTGAGTTAGACTGTAAACTTTTGAGTAATTTAGGTGTATTTAGTTTTTAAATGTATTTTTAATTAATCTTACTTATCAAAAGATCTGAATAAATTGTGTGCAGTATTTATCTCTTCAATATTACATTTCCTTTATTATACAAATTCAAGATCATTCGAATTCAAATCTATACCATAATTGATAATAGATAGCATTAAGTGATCAATTGAATGTCTAAATTACCAAGGGCTTTAAATTTACACTTAAATCATCAACAAAATGTCATACCTTTAATCAATATACATCGTCAACCAAAACAAATCATCCCATTTCCCTCACAAACTAATCAATTGATACCCAAAACCTCAAACAAACACACTAAATTACAGACCTCATTACATTCGTCGTGGATGCCATCTTCATCATATTTAAAATTCCAAAAATCATTACCGCTCAAAAATTCACCCGAATTAACACCAGAAGATAAACAAGAATTACAACGTAAAATCAATTTATCAAATTTAATAAAAAATCTCAAAACTCAACTCCCAAATATTTTAGAAAATAACTTATCAAAAGATATAATATCTTCAAAAATATATCTACGAATATGTCCATCACAATTTGATGAAAATTATTTACCAAAATTACAAGGTTATTTAACTTATTATAGTACATGTAAAGCAATTCAATTATTTATAACATCCATAATATTATCACCAAAAGTAAAATTACATTTAACAAATATTAAAATTGCAGACAAGAATCAACCGGATTCAAATTGTATGTTTCCCAATTCAACAAAATTATATATAAGATGGAATACATGTATACCAAATTGTATTGAACATTTAGGTTTAAATCAATCAACAACTCAAGCAAATTTTGGATCTCATAAATGGTCAAATGAAGATACAAAAAACTTATTTCTGAATAATCATAATTTATCAAATTCAAAAAACCAAGAAGATTCAAGTATAAATTTAAATCTTAGTAAATTTATTGGAAAAATTACGAGAACTTTATTATCAGGTAGTAAATTAACTAATAATCATTCACAAGAAAATCAAAGCGATAAGGAGGATAGTTCAAAAAGTAATAAAGAATTAGAAAGAGTTATTTATGGATTATTTATATTTGAATTAAATGAAGATTGTAATCAAATTTTAGTTCATACAATTGAAAATATGGATATTGTTGAAAGATTTGAACCTGAAGAAGAACTGAGTCAAGTAAATGGATTAAGAGTTTGTTAAAAAATTTGAGTTATTTCTGTATATAGAGGAAATGTAAATTGTATATAGCTGAATAAAAATTCTTAATTTTTTTTCCATATTTCATTAATTTCGTTATCATTTATTTAAAGTATACAAGGTATAAATTTAATGTTTGTAAGAATATTATAATTATAGCTAAAATGATTAGAATATCTAGTTTTTCAAATTTTAAAGTAGGAGCATTATCCTTTTGAAGTTGTGATGTTTTAATTGAAGTTGGTTGTTGTTTATTATGTTTTTCATTTACAATTTTAACTTTCTTTTTCTTTATTGATTTACTCAATTCACTAATTGTATTTTCTTCAATTTCCTTTTTTAATTCTTTTATTAATTCATTTGTTATTGTTGTTGATCCACTTAATGACAGTTTTTCAATAACTGATTTCATCCAAGATTTTCCTTTCCAATCAACATAATGACTTATTAATAAATTTGTTGAATTATTTTCTCCCCATGTAAATACAAATCTTGTTTTAACTTGAAATACAGATCCTGAAGGAACATCTGGTGTTTGAGTTGTAGTTGTAACAATTATATAATCTGCAAAATTTAAATGTTCAATAGTTTCAATAACTTCACATCTAGTAGATTTTGGTCCAATTGAATAACCTAAATTTCTTCTATATGTATATTCTCTTGTCAATACAGTTGGATCATCATTTGATGGTCTAAATTCATTAAATTCAGATATTTCCAGTCCATCATGATTTAATAAAAATTCTTTTTGAAATTTATCATTTGTTCCAAATAATATATTAAATACTATACCTATTGGAGCTTGAATATTTTCTTCAATTAATTCAATTTCTTGTGGAAATTTTGTATATTTTGCTATTGTTGGTTCATGAGTATCAGGTCCTTTATTAGAATATTTACTTTCAGGTTTTAATTTAACAATTTTTGACATTTCTGTCTTTCGTTTGATCGGGGATGCTATTTTTCCATTTGAAATTGGTTTTGTATTTTCATCTTCATCAATTTCATCCTCTTCGTCAGTACCTGCAGAACCATTTTGTTCTTCTTCTTCTTCTTCTTCTTCTTCTATTTTTGCTGCAACATCGTCATCTCCGTCTAGTGACATTATATAATTATGAATCTTTGGTGATTGACCTCTATTATTTTCAATAACCGCCTGAAGTTCAGATTGACTAGCTTGATCTTCACTAATTCTTGATTGATTTTCTTGATTCACTCTCCCTGTTTTTCCTTTCCATACAGTAACCATTAAATCATAAGTTTGGTCTCGAGATAAAAAACTTGCAAAAGTATGAATTGATCCATCTTCAGTTTCAATACTTATTCCATTTGGAAATAACCCAGCTATTGATCGTTTTTCAAATTTAATGATATCTTCGAATTTAACCACTAAATTTGTAACCCATCCTAATAAATTAGAATTAAAACAAATATAACTTTCACTTATATATGTTCTACCTTGTAATAAAATCTCTCTACTTAATGCACATGAAAAATCATCCAATAGTCTATCAGTCAAATCCAATGATTTGAATAATTGATGAAACTCAATATTTCGTTTCATTATCGCCAATCTATATTTTGTATCTTTATAAAATTCATCCGAATATAATCTAGTATCGTATTTACTTGATGGAGGTGGAGTTGTCGGTATAGTTGATCCAATTGAATCAAATGTCACATCACTTGATGTTCTTTTTGACTTTCTATATGTTATTATTTTAGGTGATGCCAATTTTAATTCATCTGTTTGATGATGCAAGTCATTATTACTATTATTACTATTACTTTTTTGTAATTGATTATTCGTTTCATATTCTTGTAAATTCTTTAAAAATTTAGGTTGTTTATCATTATCGCTTTCACTATTTGCATTATTACTATTATTGTTTGAATCCTTAGATACAACGGAACTTGCATCTTCTATAGTAGTCAATGGATTTAATGGATTTTTTTGAAACGTTGTGGATAATGAAATAGATGATCTAATATTTGAGGAATCTTCTGATGTTTTTAACTTTTGTAATATATCATTATTGTTTGAATTCGATTGAATCCTTGATAAATCATTATCTTCAGATTTTCTTATTTTTTTGGATAATTGAGGTGGTTTTTGTAGTTGTGAATTTAATGATGATGTAATTTCTTTTGGCGGTATAGGCGGAGGTATTTCATCTTGATTTATCGGTATTGAATCAGTAATCCATTCATCTGTATCCACCTCCAATGTATCAGTTGACGGCATTAATGGAAAATGATTTAAAAAGTAATGATGTTATAGAAATGTTTTGTAATTTTTTTGATTCCGATTCATTAATTTGGTTGCCTTTTGCAATTGATCTTAAATTTATTATAAATGACTTTACAGTAATAAATAATTTTAATTTTGTGACATCTCCATAATTAATATTTTACGAGAGAGAGAGAGAGAGTAGTTGGTAGCGTTGATTTCTTTGTCGTACATATCGTAAAGATCTAATGAATGTCAATTTCTGTGACCAAAAGTATTAGTAAGTGAAATTTGGCAAACCATTTAGATTTCTGTTGGTAAGATCAATTCCAAGCTCAAATATGTCAACAGGTCATATAAACCAATAAACAAAGAGTTACGAGTCTAGAAATTCTGCGTCAAGCTCATCCTTACAAATCAAGTTGTCAAAATAATTAAAAGTTTAAAAGTGAAAATTTAGTTGTTTCTCTGTTGGAAAATTTTTATTTTCTGGACTAACTTGACTTCTTCATACAACTTCTTCATATTCAACCAGTTGTTTGGATCAAAACTTTAGATAAATTCACTGAACAGTATGTTTCCCATCAAAACCAATTTGCTTTATTTTTAATTTCAATTCCATTCAATTTAATGATGAAAAAGTTTTTTTAATATCGATTATTCATGAGATTATTATCAAACAATATACACCAAGATCTGTACTGATAAAAATAATTAGAGTGGAATTAGAATAAGAATAAAAGTGAAAAAAATAATGGAGTTGGGTATGCTATATGCTCTATCATCTATTAACATCTATTAATGCCCATTAAATGTCTTATCTCGATTACTAACTTCATGAATAGTTTCTCCCCAAAGTTTAATTCCTTGCTCAATTTCTTCGCTTGTTAAAAAACTAATACATAATCTACTACAGCTTTTACCCCAATCATGTTTATTAGATTCCCCAAGTACCTCAAAATGTTCACCACCAGCTAAAATCACCCCCTTTTTTTGTACTTCTTTTATGACTTTTTGATTATCAACATAATCAGGTAATTTGACCCATAAAAAATACCCACCATCACCACCATATACTTGTGTTCCTTCTGGTAAATATTTTTTTACTGATTCTTTTAAAACTTCTGTTCTATCTTTATATATTCCTTTAAATCTCAAAATTATTTCATCCAATTGACCAGATTTAATTAAATCATTTACTATGAATGTTGATAATTGAGAAGGAGTCCCACCAGATTTATTAGCTCCTGTAACACTCAACTGATGAACTAAATGAGGTGTGGGGGATTCTTGCCAACCAACTCGTAACCCTGGTGCTATAATTTTGGAAAAAGTTGCATTTGAGATGGTATTACCATATTTGTTAGTAATACTCTCTTGATCTAATTGATTCAATTTAGGTATTGGCTCAACAACAGTTTCCACATTTGAATAGTCTAGATATTCATAAACGTCATCGCTAATAATTAGCATGTCATATTTTCTTGCTAATTGGATTAATTTCTCTCTAGTTTTCCTTGAATAAGTTATACCTCCTGGATTTGAAAATGTTGGAACCATGTATAAAACAAATTGATAGATCTTTCGCTCACCTCTTGGGTCTTTTATAATGTTTTTGCTTGCTTGATCTTCTTCACCATATTTTTGCAAATCTTCCTCCAATTTTTGTATGTCAATATCATATTCTTCACCCGCAGTTTCATTGATTGCTATAAGATCATCCCCTAGACCAACATCAAAAAAGGAACTATTAATTAAAAAATAAGTTGGAGTAACAATGAAAGCTTTCTTAGTGATTGAAGGTAAAGTAGTTGAAGTTAAGATATTAGCAACACCGTAAGAAGCTCCAGCAGTTAAATTTATTAAATCTGGTGTCAAATAATTAGATCGATATTTTGAATTAACCCAATTACTTATGGTATTTCTTATATCTAAATTTCCTGAATCTGTACCGTACGCTAATGGATGTTGATTATTCGGGTCGTTGTCATAGTCCAAATAATCTGAGTTATTGATTAAAACTTTGGAGTAAGTGTCAGCTATGAGTTTTGAAGGAAGTAGTTGTGTAGACGGATGACCCTTGAAAAAATTTATTACAGCCATATCGTAAAGTTAGGTCAACTTGAATTTGGAGCAATGATGAATCGTCCAAAATCAAAGATCTTAAAATTAATGAAGATTGTTGCAAAAATTAATTAATTGAACGGAATTTTGATTTTTATCCAAATCTTTTGATTCCGTCTAATGGACCAAATTCTTTACATAAAAAACTGTGGTTTGTATATTCCAACAATTCAAACTGTGTGAATAAATAGGTGGTAAGCATAAGTTCTCGGATCTACAATATTTAAACAATGCTACGTTCGTAGATGTTTCAGAAAACGAGTCATAAGATATGTAGGACTAATGTAAATACTAGTGTAAATTCGCAATTTGTTTTATTTTTCAATGTTGAAAGTAAGCAACGACTAGCTACTGATGACACTCGCAGCCACCTTAAACCTCTCTGTAGTATTAGTAGATATTTTCAGATCAGACTCATTGAACCATTCATGAATATTACGTTAATGCATTACTTCATAGAAGAGAAAAAAAATCAAACCAATTAAAAAGTTAACTGAGAAAAATAACAATATCATTTAACTCGCTTGACTCATTTAACTCACTTATCTCACATACATACAAACAACACAATGCCAACAACAGGAGGATTTATATTTGCATTGACATCAGGAGCAGCAATAAGATTATTCCAGACAGGTTTGAGCGGCTCTCCACCAAAATTTTCTCAAAAATTGATAGGATATGGATCAACAATGACAATAACTGGATTATTTTATTATTATATATTAGATCCAGCAATACAGTCTAATAGAGAATTACTAGTCAGAAGATTAGGGGCATTAAGAGAGCAAAGATCACAAAAGAATAAATTAATGGAAGGACTTGAAGAAGAAGAAAATAGATTATTTGATTCAAATAGAAGAGGTAGATTTTTTGCATTATTTGATAAATATAGTCAACCCTATAAATAGATTTTGAGTTACTCCAAATTATATACATTAGTTGATTGAATTATTAATGAAAGGAATAAGTTTTATTTATTAATATTATTCTTCTTTTGATTGCACAAATATATCATCTTCTTGACCTTCTACGTTATCATCTCCCCCACTTGGTTCTGCTTCGCTGTCATATTCTTCTGCAACATCGCTTCCGTCCTCTTCTTCGTTTCCACCTTGAAAATCTGCATCTTCATCTTCATCATCTTCATCATCAATATCTTCAACAACGGTAACTTCAACTGGGTTATTACTAGCTTCATTATTATGAGTAGCATTACTAGTAGAACTTATTTGTTTTTCCTTATTCTCTTCATTATAAGAATCATCAGCTATACCATGACGTTTAATAAAGTCATCAATTAATTGATAATTAGCTACATCTATCATACTATATTCAATTGGTCTTTCTTCATTTCTATCATTTAATACTACAACATTTAAACTGAAACTATGTTTTGTTATGTTGGTATAACTTGCTCTTAAAACTTTTGACATTGAAAATACTAAAATTGGTTTTTTAAATGCAAATATCATGAAAGCATTATTGAATTCGTTCTTTTCTAAAAAAATTAAATTACCATCTCTTGCACCTTTGTGACATTCAACTATTATAATCGACGGGTTGGTTGTATTTGCTCCGCTAGTTAAGGCAACAGCGTTATCTTTATTAACCAAAAATTTATTTTTGAATATCGCATCACATGGTAAATAATTAATTAAGTTTATACCACATAATTTGAACTGCCTCTTGAAGTAATCTAATATTCTTTCTTGAACAGGATTTAAAGTTGTATCATTTTTATAATTTGACATATCTCCGAATTGAGTATCTATATTACTCTGCAACTTCCCACTTTTAATCATTTGTTTTTTAATTTGATCTAAGTACATTAGACAAATGATTGGATCTTTTGAAATATTCGTATCGGCATAATAAGAATCATGAATCCAAAAACACAAATAACAAACTCCTTTTTTACTAGGATTTGTAGAATTTCCTAAAACTGGTAACACTAAACATAACTTAACAGCTTGCGATAAATTAATGAATGATAATTCTGGTGCATTTGTAGCAGGGTTTACAATGGATAAGACAGGAATAGCTTGATTGTCTTGTTCGATCAAATGAAAAGTTAAATTCATCTTTTTACGTAGTGGTGACATGAATGAAATTTGTTGGATTTCAAATATAATTGAACTTGGATGAACTGATGATGACGGTGTTAATTCTTCATGACCACCTTCCCCTTCTACTTCATTATCACCATCATCATTTCCATTTCCCAATTTCCTACGTTTTGATGTTTCAAAATATTCATAAAGTTCATTAAATGTTGAATGCGTGGATGGATCTTTATTAATTATGTTTGTTATTTGTGATCTTAAATTGGGAGGTAGTTCTTGTAACCAATCCATTGCGAGGACTACTTGATTTTTTTGAAAATTTAATAAGTTGTCTTATATGCTAATTTATGATATACATTAATTGGATGTATCCTGCTATATCACGCTTTGAATAAATGTTTTACAGCCAACTTTAATTATGAAACAAATTAAACAAGTTGTTTCCAAAAAAAAAAAATATAAACTATTTATGTTAGCGCATTACTTTTGCTCACAACAAACACCACTTCATTACTCCAACCTCAATTTACATTTACAAATGAATGAGTTTAGTTGATCCAGAGTTAAGTAAGATTGAAATTCTTGATTCCATTTTAAAGGAATTATTGGAAGAAAAACCTTTAAATGACGTGATTAATCATCTATCGGTCCAAAATGTATCTAAAGTAGAGTTTAAGACCAATGTCGATAATGAAAAAGACTCAATGAAGCTATCAGATCAACCTTTGATTACAATAAATCATAACAAAGCTTTGTTATTATTTGCCTTATTTCCCAACCAAAGTATGAAATCTATAGATTTGGTGTTCAATCTGGTCATTAATAACGACGACTTAAGTTTCGTCAGCTGTGATAATTGTGAGCTTTTATCGAATATCGTGTTAGTTCCAAAAGAGGGAAGGCACAGGTTAGGTGATATTGAACAACTAATTTCAGATTTGATTCCAAAAACAAGATCTACAGATGTAAAATATTCCAACCTCGCAGCTTCTAATGATCAACTGATAGAATTGGACTCGTTTAATGTTGACATTGTTAATTGGTATTGCGATTGTCAAGATTATCAATCAAAGATAAATAAAAAGTCTAGGTATTTAGACAAATCTAGAGAAGAATTTGAATTATTCAACCACAACAACAGAAAAAACGTTTTATGGCGATTGATTTATGACCTGAAATGTAATCAATTAATACCTGTCCCATATTGTTGTCATTTGTTGTGTATAATGATCATAGTTTATAATCCTATTATGTATAGAAAATATATATCATTGTCTTCTTGAACTTCACTGGATCTCAGAAATGTTTCTTGTAAGATCACAATGCATTAGCAAGATACCATTCGATTATAGATATCAACTATAGATATCCGTCGTGCTATTCAATTATACTTTCAACCAACCAAAATTCTGTTTTCTCAATTTTTGTATGGAAGAGAAAAAAAATTGAAATGAAAAAATTTATTTGTTAGATCATTTTAAATGATTTAAATTTCAATCAAACTTATTCCCATTAAATCTTAGACCTCATCAATCCTTTGTATTACAGTTCATCTAATAGCATCATAGTCATTAAAAAGTATACTTTTCTTCACGACCTATCATCTAGTTCAACATTAATAGTCAAAAATTTATTATAATAATCACAATATATTGTTGGACCAATAAATTTTTCATGTTCATGTTCATCTTCATATTTAGTATTTAACGTCAAAGATCAATCCGGTAAACCCATAAAAATCAAACATATACATCATTAACTTATCTATTCATGTCAGTACCTCACTCGACTACAACTACTGCAAATAATTCAACTTCGTCATCAGCTACATCTACCACAACCAATTCGAATGGGGGATCTCTGCGTTTTCGAGGAGACGCTGCAAGTTTTTCACCTCGTTATCCGATTTTACATCATCATAATCAACCTCAACATAATCAAAATCCAAACCATCATCATCAACTACCTCCGCATATTCCTGTTCAGCAATTCATACATCCGCAAATGCAACAAGCTAATCTTACACCTCAACAACAACAACAATTTTTTATGCAATATAATAACTATCAATATCCAATGATGATGAATCAAATGTACGGATTCATGCCCTATCAACAAGAAATATATCAACAGCAACCTCAACAAATGTATATGATTCCACCTCCACATCCACTTCCACAAAGTCATATACCGATGCATCAACCGCCCCCACCGATACCACATTCTCATCCATCACCTCATGGTCATAACAATAGCAATAACCTTACAAGTACTAAGCAAAATACTCAACAAACTAGTAGTCCTCTACTACCACCTCAAATTCCACATCAAAGATACCAAAAACTGCCACAACTGCATAATATTCCGCAAAAGCAACACCAATATCAGCAGGTCGGTCCACTTCCGCTGCAAAATCAACAACAACCAAAACATCAATCACAACAACAACCACAAGTTCATCATACGCAACAACAACCACAAGTTCATCATACACAGCAACAACCACAAGTTCATCATACACAACAGCAAACACAGGAACTGCAAAATCAACAACATGAACAAAAACAGATCATAAAGGAGCTGGAGCAACAAGAAAAGCAACAGTCTAATCCCGAGCAATCACAGACACCAGAACGAAGTATTCCAAATTCATCTGATATCAATTCATCAAATAATATTCTACTGGAGGAGACCGAATCGTCACTATCCCAAAATTTCGATGAAGATGAGGACCATGAATCACCAAGATTGAATGGTCACAAAAGTGTAGAAACTGTCACACCGACACTTGAAGCGGAACCTGCAAGTTTGGTTTCTTTACCATTATTCATTAATATTAAAGAAATGGACTTTCTCAATAATTTTTTACTGACGGAGCAATCAAGAAATGTAAAATCTATCAACATATCAAATCAATTGGAAGATAACTTCATGAGGAAAGAAAATAAAGTTATACTTTGCCCAAACATCACTAGACAATATTACGTAAATTCATCTAAAACCATACTATCAAATGGGAAAGATCAAACAGATATTCATAACATTCACAAATTGACAAATGATACGAAACAAGAGAACCAGCAACAACAACAACAACAACAACAGCAGCAAAACCAGCAACAACAGCAAATACCTGATGTATGTAATTCGCAAGGTTCTCCTGCGTTGTCAAGTAATTGGGCTTCGTTCTTGCAAGCAACCGCTCCACCAACTCCTAAAAAAGTTGTCAGAAAATCAAGCCCTGCTAAAGTTGAACCAACAACTTACACAAAAGTCAAGTCTTCTACTCCGGACATATTCAATTTGGAGAATGAGTCAACCCAACCTTTAGGAATATTGTTATTGAAAATAATGTTTGATACTAATTACTCTATTTTCAATAATTTTCCAGTATTTGAAATCAAGCCAAAAGGTTTGACAAATACTGGTAATATATGTTTTATGAATTCAATCCTTCAGACTTTACTTTATTGTGAACCATTCAACAAATTATTAAAACTAATTGAAACGAAAGCAATTGGAGATTTAGTTACATCATCACAACCATTAATTGACGCGACTATCAAATTATTTAATGAATTTAAACCTTCGGATGATAAATCACCTGTTTCTATTGAGACATTTTATTCAGCATTATCAAAACACAAAAAGTTTCAACATTTAAAATGGGGTCAACAAGAAGATGCCGAAGAATTTTTGGGATATTATTTGGACGCATTGAATGAAGAAATGATATCAGCTTTGAAAAAATTAAATACCCCTCAAATTGATTCATTAATACAATCATACGAATCAGATGATATAACAAAATTTAAATATAATATTAAAACATGTATAAGGAGGATTAAGAACGAAGAAGATGATGATGAGTGGAAAGAAGTAAGTAAGAAAAACGTCACAAAAATTGAAATTGAACCTACTCCATTAAATATGATATTTGGAGGTGAATTCAAATCAGTTATATCTATACCAAAAGCAACATCATTTCAAAAGTCAATAACATTGGATCCATTTCAGCATGTACAATTAGATATTTCAAACTCGGAATCAGTAGAAGATGCATTTATTCATTTGAATGAGTTAGAAAGTATCTCATATAAAGGTCAAAACAACAAAGACTTATTAGTCAAAAAACAAACATTCATAGAAAAATTACCAAATGTTTTAATAATACATTTGAAGAGATTTAGCTATTCTTCACAAAATCAAGAGAATGCCATTGAAAAAATAGGTAAAAATATAACATATAATCACACGTTGATCATACCGAATGAAATATTATCGCAAACACAACAACAACAACCTCAATCATCTCAATCACAAGAATATCAATTGAACTCGGTGGTATATCATCATGGCTCGTCAGCAGATGCTGGACATTACACAAGTGATACGTTTGATTTTGAAAATAATCAATGGTGGAGAATTGATGACACAATTGTAAAACCAATTAGTGATGAGGATGTTTTAAATGATGGTATAAATAATGCATATATTTTAATGTATAGAAAAATATGAAATAAATGAACTTCTTAATTAGATTAGATACATACTTAATGATAATGGTGTCCAAAACTCTATAGCATTCAGCAATAACACTTAATTTTCGTATTATTGGCACATAACTTCTTGCAGATTTATTTTCAGATTTTGTGTCGCGATCAAATTTATGGAGATGAGATTTTCTGCTACTCATCCTTTCTCTTCTTTTCAGACATCTATATCACCTTCCAAAATTATGGCTAAAACTCGATCGAAAGGACCTGTATCTCCTGTTGCTAATAAAATTAAATCACCAGGCAAAGTAACTAAACCAAGAAAGGTTCTGTCCAAAGAAAAAAAAATTTCATCGAAGAATTCGGAATCACTAGAAGATGGCCAAGCTGAACATTCAACTGAATCAAATCTGTCTATAATACCATCCAGTGTTATCAAGAAGGCCATAATTGAATTGGAAAAATATATTACACGAGACAAGCAAGAGAAACAAGAATCCAATGAAAAATCAAAATCACAATTATTCGATGAAGATGTAATTAATGAGGCTAATACGTTGTATCTTATAATTGAATCTAAGAAATTTTTTTCAGCTAAACCTCAGTTCAAACCTAAAACGATCAAATTATCTAAATCGATGTATAATTTTAAAGAATTGAAAACTTGTTTAATCATTCGTGATCAGTTAGTTAAAACTAATGAAGAGATTGAAAAAATTGAAAATGAAAATTTACCAACGATATCACAAATATTACCCTTGAAATCATTAAAGACTGAATACAAGCCATTTGAAAAAAGAAGGGAGTTTAGAAATGATTATGATTTGTTCTTAGCAGATGAAGCGATTTTAAATACATTACCGAATGTTTTAGGAAAAGTTTTTTATGACTCCAATAACAAAGTCCCATTGCCAGTTAGGGTAACAAACTCATCAAATAATTCAGAGTTATCTATAACTACTTTGAAAAATCAACTAGATAAAATTTTGAATAGTACATTCTATTTGCCTCCACAAGGAACGGTTGTTTCAATAAAAGTAGGTCATATAAGTAATGAAGATGAAGATGAGACCAAATTCACAAATGACGAATTAAGTGATAATGTAAGAGATATAGTAAAGCTGTTCGATCTAGATACGTTAAAGACTATAATGATCAAAACTGGAACTTCACCAGCAATTCCATTATTTTATACCGACAAATTGTATACTGATGAAGATATATTGGATGACATAACATCGACTGAGGCGGATGAGGAAGTCAATGTGGAATTAACACCGTTTGAAAAAGGTTTATTACAATTGGGTGATCTCGAAACTGTCTCTAAAGTACTTGGAAAAAAATTGGGTGAGAAAAAGAATAAACTCAATGGTAAACAACGTAGGAAATCAAAAAAGTAAATTGTAAAGCTAAACTCTGAATTGTATAAATTTTATGTGTAGAGAATGAAATGGTGGTTGCAAAATTTGTACTTTTAATAATCAATAATGTAGAATGTAATTTTCACGCGAAATTTAAACACCAATTTATATTTTGAATCTTGCAGCCATACATGACAAAATCATGTGGATAGTACATCATAAGGGCGATCCCAAGGGGGGTATGTATATTTCTTTTATTCTTTTTAAATCAAACATATACTAATTATCTGAAGAAACGCGTCTGTTATCACCTGAAACAAATTTAACCGTTGGTCGAGATGAAACTCATGAACTTGTATTCAATTCAATGAAATGTGCAAGAAATTTATTACAAATAGTCACCGGACCAACAAACCCAAATCAAAAAACATCATTAATCTTATTTATACAATCTAGGGCTAAGTCATACATCAATGGTAAACTTGTAAATTTGAAAAAAGGTGAAAATCCAAAAGAATTGATTTATACTGCTGAATCCAAAATTGACATCAATTGTGAGCAAAGTACCGATCCCAGTGCAAATTCTGATTTTCCTTTATTGATTGAATGGATTGACCTCAAGCTATATATTGATACACAAGATGAATTGGTGGACCAACTAAAAAAATTGAATATGGACTTGCCAATAGTGGATTCCGTCGATAAAGCGACTCATATCTATACAAATAAAGCGGTTCCAGATCTGAATAACTTTAAAAGGGCCATAATATTGGGGAAGCATGTTGTAAATGACACGTGGTTAGAATCATTGATCTCAAATCCAAATGATGTTGATAATTGGCTCTTGGCTAGTCAGGATTCAAAATTCCTACCTGACAATAATAATTTATATTTGCCTTCTACGCAAAGAGCCATTAGTCAGAAAATTTTATCTTTTGAGTCAATTGGTTGGATAGACTGTGAGATAGTGGACAAAACAGAAGAGGATATCAAAAATAAAGCAGGAAGCTCTACATTTATTTTAGTTTCAAAGGAAAAGTTCATGGATTTAAAATCAATAAGTGAAAATGAATTGTGGAGCGCCATTCTCAACAACAATACAGCATCTTTACCGACAAATACAATTCAAAACTTGAAAAGGGCGGCAGACTCAAATTCAAAAGGTGCATCAGGAGCAAGGAAAAGAAGAAAATACGAGAAAGTTGATAAACTACATTTTTTTTCATTAGGTTCAACTTCAACCCCTACTACTCAGAACAATAATACTCAAGAAAGTTTAACAACTCAGCCAGCGGCTCAAACAGATGGAGAAAAATCAAGAACAACGACCCCAAATACAGAAACAATTCCTGATTCCGAAACTCAAGAAATTATTCAACAGGAACAACCAAAACCACCAAGACTTGAAAAGATAAAGAAAGAGCCAGAAGACCCACCACCAGTGAATTACAAAAAGCGTCAAAATGAATCATTTACAAATCATCAACCTCCGAAAGTTGCAAAATTTATGCCAAAGGTGTCATTTGCCGATGCTGTGATTCAAGCCAGAGAAACTCTGGTCAAGAAATGGAACAAAGAAATGGGTATTAATGAGACTCTGGAAGATCAAGAAGTAGTTCTTGATGATTTGTCAAACTTGGCTATTGTTGAGATTGTTGATATGCCTATGAGAAATAAAAATTTGCAACAACCACAAACAGATCAGTTAAGTGTGGACATTAATGTCAATGTTAAAAATTTCAAAAGGTTTAGAAAAAACAAACCTCCTACGCAACACAAAGATCGTCCAATTATTGAGATGACAATATCAGATACTAATGTATTCATACCCAAAAGTAAAAAAAAGGAAACTACCGTTGACAATGAGTTTGAAGGTGTAATGGATAATGTACGTGGATATAACCCGACACCTTTATTTGTTGAGGATAGTGATAATGAAGAGGATGAGGAGGAGAGTGGACCTTATGATGAGAATGGAATGCTGTCATTCAAAAATTTTACTAGTCGAGGTTCAACTATAAATACCGATAACGAGACGACGACAAATTTTAATTCAGCGACAAGAATTACAAACTCAAACAAAACCCCTAATGACAAATATGATGATGATGAAGAAGATGATGATGATGATGAGGATAATGATGATCAACCTAAATTTGGTTTTAGTAGATGAATATTAATACAAAAATTAAATTCTTAAACCGCAAAAACCCATCTTCCTGAAATAAGTAAGATGAATCTGTAAATAATTATGTCTATTCAGTATGTCGTAAGGCTGATCTTTTGCAATGCATCGATCATTGTCACCAGTAAAACAATTTACAACTTCATTCAAAGAAGGTCTGGTATTCGACTCTGAGCAATTGAGATAAATTTGATTATTAAATTGATAATAAACATCGATAGGATTCTGATTCTTGGGTAAAGTGGTTATAATATCGTTCTTGTGAATAACTCTTAAAAATTTCCTATTGAAATTGTTATGTACTGGTATATTGTAACTGCCCATTACATCGTCAACCCAGTTGACAAATTCAAAATTTCCAAGTAAAGGCTGGCCCATCGTTACTAATGTCAACTTGTCATACCCCATATCCAAATAGTGTAAACCTAGTAATAAAGCAACACTCCCACCCAACGAGTGACCAAGAATGATTAACTCATAATCTTCCTTATCATTTGAAGGTATAGAGTCATCATTATTTTCTCCATTTAGTTCATTGATTACATATTGATTTATATGCCGTAATGTTTTTAAAAAATAATCGTAGAAGCCTTTATGAACTTTACAATCATAACCACATAATTTTAATTTTAAACCCAAATTCGAATAACCTATCATGTTAATTTTCAAATCGGCGTAAGTATCTGAAAACGATTTAGTACCCCTCAATGATATTATAATAGTTTTCTTTCTCTTGGTTTTAGTATCATCGTTTGTTTCGTTATATCTAAAAATATTCTCATACGTAGTGGCAATATACCCTGCAACACTATCTTCAAAATACCATTGATAAATTAATGTCATATTTGGAAACCTTGATTCACAATTTAAATCACATTTGAACGGCTCTTGGATGCCACCTATGTTTGAAATACAATATGATATGTCTATTAAATGAGCGTAGGTGTATAAATTCGAAAATATCTCAGTATCCAATGGTTCTACAGGAGTCTGTCGTTGTGAATGCATGACTTCAGATGGCTTGTGAAAAACATGTTGACTGGTTTGAACTAGTCGTAGAAAAATCAATATTATACTAAATAGAAGCTTTAAAAAGTTCATCAATGAAATTGATAGCAAAATGACAAAGTTTCGTGATGAGGAATCTATCAGAAACATTTGTTACACTGTCAAAATATAAAAGAGATTTAATAATTACCCCTTAACGCGAATTAATATTAGTTTTTGCGGGGAAGATAAACAATCAAAAGCTTAATTGACAATTTTATTTTTCCTATTCAATACTATTTAAAACTCTAAAAGAAGATATAAGTCTTAAGCTTATTGTAGCAGTAACAACACCAACAAGCAGTGGTAATACAATGGTGTGACAACCTCTAATAAAAAACAAAACCAATTTCCATATAGGTTTAAGCATTATTAAAATCCAACAAATACTTAATATGAAAAATAACTTAAACGGCAATCCCAATATATTGTATATGCTGGTGAAGCTTTTAAATTTTTCCCAAGTAGCTTCCAAAATATCTGACGATCTTGACAAGATACCGAGAAATTTCTCAATTCTTTCGTTCACCATAGTTATTGATTCCTCAGATTTTAAAATCTTCTGATCCAAATTGTATAAGCTATTTTGTATTGCCAGCTCAAACGCCCTCAATACTGTTTGACTCGTGCTGTTCAAATATTCATTTAATAAATTCGAAAAATCACTGACTATTACCCTTGACTGATCCTTTATAATCAAATTGTTTGACTCTAAATCATTCATGTTTTGAGCTAATCTATCGTTTATGGCGTTTAATTGAAATGCAGATAGCAGTAGCTGATTATTCAAAAGCTGTCCAAGTTCATTGGTAGAATATTGCAAATGCTTTGCTTGTTCAGTGATGTTTTTAATTTGGCCAATTGCAACTTCCTGTTGATTTAGTATTTGAACATTATTATTTGCTGATTGTTTCTGATGCAATTCCAATTCCATTCTTTCATTCTGTATCATTTTATATACATCTCTTAACTCATTTGAAAAATAATTTAAATGTGCAGCAATCTCGTCCATATTTGTGCTCACCCCATTGTATGAATTATTAATTATAACAGATGCTTTTTTCAATGATAAATCAAAATTCTCATAGAACACGTTATATGACCTATTCAAATTTATCCTTTCATTTTCTTTCTCCTTCAAAACTTGATCAACTAAATTGATAATATAGTTAAACTTTTTTTCAATATGATTTTGATTTTCTTCACTGTTTTGATGTGACTTTTGTAAATCACTCATCAAATTCTGGTAAACATTCGTTATATTTTTATAAACATTTAATATCTGATCCTTTTCAAATGGTAAACTTAAATGATGACAAGCATTTTTAATATTGTTATAGTTACCACTATATGTTGTCCAAAACTGCGGTGATTTTTCCAAACTTTTAATGCATTGGTCAATGTCCAATTCTCTAAGATGTCGGTTACAATTTAATGGATACTCAATACCAATATTTTCAAATTCACAGATGGAAAGTTCCAAAGCAAATTTCTTTTGTAACGATGGAGATAATGATTCAATTCCATTTGAACATTGTGATGGCAAGGTTTTAAATGCTAAACGACTGCATTTGTCTTCCCATCTGTCGTTGTCTATGATATCTAACAAGTCAGCATGGTTATTCCATACTGAAATCTCTTTGGAAATGGTATATGTTAGGAAGCAAAATATGACAAGTAAAAACATTACTGATGGAATAAAAAGTGAACAGTTGACGACGTTGAAAAATTTTCAATTCGAGTTGACATGAAGATCTTCCTGAAACAAACCTGAAACAAATCGATAAAACGTTTTACGAGGCCATAAACTTTTCCTATTCAACCTTCATTAATACCCATTCATCGCCAAACTGACATTGCTCTATCTAAACGATTCTCCTCAAAGTTCTAGTTCTTCGTTGATACACTGTAGTTAAATAATTTTTGCTCAGCATTTATGTAGTAGTTTTGATTATTCCATTAATTTTATGTGCATGGTATTACTTTGATTTTGTAACTTAAACTTTAAATCTTCAAAAATTTTCCAAAAGTTATATTTAAAGATAAATCAATTCATACTTCATGGCAAGAGCACTAATACGACATATTTTCAAACGAAGACCTTACTCCACTACTATATCTTTCACACCAAATGATAATCGGCACGTTTTTGAATCGGAAAAATTAACGACGGAAGAAAACTGGGCAGCAATACCAAATAAACCAAGTTTCACCAATATTGAAAAAGTGCATCATGAAATTATAAATCCCGAAGAAGTAGCAGATTTGGTGACGAAACTAAACACTAATGATATTTTAGTAACTATTCTATCTCAGAATAAAGTTTTATATGGTGACCCTAATTACATCATCAAGAGCTTAACTGGAAATAACGATAAACCAACTATTTTCCCGTTTTCAAGTATACTATCTAGCTGGAAGAAGACTTACAATAAGCAAATTAAACCATTGATTGATTTGGAAGAAAAAAACTACAATTCGGTTGATAATAAATTGATCAGATCAATAAGGTCTAAATCATTTGAAGAATATTTTGAACAGAGTCGAGCTATGAGAAATTCCAAATTAATTTCTAGTGGGATTCTCCACTTTTCAGAATTAAACCTGCTTTATACCATTGAGTCCGCTACAAGTGATACCCTCGATAGTATCGACAGTACCTCTTCTTTTGAAAAGTTTTTGAAATTTATAACTCCACATTTAAACCAATTTAGGACAGATGGATTGAAGGATTTACTTAGCAAAATATCTCATATCAACAAACGATATCCAACCAACGGTGTCGCCATTCAAGATATTGTACTGACTATCAACGCCTCAAATCCAAGTTTACTCAAAAGTTTAGATAATCACACAAAAGACAATTTGGCTTATGTTTTAAGCTCTACAAATCCTGATCTTTCCAAAGATTTACTAAAATCATTGATAGAGCTGGGTATCTGTCCATCCAAAGAAAGTATACACAAATATATTGAAAATTACAAATTGGGAGATCAAGACCAAGCTTTGCGAGATCTTGCTTTTTTAAAACCTACGTTTTTTCATCGTCCATTGAGTGAGGAACAATTTGAAGTAGTGTTAGCAACTATCACAAACAAGTGGGATATGATCAAATTTATTACTTTACTCAAAAATTCACCTTCTATTTTGAAAGACAAACAATTAAAAATTTATAAAAAACTAATGGAATTTTCACCTACAAAGTTACTTGCGGCTCAGCTATTAAGATTACTTCATGATCGGAATGTAACAATAGACCCAGAGGTATTAAGATGTATAGAAAAAGATTTCAAATAGATTTTGTAAAAATGCCATACATAAATTGTAATAATACATAAAAGAATCATAATCATAAATACCCTACCTTAGGTTTACCATTTCGTAAGAATTTTGTTGTGAGTTGACCGAATAAGTTTCCTCTAAAGTTCTTCTACTATTTCGTCGAACACTTGAGCTCAATGAGACGGCAGAATTTACTCTATCTCTAGTCGCTTGATCACCCTCGTTTCTTGTATAAAATCCATCGGTGTATACGTAAAATCCATCATCGCTTGAAGAATCATTCCAAGATTGATCCATAACCCTGTTTCTAAGTGTTTTCATGTCATCATTAGCATACTGATGGTCGTAACTTTCGAAAAATTTCCTGCTTGATATAGATCGTTTGATAAAACACAACATCGATGTAATTAAGGCCATAGTTACAATTGGTAATAATTGAATCCATCCTAAGTAACTCAAATTAGGAATGAACAAAAGAATATCAGCCAAAAAGGCGAGTAGATTGGTTAGTACCGAAAAAAATGTTAGAATTAACATAATATTCAAGTATGATGTTAAATCTCGTTTATCTCTTTTCAATTCAACTGATGTAGATTCACTATTGTGATTGTTATCATCATGATCCTCTTCTTCTTCCTCTTCTTCTTCTCTCTCATTTCTTAATTGATGAGTATCGTGATGGGATTTATGCCGCCTTTTCGTTTTATTAAATTTACACCTGTCAATACTTTCCAAACCAAACAAGTAGAATATAACCATCAAAAGTAAACTTGATAAACAAAATGCAACAACATGAACCACCAATAATTTTGAAATGGTGTATCTAACATCTGACGGTAAAACAACTGCTCCTGTGTCTCCTTCTTCTACGAATCCATAGAAGGTGCTATTCGTTGGTGGATAACCTATTCTAGGTGGGCTGCATAATCCATTTCTCGTATCGCATACTCCAAAAACCCCAAATGTATAATTTTGAAAATTAGATAAATATATATTACTTGATTGAGCTGTCAAAGGAACAGATATCACAGGTAAAAGCTGAATGATCCAGCAAATTGAGCATAGTATTAGTAAAGCTAGTAGAGCTTTATACATGATCGCATTTGGTGAATGCTTTGATTGTCTAAAACTCTTAGTAACGTATTTCGCAAAATCGTTTTTTTCAACTTCGTAAATTTTTTACATTAAATCAAGATTAGTTTATGAAGACAGTAGTAATATTACTGTTTTTCATATTGATCGCGTCATTCTCAAGCTTAAGGACTCAATTACTCAAGTTTTTTACCATGTCAACCAATCCTTATCATAAAGAGCTACAAATTGCTACTTTAGCTGTTAAAAGAGCCTCGATTTTGACTAAACAATTAAGTGATTCTATATCTCAAGCGGGAACAATCACAAAGGATGACAAGTCCCCAGTTACGATAGGGGATTTTGCCAGTCAAGCTATCATAAATCACGCCGTCAAATTGAATTTTCCCCAAGATGAAATAGTTGGGGAAGAAGATTCACAGGATTTACAAAATAACAAAGAGTTGTCAAATAAAGTTTTACAATTAATTGAAAACGTGCAAAATGAAACAAAGGATTATGATTCATTAATAGGTGATCTTACAAACACCGAATCAGTATATAAAAGTATTGATTTTGGAAATTCACAGGGTGGATCAAAAGGAAGATTTTGGGCTTTAGATCCAATCGATGGAACAAAGGGATTTTTAAGAGGTGATCAATTTGCTGTTTGTTTAGCATTGATAGAGAATGGGAAAGTTGTACTAGGTGTTATAGGGTGTCCAAACTTACCAAAAGAAGTCAAATCAAATACCGATCAATCAGGAGTTGTTGGTGGTTTATATTCTGCCGTTAAAGATTTGGGTGCATATTATTCAGATTTATTTACACCTGGATTTATCGAATTGAGTAAGCAAAGTAAAATAAAAATGACAGAGCATACATCTCCATCTCAATTAAAGGTGGCAGAAGGTGTTGAAAAGGGTCATTCATCTCACTCAACGCAAGCGGATATAAAGTCAAAAATTGGTTTTAACCCAGATACGGTAAAAGAACAAACAATAAATCTCGATTCTCAAGTGAAGTATTGTATATTAGCGAGTGGTCAAGCTGATATTTACTTAAGATTACCAATAAATGACGAATATAGAGAAAAAATTTGGGATCATGCTGCAGGAAATATATTAATTTATGAAGCTGGTGGTGAGGTTGGTGATATATATGGAAACCCATTAGATTTTGGGAAAGGAAGATTTTTACAATCAAAAGGTGTTATAGCGGGTAATAAGAGAATATTCGGTAAAGTTATAGATGCAGTTAAGGATGTATGTAGATTATAAATTAATATTCTTTAACCATTAATGCTTATTTTATTACCACCTAGAACATGAGGGGCAACTTCTTGTATCCAAGATAGTTCTATTGCGGAGCAATTTCTTGCATATCCTTTTGTTGTAAAGACATATTCAATATACATGATAGCTTCAAGGTTTGGTTTACCAAATAAGACAGAAGATGGATGTATACTTATTAGTTGACCAGAATTAAATGTTCTAAAAGACCTATCAGGCATTCCAACGGCTGTATTTGTTATAAATCCTTTCAAGAAAGATTTAAGTATTGCAGGGACATTCAAGATTTGGTCTTCAACTTCGTCGTCATTAAGCTGTGCTCTAAACTTTGATAGTTGTTTTTCTTTTTCGTCATTACTTAAGGTGTCATCTTGCTTTACTGTTGCTAGCATGTACTCCTTTAATTGTTCCTTGATTTTTTGAACATTTTTAAAGCCCTTGTAGCTGATCATCATTTCTAAACACCATTCTTTTCCCAATGATTTATATGTTTGATATAACTCATACAATGCAATTAAATCACCATAAGTATTTCCCTTAGGAGTAAAAGTCCTTCTTTTAGCGTTGATTTCATCTCTATCCTCACCGGTAACATTTAAAATCAAATTATCAACCGATAAACAAGACACAATTTCAATCACCGGTGCTAAACATTCATTTTCTGCAGCAGCTATTAAAACAACCGATAATTGTGGAGGTAGTGGTAAAACACTCATTTTGTACCCCAATCCGGTAATAATTCCTGCTTCATTCAATGCACCTAAGGTGTACAAATTATTTAAAGCACTAATTATCAGTTCTTGACCAGGGTCCTCTAACCAAGTCCAATTTAAAAGATCATCGACTCCTAGTTTTTTAAGTGTCAAGACTGGCAAAATAATATCGTTTCTTTTGATCTCTGACTCTTGTTGTCTTGGTAAATTGACATACTCATTTTCTTGATACAATCTAAATACTTTACCAGCACTTTCTCTCCCTGCTCTTCCTGCTCTTTGTCTCGCTGACGCTTGAGAGATTGGCGTTGTCAATAATGTCGACAATCCTAAGTTATGTTTCCATATTTTGACTTTTCTCAATCCTGAATCAATAACATATTTTACCCCTGACACCGTGATAGAAGTTTCTGCAATATTAGTAGCTAAAATGACTTTCCTTCTTCCTTTAGGTTGTTTCTCGAAAATTTTAGACTGTTGATATGGTGATAATGCAGCGTATAAAGGTAAAGGAACTATTAAAGGAGCTTCTCTTGGCATTTGAGGAGCTAATTGCTCTAAAGTTTTAACACAATTGTCAATTTCTTCTTGACCAGGTAAAAAACATAGTATATCACCCTCTGGCTCTGTTAAATTGATTTTTACAATCGACCGTATCATACAGTCAACTATATCTTCATTATCCTCATTTTTAAGATAAAATCTTGAAACTGGAAATGTTTTACCTTCAATATATAATATTTGAGCTTCATCAAAAAATTTACTAAACAATTCAGCATTTAAAGTAGCCGACATTACAACAACTTTCAAATCTTTCCTTTTACCGGAAATGAGTAATGATTTAATAAAACCCATGATTAAGTCTGTTAGAATTGTACGCTCATGTGCCTCATCCAATATTATAGTACCATACTTTTTTAATTCTTTATCCATCATGATTTCCCTCAAAAGCATACCATCTGTAAGATATTTCAATTTAGTTTTGTGACTTAACATCTTTGTAAAACGAACTTGATAACCAACATCGGTCCCTAGTTTGCAACCATATTCTTCGCTAACTCTTGCAGCTAATGACGCAGCGGCTACTCTTCTTGGTTGAGTTACGGCAATGGCTTTTGAATTTTTCAGCATTAAAAATTGTGGAATTTGAGTTGATTTACCAGAACCTGTTTCACCAATGACTATAGTAACTTGATTTTCTGAGATGAATTTTACGATCTGATCTTTATGTTGATATATTGGTAAAGTTTGTCGTATTTTGAGTAATCCCTCAGCTATTTCCGCTAATTTTATTGTTGATTGTTTAAACTTGAAATTACTATTGGAATCTGAATCTGATACTGAATCTGAATCATTTGATTCAACATATTTTATGACTCGAGAATCCGAGCCTAATTTCCTTTCATTAGGCTGCCGTGTTCTTGTGCGGGATGTTTCTTCAATCACAGGTTTTGACTCGTTTGGTATTTGCTCCAACTTAGATTTTTCTACATCTTCCTCATCATCATCATTGAATTTGATCTTCTTATTTTGTTTTGCCTGTATATTCTCAACTTCTTGATTTAAATGATCTACTTGATGTTCATTGTCTGATGGGAATTCATCATTTTTGCTTTTCTTACTTCTCTTTCTCTTCCTCTTCTTGCCTATTGTATCCCCAGCATTGTGGTCTGAAACCATGAATAAGTTCTGAGATGGAGAAGAACAGAAAAATAATTGATGCGAAACATAATTATTTTAAAAAGTTTCAGAATTATCACCACTAAATCAATGTTTAAAAGAGTCATTGTCCAATTAAACCGGCATGTGCGGTTTACGTCGACTGTTGCAAGAGACACTGTTACTGTTATACCTACGGTTTACGAGTTAACAGATGGGAAAGACATAACACCTGAAACAAATCCTGATACTTCGTTAGTAAGTTACCTACAATCAAGACATTTAGTTGAATCATTGACTGATGATAAGCTTTTTGAAATCACCAAAAGGAATAATGATCATAAATTCAAATTGTACTGTGGTGCTGATCCAACTGCTGAAAGTTTACATTTAGGAAATTTACTTCCATTGATGGTACTACTACATTTTCGAATATGTGGGAATGATGTCATTGGTTTAGTAGGTGGAGCAACTGGTCAAGTTGGAGATCCAAGTGGGAGAACAACAGAAAGAAAAGGTTTAAATTTGAACGAAGTTGAAGATAATGTAACTAAAATACAAAGTCAAATTACAACTTTTCTACAGAATGGTATTGAGTACGCAAAATCTAGACAATTCCCAATGAACAAACAAATAGGTGATGTAAGTAGTGTAAATAATGAATCTTGGTGGAGGGATGTTAAAATGTTAAACTTTTTATCAACTTATGGGAAACATATAAGAGTTAGCGCAATGTTAGCAAGAGATTCAATACTGTCAAGATTAGAAAGTGGTGGGATTGGATTTAGTGAATTTACTTATCAAATTTTACAAGCTTATGATTTTTTTCATTTATACAAAGATCAAAATGTAAATATGCAAGTTGGTGGAAATGATCAATGGGGTAATATAACAGCAGGAATTGATTTGATATCGAGATTGAAGAAACTGGTGAATAAATCAAATGAAGCTTATGGTTTAACTGTTCCTTTATTGACTAACCCATCTGGTGAAAAATTTGGAAAATCTGCTGGTAATGCAGTTTTCATCGATTCTAAACTTACAAGTCCTTATCAAATGTATCAATATTTTATTAATGTTCCAGATGATATGGTTGCAAAATTACTCAAAGCTTTTACTTTATTACCTTTAAATGTCATTGAAGGTGAGTTAATTCCAAAACATGAAGCTGACCCAGGTTTAAGAATTGCACAACGTGTGCTCGCTAGAGAAGTGGTTGATTTGATTCATGGTGTTGGAGTAGGAGATGAGATGGCATATATAACTGGTTTTTTATTTCCAACTCCTGATCAACCTTTTGATGATAATATCAATGCAGAAAAATTAATTAATAATTTCAAAAGATCCGGTATACTTTATAAGTACCCAATGCACAAATGTGATGACATTAAAATGAGTGCATTATTGCTGGATATAACAGGTAAATCAAAAAGTGAAATCAAAAGATTAATTAAATCTGGTGGAGTTTATTTGGGATTAGATAGAGATCAATTTGAAGATCCTGATGATGTTGTGCTTTTTGATAAATCACATCATTTAGTCGATGGGAAGTTAATGTTGATTAGAATTGGAAAACAAAATTATTATGTTGTTGAATTTGTGTAAATAGTATTGTAGAATAATGATTTATAATGTCATTCGGATATTTCAATTGAAAATAGAACGGATAATTTTTCATGATTTTTCGTAAAAGTTTTAGAAAGACGGCTGAAAAAAAATTTAATCAAAAGGTGATGTAACTGTTTAAGCGCTATACGGTTATTATTCTTTTTGCTAGATCTAGTATTTTTCGAACCAGCTGAAACATTCCTATTTTTGATTAATAATCAAAGTTGAATTTATAGCCTCGACTAAAGTCTAGGCTAATTGATTGCTTAGTTATATTGTATTCTTTATCAGTAACTGGTAGCTCAAAATATCATCATTTATATTGAAACGTATTCGCAAAATTAAAATAACTAATAAACTTATTATTTATCCAACTTGAAACTTTTCATCCCTGAATTTCATAATACCTAAGATCAAGAACTCGAGTCAATCATAAATTCACTTAAGACTTTTCAACTTGAATTTCATAATACGTAAGATCAAGCACTAGAGTCAATCATAGTTCACTTAAGAATTTTGATTCTTGAATTTCATAATACCTAAGATCAAGCACTGGAGTTAGTCATAGTCCCAGTTAAGACTGTTCGTCCTTGAATTTCATAATATCTAAGCACAATCACTAGAGTCAATCATTATTTGATCCAATAAAATAAAATCATGTCAGAATTTTTTGATTTAAATCCACTTGATAAGACTGGCAAGCCATATCCTTTCTCAGAATTGAAAGGCAAGGTCACCTTAATCATAAATACGGCCTCCAAGTGCGGGTTTACTTCTCAGTATGGCCAGCTAGAGGAGTTAAACAAGAAATTCGAAGGTAAAGACGTACAACTTTTAGCGTTCCCGTGCAATCAGTTTGGAAATCAAGAGCCAGGATCAAATGAAGAAATTGGTGAATTTTGTCAACTTAATTACGGTGTTACTTTCCCAGTATTAGGAAAAATTGATGTTAATGGAGATAAAGCAGATCCTGTTTACAAATATTTAAAATCCCAAAAATCAGGTTTATTGGGTTTAAATAGAATCAAATGGAATTTTGAAAAATTTTTAATTGATAAAAATGGTAATGTTGTTGAAAGATATAGTTCTTTGACTAAACCACTTGATATTGCTCCAAAAATTGAAGAATTATTAAAAAAGTAGGTATTTCGTTGATTCGTGATGACAGAGAACCATAATAAACATAATATGACTGAAAACAATCGTTACTACAGTTCTCTTTGAATAGTAAGTTAATGGTGTAAGTAAATTCATTCCTATTCTCATATCTTAATTCGAATGCCTTGCGATTAGAAGCGATAAACTGCTTTAAAATCCAGTTGAAGTTTGTGACTTAAATATTGATTGAATCTCATCCTTTATCAAATTACGCCTGATCTCTCTTATCCTAAACATTGTATCAATCATAAGGCAATTGAACATGAAAAATGCAAAATAGATTCATATATATTAGATGATATATTTTTCCCGCTTATCCATATAATTTTGTGTTACTCCCGAAAAAAGGGCCTGTTCAGTCCGCAATAATTAAGAGCTGATATTTGTATACACTCCTTTATGATTCACTGAAAAATTTCAATCTTAATTTTCGTGGAGAGAAAACTATTTACAAAAAATTTTCAACAACTTTTCACATATAAATATTTTAAACATTTCTTATTCTTTTTTAATTAAATATTTTATATTTGTCAATTAAGAATCAATCAAAAAAATGTCATTCAGAACAAATTCATTACGTTTTGCAAAAATTGCTTCATCAAAAGCTACTTTATCAAAAAGAACTTTTACTTTATTAGCAAATGCTACTAGAACAACTACTTTAAAATCACAAGTTCCTTTCATGGCTGTACGTGGTGTTAAAACTATCAATTTTGGTGGTGTTGAAGAAGTTGTTCATGAAAGAGCTGATTGGCCAAAAGAAAAATTATTAGATTATTTTAAAAATGATACTTTAGCTTTAATTGGTTATGGATCACAAGGTTATGGTCAAGGTTTAAACTTAAGAGACAATGGTTTAAATGTTATCATTGGTGTCCGTAAAAATGGTGCTTCTTGGAAAGCTGCTATTGAAGATGGTTGGGTACCAGGTGAAAATTTATTTGATGTTAATGAAGCTATAAGTAAAGGTACTATTATTATGAATTTATTATCAGATGCTGCTCAATCTGAAACTTGGGAATCAATTAAACCACAAATTACTGAAGGTAAAACTTTATATTTTGCTCATGGTTTTTCACCAGTTTTTAAAGAATTAACTAAAGTTGAACCACCAAAAAATGTTGATGTTATTTTAGTAGCTCCAAAAGGTTCAGGTAGAACTGTTAGATCTTTATTTAAAGAAGGAAGAGGTATTAATTCATCATATGCTGTATGGAATGATGTTACTGGTAAAGCTGAAGAAAAAGCAATTGCAATGGCTATTGCTGTTGGTTCAGGTTATGTTTATCAAACTACTTTTGAAAGAGAAGTTAACTCAGATTTATATGGTGAAAGAGGATGTCTTATGGGTGGTATCCATGGTATGTTTTTAGCTCAATATGAAGTTTTAAGAGAAAATGGTCATACTCCATCAGAAGCTTTTAATGAAACTGTTGAAGAAGCTACTCAATCATTATATCCATTAATTGGTAAATATGGTATGGATTATATGTATGATGCTTGTTCTACTACTGCAAGAAGAGGTGCTTTAGATTGGTACCCAAGATTTAAAGATGCTTTAAAACCAGTATTTGAAGATTTATATGCATCAGTTAAAAATGGTACTGAAACTCAAAGATCTCTTGATTTTAATTCACAAGCTGATTATAGAGAAAGATTAGAAGAAGAATTGAAAACTATCAGAGATATGGAAATCTGGAGAGTTGGTAAAGAAGTAAGAAAATTACGTCCAGAAAATCAATAAGCAACCAAACATTTATATATAGCATGGTCACTGAATGACTTTAAATATTCAAAAAATCATAATGGTCAAATGAATGACTTGTATTTAATTCTTTATATATTTTTGTAGTAGTTATTAATATAATTTATATTATGGGTAAACATATCGTTTTTAATTTTTTTTGCTGCGATTTGCAGCCAAACATATCAACAATGTTTCAAGATTGGGCAATAACATTTCGTAACTTTCAATTATCTGGATTAACTACTATATCATATATTTTTATCTTATATTTTATTCAGTTATACTAATATTATCAGTCGCTTTGGGGAGAGCATTACCACCAAATTTTCATGAATTTCTGTTATTTGATTTAAGTATTAGATATACTTTTTTACCACAAGCTACTGTTCCTGTATGGTTACTAGTGTTAATATCGGCAGGTATACCATTAGCTCAATTTGGTGTATTTACAATATTGACTACAACATCTATTAAACGTAGATTATGGGATTTTTTTGCTGGTTGTTTATGTTTATTAGGAGCTCAAGCTACTCAAATTTGGGCAGTTTCATTATTAAAAAATATTACTGGTTTACCAAGACCAGATGTTATAGATAGATGTGAACCAATGATTCAAACTATACCTTTTACTCAATTATCAAATGTTGCAATTTGTACACAACCAAATTGGAATTTGGTGATGGAAGGATTTAGGAGTTTTCCTTCAGGACATTCTTCAACTGTATTTTGTGGTATGGTTATAACTTCATTAAATATGGCAGCAAGATTACAAACTTTTGATAATAGAAATAATTCATTTAAAGTATTTTTAACTATATCACCAATTTTAGGAGCATTTTTTGTAGCAGGTACAAGAGTAAGCGATAATAGACATTATTTAAGAGATGTAATAGCAGGTAGTTTATTAGGAGGATTTGTTGGAGCTGTATTTTATCATCAATATCATCCAAGTATATTTAAATTAAGAAATAATGGTAGAGCTTATCCTCCAAGAAGATTTGGATTACATAGATTTTTTGGTGTTGGAGGATTTTGGAGAATTCATGATCTTGAGTTTGAAGAAGATGAAGATATGAGGAGTGTTGAAAATAGTGAAATTGAAAGAAGAGCTTTACAAAATGGAAATTCTGAAGTTCATGTTGATTCATTAGCCGATAATATTAGATATATTGAAATAGTGTAATCTAAATGGATTCTTATATAATCTTCCTAGCTCTTCTTCTTGCTTGTTTGATTTTATCGGTTGTATCTTCAACTTCTCCATTAAATTTGTCCAACATATAATTTTGTTCTTCTACTTCTTGATTAATAGTAACTCCAATTTGTTTTTGTCTTGCTATTAAAATTCTTAGTTGTTCAACTTCTTTATCTTGAGATTGATGAATTTGTATTTGATGTTGTAATAATTCTTGATTATTTAAAGGTAAAGTTTCTTCTGTTTCTTTGCCTAATATTCGAGATATTTTTTTAGTTTCTTCTGGTTTTACCAATAATAACAGATCTATTTTATTTTGTAATTGTGAAATTAAATTTCTTCTTTTTGTTTGTTCTTCTTTATCTGTAACACTACTTGATTTTATTAAATCATTCATAAAAGGTTGATAATATTTTGAAATTCTTTCTTTTAATTTAACAATATTTTGATTATTTTCTTCATTTAAATCATTTTTTAAATTTCTATATGTTTCATACCAATTATCTTTATTTTCAATTTTAGCTCTTTCTTGAAATTTGAAATTTTTTGGTAATTGTAAAAACAGTAATATTTCTGGTTCATTTTGTAATGATTTATCTTGAATTATTTGATTGAGAAATTGACTTAGTCCTATTTTGCGTTCCTCTATTATATTATTTTTATTTAACCAATTGATTCTTTTACCAGGTAATTGATATGGAAAATCTTTTGAATTTATACCTATATTATGACATAATTGATTGACTAAAGTTTCAAAATCTGAATATCTTTTTTTGAGAGAATATGATCGTAGTGGTAATTTGATATTTATTTGATAAAAGGTTGATCCATCTATGTTAACTTCAGATGGTATTGTTATGGACATTGTTGTGGAACAGTTTATCAAATAATTTTGTTATCAAAATATATTTTATTTTCAACCGAGATTTGACGATAAGATAAACTAACATCAAGAAAAGATAGCCTACATTACTGTGCAAATGCAACCTACTCTCGATCAAATAGACGAATGAATACAACAATATCAAATCTCAATTTTTAAATTTTTGACGAGTCACTAAGGTATGGCTGAAACTTAATTTTTTCTATTCTAATAGATTCTGCATATACATAGGTTTACGACAAATGCATCAGTAATAGATTAAAGCAGTTCATCTTAAGAACCCAGTAGAATTATAAATACTAATAATGCAACTCTTAAACTAGATCATGTACTTGCTACATCTACGAAGTTTATTTAATTCCCCACCTGCTTTTTATATAAAATCCCCTTAATAATTTATTTATGTTTGCTGCGGAATTATATCAAGTGGTTATTCTTCATCTCGCAAACATCAATTGAGTTATGTCCAAGTATCGTTCAATTGAAGAGAATAATCAACAAGAACGTCCTACCTCAGAAACACCACCTCCACCAAAAACTCCACACACAGAAAACGAACATGAACAACATTCACGAATAAATCATATAAATCCAGAATCAATAAATTCAAATGAAATAACTAGATCAGATTTAGAAACACAACCATTATTGGATCCAGATGATCCTCAAGTATCTCCTTTAAAATTGGATTATGTTAAACTTTTAAAATTTACACAAGTTATATTGGTTATAATAAATTTAATACTTTTTTTAATATTATTATTTAGTGAATTTTTTGCATTACCTGGATTTAATAATAGAGGTAAATCTTTTTTACAAATTGATTTAGCTTTAATATGTTTATTAATGAATATAGTAAATAATTTTACTTTTATTGTACCTTCATATTATGAAAGAATTGGTGGATATATTGTACTGGGTTTTTTACTTTTAGATTTACTTATTATATTGGTGATTCCAGAAACTAGAATTGATCAAGGACTTTTAGGAACATTACTTTTACTTTGGACTGCTTTAAATTCATTTTTTAATTCTTTACTGGATTATTGGGTTGATGAAGGTAGAAAATATCAACAAATTAGATTAACTGGTAGAATTGAAAAAAGAAAAACAGTTACTGAATTATTTATAATTTTAATTAAAATAATATTTGAAATATTCATATTATGGATAGTATGGTGTATTAGTTTAACTATTTGGTTACATGCTTTTGATACTCATGAAAAACCATGGGGTAAAATGGTTCCAGTAGATAATGGTCAATTTAATGTACATTTAGCATGTTTTGGAGATGTTCATTCTAAAGATATTGATCAACCAATTGTTTTAGTTGAAGGTGGTCAAACTACTTCTTCTGAAGTTTTTGCAGAATGGATTGAAGAATTATATCATTTAAATAAAGTTGAAAGATATTGTATATGGGATAGACCTGGATATGCATTTTCTGAATCTTCTCCACCACCTGCAAGTATTGGAATTATTACTGATTATTTAACTGATGCTTTAGAACAAGAAGGAATTGAAGGACCATTTGCTGTTGTAGGATTTGATATTGGTGGTTTATATGCAAGAATGTTTGCAAGTAGACATAGAGCTCATATTCAACTGATTTTATTTGTTGATTCATGGCCAGTAGATTTATTAAAAAAATGGCCATTTAATGGATCTGGTAAAAAAAATGAATCAACAAAAGTATTTAGGGGGTCATTAGAAGTTATGGATAATATAACTGGTATTAAATTATGGTTAAAAGGTTTTATATCTCCATTAGGTATAATTCCATCGATTCATTGGTTTTTCCATCCAATGAAATATTCAAGTAAATCAAGAATATTTGGAAGAGATATGTATTATCAATCAAAATATATAAGAGCAAGATGTCAAGAACAATTAGTTTCTGGTATATTATCATATAATGAAGTTAAAGATTCTGATATAAATGAATTAACAGTTGGAGTAATTTCTTCAGATTTTATGATTAAAAAATCTCTAAATTGGGGTAAATGGCAAAGAGAAATTTCAAAATTAAGTTCAAAAACAGCTGAATGGGTAATTGCTGAAAATAGTGATCATTTTATATGGAGATCATCAAAAGGTAAAAAAGAATTACAAAATTTATTACTTAGATTAATTGGTGAACAAGAATATTTGAGTAGCTGATATAGTCTATGTTTGAAAAAGTACACGAACATTTTATCTCTTATTTTTTCAACAATCTTAAATTACTGTAAATTTATATTAAAATCACAAAATCATTATTTATCTAGGCACCTAAACCAGCAGTAGAGGGAGACCGGCTAACATATCATCATTTAATCAAATGCCAGAAGCAAATAGTTCAACTTTAACAAGACAGGGTATACCAAGGTTGATGTCAACTACAAAATCAAATACATCAACAAATAATTTATCAGGTTCAGGGTCTAATTCAAATTCTGGTTCAAGTAGTCCTAATTCTCCTGTTATTGAAAGTGATAATAATTTACAACAACCTCCAAGACGACCTTCATTTGGTTTGAATTTTTTAAATAATTTTACAATGCGTTCACAATCAGATGCGCCACCACAACAACAACAACTTATGTCAAATAGTCCTACTATTGCTAATATAAATAATTATATAGTTGATGATGATAATGATATAACATCTACTTCATTTCATGACACAACTGAGGAACAACCACCACAAACATCTTCACGTCCACAACCTCAACATACATCCACAGCAGTTTCATCTTCAACAATTAATAAGTTGTCAAGTGCAACTACTGAAAAAGATAAAACAGATAAAGATGGTCAATATTCAGTAAGATTAACACCATTAATTGATCATTCATCATCATCAAGTGGATTATATTTTAGTCCAATTATAAGAAAATTAAAACCAAATTCAAATTTAAGTATTGGAAGATATACTGAAAAAAATAAAGCAGCAGCTCATGCAAAACAAGGATCAAGTGCACCAGTTGTTTTTAAATCAAAAGTTGTTAGTCGAACTCATGCATTATTAGAATGTAATGAAGAAGGTCAATGGTTTTTAAAAGATTGTAAAAGTTCACTGGGTACTTTTTTAAATCATATAAGATTATCACCTGCATCACAAGAATCTTTAATGATGCCAATAATAGATGGAGATATAATTCAATTAGGTATGGATTATAGAGGAGGAACAGAAGAAGTTTATAGATGTGTTAAAATGAGATGTGAATTTAATAAAAGTTGGCAAAGAAAAGTAAATCAATTTAATTTAGAAATTCATCAAAAATTTAAAAATTTACATTTAAATGATGAATCATCACCAATAAATACTGAAAATATTCAAAATAATGGAGAATGTGCTATATGTTTAATGAAAGTTGATCCATGTCAAGCTATATTTATAAGTCCTTGTTCTCATCATTGGCATTATAAATGTATTAGACCTATAATTATAAAAAGTTATCCTCAATTTTATTGTCCAAATTGTAGAACAATGTGTGATTTAGAAACTGATTTAGATGATGATGATGATGAAGATGATGATAAGGATGGAAATAGTTGATGAATTTAGTTTTATATAGGAAGAATAAAAGAAGTTGTTTAGCATTATATTTGAGAGAGTTTCGTGATAATGTATTTATGACGACATTTAATATATCCGTAAAAAATGAAATTACGTTTTAAAGTATTCGATTCAAGTAATAACTTTGGGGATTTTTTCCTGTTTAATTTGGTCGTAAATAAAAATTTGCTCGTCATAAATTAAAAATCTCGTTCGACATAAACTCTTATGTTGATGTCGTTTTAATTTTTGTACAAAGTCGTCATAAATTTACGTTTTGACTAGTAACAAAAATTTTTATAATAACCACAACAGTTACAGATAAGTTTTAATCAAAAGATCAATCAAATTCAGTGATTCAAGTGTCAATTGAAATACAATTACAATCAAAATCACATTGCATTGCTTTGTCAAAAAGTCAAGAGATAGGTATGATTCAATCACTACCGTTTATTTAAAAATTCAAAATTTTGTTGCCACCCAGACGTGTTTTCATTTCAAGAAATTTAATGAATTATTTCGTGTTTCATTAAGTTATATTATATAACCTTATTATGTTGAATCTTATTATTAATCAAAAATTTCAGTTGGTGATATTGATTTCAAAAGTTGTTAACTAGCTTTGAGAGATGATAATACTGAAACATTATAATTCAAATTCGTCACTGAAGCCGAATTGACAAATATTGGTGACAAACAATTTAGAACTTATAATAAAAAAGATTATTATGATTTCGGATTTCTTTATCACCAGTTGTTATTCTTTCGGCTTTGGTGACGAGCTTGAATTTTTCGGTGAACCAGTGAACCAAAGATTTCTATTTAGGTTCATTAATCGAGCTCAATATGATGGTCCATTCATTGTTAGGAGTTGTAATACTATAGTATCAGCTACTTCAATTGGAGTTGAAAATCAAATACCTGGTATTATCAATCTGAGAAAAAGCAGTGAGGAAAAAAGGGTTGAGCAAAACGGTCTTTTAAAACAGTGAAAACAATATGAATTATATTATTTTATTATGGTTGGAATTAAGCCGATGGCTTGAGGGTAGAAGTATTTAAAATAATACTGAGGATGTGAAAGTGTCAGAATTTTTTGTTGGATAAATCACCAAGGGGGAACAAAGTCAATGTTGAAGCTAAGAAAAAACAAGACCTTTATAAGCAGTTTGCTCATGACCAAGTTTTAAAAGGATTGAATAGAGGTGGCCAAAAATATAGGATTATAAATTGAGACGATATGAGGAACGTTGAATCGGAAAAAAATAATTGGGTTCCCCATTTACCTAATCTACAAAGGCATTACTTACAGCTTTTAAAGCTGGGTACTCATCTTCAACACAATATCTAGCTAAGATTTTTCCTTTAGATTTTATGACTCTAACCTTCAAGTTTAAAAGGTTTTAAGAGTTTTAAAACCTAAAGGTAAACTTTTAGTTAGAAATTGTGCAGAAGATGGGACAGCTCTCAAAGCTCCTTATCTTAATTCATTAGGAATGCTAAATATTACAAGAGAATTATTTGTTCACTCCTACTCTATTTAATTCAACTCTAACTTATGGTCAATTAGTTATTCATATATAGGACAACAAGATAATGCACAAAAAACAATTATGGATTTAAATCATAGAGGTGACAGTATTTGTCATTTTACCTTAAAATTCCTAGAAGACCAGCTTTCTTTTGGGTTCAAAAGATTGAAATGTCCATTTTAGATAGTTAGTGTATTTTCAACGATTGTACAACAGCTCTAAATATCTGATCGTTAACTCATTTTCTCCTATTCTATCAATTTGGTAACTGTGGGTACCCATCCATGTTATGATAACTATAAAATATATATTAAAAGGTCTAATGTGATTGAGTGTTTGCACTTTTTCCTGTAAAGCAATTGATTAAGTCATTTAAATATTCAAATTTATACTCTCACAAAATGAATGATTATGTTTTACCGTTTGCTGACGAAATTTTAAACATCCTCAAATAATTGCTCTATTAAGTTTATCAATTCAACTGTACCTTGTAAGTTGAGTGCATTTAGGTTCAGCTAATTGTTACTCTTAAAAGATTTTTGCACAAAATGTTCCAATATCATTGAATTGTGTAGGTTCAAATTGTTGAAAATTTGAAAGTACTAAGGCTGTATGAGACAATTATATATAATCTATTCATCAATTTCTATAATTAATATTGCTCCAATTGATTGTTTGGGGTTCTATATTGCGGTAGATATCGATCAAATCAAATGTTATGAACTTGTTTTTATGCGTATAATGTATTGCGATGTTTTGGTTTTAAATCCCCACCTCTATGTTCACTTCGTTATCCATATCTCCTTCATGATTAGTTATATCGACATCTGTATATTCTGCATTGGATTTCAAATCATCTCCTTTTGGTAATGGTTCATGTTCACAAATGCTCATTTCGACAGTGTTCTCTCATTTGGTTTTCCAATTCTCTGGTTTAAATCAGCCCTGTCCCCGTCAAGAGTTGTATAGTTATTATAGTTACAAAAGATCGATGCTATATTTTAAGTCATTATTTTGTACATTTTCATAATTAGAATTGTACTTTCAGTAGTTTAATTCGGTTGAGTTTATTGGACTTGATTCATCTCTACCGATGTTGGTTTCAATATGTCTAGTTCTTTCGTTTTGGGTACTATACTTATTATGTTTCAAAATCGGTTGAGAATAATTCAATTATGATGGAAAATTTCTTTCAGTTAGTTTAACCTTTGAAAATGAATTGATTGTCCAACACGTGAATTTCAACATGAGAATTTGATTGATCCACTACGGAAGTAACATTTTCTCCAATTTCCTCTTCGTTGCCTGAGAGTTGATATTTCTGGATAATGATTGTCTACTTGTTAATTTGTATTGGCTTTTAGCAGTAGGTTCCTATTGAATGTGAGATGACCACCTGAGTTTTTTAGCGGATTGTCCATGACTAATTTCTACCCATTATCAGATAATTCTTGAAAACTCTTTAAAGTGAATTTGTAGTATTTAATTATTATATTCCAGATTGTGAGCTAAAACTTATGAAGATTTGCAATACTTTGACATAAATAAAAATCTAAATTTATTACTATCAAGTTGAAGTTTACACTTGAACACCAAGCAGTTCATAGATCAATAACTATTTCCTGGTTATAATGTATCTGCCGTATGAATGTTTATAGAATTTAAGTAGAACATTTTAGGTGTAATCATTTCATGTAACTTGGATGAGTTTACAACTTTTTAAGATAATACTTACGCGTGAAAAACATAAGATTAATTTAAAATGTAGCCTAGATCTAAGTATTTTTATGTTTACATCAATTTTTACAACTCATATTTGTTCACCATTAGAATAGTTTATTGATCAATAACTCATCTTAAAATACAACTATTATTACATTCGCTGAACTTATTATTGAAGAATATGTTCAAAAATATTTTACTTTATCATTCATACTATCAATGATTAACTCCTCAGATCTGTCAAAATGACTAAAATGAAATATGATCTTTATAAATTAAGAGAAAGAGACCCCGGTTTTAGCGAGTCTACTCAAGTAATGACTGATCATGGACCGGCTGACTATCAACAATTGAAAAAAATGCTTAAAGAAGGAGTTGACTTTAAAGTCCTAGCTATTAACAAAGAAACTGGTAGATTTATATATCGTTCTGGCTTACTTGTTGTCATGAATTATTCAAAAATTATGATGAATCATGTCGAAAATAATGGTGCTCACTCAATTGACTTTATGGTTAATAAATATACTCAAGTCATGAGTAGAAATGAATCAAATATACATATTGAAAGAGGAAGTCATTTAACATTTGATGTGACAGATGAACGATATTACATGCCTGCTGTGAGACCAAGATATTTGAAAGTGAATGAACCACAAAGAATTCAAACTAGGGTAAACGGTATAGATACTCAAATTGAAAAAGATTCTATTTTTAAAGATATGGTTGAACATTATGAAAATAATCATGAATTGGCATATGTGATTGGTGCTTTAGCTAAACGTTCGACTGTCAAAGAAGATACTATTTTTATATATTCTGTTAATGATGATATTTCGAAAGCTTTAACAACTTTAGACATAGCTTTTAAGAAAGGTTCTAGGAATAAAATAATCGTTAATGATTTAGATTTTTTCAATTACTATAATCAAATTTTCAGTGGTTTTAATGGTTACGATTATTTTAGCAAGATCCCACAACTTGCCTTCACAATGAATAAGGTAGAAGTACTCCACTTTTTAAGAGGTCTTTCAACCGTTGGAATTGATCATACAGATAATATGATTGTTTATACTCTAAAGGAGGAAGTTAAGGATCAGGTGTTACGATTGAGTTTACATGCTGGTCTAAATGCTTGTGAAATAAGAAATTCCGTAAGTATTACTCAAGAATTGAATATGCTGAATTATTCCCTTTCTATCGAATCAAGTGGCTTTAAAGAAGTGACCTACAAAGGATTGGTATTCCAAATTCATTTCAATAAAAACACAGGACATCCTGAAAATGATAAAATATATGATCATTTATTGTTAATAGGTCCTAAAAAGTTAATTGCTGGTACAGATATCAGATCATACAAAAACATGATCGTAACAAGTTTAAAATAAAAAAGTTTGAAATAAGCCTGGTGCTTAAATTATAACTATATTTAGTTCTCATAATAAATTATTTTACCTACTCTTTGATTAAAAATTTGATTCCGACTAATTTGTTTTTACTTTACGATATAGTTTATGTTTGGATCAACGGAAATATCGACATAAAAGTAAAAGATGAGAATTGTTTAGATTATGGAAACTATGAATATAAGTATTAAAAATTTGATATTTTTGAAGAGTAGGATAACTAAAGAATCTTATAACTATAGAACCAAGTTTTTAGAATCATAATCATCTTCAATTTTCAGTTAAAAAAAATCACCCGTTTTGACTAAATCTTTATAAACATCAATATTAGTTGTTCCATGTTGCTTATTCTTCTTTAGATTCAAAAGCTTCTTTTTTCAATTTCATTTCTTCATCTCGTTTTTCTTTTTCCCTAATTGCATTGGGAATTTTATTATCCAATACCTATTTATAATAATAAAAATATCAATGCTTTTATTATTATAAATAGGTATTGGATAATAAAATTCCGGTGGTATAGGATGCTTTTTTATGGGTTCACCTGGTGCTCTTTTCTTGAAATAATCTTCTCCCAAAATTTTAACAAAGTTGGGTATGAATTCTTTTGGAGCATTTGAATCACCAGCATCAGCTGATTTTAATAAATTATCTTCTTGTTTTAAATCTTTAGAACCAGGTGAAATTGGTTGATCTATATTGTCCTTGGTATTGCTGCTAAATTTATTATATTCATCATTAGCAGTACTTTCATTTCTCGTTATTTTATAATTTGGTTGCAAACTGGAGGCACTATCTCTTTCATTCGAAGATGGGACATGTGTTGAATCAATAACACCAGCATATGAGTCAATCACCATTGAAGAATTATCTAAATGATGTTTTTTACTTGTTGCACTTGAAGTTTCCAAATCTTGATTAGTTGGTGACTCTAAATTAATGTGAGATGTAGCATCGACCGAGTCTTTATGTTGAATGTTTTCTTTTTTGGATGGATTCATTGATTTGAAAGTTGTTGTTATTGTTAAAATTAGTTAAAATATATTTTTTGGGATTTTAAGTTATATTTATAAATATAATTAATGAGGGGAAATTATATATCAAAATTAAGTATACACAATTTTTTGATAATAAAATAATATGTGTTTCATCTTTTATTATAATTATTTGATTTTGTGTAATATTATATGTATCATATTAATTTTGAAAATTTCTTATCTTATGATTTTATAAAATATAAGTTTTATAATCTCTCACACCTTTAATTTAATTGGTCTAATAATTGGAAAGATATTCATAAACATGAATTGTCTTTACAATTAGATCGAATGAATGGAATTTGATTTGTTTTAAAATGAGTTGTTGCAAAATTTATTATAAAAATCACTTAAATTTCTGCTCGAATTTAATACCTTAAAACTTTATCATCTCTTTTCAATCCAATCCATACAACATTCGTTAAAAGACTAGGAAATCACCATCCATTATAACTGAGATTATTTTAATACTGTCTTGGCTAATCCTTTTAAAAATTTGTTAGGCAAGCTTATCCAAAGTTGTTGGAAACGAATAAATCGATTATACAATTTACTCATTTTGTGATGATCCAGTAATGAAACCAAATGCTGTATAACTAAGTCTTTTGAGCTAAACTTTGTATACAAATCCAAAAATTGGTTCATATAATTATCTTTCTTACTTCCATTTTCCTTGAATCAATATTTCAGTAGAGCATCCTTTGGGTTAAATGTAATTCAGATTTTATGGTTGACTCCAGCCTTAGATTGTACAACTTGTTTTCCACATTTGTATCTAGACAACGTTCCTCTTTAATAATTACTCCTATTTGAAAGTATTGCATAATTATCAATTCATAATTTGTAAACTTTACCAGATCATCTGGGTATCTGTTGGTAAGATCCTTTAGATTATATTTGTTTAAGTTTTGCAAAAAATGTTCCAAAGCACAAATTGAATGGTAATGAAAAGGTGAAATTTCCTGCGAAAGCCATTGATGAACAGTGAAGTTAATACTTAGTAATTTATTTATCAAAAGCCGTATAAAATTAATGCACTTATCGAATGATTGTACAAGAACAAGATCTAATTAATTTCCAACAATTTTGGACTGTTTGTATATTTTGCCCGTATCTTTGGAGTCAAACTTTCGTAATATTCTTCTTTATTGTTAGTGGGTAATGATTTCCAAAATAAGGTGACTAATTCATTTATTCGATATTAACTTTGATAATTCTTTAACTGAAAAGGGTTGGCCTTTTTTTCAATTGATGCCAAAGATCATCAGTTCTAACTTGTGAAGACATTATACTTGCTTCAATGTTGAATGATAATCTCGCAAATGATAGAAACAACCTGAGAAAACCATTTTGATCTGATTTTTAATGAAAAATTTTGATGGATTGAATTTGACTTGCTTCTGTTAATAAATAATTGTCACGTGCGTCTTTTGCTTTATCTTCACATTATTGCTCTATAGGTGTAAATAAATGAAACTTATACCACTTCAGACAATTCAACGGAATACAATTCGTATTTCCCGTTATCATGATCCATCAATTTTTGATGCTCGTTACAAGTAAAATACCTATTGAGTTAAATTTATGTAAAATTTTTTGCTCCATGTTTTTAAAATCGAGTTTTTAATTGGACATTCAGAAAAGAAAAGACTAACTTACCTAATTAACTAATAAAAGACATTTGAATTTATCATTGTTATTGATTGAAAGATATTTCTAGTGTTATTAATGTAAAAAAAAATGTAATGATCAATCTCTGTATAAATTTTTAAAAGATAAATAAAAAAAAATTTGAAACAGAATTTGCCAAGAAATAATATTTGTTTTTTAAAATTTTGCAGCAATTAAAAACCCCTAACATCTTGTGACAAAAAACAAGTCTTAATAGACATATCAAAAATTTCTGGTGGAACTAGGGATCTAAATTGGGAAGACTTAAGTAACCTAATGAGAATTATTTGTACAACTGACTTTTTGAATTGGAAGTTTCGTTTTATATTCAGAAAAACAAAAGAATTAAAGCAAACAAAAGAATTAAAGCAAACATGACATTCCCTTCACAAATAGATCAATTCTCTACAATTTTAACAATTAAATTAAAGATTTTTATTAATTAAAGAGTAACATGACATTCCCTTCACAAATAGATCAATTCTCTACAATTTTAACAATTAAATTAAAGATTTTTATTAATTAAAGAGTATTTAAGAAGTATATAAAATAATTCATCTCTCATAGTAGCATTATGAAAAGATTAAAGTCAAATATTAAACTCTAAATAAATAGCACTCTTATAATAATAAAGCAGCACCTAATAAGACAGCACCTCCAACTTGCATTTTACCGGCACCAGCTGAGTATGATGAAACAGTAGCATTAGCATGAGTTGATGGAGCAGCAGATGATTCAGTTGATGATTCACCAGCAACAGTGGTTTTTTCACCTTCTTCTTCGCTAGTTAATGGACAGTATGTTGTATAAGTTGTAAATTCTTCGGTAACTGTCAAAATTCCCGTAGTTACTGGGACCTCAGTACATTTATCTTCATGACAACTAGTCACAGTGATAATCTGGAAGTATAGTTAGTAAAAGTTGAGTTATACAATTAAAAAAATATCATTCTTTTACATACAGTGGTTCCAATGTCTGTAACAGTTGAATTATAACTGGCTAAAGCACTTGAGGCAATTGATAAGATAGCTAAGGTTGAAAATTGCATTTTTTTGATATATAAGCGAAGGAATAAAGTTTGTTTGATATTGAGAAATAAGAAAAAGAAGTTAGATTAAAATTTAATTTGGTGACGATTTAAGCTTTATTTATATTTTTTTGGTGATAAAAATTTTCTCAATGATTGGGGGGTTGTATGCAGTATTTTTGTTTTTGTGTAACTCATCCAAAACAAACAATAAAAAATTTAAATTGCTTTTAATTAGCAATTTCAATTTTAGTGTGATAATTTACTAGATTATTCTATTTATAGTTGTTTTGATTCTTAATTGGGTAATTCGATTGCCTTTGATGAAAAGAATTGAATTTAAGTTTGAGTAATCATAACAAATACGTAAAAGTAAATAATAATGTCAAAATCATAAAAATAATAGAAGAAATTGGGTAAAAAAATAATGATAATTTTTAAAGGTACCCTTCGTAAGAATCAACTAGTGATAGTACCTTAGATCAAATGAAACCTGGTTGATTCAAATGTACTGGCTTATTTACTAGTATGATTTAGCTTCCAAATAATCAGCTGGCTATAGTAAAATTTTAAGTTTTTAAAGTTTTTAGTTATCTATGAATAATTTTACTTGTTTGTGTAAATCTATTGTTCGTCAAAATATTTTATAAATTTTATAAATTAATAATAATAAATTATTATTTAATCTTGACTAATAGACCGCAGTAATTATCGAATAAAGATAACTAATACTTAGTCACAAATAACACCAATCAATCGACCGGCCGTATACTAAATAATGAATCTAATTAATTAATAGTTTGACTAAAATTAATTAATTAGGAGAAGAGTCTTTTGATTATGAGAATTGTACACAAATTACACGAGATTTATCATATAAATTTTAAAATAATTGTAAGGTACTTGAGATTATTGTACAAAATTATTATTTATAATAATATATAAAGACACGACAAATTATTTACTCATTTTACATATACCCAACATGTACATATCATAAACAAAATTATTTATGGTTAGAAGCGGACGGACTAAAAACCAGCCCATAAAAATTGAAAACAAAACAAACCGTGGGCCAACTTCTCTCGAGGCAAGTTCCGTAATTATTAGTAAAAAAAACCCTGTTGATCACTATTTGACGCGAGATTTTAATCAAAACATCAAGTAGAAGAGAAAGTTTGTTTATATTTTTATATCTTCTCCTAATAATAAGACTATTATTCTTTTCCTTCTCGAGTAACTTTTGAAACTTCTTTCATGGAGGGAAGAACTTTCCTGTCTTTCGGAGAATTCTTCTTATTTTTTTTACGGATTTATTATTCGAGATTATTGTTCCTTACTTGGCTCGTAAAATTATTTTATCATCGTTTATTTTTTCTGTGATTTAATTTATAGGATATTATTTAAGTATTGTTGTAGAGATTTAAAAGATTAGTATTGAAGTTTGGATTTATCTTCTTCATCATGATCAAGGTCTTTTGGTTTCTATGATCCTCATGTTAATGATTACAAGTATTGGTTTCAACTAAAACTAAGTGTCATGCAAAAGTGTAGGTTGTTTAATAATTTTTTGTAGACTTAAAAGCTGATTTCTCAATTATTCTCAATTTTAATTGTTTCAGATTTGGTACAAATTAATGGGAAATTTACCCCGTAAAATTTAAAATTAGAATTTAATTTAAACATCACGAAAGAAATACCGGTAAGCAAACAAGTTAAATATTTTTAATTATTATGATACTATTAGCATGACTTATTCTACTATTACAATTAGTTAAAATCACTTGAGAAACCAGTGGTTTGTAAGACGTTTTACAGTTTGAGGATGTATCACTAGGGAAAAAAAATAGAGAGATGATAAGGTTATTCCAGATATGTTTGATAAGAAGTTAACTTGAACGTTAAACTTATATTACTTTGTACCTGAAATTTTTTGTTTTTAGCAAATTACGAGCTAAAAATTTGATACGGGGATCGGTGGCGTTAAACGCAAATTCAAACTTTACAACTTAAGCATTTATTTAGACTATTATATTCAAAATTTGTAGTGGTAAAAGAATAAGTTTCATTCATTGTCGTAGTTGTTTCTTTTAGATGATAAGTGTTCATAAATTTAAATAATTTAAGTACCTTGACAAACTGTTGGAAAGAAAAACGAACTTACAAAATGTTGTCTTAATCTTTCGTATATTTCCTGTTATCCCAACCACTAGGAACATGGAAAAATGTGATAAAGGTTCGGTGTAGTGAGAAGTTACAAATGTTAATGTGTGTGCAATTACAGAATTGAGATATAAAGATGAACAACAATCAAATAATTCACTTACATTATTGAGAGTTATACCTGATATAGATACATTTGGTGATAAAAAAGCTGTTCTATCAATTAAAAAGGATCAGTTGAAATTGTGAAAGATTTGAATATTTATATTTTAAGGGATTATTCTGGTAATATAAAAAAACCAAGACTTAATGGATTCGAACATGATCCCAGTGTAATGTTAGATCTTACAAACAAATCATTAGAAGAAGGTGGTTTCATCAATGGTGAAGAATTTAAAAATAGAATCTCGGCAGCGGTTATCAAATTTGGGAATAGAAATATTCACATTTTATCTGTTTATGCACCAAATGTAGACAGATTTTACACTGAGGATAGTGGAAGGTATGTGAAAAAATCAATACAAATTTTTATATGGATTTATTTACATACCTTCGAAACTTACCAATTGCAGAACTCTGGTTTTTAGGGGACTTTGATTTAGTCCAGTTTCAACAATTCACTATGAAATTACCATACCAAATAAAAAAACAATTGTTGAAAATTGTTGAAATTGACTTGTTTTGTTCGGCAGGGCAACATCATCGTAAATTGTTGGAATTGGGCCAACTTAAAACTTCCCAAAATTAAACCTCTGAAATTGGCAAGTTACGAAGTTACCAATCATCGATCGACATGCATTGTCAAATTAAAGACAAATATTATCTTGTGGATTTAACATGCTTGCGCCCGATTGCACTATTGTTAGTAATAACGGTGGTTTGAATTGTCGTGTTGATGCTATAATCTTATCTTATGTCAAAATTGGTTCTGTCTCAAAATTTACCGTGGCTGAAGAGCCTTAGTTCAGAACTCATGCTAGTGTCAAATCAAGTTTGAAAAGATCAATAATGGATTTTGAAGAAGTGAATATTAAAAAATTGTAAATTGAAAAAACGACCAGGTAAGTGCAACTCCAATGATGGAATTTACTTGCCCTTGCAAAAACTTTCATAACAATTCAATCGGGGAAATACCATCAGATGTAATAAGTAATCATATAACTGCGAATCATGACATTCCAGATGAAGTTTTAGAAGATAATGTTGAAGCTGATCGTTATTTGTCTGAGTCTAATCATCACTATGCATATTATGACATCAAGCTTAAATATATAGATAATCAAAGGACATCCCAATATTGGTGAATTGAAATTTCCATATCCTTAAGCTTGACATCATAATATGCATAACTATGCCTAGAAAGAAATAAATAACCTTTAACTTCTTCTTCGTCCTCCAAAGTTTCTTCAGGAACATCATAATTTGAAGTTTTGATTTTAAATAACACCTGATGGTACATCTTCAATTGACTTGTTATAATATAATTTTTTACAAGCACAAATAAACTCCATTACAAGTTGCATTCATTAAATCACTTTTTTTTTCAAATTTATACACAGCATTAATGAATGTTCCAGTGCATTGAAAAGATAACAAAATAGCATTGGAGTTGCTAAATTGATACATGATTTTCTTTTGTAAATTCAATGTAAGTAAAATATTAATTTTGGAATAATTTTTTCATGACACTTCCAATTAATCGTTCTAAATAACTCAATAACGCCTCATCATGAAAAGTTGGCAAAGGTAAATGATACAACGGTAAGGTTAATCCTATGAATCAAATTGTTAAACACATACACACAAAAATTGATATTTATTGTCCCAAGTGACTTGATTTATCCAGGTTTCCATCGTATTGAAGAACGAGGTGATCAACTTTGTTATATCTATACTCCCACATCAAACACTCGGTTATGGATTGAATGTGATTATGCAGTGGATTATTTAGATGTGGTGGAGAATAATCATATTTCTTTGTACTCATATTTATGATTTAATGAAAGATCCATGTGTTTAAATTGACTTCAACATTCCAAGACTCTTCAAAGCAATAATTAGTGGCTCCTTCATTATCTTATGACATGATATTAACTGATGGTTGATTGGATTATGATTTGTTTCAACATCCACTTGATTTCCATTGACGCGTCCAACAAATACTCTTTGAATCAAAAGTAAGTATAAGTAACACAGTTGCTTTTGTGTAAAATATTGGCGCTACCCTGGCTGCAAAATTAACCTCTTCAAAAATGGCCATGCGCAAATGAACTGCTAAACATTGATGTCTTCAGAAGCATGAAATCAAACAGGTTGAAAGTTTAAGAGTTCTTAGCACATCCAAGACCCTACATAGTCTGAACACTGTATGTTTCCAAAAATTAATCTGATATCTATTAAAATACTAATATACAATTTTTTTTTTTGATCAAAACATCAAAAAACTCCACCAACACTCAATCCAACCCTCTCTACGCCTATTGCTGCATATTTTACCAACAACTGTAGGCTCCGTCGACTGTGAGGTTCAATCCCGTCGTGTAGGACGATGCTGACTCAGATGCCAAATATAGTATTGAACCAACAAATTCTTTTGGTTCAGCCATTCTTCTCATTGGAATTTTAGATTCCCATTCAGCTTTCATATCAGCATGACCACTTATAACATTTCTTGTTAAAGGAGTCAATATATAACCAGGACTTAAAGTATTAACTCTTATATTGTATTTAGCCCATTCACAAGCTAAAGATTTTGTTAAATGTATAACACCAGCTTTTGACATATTATACATACATTGAGGTTGAGGATCATTTACTATAGTACCAGACATTGAACCAACTAATATTATAGAACCTTTTAAATTATTTGCAATTAAAGGTCTTGCAAAAGATTGTGAAACATAAAATGCACCTAAACCATTAACTTTCATTATAGATTCAGCATTTTTTGCAGGATAATCTTCAGCTGGGAAATTTTCAGCATAACCAGCAGAATTTATTAATAAATCTGAAATTTTTTCATGATGTTCATTTATAGCTTTAAAAGTTAATTCAACACTTTCAGCATCTCCAATATTACATGACCAAGCACTAACTTGTCCTATTGGAGATTCATGTTTGCCCTTTAAAGTTTCTTCACCCCATGCTAATATATCTTTTGCAGATTGTTGAGTTCTTTCTAAATTCATATCAACTAAAGCGATGTCAGCTCCTTGAGCTAATAAAGCTCTTGCTACAACTGCTGCTAAACCACCTGAACCACCAGTTAATATAGCTAATCTTCCATCTAATCTAAAATTTGGGACGATATTGTCATATGAATAGTATGATGATGCATCCATTGTATAGTTAACGATTGATAAATATAATTTGAATAAGTTAATGAATAAAGATAAGTTTACTAGAGAAAGAAAAATATCAGATAAAGATAAACTTGGTGATTTGAATTATAATTTATATGAAAATTGGGATTTTTGATCATGAAATGTTTCTTTTTTGAATTTTTATTTTTTATTTTTTTATCAATATTTTTATTTTCTTAATCTTACACAATTTTAAATCTAACAACTACAACATTAGAACACCCCCCTCCTCCTTTAACTGTCTAAGATTTCTATAGATACTCAGCAACTAAGAGAAGAGATAAGGACAAGTCTTTTGTTAAAACGGCTTCATTTACATATACACAGTTTATCCCTAAGAAAATCTATAAATAAATTATGTTTTGATCAGGCGGGATAATTATTATAGATCTTCTACATGGAACAATTATTATAATGAATTTTCCCCAATCCTCCAACTTATTTAGTAAATAGATAATCTTTCCGTATGTTTTACCGTTGAAAAAAAAAATATGAAACGGTTAAAATTGAATTAGGTGGTTTTTTTATCGGAGGAATAATAATTTTTTGTTTCAGTTACACAACTATTTATTTACTCAGTACACACAAGTGGGCTATCGTTTTTATCGACGTAGTATTTATTTTATCCCTTATTTATTACTACCTAGTATGATTTCATTGCAACTTTCGATGCAAATAGTGATAATCCTTCCGATCCAGCCATCACCTATTGGATCGCAGCAATTTGATATGCTTTACTTGAATCTGTAGCGTTGAATTATTGTCAAAAATGTCTACTCTTTGTTCTACACATGTAACGAATTTACACTTTAATATACTGCTATTAGAAGAGAGATGATTTTGTGAAGTATATGATATAATTAAAATTGATTCTAGTATCAATCTTCTATTAACACAAAATACATGAAACTGTCAAATGTCAAATGTCAAGATTTGAAACACCCTTGATTATGGCCATAGGCTAAAATGAATAATTTATCCAGCTTTACTGTATACATTGATATTATAAATTGTACTTTTTGTGTAATATTTTGAGATGAGATGTTGATGTTAATTATGTAGTGTAAACTTTATATGAAACATAATGATATCATAAAACATTGTTATATGCAGATTAGATACTTGTATTTCGATATAATATTCTTTTCTTTTTATTTGATTAATGTGTTGAGCTTATACGAAATTATGTGAACAATAAAATTCATCCTCGTAAAAACACCCTATGTCTTAGACAAAATTATTTAAATCCGCTTTATTCGTCTACTTTTCGAGTTGTTGAACTAAGTCTAAAGCATCGAATTTATTAACTATTTCAGAGAATATCGATCATCGGTGTTAAAACTAATCTATACATGTACCTCATCAAAAATTTATTTTTCACTAATTCTTCAATATTTACTTTAAATAATTACCTGAGGTTGATAATATTCGAGTCGATAGTATTCGAGTTTTATCCTCCCAATAAGTCTTAAAAATACATTTTACTGATCTAATTAATGTATTTTATCCGACATTCTGGGTCTAACGAACTCATTGATTTAATTTCTCGAAATTTGACACTTCAAGTAAATATAATAACATACTCCGAACTGAAGCCCATTAGACTTTAAGAATATGGTTAATTTCAGTTTTTCAGCAACTTTTCACCATAGTTTGAATGAAATAAGTTTTTTAAGCTTGTACTATCTCATCTATATCAATAATAATAGACTTTGTAAATGTTTCAACCAATTGAGGTGTTTTTCCAACTTTTAAATTGCAAATTTATGTAGCTCATATTTGAGTCGTTCCAAGTGTATCTTTCTCCTTGTACCTTCAATTCCCCATTAATTATCATGCACGTGGTATCCTATGGTCAAGTTATGATTCAAGTGATTTAATTTTATGAATTAATAAGTAAACCGATTTTATCACTATTATCAGTACTAATAATTAATCTGATAATGAAATCTATTTGATGTCCAATTAATTTTTCAATTGATGGAGTGAATATAGCTCCTGGTAAAGTGCGTTCTAAACCCAAATGACTCAAGTGAAATTGTTATCTTTCCTCATACTTGATGGTGATAATAGTATAATCAACAAAAGATATACTTTTTTCAAAACATTGTATAGCCCATTGAACTTTCCACGAAAAGAATGGACCGAATCACGGGGGTGAACACCAGGAATGATATGTTACTGAGTACTTGATCTCCAGGTTTAATATCTACATCTTTACGATGTAAGTCATAATGAATATTTATTGGCAGAGTGTGCCTTTCCTAGTGCTAACACCGTGACATTCCCTAATCTTTTCTAATTCTTCAAAAATAAAACAAGTTGATCTAACGGTGTGACTCTTACATGATTCCTGACGTCCAAACCCGTGATTTAAACTCTTCACTTCATGGATTTGTCATTAACATCCCTATTGATCTAAATTATCGCGTAAATCAAACTCAAATAATTGATAACGGATAAAATTTCACCAATACACTACTTTTTATCAAAATCATTTTTTTATTCTTATTTACAACCTGTTATAACCACATTTGCCATACAAAACATCATGAATTTCATCAAGAAATTCATTGGTGCCTCATCAACAGATGAAGTAGCATCAATAACTTCAGGTAAACTTTATCTTACAAGATCAAAAACTTCACCAAAAGGAGCAATTGAATGTTTATATAATGATGCATATGCACTGATAAAACAAACAACAAATCCATTTTTTTATCAATTATGTATAACAAAAGTTTATCAAGAAGGAGAAAATGAATTTCGTAGTAATTCAGGTTTTAATTATTCAGATGATGAAGATGAAGATTATGAAGAAACTGATGGAAATTCTTCAATTGTAAGAACTTCAAGTTTTATTCAAAAGGATTCAAAACAAAACACTAAAGATGAATGGATTTTTCCAATAAATGAAGAATTAAAAATTTTTAAAAAAATTGAAAATAATAATAAAAGATCTATTGCTTGGAAAGATCTTAATGGAGATTTAGGTGATAAATTTGAATTTGTTTTAGATGATGAAATTAGAAATAATGATTTTGATTCTTTTATGATGACTATTTATAAATGTTTATATGAAGAAAAATATCATGAAAGCTCAATAAGTGTGAATAGTTTGGATCAATTGAAAGAATTTATTTATAATCCTAAACTGGAATTGTTAAATTTTGAAGATTTAGAATATGATGAAGATGAAGATGATGAACTGGATACTACTGAAGATTATGGAGATGCACAAGAAAGAGAATCACCAAAATTGTTTGTAAGTGATGATGAAGAAGAGGATCCACATCCAAAGGGAGAAGTTGTGTATGCTAGTAAAAAATTCGCTTTACATTTATATGATTCAACTACTGGTTCATTTTTATTAAAGAGCTCCACAAATGAATTAGAAATAATTGATTTAGGTAATTGGGAATTTACTTTATTTATAATTGGAGAAAAAATTAAAATCAACTCAAGCTTAACTAAAAATATGAATCCAACTTTCAATTATGAACATTTATCATTTATTTTTAATCACTACCTCATAAATAAAGATCAAGTTATTGCTAATTCATGGCTACTTAAATTTAATAATTTTAATGATTTAAATGAATTTCAAAATAAATTTTTAGCATCAATGTATGAAAGTTTAAATAAGAAGAAGTTTGGAATTGAAAAAGGTGATGATGATTATTTTGTAGATGCTTTTTCATCATTAGAGTTAAATGAAGAAGAGGTTAGTGAACCAGAAGATTCAGAATCAGATGAAGATGTTGAAAATTCCACAAAAGAATTCTCAGATAAAAAAGATAAAAATACTTACCTCAGTGTCGGTTATAAAGATAGAGCCTACGTCTCCAGAGGTGATAAAATTGGAGTCTTCTCTCAAGATGATAAATCATTAAAATATCAAACTACAATAAACAACATAACAGACCTAAAAGGAAAAAAATTTAATCCTGAAAAAATGTTATTACATCAAGAAGATCTGAATTTAGTTATGTATAATCCAGAATTTAATAATAAATCACTTTATAAATTAGATTTAAATCGGGGTAAAATAGTTGAAGAATGGAAAATTTCAGAAACTATTCCATTAAAAAATTATGCTCCAAGTGAAAAATTTGCTCCTTTAACTAATCAACAAACATTAACTGGTATTTCATCAAATGGTTTATTTACTATAGATCCAAGATTATCAGGATCAAAATTAGTTAATGATCAAACTCATAAATGTTATAAAACTAATAATAATCAATTTCAAACTTTAGCAACAACAGATCAAGGTCATATTGCTTTAGGAAGTGGAAAGGGAGATATAAGATTATTTGATAGATTAGGTGTAAATGCAAAAACTGCATTACCTTCATTAGGTGATCCAATATTAGGTATTGATGTTTCAAAAGATGGAAGATGGATTTTAGCAACTTGTAAAACTTATATTTTATTAATTGATACAAATATAACTGGAAATCAAAAAAATTCAGGAAAAACTGGTTTTACTGCATTTTTTGATAAAGATAAAAAACCAATACCAAGAAGACTTTGTTTATTACCAGAACATGAAGCATTTATAAAAAATAATAATCCCAAAAATGATTTTAATTTTTCATCTGCTTATTTTAATACAGGAGTCAACCAAAAGGAAACAAGTATTATTTCATCAGTTGATAATTATATTGTTACTTGGTCATTATCAAAAATTCTTAAAAATGATCCTTCTCCATATCAAGTTAAAAATTATAAACAAAATATTGTTGCAGATAATTTTAAATTTGGTTCAAATAATAGATTAATTATATCATTACCAGATGATGTTAATATGATTAAAAAGAGTAGTTTAAATAATCCAATAAAAGAATTTCATCATTAATGGAGTTGTGGAGTTGTTTGCATTTTCTTTATATAGTTTTTCCCTTTAATTTTAATATACGATATTCAATTCTTACCAAAATTTAAAAGAATCTTTAAATTCCTGTACCCAAATTCTTCTAAAAGCATTTAATTTTTGAAATTTAGTTGGTTTATAATTATGAATATTAATTTCTTGGAGGGGTGTTAAATTTGGATAATTATCATATGGAATTCTATTAATTTTGGAATGAATTTTTCTAACCCAATTATTAAAATGTGGTGAATCTATTAATAATCTATATAGATATTCTTGAATTGAATTTGGTGGTTGTCTCATTAATTCATTTGAATTTTGAGGTGGAGTGATGATGAAATTTAAGATTATTTTTTCTTTGAAATTTTGATTTTTGTTAGTACATTTTGAAACTGCTGAATTGTCTTATAATGAGATTGAACATAACCTTTTTCTAATCTTGTCTATTGATGCATAAGCTAACTTCACAAAATTAATTCCAGTCTAGAAGTCTGCGATCAAGATATGTCTCAAAATACAATCAACAACCAAGATAAAGAAGTTATTGAAAAAACTAAAAAAATCAACAATTCTACAACTACTACTTCATTGGATGGTACTAATGTTGGATCAATTATTCAACCAGACGAATTGGGTAATAATGAAACTACTATTCTTCCAATATGAGCCAAAATAAATCCACAGTTTATCCAAATCTTTCATGCTAAAATGAAAGTTGTATAATTTAGTGGACTTTAGTGGACCCAACAAGTCCAGTCTTACAACTTTCATTCTAGCATGAAAGATTTAGGCAAATTGTGGATTTAAATGAGTGGTATTGGTAGAAGATGCAACGATGAACAAGTCATCTACATATAAGACAAGAAATATCATTCTTGTTGATGATTGAACATATTGTTTTATACTCAATTCTCTTATTGTTGTGGTTAAATGAACGTACCATTCAATTTTTGTCTCCGAAAGAGGAAACACTAGAACCATTAAGCTAGAAACTGAATAAGGGTGTATTCTGTTTTCTAATTGAACATCTTATCTCTTCTCAAATTCTGATGTGGTACCTAATTTTCCAAATTAAGAAATTATGTAAACAAAAAATATATCACTTTAAAATACTTCACAAAATCTAAACATCAAGACATAACACATAGTGTTTCTTTAACCAACAAAGGGTTTCTAACAAACAGTTGATGAAGAGATCAATATTCACACTGCTGGAAACTGACGAGGAACTAATGATGAATGATATAGAAGAAATAGATTATGATTTACTACCGAATGATATAGATCAAAGATTAACAAATTCAGAACCAAATACACCAACTTCCAAAAACCTACGAATATGTTTACCACCAGATAATAAAATTACAAATCAAATAACAAATGAATTATTTCAAGTAACAAGTAATTTAAGATTAAAGCAAAAGAATCAGGATGTGACGGATGATTCATCAGACTCAAATTCATTATATGATTCAATGAAAGATTTAAAACAATTAGAAGAATCAGATTATGAAATGGATGATATTACAAGAACAAGAGTATTTTCAAATAGATTTACTACATCAATTGATCAAATAAATCCAGATTTAAGTAAATATTTTCAAATTCATGAAGATACCAACAATAAACCACTGAAGATAAAAAAGAAATCATTATCATCATTAACGAGGCGAAAAAGTTTACCATTAATTGAAACAAATAATATACCAAAAAAATCACCCCTTTACAAAAAACAATCTCAATCATCAATTATACTACATGGATTATGTAAACCAAATAATCAATTAAAACCTTTTAAATCATGTTTTAATATTAATGAATCATCAATATTTATAATTGAATCATCAACAGGATTATTAAATGATGCAACGAAATTTGCAACTGAATTAAATGGTTCAAAAAATGATGATTTACCATATCCTGAACATGAAAATGAAGTTGTGCAAATTCCAACAAATAATTTAAATAATGAAGAAATTGTTAAAATGGCAATAATAAGAATGATCAAAACAAATTGGTCAAAACTGGAAGTAAATAATAAAAGAATTGGTTTTTATTCTGAAAATGAATATAAATCTTATAAACAAGAACCCAATGATTCTGGTGCTGGAGTTGAAATGATTTCACAATCAAATTTAAATAAAAAGAAAAGTGTAAGATGGGCAGATAATTTAGAGTGGTAAAGAATATACGATTTAATGATTAACAGCTTATCAGTCGACTTAGATTGACTCTCGTAGTACAGCCTCTTCATACTACGCGTAAACAATAACTTTTATTACACAAATAAATCTTAACACAACAACAAATAATTTTCATTTTCAACAAGTTAACAGACCTTACCTTCACTTACCACCGCAAACATACCCAAACACACTCACTTAACATGTCTACATTCTTTGATGAGATGCCAAAGTCATTTACTGACGTTAAAATAACTTCAGATAATAAAATAGATACAGCTGATTTTTTAGAAGCTTCAGAACAATTAGTTAAATTATTTGATTTATTAGGATCAACTGCATTTGTTGTTGTTCAAAATGATATGACTGGTAATATTAAAAAAATAAGAACAAAATTATTAGAAGATCCAATAAATAATTCAACTTTACAAGATTTAGTACTTAATGAATCTAAAACAAAAACTAAAACTGCAACTCAAGGTTTATTATGGTTATCTCGTGGTTTACAATTTACTGCACAAGCAATGAGAGAAACTTTAAATCAACCATCAAAAGAATTAACTTCTACATTTACTGATGCTTATAGTAAAACATTATCAAAATATCATGGAATATTAGTTAAACCAGTTTTTAAATTAGCAATGAAAGCTTGTCCTTATAGAAAAGATTTTTTTAATAAATTAGGTTCAGATCAATTAAAAGTAAATGAACAATTATCAAATTGGTTAAAAAGTTTAGAACATATTGTACAAATTATATTTGATTTTTTCACTTCAGGAAATTATGGTAAAGGTTTATAGACTATGTAAGTTATTGTATTTCATTTTCTCCTAATTTTTTTGTAGCTTCCATTAATTCATATAATTGACCAATTTGTTCAGGAGTCATTTTATCTAATTCATTTTTTGATAATTTTCCATCTAACCATTTCCCACCATCAATTTGTTTTAAATAATCTTGCCATTCAGTTAAAAATCCAACAACATGTAATGGATTATCAATTTTTTTATGATCTTTAAATTCTTTTTTAACATATTGATCTCCTAAATAACGTAATTCTTGTGGTAATTTATTTACATGAGCTCTTAAAATTGATCGATATAATTGTAATGGTGGTAATAAGGGGGATTGATTTGGTCTTTCAGGTCGTCTAGGTTTTATTAATCGTATTATACTTGGTTTCATTGTGATTGTTTTATGATTAGGGTTTTTCTAAAGTTTTCTGATATCGAATAGTCAAGATAATTAAAAAAAAAATATTCATTGCTCCATGTTTTTATTGAAGTGTACACCGGAGTGAATCCTATGTCATTCTCTGATATTTCCAATGGTAGAGTGTGATCTTCGTACTTCCAAGAATTCACTTTAAGAATTGGAGATATTAAAGAATGTCATAGAACCATTCTTGTGAAAACTACATTACAATCAATCGTTAAAGAAACGACGAAAACAACTTGCATCTGCTTCAAATTGCACTAACATTAATAGAATCACTTTCTCGTACTTGAGAGGTCTACATTGGAAATTTATTTATAAGCTTATGAACAACATGTTAATCGATAGACTCATAAATACATTATCTTTGTAATTTAAAGTATTATCTAATTATTTACATGGAGACATGAGACAGCTTATGAAATACAAGAAAAGAAAACTTTTTATCATCTTGTTTTGATAACTAGACAATCATTTCGGTATCAAATTAAAGTGGGAGCTTACTTATAAAGTATTTAGACAATTTTTAGCATTTAATCTGGAAACATCAAGATTTGAATTTTTTTGAAAGATCTTCTTTTTCCATGAAGTTCTAGCATGATATTATGATTGAAGTGATAATCAAACAGCTCAATTGCTTATTTATTCAACATTTGAATCAACATAGTTACAACGCATTTAACATTTGAATCAACATCGTAGTACAAGATCAAGTCGTAAATATCGATCAATAATATTCAAGCTCTAAGTAGATTTGTTACATGTTTAAATCTATTACTCAATTGGGTAAAAGTTGGTTTCAAAATAATGTTACACAAAATCTAAAAAGTCCTAAATTGGATTAATTAAATCTATAAACATAAAAACTTCACAAAAAATGAAATACTCCATAAAATTTTCAATAATGGATATATAGGATAGCTAAAGATTTGAATTTTCAAGAATGAATTTTATAATATTTTGTTATCATAACTTTTTTTTCAATTAATCTTCACTTTTAACTAGCTTCATTCTTTTAATCAGTTTCAATTCCAAAATGAGATATAATTCATTCATTTTATCTGCAACATTAATTTCAATCGCTTTAATTATACCCAGTATTAATGGAGAAACAATTGAATCAGGAGTAATTCCAACATTAGTAGAAACTCCAGCAGTACCATTGACAGAAGAATCATCAACACTTTTACAACCTGAACCAATTGCTGCAACTTTACAATCATTAGCATCAGAAGCAACTTCGCCAACAACAACTGCAACAATTGCAGCAACTACGTCGACTGGAGGTTCATTTCTAGAAGGGTTAGTTGATGGTATATTTGGAGATGGTTCTAGTGAAACAACTAATCAAGTAATTCAAAGTAACACTGCAGCCACTGGCTTAGGCTCAACTACAACACAAGGATTTGTTGCAGGTTTATTAGATGATTTTTTTGGAGATGGTACAACAACTACTACCGCAGGTACAACTGGAGATGAAACTGCATTAGGACAACCTATAGCAACTACAAATACAGCAAGTAGTAGTGGTGATTTATTATCAGATTTATTTGATTCATTTTTTGGAGATTCTGGAGATAGTAATGCTGCTACAACTACACAATCAACAAGTTCATCAACTGGTGGTTCTATACTCGGTGATATTTTTGATGATTTATTTGGTGGAAGTTCTACAAATTCAACTTCTACAATTGGTCAAAGTACTTCAACTGCAACATCTGGTGATTTTATTGATAGCTTATTAGATTCAATTTTTTCACCATCTAATTCAACAAGTTCAACTTCAAGTTCAAGTAGTGGTAGTGGAGATTTTTTAACTGAATTAATAGATTATGGTATTGAAATTGTTGAAGATTTATTTGATGGTAGTTCATCATTATTTTCAGGTTCAGGATTATTAAGTGCAATTTTAGGTTTTGCAGGAGAAATTTTTGATGATTTATTTGATAGTAATGCTTCTAGTTCAACTTCATCAAGTGGTTCATCAGGAAGCTTTTTTAGTGATTTAATAAGTTCAATTTTTGGTGGTTCATCATCAAGTTCTTCAAGTAGTGGTTCATCAGCTTCTGGCTCAGATTTGATCTCAGATGTATTTACAACTTTATTTACTTCAATTTTTGGTGGTTCAAGTGGTGCAAGTGCTGGTTCATGTACTGCAAATAGATTTGCAAAAAGATCAATTGAAGAAAAAAAAGAAATTAGAAGATTAGTTAGAAAAAGTGTTAATAAAGTTATTGCAAGAAGACATGCTGAAATTGCAAAAAAGAGAGAATTATTAAAAAGAGCTGAACCTTTAATTGAATTGGTAAATTAGGTTCAGACTAGTTGATTTTTTAAAAAAAATACCCTCATACAAATTCATTTCATCAAACGTTATATTTCATTATCTATAAATGTATACTAAATAAATGTTTAATTCTTTATGATAGATAAGATCTCTTGATCCGACGAAAGCGAAATTAAATTTATTCTTTGATTGTTTTCGAACAGCCGAGTTTTAAATCCTTTGTTATCCAAATAGCTATTTAACTTCATTCATGAGGTACAGGATGTTTATCAATTAATTGAATTACCCCAACTTTCCGTTCTTTCGTCAAACGTAGTTTACTTTCACTAAATTAGTATTTGTATAAAGGCAGCTAGATTTTTGTTAGAACGTTTGTATTTCATATAGAAAACACTTCTATAAATAGGATAATACATTGATAATTTGACATGCAAGAATTACATTCTAGATCGACGTCTAAATAATTACTCGATTGGTATAAATTCTTATTCTCTATTATTTTCTCTATTTTTATTCTCAAGGGTTCAACTTTTAGGTTTTATTAATTCGAAACGTACGTCCCTTAAAATCGGATGTAGAATAATTTACCTCCGTCTCTAAGTTGAATTTCGAGGGTATTTTACCAGTGATATAACTTGAACTTTTGGTAAAAAGTACTTTGATCGAACTTCTTTGATGATAAAGGAGCTCATAAAGAAGAATTGCAACAAGCTTATCGTGACCAACAGAGAGAAGGATAAGATATGATGAGGAATTTCAGTCGAATTATATGAGGAATAAATACATTTCTTTTCATAAAACAAGTTGTTTTCAGAAGGTTCTTACACGTGACGATATTATGCCTATTTAGAAGATTCACATCAAGCTTTTGATATTTTTTTACCATTTCCAAGATCTCGGATAATAATACAGATCTTATGGACTTTACTTCTCTAGATTCATATTTGGAAATTTTGTTTCAAACCTTATTCTCTATTGACCTAGAATATTTGTTTTGGAGGAAGTTTGTCGAGAGGATACAGCTTCTGATCACTTCAAACTATTAAAATCAAGCTACGGTTAAATTTATCAACAACTTTTTCTAAGCATCGGATATTTTAAAGTAAGATGTAAAAGATTATGAGTGGAGATTTAGACGAGCTGTAGACTCAAAATTCAATCTCCATTCTCGAGGTATGAAATCAAATTAACAATAGATCTTCAATCATTTTACAAATAGATCTTTTACATAACCCAAAGATCTGTCAAATGGTTTGTATTTTGTTCATAATATTTCTAAATTCAGTTATTTATTTTAAAAATTAATATATTGTTTCACATTTTGTGTAATATTACCCTTTTTGGAAAGATTATTAAAAATATAAAATTTTAAAAAAAAATTAAAATTATCAATTAACCATTTATAGAAAATTATACTATAATAAACATTCAATTGAAAATGTAAGAAAACATTAACAACATTCATTTATAATAATTACAAAATCATGAATGAGATTCAATTTTAAGAAAAAAATCTTTTGAAAGGTTTAGATTGAACTTCAAATTCTTATTTACTATTCAAAATATCATCTTTTTATTCATCTTTTCAAATTATTTCATACATCATTTCATCAACAAATTGTTTAAATCAATTCAATTAAATTCAGTTCAAATTCTTTCATCAAATATTCCTTACTTTCGTTAATTTCAGAACAAAACTTTTTCAAAAAATATCATCATTGAACAGTAGATATAAGAATCAATTAATATGAAAGTTTCAAGTACTAGTTCAATTTTGATACCATTAATTGCAATTGCAAATGCAGTTGAAATTGAGAATCAAAAAAGAGGATTTTTTGGAGATTTAGTAGGTGGTATTTTTGGTACCAGTCCTTCATCAACAGCAGCTCCAGCAGCAGCAGCAGCAGCAGTGAGTAGCCCAGCTCCAGTTATTTCTCAACCTGATACTCCTTCTCAATTATCACAAGCTACAGGAACTCCAATATCAAACCCAGCAGCACCAAATCCATCATCATCAACACCACCAACTACATCTTCTATATTACCTGCAAGCTCAGCACCATTAAATAATCCCCCATCATCATCAACTAATGCAAATTCTCAAGCAGCGGCTCCATCATCATCTACAACACCAGGTTTTTTTGATGGTTTGTTTGGTTCTGACTCAAGCAGTGGATCATCAAGTGTTGCTCAATCTACATCATCTACTCCAAACCAAACTTCAAGTACAAGCTCAAGTTCAAGTTCAAGCTCCAACACATTAGCTACTTCAAGTGATGATGATGAAGAAGACTGTGAGACAGAAACTAGTGGCGTACTACCAACTACAACAGTTCCTACTACAACAAGCGGTGGAGGTTCTTTCGAATCTTGGCTTTCAGATTTATGGGGTCAAAGTTCATCTACTCCTACTACTACTGGATCAATCACATCTAACACATTATTACCTTCATCAACTACAATTGCTTCATCAATACCAACTTCATCCCGATTATCTTCAAGCGTTTCAATTCCAAGTATTTCAATTCCAAATGTTTCAAGTGTTAATCCAAATAATTCTTCTACAACATCAAATTCAAATGTTTCATCAAGTTCCACTGATGATGATGAAGAAGATTGTGAGACTGAATCAGGAATAATTAATACTTCAACTGCTACAAATTCTGATCAAGGATCATTTGAATCTTGGTGGTCTTCATTTTTTGGAGAAGGTTCACAAACACCATCATCTACAATTGCTGGTCAATCTTCAACTGGTTCAACTGGAGCTTTACCAACTACCAATCCAACATCATTTGTTACTACAACTAGTCCATCAGGAAGCGTTAGTCAAACAACATCAGTTCCATCTTCAACTTCAACTAATACACAAGGATCATTTGAATCTTGGTGGTCTTCATTCTGGGGTGGTTCACCAACAACATCATCTGGATCATCTACTGTTGCTGGTCAATCATCTAATGGTTTTTCAACATCAATTGAAGCTACTGCAACAACGTTTTCACTTCCACCATCTGGTTCCATATCAAGTCTTATTCCATCAGCTTCAAGTACTAGTGATGACGATGAAGAGTGTGAAGACCCAACTAGTAGTCATGTAACCTCAAATACAATTGTCATTCCAACTGGTTCAATTGGTACAACACTCAGTTCATTATTAAGTAGTTTACCATCTCAATTAACTTCATCAGGACTTTTAACTATTCCATCAATTTCAGGAAATCCAACTTTAAATAATTCAAATACAAATTCAATTACAACAAGTTTAAGTTCTTCAATTGCTGGTGTTTCAAGTTTAAGTTCTTCAATTGGTGGTGTTTCAAGTTTAAGCTCAGATGATGATGATGATGAAACTGACTGTGATGATCCAACTTTCACCAATGATCCAACAATTACTACAACTCAAGGAGGCTCAACTTCAACATTAACTCAAACAACTTCTGGTAATCCTAATACTCAAGTTATTCCAACTACTGTTCAAACAACAATTGCTGGTGAAAGTACAACTATAACATATACTACAACTAATAGTGCTGGTGCTCAAATCACAACAACTTTAACTACTTCATTACCAGATGTAACTAAAACTTATGTAACTACAACTCATGGTACTATAACTTCATATAATACAGTGACAATAACTTATACTGGTGCTGGACAAACTTTTACAACTTGGGTTACTCAGGAACCAGAAGATTGTGAAGAAACTGTTGCTTATACTGTTACAACTACTGTTCCTCAAACTACGATTGCTGCTGGTGGTGGTATTTATACAACTACTGTTACTGTTGTTGTTACTCATACTGTTTATCCAGATTATGATGATGATGATTATTCAAGTGGTTCTTCAGGTAATTCAGGATCAAGTGGTAATCCAGGTAATTCAGGATCAAGTGGTAATTCAGGTAATTCAGGTAATTCAAATAACAATAATGATGATGATGGCTGGGAATGGGTTTGGGAAGATGATGATGAATGCTCAACAATTGCTGCTGAAGTATCAACTCCAACTGGTAATGCAGGCTCAAACTCAGGTTCATCTTGGTGGCCATCTTCAGGTTCTTCTTCAGGCTCTTCTGGTTCATCTGGTTCAAGTGGTTCATCATCAGGCTCATCAGGATGGTGGTCAGGCTCATCAGGAAATTCAGGAAATTCAGGTTCTTCAGGTTCTTCAGGCTCTTCAGGCTCTTCAGGCTCTTCAGGATCTAGTGGCTCTTCAAGTAATAATAATGATGATGATGGATGGGAATGGGTTTGGGAAGATGATGATGAATGTTCAACTATAGCTGCTTCTGGTTCAATCCCAACTTCTAATCCAGGTTCAGGTAGTTCTTCAAGTGGTTCTTCAAGTGGCTCATCAAGTGGCTCATCAAGTGGTTCTTCAAGTTCAGATGTATCAGGTGGTTCTTCAGGTGGTTCAGGTTCTATTTGGGGTACAAGTCCAAGTGATTTAGTTTGTCCAGGAGAAGATGGTTATGAATCAGAAGGAGGAGATGAAAATTGTGATGATGATGATAATGATTTAGAAGATGAGGAAGATCAATGTGAAACAACAGTATCATATACTAATAGTTCTGCATCACCAACTTCTTCTTTTATTATATCTAATACAACAACTGCAGATGTTTCAGATATATTAGGTTCGATTACTTCAACAACTTCAGCTTCAATTTCAACTACATCATCTGGTGGTTTCTTTGGTTTTAATCTTTTCGATGTCGAAGATGCTGCTATTACTGAAGGTTCTATTCCAACTTTATATGTCAACTCCACTAATACTCATTCTACAATTACTACATCAATTGCAACCATATCACAAAATACATCATCTCCAATTATTCCAGATTATGAAAATTCAAGTAATAAATTAACAAAATCCAAATATAATTTATTATCTATATTCATAACATTTATTGCTGTTTTTAGTTTCTTTATCATATAAATTTGAAAAAACATTAGATATTTTGCTGGGCAATATACTAAGATCTAAGGATAATCAAAAAAAACAAAAAACTAATTCATTACGTTGTTGTTTGCTTCTTTTCAATTTTTTAAAATGAAAAAAAATTTGGGTTTCGGATGAAAAACAATCTTTCTAATTATAATTATTTAATACCATTCTAAAAAATTTTTTTAATAAATAGTTTATTTCTTTAATAAAACGAAATTAAGATAAATGTTGAATTGTTGTAGGAAATGTCTAAATAGTCAGTTTTGAAAAGTTGAAATTTGATGCTTGATATTTGACAAGTGCTTGGTAGCACGTAGGTCACAAAATCATGTCACAAATTTAAAGGTATAACATTATCACATAGTTTGCCTTTATCAACTTCATCATTTAGCAGGACTAAAGAATCATTACAATGGCGATCGATAGAGGGACGCTAATATTCTTTATAGTGATGTTTATATTCCTATCACTACCGTCAGGAAATGAACAACCACATTCAGAATTAGAGAGAGATACATTAACTCAATTTCAAACACAATATTTTAATTCATTAAAAATATTAAATGAATCTCAATATGATCTAGGGTATGGTAATATAACTGGTTATCAATTATCATATAAGGATTATTTAACTGGGAAATCTATAAAGGATTGGCCAATTCATGAATACAGTAAAGAACATCCTTGGGTTGAAAATGAGGAATATTCTATACTACCTAATGTCATTAGTAATAATGTAAAACAATTTTGGGGAAATGATGAAGTTAAATTAAATGAAAATGCATACTTATTAAATATATCAGGAAGAGCAAATGGAGAATTTATAATACTGCAAACTGAAAATAAAATTGAACCAATTAAATTAAAAATTCCTGAATATTTAAAAACTTATTATAATTCAAGAACAACAAATGATGGAAGTGATTATGATGGAAGATTAACCACTCCATCTGATCAAAAAGATAAAGATGAAAAAGAGAAAGATAAATTGGAAAAGGAATTGGAATTATCGGAAAAAGTTGGAAATATTACTAAACCTGGAGTGATTTCACTTGATATAACTGGGTATCAATATAATTTTAATGAACCTGAATTCAAAACCTTATCTGAAAAAGATAAAATATCAAATGCAATAGCTCTAAAAATGGAATTAAATTTAAAAGATTATAAAGAAATAGAAGATCATAGACTTGGTTTAAGTGGAGTATATTTTCAAGATACAGGATCAATAATTGCAACAACTAATTCTGCAAAATTTTTAGGATCATATGGTTTAAGTCATTTAAGTATGGATAATAAAAAATTTGAAATTGCTAAAAAATTAATGACTCAATATAACAATATGAGAGATGATAAAGATATAAATTTAGATGATATGAATAATTCAATATTTAAATCAATTGATCAATGTGAAATGATTGCTTTTATACAATTTAATAAAACTAATTTTAATCATGAAGAATTAAGATATATTGATAACGAATTAAAAAATCCAACTGGAAAACCATTACCTTCAAAAATTCCTGTATTATCTGTAAAAGACTTCTTAATATATTCACCAGATTGTGGAATATCTTTAACAATTAAACCAAATACATTATTTATTGGAGAAAGAAATGAAGTTTATAAAAGTCAAATAAGAAAAGTTTTGACTGGATTATTAATATTAGTTATAATACAATTATATCTTATATTTAATCAAGTAAATGAAGCAAGAACTCCTGGACAATTATCAGTTATATCAAGTAAAACATTATATTTTTTTGGATTTCAAGATTCTTTATTAGCATTAATGTCATTATTATTATCAACTGTAGCAACTGATTTATATTTAATTTTAGCTTGTATTTCAACTATAGCATTTATTCTGTGTGGAGTATTTGAAATAAGATTTATGGTTAGTGTATTAACAACTCAAGCAAATGAAAGAGGTACAACTTGGTGGGAAATAATGAGAGGATCAAGTCAAGAAAGTAATGAATCGACTCCAGAACCAGCAATAATAGAAGAAAATCAAGATGGTCCTATTTTACCTATATCGAATCCACCACCACAACAACCAGAACAACCTACCACCGAGCCTAATCAAGCTTGGCAAGAAACATCATATAGTAACTCAATATTTGCATCAGGCTTCACATTATCTATTATTGCAATGTTTTTAATATTTTCAGCAACTCAATGGAGAGTAACTTATAGAATTATATTTGAATATATTTCATTAATTCTAATAAATTCATATTGGGTACCACAATTTTTAAGAAATACTTTAAAAAATAGAAATAAATCATTTACATGGAAATTTATATTTGGTAGTAGTATTATAAGAATTATACCAATTTATTATTTTTCATTATTTAAATCAAATCCTGCAAGACATAGATATGATCCAACATTATGTATTATCATTACTGTATGGTTAAGTTTTCAAATTTTATTGTTAATTTTACAAAATTATTTTGGTGCAAGATTTTGGATTAATGAAAAATGGTTACCAAAAGCTTATGATTATCAACCAATTTTATCAATTAAAGATTTAGAAGAAGGTGGTATATCAAGTGATTTATTGGCAAGTTTCAAACAAAAGACATCAGATTCTGCTGCCGAACAACAACAAGATTTCATAGATTGTGAATGTACTTGTCCAATCTGTATGACTGATGTAACATTACCAATACTTGTTAAAAATGAAGAAACAAAAGATAAAAAATCAAATCATTTACATATTAATAAAGATTATATGATAACACCTTGTCATCATATTTTTCATGTTGAATGTCTTGAAAATTGGATGAAATATAAATTACAATGTCCTGTTTGTAGAACTAGTTTACCACCTATATAACAGTAATAGCATAATTAATTTTGGGGAGATTAACGAATATAAAGTTATAATTTGAAGAAGTCTCTAAATAGAATGTATCTACTTATCTAACTGTTCGGAGATATAACTCCAAGCATTTTAAAATTTCTAGAAAGATATGTTCTATTCCAAGAATTTTGATCATCAATATTCCATATTGATCTAAATCGTTTAAAATTGACTTTGTTTCACACATTGAATTAAATCCCGACTTTAAACGAATAGGTTAAACTCCAGTCTTTAATTTGTGACCAGAAGAATAAAGTCCGAAACACCCAAATGCTAGGAGAATTTCAATTATACAATGAGAATGACGACAGTAGGATTTCTAATTCAAGAACTGTGTGCATTTTGATAGCCTTCCCGGTTTAATACGAAACCTTAAACCGTTCAGTGAAGATATTGGGTAAAAATTGCCCAAAATAAAAAAAAAATCATTAATATTTATAAAAAAATAAAAACGTACCACTATTTTTTTTTCCATTTTACGCCTTACCTATGTAACCTTTCACCGAATACATGATTGAGATGTGCATTTAACTCGCCAATTAAGCAAGGCACACGAGTTTACTCGAGCAGTGGTAGCAGTAGATTCTACACCTAGAGTTAAGGCTTCAAATTTTTGTAAGTGGAATAATGTTTCAGATTCATATATCTAATTATCTTTTAAGATTTTGCGCTTGCAAACTTTTTGATGTGGAAAGACAAAGATATCTAGCTTTCAAAGCAAGAGTGAACTTGAATCTGAACGTGTTTCTTCAAACTATTGATATTCAAGCCTTGATTTATTGATGATTTCATTAAATTTAAAGATTTTAAAATTTAAATTTACATCCTTTATAACCTATGTCTTCACATGTCAAATTCAAATACTATTAATTAACCACGGGTTTTCGAGCCATTTACTTAGTATAATTCTTCTTATAAATACTCTCATGTACAATTAATCATCATTTATGTATGTATTACAACAAAGGGACCAAAATTATATATTAATTAGTTATTTATTAATGAAGAGGAAAAAACCCCTTTAATTAAAAGAGAGATCTTTAATTTAAAACACAATCATGTATATGGTAGCACCTATCTCCTACTTTATACTAAACAGTAGTCATACTGTGAAGTCTTAACTATGTGTTCAAAATTACACAAAACAAAAATATGACCTGATCTTTTTTTTTATGTTTGTGTAATTTGTATCTCGTATTAACAAGTCTTTTTTTTAATATATCATCAACAAATATTCAAAATATTCAAGTTACTTTTCTTTTTTATATCAATTAAGAACTAGATTCTTATCAAGTGTTTTAAAAAATATTCAGAATCTACAACTTTATTTGCAACAGGTACAATTCATTACAGAATTTTCATAAGATCAGATCAGATAAGTTATCAATTTCCATACATACTTCCATTGTGTTCACAATTTCATATCTATATCCTTCATAGTTTAAAAGTTTGACGAGTCACTTTCAATTCAAGAATCGGTAACGAGAAACATTCAACAAATCGACACTATGTCTCAAGTGGATACGAATTTAATGAAAGTTGATGATAATGATAAAATATTTATTCAATCGAACAATTTAAATATAATTGATGATGAAACATCAAATAATCAATCTGGTAATAATAATTTAATAAACAATAATATTACAGATTATTATGGTAATAATATGAATTCACAACAATCAGAATTTATATTTGATGAAACTGATGAGTTTTTAAAATCTATCACAGGAGGATTAAGTAATTCAAAGAATGAGATAGGAGATAATAATGGAAATAATTTTAATAATTTGAATTTTAATGGTACTATACTATCACCATCATCTTTAAATGGCGAAGATATTGGTTACCCTGACTATTTAAATAATTATTCTAATCAAAATCAACCTTCAAACTATCAAGATAATCAACAATATCAATATCAACAACAACAACCACAATCACAAAATCAAGAATCTTCATCTCAATTAGCACAACAACAAAACTTATATACTCAACAACCTCAATATGCATCAAATATTAGATCACATTCATCTTCAATTGTTACTTTCACTAATGAAAATGTAACTCCCTTATCTAATGAATCACATGAAACTTCAGAATTTACATCACCAGAATCTATTAATCATCATGTTGAAAAAACCAATATATCAAAACCTCAACAACAAAAACAACCTAAACGTAATAATTCAAGTTCAAAAGTTGCAAAACCAAAAAATAATAAAGATAAAAATTCACATAATATGATTGAAAAAAAATATAGAACTAATATAAATTCAAAAATTTTAATATTAAGAGATGCAGTACCAGCATTAAGAATAGCTGCAGGATGTGATGATGTATCATTAGCTGATTTAGAAGGTATAACACCTGCTTCAAAATTAAATAAGGCAAGTGTTTTAACAAAAGCTACTGAATATATAAAACATTTAGAACAAAAAAATGCTATATTAAAAGATCAAAATTTATATTTACAACAAATTATACAAGAGGCTAATTTAAGTTCAAGAATTCAAATGCCTCAAAATTTACAACAACAATCTCAATCAGTTGATAGTTCACCTCAAGAATATAATTCAATGAGACAAAGAATTCATCAAGAACAGCAACTGCAACAACAACAGCAACAAAACATTCAATACAATCAACAAGAAAATCAATCAATAGATTCTCAACAAGTGACACCACATCAACAATCCAATCAACCAAATAGATATTTATTGGGTGGTATGGCAACAGTAATGGCAACTTCATTATTTGGAGGTGGAACAGGCGAAAATGATTTTAGAAGTTTAAATGCTTTACCATTTATTCATTATTTATTTCCTCATTCATTACTTCATCCTTCTCCAATTATATTACAACTATGGTCATTAAGTAAAGTATTATTAGTCATAGGAAGTTTTATTTCAATATTTTATCCATTATTTCAATCATATTTTAATTCATCGAGTGATAATGATAAATTGAAACAAGTAACAAGTTCAACTTCAATTGTCTCGATATTGGATCTCATTTTAACTTCAAGTTATCTAAAATTACCAAATGTTTTAACTGATGCAAATAAAATTGAAATATTTCAAACTTTGACTGGTAAAGGTGAAAAAAATAGTTTAAAAAGATTGCTCCTTCAATATATTCATTTAAATTCATGTGAAATTAATTTTGAAAATACATTCTTATCATTAATTATAAGTAACATATTGAAACAAAAATTACCAAAATTTGAATCAATTATAAATCGTTTTTCAAACTTCAAGTTACAATTAATCAAAAATTTAGAATACAAAGGATCTAACACAAATTTAATCAAATTAAATAAATTAATCAAACAAATTGATGGTATTTCAATTTTTGAAAGTGAAATTTTGATTCAAAGATTAACTAATTTATTTGCAGGTTATGATGTAAATAAGGGCATTGATGATGAGTTGAATATAAAAGTTTATCAAGTTTTGAGTGAAAGTGGTACAAATTATTATGATCTAGCTTTCAAATTAAGAATTTTAGAAATTTTAAATCTTTTAAATATTTCATTTTTAGAAAATTTGAATAATAAAGAAGATGATGATACTTCAAAAGATGATTCAACAAAAACTTTAAATGATTTAAAAATTTTAGAAGTATTGATACCCAAAATTTCAAGTGTTTTTGAACATTATCAATTATTAAAAACTGCTATAAATTCTAATCAATCACCTTATTTATTAAAATCTTTAAAAACTAAATTTGATTTAAATTTGAAAGATCTTGAAGTCGAAGATATACAGACTAATGAAGTAGAGGAAAACGAAGAGGATTTCACTGATGATGAAGAAGAATTAACTGGAAAACTAACAACAATTTTATCAAAAGAAGAAAAAATTGTATTAATATCATCATTAATATCGTACTATTATAATATAAAAGATACGGAGAAAACGATTAAATTATTAAATTACTTATCAATTGTCATCGATGACTTAGAAACTAATGAAATAAATTTAATTATATTTACATCATTATTAAATACAATAAAAGTTTTAATACCAAGTTCATTAGATGATAATGAAATTATATCATTAATTATAATAAAATTAAATAAGTGGATAAAGTTAAAAGAAAAAAAAAATAGAACTGAAGATAATTCAAGTTCATCATCAACAATATTAAATTCAACAATTTTCTACAAGTTAAGTGAATTTTTAATTTTAAAAACTAAAAAAATTAATGGAATATTTGATGAAAATGATGATGATTTTGATAATGATGATTGTAATGACAATGAAAATGATGGTTGTGTTAAATTTTGTGGTGGAAGTTGTGGTAAAAATAATGATGAAGATGAAGATGAAGATGAAGATGAAGATGAAGATGAAGATGAAGATGAAGATGAAGATGAAGATGAAGATGAAGATAATAAGTAGATGTTTATGAATGATGATAATTAATGTGTTGTTTTTAAATATATTTGAGTTTATGTTTATGTTTTTGTTATATTTAATAATTATATTTCTAAGCTAATTTAATTTAATTTAAGTTTTAAGTTTTATTCTATAAGTTTGTATATTGTGAAATGATTAAATTCTATTTGAGGGTTTCTTCAAAACGCATAAGCTCGGTCCGATTTTGCGCAAGGGTTTTTTTTTTGTGTTAAAAAGAATGCTAAGTATGTATTTACAGATGTTTTTTTAAAGTATGTATGTACAGATGTACAGATGTTTCTTCTTTTTCAATTTTTTCATCAATTCACTTCACTATTCACCAGTTTTTCTAGATCAATACAAAATTGAATTGCATTATGATAAGTTCTATGCATTAAGGTATTGTACGAAAACGTATTTGTTTGAAGGTAGAGTTAAATTAGGGCATAAAATTCAATTATTTAAGAAACCAATAATCTATGATGGGCTTTGTAAAAGAACTTGAACTAATTTTTTTACAAAATCCATTAAAATGTCGATTTGTTCTCGAACAAAATTTTTAGTTCACTAAGTACCTGGATCATGGTTCCTTACCGTTTAAATAGATCTTCAACCATGCAATCTTAAGAAATATAATTGTATACTAAGAAGGCTCCGACATCAATGATCTTCTTAATTTTTGAACAACTAATCATGTTGTCAAAAACATTTGATTAATCCTTTTTTAAATTAACATAATTAGGTGAATTAGGTAAGTTAAATGCGCTTCAATTTTGTAACTCTCAAATTTAGTGAAAAATAAAGATTTAAAAAGTATCAAAACTCTAATATATTTTAAAAGAAGATCTTTGGAAAAGAAAATGTCGTTATTAACATGAGTGAAAGAAGGTTTTGAAATAAATCTAAAATAGAACTTTTTTATTTAGGCTAACTAATTTTGTAAACTTTTTTTTGATACTAAACATAATTGAAAGATACTTCACTATCAAATTACTTAAATCTCCCCCAAACATTGAAGATTGACGATTTTTAAATTTGGGTTTATTAATTAATTAAAATTTTTGAGTTTGTGAAGACGATTGTTATTTTTTTGTATATTTCGTAATTTTATTGGTTATACTTTGAACAAAGTAAATTCGTATTCTTTTTGGTTTGTTTTAAAACAAACGTGCGGTATACCTTTTTATATATTTATTTTTCAATACCCTGGGTACTTCAATTGGTTGTGTAGAAAGATGGATTCAGAACTTAGAAACGATTTAGTATTATATTTATTTAGGTATTCCATTGATACGCCTCCATTAGTAGCTTAAAAATTTATAAATTATTATACTTCTCTTGCATCATTTTGAAATGTATATTAAAAAAAAAAAACAATAGACTAATTGGAAAATTAAAACTGTATGTACTATAAGATCTAGATATTTTGGCAATCTTTCTTTTTTCAATTATAGAATGACTGATAGAGCTAGAGTATTTCTTAGTTTGTTATTCCATATGTTGTAGAACCATACATGATTTTACAAATGAAATTTTTATTATTTCTATTTATATCATTTAAACATGTTGTTGCTATGTACTACCTTGCTTATTCATGTATATCATGTTAAAAAGTCTAATATTATTTCTATAATCATCATAAATTTAGTTATAGTACATTTCACACAGTTACACATACTCTGTGATAATACTTTGTATCATTGACTAATTTCGTAGATCATTGACTTTGCATTACCTTCTTCTACCTTTGTTATAATTCATGAACTAGAAGTTTTTTATTCTTTCGCTTTTCGGTTAAACTTGAGAGCTATGCATTAGTCTCAATCATTTTGCGATATTGTCAGTAGTTGATACTAATGCTCGTATGAATTAATTATTTGTTTTGTGTTAGTGAAGGATGATGTCAAAATTTGAATATGACCTCATGGTATAATATTGAGCTCTACATCCTCCATTACTCTTTATCAATGATTAAAGAACAAGTTTTGCCACTCGAAAGAATGGGTGGTCTGGTATTGTGATAGATTTAATTACACAGATTTATGATGGACTTAAATTCACACAAAATTGATTAATTATCTGATGACATTAGTTTAAAAAAGATCGGCACATTTAAATACTAACTTGTGACAAAAAATTATAGTTTTGAATTTATGGAAAGAAGGTAAGATATATACTAAAATTAAAAAAGGGTTTTTCACAAAATGTTGAATAATTATTTAAGAGACTTTTATTTTGTAATTCTGAAACATTTTTTATTTACCATCTATTGTTTCAATTGTTAGTCTAAAGATTTGAAACAAAAATTATTGATACATTTTTTTTACAAATACAATTTATCAACTCACCGTTGGAAGACTTCGTTTGAGATGTCTCGTGTAATAGTTTCTTTTTTAATTTAAGGTATGGAATCCATATTTAGCCTTCTCTCGGTTCAGTCATCAAACGTTTGTTAAGTGGTTCAAATTTTATATAGACTTATATTTCCTATTTCATCTCCAAAAAATTATTTTTTATTTTTTTATTCCTTTAATTTTTATTTTTCTAAATTTCATCATTTTATTATTCTTCCATGTCAATTGAGTAAAAAATTCATAACGAAAGAGAACACGAAAAAAAAACATTCTGTAAGATTTTTATCTCCCCGAATTGCTTTTAATCAAAAGTTACTGATTGCTGAAAACCAATTTCATCATTTATACGGCAATTTGAATCTTATTATTATATCATATCATTATCATATTATTCATCGACCGTTATATGCAAGAGTTCTACTTATGTAAATATACTGATTGCAGAAATTCTATTCAGGAAAAAGAAAACGTAAAATTTTATTTAAATGCCGGTTTAAAATTCGTTGGTAGACAATTCAAGCAAGTTAAATAAAAAAGAAAGAAGCGATCAAAAGACTAACGTTGAAAAGTAAATAAAACTATGGTTGTTGATCGTAACCAAGGACCAAAAAAGTGAAAATCTCAAAATTGAATGCTTCTATCGTCTTGGTTTGAAGTTATGTTTGAAGCCATGACTTATCATAAGTTTTAATTTCATTTTAATTCAATTTAAATTATTGTTCAGTAAGTTACACAAAACGCAATAAAAATAAGTTTAGACATTTTTCGCTAAAACCTTTTTTTTTTCTTTTTTCTTTTTCTTCTTTCTCTAATACAAATTTTACGAGATTTCAAGATTTCAAGATTTCCAGATTTCTATATTTCACATTTCAACACAATTAGTGTTGATAAATTGCAAAAGGTCTATTTTTTTCTTTTGCTTTTGATGATGCTAATGATATATTCTTGGACACCCTTTCTTCTTCTTTTTACCTTTTGACAATCATTTCTGGACTGTGTGTTCTCTTACCTTCTAGTTTAGTATGACAAATTAATTTTAGTGTTTCTGGATTATCTTATTTCAACTGGACTTAAAATTTTAGTCTGGTCAACTAAGTGGAGAAAGAACAAAAACCCGAACTATCCCTTTTTATAGATCATAATTGGTGGACCGTACAGCCATACTCAGTTATAACTACGATATTTGCTTCACCAGAAATTTGAAATACACCCCTGACCTACTCAGTACGACAAAGTTTTTTGCCATATGAAACATTCGTTAATTTTTATTTGAACTTTTTTTTTTCTACATTTTTTGTGTAAGTTATATGGAATGATGTACAATCTCCTAAATAAATTGATATTTATAGAGCTAAAAATTACGTATGTTAACGATCGGAGCGAAAGAAAAGAATAATTAACGTAATTATTCATACATATTTCCGAAGTAGAAGATAAAATTTCATATAATCAATGATATGTAGTTTAATCTTACTTTCACAACATGTAATTATAATCTTATATAATTTCTATCATTTTTAACACATTAATTATAAATTAAATCTGTAATTGCGCATTAGAATTTCACTGATGTAATTGTAATCAACTACTACTACAATTTGATTAAAATTTAAATCTTTATAAATAGTTTTTAAAATTTCATTAATTCAATTTGAAAATGAAATTTTCAACTTGTAGTGAATAATTTTCGATCAATTAGTCAAAAGAATCTATATCCTATCTACAACTCAACTTTGACAAGATCAAGTTTTAGATTTGCAAGAGAGAGACACTAAAGTGATTGAGAATTTTACAGCTGTGACTTGGTTTTCATATACTCGGTATGTATGGCATTTTCGTTATTGATTTTAAAGAAAAATGTAAAATTCTCAAGAAGATTTTGAAAATATTGTGAATGATGAAAGAAGATTAAAATTTGATAATGATTCTATTGTTTAAATGAAAGAAAATGATGTTTCATATTGAACAATAACTTGGAATTAAATACAAAGAGGAAAACTTTTTTTTTTTTCCAAACTTGTAAATTTGAAACATCATGGTAGAACAATCAAAAAGCATATTTTTTTTTGTTATTGTACAATCAACTGACCTTCCATCAAAGAATAAAGAAAGTTAACAAAGCTTCAACTGGTAACAATTGAGAGTCAAGGAAGCTCGACTAAGCTTTATCAAGTTTTTGTTACCATCCACAGCTTTGACAGGGCCAAAACTCAAATGACTGAATACAATCAATTATTCAACTCCTTGCTTTGCCTCCAATTATAAAAATAATTCACAAGCAATGGTGAAAAAGAATCTAAAATCTCAAATCTAATAAAAATTTAACAATTTTCGATAGTTTTGTGATATCATTGGATGAATTAAATTAGTTTAGACTAAAATTTAGACTAAAATTTCAAATAGAAGAATAAAATTTAAAAGAAAGAATCTTGTACAATATAAAATTAAACTTTACGACTTTTGGGATCTTAAAAAGTTTAGATTTCAAATCTTGAGACATTTTTTATACCACCTAATACAAAGTCCAAAGTTACACAAAACTAGTTGATACCTTCTACCTAAAATACATCATTACACAAACTTAAAAATTTTAAATTTTATTTTTGAATTCCATTAATTAAAAAATAAAAAATAATTTAAATAATATTTTAGAGAAGTTTATTATAATTATAATAAAATTTCAATCTTTAAATGTTTAAATTTCAAAATTCATATGACTTAATTCTCAAGGTAAATCCATTCATTTATTCATTCATTCATTCGTAATCTCGAAATCAGTACATCATAGCTTGTTTGAATTAAAATTCTCACAAATACAAAACTATATTTATCAACTTTTATTTTTTTCCACCAGCACCATATACACCAAATTACCCTTTCAATTCAAACATAGATCGCACTGATAACACCTACAAAATTTATGACTTATTGAATTATCTATTCATTGATGAATCTTGTCTTTAACTTTAAAATCAATACTAATTTTATAGATCTAAAATACTGACCAATTTTGTACAGAAAATCATCCATAATCAAATAGACGATCAATACGAAATTCAAATTCAAAACTTGTTCAATCTGGAGAGAACTAATCTGAGTTTTCACTCACAAAGAAGAAAGGAAAAATAAATCAGTATAATCATTCAACTTATTCGTACGATTTTATCCATCATTTTGACTAATCTTTATATTCAACACATTTTGACCCCGGAAAATCATTTTCAAGAATACATTGTTAAGTCAAACTCACCATCGATAAGGATATTGCAATTGGTTTAATAGAAATATACCTTAAAAATAGAAAATTGAACATTAATTGGAATAGAGTAAAACTTATCAATTGGATCATCCAACAATTATTCGATTTTTCACCAAATTCATTTTCAACCCACATTGTTAACATTCCAAATTTTGATAATATAAATTTTCACATAACACAATAATTGAACAAAAATTGATCTATCAAAATAACCAATTTATCATTACACAAACCATCATATCCAGTAGTAACAAAAATAGTCGAAGTATTTTTATTTAATCTAAATAGATCAAGGTGCTATTTTACACAAAATCATCATCAGTTCAATACCAAACCATACCAGACCAAAGACACAAAGAGTGTTAGGAAAAAAGTTGTTTATCAATTTCCAGAATGATATTGGACTCTGAGGAATCTTCTGCTGATAATAATGATTATACTATAGATGATTATTATAAATTAGTTAAAACATTACTTACACATAGAAATATAAAATTTAATACATCAAATTTAAATGATCATAAATTATTAAGAACATTAGTTGATTTTAATTTATCTCATTCATTATTATTAAAAAATCAACAAAAAAGAGAGTTAGAAATTGGAGATTTAATTGCAACCAAAATAAATTATGTTGATAGTTTAGTAACTAAAATAAAATCAAATTCAATATATAACAGGGCTCAAAATATTTTATCATCAACGGAATCTACTAGTGGCTCATTAACTATACAATATAGTGGATGTTTTAGAAATAAATTTATTGAATTTTGTCCTCATTTTGCTTTGAGTTCTTATTTATTTAGTAGGTTTCATATACCTGATGAAAATGGAGCTTTTGAATTTTCTTTAGGGGTAGATTCAAATATAAATGATGCAATAAAAAAATTATCATTACTTGATTTAAAATTATTAAAGGGTAATAATAAATTATCACCAATTTCTTATAGTCAACAACATAAATCTTCAATAGCTGCTTTAAATATTGGTGGTTATAATTACAAAGATATAAATTTAACAAAATTATTAACTGCTCAAGGTTTTGATATAAATGAAAAATTATTATCTAATTCAATTGATAAATTACCAAGTCAAATTTTATTACAATTATCTGGATTTGAAAGTTTTCAAGATTATGATATTGTTAGAAATTCAATTGAACCTCCTATTGAATTATTAAATAAAATTTTTCCATTTATAAATGAAAATGAAAAAGAAGGTGAAAATAGTGAAGATATAACGGGAACAGGAGCAGGATCAGGATCAATTGAAGAAATTAATCAAATGAAAGAATTATTTTCAATGTTGAGAAGAAGTCTTTGTCAAGATATGATAATTATTAAAAAAAGATATCCATCAAATCCAATATCAAAAAGTGAAATTTTCAATTCAATAGAATTCATAAATTTTCTTAATGAAATTGAAAAAAATGGTAAATTAGAAACTTTAATAAGAGATACTTGTTTCAATCCAAACGATGATGAAACAGAAAGTGATTATGATGAAAATTGGCCATCTATTTCTTCATCAACAGATTCTGAAACACGACAAAAAATTTCAGAAATTATTGAATTTCAAAATTTAAAATTAAAAACCCTTGAAAATCAATTAATTCATTTAACTCAACAACAATCTCAAAATCAAGATATGATTTATGAATTTATAAAATCTCAAACAAATATTTTTCAAAAACATAGTGAAAATTTAACAAAAATTCAAAATTCAATAAATGGTTTATTTATATTAATGTCGTCAAAAAATCCAAATTCTTTAACTTTAGCCAAACAAAATTTACAAGAAACTTCAAATTTTATCACAACAGAAGAATCAAAAAATATTCAATCAGGTATTGTAAATACTTTAGATTTATTAAATCAATTGAATCAACAACAACAACAGCAGCAACAACAGCAACAACAAATCTATCAACAACAACAACATTTACAAAGACAACAACTGTCACTGTCACGTTCTAATCAACCATCATCATTCACTTCACAATCACAATCACAACAATCACAACATTCACAACAGCCACCGCATTCACAACAACAACAACAACATAATGTTCAACTGAGACAACAAAGTGATAGTCTGCATTCACAAATATCATCTCAACGTTATTCACAATCATCATCTCAACCAAAATCACAACTGGTCCTGCAACCTCAACCGGTACAACCACAACAAATTGGTTTACCATCATTTAATAGTCAACAATATGTTCAACAACATCAACAACAACAACCGCAACAATCAGGAGTTTTCAATTATCCACAGCCTCCTTCACAAATCTTACCTCAAATGATACAACATCATTCATTTCCAACTAATCCAACTTCAACTTCAATTAGTTCACCCTTTTATGCCACAGCATCACCACATATTCATCAAGGAAGTCAATCACATCCACATTCTCATTCAGGTTATTCTTTATTACAGCAGCAACAATCACAACATCAACAACAACAACAAATACCACCAACCTCATCATCAGTATTACCACAAACACATGAACATCATCCATATAATATAATACGAAGGTCAAATCTGTTATCACCAATTTCCAAACCATCATCACAAATTCCTCAACATCACCAACAACTACAACAACAACCTCCACAACAACAATCATCCTCATCATCAGAAAAGAAATATAAATCAGCAAGAGAATTAACATTAGAGAAAAGATTATCAAGACAAGCAACAACATTATATGAAATGTGGGATGATTTTAAAAATCTTGAAGAAGAATTAAAATTTCAAGATATTTCTATAACAGAATGGTTAAAAATACATGGATCATCAGAAAGACAATTTAGACATACAAGATTAAAAATTATAAAATTTATTGAAGAAGAAAGTATTAGAAGAAATGTTAATGTTGAAATTATAAAAGAAAAATTACATAATAAAATGAGAAATAGATTAAGACCTTGGACTTTAGATGAAGTTCAAAGAATGTTGACTTCAGGTAAAAGAATTGATTTAGATGATGAAAGATGAAAAATATATTTATGATTGGTAAGGGGTTCTTGTATCAATTGGTTTTGACCCAGAATTGCTTCAACTACTCCGAGTAAGATTATTTTTGGGAAAAAGTTTTTACCATTTCAAATCCAAAGGTGAACAATGATCATCTTGTATGTTTATTTTAAAAAGTGTTTGTTTTTATTTTCAAGTGTATTAAAATGTTTTCAAATAGAGTTTGAGATTCAAATTAAAATGTACCCATTTTTTTGTTCAATGTATTATTACTTTTACTTTTACCATTATTGTTAGAAATGTTATTTATTATTTATTATTTAGATTAGTTAGCTTCACCTTTCAGCTTCATCTTAATTGAAACAAGATTTAATACTAGATAAGACGTATTATTGAAAAGAGCTCTCTATGATATTCGATAGTTCAAAGTGTAGACATTTTTCTCTTAAAACGGGAATGTTGAATTTCTCATCATATCTCCTTACTGACGAGGTATGAAACAACGTTACATTGCATACAACATTTGAATAAATCTATTGTACTGTAATATGTTTTACTTTGTACGTTTTAGATGGTAATTTAACTTAATTGAGTAAAAATATTATCAGCAACTCCTCTGCGAATTAAGCGAGGAAGTTCAAACTCCTATGAATAGCTTTACATAAAGAGAAAGAAAGACAAAGACAACAAGAAATTTTAAACTCCAAGCATGTATACTTGATGTTGAATAAGTCAACTGATAGGAGAGAATAGATGCAACACATCATCCAGTCGTTGATGATACTTAGAAGTGATTTAATAGCAGATTTAAATTTGAAGAGAATTATGTCGTCTTTAGTGTCAAATTAGAATAACAACTAACGCTATTCCTCCGATTGATTTTCTTATTGTTTTGATACATGTGATATTACTTGTTAATTATTGTTTATATAAGCCCCTGTTCCTTGTTTTTATCAATAACCCAATGAGCATAAATTTATAAGGAAAGATTAACGATTAACCTTTTTTACTTTCTTTTATTTGCTTTTTGATATCGGAAATAACAAGAATAAGATCTGTTTTTCAAGGTAGCCAGTTGTTTTCCAGATAGAATTATCCACTAACTTAGGAGTTTTGTATCAAAAGCTCTTTTCATGGCTTCTTCTACTTTTCTGAATATTTTGGGTAACAATTGTATTTAAAGAGTTTGTACTACTGTTTTCAAGCTTCGTATTCCATACTACTCATCCAAGCTTTAAGGAAGTTGCTACATATTGTACAAAGTGGGGCATGCCACGCAACTATCCTTCCATCAAGCCCTCCACATCTCTCAAAAATCTATAAATAGCTTTCATTGCGAAATCTCATTACCAAATAAGAACATGAGTATTCATTTGTATATCTACCCTATTCCAAATGTTTTACGAGGGAATTTTGGGAATGAGTAGTAAATTGTTTTGATAGCCATGGTGGGTTATTGTACATTGATAGCAAGTTGAATTTGTTATCTGTTCGTATCTCTTCCGTATTTATTTTGTTTAAGTGTCAAATTTGCCATAAAGGAATTTAGCATTGCATTACTTACTAATTAAATTGTTTGAGATCAAAATTTATAACATATCAGAGTGGCAGTAATATCAGTGGTTCTTAGCTAATCTTTAACCGAGTTCTGAAGTGGCTCAAAACATAAAATGGTAAGAAAAAGAGAGAAAGAATAAAAATCAATCCAATTGTTTGTAGAATGTGTTCATGTCAGTTTGATTAAATTTAGTTCAATATTTAAAGTTAAAACAATAGTGTTTCATAATTAATAAATTTATTGTATTATCTTATTAGGTAATTTAGCCCTTTCGTCTAATTTTAATTGTTAAATACTATAGCTTCTTATCTTTGCTGCATCATCATAAACGTAATTTTCAAATGTTATATATTCTCTCGTCAAACGGATCTTTGCTAATTCTATTGTTCTCATGTGGAAAATAATGTTTCATATTTAAAGTTTAATTAATTTAAATTTGTTCAATACATTAATTCGAGAATTCGATTTTTTCATATTTGTTTAAATCGGGTATTAATATGAAGGTTCAACCATTTTTGTAAATCTGAAACATGATTAGTTCATTGTTAGTATTTCCTTTTATAGAATAGAGTCTTAATCAGATGGCTAAAGTAAGTGGTATATCTTGGAAATATTAAATTTTTGACGAAAATTTTGCATACAATATGTGAAATGAATTAAGTTAATGCGTTTCAACTTTAAAGTATAAAAATGTCGTTATAGACAAAAATTATGCACACACATCAATTAATTCTAGAATTATGCAAGATAAAGAGAGATTCTATTAATAAACCAAGTTCGATCTCTTCTTCATCTTTCTAATCTTTTAAATTGACTAATTCATAACTCTATAGACTTAAATGTAAATGGTTCATAAGCATATCCTTCACCTTCAAAAAATTTAGACATTGCTTCAACCCAATGCAATCTTAAAGAATGTAACATTGCCGATGTTCCTTCCATTAAAACTAAAATACAAACAGTCAACAGAAACCACATTGCAAATAATACAACCGTTGTAATAACTCCCACAGCTCCAGTTTTTCCAAATGCATTTTGAATTGTCATTGACCATAAAACAGTCGATAATTGAGCATGAGCTAAAGAAAGAGCCCACAATCTTAAATATGATGCTGTATGACTTACACAATTCAAACAAAATTCAATAGTATGGATAACTTGATGTATAACAATATCTCCAAAATTGAATTCTCCATGATCATCTCCATGAGCACCTGCTGAATGAAACATTGGTTCAATATCATTAGGGAATCTGAATTCTTCATCATCTAATTCATCAAAGGAATCATCTACTGGATCATTGTTTAATTCATGTTCTAAGTTTAGTGCTTCTTCTTCTTCATGTAATATAATTGAATGATGTCTTTGAGAATGTATATCCGAATAACCCAATTTTATAGCTTTATCATTTTGTCTTTTCAACGTTAATGGCTTATAAACTAATAACCATGGAACACAAATTAATGCAATCAAGACTAACACTACTTGTACAAATTTTTGACCTGGATATAATTGTTCTTCGATTGTTCCCGGGGATAAAAACATATTAATTAACATATTTAATAAACCTGGTGGTTGCTTTCCTATACCCAACCAATCTACTGTCCATTTGTAAACAATTGTTAAAGCCAAGTAACCAAATATACTTTGCATGAAAAGAAATCCTGGAATAAAATTACCAATTATATCAACTTTTCTATGGAAAAATAAACAGTTTACCAAACTAAACATTAATGAATAATTCATATGAATATAACCCATAAGAACTGATAATTTCATTTTATAAGAATTTGTAAATAATAAATTATTTTCAGTCCCATGCCAAGCCCAATCTAAACCAAATGGATAAGTTTTTCCAGGTATTTTTGTAGCGGTTAAAGTTCCACCAACTTTTGGGTCATAATTTTCTGGAAATTTATATTCCCAACCTGAACTGAAAAATGCCATTGATTTTGAAAAAATATCATTATATATAAAACCAGTATACATTGAAAAAAATCCCATCAATAATATGATATATCTACCATTAAAAGCCATTTCAAATATTTCATCTTTATTTCTCATGGCTCCAAACAGTATTTCATTTTTAATTAGGTACAATGCCATTAATAAAACAATAAATCCATGTCCTAAATCTCCAAACATAATAGCAAACATAAACGGGAAAGTAATAATAGTTGCTAGACCTGGGTTGACTTCTTGATAAGATGCTATTCCATATGCATCAATGATCAGTTGAAAAGCAGCTGTAAATTTATTTGTTTTGTGATAAGTGGGAGGAGTTCTATTTGTTGAAAGTTCATTAACAACTGCAATCAAAGAACCAATTTCTTCATTATTCTCGTCAATTTCAAATCCAGATATTTCATGTCCATCTCCATCATCAATTATAAACATGTTATTTTCAGTTATCAGAGTTTCTGAAATATTAATTTCTTCAGAAGAATCTCTTTGTCTATTTCGTCTGGTCTTTTGTTTTATTAAATTTTTTAATGCTCCTCTTATTTTGTCAAAATCAATTGATGGAATCCAACCTTCACCAACCAAACATCTTCTTGTACTATCTTCATCAAATTTGTTTAATGTTTCATAAATTAATTTCTCTCGTTGAATGATATATGCATAATCTGGATAGATCTCTTGAAAAACTTTTAATTCCGTGACTAATTGCTCCTTAGTACTTGTGACAACGTTGGTCAAGTCTTGTACTTTTCTATTAACTTCTTCCAAGGTTGCCTCTCTAGCCTGAGAAGAACCACACGCATTATCGAAGATTATTCCATCCAATGATTGAATAATCTTTCTCACTCTAGATCTCAACATATCCCCATGAATAAAAATTATGAACGCGTTTTTATATATTAAGTCCTTTGAGTTATCATTTTGGGGAAACTGTTCATCTATTGGTATATCATGAAAATATAAATTACCTCTTAAAGTTCTCCATAATATATTCCTCAAAATTGGGACTTTATCTCTGGCAATTGTACCTGCAATTGTATTAAAATTTGAGTCGTCTAAATTATGTACCTCTAGACCTAATTCTAGACTATTATTCCTTTGTTCATTCAAAAGTGCAATATTATCATCAAGTTCGTCATCTTCATTAAAATGTATATCTCGAGTACTGTCTTCCGATTTATCTATTAAACTTGAGTTATGGAATTTGTTCAATATATTTATAACATTTCTATTTTCAATGAGTTTTAATTTTTGAAAATTCAATTTATTAAAAGAATCATCTAAATGCTTGATTCTGTCAAAGTAATCCTTTAACTTGAATTTGAACTGATCCATTTCGGAAGTTGTTGGTAACGACTTAGTATCAGCTCTTAGATTGATATATATATCACCACTTATAGTATTTTGTTTGATCATAATTGAATGAAGGAAATTTAATTGATTTAACATTAAATCAATAGATTTTAAATCGTTAACAAATGTTCTTTGAAATGGAGTCAACTTTGAATTTAAATCTCGAAATTGTACAGACCCCAAATTACCTAGCACTCCAACCATATCTCTTGCTAGTTCAATGGTTACGTAAAATTGAACTAACGTCATTGGAGCTGATCGAAAGATAGCTTCTGATGAATATTTCATCTCTTGCTGTGATTCTGATAGTCTTATCCGAGCCATTGTGATTTCTCAATCATGTATTAACAAACTATTTCGTACAAATCAGATAAAAGATATTTGCTGTGGTGACTCAATTGGACTACTTATATTGTAGAAAGCCAAAACTGATGTCAGTGAAGTCCTATGTCGTTGATGAAAAATTGTGCTGTCAAGTTTTAAAGTTTGATTTTTGTTCCGTTCTTTAATTAAAATTAGATCGATTCTCGCTTTAAGATCCTTATCACCAACAAAGGTAAAGAATTAAACAAAACGTATTACGTATCATATTTGATAAAGTCGAACAGAACATTCAAAGAAACCACCTAGATCAATTTTTACTCGAGTATCAACAACACCTCAATACGAACACAATCATTGTAACATTACATGTCATATTCAATACCAACGTATCGCATATAGCCTAGTAGAAGAACCACAATTTTCATAATTCTCCATCATTTTATATTATCAACCACATTCATTTATGCTCTTTAAATGGTCTAATATTGCATTATTGTTTACACTACAGATCTATCTTGTATTTGGGTTCAAGGACGTGGAGTATATTGACGCAATTGAAAAATTAGATCAATTATCAAAGACTTATAAACGAAGTTACATTTATAATGCAGATAATATAGAAAATAACTTAATCATACCACCCTATAACTCAACTAATAAACAGTATAATCAAGAACTAACTAACGAAGTGCCCTTTGAATTGACTGATGTCATACTACCCATGCTCGAAAGGTCTTCATCAAAGAACAATTCAAACGCTTGTATAACACTCGCAGACTTGTATCTTTTTGGTAATTATTCATTTCCCACAGATTACGAGTTAGCAAAATCTTACTATGAAAAAGCAATATCGATTGAGCCAAATGGTCATGCATATTTCATGCTTGGATTTATATATTCAACAGGTTTATTTGGAGAATTCCCAGTAAACCAAGCAAAAGCAAATTTATACTATCATTTTGCAGCTGAAAATGGAGATATAAATGCATTGTTGGTATTAGCATTCAGACATTTAAAGGGTATTGAAGTTCCATTAAATTGTGAATTAGCATTACCATATTATTCGAAACTCGCAGAATTGGGCCATCATTGGATGAACAATACCCAAAATTCAAGAGACGTAGATTATAACATTCGCATATCAGATTTCAATGGTGGTCTTTTTGGTGAAAAATTAAGTGAATCTGTTTCATCAATTGAAATATCTTCAAAACTTTTTGCTGATTTGAAAACTCAATTTGAAGAAAATAGATTGAATTCGAATGAACATGAATATGCTTCTTTCTACTATAATGGTTTGGAAAATTTAAAAGGAGATTATTTCACCCCAAGAAATTTAACAAGAGCAAGATTGGAGTTTCAAAAATGTGTCAATTTAGGGGAAGAAATATATGGATCAAGAGATTATAAAAATATGGATAAAATGGATAGATTGTTTTTAAGTGCATGCCAAACTAGTTTGGCTCGATTATATTTAAGAGGACAGTCTGTCTCAAAAGATTCGATAATGGCTGAAAGATTACTAAATATGTCAATGAAAGTTCAAACGACTCTGGAAGCACTTAATGATCTTGCATATATACAAGAAAATGGATTGGTAAGACCAGCAAATAGATCAAAAGCTTTAGAGTACTATTTAGCTGCTGCTCAGAAAAGTTCAGCCGAAGGAACAAAAAACTTGGCAAAGTTGTTGATGAAGATTGATGCACCTGTTGATATTCATATTAGTGAAAATAAAATGGATATATATAGTTATATGAAGCAAGCAGCATATTTGGGAAATACTGAGGCATTGTATTATGTTGGGAATTTTTTGGAATCAGGATTAGCATCAATGGTTGATCCAGAAGACCCTGTCACATGTGCCAAAACAACAATGTATTATAGAGAATTTGTCAAAAGATTATCACAATTTTTCACACCTCATTTAAAATATGCATTTGATGAACTTGCTAGTGGAAATTACAAAAACGCTTTGGTTGGATACCTGATTGCTGCTGAACAAGGCTTTGAACATGCTCAAATCTCTGCTGCTTATTTACTTTTCCAATTGCAACCATTGTATTCAAGTAATAAAAAATTGAAAGAATTTTCCCCGCCACGTCTCGAAATCGCTGCACAATACCTTGATAGGGCTTCCAAACAATCTAATGTTGATGCTACTATTCTTTTGGGACATATATATTCCGGAGAAGATAAGAAAATTGAAATTACTCCTGATCATGAAAAGGCTTTTAATTATTTTAGAGTTGCTACCGATAGGCATTCATCGCATGGAGCTTACAAATTGGCTGAAATGTATGAATATGGATTTGGCTCAGCTAATAATACAACTGATTATTTCTTAGCTAAGCGATATTACGACTTGAGTTTACAATATAAGGAAAAGTTTGATTTTGATCGAAAAAGTTCACAAACTAAATCAGCTTATAGTAATGCACATATAAATTGGGCTTTGTTCAGATTAAGACTAAAGTATTTGTTTAACAAAAAATCATTTTTGAGTTCTTTTGATGAGCCAGTTGATCAAGGGTGGCTAAGTTCATTCAAAAAGATAGGGAAGGAGTCAAAAAGAGAAAAACAACAACAACAATTACAACAACAGCAACAGCAACTACACAAAGATTCTGTTTCACGAGCGGATTCTCATCACCAAGGAACTTCATATGATTTAAACTATATTGAAAATTACGATATTGGGGATTACTTGGTGATTTCATTAACTTTTGCTTTTTTTCTCATATTTTTCATACAAAATATATTACGACAAATTAGACGAATGAGAAATGGAGAAGCTCGACAGGGCCAGCATGAAAATGAGAATAATAATGGTAACAATAACAATAACAATAATGCTTTGCGAAATGGGTGGAATATAAATTGGAATGGATTTCAATTTGATATTAGAGGTGGTAATATGGAATTTCATTTCTTTGCACTTTAGAAAAAAAGATATGTGATGTATTACTTGTATATAGATGCATATAGTAATGAAGAAGGATCCGTTAATTTAATATCTCGTCCATAATATTTTTTAGCATAGGGTTCAGTTTCAAAGTTCCAGTAGATTTAACCTTTTTCTTGATTGGTGAGTTATTGACAGACTGTGGTATATCGTAAATATCATCCGCATTGCGAGGAAGTGAGTACAACCAGTTTTTCAGTTCTAAAAATTCAATAAATGTGTTCGTGATATCGGCGGAAGTTAAAGTAGATTTTGATCCAAGTATTATAAGTTTTGATTTTGCTCTTGTTACAGCAACATTAAGTCTTCTCCACTCTTTCATCAAATCTCCTGGATTTCTTTCCTCATTAGACCTGACTAATGATATAATGATACATTGTTTATCCCTACCTTGATACTGATCAGCAGTTAAAATCTCAAGATCGGTTTTAGATGACAAGTTTCTTTTCAAAAGTTCCAATTGTGATCTATAAAACGACATTACACCAATTTGAGATTCATCTATTCCTGCAGTGACCAAAGCCTTTACAGTTTGATGGATAAGTTTAGCCTCAATTGGATTTTGAATTGATTCACCAAATACAGTCTCTCTTGCTGGAATTGTATCGTGGTCCAAAAACAAAACTTTTTTGGTTTCATCAAAAATTAAATTGTCCATCCATTTGAATTGTTCAGGAACTTCCAGTTGTGAAATTTTTAACATTGCATTTGGATTTGGTATCTTTAAACTTTGTTTCGCTACTTCTTGAGATCCACACTTGAGTTTATTGTCATAAACTAGAACATTGGAAACTTGCATAATCTCTTCACACATTCTATATTGATCTGTCAATTCACATAATGCATTTGGGTGTGCCTCTGATAAAATTCTGAATAATGATCGTGATAATCCAGATTTCACTTCTGGATTAGGATGTAAGACTAAAGGAGGCAATTGATAATGATCTCCAACCAATACAAATTTTTTGGCTAAGCTTATAGGTCCCAAATTTATTGGTAAGGTTATTTGAGAAGCTTCATCCACAATACAATAGTCAAATTCATTTCTTAAATTAAAGCAATGGTCAGCAACTCCCAAACATGTAGTTGCCACAACGTTTGGGGTCGAGTACGTTTCAACATACTGAGTTTTTGACTTGATAGGCTCTTTGAAATCTGGAATGTAATCATGTAACGCTTTATTTACTCTCAGTGGATGACCAACCCTCAAAATTTTAACATTATCATTTTTAGCTATTTTATCAATGAGTTTCAAAAGGATGTTGTCAACCGCAGAATTGGTGTAGGATGAAATTAAAACCGTTTGACCTTGTGACACGATGGCTTTTATAATTTCAACAATCAAGGTTGTTTTACCAGTTCCTGGCATTCCCAAAATTAAAGCGTAATCATCAGCAGAAAAGACCTTCTTGATTGCATTGGACTGACAAGTATTGAAGTTAGTGGTACCAGCATACTTGAAGCTATCTTCGCTTGAAAATTGAGGCTCCTTCAAGTTCACAATCAAATTTTTTAATTTAGGAGGTGATCCAGTCAAAAACAAGTTCAAAATGTTGAATCTTGCTAAACCCAAACCATAAAACATTTCATCCTTATCTACTATAAATCTTTTTTCTCCATTAGCTCGAAAGTTAGGTTTTCCATGAATTAAACTTTCAATCATTTGATTGTTTTTCTTATTGAAATTTTTTAATTTTTGATCATGAGTCGTCAATCTTCTTTTTGTACTAATTACTATTTGCAGCTTCGATATTGCTTTGACAAAACCAGTGGTAACAGCAAAATGACCGTCTTGATCACTTATTATTACTCTATCATTGTATGTAAATTTTGAAGATAAGAAATTGAAACTTGGGCCAACTTGATCTTTTGCAAATGTATACAAAAATTGTCTAGCATTTGTTTTTTCACTTTTCACATTTCTATAATAAAATATCAGATTTTCATCCTCATTCGATTCGATTATTTTTAAATTATCAAAACACTTGCCTCTTTCTTGACGTAAATGAGATGGTACATTCCACAATTGTTTCAAACTTTTTCCCATCAATTCTTCTTCTTTTGCAATGAGAAAATCCCAATATTTGAAAAACTCTTTAAATTTTGGATCAGATAATCCAGCAGTTATAGTGCTGTATTCATCCTCTTCTATTCCTGAATTTTCCTTCGTACCATCTTCAACCAAATAATTTAAAGTCATACAACCAGATAAAATTTCACACCTTTCACAATCTGATTTTCTTATTAAATCAGGTAGGGAGACTCCTGATTTAAAATGTTCAGAAACTCGATTTCTCAAATTGATTAATGATCTTAAATCAGATATCCTTATGTTACATTTTTTTGTTAGCTCCTCCTTAGTATAAACAAGAATAAAAGAATTTATATCCATGTCATATCTGTCTTTAAATAACAAAGCATATAATGATGCTTGTGCACTGTGACTAATGTACTCCCTCCCAGTTTTGATCTCCATGGGAAAAAGATAGTTTCCTCTCGTTTTCAGATTCTTTAAAGCAGCTATAATTGTTGCGTCGATTTTCCCTTTCAATCCATATACAGGTGACCTAATTTCTTCTTCAATATCCAATATATCTTGAACCCCAAAACCGATTTTGTTATTTTCTAACCAATTTTCAATCATAGTATTTGCGTTTGGAGCTTTTTTGTAGTATTTGTTGAACCATGTATTTAGATATTCAAAATGCTTAGAAGCTTCAACTCTAGCGTCTTCAACGGTTTTCTCAATACTAAACAAACTGACCAAGTACTGATCAATTATATTATCAAAAACTTCATGCATAAACTCTAAAGACCAGGTCTCGGTGATCATACACTCTTGGAATATCAAATGAACCATTTCTCCAACTATAAGAGGTATGCTTGTTGTCCCTGGAAATTTATATCTCGATGTTATGACTGTTTTTCTGGAACAAGATAATTGTTGTGCTATTGTGGTGGCGGATAATATAATATCGGGATTCCAGATAAGTAAGTTATGGGTATCATCAATTAATCTAGGATGGTCTTTATCAGTTAAAATTATGTTCAAAATATCATTTTCTTTAAAGTTCAATTCACAATATTCCCCCCTAACTATGTACTTTGATTCCTCACCATTTGACTCTTGAACTGCTAGAACTAATTGTTTTTTGGTTTTCATATATAACTGCTCGGTGAATGATTTAATTTTACATCTTCGAAGCATGTCTCTGTCATATGCTAACGGACCAAATTCATCTTCTTTTATTGAGAATGCACGTCTTTCCGTCTGATCTGTTTCACTGTTTTTGAAAGATTTACTGAAAACCTTACCATTTGGTGCTTTAGTTACAGTTAATGAATCGATGACTTCCGGATCTATATCATCTGAAAACGGGTCCTCGGAGAACAAATTATTTGGTTCTGAATCAAGAATTTGAAGTTTCTTTGTATCATTTTGAAGTTGTATGTTTTGAGTAAGGATTTGTATTAGTTCGTCGTCATCATCCAAAAAAGGATCACTTGATTGTATCGAGTCATTGAAGCAATTGCCAGTTGGTGACAGTTGTAGGAGACATTCCTTATTAGAAACTTGCTGATTCGGTTCATCATGAGCAACAGAACCTTCTTTTTCACCACCTAGTTTGTTGATCCAACCATTCAATTTACCGTGAAATGAATCAGAAATTGACGGTCGTAGATTTTCAACTTCATTAGATTTTGTTCGTTTGAGACCCGGTGGACAGGAGGTTTGTTTACTAAAACTAAGATCTGAACAGCTTTTGAGTAGCTTGGGTGACCTTAAATACATGTTGTTGAAATCAGTGCCATAACGGGTCAATAATTCATTAGAAGAATCATCTTGTAGACTTGATTTAGATTGAGTTAAATTCTTCAAAGGCGATGAAAAGTTTTGAATGTTTGAATGCTTAAGCTGCACACCCTTATGGTTGTTTTGATTTTCAGGACTCTCCTTCCACCGTATCCCATCGAAACTATCATCAGAATTGTCTGTAACCACTTGAACGTGCTTCCGTTTCTTTTGTTTTGATTTGGGACTTGTCTTCTTGATTTCCTGAACTGGTTGAATATTTGATTTTAACGTATTTATATCCACTGGTTTTATGACGGCTTCATTTTTATTCAGTAGTTTGGTAGAAGTAGTAGACGTTAATTTATCAATCGGGAAAAAGAACTGCTTTTTTGGTCGTTTCAATGATTTTATTGATTCAGAATTTTTTTCCATTGTTTACGATGTGATCATTATGTTTAAAAGTAGGTGATATGAACTCGGTATGAAGTTGATGATTGTTTTTGACTTTGTTTACTTTTTAAAAGATGTTAGAAATTATAAGATTTTGATCTTTTAAAACGTGTAGCGCGTCAAAGTTTAAAAATTTAGGTCGATATAAGAACGAGGTAGAGAACACTTCTTTCTCAACCAACATATACATAGACATAACCAAGGCTAAAACCGACAACACTAGACTATACAGAACGCGCTCAATTTGGGTTATAATGAATCGCTCATGAACTTTGATTTTGTAAGTTCTCCATCACTACTAAAAATTTTATAGTGGTCTTTCACTGTCTACGAAGCTATTGATACAATATCCTATAATATAATATAAAACCTGAAAACAATTCATTTTCTGCTCAATTGTTTGTCGGTTTGATGCCATACTGTAGAAGATTTATCCTTATCTATTTACAAAAAGTAAGACCCTAAAAATTTGAAGTGAGGCATAGTCTTGTGTCTTGAGGGTGAGGATAAACCCAGAATATAATAAACTTAAATTGACAAACAAGAACGTTGAGTATAAAGGCCTTTGTTCAATCCAGCTTTTCAAATTTGGCTCAGTCTTCTAAAAATTTTTGATGAAAATTCTAAACCGACTTAATTGCTAAACTGATAAATTCCATCAAAGTTTAGTTCTGGTCACGTCTTAATTAATCACATGAGGAAACACTTCCCTGTCTAATGGCTAGAACAAACGTTCTTAATGGATTCCGTTGATAGATTGCATGTTGAGAAGTTGGTGTTTAATTTAATATCTATGAAGATCTAAATAGAGAAGAATAAAATAATTTATCTTTTTCTCATATTAAATTCTCATCTCATTTTAAAATTTTTCTGAATAAAGAAACAGATTAATTTTTCATTTAACTATCATCAACAACAGATCATTAATATTTCTCGTTTGATCATAATCAAAAACACTTTATTGTGAGGTCATAACCATATTGAACATCCATCAACAGTCAATTTATAAATTCTGTATATCATTTGTAGGTTTTTCATCACCATTTATATAAACCATCACATCAAAGTAATACAAAATGGCTTACGTTTTAACCGAAACAGCAGCCGGTTATGCTCTTTTGAAAGCATCAGATAAGAAAATCCACAAATCATCGTCATTGATTGAAGATTTAAACACATTGGAAAAAGTAACTGATCAATTTAAAATCCATAGATTTGAAAAATTTCAAAGTGCAGCAAATGCTTTAGAAGAAGCAAATGCTATAATTGAAGGTAAAGTATCTGAGAATTTAAAAAGATTCTTGGAAGATTCAAAGTCTGACAAAAAGTCAACTTTAATTGTTTCAGAAACTAAATTGGGAAATGCCATTAATAAATTAGGTTTAAATTTTCAAGTCGTATCAGATGCAGCCTCATTAGATTTACATAGAGCTATCAAAGAATTTTTACCAGAATTATTACCTGGATTGGATAATTCAGCATTAAATCAAATGTCATTAGGTTTAGCCCATTCTTTAGGTCGTCATAAATTAAAATTTTCAGCTGATAAAGTTGACACTATGATTATTCAAGCAATTGCATTATTGGACGATTTAGATAAAGAATTAAATACATATGCAATGAGATGTAAAGAGTGGTATGGATGGCATTTTCCAGAATTGGCTAAAATTGTCGTCGACTCAGTAGCATACGCTAGAATTATTTTAACAATGGGTGTAAGATCAAATGCAGCAGAAATTGAATTATCAGAAATTTTACCAGAAGAAATTGAAGAACAAGTTAAAACTGCAGCTGAAGTTTCCATGGGTACAGAAATCACAGAAGATGATTTAAATAACATTAAAGCATTAGCTGAACAAATTGTTGACCTCGCAGCTTACAGAGAACAATTATCAAATTATTTAAGTTCGAGAATGAGAGCCATTGCTCCAAATTTGACTGTTATGGTAGGGGAATTAGTTGGAGCTAGATTCATAGCACATGCCGGTTCATTACTTTCTTTAGCCAAAGCACCAGCATCAACCATACAAATCTTAGGAGCTGAAAAGGCTTTATTCAGAGCCTTGAAAACTAAACATGACACACCAAAATATGGTATAATATATCATGCATCAATAGTAGGACAAGCAACAGGTAAAAATAAAGGAAGAATTGCAAGAGTATTAGCTGCAAAAGCAGCCATTTCAGTAAGATACGATTGTTTTGATGAAGAAAGAGATGATTCGGATGATTTTGGATTAGAAAATAGAGCTAAAGTTGAGGGAAGATTAAGTCAATTAGAAGGAAGAGACTTGAGAACAACATCAAAAGTAAGTAGACAACAACCTAAAATAGATATAACAGAAGCTAGAGCATATAATGCAGATGCAGATGCACCAGTAGCTGCAACTGTTGATTCAGATGATGAAGAATCTGAAACTGAAGAAGTTGAAGAAAAACCAGAGAAAAAATCCAAAGATAAAAAAGAGAAGAAAGATAAAAAGAGTAAAAAAGATAAGAAAGATAAAAAAGAAAAGAAAGATAAAAAGGATAAGAAAAGGAAAAGAGATGATGATGATGTTGAAGAAGAAAAATCAAAGAAAAAAGATAAAAAATCAAAAAAGTCAAAGAAGGATTAAAATTAAGGGGGTTTATCATGAGGTTTGTACATTATTAATAAAATTTAAAAAAGGAAATAGGTATTGATAGCGATTTGATCTCTTTTAGTCTAAATCTTGAATATCAACATCTTGATCTGATTGACTTTGATTGTTTGTCGTTTCATGATCAGAGTGATTTTGATTGCTTGTCGTTTCAAGATTTGTTGAAGGTTGTGTAGTACTTGGGTTCGTTTGAGCGCCTGAAGGCTGGTTTTGGCTCTGGCTTCGATTGTGGTTGATGTTTTGATTAGCATTTTGATTCGGATTTTGTGACACATCCACTCCATTGACAAATACAGCAGTAGTAGAACCACCTCCTGAATTCCTAATACGATCAAAAGTATTTGAAAAAGTTGGACCTAATACATTTCCTAAACCTTGGAGGATTGCTTCCGGTATCATACTCGTAATATTGGTAGGTTCATTGGGTAGATTTTGACGTTGATTTGGATTTGGATTTGGATTTTGTTGAGTTTCAGTTGTACGTGAGTTGTTTGATCCTCCTGTTTCGTCTTGTGATGTCCTGTTAGGTCCAATATTTGTTGAATTATTATTATTGGAACTGGTACCTTCGTTACCTCTATTGTCAAAAGCATATCTATTAATAAATTCTCTTATATCATCTATCGGATTTCCATTACCATCAGTACCAGTGACAACATTAGTTCTGGATTCATTCTCAGTATTAGTATTTGCTGTGACATCTACTGTAGTTGTTGCTGTTGTGGCTCTGGGAGCATCATTCGTATGGGGAATAGTATCTATTTGTGTTATTGTAGCTGTTTCCATACCATTTCGAGCCAACATATTCTGACTAACTTCAGGAGTTAATATATTAGGTCTACTTGCATTAGCTCTTTCTGAAAGATTCCTCAAGGTAGAATCTCGATAAACTGGCAAATATGTAAAATAATCTCTATCTCCTTCAGGACAATTTGCTCTTAAATGAGCTAAAATTTTTCGAACTTCACTGACAATGGTTTTAATCTTGAGCTCATTAACTCTTTGCTGATAAGCTCTTTTTTCTGTTAAGGCAATTGCTGCACTCAATCTTTCAATGAATTGTGGTAAAACAGTTTGTTGTGTCACTTCCCTATATTCATCAGCTGTTTTAGTATCATGACTTGGGAATTTTGGAGGAAGTATATATCCCGTTGCACATTTAAGAGCAATCAAATAACATTGTAATGCCATTAAACCACTGCCCATATACAAATGACAATAACCCAATTGAGTCCATGCAGGTGTAAAAGCTTTATTGACTAAAATTGCCGCATTTAAATCATCGATAGCTTCTGGAACACAATTAAGCCCTATAAATGCAATTGCTCTATTCGTGAGTATTTGAGCATCTTCCTCAGTATAATTTTCTGGAGTAACAGTTAAAGCTTCAGTGTATACCTTTATAGCTTGACCGAAAGATTGAAATGACATCAAGTTATTTCCTTTTTCTCTCAATTCATTAAATTTTTGAGAATTTAGTATTTTTTCTTTGTTGTGCAGACCCGATATTAATGATTGTATAGTGGTTAAAAATGTTGAGTTGAAATTTTTTACAAATGATAATAACGGTATTTCTCCTTCATACCCATTTCTTAATATTTTGCTAACCGCGACAAAAGAATCATGAAAATCCCCATTTATGAGACCTGCAATTCGATCAATGTAATTTGAGCAATATAATGCAATGTTTAAATTTGGGCTGTTGTTGATTAATTGAAGCTCAGGATATTTTTCTAAAATTAAATTGAACATTCGGAATACTTTAAAATAAACTCGATCCCATTCAGGTGTATCTGATTCTAACTCCTTATTTCGTAATACTTTTGCAATTAAATCTGCTGTTTGAACGTTTGGGAATTCAAATGAGTTTATATTCTCTCCAGTTAATATACTTCCTATCTTTTTTACTGTTGCATTGATTACCCATCTATCTAACATTAACGTGAGATGATTTTCTCCTGTATCAGAATTAATAATGAGGCCAACATTATTTAATTGTTGAATAACTTGACTTAATGATGAGTTTACAAATGCTGGATCGTGTGATCCAATTGAAATAAGACTAGATCCTTCTTTCAAATCTTGTTGAAAGTATATCAAGTATTGCCTGAAACCATGCCTTAGAAAATACAGGATCACATGCACGTCGATTCCCAAACTTTCCACATCAGACATGATTCTTATTGATATTTGGTGTTGATTATATTGGTTGTAAATAAAAATAAGCACGCTATATCAAAAAATCGTTTGGTAATTTTTTTTTTCCCATTCTTGATTTATAATTGTTTCACATTTAATGATATCGTAAATAATAACTTAGAATAGACGAAGAGTTTACATTATTACCAGAGACTAAAGAGCTGCTGTATCAAACATTACGTATCTATCTATTTAGAGAGATTAACTGCAGCAGCGGCAGCAGCTGCAAAGTGGTTTGGTTGATTGATTTTTGGAGATGTTATAGATTTATTTGATTTATTATCGCTTGACAGTTTTCTTTTAGATTGTCGCTTTGAATTGTTATTAATACCAGGTGATGATGACGAGGATTTTCGTTGTGTATTCAGATCTGTATTTGAAGCTCGTTGTGCTGCAACTGTTGAGGAAGTATCACGAGCGATTAATAAGCAATCAATCCATCCATGAGCTGACCCGATGAATACTTCCCTATTCGATTTATCTACTACTTTTATGATATTTGAAAGTTTGTTTCTTGATTCATTATTTATTTGTTCAAGGAAGATTAAATCTCCACCATCTTTCACTAACTCAATGATTAAATATCCTGAAACATCATCAGACTTGTCTTGTTCTTCGTCTTCATCATCAGATTCAAATTCGTAATCATACATCAAACAATCAGCACCTTTGTTAGCCTTCAAGTCGACCATCATAACTTCTAATGATGATTCAACAAAAAATAATCTTGCCATATTTGTAACAATTGCTAAGACTAATTTCTTATCTTGATCCAATGTATTTTTGTTCTCTGTGATAATTTGTTCCAATATTGAATCATCTAATATATCATATTTTGTATTTAAACTTCTTTTCCTCAAATTTACCTTATGAAGTAAATCCATTTTCAATATTTTCTCATTAGGGTTGAGTAATGAAGTGATTTCTCGGAAATTAAGTATAGTAGTTTTGTGTTTTTGTTTTGATTTAATTGTTTTCACATTGGATGATGAGTTAGTTTTGATAGGTATAGGGACCGTTGGTGGAGTTGGTGAAGTTTTCTGTTTTTGTCGTTGACTTGCAAAAGCAGCAGCCGCAGCAGCATTTGAGGCCACAGAATCTTGTTGTTCTGGTTGTTCTAATTTTGGGCTAGTATGAGGGGATTGACTTTTCCTTGGTGGTTTGAAATAAGATGAAACTGGTGGTGATTGAGTATATGATGGTTGAGACAGTAATGCAGGTTTTACATTTGAAGCTGGTTGAGTGGGTTGAGATGTCGGGGGTTGGGACGAAGATGGGGTAGTTGCTGCGCTTTGAAATGCTGTATTAGTCCTTATATTGTGTAAATTTGGTGATTGATTATTAATCTGTTGGGAATTTGGATCTGAAGAAGGTTGTGATCCCATGACTCTATTTACAGAGCCATTAGTGCTATTGCTGTTGTTGTAGTAAACACTATTATTATTGTTTACACCATTATTACCAAACTTGTTGCTGTTGTTACTATTATTATTGTTGTTGTTGTTGTTGATGTTGTTAATGTTACTATTATTATTGTTGTTGTTGTTGTTGATGTTGTTAATGTTGTTATTATTGTTATTATTGTTGCTGTTCGACTTAGTATTTATTACATTTGCGTTGTTGTAATTCATATTGTTGTTAATTCCAATGCTACCGTTATTGCTGTTGAATTGTTGTTGTTGTTGTCGATAGAATGCTGGTTGCCGCACTGGATTAGGCAATACTGAGTGTTGTATATTTTGTTTTTGAATTGGCAGTGTATTTTGTTGAAAATTATTTGACATATTTATATCATTAATTTTAGTTGGAGAAGTATTTTTTCTTATAATAGTAGGAGGTTTATAAGATTTTTTTGTTGTAACAGAAGGTAAAAATCCAAAATCTGAATTTTGAATTTGATTTTGTAATTGTTGATATGAATTTGATTTATTTATATTTCTATTTGAACCATTTTTAAAAGTTACTGGAGCATGTTGAATTGAACCATTTGAATTATAACTTTCAAATTTAGGTGCTTTTCTATGCCAAATATAACGTTCGTCTCTCCAATCAACATCTCTGAACCAATTAGAAGACATTATTTCTGGTATTGTTAATCTTTGACTTGGTTCTGATACTAATATTTTCTCTATCAATATTATTACATCATTTGGTAATGGTTTTGGTGATATATGAGTATAATCAACATCTATAATTTTTTGAAAAGTAAGATATTCTGTATTTCCTTTAAAAGGAGGAGAACCATTGAAAAATTGATATAATATACATCCAATTGCCCAAATATCAGCTTCAAATCCACAAATATTTTCTTTTAATAATTCAGGTGATACATATTCAGCAGTTCCAACAAATGAACCTAATCTATCTTTCATATTTGAAGTATTAATTTCATCATCATTTTTATCATAAGAAGTATAATCAATTTTTTCTCCATATTCATCATTTTCTCCTAATAATTTTGCAGCTCCAAAATCAGTAATTTTTATACTTAAATCTTGTCCAACTAAAATATTTTCAGGTTTTAAATCCCTATGAATAACTCCTTTCAGATGAATAAATTTAACTGCATCAATTATTTGACATATATAAAATTTTGAAACTTGTTCAGATAATGAACCAAATTTTCTAATAATTGATAATAATTCTCCATATTCTGCAAAATCTAATACAAAGAATAAACTTGATTCATCTTGAAATGTATAATATAATTGAACTATTCCTGGATGTTGTTGACCTAATCTATGTAATGTTGTTTTTTCTATATTAACATATTTAATTTTATTTTCTTTTACTATATGTTTTTTAGAAAGTACTTTTATTGCATAAGTTTTATTTAATTGTTTATCAATTGCTGAATATACACTTGAATAAGATCCTTCACCTATTTTTGCACCAAATTGATAATCTCTTGCAGACTTTCGTTTTATAATAGGTGGGTTTTGAGGATGCAGAGAATGCTGGTGTTGTTGTTGATGCTGTTGTTGTTGTTGTTGTTGATGCTGTTGTTGTTGTTGTTGTTGATGCTGTTGTTGTTGTTGTTGTTGATGCTGTTGTTGTTGTTGTTGTTGATGCTGTTGTTGTTGTTGTTGTTGATGCTGTTGTTGTTGTTGTTGTTGATGCTGTTGTTGTTGTTGATGCTGTTGCGGTTGTTGGGGCAGCTGTTGTTGTTGTAAGTAATTATTATTTTGTATATTAGATTGAGCTAATTGTGAGGATAGTTGATTGATTGATCTATTATTCGTAGAAATTGATGAATGATTGGGTATGATGGACATTATCTATTTATTTCATTTGTTGATACACCCAATTACACTGTATATGATCTTAAAATTGAATAGCAATTGAGTAGGACAGTAGAATAGTTGGTGAAGGATGTAATTGAATAAACCGGTATTTTAAGTTTCTTGTTTAGATCGAGATTTCTATGTGTTGTAAAAATTAATTTCTATTACATGTGTGTCGTAAATCTAAATTTTTATAGTACACTAAGAGACCATTAATATCTTAGCAGCACCGTAACAGTTCCACAAGAGCCTAGTTAAATGTGTTGTAGAACGTAAGAAAATAGTCCCCAATTAAATGAAGATAACAATAAGAGGACTACTACGGTATGATTTAAAATCAATAACCCAAACTAGAAATTTTACCAAATCATCATACCATAGACTCACATATGAACCATCACATTTAACAAAAATATTTGATAATCAAAAATACTTTAATAAATTTATAAATGAAAATTCAAAAACAAGTTTATCTCCCTTTTCTTTTAAGAATACATCACAACAAACTGGATTATTTAAAAATGAATTATTATCAAATCCATCGGGATTAATTGAATTTTCTAAAATTTCATTAAATGAAGCAAAAGAATTAGTTGAGGATATGAGTAATGGAGAAAAAAATGAAAAGAATCAATTAAATTATATTAAAAAATTAGATCAATTATCAGATATTTTATGTAGAGTTATAGATGTTGCAGAATTTATAAGAGTTGTTCACCCTAGTAATAAATGGATTAATGCAGCTCAACAAACTCATGAATTAGTATTTGAATATATGAATCAATTAAATACAAATGTTGAATTATATAATAATTTAATTGAAGTTTTAAATTCTCAAAATTTAATTACAAAATTGAGTGATGAAGAAATTAAAGTTGGAGAATATTTAAAACAAGATTTTGAAAGATCTGGAATTCATATGGATCCTCAAACAAGAGAAAATTTTGTTGCTATAACTCAAGAAATTTCATTATTAGGATCTCATTTTAATAAAGAAATGAATAATTTAGATTCTTATTGGTGTGAAATAACAAAAGAAGAATTTGATAGTATAGAAGATAAAATGATAAAAGAAGAAATTTTACAATATCAATCAAAATATAGTCATACAAAAACTCCAAATTCTTATTATATACCATTAATTCCTAATTTACCATTTTCAATATTAACAAATTGTAAATCAGATTCAATTAGAAAAAAAATTTGGATTTCATTACATAATTCATCAAAAGAACAAATTGAAATATTAAATAAATTTATATCTTATAGAGCATTATTATCAAAAATGTTAGGTTATGAATCTTATTCTCATTATCAATTAGAACATAAAATGGCAAAATCTCCAAAAAATGTTATGTCATTTTTAAATAATTTACAAAAATCTTTAAAAAATAAAATTGTAAATGAAGAATTACTTGATTTGAGTAAAATAAAAAATGAAAATTTAAATTCAAAATCAAATAATAAACTTAATGAAGATGAAATTATAAATAATTTAAAACCATGGGATAGAGATTATTTAATTAATAAAATTCAATCACAAAATCAACAAGATCCTGAATTACAATTTAAAATATCTGAATATTTTTCAATTGGAACAGTTATAGAAGGATTAAATCAATTATTTTTAAAATTATATAATATAAGTTTAATACCTGAAAAAACTTTAAATGGAGAAGTTTGGGATAATTTAAATGTTAGAAAATTAAAAGTCATGGATAATGAAAAAAATCAAATATTAGGATATTTATATCTTGATTTTTGGTCAAATAAAGTTTTACCATCTCATTTTACAATAGTTTGTTCAAGAAGAATTAATAAATGGGAAAATATTGATGATTATAATTCAAAAGTTCAAATTGATTTAAAAGAAAATTATCAATTACCTATAATTTCATTAGTTTGTAATTTTAACTTACCTAGTGGAAATAAACCAACTTTGTTAACTTTAGATCAAGTTGATACTATATTTCATGAAATGGGTCATGCAATGCATTCAATGATTGGTAGAACTGAATTACATAATTTATCAGGTACAAGATGTGCAACTGATTTTGTTGAAATTCCTTCTGTTTTAATGGAATCTTTTAGTAAAGATTTAAGAGTCTTAAGCAGAATAAGTAAACATTATAAAACTGGAGAATCAATTCCAATAGAACTTTTAGAAAATGCATTTAAAAATAAAAATTATTTACAATCTTGTGAAACTTATATGCAAAGTAAAATGGCAACACTAGATCAATTTTTACATAATGAAAATATAGTAAAACAATTACAAAAAAATGAATCAATTAATTCAACTAAAATTTATCATGAAATTGAATCAAATCTAAAAATTTTTAAAGATATTTATTCAACATGGCATGGAAAATTTCCTCATTTATTTTCTTATGGTTCTGTATATTACTCTTATTTATTAGATAGAGCTATAGCAGAAAAATTATGGAAAAATTTATTTGCCCAAGATCCATTTAATTCAAATTCTGGTTTAAAATATAAAAATGATATTTTAAAATGGGGTGGTACAAAAGATCCTTGGTTGTGTTTAAGTGATGCTTTAAATATAAAAGAATTATCCAAGGGAGATCTGAATGCTATGGAAATAATTGGGAAAGATTTAACTTTATAGACCTTAGACTACATAAGTATAGTGTAGACTAATTTAACTTGTAAATACGAATATAAACTATTTATTGCATAACTATCAAGTTTTTTTCATTTATTTTTGGCGGTTCATACTACTTTTGGCCTTAAATTTTTGTCAAAGAATAGCCGTTATTGATCCGACAGATTAGAATCGTTTACAATTGGGAACAACAAAAAAACTCGGATAATTTGAAACAACTCAATAAATATGAGACATTACTTTACATTGATGCTCTAAAATACCTTATGAGACATATTATTTTTGAAGGCAAAATTCGTTTAAAGGCAATATGAAGATAATGAAGTAACGGCATACAAAGGTCAAAAATTACAAACCCACCCTATATTTCATTCCCATCGTGACACAAAATTCGCTAAAATAAAAATATGTCAAAAATGCCCTTCGCTAAACTTTAATTATAAAACTTCAGTCTATAGAACGAAAAATTTTTATTCAAAGAATTGCAATGTAACCACAAACAATATTAGGAAAAAAGGCTTTTCGTCCTTTGAAAAAGTCCGTAAGGAATCAGCCGGTTTGCCGTAAGATTTTTATTGAACGGTATTACTCCAAAGCGGAATTCTTTTCTGTTTCAAGTATGAGTCAAGTGCCCGTTGAAAGTTTAAAAGAGGAGTTATCATCATCACCCACAGAAAAAGAAAAAGAAAGCTTACTAACCCTCTTTGTTAAATAGTTGAACAAAACGCGCTAAAAGCTTAGGACCAAACTCACTTTAAAATTGGAGAAGAGCTGAATGATTCTTTTACCGAAGGTACTTTTTTTCGTACATTTATTTTCCCTTACTCTTTGCCTTTTTTTTTATTCATTCCACTGATGGTTGATATAAGGTCTCTATAGTATTTCTTAATGAAGCGTTACATTCATTCAATTGTAAGCTGTAGGTCATTCTTAGTTTTACCATTTGTAACTTCTTTTACTTTTCTCTAGATGTTAATACTAAGCGAAATTTTTTTAGTTTAGTGTTTCAAATTTATTTATAAAACAAAAAAAGAAAGAAACACCAAGAAATAAGGAAAAATAAAAATAAAACTAAGGAACCAACCCTTCATCATCTGTTTTCAAGCAAATTAGAAGCATATCAGTAGAAATGAACGTTTTCTGCACAATACTATGGTCTGTCTTATCATTCCTCCACCCAATCTTATCTTTCTGTATTTGATTTACCTGATCAAAAAAATGAATAAAATTGCTGCAATTTGCTTCTATTAGTGTTTTTGTGTAAAAAGAAAGACCAAAAAATAATTATGAGCAAAATTAAATAAGCCATTAAATATTTAACAATAAATAACTCTTCTTATCATTGACCACTTACAGTTTTTTATTTTATAAGTGAGATCTATTACGTGATGGCACTACTATGAATGTGAATATCTTACTACTAACCCCCTTTAATTATATAACTCAACTCATCATCCCAAATTTAAACTTTTCAAAAATTAATCCGAAATAAAAAAAAGAAACGTAAAATTTCTTAAATTTTTTTTCTTTTTAATTTTTTTTTGCAATCTTTAGAATTGAAAATATATACGTGCAAAATAATAGAACTTAACTCCATTTTACAATCTAATGTAATGAAGGTTATCGTAATTTATAATCAAATTGATTAGTTAAACAATAGTAATATATCTTTTAACTATCTTCCTTTCTTAGATCAAAAATTTAAATTATCAAAACTTTTATACAACCCTTTTTCTTTTCATACAAACTTTTCCCATTTCAATTTCAAAAAAAAAAAGACACTTTCTTGTTTTCAACTAAAAAATAAAAGAATCTCAAATTCACTCACAAGATCTTAAGGAGAAATTGGTCATTCAATATCTGAATTATTACTATCTTAAAAGGATTAGAACTACTGATAAGATCGCTTTAAGATTCCAGGAGCTTTTTTTTAATATTCACACGATATAAGATAACATACTAAACTATCAATTATCCATTGAAATCTAGATCAAATTGAGTCTTGATTATATATATTCAATCAAATTGAGAATTATTCCAAATTCTTTATATTCCTTTCAAATTATTCAATCCAATTCATAAATTAAAAATTATGGTGTTTTCAAAAGAAAAAGAAAAATCATCATCTATAACCTCACCTGAAGTTAAACCAGAAGATTTTGGAAGTTTTAATGATTCAGATGTTTCACCTTATATTGCATCAGATGATTCTTCAGATATTAATAAATCTAAATTTAAAAAATTTACTGATACATTTCGTAGAAATCAAGTTGATGAATCTGAAAAACATTTAATTGGTAAACAATTAGAAAAAGGTATTAGTATAAGACATTTAATTCTTATGGCTTTAGTTACTGGTATAGGTACTGGTTTATTAGTTGGTACTGGTCAAGTATTACATAATAGTGGTCCATTATTTTTAATTGTTGGATTTGCTATAGTTGGTTCTTATTTATATCCTACTTTACAAGCAGCAGGAGAAATGGCTGTAAATTATAGTGAATTATCAGGAGGTTATAATAATTATCCAAGAAGATTTATTGATGATTCTGTTGCTTTTGCAATAACTTGGAATTATTGTATACAATGGTTATCAGTTATATCTATTGAATTAGTTACTGCTGCAATGACTATTGGTTATTGGAATACAAGTATTAATGCTGATGTTTGGGTAACTATATTTTATGTTGTTATATTAGTTATAAATTTTATTGGTTCATCAGGTTATGGAGAAGCTGAATTTATTATTGGAAGTTGTAAAGTTATGATGATAACTGGATTTATAATAATGGGTATAGTTGTAAATGTTGGAGGTGGTCCTGAAGGAGAATATATTGGTGGTAGATATTGGCATGATCCAGGTTATTATACTAACTTCAAGGGGTTATGTTCAGTATTTGTAACTGGTTCTTTTGCTTTAGGTCAATCTGAATTTGTTGCTTTAAGTGCAAGTGAACAACCAAATCCAAGAAAGGCTATTCCAATTGCAACAAAATTAGTTCTTTATCGTATTATTGTTTTAATGATTGCAAGTTTAACTATTGTTGGTTTATTAGTTCCTTATACTTCAGATAGATTAATGGGTTCAAGTGGTGGTGGTTCTCATGCTTCTCCATTTGTATTAGCTGCTGCTTTACATGGTGTTAAAGCAGTTCCTTCAATTATTAATGCTGTTATATTAATGTCTGTTACTTCAGTTGCTTCATCTGCTTTATATTCTTCTTCAAGAACTTTACAATCATTATCAGAACAAGGATTTGCTCCATCATGGTTTAATTATATTGATAGACGTGGTAGACCATTACGTGCATTAGTAGTATGTTCAATTATTGGTTTATTTTCATATATTGCTGCTTATGATAAACAAGAAACTGTTTTTGATTGGTTATTAGCAATATCTGGATTATCACAAATTTTTACTTGGAGTGGTATTTGTATATCTCATGTTAGATTTAGAGCTGCTTTAAAATATAATCATATATCAACTGATGCATTAGGTTATAAATCAAAAACTGGAGTATGGGGATCTTATTATGCAATTATATGGTATTGTTTAGTATTAATAGCACAATTTTGGATTGCTTTATATCCAAAAGGTGAAGGTAAACCAGATGCTGAAGCATTTTTTCAAAATTATTTAGGAGCAATTGTATTAATATTATTTTATGTTTGTCATAAATTATATACAAGAAATTGGAGATTATATATTCCTTTAAAAGATATTGATATAAATTTAGATCGTACAATATTTGATGAAGAAATTTTAAATATTGAAAAAGAAGAAGAAAAAGAAAAATGGAAAAGATCACCTTGGTGGAAAAAAATTTTAAAATTTATGTTTTATTAATGTTGAATTAGTTAAGTTGGAGTTGTTCAACTTCATTCAACTGAAAATAGATTTTTATGAAAGATGAATGATATTGCATAATTTTATGATGATGAGGAAATGTTTTGATGATTTTAATGACCCCCGCCACGATTTAGATTTATTGATGTACGAATTTAAGTTTAGGATTATATAATGATGTATACTAGCAATAAATTATTTATTATATTAGTCGAATTAGACTTGGATTGAATTGGATTTATTTCTCTACGAAATCTCGCGATATGTTGAAACGATTTTATGAATCTGAAACATGAAAAAAAAAGTTATTTCTTCAGCCTGCAACTAGATCTACGAATGTTAAAAAGCACAAATAAGCTAATACTACTACGATATGCTAGTACTGGTACAAAGAATTCATCAACTCTACTAAGAGCTCAATTGGATCTTAATGATATAACAAATCGACCAGAAGAGTATAAAAATTCAATCAAGCGAAGACAATTACCAAATTCATTAATACAAGATATAGATTTCATCACCACAAACCGACCTATACAATCCCAAACTTATACCAAAATTAATGCTCTAAAGAGGGAAAGAAATGAATTAGCCGAACAAATTAAGAGTCGAAGTCACAATGCCGATGCCATTAAGAACAGGTTGAAAGAAATTAAAAATGAAATTAAACCAATGGAGAAATATGTTAAGGATCTACAAGAAGAAATATACAGTAAAGCTGAATCATTACCTAATCTTATAGATGATTCAGTACCTGAATCTGATGTACAAGAAGACATCGTTTCATACATAAATACAACTCCTGAGGAAGCTTCAACATTTAATGAAAATGATTCAATTAGAGATCATAAATCAATTGGTGAAAGATTTGGAATACTAGATTTTACAATTGCTTCACGTATATCTGGACCATCTTGGTATTATTTAATAGGCGATGGGGCATTATTAGAGCAAGCATTGATTCAGTATGGATTATCGAAAGCCCGTTCGAATGGATATAACATGATAACTCCACCAACAATCGTAAAATCAGAAATAATTCATGCATGTGGATTTAAACCAAATGATCAAAATAATGAAAAACAAGTATATCAAATTGAAAATGAACCAAGATCATTAATTGGAACTGCTGAAATTCCATTAGGAGCATATCATTCTTCAACTATTTTCCCATCAAATACGATTTTTCCTAAAAAATATGTTGGAATATCAAGATCATATAGAGCAGAAGCAGGAGCAAGTGGGAAAGATACTAAAGGGTTATATAGAGTTCATGAATTTAATAAAATTGAATTATTTCATTTTACAAAAATTAATCAATCCCAAAAGGAATTAGAAAATATAAAAAATTTTCAAATTGAAATAATAAACGAATTAGGGTTAAAAGCAAAAGTTTTAAATATGCCAACATCAGATTTAGGTTCACCAGCAATGAAAAAATATGATATTGAAGCTTGGATGCCAGGAAGAGGATTATGGGGTGAATTAACTAGTTGTTCAAATTGTGGAGATTATCAATCAAGAAGATTAGGTATAAGATTTAGTACAGGAAATGATGGTGAGAATAGTGGTGTTAATAATGATAAAATTGAACATATTGCTACATTAAATGGAACTTGTATGGCAATTCCAAGAGTTATAGTTGCAATAATTGAACAATTTTATGATCCTGAATTAGATGTTATAAAAATTCCAAAAGTTTTAAGACCATATATGGATGGGAAAGATGTGATTAAAAAACAAAATTAGAATCTTTGTGAATCATTTGTAGATAAACTTGTATATATTTTAAATAAAAGCATTACGTTATATTGTCATTATTGTTGTTATCATTATCTTTTTCATCGTCTGAATTATTTGTGAACCTTACAGGTGTACTTACAACTCTTTGCCTATTATTCATTATTAAATTTTGTTGTTTCTCTTCAATCTTTTCTAAATTTGATTTATGAAATTTCTTTAAATTATTAATTTGATTCATAGGTTGATTTATAATTTGAATTTCATTAATTTCATTTGATAAATTTTCAAATTTTTGTTGTAAATTTATAAATTGATTAAATTTTTCATTATATTTATTTGATAGTAGATTATATTTTTGTTCTAATGTTTGTATTTTATTTTCTATTGATGATAATTCTTGTTGTTTATTGGTGATGTTTAAATTTAATTTATTGTCAATTGAAAAATTCTCTAGTAGTTGTTCAATCTTTTGGATATTTCCCGTTGATTTCAGTTCATGCTTCAATTCGTTAATTTGATCCAGCATCCTGTCAAGTTTGATATCATTGCTTTTGGACATTTTATCTAAATCAATCCGTATTTGATCAGATATCTTATTTTGATTATCTTTTAAGTAATTATATAATTTTTCAACTTCCATTTTTGTTTCCATATCATTAAAATCTCTTTCTTCTAGAAAGGATCGTATTTCATCTTTAATCTTATTAATATTAAAATCATTTTTATTTTCCTTCTGTCTCAATTGTATATCTTCCAATTTTTTCAATACCAAACTCATATCAGATTTGGTTGCATTTCCTTCCGTTATAACTTCATTAGAATAGTCAACTATATTTTTTAATAATTTATTTAAATTTTCATTATTACTCTTAGATCTAACATAAAGTTGTTCTAAATCAACATTTGTTTGAGCAGTTGATGTTTCAACTCTATATAATTGTTGTTGAATTTCTGAATTTGTTTCATGAATTAATTGAAAATGTTTATCTATGTTATCATTAGTTGGTGATTTATTTGTTTCTAGTGATATATTCGTGTTTACGGGTTTTAATGGCATATTGAAGTCCGTAGTGGCTTCATTTGTTGGATTTAAGTTCTCCTTATTCATTGGTGTTTGATCTCAAAGAACTTCGTGTGGTTCGGTTTGTTTACATTTTTGAAATTTATTTACAGTTTCGTTTTGTGTAAGGTTTATTTTGAAGCGCGTGTAGATAAATTTTCACGCATTTCCTATGTCTATATGAAAAAGAAGCTAGGGAGTTACAAGAGTTTAATGTAAGTATCATTACGTTCATAAAATTAATTTCATTATTATCATTCTATCTATTTTGATAAGATCAGATAATATTTCATTATTGAGCATCTGTTAGAAACCAAACTTACTTTGTAAAGCAGATGAATAAAATGATTTTTTTTGATCTTCATAACCTTCATTAAATGTTTGACTTGCTGAATTTGCGTATTCATGAAATGTTTCTTCTGCTGTTTGTAAACCATTTTGTAGACTTCTCATAAATCCTTGGGCTCCAAAAGCAGTAGCACCTTGGTTAGCTCCTTTACGTACTGGTTGTTCATATGAATTCTCGGTTTTGGGTTGTTTTGGATTATATCCTCCATAATTAGCTTGAGGATTTGCTTCAGGTGATATATTATGTGCTAATGTTGATTCTTCATTTTTGGGTTGTTTTCTATTTGGTCCAGCTATCAACATTGTTAAATCTTCTACAGATACATAATTGATTTGACCTTTAGCCCATGATAAAGCACTAGCTTGTGGTCTTGGTGGAATAATAGCTGTTGGATTAAACAATTTATCTGTGTCGATATCTCCTTTTTTACGTGTTCTTTCAAATGCAGCCATAAAAACTGATTCCGTTTGAGATAATCTTATATACATTTCTCCTGAAGATAATAAGTTTGATTGATTTGCAGTTCCTGATTCTAGTGATTCTTTAATTTGATTGAAAGCCTCTTTTGGTAATTTTATATTTGCTATGTCTTGCAATGCAGGTAATGAGATTAATTTGATAAATCCTGTTTTGACTAGTACCGCTAGCACAACACCTTTATCTTTATATTGCACAACACTAGCCTTCAAACATACATCATCAATAACTTTATGTGATAATTTTGTTTTCGGAGTTTTGATAACTCTTAAGTCTCTATCCGATACAGTGATTATAAATCCTGGAATAGCAACTCCACTACCTAATTGTGAAAATCTTTTCGGATCAGCCACAGCGGACATTCCATATTGAGAATCAATTGGAATTAATTGCAGCAATTTCGAAGCTTCTGCATCACCACCATCGGCAGTTCTATAGTTTAAGTGAGCAGTCTTATCTACGAAATCAACTTGAAATCCACCATTACCCATTGGAGTGATCTTATAATATATTAAACTACCACCACAATTTGTACCAACTATCAAAATTAATGACGAATAACCATCCATTCCATATTCCATAATTGTAAATTCCATGGTAGTAGCATAGCAATTACCACTAACAGAAACTAAATTCTGCTTAATATTCTCACAATTGAAAATCACAGCAGGACCTCTAGATATATCACAAACAACCAATCTTCCTGATTTATAACCTACGGCAGCAAACCCTGCATCACTCATTTTCAAAACTGAAACTGGTTCTGAAGGGTCTAATCTTAAAATATATGAAGGTACAAATGTAGCAGACAGAGCAGCAGAGCCCGAAACTCTACCTGTAATATTCAATAACAGCGCACTCCCATTTGTATGTTGCATGGGACAATCACTATAATCTTTATGTGACAGTATACCTGCATTTTTTATATTTGGATTTTTACCAAATTTACATATAACAACTTCTCCCGTCTTCAAACCAACTAATAATTGACGATTAGGAAATGAACAGGATACTTGTAAAACTTTTAAATTTGCAGGATTATCATAATCATATAATGTTTCTTTCAAGCTTACTTGAACTACACTTTCAGTACTCAGTTGCTCACCTTTTGTAACATCTAAAAACCTAACTAATCCATTCTCATGACCTGTTATCATTATATTCCTTAAACCGTCATTATAACCTAACGATTTAGGTAAATTTGTTAATGATACGGGTGCTCCACCAAATAATAATGGTTTGATCTTAGCATTTGTTCCTGATGATGCTCTACTTGACATCATACTATACCAATCTATTCTAACAACTGCTTGTACATCAAAGTAACATAAAGGTGGAACAGTTAATGCTATTGAAGTTGGAAAAATTACAGATCCTAGATCCGAACTACCTTGACCTCCTGAATTATTTGAAAATGAAACTGAATAGATTCTTCCTAAGTTTGAAATAAGTATTAGGAAAGAAGGATTATGTCCTCCATGGAAATAAGGTGATCCATTTTCAGTAATTGGTTCAATATGTGTAATATATTCGACTTTTTCTGTATTGTTGAGATAAAAATTTATTGGTATTTTTCTTTGACCTCCTTGTGGATTACAATAAAATTTACTTTGATTTTCAATTGAAGTAATTGAATATTTTAAAGTATATCCAAAATCAAGTACACTTATAATATTTGTTCCTTCAGGATCACCGCCACTTACTAATAATTTTGTATTTTCTGGATCTTCTCCACATATCCATCTTACAGATTCTATTGGATTGAAAACTTCTGGAACTTCGAGATACGCTCCTGGTTTATGTAATTGAGTTTCATATAATGTTCTAGCTTCAACGATTTTTCCACCATCTATATCCCAAAACACAATAGTATTATCATTATGAACTGTAATTGCATGTAGACCATTTGGATGGAAATGAGCTTCTTTTAACATTGGTATTATGCTTTTCACTGATCCAAATAATTTCTTTTTACCACCAGTGGCAATATGATTAGAATATTGAAAACCTTTATGTTCTTTTGTTAATTGATAAGATAAAACACTTTTGATTTCACCAGTTACTAATGAGTATACTATTGCACATTGATTGTATGCTACTAGTAAAGTTCCAATATCTCTCGGATGCCATTCGATTGATAAAACTGGTGATAATTTTTCCTTAGGCATGACTTTTTTTTGTAAATTATCTATTCTGAATGGTGTTAAATTTAGTCTGTCCACATCATAAAAGATCAAACTTCCATTTGTTAATCCGAATATAGCCCAATCTAAAGATGGATCAGTTTCAATTGCACTCACAGTTCCTGGAAATGAAAAAGTCCCCAATATCTTTTTTGAATGTAGTGATAAAACTGATAAGCCAGATGCAGGTGATGAACATAAAAGGTATACTCCTTTTACAAATTTCAAATGAGTTATCGGATGTTTGATATTGAATTCAAAAACAACTTCTACATTCACTTGACCATAAACTCTTACATCATTTTTTGTAGTTGCAACTGCTAATAGGGATTGGATAGGATCATATGCTACAGCTGTGATTGAATTTTCAGGTATACCTAATTGATTTATGACTTGTACATCAATGTTCTTAGGGTTAATTTCTTTTTCTTCGGGTGATAGACTTTTTGAGCCGTGAGTTTTTATAGCATTTGATAATGAATTTAATGATAGTGGTGCTTTTCTTGACTTTAGTTTATTGAACATTGATATCGAGTCTGATATGATTCGGTGGTAAAGTTGACGATTATGAAGTTATATGATTCCCGAGATCAGATCGGTTTCAAAATTTTATAGCTACCAAGCGGTATTTTGAAACCTGGCAAGACGACTTCATTGCAGTCATTTTAATCCAACTGCCTTATAGATGAACCTTTGGCTTTTTTGGTAAGATTCATTTTCTATTCTAAACAAGACTACACTCATCAAATGAAATGAAGTATTTGTTATTTTATCAGTTCAAGCTGTGTTATTATAGGTAGTGTATTTTTATCAAAATATTGACACGTATTAGAATTATTTTGTATTTTGATTATCTGAAAAATCTACAAGTGTCAAGTCAGGTCTTGCAACATTAAAGATGGTATGTGCTCCATTTAAGCTTATATGATTAATTTAAAAAATGTCAAATACTAACTCCATTCCACCAGGCATTTGATAAATTAATTGGTGTTGGAATGCTATTTGTAGCTACATTTGTTTTCATATATTATACAATTTGGGTATTTGTATTACCTTTCATTGATTCAAATTCAATAATAAATTCATTTTTTTTACCAAGAGATTATGCTATAAAATTACCTTTATTACTATTATTAATTGCTGGTTTGGGAGTTGGAACATTTATTGGGAAAGTATTAATTAAAAATCAACAAAAATTAAAAAGTAAGAAGAAAACTCAATAAATAATTGTGAGTATTTTGAAATTGTATATTAGTGGAGTTGAAATTATAATGTTTTGATATTAACTCAATTGTAAAGATCGGAATCAAAGACGTGAAGACTGAACATTCTACAAATAATTCTAAAAATGCTAATGAATGCTAAGATCGCACTATATATTCTCCAGAATTAGTTATATATTTTACACCTTTGTATGGTTTAACATTATCACCTAATCCTTTTGCATTTGTTATTTTTAAACTTTCAACTTTATTACCACTTGGAACTAATCCTTTATAAGTGAAATTCAATTTAATATATAATGGTTTTTTTGATTTAATGGAATGAGTTGATAATGAATCTTTATGATTTTCACTATCACCATTACTTTCTATTTCTTCTTCATTTTTACTTATTATTGTTGCATTTAATATTGGAATTACTCCCTTTTTCAAATCTTTCATACTCCATTCATGTTTATTATTAAATTTAGTTTGAAAATCTCCGTGACTTATTCTATTTATTTTAATTTGATCTTCTTGATTTTCACAAACTATTTCAACAATTATGCTATCTATTTTATTAATTAATAAAGTTGGAAATAATTTTATTTCAAAATCAGATGAATTTTCATGAATTAAAAATTGAGTATCTATACTATTTAATTTAATTAAATTAATTTTTTCTTTATTATTCATTGATTCATCGTTTAAATCAATTTGATATTTCATAATTGTACTTTTCCCATCAGGTGGTATAAATGATAATACACCTTTCCTTTCTTTAAACATATCAAGATTTATACATCTATGAAATTGTGGTAATATTAAATTTGATCCAATTTTATTTAAAATTAATTCTAATGTTGGTTGACCACTTAATTTACTTATAAAATCAATTTGTCCATTTATAGAACCATTTAAAATATAATTATCTACAATACTTTCAGATTGATGACTTGAATAAAAAGCAGAATCATATTGTTGATTTAATTTTGATTTTTTGATTATTGGTTTAATTATAAGATTTAGATTTTCAATTACATCAACATACATTTCATTATTTGTATGTTTAACTTCATTTCTTCTCCATGGTATATCTGTTTGGAAAGATAATTTTGTATCTTGAACTAATCCAGTAGTTTTTGATGCTTCATTTAAAATTTTGGTTAATAATGAATTATGACTAACTAAATCTCTTATTTTATTAAAATCAGTAATATTAGGCATTCCATCATCTAACATTTGATATAGTATTAATGTAATAATATCATTATTTGTTTCTATTTTATTACTATTCAATTCTCCAAAATAATCTTGTAAAGTTTCAATAAATCTTTGTATAAATGTATGAGGTATTAAGGGACTAGAATTTGAATTGGAACAAAGTGTATAAAAATTCAATGATAAATGTTTGTGTTGTACTATATAATATGATGAATTTATGTTAAAATGAGTAGTAGTTAATGATTGTGGTGATGTTGAATCGGTCGATTGTGATTGAATTTTCGGTAGAATTGTTTTGAATTTGGGAATTGATAGTTTATTGGAATATTCATAAATTAACAGATTGGTTATATCTGATATATATATTGCTTCAATCATAGCATTATTAGTTGTTGTGTTAAATTTATCTTTGTCTATGAAAATTGATTCTGTTGTAAAAAATTTGGTGATATTTTTTTTTACAACACAATTTGTTCACCCAAAAGAATCAAACTTTTTACAACCAAACAGAATCCATACATTTGTAAAATTATTAAGTACCGGGATATTAAATTATGTCTATTTAAACAAAAAGTTACTATAACAAACTATACACGAATTAAAATTATTATTGTTTTTTATATTTGCAGGATGAGGGATCGGGGGAATTGTTTGATCAAAATTTTGAATAATCAATCATTGGTAGAATTTTAAATAAATGATAACAATCTCAATACCATTGACTCATCATTTACACACACACATATTCTTCAATCCTCTACTTCAATGACTTCATTCAAATTTTGAAATTTATTTTATTTTATCATTTAATGTTTATGAGTTGAATTTTCAGCTGATGAACTTTCAATTATTCTATCAACTTCATCTTCAACTTCCAAAGGTACACCATTATCATCAACTAAATCAATGTTCAAATCTTTAGCAACTCTTTCTTCAACATTACTTATATCTTGCATACCATAATAAGCAATTGTAGCTAGACCTAAAATTGCAGCAACACATGAAAATACTAATGCAACAATTCCTTTTGCAGTAAAACCAGTTGGTAATCTTTTAACTTGAACATTTTCACCAGTTAAATCTAAATAATTATTTGTATTTGCAGCAGCATTACCTTGCCATGGTACTCCTACTTTTTCACAAATTTGTTTATGATTATCAGTAATTTGTTGAGTTGAATTATTTATAATAGCATTTGGATTTTCAACAAATACAATAGCTAAACCTTGATCTAAATGCCATTCAATATGACAATGGAAAAACCAAACTCCAGGATTTGATGCTTTAAATCTAAGAACAAAATATGATTGAGGTCTTACATAAACAGTATCTCTTCTCATTGGAATTTTTGGCCATTCAGCATGATCACTTGCATTAAAAGATAAATGTGGATCATTATCATCAATTGCTGGACCTCTTTCAATAACTTGAAATGCATGACCATGTAAATGGAAAGGATGAGTACCAGTATCTAAATTATTTAAAACAATATCAATAACTTCATCTTCTTCTAAAACAAAAGTATTTGTATTTAATCCATAAACTAATTCATTAGTAGCTTGTTCACCAGCTGAAAGTACTGATAAAATAGTTGGAACTTTTGGAGCAACATATGATATATTATTAAAAAATGCATAATTTATACCATTACCTAAATTATCCATTTGAACTTCTAAAGTAACTGTATAATCAGCATCTTCTAATAATGGTTCTTTATCATATGGAATAAGATAAAAATCATCTAAAAAATCATCAATTGAATCAACATAATTTTGTTCTGGTAAATCTGCATTCTCATTATAAACCAAATAATTTGTACCATTTAATTGTAAATCATCTGGTACAACATCTAACATTGTATCATCTACTTTATTCATTATAGCATAATTTTTATCAGTTGAATTTTTAGTTGTTAATAATACAGTGTATCTTTGAGCAATAGTTATATAAAGCATATTTGTTGTATTTTTTTCAGTATAAATACCATCAACTTCAACAACTGTCATATCATGATCTTCAAACCAAAGATATTGAGAAACAAATCTACCCATATTTATGATTCTTAATAAATAAGTCTTGTTTGGTTCAACTTTCCAAGTAGCATTTCTTGTTTCATTAAATAATATATTATCAATAATTGGTTCAGCACCAGTTGGATTAAATCTACTTAAAAAACTAGGCATTAATTCATAAGAATATTGATGATAGTGTTCACTTAAAGTTAAAACAACTTCTTCATCATAATCATAAGGAAAATCATCATCTTCAATTATAAATGCACCTCTCATACCATCACCATATTGACCAGAAGTATGAGAATGATACCAATATGAACCAACTTGATCACCTAATGTAAAATTATAAATAAACATTTCACCTGTTGGAATTGGACATTGAGATACCATTGGTGGACCATCCATTTGAGAAGAACCAGGTTGAAACATACCATGAAAATGTAATGTAGTATTAACAGTATCAAATCCATTAATTAAATATAATATAATTCTATCACCCTTTTTAGCTCTTAAAGTTGGTAATGGCCAAGTACCATTAAACCCAATCATTTTTCTTGGAAATACACCATCTGGATTTATTAATGAACCATCTGGATTTTTTTCAACCCAACCTGTTTCAAACCACCATTCTTTTGTATCTGCAAAAATTAATGATGATAGAAAGAATATTGGTAAAATATTCCAAATTTTTAACATGACATATATATATTTGTTGCTCAATCAATTGATATATGTTATTGCAATGATAGCTCTTCTAATGATATATTTGTTTCAATTATTTAATGTTTCTTTCCTCGTAATTATTATAATGTTTCAAATAATTTAAATTGTTTCAAATTTTCTCTTGGCAATGTTTTAGTTTTTTTTTTTTAATTAATGAACACAATTTAATTGAATAAGTTGATTTTATAAAGTTAATTGTGAGAATGAAATGAATCCAAATTTGAGAGAAAACAAGATTGGAAATTGAAATGAAACGTAGTGGATATTTAAGTGAAAGGATGGGAAATTGAGTAAAAAATTTTTCAAGGGATATTGATTAATATATAAACATCATTCAATTATTTTTTTTCATTGTGTTAGTTAAAAAACTATCAAATTGTTCAAAACTTAACCAAAGTTAAAGTAAAAAAAGTGTCAGATAATTGTTAACTGATTTAATCAGATAATGTACAATTGATAAAAAAAGAAAAGGAAAGTAATGGTTTTATTATTTTTTTTCAATAATAGCCAATCATTTTATTTAATTTTCAAAAAAATAAGCTAATCATAAAATTTAATTATTAAAGTTTTTGAAACTTAACTTAATCTGTAACCCTAAGTAACCTAACCTCAAATACTTTAGTTGAATTTTATCAGATGGAATTTACTACTACTGAGTTAGTTAAATTAATCTAAATTTTTAGGTTATATTACATAATAGAATAAATTAGATTTAAAGTAGGCTTAAAAATTTTAAATTTTTCAATACTGTACTAAAAAAAAGCCTCTTCAAATAAACTTTAATACATGCATCTGACACCCAAATTCAAAAAAAAGTAGGCTTAACTTACAGATTTATTAGCTAATAAAACCAAGTGGCATCAATAAAAATGAATTACTAGCGGATGTGATCAACATGGATTTGAAAAGTGGTGATAATTTGGAAAATTTGTAAAATATAAACAACTTGGTAGCTTGTGTCTTGAAACATTGATAATATTTATTAGGTATTCTTAATCTAGGATTTTGCAGCCATTTTCCATATATTTGAAACAATTATGCCTATGTACAATTTCCAATTATGTCTCTAGTATTGATGTATCACCCAATTCACTCAATGTGTGAGTTTTTTGGAAGTAACTAAGAATTCGAAGCTACAAAACTAATCAATATTATATAACACGGGAATATTATATTAAAATTTATACACATTAAATCTAAAACAAAAATCACTATAAAAAAATTGAAAAAAAAACAGGGTTTGGGTTATGGGGGATTTTTTGGGGTCTTCCATCTAATCTAATTTAAAAAAAAAGCTTGTTATCATAATCAATCAATAATTTGTAGTAAATATTGAAAATATTAATTAGTTTCATTTAATTCATTTCATTATGTCATTATTTGTGAAATTTCTATATCTTCATTTGATAAAATATATTTCTTGAATTTAATCAAAGTTCTTTAAAAATTTAATTTCCTAAAGATTTCATTCATTTGATTATCTTTATGCACACACTTTTTCTTCATACTGTAATTTTGAAAAACTTGATTAAAATACTTGAAAATATATTATCATTAAAGATAAAGATTTCATTAATTTTGTAGTGGTTAGTTTAATGTTTTTGAGTTGATGAATTACCAGTTGATGAATTTTCTCTAATAATATCATTTGAACTAATTTCTCCATCTTCATTATATTGTTCATCTAAATCAACATCTAAATCTCTTGCTACTCTTTCTTCAACATTATTTATATCTTGCATTCCATATATTGATATAGCAATAAGACCTAATACACCAGCAATACAAGAAAACACTAAAGCAACAATACCTCTTGCAGTAAAACCAGTTGGTAATCTCTTGTGTTGAATATTTTCACCTGATAAATCTAAATAATTAACAGAATTACCTGCTGCATTACCTTCCACTGAAACACCAACTTTTTCACAAATTTGTTTATGATTATCAGTAATTTGTTGAGTTTCATTATTTTGCATACTTATTGGATCTTCAATTAATTGTATAGCTAAACCTTGATCTAAATGCCATTCAATATGACAATGGAATAACCAAATTCCTGGATTATTTGCTTTAAATCTTAATACTAAATATGATTGTGGTTGTAAATAAACAGTATCTCTAATCATTGGATATTCAGGCCATTCAGCATGATCACTTGCATTATAAGCAACTGGATCTTCGTCATCATCAATAGCTTCATGTCTTTCAATAACTTGAAAAACATGACCATGTAAATGGAAAGGATGTTTACCAGTATCTAAATTATTCATAACAATATCAATAACTTCATCTTTTTCCAAAACAAATGAATTTGTATTTGTACCATAAACTAATTCATTTGTTGCATGTTCACCAGCAGATAAAGCAGTTAACAAAGTTGGAACTTTTGGCATTGTATAGGTAACATTATTAAAAAAAGCATAATTAACACCATCACCTAAATTATCCATTTGAACATCAATTGTAATAGTATAATCAGCATCATCTAATAATTTTTCTTTTGATAAAGGTTTTAACCAAAAATCATCAAAATAATCATCTATTGATTCAATTAAATAAGGTTCTGCTTTATCTAATGATTCATTATATATTATATGATTTGTACCATTTAATTCTAAATTATCAGGAATTAAATCTAACATATCAATATCAACTCTATTCATAAATGCATAATTTTTATCTGTTTCATTTTTAGTTGTTATTAATACTGCATATCTTTGAGCAACTGTTATATATAATAAATCAGTTGTATTTTTTTCAACATAAATACCATCAATTTCAACTATAGTAAAATCATGATCTTCCATCCAAAGATATTGAGATACAAATCTACCAGTATTTATGATTCTTAACAAGTAAGTCTTGTTTGGTTCAACTTTCCAAGTATTATTTCTTGTTTCATTAAATAAAAAATTATCAGGTATTGGTTCTGCACCAGTTGGATTAAATCTACTTAAAAATTTTGGTTTTAATTCATCTGAAAATTCATGATAATGTTCATTTAAAGTTAATATAACTTCTTCATCATATTCATAGGGAAAATCATCATCTTCTATAATAAAAACACCTCTCATACCATCACCATATTGTCCAGAAGTATGAGAATGATACCAATAAGAACCAACTTGTTGATCAACTGTAAAATTATATAAAAAAGTTTCACCTGGTGGTATTGGACATTGAGTAATCATTTCTGGACCATCCATTTGATTTGATCCTGGTTGAAACATTCCATGAAAATGTAATGAAGTATTTCTATCATTCATACCATTTGTTAAATATAATTGAATTCTATCACCCTTTTTAACTCTTAAAGTTGGTAATGGCCAAGTATCATTAAAACCAATCATTGGTCTTGGGAAAATACCATCTGGATTAATTAATGAACCATCTGGATTTTTTTCAACCCAATCTGCTGTATAATACCATGTATGAGTTTCTGCTAATATTATTGATAAAAATGATAATATTGATAAAAATGAAATTATGGGACCCTTCATTTTGCGTATTTGTTTGTTCTTATAATTTCTTCAAAACACTACTCTTTATTCCTCAAATTGTTATGATTGTTAATTTATTGATTAATTGATTTATTGATTGATTGATAAATTATGAATTTTTTTTGATTAAATTAATAGAGACCCAAAGAACCAAAGAATCAAAAAAGAAGAAAAAGGGAATTTTGAAAGAGGATTGAGAAAGGTTAAACTACCTATATATATATTTTAATGTGAAACATCTTTCAACTGATGAAATTGATAAAGAAAAATTTTAACCTAATTAACGTAGTTTGAATAATACGATTAAAATTAAAACTACGATCCTGTCTGATTCCTTTGATCATAATTTTCTTGGCTGTGAGTTACAATTTTTTCTTGGTACTGTTATTATAAGGTACTTCTTTTGTGTAGATTCAAATAGTAGACTATAAGATGTAAGTTTGGTTAAAGGATTGGTAAATTTAGTAAACTTACTTTTTTATTATACCCCCTAAAGTAACACAAAAGTTAATACTATAATGTAAATTACACCAATTCAAAAATTAAAATTAACCAATTGGTTATGAGATTCAAATGAAACAATAGAAAGTATGAAAAGTTAAAATTTCAACTTACTTTATGCATAGTTATAAGATCAGACAAAAAAATCAATATTAATAAAAGAAAGATGAAAACGAACAATACAATACGTTGACTTATCTATTTAATCTTTTTTATCTTCAAGATATTTCAGACATTTCCTATTAAAACAATAGAAATCAATTTAAATTGTTGGGGGTTCAAAAAAATTTTCAGTATTGAAGTTGAAGAATAATTATGAGTTATCCCGATGAAATGTAAAAATATGCATCTGAATTCGGTTTAATAATGAAGAATAAGCGAATATGAATGGATATAACCTATCTTTCCATCTATTCTTTTGTATAATGTGTCCTTATCCGTTGATATGGATCTATATTTAGTTTGAAATGAATATTTTACCCCAACTTATAAACTTTCCAATCTCCAGTTCAATTAGTAGTTTAATCATATGATCATACTACACTAAACTCAATTGACTTAAAAACTTCAGTAGATACTGTAAATTTAACTTTCAAAATTCTATACTATAAATGTATTAAAGTGAAATTGTTTCATTTAAATTGTAATTGGTTAAAATTTTAAATTAGAAAATGGCTAATTTATTTAGGTTTTTCAGACAGACATTTCTTGTACATTATCTGATGGTTCAATTAAAACAATTAATTTAAAACAATTAATGCGAGTTTCGCATTAAAGAAATTGAATATTATTTTCTGCATTTAATAAATAATTTTAACAAGAACAATTGATTAATTTTCTAGAGATCCAGACTTAATCGAGGATCGACTAGTTCATCGAAGTAAACAAAATATCGGCCTTGTATTGCCTGTTTATAAGTTGGACGGATTTCTTGAAAACAATCGATTTAAATTAAGATTACAAGAAATCAAGAAAATATAATTCTCGACGAAATTGACATATTATTAGTTAAAAATTTTTGTTATTGATCGATTAGATTATTTGTGCCTTACGAAGGAATTAGTAAACTAAAATTTACACTTCTCTTTTTTTGAATTTTATTATTTAATTTCAATCTGTAATTGGCTAGTTTTTTGCTAGAACAAATATACATATATGCAATGCATTGAAGTATCCAGCCTTTTCATAAGAGATTTTATGGATATTTTAGTTTCTTAGACATATGAGTAGACTGTATCAGTCTCACTAACTTTGTGTTTAAAATGAAACGAATAGTATCGTTAGACACATCTATTGTTATTACTTCTGTTTATTATAAATTGATTTTGATCAATTGTTGTTTCGCTATTGAGTTTCCATGTAATATACTCTACTGCTTTTGATGTTTGTGTTTCATGTTTTTTGACAGGTTGAAATTTGAACTGAGATTGTCTCGGTTAATATTTGATCTTAACAATCATTTGCAAATTTTTTATTTGTTTCTATATCTTGTTGATTAATTAGTCTAATTGTTTAGTGTAAAATTTTTTTATCTAATCGATCTAAAGTTTTGTTGCACTTTCGATATATATTTATACAATTGTACATTTAAAATTTTGCATCTTACAAATTCGTCATTAATAAACTATACAAAATTTATTTAAACTGTGCTTATTGGATAAAGATTCCCTATTTAAAAAATAAAAGAGCTCTAAAGATAGTAAGATCATCAAAAATGAGATGAATTAATTAAGTTCAATTAAGCAGATTATCATATTCTTATTGTCTTCCAAATATTCAGTAAGAACCAAAATTACTTAATTTTCAATTTTTGAATTGGAGAGCAGTGAATCGTTTACAAATTGTCAAGTTAAATAAGATAAGTAAGTTCATTTCGTCATGCATTAGATGGAGGTTCAAATTTTAATCGAAGTCACGATCTTTACATCCGGTACTAGCCTTATTTCATAATTCCGGTCCGACGTAATTAAGATTATTTAACGAGCCACCAGACCAAAGATTAAGGACCAAAAAAAAAACATTCTTTTTAAGACATGCGGCTTTCACCTTACTTCGAAAATTTTTTAATAATTTCAATAAAGAATCTACAAATTGATCTATAATTAGATTTTCTCGAGAGTAGTTGTAGAAGTATCTTAGCATAGTGCAGATCTTCTAATGAACAGTAAATCTTGAACACAATGGTATTCATTAAACGTGGTCATTCAACTTATTATCTTGATTGAATATTATTCAGAAAAAAAAAGCAATTTAAAAACAACTTGAAAAAATTTTGAATTGAGGAGAAAAAAAATAATCATACAGTACAGTGAATCATTCTTTTTTACCACGAGTTATTCGACCCAACAAATTGGACTGTTACTACCACTACTCCTCATAGTCATACTTTTAAATGTTTCATTTGTTTTGACTTTAACTTATTCAAGAGTTTAGTTTCAAGTTTATTTAATTTTGGCTTTTCACTTACACGTTATTAATACAGTTTTTTACGAAACTTTTGCAACCAACTAAATTTACAACAAAGTAAATTTATCAACAACAACAACAACCAAAAACACTCGCTAGTTTGATGATTTAAAGTCTTTCTTTGTTATTTTACTATTCTCAGTAATTTAATATACAAGTTTAAAGAGTTTTATTCATTTATATATCCTATTTAAGTTATTAGTTTGATTTTATTATACAACGTGGGTGAAGATATATTATAAGCAGATAATACTATGATCAATAAAAGATTATTTAATTTATCAACAATATATTCAAATTCATCTACTTTTTCATTAAATAATTTACAAAATTATTTACCAAGATTAGATTCAAATTCAAAATCAAAATCACTGAAGAAAAGTCAAATTGAAAAATCTAATGTATTAAAATCAACTACAACTACTGTAGAAGATGTATTGTCTACACCATCTGCACCAACAACCAAATCAAAAATTAAAACATCTAAAAAAAATTTAAAACAATCAACTAAATCATTATATAAAAGATCAACTCATCCAACATCAGTTCCACTTTCAAAAATATTTAATAATAATTTCCCATTAAGTATATCTGAATCAATAGAACATTATAAATTAAGAAATAATCCATTATATTTCCAAAATGAATTATTATCAACATTACCATTTTTCCCCAATATTGATAAATTAGGTAGAACTTCAAAAATTTTAAAAATCCCCATAGATAATAATGGAAATTATATAAATGAATTTGTTATATATCCTCCAGGTAAATCTGAAATTGATCTGCCCAACTTAAAACATTTATTAATGATTCATGGTTATGGAGCAGGATTAGGATTTTTTTTAAAAAATTTTAATAAATTATCAACAAGAAATGATTGGTGTATTCATGCAATTGATTTATTTGGTTATGGTTCAAGTTCAAGACCTCATTTTTATCCAACCACTTTGGGTGAAGTTGAAGATTGGTTTTTTAATTCTTATGACTCATGGTTTAAACAAAGAAATATTCCAAAATCAAATTTATTAATAATGGCTCATTCAATGGGTGCTTATCTTATGGCGTTGTATGGTATAAAAAGAGATCCTTTTTTTTGTAATAAAATATTAATGGTTTCACCAGGTGCAATATTAAAACATAGAAAACAAATTCCAATACCTGGATATTTTAAAAAACTATGGGAAAGAAATATATCACCTTTTTCATTAGTTAGAAAATCAGGTATATTAGGTTCAAAATTAGTAAGTGGTTGGTCTTTTAGAAGATTTGCAAAATTATCGGATTTAGAAAAAAATTTATTACATAAATATTCTTATGGAATATTTTCGTCAAATGGTTCTGGAGAATATATGTTAAATTTTTTATTAGCTCCAGGAGCAAATGCAAGATATCCATTAATTGAATCTGGTGTTCATAAATTAAATTGTAAAATTTCTTGGTGGTATGGAGATGGTGATTGGATGGATAAAAAAGGAGGAGAATTATGTTCAAATATTATAAATAATTTAGGTAAAGTAAAAAAAAGTGATGTTAAAATTATAAAAAATAGTGGTCATCATATTTATCTTGATAATATTAATGAATTTAATAAAGAAGTATTAAAAGAAATGGATAATTTTAAAATAGAATAGATATATAAATAAGTAGACATTAATAATAATATAATGCATTTAATTATCTTAATGCTTACTTGGTGATATCAAAGATTTTATAACTTTTAGTATGATTAATACATAGAAAAGGATCTTGAGTAGATAATATAAAAGATTTAATAAAATTTAATATAAGATAATGCATTGAATAAATATTTTACTAGCTAATAAAAGATTATGAAAATTCCGGATCTTCATAACTTCCTTCGAATTGAATTATAAATTTTAAACTAATTGGTAAATTTAAATCAGTTATAACAATTTCTTCACCAACACTTACCAAATCTCTCATTTTTTTACTTAAATTTGATTTAGTTGAAATTTGTAATTCCTGTGGTGATGACATATAAAGTAATTTTGAAGATGTAGTCAAACTTGGATTAATTAATTGAATATCTTGTTTTGATTTAATTTCATGAATAAATTGTTGTAATGTCCACCAATTTTGAACCACGATATTTTTTGCTATATTTCCACATACTGAACAATTTGTTTTTTTAGTATATGAATAAGTATATGTAAATATGGAATCATCTCCTGAATACATCATATAATTATTTAACATTGGATTAGTTGATGTTATATATTTAAAAGCTTCATTACAACAACTTGCTGCAATTATTGCATTTGTTGATGCAATAGCAGGAATTATATTTTTAACAACTCCCAAAGTTAAAGATTTAGTTACTCCTTCAATTCCAAATTCTTTACTTCTTTTTAATGCTGTATTAAACATCCAATCAACTTGATCAGGATCATCTGCATCAAATTTTGTGTTGGGAAATTGTCTTGTCCATTCTAATTGATGAGCCCATTCAATACAATGTTCAGGTAATCTTGGAGTATTTGCAATAGTACAAACAGGATAAGTAGTTTTAACATTTAATAAATCTAAAGAACATTCAAAACATGATGTAAATGTAGGAATAATAACTCTACTTTGACCTCGGAAACCTTCAGTACCACCATCAATTAATGGAATAATTAAATTTTCACTTTCTGCTAAATTAAATAATATTGAATTTATCCATCTTCTTGCTTCAATTGAATCTAATCCACTTATAACTAATTGAAATTGTTTATAAAATTCTAAATCCATATCTTGAATTTTTTTAAAATGTGGAACAATTTCTAACGTGGTATCATCATCTAGTATATTTTTTATAAATTTTACAGCAATTTCAGATTTACTTTTCCCAATATCTTCACTTCTAAACAAGAATTGTCTATTTAAATTACTTAAATCAATTGTATCCATATCAATAATATGTATATTTTTGAAACCAGTTAATGATAAATTTTTTAAAATTTCACAACCTAATCCTCCTGATCCAATTATTAAAATTTTTGAATTTAAAAGAGAATTATATGAATCTTGAGAGTTATATTCTTGTGGTACTTCATTGAATGGACCTATGTTATCTATAATTGGTGATATGGATGATAAATCTTTCATTCTTTCATTGGATGTAACGGGAGGTTGATGTTTGTTGTTTGATATTTGTTGATAATGTAAGTAGGAGAATACTAATGCTTGATGTTTGATGTTTGCCTTTAAAAGTTGGTGATAAATCGCGTGTAATTTATTTGCAGCGTATTTTAAATTGTTACTTGTTTCATATTTGTGTTGTCGCAAACTTTAAATTTTGATCTATCACTACGCATTATTAACACTTACAATAAAGAGATTAAAATTCATCACATTTTAGTCATTAAACTATAAATATTTTCACTCTATAAAACAAAGTAAGATAGAAACGAATTGTAAGAAATTTCAATTATCAACCACTGAATCTACTTGTTTTTTTTTATTTGGTTTTATTGATGGTGGAACTCCATATCTTTTATGAGGATTATTTAAATTATTAGTATTTAAAATATTTGGAGCAGTTATATTTAATTTATTGGTAGTATTTATTAAATGATTATTATTATTATTATTCATGTTATTATTATTGTTGTTAATTGATGGTGAAGGTGATTTTAAACTTGATCTTTTTATTGGCATTGATCTTTTTGGATCAACTGTTCTTCTTATATTTGGAGAAACAAATGAATTATCAAATTTTTCAAATTCTGCATCTTTATCTTTAACTAACGCATTTAATGCTGCTGATCTTGCTGAAACAAATGATGTTACTGGTGGTAAATTATTATTTGATGATGTTTCAGATTGGTTTGGTGGTTCTTGCTTATCACTATTATTTTGTTCTTGTTTGTCACTATTGTTCCGTACTTGTTCTAATTCTTCTTGTTCATCTGCTACGTCATCACTGAATAGAAACGATTCATCCATATCATCAACTTCCTTTTTGTTTGTATTAACATTTTTTATTATTTTTGAAGGCAGAATTGGTGTGACAAATGCGTTCGATGATGGTGGTAAATTATTTTGATATCGTTGTTGCTGCTGTTGTTGTTGTTGTTGTTGTTGTAAAAGCTTTATCTTTTCTTCTTCAATTCTTTTTAACCTTTCTTCTTCTTCTTTAATTCTTGCTTCTTCTTCTAATTTTTCCTGTTCCATTCTTCTTTCTTGAATTTCCTTTTTACGTTCCCTTTCTGCAAATATAGGATCTCTATAAAAATCTTCTGGTTGATATTCAATTTTTTTTTTTTCAATATCTTTAATTTGTTTCATTATAGTTTTTTCATATAAACAATTCCCCAAAACATTTCCAAAACATCTCAAACATCTTTTTATACCATCTGTAAATGCTTCTTTTTTACATTTTTCAAATGCTGCTGCTTTACTTTTTGCATTTTCAATATATCCATATCCTATATCTTCATGATATGTACCATCTTTTATTGTAACTCTAACAACTACAGATAATCCTAAAGAATATTTTCCAGAATTACCATGAGTATCAAAAAAATCAATTTCACAAGAAATTAATTCTGAATTCCAACCATTAAATCCAAATATTTCATTTGCTAAATTTAATGCTTTCCAACCTTCAATATATTGAACTTGTGTACCACCTCCTCCAGGTCTAAATGCAATATATTCTGGTCCTAAAACTTTACTTAATTTTGATTGTATTTCTGTTTTCTCTTCTTCTGAATAACTGTAAGATTCATGTTGTTTTGATTTTTGATGATTTGGTTTTACATGTTGTAATGGTGGTTTAGTATTTCGACGTGGAGGTAGTTGTTGCTGTTGTGGTTGTGGATGATGATTGTTTGGTGGATGGTGTTGATTACTCATTATTTATTGGAAGAGATCTGTTGGTTGTTGGTAGTAGTAATGTGTTATAGACGTGTGTTATTTATATCTATGTTTTGATGTTATTTATAATTTGATTTTATGATTAACTTTTTGTGTCCTGTAATATAATGTTAAGAAGAAGAATGTGTTTTTAAAAGAGAAACTACACCAACACACAAGAATCTAGAGTGAATAAATCTATCAACTACTAGATTGTAACTTATTATAGAAGATACTCGCATACAATCTACAGTACCATTCGCATTCAGAAAGTAGTTGTAAGAAATTACAAGATATTCATAGTAAAAATATGATCAATCATCATTTTTTTTCGTACTGCTTATCAATACTAAATCAATCGCGTCTTTAATTGAAGTTAGAGATCATCATATAAAACACGTCAATATCCACATCCACCACAACCTCATTCTACATGATGGATAAAATATGAATGAGGATGATGGTGAAGTTAAATCATACTTTGTAACAATTAAATTATCAATTGAAGCTCTTGAAGCTATTGAATTATCACAAATTCAAATTAAATCACCAATAAAAAAGCAACAAGCTTCAAGTCATAGATTAGATCAAGTAATGAATTATAAATCAATAATAACAACAGAAAATAGAAATAATAGAATGAATTCAAGAAAAGGTTTATCACCAGAACCTAAGAAATTGGATTTCACAAAGATTAAAAAAGTTAAATTTGTTGATTAATTGACTACACATCTAGACTTGATATCAATGTTATTGTATCTCCCTTTAATAATAATCTACCTAATGATACTTTTTTCCCCCTAGTTATTTCTTCAGCTTCATCAATTACTAAATTCATAAATTCATCAAATCCTTGTATTTTACCTTGTATTCTTGAATCAGTTTGTTCATATAACCATATATTCACTAATGATTGTTGTTGTAAGAATTTAAATATTAGATTTATTGGTGGTAATGTGGATTTTTTGATTGATTTTGATGACATTGGTTATCTCATGTATATATTGTATATATTGTATGGTATAATCTATAGTAATGTAAATAGCTTAACGACTATCACGAGAATAATTTTTTTTCTCTCTTTTCTCTCTTTATTTACTTTTCACTTTCTTAATAAACAACATATTTTCTTCAACTTATCAATGAAACAATGTCTGACTCTGAGGGTCCTCCAGATGATTTTAAAGAGTATATAATAAAATGGGTAGAAGCTGATGCTATTGAAGCTACAAAGAATGGTTCAAAAATGGCAATATTATATAATAAAATATTAATGCAAGTTAAAAGAACTGATGAACCAATTATTGATACAAGAAGTTTAAAACAAATTAAATTTATTGGAGCCAAAACAGCATTAACTTTAAGTAATAGAGTAGTACAATTATGTAAAGGGAATGGATGGGAAGTACCAATTGGATTTTTAGAAGAAGCAGCAGCATATGAAAGAACTTTAAATAAAATTGATCAAACTAAAACAACTGAGGAAGAACTGACGCGACCAAAAAAACGCGCTCGAACGACTGCAAGTTATGTTCCAAAACATAGATCAGGTGGATTTGCAATATTAATAACATTATATTTAAAAGATCAAGCTCAAAAGGGAATGACAAGAGATGAAATTTGTTCAATTGCAACAGCTTATTGTGATAAATCATTTAATACTACAAGTACTTCATATCATTCAGCATGGGATTCAATTAAAACTATTATGAAAAAAGATTTAGTTTATAGTACTGGAAGATCACCAAAAAGATATTATTTAACTGATGAAGGTAAAGAATTAGCTAGTCAATTAAAAACTGCTGTCAATATTCCATCTTCTCCTGCTCAATCAAACCCAGTTGTTAATTCATCTTTTGATAATGGACTTAGATTGGATTCTACTTTTGAAAAATCATCACCTATTACTTATAAAAATTTTGATATTTTAGAATCAACAAGACCACAAGCTCCAGTTAGATTATATAATCCAGCTCATAGTAGTAAATTAGTTACAGAAACATTAACAAATAAATCCAAAACTCATGATGCTAAAAATAGAAGTTATGAAGGAATATCTTATGAAATTTGGTCTAAAGATGAATATGAAGTTATTTTATTCATTGATAATAGAGAAGTTAGAGCTCAACAAGAAAGAGATTTTTTTGAAAGAAAATTAAAAGGTCATAATGTAAAATGTGATGTAAAAGCTTTATCATGTGGTGATACAGTTTGGGTTGCAAGACATTTAAAAACTGGTAAAGAAGCAGTTTTAAATTATTTATGTGAAAGAAAAAGAATTGATGATTTATGTGATTCTATAAAAGATGGAAGATATCAAGAACAAAAAAATAGAATGAAAAAATCAGGTATGAAACATTGTTATTATTTAGTTGAAGAAATTTCAATAGTTAAAGAAAGAGTATATGCAATAAAAGATTCAATTCAAACAGGTATAGCTCAAACAATGACAAATGCTAAAATTTATTTAAAAAGATTTAAAGATATTGATGAAACAACTGATTTTTTAACTTCATTAACTAGAGTTATTACAGAAATTCATAAACAAAAAAATTTAATCATAATTAAACCATCAGATATTTCAAATCAAGAACAATATATTGAAATTTTAAATAAATTTAGAGAAAAATTTGAACAAAAATCAAATTATGAATGTAGTCATTTATTTACAAATTTTCAAGAAATGATGGGAAAAACTTCACAAATGACAGTAAAAGAAATGTTTGTAATGATGTTAATGACAATAAAGGGATGTTCATTAGAAAAAGCAATAGTTATACAAAATAAATTTCAAACACCTAAAAAATTATTAGAATATTATCATCTGCAAAATGCTAGTTGTCCAGCTGATACAAAAAAAAATTTAATGTTTGATGAATTTAAAAATCAAGTTGGTAATAAAAAAATTGGTAAAGTCTTGCTGGAAAAGATTTATGAAGTTTGGGGTGTATAGAGTACATTCGAAATAAAAATTATTAACCTCTTGTTTGAAATTTTTTGAAATTTGTAGTGAGTGTATAGTTGTAACACAAAACTATGTACAGTTATGAAAAAAAAAATTTGATAATTTTTCAAAATCAATTCACAACCAAACAACCACTAAGAATATGGGGAAAGGAATACTAAAGTATGGTGGTAAATCAGGGATACTTCCCAAGACCAAACAAATATTCCATAGACCAATACGTCCAATGAATGAAGTTGAATTACAAAAAGAAAAAAATAAAGAAAGTGGGTATGCAGAAGGTGTACCAACTCCAATAATAAATGGAAAACCATTACCACGTAAACAACCACCAAGAAAATATATAACTGTTGAAGATAGAATAAAACATATTAAATATCCACCAATGTCATTAAAAGAAATGAATGATTTACCAGAAGAAGAAAGAGATGCATATAAAAGAGCATATTATAGAGCAGAATTTTTAAAAGAAGCATATCTAGAAGAAGAAAAAAGATTAGCCAAAATAGATCAATTAAAAACCAAGATACATGAAAAAGAATTAGAAAATCAAAGAAAATTTGAAGAACAAAGAAAAATAGAATCAATAATATCATCATTACCAACAATGCAAAAATTATTAAAAGAAGGATTAATTAAAAAAAGAACACCAGATGAAAACAAATTATTAAAAGAACAAAGAAAATTAAATAGACATTCAAAAGAATTGGCTGAAAAAGAAGAAAAAGCTTCAAAAATTTTAGAATTATATCATTCATCATCAAAATTTATAACAAATGAAGAACAATTAGAAGAAGCTATATATAGAGCTTTTGAAATTAATGTTTCAAAATTTGAAAATAATCAAACAAGTATTGATAATAAATTGTTTTCAAATAGTTCAAGTTTTATTGTGGGGGAAATTAATGAAATGAAAATTAAGGATGCTATATTAGGTGAAATTAATGGGAAACCTGGTTTAGAACAAGTAAAAGATACTTTAAGTGGGAATAGGGAGAGGTTAAGAAGGGAAGCTCAATTGAATATGAGAGGTGAAGTATAGATGTAGTATATGTAGATATTTTTCTGTAAATAAAGTTGAAGACTAAGGCCTTGGTGATTTGTACTGTAGATATTTTTTTTCTTAGTGAGAGACATGTATTGCAAAATCAAAACAGATTTTCAGATTTTCTAAAACAATCATCTTTTCAAAATATCACGAACAAACCTTCACATGTCATCGTCCAACTCATCAATTGAGAATGATAAATATGAATATTATCGAATATTCAATAAAGTCTACAACAAACGACTAAAATTTATCCTAAATATTAATATATTATTATCCATCTTTATGGCATTAATACTAAACTTACCATTTAATCATAAATATAAATTATTTACAATTTTTTTAAAATTACCAATATATTTCATTTCATTAACATTAATAAGACAAGTTCGTAAAAAATTTTCAACTGTTGAATTTTCAACTCACAAGACTTTAGGTTCACAAATTTATCATTCAATATTTTCACAAAATTTCATTCATATTTCTTTATTTTATATCATATCTGCTACACTAGTTTATTCAATATTTATATTTAATTTACCTTTTACTTTTGATTTTTATATTATTTCAAAAGAATATAGAAAAAATCCTTTATTAAATGATGAATGGATTTATTATTGGACATGTCCTTTTACAATTGGTTTATATTATTCAGCAAATCAATTAATTTTTCAAAGAAATAGATTAAATTTTAAAATTGGTCATAATAGAAATAATCCTCAATCTAATTTATTTAAACATATACCTAATTGTATTGGAAATGCTATTGGATTATCTTTGATCTTCGTGTTAGTTAATCCTGTCATTTATTTAATTTTTAAACGTTATTTATATAAAGCATTGTTTATACTTTCAATTTTTGGATTGGATACATCAGTACCACCACATAATGTAAGTTTATTAACTTATTTAAAATTATCATTTTTAGCTTATATTATAATTTTAAATTGGGAATTTGAAAATCATGTATTTGAAGTTTATTCAACAATTGGTTGTTTAGATGGTCAAAAACCAATTTCATCATATAGTAAAGATCCATTAAACTGTTTACTTAATGGATTAAAAGATGTTTCTCCAAAACATCAATTGAGTAGATTAACAGCATTTCAAGAATTAGCTTATATTTCAAATACATCGCAAAAAGAAGGTTTAAAATTAAGATTAGCTATATTTACTGTACGTTCAAAAAAGGAAAAAATTTGGCCAGCTTTATTTAATGAATGTTCATTAGTTATAAGAGAAATTGGTGATAGAATTAATTATAGAAGTTCATCTGATATGAGAATTTTAAAAGATGTACAAGATTCATTGGTTAGAGATATTGATACTGGATTTAAACCTAAACAATCAACTAATCTTTTTGGAAATTCATTCACTTCAACATCAGACAAAACCGAGTCTAAACCAAAACCGACTGTAGCAAACGAACCTACTCCATCAAATAATAAATTGGTCAATTATTGGAATTATGAAATTGTTGCACCTATTAAAAAATTAATTGCTCATTATAATCCTAAATTTTCACCAAATCTCAAAATCAATATTAAAAAAATTCAAAATCTAATCTTTCAAACAAAGAGACAATTTCTAGATACAAAATTTGGAATATTATTTAGAATAACTTTAAAAAGAGATTGTGAATCAAGAATAAGAAATCCAACAAATTATGGAAATGCAATAATATCAATTTCAAATCTCCTAAGACAATCTCAATTAGAAGATTCATTAAATATAATAACATCAGAAGATTTAAGTACATCATTAAATTTATTTGAAAAATCTATTAGAATTTCAACAAATTATATTGATTATATTCCAGCATCAGTTTTTATTAATACATCAAATCCTCAATATTGTTTAATTTCAAAATTAAGAAACTTGGCGATGTTTGAATTTAATGAAATTGTTCTAAGTTTTGATTCTCAATTAAATGATTTAATTTTAAATCAAAAAACTTATAAATTAGCTAAATGGTGTATTAATAAAGCTATTGCTGATAGACAAACTAAAGAGAAATCAAATTATAGATTTTAAAAATACTTTTGTTATGTATTTCAGTGTATAAAATGTGCCCTGTATATTTATATTAATTTAGTCCCTTCTATTATTATTATTACTTAGATTAATATTACTATTATTATTTGTACTTGATTGACTACTTGGTAAAGTATCTAATAAAACAGGTTTCAAAACTTCTTCATCAAATCTTGTAAACCATTTTGCATGTTCTTCTGCACTTAATATTGCTCCCAACATTCCTTTATCTCCATTTAGTATATTATTATTATTTTGGTTATTATTATTATTTTTTATATTTTGTTGAGTTTCTGATATTAAATCATCAACATCTGATCCAATATAATCTGCTTCATCATCTCCTAAAATAATATTTGGATTTGATTCAGAATCTAATAAATTATTTGCTGAAGAATTTCTACTACTTGCTATATTATCTTCAAATGGATTTATTGAAGAATTTTTCATAAATCTTCTATTACCTAAAATATTTTGTGGTGACATTGTAGCAGAATGAATTGGTAATCTTGGAGCTTCAATATCAAATTCATCATCAGAATCTGCAGAATCATCAATACATCCTATTTTAATACCTAAAATTTCTAACATTGATGCAGTTGTACCACCAAATAATATAACTGTTAAAACAACAACAACTAAAACAGTTGCTAATAAAGTCCATTTAGCTTCACCTTTAAAACCCATAGCTAATGCAACACCAACTGCACCTCTTAATCCAGCCCAAAAAATCATCATTTGATAAGAATGACTTATTTCATCAGGTAAACTTGATGAAGAAATTCCACCACCACTACCACTATTAGAATTTAAACCAGAATATTTTTCAATTCTTGCTTTATAAAGCCAATTTAAAAATCTTGATAATGGGAAAACTGATGACCATCTTGCAATACATATTGATATAAATGCAACAATAATTAATAAAGGTTTAAAAACTAATTCAACTTCTGTAAATAATGATAAACCTAAATAAATAAAAATAAAATTTTCAGATAATTGAGCCAATAATTGTAAAATATATTTTGTTGCAATTTGAGTTCTTCTTGACATATTATAATAAGCATAATGTTTTAATGTTATACCACAAAATAATAATGAAACTATACCTGACATATGAGCACCATTTGAAAAAAAATAAGATTGATAAGCAAATAATAAAACAAGACAAGTTTCAATTTGTGGATATCTTCTAATATGAGAATGTTTTAAAATTAATGCAACCATTACTCCAATTAACATTCCAATTATAGTTGAAATTGTAAAAGTCATTAAAAATAATCCAATACCTTCAAAAAATGAAGAAAATTTAACTGGTTGACCATGAAATTTTTGACAAGTTTCAAACATAACAATAGATATAGCATCATTAAGCAAAGATTCTCCAAATATAATAGTATATAATTTTGGATCAACTTTATAAGCATTAAAAATTGATAAAATTGTAACTGGATCTGTAGCTGATAATGTTGCCCCCACGGCTAAAGCATCAACAAATTCTAATTTAACATTATCTAATCCTATAGCTGTCCATATATATATTATTATACCAACAACTAAAGCAGATATAAAAGTTCCTGGAATTGCAAATGTTAAAATACTACCAATATTTCTAAAAAAATTAGCTTGATGTAATTCATAACCAGAATTTAATATAATTGGTGGTAATAAAATATTAAAAAAATATTCACTATTAAATTTAACAGCATCTTGTATATAATGTCCAGGACTTAATCTTATAATTAATCCAACAATCATACCACAAAATATTGATAAAACAGTTTCATGAATAGCTTTTATTCTTCTTTGTTGTAAAAAATATGATGACCATAATGCTGACATTAATAAAAATAATAATATAAATAAAGCCCAAGAACTAAAAATTTCATTTTCTACAGGATTTGATTCTTCTAAATTATCATCATCTGGTTGTGATAAATCTGGTGAATCTTCTAAATCATCTGATATTGCTCTTTTTATAAATTGTTTTAATGTGAAATAAGCAATATTAGACATGATATTTTATTAGATTCGTATTTTGTTATATTTGCATTGATTTAAGTTATTGAGTTTAAATGAAAAATGTAAAATGGAAATCTATGAGTGATGTAATGTATAGGAACTAAGATTTGAGTTCGTGTCAAATGCAAAAAAGATTAAAGATTTATTGAACGATTGAGTATAATACTTTTGAGTGTGAGTATTATTTGATAGTGCGGTGATTGAATTGAGGACTATGAGTATGAGTAAAGTATGTTGAATTGATTAAAGTGATTGATCTTTATTAATGTAATTATAATATTATTCTGAAATTCTCGATTATCACCGTATTGATCTTCAAAATTGATAATGCGGAAAAATTAAATTTTAGTGTAAGAACGGTAATAAATTTACGAGTTAGCCTTAGAGGGACTGATACAAGGATCAGTATCACAATTAATCGAAAATAAACTATAAGTAACTGTCCTGCTTTCTATTAACAGTTTAAAGCCTATCTTACGGCCTGTTCATAAAAGCTAAGACTTCAAAAGTTCAAACAGTCTCAAAATATTATTTAGATTTGGTAACAAAATTACAGATTCTTGTTAAAATGTACTCGGTGTCAATAATACATCAAAAATGCTATAAGTATAGGATCTATAGAATTCAGTGATTACAATAAGAAAAAATGAATTCAGAAAGACTTGTCGCTGTATTTATTGGAAAACATTGATTAGAAGTAAATGTAAAATCGAAATATTACTCGAACATAACAAAACATCCGTACCGCAATATTTAGTGCACTAGTATTACCTCACTGTAACACAACATTCAATAAAGAAGGTATAGCTGGAATAAAAGCTAACTTTTTGATATTTTTAGTGACTGGTGAAGTAAAATAACCTTTATCATTCGTACAGAGTTATGAATAGTGGGTTAGTTTGATAACAAGTAAGTTCTTCTCACCATGATAAGAAATGTAGTCCATATTGAAAATGACCTAGCAACAGTCAATTACATTCATTTTATTTGAGAGTTCCTCGCTACATCAGTACCAGATGTAAACCATTGAATGATCAATCTCCAATTTACTCACGAAATTCTTTTCATTTCCTTGGAATTTATTATAGTTTCAGATTCTTCAAAATAATTGCTGATATGAAAGTAGACAAAATCATAGGTAAAATTATAATACCAAATATAATATTTTGCCAATTAATATAATTCATTAATACATCAGCTTTCTTATTATCATTAGCAACAATATAACATAATATGGCCCAAATACCTCATTTAAATACAGATATTAAATTTTTTGAGAAAGTGATAGATCGAATATTTTTATATTTATAACTTATTGCTGATAAAAGTGCATCCATTGCTTTTGATAAACATAACACTTAAACAACCGATAGTATTACAAACACTGTATTATTCTTCAATTTCATGTCAACTGACGTATCCAACTACCATTTAGTATCTATTAAACTCAAACCAATTGATGTTTATTGAAAGTAAAGTAAGTAGATACATAGATCTGTACCACAATACTTTAAATAGAAATCTGATACAAAACATAACCAGCCAAATTAATTAAGTAGTAGTGTAAAAAAGACATTATTAAGTATTACACAGTAATTACATAATAAACAAATAATAAAGCGTGTAAGTTATTACGTAATACACTAACCAAAATTAGATAAAAAGAAATTCAAAAAAAAAAGAAGTTTACGAGTAAAAATAATATCAATCAAATTTCAAAATAATAATAATAGAACTAATTTATAAAATTATAATAATATTCATTCCTAAGGAACACTTGGAAAGAGAAGTATTTATATTTCACAACAACTGCTACATTTTAAGTAGCTCATATAAAGAGACAGTGCATACAATCAATCATACTTACGCTCGTTCTTACATTCACATAAATTTCAATTCCAATTTCGATTTATAAGTTACAAATATCACGTAGTATCAAAATTTTAAAACATTGAACAAATTGCATTGTATAAATCTTTGAAAGATGGATGATCAACTACAACAATCAAACAGTATGTTGAATGAGAATAAGAATCATCAAATCTCACTTGATCATCTCGAACAACAGAAAGGACAAGAGATAGAACAAAGTAATCAGATTAGTGCTGGTTCGACTGATATACAACAACAATCATACACAATACAACCTAAATCACAACCTATATCAATACAATCTACACCTTCCTCATCACCTAAACAACCTATTTATAAAAAGAAACATTCAAATTATAATAGAATGTATAATATTTATTCATCATCACAAATTAATCCAAATTATTCATCAACAAATTTATCAAAAATTACACATAATAATAATAATAGTAACAATGGTCCTTATACACATTATAATGATTCAAATGTTTCAATAAATTCAATTCCAATTGCATTACCATCACCTCCATTATCATCTGTTAATTCATTTGTATCAATGAAAAATATTTATAATTTACCATTATCTCCACCATATTCTGAATCAAATTCTCCTGAACCTTCAAAATTAGATTATAATAATTTAAAAGAATTAAATGAAAAATTATTACAAGAAACTTTTATTAATGAGAGTAGTAGTAAGACCAATTATTTAAATAAAATAAGAGATATTATACCACCTATAAATTTTAAAATATGTTCATTATGTTTTATTTGGTATTTTTTTTCAATAATATCATCAAATTCAATAAAATTAATTTTAAATAATTATAAATATCCAATAACTGTTACTCAATTTCAATTTTCATTTAATATTTTATTAAGTTTAATTTTGTTAGTTTTATCAAATAATTTTAAATTTATTAATAAAATTATTCCACAGAGTACATTACCTACAAATAAATCAATCAAGAGCTTTATAAAACCTACAAAATTAATACTTATAACCACTATACCTATGGGATGTTTTCAATTTATTGGTCATTTAACTAGTCATAAAGCAACTTCAATGATTCCTGTTTCTTTAGTTCATACAATAAAAGCATTAAGTCCAATTGTAACAGTATTTATATATCGAATTTTATTTAAAAAACAATATAAATTAAGAACTTATTTAACTTTAATACCTTTAATTATAGGTATAATGATGACATGTTATAAACCAAAAAAATCAAAAGTCATACCTGGTCAAATTATAAATCCTGAACAAAATAAAAATAATAATTATATAATTGGTTTAACTTTTGCATTTTGTTCAATGTTAATATTTGTAAGTCAAAATATTTTTGCCAAAAATAGATTAACATCAGCTAATACAACCACCTCCACAGCAAATTCATTAGAAATTCCTATGTCAAAAGCAGGTACAAAAAAATTAGATAATTTAACAATATTATATTATTGTTCAATAGTTGGATTTATTTTCACTTTCCCAATATATTTAACTTCTGAAATTTTTAATCTAAATTTTTCATTAATTCAGCTAAATTTCAAAATTTTATGCTTAATTTCAATCAATGGATTAAGTCATTTTTTTCAATCTATATTAGCTTTTCAAATATTAGGATTATTATCTCCAATAGATTATACAATTGCAAATATTTTAAAAAGGATATTTATAATATTTATAAGTTTTATTTGGGAATTAAAAAATTTTACAAATATGCAATCTTTAGGGTTATTTTTTACTTTATTTGGATTATATTGTTATGATCGTTGGGGTACTCAACGAAAAGATATGAAGAATATAGTTCATTAATAAATGCATAAAAGTTTTACGGTAATGAAAAAAGTGTTTTAAAGTCTTTTTCTAATATTATACTCTATAATGTACTTTAAAGTATTTAATGCCCTGTACCATAATTATTATAATTGGATGGTCTTTACTCGAAGAAATGCGTCTTTAGTCTTTTTCTATTATTGAACTCTATAAAGTATTTCAAATAATTTTAATTTTAATGTCCTGTACCTTCAGTATTTAACATTTTTTTAAAAATATCACCAAATGCAACCATAAATACTGTTTGCCATACACCTAAACCAATTCTTGGTGTTACACCTCTATATAAACCTTTTATACCATTATTTTCATAAATATATTTAAAAGCTCCAAAAACACTTAAATTTTTTGGTCTATTTGGATCTTTTGTTTTACTTTGCATTTCAACTCTTATAACTTCTATAGGTTGATTCCATGCACTTAATCCTCCACCAATAACAGAAGCAAAAATTTTATCTGTATTTGATAATTTTTGATTTTCCAGTTTTCCAGTAAATTTTCTTATAGCATCTTCTGCTAATCTTGAAAATCCAAATCTTGAACCCCAATTTGTCATTTGACGTATTGCAACAGCATTAACTCCCTTATTTATACCTCTTAAACCTTCTTTTTTCCAAATTTCTTTAAATACTTGAAAACTCGTTTGTTGTGGTACTCCTGTAGTTGCAACTTGTTTTGCTCTTGTTATTTCAACAGTTTTCATACATGTACAAAATCCCATAGTTAAATAAGCTTGAGCTAAACCTCCTAATACTCCACCACCCATTCCACTTACAAATCCACTAGCTCCTAAACTTTTTAATCTATATTCACCTTCTGCACTAACAAATAATAATACTGCACCTTTTGTACTTGCTTCAATCCATGCCCATGGTATTAAACCTTGATAAAATCCTAATATTCCACCACGACTCCATACTAATTTTGCAGCTTGTAACATTGATAAATTTCTATTTGCTGCCATTGTTGTTTTTATAACTTCTAATGGTTGACCTAATGTTGTTACTTCTGACATATTTAAACCAGCTCCTAATAAAATATTGGAGAAACTTATTGGTTTTTTCTCAATTTTGCTTGTTGTTGTAGCCATTTTGTTGAAGGGATTAGATAGAACTGAATAGATAAGTTGACCTAAAGAGTGGTCCTTGTTTAATTAGTTAGTTGAAGTTATACTTTTGAAAAATAAATATAAAGTTGAAAAAAAAAAGATCAACTAACGATTTGAAAAAAAAAAAATAATTTTGTTAAATTTGGGGAAGAAATGAGAATTGTTCATCACATTGTTCTTTAAGATTTAGTCTACGCATTGTTTGAAGTTATAGTTATGGGACGATTCTTTAGAGCATCTAAGTCTATTATCCTGTTTATATGAACGAATTGTGTTACTAGATTTTCAAATCTCTATAGATCTTGATCAAGGAACTCAATAAATCAAGTAATAGAGTGAAAAAAATAATAGAATGAAAAAAATATACGAAATGAAATTTAAGCGCGCTTGTTGAAAAAAAGTAAGGACCCGGTCTCGGTATATTTCGCAATTCAAATTGTTGCAAATTGAGTTGATTGAAAGCAGTCATTTTGTTGAATATCTTCCCACTGAACTAATTCTGATTCTTCAATGTAATCTGAGTCGTATTTCAATAGCCCAACCCTTCTTTTGAATTAGATATTTTCTTCTAGTTTGAGCAAATTATCGAAGTGTCTAATTTTGGTATTAAATCAATATCTTACCTTCACTTCAAAATACTAGACTATTGAATTATTAAAGAGTTAGTATACTCAGTACCATTGCCTTATTTATTCGAGAATAGTATCAATTGTTGAGCCTTTTTAACTCATGTTGATAACAACCTTCCCCACTTTTTCAAATTTTGTGTCCTAAATTAATAGTCTGTCTCAAATTGTTTTCTCTGACAAAACAGTTTTCCGACAATAAATTGATCATTTAAAATTTAAAGTTAAGGCTGTCCTAATCGAGACGGAGTAATTTATCAATTAAAATACCAAAAGTAGAAAACTTATAAGTTGAAATATTTCATTTTATAAAATCCAACTGGCCCATCGAATATATACAAAGACAAATATTTAATTCAAAATGGGTCTAAAGAAAATGTTTATGAAAAAAGATCCAACTGAACAAGAATTAAGAGAAGAATTAAATAGAGTTGGTATAACAACAAAATCAAATAATCAAAGACAAGAGAAATTTGGTGCTTTTAAAACTTATGCTCAAGAAAGAGCTCAAATGAAACCAGGTATGGCTCCAGTAAATCCTTATGCAAATGTTCAAAATAATGATCCTGCTCAAAATCCATATGCAAATAATAATATAAATAATAATGGAGGAGATAGTCAAAATGATCAATTTAAAAATGATTCTTATCAAAAAAGTTCTAGTCCTTATTCATCATCTAATAATTCCTCAAATCCATATAATAAAAGTAATAGTCTGTCATCAAGAACTTTAGCATCAGATCCATATTCAATGCCAACAAGAAGAGATCAACCACAACAAAGATCATCACAAAGACCACCAAGACAACAACCACCAAATTCACAATCACAAAATAATATACGGAGTAATCAACCTGTTTCAAGAATATCAACTAGACAAACTATGGGTGATACTGAATCATCATTAGATCTTAATGCTATATCATCACATCAAATGTTTAAAAGTAATAAACCAATAAGGAAACAAGAATTTAATGAAGATGAAGAAGATGATTCTAATTTAGATTTAAATGATCAATTCATATCAGAAGAAACAGATGAAAATTTAGATTTAAATTTAGAAATACCAGGAGAAGAAGAACAAGTTAATTCAGAAGATGAAGAAGTTGAAGCAATAAAACAAGATATTAGATTTATAAAACAAGAATCAGTACAATCTACCCGTAATACATTAAGAATGGCACAAGAAGCAGATGCTTCAGGAACAAATACTTTAGGAATGTTAGGATCACAATCTGAGCGTTTATTTAATGCAGAACAGAATTTATTATTAGCAGATACTCAAACTCAAATAGCTGATGAAAAAGTTAAAGAATTAAGAAGATTAAATAGATCAATTTTTATACCAGCTTATGGAAATCCATTTAATAAAAAATCAAGATTAAGACAACAAGAAGAAAATATAAAAAATAGAAAAATTCAAGAAAAATATTTGAGAGAAACTAATAGACAAGGAATGTATGAAAGTGAACAAAGATTAAAACAAGGTTTAATGAATAATGCAACAAATAATGATATCCACAAGAAATATTCAGATGAAAAAAATTTAAATCAAGCATCAAGATATCAATTTGAAAATGATTCAGAAGATGATGAAACTGAAAAAGAAATTGCATCAAATTTAAATGAAATTTCAAATTATACAAAAAAATTACATGGTATTGCAAATACAATGGGTAAAGAAGTTGATAGTCAAAATATAAGATTAAGAAAAATTGAAGAAGATGCTGATAAATTAGATATTAATGTTCATATGAATAGTACAAGATTAAGTAATATTAGATAATTAGTGGGTAAAGGGTTTACATATATATATTGATATAGAGTGTAATTTCATAATTTAAAAAGACTTTGAAGTAACGGATAAGTTTGTAGAAAACAAGTACTTTTCAACTATAGATGTTTTAGAAAGTGCAACATATTTCAGACCATTTTCTTTTAAACTATTCTGAATTAAATGGCTAAGAAGAATTGCAAAATGAAGGACTTATGATTTCCATAAATGAGTTGTTTCAAATAGTAGTCTGATAAAATCTCGAATAGAGTATTTTTTTCAATAATATGTCTACTAAATAATTAGTGTCAATGTCAATTGCAGTTTTCAACATGTGTCAAAAAACTTAAATTAAATTTTTTCCATTGCAAATCATTTTTAGTTATTAGCCTAGTTTTAAAATTAAGGCAAATTTTAAAAAGAAACTTTACAAAGAAGTGACACCACATGTAAGGAGTGATGAATACAAACTGAGACAATCGTTTTACTATACTCAGCCTTAAGGAGCCTTAGAACAATGCTAAAGTAAATTATTTCATAACCGGAATAGTATATTAAGAAATGAGCTCACTACTGGTATTTCTTTTTTTCATAATTGTCTCATTATTATAATGTCATAAATTTTACATCATAGAAATTTCATATCAGTCTACAAGATTACTCTATAGAGTAAAAATTAAGATAAGATGCATTTTCCTTTCAACCATCATCTCCTTAGCCTTAATCTCTCTATTATTCTTCATTTAAACTAACTTCTTTTTAGTTAATAATATTTTTTTTTCTTAACTCCTGCCGTACTACTATTTTAGTTTTAGGGGTATCCATTCATATTAACTTTATTATTAATTACTCTAATAAGTTAGATTTTTGTTGATAAGTTTTTTTTTTCATATAGGCAATCAAATTGATCTCATCAACTGTTTATCATGAAAAATGAAGTCACGTTGAGTGAAGAATGGTGTTAAATTTCTTTTAAATGTATCAACGAATTAATATACGAGGATGAAAGAATTTAAGCCTATTAAAAAAACGTTTTTTTTATTTGCCTCTCTTTAATAGACCAATAACGTGTGTGAAATCTGACACGTATTGAAATTTACATACTTTACATAGTAGAATCGATATTCATGGCTAATGTAGAATATTATTAGGTCGGAACAGTTGGTAGTTCTACTACAGAACATCTGTTTACTCATCCCCACCAATTAAAACGAAAGAAAGAAAAATTACAATAAGAAAAAGAAACGAACTCAATAATAAATAATTCTTATCGGATAATTCAGTATGTATCTTATGTAAGTATATTTACTTATATACAGGTTTCAACATGTGGAATCAAACAATTAAGAACAAAGACAATAAAAATAATATTTTTACATCTGATAAATTTTTCATTTATAATAAACAATAATCTTCATTTATTATCTTCAAAATCTTGGTTAAAAGAACCCTTTTTTCATTTCATTCATTCATTTTCACCTTCCATTTCAATCGTTCATTCGTTTCATTTGGGTTAACCTAGCATATTTCATCCACCAGTAGTTTTTTTTTTTCCAATTGTTTCAAAAACTTAAAATTTTGCAATCAAATTTAAGACATTGTATTAAAAGTTTATTAAAATTTTTTACAACCACGTTTATACAACCAAAACAACAATATTACATTAGATTTCACTTAGATAGATTCGATTAGCATAGATCATAAACCATAAACCATAAACCATAGAATATAGAATTTACAACAAAATTTCAAAATGTCTGCTGTAACTTCATCAATTTCATCATTCAACACTAACAACTCAGATTCAACAACAACAAAAATTAAAAAATCAGGAAATGTTGCAAGTTTTTCATCAACTCCAAATGGTTATCAAACTAATTTAATAGCAATTGATACTTATGGTAATACTTTTAAAGTTCCTGATTATTCAATAAAAGATATTTTATCAGCTATACCATCACATTGTTATGAAAGAAGATTATTTGAAAGTTTATATTATGTATTTAGAGATATTACATTAATGGTTAGTTTAGGATTTATTGCAAATAATTATATTCAATTTATACCAAATCAAGTTTTAAGATTTATTGCATGGTCATCATATATTTGGATTCAAGGTTTAATTGCAACTGGTATTTGGGTATTAGCTCATGAATGTGGTCATCAAGCTTTTTCAGATTATGGTTGGGTAAATGATTTAGTTGGTTGGATATTACATTCTTATTTATTAGTACCATATTTTTCATGGAAATTTAGTCATAGCAAACATCACAAGGCAACTGGTCATTTAACAAGAGATATGGTTTTCGTTCCTAAAACTAAGGAAGAATTTTTAAAAAATAGAGGAGTTGAAGATTTAGATGATTTATTAGGTGATTCACCAATTTATTCTTTATTAACTTTAATTTTTCAACAATCTTTTGGTTGGATTGCTTATTTATTTGCAAATGTAAGTGGTCAAAAATTTTCAAATTTAAATTGGTTTCAAAAATCTCATTTTAATCCAAAATCTATTATATTTGATAAAAAGGATTATTATTATATCTTGTTAAGTGATTTAGGTTTAGTTATACAATTTACAATTTTGTATGTTTGGTATAAAAATTTTGGTGGATTTAATATTTTGGTTAATTGGTTTTTACCTTATTTATTAGTAAATCATTGGTTAGTATTTATTACATATTTACAACATTCAGATCCTCAAATGCCACATTATGAATCTCATCAATGGACTTTTGCAAGAGGTGCAGCAGCAACAATTGATCGTGAATTTGGATTTGTTGGAAAATATTTATTTCATGATATTATTGAAACTCATGTTTTACATCATTATGTTTCAAGAATCCCATTTTATAATGCAAGAGAAGCAAGTGAATCAATAAAAAAAGTTATGGGTATTCATTATCAATATTCAAATGAAAATATGTGGATAAGTTTATGGAAATCTGCTAGATGGTGTCAATTTGTTGATGGTGATAATGGTGTTTTAATGTTTAGAAATATTAATGGTAATGGAGTAGATCCAAAAAAGAAGAAATAAGGAGTCTTATTTACCAATTATAATTGTTAAAAACACTTTGATAGACTATATTAACAACAGTATGAACTTTTTATACTTTTAATTTATGTACATAATATATATATATTTACAAACTTTTATTTCTAATTCAATCACTTATACTTCATTTTGATTAATAAACATCCAAATTTCTATTTATACTTCATTTAACCATTCTTCATTTAATTGATGAGCATCCAAGTTAATGTGTAATTCTACGCAGATAAGTATCCAAAATGACGTGAAACTCCTTAACTAATAAACATCCAAGTTGATGTTGAATTCTTATACTCAACATAATCATTACCAAAAAATTTAATAAGATATTCTTCTTCAAATTTGATTCTATCTTTAAAAAATTTCCATAATATTATAGATCCTACAACTAAAATTATAATATTTCCTAAAATTAATTGTAATCCAATAAACCAAACAAAGAATCCTAAATAACTTGGATGTCGAATATATCGATATATTCCATAATCAACTAATTTATGATTTTTATTTGTTTGTTTTTGTATATAATGATTAAAATTTTCTTTTGCAATAATCATAGAATATGATCTTATAAATTGTCCTATAATTAATAGTAGAACACCTCCAAATATTGTATGAATTTTAATTGGATTTATTAAAAATTCAATAATTGATGCAATATTTATAAAATGTAATTCTTTATCTTCTAAAATAAATGAATCATCATCAATTTCTGAATTATTATAAATATAAGTTAATATAAACTCTAATGAATGGAATAAGCATATAAATTGTAAATATAAAAATATTGATGTGTATGATGTATTATAAAACTCTAAAATTGTTGCAAGTGTGAAAACTATTCCTATTAGGAATGATTTAATACTTATTACTAGTAAATTATTTCTTGTTGGATCATATCTGGATAATGGATCCATTTGATGATAATGATAAAGAGCCGATATCTGGATGTTTTTTTTTCTAGTTATTAATATTTTTGCAACTGCTTCTTTCCCCAAGTGAATGAAATATTCAACAAATAAAGTAAATTTAATTGAAATTTATGTAGTTTGTTTTATATTAGGTTCATTATTCACTTTAGATATATGGTCTTTATTCAATACTAAGAAACATGGGTTATTAATCATTTATTTTATTTGTTTAAAAAGTTATTTTATAAATGAATTCATATGTTGTGTGTTATATCAACCAAGTTCAATTACTTCTAAATCTTTTTTAATTTATGGAGTAAAAGGAAATAATGAATTTTGGTTTATACAAGTTTTAACTATTTTAGAGTATTTTTGGGGGTTTAGAGTTAAAAGTAAAGTTATTTCAACAATTGGATTTATTTTTACAATTTTTGGGTTATTTATTAGACATTTGGCTATGAAAGAATGTGGTGATTCTTTTAGTCATTATATTGCTACTATACCTAAATCACAACATCAGTTAATAACTACTGGTATTTATAGTTGGTTTAGACATCCAAGTTATTTTGGATTTTGGTTATTTGCTTTGGGAATACAATTACTATTAAATAATTATATTAACCTAGTGTTAAACTTAATTATACTCCATTATTTCTTTAAAAAAAGAATTCAATATGAAGAATGGTATTTAATTAATAAATTTTATGGTAATAGATATAAATTATATCAAAATCAAGTTAAAATATATATTTTATAAACTTTTATTCATAAATTTTCTTTTTGTAAATGATAACCAATATTTACTTGGTACGGATGGATCATCTTTATAAATTCTATTTAATAATCTTTCAGCTAATTCTTGTCTAAATTGTGTTAAATATTGTCTTAATAAATCTGCTTCATTCTTGGTTTTTGGAGGTAAATATAATGAATTTAATGGAAAATTTATATCACCAGGTAATGCAAAATTATCAAGACTTAAATTATTTAAAACTTTGGTGGATTCTTTATGTGACATCCTAGAATTTATTTTACTTAAACAATCACTTATAAATAATATTCCATAAATTAATAATCTATCTGCATTTCCCTTTATTTCAAAATTTTTAAAAAATGAATTTGCTCTAAATAAATCAAGAGTTTCTTCAATTATATCATAATCTGTTGTTTCATATGCTGGTCCTCTATATTTTGTATTTAATGGTAATAATGATAAATTCCCTATTGTTCTTGAGTCTTGTGTTTCTTCTCCTATGAAGGTAGAATGATATGCAGGCATTGTTGATTATTATGTGTATTGGTTCAGTCAATTGATTGTAGTTTTGATAGCTATAGAATATTGAATTCTGATAGTTCGGTTTTAGGCTAAACTTGAAAATAAAACTGAGCTTGATTACACTACTAAACAAGTGGTAGCATCGATATATACTACTTCTGTTCAAATTGGTCTAAGTCAAAAGACTTCAAAATGTCCTCATTGAATTGGTACTAAGCGTACCTGATTATTTAATTAGTTCAAAACTATTAATATTTATTAATCAATTCATGTTTAATGTTGATTGAAAGTAATCTTGTTATATTTTCTTGCATTGTAATATTAATAAATATTTTATTTTTGGTCTTGCTGCAAAATATTTTTATGACAAACATAAACGGAACAATTGAATAAACAACTGCAACATGAAAGTGGGGAGCAACAACATTGAGTTTATGTAGTTAGGCTAATACAATTCAAGCCATTTCATGTTTAAAATTGTACAAGATTTTAATGACGTTATTTATAAATTTACGAAAGAGAAGAAAATTTGGACGTTACACAAAATTAAACTATGTTAGTAAAAATTAATTTAATAACCAAATTAGTTTAAAAAGTAAACAAATATTTATCAACACAATTTTAACATTAGATTAAATTAGTTACATATTCAATCAAACGGAAATATAATTTTAACATTACCACACAAAAAAAAGAAATTTTAAATTGAAATTTAGTAACAAAAGAAGAAGAAGTAAAAGAAGCAAATTATCAAATAAAGAAAGAAGAAAAATATTATAAACTGTTGAAACATACAGCAAGTAATTAAAATCAAATTTGAAATTGAAATTTATTTGGTCCACCATCATATACCTTTATTTCTTCAATTAATCATCACCCATTTTTCCATTTTCACTTTATCTTCATCAATTTTTATGTCCAATAAATCATCCTAATAATGTCAATCTCGTCGATTTCACCAAATAGACAGATGCATAACGAAAATCATGAATCTTCAAAAAGTATTGAAAAAAGATTTATAAGTAATCCTCAACAAATATCTGAACCTTTATTATCACCAAATAAAAGGCAATTTTTAAAACAAATGAGTCCTAACATCACCAAGAAATATAAAACTTTTTCAAATGAATTAATATCAAAACCTCCAAATTTAAAAGAATCAAAATTTCAAAGACCTCAATTACCAGCTTCTTTAAAACCTTCATTAGATAAAAGATCAAAAACTACTTTAGAATCACCAACTACTACTAGTAGTAGTACCACTAACAGCTCAAACAACAACAACAATTCATTACCATTTAATCTACGTCGATCTAATTCATTAATAAATAGATCAACAAATACTGAATCATCAATTCCTGATAGATTTATTCCTTCTCGACATAATTCAACTACTGGTAAATTAGATTCTTCCGTTCCTCAACCTGCTCCAAATGCTTCACCTGAAACTCATATAAAAGCTCAAACATCAATTATATATCAACATCATGTTGCTGAAGCTTGTGGATTAGAAATGAATTCAAGAATTTTATTATATCAACCTGCACCACCAGAAAGTAAAAAATCAATAAATTTAATATCATCACAATTTAAAAATCAAAATCAACAATCAAAATTAAAATTAAATAATGGTAAAAATTCACTACCTCCATCTATTGCATCAGCAAGAGCTAAAAAAATTCCTTCAGCTCCAGAAAGAGTATTAGATGCTCCTGGTATAGTTGATGATTTTTATTTAAATTTATTAGCTTGGTCACTGTATAATTTATTAGCTATTGGATTAGAAGATACTGTATATGTTTGGAATGCATCAACTGGATCAGTTGGTTTATTATGTGAATTACCAGAAAAAAAAATTGTTACATCATTAAAATGGTCACAAGATGGTTCATATGTTTCAATTGGAAAAGATGATGGATTAATTGAAATTTGGGATATTGAAAAAAATATTAAATTAAGAACTTTAAATTGTGATAATCATTTAACAAGAATTGCTTCACAAGCTTGGAATCAACATATTTTAACAAGTGGTAGTAGAATGGGGAATTTATATCATTCAGATGTTAGAATTTCTTCTCATTTTATAAATAAATTTGAGAATTGTCATTCTTCTGAAATTTGTGGAATTGAATATAATCAAAAACAATTTGTTACAGGAGGTAATGATAATGTTATAAATATATTTGATATTAGAAATAATTCTCAACCTTTATTTTCAAAAAATAATCATAAAGCTGCTGTAAAAGCATTATCTTGGTGTCCTTATCAATCTAATTTATTAGCTACAGGAGGAGGATCAACTGATAAAACTATAAATTTTTGGAATACAACAACAGGTTCAAGAGTAAATACTATAGAAACTGGTTCACAAATTTCTTCATTAAATTGGGGTTATGCTAATGGTACAGGAATGGAAATTGTTGCAACTCATGGATATCCAACAAATAATATATCATTATTTAGTTATCCAACTTTACAAAAAACTGGTGAAATTACAAATGCTCATGATACAAGAATTTTAAATGGTTGTTTAAGTCCTGATAATTTAACTTTAGCAACTGTTGCAGGTGATGAAAATTTAAAATTTTGGTCATTATTTGATTTAAAAAATTCAAAGAAAAGATATAATGATGAAGATGATATTGATGATTTGAATAATAAAGATTCAAATGAACCAAAAAGAGTTAAAAGATTAATAAATCTTAGATAAGAAATTATTGTAATGAATGAAGTAATGATAAAAATTCAAATTTTCTGTGCACTCTTTTTTCTCTGTTTACAATATTATGCCTAGAAGTCCGACTAATACATTATTATTAACAAACCTTAGTGATGAATTCCTAATAGATCCTCATCCATTAATTGATTTTATATCAGATTTACAATATTTGGTGGAACTTATAGTTTTATCAAAATTATCAAGAATAGTAATAATATGTGAAACATCAACAGTAGCAAAGATATTAAAAGAAAAAATAACTTCATGGAATAATTCAATAAAAGTATCATTTACAATAAGAGATAATAAATTTGATTTAAAAAAACAAGAGCTTGATAAAGCAACTGCTAATTTCAATAATGAAATAAATTATTTAGAATTACCTCATGATTTAGATCTGAAAAGATTTTTAATAAGTCCTCCAATGAGTCCACAATCAGAATGGAATGATTATAATAAAACAGAAGAAGGACCTAATGAAATTGCAATATATTCACCAGAAGAATTATCTAATTTATTATGGGAAAGATTGGGAGGATTTGAAAGTGAATTAGTTCGAAAATTTCAAAATGATGAAGAACCTAAAATTAATCAAGATGTTAAATTTATAAATTATAAAATTGAACCTGAATTATTATTTCAAGATGTTGATAATGGGGTACCTGCTATAATTTTAGATAAAATTGATGATTTACAAGACATTGATGAAAAATTACCAAAAACTTCAATGCCTCCTCCAATATAGAATCAATGTATTTAGTACTAGTGTATTCAGGACGATCAAGAATTATCTCGTGTGAAATTTGTCTCGGTCGGGGTATTCTTTTAGTTTTTCGCCCTATTTACTCAGTTTATCGTTGTAAATTCTCGTCCCCTTAAAATTTTACTCAACAAAATAATTAAATCCGATAACTTGGTAGCTTTCCTCACTCAAAATTTTATTTTGTGTTCTTATTTTTATCTCGTAAAATTTAATTTACCTTTTACAGAAAATGGGGTTATTATTCATATGAATTTAAATGAAACTTATCATCCACTTTTTAACTACAACTCGATAGTCTATATTGATTCAAAAGATGACTACTAAACCTCCCAAATATGCATTAATCACTGGTGCATCATCAGGTATTGGATATAATTTAGCCATAGAATTATCAAAAAAAGGTTATAAAGTTATAGGTTGTTCACCTCAACAATATTTATTTGGTCAAAAACCATTAGAAGAAGAATATGGAGTAATTTCATTACCATTAGATATAACAAATATTGAACAAATTAAATCAACTTTACAAAAAGTTGAAGAAATAACTAATGGAAAATTATCAATACTTTATAATAATGCAGGTATATCAATAGCAGGTCCTGCTATAGAAATTGATGAAGATCAATTAAATAAATTATTTCAAGTAAATGTTTTAGGACATATTAATATGACAAAATATTTTGCTCCATTAGTTATAAATGCAAGAGGTACAATAGTTTTTACATCATCAGTTGCAGCAAGAGTTCCATTATCCTGGGTTGCAGCTTATAATTCAACAAAAGCAGCAATAGATGCTTATGCTTTAACATTACATGGAGAATTAAAACCTTTTGGAGTAAGAGTTCATAGTATTATTACTGGAGGTGTTGATACTGCAATTTGTGATTCAAATAATTTAACAACTTTAAATGAATCTTTTTATAATGTACCAGGTGTATATGAATCAATTAGATCTTCATCAATGATGAGTAGAGAAACTAAAATTTCACCACAAGAATATGCAAAACAAGTTGTAAAAGATCTTAATAAATGGATTGATCCAGGATTTAATTTATATCATGGTAAAAGAAGTTATTTTTTACATTGGATTAGTAGATATTTACCTTTATGGATTGTAGAAATGGGTGTTCAAATTCATTTTAAACAATATAAAGTTTTGAGGTATATTGCAAAATTAGCAAATCAAAGAAAATTTGTTAAAAAAAATGAATAATTTAAATTAACTCGAGTTATGTAATTAAATGTATAGATGATATAGTAAATAAAAATAGGCTATTTAGAGAATTAAATTTTTTAAAATAAATCGATAGAAACAATTGATGGACAAACTTAGAATGATTATTGAGCTCGATATAACTTCTTAACAAGATTTCGTTAATGGTTGATTAAAATTGAAAAAATCTATCTGGAAACTATTTTATCTTTTGATTGATTAACAGATATAGATATGGCGAATAGTGCGTTGTAAAACTGAAAATGTCAACTTAAATTTTTAATACTACTAAATAAATTTATTGGTAAAACTACCAATGATCTTGAACTTATTGTTGTTTTCACTAAATTGTTTAAGGCTGACTCGAGAGATATAAGGTGTTGGAACTTGCAAAGCACCTGTGATTAAATAGCTGAGTATTCTATTAGAATACGTGATTTATCACAACACGTTCATACGTAAAATCTTACAATTTCTCCAATTCGTTACATTCCAACTACTATATCAAAGATCCAAACACTTAAATGATATGAACGAGTTATGCGGATACTCGAATACTAGGTGAAATATGTTGAAAAAGTATGTTGAAAAAGTTCACTTCAAATTTTAATTAAAAATCTAGTTTAAGGGGTTTTTCCCCCCTAAATTGAAACCAAGTGGTCATAGTTAGTACAACACAGAGTATAAATTATCAGCAGTGTAAAATTTTCAATGTATGTTGAATAAGAACTAAGAAAATTTATTTCCCTAAGAAAAGACCAAAAAAAATTCCTCACTACCTTTTATAAAATGGATCGTGTTTTTTAAAGATTTTATAAGGTTTGTCCCTACATTCAATATCCAACATGTCCATACCATGAAGCTCTTCAACTGAATAATCATGTTTTAAAATTATATTTAATTCTTTTGAGTTTTTGGAATTATGTTTACGAGAACTCAGTTTGTCTTTTTTTGTAATTGAGATTATATCACTTTTGAAAAAATATGATGGCCATTGACAAGATATAATTTGAAAATAATCAGGCGAATATATTTGTAAATTATCTGAATTAAATAATATCTCATCAAAATATAAATCCGTAAATCTTGGCCACCAAGATATTCTCAAACTTGGATTTATAAGATAAAGTTTAGCAATTCTTGTGGCATACCTATTATTAGCCTCATCTGTACATATGATCAATTTATGTAATTTTGAGACGTCAATTGACTTTAAATCTAAAGTTCCTGAAGATAGAATTAAATTTCTCAATTTTGGTAAATTGGCGTTAATTAATATTTCCTCAAACTTGAATTCTTCAAAAAGATAAGATTTTTTGTCATACATTCAGTTATAACAATTTAATGATAACGTATCAATCTCTTTTGTATAAAAAAATTTATCCAAAGTAAATAGCCATTTTCTAGGTGGATTCGGGTGTAGGTCATAGTATTCCCAACTATCATCTGCTATAAATATAAATTTAGCCCAAAACAATAAATCAAGTTTTTTTAATTTGCAGTTTATTTTATTCAATCTTTCAAGCAATAATGGATCCATTAAATCAATAAGTTGGTCAAATGTGAGATGTAACTCTTCAAGTTTTTTAAATAAATTGATTTTGTTGAATAAGTCAATGCTTTTAGATAATTCATGGTGTTCATATTCTTTTATGGAGTTGTCGGGTGGTTCAAATGAAAATTTCAAACTTTTTAAATTATTGTACAAAAAATCATATGACCTTGGGTTTTTTTCCTCCAAAAACAATACATGTCGATAAAAGTCAGGAAGTTCATCAGGAATTAGAAAAGTTTTACCTTTTATTCCGTCATCAGATTTGTCTTTATTTTTTCTATTAAGTTGATTATTTGATAAAGCAAAACTAACATAATCTAAATTTTTAAAATATTTAAATATTTTTCTCAAGAATAATGGTGTAACACCTTTTCTACTTTCAAATGACAACTTTGATGCATAAAATACAGGTTCAAGATTTTCAATACTAAGATGTTCAATATGTTGATATCTATTCATTTTATTCTTATTGATGTTAACATAAAAATTGCATGATGAAATCACAGTATATTTTTTGGTAAAGTCGTTCAAAATTTCTTTATGAGCTCTCCAGCCTAATTCGTAATCTGGCTTATTTGCTTCAGAAGGGGAAGCTTTCTTTAAATGACGTTTCAAATAAATATGAATATTTTTGTATAACTTTTTTTGACCAATTTCATAAAATCTTGAATGTAATGGCATTAAGGCTATTACCATGTGATGATTTATTTGTTGGAATATTAATTCCAATACTTCAATTGGAAAGTTTACTAGCTTTTCCATGTTTTCAAAACTATTGATTAATTGATTATTGAACCAGCAATGCATTCAATTTTGTACATTTCCAAAGTTTTTGTAAATTTTAGTTTAGCCCTGTGATTATACAACTAAACATATTTAGGAAGCTCTAACATGCTGAATTTCGGTTTGCTAAAACAGAGAGAACAAGAAAACCACATGAATTATCATCGAGTGAGGGTTAAAATTTGGATGTGACATAAACGTAAAAACTCGTTAACTCGGCAAACACCTATCACCCGTGCCAAATCTTGCATTGTATTTCATATCAACAGTTTTTCAGCAGAAAAACATATTAAAACACGTGAAAAACTTCTTGAAATAAAAAATTCCATTTTCCACAATTTTTTTAAAATTTTCGATCGTAAATTCTTTTTTTTGCGCTTCTGACATATTTTTTTTTTTTTTGTTCAATCAATCAACCACAACTTGAAATCAAACCTATTCAAAAATTTAAATGAGTCAAGAAGATCAATTTGACAATCTGGAAGAAATTAATTTGATTGATTTAAATTCTGAAAACCCATATGGGAATGTTGAATTAAGAGAAGGCAGTACGGACGAAGAGAATGCTCAATTAATTGCTCATCAAACGGTTCAACCAAATTCCTCTGAAATCTTAGATGAAAGAAATGAATCTAATGAAAGAAAAGTTGATGCATGGTTAGTTAGTGCTGGATGTTTTTTGCTTTTTTCGGGCGGCTTCCTTATTGGAAAAGGTTTAAATTAGATGTTGTTTTGAAGCATTGGTCGTTGTTCAATTTATTTTTAAAGTGTTGTGATTAATAAATGTTACACTATTTTGAATTTTACAGTTCTTTTTTTTTTTTCTTTCAGAACCAATTATTTATTAAATGAGTAGTCTTGTTTAATAATAAATGTTATACTGTTTTAAGCTGTACGGCTTCTTTCGAAATAGTATTTAGATTAGTAATGGATTAATTTGCTTCATACTGAATGTATGCTCAGTTTCAGAAGATAGTACAAATGCATTGGTAAGCCTGATACAGAAAGATGATGTTTTGCAAAATGAACAAAGATGATCTTAGTATGTAAAAATAAATTGAAGTCAAACTATCAATTTAATTGAGTAAGTTAAGGACATGGAGAGGATAAAGTTCTATACTCGGGCAAGAAACATTATCAGGAGAATGTATTTTCCCTACTAAGGTTATTACAATAAAAATAGATAAGGAATAGGCTTAGGCGGCTACACATACAGGAGTTAATTAATCTTACTTTTTCTTTTGAGTAAATTTAATTTTTATTACTTAATCACCTTGGAAATAATTTGATTTTCTTACAATCTGACTTGCTCTGTCTTATCAAGTCAAGATTATCATTAGTTTCTTGAGTATAAAAGATCAAAAACAAATCATGAGGTGCTGATAAAAGTATATTTGGGCTCCTTTTATATATTGAGCGCAATTTTTCGGAATGGCTCAACTTTACACAAAACTGCATTCATTTCATTTCTCAAAAAAAAAACCGGGAATCAAATTGATTAAATTTATCATGAATTGATTATGGCGTGAAAATTTTCACCCAATTTTTTGAACAAAAGAAAGTTAGCTAATGATAACTTGTTTACTCCTATTGATCGTTTTGATAAATCAATCAATCTCGTCATCAAATTCAAAACCATTTTTACATACATTATTTGATTTCAACTTAACTAAAGAAATAGGCAATGAAAATTTAATTTGTTTCACAAGGTTATATGGTGTGACTTTTTATGATGAGGATGGTAATAAAATTAAAGGAATATGGTTGCAAGGTGGCGAACCAGGTGACATAAAGCCTATTATTATTGGTAAGAAGAGTAACGTTGAAGTGGATTTCAATATTGTTAATATGGAAAATTTTATAATCGAGGGTGGTATCTCGTTTAACAATACTCACGATTTCTGTAAAGATTTAGAGAACCTTTATAATGATATGGAATTGAATGGGAGAGGTAATAAACAAGCATCGAAGAGTTTACTTGCTCCCGTTATGTTTCATTCGAAAGGTTATATTCCAAAAAGAGGTAGTTGTCTTAGGAAGAAAGATACACTGAGAGTTCCATACAAAAGTAAAATTTTGCAAAATCACAGGCTAGCTTTTAATTATTATATAAATTACATAAAAATATTCACATAGAAAATTTAAATCTAATGTTCCAAGTTTTGGTGTTATAAGATTGTTTTTTTGTTCGAAAGGAAGAATCAAATTGCACAAACATTCTTTAATTTGTTCAAAAATATACAATAGAAGCACTTAATTGTATCTTTTCACTGACAAAATGTCAAAACGCTACTGTATAAAATCAAACTTACCGTAATTTTCTTCGATTTTCATAATTCTCTAAAATTTCTTTGACTGGTCTATAAATTGATTCATCATACAAGAATCCTAGGACTCGAAGGTCCTGTAATGAATAATCTTCTTTCAACAATATCGTGAGTAACTTTGGATATCTAAATTGGATTAATCTACCGCGTTTAGATACGTATTCGATTTTCTTTTTAATGGATATTTTAGTATCTTTGAAAAAAAATGATGGCCATTGACACGAAATTATTTGAAAATAATCAGGTGTAAATAATTGTAGATCAAAAAGAGTAGTCAAAAACGTTGATTCTCTTTTCATCCAACGAGGCCACCATGATAAGTTTATGGTTGGATTTTTCAAATATAATTTAGCAATTTCAATAGCATCTTGATCGTTAGCTATATCAGTACATATAATTAATTTTTGTAAATTCGAAACATCAATTGAGTCTAAATCTAAGCGATGTGAGCTGAGAATTAAAGTTTTCAAATTTAGTAAATTTGCATTCATTAACATTTTCTGAAACGTGAAATTCTCCCAATGATACAAAAATGTATATCATGGAGTACTAAAACAATTTATCGATAAACAAATGATATCTTTAGTATTGAAATATCTATCCAAGGTGAATGACCATTTTTTTAGTTCCGGTTCCCTGAGTACAACTACATCGTCACCCTGATGCTCGATGTATTTAAACTTACCATGAAATGAAATATTGAGACTTTTTAATTTACAATTAATCCTATCCAACTTTTCAAGTAGTGAAGGATCCATTAAATTGATGAGGATATCAAATTCGAGGTGCAACTCCTCAAGATTTTCAAAAAGTTAATTTTATTATACATCTGTATAATTTCGAATAAGTCAGATTCACAATTTTGAATTTTTATTCTGAATACTGGTAGTGTAATATTATATTTCAAAGTTTCAAGATTGGTATATAAATAATCAAGTGACAATAAGTATTGATTCTTTAGAAGCGGTATGCTTTTAAAAATAACATCAAGTTCATTAGAAACCAAAAAAGTTACATCTCTCATTGTATGGTGTATCTCAACTTTGTTCCTTGTAGCAAGTTGATTATGTGGTCAATTAATACTTAAAAATCAATATTATTAAAATACTTCAATAGATTTTCCATAAATGTAGATACAGCTTCCTCATAACTTAGCTCTGGCCCTTTTACATATGATAAAAATGAATTAACCTCAATACTAAGATGTTCAATTTGTTTAAATTTGTTTATTTTTCTTTGACGAATACTTTTATCAAAATTGTAGGATGAGATAATAGTGTACTTTCTTGTGAAATTATTTTAATTTATCGACATGTGTTAAAATAATAAATCGGATTATTTAATTTTGAGTTTTATCGTCAAATTTATTGAGCAAACAGTAGCACTCCTTGAGAAAGTTTAGGAAATCTTAACAGTTTCAAATTTAGGAGATTTGTTTTCATATTAATGAGTCTAAAATATCATAGTGATTGACTTGTGAAGGTGGAACGTTGATGATTGGAAACTAGGGGTACTTTAAATTCTAATCACAAAATGGAAGACTAACTTGTTTGTTTTGTAGTTTGAATATTAATTATAAATTTTTTAAGTTACTATTCGTTGATTTATAAATAACTCTCGTTTTATGTATTGTAGTTAGGTAGTTAACTTTAGTGAGAAAAAATGAGATTTTTCTTATTGACACGTGATTTTATTTGAAAGTTGCAACAAAAGTCCTGTATATTAATGAGAGTGACTGAGACCGAAACTGAAGATGATACAGGTTGAGGTATTTAGGTGGAAGGAAATACAGCTTTATCTATGTGTTTTATCTACTAGGTGTGTAAGAGGTTGTTATAATAACTTTAGTTTGTGAAGCTACTATTTTTATTTTTTTGAAACTTTACATTATTTGTTAATATTTTGTCTTAGAGTTTGACGAAAAAAAATTAAGGAGTAAGTCTTATCTCTCGAAAATAGTTCTAATAAATGAGGTAGTCTTTAATAATGAAAAGTATACTAAAGATATAGTTTTTGAGAGAGAGTGAAAACTAGGTTGATAATGAGTTAGTTACTTGAGAATTATAATAATGTTAGGTGTTATAAGGAAAATTCTTTAAAAAGTAGTTGATGATAGTAATTCTCTTAGTTATTAATTCGAATAAATGGAAGAATACTTTGTAGTAAAAAATGTAGGATTTGATAATTTTGAGGAAGAATAGGATATTTGATTTATGAACTGTATGGCACTTTCTGATCTGAAATTAATATGTAAGTAACTGTTGAAAAAAGAAAGTTGTTGAAATCAATTTTCTCGATAGTTATTAGCTAACGAGTGAAATAAAATTGAATGTGAGTGTTGGTTGTGAGTGTCCTAAAGAGAATATACTCGATCTACCAAAGTTATGAACTTAAATATATTTTGAAAAATTTTGACTTAAGTGAGTTTAATTACTGAGGTACGTAATTGTCTTCGCGTATCTCAGAATTAAATGGTCTTTACGGAATTGAAATGTTGAAGTTAAATACCTTAGTATAAGTTGGACGTTGATATCGTTTGAACTTTTTGAAAGTGTTGTCTTTTGGCTCTTCATTCGTAGCTTTTAAGGTACTTAGGTAAAGTTTGTATTTTTTTATTTGAATTGACGTTTAAGGTGAGAAACAGGAAATAAAAGTTGATGATAGTAGTTATCTTAGTAATTGGTTGATATAAAAAGATACTTTCTAGTAAGAAAAGTAGGATTAAATGTCGAATGCCGAGTAAGAATGGGATACCTGATATGGAAGGCTAAGGGCTTGGAAATTTTCGATTGAGTAGCTATTTCTTGAAAAACTTCTGAGAACATGAAATTGATGAAAGTTATTCCTCTGATAGTTGTTAAAATAATTGAAAAAGTATCTCTTGATGTAGTATTGGTTACAGTTAGATATTTTGAAAGAGAATGAGGACTAGGTTAAAGATTAATTTACCTGAAAAGTATTTTATCTTATTGTGTAGTTGAGTAAGTAGAAGACTGTTAAAAAGATCAAAGTTTACCGAACTTACTCTCTTAATGATTACTACGTAATATAAAAAGTAGAACTGGATGTGAAAACTTTTGAGAATAATGGAATACTGGATTAAGAAGGTAGTAAATTCGAACGTACTTGATGGGATTGAGTTGGAGATAAGTGTAGATGTATCTTCTCCGAGACTACTTATTCTGTTGTTGTAACGTAAACCTTTTAGTAAAGGACCGACATTCTGTTGCGATGAGTAAGACTATTGACTATGATGGTTGACTTTAGTAGTTGATTGTGTTAGTTGACTTCAAGAACTTACTTTGTTTGATACTTTACCGTATTAATTAACTTTGATGGTTGCCTTTAATTAACTTTGTTAGTTAATCTTAATAGTTTAATTTTAGTTGATAAAGTACTTAGTTGGCTAGTTGATTTTGATAGTTTTCTTTGATAGGTGACCTTAATAGTTGACTTCTGTTGATAGTTGACCTGCTAATTGACTTTATTAGATTTAGTTGATAGTTTACTTTAGCTTACTTTTGTTGGACTTGGTAGTAGATTTAAATAGGTAAAGCTTTCGTTTGATGGTTGAGTTGGTTGATTGACTTTAATCTTTAACTTTAAGTGCTGAGTTTAAAGGCTTATTTTGATAGATGACCTAATTAATTGGTTTTGATAGTTGAATTTTGTCGGTTTTGATAGTTGACTTCCTAGTCGACTTTGTTTGAAAGATGACATCGGTAGTTGACTTTGTTGATCGACTTTGATAGTTGACTTTGATAGTATAATTTCTGAGTTTAATTTGTTAGTATACTTTGTCGGTATGATTTGTTAGATGACTTTGATAGTTTACTTTCTTAGTAGACTCGAATTTGATGGTTGAACTTGATATTTTACTTTGGTGGTTTACTTTGATAGTTCTTTGGTGGGTAACTTAGTTGACCTTGGTAGACTTTATTAGTTGAGTCTGATATTTGTCTTTAGTTGGCTTTTTCTTAGTCGTTTTTGATAATTTACTTTGATAGGTAACTTTAATAGTTGACTTTGTGAACTTACTTTAGTTGAGTTTCTTAGTTGACTTTGATGGTTGACTATGTTTGATAGTTGACAGTTTACGTCGATAGTTGGCCTTGATATTTTACCTTGATAGTTTGTTTTGATAAGTGACCTTGATGGTTGACTTTAGTAATTGACCTCGTCTGAAAGTTGAGTTAAGTTACCTTAGTAGTTGACTTTGGTAGTTGACTTTAGTCTTTGACCTTGATAGTTGACTATAGTTGGTTTTGATAGTAGACTTTGATACGTGACTTTGATAAGTGGCTTTTGTTGAATTTACTTTGTCGGCTGACTTTTTGTTAACTTTGATAGATGATCTTATTATATTTGATAGTTGACTCTGTCAGATTACTTTTTTAGTCGACTTTGATAGTTTATTTTATTAGTAACTTGATAGTTGACTTTGATAGTAGATCTTGTTGACTTTAAAAGTTTGACTAAGTTAACTTTTTTAGTTGACTTTGATAGTTTAGTCTGGTAATTGACTTTGATACTTTGGTAATTTACTTTTACAGTGGATCTTGATAGTCGATTTTGATAGTTGACTTAGATTATCTTTGTTAGTTGCTCTTAATAGTTTTGATAGTTTAATTTACCAGTTGACTTTATTAGTCGAGCTTACTTCGATAGTTTACTTTCTAAGTTGACCTTGATAGTTGTCTTGATTAGTTGAGTCTGATAATTTATTTTGATGGTTTACCTTGGTAGTTTATCTAATGGTAGACTTTAGTTGATTTAATTTTTTTGTTGGTTTTGATAGTTACGTTAACTTTGTTGGTTGACTTTGGTAGTAGCCCTTAGTTGACTCTAATTTATTTCGTCAGCTGAATTTGGTACCTTACTTTAATAGTTAATTGATGACTTGAGTTGTCTTTGATAGTTGACCTGTATATTAAGTTTAAATTTTATTTTTTCTGTTGAAAGCGAGGGTATTGTATATTAAATTTGAATTTATTAAATAAGTAGTTAAGGAAGTTTAAGTATAAGTAAGGGAAAGAGTAGAGTAGGTACTATAATTACTGAAGTAACTACTTATATTGATTAATATAGTTGATAATAGCTATCTGAATGACTTTGAGCTATGAAATAACAGTTATTAGTACTTTTCTATACTCTCTTTAAATTAATACTATTTGGTAATATAACTATATGAAAATAAAAAGTATACTAAGTAATTCTAATAAAATTAGGAAGATTAATAATAGAGTGTTAAAAATTATAGTTTTACTGATTAAAGGGAGAAGAGTATATAAGATAGAGTGTATTTATAGTCTGATAATGAGAGGTTGATATATAGATTTGGTTGTTTTGATAAAAAAATATAGTAATGTTGATATATTAGTATATACTAGTATATTACTATGTTTTAGTTATTTATACGATATATACGAGATTTTCGTAAATTATTTTTTTATCGAATTTGATGTGGAGTTGAAAATAGTATAACTAGTGT